TAAGTTCGTCTATTGAGTCCTCGTCTAGGTACTCCATTATCTGTGTTGCTCAGTCCTTTCAACTCTCTTGGAGCTATAGTTATTTTCATAAGTGTCGTGTTGTCTTTAACCAATATCTGGTTGCCGCTTTTCCTTCAAACTGTGTGGTGTATCCTCTATACTACACAGTGATTTGTTTATCTATTTTCTAGTATAAGATTTCCAGTCGTTCGTGTGGCGTTATGTTTTCTTGGTCCGTTATATTAACACTTTTTCCATCTATCTATCCTGAGTATTTATCAATGTGTACCAGACACTCCTTATCTATACAATACCTCCAGTGGATGTTCTTGCTGTCTCTGCACAATAGATATTTTATATAGTTTTTGTAGTGAAATCTTCATCCTGATTTCCATGTTTCTTTGAAGATGTGGTATTTGTAGTAGCAGTCCCACCTATATTTGTCGTGGCATGGGTGCCTGGGGTCTCTGACTTCTGTCTGTTTTTCTTCGTTGTGTCTGAAGCATAGTCCTTTCTCTTTACACACTGTTCAGTGTTCGTCAGGTATCTGGTTATCGCATTTCTCTCTTTGTTCCCATAGTTGTTTATAACTATCTTTGAACGTTATCTGTGGTGCTTCGTTTTCCCAGTTATTTGTTTCCTGCGTATCTTTGTATTCTGATTCGGTTTCTCCTTTTGAGTCTGTTTGTTCTGGTGTCGCAATTCCTTGGTTAGGCCCTGTCGTTAAGTCATGTTTGACGTCTGTTGGTAGTTCCAATCTTTCCGTGATGGTTCGTCTATGTTTTTCTAGTATTCATAATTCTTGTTATAATAGATCATTATGCTGTTCTGTTGTGATTCTGTCAGTTTAGCATCTCAGGAGTCTTCAGTATTCTTCCTCCGTGAGTCCGTTAGAACTTGATCCATACCCTACGACTGCGTTCTGTTGTATTAGAGTAGGTCTCTTGCTGGTTGCCCTAAGGTATTATCTGATGTTCTGTGAGTCTTGGTAGCCTCCTCTACCTTACTCCTTCTCGTTGCTACTAGTCTTAGACGTAGTAGTAGCGTTGAGGTGCTTCTTAGTATCCCCTTGTTTCTTTCTACAGTCTTTTGTGATATGTCTGGGTTTCTCACAGTAGAAACATAGCTTCTTGTCCCTGCATCTTTTGCTTTTCTCAGTGTTGTAAGGTCGTTTTTTGGTAGCATCCAATTCCATGGGTGTGGTGCTGTAATCATTGCGTTTGTTCGATCCTTTGTAACTGTTTCCTTTCCAAAAAGTGTTTTTCCCTTGTTGTATGTTTTGTAGGTTGTAGAGTTGATTGTCGATGCGTACTGCCATTTCAACCATTCATTCAAAACTGTTGTATGGTCCCATCTTGATGGTTTCGTATTGGGTTTCTGGTTTGAGTCCTTATTCAAATATAGCCATTTTCTGCTCGTCGTCGTGGATTCCTAGTTCTTGATAGATCTACTATAGTTGCGCTGCGTACTGCGCTGCGTCCCTGGTTTATCTGAGTCCCTATAGTTTGTGTTATAGGGTCCTCTTTCTGTCAGTGTCTCTAAAGAATTATCTGAGTACTTGTTTGAATTGTGTGTAGCTGTTGAGTACATCCACATATAGTATGGGTCATCCTCTAGTATTAGTCTAGTCCTCGAGATATAGTTTGAACCATGTTGCCACTGCCTCTCACATATAGGATCCTGCGAAGATAACTTTTTCTATATCAGTGACTCCTGGTTTAGTTGCCAGATAGATGTCGTATTCCCCTAGAAAGTGTTCCAGTTTGGCGCAGTCTCCTTTATAAATATCAGGTTCATAGATCTTGACAGTAGTTCTCTTATCTTTGGTTCTGACTCTGAGTACATCGATGGCGTCTTTGTGACTTTTAACTTGTTCTAAAGTCTGTTCGATGATGTCTTTGCATTCATTAAGTAATCTTTATTATTCTTCTACTTGTTTATTAGTTTCATCCAGCTGCTCATCATTAGGTTGCTCTTTGACTCTTTTTTCTAGCTCAATGATTTTCTGTCGCATTTGCCCTAACAAGGCGTTGGTGTTGATGGTTGGTCTACTTGCTAATGACATATTGGCTCGTCTTGCTTTGGTATATTCCTGTAGTTAGTATGCTCTCAGGGGTAGAGTGATACGTACCTAGTTTTGTCCTTCTTGATATATAATTGTAAGTCACTCAGGTTGGAGTGTCTATAATAGTATGGTGGCTCTAGTAAGTCAAAATTACTTTTGCCTCTTCGTAACTGTGAAGTTAGGGCTCTATCAAGTCGAAATTGATTATACCTCTTTATAACCGTGAAGTCAAGGCAATCAATATCACAAGCTGACGGCGCTCCTTGATTACCTAAAGGTGATCAGAGGTTCACACCTACCGTAAGACAGAAGGTACGAAGGTCTTAGAGAAAGCTTGGGTTGGAAGTGAGTTATTATAGGAGATGGCTTAGTACCAAGGTAAGATAGAATACTATAGTGAGACTATCCCTTAGTTCCAAGTGTGGCTTCAGTCAGTGCCTGGGTCAGATAAAGGCTAAAGGTCCTTATGAGTAGTGAAGACAAAGTTGACCTGCGTCAATAGGCAAAGGGGTATTTGGTGAATATAGTATAAGACAACTAGAATGGTGCTTTATATTAAGTAGTATAATAAAACTATAGCTAGTTTAATCGCGAGTATAAGACTCTTGATCCTAAGGAAATGAGTGTCTTTATATATATAGTATATCCAGTCCCTTCCTCCTGATTCTTCTCAGGTCCTGTTGTGGACCTGATGTCCTGGTCCCTTCGTGGACCTTTCATGTTCGGTCCCATAGGGACCTGTCCCTGGTCTTGGCATCTGGGACCTGTCCTTATGGTCACGTGATGTGTAGTTATTCCATCCCAGAATCTTGTTGTCCAATGAGTGTATATCCTGTGGCTGCGCCGCAGGTGGTCTGTAACAAAAAGCCTCTACCCTTGCTATAGGGTATGCATTTAAGAAATTAAGCTTCTTAATAGTATTGAATCTAAGTCGCATTTATTGTTTAACTAAACCTCCGTACGCTTACTTTAGGATAGTAAAAACGCTTATATCCAAAGGCTATAAGAGGTGTGAGAAATAAGGAGGCATATAGAGAGGAATAATATTATTCTCTATATAGAGTTGGTCGAATTCAGGTGTAAGATAGCTTCTATGACCATCTAATATAAGTGTTACAGACCAACAGCCTCGCAACTTCATGGGCTGCAACGATTGGTCCAGAAGGATCACCGAAAGAATGAATTACCGACTAGCCGGCTCGCTCGACTCGCTATGGAGAGCCAGCTATCCAGGAGAGCCACCAGCTCGCCCAGCTCGCCCGACTCGCCCGGAGAGCTAGGAGAGCCAGGAGAGCCACTAGGTATATACCATGTATATAAAGACGCTCATTACCTTAAGATTAAGAGTCTTATACTCGCGATCAAACTAGCTACAGTTTTACTATACTGCTTAATACAAAGCACCATTCTAGTTATCTTATACTATATTCACTAAATACCCCTTTGCCTATTAACGTAGGTCAACTTTGTCTTCACTACTTATAAGGACCTTTAGCCTTTATCTAACCCAGGCACTAACTAAAGCCACACTTGGAACTAAGGGATAGTCTTACTATAGTATTCTATCTCGCCTCGGTACTAAGCCGTCTCCTATAACGACTTACTTCTAACCTAAGCTTTCCCTAAGACCTTTGTACCTTCTGTCTTACGGCAGATATGAACCTCTGATCACCTTTAGGTAATCAAGGAGCGCCGTCAGCTTGTGACAATAAGTAAGGAATGACTGCCTCTTTTTTATATATTTATAGCTAGAATAAATATCTTTGTAAGCTATTTAAGCCTAATCTCATCTATTGTCCAGCCATTAGGACTAGTATTAAGTCTTTAGCTATTTAGAAGCCTATTATACTATCCTTCCTAAGTATTCTAGCCTTTAAGAATTGTTACAGACCACCTGCGGCGCAGCCCCAGGATATACACTCATTGGACAACAAGATTCCGGGACGGAATAACTACACATCACGTGACCATAAGGACAGGTCCCAGATGCCAAGACCAGGGACGGGTCCCTATGGGACCAAACATGAAAGGTCCACAAAGGGACCAGGACATCAGGTCCATAACGGGACCTGAGAAGAATCAGGAGGAAGGGACCAGATATATCATATATATAAAGATGCTCATTTCCTCAGGATCAAGAGTCTTATACTTGCGATTAAACCAGCTATAGTTTTACTATACTACTTAATACAAAGCACTATTCTAGTTATCTTATACTATATTTACTGAATACCCCTTTGCCCATTAACGCAGGTTAACTTTGTCTTTACTACTTATAAGGACCTTTAGCCTTTATCCGACCTAGGCACTAACTAAAGCTACACTTGGAACTAAGGGATAGTCTTACTATAATATTCTATCTCGCCCTAGTACCGAGCCGTCTCCTATAATAACTCACTTCTAACCTAAGCTTTCCCTAAAGACCTTCATACCTTCTGTCTTACGGCAGGTGTGAACCTCTGATCACCTTTAGGTAATCAAGGAGCGCCGTCAGCTTGTGACATTTAATAAGTAAGTATAGATCTTAGTACACTAAATTGACGTGTAGCTTCACAAATAGAGGTAATTTCCTTATTTTTTAAAGCAGAAATTATAAGTTTGATCTTTCCCTCTATTTCTATAGAGTTTTTATTATTTTTATTGTGAATTGGTGGCATTATCGCGTATAGAAGTTGTTAATTAGTTAAAAAGAGTACGCGTTTGAATTTGGTGGCTCGCTCACTTGGGTGGCTCGCTCGCCTGTGGATTACGTTAATTAGTAAATATATAGCTTAGTAAGCAGACCCAAGGTCACAGGACCTCAATAATCTATAAATATGTCACATGATGCATTAGTAATACAAAATTACGTCATATCACCTTAGGCAGCCCACCATCGAGCAAAAAGGGTAGACAACTACTTAGAAAGACGCGGTACTATTGATAGCATATAACAATGTCTTCATCTCATATAATCCCACTATCGACACATCTACATTACCTCGCCCAATGCCTTGAACTTGCATCCCAATCCCCTCCCAAACCAACTAACTTCCGCGTTGGTGCCATCCTCCTCTTACGCCGCTATCCCACCGGCGATGATACAGAGCTAAAAGAAAAGGTCCTCTCGACAGGGTATACATTAGAGCTTCGCGGAAACACCCACGCAGAACAGTGCTGCCTTGCAAAATTTGCATCCCATTACGGCGTGCCTGAGGATCAAGTTCGGGACGTTCTCGAACAAAAGCGGGCAGAGGAGAGTGGTGACGCGCAGATAGAACTATACGTTACCATGGAGCCATGCGGGAAGAGATTATCGGATAACAAGCCATGCGTGGAACGTATAATTGAGACCAAAGGCCAGAAAGAAGACGGGAAGGTCGGTGGGAGTGGTATCGATCGTGTGTATTTCGGTGTCAAGGAGCCAGGGACGTTTGTTGGTCAATCCCAGGGGTGTAAGAAACTTGACGAAGCGGGAGTTCAGTGGAATCTCATTGAAGGAATGGAAGATGACATTTTAAAGGTTGCAACGGCCGGACATGAGAAGAAAGCAAAAGGAGAGAAGGAAGGAACAAGAGTGAACGAAGCAGATCAGACGGTCTTAGTTGATAGAGCCGAAGAGGAGGCGCGCAGGGGTGAGGCGATTCCAAGAAATCCAAAAAAGAGAATGATGGAGGTCTAGCCACAGCCTGTTTTCCCGTATTCAATATAGATCTGCCTTATTCACAAAATAACCAAAGCCCCCACCGCAAGCAATGAAACAGACAGAACCAACCCGGCATTCCTGCTGAACACTTTGGGCCCAAAGTTCTTAACGTTCACATTGAGGTTATTCGAGTTATTGTTCTCTGCCCTCGAACTACCACCAACGCCTACTCCTGAATTACCGCTTCCATTCGCCTGGTCCGACCGTGGCGTTGGGTCTGCCGATGACGGCGGCTGCGTGGCGGGTGCACCAGGCTGGGACGGTGATGGTCCTGGAGGGGTATCACGCATCCATGGTGGATCACAATTTGTGTCTGGTGGACAGCAGGCCGGTGCACCGCCTCTCTGGTGATAGCAGATCGATGGAGCAGGGCAGTAAATTTTCTCATAGTCCGAATGGTTGCACGTTGGGTCTCGGGCGGGGTTATTTGGCTGTGCCGGAGAGTGGTATTGGTTTCCATTTATTGAGATGTCTCGATCAGATAGGGGTTGGGAGACATTGGTATAGGGAGATGCTGCTGCGAAGGTGACATGGAGCAGAATCAGATAGGCAAACCGCTGGAGGAGCTCCATCGCATACATTGCAAGAAGGAGAGATGAATTTTTGTTGGGTATAATCCGGGCATAGGTCGACAGCCCAAACTTATATTCAGCATACTGTCTTGGGCGATTGATATGACGAGGCAAACAGCTGCCCTCCCATGTGGCCACTTTAGCCTCCAAACAAATAAATATAAGGGATGTAGCTGCTGACTTGTGCCCTATCTATGCACATTAGCACATATATAGGGCAACTAGCGTATTATACTGCATATCATTTAGAGCAAACTTGTAGATCCGGCTAAATCATAGGCGCGTATCCTGGATGTTAGCCTGCAGATTTTAGTCATTCTTGTTTGTCGGGCGTAGCGTAGAAGTGCCCTCCCGGCAATGAGCCGGTTTCCGGTTTGCTTTGCATCTGCTATATCATCCCATGTTATAGTGAAATAATGAACAGATGTCTCCCCCTGGGCTAAAGTCTAGTGAGGTCAAGCGGCTTAAAATGATCACGTGCTTTCGTGACTTTAGTAAGCGCCAGACGCGACTTGCGCAGGAAGAACAACTTCCTCGTCCTCGCCGCGACAACAGCCTGCCTTTATTACCAAATATTGTATACCTATATTACACATTCGGCATCATATATATCCTGTTTTACATATAATATCGCGATAATGGCCAGATGACACTTGTTGCGCAGAATAAACACAACATACAATTTGCATCCGATGACAACCTTACATTTTACCCAGCATACTGCTACAAGGCATCACCTACACATTTCACATGGGTGAAGTTAAGCGCAGCAGACGTCCATCGGTTGAGACGTCGGATGGGATATGAAGGTATGACTACCAAATTGTAGGTGTCAAGAGAAATTTGAAAGCTGATTATGGCTGCAGGACAGAATATCCATTTTTACAAGAACCACCCGATCCAGTTCATCTGCTTGGCGGGTGTGATTGTTGCGCGAGAAGAGCAGCTTCGCAGAACAGTGTTGACGCTAGATGATAGCTCTGGGTCGACCATCGAGGTTGTAAGCTCGAAGATAACGCCCGTAGACCAGCCACAAGCGGAGCCGGAGCCAGTAGAAGCAGCGGAGGAAACAAAGACAGTGATGGCAGCGATAGGGGCAATGTCGGCTTCTCCAATATATGTAACATCCACCACCCATGAACCACTGGACATCACCTCTCTAGTGCCCGGTGTAATAGTCAAGTTGAAAGGCACGGTCATAACATTCCGCAGCATGAGACAGCTGCATCTTGAACGCTTTGTGCTCCTCCCCGATATGGCTGGCGAGATGCAATTCTGGGAAGAGCGGACTCGGTTCCTAGTTGACGTGTTGAATACCCCGTGGTACCTTACTCCGACGCAGGTTGAGCAACTGAGGGTTGAAGGGGCTGGTGAAGAGGAGAAGAAGATGCGGAAGACCCGGGTTAGAGAGAAGGATAGAGTGAAGATGGAGGCTAGGAGGAAGGAAATGGAAGAAAGAGACCGGGAGAGGATTGTTAGGAGATACGAGAGGGAAGAAGAGATACGGAGGAAGTACGCCGAGAGGTGTAAGGAGGTTAGCGGCAGGCTGAAGAAGGTGAGGAAGAGATGATTTATTCTTCACCATCCCATGTTAGGCTGCTGCTCCCAAGAATGATGACAGACAAAAATGCGAAATCCAATATCTTTTCAACTATTACAAATGGCAGCTCATGTACATATAGGAGAGTGACCTAGCGATATCCCCAAAGATTATCAAACGTCGATAGATGTCCGTGTCGTCCACGGCTTTCCCCTCTCCTCCGTCCCCTATCCCTATCCGAGATAGAGCTACGATAAAACTCCTCATCACTACCCCAAGAATTTCGCGTGCGATCCCTATCTCTGCCTATATCCCCACCCCAGTCAAGATCCCTGTCTCTATCTCTGTCCTTCCCGTGATGCCGCTTAATGTCATCATGTAAATGCCCGTGTCCATGGGGGTGCGAATGTGAATGTGAACGCGTATGTCCATGATGTGACGTGCTATACTTGGAGTCGATATCATCGGACGGGCTTAATACTTCATCATCTTCGCCGTCGTAGATGACAACATGCTGTTTCCTGCTAGTGTTAATGCCAGAGCCGGAATCCTGATGTCGTGAGCTTGTGTTTGCAGTGGTGGTGCTACCAGTGGGGACGGGGCTGGAAGTTTCATCTCGATACGTTTTATTCAATTTCGGCATGCTGTATGGTTTCCGTTCTCGTTCGATGGGCTGTGTCACTGGTACGTCTACGTCTGCACTAGAAGCAGCGATTTGATCATCATATTCATCATCTGCGTCCTCGACCGTAGCAGCTGGTGGGATCTGTTTCGGCCGTACATCCGCACTTGCTGGCCGCGAAGGGAGGCCAGCAGATGTATTATCTATGCTTGACTTGGCGCGAGGATGACGTAGACTGGGCTCTTCAAGCATGCCCTGGGTTATTTCGACATGACAATGTGTACCAATCCATCGATCAAGGGTATCTTTGATATCATAATCGGCCAGTTTTGGGAATAGTCTCCTGGATAATTCCTTGGGGAATCGTTCCTTTTTATCATCAGGATTACTGATAGGCATGTTCTGTATGACAGACTGGAGGCGATCGAACTCCCGCTCCGGATGTGCCTGGATCATCATTGTCATCCAGCGTTCGAAACCGCGGGGAGTCAGGCCTGGAATGTCAGGACGTTCGTCAAGACGGACCTGGATGAGGTGGTGCTCGATGCTCATTGAGCGGTAGAGGCGGGAGATCGACGACGTGCGATTATCGAAGATGTCTATTCATAATTAGATTCGTTCAAGAGTGGAATGGGGTGAGTAGAGCGTACCACGCCATGGATAAGGATCAGAAGGTACACTATTATCGCTATAAAACTTTTGCATTTTCTCTGGAGTGATGACCAGGGTGTTTCCAGGTGGATAGTTCTCAATCTGCGAGGAATTAGTAAGTATATGACCGTAGATATTAGCATTTATAATAGAAGTCACCTACCAGATGAACGGCAATCCCACGCAAGAGCTGGCCTATCCGACTCGTAGGGGTATCATCCTTATCAAAGAGCGTCCCCCAGATCCTCTCGAGTGTGGTGATGTCCGTTGCCGTCGAAAGCCTAGACGGGCCCTTTGGACGCCGACTACCTTCCTGTCCACCATTTAATGAGCCAAAGGACGATCCTCGCGTTCTCTCCATGCCCGGAGAAGGAGGCGGTAGTTGGTGAGCACTTCCCGGCCTTGACGGGGGCCGCTGCACCGCCGCACTGGGATAGGCATTCTCGTCGAACTTGGACGGTATTGGCGGAGCATAAGCTGACTGCGCCGGCGCATTGGAGAGATCAGGCTGCGCTGATACAGAGGAAGAAGGTGGTATATATTGACCGGTGGTGGTATTGGGACTGAGAGTATCTGGGTTCGGACTCTGCTTGTAGCTTGTATTTGACAGGGCGGGCGTTGGCGGCTGGTAGTTCTGCTGCTGCAGGCTCGGATGAGGAGGAGGAGGCGGCGGCGGAGGGTTATTGTTTGGATTGGCTAGCCGTAGCTGCTGTATAACTGCTGCTGTGACCTGCGCAATTAGATCTGGTGACGGATAGCTTGGATCAGGTACCCGCGGGGGAGGTGGCGGTTGCTGCGGCGGTCCCTGGCGTGACGCCGTGGGTGAAAACGGCGGCTGTTTCAGAGCATCTCCGTGCGGTGGAGGATGGCCGGTGGGAGGAGGATAGAAGCTCGCCGGGTCAGGGTACTCTGTTCCTTGATTTGATGCAGATGACGATGTGTATGGTACTTGTTGCTGTTGCGGTGGATGCTGCTGCTGTGTATCTTGCTCGGCTGCGTAGTTTTCTCCGTACGGCGGTTGCAAGTAGCCAGAATAGGCAGCGTTCGGATGACTGCTATTGTTAATACTGGTGCTGCTGCCGTTGGCACCTTGGTTGCTATTGATGCTGGGATTCGGGTTAAACCCAGGCGGATCGAAGCCCGAGTTGCGATATCCGTCGTATGCCATCTCGTCTGAAGCAGGACTCGACTCACGCAACTACTGTCCCGGTCAGCGCATGTCGAGCCAGTATCAGCACCGGCAAGCAGATATAGGTGCCAGAGTGTGCGGTCGTGGAGTCGCAAGTCGCAAGTTGCAGGTCGCAGGTCGCATCGCAAGTCCGAGTCCAGGTCAAGAACCGGCAAGGCTGTGACGTCGTCAAGTGATCCCTGTCATGTGTCGCCTTCCGCCTCCTACAACATCTACCTCTTGTCTCTATAGCTATGGCATGGCTATAGCTATGGCATGGAGCACTGCATATGTCTGTGCTACGGGTGTCTAACGACACGGCAGAGATGCCCTAGATGCCAGGGAGTTACACCGACGTTGATGCCCCTGCAGCCGGCGGGACGCATAACGAAGCAGGCTGGAAGGATGCGCCGTGAGTCAGTGATCCTTCAGGCGGTTATAAGGAGTAGCATGGTCGATGGCAGGAGTAACATGTTTAGACTGGATGCTGGTCAACTACTGCTCCATCTGCCATGACTCTGATATCGGATCTGAGAGCTTACCTCCTTCGAGCACTCAACTTCACAACATCCAATACCCCAGACAGCCCTCAAGCCGCTCCTACACCTACAGGTAGCTGCCGCTTCCGCCTGGATGACGACTGTTCGGACACATTAACCCTCCCGGATGGACGAAAACTAGGATATGCACAGTATGGCTCGTTGACGGGGCGGCCTGTCTTTTACCTACATGGCCTTCCAGGAGCTCGCACCGAGGCCGCCTGTTTTGACGACCTGGCGCGGGAGCTGGGTGCCCGAATTATAGCTACGGACAGACCCGGTGTAGGTTGGAGCTCACCTCACCCGGGTCGAACAGTTCTTGATCATCCAAAGGATCTGGAACAGCTTGCAAAGCACCTGAAGCTAAAAGAGTATAGCGCATTGGTACGAGTAGCAGCGACTTATAACCGGGAGATAACTGAGATTGACATGCTTGATAGGGAATATCGGGAGGTGGACCGTACGCACTCGCTTGCGCGGCGTCATTACCACGCGACAAGCTCAAGGCTGTCTCGATCATCTGCGGCCTAGGGCCACCTGACATTGGAATGAGCGGTGCGGGTTGGCCCACCTGGCTTGGATTCACGTTTGGATACCGTTATTTCTCCGCTGCCACCGGATGGTATCTTAAACGTCAGTTGGCAGCACGTTTGGACCTGAGCGATGAAAAGCGATTTGAGCTTCTGAGGCGGGACGTGTTAAATGCCAAGTCCATGCTTGAGAAGGATCGTGATATCATGAAGGATGAAAGTACGCTTCGGATGTTTTTGAAAACGAGTCGAGAAACCTTTGCCCAGGGATGTGACGGGGTGTTGCAGGATGGCAAGCTGCTGTGCAACGACTTGGGTTTTCGGGTAGAGGATATTCGTGCCGATTTGCCTGTGCAGTTGTGGTATGGGAAGCAGGATACTGCCGTTCCACTCAATCATGGTATTCAGATAGCAGCGCGGTTGGGTGGGAGGGCGCATCTTAGGGTTGTGGATGAGACGCACTTGAGCATCTGGGAAAACTGCAGGGAACAGGCGTTGAAAGAGTTGATTAGGAGCATGTGAGGTTTGCCATGTATATTAAGTTTGTATATTAGAGTCAAGAAAGTCGTATCTCAATCATAATAAATAATAGGAAGAACATAGAATATTAGGCTGGATACGCAAGGTTCTTCTTTACCATGGCTCAGGCGAAAGGGCCGGCCCGCGCTCCCGAAATTCATATAGTTAGTCACAGGAACAGTCTCTCGGGTAGCATAGAGCAAGCGGCAAGAGTCCGGTGACCTCTTCCACGGCCAACCGCATACACGGCAACGACGTATCACAGCCTTGAAGTACTTGCAGTAACCGAATATGTCGACTAGTCTTCCAGTGCCGCATCATATGCCACACAAGCACGTTATCCATAATCGCCACAGGTGCAGGAGTCCTGTTGCCGTTTTTCTTCTTTTAGCTCGCTGGAATCTCCGAATCTCAGTCCGAAGCTAGAGGGAAACTGTGCCAGTCGGTTTGCCATGCCTTGGTCGTTTTCGGCCAAAGTTTCCGAAACACTTTCTGATAAAGTAGAAACTCAACGTTCAAGGCACCCGTTATTTGCTATGGGCAGTTCTTTTCTGCAACGATCTCGTCACGATCATCTCTCTGGGTAGGGTTTCTGATAACCGCCCAGCCACAGCTGATCACAGTTAGGATCCTGCGCAAGTCCCTGGGAGTGGAAACTCCAAAGTCGGCTCCAACAATCCGGACCCTTAGCCGCTGCAAATTGGGCCTCCCTTGCTTGAATTGGGCCAGGTAAACTTCTTGGAATATAGAGCGAGCGAGCGCCTCATCCAGAGTGGCGTTCTCTAGTATCTTTTGTATTATGGCAAAATTTTCTGGTTGATCATTTGAAATGAATTCCGGTACGTATGTGTTGGTATCGTTGGAACAGTCGAGATATAATGAAAGGTCTTTCAACCCGGAAAGGGAACCAAGGGTTCGGTATATGGCTACTTCTTGTATATCGCCGTGAGTCCGTGGTATAAGAAGCGATGCTCTTTTCAATGCTGAACAGTGTGATGCAAGTTCTCGAATTCTATCCAGCGTTAGAGCAAAAGCTAGATCAAACATACCCAGGTGGCTTTTCCGCTGAGGTGAAAACCAGATTCGATGCAGCGATCTATGATGATCAATAATAGCTTTAAATGTCTTATGTTCGAAGTTGCCAATTAATTTAAGGGTATCTAGCGGAGGGAGTGACCGGAGAAGAACACTCGCGGCCTCGTCCATGTATAGATTTTCGTCAAGATTGTCACTATCCAGGCGTAAAATAAGGATCTTTAGAGAGCTAAAGTCATAGGTACTCGCCGTCCTCAAGCTAAATGGATCGATCAGGGTATCCAAACTGAGCACCTGTAATCGAGAGAATGCAATATGCTCGTTCCACTGCCCAAGGGTTCCGAGCCCGCCACCGCGGAAGCTTAGGGTATGAAGTTCTCCACGGCCACTGGAATTCGTGCCATCCTTTAGAAAAAAGTCTCGTTCCGGTCGCTGTTTGAACCGCTGCTCCGCTGCATACCATCCCTGAGAGCGCATTATCACTCGTACATGTCTAAGATTTGGAGCCAACCCTGTGCTCATTCTTATGACAGCTATATCATTATAATTAAATAGTCTTTCAGGGTCATATCGGTAATAGGGCAGAATAATGCTATACAAGCTTGGGGATGTGGCAAGTCTGTGCTCATACTGGTCCATCTCATGGGGCCATGCCTTGTGTTGAACAAGGCTTTTAAGTCCGAAACTATGAATGTGAAGCTTGCAATCGGGTAGAAATTGATGTAGCGCGTCCAGCAAACATGGTGGAAACTGGTTAGAACAATTGAAGACGAGGTCCTGTAGGGCTGGAAGCTGAGCCAAAAAACCGGCCAAGGTTTGCCAGTCCTTATCCAGCTCTTTCGTTACCTCCGGAGACTCTGACACCGCTCTATAATTATTAAGTTGTATGTCTTCAAGCTCGTCGTCGCTATCAACTAGACAATTTTTTGGCCATGCTGAACGGCCTTTCCTCATCCCCCCATCGACTGGGAGCTCGCCCTCGATCTCGAGCCGACGGACGCATCTAAAACTCGATGTAAGCTGCAGAACATCATTCCACTGGTCCAAATCCTCGCCCAGCTTCGTGCGACCCTCGATAGTAAGGTGAATTCTCTGGAACCGTGTCTCATTAGAAGCCAGGCACCACCTTTTGCAGACGAGGGCAAAGTCATATAGGCTGGGTCTGTAGTCAGAAGCAACAAAGTTACAAATCTGCTGCAAGGTCTCCAGTGGAAGCCTCTCGAGAGCAGCCATGTCATGAGAAGGACTAGGAACATGGTCCTTCATTCAGCGACGACGAGGGACGAAGTTGCTATCTTTTTATGCACCTCCAGAGGCCTCGCTTACTCAGCACATTGCCCCTTATTTTTATCTCCGCCGCAACGTCTCAAGTTCGACAAAAAACCATCAACCAACCAATGCCACGTATGAGTGGTTCTTCTTGGGCAATACGTGGCAGTGTGATACTGGATGCACATGGCCTGGTTTATATCGACATAAATCCCAATGTTAGAATTGTTACGACTGGTTGGGCACACCATGGCGCTATATACAGACACCCATGGCTTTGTTTGCCAGGCATTGAGCACCCCAGAGACCGACATGGCCGTTATATAAACCATTCCCTCGCACCGCTTCAACGACCTCAGGTTATCGTTCTCTCTCTCCTTACTAATGTCTTGGACGGATTCTGCTCTAGAACTCGCTATGTCGTGGCGACGCTCCTACTGTCTTCTCATATGGCATTGCTTCTTCAGGAGTGCTACCTTACCACGAATAACCCAGCTGGCCAGTGAATTAAGCATGTTGTATATGCAATATCAGGATAAATACGATCCTTGATGATCTAATTGGTGGCCAAATGACTGCCGACCTAACCCTCGAACGTTGAAGCGTCAAAACGCGGATGGGCTGCGTGGAGCAATGACCGATATCACAAACCGAGACATCAGCCTTAGCGTGGATACTGGAGTGGCCATAACTTGAGCTCTACATATCATTTTACATATGATGTTTCAAATAGTGAACTATACGAAGTATTGAGTATTCTATATGTCTACTAAAGATCTCAATCTAGGTGTTGCATGACATACAGGAGCTGACGGTTGATACTCCTCAAGAGGCGAGGAATCCAGTCTCTTTCCAAGCCTTGATGTAGCGGCTGGCTACTTCGACACTCACCGGCGCCAAAGCCCGCATGGTTGCAGAATGTTTCTGTGCCTTCGTCGTATCCAGAACCAGCCCACCACAGGACAACTGCTCAAAATTCTGCCCCAGAAAGTCCACCAATCTCTTGGCTGGGTTCTCCGTCTCCGATTTGGACGAGCTAGCAACTGTACTGAGCCACTCTTTAAATGGCATGAACTGACTAGACGGAATGTCTAGCGCGTCGGCTAGAATGGATGATATCTCTTTCCATGGCCGGCCGACTGGGTCATCAATGTGATAGATGGGCCATGGGTCTGGCGCTGTCTTGTCTTCTCCGATGTATAACAAATCGACAAGGACTGCAGCTACGGCATCGACAGGGATCCACCGAACAGCGCCGAGGAAGTTGGGCCAGGCGCCCAGCGACTGCGCCGACTTGACGATGAAGGGGATTTGCTCAACTGAGTTCCAGACGCCGCTCGTAGATGAACCCGCAATCTGTGCTGGCCGAACGGCCATGGCTCGGAACAGTGTAGGGTGCTTATGGACCGTCTCTTCCAGCATTCGTTCGCACACCCATTTGGCCTCACCATACCCTGGGGGCAAGACAGAATCCATGGAGACGCGGCGTTCTGGTACAAGCGGCTCCTTCGAGCGCCCAACAACACTAAGGGAGCTGATCAGCTGGAAGCCTACCCGACGGTGGACAGCCATATCACGAGCGAGGTCGAGCAGGTTGCGCAGGGTCTGGAACTGCGATGCAAAGGCAGACATGGGCCGCGAACCGCTTAGAGGCCACGCGCTGTGCACAATGTGTGAGCCGTGTTGCGTAAGCCACTGGTACTCAGAGGTTTTAAGACCTAGCTGCGGCTGAGACGTGTCGGTTTCTAGGATACGCAACTTGGACCTGGCTTCTTGTGTGAGTGTGATGCCTCGAGTGGAGAGAGCGACGTCCTGACGGGTTTCAACCGGCGTGGGACGGTGTCGGTTGATGCAGACGACCGTCTTAACCGATTGATGCGAGGCGAGAGCGGCGACAACGTGTGCGCCTAGGCTTCCAGTGGCACCTGTGACTATGATGGTAGCATCATGGGAGTTCGCGATGGCTTCACTCGTATACAATGGCTGGGCAGGTATCCAACCAGCCGTATATTTTACCACATACCTCTCGGCCTCAGCCTCGCGTGCTGTAACATCTCGTCTCGCATGTTCTTCGGAATGTATATCTTTGATAGGATATGAATCAACACCCAAGGTAGCAGTGTCTATCTCTGAAGTGGAAGATGTAGACATGGTGAACCGACTATCATCATGGCTCGACTCAGTTACGTTATCTTCGTCGTCATAACCTGTGATTTCTACAGTACCTTGTGACAAGGCGCTTGCAACCAGAGTGACTATATTGCCCACGGTAGTGGCGGCTAGTAGCTCTGGCAGGTCCAGCTGGCAGTGGAACGCCGAATTGATTTCGCGAAGTAGCTCGATTCCCATCAACGAGTCGATGCCAATGTCGGCAGCTATCGTATCGATAGTAATGGAATCAACCTCTGCGCCTACGACGCTCGCAAGTACTCTTTTGACCTCCAATGTGAGGTTGGACTTCGGTGATTGAGATGACTTCTTCTCGGCCTCCGCCTGATTCTCCTGCGGCTTCTTCGAGTTGTTGTTACCCACGATAGGTTGAGGGACTCTGGGCGTGGGACTTGCTACTGTTGCACCAGTAGTGTTCATTTTCAAGGCCCATTCGTCCTTAGTGAGGTTCATCAAGAGCCTTTTCATTGATTCAATGCTCATACGCGTATACTGCAGCCCCAGTATAACCTCGACTAGCTCCCCATTGGCGGCATTGAAGACGAATGCATCTGCCATGTACACCTTGGCCGAGATTTGAGAATGTCGTGCATACGCATGCCAAACATCCTGTGTCTGTCCTGGCTGAAGAATGCCGCGTGGCGAGCGCATAACGAGCTCAACGTCGCTTCCGATGTGTATTTCGCCGGGCTGTGCATCCGACATGCAGTTCAAGAAGAGGCCGGAGACCTGCTTGAACGAATCATGGAGGGCGATGTCGAGAAAGCTCTCGCCGGCATGACGACGGTGCACCCGCCCCGCGCATTCGGTTTTCTTGCCAACAACGGCGTACATGGCGTTGTACTGATCTGAGTACTCGATGAACTCGGAGAAGGCCCGGTACACTTGACGGCCCTGCAGGACGTCGACACCAGGCCCACCGGCCTCAGCCAACAGTTTTGCACATTGCTCATAAGGGACAAGTCGCTCAAAGCGCGCAAACTGGGCGATAAAGGCGGGATCGCTGGGGGAGCGAATATGGAGACGTCCATGGAGATGTCTCCTGGGCAGGGTGCCTTCAGCACTGGTGCTCGAGATATTCAGCTGCCACAGGGTTTGCTCCGCATCGAGAGCCTCATAATTGATCCAGACTTTTCGGGATGAGTCGACGCAGATGGGTGTAGGAATGTTGGCCTCGATCATCGTAGGTATCATGCCTTGTTTTTTCCAGTCTGGATGAATACTGAAGATGGCTTCAACTGCCATGTCCGACTGGACCGTTCCAGATAGTACGGGCGCTGTGTGAGCGAAGACATGACCGGAGACGAGTTTCTTGAACTTTTCGGATACCAGGTTGACGCGGAAACGCGGGTGCGTGGTGCCGTTTCCTTGGTAGCCAACGAACTCCCATAGCGGCATACTCTTGGGGTCGCTCACGGGTGCGTCTTGCGTCAAGCCTGCCACCAAATCAGTCGCGGATTTAAATTCCATCCAATGCCGTGCCTTCTCGAACTGGTACGGCGGCAAGAGGATATGTGTATAGTCGTTCGTTTGCAGACTGTGGTGTGCCCAAAAGGCGACTCGCAACCCCTGTCTCCAGAGCGAGACGGTAGCATCAGTGAGACCGTCGAGGCCCTTCTCATTCGTTACACTGACGGATTCAAAGTGGTGCGATTTACTAGCCTGTTCGGCAAGCGCACGGCTTGCCATGATGGCGATCGTCGAGCTCGACCCTGCCTCAAGGAAGATGGCGGACGGGTGCTTTTTGGCGATACGCTGTATAGCATGGGAGAAGAAGACAGGGTAGCGCATGTGGTCCGGGACAAACTTTGCTGTTATCGGCCCAGCAAAGGCAGTCTCAGTAGCTCGCTCCATGTGAATCAAAGGCTCGTGGAACTCGAGGTCGTTGCCAACCTGCTCCAGACGATCAAGGAGCGGATCAACGAGGGACGAGTGGAATGCGTTAGTGACATTGAGTCTCTTACTTTTGATAGCTGAAAATTGATGGCTATTGCTGGCAATGACCTCGGCCAGAGTATCGATGGCTGTAACAGTGCCCGACAAGGTGAAACTTCGGGGGCCATTGTAGCAGGCTATACTTGGAGGGTTATCAAGTTGTCGACCCGCATACTCTAGGAGACTTCGGACGAGCGACTCGTCGGCCTCAACCGCCATCATGCTTCCCTTATCACCACCCCAGGCATCATGCACGAGCTGTGCACGAAGAGCAACCAAGGTGAGAGCATGCTTGAGACTCAGCACGCCAGAGATACACAGCGCCGTGAGCTCGCCAAAGCTGTGGCCGACGACGCTAACGATTTTGCCGGACAGCCCACAGTCTATCCAACTTCGGGCGCTGGCATATTGCATGGCGAAAAGTGTGACTTGTAGTCGTACGGGATCGGGTAGGGGTGTGCGGGAGAATATGTCAGGAAAGATGCTCGGAAGACTCAGCTCATCTTGGACGATATTATCGCACTCATCGAGATGGTGGCGGAAGACGGTGATGCCGTCGTAGAGCTTGCGGTCGAGGCCAACAAAAGTTGAGACCTGACCCCCAAAACACAGCACAACGGGCCGTTCGGCCTGCGTGTTCATCATGTTGTGTTCAGATACACTTGAGAGTGCCTCCTGTAGCTCACTCACGGAACGACAGCGGACGAGGAATCGCTGTGGCAGGTCTGGATTACTTTGCCGGTTGATATTAAAGGATAGATCAGCCAGCGTTGACTTGGACTGGTGCTTGATGAGACCCGCGAGCTTGACGGCATATTCCTTCACGGCTCGTCCATCGAATCCAGAGATGAAGAAGGGCAGCCGTCCATCTAGTTGCCTCATGATAGATGATGCCACATCCCGACTCTCGCTGGTGCTAGTCGGTGGAGCTGCCACTACCATGGCCGCATTAGACCCTGAGGCACCATAGTTGTTGATCAGCACCACCTTGTTCCGGCTATCCCAGCTTCGAAGTGAGGTCACAATCTCCATCATATCCGAGTCAGCTGCGGCTTTAATCGTCGCGTTCAGCTTGTTAAAGCTGGCCTGTGGTGGGATATATCCTTCATGTATCATCATCAAGACCTTGATAAGTGAGATGACGCCCGACGTGCCTTCAGTATGTCCGATGTGCCCCTTGACTGAGCCCACTGGCAATGGCCGCGGCCGGATCGGACCGCCAACCGCCTTCCGTAGCGCCGCCCACTCAGCTGGGTCGCCCACGGCTGTGCCTGTACCGTGGGCTTCGACAAGCGCAATGTCTGAAGGCGACACACCTGCCTTATTAACGACGTCCCCAAACAAATGCGCCAGCGATGGCGAGTTAGGAACGAAGATGGGCGTGTGGTTCTGGTTTTGATACACGGCTGAGCTGAGCAGGCGACCAAGGATCGGGTTGCCGTCTGCTCGCGCGTCACCCATGCGTTTGAGGAAGACGCAGGCGATGCCCTCGGCACGGCAGTAGCCATCCCCCTTCTCATCAAATGGTTTGCATTGGCCGGTGGGACTCAGAAAACTCGCTGCCGTCAGGTTCTGGAACCAATGTGGGTTGGTCAGTATACAGACGCCGCCGGCCAGCGCTGCATAGCACTCGCCATTACGGAGACTGCTGCAGGCAGTGTGGATGGCGACGGCTGATGATGAACATGCCGTGTCGAAGGCTATAGCTGGGCCTGTCCAGCCAAAATGGTTTGCCACGCGTCCGGGAAGGTAGCTCTGCAAGTTGCCCGTAGCCATGAGAGCATTCAGTGGATGGGTAGCTACATTATGCTCATAGTCGACTGATGGCGAGCCAATGTACACACCAACGTGGTTCCTATCTTTGTCCTTCTGCCCAGCTCGCGTGGTCTCAGTAAAAAGGCCGGCCTGCTCAACGGCGTGGTACGCTGCTTGGAGAAGAAGACGGTGTTGGGGATCCATGGCGGCTGACTCGCGCGGGCTGCGCTTGAAGAACCTGTTGTCGAAGGCGTCGACATCCCGCACGAAGTTGCAGAAGTAATCGCGGGTGTCGGGCTCGCGGAAAAGCGAGTCAAAATTCAAGCGTTCCCGCGTTACCTTCTCGTGTTGCGTGGTGCCCTTGTGGAGGAGCTGGGAGAACTCCTCGAGGTCATCGGCGCCCGAGACTTTGATGGACATGCCGACGATGACGATGGCGTCGTCATCATCATTGAACTTGACGGAACTATGGTCCTCCTGGCTGCTGGGCTGTTCATGAACGTCGGCGAAGTGCACCGGCCGCGACCCCATGTTGCGCACAAGAGTCGGCGGCAGACATCGACCGGGGCCGAAGGTTATCACTGAAGACTCGCCGTCGTTAAGATACCTTGCCTTTAAGGCTGCAAATGTCCCGTACCAGTCGCACTGTCGCACGAACAGAGTCTCCAAAGCATGTGCATGGAGGGAGCCACCACCAGATGCAATAGGCTTGCCGTCTCCGGCGTTGGTGAAGGTCGTCAACGCCAGATGATCGGCCTCCGCAAACTGAAGGTCGTGCCTATTATTGCAAAAGGCAACAAGGTCTTGGATTTGTTTCTTGGACTGCACCTTTGGGCTGTGCAGCTCGCCTCGAAAACTTGTGTCAGATAAAACGACTCCAGCGGTACGAGCCTTTCTGGTGAACCTTGCTGCAGCTCGCTCTGAGACCGTGACCGTTGCTCGCGCCTCGTCAAATAGCAGTGAAATGTAGGCATCAGGGGAAATGCTATCGACGATGCGATGCAGGTCCTGCTGTTGTTTCACATTAGTCCATGCCACTACGTATGTCCTATGTGGGTTCCATGTGTCCTGAGCGTCACTAAGGGCGCCTGCTAGCATGGCCAGACGTACTGCTACGGCGCCGTATTTGTCGAGCTCTTCTATATTATGCGCGCTTGCGACGGCATAGTCGCCTAGTAAGCCCACACAGAACCCGACTGCAGGCGGCTTATTGGCGGTTAGAGCTACTTGAGGATCAGAGTTTCCCCCTTCGTTGCTGGCTTGCAGGTATCGACGGTACTCGGTGAGCTGTTGGAGCACAATCAACGGCACAAATGCCACGCCAGGCAGTGCGTTCCCTTGCACGCCTAGGGTTTTGTTTCCAGTGCTTTCAAGCCATGGGCCAAGGTCCTCCAGGAGCTGTCTTCTGTGGGAGCCGATGGCGTCTGTGATCTTCGGGAGTTCTTCGGCCAAGGCATCCCAATATTTCGGCAATCCTGCCAGTGTATCGAGTACCCATTGGCGAGACAACTTGTTCTGCAATGTCGTTTTGATATCATTTACTGCCTTCTCGCTGTAAGCAATTTGTGATCCGAATATCAACAAAGATTTTCTCGTGTTCTCCATTTTGGAATCGGGAGTTCTGCAAAAAAAAAAAAGGAGAAGGAATTATTATATGTTGATGTATACAAAGCAACGGCACCTTGCACTCAACTTGCTATTCGAACAAGGGAAAGCTGTTGAGGTTCCAGGGTTTATTAACTAGCAATTCCACAAATACTGGATATCCGGGCCACCTTTAATTATTCTCTTGTGGACGAGCTTTTCCTGTCGCCATCCACTACAGTGATGGATCCGAGACAAGAGATGGCTTCAGCCGAAGCGATTCCCCGGCGGGACCATTGATCTGTTACGTGACTTTTGATCCAATCCACTCACATGCACCAACCTTGCGAATTTCAGCCGCAAATGCTTTAGAGTTCATTGTCGTATATGGATAGATTCAACGAGAGAACATCAACCCATGCTAAACCAGACCATTCCTTACAGCAACTAGAAGGGCAGCCTATCCTGCCGCAACTGCCGCGTCATATCCTGATCCTCTCGAGCGTCGTCTAACGATCCTCTGGGGCATACTCTGATCCTCTATAGGTATATGCATACTACTTATGCATGCAACGTGATGACAATAGATATATGGGACCTAGTCCCATATACTATTATTACGAATTCAACAAGTCGCGCTATTCGGCCGTCCAGTACGTTCCTGGCTCGGGCGGATGGGTTGTACGCCTAACATAGTGCACTTACTTACATCCAGGTCAAGGTGATGTCGCTCATCCCTGTATCAACCAGGGCCCCTGAATTACCACAACTTCCAACAAATACCCTTCTCACATGAAGATCCTTACTGATGCACCCTCATATAGGCTACTTTCAAATTTATATTAATTTTAGCCGGTTTTCGGCATTTTTCCTCCTTTAAAGGGGTTGATGTCTACTAAACCCATTAAGGTTTTATGCCTTTATAGTTACGTTGACCAAGGTTCAAGCCAGCCGCGGGTAAGCCGTTAAACTTAGACCCGCAAAACCCGTCCGTCCGTTCCTATCTCTAAATTGACCCGCCCGTTCACACTCATCCATGTCTAGATTAATACCTAATCAAGCCCTGATTTGAGCATACGACGGGGGGGGGGGGGTGTATCGATTGATCACGACATGCCGCTGGGGCTGAGGGAGTGTAGTGGCATGGTGAGCACTGGGTTTCACGTACGTGATAGTATATGAACCGGATGGCACAACCAGGCATCATTCAAGACTGATAATGTTATACAATCCGATCCTATTGACTCTATTATATGTGCCTATAGTCCTTAGCCATGCCTCACTCAAATATGTCCCCAACTTCCAGTTCCCTGGCTGGTAACGCTCCCAAAGTTGCTATTGTTGGCGGTGGGTTGATTGGCGTTATGCTTGGTCTCGGCCTCTCGCACCGCGGTATTCCCTTTATCATCTATGAACGCGCCTCTGACTGGCATGAGATCGGAGCCGGCGTCGCGCTGACCAGTGTCGCGCTGAATAGCATGCAGCGACTACACCCAGGTGTCCTCGACGCTCTCTACCGAGTCGCCAGGCCCAATCATTTCAGCTTCTGGGACGGCTTCCATCCTCAGACCAATGAGGCAGCTCAGGCTCCCGAGGCTCTACACTTTTTACTTGATGCTCCCGGGACTGACTATTGGTGCTGTATGAGATCCCAGTTTCTCCGTGAGCTGGTGGCTCTGCTTCCTGCAGGATCTACCTTCTTCAATAAGGAACTCGAGAGATATGTCGATGATCCAAGCAGCCAACAGGTTCTTTTGCAGTTTACAGATGGAACGACAGCTGAAGCAGATGCTTGTGAGTTTCCGATTTACTCCGTATACTGGCCTAGTTGAATACTAATTCTGCAAAAGTACTTGGTTGTGATGGCATTCATTCAAGGACTCGCCAACTGCTCTTGGGAGAAGACGACCCGGCGTCACACGCCAGTTTCACCCATCAGCTAGGATACCGGGCCGTACTTCCTATTTCCGAAGCTATGAAGGTCTTAGGAGATGCCAAGGGGGGTAGCGACTTTTGCATCCATATCGGCCCAAACGCATATGTACCATCCTATCCTGTAAGTTGTATATTCAAAACCCATGTCATCCTAAGGGTTACTGATGGTTGCAAAGATGTTAGATGGGACTGAGACAGTTCTGAATATGACAACGGTCATCTACACTCCCGAACCATGGGCTCATGGTCAGAAGATGGTCGCACCGGCAACCCACGAAGAGGTAGCCAAAATATTCGAAAACTGGAGCCCACCTATCCGCGATATCATTGCCAAGTTTCCTGAGAAGCTCATGAAATGGGGCATTTTTGACATGGCTGATCACCCTGCGCCGACGTATGCCAGTGGCCGCGTTGCCATAGTTGGCGACGCTGCTCATGCCAGCACGCCATTCCTCGGCGCTGGCGGAGCAATGGGCATTGAAGATGCACTGGCAATGGCGTCCGTGATGCAGGCTGTTAGTGAAACGTCGACAAACACCACATCTATCCCAGCAGCACTACAGGCATTCAGCGCAGTCCGCCTGGAAAGGTCACAGTGGTTGGTGCAGAGCTCGCGAGAGATGGGAGTCATATTCCAATGGCGGGATCCTTCCGCCGGAAATGATGGCAGCCGATTTAAGGAAGAGGCTGAGCTGCGGACTAGCAAGGTTTGGGACTTTGATGCTGATGGCATGATTAATCAGATACGTTTGGAGTTTAATCAACGGAGAGGGGGGGTAGCATAAGGGGCCTATTTGCATATAGTGTGCTTGTCTCCTCCGTCAGGGCCCTTGCTTCGGCGATTTCTCTTTCACATAATCTGATATGTTGGGTAATAACTCCGAAGACCTTGGCCGCGCCCTGCAGGGTAGCATTGCCTTTCACTGTGTACAGATATACAAGATCATAAAGACCAGCGTAATTCGCCATGGAGCAGTACTTTGGACCGACAGGGGGGTTAGTATGGGATTTTTGCAAAGTTCAATCTCAGAGGTCCGTGGCCCCCCTGCCAAAAGCCATGGGAACCCCAGTACGGAGAAATACCGGAAGCATTTCCTACGAGTCTCCTGTGATATGCAACGACCTTCCAAACTAAGAAAATTGTACGTTATTGTATAGGATCCTGGACCATTACAGCTCCGAGTTGGCTAACAAGGATAAACAACGCAGTAACGGGGTGTGCCTTGGTACTCCTAGGCCTTCAGGGTACTACTAAATATGCGTGGAAAGGATTATCAGCTGAGAGCCGCTCCTACAGTCGATTGCCTTCAGCCTCTCCACTTCCTACAGCTAATCAGTTTAGGCGGCTCTGGCAATTGGCTACACTCCATTAGCTATAGAAGAGGTTTAGATGCTATAAAATATTGACCGACGCTGGGGGTAAAGTACCTATGCCTTTGCTTATACGCCCATTTCTGCGTCAACTGCTTCAAACATGGGAAGTGAGCCAATTGCCATCATTGGCTTGAGTTGCAAATTTTCAGGGGATGCAACGAGTCCAGAAAACCTTTGGACGTTGCTCGAAGAAGGGCGCAGTACATGGAGCGAGATTCCGTTGTCACGGTTCAATTTCAAAGGGGCCTACCATCCAAGCCGTGAGAAGCTGAGAACTGTTGGTAGTTACCTCAGAAACTCCTCGAAACATGTAAGGCTAATGAACGGAGTAGTCACATATTCGCGGTGGGCACTTTTTGAATCAGGATTTAGGGCTATTTGACGCTGCCTTCTTTAACTTCTCTACAGAGACTGCCGCGGTAAGAACACCATCTCTGCCCCCATAAAGTGAAATTTTGACTGACAAGATGCGTATAGTCCCTAGATCCTCAATTCAGGCTCCAATTAGAGTCGGTTTATGAGGCTCTAGAGAATGGTATGTTTCTCTCTCTTTAACTCTCGAGTCATAGAGTCCCTCCTTTCCTTATCATTTGCTAACATGGCAGTCAATGCACAGCTGGCCTTCCACTATCTCAAGTTGAAGGTTCCAAAACTTCCGTGTTTGCTGGCACATTCTTTCATGACTATAGGGATGCCTTGATCCGTGATGAGGATAATCTGCCGAGATCATTCATCACGGGCATTGGCTCTGCCATGGCATCCAACCGCATATCCCACTTTTTTGACCTTCGGGGGCCTAGCATGACGATTGATACTGGATGCTCAACAACTCTTGTGGCACTTCACCAAGCGGTAGAGAACTTAAGAAGCAGGGGAAGCGAGATTAGTATCGTGTGCGGCGCTAATGTGCTCCTGAACCCTGACAATTTCAAAGCTCTGGGATCCTTTGGGTAAGGGTGCTCTATCCTCCTTGGATCCATGACCTCACTAACTCCTGTAGCTTTCTATCACCTGATGGTAAATGCTTTGCCTTTGATGAACGTGCCAACGGCTACGGACGCGGGGAGGGCGTGGCTACCATCATTATCAAACGCCTTAAAGATGCGCTTGCGGCTGGAGATCCAATCCGTGCCATTATCCGGGAGTCGGTCCTGAATCAAGATGGCAAGACTGAGACACTGACTTCACCCAGTAAGGAAGCTCAAGAGGCTCTCATGCAAGACTGCTATGCCAAAGCTGGTCTTGAACCCATCCAGACACAGTATTTCGAAGCCCACGGCACAGGTACTGCTACTGGTGATCCAATTGAGGTGGGGGCTATTGCGTCCGTATTTCAGAGCCACAGGCGGGCAGACGAAAAAGCCTTACGTATTGGCTCAGTCAAGACAAACCTTGGCCATACTGAAGCTACGAGTGGGCTAGCTAGTGTTATTAAGGTTGTTCTGGCAATGGAGAAAGCCGTGCTTCCACCCTCGATCAATTTCGAGAAACCCAACCCCAAGTTAGCCTTGGATAATTGGAAATTGAAGGTGGTTACTGAGCTGGAAAAATGGCCAATGACTCCAGGACAGCCGATGCGGGCGTCTGTGAACAATTTCGGTTATGGAGGCTCCAATGCCCATATCATTATGGAAGACGCCAGTGGATGCTCACAGCACCAATCTATCAATGATAACGTCAATAGCGAGGTCAATGAAAATATTAACACCACTAGTGAGCAGTATAAGCTCCTACTCCTCAGTGCCAAAGACGAACATGCGCATGAGAACATGGTAGCCAGACTCACGGCTTTCCTCCGCCAGAAGGAACAAATACAGCATGGTTTACAAGACACCGATACTTTTCTCCAGAGCTTGGTGTACACTTTGGGGCAGCGCCGCACTATATTCTCCTGGATATCAGCATACCCCGTTCCTATATCTCAAGGGTTTGACGGTGTCTCCAAAGCTCTAGAATCGCCCAAGTTCAAACCCTCGCGGTCTTCCCAAGAACGCCCACGTATCGGCATGGTATTCACTGGCCAAGGATCGCAATGGTACGCCATGGGTAAAGAGTTAATCACAGCGTACCCCGTATTCAAACAATCTCTCGAGGAAGCAGATGGCTACCTGCGAGACCTTGGTGCCGACTGGTCACTAATGGAGGAGCTTGGCCGTGATGCCGCGACAAGCAGAGTTAACCAAACAGCATTTAGCATCCCCATTTGTGCTGCTTTGCAAATCTCGCTGGTCAGGTTATTGGAGACTTGGGGAGTTACACCGGCGGCTGTAACAAGCCACTCGAGTGGAGAGATTGCTGCAGCATATACGGTAGGCGCCATCAGTTTCTACTACGCCATGGGGGTCGCGTATTATAGGAGCAGACTAGCCGCCGAAATGACGCTAGGTGGTCCTATTAAGGGTGGTATGCTGGCAGTTGGCCTTGGCTATGTGGACGTGGAACAGTATTTAGATTGGCTAACTTGCGATGCTCGAGCTGTGGTAGCTTGTATCAACAGTCCTTCTAGCACGACGGTGGCGGGCGACATTGCAGCAATTGAAGAACTCGAGACGTTGCTCAAAGCTGAGGAAATTTTTGCTCGCCGACTCCGAGTAGACACTGCATACCATTCCCACCATATGGAGCCCGTTGCAGAAAACTACCGCCAGGCACTTCTCAAAATGTTTAGCAAAGAAGAACCAAAGGCTAGACGCTTAGAATCCACCGCTTTCGCATCTCCTGTTACTGGATACCGTATGACCAGCACTCAAGAAATCGCAGACCCGGAGCACTGGGTTGACAGTCTAATGCAGCTTGTCCAGTTCGTTGACGCATTCATCGAAATGGTTCAAGGCGACTTGTCTGTCGACGCAACTACCAACAGCATCGATGTCATTGTTGAGGTTGGTCCACACACAGCTCTTGGAGGCCCTATTCATGAGATACTCGCTATGGAAGACTTTGATGGAGCCCGCATACCGTATTACGGTAGCCTTGTGCGGCACGTTGACGCAGTCGAGAGCCTCCAGACGCTGGCTTCGAACTTGCTTAGGGAGGGCTATCCACTTAATATTGAAGCCATTAATTTCCCGCAAAGGAAAAGTGAGAACATCTGTGTTTTGACTGACCTCCCTTCGTACCCTTGGAACCATCGGACAAGACACTGGCTTGAACCACGGTTCAATCTGGGCCTTCGCCAGAGGGAGCATCGCCCACATGAGCTCCTTGGTTCGCTAGTCCCAGGGACCAACCCCGAAGCACCGGTATGGCGACACATCCTACGAGTTACCGAGTCGCCCTGGATTCAAGACCACGTCATCCAATCCCAAATGCTCTATCCCGGCTGCGGGTTTATATGCCTGGCGATTGAGGCCGCCACGCAACAACTATTTATCACTGAAGAACAAGAGGCTCGTGAGGTATCTGGATACCGAATTCGAGAGATGAGTGTGCATCAGGCGCTCATAATTCCAGAGACAGCTGAAGGTATTGAAATGCAAATATCTCTTCGTCCAGTCAGCGACAAGCACACTAGCTCGCAAGGCTGGAAGGAGTTCGAGGTCCATTCCGTCACGCCAGAGAACAGATGGATGCGGCATGCACAGGGTCTCGTTATGGTTGAATTCGGTAAGGTTAAAACCGACACCATTTTCTTGGGCCAAGAAATACAACATGCCCGGCATTTTGATGCGACCGATATGTGGAGTACCCTGGAATCTCTAGGGGTCAAATACGGTCCGACGTTCAGGAACATTAGCAGCATTTGCCAGTCAAAGAAAGAACTTCAGTCAACAAGCACAATCACTGTGCCTGATACATTTGTGCCTAACGGCTTACCTCAAAACCACGTCATCCACCCTGCCACACTCGACGCTGTCGCGCAAGCCGCCTTCACCGCGCTTCCTGGCGCTGCTTTCCACCAAGCAAGCCCTCGAGTTTTCCAGTCAATTGAAAAACTCTGGATCTCGAGTAGAATCAGCCACGAGACAGGTCAGGTGTTTCGATGTCATACAAAACTAGACTATGCAGATGTTCAAGGCATAAGGGCAGGTGTTGTACTTGTTGACGAAGATGGACCTGTGGTGGAGGTGCATGAGCTTCAGCTACACTCCCTGGGTGGAAATGGGACACAGACTTCTCAGGGGAAGCTCTGTGCCAAAGTAGTTTGGGAGCGCGATTTTGATTTGAACCTTCACTCGGGCATCGCCTTGCCCACAGGCGAAGGTGAGGGCCTCCAGCGACTTTCCTTCTGTTCTATGGGAGATGCTCCAGCCGACATCCTCCGCAGTCAAAAGGAACCCCTAGATCTCATGAACGAAGGTAGCCCTCACGAGAAATGGTCATCCTCCAACCACGACAACGATGGTGTTGTGGAAGGAGCCGCGCTACTCCACCAAATCGTACATAAGCGCCCTAGTGCGCGGGTCCTTGAAGTTGGCGCGCGGCTAGACGGCCCGACCCGCGCCCTGCTAGACGCGCTAAGCTCCCTTGGCTCTTTGTACCACTTCACCAGCGCCTCGGACGATGACATTAAGGATGCCGAACAGGAGTTAGCCGCATGGTGCGATATCCTTATGTTTGACACGCTTGACGTTGACAAGGATCCATCATCACAAGGGTTTGAACTGGGCAGCTACGACTTTGTGATTGCATCTAGAATTGTGCAACCGTCGATCCAAATCTTGACAAACTTGCAGACCCTTATAAAGCCTGGTGGTAAGCTGCTGATTGTCCAGACGCCTTGCCGTAAGCTTGATAGACAGCTTTTACCTGGTGTTCTTCCTGACAAGGAGGGAAATCTGCCCTCAAGCGTTGCCCAGTGGGATCGGCTTCTCAAAAATGCGGGCTTCAGCGAGACAATACATCAGGCCAATACAATTATATCGATAGCTCCGCTAATTGATTTGGTCCCGCTTCCTCGCTCCGACAATATCATTCTTGTCATTAGTGACAATACAGGCGCCCCTCCACCACGATGGCTTGAAGCTCTGCGGTACTCCATCTCTACATTGGAGCGTGACACAGAGCCTACCCCTCTACCTGACGTATATTCCCTCGAGTCTATATCAGCGGTATCGTATAGTGGCAAAATATGCGTACTTTTGGCCGAAATCAATCAGCCAATTCTCCGTGACATGGACTCCATAGTCTTCGAGTCCATTAAAGCCATGACCACTGCGTGCAAAGGTCTTCTTTGGGTGACGCGTGGTGGTTATGTCGATTGTGAGAACCCCAACCTCGGCCTTGCAGCAGGGTTCCTTCGAACTGCAAGGAGCGAATATCTTGGTCGGCCGTATATAACACTGGATCTCGACCCTGCTGTATCTCCCTGGTCAGGAAATGACGTTCAAGCGATTGTGCAATTGTTGAAAGTGAGCTTCGACGGTTCCTCGCCCGGCGAGTTCGAGTACGCCATGCGAGATGGCGTGTTTCAAATACCCCGTTTGCTCGATGATGAGCTCAATAATCGCCTGGTCTCGCCTGACGGTGCTACAGCCATAGGCCCCATCACGCTGGCGTCGCTAGCTCAAGCAGGCCGAGCTTTAAGCTTACAAGTTGGTGTTCCCGGCCGACTTGAAACTCTCTCATTTACGGAAGATGCATCGCTTTCGGATACACGCGAGCTCTCTCCTGAAATGGTTAAGATCGAGGCTCGTGCCTACGGCATCAATACCCACGATATCATGGTCGCCACTGGCCAGATACGTAACGAGTTTATGGGGCTCGAGTGCGCCGGTATCATTACCCGCGTAGGAGCTGAAGCTGCCGCGCAAGGCTATGCCATCGGTGATAACGTCTTTGGTCTACTGCCGTGCGGACAATTTGGCAGCACCACGCGTACACCCTGGACAAATATTATGCAGATGCCTCCGAGCCTCAGCTTTGAAGAAGCTGCTTCGCTCCCTGTCGCTTACTGTACAGCGTATATCTGCTTTACAGACCTTGTGCGTCTGCAGCGCGACCAGAAAATTCTCATCCATGCGGCCGCAGGCAGTGTAGGGCAGGCAGCTATCATGATGGCTCGTCTGATAGGTGCGGAGGTCTTTGTTACTGCTGAAACTTCTGAGGAACGTGAGTTGATGCTACACAGATATAGTATATCAGAAAATCACCTCTTCAGCAGTCAGGATACATCGTTTGTGTTAGGTGTGCTTACCGCGACCCATGGTTGCGGCGTCGACATTATCATTAACTCCCTATCTGGACCACATCTCCAAAAAGATTTTAATGCACTCTCTCCGTTAGGTCATATTGTTGACATCAGCCAACATGGTCATGGGGTCAATAATAACCATCTGGAAATGCGATCCTCAGATCATCCGGCATCCTTCTCAACATTCTCACTACTTGCTTTAGCCAAGCATCATCCACGTCAGTTGCATCTCGCTATGGTCGAAATTACCCGGCTCCTTGGAGAACACAAGCTGTCGCCGGCCTATCCCCTCACATCCTATTCCATAAGAGATGTTTCAGAAGCATTCCGTCATCTACACACAGAGAGCCACGTCGGCAAAGTCGTCTTATCCATTGGACCGGACGTGAAGGTCCCGATGCTACCACGATGGCAAACTCCGAAGTTCTCACCGGATGCATCTTACCTTCTAGTTGGTGGCGTGGGCGGCATTGGCTGCTCTATTGCACGTTGGATGGCTGATCAAGGGGCCAGGCATGTCATTATCTTATCAAGGAGCGCGGGCCAGAGCGAGAAGGCTGCTACACTTGTTGACGAACTCATCCAAGTGGGTTGCCGCCTCAAGGCTGTGAGTTGTAATGTCTCAAGCCGAAGTGACCTTGCAGATTCTCTGCACCAATGTTACAAAGACGGCCTACCGCCCATTCGCGGTGTCATACAAGGTGCTATGGTACTGAAGGTAAGTCACACAATTTGTAGACCTATATCTATCGTTACCGTTGCTGATAAAACTGCCTAGGATACATTGCTAGAACGAATGACGCTTGCTGATTTCCAAACCGTCATCCAGCCTAAAGTCCATGGCACATGGAACCTCCACACCCAGTTTGCAGAGACAGATTCTCTGGACTTCTTTGTGATGCTTTCCTCAGCTGTTGCTGTCGCTGGTAATGCCAGCCAGGCTAATTATGCTGCGGCCGGGTCATACCAGGATGGGCTAGCTCGCTGGCGAGTGTCACAAAGTCTCCCCGGTGTCTCCATCAACCTTGGAGCGGTCAAAAGCATCGGGGTTGCTGCCAATACGGGCGTGTTGGGTCACTTGCAGAAAATGGGTTACTCGCCCATTCACGAAGAGCAGGTCCTCTCGGTACTCGGAACTGCCATTCTCCATCCGTATGACCCACAGGTTGTGGTCGGGCTCGACTCTCGTCCTGGCTCCCATTGGGATGCCACAGGCGAATCCCAGCTCGGACGCGATTTGAGGTTTGCAGCCCTGAAACCCCGGGAGGCCGATAGTGTAGGGGACCTGAACTCAGCAGGAAACTCCAACTCACTCGCGAGCAAGCTCGCTACAGCGGAGTCAATGGAGCAAGCTGTCGACCATGTTGGCATTGCTATTGCGGAGAAGATCTCAGGCATATTCATGATTCCTCTCGATGATGTCAACTTGACCAACAAGCCAGCATATTACGGAGTCGACTCGCTTGTCGCGGTTGAGCTTCGCAATATGCTCGTTCAGCAAGCGGCCGCCGAAGTGTCTATCTTTGATATAATGCAGAGCACTTCCTTAGCTGCACTGGCGGCGACTATTGCTAGTAAAAGCGCATATATCAGCAAATAAAGCTAGATTCCTCTTCATCCCTTTAAAGGAGACAGCGGCTCTAAGGGTAACTCTCTAAAAGCTTACTTACTAGTCTCCGTGATATCGATTTCTCAGTCATTGGCATACCATTAAGCCAATAAAATACCTTTGTATCGAATAATCCAACCTATCTAGAGATCCTTCACAAGACTTTGGTCTACTTTACCACATAGCTAGAGCAGCTCCTTTGATGTCAACGGCTAATTCACGTCTGAACAATGTATATCGCAAGTAAAACATCGCCCATAGGTTTTGCCACCCCTAAGGATAATCAACCATATATTCTCAAGGGAAGTCTCTAACTTTGATCTAAATTACGAACTTTTACCCAGTTTGCCTTTGCTAATATATTTATATGGCAGTGGTTTCGTGGGTTGCTAAGAAGGGGCCCTCAGATCTTAGTAAAGAGTTGTATAGTGGGGTTGGAAGGGCGTTGAATTCAGAGCTCAAAGATCGTCAATGTTGAGTAGCAACCAACAGCTTTTCATCCACTCCTGAAATCTCAAGGTTCCAATGCCTTTGTACATGCCTCTGTAGGTTGGGTGGTAGACTTGACACTGTCACAGCCAAAGGTTATGAACTATTGCAGTGGGAGGATTACCAGAGTTATATCAGGCTCGGAGGACGAGGATGAAGGATGGAACTAGCTGAGGCTGAGCATTGCATTTTGGTAGTTAGAGCCTCAGCCACCAATACGTCGACGCTATAAATAGTTATACGTAGTATCTCCGTCCCTCTGCATCTTCTTCGAAGTCTGAGAAACTACCCACAGTCCCAAAAGGCCCAAAGTCTCAACGTTATATCTCACGCAGCCTAATAAGCAAATCCAAAACTGTTTTGGATTTTTCCATCCAGCTACCATGGATGCTAGAGTCCAGGAATACCATAATAATACACTTCACCTCCCGCGGATTCTCTGCTTACACGGTGGCGGGACTAACGCACGCATTTTCAAGATGCAGTGTCGTGTGGTCTCCCATATGCTAGAGCCATACTTCCGACTTGTTTATGTTGAAGCGCCATTCAATTCAATGCCGGGGCCGGATGTCCTCTCGGTGTACGCAGCCTACGGCCCGTTCAAGCGATGGTTCCCAGAGGACAATGAAGTCAAGGATAGAGTGGCAATCGAAGCTATCGATAAATCTATAAAGTCCACCATGATAGAAGATGATAGGCTGGGTGCGACAGGTATATGGGTGGGATTGCTGGGTTTCAGTCAAGGGGCGAAGCTGGCCGCAAGCTTGCTTTTCCGACAGCAAGTCCGAGTCGAGAAACTGGGGCTAGCGCAGGCTGGCTCTGAATGGAAGTTTGCCGTATTGATGGCCGGACGAGCGCCTATAGTGTCCCTTGACCCGGACGTTTTCAGCTCCTCTATGTTGGGCAACCTGTCACAAATCAGTTTGTCAGGACCTCCAGAATTAAGAGATATTATGAAAAAAGAACAGGTCCTCAAGCTACCCACCATACATGTCCATGGGCTGGCAGACCCGGGCCTTCACCTACACCGTGAGCTTCTCGAGAACTACTGTAGCGTCGACAGCGCCCGGGTTTTGGAGTGGGATGGCGCGCATCGGGTGCCGCTAAAAAGCACTGATGTGAGTCCTCTCGTTGAGGAGATTCTGGATCTAGCAAAGAATGTTAGGGCGATATGAAACTCGGAGTAGCTGAGGTCGCTGGAAGGAAAACGCTTGTGGTGCGCGTTATGAATTGACACCGCACGAGGATCACCTTTCAAAACGTATAACGTTAAAGTAAAAGTTTAAAAGAGTCATTATCGGTATAAATTTTAGTTCAAACTTCATAAATATCTAAGTTCGGGGGCTTTAAAGTGTTAAAATAGTGACGGGCTACGGGCCGAGCCGAAAGACTAACCCTAAACTCTCAACCAGCGATCCATATTTAAATCCAAGTTGAATGTATTCTCACTTCCATCGAGAGTAAACTTTTCCGTTAAACTAGACCCGAATACATGTAGGGGACTCTTAACTTTTCTAGGAAAGTATATAAGCCAAGCTCAGTAGGGTTTTATTTTTTATACTAACTATCGAGGAGAAACGAAAAAAAAAATCAGAAAACAATCAATGACCGTGACGACCCTCAATTAGATCTCTTGCAGCGACTTTCCGGCATTCCTCTAAGACCTTCAATTGCCCAGCCACCTCGCCCAGTCTGCTAAGAACCTCCTTATTCCCCCGCGCAAAACCAAATATTACGTATGGAATTCCCACTTCGTCACAAAACTCCTTCACGTACTTTTGTGCTCGTCGCAAATTATGCCTTGGGAGACGAGGGAACAAGTGGTGCACGACTTGGAACTGGAGACCGCCGTGTATAAAGTCTAGCCAGGGTGGGGAATCAACGTCCATCGTCGTCCGCACCATCTTCTGAGCAAACGACTCGTGGACGCCTAGGTCGGCACTTGACATGGCAAAGTGACTAAGCGTGAGTTGTACATGCAACGGGGCAGTAACCATGTGCGAAACGAGCAGAAACGCGATACGAGACAACCACGTCGGGATTGAGAGATACAGCGTGCGGTAGCCGAACCAGTACCAGAAAAACACTTGACCAGCCATTTCAAGGTAGCGATGCCACCATGCTCTGCCTTTGCGGGGCGATTGCGCTGGATCCAGTAGGTATAACCATGACAGACGGTACAAATTAAAACGTCCCATTAAGAGTAAGGGATAGTAGAGGTAATGCTGGTACTTGACAAGAATCCGTGCAGCAGCGTCAAAATGCATATCGTGGCCGTAGTAGGTTGAGTGTAGAGAACTAAAGAACCGAGGAGATATGGCAAAAAAAGGTATGTGCTGGATGTCAGGATCGTGCTCGGGCGAGTTGGTTGCTATATGATGCACGTTGTGATTCCGCTTCCACCAACCGACTGAAAGTCCTCCAAGGAAGTCTGCAACGAAAATCCCGATGCAGCTGTCTATGTGGAAAACATGTGTTATGCTTATATGGCCGGCATCGTGAACGGTAAATGCAAGTAGGTGCCAGAGCAACCCGAGGAAAATACTCGAAAGAAAATAATAGGAGTGGTGAAGAGTAGTTCTGAATAGTACGAAAAGAACAGAGTATCGGATGAATTCGACTGCGTAGGAACTATAGTGGCACTGGTAGAGTCCTTCGGACTGCAGTTTTTTATCGAGCTCGCGGTACTTTGAGGCGACCTCGTCTTGCGATCTTTTATCAAGACTAGGATATTTTGAGAGATCAGATGATACCGCATGGGCTGTCGATGCTTTAGATTCGAATGGGCCCAGCTCTGGCTCCGATGAAAATAAGGACGAAGCTCGAGAAATAGGTGTCTCATTGCCTATACGTCTCAAGCGAACTTCGTTTCCCAGATCTTCGGTATCGGTATCGAAGACTGTCGATGGTGGTGTCGACTTTCCAGATGAGCTGACATCTTCTTCGGTGGATAGTGCTTCATCGTCGATGGCGTCCTCTGATGCCAGCGTCCTGAATGTTCCTCCCTGTATCGGAGGCAGGAAGTTTTCCCATCTCCCGTGTACTTTTCCTATCACATACTTCTGCATAAGTACCTGTGCTTCCTCCGAGTGCAATGCTGTGATCTCGTCCGTCGCATCACGCCCGACCATGTGCAATATTGATTTATTGCCTCCTGGGTGATATGGTATCCAGACATCAGTCTTTATTACCAGATCACCCAGTATGACTATCTTTCGCCCATCTGCTATCAATCCCTCGATTTCCCTCCGAGACCACACGCGGTCTTTGCTCGACACCGCTGGCGCCATAGTACAATGGCGGTCTGTAACGTTGTAATTGTTGTAATTGGAGTTTGGCTTCAAATCCTGAGCAGATAATGATTATAGATGCCCAAAGTCGGACGGAAAGTGGATGAGTGAACCTTGGGAGCGCCTATCACATGCATTTATAAATGACTTTAATGCTAGCACGATCAATTGACGTCTGGTGGTGCTGCGCGTTTGGCGAGGTCAAGGAGGACGAGGAACAAGAGCAAGTACCTGAAAACTTGCCCGTTGTTTGTGGGCCCTTAGATCTACTCCGCGGGGGAACAGGGCCCAAACACCCGCAATATGGAAAGGGGCGGAGTTCAGAACAGAGATTTGGGATCTGGGGTGAGTGAGACATCAGACCAATGCAAGGCTTGCATATGCCCATCTGTACGTTTTTTCCGCCGGCCACCCATCTAATTTCTTGGACGGTGCAAGGTTCTCTCGATGATGCTGGTAATGTCGCAGGCAGCAACGTAAATTACGTAGTTACAACAAAGACAACCATACGCACATTGGCCATCTAACCTGGCACGCCAATCAACGCTGGACTAGCGCTGGAGAACACGCAAACGGTTGTAAAGGCGCCATGATATTTGCACTGGTCGTATTGACGGACTCTGCGGCATGCATGGTAGGGGTAGAAAAGGGGTGAACGAGATATTAGAACCATAATCTAGCTCTGTATGATACTAAATATAAACGAGTGAATTAACACCTACCTGATTTTTATCAGTAATGACATTCAATTATATCAATCCTATAAATGCATAGCTATTTAAATTGGAGTGGGATATGCTAGCTTTTTTTGAGCCCCAGAGAACCATAGTCGCTGCCAGAGCTGTGTATGGATAGTGGATCGGGGTCTTTTGCAAATTGTGAAAGTGCCACCGCAAGGGCAGGCCCAATACCTGAGGTGACCTGTCATAATATCCTTGGGCGCTTCGGGGTAACTGTATTCCGACAGGGTAGTCAAGCCTAGGAGCTCGGCAAAAGTTAACACGAAGTAGACAGGAACTTGCACCCAGACACTTATATCGTATGATATGCTCCCGCAAGCTGTTGACTAGGTAAAGGATCAATAGCTTACATCGCTTGAAAGGCCTTGAGGCCTCTTCTTGTCTCTAAGACGAATCGATCATCCCATGGCACATGCGTTCCGCGCTTTTCAACTTGGATTAATGGTTTTGTCTCGTCAGGTCGGGACCGATTTTGTGCCGAGAGCTGGTGTACACGATAACCTTTTCTGATTATGGCAGGACGTTACCTTTTGATACCAGTTTGACTTAATAACATCCATCGGCACCACGCCTATGAGACTATCGTCACATACTATTTGTTAATGTCATTACTCACCGAACGACCTTCCCGTATAATTCGATTAAGGAAATAGAGACCTAAAAGGATATAATAACATGAGGTATCTAGCCTAAAAGCCTATTATTTCAAGGTAGGTTGCGGCGATCTCATAGAGACCCTCAATATTGATGAACCTTCTAATCGTTTATTAGCTCCGCACTTCTCTGAGTTGTCGCTAAGCGAGGAGTAGTTATTTCTTACCAGTAGAAGGCATTATGTATGTACTGCAGGGTCAACTTTCAATTTGTAATCACTCTTTCGCCGTTTCTGCGAACCTTGACGATTATACCTAGTCCTAAGAGGGCGATTGACAGAGCCAACCCAGAAAGCTTAGCCGTGTCTTGCGTCACCGACGGAAGTGACGTGATGAAGAGTACCAAATACCCACGAAGGTTCAAGCTGTTTATTATGAAGTCATCCTATACACTGAATATTAAGGGGCTGATTCTGATAATGGAGTGGCGATGGTGCTCTTATGGCTGTTTAGTATATAACCTTCTATACAAGACGTACTGGTTTCTCCTGTCATAACTAGCAACGCATGCTGGTAGCTAATAACATACCCCATGGGATCGCGACGGCATCGAAGGTGAGGCGTTCTGCAGCTTCAACCATTTTGGCTACCTAAATAATGGATAGCACAGAACCAGCAACATGCGTTAGAGTATTGATATATACAGCGGTTGCTTTACGCGCAGTCGTACTCCATAGGCGATTTTTACCTGTTATTTGACTGACAAGGACTGGAGAGGGGCACTTTGGGTATCGATATTATTAATAAAATGGAGTTAGCTCTTATCTTCTTCGGGTCAGATATTGAAATCTTCCTAGGAAAGTATCAAGACCACTAGGAGCAATAAAGTTTGACAGACGCATAAAAATATATAGCATATAGAGCAGGGTAGAGCGAGTTATCTATAGTAAGAGAAGTCAAGGTACCAGGGAGGGGTAAAACGCAGCAAGTATCTGTTGATATCTAAATATATCTAATAAGATATGGATAGAGAAAAGAGGGATGCTTTTTGCGATATAGTTTATATTCGGAGTAAATCGGAGTTAAGCGAGCACGCGATAGTTAGCAACTCAAAAAAGTGGAGAAAAGTGTAACCCTATTCTAACTACTCCGTATCCCCAAAAGATAATCGTTCGCATATAAATTATTTAAACACGCCAATAATTGATACAATTGTACCATCTCTATTGAACACGGTGGAATAACAAACTAATATTACTAAGTCCGAGATTCTACCAGGAAAGTGTGTCCCTAGCCCATTATCGACGAGTCACAATAACATCAACCCGGAGAAGGAGAGGGGGAGGTATGGCCGGACATCGCCCACCGTGTAAGTATGGATTTATAACCTGATCTTTATGCAAGGCAAAAGCTAGGCACCTTGGGGAATAGAAGTGCCATTAAAGCTGGCATATACATATTAAACCATAAATATCAGCCGCCATTGACTCCCTGGTCCCTGTCGATCGCCAGTCAACTCTCATACGCATGGGGCCCCGCTACAATATCTAGCCACATTTGCATATTACATTGGATCTAGCAATATCGGTTGGTAATATCAGCTGCCACCTATGCCAACAGCTGGCTGGGTACCTCACTGCTCACTGGCTGTTTCTTTACAAACATTTGGGCGGGGGGTACGGGGTCTCAGCTGCCGGGGAGGTATTCCATATTCATGCTTCATTTGTTATTCAACAATGGCTCTCATTTAAATGGTTACTTTCGGGTAGGCCCAATAATTTCCAAAGGCCCCGAACACTAGTTACTCGCTCGTCTTTTTTTCTTAGCAACAGGTTCGATACGTGTTTGGCCAGCAGGTGGCAACCCTGCTATATATGACACCTACCATAGGATACCTCCTCGTTCAAGCCAGGATTTCCCATTTTGAGTCATATAACCCAACCACCGTCTCGATTGATTGTGAAGTTGGCCTCACCCTCCAACCCGATCAAGGCAACTTTATCCTAGTATATGGAGGCTCCCGTAATTGATTTGACCAGGGCAATCTGCAGCTAGCCCAAACAGGCCCTCCAGTTACCTTCTTGGTCACGAATACAGTAAGTGATAATTGGCTCTATATAAATCCGAACTAAACCCATCATAAATATGTAAAAATTTGAATACGACTGAAGAAACTATATTGAGGTATACTTCCTAGACTGTTTATTTCTTTGTGATAAAGTGTACTCTTCATTGCTCATGACGCTCACACATGTCTACCAGGAAAATATATGAAAACCAGCAGAAGATGTTCCTTGAAAAGAAAAGCAATGGGACATTCGCCTCTGAAGATTTCTTTGTTCATACTAAAGCAGTGTTAAGCTCTCCTTGGTGGGGCTTGACCGCCTTGGGACCTGCTACATAGTCAAAATGGCCAAGGCCATTGAGGAAGCTAACATGCTGAGGCCCTTCACCCATAAATCCAGCCCCATTAAGGAAATTATGAGGAAAGCCAAGGTCAAACTCGTAGGCCTTGTTAATCTCTGCAATATCTTCAGGGGTAAGCTCTAGAGCTAGGGCCTCGACATTTGCCTTGAGATTCTCGACATTGTTGCCTCCAACCATTGGGAAAATATATGGCGCCTATGGCAACGAAATAATTAGTTTACATAGTACTAGAACGGTATGAATAGATAGTAGAATACCTTCTGCATAGCATATGAGAGGGCAACAGCAGTAATAGGAGCGTTATGGCGCTTTGCAATAACGTCTAAGACAGCGGATACTTTTTCTTCACGGCCAGTCATGACGTGGGGGGTTTGGCGGCCTCCAAACTTTGGAGGGGCATCGGGTGATCTGATATATCCTATATACGGCTGTAAGTATGAACGAACACCTAGAGGAGGCAGACATATAAAAGTACATACCGCTACCAAGCACACCCCAAGGGTGTATAGCCATGCCTTCGTCGCGGCACATGGGAATAATATCACGCTCCAAATCGCGCACCAACGCAGAGTAGCGACCCTGGTAAACAGAGAATGGCCGTAGGCCATTTTCGCGAGCGTAGGCATTGGCCTTCGATACCACCCAGGCAGGGGTGTCACTAATACCTAGGTATAACACTTTACCCTGACGGACCAGGTTGTTAAGGGATTGCAATAACTCTGGGATCTGAGTTGCATAGTCCCAAGCATGGACGTAGTACTTTAAGAGATTAGTATTCACATTTTATAGTAAAGGAGGGGGGGAATAAGCATACAATATCAATGTAGCTGGTCTGGAGATTCTTGAGACTCATCTCAAGTGCGATATTCATGCTCTTGGTGCCAGTTCCACCATAATTGCTCAGTTGCACTGGCTTACCAGCCATTGGGCTCAAGGTATATTTGATAGCAATGACCATCTCATCGCGGTGGCCAGATTTTTGAAGCCATTCACCAATCCAGACTTCGCTCTGGCCACCTTAGTATGCATTAGCGGTATCAATAAAGTTCCCTCCAAGGTCATAGTAGGTATCCAGGAGCTCAAAGGCCGTCTCCTTGGAGCATTCGCCCATCATTCCCTTCCAGGTGTCACCCAAGCCTGCCCAGGGTCAGCCATATGTAGTGATAGTTGCTACCCTTTAGCGCGAGGTATCATGACTTACTCATGCCGCCTAGGGAGATTGGGCTAACACGGACAGACGCCGTTGGGGCAAGGAGGCGGTGCCTGCCCAAGAGGCTCTTGGGTGGGGGAGCAGCGCGGCCGGCCATTGTGTTTGGTGTTTGTTCTTGGGCATTTGTGTCTTCGGTTAGGGGCTTTGGGGATGGTTCGGTCGTTCGCGTTGAAATTTCGAGGAATTTGAGCGAGATGTCCCGGGTTTCTATATTTCCAATCATGTCTCTATATTTCCAATCATGTCTGGCTAAGTCCTGTATCCCCATTAACTCCAGTTGCCTAAGTCCCTAATGTCCGATATTGAGCATGGCCCCAGCCATCGAACACCAGCTTTTGCGAACAGGCAGGGGGGGTTAACGCCTACAATCCTAGCCTTTCATCGCTCCCCGAGATGCATGCAGGCGACATAGCGCACATCTCAGCCCCGTCGGTTGGGGGTTGTGTCGAGGTCAAGGGAAGGCTGATGTTGATAGCAAGACAAAGCAAAAACTGCTTCCCAGCTTAGCTCTCAGTTGCGCCTCCGCACGCATACACACACATGGAGGCCTCAAGTAGCGCGCCTCCCTCGTTATTGTAGGACTTCGCTAAGTGACCCGCTGTGGAACAGTATAGCAGGGGTTGAAGCCCACGGAAGTCTACTTTGGCTGTGTAATTTACTATTACACTGATATAACTAGGCTGGGGCGCAGATATTGTACCCAGATAACGTTACTTAGTCTGGAGGAGTAGTTATCATTGTTATTCATCAGTGATCTGATAGTATCTAGGGTTTGGCATCATTCCTTTGTCGTTGCACCGTGTTCTGTAGAGACGCCATAATCCCGCTTCTCCTGATACTAACTTGTTGTTACCCCTGGCAGAGTTGCAGCTAAATGTCACACATCGTCTCTACATAACTTTATAATACATGGGACTACATAGTAGGGATGTACCCTGTCCTGTGTTTATTCCGCCACATTCGAGTGGACGAGCCTTCCCCGAGATCGTCGCCATCCATGTACTCCATACTGTCACTATATACGTGGGGGTGGAAAAGAATAGGACGGGCCTCAACCAAAAATGATCGTTCATATTGTAGTCTCGACTACTTAACTAAACATAGAAAAAGCCGGAGAGATACAGCCTGTCGGAAGAGTAACCACATAGGTGATATTATTGATGATATCGAGCTGTAAGAGCTCGGGGTAAAAACCCTGATGAGGCGTACGGCCAACATCTAACTAAGCACTAACTAATTTAACACTTTTATACCCTAGTTTTAAGATGTATTCCACGATAAAACCCTGTCACTTATCATGTTCAGTACATACGACCACAGGAAGTGGAAAACAGAGCTTCCCGTCCGCTCAGCTGTACTTAAGCCACTTGCCGGTCGGTTAGTAGTTGGGTGGGTGACCACCAGCGAATCCCGACTGTCGTATGTTTTTGTTTTTGCTCTTTTGATATTTTTGTGCGCTGAATGCCTTAATTTCACCCGGAGCTGTCTCTCATGAATTTATGAAGTGTTGTATATCAATACATAAGACGAGACAAGATTGCCAAACTCTTCTTTTGCTTATTTAAAACGAATCAAAGTCCTTCAGCTTGTATATTTTTTGAGCTTCAATGTCCAAAACACCAAGCGATAAAGATGTATTCACACATCTATCCTCTCGCCCTGACGACCTACTAGGACCCATGGTCACAATCGATGAACCTGCAAAACCATCAACTCTCGACCGCCGCCCTAGATCATCCCTAGGCCTTCTAGATCCTTTACCTCTCGAGGTTTTACACAATAGTTTACATATATTGGATTTCCAGTCTCTATCTCGTCTCTCGCGTGTGTCCCAGCGAGGTAGAGCCATAGTTGAGTCGCTACCGATTTACCGCGATCTCATAAAATATATACCAGATACCCTTGGCCTATAACCAGTCCTTCTGGGCACTCCCTCTTTCAAAAGCTCAGACAATCTACAGGATCCCGACACGCGAGCTTAAAAAGCTCCCTATAATAAAAAGTATCCCTGGCGTTTATAAAACACGGGAGATTAAATGATAATGTCCGAAGCTCATTTCTATCTTTGCCGCGGCACAACTTACGATTCCCGGCTCGATGCTAATATTAGATATCAACATTATAACCCCTGATATGCCTAGTTGGAAAATATTGCCCAATTGGCTGCAGAATGAGCACTCCGCTACAGTCCAAGAGCACTTAGACAGTTTCACTGAACCGTTGACCGGCCTCCCCGCTCATGCACTGGATGATATGGTCTCTCGGGCAGGATTGAGGGCGGTATATTTCGGACGCTCGAGGCGAGAAGCTTGCGCGTTATGTTAAAGAGCGAGTTTCTAACGCACGTTGTGGTGTGTTACGGCGCCGGCCAACTTCTCTCTACCCTTGATATTGGGACGTGGAGTTAATGACTCGTGGTCGGATTCGGAAGTTGGATTAAAGCATTGCATAACTGCCGGAACGGAAAGTTGTTCATATCATGGGCATATGGCTGCGAAACGGGAATAAGTATATAGAGGATTGGGTCCCGTTAGATGAAAAAAGGATGGAAGACTGAGTAAATAGGCTATGGATGCCGGGAAAGAGGGTCAAGACACTTGACACCAGACATATTAAGCCTCTCTTCATGGATCAGACAGGCCTCTCGAGTGTTCGGGTGTGTGTTGAGAAGTTTTTAAAGAAAGCTCCAAGCTTATTTTCATTATCAACAATGCGACTGTGAGGTGGAGTGAAAAAAACTTCTCAGGGAAATGTCAGCTCACTATTTTGATCGTTATTAGTGATGATTCGGAACGTCAGGACCGTGACAAATCTAGATATAATACTACTAATATAGTAATTATAGATAGGATAGCGCGTAGATTCCAATAATTTATACATTAGTTATCTATTTCTACCGATTTCTATACTGAAGGCTCCTTTTATTGAATTCTATCATCACGTGGTGGATATCACGAACTTTTGGACCCAAGACAACGATGTGCACAGAGTAGAGCCAGGTCGCGTCTCACTTGGCCCTCAGCCTTCGCGTGGTAACCACTAGTTACAGCTGATGAGGTCCTGTCACGCAGCTATCGAGAAAACTCGAGTTCACGGGCTCCGCCGTCGAGCCGGTTTGTTTTATGGGTTTCACGAAGATATGCTCTGTATTAAGGAATTCTTGGGTTAGATTTCAGGTTGGAATCATTGCGTGAGCTGAGTCTTCAAGGAATTGCTAGAACTTATGTCGCTAACAATTCTTTTGAGAAGGCACCAGATACAACCCGTGGTTGGCGTAACCAGGAAGATACAGCAATTTCATACCTCGCGTACTGCCAATGCGCCTCCAGACCCTGCCTGGAATGACAATGAAGACTTTTTTCGCTTTACGCGCTCCAGATTTCTTTGCGATGAGGCAGCGGAGTTATCTCGCCGATATGTCAAATTTGATGTTGAGCAGCTTGCAAAGATATCGGCTGAAGTCTCTGGCCCTGGAACGCGTCGATATGTGAAAGTCGAAAAGCTAGCAGATGGCTTGTATAACAAGGCTTTGCTCCTAACCATGGATGATGGTATCCAGGTAATTGGCAAGGTCCCGAACCCGAATGCTGGAATGCCACATTTTACCACTGCTTCAGAGGTGGCGACAATGGACTTTGTAAGCAGTCTACCGACATATATAGCCATACATGATCTCCTGACAAGTCATTAGGCAAGGAATATACTCGGGACACCGGCTCCTAAGGTTCTCGGTTGGAGTTCCAGGACGGATAACCCCGTTGGAGTAGAGTACGTGATTATGGAAAAGATGCCAGGAGTGCAACTGGAAACATTATGGAATAAGCTTGATGTTGAGGTGAAGGTAAATATTGTAAAAGAAATAGCAGGATATCAACGATACTGGACCTTGACATCCTTTGCCCAGTATGGAGGGCTTTACTACAAGCAAGATCTTTCTAACGCCACAAGCTTAGTATATACGAACAAGGATGGAGAGCAGGTAACTGATGACCGTTTTGCTGTTGGGCCTTCAACAAGCAGACAAAATACTGATGATGGGAGGATGGACGTCAGCTTTGACAGAGGTCCATGTGAGTTTTGCTGGCAGAAATATAAGCAATGGCATGATCTGTTAGCTAATAATTCGATGCGTTTGTAGGGACAAATGCGAAAGATTACGCAAAGGCTGCTGGCTACAGAGAAATGGCATGCATTGCCCAAATATCGCAACTCCCAAAGTCTCCCATAGGTCTCTACGGGCCCCAAACATACCGGCCGTCAAAGGAAAAGAAAATCAAGGCACTTCAGGCGTATATGGAGATTGTCGAGCACTTGCTTCCTGGCGACAAATCTATTCAGACATCCCATCTGTGGCACAATGACCTCCACGCGGAGAATATTTTCGTCAATCCAGAAAATCCATCAGAGATATGTGGCCTTATAGATTGGCAAACAACCGAATTGGCGCCTTTGTACGATCACACGATTGAACCTTATTTTCTCGATTATCAAGGACCACGTATGAACGGGGGCTTGCTAACGCGCCCTGACCTCGAGGAGGTCCAAAAGTTATTCGAGGATGACACAGAGCTTACACCAGCGGAAAAAAAGAGAAAAGCCGAATCTCTCTTTTGGAGAATGGCCCTCGTTTCACTATGGAGATATACTATCCATATGGGAATCGAGCCACTATTCCGTGCCCTTGAGTTTCGTGGAACGGTGAACTTCACACTGCTCGTGTTTGCTCGAAATCTCTTCCTTAATGGAGAAGCTGCTTATCTTGCTATTTTGGCAGAACAATACCGGAATAACTGGCTAGATATTCCTGGTATGCGGAGCAGTTCAAATAAGGGCTTTCCATACGAATTTACACCGGAAGAACTAAAGGATATTGACTTCGATTGTGAAGGTGCCACGAATGGTATTAATATCATGCAGGATGTTAAAGAGGCGGTTGGATCGCATTTCTTTCGAGTTGATGGCACTGTGGATCACGAGGACTATGAAGTGGCTAAAGAGTACATCCGATTGACTAAGGGAGACTTTATGTCGAAATACCCCGAGAGTGATGAAGAACGCAGGGAATGGGAAGCTGCGTGGCCGTTCGATGACTGAATATATTTATTGTCATACAAGTATAGTCTTGTATCTAACCACATTTGCCTCCGGTGCAGCTGAAGAGCCTAGTGAATAGCGGCTGAAGTATGCATGGCGTAGTGACCATTGTTTCGGTCGAAGTGAATGGATTGGCGAATTGTGCTCTTTATAAGACACGGCAACCCGAATGGAGCACACTGGATAGTGTCAGATATCTATCGTCAGGTTACAAAACTTCGACCCGGTTATCATTGCACCCTCGTCTGTATTGGCTCTTTGACATTTACTCCGCACCCCTTCAGGCAATTCCCGTTTTTGAAGAGATGAGTCGTTCAAGGACTACGGAGCTCCATAGAAATTATAATAGGCACACAATTCGAGGTCAGAGTCAAAGAGAGACTCTACGATTCGTTGTCTACATACGGAGTACTTTCAATTGTTTACGAACAAGTATATTAAAAAAAGAACGGTCTATTAATAGTTAAACGGATAGGGTTGAGTTCGGGTTTTAAACTTAGCGAGAGGCCCGATCCGCTGTCCTATTTTAACTAGCTGGTTACAATAGCCGAAGAGAAGATTGTTGAGAGCCAAAAGAAAAGAAAAATTCCCGTGGCGCGCTCTTTGCATTTCAATTCCTACCACATATGAAAGTCGGGTTGAGGATGAACTGCCCGCTGAGATGATACCCATGAGAAGCTCAGATCCATGACTCAACACCGGCGTCGTCATCAGAATCATCCTCAGACTCAATCGTTGGGCCAGTGGGTTCAGGAACACGCTGTGTAGGACCTTCGTTCTTAGGAATGCGACCGCCCTATAATCCCTCTTATCAGCTATGTCCAAAGCGAAACTTATAGGCCGGAACCGATCAATGGAAGGGGGCCCGAACTTACTGTGATCTTTGCGAAGTTGGAGTTTCTCTTCGTCGCGGGAGGACCACGCCGTCTAGAGGCAATGTTCCAGCTAGTCGATTCAGACTGCTCCCCAACAGACTGGGTGATAGGAACAGCAGTACGTGCGTGTGGGATACCCTGATTATCATAGGCGACGTATTCTATACCTTCCTCGCCACTAGGATCAACGCTGGGAGGAGGATGCTGGCGGCCTTGTTCAATCCACACGCCTCCCATAGACAGTGCATCTTCCTGATCAATGCGAGTAGTCTGGGTGCGGGCTCTGGAGGCCGTGTCGTCTCCGTCCATGAGGTTGCGAACACGAGCACCTTCATTCACAGAGAGGGTATGAAACGACGAGAGGGTCTGATCGTTCAATTCGCTCTAGATGGCAGGTTAGCAGGTGGCTAGCTATGTGCCAAAGGTAGATAGAAGTACCTGATACGCGGTGGTGGATTCGAAGGTGGTCTCTCCATCATCTAACTCTTTGATGACTTCGGCAATCGGCTCCGCGTCAAGGTGGTCTTGAATGCAGTTCTTGCATCGCTATTACATATCTGATATCAGCGAACAAAACCAACAGCAAAAACAATAGTTATATTTGACATGGATCACTCAATCTTACCGCGGTATCTGGGGAGCTACGCTGGTTTTTGCTGAAGAACTCCAACGACTTCGTCTTATCGCAGATGCTACAAGTGAGCTCCACGGTCTGATGACTGACGCAGGAACGACAGCCTGCATAGCCTGGCCGAGAAATACCAGTGACGCCTGTATTGTACGCCATCGCCTTGCGAAGTTCATCGAGCTGACGCTTGGAGAACTTGTTTGCGTTGCAGATCTTGCCGCAGAACTTGCACAGTATCCTATCCATAATGTTAGAGTCCTGTACAGTCGATTCAAGGGGCCGTAGACCTGGATGACTTACTTCTCGGGCAAGGCGACTCGGTCGAGCCTGTGATGCAGTTGGATCAGTGACACCGTATCCTCGTCTCTTCATCACAAACCTCGACTTACTTGTTTTTGTGCTCGTCGTAGTCGAAGCCGCCGGTCTTCTTCCACTGGAAGCCGTGTTTCCCCATGATAGGGGCTGGATGCTGTACGCTCTTCGAAGCTGTCAGGAATGTAGTATCTGCTGTCTGGTGTCTGGCCTCTCTGGTGAGTGAACTGGGGAGAGATAAAAACGAGAGAAGACAGTAATATAAAGAAGAGAGAATAAGATATTCACTGTCTCTAGTGTCGCTTAGTCGCCAGCATGGAGGACGAGGTGGGTTAACCTCCAGTTGTTGGATAGGAGAATGACTTCCTCTCGACGTTGAAAGGACATCTAGATATCATTCTATCTGGATCTGGAGAGTGAGAGCAGCCCGTTTGTCCAATGCATGAGACAAGTATTCTCCTCTCTTTGATCTCCCAGGCCCGTTTGCATTTTCCAGATATTCCAAATAGTTCATTGGACGTATTAAACAGACATGACTCTAATGAAAACTGGCTGAGGTTATAGAATGTCTCCTATACCAAGATATTTTTGATGGCATGCTAATATCCATATTTGGAATGTCTACACCTGCACATAAGTGTATGGGAGTTAAACCACGCGGCACTATACGGTTGATTGCATATCGATAACTAGCAGAGTCCATGCAGATATTCATATAACTTCACCATGGTCTTCCTCTAGCCAGAGAATAGTCAGAAACCAGCCACTGCATCCTCTTGATCAAGCTGCAGTGCTGCACAAGCAAGTCACTTTCACTGGAAGAGGGTGGACAGACTAATTGATAATCAATGTGTCAAGATGGAAATAAATCAGTTGGAGAAAGAAGCGGCACAGCATGATCCAACTGGACATATATAACTTGTGCGCTGATTGGATATCTTGATACTGCATATGCATGTATCTACCAGCAGAATAGATGACGGATATTCAGGATAAGATATTAAGGTATCATATATCCTGTATTGATGTCTGGAAAGATTCAACAAAAGAACACCAGAATTTCAAGTCAGAATAACGAGGTACAAACTAATCTCTGGTAGATCCGGCCACAGTTTCGCCGTTGCCAGTTCGCCGAAAAGCTGCATGGGATGCCTCGGCCCACGGTTCTCCTAGAGAGGGAAAAATAAGACAAAGAGCAGAGTAGCGAAGCAACCTGCTCTGTCTTGCCCACTACGCGCATAACTTCAGGGGCGATTGACGGCCAACCCCGTTGGTGTGATACACGTGTTGGCCATGAAACATTTCATCTCTCACTGCGCCTTTTCATTGAAGCCCGAGGCTACGGCTGGGATGAGAAACAAACCCATGCTAGCTATAGTCCGCCTGTTATAGATGGATGAGTTGTTGTCTGATATATATCCCGCACCCCGGATTGGAGTGCCCCTTTCCTAGGTCTTCTGTCTGGTTTCTGACACTGTTGAACCGGCATCTTTGCTGCTTGCCCACTGGGTCTGGCTGAACGAGACAATAATTGTATGGTGGATGCTACGCCGAAGTGCGTCTCACCCTTTCCGAAGAGATGTCTGATGGGGTGGGTATCGTGTAGTAATAGCATCTAACGGGAGAGGAGAAGGGTCAATGGTATGGGAATTTGATTCAGAATGCTATGTTGAAGTCCCAGGATGGCGTCCATCACAATTGACACATGATGAAGCAACTCTTCGCTTCAATTGACAATTACGGAGCTGTCCTATCCCCACGGAATGTTGATATTACATCATAGATATAAAAATTGAATCTCAGCACCAACAGCATTCTGGCAATGCATTGTAACGAACCATGATAATTCATACGACATCTTGGGCAATTACTATGTCGCCATACTCTACATGCTCCGTACATTACCCCCCCTTCGTTTAACAACTATAGGGCGTTCTATAAAGTGACCTTGGATAACTATGTGTCTATTGATGCAGGGTGAAAACCCCCGAGTTGCTTCTACTCCTTAAACCCCGCAGCTAGAATGTTGAACAAATATTACCAAGTAAATCTCTGTCTGTTATCAGACGTGTATTGTTATGAACGAAGCAGATATTTCAGGTCTGTATATCAAGAAAGTTCAAAAGCATGCTGCCTCTATCCCTAAAAAGCCGAGATTCCGCATCTTTTCGCATAATACAACAGCCTGCAGACAACCGACCACTCATCATCCTCAAATACATCAACCGCTCTACACGCGATCAAGGATATATGCATCTTCCGCCTATCGCGCCAGGCTGACATTCAGGCAGCGATGAAGCAACAGTACTGGAACCGGTCAACTTCCATTGCATCCCCTGCCATCTTATCCATCGAGCATTGGTCAACCATTGTCCTCCTACGGCTGATGCATAGCAATTCCGACCATCCATGAACCAATTGGCCCGTAACAGCAATTCTATCCGGATATCTCGCTATGTTTAAAAAGATAATTCGCCAAACCACTCTGGCAAAGCCGGTATTCTGCAATGCATCGAGCCAGCAGACGTCGAAGAGACTCCCTTCTCCTCATTTCCAGCATGCAGGCTGAGCGCGATCTTTGCTAATCCTTCGAGAAAAGGCAAACGGGGATCCATGCGGCCCGCATCCGCGAAAAAGCACATTTACCAGGCACAGACAAGAGAGGCACGCCGTCTGTATCTATGTACGTTCGATGGCTGTAAAATGCCGCTTGCAGCATAGACATACCAGCCCATATCAACATTGTTGGCGTTGGCAGCTCACGGAGACAGGACGGACGGTAGATCAGCAATCGATCTATCACGCACGCTCCACAGCAGCAGCCACCGAGCAATCGACCATTCGGATGCTGTATCAAGACAACACGGACTCAGACACAGACACGCCCATCAGAGGTGTGGAAGATAAAGAGAGAAAGATGCCAAAAAAGGGCCACATGACTCGTCCGCTATCGTGCAGATGAACGTCGAGTCTAGTGAAAGTATCGCTCCTTAGTTGCTGCGCTAACTAGTTATTTACTATGGCTGCAGCGAGTTCTCTCTCCCCGCTGCAGAGCCAGCGCCAGTGCCATCGCAGTGGTAAGATACACAGATCCAGCGGTATGATGTTTTATTTCCAGTTCCAGTCAGCTACCTTTGTTCCCAACTAATTAGCTCGTTTTAGTGTGCAGAGCTAAGGGAGCATTTGGGACGCGATGTCTGCAATCGCCGCCCCTGATGTCAATAAGCCTTCCATAGTATTGCGTGACCCCAAACAGCGTTGACCGCAGAGCACGGAGTACTCCGCAATTTGGAGTCAGAGCCAAATGTCTGATTCCGGTTGATAGGAGGCGTCTGTACGGAGCACAGGGCGACTCTGCCTCCACGCACGCAACACCGCCCTTGCCAATAATCTCTTGCCATAGCTCCTTCAATTCCATAGACGGCGGCCAAGGAGGTAAATCCCTGCCTAACCAGACCTCCCGTCGCCGTATGAGCTGATTCTGCTGTCCATCTTCATCTTTCTTCTCCGTATGATGTAGATCTAGCCGTGGCTCTGGTCCCCACCGGCCCTCGGCATTCGATACAAGTATTGTTAATTTGGGCACTTAATAGTTGACCAAAGCTCGCGTGATGGATAGCACAAAGGGATCAAATACGGCCGTATCTAACTCTGTTAGCCAAGATAGTATACGGCTGTTAGACCGTTCTCTGTGCGGCCTTTAGCTCAGTAGTACCGCCGGATTTAGTCAGTCCATCAGAGGATGAATGCCATCAAAGCCCGGTATATGATTTTAAATTTGAGCCAGATCCGGTGTCATGGACTCCTGTATAGTAGGTCCTACCGTCTGGAGCCGTGGTGCTAGCGTTGACATTAACATATTCGATTCAAAGCCAAAACGGACACTCTGCATATTCACTATTTTCTGTTGGTCAGAATAATTCTGGTGACATGATTCGGCATCCAACGAGCGTAAGGGTATCAAGTGGAGCTGATGGGATATCCTATGCAGAGCTACATTTGGTTTGTCCAAGCGAGGCGGGCGGTTAATGAAGAATTCCCGGAAGAAAGCTGTGATTTGTGGTCATCATGCATAATGAATGCATAGACTTCTGACCAGCCCAGAGCGAGTACAGATGTCCAGTTGGTCAATATAGCAAGGGTAACTATACGCATCACCATGGCGATTTCCTCTCCTTGTCTTTTCCCTTGAATTTGGCTGTGATAATTCCACCTCTCTTCCTCGGCAACGCTGTCAGAAATTTCATGACCGTAGTAGAGTGTGGATATCTACTAGGGTTATGCAACTCCAGGTGTCGTAATCCTCAGTGTTGGCTGGGTATCATCGCTGCCAGTGAGAAATGAATTCAAGAAAACCTGCCCTCCCACCAACGACTCCTTGGAATATATCCAGGATCCATGGTGTCCGAGGGACACTGTATGGACACTGTATTGAAAGAGCCAGACAAATAGGCCGATACAGGTCTCCATTTCATTGATTCAGTGTCACAAATGGCCCGTATATCTCATCTCACATGTAAACACAATATTGTTTTCTCTTCTCGCGCCTATTTTCAAAACGAATCCCCGCGATTCACTAGGACGCCGTATCTCAGGCTCTAGTGGTTATAGGCTCCTAGAATGTGTCAGGGTTCCCGTCGGACAAGGTATCTGATATGATGATGACGAGAAGTTCAACGGGCGAACGGTTCGTTGTGAAGCAAGGGTTTCCTACCTCGGAGACGCCGTTTGGGCGTCAAGTTGAACTTCTTCGTCGCCTTGAGTGGCCAGGGTGAAAAAGTTAGAAACATGCTGTTGCCTTGGGGATGGTATATTTACCCAGGAATTAATAGTGACATTATGGTCCTTTATGATTCTTTTTAATTTGATATACTCCGCAGATTTCTGAGTTTTCTCGGACGCGTATAATCTATTCTAAACATAGCAGCTTTGGAATATATACGAGATATATCGGTAATGAATTGTTACCTCGCAGATAGTAGCCCGAAATGATAGTAAATGCGAAGACATGTACCTGTCTTAGCTTTCGATGTCTCGACGCTGGCCAACAGGAATACATCAGAGTATACTCCGTAACTCACGAACTTGACTGCTACTCACCTCTGAACGACACGCTCGCCACATTCCAAAGAATGAAGCTATATTAAAGACCACAGGAGTTGATCTACACGACTATAGACTTTACACAGAGTTCCGCTCCTACCAACCGTCGCAGGTACACTCTTCAGACCAGCACTGGCGGATGTGATGACCCCTGAGCACTGGCGACTGGAGAAACGCCCTCCGCGAGCTTGATTGATACAAGCGTATAGCAGCCCTGCAGCGCAGCAAGGAAGTACGTGTTCCTTATCTGCACGGCGTCGTCCAAGGTGCAGGCTCGCTGTATCTAGGCTTGTTGCTGCTCTGGATCGATTGCCAGCGCGTTACATTACAATGCGCTGCACGTCCTAGCACACCCGCCACCAGACTGCAGAAGTGGGCAGATCAGTCGACGGATACGCTGCATTGCTGCATTGCTTGCATGATGCTGGGGTTACCTGGGGCGATGTGAAACCAGCCAACGTTCTGGCTGATTCTGACAATGGTTTATCGATTATTGATTTTTTGGGAGGAGGGTATACTCCGTACTCGAGACTGGGTCGAGCGGGAGAAGGCCGGAACAATTCAAGGCGATAAACAAGATCTATAGAGGGTTCAGGATTTTCTTCTGCCGCTGTGATTTACTTTGTGTTCCGTACCTTGCGGGGAAAAGGTACTACAGTATAAGCACAGCGCCGGGTGGAAGCTATCAATAGGGATATCAAATATCACGAACTCCCACGCGGTACTTCGACACGGATCTCAGGGTATATTCCAGAAGCTCGACGCGCTCCCATTACGTATTCCAAACATCTCTCTCTACCATGGGTAGCAACGATCGGGTACGGAGGGAGTGCTCCGTACCATATCAATGAACCAGCAACTACCGACGGCTCGACCCCAGGATAACGAAAAAGAAAAAAAAGGAGAGGAAAAGCAAAGAAGGTGAGGAAGAGGCGTCGGGTGGCCATGAGACTATCATCACCACCCGTCCGATCGATCTTCCTTCCCCACTGCTGGACTACTGTTTCCATGTCCTACCATGCTATGATGGATTGTTCTGTTCACCGATATCTGAGCACACGACGGGCTCCATACTCCGTCCGGCAAAAGCTACTAAGCTTCTGAGTTCTGCTAGTTAGTTACCGACAGGCCACGGATGCTCCGTTGGGATGGCGATGGCAGGGCTTGAGAGCGGTGTACCCGGCAACGTATACGGAGACTGGTGAAGCAACCCAAGCCGGAGGAAGTTATATTAGCTGTTTACGGTGGGAAGTAAGTAAACAGACCGCTTAACACACCGACCTCCCCCTACCAGTGCGGTGGATGGGATGTGGATGCAGACTGCCTTAGGGCAACGCTACGAGAGGAAAATACGTACAATCGGATTCACTCCACCAGTTCCTCCTGTCCATCCATATCCGGTCTATCAGGTCAACCCAGCCGTAAGTCCCTGGTCCTTAGTATGAATATCCCTCTTTACCCATTCTAGTGCGAATAACCCTTCTGTAATATGATTCTTAGTGTGCGTGTGTGTCTGTTTCGTGCAGTTTTCAAAAGAATGAAACCTGCAAAATTACATCCCACAAAACTAAGTTCGATCCGGTTCTCCTTTTTCTTTTTGTGTTCGTCGACTCACTCTTGACTGTCTCTCATTCTTATGTCATTAGAGGCCGGCCTGGGGCTGGGATGCGAACTGGGGCCGCAGTGCTGGGTTAGGCTGTGCTGGGCTGGTGGTGGCTTGTACGGGCTGGAAATAGCAACGCACAATCAAGCAAGAATCGACGACAGGAATCCGGTAGATGGGGAGGGAGAGAGGGAGAGAGCTCCGTCTGCAGCAGGGGCAGGCAACAAAGAGGTATCGTGTGTGTCTCATGTCGTTTCAACGGTATACGAAATTACTGACGCAGCATCCAATCTCTCTGCGAGGCCCACGACCACGACCACGACCACGACCTCGGACCAGCGAACGAGGAGGAGAAGAAAGATGGACGGGAGGAAGGGAGGAAGCGAAGCCTTCCCTCCCGGATCTCCACCGTCCCATCGTCGCTCGTTCGTTACAGCTAAGCCAGCTAGTTGCAGCTCGGCCAGGCCACGCCGTTACCAGGCAGAACGAGTCCTTGCCCAGGGTTCTGACAAGGGCCTTGACAAGCCCTGACAAGCCCATGTCCTGTCTCGTGTGGCTTCTTTTCCATCTTTTTCGGCGGCCCGGATTGGTGCAAATAGTCTTTCTTGCAACAGGCTAAGGAGGTAAGATTAATAAGAGCGTGTTGTTATATATCCATTTCTCGCGCCTCCACTTGGGCTTTGGATAAGCGGGATACAGTTTCGATAGAGATGGGTCCAGAATGAATCGAGCAAGGGGAGAAAAAGCAACGGCCGGAGGGTTGAATAAGATTATTAGCCACCCAGGACGCGGACGGGCAGGAGGGTGGATGGAGGGACGAGCAACGAGACGAGATCTGTCACACGGCCAGGTCTGGAGAATGTGATGTGATGTGATATCTCGAGCTTCGGAGGTCAGGTCAGAGGCTGGTAAATTCCGGGTCAGGAGTCAGGTTGATATCGTGGTTGATCGTGTGGTTTGATGCAGATGTGCCTGACTACTCCCCCCTTCCCCCGTTCTTCAGGCCGCACCCGTACCCAGCGAAGTATAAGAGGATGGTTGGAGACGACGGCCAGGTAGGGCATCCTACTCGCTGCTCTGCTTCTCTCTCGGTGCACTGCTTCGTGGAGGGCGCTGAGAGGCCTTCGTCCGATCCGACGGTAAGGATAAGGGATGTCCAACGGCTCAAGCCTCATCGTAGCCACTGGTAATTAGCTTCCCTAGCTGTCTACATACGAAGTTACGGACCACGATCGGCCGTTCTCTGTCTATGTACTCCGTAGATGTCGTCTGTAGATGTCGTAGTCTGTAGATAGTCTGTAGAGATGGGAATATCCATCAACATCACCATCACCATAACATCAACATCAACCCAACACCACGGAGTAGACACCATCTACGAGTATCCGTACCAGCAGAAGAGCTTCATAATAGAAGAAGAAATAAGGGTTTTTCTTTTTTTCTTTTCTAGCGTGGGCAAAAGTGCCTGTATCTGTATTACGGATACGTGCTTTCAGGGGCTTCCTCCCTTCCGCTCCCGCCGCGCTGGACTGGCCCTCCCCCTTCGCATCTTCGTCTTTCTCCATCTTGAGTACACCAGTCGCTTCTCTTTCTCTTCTTCTCTCTTCCTGTCGCTCGCTTCTTCACTCTCGCTCCGTCTTCCCTCTTCCTCTTCTTCCTCCCCCGCGACATGTCTCTTCTCCCTCCGCAAACACCCAATTACACCTTCTCGTCGTAAACATCAACAAAAAAAAAACACCCCCTAGAGGACATCTACATAACGCGTACACCGATATAGAAGATATACACCGACATGCTCTGCTAGCTCCATTGACCGTTGACATTCCTCTGACCGTCTGCGTGCCGGCTCGCCTGAGCTTCCTATAGAATAGTTCTGCTGGCAGACACCCTCCCGCGCCGCACTCGCACGCAGCACGCAGCTTCACAGCACTGAAAATGACGCTGGATATGGCGTCGTTGGAGGACCGGTTCCAGGTCCTCAAGGAGGTCGGCGATGGCAGCTTTGGAAGCGTGGCTCTCGCTCGAGTGCGCACCGCTGGTTCAAACGTTGCCCGTCGAGGGACCATGGTAACATCCCGCCGTTCCTGTTCCTGACCCAGATAAAATTTATATACAGTCAAAGGGAGGGTTAATACTAACGGTCTCGCAGGTGGCTATCAAGACGATGAAGAAGACGTACAACTCGTTCACAGAGTGTCTGGATCTACGAGAAGTTGTCTTCCTTCGCTCCCTGCCGCAGCACCCTCACCTAGTCCCAGCATACGATATCTTCCTCGACCCGGGCACGAAGAAACTACACATCTGCATGGAGTACATGGACGGGAACCTCTACCAGCTTATGAAGGCGCGAGACCATAAACCGCTGGATGCAAAGACAGTCAAGTCGATTCTATTTCAGATCCTGTCGGGGCTGGACCACATACACGCCCACCAGTTCTTCCACCGAGACATCAAGCCTGAAAACATCCTCGTGTCGAGCAACACTTCGCTAGATGCTTCATCGTCTACCTTCAGCCGGTACTCGCACCTAGTCACGCCTCCGTCTACGCCCTCGAACTATACGGTAAAGATCGCAGATTTCGGCCTGGCGAGGGAAACACACTCGAAACGACCGTATACGAACTACGTCTCGACACGATGGTATCGAGCTCCGGAGGTGTTGCTGAGAGCTGGTGCGTATTCCGCGCCAGTCGATATGTGGGCTGTCGGTGCCATGGCCGTTGAGATCGCGACCTTGAAGCCTCTCTTCCCTGGTGGGAATGAAGTTGATCAGGTTTGGAGGGTATGCGAGATCATGGGATCGCCTGGCAACTGGTACAGCAAGAACGGAGCAAGAGTTGGCGGAGGTGAATGGAGAGAGGGCATCAAACTTGCCCAACGACTAGGATTCTCGTTCCCAAAGGTGAGTCTCTTTACGCGTCGAAATAACCCGATGTACGATGTATGCTAATGAATGTAGATGGCTCCCCACGCTCTCGAAACCATCCTTCCAACCACCCACTGGCCGCTCGCCCTCAGCCAGTTTGTAACATGGTGTCTGATGTGGGACCCCAAAACCCGTCCTACATCTACTCAGGCCCTCAACCACGAATACTTCACCGACGCCGTCGATCCACTACGACCCAAGTCATCTACCGCCCGCCTCCTTGGTCGCCGACAGAGCGACAAGAGCTTCAAGACCAAGGAACTAGACACGCCAACTCCAACTCTTGTCTCGAAGCCATCATGGTTTAGACGCTCGATAATAGGAGCCAGCGGACGGGAGAGTCCCGCCCTTGTCGTTCCCGTGCTGGAGAACAATGATGAATCAATGGCGGAACAAGCTACCATGGTCAAGGTCAGCCCAGAGGTAGCAGTGCAGGTACAGGTGAAGACAAAAGCGAAACGCGCAACCTGGGCAAACGGTGCTCCCATGCCTATCCTGCCTTCCATACGGCCAGTATCACCACTTTCCAACGCCGTTACTGCCCAGGGTAACTCCCATGCAAACAATACCACTACTCCAGCCCGAAAACCTTCAAACCCAACCACCACCCAGCCACCACCCAACGCAGCAGCGTCCAAAAAGGTATCTCGCCAGCTCTCCGTCAACAGCAACGGAAACCATTACGCGGATATCCACCGTGCCGAAGCAGAGCGTGCCCTCAACGGATCCACGGCGACGACACCGACACAAAAGGAAAGCTTCTTCTCACACCTCAGGAAACGCGCTCGTCGCTTATCTGGTAGGAATCAGACCAGCATCCCCGCTGATGATGTGGAGGCGAATGCAGCTAGTGCCGCATGGTCTGGGGCGCCATCTAACCGATCGAGTATGGCAATCGACCCTATCACCACTAGTCCAATTTCGAAACAGACGGCGAAGGGGAAAGGCAAAAATGGATTTGCCGATCTTGACAAGGCGTTGCAGGATGTGAAGTATTCGCTGGACAAGGGTAACAGCAACCCACAGCAGAGTACAAGCCAGATCCCTTCCCCTGCCCAAAGTACCGGCGCAGGTGCGGGTACTACTCAGAGTCCCGCAGGCCCAATATCAAGTCGCACCCGACGTGCCCTGCAACTCTCCACCCGTCCCGTACAGCGGTACGAAACACCAGAGGAAGAAGATGAACTCCTCCAGGAGGTACTATACTCTACTTCCAACGCTGCGAGACATTTGATGGCCGATCAGCCACCTAGCGATGAACACGTCTACCACCGTCAGCAGCAACAGCACCACCAGCAGCAGCAACAACAACAACAGCAGCAACAGGCAAATCCATATTCATACCCAGACACAGACGCGGACACGCCAATGCATAATACTCCCTCGATACGCACGGTAGATAACAGCTGTCGCGCAGGCCATAACCCGTACCCTACCCCATCTCCTACCGCGAGACGTGACGGAATGGGTATGAACATGGGTATGAACATGGGCATGGGTCTATCGCTGACTCCTGACGAAACGCCATCGAAACCAATGGCCAAGGGATTTGTCAACAGCAATGTAGGGAACCGACAAGGCCCCACGCCGCCGTACGATGATAATCAATGGCCTAGCGCTGTTGGTGTAGGTGGCTTTCGATAGACATTGTCTAATCATCAATTCGACCTAATGGATACACACTGAAAACTACCAGTCGCCACCACATTCACAACGTATCCAACCATCATTCACTCCTTTCGTTTGTTCTATCTCATCCATACCATCTTTCGCTATTACTACCCATCTTTTTTTTTCTTATTTGCATTTTCACTCGACATTTATCCCTTGATTTTTCATTCATACCTTCGTCATTCATATACACATACATACATAGAGGTTTGGGGCCGGTCATGTTATCTTTATCCGCTTTCCTTCGGTTTTTCCTCATCGTTTTTACCTTTCGTTTCTTAGCGATCATAGCTGATTTGCTCTTCTTCTCGTCGTCCTCTTTATTTTCTCCATGGGACTTGACTTGATTTGATCTTCTTTATACCCCCTTTTTTTTTCCTTTCCTTTGATTTGATCTAGATCCCGGTTCGATCCCAGCTGGTCTTGCGATTTCTTTACCATCAATACCTACTCTACTTACTTACGTTTGCGGTCTATATGTCGTCGTGCTATCTATCAGATATCCGTCCATCTACACAACCGCTTTACGCATATTATTTATTAATATTTTAATCCCCCCCTTGTTGATATTCAGCTATTTCTACTCCCTCGTTCCGGTACAGGGAAAGGCAGGTGGTTGACTTCTGTTTGCATGCATGCATTCGCTTTTCTTTCTTTTATACATACTTGGTCTTTGTTCTGCGACTGGACCATGCACTGCTCCCAGCCTCAGCCTACGCTGTGCCCACCCTGCCTATACATGGCTATATATCATTTTCCTTACGTCTGATTGTGTTTTCTGTTATAATATTTATACTGTACATTCATTCATTATGCACGTCCCTCCCCATTTTTCTTTTATCCTTGCTTTGTTTTCTTGTTTCATGCACATAGACAGCACAGCACAGCACATCACAGCAAAAACACACGTCACCAAATTCCGCCCAAAGAAACAACAAAGAGGTGCCACACACTACACCATGCCTTACTTACTCTGTTTTCAAAAGCCTGTTGTCCTCGTTTCCTGTTTTCACTCTGTATACAATCCCATTTTGTCTGGCAGCAGGGCTGGTTGGGTTTGGGAATGGCTCTACGTTGTTTGTTGATTTTTCGGTTTCGGCTCAGGCTCTGGCTTAGGGCTTACCCTGTACTTATACAAATACGGAGCACTATGTTTTTAATTTTGACATTATATCCTATCACATATTACATAAATATTTAATACTTTACCTTGTCGTTCTTTGCCGCTCGTCTTCGGGTTCGGCGCTTAGCTCCTCGTACATGCAACTATAGTGGCGTATTCAGTAGGTATAATACCTCCACAGAGGCAGGGTATAGCATTGTTTTCCCGCCTGCTGCCCTGCATTGAATAAATTAAGCGCTTGACAAGGCTGAGGGAGGATGCCTAGCTGACACCCGCTATCCCGGGTTGTCAAGGTACGGTAGACTTGTCCTGCGGCTACTGTTGCCTACCACCTCTGCGGCGTAGCATTTATATAACCAGTCAACGGCGGATGTTGCCTTGCTAGATAGCTTTCAAGTATGCCATCTAGCATCCCATTTACAGGGCTGACGGCATCTCACACCTCTACCACCAGCTTCAGCCCCAATAACAATGTGATTTCCAGGCCAACTTTCTCCTCTATAGAAGACAAAAATTCAATGCCATGACCATGTAGTAGTTAGTAGAACAGAATAGTTAGTAGATGTAGTTCTGGTGCCTGCTCGTGCTCGTCGGACAATGCCAGCATCTATGTCAGGTTGCCATGTCTGCCCTGCCGAGACAAGCTTGAGAGTGAACATATATAGAGACCTCTTTCTCTATCACAACCTCTAGCCATTCTTCTTCAGTCATCACATCCGAGCTGGATACTGCAAGACCTTCACACAGCATACTTCTTTGACCAGAGACAGGCCTGCAATCGCCAGAATCAGAACAATGATCATCACGCCCACGTTTGCAGAGATGGAGGACACGGCACGGGCCGTCATCCTGTGTTTGAAGCAGTGTCCAGACCTTGTTGACACCAAGATTGCCATCATCGGAGGCGCTGCGGTGTGCAGATACGTCCCAGACCGCCAGCCAACCGATGACCCGGAGGTATGATATCAGATAGCGAGTGTCTTGCGACCTGCCTTGCTAATGGTATAGATAGGACGTCGACTTCATGATCACCGTCCCCAACCCTGACTCCGTGAACCGAAGGCTTCTGCAGAATTACGAGACCTTGTTCAGCGAGCATGAAGGTAGCTTGTACTATTCGCACTCATGCGGTAAACGTATCAAGGTCGACTTCAGCACTAACTGCCGTGTAAGTATCATGCATATCGGCCCCATACGCGTCCAGAGTAACATGGCACAACATGTCTGTCTAACACTGTATGCCTTCTAGCTACCATATATCCCTGCAGCGGCCACCATCGTCCGAGAGGTCGACATTGACTGCCTCCCGTACATCGGCCCAACCGACCTTTTGGTCCTGACCATCAACCTGTGCGGACAAAGAAACGAGGAATACTCCCGCATCGACCGTGACACTGCTGATGCCGTCTCTTTGGCCGAAGCCGTTATGCAGCAGGGACCTGTCGTGCTCTCTCCCATCCAAAGACGAGTTATTCGAGATGAGCTTGCAGAGGTTGTCCACTGGGGACCAAAGGATGAAGAGTGGTGGAGAGGCGTTCTTGCTACGGCTTTGAGTAGCGGTAGTGCACATTAGAGAGAAACGGTGTATGCAGCTGGTGGTCGATGGGTTCGGATCTTTTTATCAGTTCAGAGTTTGATCGCAGATGATGGAGGCTGAGGTTGAGATTGAGATTAAGATATGAGATATGAATGTTATGCAGTTTTAACTTGACTCTTCGTTTTCCCTTTAAACTAGGCGTCATGCATGGTAGATTACTCATCTTGTTTACGCCGTCAAGTTGCTTTGATCGCCAGGGGAATCTTGACCATCGATAAAAAGCCTCGTTGGCTTTCTCTAGTCATGGCCCATATACGATATCAACGTGTTTCAAGCAGTAAACACACAAAGACACCGAATTAGATGCCACGTAACAGATCAAGTTAAGGTCTTTGCTCCCGATTTAATGGATATCTAGCCTTGGACAAGACTATATCCTTGATGAATAGAAATTTATATGAAGCATCCTGTCTATATTCCGCGATATCCGCTCTAGACAGAAGCTGAAATACACACTAAGACTGGATAAGGAGAAATCAGGCACAGTTGAAGGAAAGGGACTTGAAATATTCGAAAGCACATTCTCGAATAAGCCGTAAGGGTCTTTTATCATGTACAGTGTTAGGTATATGGATATCAAGGGCTTCAAGCTTGTCAACGATGATATACAATGAACCTCTATAGCTGTAACAGTTATTATATTCTCTTAACATGATCAAAAGTGATTTTTGCATAAATATAAATTCTGTTAAGGCTAAGATGACTAATCAGAACCGACTGACTAAGCTTTGCTTACTAACAATACGTAATTACAACAGGTACAAGAATGAGCCACTTATAGTGTGTTATTTATGTATTTATGGTATTTGGAGTACAATGTACACACGTGACCACATTTGCTTAGTCATCTATCTTATCTAAGCAACGCGTCCCAAAAGCGCGACTTTAAGAGGAAAAAGCGACGAGAAGAAGAAAAGAAGCAGAAGAGAAGCTGAAACGGACGTTGAAGCTGAGTTTAACGAGATAGACGGCAAGCAGAGGATAGGCCTGATATTTACTCCTGCTGCCTTGCCAATTGTGCACTGCGGACCTCACTTCACTATAGTAAGCAATATGTCTAGCGACAGCGATGTCGATGCCGAGTGCGAAGCTCCGCCATCGTCTATAAACCCATATGAAGTGCTGGGCGTGGAAGAGAAGGCGAGTGCAGACGAGATCAAGTCAGCCTACAGGAAACAGGCTCTTAGACACCATCCAGGTACGAACTACTTCACCGCTTCTTCATATTTACCTGATCTCGTGTTAATATATGCTCTGCGCTGCAGACAAGGTCTCACCTGAAGCCAAAGATGAAGCCCATAAGAAATTCCAGGAGATCGCCTTTGCATATGCCATCCTCTCTGACGAGCGGCGCCGCCGACGCTACGACACGACAGGCAACACATCCGAGTCGCTGGATCTAGAGGACGACGACTTCAACTGGTCCGACTTTTACTGCGAGCAGTTCAACGTCACCATCGACGGCACGCTGCTGGATAAGTTTAAGAGAGAATATAAGGGTTCAGATGAAGAGAAGAGTGACCTGCTACGGGCATATGAGGAGTGCGAGGGCGACATGGACGGTGTCTACGAGCAGGTCATGGCCAGCGACGTACTGGAGGACGACAAGCGGTTTCGACGCATCATCAAGACCGCCATCAAAGACGGAGCGGTAGCCGACTTCCCAGCGTTCTCGGAGGAGACAGTGGAGACCAAAAGGGCGCGGGCTAAAGCAGCAAGGAACGAGGCCAGCGAGGCTATGGAGATGGCTCGGGAGTTGGGTGTGGAGGAGCAGCTGTTCGGTGAGGGCGCGGACAGCAAGCAGGCGTCGGCCAAGGGCCAGGGAAAGGGAAACAAGAAGAAGAGCGGCGGGGAAGATGCGTTGATGGCGCTCATCCAGCAGCGTCAGAAGAGCAGATCAGACACCTTTCTGGCCAACCTCGAAGCGAAATATGCTCCGAAGCAGTCGAAGAAGCAAAAGAAGCGGGCTGCAGACGAACCGCCGGAAGAAGCCTTCCACAAGCCGCGATCCCAGAAGCTGGACAAGGACCAGGACCCGAGACCACGCGATAATCGACGCAGGAAGAGGGCGTAGACGCTCCCTCGGATCTTCTACGCTTCTGGTGTTGGTTTCTGGTTCTGGTTCCGGTTCTGGTTACGGAGTATGCTCTGGATGGTTCTGGTTATGTCTGGATGGCTGGTATGTTCTGTTATGGGTTCGGCGTATCGTTATTGCATCGATATCAGCAGGGAGTTCGGCTTCTGGGAGTTTGGACTCGATGCATGGTTTCTTCTTCCTGCACGCTGATGTGATGCCAAGCAGAAGTTCGTCTCTGTTCATCTCTTGCGCAGGCCAATAGCATCTATACTCTTCTTCTCTTCATCTTCGTCTCCGTCTTCATCTCGTCGTCTGTAGGCGTAGGTTCTGCTATATATCATGTATAACCATGTCCGGATCAACAACACCAACACCACCAACATCACCACCACCAACGAGCATGAGATCAAGACGAAGATAGATGCATCTCCATCCCGGGGCTTCCTGGTCGCTTCTTCTTGGCTTCCTTGCCGTGCTGAACTTGCCCAGGCCCTAATATAAACAACATGGACGAGCTGCTTCAGCCACATCTTCCACCTTTCTTCCTTCGTCTTGACCGTCATGACTTCATGCTGACCTCCTCGCCCTGAATCCGCCGTCTTATAGCCATCTTGGACCGTCCTCGCCGTCCTGCTGTGTCTTGTCGCAGGTTGCTACTGTCCTACCCTGCGGTTGCTGCGAGCGACGCTTTCTCTGTGGCTGCGTCGACGCCACGAACAAACTCGCCGTATATATCACATCTTTACGCCAGCTATCTCTCTCTCCCCCTATCTCTCGCTTAAACAGCTTCAGCTTCAGCTTCACGTCTCTCTAGCAAGGACTGGGTGTTTGCTGGGTTCTCGCCTGGCTCCACCTCGGTTCCCTCCGCCCGCCAAAAAACCAACCATTCGTCTATCTTGAGCCTGCTCGCCGGCCTCGTATTTCTCTCTCTCTCTCTCTCGTCTCTTTTTCTCTCTTTCTCTTCCTTCACCATGTCCCAAAAGATGTCACTGGAATCAGCCCTCGACGAGGAGCGGCGCGAGATCCTCGATATCCTACAGGGTCGCTCGCACAATCACCACCATGGCAACCAGCACTCCCAGCAGCAGGGCCAGCAGAGCCAGCCTGCTCGTCCCCACCATGCTAGCCCAGCTCCGCCGATACGCTCCATGCTCGATATCGCCCCAGATCCCTCGCGACGGGCCGGCGCAGTGAAGTCGTCGTCGTCCAGCATCCGCAGCATGCTCGATCCCATATCGCCCTCGCCGCTACGGGCGACTCACAGCGCGACCTCGTCGCCCACGTCCTCGGGCAGGGCGTCGTCTATACACGAGCCAGAAGGGCTGCGTCGTGCCTCGGAGCTGTATAATGGGTTTGGGAGGAAGTCCGGCGTCGAGGCGTATCAGTTCGATATGCTGCCGAGTATACCTAGCCAGGCACTGCCCAAACGAGTCACACAGGGTGGTAAGAAGAACGTGAACAACAACAGCAGCAGCAGTACCAGCAATAATAATCCTGCAAAACACCCAAACTCGATGGCTGCCGTCATGTCTGGATCGGAGTTTGGTCCTCTGCCTGGTTTCCCGCGCGGTCGACAGATCGGACGTCATGCTCCTGGACTGCCAGGCAGCTCGACTTCCCCGATGCGCTCGCGGTCTCCGGGCTCCCATTCTCTGAACAACCACAACCCGCTCGCGGCCAACTCCAAGTCCAATGTTAGCACTTTTGTCACCGATTCAGGCAGAGTCATCAACCTGGACCACGCATATAGAAAGCTGTCCAATGCTGCTCTGTCGAGGTCGGGCGGCAGTCTGGCTCATCTGCCACACATAGAAAAGAAGGAGCTAGATGACCTGGCTGAACTCTCAGATACGGACGCCAGACTAGCGAAGGATTACTTTTTTGATACCCCTGACGGTGGATGCAGTGAAGACCATTCGAGTGATGAAGATGACGATATCAGTTCTGACGAGGACCTGTGGAGGATGGGGCTCGGCCGTGGCCGTGAGAGGATGAAGAAGTCTGATGCCAGAGGAACCGAACATGATCTCAACGACCCAGACGCGGAGAGGAAAGTCCGAAGTCTGCTAGCTGCTGCAGAGGAAGAACGTACGTTATCGTCTTTTATCTATCGTCATTACATCTTTATCTAACAAGAACACAGGCAAATCCGTATCATCAACATATAAAGTCCGATCTCTCCTCGAACCGCTCGACAGTCGTGCCGTTGCGGCCGCTACTGAAAGACCCATGAGACAGAAAACTGGCGTCCATCCAAACACCAATTTCGACATCACAGTCTCTCAGGGAAACACCCCCGTTGGCTCTGACGATGAAGGAGGGGTCGCCGAAGACGAAGCAGAAGTCAGCGAGATCAAGAAAGCCCAGAATCTCAGCGTCTACCTATCGCCCATGGACCAGTCGGTTCCAAACAGAGTCATTCGCACCATTGTCAGAGGAGACTTCACCAAGATGCAAGAAGAGGCAGAGCAAGGCCTACGTCGGGCCCGCTCGTACCTCGTGGCTACAGATTTGAGCGAGGAGTCGGTATACGCCCTTGAATGGACTATCGGTACCATCCTGCGTGACGGTGACACGATGTATGCCATATATGCCATCGACGAAGAAGGCGGATCCAGCAAGCCGTCTGAAACAGACCTGCCATCCGTAATGCCCATTAGTGATGGTTTCAAGGCCATACTGGATATTGCTGCCACCATCCACTCGCAGACAGCTGGAAGTGCAAGGATACCTACCCGTCCGTCATCGTCGGCTTTCCCTTCTCCGCAAGTATCTAGCACGCATCTACCTGGATCGGCCAGTAGCGAGAAGGACAAGAGTTTTGAGAGTTCAACTGGCTCAGTGGATTCGAGGGCCCTGTCAAAGGCGGAAACGGAGAGACTTCATGCTATCGATGGTATCACGCAGACGTGTGTTCGGCTGATGCGCAAGACGAAGCTGCAGGTTCGTGTGGCTGTAGAAGTGATCCATTGCAAGAGCCCCAAGCATCTCATTACAGAAGCAGTAAGTCATTCTTTCAAACCTATGTCCGGCCAGTTATGTAACCATCATGATAACCAATTTCTCCAGATCGACGGTCTTGACCCAACCCTTGTCATCCTCGGCTCTAGAGGTCGAAGCGCGCTTAAAGGGTTCGTACATATCCTTTCCAAATATAAACGATCCATATCTACTACTATAGCATCGCTAACTTATACCCGCAGTGTCCTCCTGGGCTCCTTCTCAAACTACCTCGTAACCAAATCCTCTGCCCCGGTGATGGTCGCTCGCAAAAAGCTAAAGAAACACGCCAAATTCAAAAACGGCCCTGTCCGGTTCTCAAATAACTTGGCCGGCCTCGGCTCCACCAACATGAGGCTTGCCAATGCCAAAGTTGATTAACGTCATATACATTTACGACTACAAACAACCTCTCACCTCGCTTTACCACCTCTACTCTACCGACTATCGACACATCTACCCCTCTCTCTTTCTCTCTCTTCTCGCTCTCCTCTACGTCTCTTATTGCATTGCATTGCATCACTGCTCTAGTCGTCATAATACCATTTTTGTTCCTTTAAATCCATGGATTCCCCACAAGTTCTGCACCACTGCATTGCATGGTTTTCCAAAACGAAAAATCCTCGAATGATAAGCAAGCGGCTTGCTTCTTTTTTCCAGCCTTTTTAAAAAACTCTAACTCGGCTTGTTTTGTCTGTGCGTTTCTTCTTATGCCCTGTCATGTCATGGAGTTTTTTTGGCGTTTATCATCATACATACAGATTCCATATCAGTGAAACGGGATGGATGGATGGACGGATGGATACGGGAAATGGTGGGAATTTTCTGTTTGTTTTTTTTCCTTTGCTCGCTTAGTTCTTTGTAATTTGGCATGAGGTTGTGATTCAGTTGAGCCTGTTTCTACTTCTCCTGCTCGGCATTGATTATATTCTGTTTGTTGTTTTAATTACGCTATTCAATCAAAGATGACGGACGTCGTTGACGTTCTTATGACTATACCTTCTATCTTATTCTCAGCTAGCTAATTATTCTGCGGCACGAATAAGACAATAACCTAGTAATGATATTATTGAAACATCTTCATTTAATACATCCAGTAACAGTATAAGCATCTCTCAAAGTCCCATACCTGTCACTTAATGCGTTTAATTCTATGCAGGCTGCTATATAATGAAGCAGAGTAGGTTACATCGTAATACTTGAAGAATATATCAAGAACCTGGGAACCCGTGGACCAATTGACTTGGAAAATTAGATAGGAACTGGACAGCTACTGTCAATGCGAGCTGCATACTATATATATGAGTTCCGTCTGCAAGGTAGGATCGGAGAAATACATCACTTTTGTGGCTAGGAAAGGAAAACACATGGGTGTAGCCATGAAATGCTACGAAAAAGCAAGCGAATTCTGCAATAAACCAGTCTATTTTCTCGGCCTGGCTCGCCCATAAAAGACCAATCACATAACTTGGCTGGCTGTGTGTGCAATCCTAAGATTGGATAGAGAAAATCCGCCTTTCCCTAGCTCATTCAACCAAGTAACCAAGGCAATGGACTCTGTGGATTGTAAATATCTTCGCCGAAAGGCCAAGTGAGTGGCCCCCGCTTACACCTATCCCTTGGCCTGGATAAAACTGCCTCGACTTGATTCGTTGTCAGGAGTGGTAGTAACCGCTGTGGTCGTGGTCGAGGACACTGGGCGAGTGACGGGAAATGGATCCATGCCTGTGCTGCCTTGGTCTTTGATAGGAGCCACGAAATATTCTCTGGGCCATCGTCCTTTCTTGCCCCAAAATGCGACTAGGTCAAAATAAGTCCAATCCAATATGTCAAGACTCTCCTCACATGGGTCGTTATCAACAGACTCCGGAGTAGATGTTCTATCATCTTCTCGGGCCATGGGGTTGGGTAACTCCTTATTTTCATCGTCGACCTGATAATTCCAACTTGGGGTGTCTGACACGGACAGTCGACGCTGCATCATAGTTGGATAGAATTCGTCTTCATAGGTTTGGACATTATTCGAATCTCTACTCTGATCCCCTACTGATGAAAGAGGACCGCTCGAGGTGGATAATCGCCGTCGCTTTGATGCTTTTGATGCATGGACGCCATCACCAGCTAGTTTATCGTTGGGCTTCTTACTCCGTGTTTGAGTGCAGGTAGGGAAACTTGGATCCAAGGCCACATATATACCCTCTAACCCTAGATATTGCCTATGATATGTGTGTTGCTGAGACTTGGTCTCTCTGTGGATATCTTGCGTTTGTTCTTGGAGCATCATGGCATGGTATAGTCGAGATAATGGCAAAAATGGGAGGACAAACGGGCTCGATGTTGGGAGAATTTGGACAATCTTAGAGCATGTTTCTGGAGTATCGAAATGCAATCATGAAAGCCGTAATCTCTGATATATATAGTGTCGAATATCTGTGAGATCTACATTCTTCGAATAGATGGTCAATTGGATTTTAAACAAAGCTAGTTTCATGTGAGGTTCAACAATGCAGATGCACATGGGGTCAAACATGTTTCGGGGCTGGAACTTGTTCTAGACGCTCTGTTGCTCGAGGGATGGTATTTGACAGTGATATTAGTGGAATTTTGGGCCTATTAGCCTTCTTCATTATGACATCCGTTCCTGTATTCGAGTGCCGTGATTTGGTATTACTACATTAATTATTATTTGAACTGGATAATAGAACGTATTAGCACAAAGATTAACCGAAATGTCTATTACACCTGTGTTGAATGGCAGGCTTTGTGTATGTGTCAAGCTAGGTTCTATTAACCTTCTTCGCTTTATTAATTTCATTCCTGCCTTGTTTAGGTGCTCTATAACTCCCCGGTACTGAAATGTTGAGAGCCATCAACCTATTTAATCCCGCTTAGATTTTGCGAGCGCCCATCGTAAACGATTGCACATATCCAGGCCGACCAACCCAGCTACAGTTACCTTAGCGTTAGTCCAAAACGGTTCCAAAGGGTATCGATGTACAAAATCTTACCAAATATCATGTAAGGAACATATAGTATACTAATGTTCATTTTTTGATCCCTCGTGCGGTCGGTCCAGCTCCATACTTCAACTACACATGTGAGAGTCGTTACAAACGTCTGTATAGCCCAGATGAGTACATAGAGTGGTGCAGTAGGGTTATCTACACCCAGTTGTTAGCCATTATATGTAATTGAGAACGCTTCCATACAAGGAGGACTCCAGGGCGATTGCTAACCATTCAGGAGTTTATAAGCGTTGATAATGCTTGCTGGAACATGATATACTAGTTCCATGACCAAGTAACTTTTAAACCAGGCTGGAGGAATAATAAAGAATTTATCCTGATATGTCGTTATGTAAAAGTTGCGGATGTCGTCGAGGAATGCTGGCTTTAAAGCGGGAGGGTATAGCGGAACAAGGTCAACCACTATACAGGCCTTGAATTAGCATCCTGGTAGATAGGGTATGTATGCTAATTCCCCCAGAAACCTGTTATAGGCATGGGAATTTTCGATGGCCCCTAGGATAGTACGAGGCAAAGATCTCGAACAACACGTACTAAACATGATCACAACATGAAGTATGAAGAATGATGCATAAAGAAAATCAACATTGCGTCTCCAGGAGGGAGTTTGGGACTTTCGGCCACTAGAACGGGTCTTGGAGCCTGCCATTGCGAATTACTGGGTGCAAGCAACAATCCAAGGGCAACGTCGACGTCGAAAGAACGAAGGATCCAACAAGTGTGAAATTTCGGACGTCAAGTTCTCAAAAACAAACATCGTGATCACATGACCGCTAAGGATTTATCTGCCCCTTAAACTGAAGACAAGTCAGGGTCAAATTTGACATGAAATACTGGTTACCAGGGGGTTTTAGTTAGAAAAGGCAAAATACAATGGCATGGCACAAATGGTTTAAACCCGCTGTCTAAAGCTGGTTTTATATGCATCTGGAGCGTCAAAGAGTCTCGACTTATCTAAAATCCAATCATTTAGACGCCTTCCCAACAATCCCCCAACCTTAACAGTAGGAAAATGAAAGACATGTAGATAATCGGCGAAAGCCTCTAAAGGCATAAAGTCTGAGAGTACATTAAGAGAAGTAAAGACATAGAACGAACATATGCAGAGACGCTGGGATGGTGACTGTGGAACACATAATTATCGGAACGACTGCTCAAGCTTCACCCTCATATCTCGACATGCCTGTACAACATCCCTATCCAATCGAGACTGCTGTAGTAAAAGTAGCATCTCAGAGACCCTGGCAGCAATTACGTCGCTTCCAAACGCCCCACCGCCCAGTCTGGCTGTTTCGTTAAACCATCGTGAAATCAAGTATGCGAGATCGTTGCCGATATATTTCCGATTGGCCCCGTGGAAGGGCACCTCGTCGTTATAGAACAAAGATTCAAGGACCGTATATAGCACCTCTGGCTCGACCTGAAGTTCAAGGAAAAGATCGATAACCCAGGTCGGAGGCCCATCCGACTTCTGATGCTCAAGTTTGTAACGCTCTAGCATCGGTAGGAGGGTTTTGACTGGGAATGCAACGTCCGACATCCTGAGTCTATGTGCTAGGCTGCGAACCTTTTCAATGACAGCTTCGTAAGGCAGAGGTGTTCCGTTTCTCAAGGTCTCCTCGTGGACTCCCTGGATCAAATCTTGCCAGGTGGTCGTGATATCAGAAGCATTTCGGTGATTTGCGAGGTACATTATCTGGAGGCAGATATCATGATAGTTTCCGGGAGCTGCATATTCGTTGAACATCTAGAGCGAGATATACAGTCAGTGACTGCGGCAAATCGATGTTAGTTGTTCTAATCTGGGAGTGCCACTTACTTTGCTGATCTCCATGATACTTCCATTCATTGCCTCTAACACAGCGGTCTTGCGATCAGCATCTAATCTTGCATCATCCTTAAGTCGTTGCAATAGGTCGTCTTGAACATGGCTAACATCTAGAAGTTCCTCAACTTCATGCTGTAGACGTTGTCGTGCCGCTCGGCCAACATCAGGTGAATGCACAGATGCATTTGCTCTTGCTTGGCCCAAATATTCAATCCTTCGATTCAAAGTAAGTTTGAACGGGCTCTTTGCAAGTTGCAATTGCACGATAGCTGCATCATAAAATCGGTCGGATTGGGCATAATATTTCCATAGTAGATCGGCATGGAACATATCTTCTGTTGATTTCCTCTCGAGGTAGGTAGCAACGAATGGGGACCTGATTTCGAGAAGCCGATCACTTAATCCACGCTCGAGGTACCAATCGTAAAGACTGGTGAGGAAAACCTCGTCCCGCGAGGTGGTAATTACGTCGTACGCTTCAGCCCGTCTTCGTGCTATCATGCTGTATTGGCCCTCGGAATTGTCTTGATCGGAAAGGTCATCTACAGCAAGGATGACCTTATATATGAGGTCATAGCATTGCTGCCGAGCGTCATAGCTATTCTTTCGAGGGTCCTATATTATCCCATGTCAATACATATCGCAATGGTTTGATATACAGTGCCATTCTTACCTCAGCTGGTCGTCCATCCATAATCCATGAGAGGGCGTGATTGGCCTTGTCAGAATCGGCAGCCACACTTAGAGCAAGTTGTATTGCGCCTATATTCATTTAGCACATTGATATCCCATAAGGAGGAGGGGGAAGCATACCAGCGAAAAATTGATTTTGGATATACTGGTCTATGCTGGGCTTTAGGTAATCCATGGGGAGACTTTCAGATACTTGTTGGAAGAGCATCAAGCTCTCATTCAAAAGGTTTCGACCAACTTCAGAGTTTGGTCCTGCCTCTGTTGCTCGCTTGAGAAGCTCTTGGCCCTTGAAGACAATAACATCTTGTGAGCTACAGAAGGTACCGCACCTCCGTCGTAGAGCCTCAGCGACAGTTTCGACATTCGAGCCTTTGGCAATGTTACGGTTCACGATGGCTTTGACCAATTCCTTTGCCGTCTCATGGCCCCTTGATGTGGCAAATAGCTGTTCAAATGTCAACTCTAAGAAGCGACTCCTAGCATCCTCGTTCAACAAGGTAATGACGTCTTCAACTCTGTCGTCAAAGAGAACGAGAATAAACGAAATTCCCTCGATAGTATGGGAGATCAACTGTACGAGAGAGTGGAGGCCTCGATGTTCGGCCTGTAGAGCAACCTCCTCTTGTTTCGTGGTGACTCTCGATAATGCATCAGGTCCACTTAGACCTTCGATGAAAGTTCGATTGGTATTGAAAAAGTCTTGGAGGGCAGACAGGTCTCGTTGAATCGAGAGCAATGACGCCATAGGAACAGCTGGGGAGATAGAAAGCCCACCTGAAGGAGTTCGCCCCTGTTTGGCTATGACCGTCTTCCAAATGGATCGAAGAAGTCGGGAAGTATACAGGGCAATCCCTGCATGTCGAGGAGAAGGTAGCACTGCATCAATAGCTGGGACAGAACCATCCGTAACTGCGTTTTCATTAAGGGTTGGCTTCCCTCCAAACTCTATGAAAACTTTTCGAGCGAATTCCAGAACATCGGGGTCATTAATCTTCGAAAGGCGGGAGTCTGGTGAGACTTCAACTCCCTGGCCACACGCGACTGCGAGCGCGGTTGCTACCGTTTCACTTCGGCCATAAACTCGAATAAAAGCCTTGACCTGGCCCTCTAGCCCTTCCTCCCCATCTGAGTTGCGAATGAGGGAAGCAAACATATCGACAAGCCGTCTTCTGCGAATGATATGAACTCCCGTGTTGGTTAAAATAGCAATTTCGGCAGCTGGCTTGTCAAACTGCACCGACAACTCATTACCAAAGCCACTGCTCGTTGGACCACCCTGCTCATATGGTGTATAAAGCCCGATGGCCTCTGCTCGGCTACCAAGGGTAAGCCAAATTCCGGTCTCCTCTGGTTTAACAGGTATAGAAGGGTCTCTAGGTAGTGCGAGTCTTCCTGAATCTGGGGTGGAGATAAATAGCGTATCCGCCTGCTTCGAGGGGTCTTTCTGCGTGAAACAGAAAAAGTAACCTGGAGGGAATCGTTCAGCGGAACTGGTAGGGTTCAATGAATGGATAGGGAGCCTAGAAGGGCCCGTAGGCTGGAATGCAGCCCCTGGTATTGGGGCCGCCTGTGGGGGTTGACCCGATGGAGAATCGGATGGCGGAGTCTTGACATGTTGCGCCTGCATGCTTGTAGGTGCATTATTGGCGTCTGGGGTGGCGGACCAGCTGTAAGAGCCAGTAGCACTGAGGTATATCCTGTAACCTGTGGCAGTTGTAGCCACCAGGTGGTACCTGGACGCCTCTGGGGCTGGAATGGGACTAATGGAAACGATTTTGATTCTAGGGTTGAGTGTTTCATTGGAGGTGATGATATGGCCAATGTTGGAGTAAATGTCAATGGCAGTCTTGGTGATCGTTAGGTTGACAGAACCATCGCCTTTGAGGTGAAAGACCCTGATCGATGAGTTGGAGGATAGGGTGTATAGCAAATTCCTGCTATCGTCGACAACCATCTGTTCCACAAATTCCGCTGGCTTGTTCCGGAGGTTGAACTGGGGCGCAAATGCGGTGAAGTTTTTCGTCGTGTGGTTGACCTTACCACAGCGGCCCTGGAACCATCGCTCCTCTTGCTGGTAGGTCAATTCGTGGATATCGTTGTCCGTAGATCCAGCAAAGAAGACTCGTCCAGTCGAATCAGAGGACGCAAGGACATTAATGTCAAGTCCCCTGATAGGAACAGACATGCCCGTTTGGTATAGGTTTACGGTCTTTAATCCGCCAGACGTCTCGCATCCAAGGCCCAAGAGGAAAACATCTGCCGTTGTAGAGATGATGAGTAAATGGGTGATTGCCGGAAGGAACACTCCCTTTCTAGGTCGCGCGAGCTTGACGGTATTGATACTGTTCGGCTGCTCCTCGAAGCCAACCAATTGAGGATTCGGGAGCGTATAATCCCAGAGATACAGCGCATTGTCGATTGTAACCCAGGCATGGTTTAGCTCCGCAAACAAGCCCATGCTCGTTGAAACCTGCGCGCGGTTATACTGGTCGAATATCTGGTCAGGAATCTTATACATCTTCACTTTCTGAAACGGCGCCCATGATGGGGAGCTAGGAATATCGTAGTCGGAGGAGAATCCCTCTAATGTTTATCAGGTTAGTTTTCTGCGCAACGCGTTCGACCTGTAGGCTGGAGAAGGTAAACATACGAGACAGGTAGCTGTCCAGGTCAGGGTACCGCGATTCCTGCAGGAGTGCTTCGTCTATCGTGCGCGCTGCTCGCTCTCTCGGGCTTATTGCTTCAGGCTTCGCCTTTATGTCTGATGCGGGCATCTTGGGCCGAACGGTTGTAGAGGCCGCCAGATTCGAGCCCGCAACGTTGCCCGACGGCGGAGAGAGGGGTCTCGAGGCGAACAGAGGTCCATGAGGGTGTGAAGCCGCGGGAGTCTGGAAATATGTGCCTGGTGGCTTTGGGGGAGGTGTGAATGGGAAGCTCATGATCGCGCAGCACCCAGACGCACAGGTCGAGATATTGCCAGTGTGAAAGTGCCGAGTGCTCACAGTCAAGACGTATGCACAGCTCCCAGCAGCAAGCCCGGGTCTCTGGCAGGCCGCGTTGTAGGTGGTAAATGGCAGCGAAAGTTGTTCAAGAGAAGATGTTCGGATATCAACAAGTGATTTCTTCCTGCAACACTTTAGCTCTGTACGTGCACGGACCTTTTTCTCTACAACTTTTGAGCTTCAATTTCATATCTACCTACATCTACATCTACTTCTACTTCTATATATTTAACAGTTACATATCTATATCTACAGTGCAGCTATAATAGTAGCCACCATGATCCGGTCACTTCGCTTCCAGTCGTCGATCCTCCGCTCTGTCCGCTACTCGTCCACTGCTACACCCGGCTTCCCACCGCTGTTTACAACGATAAAAGCAGACTTGAAGAATGCCATGAGGGCAAGAGACACAGTCAGGTCACTCACCTCGATGATCCATCTCCTACACCTCCTCGTGGGACACCAGTGACAAGCCAATGCTAACACCTACTCGATAGACTTGACGTCCTACGCGGAATCATAGCAGAAGTGAACAACGCTGCCAAAACACCAAAACCCGTCGAGACCGACCTTCAGCTCCTCGATATCCTCCGCAAGCGTTCCTCCAATCTAGAAGCTAGCAGCAAGGAGTTTTCAGCCGCCGGACGGCAAGACCTGACCAACAAGGCCGAAGGAGAACGTAAAGTCGTCGAGGAATATGCTGGACAGATCGAGACCGTGAGCGACGAGGAGATACGAGCTGCTATCGAGGAGGCAATTGCGGAGCTCAAGGCTAGCAGCGAGAAAATCGTTATCGGCACCATCATGAAGAAAGTGCTCACGGGTGGTGGACCTTTAGATGGAAAGCCTGCTGGTAAAACTACCGTTGCTAAGATTGCTGGAGACCTGATCAAGGCATTGGAGCAGAAGTGACCGCATATTCCCTTAACGGTCAATTGGGACAGTTCCGGCCTTGGTGGGATTGGACGTACAGTTGACAGCTGTCAAATCCCAATATCCATTGCCCACCAAATCCGCCCAATAAAATACCAACGAGAAAGAAGTGTGAATGTAAATTAGAATATTGTCAATGAAAGTGTAACATTAGCTCCAATACATGACCGTATAAACATACAGGAAAATTAAACCACAAGCCAGGAAACAGAAAGACATCGTATATAAAATCAGTTTGTCCCTCTCCCGTCCCGTGCTGATGAGTGCAAGAATTGGCCTTGTCGACGCCAGTCTATAATTAAACATTGCAAACGCCCGTCGAGCCTATGGTAGTAAGTCGAGGCGGGAATGCGAGGAGTAGGAGGGCAGAGAAAAAAGTCTACCCCGACAGGAGAAAGAGGTACGCCGCCCTCTATTGACGGAGAATGTGAGGGAAGCAAGGAATGAAGCCGAAGATGGTGAAAGTAAAAGTACAGTTGCAGTAACCGAATCCACGAAGCCGGCGTAGGAAGTAAGGCATACCCATCCCACGATTAACAGTGAACCTCCCCCCCAAGGCAAGACCAGAAGAACCCCGGGCACCAGTCCGTTCGTAACGCCATCTATAGCCCAAAGTGCATTATATCATATAACTTTTTTTTTGTCCTTGAATATGCATGGAATCTTGCAAAAGTTAGGAGTAAAAGAGAGCAATTCCGCCGATAAAGGTCATAACGACGCCGAGCCACCACCACCGGTCCATATTGGCGGATGTGAGCAGCTGTCGTGGTAGGATAGAATGTCTGTCCAAGGGAGTATTGAACAGTCCGTCAACGACGTCCCGCTTTCGTTTGGAGGCGTGCACGGTGGGATTCAGGTGCTTGGTCGGCAGCATCTGCGGTGGTTTGTAGACGAGGAACATGCGGTTCACCGGTGCTCCATCGTGTCCGTACAGGTTGAGTCGTTGTATGCCGTGGAACTCGTCGAGCTGGACTTCGTATCTCTATAAGTTTGTCAGTCAGTGTTTACCTCGTCGTGGCAGAGTCTTCTGCGCGTACCTTGAAGGTTTCGATCTGGTTGATTCTCGAGTAGGTCGCCATCTTTCCCTTGCACGGGTTTGATTCCAACTTGCGGCCGTCATCCTGGAAGTAAGTAGGGTCCAAGACGAGGGAGCCGTTGGGATGGATTTCGTATTTCCCATGCTGGAAGAGCATGTATCCTTTCGGACACTCAGGGTTCGTTGCTAGCAGTCTATCTTAGTATTCCAGCCCTCCAATCGATGGGATAACGGGGTAAGACACTCACGGTTCGAGACTGCGCGGTACTGAGCCTCCTCGAAGAAGCCATCGTCGCTGAAGGAGTAGGACATGCCGGTGAGCGATGGCTCGATCAGCTTGTCATTGACCGGATCGTAGAAGCCCTAGAGAGTCAGCAGCCATTTGAGTCTTCTTCTTCATAGCTACACATACCGGTCCCGTCACGACCTTCCGCGACTTGGTCGTCCATGTCCCTACGAGTCGCGGATCGATCTCCGCCGTGACGACCAGGAGCAGGCCGAGCAGAGGAAGCAGCACGAGCAAGTTCATCGTCGATATGGGAGCAGTCAACGCGGCGAACAGGGAATAGTTGCAGGAAGAGACGAGGAGGAGAGGAAGAGAAAAGGAGATCGATCTGAACCACTTAATATTACGTCGTCCCTTGGGGCCCCGAGAAAGTTGCTGATCAGGGACGAACGAACGCACCAGGCGACGCAGCACAAGTACGACTCTTACGCATCCTGGATCTACTCGCTACGATTCGCTATACCTTTAATATCTATCGTACGCTGCATACTCCGTGCCTGGTGTCTTACTCCAAGGCATATTTGACGTCTTACTAACTGGTCCACAGTCGCCACAGACGCGCATTCACTCGTACTTTGATATATCAACAAGAAGAAATGGCTACGCTGAGCACGGCGAAGAAGGAGATGAGAAGCAGGATCAAGAAGATCCTGGCTGGCGTGTCTGCAGAATCGGTTCTTTCACAATGTTCGCGCCCAAGGATCCCTTCGCAGCGCTGGCCACTGATCATATATCGTAGCCTCCCTTGCCACTGAACGCCTTCTCTCGCTGCCGGAATACCAGGCCGCCAGGCGTGTCAGCGTGTACTTGTCCATGCCGGCCGGGGAGATGATGACCGGCGCCATAGTCCGTGATGCGTTCAGTCGCGGCAAGCAGGTTTTTGTCCCGTATATCTACAAGCAGGAGACGACGACGACCACAGACACTGCCGGGGCCAAGCCGTCGTCGATCATGGAGATGCTGGCTCTTCGCTCGATCGAGGACTACGAGTCTCTACAGCCGGATAGCTGGGGGATTCCTACTCTAGACGCCAGTTCCGTGCCTGACAGGGAAAACTGCCTGGGAGGGACCGGCTTACTGGGTGAGAATGGTGCTCTGAACGGTGAAGATGGCGGCTTAGATCTCATTGTCGTGCCTGGTATGGCCTTTGATGGCGGCATGAGGAGACTGGGCCACGGCAAGGGATATTATGACCGCTTTATCAACAGATACCGGAATAATAACACCCAGCAAACAGGAAAAGTTCAGATGCCGTATCTTGGTAAACACCACCTCTTCTTTTCTTTTAATACCAGAGAACTAAACTAACCATCCAATATAGCCGCTTTCTGTCTTGCCGAGCAGGTTCTTGAGCCACCAGAGGAGGTGCCTGTTGGAGAGTACGACAACCTCGTTGACAGCCTGGTCGTAGGTGACGGACGGGTCGTGAGAAGCTGATCGGCTCCACGGCCGCCTTCTCTTCCTTCTTCCCTCCTCCTAGCAAACATGTACCGTAACGCCAATCGCCTTGAACCGTATGTAAACCATCACGATCGCTCGCCTTACGATTGAACCGTCTGGATCAACGATACGTTGTCACCCTTGAGTAGTATCTGGCCTGTTCCCAGTTAGCTTGTATATATAGACGGTAGAACGAGTTCTGATCTCATACCGAGCTGTCTTCTCGACTCTGCCTCGGTCTTGGTCGCCTGCTTCACTTCCACCGCGTCGTCCACCACGAGGTTCATGAATTCATCAAATCCCTGTATCTCGGTCAGCTCCAGCTCACGACGGTAAGAAAGAGAGCCAGCCTACCCGTATCTTCCCTTCTATGCGAACCGCCAATTGTTCGTACAGCCATATCGAGACCGTCGCTCGCTGCTGGAGGAGCTTGAAGATGAAATGGATCGGAGCCAGCAGCGTCTTCGCGCCGCCACGCGGTCCTCTGCCGGTCATGATGTCGGATGCTCTGCTGTAAGCTATCTATCTGCAAACCGACGGCGTCTTCAGCGTATCCTCTTCGTTCTTCGTTGTCGGTGGTGGTGGTGGTGAGATTTGAAGTGCAACCGCCAAAAACTCTCGTGAGCAACCAAAATGTCAGCGCCAAAAAAACAGAGTGGGCCAGATAAAATAATAACGACGAACGCCCGCTTCTGATATCTATCACTTCTCCCGCCCTCTCTCCCTTCGCCTGCGTATCTCGCTTTCCACTTCATGACGACCGCGGGCATACCGCTGATTTCTCCAGCACTGCCAAACCGCCAGCTCCCTCGCCGCCCGCACCGATCTTCGCACCCTCCATCCATCTAGCTAAACCCGCGCCATGGCGACAGCGAGCAGTGCCTCAGGGCAGCAGGCGTTCGCGCCGGTGCTCGCGGCCCTCGCGACGATGCAGAGCAGTGTATCTCGGCAAGAAAAGACACACGCCCATGAGTTTCTCGAGAAGTTCCAGAAATCAGTGAGCTTATCGTCCCTGGCTTGCTATGTTTACCCCTCCATCACATCCGGCTCTCCTTTTGCTAACGGGCAGTCAAACAACAGACGGAGGCTTGGACGACGACACACGCGATCCTCCAGACCGCAGATGCGCAGGTCGAGGCTAAGCTGTTCGCTGCAACTACATTAAAGGGAAAGGTAGGAGCTCCTATAGTCGAATTTATTAGGGGCATGACGCTGAATACAATTGCTCTGCTAGATTACATACGATCTAGATCAGCTTCCCGAGTCCGCTCAGCCTGAATTAAGGACGTCTATACTTTCTCTCTTGTCAAACTATAGATCAGGACCGAGGCCGATACGAACACAGCTATGTGTTTCCCTGGCCACCCTTGCGATCCAGATGACCACATGGAAAGACGTCCTGCCCACCGTTGGCTCCGCCCTGGGCAACGAAGCGGGAGACTGTGTCCTCGAATTTCTCAAAATCCTTCCCGAGGAAGTCATAGAAGGGCGCAAAATCAACCTGACTGTATGTTCCGGCCGAGTCACCATCCATCTGTCCTTCTATCCACCGCAGCTCAGCACACATACACACCCGACATCATCATATATCCATCCCCTTTGCGGCCAGAGACAAGTTTATATCTAATCAGTCATTCGTAACTCTTAGGAAGAGGAGCTATCTGCTAGAACAAAGGAGCTTTTGGAAGACAATGCAAGTCAGGTCCTAGGTCTCCTGACGCAGTATTCTCAGTCCTCTCGTACGTATATCCCCGAAAGAGTCGACAGTAGATGCATTGCTGACCACATGTTTGGCGTGATATAGCTTCTGCTGCAACTAATCCGATTCTCCTTGAATGTATCACCTCATGGATGCGTGAGATCCCAGCCGCCCAGGTTGTTGAATCCCCTTTAATGGACGTCATCATGAAGGCTCTATCCGAGGAACGATCCTTCGAGGCAGCAGTGGACTGTATATGCATGATCTACAGAGACACACTTGAAGTCGATGATTCGATGAACGTCATTCAAGCTCTATACCCCAGGATAATTGCACTGAGACCTAAAATCAGGGAAGCGGCAGAAGCAGAAGATGTTGACATGCTACGAGGACTCACTCGATTGTTCGCGGAAGCGGCAGAGGCTTGGGTTCTTCTGATAGCACGCCTACCCGATGAGTTCAGGAATTTGGTGGAAGCCGTTCTGGAATGTTGCACCGTCGACAAGGACCGTGATGCCATTTCAATCACCTTTGTCTTCTGGTATGAACTTAAGCAATACCTGACTCTCGAGCGATATGCAAGGGCCAGGGCAAGCCTTGGAGATCTATTCTCAAAACTCGTGGACGTCATGATCAAGCACCTGGAATTCCCATCCTCAGATGGAGACGAGAATGATCTATTCGACGGTGATAGGGAGCAGGAAGAAAAATTCCGCAGCTTCCGACACGCCATGGGCGACGTTCTCAAGGACTGTTGCGCAGTTATCGGAGTCTCTGAGTGTCTTGGAAAGTCATATAACCTTATTCAAGCCTGGGTTGCAAAATACGGTCCCCAGGCAAGACACGATCATGTACCACGTTGGCAGGAACTGGAAGCTCCCCTTTTCAGCATGCGCGCCATGGGAAGGATGGTAGAGGCGGAAGAAAGCTATGTGCTTCCCGAAATCATCCCACTCATTGTTCGCATACCCGATCAGGAGAAGGTTCGCTTCCAGGCAATTATGGCTCTTGGTAGGTACACCGAATGGACCGCGCAGCACCCCGAGACGCTGGAGGCACAGCTCAACTACGTTATTTCTGGATTTCAACATAAGTCACAGGAAGTCGTGCAAGCAGCAGCCCTTGCATTTAAATTCTTGGGAACAGACTGTCAGAAATTATTGGGCGACCATATCCCACAGCTCCATACCTTCTACGAGGCCGTCATTGATGGTTTGAAACCATCTAGTCAGGAAGAGGTCACTGAGGGTGTTGCGGCCGTTCTTGCAGTTCAGCCGATTGAAAAGATATACGAAGGATTGAAACTGTTCTGCAACCCCCTTATGTCCAGAATTATGACCTTAGCCAATAATGCCCAAGATGAAGAAGGCCAAAAGGCCGTGGCAGGTGAGTACAATTTTTCTTCCCCAGTATTTTTGAAGAATGGGAACTAATGAAGGACATGTTCTAGATCACTTGCAATTAATCGCAATATTTATTCAGGTTGTCTCTCCTTATGTCGACCCTGGAAAGGAGAATCCTGGAGTCAAATATTGCGAGGAGATATTACCCGTTCTCAGCACAATAGTTATGAATTTCACCAAATCCACCCCAATCCTTGAGAGAGTCTGCCGATGCTGGCGTTATATGATAATCTCCTACCGCAATGCGATGACTCCTCTTCTTCCAGCTCTTGCGCAAAGCATCTCCGCCGGCTTCGAGGCATCTAAAGAAGGGTGTTTCCTATGGGCAACAGATGCTATTGTACGGGAATTTTCCTCTGGAGCAGAGCTTGTCGACAACCCAACCAGCATTGCTGTTTATCAGTTCTTCGAGCAGCAAGTTGTGCTCTTCCTCCGAATTCTTAATGATTTACCCCCACATCATCTACCCGACAGTATGACGACCCAGCTTTATCAACCCCACCCTTGATACTGATATACTAACGATATTTCTTTCTCTAGTGATTGAGGATTTCTTCAGATTAACAACAGATGCAGTCCGATTTTTCCCCAAGAATACCGTCACGTCATCTCTCTCTGTTCCAATTTTCTCCGCTGCTTTGAGTGCACTCACTCTTCAGCAAATCGAACCCCTTACCGCCACGTTACAATACCTCCGCGACTTGATCAGTTTTGGATTTGAAAAACCAGCCGTATCAAACTTCACGACTCCAGAGGGCGAGGTATACACGAACTCACCAGAGATTAGAGAAGGTGTGAAGCAAACAATGGTATCACAGGGCTCGCTTCTTGTGCAGCGAGTATTAACAGGAATGATGTTCACATTCCCTGGTGATTGCTTCCCTGACGCTTCGTCGGTCCTTATGTCATGCTTTGAGCTAGTACCCGCTGAGACAGCAAGCTGGATTGATGTTACAATTCAGATGCTGCCTGCAGGCTCAGTCAAACCTGGCGAGAGTGAACGCCTGATGAAATCACTCTCAGAATACGCTCAACTTGGTGATATGAGGAAAATTAGAGTTGTCCTTCAAGGTTTGTTACCCACGGCCCACGCTTTTCTGACATCCCAACCTTACCAAGTTCATTACCGCTAACTATTCCTATTCCTTAGATTTCACAAACTCATATAGACGCCGGAACGTGGCACCAAGGGAAGGTTTAGGCAGATTAGAAGCTACACGATTCCGATTTACCGGGTAGGCAATTGATTTATCACTGGATTCGAGAAATTGGCAAAATCTATGCATCATAGATGACGATAAGAGGTGGCACGGAAAAGCTCTTTACGGTACTTTCGCAACAGTAATTGATCGCGCTGAAAATCTCTTCCTAAATCTGGTCTCAGGTCGCTTCAACAAACTGTACCAAAGCCATATTTTAACCGCATCAGGTACTTCTACGTTACGTTCACATCCTTACTGCAATAACATATTTAAAGACGTACGGCATGATATAAAAACGGGTAAAGGGATAGGGATGGTGGGATTGGGTAAATTGATGGTAAACTTGATTTCAGTCATTAGAGCATGCTCACAATGGTGGGTTTATCAGTGGCCGCGAATCGGACATCTATTTAGGGCCTTAAGATGTAGGTATTAATGATTATATACTTATAAACATGTTCTTATAATGCTAACTGTAAATGACAAGATATTGACAACTAGAAACCATGGGATATATACACCACTTCGCTACAAATTCATAATGCTACAGGTTCCTCCCAACCGGACTGGGTAATGTATGTACACTGTGTTCAACCCAAGCCGATAATTATATACATCAAACGAAATCAACACTCATATCAAGAGCAGCACTGCATAGAATCCCTGTCATCACTCATGACTCGCGCATACTCCAGCATGATTCTCCAAAACGCAAGTCTTAGATCTTCCATCCGAATAGCTTCACGCGCCCATTCTCTACTTGTCTCCGCAATCTTCTTCCCAAGCTCTTGTCCCTCCGGCTCAGCCGTGAAGAATCGTACCAATTCAGGGAATTCTGTCAAATCCATACTAACTGGTATATAGTGGACCCAAGGCGTCAACCAATTATCAAGCCATTCTTTGAATATTGTTTGCTTCATCATGGCGGACTTAGACAGTAGGCCACGAAGATAGCGACCGCTGAAACCGTTTCCATCAAGGTCTAGATTGTAACGAGCTTGGTAAGTTGCTCTATAATCTTCTTGTGGTTGCTCGCCGGGCCTAAAAGCGGCCCTTTGTTCCCGACAGGCCTCCTGCTCGCATTGGATGACGGCTGAGATTCGAATTTTGAAAAACGATGCAACCTCCTGCATCTTAGATGAATATGTGCGCCATGTAGATGTAGCTTTGCCGTCCTTTGGAGAAGGTTTCGGTACCTTTTTCATGAGTCCGATCCTTGTAGCGTTGTTATTGGTGGCGAGCACTAGTCGCTGACGGTGGAACGTCTTCCAGTTTCGAATATTCGTATGCCCCCCTGTTGACGAGCCGGCCCAATACACGACGTTCTCTTTATCATCCCAGTCCATGTCATGGCCTTCCTGGTATTCATTTAGGTCTAGCCTCGCGTCATAATACACGCTTGGTGTTAGGATGTCTTGGAAAGTCGAAGGCCTGGCCTGCGAGAAGATAGGGACTAATGAGTGTGCAACACTTGACGTCTCGGGCGCAATGAAGAACCCATGCTGGACTTGAAGGTCGGGCATGGAACAGACATCCTGAGCTATGGTCATATTGGAGACAAAGCTGCTACCTAGACCCTTATGCGAGAGCTTGAATCTGGTCGGAGCTCTTCGAGCCGCAGAGTTCGGGTCACAGGAGGCTGTCGTACTATCCCATAGCTCATAGGCATTTGCCTTCTCGAATTCAATCGTGTTTGTGACGGAGTCTTTGCCCTCTGTTGAGTCTCTTGCTCCACCTTTTGAAGCAACCTCGAGAGCCTCCACCAATTCATCGTAAGGGGCTACAACCCTTGGCTCGTCAAGTATGTTAAAGGCAAACATCATATCGGGTAAGGTACTCAAGGTATCGTCTGTAAACCAAAACCTGACCTGATCGGTTATCCAAGTAGCCTCACCGTCATTTTCGACTATAAAGCTGCGATTCTTCACTGTATAGCGAATGAGCCTTGATCCTGCGGCATTGGTTGCTGAAGCTACGCGTGCACGAAGAACCTCGGGAGGGACTCCCCAGAAAGGCTTCAATCCTTCCATCAGGGAATCGAATTCATCGACGAGAACGAATTTTCCTTGTGTTGCTGCTTTATACCATACGTCAAAACCAGGAGGAGGTCTTCGGCCATATCGGCGTTCGTACTCGATAACGGCGGCCTCAAGCGTCTTTGACTGCCCGCTAACCATATCCTGGTGTCTTTTCAAGGCTTCGGATGCAAGCTGCTGGATGGGGTGAATTCGGACATCTGCAACGCGCCCAACCGTCCCATCATATAAGGAATACCCCAAGTCTATAGGCCCCTCTCGACAGAGGATGCCGACTAACGGGAATATTACAAGAACGGCTAACCAATTTCGATGTCGTGTGCCTTTGGGGAGAGTTGCTATTCCCTGCAACACAGATACCCCAGCCGAGAAAAATAGGACAGGCAATTCATCAGGCTGCTTAGAATTTATTGCTTGCACCGAGAACAACGCAAATGCATCTATAGTACTTGCTGAAACAGAAGCATTTGCCGATACCTATATCCAAACCGGTCAGATTTGTAAACGCCTAACAGGAAAGGGAACATTATGTGTGCACACCATCGAGAATATTACGATCCATTTTGCGGCCGATAGAAGCGAAACCAAGACATCGGTGGGTGTGAAACTCGGTGCATGGCCACGCAGAGCAAATGATACAGTCAACACGAAGAATATCCTTGGTGTAACTCCCTCTGCAAGTGTAAAGAAGGCTTCTACGCCTCCAGAGGTTGTTGGTCGTGCGCTAAGCGCCCAAAAGCCCAAGGATAGCCACACGCATACTCGCAGGATAGATGGCACCGGAGAAGAGTTCAAGTCTCCACTTTGGCGGAATAGGAAGACTGAGGCGATCAACGAGAGCGAAATGGCGGTCGGTCCGATTAATTGGACCGGGGAAGGCCATCGCTTGGGTATATATTTTTCAGATGAGCTATCAGATGGCGACAACAAAGAGCGTTTTTCTCGCAAAAGCAATATCAGGTGAACCGTAGATGTCACGATGGGCTGGTTAATCATATCATATCAGCACCTCACTCAACATTCAGCCACTAACGAAGCAATTTCTAAGGGCCAAGGGATGGGGTCATGCATACCAGCAGCCACGAGGCTTCCCCTGAGTATGAGGAGGCAAATAGGAATGCAACGATGGTGATAGAAATCGCCCACAGGCGAGCTACCGCCGTGATATCTCGACCTCTGATGGCATCCCAGTCAAAGAACCGGCCTTGACGAAGATACCGTTTTCCTATATAGAAGATACACAAGAAGGTCCAGCAAAGCCATGCGTCCTGCAACCCAAGCCACTGTTCACCTTTTACCTTGTCTGGTGCGAGAAGCGCCGCGCCAGCAGCGCCCAGATATCCCAGCCAAGTGAAATTTAGGACGGGGCTAGATGGCGGCATGGCAATTTCTCATCAGTCTGCTTCACTTGAGGCCCGATCCGTTTCCCGCTGCAGGCTTCGCCGTGTGACAGCGGTAGGAGGCGATAGTCTCGAGCGTCCTGAACCAGCAAGCAGACATGTCCCGGCGATCTTGGATGCCGTCGGTGAGATTTTATCTTGATCTCGTCTCTCCTGCCCCGGCTCTCTGCCGCCCCGTCCTGAATACGACCCAGAATCCTTCAAGAGCCTCCCCATGTCGTAATCCATCCAGCCCCTGAATGAGTCTTAGTCCAGCTCGTTCCCCACCGAGGCCTGCGCTTATGGACAAAGGACCAAGCATCACGATCGACTTGATGGCGGTGATGGGTGTCGCGGAGGATTCGATCATAAATATAAACCCGGGTAAAAGGTACTCCCATCCGATACGGCTAGTGGAAGAGCGAGGAAAAAAAACGAACGAGAGGAGAAAAGCAAAGAGGAAAATATAGACGGGCTGAAAAAAGCAAACACCGGTGACTTTGAAAGGAGTTCACCCCCTTCGTACCCATATTGTAAATTCTTTTCGCTGTCTCGGAGCAGCCCTTCAAATGTCATATAAGGCCGTTGCCTTATCCGTTATATGAACCAGGGCATCAAGGTTGGCGGTGGAGAAACCGTTGTGTATAAATATGTAGCTCGAAGTATGCTGATAATCTGTAACTCCCGCACTCCGTACATCCGTACATCCGTGATAGCGAGGATTTAGTGGTGTCTCGTTATTAATATCTGCACGTAATAAGATGCACCGGTTTGCTCGCTCGTTGACCGAGTTCGAAGCCTCATCCCACATGGAGACCAAGCGGTTCTTCGTTGGGCTGGTTCTTTCAGCAACCTATCCCTTCACCAGCACCTCTCGTCGTCCTGTCGACTGCTAGCTCAGTCGCCGTTGGTGCCGTGCCGCTCGTTTCTCCATTCGTATACCCTGGCGACGTAGTCTGGTGAAGAAAAAAAAAACCTTCGAGAAATCTGTACATCGCATCGACGCAGCCTGTAACGGTTCCCCCCCGTTCCCCTCGCCCTCGTCCTCCCCTCCGAATGCCAGCTCAGCGCAGCTCAGTCCAGCTCTCAGATATCAGCGCCCTGAGTCTGCTCATCCCGGGCCAGGGTGGGTCATGTCATTCCCCGGACTGGCTCTAGAGTGTGCTCGTAGCCATGACGATGTTTGTCGGCCCCGATCCCCTCTCCGCGACACAACGCTATACTCAGAGCCAGGAACAGGATCGGGGACAGGAGCAGGAGCAGGAACCGAGCCCGCCGAGCTCGCATAGTCCGTCAGACGAGGTGCAGTCGCCTGCAAAGCCGGACGAGTCGCCGAAGAAACGGAAACGGGCCAGGAAGGCCGCGACAGGGAAGAAGTTCGACTGCAAACACAAGGGATGCGGCAAGAGTTATTCGCGAGCTGAGCATCTGTATCGTCACCAGCTGAATCGTATGTGTTTGTGTGTGTTTTGCGCGCGTCTTCTCTGCGATGGCGAGATATCTGGAAGTTGAATGAGCGTTGTTGTTTTTTTTTTTTGACTGACGTCGTGACATTCGACCTGTAGACTCTCCCAAACAAATATATAGATGCGAATTCCCCAGCTGCTTCCGCACCTTCGTTCGCCAGGACCTCTGCATCCGGCACCAGGAGCGCCATAATACCCACGGATCGCAGCTACAGAAGCGCGACCATGTCGCGACTCAAGGTCCTGGCGCAGGCTCGTCGTCGTCGCCGAGAGATACCAGCAACCCGATACACCATGCCACTGGGCAGATCGTCTCGCCAGCAAACGAAACCAGCTCTCCGGGTGCGATTCCTCCTCGTTCGCAGATATCGGAACCTTCTGCTGCCAGTTCGAGCAACAATGGCGGCTTCATGTCTGCCCAAACTTATCCTATGCCGTCTGCAGCGGCGTCTTCAGCTTCCAACGACCCCAATGCCGGGCCTCCCCAGACACCTCAGAATGCATACCACAAGGGCAACTCTGACCCGATAAGGAGACAGTCAGATGGGACTGCAGGATATCTTGTTCCGGCGCAAAAGGCGCAGCCGATGGCCGTCTACGGAGACTCGGTATACGAGCCATACAGTAACTCCCAACAATATGCAATAACAGCTCAGCTAAACGGGAGGCCTGATATACCTTCTAGTACGCCTGTTCTACCAGAATCTATGCAGGCACGGCAGACATCAATATCAAGTCCCGTTGGCAGTCAGACGGTCTCTCCCTTTGGCATGCCGTCTGGCTTGCTAGCAAACGGCATGGCTACCAACACTTATATGCCCCAGCCGCAGAACATACAAATACCCTCTATGGCTGGATCCGGTTTCCCGACTCCCGTTCTAAACAGAACTCACAGCCAGCCGTCACCCGTCGCAAATCTTACCAGCAGCCTGAGCCAGATGAATTCCTTGCCGGCAGCTATCCATTCGGAACCCCCAGTGTCTAGTATAGATTCGGTCATGGCATATGCTCTCCCCGTATTTGGCGGAGAAATATTAAATCGCTCCCCATTCGCCCTGACAGACGACTTTACAGCCTGGTTATTTAACGAGAGCTCGAATACGTCCTCCACATCCGGATTTCCCGCAATGTCTGCCATCATGCCCAGCTACCTTGACCCATTTTCGGGCCAGATCCAAAACTCGTATTATCCTACTGACACTACTGCTATTACCGGATATGGCACTAATACTCCCCAGCAGCAGCAGCAGCAGCACCCCATGAGTGTGACAAGTATACTTGATTCGGGACCGCCATACTCTGTCATGTCGGAGGAGAAGCGGAACGAACTTTTGGATTTAATCCAGGCCAGGTTCAATGAAACAGGGAGTGGTTCTGTCAAACATCGCAAGGAGGCGTTCATGGAAGGCAATATGGACGCAGATAATCACATTCTCAGCCTACGCATGATGCAGACATACATCAGCTCCTACTGGTATCACTGCCATGCACAACTCCCCATCCTCCATCGGCCTACATTCGCGCCAGATAAAACGCCGAATCTCCTTCTCCTTGCGGTAATGGCCATCGGTGCCGTTACCCTTGATAACAACCGCGGTCAACACTTTACAGATATGGCATCGGAACTCGCCAACTTCATCTGCGTGCACTTGCGGTGGGAGCTATTCATGGACCCGGACTTTCGGCCACCAGCAAAGCTCTGGGTATTCCAAACCCTTTTACTACTCGAAACGTATGAGAAGATGTACTCCACGCGCGAGTTACATGAACGCGCACACATTCACCACGATACCACCTTAACACTGATGCGTCGCGGTAGCTCCCTAATTGGCCGCACTGCATTCAACTCGCCTCCATCCCCCTCAGATGGCCGACAGCGACCAGGAGCTCCGGCGTCGTCTAGCTCTGAGCCAGGACATGTTAACGAGTCGTGGCTGCGCTGGATTAAATCCGAGGGCACGCGAAGAGTTGCTTTCGCTGCATTTGTACTTGATTCAGCTCATGCGACTATGTTTGGACATTCAGTTAAGATGGCCGCCCATGAGATGAGGCTGCCACTCCCTTGCGATGAAACATTATGGTCCGCCAGTTGTCCTGCAGAGGTTGCCAGAGTACAAATAAACCTCAATGCTAACGGCTTCAAGCCAACCATGTTCCTTGATGGGTTAAAAAAGACTCTAAACGGCCAAACCGTGCGAACAAACGCTTTCGGCCGAACAATAATCATGGCTGGCTTGCTGAGTGTAAGCTGGCACATGAATCAGCGAGACCTGCAAGTCAACTCACTGGGTGTCTCCCAGGTACCTGGTTTCAGAGATAAATGGCGCTCGTCCATGCTGCGAGCATTCGATAATTGGAAGCGAGACTTCGATGAAGCTCTGGTTGAAGCCAATCCCACCAATTATCCACCAGGGGGATACCAACAGCGCCAGCAGAATCTGTTCGAGGAGGATGTCTTTGCTGAAACGAGAAATGTGCTTCACCATCTTGCACACATGGCTTCACATGTTGACGTGGTGGACTGTCAGATATTTGCTGGTGCTGCCCGACTACTTGGTCGTGCCATCACGCCTAGAGATTTTGGCTGTGCCCGAGAGAAGATGGTCGACCGATGGGCAGGCAAGGAATCGGCTCGAGACGCAACCTTTTACGCTCTAAAGTTCTTATCCCAGGTTCTTCTACGGAACGGCGGCGGAAGAGGAGACCATTCAGTTGGCGGGTCGAACATGAATGTGCCTGAATACTCTGCAAGAGAGGACTTCATTATGAGCCGACCATGGGTCATTTACTTCGCTGCCCTCGTCGTATGGTCGTATGGTTTCGCGCTGGACGGTCCAATCCAGCCACCTCCACCGGACCTCCCCCTGCCTGAACAACAGCGACATGACATGTATATCTTTCTAGAGAGAGTTGGCAGCGTTCGCCACCCCGATGACCTAGAGAATATACGTGATCGAAACCGGTGCATGGGTCTTCTCATGGTCCTGCGAGCAGACTTCCTCAACACGAGATGGGAGCTACTTCATGAGGCCGCAAACCTGCTAGGAAGCTGTATCGAGAAGTTAAAGGGCTCACCGGTTGTAATAACTCCAAGCAAATGAACTGATACAGATACATCTACACCCCCTTTTTTTGAGAAAAAACATGATGCTCATGTCTAACACCACCTTGCTTTACCTTACGTTTAATTATATAGAAATGTCCTGCGTTTGAGTTACCCACAACTTGGGATCCCAGATGAGCGCTCTCTAAACCTTCTCCTTTTCTTGTTTGCGTTTATTATATTTCTAGGCTTCTCTTCCGTTTTATATCTCCCATTTTTACCTCTCTGGCGCTTGGAGAAAGTAGGATTGAGGGGCATGTTCGATCCAGGAGCTGGGGAACAAAAAAAGGCAATGACTGGAATTGGTACATCAGGAAATTTCTCCTACCGATATTTTATATTCAGTTGAACTGGGCCATATTCTGCATTCTTTTCTTGACTGTTCCCGATTCTTGATGCGTCAGGGCTGTTGTGATTTCTTTTTTGATCGGGCCCATGTTGTCTATAATATCTTTGTCTCCGGAATTCTTGTAATTATATACCACAACCATCTAACGTTTGATATCTTCCCACCTGTAGCATTGTTTATCATGTTTACCATGTCTTCAAGGGATAATGTTGTGGTGGCGTGTGTTTTGGCGCCGTCTCCCATGGCAACCAGGATGTCGCCCACGATAAGAAAAAGGGCTGATAATAACGGGCGAGAAGCCAACAAACCCCTTGAATAAAACACATCGTCAACCAGCTCCAACTGCACCGCCGTCAAGCACTATAAACGCGACCTCAGTCCAGTGTCATACCCTATCGCGCTCTCATCCAAAAAAACAGCGGAAACACAGACAAGAACCATGGTACGTGAATGCTTCGTTTCCTGACTCCGTCCGCCCGCCCAGCGAAGAGAAGTCAGCGCTGGCGTTGCCACTGTAAACAGCCCTCAGGCTTTCTCTGGAGTCTCCTGATACTGTCAACGCTGGCTGGCGACTGCGTTTCATGTTGTCCTTCTCGAGATACAAAGCACAGCGTCCTCCCCGTGACTCTCGGAGAATAAACGAGCACCTGTTTTCTCATCCCTTAACCCTTGCCATTTGCCCGATTTCTCCTCTTCTGCTCGCTTTCATTTCGAGAATAAACGAATATCTAGACGAGAAACGTTGAAGCATCATGGCACAAGCTAACGAGAACCATCACAATGGTGAAAAGGCATCCACAAACTACAAGGAAGCATTCTCCCTCTTCGATAAGCGAGGAACCGGCCGTGTCTCGCTCGAGTCTCTAGGCGATTTACTTCGCGCGTGTGGACAGAACCCTACTCTTGCTGAGATCAGCGATTTGGAAAAGGGACTTGGTGGAGATTGTGAGTTGATGCCTATGTTGTTGTTTTCTGATATGAGCGTGGGTGCTAATCAGTGTTGGATTGTTCCCTATCTAGTTGATTTCGATGCCTTCTCCAAAGTCCTTAACCGACCTGGTGGATTCCGCGACCCCGGAGAGCCAGAGGAATACTGCCGTGGATTCCAGGTTTTTGATAAGGATATGACGGGCTATATTGGCGTTGGACAGCTACGATACAGTAAGACCATGGCCCGCTGGAACTGATCTAGTCTGCATGACAATTGTGGTATCGATATGATGCTAACGCCTTTCTCCCTTAGTTCTAACCAACCTCGGTGAGAAAATGTCCGATGAAGAGGTTGACGAGCTTCTCAAGGCCGTTGACACCAGCTCTGGCGAAATAAACTACACCGGTATGCGATATCCATCTCTCTTATAATTAACCTTGGACAATCAACTAACATCATCCTCCCAAAGAGCTCGTCCGAACAATTCTCGCCAACTAAACCATCCGTCCCTATTTAACCATCTTTCCTTATTCCGGCCTCGGTGTTTTATGCGTCATGAATATATTATTTTCGAAACTTATTTATGGATAGGGAAGGAGTCCAGAAAACCGTCACACGACGTCCGAAGATTGCTCATTTTGTGTATCTTTCTTTGCGGAGGCGGTAGAGATTGGTGTCTGGGCTTGTTTATTGTTTTGTGGAACCGCCATTTTGAAACTGCTTGCTCACGTATGCACTTAATTATCTATCTGTACTCTACAAGGTTTCCAGTATTAGTATACATCCGACTTTTATCTCCATTTCCTGCGCCATAAGTCATTATCTTCATAATATTATCGTATTAAAAGCACCAACGGTTGAGCTGGTATGGGCTACTTCGCCTTCTTTGCAAGGGATTCCCACTCAGCCCATGCTTCTTTTTCAATCTGCACTTCCTTCCCTAGTTCGCTTGTCTCTATCAATGCACCTGGCAGAATATAAATAACCTCCAATTCCCCCGTCCCTGTCGTATTGCTCTGTTCCCCAGATATATCCGTTTCGGTAACGGCTTTCTTGTCGTCTCCCTTTTTAAAATGAACCTCATCCAAAACATATCCAAGAACGACTTTACAGCGACCACATCGGACTAGTAGCCGCTTCTCAAACCCATCTGCTCGCCGGAGAATGATAGGTTTCCTGTCTGGCGTGGTCGTGGACAGTAAAATCGTGTAATGCTGTGACGATGAAGCAGAGGACGAGGATACGGCTTTCTTCGCCCCGGATTTCAGAGTTGCTGATTCCATTTGTCGGGATATCTGTGCCTCCCTTTGGTCTTTCCCTTCATCCCCTTCCTCATCGCTGCTATCGTCCTCTTTCTCTTCTTCGTCCTCCTCCTCGCCTGTCGGCTTCGCCTTTGGCAGTGGAAGTATTATTGCATTGTCTAAAGCTGGAGCTCGCCTTCGCGGAAGCGTAGACAAATCCTGCGTTGACGCGATAAGGAGATGGTTGCAAAAACTGCAGTGGTACGTTCTTATGGGTATGCGGGCGCGGGACTGGCCCTCTTTTGTCTGTTCTTCGTTAATCTCGTGCGGCCGTGGAAGAGAGGATGATGTTTGCGTGGGGGCCTCCTGGGATGCAGCGGTCGCCATAGTATCCTAAATTTCAACCGGTATAGCGCTGAATAAAACGTCTGGCCGTGGATGATTTCTTGCGATATCTCGATCTCTTGATATCAATATGAAGCTCCATATCGTCCCTTTCCGGATTAGGCCGCGACTCCCGCCGCTTTTCGTCCCTGCTGACTCATCAAACTCCTCGCCGTTTTAACGCCAGGCTACAATTTAACTTCAACTTTACTTTTTAACTACAACTTTACGCTTTTACAAGTTTACGCCTTTACATCACGGAGTAGCCTCTGGTTAAAGGCAGGCCTCCCTATCAACCCTTGCATTCTTCTCTCCTTTATTTGTTTTGATCAAGCTGTCTGCAAGTTATATGTCAGCCCACAAGGTCAGGAAAGTTCTTGCTTAATATTGACATCTAGAGTTACAGGCAGAGATATCGACAGACTATAGCAAAAGCTAGATACTTATTTCCGCTGGACTTCGAGATACTCCGTGCCCTTTACCATGTCCACCATTTCTGATGAAGGCCGGTTAAACCCGCTTTCACTTCCCGAAATCGTTGGAATTGTCATTGACAATGTTCACGTGGTGCCGGAGCTGCTAAACTGTGCCTGTGTGAACTCAATCTGGGACATGATAGCTATAAGAAAGCTCTACGAGGGTTCCCCGAATGATATGCAGTTTCGCACACCGGACATTGGTTCTCTTAACTGTCTCTTTGTAGCATCACGAGAACGCTTTACCCAGAATATGCAGTTTGTGAGGCACCTTCATCTCTCCCCGGCACTCCCCACAACCGACGATACCTGGCTGCCATTAAAAGTCGTTTCATTCCCTACGATGTCATCAAGCAAGATTGGTCTCTCGTCTCCGATCTTCTTCTTCCTCCAACTGTCGAGTTTTTAGCAATTGATAACACCTACTGTGGGCTCTTCACGACTAGCTCCACTTATCCCCAAGATATGATCAGCCCTGTTGTGAGTTTCTGTCGAGTCAAAACCCTTCCTAAGATGCGGTATCTAATCCTAATAGGATAAGTTTTTAAACTTAAAAGCACTTACAGTCTACATATCAGACGTTTCTCGAGGGTTTGATGAGATTTACTCATTGCTTGAACGTTGTAGTTTGCAGTTTTTCCACTTTAAGAAACGGAATAATGTTCAAAACATCACCCCATCCGATAGTACGAAGCTACTATCGTACATTCGACGACAACAAAATCTCCAAGCGATAGTGCTAACCATCTCCGATTGTGGCTCAATTCAGGGGTCTGCATACCAGGCATTGACAGAAAAGGAACGAAACAGCCCGTGGCCAAAGCTAAAAGCGTTATATCTTCGAGTGGGAGACTGGGGATGGCTTAATCAACTCCCAGAGTTGAAAGGGCTTCAAATCCTCAGCCTACAAGAGAATGAGTCTAGAACCTACGCTATTAATGAGCTTGCAGTTGAGAAGATTGCGGAATGTAGACAACTACGCGTTCTTAATGTCTGTCTTGGTGGACCTATTGGTTTAAAAATGCTTCTTGATATTGCCCATGGCTGCCCGCTTTTACGAATATTCAGCGTGCAAGGGCTATGCGCTGAGAGGGTACAAAAGTGGGCAGAGGGCCACTTTTCGAATCTTTTGCGCGCTTTGCCTCTTCTAGAGTTGCTTTCACTTAGTATCAAGTGCCAGATGTGAAGCTCAGTCCTCCAAAAAATTGCACTTCACTGCCCTCGGCTGCGCGTGCTTCACCTGCCCGAGCTGAATTATGCATATCTATTATGCAAATGATAGAAACCCGTCCACTCTGCCGGGTAGAGGCAATGCGCTTCGCATCAATACGGATCGAAACCCCCCAGCAATTTATGCAGCAGACAAAACCCAGGTCTTTATAACGGAATGGCGCAGGATATTCCCAAAAGTTCGAGGGGTCCCGTGCTTGGAGGACATTTTCAGTGACGAGCAGGAAGGAGGCGATGATGAAATCATTCCGTCTGACTTTAACGACAACGAGCCCGACTGGTTTATTCTACGGACAAAACTTTGGAGGGCTCTTGGCTATAAAAGGGACTTCCTCGTTGATAAAAAGACTCGAAACATGTTGGTGACGAATGTAGAGATTGAGATAATGGGTTGGCCTGTCATACCTTCAGAGACGTTTTCCAATCCATGTTTGTACTCTACAACAGCTACAAGCCCACAGAAGAGGTTTGCGCGATAACATGAGCAAATAGATTTTCCAATTTACAAAAGAGCAGGAGTAGTGCCCTCTAGTATCCTCTAGTCCATTCTAAATTTCTCCTTTTTCTTTCCCTTGCTTTTTCAGCTTTAATTGTACAGTAGTTATAGTACAACCACTATATTCGATTCCCAAAACCAGAGTAACACGCATAAATATTTTCCAAGGTGCTGATTTGGAGTAAGTTGACTTTTCGTGCGTCCACACCACGTGTATACCTATACCTATACTTCGGAGGTGAAGTTCAATATTAACAAGGATCCTTGGATAGCCAAAAAGGGGCAACAGGCGAGGAAACAATCCACTTACTCAAATACAGACCCGCCAGTTTTGCCCTCTTCATGTGCTCTTCTCTTCCCTCAGATTTTCAGCCAAGGATAGTCGCCTTAATTCATAGGCCATTGTCAAAATGGTTTCACCATCCTGTGTCAGAAATGCCGCACGGAATACCTTGCTGAGACGTTTGAGCCGCGCTTCTCACATACCTACAATTGGCCGTGTCCCACAATTAGTGAAGTGGTCACGTATATCATGCGTTGTTGCTCCGTTAGATTGAGCCTTATCATCCATAATAGTCATATCATAGTAAGGAAGTAGATCGAGGCGGTCGCGTAGCTTGAGGCTTCTTTCGGGCTCTTTGCGCAATAGCTGAACCATTTCTTGCCATGCAGTTTCATCGCTGTACGAACAACGATAAATTACCCATCCTCACGTAAGGGGCTCCTTCAAAAGTTCTTTGATAAGAGGGCTATCCATTCGTCGGAGGGTACCTCCGCTGTGCCGCGAGAAATGGGTCATTTTTCGGTAATTCGTTATAGGTTGGAGTTGAGAGCACAGTGGTTGAGGGTATAGTAACTGGGTGGCTGATACTCTGACGGATAAACTGGTTATTCCACCAACCGAGTCTGGCCAGAAGCTCAAATCTATTATGATACCCCCGGTCCAGAGTGGAGTACTGGTGCACAATACAATTTCTGCCTTATTGTTGATGATATATGTTTAGAGTCACTAAGGCATATGCGCATGCCTGTTGTAAAGCTACTTTCAAAGTAGTTTGGTGGGCGACAGCCTGGGGATAGGGACTATGCTAGATTTCCCCCCTGGGAGGATGGTGAGACGGGATGCGGGGAGGAAGATGTTGGCTGGATGTATATGGAAGTCTTAGATTATATTTCGCATTATGACATGCTTATAGAGATGGATTGCTGGTATGACCTGTATATCCGGCCACCGTTTATTGGTTTTGATACAAACGCAAAAGACTACCCTGGCCACTGGCGCAAAGGCTAGGCAGAGATGGGGTTCTGGTAATTATTCGCAATGCTTCTATACATCATGCACCTTTATACCATTGACTTGAGCATTTAGAACAGCATAAGAGGTTTATCTTTCTTCTCCTTTTCTCTTGCTATCTCTAAACTACGAATGTGAAAGCATTAAAATTCCTCCATATTAGGATTGCAGGGTTTAAAGGCAGATAATGCTTCCATATCCTAGCCACAGCGCTATAAGGGGCCAGCGTTGTTTTCTCAGTCAACGCACCCGTACAGTATCTTCCTCACCCGTCCACAGTTCATCTCTCCACTACGTATCCGGCACAACTTACCCAATGCAGTCCCTGGGTCTTAACGTACTTTATAATATAGATATAATCTACAATCCCTATTTTTATAATAAACTTTACTTTGGATATACTAAGCTTTCTCATTTAAACTTAACTTAGTACAGCCTAATAAGTAGATAGGCTAAACCTAATAGTTTATCTCCGCGGGTTGGCCCGTGCTTGTCCATTCGCATAACTACTCCCGCACCGTGAACATGCAATACCCACCGATATGACTCTTTGCAATAGCTCATAATCCGAAAAAAAGGCATATAAAGAGTGAAGACGATTCAGTTCTGAATCTATGCAAGTCCAAGCTCCTTGTAGAACGCATCTGGCTTTGGATCGCGGCCGAGGAACTCCTTTAGAGTAGTCATTTCGTCTTGGCTTCCTCCCTTCTCGAGAACGGAGTAGCGGTATCGGCGTCCTGCTTTCTTGTCCATGGGGTCTTCTTTGAAAGCGGTATAGAACATGTCGGCGGAGTAGACTTGTGAGCTATTTAAATTGTTAGTATTTGATGTGGTAGAGAGGGGAGAAGAAGGAGGGGGCATACCTCAAGTAACCGTAATAGCCGGCATCGTAGCCACCCATGAGATGGCCAAAGGTAGCCTCTCCATGGCCCCAGGAGTATCCCTGACCGAGAACCTCAGGTCCGTCTAGAGAAGCAATTTCCTTTCGAAGCTTGTTATAAGTCTCTGAAACGTTCATGCCCTTGATCTCCTCGTGATCCTTGGGCTCGTGGACGGTCATGTCGAAAATTCCAAAGTGGAGCTGTCGTAGGTTAAACAGAGCTGCGTTGACGTGCTTCGTCTTGATGAGGTTTTGAATAAGCGCATCTGGAATCTCGGCGGCGGGGGCTGGCTTGTCGCCTGCATGCTCCTTCCAGGCCTGGAAGTATTCTGGTGAAATGGTAGAGTAGTGCTTGCTAAGCGACTTGAGTTGAGATGGGGTCCAGCACCAGTTCTCGAGCATTTGGCTGGGTGCCTCTACGAAATCACGGACTGTGCTGGTGCCGTGGAAACGAGAGTAGATGGTCTTTGAGACGAGATCGTGGATTCCGTGACCAAGCTCGTGGAAGAGGGTGACGACTTCGTCGTGTTTAAGGAGACTTGGTTTCTTCTCGGTTGGCTTGGAGAAGTTGCAGACCAGTGCAGTGGCTGGGTAGCGACGGGATCCGTCTTTTTGAATGAAGCCCTATTTTCCATTAGCTTGGGAGAATGTAGAGATGTAAGAGTGGTGGGCTAAACATACCGGCTGCAAGTTGAAGTTGGCAGCATGACCATACTTGCCCTCGCGTGGGAAGAGGTCAAGATATAGGTATCCGACGAACCCATTTCCTTCACCCTCGTCGTTCCAGACGCTGAACACCTGCACCTCATCATGCCAGACGATATCCTCTGCCTTACCAGAGGTAGAGATCTTGGCTCTCTCCTCACCCTGGATCTCAACAAAGACAAGGCCGAAGATCTGCTCGAAGATCTCCAGCATGCCGCGGATGGTAGTTTGAAGCGGGAAGTATTCGGCGATCAACTGATGGTCGAGCTGGTAATCCTTCTCCAACATCATGCGGTCGTAGAACCTGTGGTCCCAGAGGAAGTAATGTCCGTCGAATGCCTTGCTTTGAGCTTCGAGGTCCTTCTTCTTCATTGCCATGAGCGTCTTGATCTCTTCCTTACCACCATCCGTCAGCCTAGAGCGTAGATCACCCAAGAAGTCATCGACCGTCTTGGGGGTTTTGGCCATCTTATCCTCGATCCTGAAGGCGGCGTGGTTAGGATAATTGAGGAGTCTAGCGGCCTCGTCACGAAGGACAAGGGTCTCCTTGAACAGTGGGATGTTCTGGTTACACTTGTTCTCGTTGGCGATGGTCACCGTCTTTCTGGTCTCCGGGTTGGTAGCATATTTCAGCGTCGGGAAGAGATCGGGATACTTGAAGGTCAACCGTAGCTTGCCCTCGTTCTCGCCCTCACCCTTCTTCAACCCAGACAACACATCCTCGGGGACACCATTGAGTGCCTCCCTAGTAAACCAGAGCCCACCATTCTCTTCGTTAAGGTTCTTCTGAAACTCAAGACTAATCTCGCTCAACCGCTTCTTGATCTCCTTGAACCTATCCCGCTGAGGCCCAGCAGGCAACCCAAGTCCGTTACGGATATAATCCTTATGTTCCTTCTCAAGCAACTTCTTCGACTCGGGATCGAGCTTCTCATCCTTCTTCACCGCCGCGTCGACAAGCTTATACAGATCTTCACGCATGGACGTCTCGATACCGAAATCGTTCATCAGCCGCTCTGCCTCCGTCGACGCATCACGCAGCTTACTATCCGTTGAAACAGACTGGTAGAAGCCTAGGATATGTGATTCGAGAGCCATGGTGTTTTCATCATGGGCTAGAGGAAGTATGACTTTATCGAACGTTGCTGTCTCTGCCGTGACGTTGGCGGCGACGGCATCCTGGATACCACGCGAGAGCTCGATCAGACGCTTTGTATCTGCCACGACGGACGCGGGCGTGCCCACGAACAGCGGCGGGGCCTGAGGCGGTGTTCGCAGAGCTGAGGGCGCCATTGATGCTGTGGTGAGCGGTCGTATGGCGGACGATGCTGTCGATGCTGTCAGGGCTGATGTTGCTGAGTAGAGGAGGACGGGCGAGGGGGAGGAGAAGGAGGTGGCGGGGCGGGCGTTGCGCAGAGGCAGCAGCCTTAAGGCGGGGAAGCGCAGTGAGGGAGCCAGGATGAGGAAGATCCCAAGGAAGAGCGGGATCGCGAGCCAGAAGGGAGAGAGACGGTATCTCGACGTCGGCGCCAGAATGAAGGTTGTCTCTGTAGGGGCTTGACAGTAGATATGCCACCCTTGTGTGAGTGTATATATACGTATATATATGGTTAATGAGCGTGTCTGCCGGTTATAGTCACCATGTAGCTGCTTTCAAGCTATTCTGCATCTTTGAGCTCTTTCAGCCTATCTCACACGTAGCAGAACTTGTATAGCCAAGTACTTACGTAAGTATAGCACTAGGCATTAACAAAGGCATTAAAGATAGCATTATAGCATTAGGATAGCATTATAGCATTAGGATAGCATTATAACATTAGGATAGCATTATAACATTAGGGTAGCATTATAACATTAGGGTAGCATAAGTATTATCTCGAGCATCACTAGTATTGGAAGATTGAAATTGTGACCCATGCTGTTTTTAACTATTTCACAAACAATTGTGACCTGCCCATTGATTCCCAACTCCAGAACCCAGGCAAAAGAAAGAAAGAAAATACAGGAATATTAAATGGAGGGAGCGATCCCAGCCATCAGTCGAAGTCGTAGCCGTTCGTGAAGAGGTAGGAAAGGAAAACGTGAGTTTATCCATTCCACGACGGGAGGGGAGGAGATAAGAGAGGAAGAGATATTATCATCGGAGACAAGTCAGCCATCTGTGGCTGTGACATGACTCAAGACTACGCAAGGAAACAAACCAAATCGTTAACCATCATATCTAACAAGGAAGCAAAAACCAAGGTGGAAGGGCAACGTTAAGCAGCGCCGGCTGACGGGAACGACTCAGGGATCTTGGTCACCTGTGAACCGGCACGGACGATACGCTGGCCCGACTCGTCACGTACAAAGTCGACTTCTTTGTTTTCCTTCTGGGCTCTCTTCCAAATCTCGACCTCGCAGCCACCGCGGATGACGCCCACACGCATCGTCGAGAGTAGGTTGTGTGCGGCGTTGGAGTGGTTGTATACACCGCCGTTGAACATGGCGGTGGCGTCCTTGCCGATACCAGAGTTGATCATTGCCTTGCCGCCGGGGTGGTCCTTGATGAAGTCGGTGACATCGTGGACGACACCGGCAATGGCAACCAGCCCACGGCCGTTCTTGGACTGCTCGACGTAGTCGTCCCATTCCATGACGGGTAGCTGGTCGAGAGGCACGCCCCAGTCGAGTTTTGCACGGCGCTGGTCGATCTTCTTCTGCAGCTGCTGGACACGGCCCTTTTCGATCTCGTTGGATCGGAACTGCTTGAGGTCAAAGGCGAGGCCGAGCTGCTTCCAGGTCCAGATGGTCCATTTGGTGGGGTCGTACTGGTGCCATTCGATGGCATTTCGGTAGTCGGAGGGGAACTCGTGGTGGAAGTTGTGGTATCCTTCTCCCAGAGTGACGAGGGCGGTGATGACGTGGTCGCGAGGAGAGTTGCGGTCGTCAAAGGGTTGGTCACCCAGCCAGTGAGCGAGCGAGTTGACGCAGAAGGTGGCCTGCTGGACGAAGAAGATGCGCAGGATACCGGCGTAGACGATACCACCGGCCCAGTCACCCCATCCGAGACCGCTGACGAGCATGGGGAAGATGAGACCCATGAAGATGACGACCTTGAGGTAGTGCTTGTGCTGCCAGATGACGACGGGATCTTCGTTGAGATCGGTGATGTCGGTACGTCCGATGCGTTTGGGGTTCTGCTTCATGACCATCCACCCGATGTGGGAGTAAAGCAGGCCCTTGCGGACTGAGTAGGGGTCCTTGTCGGTGTCGGTGTATCTGTGGTGGGCGCGGTGGCCGCGAGCCCACCATCTGATAGATCCTTCAACGGCACCACCGCCAACAGCAGCCAGGTAGACTCTGAGCGGGAAAGTGGCAGAGTACGAGCAATGTGCCCATAGACGATGGTATCCTACAACTGTCAGTTTCACCCTCTCCCCATAACTAGTATCTCATCTTCTTCCCATGATAAGGATATAACTCACCAGCTGTGATTCCCAGACCGGTCATGAAGTAGTAGACAACCGCCCAGACGGCCGTCTTGAACTGTAGCGGCACCCACAGCGCCTGTACGCATCCCAGGAAGGGAACGAGGAGGATGAGGACGACGTTAAGCCAATTGACATGCTTGTGCCAGTTGGCGAGAGTGATCTTGGTGTCTGCGATGTGAGGTTTCCTGGCCTCAGCCTGAACCTGTGGCTGTTCGGCCGTCGACGGACCGGCGTCGGCACCCATACTGATATCTATATCAATCGATTTATTGGAGATGTCGATGTGATGGAGATGTCGATGGGAGCTGGCGGGCTGGCTGGCAGCAGATATACCAGGCTATACCATGGAAGACGGCGGAGGGATGATGGAATGGTCGTCTTGCTTGGAAGTGAACCAGAGAGAGTAACCAAGGGTGCAGGCGTCACTATATATCATGGACAAAGTGCCCGCGGTGGCACCACGCCCGCCGGCTGCTTCGCTCGCCTTTTCCCGGTCTCCTCCTGCTTTCTCTTGTCTGTGGACTTTGCTATTGTTGGGGCGGAAGTGGAGGGACAAGCTTTTGCGGTGCCTGGCGCATGCAGGGGATCGCGTATCGCCCTTACGTATTGTCACTCTCTCTTCTCTCTATAGTATAACATCCATCTTGGGACAGCCATCATCTTACCCCTTTATCTATACTTATCCTCAGTATCAGCGATATCTATACATAACTGGCGGTGGTATGTCCTGTTCGAGGTGGTGAGTGTCGTCGGGGTGACAGGACGATACCGCTTACGTGATGTATGGCCACCTCTTCCGCCCTTCCAACGGCGGCCAGGCCTCCTCCCAACAAACACAAGCGACATGCAAGAGCGCGCATCTTCTCACCTCCAGTCGCCACAGCCTCCACAGCCTCCATGACAGCCTTATCTTATCGCCCTGTCTCTCTTCTCTCTTCTATCCATACTCGTATACCGTATATCCTATATCCTATATCCGTTGTTCATCCTCTACGTATCCTATCCTATCTATGAAGTATAGACAACATCGACCAAAAGGGACTAGCGCCTTAGCGTCCCCAACAGAAAAAAAACATCTTTTCTTGGCGCTTATATAAGATGACTAAGCCGGAGGATGGCGGCTTTCTTTCCCAGCAGTCCCGATCTGGTAAGTGCCGAGGTTGGTTCTTCATATGTCCCTCCTTCATATGAACTACAAACTTCTACAAGGTGCATGGGACAGCTCCGAGGTACGGCATATTATTCCCCAGTAAAGTAGATAAGAGGCCGTTTAATGCCATCGTCATAGACCAACATTACACTGACCATCACGGAATATATCAATGTCAACACATGCACTGGATTTATGACTCCGCCGAGGCTCTTTTGACCAGATCTGAGTCTTGTGAGGATGGGAATAGTGAAGGGCTCAACAAAGCGTTGGATCAGCTGGCAGGCTACCTAGATACCGATGCGTCAACCCTGGTGGTACACTTATTAGGAACGGTCTTGCGGAAGACCTGGTGGAAGGACTAGACCAGCTTAAAGGGCGAGAGTGTACGTTGAGCGATATGACGCAGGCTTTATTGAAAGTGTTATACGCTCAACGCTCATGGCTATGAAAGGTGGCTCGACTTATGTAGACAGGCCTCTCGATCCTTTTGTTGAGTGATATGGCTTTAAGACTAGTAGCTCTAACGAAAAGTACATGTATACATGTCTAAAAGACTATCCTAGAGTTTCTTTGTGGGCTGTACCCTTTGCCTAGATCAGCCTGCCATAGATGATACATAGTTAAAGGTTCCACTAATGCTCGTACCAAGACGGCTCCTACCCGCAACTCTATTAACCAAATAACTTTCCATGCCTATCTGCCAATAGGTAGTAGGTAGCTAAAAATCAGTAGTAAGAAACTACTTCATAATATTTATATAATGATCAAGGGAGGCTGGTCAAGGATATATCCAACATATCCCTCGTCCCACGTTAATTCAAAGGTTACAATAGCGATTGGAGGATCAGTCACTGGCTGTCCGTTCTGTCACCTTCACCCACATATCTGATATGATGAAAAGTCCTAGGACATTCACTCTTTTCCACGGACGGGCTGGCTTGACAAGTGTGAGCTCGAAGTTACGCAGCAGCTAACCATGTCAGTTTATGTTGATACGGCACCAGGGACGGGTAATGCAAAACATACCTCGAATATCGTCTTTCCAATCTCAACCTCGGCGATAGCCTTTCCTAAGCACTGGCTCTTTCCTCGATTGTATACCGTCTCGATGACGCTAGTCATTTCAGCGAGCTTATCGGCATCTTGTGGGAACCACCTCTCTGGTCGATAGTAATCAGCATCGTCACCAAAAATTGCCTTGTCCCGATACATGGCAACCGCGGACCGCGCAATGGAAGTACCACCGGGTAGGAACATAGGCTTGCCATCAACGACAACCGTGTCACCACCAGGCGGGACTTCGCGTGCGAAGAGACCATCAACCGGTGGGCAGATTCGCATGCTTTCCCGTATCGTGGCTTGGAGATATGGAAGTTGCTTGGCCTGGGTACTGCTGATGAGGCCGCCTCTTGCGGGTGGAGCTTTGCCATCACGCACCGCACTGTCAATTTCATTTTGCAACTTGGTGTATACTCGGGGGTTGGTTATAATATGGAGGATAGTTCCACTGATGGCACCAAGGGGGTTGACAGGGCCCACAGTCATGAATATAAGTGCCTCTGAACGAAGGTCATCCCCCACAACCCCGTTCCGGATAAAGGAAGCCAACATATCGGTATCCTTGTCGGTCACACTCGCAGCACGCTTGTCCACGTAGGAGAAACATTTTGACATGAATTTGCCGAAGCCTTCTTTGTCTTTAAGAGATGGTAAGAACAACCAGCCAATGAGAGGTACTTGAGGCAGCCAACCGATACCTAAGGCGAGGGAAGTAGCCCACAACGCAAGCGCTTCTTCAATAGCCTTGATACAGCCATCTATATCGGTGTCACTCTTGAGGTTGCCAAATGCCTTACCTAAGGAGATAGCGCTGATGCTATCGAGAAGAAAATATTGAATCTTTCTTGCTAAATCCACGGGTTTTATCTCGGTGCCGTGTGAAATATATTTCGACCTAATGAGGTCTAGCAGTTCTTGGAGATGTTCGTTTATGATTGTTTCAATGTTGGGATTTTTAATCAGAGATGCCTAGTAACAAACGTTAGCCAGTTCTTTCGAAGATCCAGAAGTTATTCATACACCTGGAGCCAGCTGCTTTCTCCTTTGTTCATGTTTTTTGGTATCAACCTGTGTGAACACACTATCCTGTCTATGCTCACTGCGTAGGGGTATAAAGAACCAAGCACAGCGTTTATAGCCTGGCTTGTTATTTACATGAGCCCATACGTCAGGAGAAGACGAAATGAGAAGGTTGGGTGCAACTCGAGTTATTGGCCCTGTCCAGGGTGGAAATAAATCAGCTATTTGCAACTTTCATAATAACAAGAAATTTATAAAGGTATTGCCTACCATACGTCTTGATATTCTCTGCATACCACTCGTGACATTCATTCCCAAGCAAGGCTATGCTGTGTGGCCAGTCCGAGACACAAGCCCAAAAGGGGCCACCAAAATGCCGCAGCCTAACAAACACCTGAACCTTCCATATAGCGTAGATGCTGAAGAAGGTAAGTAGGATATACAACGGAGTATTTTCAGAGCTTGGAGTCAGGATGCCCATAGCGAATGGAAGCCGAGATTCAACGGTAGGTAGCATCCCGTAGAACAAGGGCGAAAACCTAGCCTCTGGCGTCAAGCTTTATCAGGCCCTCCGTAAGATTGGGGCAGCGTAGCAAACACGGCCTATCTTGACGGTGAAATGGGGAGCTTTGAGAGATGTCGAGCTTTCAAAATATTTTTGAGGGAGCGCTCTAGGGATCCCACCCGGCCACCTCGACCCCAGCAGAGTCCATGTCATTTTCATGGTATCATAATAGGGACCCTCTTCGTGGCTTTCATGCTTGTCGTCGTTTTTGAACTGGCACAAAGTGTAAGACTACTTCAAATAGTACCTGCCACGTCAAAGATTTTAAGTTATCTCAATAATAGGCATGATAAATGAAGTTTATGGGGGTCGCTCAGCCAGTCTAGTCGTCGAATGTGTGACTTTGATCAAGGGTGGATCTTGCATATTTAATATGCAACTAGTACACCAAGTATAGAGATCCAGCCACCCACACCGATGATATGTAGGTACTTCGCACTTATGCAGCAAAAGGAACGTTGTTGTGTGCTGACCGCATAGTGGGATGTCGACTGCCAGCAAGTTTACCGTCAGTCACTATATTATACCTTGCACTTATAATATGAAATTGTGGAGATATCAATCCGAGTTACTCTGGGGGGCATAAGTAAGATTAAGTTGGGACTTTTAAGTTGTATAGTCTAAAATATAGGTTGAAACGGTAGGTTGAGGAGTGTTGTAATATGGTGGTTAGGCAAATATGGAAGGATGATTGGTCTTCAGTTTTCATGATTTTGAGTAAATATATCGGAAAGCTGGTAACCCTCTTCCCTTCCTCTTTATATTAGCTATACGATACCTTTTTCAAGGTTCCTTGATGAATCATATGTGTCAAAGGACTAAGACTAGGAGTAAGCTCAAGGTGAAGATCGAGCCTCAAAGTCTCATCTCGAGTACCGCGGATCCGTTATATATAGCCCAGGTTTTGAGCCTCATGAGCCGCCCATCAACGGTATTAAGCAGTGCATCCCGTTCTTTTTCGCTTCGAGAGTGCGTGTTCAAGCTGGTGATCATACGTAGGTCCAGCATATCAAGAATGCGAGGCTGTAGAGTATAGAAGTTATATGGCTCCCATCTTATCCTATCTTTAACACCTCTTGAGAGCATCACTGCTTTTTCAGCTGCAGACGCCTTATTTCCTACTTCTACTCTGGGTTCTCCCTATGTACCTATCTACCTAACTTAGGCAGGCTAAGATGGTGTACACTCAGAGGGCATTGATCTCGAGAGTCGAGACCTTGGAGTATCTGATTCCGACTATCCTCGCAAACTTAGTGGCTGAGGGAATAGGCGTGTCTGCTTAACTCAGATTCCACCAAAGTATATTATTGTGCTCCCCTGGAAGAGACTAATTTTTCTATGATCAACAACGCATCACAGGCTTGCGTCCTCTGGTGGAGCGATTTCTTCCAATGAAGCCATAACGCCAATTTTGAATCCAGGCAGGCCGTGCGCTATTGCATGCAATCCTCAGAGGGCTTGACGAGCTCCAGAGGCATGATACTCCGAACTGGGGAAACCTGGGGAAGCCTCAGCCTCGGAGAGGAGGGCTACATGTGTGATCTACCCCATCAACCCTATCAACTCGCCGAGGTTGACATCGAGAACAAAGAATATTCAACTCTATATAACTATTCGTACACCTCCCATTGGAGATTACATCATATATACACGGATAAGGCCACTCCTCCAGCCCCGGTCCAGGCTGCGTTATTTCTTCCCAACACTATCAGAGCACACACAGCAACGACGCCAATGGCGCGACCACAGTGCAAAATAGCGGATTAATGACGCCCATAGATGCATACCACGCCCCAAACGCCAAGTTTCCCAACAGATATGTGTAGAAGAGCGGTGCCTCGTACGGTCCGTCAATGCCGTGGTGGAACCACTTCAGATGCAGAATCACTGGGCATGCGTTAGTGCACGGGGAACAACTCTCCGCCTTCTGCATGTTAGTTTGGTTGGCTAGTTACTTACTAGCGACTGCGGGGAGGACCATCAAGTGCTGAAAGCATATGCCGATGATGTCGTAGATCTTGGTTTTATGGGACCGGAGCATGGGGAGGACCCCCTGGAAGCCGTACGTTGTGTGGACGATGATGGTGTAAGCGTCCAGGCCGAGGGCGAGAGTCGTCAGGCCCACACGCCATGGTTGAGAGAGTAGCATGTTGGATGTTGGATGTTCCGTTCTTTCCGGCAGTATAACGTTGGTAGGATGAGACTTTATTACCCCTTCCCTACATTCCTTGAGGGTTTATATACAGTCGACATCGGAGATCGGGCGATGTCGTCTAGCCGTGATACGATGCTCCTCTGACTACCCCTCGTTTTTCGTGTTCCTACCTCATAGTGACGCTGTCCATGGTCGTGAGTGAGTCTGGTGTTGCCTTCCTATCCGATTTCAACCTTCAATTGCCCAGTTCCTTAGCGACGCACCGGTTACTGCATCGGTAGAACTTTGCGATAGGGCTGGAAGTGAGTGGGGCAAGGGTTAAAAATAAACTCCCCGACATATAAAACCTTATTTTTGCGTCGGTCTGGGTTATCGGGAAATCCCGGGATGGTTATATACACTCTCCGTCACGCCGACTAACCGCGCGATTTAGATATCAATGTCGACTGACTCGTATTAGGAAATGTATAGAGACTCTGTTATACATCTCCTTCCACCATACTTCTCAGGAGGAGCTCGGTGTCATCCTCGCCCTTCCCTGGAGTCGTCGGGCCGGGCTCAGGTCCTGACTTGGCGATGTCGATAGCCAAGGAAGTATCTAGCCATTCGTCTTCCTCTTCTTCGTCCTGGCTATCCATTATTTCAGTGGGAAGGCACGCTGTGGCTAGCACTGGCTCGGCAGGTTTTCCACTCGCGCTTTTATCCTCATTCTCAGTCTCATGCTCCCCATCGTCATTGTCATTCCCATTGTCATGTTCAATCTTTGGCCTGCGAGGGATCTCCGATGAGAGCTGATGATCTAATTTCCGCTTCATCGGCTGGGGTGCCATATCCATACCGGCAGTTACACCGAGGCGTATAGATAGTTGCGTAAATTCAGAAAGACCCTAGAACAATTAGTGACAGATGGTAAACCCTTCTAAACGAAACATACCGCATCATGAACGAGAAACGGGACGATCCTCGTCACCACCCTAGGTATAATGGACATCATCCCAGCCTTGAAAACCTCCGCGATCCTAATCCGCTTCATCCGGACCTTCTCCCTCACCTCAGGGCCCAGCCAATGCCAATACAAGAGTATCCGCGTAGCTACATTAGTTTCCCACGTATAGCCCGATATAGAAGCGTGCAACATCGGTTTCCTGCCCGGTCGAAAGCGCGTAACCACCTCATTAACGACAATAACAGCACAGTCGAAACGGGAAGCAAGCCCGTTCAGATTAGAGGCTAGATTGCCTATTAATTTCCACCATAGTTTTGACTCTTGGCCATCCTTTGCCTTTTCTGCACGGCTCAAGTCGGCGGCTTTGCTTAACTTGATAGGTAGCTTGCTCCGGAATTCTGATCCGAAGAGACATGATATGGAGTCTACGACTATTAACCCTGTGTTAGCTGGTGGGAAGCCAGGGACAGGAAATGATATGAGCGTCATCAGATGCGCTAGAGTTGTTGGTTGTAGATGTAGTAAGTTGCGTAATAGGTCGTTTCGCTGGGTTGGTGTGTTGTTCGTCGACAGCATCTTCTCAAGTCGGGTTGCGCATAATGGGCCCGCGGTATCTGGGGATATAAGTATTTACTTTAATACAAGGGGAGAAAAAGTTCGCACCTATCCAGACAACTGATTCTCCTCGCTCGAGTGCGTTGACCGCAGTAGTCATGCTATATATCGTCAGTAGATATGGATACTAGAAGCCGAAATTACTTACGCTAAAGAAGTCTTCCCCGTCCCTCTCGGCCCAGATATCTCAGTAACTTCACCTCGCTGAATACCTGGCATCGAGGGAGGCTTTTCATCGGAAACATTGCCATTGCCATTGCTATTGCCATTGCCGCTATCGGTGACGGCACCGGCATTGGGAGCTAGCTGGCTCCATCCCTGAAGCACGAACTGTGAAGCAGCGGGTGCAGATTCGGCTGTGTTCGCGGCTGCATTTGCACTTTGTTTTGCTGGGGGTATCAGGGCTTTATCGAGGTGTGGGAGACTGGTTGATAGCGTATTTCTACCAGTACTCAGCGGTAGGGCAGGTACTTGTCTAGAGTCGACGTGTTGCAACTGGTCTATCACACGTTAGCAGATGTTATGTCCACCACGATTCCATACGTACTGGTAGGGGAGAGAGGATTAGCCGTGTCTCCGTTCATAGCTTACTATAGCCATCGAGAGAAGATACAGCGGTGTAGTCAGCCTCCATGGTTCTTCTAATTAAGACTTGCACAATACCGCGGACGCGTCGTGATAAGCTCGATAAGAAACTTTAATTACGACATATGAACATGTAGTAACGAACATGGCGAAGGAACAACGATACAAGTCAACTCCGTCTATTGCTTCTATCTAACATACAATTTTATCTATGAGTCCGCACCCATCTCCTCCTTCGCTTTTGCAACCACATCCACCCAAACAGGCGGTTTCGACCTTCGATCTGCCACTACATTTTCAACATCCAGTCCAAAATGCATGAGATAATCTTCACTCCCCCACTCTCCCGTCCCCATCAATCCGATAGGAATTTTCCCCTCGGTGTCTTCTTGCGCTATCTCCCCTTCGTCCTTGGCACCCTCCGGAACAACGAATCCAGCCGGCACATTGATAGCCGGCAGACCCGTAAAGTTAGCAAGCCAGATGTAATCCATCGTCTTGAGCGTTTGGTCTCCATCGCTAATGCCGTATTTCAACTCCTTCTGGTGTCGGATAGGCCAGCCTGCGCAGCCGGTGGTGGGCGTGACGATGATCATGCCTGGGTATTCTTTCCATAGCCAAGCGAGATGCTGCATTAGGAGACGACGAAGTTTCTGGGCAAGCAGGTAGTCTGTAGCTGGGGTTACGGTGCCTAGGCCGAGGAGGAGCTTGTTAGGGAAAGTCAGATTTGTCGTGTCGGGGAGCAAGGTTGCTGCGTCGGTGAGGATGGTGAGTGCGTGTGCGATTTGGCCTTCGATCAGGAAGGGGATCTCGATGGGTACGACGGTGTAGTTGTATTTGTCGACGATGTTGGAAATGGCTGAGCGGCAGAGTTTCTGGATTGCGGGAGTTGCTTGGGAGAACCACCCCTCGGGAACACCTAGGTATTTCTTCTCTGCAGACAAAGGTGCGAGTCTGGGGTGGACGGGCAGGAAAGGTGAAGACGAAGGAGGACAGCCGATGACGCGGTAGAGGGCAGAGAGGGACTGTAGATCTGCGGCTATTGGACCGTTGACTGCACAGGTATTCGAGTGGTTTGGGCCTGGATGATGGGAGATTCGATTATGCGAGGGTTTGAGACCGTAGACTGAACAGAAGGAGGACGGTATACGGATACTACCGCCGCCATCGCTACCCAGTGCGAATGGAATCAAACCAGCGCTGACCGCGTATGCTGAGCCAGAGGAGCTACCTCCGGTGTAGTATTTGGGGTTATACGGGTTCAGCGGCGTTCCGTAGTTCGGATTATTCCCCGACGTATCTAACCAGTCAGCACCATATTGCATTAAAGGTCAAGTAGAATTGCAGCGTGAACATACCAAGACCAAATTCATGCATGGATAGCTTCCCTAGGACAACTGCTCCAGCTTCCTCCAGCTTCCTCACACACCAGCTAGCAATGGTCCCCCCCTGCGGCGCAGGCTCATTACTGTAATCGTTCAACGAGCCCAAACAAGTCTTGTATCCATCCATATCATATTCATCCTTCACGGCCGTAGGGATACCATCCAACAATCCCAGCGGACACCCCTTCTTATACCGCGACGTAGACGCCGCAGCAGCCGCAAGAACCAGGTCCACCCGTGTCTCGAACCAGGCCGTCGAATGCTCGCCTGGAGGTGTAGTGTCGCGGCGTATCAGCGGTAATATCGCCCTAGCCACTGCGGTAGGCGTCAATTCACCGGAGAGGTAGAGGTTATGATAATCCTGGACAGAATAGTATTTCGCCGCCGGTTCGATGGCAGTGGACACCAGCTCTGGCTCTGACGACTCTGCAGGCTGCTCCGCGAGTGTCGAGGTTGGTACGACTGTTGGATCGACTCGAGGCTCATAGTCTTCTAGCTGTTTACGTATCTTTCGTAGACTTGCGAATCCGGCGTTTTTCCAGATGAGTTTCCGTATCATGCCCACGTATTCGAACCTGGATGTTATCAGCCGGCGTCCATCGGGAGGGAGGGATGAACTGACACGAAAGTAGCAACGAGCAGGACGAGCCCGCTCATGGTGGGATTCTGTTTCCTCTCATTGCGATATGCGACGTCTGGCCTGTCGTCTGTTAACGCGCGTCTAGATATGCAGGTACATCAACATACCCTCGCTTCGGCTCTGGATAGCTCAGGAACTTCTTCCCTTCCATCGTATTATATCGTCTTCTCTTCCAATTCTCGTCTTCTCTTTCAATTCTCTCTATCGTCGGGCTATCGTGTCTACCGTCGTCTATCGTCGACTGTTCAATAATACGGCAGTCAGGAGAGGACGGAGCGGAGGACTTGAAGCCGAGGTATCTTATGAAGCTGTTCCCATCCTTGCCCATAACAACATATACGTCGATCACGGACTCGTATACTCGGAAGTCTCTATCAGACTGCGGGATCAACGCGCTACGCTAAACGCCTCGACAGACGCTGAGTTTCCGTGCCGCCACAGGGCGCTGGATCGACCGGAAGGCTGAAGTAGCTCTTACTAATTGCCGGATAGGCTCGTACCCTTCCTTCATTCTAACCCTCATCCTCGTTCTCATTTATTTCATTCTCAGATATTCTCAGATATTCAAAGATAGAAGCATGTTTTTCATACGGGGCCTCGTCCCCCGCCTTAACCTGCCGGTCCCCGTGGCTCTGGCAATGGTATATATATTCTTCCTCGGCCCGCTCGTGCTGATGCTATACTACGAGCTGAAAAGCCGACGAGAACGCGCCCACACGCCCAAGGGATGTCGCAAACTAGGCCTACACGACAACCACTCCAACCTATCCGACGAAGCAGCCTACGGTACCGACGGGAACAAGGACGATAAGAAAGAGACCGAGGCAAGAGTGAAAGCGCTAATCATCTACCCGATCAAAAGCTGCCAGGGCATCGAGTTCAACCGGACTGAATTTGAAGATAGCGGACTAGCGTGGGACCGTCAGTTTTGTTTTGCAGAATATACCACCAACTCCGAGGGGGGCGGGAGATGGGACGCAAAGACCCTTCGAGATGGGAAGTTTAGTAGACTCGCACTCATCAGGGCTGAGATATGGGTTCCTGACCCGTCAAGTGAAGGGTACGATACACGACTTCGCTCGGTCAAATCAGGAGGTGTCCTAATCATCTATTTCCCACGGGACACTCGCTCTCTCTCCCTCTGGACCCAAGCAGCCATCCGTCTGGGTCTAGCCGATAGTGAAGAATTCTTCTCCATCCCTCTCAACCCACCAGACACAGACGAGTATCCTCTCGAATCTATACGGTTGTTTACCATCCCTACGAAAGGAACGCAATATACCACACACCTACCTGCGTCTCTTTCGAGGTTTCTGGAATGTAAGAAGCCGTTGAGCCTGTTTCGGGTGCATGCGTCGCATAGTCGTGTGGCGGGGGGGAATGCGCCTACCGAGCAAGAGCTGGGGTTCGCACCTCGCATGGCGTTTAGTGATCTATATCCGCTACAGGTGCAGAGTATGGGAAGTATTCGAGACATGGCTGGGAGGACTAGGTATGCCATCCCACATCTGAGCGTGAGGAGGTTCAGGCCGAATATTGTCGTCGAGGGGGTCGGGGCGTATGAGGAGGATGCATGGAAGATGGTCCGCTTGGTACCTGATGACGGAGGAGAAGAGGGGGTAGAGATACATGTATCGTGTCGGACGGTGAGGTGCAAGTTGCCTAACGTGGACCCTGACACGGGCGAGAGACATGCTGTTGAACCCGATAAGACGCTGAGGGGGACGCGGGCCATCGACGAGGGAGCGAGCGGAGGCTGTCTCGGCATGATGCTCGTCCCCACCAAGCCTAGTAAGTCTTCTCTATATCTTTATATATCTTTATATACTAACTGGGTAGGATTCACGATACGGGTGGGAGACAGGCTAGAGGTACTCTCTACCGGCAAGCACTTTTACAGAAAGTAGCACTACAGTATCTACAACATTATAGATGTAGTATCTACAATAGATAAGAGTAGAGAAACAAGTAATATAAACTGCCGCCCAACCATCTATAAACAGTATTTTTTTAGGTATAAGATCTATGACTTTTCCACCGTAACTCCAAAACAAAAAAGAAACTAATAAATATCATGAGAGACAGCCTCATGTATAGCCACCTTCGGCACCTGAGGAACAGGCAACTTCCGCTGCGTCCCATCCGCGCGAGTCATGATATCACTTATCGAGGGCCCCGAGTGAGCATGCGGCGTGTATGGCTGGGCGGTATGACTAGAGGTATCCGTCTGAGGCTCCATGGGCGCCAGGGCAGGCGTATGGCCCAGACTCAACTGCCTGATGGACGGCAAGTGCAGGTCCGGCGAGGCGTAAGAGTACGGACGCAGCCGGGGCGAGTGAGCGGGCGTGGCCAGCGGCGTGTGGTCTGGCGTCGGCGAGAGAGAAGAATGAGACAGGGTAGGCGAAGACGGTGCCGTAGAGTTGGGAGACGACGGCCTCGACCTCTTCGACCGGTGTCCATCCTCCTCTGGCCGCTGGGAGTGAGAGAGCGCATAGGCCGAGAGAGAGGGCAGCCTGGGCGCATATGACCTGCGAGAGAACGACTGGTGGGTGTCCCTCTCTACCTGGCTGGCGGCGGTGGCCAGCATGTTGATGTCCATGGCAGAGGAGGCCGGGCGGGCGTAGGGGTTGAGCGTACTGGGCATGTGTGAAGCGTAGGGGACGGCGTAGGAGTGCGGCGGCGAGACGTTGGGCGAGGCTGTCTGGCTGACGGGGGCCGACCTGACGAGAGGCTTGGAGTCCGGGGCGAGGTGTTTGCCTGGCTTGCGCGGGTTGTTGTGTATGCGCGAGTGGCGGGTGAGCTCGTCGGAGCGGGAGAAGCGTTTGGCGCACCCGGGGAAGAGGCAGGCGTGCGGCTTCTCGCCCGTGTGCGTGCGGATGTGTCGTGTCTGGTGCTCGAGACGGTGAAAGGCGCGGTCGCAGAGCGGGCACTTGTACGGCCGCGGCAGCTCCGGTTTCTCCCCCATCTCTTTTCTTCTCTTGTCTATTGTCTATTCTCGTATCTCTAATTCTCTTGTGTATGTGTTGTGTCGTTGTGGTGGTGAGTCGTGGTCGATAATTGTGTCAGAGTGGTGAAATTGTGTAAGTGTAGGTGGAGGAGGACGGTCTTAAGTACTCAGCCAGCCAGTGTCAGCGTCAGTGTCAGTGTCAGCAGGCAGGGTGCAGGCAGAGTGACAGGGAAAAAGCAAAGCTGGAGAAGGGCAGGAGGAAGATATAAGGGAAAGAGGCAGAGTTCTCGGCGGAGGAAAAGCTTGCCGACCCCACAGTCCCCTTTCTCTTCTTCCTCTTCCTACGCCCTTCCCCAGTGCTCTTGGCCCTTCTCACGCCACGTTGCGCCCGGCCAGCTCCCTACTCGCTTTCTCTTTGCCTAAGGGACTCGCCACCTACCTCGGCCTTACCCTTACTCTAGTCTACACTTGCTCTCATACTCTTATGCTCTCTCTTATGCCCTCTTATGCTCTCACTCCCTCATACACTACTCTTACTCTTACTCTCTTATGCTCTCTCTCTCTCTCTCGTGTCTGGTCTAGTGTCTGTCAGTCAGAAGTGAAACAGGCTTGGCCGGTCACGTCGGGGAGTCAGGGGATGGGGTCAGGCATGTCAAGGTACTCCGGATGGAGCACGGAGGCGGAGGACGGACTTTCATGTGCAGCTCCCTCTCTATCTCTCTCTCTATCTACGACTATCTACGGGGTATCTCTCTATCTCTGTCTATCTCTATCGCTATCTTAATACCTATCTATCTATCTTATATCTTCTTATATCTATCTCTATCTATCTACCTTATATCTTATATCTTCTTCGTATTGCCGTACTCTCTATGACATAATCACCCCACGCAGAGAGCAAAGTCTAATCACCAAAGACAAAAGACAAAGACAAAAGACAAAGACAAAAAGACATCATAAGAGTCCTTCTCTACTCCTTCTACTCTACCCATTCTACTCACTCCCTACTCTACTCATTCTTCTTCTCCTATTCATTCTCCTATTCATTCTACCTGCTCTACTCATTCTACTTATATTCTACTTATATTCAAACCATTATAATGCTATAATTCTACTCTAATTGCCTCTCACTTAATACCGCATCGGCTTACCGGCCTTGATCGAAATCATGGCCCCCCGCCAGCGCCCGTCCGCGCCCTCCACGACCCTGGATGACTCCCGGTCAGAGGCCTCGAGCACGCGCGAGCGTCCTGCAAAGGGACGGAAGCCTCCCCCCCTCCCTACCCTCCCTACCCTCCCTACGACCGACCCGATAGCTACGGACGTGAAGGAAGACCAGGACACGGCCTCGGTATGTCTCACTCCATATAACACTCCATACAATGAGTAGAGTAACTAACGAGATAGATCGACTGGTCCACGATGCCCCTGTCCGTACTGCACGAGTACCGCTACGTCTATAACCTGCCCTGTCCGAGCTCGTTCTCGTCCCAGATAAACGCCATCCTGCTCTCTCAGGGCGTAGGCCTGCGGTCGGCCACGGCCATCTCAAGACAAGAACAGGAAGAGGGAGGGGAAACACTGCATAGAGTGTCGAGGGGGAGAGTGTCCAAGGCGCGTCTGGCGGCGGCGGTGAGGAAACATTTCAATAACACGGCTATATCGGAGCAGGATGCGATTGCGCGGTTTCTGTATAAGGTCAATGAAGAGAGGAGGGGGAAGGAGTTTAGGCTTAGGTTTCAGCCGTAGCCTACGTTTACCTTACTTTACTACGTGTGTGTATACTATAATGGAAGTGAGTTGTAGAGTATGGGTTGTAGTTATGTCATGTTATTGTCTAACTCCCACTGGCCTGGGCCGTCCTATCTACTCTTCTACTTCACTTCCACGCATTGAGGCCGGCCCACGGATCAGGTTGAGACTGGTTTGCGCGCGAGGGCTGGCTGGGAGGGTAGCCGCTGGTAGGCGGAGGGTATCCCCCCTGGCCATGGCCGGGCGAGGCATACTGCACAGGCGAGTGACGCGGGGGCGGCGGCGGAGGCACGTATCCCTGCGGTAGATACTGTGGGGTATGGCTCTGCGGGATGGGCGAGGAGCCCGGGTAGCCGTACGCGGACGGGCTGGCATAGTACTGCTGGTGCGGTGGAGGGGAGGTAGGTGGTGGTTGATACAGGTATGCCATCGGGTTATATGCTTCTGGGTTCATGTGTTGGTGTTGATGTTGTGGTTGGTGTTGCGGTTGGGCGTATGGGGGGTAGCCTTCTGTAGGTGACATGCCGTTGCCGGTAGGGTAGTTGATGGGCGGGTAGCCGGTCGAGGTCGAGGTGGAGGTGGAGGGAGGGTACTGCGCTGTGATGGGGGAGCGGGAGGGAGCTTGCTGCGGTGGAAGGCCGTGGTGGGTGGGTGATTTGGCCGTATTAGAAGCTGTCGTCCGCTTGGGGACAGGAGGCGGAGGAGGAGCAGGCGAAGAGGTAGATGTCGGGTCTACTGAGAGCCGTTCCATCAGGTTCTTCAGCTTGTCTCGTTCTCGCTCTTCGTGGCCGGACGCCTGCGTGGCTTTGTCTCGCTCGATCTGGCTGAGCAGTTGAGCGCCCTCGGAGCGGCGGTTGTTGAGGAAGGCCTCGACGTTCTGCTGTAGGCTGTCTATCGTGTCTCGCATCTGCATGTAGAATGCCTGTGCCTGGCTGAGCCCGTTCAGCAGCTCGTTGAACGCCTTGTGCGCTTTCCTATACTTGGAGGTGACAGCGTTGCGCTGCTTGGTGAGGACCTCATACTTCGACTGCTCTGCCCGTACCCGCTTGTCCTGCAGCAGGTCGCCGTACACTTTTGCCAGGTCCTTCATCAGGCCGCTCTGTTTGTGGTTGGCCTGCAGCAGCCGGTTTTGATGCGGCCTGAACTTCTCCAGCTCCGTCTGGAACAGCTGGTCCTCCTGGTTGGCGATGGCCTTCTTGTTGAGAATAAGGACGTTGGATATATCGTCATTGTGAACCTACATAATCAGTTAATCCAGCACTGGTAGATAGATAGTCCAATATATCGAGCTCGACAGCAATCAATACTGATCGATAGAGTATCCAACATGAACGGTTTGACACACCTTTTCTTTCAAGTCCTTCAGCGTTTGCATCCTGTCTCGCTTCACCAGGTTCAGTTTCCGCAGTAGCTCTTCGACTTTCGCAATCTGGTCCGCCACAGACAGGCCGCCCTCCCCGTAGTCGGCCTCCAACAGGTTTCCCTCCAGTGCTCTGTTGCTGTATGGGCTCCCTGGACCAGCGCCTGCGCCATTCTTCCCTTGTTTCGAGCCGGCCGCGATCAGCGCTTTCTGGAACAGTATATCAGGCTCGCCTGCCTCTCCCGCAGATCGCATCTCTTCAAAGTCCGACTCGTGCTGCCTTAACGTCACTAATAGCTGAGAGTCGCTCGAGCTGGCTTCGTCGATCGTCTCACGGTAGCTTCTTATATCCGATCGCAGGGTCGAGGTCAAGCGGGAACTTGGCTGCTGGGTCCAGTCGGCGCCATACTTGGACCGCATCTTCTCGCACACGCTCTCCTCCGTATCTAGCTGTTTCGTGCATTGTTCCAGAGTGCTGAGGAGGCTCGCCTTGTCATCCTGTAGATCCTCGAGGGTGCCTCTGAACGGCTCCTGGCAGGACACCTCTTCACACCACGTCCTAAACTCTTCGTCCGCGCTCAACTCGTCATCCAGGCTTCCCTTGAGAATGTTCAGACTGCCCGGTAGCTTCAGATAGTCTAGACTGGCAGCCATCTCCCCATTGGCGGCCTCAACCTTCTCCGTTTCGGCCCTGACCAGCTTCGCCTTCTCCTCGTCGTACAGGCTCGCAGACTCGGTAACGGACATGGGGACGATCCGCTGGAAGATATCGGGCCCGATTATTCGCTGAATGTCCTGGCCCTGGTACAGTTCGCTTACGGGTATGGCTTTGGCGGCGGGGAGTTTGGCCACGGGAGACACGGCTGCCTCTGCCGGAACCTGTTGATGGTATATAAAATCATTGTCCTTCTTCATCGACGGTAGCTTCTCCTGAATCGTAGCCAACTGTCGCCGTACGATATCCAACAGCACGGGCCCGGTTTCAGAGGTGAGATTGGAGCCCGAAGGTACCGAGGATGGGAAGGTTTTGGCTATACTGATGGCTGCCGTCGACGACTTCTCTGCGGCCTGTAGTCGTGCAATAGAGACACCGTGCATCCCCCCTTCGTCGTCGGCAATAGCCTGGTAATAGCCCGCCAACGAAGACATGTGAGACGCCTTTGCGGACGTCAGAATCCACCACACCTTCTCGAATATCCCCTTGGTAACGTTTTCCTGCACCCCCTCCGCGGCCTGCGTGTATAGATGGGCAGCTTGACTGGCAAGCTTGGCTAAGAATCCCGGCTTCTTTCCATCGGCTATCTGCTTCTCGAGGAAGACTTCCTGGGCCTGGGCAAGGGTTATGGATATCATCGTCTTGACCGTATCCCGGCTTAGATCCGTGGATGGGGCGTGTAGGAAGTTGTCGTTGATGTAGGTGAACATGCCCGCGGAGGCCTGGAAGGAGTGGTATGCGGTCTTCAGGCCTGTATCTTCGGACCGACTCTGGTTCGCGGCGTGACAGGACAGGACGGCGGAGATGTTGAATATGATGGACGCCTTCTCGTACGCCAGCGAGTACTGTGAGGTTGCCTTGTGTGTGAACGCATCGTACCTAGTCGCAATCAACCTATATCAGCCCTGTATGCAGAGTATGTCCTCAAAGAAGCAAAACTGTACCAGGTAAAGGATATCTTAATATGGTTCTCGTCGACAGGGAAGCGTAGGTCCAACAACTCCAGCTGTCCGTAATATCGATAGAGGAGGTCTCTCCCGGAAGCGCTATCCTTGCCTGCTCCCCTCATGTCCTGTCGTAGCCGGTTCAGCGTGGCGCATTCCTCCGAATACCTCTCCGGATCATCGCCATATGTCTGCCTGATATATCCCTTCAGCGGTGCAATCCAGTCGATCTCGGCCGTTTGCTTGAGAGGGCACGATATCATGGGAGACTGCACCATCGTGGCGTTGGCGGCTGGGGCAGCCAGACTCCCCCGTTGGCAGCGGAACGACGAACTGCTCCGGGAGAGAGTACCGTGTACGTCCTGTAGCAATTGCAGGTCTCGAGTAGTATATACGGGGATGGACGATGCGCCTGGGTACTGTCCTGTTGGTTATATCGGCCCCTCGCTGGTCTGATGTGGGGGCGATAAAGCTGGTGTCGTCACCAAGAAGAGCGTCGGCCTCGTTCAGAGAGAGACAAGACGGCGACGCAGGGCGCCCTTTGAGCCGGTTCGGGGCGTTATCTGAGGCTCTTGAGGCAGATGTGTCTATCTGTGGGCGGTCGGGGTTCGGTCGAGGTTTTTCGGTGAGGAAGATGCATGAAGAAGTGCAAAGTTGCAGGATGCAATGGAACAGCGGCGGCGGGCGGAAGAAGGATGATCAGGACTAAGAAAGCCAGCCTATGACGATGGCGTGAATCTAGCTGCCTGGCATGCTCTTCTATTTGCTTGCTATTTTTACTATTTTTACTATTTTTTTATACTATTTTCTGGCTTCTCTGCTTCTACGACGCCGATTACTCGCATGATGCACGACTTGATACTGGGCAGAGTCGAGATATATCAAGAGTTACCCATGTCCGCGCACTCTCTACTGGCGCCACTATCACAGCCAGATCCTTGCTGCAAAAGTATCGCATCCGCCAAACAGGCTCGCGATGCTGCTCGACGGTCACAGATTGGCTGGATCCTCGGTTTCAGCCCGGCAGGGCGCGAAGGTTATACTCCATGCTACGGCCTGCAGATCAGAGAAAGACAGGAGAAAAAAAGTAGATGAGAACGGGAGAGAAAGACAGGAGAGAAAGTAGATGAGAATGATGGAGACTCACAGCGAGGGGAGATGAGATGAGTTATGGTACAAAAGCCCTGTCCTATGTAACAGCTCCTCCGATCTATATTAGAAAACACGATTATGGCCTTCGGTAGAGAACAAGAAACATGCCTGCCCAAGAATGGAAGTATTATAGTGGCAAATAAATGTACAGTCAAAACGGGGAGCTGCAGCATGTTTTATGAAAAGAAAATCGCACCTCGCCCAACGCTATGATGAGAATAAATATGACAAGAGGATGCAAGGGTTGTAGACGTCGACGTCAAGAGTGCAGTTAACCGGAGCCAGAGGCCTTTTTCGACTCGTTCGGCTGGTCAGGCTCCTTGTGCTGGTCGGACTTTGTATCTGGATCCTTCTTCTCGCTGGAACAGCCCGAGGACTTCTTACTTGAGTCCGAAGACTGGCTGCGGTGGTTCATCAGCTTGTCCCACGCAGACTTGATGAAGCCTTGGTTCTTCTGTCCGTCGCCTTCTTTATTCGTTGACGTTGACGTTGACGACTTGCTTGACGCACTGGAGACCTGTTAGACCGGTAAAGATATATATATACATCATCGGGTGCTTACCTGTCGTGTTTCATCTCGTTGACATTCATGATTCGTTTCGCAGTATTATCGCCCATCTCGTCTGCAAGAACCTCCAGGATCGTTCGCTGGTTAGCAGTTAGAGATCTCGGCATGTTGACCTTGAATTCCACCCTCAGGTCGCCGTTGCCTGCTCGTCTGCCGCCGAGTTTCCGCATACCCATCCCTGGCAAGGTGATCTTATCGCCAGTTCCCGTTCCCGTTCCGACTCTGACCTTGGCCTCTCCGTCCAGCGTGGGGATGGTTACTTCACCCCCTAGAAGGGCGGTGGTGAGAGGGATGGAGGCAGTGTACAGCACATCAGAACCAGAACGGTTGAACCGTCGATCGGGAGCAACCCGTATAAAGACGAAGAGGTTCCCCCGCTGTGTGCGGGTTCCTGGCTCTGTCATGGGAGCGTCACCTTCGCCGGCAACCCGTAGCCTCATTCCATCTTCCACGCCTGCAGGTATATCGACCTTGACAGTCCTTCGCTCCCGCACGACGCCTCCACCGCTACATGTGTTGCATTCGGCGCCCCTGGGGATCGATGAGCCCGTCCCGCCACACGCCCCGCATGTGCTCTGCATCTGGAAACCCTGGATGGCGTGAATCTGCGTGCCCGTTCCTCCGCAGGTGCTACATCGTGATCGCTTCTTGCCGTCCTTTAACCCTTCTCCCTTGCATGAATTGCACGTAACCAAAGGTGTAATGTTAATTTCCTTCGACGTTCCCTTTGCCGAATCCATGAACGAGATATTCGCCTGAACCTCAATGTCGTCTCCAACCGCAACAGACGAGAAAGGCGATCCGTGTCCGCGCGGATTGCGACCAGTGGCTTTTGCAAACGCACCAAAGATATCGTCAAAGTTGATGTCCGCAGAGAACCCTCCTCCAAACCCACCGCCGCCGGAGCCGAAGCCACCGAAGCCGTGGAAACCACCTGCGCCCCCGAATGGTCCACCGCCAGCGGCGCCAGGGTGAAAGCCGCCGTTTTGGTCAAACGCGGCAGCCCCGTAGGTATCGTAGGCCTTTTTCTTTTCGGGATCAGACAGTGTCTCGTAGGCAGTTTGGGCCTCGGCGAACTTGTCTTTGGCGTTGGCGTCCTTGTTCGTGTCTGGATGGAACTTCTTCGCCAGTCCGTAGTATGCTCGTTTAATCTCCGAAGCTGAGGCATCTTTGCCTACCCCGAGGACACTGTAGGGGTTTTTGGCCGCCGCCTCTACCGGAGCCGTTGCGTGGAATTGCTGTAAATCTTGTTGTGAGTAAATGGTGATGATATTTCGAGAATTGCGACTTTTTTTGTATTTTTTTTTTTTGGGGGGGGCCAGACAAATCAACTCACTCTTGAAGAATGGTTCAGTGATTGCGCCGTGCTGGATCTAAGAGCAGGTCTCTGGCCATTCCGGGCCTTGGTATCGGTCTGGTAGGATCGTGACTGCATATGCCGGCTGATGTCGAGACATTGGCTTGTTGTATAGGGTCTCGATGCCCGCAGCAGACGACAAGGAACAGAGACCGCCAGCGGCAGCCCGGGCGCAGTGACACTCATGGCGGACTGGTGTAAAGCAGACCAAGCACGATAGTTTATATATAGCCGGTATAACCCTTAACCAGAGGCGTTCTCTTCGTGATATCTGTTCTTCTTCGCCCTTCTTCCGCTTCGAAGATTCAAGAAAAAAAAAGTTTCCCCGGACGCCGGCAAAACGTTTCTCCAGCTTCCATCCAGAATGACTAAAAAGGGCCAAAAACATTCAGGTTCAACAGGCGCAAATATCGAGCGTTTGTCCAGCATCTGCTCTCGTCTCTCTTCAGATCGGGGAATCGGTGAATGGAAGGGCTGGTGCTTTTACCGCTGTATTATATTTTAATTTGGACTCCGTTTGTTGACTGTTCGATCTCTTTCTTTCTTTCTTTTTTCAACCTACCGCGGCTTGGAGGATGATTCGGGGCATCAGTCTCCCGTGGAGGATAGCTCTTCGCCGGACCTCGCAGGATATCCGATGCAGGGCCTACAGTCCGCGGATTAGACCGACCGCGTTCTCACATTTAGATATCCAAGCTTCTCGTCTGTCGCTTTCGCGCAATTTCTCCTCGACTCCGGCCCGACGAAAAGAGAAACCGTCTCCGCCACAACCGAAGAAGGAGAAGGAAGAAGGAACCGAGGCCGAAACAGAACGCGAAGAGAAGATAAAACCGGAAGAGCCGTCTGAAGGTAAAGGCAAATCTGATGAACCCAGCCCAATTCCAGCGGCGGAGGGCCGTTCGGACTCACGACCGAGCCAGGCGGGAGGTGTCAGCAGCGGCGGCAGCTCAGTGAGCGGGAGTGGTGATGGTGGAAGGAGAGGGAGGAAAGGGTCTTCGGAAAAGGCGCTTCAGAAACCGACGATACCGGATGTCTACCCGCAGGTGATGGCCATCCCCATTGCTCGACGACCTTTGTTCCCCGGATTCTACAAGGCTATCACGATCAAAGACCCGAATGTTGTGTCCGCGATACAAGAGATGATGAAGCGTGGGCAGCCATACGTGGGAGCTTTCCTGTTCAAGGATGAAGCTGCGGATAAGGATGTTATCGACAACATGGACGAGGTTCACGATGTCGGCGTGTTTGCCCAGATCACGAGTGCCTTCCCTGTTCACGGAGATGAGGCCGGCCTTACGGCAGTTCTATACCCGCATCGAAGAATAACAATGACGTCTATTATTCCGCCTCGTGACGGGGCGCAGAAAGAGGCTGGCGATCAAGAGGCATTGAAAGATACGTCTGCCGAAAAGCAAGGGGACGTTGTTGCAAGCTTTGAAGAAGGAGCCGCAGAACAGGCCGTAAAGGACACCACGCTCTACGAACCATCGGCGTTCTTACGAAAGTACCCCGTGACCATAGTCAATGTGAACAACCTGGTGGAGGAACCCATCGACAAGAAGAGCCCTGTCATACGCGCGGTGACAAGCGAAATAGTGAACGTGTTCAAGGATGTCGCAAACCTGAACCCCCTATTCCGTGACCAAATCTCTACCTTTTCCATGAGCCAATCTGCGGGAAATGTGATTGAAGAGCCTGCTAAATTGGCCGACTTTGCCGCTGCGGTATCTGCCGGAGAAATCAAGGAGCTACAAGATGTTTTGGAAACCATGAACGTCGAGGAGCGTCTGTCCAAAGCCTTAGTTGTCTTGAAAAAGGAGCTAATGAACGCCCAGCTTCAATCGAAAATATCAAAGGATGTCGAGGCTAAGATACAAAAGCGTCAGCGAGAGTACTGGTTAATGGAACAAATGAAGGGCATCCGCCGAGAACTGGGCATCGAGTCCGACGGGAAAGACAAGCTCGTAGAGAAGTTTAAAGAGAAGGCTGAGAAACTGGCCATGCCTGATGTTGTGAGAAAGGTATTCGACGAGGAACTGAACAAACTAGCACACTTAGAGCCGGCTGCATCGGAATTTAACGTCACCCGAAACTACCTGGACTGGATAACACAGATTCCATGGGGCCGAAGGAGTGAGGAGAATTTTGGAATCAGGAATGCTGTCAAGGTTCTGGACGAGGACCATTATGGCCTGAAAGACGTGAAAGATCGTATCCTGGAATTCATTGCTGTCGGGAAACTCCGTGGAACAGTCGAGGGGAAGATCCTTTGTTTCGTTGGGCCACCTGGCGTGGGAAAAACAAGTATTGGAAAATCAATTGCCCGTGCATTGAACAGGCAATACTATCGATTCAGCGTCGGTGGTTTAACTGATGTAGCTGAGATAAAGGGCCACCGAAGAACCTACGTCGGAGCTCTCCCTGGTCGTATCATCCAAGCACTCAAGAAATGCCAGACGGAAAACCCACTTATTCTCATCGATGAGGTCGATAAAATTGGGCGCGGACACCAAGGAGATCCAGCATCTGCATTACTCGAACTGCTCGATCCAGAACAAAATTCTTCCTTCCTTGACCATTATATGGATATTCCCGTGGATCTCTCCAAGGTTCTTTTCGTCTGCACAGCCAACATGACTGATACCATCCCACGGCCCCTACTGGATCGAATGGAGCTAATTGAGCTTTCCGGCTATGTAGCCGACGAGAAAATGGCCATTGCTGAACGATATCTCGCCCCAGCTGCGAAAGAAGTCAGCGGACTGAAAGCAGTGGATGTGAACCTTGAAAAAGAAGGCATCGAGGAGCTTATAAAATCTTACTGCCGTGAGAGCGGAGTACGCAACCTAAAGAAACAGATTGAGAAAGTCTATAGGAAAGCAGCGTTGAAAATCATTCAAGACCTACCAGAGGAAGAGCTTTCAGAAGAGAGCAAAGTTAGGCAAGAAGTGAAGGCTGCGCAAGAAGAAGCCGCCTCAAAATCCGAAACCGACACCGAGGCCGCAAAAGAATCCGACACTCAAGCCCCAGAAGCCCCCAAGTTAGAAGCAGTTCATGTTCCATCGGATGTCCATGTTTCTATCGGCAAGGACAACTTGAAAGATTACGTTGGTCCACCCGTCTTTACATCGGATAGACTCTACGATGTAACCCCGCCTGGTGTTGCCATGGGTCTTGCATGGACGAGCATGGGCGGTGCTGCATTATATGTTGAATCTATCTTACAATCTGCGCTATCATCGGCCTCGCGACCTGGATTCGAACAGACTGGTAACCTTATGAGCGTCATGAAGGAGTCTACGGTGATTGCATATTCCTTCGCCAAGTCTGTTATGGCCAAAGAATTCCCCAAGAACAAATTTTTCGACAAAGCAAGGCTTCACTTGCACTGCCCTGAGGGTGCGGTTCAAAAGGACGGTACGTGCTTAATTCGTTATCGCTATACTCTTCTTTATCAGCGTGCTAACTTTACTTATAGGTCCTTCTGCTGGTATTACCATGGCAACAGCACTACTCTCTCTCGCCCTTAACAAACCAGTGGATCCCACCATCGCCATGACCGGCGAGCTTACTGTAACGGGGAAAGTACTTCGGATCGGAGGACTGCGTGAGAAGACTGTGGCTGCTCGCCGCGCAGGAGCCAAGACCATCATCTTCCCAGCAGACAATATGTCCGATTGGTTAGAACTACCAGAGGTATGCTTTTGTGTAGCTGCCCTTACAATAAGAAATAACGACTAACTCTGGGATTATTATTTTTTAGAACATCAAAGAAGGAATAGAAGGGCATGCCGCCAATTGGTATTCTGATGTATTCGATATCGTGTTTGGTAACGTTGACCGACAGGCTATAAACGAGCTGTGGACTACGCAGCTTGCTGAGCCGGAGAAGGCAGAGAAGAAGACTCGAAAGGATGACGACTAGTCTTGCTTCTGGCTTATGCATTGATTAACATATATAGACACTTGTTTCCATTCTCATGGTCCGTGATTTATTAATTCCTCCTCCCTTCTAGCGTCCGTCATCTATTGGTCTCTCGAGCATGGGTTTGGAGTTGTCACTACGCGTTAGTCGATGGTATCTTTGTTTATCCTTTCCTTGTCCATTGTTATCGGGGTTGCATGAGCAAATCTTGGAAGCCCTCGTTTTTGTTGGATAATAGACAAAAGACAAGGGGAGTGTCGGGGAAGAGGGACAACAGCGCGAGCAAGAAAGATGAGAAAGACTCCACTCCGGAATCGAACACTTGGTTTCATTGTACACTGCGCCGGTTTCCTGATATTCCACCGTTACATACTTTTCTGTACATTAGCTTTATGATAAATGATAGTTTGTAAGAATTCACTTATTTTTGTTATTTTTGAGGAAACTTCTCAGAGCTTTTTTTTTATATCATACTAATGTCTGTATATGAATTATGGTGATGCAGATAATTATTTATTTGATGTTGTAGGCGGTTAATTTTTACATGGCTTTGATAAATTGAGCCAGCATCTAATCTAATCCATCTTATCTGATCGATTTCAAACTTTGTTCCAAGGGACAAACCTTAACTAACCAACTATTATCTACCGTTTTTTTGTTTTTCTATACGAACTCGTCTTGGCCATTTGGCTGACAGTTCTTGCCGACTTGACCATAAAGGCGATCTGTCGGAACATGAGACCTATATCGCTGCCCATACTTTTTACTGGAATGGCCATTTAGCGTGATTTAGTTAATTATGTTCTTGATGTAACTAACGCTACCTTAAGGAACCGAATGATATTTTTCGATATCAATGGAACATGAACAATTCCAAACGTTCTCTTTAGGTTTGCCCTCTAGGCTTCGTTTTAGATATCTTTAGGGGATGCCTTTAACTAAAATAAGTTTTCTATAACGCTATACCTTAATAAACGACTAAGGGGTGTGAGGTTATCTGGATAGGGGTATAGATAGCCGGAAAGGTGTGACCGTATGAACACGCTATACTTTATCAACAAGAAAAAAGGTCCATCCCATTTCATAAGGGCAAGCCGTTAAAATCTTCAAATTCCCTGCGACCTTCCAAGCCCCAATATTTCAGTCGTATTTCAGTCGCAGCTACGTACTGCAATCGTGTATTTCTGTATTTCTAATAGACTTCGCCTAGTAGAAAGACTTTATCTTGGGACATCTTTATAAGCGGTTTTGGCCTTTGTCTGTTCAAGTTGCCGGAGTATGAAGGCAAGCATGACCTTCATGAATCTATCAAGCTTATCCTCGTTGCTAATGTCAAAGGGCCCGAATTCTTGGATCTCGAGGAAACGTATTCTGGCTTGCACTGGGAGTACTGATTGAGTATTTGGAGCAAAGATATATTGTCAGATTGCTGTGTGTGGTTATGACTCGTTCCCAAAACCAATGGTACCCATTGGACACTAGGCCTTTTTGATCTTTGTGGTCCAACATATATTCGAGATATCTATTGTCGTAGGTCCCAATGCTAACGTAAAAGTGCAGATGGTCTTGAGCCACCAAGAAGATATGGTAAGTTTTTGCCGTTTATTCCACTGTAAGAAAGTGTTTGCACGTAAGTAAGATGCTCTCAAGTCAGAACAGGGTAAAAAATCAAAGGCAGTGGGTACTCACCGTTGACCGTTTTCATGACATTTCCAGATATGGGCGACATGCTCCATCGACTGCTGGGCCAAACAGGGACACTATCACCACTGTCGTAGCGATGAGCTCGTTTTGCCTCAAATATAGCCGCCTCGCGTCGCGTCCCGTTAGGGATGCACCAAACGGAATGCTCCCATCGATACGAGCTCGAAACTGAACTTCGCCTTGCTGCTGCGAAGTATTACACAGGGGGCCAAATGTATATGTTGCTTTATAAGAATTTGCAATACGGAGTGGTCTGGGGTTGAGAGACTGTCGCGTTAGTGAGGCTAAATTTAACCTTAAATTGTATTTAGATAACGAGGCGTAGTTATATAGCAGAGCCAGCAGGAATAGGTTCGGAGAGCAAGCAACGGTGGTATAGAAGGAAGAGAAAGAGGATGAGGAAGAAATAGAAGAAGAAGAATAACAGGACGAGGGGGTAGAAGATTGTAGGAACGCAGCCCAGGCGTATTCACTGTTGGTCGAACTAGTCACGTAGTTAACTAGTTTGTTGCCTGCTCTCCTTGTTGACATCAACATCAGATATAAAAACACAGCATCAACATATATAAGCCAACACAATCGCAACTCCACTATCAACGGACATCAGGACCGGTACTCCCCCCAACAATAACTCACCATGCAAGCAGAACGGACTGCATCCAAGGATGCCGTGAAGGTTAGCTTGTATATGAAGCATTTTTTTTGCGCGTATCGCATCTTACCCCGAGACGCTTTCCCATTCGAGTGGCTGGAAACTACAAAGGAGTTCAAGGTGCGATGTAATGACACCACCGGGGAGGAGATAATTTTCCCAGCTTCTCCAGAGCTCCTAAAGGCTATCCACAACTGCGAGAATGTTAACTTCCCAAATCAAGGATACCACCTCCCAAGCGACTGGGGCTTTTCTGGCTTCATAAGCAGTGCCGTCTACTATGTCATACAAAAATCTCCTGTTGCCGAGATAAACGAGTAAGATTATATATTTGATTTAGTTCACTCTTTTTGCCTATGGTCTCTAACGTGTTATCAGTTTCTTTGGCCCCCTCTTCGGAATCCTAGGCGCCACCCTGCGATTGGATTCCTCCAGGTCCATCACGGGGGTGCGCTGGATGCATCTCAGCGATAACCACTGGAGCTGCATAATGCGGGACTGGACGTATGACAGAGACATGCCAGAAAACAGTAGAGGCTTTCTTCTAAAGGCCGAACTGCTGGCCGTCTCCTCGATCTTCTTCCGTCAGATGAACGAGATGATTTGGAACTGTGAGACCTACCGGTACCGGGCCAGACCCAGATACAAGGAAGGAATCTTGACTGTATGTATTTTCTTATATTTTTCACCTCTGCCCTCTTTCCCATTATTGTATAGGAGTTGTGCGGACGCTGATAGACTGTTAAGGCCACGGTTGCGACGTTCATCTGTGGTGAAGTACGCATAGTTCAAGCAACTTTGAACCCATCAGAACCATATCCAACACTCGCCTTTACGCTGAGGGCTGTCATTAAACTCAACAAGGAGAACTATAGTAAAGAGGCAGCCTATGAGGTTCTGAAATGGATTCTTTGTCCTCCCGAGGCCCCCAAAGTGCTCGCCACGAGAGAAAAGAAGTAGTTGGTTTACTCCGAACAGGGTCGTGTCTGCTATTATGATATCATTCGACCATTTGACGCTTTTGTTTCATTTCATTCAATTTGTTATCTACGTTCCGTTGATGGGCGTTACTATGACGAGTGTGTATCCTACCCTGTGGAGCATGTGAATAATGTCATTTGTGGATTTTTTCCCGGTCGTTTGCTGCAGTTATATAAGCCCAAGTTTCCAGGGCACGCCAGATCTTGACGTCTTTGAATCGAGGGCTGCCAGCGAATGGGCTCGCAGGTGCTGCCATGGCGGCTCACGACACGCTGGAGCGACGAGAGGGCCTAGAGGTTCATCACTGGGGCAGATAAATACTCCGTAAGTCTGGAATCTGGTCCTGCGATGTTCGGAGGGTTATCGGTCCTGGGATTGTCCTTGAGCACTCCGCGATGTCCTTCCCGTCACTCCTAGCCGTGACAAATTAGGGGACGGATCTATGTTCGAGCTGCGCGGGAAGGGTCTTGGAACGCAGGAGAGTGGATAACGATTGGATGGCGATCTCTAACCCCTGCAAGGCTTGTCTCGTTGCTAAAATATATATGTCTGTATAGATAAACGTTCTATATAAAACATAAGAAATAAGAAAAAGAAAATAAGGAACGAGAAAAAGAAAAGAAGTGTGACCTTCGAGCTGTTACAGGTGCGCAGACTGGCGTGGTCTTGGCGTGCAGCAGGTTGTTCTCCTGCCTCTTTCTTCTTCAGGATGGGATTTGGCCACGTAACTGTCCTTACGCCTACACAACACCGAATAGAGCCAGCCAGGGGCCTGTCGCAGACATTCACCATCTAGATGGCCGCTTCTGCAACGTCTTTCTTTCTATTGCACGGCCGCTAGTAGTAGTGATAGGTAGCCGGCTGAGGTACGTACACCCCATCCCCACAATTGCCCATGATGGATATGCTAAAAAGACTTATTCAGGGTACGGGACCTTGAATGAACCTGGTAGGCTTTAAGAGCTTCGCCTTATCTGGAAGGTTAAGCCTCGCCACGCGTATTGGCGCACTCTATCGGCCTGCGCCTCTGGGGATTCCTCATCTTTCAAGGCTCGAGCCGATATCTGGTATATCTCAAACGGTGGACTCTCGAACGCTGCGGCCGGAAGTCCAGGGATGGGCATTTCATGCAGACTGCAGACCCTGTTCCAATTGCTCTCTCTCTGCCGCGCACGTTTGGAAGAACAATACTTCAGGCCGTCTAGAAAAATTATGGAGCCATCTGGAAGACGTCTGCAGCTCTAAACTCGGATGAACGGGATTTACGATGTGCAAGGCTTTCTCGCAGACGGGAACCGATGCATTGTTGATCTTCTTAGACCTGGCTTGGAAAAGTTTTCTCCTTCGGGTCTCCTTCAAAGCTGCTCCATTCACAATGGCCCATATTCACCGATCACTTCATCATCTGCTGCAAAACCGTAGCCTATGGCCTAGAAACGTTTCGTGAGGTTTCTGGCGACTCAGGGCCCCGTGCTTGATCTACCGTCGATGCCGGGTTTGGGTAGCAGCGGAGGTTTCGAAAACGCGAAGTGTTCGAGAAGAGTGATCATTGGGGCATTGTTATGCATACCCGGATATGTGTACGGTGCCTTGCCATCGAGCAGCGTCACCCGACGAAACGGAGACCTAAATGGAGACCTAAATGGAGACCTAAACGGAGACCTAGAATTGGCCGGTCATGTCCCTTGAGGAGCACAGAGCAAGCGTTTCGTCGATGGGGTAGTGCCATGTTCACATATTCCTTGACCCAGTTCTGCATGGGCAACGTCACCCTCAGGATGGCTCATACCCGGTGAGACGATAGAGGGCAGGGGGAATCTGATCGCCGGTGGTTTATAAATTTATCTCCCTGCCCGTGGTGAATGGATGGTTAAGAGTTAAGATTGTATTTGCATGTACAGCGCTGAGCGTCAACATTGTTAGGAAATATGATCTTCGAACGCCAGGCCATGGCCGGCAACCTGTCTTCCACCACACTCACCCGTGCCAACGATGATTTTACATCGCCACCGCCGACTGCTCGCGACTCCTTGGGTAAAGAGCCTCACGTATCGTCCTTGGCCCTCACGCGCCGTAACAGTGATGAGGATATCGAACTCGCAGCCATGGGCACCCCTGACAAACCGTCGACCGAGCCACCATACCATATCTTCTCTCACCGTCAGAAATGGCAGCTTGTTTACATTGTCTCGATAGCAGGGGCATTCTCCCCCCTTTCCTCAAACATATATTTCCCGGCGATAGACACTATATCGTCAGAGCTTCGGGTCAGTGCCTCGCTGGTAGCTTTGACAATCACCGTATACCTTATAGTTCAGGGTATCAGCCCGTCGATATGGGGCCCAATGTCAGATACCTCCGGTCGTCGGATCACTTTCCTCATCACCCTCACCATATACGCTGCCGCTAATCTCGCTCTGGCCTTTACGGTCGATTTCCCTATGCTACTTGTCCTTCGAGGTGTGCAAGCTCTGGGTTCTGCCGCCACTATCAGTATTAGCGTTGGCGTGATTGGGGATATGGCTTGCCCTGAAGAGAGGGGTGGTTTCGTGGGAGCTAACGCTGGAATTCGGTAAGCTGGAAACACGGTCACACTCCTGGGAATGTATGTCTTGCTAAGCTGCTGGTAGGATGATCGGGCAGGCCGTTGGCCCCGTTATTGGCGGCTTGCTTAATAGCAAATGGGGATTCAGAAGCATTTTTTGGCTTCTTTTTGTCCAGAGCGTTATCGTCCTACTACTATTACTGGTGCTCTTGCCAGAGACACAGCGCCAGTTAGCAGGAAACGGTAGCATCCCTCTCAGCGGACTCCATAAGCCGTTGCTGTACTACCTGCGGCCACCTCCATCATGGGCCTCGGCCAGAACCGAAAGAACGCCAGTCTCCAAGACGCCGCGCATGTCACTCAAAAGCATGCTTGTCCCGTTAACGTATGTCTTCCAGAAAGACATCTTCGTCCTCCTTGCCTGGGGATCTCTCGTCTACACAATTTGGAGCATGGCCACCTCGTCAACCACCACTGTTCTTCTCCACTCGTTCCCCAGCCTCACCCAGTGGCAGATCGGTCTCTGCTTTCTTCCTAATGGAGCCGGATGTGTCCTTGGCTCTATCTTTACCGGATGGCTGCTCGACCGAACATTCAAGCGAGCCCAGTCAGAATACAAGATACAGCATGGTCTTCCGGAAACAATGAACATTAAAAACATACCAGAATTCCCCATTGAGCGCTCTCGGCTTCGCTATATGCCCTATTTTAGCGTATCCTTCATCATATGCGTTGCTTTATACGGGCCTAGTTTCGAGCTGAACGACTTGAACAGGTATTTCGCTGCTAACCTGGTAGCCTCGTTGGGACTGCAGCTCATGATTGCTTTTACGGCAACGGCCATCTTCAACATCAATTCTACCATGCTGGTTGATTGCTTCCCCAACGGCTCAGCCAGCGCAACGGCCACCAACAACCTCGTTCGGTGTCTTGTGGGTGCTGCTGGAGTCAGCGTGATTCAGCCCTTGATAGATGCGGTGCGAGTAAGGAATGCCTTTCTGATACTGACTGGCGTTGTCGTGCTGTTTTTGCCCCTGATATGGGTGCAGTGGAAGTATTGTGGGAAGTGGAGGCTGGAGAGGACTCTAAGAGAGACTGAAAAGGCTAGAGCAGCGAAAAAATAAAGGGCAACCGGATTTGTTCTATGAATTTCCTCGGATGACCAGCGTTTTAGTTCGACGGAGTTCCAACCAGGCCTTATAGAGGTTCTTGCACTATCAGTTAACAGCCGGTTTTATTCTGTAAAGCCCAATCAACGGGCTTGTTCTAGAGATAGATATTTTAATTAGCCAATAGATTGTTGTCTTGGAAGTTACTATTATAGATGGGTGTTATCGTCTTATGATTGGTAGTTATAGATATACTGGAGAACAAAGTAACTAGGTTCAAGACGGATATATCTGAATTTCCGATCGGGTCTGCATGTGCATTTTATATGCTTCTCGTAGACGATGACGATGTGCAGATCGACGGCTCGTAAAAACCCTTGAAGGTACGATGAGGTCACCACGGGCCGATGCAGCATCTCTAAGTAAGCGTCTCCCAGACGGACGGCGGGGCGATGACTAGCGAATTAGAAACCTGCCTGGCTGGCTGCGAGGAGATTTTTCTTTTTCTCCTCTGCTTATAAGTAGGGCGCGAATCCCTGAATATCGACCACGACGAGAACGAGCAGGCGAGAGGGAAAAAAGCAGGGCCACCTGTCAGAGCGTCGATATCAAAATCAGCCAGTCGCAAGGCCCGTTGACATTTCCCATCTGCTGTCTTTTTTTCTCTCCAAATGCTTAATGCTGCGTGCCTCTTGCTGATCCGCACCAGTCGACGGCCGGACAGCGTCGACCTGCCTTGGAAAGAGTAATACATCGTGCGTGAGCGCCGGCGAGCTGGGTTGGTCAATTGGAGCCAGCACAAAGCAGCGCTAAAGGAGAACTGTCACTAATGCAAGGTTAACGCAGGCAGCCCTATCCACGTCGTGCCCAACGATATCCTGGCTCCAACCGCCCCTCAGCAGTCGCATGGGAAGTTAAATGCGGTGGGTCAGAGGCCATCGAATTTTTCCTCTTCTCTCTGTCTGTCTGTATGTCCTGTCTTTTGCTCGAGAGAGTCATATCTGATGCTGCTGCCTGGCGCTAGAGCTGAGTGAAACCGACGGGCGGCGCAGTCGTGATACGACCTCGACACGGCTGGACAGAAGACCAGACCAGGGATGAAGCCTCCTATCCGCCTGTTCCCGCCGCAAGAGATGTAACTTTGCGGGATGAACCATGGAAGCGTCGATGGGCCGCTATCCGCTGTTTATATGTGTAGACGTAGACGTAGCCCGTACGCTGTATCGATCTTCTAGAAGTTGCACATCGTCGTCTTCTCATCATCTTCTTCTGCTTCTGCATCTGTCGTCTGCATCATCTTCTTCGTCTGCATCTGCTCGCATCTTCATCTGCAGATTTGTCTGCATCTTCTCGTGTATCGTAACGGGCTAGCTCGCTACTGCGGTTGTACATCCAGGCCGCACAGCAGACGTCGTCTTCGCCCATTCTTTGACTCAGCGGTATGTCATTTGTGCGATCAGCCCCTAACACCGTCTCCCGTGTCTTGTCTCTGCCCGGTGGCTGGTAGCGACTCTGCGTTGTATGTCTTGTGCTGTGTGGTGGTGAAGAAGCGGTCGCGGACGGTCAGGCCAGCCTCATTCTGAATTTTCACCTCAACCTCACCACCACTACGACCAGCGTCTCTGCCCTCGCTCGGTGCGAGGAACATCCCTCGCTGAACAGACAGTGTGTGCTAATCTCTGGTCACTCTTAGGCAGCCTTCGTTTCAATTGATCCGGCGTTTCAAAAAGGACCTTTTCTTGCGCTCTGCGTCCTCAGGAGGGCCGCCGGAACCCTGCACACACATCGAACTCGTCTCTTCAGCCCTTTTTTCTTTTCCTCTTACCCTATTTTTTTACCCTTTTTTTTTATCTATATATGATTATTACGATGATTCCTCCTTGCTTCCGCTAGTTACACGAACCCAGCCCCTCGTCTCGCTGTCCTGTCTGCTGGGCGCTGGCTGCATCGTTTTTTGCCGCTTTGGGGGGACTTAGAGCCAGCCTCCCGTTCGTGTCTTCAGCGTTGCGCCGGCACCTGGTCGACCTCCCGCCTCGCCGTCTTTCTTATGGACATTCCGCGCCTGTCCAGCCAGTCATCCAGGTCAGCCGTCACGGTGCTGTCGAGCCCAAGCTCGCCTCGCGTCGTGCTGCATGGCCATCTCAATTGCCGACGCATCAGGCCCATTCTTGTGCCCATTCTTCCTCATGCCTGACCTCAAGACCGCTCCGCCGGTCAGACACAGCTTGTTCCACCGCCTCGGACTTCGCAGCTGGCTGGGGAGGGACGGCGAAGGCATCGGTTCTCACTCGCAGTTCGTTGCCCGTGAATTGAGCCGCCAGCGTCTGGCAGGCCTGCCTCGTCCCAACGAGAAGGCTATGCACGACGATGACGATATCAACAGCGTGGCGTCTGTCGCGAACAGTGACCAGTTCGCTGCTTCGCTCCCACAGCCGAGCCCGTCCAACGTTAGCATCGGCTTGCCCAGGGCGCCCACCTTCAAGAGACAGAATTCTGAACGCCGAGACCATCTGACTCCCTCAGAGTCCGGCCTGGGCCATAGGCGTGCGTACTCTGCTGACCGGCAGGGAGACCTTGGTCCATGTCGAACCAACTCTCCTCTCCCGCCGTACTCCCCGCGGCTGTCCGTACCGGATCTGCCTGCGGACGACCATATATCGAACCTGGCATCGCCAACATTAATCAACGAAGAACCCTCCGCGATCCAGGGGGAACCGGGACTGGAACTGGAACGTGAACGTGAACCCCAACCCCAAACTGACCTCGCCTCGGAATATGGAGCTCCATCTGAGGATACAATCGATAACGACCTAGAGGCCGAACTAGACAAAAAATGGATCCTAAACCTTAGCATGCGGTTTCGGGACAAATCTGACCGTGAGAAGTTCTTCATCACGTATGCAGAGGCTCCGAACCGATGGCGAAAGGTTACCGTTTCCTGTGATTACCGCAATGCCGAGCCCGAATCGCTCGAATCGGACTTGAAAAAACTTCAATATCATCGAGAGAAAAACTCGCATATATACGAATCAATCCGCGAGTCGATCGATGAGATTCAGTTCTATGACACCGTCACCAACCTTAAGCTGGAGACTCGTGATGGCCGACTTCACGTACACGTTACCGAGGACATTAACGAGGTCATCATCTTTCCGCCAATTTCAAGCGTTGAATACCTCAATCCTCTGTTCATCCCCGAAAGCGAGCTAGACTTTGACTCCCATCTATCCGGTTTTGTTTATCGCGTCAAGTACCACGGAAAGGACTACGTGAAGAAGGAAATCACGGGCCCAGACACTGTCGAAGAATTTTTATATGAGATCAACGCCCTCCACGCCCTCCTAGAGTCTAACAACGTCATCAACTTTAGAGCTATCGTCGTAGACGACACTAGAACATTGGTTAAAGGTCTTTTGATAGACTATGCTGAACAGGGTGCCTTGGCTGATTTGTTTTATGACTTCAAAGGCGAGCTTTCTTGGCAACGGAGAGAACGTTGGGCGAAACAGATCATCAAAGGCCTTGGAGATATTCATGAGGCCGGTTTCGTTCAGGGCGATTTCACCGTATCCAACGTTGTCGTGGATGAACATGACAATGCAAAGATCATTGATATCAACCGCCGGGGATGCCCGATTGGATGGGAACCACCGGAGTTTACCAAAAAGTTGGAAAGTAAACAGCGGATATCAATGTATATCGGTGTGAAATCTGACCTGTACCAACTTGGAATGACTCTTTGGGGCCTCGCCATGGAAGAGGATGAACCGGGGAGGCAACCCCGTCCTCTTCTTATTCCGGAAGATATGAAGATTCCCGCCTATTTCAGAAGGATTGTTGACATCTGCATGAGTGAAAGACCGCAGGGCCGCCTATCCGCGAAGGACCTGCTCGCCCTGTTTGATGACGAGGGAGAGGAAGACCTTCCCATGCTAGGAGCTGAGGTTCCTCGATATGCTCCAACCCACGGCTCCAACGGTGTGTACCGCGGGAACGGCCATGTCAACTACAATTACCAACTGAATCCCATGTACATGGACCAGCATGCTAAGGATATTCACTTCGCCAGCCTGCCCACCTCCTTCTCCAATATGGACGACCGTCTTCGCTACCAACCACTCGGAATGGAACCTGTGATCATGGCCCCCTCGAGAAATAGTCCTGATTTCCACTGTATGAATAACAATTTACAAACTGCCCACCATCATCATGGCGAGCATGGAATTCCTGTATCCCCGAACGGTCTTGACCAGAACGGGCAATTTTTCCCCGCAAATCACTGGGGAAATGGACAAGGTCCCATCCCGTACTATAATCCTGGATTCGTTCGACCTGCCTTAGCCTCACACAATGCTACCATGGGGCTATCTGAAATGGAACTATTAGATCGCCAGGATAGAGAAACGGAATTCGATCCTCGATTTGATGATCTAGGTCCCACGGAGCTCACAGGACATTCCAGGGGTGGCTACCCCGTCGATGAAAGCTATGTTTCTGAAATACAAGATCACATGGAACCCAACCCGCCATATTTCATGCACGACCGTTACCTTGCACCCGATCAACCAGACACTCCTCTTGATTCCATCCCCACTTCCGAAGAATTTGGCCAATTGCAACATGAATACATTCACGAAAACAGCGTCGATAAAACTGTCGAAGCCAGTCCGGAAACCCAGACATATCATCAAGGGGCAGATGAATCCCCTGAATATATACTTGACTCCGCGGACCTTTCGAACTCTCGCCTACCTATCAACCCGGGTTTCATAGAAACCCCTGACCCCAACCTACCTGACCCCGTGGAACACGACCATCAACTTACCTCCTCGCCTAAAGAGTCACTTCAACCATCTATTCCTCCCGATAACCTTCTCATATCCGCCTTGCCGATCAACCCTCGATACGATGAACCTGAGTCCAAAGTTATGCACTTGAATAAGTATGCCGATGACGATCTCCTGTCTTCTCAGTTGCCAATTAATCCGGCTTATATCGACCCTATAGATCGTGAACTACCCCCACACGAACAAGTCAACGACGCGGTTCTACCTATCAGCAGAGCTTCTACGACACCTCAACCCTTACTCCCGACCCACGATGACCTTCTCGAGTCCACCCTACCGATTAACCCGCGCCACAAGGGGCAAGAACCCGAAAGTTACCGGCGCTTGAATACATACCCTGATTCTGATACTGATCTACTATTGTCAAATTTGCCAATTAATCCGAGGTTTATCGAACCCGCGATTCCTAACTCAAGCACCAATTCTAGACAAGTCAGTCTCGAAACCACGGTGCTCAGGCCCCTTACCTCGCCTGATTATCCATGCTCCACGCCCGACGACTTCGACCTCCTTACCTCTGTATTGCCGATTAACCCACGCAACAGTACGCAGGAACTCAGTGGAAATGGGACCACTGAAACACGCTCGGATGATGGCCAATTGTTGCCAATTTTGCCTATCCAGCCTACCAAATTACCTCGTGCTCAGTCCGACTCTCCGTTAACCCACAACGACCTGTTCACATCTACTCTACCAATTAACCCTCGCCATAAGGGAGATGATGTCAGACAACTAAAGAACCCGAATCCTGTTTTGGATAATGATGAACTGTTATCACCAGAGTCACCAGGTATTTCAACGCCACCGCTCGAGGTGCCCTTGATATCTTCCAACTTATCTCCTCCGCCTCCAGATGACCTTTTACTGTCTGGTCTACCGATTAACCCCCGGTACAGAAATCAGCCACTTGAGTGCCCCGCCGCGCCGAAGGTGAACTCAGTGGATATCGATCTTCTGTCATCGAAGCTACCAATTAACCCCCGGTACAGAGATCAGCAACTCGAGTGCCCCGCCGTACCAAAGATGAACGCGGCGGATAGCGATCTTCTATCGTCGAAGTTACCCATTAACCCCGCCTTCATTCATCCACCATCTTCACGCGAGGAGATAAACGGTTCCTCGAAAATAGACACTGTTCTAATCAGTACTTCCTGCGCCGAACTATTTATGTCGGTGCTACCCATAAACCCCGCCTCCAGCACATGATTACTCAACACATAGATGAGCTCGACTCAGGAACGCTCGCCCTACCAAAAATTCGCACACCCTTAAAATCCTCCCAACAAAAATGTTATTCTTCCCACTTCGACACTTGTATTTGATACTGAATGTTCTCTAATTTCAGTCCATTTATTGCATCGTTTAGTACGAGGAGCGTGGTGTTTTCCTTTATTATCCATTTCCTTTGCTCTTTTTCGTTTGTTCTTTCATTTGTTCTTTTCGTTTATTGCTCATTGATCTTATGCATTTATGTTTTACTCCTCTGCCTTTTTATAAATCAGCCATTTTTTCAGCCTTTTATCTTCGCTTCCTACAGGATTATACCCTATATAATGAACTATCTACACTTCTCATCTTCGGCAACGAAAAAAATTAACTACCCCCCTTCAACGCTGATTTATGCAAATTTGGCGTTCTTTTGGAGTATTTCTTTTCTTATGCTTTTTTGAATTTTTCATGAAGTACAGTACGGAGTATATAATCTGTTTGTTTTAACGAATGACGACATGGGTACAATTTTATTACTCTTGGAGACAGGGGGGAACCCAGCGAAGGCCTCGTCGCCTGCCCCCGCTGTATCTTCTTGCACTTTTCCTTCACATGCATGCGGTTTGTTTCTGCAGGGGAAGACTTTATTGGAGATTTAGCACCACAGTCTAGTGTAGTAGCTTTAGGCCTTGAAACAGCATATGCTTTTTTATACAAGTGATGTGTCTATTCCAACTGATCAATTTTTTTTTCTTTGACTCCGCCAGCTGTGTTTAAAATCTCTAACCAAACTTGTAAGGTAACCCGAGATGAGATTCCCTTTCCAAATAAATCATTAAATGTTCTCTTAAATGAAAAGCTACCGAGAGTCGTTAAAATACATATGTAAAGTGGCAAAAAAATATAAGTTTCGGAATCAGTGATAAGAAAGCTTCCGCAGGCAGGAACAAAGTAGATGCCTTAAGAATAAGTGTCTAAGTAGAAGGAGACCGTACGCCACTGCGCATCCAAAAAGATGATTTTGTCTCCTATTCCGCGTCAAAGTCATCCCCATGCCATGAAAGGAAAAAGAGAAGGAAAGAGTATTGTCGGCAATCAGAAGTGTAATATCATATACAGAGCGCGCCCATATGTCGAGGATGAGGAAAGAAAAGGCCCGGTTTAAAAAGCTGGATGAACTGGCGTTGGAAGGGCGTGTGATCGTGTTCCACAACATGAGGAGGAAAAAACTAACGGCACCGATTCCCTAAGATGAAGCTGCCTTGGACTCTTGTTCCTTGTCCTCTTTTTCTTCAGTTTCCCCGGATTTCTCCGTTTCTATAGCTGGTTCAGGTTGCAGCTCCTTTGAGGTGCTAAGGTCCGCGGATTCTTCAGGCTCGGCGGCAGGTTTTTGATCGCCTGCTACATCTTCAGTCTCCTGAGGCAATTGAGGTTTATCAGCTGGTTCTCCTTTTTCTTCCTGGGGTTCAGTTGATTTTGTGGCTGGTTCTTTCGTCAGCTCATCGTCCATATTTGAAATGGTGGGTTCGGACGGGCCAGGAGACCCCGGAGCATCCTCCACCGGCTCCTTGTCAGAAGCATCCGTCTCTTCTTCAGGTGCCGATGGAGATATGGTGGGTTCTTCCTTCATTGTTGCATGAGACTCTTCCGTTTTATTTGCTTGATTCTCCTCCTTGGGCTGGGTTTCAAGCGGTATACTCTTGTCCTCACTCGACGAAATCGACTCCGGCTCCTCGGATAGTTCCTCAGTTATCTCCTCGCTTATCTTCTCCCTTCTCTCCACCTTGGGATCCTTGGGTAGCCTGCTTCCTCCCAGTATATTTTTGCTTATATCATCGTCCTCTGCTGCCTCCGCAATTGTTGTGACGCCAACACCGGTTGATGGAGAATGTCTATGTCGTCTGGTGGTCGCCGCAGCTAAACCCACGCTGGGTTCCTCGAGGCTGTTGGGAGGTGTTACTGTTACTGGATCGTCCTTGCGTAGAATGGTCAACCTCCTGTTGACGCCTTGACCTTGACCACTTCCGGAATTGGCGATAGAAGCTTCTTCGCCTTCTGCTTCTGGAGGGATTGTATAGTTGTCGTCCGGGATAAGGCTGTAGACGTCACAAACGGTTTTAAAGAAGACGTAAAGGCCATCGTGCCCTTCGACCTGCCAGAAGACATCGCGATGCTGAAACCAAGCGTGCGCAAATATTCGATATACCCGGCGGAAAACGTTGGTGAGGTGTCTCATGCTGGCCTGCGGCCCTCCGGTCGCGTCAGTGCCAAGGGTAAGCCGACTCGGGAAAAATTTGGGCGATGTGAGAACATTTGTTGCCCAATCGAGCGTATGGCAGCAATAATCGATCGCGCAGCAGGACTTTGGGGGATCGTGGACAGCGCAAAGATATTGCCATTCAGATGCACGCATTTCCGGACACGTTTGCGCCGAGCATGGCGGGTCTTCGGCAAAGAATGCAATAACCAGATTGTTTGCTTTCATTGTAAGGAACCGGCACAGCTCGTACAGCCATAGAGACCGTTCCACGCCCGCTGGTGGCTCCGCCAGGTCTCGCGCAATATCTCTGGTTATAGGGGCAATGGTATCAGAACCTGCGGGCTGTGTGAAGTGATGGTAAGAGGCTTTGAGATGCTCTTGAAGTTGGAATGGAGAATCAAGCTATAGGCAGGAAATAAATCGCATTTGTTAGCTAATTCCACCTTCCACGGCGCCTTGCTTATAGACATGAACGAACCTCCGAGAGGGGGACCAAGGGAGGCCCGGAGGCCATATCCGCAGCTTTGGTGCCCGGTTGGATTCTTCGTGCTGAGGCTTCATCCTGGCCATGTGGTATGCCTAGTAATTCGTCGGATCCGTCGCCCGTTCCATCACTGACAGTCGGGGACTTGGGTGCAATCTGCACTTCCGTAAAGGGAGGAGGGCTAGGTAAGCGCGGCGAGCTTGATGGCGAGGCTGCTGACCCAGACATTATAGCAGAGTAGATAGGTGACTTCTCAGCTAGCCAGCAGCATGGAAATAAGCTGGTTCTGTGGTTTGTCGAAGCTGTCTGGGATGTAAACATCGAACTCGTACCTGATATCAATTATCTGAGCAACTGAATCGTGTAAAAGTTGTTCCGTGCCGACTACAAATTCCAGGATGCCCACTTAAGGTAAAACGAAGTAGAAGCAACGATATTAGATGTTGAGAATTTGTTCCGGTTGATATAGAAGATTTATATTCACTGCTTTCTCGCCTGTAAGCTACCATGAATACGGTCAACGATGACGAGGATGTTCCGCCGCAGTTGGTAGATGTAACTCCTGTTCCTCCTGCGACGTCTGAGGAGCAGCCCAAGACTCCAACGGACCTAAATCTCCCTAGAGTTCCTATAACGATAGTAACAGGTACTTCGGAGTCTGCACTCATTGATATATATGGCATCTTCTTACCGGCTGTATCTTCCTCCAGGTTATCTCGGTGCGGGCAAAACAACGTTGCTGAACTATATCTTAAATGAAAGACATGGAAAGAAAATAGCAGTTATTCTAAACGGTGCGTCCCTCTATATACCCTCGCACTCTGAATAAGATTATAATGTTGATTGTTTCTAATAGAATTTGGCGACTGTAAGGATGATATAATGCACTTTCTACATGTATTAGAGATATGAATTTCTAATGAACTGGCAACAGCCGTGGATATCGAAAAGTCGATGACCGTGAACCAAGAAGGCCAGCAGGTTGAAGAATGGCTCGAGCTAGCAAACGGCTGCATCTGCTGTTCTGTAAGGTTTGTTTCTTCAGAAAACCCATATAAAAACTCGACTTTATCCTTCTCGGAATATACCAAGATATGATATCTGACTATCTATTATTATAGGGATGCGGGGGTTTTAGCCATTGAATCCTTAATGAACCGAAGAGGCACGTTTGATTATATTTTACTTGAGACAACTGGCCTCGCTGATCCCGGAAACATTGCACCGCTCTTCTGGGTCGATGATGGACTAGGAAGTTCTATCTACCTCGACGGCATTGTCACGTTAGTGGATGCGAAGAATATCGATAAACTCCTGGATGAACCATCCTGCGAAGAAGAAAAGCAAGGTTTACATGGGGGTACTATGTTAACCACTGCTCATTTACAAATATCGCACGCAGATGTGATAATTCTCAACAAGACCGATCTAGTATCAGGTGAAGAACTTGAGAAGGTCAAGGATAGAATTACCTCCATCAACGGTCTAGCTACAATCCATACGACAGATCATAGCAAAATACCGAGCATTGAAGGCACAGTACTCGAATTGCATTCTTATGATAAATTAACGAATGTAGATTTTTCGACCAAGGGCCAAAGTCAGCTCGACGCCGTAAGTTCTCTCTTCACTCCTCTTACTTCGTTGAAAACAGAAATTGACATGTATTGCATAGTCTATCTCTACTCTTGCATTCACTTTCCCGGATATATCAGAAGAAAAAGTCGCCCGTATCGACGAATGGTTGCAAGCTGTTTTGTGGAATCAGGAATTCCCGATAGTCAAACATGCACCAGAAGACACTATCACCGACTTTGAAATCCATCGACTTAAGGGTATCCTTCGCTTGGCCAGTGGGAAGATAAGAATTATTCAAGGCGTACGAGAGGTATTTGAAATTGCAGATGCAGAAGATGGCCAACCATCATCTACCTCCGCGTCCAAGATCGTTCTTATCGGACGTGGGCTTGGATTGGACAGCTCAGTATGGCAGAAGAGCCTCCTTTCATACTTAGAGAAGTGAATACTCTACTTGGAAAAACATGGTATCAAACTAAAGGTACGATTTGGGCCATATATACACTAGACAAGGCTCATCTAGATATTGCAAATGCAGTCCGTTTGTATTAGTTTGAATCAACCTTTGAGTCCGCCGTTTCCTTGTCATCCAAACATACGACTGGGTGCCTTATACTGGTCTGGGCTCTCGGTCTTCCTTGCATTTTACCCAATGGCGAGCTTTCGAGACCAAGGTCGCTAAGACTGTAGTCCTCATCATGGCTCTCATGGGTTTCCTGTTGAGCCGTTTCGAAAGGGATAGGGCTCGAGGCAACCTTTGGCCTACTTTTGAACACACTGTCGTAATCGATGTAATCACTATACGGGTCCTCACCGGACACCTCTAGCTCTGAGTCTCCCTTGCTCTCTGCCCTTTTCTCTGGCGTTTCAAATGGATCACCTGGGAGTAACAATTGAGATTGTCGGCGGTTATCCGAGAGAGGTTTCCATGGGCGAGGTGTGGAGGCTGATACAAACAACATAGACTGTCTAGTGCGTTCTAGGAGTGTAGTAGCCCGCGATGCCTTGTCATCAGCGGCTTGTTGATTTTCCTCGTCCTGTGCACCATTGGTATCGCCGCTGCTTGCTAGCCTATTAGCCAATGGACTACTCTTTGGTAACTTTGGGGTGCTAGATTTAACTAGCGGCGAAAGCCCCAACTGCATTGCAAGCATATCTTCCGTCGATATATCTGCAGTTAAGTCTGGCTCAAAATCGCTAGAGTCTGATGTGACAGGGTCTTCCCTCGTTACAGCACTTGGCTCTTCGACCGCGCCGGCAATGGTATCAATCTTAGCTTCGTTGCCAGGAGCATCTTCGGGGGTATGTGATGACTCTGGTTCTGGATGTGCCACCGGGGAATCAACAATAGTTTCCGCATCAGGCATCTCCTGAGCTGTTTCCTCGGCCGTTTCCTGAATCGTTTCCTGAATTGTTTCCTGAGTTGTCTCCTGAACTCTTTCCTGTGTCGTTTCCTGAACCGTTTCCTGAGCTGGTTCCTGAGTTGCTTCCTTGGTCATGTCAACATGTTCGACCGGTGAATCGGTGGTGCCACATTCGTCTTCAGGGGCGGCCTGGGGCAAATCCGCATTCTCTGGCCGTTGTAAGCGAAGTCGTAGGCTGTCTAGATCTAATGACTCTTTAAACTTCTGCCATCCCTGGAGCCTGGATCTCTGTTTTAAGAGACGGTCATCCAGATCCGCCAGGAGATCAGGATGCGACTGGGATTCCAAGCCTTCTTTAACTTCCACCTTTTTCATCCCAGACCAAACCTGTGAGAAGTCCATCTCAAGTAGCGGTTCCGAGCATGCCTGAGAATCGCCGTTCAAGATCGTTGTTGCCCAGTCAACATCACCATGCCATGACCTCTTGATAGAGTCTTGAAATTGTTGCTGATTCCTAATTTCCGATGCTAGGGGCTTTGGCATGCGCCTCGAGTTTGCAAGTTCGTTTGATTTCAAATGGAGGAATTGCTTGAGGTCGCGACACGTTGAGTTTAACTCATTCTTTTGGTCTATCATGGAATGCAATGAAGCACGATACGCGATGATCATTGGTAGTAGGTTATGAGTATCACTGGGTGGTCCTCGCTTGCTGGCTGGTAGGGATAACGAGGGAGCTCCAGTACGGTATTCTCGAGAGCCAGCCACAACCTTGCGCAGCACAATCGTGGAGAATTCCGCGAGAATCTCGTCAAATTTCTCTCCTGTACACTCCTCCAGCATTGCTTTTCGCAAGATCCTCTCCCTTCCCAGCGTTCCATTTTTAGTCAGCTCTGAGAGGAACCGGAAGAGTGCAGCTCGAAGATTTGAGGATTGCAACGGTTCGAGTGGTGGGAAGAAAGGTTGTAGCTTCTAGATAAACGTAGTATTCTGTTAGAATATTGACCATATACATCATAGAATACAAAGAACCGTACATTTCGTGTGAGCTCAGGGTCCCATAGTTGGAACAGGTAAAACAGTGCCCATTCAATGGCTTGGACACGTCTCCGCAGATTATGTTGGCTGTCAGACAGTGTCGAAGGTACGATACCTGGCCAATCCGGGCGTAGATCAAGGCGCAGGAGCTTCAAATTGCGAATGAAGACAGCAATGGGCTGAGGCTGAGGCCATGCTTCGGCCCCAGAATCGGGGGTAGAGACGAGCATAGGAACTGTCGCATAAACGGCTCCTCTACCGAGGTAGGTAGTGGCGCTACCTCAGGAGTATACACTCGTCTTGTTACCCTGACTCGAGGATAGTCGAGATGATATCGTCGCGTGCAGTTGAAAGTAATTTGATATTCAGGAGATGCGCAACAAGGTACAGGTCACATGACATGCAATTTGAGCTACCCCTGAGAAATTAGATATCCATGGAACAACGCAGCTTTACCAGGGATAATTGTATCTTTTATCGGTACGTATAGGCTCGCGGGTAACTGGATACAGTCTTCCAACCTACAAATTATGGGTCGTCTGCTTCCATATGGAGTACTCCGTACTGAGGGGGCCCTTTCAACAAGCAGCTATCTACGGAGCATACAAGCATTCTATTGGAATTGAAACCCCAGGCCGATAGAGCCATCATCAGTACGGGAATAGACAGCATAGGGATATGTATTGTCCTCATCGAGAGTGGCTCCAGATATGCTGCCTGGTGATACCCTATAAGAAGGCACAGTGCTGGTATACGGAGAACCTTCACCCAGCCCTTCAAGTTGGCCGTATGCATTGAGGGACCAAAACTTGCTGCTCTTGTCCATGCATTCTTGATACCATCTTCCAGCCTATATCGACCCGGATCCTTAAACCCAATGGCCACCCGCATACTTTGTATCAGAGTTTGGCAATGCACCGCGGGACAGCGACGACGACCTTCAAAAAGTTGATTGGGGTGAAACCGCTACCCTTTCTCTAGCCTGGCTAAAGACCTGGTCCAAGATCTGGTTAAAGGGAACGGCGAAAGAAAAGGTGAAAGATGAAAGAAAAAGAAAGCGAGAAGCAACTTGATAGGGCTGCGCCTGTTAGTCAGCATGATCGCCGCCAAAAAAGGAAGCATAAACTCAGTATAAAATCCCGATCCCCCGCCAACTCACTGAGGTAGAGTAGCGGTGTTTCTCCTACGCACCCGCCGTCCACCCCCATTTCGATCGTTGTCGACAGGAAAATGGGCTCAAACACTCCCTGGACCACCCGGACAGGTATGTGACATCAATGACCTCCAAAGATATGCTCGGTAAACTGACATCTGCACCCCCGCCAGTCCTCGTGACTCTACCGCATCCACCTCAAGAGAACAGCTCTTCACCAGTTCCATTCTTCCACCTCCTAGAACGCCTTAAGACTACCAAGAGAGAAGGCTGGAGACGGTTCGACATTTCTCATGGCGAGTCTATAGCCGACCACATGTACCGCATGTCCGTCATGACCATGCTGGCACCCCCCTCGCTTGCGTCAAAGCTGAACATCCTCCACTGCACCAAGATGGCTCTCGTTCACGACATGGCCGAATCCATCGTCGGGGATATAACGCCCGTCGACACCGAAGTCACAAAGGCCGAGAAGGCACGGCGCGAAGCGGAAGTGATGGAGTACATATCAAGGACACTACTGGGCAGCGTCTTCGGCGGAACTCCAGGCGAGGGCCTCCTGAAGATCTTTGAGGAATATGAAGAAGACAAGACGCTTGAAGCGCGGTTCGTGCATGATATTGACAAGATGGAGTTACTCCTGCAGACTGTTGAGTATGAACGGTCTCATGGTGGGAAGCTCGATTTATCGGAATTCTACCACGCTTTCGACAAGATACGTCTACCGGAGATCAAAGCATGGGGCGAGGAAGTTATCCGGGAGAGGGAAGCCTTCTGGGCAGACAAACCAACCCCGGGTGCCGTTCCCAAATAAACGCATTATGCCCATAACTTTGGGTTCTACCGTTTCTTCAATAGAAGCCAGACTGACCATCAGGTCTCCGCCTTTATCATCGGCCGTGGCTAACATGGCAAATACTTGGAGCATTCATTATCTCTTTCACGTTCACTTTTTTTGATAGACGCGTTTCGATTTGCTTCTTTGTTTTGGGCACAGGCCGGTTAATTCAGACTGACGAAGTTAGGTCACTTCGAAGTTGAGCTGAGCTCGACATGCATAGACAAGCATATTAATACATTACCTCTGATACCTCAAACGTCCTACCGTTTGGTCAACACTAAGCTAGTATAGAATAAAACTCCGTGAACACGCATCGTGCAGGGGTATCCCCTAATATCTGAACGTCTAGACGGCGCCTTTCAATGTAAACCTCCTGATATCATCATAATTCTCCGACGTGGGACAGACAGGGGCCTCATGCAGCTTTCCTTGTCTCTATGAAAACGCGAACTTGAAAAAGCCATTAAAATCACGTGATCACGTGACGATGCTTCTCCGCGAATTTTACCTCCATCGCCAGGACTTAGATATTTAATGGTAGAAACATGCGGAACAACCGGCTTCAGGCTCTTCGAACCCATGAACAAGAGATGAATTAGGGTCGGATAAACCCACTGAGGAAGGAATTCAACCTACCGCATTAGAAAATAAATAGCGATCTTTTGCCATCGATGCCACCGACTCTACCTCGAAGAAAAGGCCAGGATGCACGCGAATTCACCTCAAAACGCGCTCTATTAGAAGCACTTGACACACCACCAGAGTTATCAGCTGATGAGATTAAAGCGTCAAAGTTCTTCAATGGGGAGGATTCCTCATCCGAGGACTCCTCGCTGTCCGAACTCGATGAAGTCGAGGCCAGGTCAAAGGAAAGCCTAGATGGCGATGGCGATGGCGATGGCGATGACGATGATGACGACGAAAATGCGAACTGGGAAGATGCAACTAATGAAGCTCCCCAGACTACAGCCCCTGTCCTCAGGGATCTGAGTATCATACTAGAGAGGAACGAAGAGGCCTTTACTCCATATTCGCCCAGTTCGAAAAAAGGTCCTAGTAAGATCGACCGTTTGATTCGGACCCAAACTCACTGCATGCATGTGCAGTTCCTCCTATTTCACAATGCCATTAGGAATTCGTGGATTAATGATGCAGAAATACAGCAAATCCTTCTTCGCCAATTACCAGACAAGGTCAATAAACAATTGCAAAATTGGAAGGCAGCTGTTGAGTCCTATAACTCATCGTCAGGACTGCCAGATGGCCAAGACGATCCAACATTTCATATTTTGACGATACTTGGTTCCCATTGGGCTAAGTCGTTTGAAGTCACGGCCCCTGGATTGCGAAAAAAAGGCTACAGGCCAATGCCAATTCTTGGAAAAGAGATTACTTCATTCAATGGACCAGATGAAGATAGTCACGTATACGGAGAAAGAATTCGAGATATAACCGAATTTCGCGAGCTTGCAGAAAAGCGTCAAGGGTCGCGCGATGCAGGAGCCCAGCTTTTTACTTCTCTTTTAAGAGCTGTTGGTCTGGAAGCAAGGATGGTTGCTAGTCTCCAGCCGATTGGATTTGGATGGAGTAAGTTCGAAGACTACAACCCGAAAGAGAAGGCAAATCGTACGGGGAAGAAGATTGATAAAGATCTTCGTTGTCCGATATATTGGTCTGAGGTTGTATCCCCCGTTACGAATGATATCATACCTGTAGAAGCCCATGTCCTTCCGTTCTACCTGGCTACGACTCCAGAGCGCATGGCAATGTTTGAACCACAGGCACCTAAAGCGGAGAAGGCTAAGCAGGTCATAGCATATGTGGTTGCATATTCTCCAGATGCAACCGCCAAAGATGTCACCACCCGCTACCTGAAACGACAAGTTTGGCCTGGAAAGACGAAAGGATTTCGAATACCCGTGGAAAAGATTCCCTACAACAAATCTGGATCTCGTTCATATTACGAATATGACTGGTTCAAGATTACAATGAGGGGTTACCTTCGGCCGGCGGGCAAAAGAACAGCCGCTGACGACAAAGAAGATAAATCACTTGCTCCCGGCCTGGCGAAGAGTAAGCCAAAGGAGGGCGATACGCTACAGAGTCTGAAAGCATCGGATGAGTTTGTCCTAGAGAGATTCCTGAAAAGGGAAGAGGCCCTCCGCTCCGGCGCAACTCATGTGCGAACATTCATAACTGGGAAAAACGAGAAGAAGAAAGAGGAGAAGGTTTATAAGCGGGCGGATGTAGTAAGATGCCTTTCCGCAGAGAGCTGGCACAAGGAAGGACGGAAAGTCAAGCTAGGAGAATCACCACTCAAGCTTGTACCTATCAGGGCGGTAACGTTGAATCGAAAGCGTGAAGTTGACGAGCTTCGACGTGAGACGGGCGAAAAGCCAATGCAAGGGCTATACGCTCTATATCAAACCGAATTCATAATTCCACCGCCCATCCAGGACGGGATAATACCTAAAAACGAATATGGAAATATCGATTGTTTTGTTCGCTCCATGATCCCACGGGGTGCCGCGCATGTTCCGTTCCCTGGAACCGTCCGTGTTTGCAAGAAGCTCGGTATAGACTATGCAGAAGCGGTTACAGGGTTCGAGTTTGGGAGTAAGATGGCCGTTCCTATAATCCAGGGAGTAGTCGTTGCTGCTGAGAACGAGAATCTTTTAAAGGATGCATGGATAGCAGATGAACAGGAAAAGAGGAGGAAAGAGAAATTAAAACACGATAAACTTATCCTTGCTACCTGGCGGAAGTTTATCATGGGCCTTCGCATTAATGATCGACTCCAGGAGGAATATGGCGCGACAGGTGGTGCCGAATCTCAGAATCCATTTGCCAGCCGGGAAAACCCAGGATTCCCTCAATCTATGGAAGAAGATAGCCATGACCACGATACGGGAGGCGGATTTCTTGTTCCAGGAGCGGACGAGGATACAAATGATGGTGGTGGCTTTTTGGTCGAAGACGAGGAGCCATACAGGGGCCGACACCAAACAACTTCCGCCAAAGCAGATGAGCAGGAAGACAGTACGCTATCTGATATCAGTGATGCGCCTTCTGTCATTTCCGAACCTCTATGACACCTTGTATGATAGTTCGGGATTTAGAGTGGTTGGATTAATACTATTATGAGAAACCAAATGAATAATCAGTTATGAACAACATATATATTTATTAAAGCCTAGATATAATGTTTAAATATGCAAGTTATCGGACGATATGATGTTGCTGTGGCCATGTTAAATATATATAGATCTAATGATCTGATTAATGTTCGAAAAATACGAAGAGTACTTTGCTGCCAAACCCGATATTGAGTTTGTTGACATCAGTCTTCTATCGATAACATTTCACCAAGTCAACAATGGACAAACAACACACCGGTGAACCCGCTGCAGGTGAGATGAACGTAGCTGCAAGGAGTCCAATTCATTTTGGGCCGTTCATCGTTACCCCACAGGTACGTATTTATGGACTTCACGATGCCTCTTGCGCAGCTTGGAGCTGGTATCTAGCTCTGTAGATGCGAGGTATCACGAACCTAGCGAGCTCAAATCTTCGAAGTTGAGTTATAGGAAGCTAACATCATTTGACTAGGTCTTCTTTATCACTCCTCTCTCTTTCGCCCTTGTTAACATCAAACCTCTTCTGCCTGGCCATGTCCTCGTCTGTCCGATTCGACGCACCCCGCGACTATCAGACCTAACACCCGCCGAAACAACAAACCTCTTCCTCACTGTTCGCCGTGTAAGCCGCATGGTCGAGCGAGTTTACCAGGCTTCTAGCTTAAATGTTGCGATCCAAGACGGGGTTGATGCCGGACAGAGCGTGCCCCACGTACACGCTCATATAATACCTCGTAAGAAGGCAGATTTGGATCACAAGGGCGGCTCGGATGCGATATATGGCATGATGGACGGCGAGGATGGGGATATCGGGAGATTTCTAGCTGAAAGGAAAATTGCTATGGAATCTAAGCGGTCCAGATCTGGATTCCCGGCTGTTGATAATGAATCTAGGGAGCCAAGGTCGGACGAGGAGATGCGGAAAGAAGCTGAAATGCTGGCTGAGGAGATGGAAAAAGAGATGGAGATGGAGAGGGAGAATATGAAAAGAGAATATGATGAGTGAATAAGTATAGATGCTTACATTAATAAAAGATTTTTAAGGCTATACTTGGACTCAATTATACACATGCACAGGGTGTTGTGAGAAGAGTCTGAGATCTATTTACACTAATTCCCTATATACACACATACCCTATCTTGTTAAATCAAACAAAAACTTTGTTGAAATAGGTAACTTGTCTCACGGGTGCAAGTAATGACCTAGCTATTGCATATCAGTCGAGGACTCATAGCTTCCGGCTGAGAATCAAAGTGCTGGCCCATTCAACCCTCACAACCTTATCCGCTGCCGATTGAGCATTGCGCAGATCCTCTTCAACCTCGATGATGCTATCAAGCATCTCATCTGCAACATCTCCAGTCCCACCCTCACTCCGCCGAATACGGTTTGGGTGGGCTTCTTTCCAACGATGGTACGCACTCCATGTTCGGATATACTCTGTTGCCTGACCAAGGGAAATATCCGATTCCATATACTTCGTACCCTCGCCGGAGCCTGGCCCGTTAACTCCTGGATGGTACTCAATCCGCTGGAGATCTGCCCAGTCCTCTGTCGGTGGTTGTATTACACGTAATTTGTCCCGCATAATTGAGTTGCCAGGCTGAGGCCAATAAGACCCGAGCAGGTGTTTGTCCAAGCCATAAGCATATTGGTCGATTATAGCGGTGGCCTTGGGATAATCAACTAGGAAGTGATCTGAGTATCCCCAAAATGCAAGTGTACCTCCAACTTTCATGACCCGGTTCAATTCTGCAAAGAGCTGGGGATAGTTGAACCAGTGGGCTGCTTCTCCTGCAACAACTAGGTCTATGCTCTCATCCTCAATAAACGGGAGAGCCTCAGCAGTTGACTGAACGAACTCAACATTTCCCTCGGCTGTTAAGCTTCTTGCCTGCTCGATCATGCCAGCAGACGGGTCGATGCCGTAGACTTTCTTGAATTTTGGGGCAAGTGCACGAGACACCAAGCCGTGCCCGCATCCAAGATCTAGACATGTTTCATATTTGCCACGGTGATACCCGTATACCATGGCATAAAGTTTTGGGGGATATACTGGGCGAAATGAGGCATATGCCGCATGCGAGAAGGTGCTCTTTCTGTAAAGCTCATTCGCATGGTTTGATCCTCAACGTTCGTTAGCCACTTCTCTTCCAGGTCAACTCAAGCATTGCGGGATATACTAACGCAAATGTTGCCATCGTATATGTTTTGGAAGTATCCTTATACGGCAGATCAGTGTGTCGCTATCATCAAGTTGAATAAAATGAATTTGGAATATAGACGCCTCATCCGCTTTATATCGGCCCTGAGCCTCCGAACGGCCGAACCGAAATTTACCGAGAGTCGCGAATCTTAGGCAGTTGGTTCATCAGGAGTTGACCCTAGGGGAATACCGACCATACGTCATATCGCATATCGTGGGAATTATTTAAATATAGAAATTCGAGAAACTTTCTAGTCCACCGAGATCCACTGTATTACCGCGATTCCATTATTTGGGTCAATGGGCCGTTCCCGTAAAGCTTATACTGGATCCTATCAACTGCAAACCGTGAACATATGCGTTCAAGGAGGATGGTGAGGATGGTTGTGTATCATGGCGAACAAGTGCTGTATGTTGAGATTAGAGTTGCCTGGCGTATATGGTGGCTATTAAAGGCATGTGTCTATCGGAATTAGAACTTGGTCCTCCGCCTCCATAACATAGTAACCTAGATCTAGTCCATCGTGGGTGATAACCTGTCGCCAAAACCTGCGCCACGACTGTCGAGGGTGTGACTCTTCTGCCAGGACCACTTCCTCTGGCTGGACCATCAGGACCCTCGTGTAAATGTATTTATCCAGAGCGACCTCAAGGCACTTCAATTGGGTTGAAAAATGCCTTACTAGCTGGTCTGTAGTGTAGAAAATAGCTGCGCTTACAAGAGGGTACCCTTTTAGCCCAGGTTGACACCAGGGGGCTACTTCGTGGGCATTCCTTTCTATAAACCTGCCTCCCCTCTTTATATGTAGGCGGAGGCAGCGCAGATGAGGAAAGAAAGAACAGAGAAAGGAAATCAGCGCAGCATGATCTCCCACATCAACGGAGTCACCGCATGGGATGATCCTGGATGTCAGCTCAAGAGACGTAACTCCTCTGAGACGGTGTGCCGGAACAAGGTTCGGTAGCTTGAATAAGAGGCCGTCGTAGAATTCGTCATTGACGATAAACGTATTGGTGTTATAGAGGACTGGCATGGCTTCAGTATAACTATTTGACATAAAATATACATTAGAACTCCGGAGGGGGAAACGATCTATATAAAAAAAGATATGGCAGCTCCTTACCATTGGCGAGATGTCAACAGCCACTCTAATACCCCAATAAAGCAGCTCGAGTGGTCACCATAATGGGCACGACAAGACGTATACTGCGGCAGAGAACACCGGTCGTTCCAAAAGGGGAGGTTCCTGTATCTATGGCAGACGCAATGCCACCACCTCCATTCCAAATTGTGGTCGTCTGTCCGCTTGATCGTGTCCAGACGAGCGTGGGATTTTCCAGCAACGTACGAGTTCGAGTAGGTAAAGCTCATATGTATCGTTCTCGCCCCGAACAGAGCAATGTACACCATCTGACGGATCTCTGGCGGCAGGCGTGTGAAGAAGAGGCTGTTGTCCGTTGCCCATTGATCACTCGCGCTCCTCGAGGCATACGAGAAGGACACCGGTCGACGGTTAGGAGGGAGGATCGGTATCAGGGGCGTCCGGGGCCGCCGACGACGACGCGGTGGTGCATTACGCGAAGACTCATGATGCTCGGCCTGGTCTGGATGGCCGCGCTGGGTGATCTTTCGAATCCACTGGGTGAATCTCGGCATGCTCTCACGCATCTGGCGACAACTACGGGCTGCAAGTTAGCTTTAGTGGTGGGGGATGGGCTGGCTGGTCGTCCATGGCATGCTGAGGGAGGGCTGCAGGAGAAGAAGGCTGGGGGTCAGGACGATGCTTGCAGGGCACTAGGGGAGGCAATGCGACGAGTCGAATGCTGCCGCTGCCGCGTCCATCGAACAATCCTGGGACGAGCTACTTGCACCCAGCCCGTATCTGCGAGGACAGAGGACCGTTCGTTGTAATTCTCCATGGGCCGTATGTAGTAGAGATTTGGTTATACGGGCGAACCTCGGCGCTTGTCATGGCGGGAAAAGTAACTCGTCCGCCGCGGGGTGGAAGATCGCTCATACATCGACGATGAACATTGAAACAGAATAGATATCATTCTTCTGCTGCTCGACACTATATCTGCAGTGCCGGAGTTGTATATAATGTCTTCAGACATGGAAGCCGCCGTCAAGCTGTTCTTCTCCTCTCCGCGATTCGCGGTCGCTGGCGCAAGCACCGATGCCAGCAAGTTTGGCTATAAAAGTACTCCTCGATCAACTTTCTATCTCTCGGCGAACGCAGGATAATACTAACGTCTTCTTAGTCCTGGCGTGGTATCATCAGCACTCTCTGGCCGTCACTCCGCTGAATCCCAGGGCGTCCTCGATCTCTCTGCCGTCCAAATCGTACACAACAGTCGCATCTCCATTGGACCTGTCTGCACCGTCACAGACATCACTTTCTATCGTCACGCCTCCAAAGGTGACTATCCAGGTCCTGCGTGATGCAAAGTCGGTGGATGTGCCCGCCGTGTGGCTGCAGCCGGGAACTTACGATGACGAGGTGCTGGAATACGCCCGCGAGAACTTCAAGGCGATGGTTGGAGGGCCAGGAGGACAAGGAAGCGAGGGCTGGTGTGTCCTCGTAGATGGCGAGGATGGCCTCGATGCTGCTGGCGTCCAGTGGACTACTCAGAAACTGTGAATAAAAGCTGATACGATGTACATGATTGCACTTGGACATATGTGTGTTGATAAATATATTTATTTGCTACAAAATGCAAGGCTATAAAGGTGAGACGTTGTGATGTGTACAATATTCCGAGAGGTTTATTGGGTTAGTCTCAATTTATACATACTTCCCACCCTCTACTAGGGCAGATGTTAATAGTGATGAAGAGGGAATCCCGCCGTCTGATCCAAAAAGCAACTGGGAATCGAAAACTGGTAAAATAACCTAGGGAGCAAACCCATCGAGGAACAAGAGAGAAAGGCTGACGAAGGTCAGGGTAAAAAGGAGACACAGAAACAGAACGGAAACAGAAATATAAGCCGAAGGAGGAGAAAGAAAACCGTGGTATCATCAGATCATTAACGTGGTATAAACGGTCCCCTGTGCCGGATGTAAGGAAAAGAGAATAGTACAAATGTGCAGAGGCCGTAAAAACATAAGATGGGGATTAATCCCATTCCCCCAAATCCATCTCGTCCACTTCTATCCGCGTTCCTAACGCTTCTTTTCCTTCCTTGATCATGGCTTTCAACTGATGGTTCAGTCTTCGCATACTAGCATCTTCTTCACGTTCCTTGCGCCTTAGCTTTGCCGCATACCTTTGGGTCTCGACCGACAAGGGGCTTTCATTAGGGTTGGGTACGGTGCTGAACTTGGGAGGCGTCTTGTAGATAGATGGCGGAGAGGAAGGCTGTTGAGTGAAACTCGACGGCCGTGTGGGCGCAAGGGGTGTGGCAGGTCTCTTTGGCTGTACTCGAGCAGCTGGGCGGCGGGCAGGAACGTGGTGGATGACGCTGCTTCTGCGAGGCATCTTTCTCGAGCTGTGCGAAGGGCTGGTTTCTCGAGAATCTTTGTCCTCCTTGACTATGACCCAGCTGTTATGTAGATCGTCCCGGCGGGGTTTTTCGATGGGGTAGCTGTCGTCTACCGGGTACTGGCCGGGTACGGGTGTTTCCTCCCGCTGATGGCATCGGTAGCTCTTCTTCTTCTGCTGCGGCGAGGATGTGTCCCAGGTCTGGCTTGCCTGAACGGTGGACGTGGTGGTATCGATATCATATCCTCTGCCTCCACCAGCGTGGAATCCCCGAAACGGACCCGACCAGCAGAAATCCCAGACTTTCCCAGCAACACCTCCGACGAGGTTGATCACTGACTTTCCCCAGCTGGTGGTGGTTGGCGTACCCTTCACATCTGTATCATCGCCCTGTGTCGTCGATATCCCGCGCTTCCTTTTCGTTCCTTCAAACGGTGAAGGTGTAGGGGGCGCAAAGTCTGCGTCGACATCCATCCTCATACCCATCGTCCGGCTAGGTTCTCTATATCGGGTGGGCCGGTAATCAAGCTCTGATTCCTCATTCTCGCCATCTCGCTGTGACGTGTATCCTAGTAACGATGTCTTCGCCGTCGTCGTCAGGAGCCCGGTATCAAGCCCTCCTTCGGCCAGGAGATACCTTGTGTTGGCCAAGGGAACAGGGCTCGAGACCCTTGAGAAGGAAGGCTGGTGGTCCCAGAGAACCCGTTCGTCCAACCCGCCGACGTTTCCATCTAGCCCGTCGTATCCATACCGTGCACGCTTTCGACTACTCTTCGACGCCGATGAGATAGTGCGACATAGTGACGAGGCTGCCGATGCCGACTGGGGTGAGTGGTAGAAGCGAGATCTTGCGCCGGTCAGATCTAGCTTCGGCGGAACCGGGCTGTCGAGGAAGAAGTCACTGGGCATGGAGGACTGCTGAAAGGACGACATGGGGTCTGGTAGGCCTGAGACAGCTAGGAGCGGTTCATAACTCCGTGGTGATGGGAGGATGGGTGAGCCTCGAGGGAGGTGATGAATAGTTTATACAGATGAGGCTGGATTTGTTTGGCGAGTGAAAAAGTCATCAAAACACAGTGACATCCAGTGATGGCTTGGCGTTTTCCCTCTCCACAGATCACATCAGCTGGGCTTCACCGTGCATCACATGGATAGCTATACACAGAGCTGATGGAATAAATATACAAGTATAAGGCAGTAACTGTTTATTATCATCCAGGCGTCCTCCCTGTTAAGCTACTAATAACCATACAAGTTGGTAGTTTCCGTGGCGGTTTCCTTCAGCTTCTTGTTCTCCTTCTTCAAGAGATACCTCATCCACCAAGCACAAATAATGGAACAAAAGGCGAAGCCGGCAGAGGATCCAAAGCCAATGCCGTATCTTGGAGAGTCGGAGCTGGGCCAGACGTACGCTCCGTATATGTACCCTATCTGTCCACCAACATTCGTCATGGCTAAGACGACCTACCATTGCACGGGCATCAGCTACACATTCCAATAAAGGTTGCGTGGTGAAAGTAATATAAGAGGCAGACTTACAGCTTGTTTTTCGCGAGTCTGAGAGAGAGTCGATGACGCCCAACCGATGATGACTGAATTTACTGAATATGCACCGATCGGGAAGATGAAACAGGCGATGTAGCGACCAACCGTGTTAAGAGTCGAGGCTGCAATCACAAATCCGACGATAGCAGTGGCAAGACCGGCAGTGATATGCCAAGTGCGCTCGTGGAAACGGCCAGAGGTATATCCGAATAAAATACCGGCTGCTCCAGCGAAGAGGAAGGGAGGACATGTCAGGACGAGGGTGATGGTTGTGTTGAACCCGAGAGTCTTGACCACGCTATAGTTGAAGAAGAAACGTTAGTCCAGTCACTTTATTTGCAGCCAAAGTAGCTAATTGATGATGCGTACGTTGGGAAGAAACTGTTGAATCCACAAGCCGAGAGATGGAAATTCTGCATCAGGCAGAAGATCCACGTCCTTGGATCTCGGACAGCCTGTTTAAGTCCCTCCATAGTCGACGCCATCTCTGGCTCTCCCATCTTGTCCCTCTGTATTCGACTATGAGCAAGGTCACGCTCCGTGTCCTTTAACCATCGAGTCGTCAACGGAGTGTTTGGGAGCAACCAAAAGCCGGCGATGGCAACAGCACCTGACACAGAACCTTCGATTATGAACAGCCTAGAGTTTCCATGTTAGCCAACGCAATCTATTCAAACGCTTGCGGTAGTCGTACCATCGCCATCCCGATAGCCCCCTGGCGTGATCAAGGCCGGAGAATACACCAGCAGCGATTAACCCGGCGAAACCAGTTGCTAAAATCTGGGCACAGTATAACATTGCGATTCGAGCGGCGACCTCTATATGAAGCGTTTCGATTAGACTTGTATTCGCAACAAATAGAATGCGAGGGTCACGTACCTCTTCGAGTATAAAATATGGATAGGATATAGGTAGCTCCAGGATAAAACTAGGTTGTTGATGGTAAGCGAATGAGGTATGGAGAGGTTTCTCATGAGGCCTTCTTACAGGAGCTTCCGTAATTCCAAGAAGGAACCGACAGACCACTAATCCAGAATACGACTGAACCAACGCGGTGCAAGCTATAAAAGTTAATAAGCCTAACCTCAGGTACCGATGGTTAAAGTTGACTGGAAATACATACCGGAAACGACAGACCAGACCACCATCCAGGCACTCATATAGATGCTTGGCGGCACTCTGGTGATCAACATGTTACTCGGGACCTGCGTGAGGACGTATCCGACGAATAGAATGGAGATGGTGGTGTTGAATTGAGTGCCGTGCATGCCGAGCTCTTTCTCCAGGTTGTTCAACCGGGCCTGAGCAAGCGTGTTTCGGTCAATGTAGTTCAGGAAGTACATTATTACCAGCGTGGGCTAGATTGAACGTCAGCTTCGGGCATAAACATGACTTTCAACGATCGAAGGAATGGTACCATAATACGCCAGTCGAGTTTTCGGACGAGTCTGAGCTCCTCTGGGGAAATTTTGGTGACGGCACCGGCATAGTCACGGTCCTGCGCCGCAGTGCCCTTCTCGTCAGCATGGTCCTCGGTGGTTGTCCTTTCAATCTTGTTGTCGGCTTCGATGGGCGAGGCGTCCACTGCCTCTGATTTTTTCTCCAAGGAGGTCATTTTCGCCCAGAAGTTCCTTGGAGCCTTGTGAAGCCCCCAAGCTACGCAAGTGCAAAAAGAAGAAGTGTGCTTGTCTGACGGCTCGCTCTAAAAGTGCGAAAGAGATTATTTATCAATCCTTCATCAGCGAGTCGAGCGACATGCGGGGACCCTAGGCCTGGAAAATCTGGACGTTCAGCTGTGCCACTGGCGACGCTAAGAACAGGGATAAAGGATCTGCCATGCAACCTGAAGCAACGACTTCGTGCCATAACCCTATTTGTTCTCTCTTTATCTTTCTTATTATTGAGGTAACTGGAAGCTGGATCGGCAGCTAGCGATATCACGGGACCCGCAATAGGGCCCACGCGGGGAAGCTTTAGCCAATAGGAACCATGGAAGTAAGCGGATCTTGTGCTGGAAGTCAGCTGATTGGTGAGTTAATCTCGACCCCTGGCCACGCCTGCTTCAACATGTTGGAAAAGATACACGCAGAAGTCGCCTGCACGCTCGTCTACTCCAACCTACTGCATGTCATCCACAGCGAGAGCTCAAGGGTTCAAGGATGCAACGGTTCAAGGATGTCCCCGTTCGAAGGTCACGGTCACCATGGTATCGGGACAGCGGCGAATGAGGCGTCAGCAGAGTTAAACAACAAGCGAACCTTCTTAATATCGGTGATAACCCGGGCGTTCGCTTTCTCGGTGAAGTCGATGGCGACATTTTGGAATTTGTTGCTGATGTGGGAAACACCCCAGGGTTGCGGCCTCCCTGTCCTTCTTGCCTCGCTGTATCCAGCTTTGTGACAGTTTTAGAACGCGAGAGTGATAAGCGAACTATTAGCGAGTTTGCCACGAGAGTGCTGAGTCGCCGTCCAGTTGTACTGAAAAGCACCAAGCACGTACTCCGTATATCAAAATACGTTGCATCATTAACTTCAGGTGACGGAAGAGCGGCCACTAATCTGGGGAAGATAAGATAGGACGCGTGCTGGTTCCCATCTGACGAGTCGTACGGTACCCAAATGGCTATAAATCCGGAAGATTTGTCGATCCTAACTAGCTATGGAGACACAGACAGGAGGTCTTAGCGTGGTTAAAGTCGCCAGCAAGTTATAAGGAGGGACACATTGGTCAGAGTGCGGTAGGCGCGTTCTAGAAGGCCGACCAAACAAAAACCTATAAGGTTTATTTAGCCATACACCACAGCCAGGAAGCTTCGACATTCCGTGGCGTTGAAGTTACATGCATGGTTTGTCGCTGCATGTCGAAGCATATCTAAAGTATGCCTGGAGTCCTGCAAGTTCTCGCTCGCTAAATAGCTTCCGAGGCGTAACACGCGGCCACTGACATCGCATCGACGTTGGCATTTCCCTAGACTAGACGGATAGATAGCCAAGAAGAAGCACTGACATCGAGACAGCGTCCACGACGGAGAACTTGAAGGTCGAGTTAAGATTCTCTCAAGCCTTGGTTGTTTTTTCTATCTTCCGCCGCTGATTTCTTGGCGCCGAAAACATGCTTAAAAGCACGTGATTATATAGGGGTTCGCGTCCTTCGAGCGATCCGCGGGCAGCGTCATCAAATACGATCAGCCTTGAGATCACGGTTGATCCTACGTGCTGTCAGCAGGAGTATCGCGAATTTTGATACCGGCGCCCTCGGATTGTCGAGTCAGTGCTTCGATTGCCGCGTTGACGCTGAGTAGCTCTTATCAGGGCTGGATACCGAGGTATGTCGTGGGGGTTGTTGATAAGATCCTGATGCCACAATTGACGAGATGCTGAAACTGACGATATTTTGCAAGTAGGCTGATGGTTTTTGCTGATATACCGCATTACCTCCTTCATCACTGACTCAACATGTCCTCGGTTGCAGCTCCGCTAAATCGCCAACAAAGCTGGATCCCACTGCTCTGTGCAGCAGCCGCATTATCCCTCCCACTCACCCTCCACTTCTTCCGGACGCGCGATGATAATATGAATTCCACGGCCCTATCGCCACCATCCTCTCTTCCATCCCTACCTTTATTCCTAGAAGCGCAGAAATGGGCCTCCAAAGACCCGAAGAAGATTGCTATAATCGACAAAACCAAAGATCTAAGCTTTACATATCGCCAATTACTCAACGATGTGTCCGTGTTGAAGAGGAGGATTCTGACAGAGCTGAAGGTCCAGGATCTAGAGGAAAAGAGGGTTGCATTCCTTGTCCCTGCGGGATATGATTATGTAGTTTGTCAGTGGGCGGTATGGGCGGCTGGCGGAGTTTGTGTGCCGTTGTGTAGGTGACCCTGCTTTCATCATGAGGCTACATGGCATGCTAATTATAGATATAGGCACATCCCACCCGCCAAAGGAGTTGCTATATACAATCTCGGACTCCGACCCTTCCTTAGTGATTCTACACAGCTCATTCCAACACATCAAGCCGGCTTTGCTTGACAACCCTTCCAAGGCTACCTTTATAGAGTTTTCACCTATCGTTGACGTCAGGAGTTGCACCTCCACCCCCAACTTTCACCCTGCGTTTCCATCGTCCCGACGGGCCTTGATGATATATACGTCTGGCACGACGGCAAACCCCAAAGGTTGTGTCACAACGCACAAAACGATCACATTCCAAGCAACCTCACTCATCGAAGCATGGAAATATACCCATTCCGACCACCTAATCCATGTCCTTCCCCTACACCACATCCACGGCATTATCAATGGCCTCATAGCCACTCTCTTAAGTGGCGGCATAGTCGAGATGCACGCCAAGTTTGATCCCCAGGTTGTCTGGGATAGATGGAGCAACCCCGGTTCCTCGACCATGTTCATGGCCGTACCTACCGTTTACTCACGACTAGTCGACTATTTTGATGCTCATATCCGATCCACGGATGCAGAAGCAGCGTCTCGATCAGGTGCAGGCGCATTACGGCTTGTAGTCAGCGGCTCCGCAGCGCTACCTACACCGATTAAGACGAAGTTCCTCGAAATTACTGGCCAAACTTTGCTCGAACGCTATGGGATGACTGAGATTGGCATGGGCTTGAGCTGTGGTCTTGACGTCTCGCGTCGCATAGAAGGGAGTGTGGGCTGGCCCCTCCCGGGTGTGCAGGTGCGTCTAACACAGCGAGATACGGGAACAACCATCCCTACTTCCTCATACGATGAAGATGGGATGATAGAAGTTAAGGGGGATAATGTGTTCCTTGAATACTGGCGACGGCCCGACGCGACGGCAGCGGAGTTTACGAGTGACGGGTGGTTTAAGACTGGTGATGTGGCAAGACGAGATACGGCTGGTGCTTATTATATCCAAGGCCGGGCGTCAGTGGATCTGATCAAGAGTGGTGGGTATAAGATTTCTGCGCTAGAGGTGGAGAGGAAGATGCTTGCATTAGACGAGGTGCAGGAGGTAGCTGTGGTAGGAATTGCCGATGAGGAATGGGGCCAGCGTGTTGCTGCTGTTGTCAAACAGAGAAAAGGCGTAAGTATCCTTCAATTTTTCTTATTTTCTTCGTTGGCCTCCTATTGATTGTCTTGCTGACTGTCTGCCTAGACAACAACGCTGGAACTCCATAGCCTCCGTGCAAAACTGAAGACGGAAATGGCCGCGTATAAAATTCCTAGTGTTCTGAAGCTCGTAGAGAGCGTCGAACGGAATGCGATGGGGAAGGTGAATAAGAAGATGATTGTGAAAAAATACTGGCCAGAGCTTGTATGATCTCAGTCACATGTATTCTAATATAGAGAAGATATATAGACTTGGTAGATAGTTACATCTAATACGCTTTTATACCTCTTCATCTATGCCAGGTAAATATATATGGTTGTGGTTTAATGAGGATATCATGGGCCCAAGGGATCTAATTTACGGTTAACCACGCTGCCAGAACGCCATCTGTGGTATGAAGCATAACTATATCAAATTCAAATGTCCGATTACCGCTGGAAAATTTCTCTTGTCAATAAGAATCTTCAAGGATAATCGACATGATCTAGACTTAAATATCCACCTGCAAAAGCTTGTTTGTCTCTGGTCCAATAGTATCTAGTTAACTAGGTATAAAAAGTAAATATTTGCATGTCTAGTCAATATTTGACAGCCTTTCAACGCCTTACTATTGCTCCTTTCATTAAGGACAGCTCCGGGATAAACCCAAGGATACACTTAAGGATGAACCTAAGGACAAGCCTAAGGATAAGCCCAAGGACAAGCAAAAGAGTAAACCTAAGGTCAACTTAAATTAGTGTATGACATCATCTCAGGAATATACAGTGAATTTAAAACAGTCATGTCATTAATCCTTAATTCTCTCTCTCACAACCTCGAAAATCCGCTGTTTATTACTGCTCATATTTAATATGGAGGCCACCATTTCATCTTCGCCAGCTCGCGCCTCACCAGATCTCGCCATCCTACGTAGCAGATTGCCATATGTCAACTACGATTCCTCAGTCCTCCGGCCTGATAATCACGCCCATCCCCATCAGCCGTCATGTTCCGCTCCCTGGAGGACCCTGAAGCCTATATATGGGTCGAGGCACATCTACGACGTGGCCGAATTCTCCTTATGGTGCGAAGATACGGCCGAATTCAAACTACCAACACCAGTACAAGCAAACTGGGTAATGACCTACTACAGAGCCAAAGAAGTCCGGTTTGAATATCCTGTAATCACCGTGGTTACCGACACCCCTCCGAACCCCTTGACCCTTACTATTGCCGGTGTCGCTGCGCGGTTCGTCTCAGACACGCGCTTGAATACATGCTTTTCTGTCGATACAGCCTACGCATCGCCTCGTGTGCCTGATCCTGTTCCGGTCCAGCTTCAGAAATGGCTCGCGCCTACAAAGAGTGAATCGGACCTGATTCTCGCTAGTCTAGCGCCTCTCTGCAACGTAAAAGGGATAAGTTGGTACGGTATTTACTGCTACGTGGAGCTTCATACTGGAGATGGTAGATCCTATGAGAGACATTCGCTGCCTGGACGTGTTGCGGGCAAAACTACGACCTACCATCACTCAGAGAGTGACTTTTGGGACGAGATGCAATCTCGAGTATTATCACGACGTATCCAACGATGGCCTTCTGAAACGAGGCCGGACTTGCAGGATCGCACAGACTATCTGCTCGAAGGGTCTGGAGTCCTACGACCAGGGGTGTGCATTGCAAACAGCCTACACCCCGACGGCACCACATCTGCCGACTCTGAACAAACCACTAGCTGTGGAATTCGGATGCGCCATCAAAATGGCCAAGTCGTGGTTACTGTCTCTAACCATGGAGTTAAGCATTGCCGAGACGTATATCACCCCAGCACAGTGGGTGGGTCAAAGATCGGAGAGGTTGTTGATCGGTGGGAAACGCAGGACGTCGCCATGGTTAACTTGATGCCAGGGGTGCACTTCTCGAATAACGAGTACTTCCAAGCAACTGCGCCCAAGCATCTTGTTAAGTCAGATCATATACTGAACGGTACTTGGTGTTCATGTGATGGGATATCCACTGGATTAATCTTTTTGCAATGTCACGGTGCCCGTATATCTGATATCAACATGGGAGTTACTGGCGGTATACAACCCGAGAAAATCACATATCGCATGGAGAAGCTGTATAGCTCATTTGGGCCACTCGATGGCACCCTATCCGATGGCATATGCGGAGCACCCATAGTCAAAGAGGGAGATCTCGATGGTCCAGGCGGCGTGTGTGGTTTGTTTCGTTTTGGAAACAAAGAGTTTGCGCTTAGTCCAGTGCTGGACAACATTATCGACGCGGGTTGGGCGTTATACGATAGACGGGATAACCATCTATAGTCCTGATCTCTAAGACACCATCTATAGTCTTGATCTCTAAGACACCATGAAGCAGACTCTGGTCTCTATCAGATACCATGAAGCGTTTGGTAGAATGTTAGTGGTGAGACTGCGGGTCTTACTAAGCCGGAGATAAGGAAGAAACCTCGGGACGAACCATCAGACTTCACCCGAGACCAGAAGACCAGAAAGAACTACAACCACTGGACAGAGATGCAAAGTTAATCGCCGACTCCATACTCAATTAATATATATCATTTCCCTCTTTATATTTATTTTCTAGCCCGCATACACCTTCGCTTCGTCGCCACGCCGCCGCTAGATTCGAACGGGTATTCGCTCGTGGCATTCTCGCTCGCCCTCTCCGATCGACCGGCGGATGGCATCTCTCAAGCCCAAGCTCTCTCTACGGCCCGCCTGTCGACCTGCCGAATCAATCGTGTTATCATTCGCAAGCCGGAGGTCGGGAAACTCATACCTCGCGCTCACACCTGCCAGTGGTACCCCGCCAGGCCGATGCCTCGGCACCCTCACACGACAAGATACCAAGTCGAGACCTGCCTATAACATACCAGGACAGCCGCAGCCGCAGCTATCTCGTGCAAGGATGGAGGGTCACGGGAACACGCCCTCGAGACGACTACGGGCTATAACAAGCCACATCTCGCCCAGCCAGACCAGATCACTCAGCCAATCAGCCTCCACCCCTTCTGACATCGACTTTTCAGCGCTGTCGAAGCTCCTACCGCACGATGGCACCAAGGAGGGAGATGCACTGTGGTATGTCGTGGTGGCCGCGGCGCTGATGGCGTTCCACCGGGAGGCAGCGGTGGGTGCACTGTGGGAACACATCGTCTCTACCCAGCGGCCATCGGAAGGAGAAAAGGCCGTGATTGCACGCAGGATCAGAGAGAGCTGTCTGAAAGCGAGTGTGCTTGTCGGATTTCCGCGGGTAAAGTCACCGCACCAATCCCATGGGGAGAGTGACATGCTGCTAACGACGAAGAAACTAGGGGATCAATGCCCTCACATCACTGCACGCTTCGCTGGCCAGACACACGCCTTCAACGCACGAGCTGCTGTCCACGGACTCGTCGCTGCGTAGTCCGGTCGATGCAACGACGAAGCTGGAGCGAGGTACCGCGTTCTTCACCCGTCTGTACGCCGGCCACACGAGCAAGATACTCGACAGCATGTCTCGCAGCTCTGGCGGAGACCTGAGCTACTATGCCCTGGCCAGCGTGTACGGCGAGCTCATGGCCGAGACCCGGGTGGTGGATGCGATGGAGACGGTGGTGCTGGAGTTTGTGTGCTGTCTGGCGGACGACGTTGCACCGCAGGCCAAGGGGTGAGTCTTTCTAAATCCATCTTATTGACTGTTGCACCGCTGCACCGTTTGTTGTGTGATGCTAACTAGACAGACACTTCTTCGGCAGCCGGAACATGGGAGCGTCGGGCAAGCAGATCCAGGGCGCCGTGGCCATCGTGCAGGAGCTGGCGAGGCAGGCTGGCGTGAGTGTGCCTGGAGCGGGGGACGAGTATGCCTTCCTGGCGAAGGCTGATTCATGGTAGCAGAGATTTCGTACTCCGTTCTCCGTGCATAGACATAGTGGATGTAGCAGTGGAGGTATATCGGTATATCGGTATATGGTCGTGTGTGCACTGTCTGTTTACGGCATGCTCCACTCTCTCTATCTCTCTCTCTACTCTGTACTACCTACATACTCTACCTACCTCCTTCGTACTACCTACCTACTCTAATACTACTATCTACTTACTCTACTTCTACTCTACCTACCATCTTAATCCTCTTCTCCTTTTTCTTCTACATCTACTTCTTCTTCTTCTCTCTCTACATCTACTCTACATCTACTCTCTATATATCGTAAACTAGCTTCCTTAGCGTAGTCTTGCCACCACGTGACCCACGTGCTACTCTCTGCGTCTTTGAGTGGTCAGGAAAAGTCCAACATCCCGCCCATGGATCTCAAACACAGCAACTATGGTCGACTATGGTCAAGGAAGTACCTCCAGCATCTCCGTCCGCCGGTGGATGCGCCCACTTGCGATGGACGGGGTACAGGGTCTGCCATCGCCTGCCATGGCTCCCATTGCCGGCCTCAACCGGCGTTTCCTGTGGCCACCGAAGAGTTTTCTCTCTCTCTATAACTTCATCTTCTTCTTCTTCTCCGATAACTTCTCGACTGCTCACTTCTCTCAGCCCGAGTCCGCCTTGCTCCTCCGCTTGCTCCCGCCTGCTCCTAGCCTAACGCCGCCTAGGATAGTCCTAGGATAGTGAAGGGTTAGCGACATCCCGGCAAGCGTCCTGTCTCTGCCTTGTCCGCGTTCCCGAGCACCACTCAGCGCGGTCAGCCTGCCCTCGTGCGTCCTGCCTTGCCGCCCCCCAGCGAGCTGCTTATAAGGAAGAAGCATTGCCCAGACGGCCTGCTCCCTTGGCTCGCTTCTCTCCCTCCTCCCAAGCACCTCCAAGCACCGACAAGCTTCTCCAAGACTTTTAAGACTTCACCAGGGCCTGCGTCGAACGCTTCTGATATCCACAGCCATATCACGATCTCTATAGATCGCAGCCATGACAGACTACGGTCCCCGGGCGCCCCATGGACCCGACATGACGGGCACCCACGACCCGCTTGTCGACATGCGGCTCCACGAGAAGGAGGCCTTCGACACCTTCATCCGCCCAGACGACTCGTACACGCCCGAGGGAGTCTACTGGGCCGACCTGCCGCTCCTGAAGAAGATCAGGTTCGTCACCGCGGTCGACATGGAGGAGTCCAAGAAGGAGGTCTCCTCCTTCTGGGAGATGTTCAAGAACGATCCATTGGCGCCGGTGGCCTTTTACTTTAAGAACATGGTGCTTCCCGGTGCTGGTCTCGGGCTGGAAGGGTGCGTCCCCTGTTTTTGACTTTGGGTTTGACATGCTAATTATATGTCTAAGATACGTGCTGTTCTCCATTGGCAACATCAAGCCACTGTTCCAGAAGTCGTTTCCGGACTGCTGGAAGAGCCACAAGACATGTGACCCCACCTGGCTTGCGGCTGTCGAGTACCTTGAGATTTGCGGTATCATCGTTGGCCAGATACTGGTCGGTGTGCTCGGTGACTGGTATGGACGTCTTTTTTTTTTTTTTTTTTTTTTTTTTTCATTTTAGGTACGGAGCTAACAGGACTAGGATCGGTCGTCGATGGGGTCTGATTCAGGATGCGGTGATCATGTTGCTAGGTCTTATCATGCTTACGGCGGCCTGGGGTGTCACACAGAACGGCTGGGTTATCTGCTACGTCTGGTCGCTCTTCTTCTACGGAATCGGTGTCGGTGGTGAATACCCGATGACAGCTACCTCCGGCATGGAGAACGCGGTCGGCTCAGGAAAGGTCTCTACCAAGGAAGATCGTCTTCACCGTGGTCGCAAAGTTACGTCTGCCTTCCTTATGCAAGGGTGGGGCCAGTTCTTCAACCAGGCCCTCCTCATCCTCCTGCTCCTCATCTTCCACCACGGCAGCGGGAACCCGCCATACTCTACCGTCTCAGCTCAGTGGACCTACCGTGTCTCCTTCGCCATCCCGGCCGTCGGAACCCTGTGGCTGGTCTACTACAGATACTACAAGATGCGGGCCGCCAGTAAGCAGCTAGTCATTGCCAAGGCCAAGTCTAGCGTCACTGGCTACGACACCGAGTCCCTGCGCCTTACCTTCAAGCACTTCGGATTCCGTCTACTTGCCACTGCCGGTACCTGGTTCGCCAACGATGTCTTCTTCTACGGCAACAAGCTCTTCCAGTCCGAGTTTATCAGCGTCATCTCCCCGCACACCACCTCCGTCATGCCAGGTTGGCTGTACAACCTGCTCAACGTCGGTGTCTCCCTCTGTGGTTACTACCTTGCTTCTTTCCTCATCGATAACAAGCTCTACGGCCGCAAATGGATGCAGATCGTCGGTTTCATGATGGACTTCGTCTTCTTCATCATCCCGGCTTTCAACTTTGAATACTACACTTCCCCAGAGCACATCAGGGAGTTCCAGGCCATGTACTTCCTCTCCTCCTTCTTCAACCAGTTCGGTCCCAACTCCGTCACCTTCCTCGTCGCAGCTGAGGTTTTCCCCACCCCCATCCGTGCCACCGCCCACGGTTTCGCAGCTGCCATCGGCAAACTCGGCGCCCTCACCGCAGCAATCATGTACAGCTACATCTCCACCACCCAGAAATTCCACGTCGTCCCCTGGTTCGGTCTCGCCGGTGTCATTCTCACCTACCTCTTCCTCCCCGATACCACCGGCCTCGATCTCAAGGAACAAGAGCGACGATGGTTCTATATCCGCCAGGGCAAGGAGTCCGAATACCACGGTCCCGCCGTCCATCCCAAGCATCTTTCTGTCTACGAGCGCTGGAGAGGAGCAGGCAAATACTACGATGCCGAAGCTGATTATAAGCAGAAGGTCGCTGAGATGCGTCACGAGTGGGTTGCTGCCCAGGAACGCAAGACGGACGAGAAGAGCGGTTTCGATCTCGATGAGCACCATGATTACGAGCCCGTACATCACGACGTGCACAAGTACTTTGAGCGTACAAGTCCGATGATCCTTGGACGTGAGAAGAACGTTCCATTGAGTGAACAGCTCCCATCGCCTCACGATAGTGGGAACGACGAGGTTGTTGAACATCCTCACCAGGAATAAACTTATAGCATGATCCTGTCTTGGGTGTGATGGCCGATATACCCCTTTTCCTATTTCTTTTCCATCTACGTAACCATGTTACTCATGCATCTTCTCTCATATTTCTCCCATCTACTACCTACTATATATGCCGTCTTAATATGTCCTATATACCACCATCTACGTATTGCGTTAACATCCATGTTATGCGTTAAGCTATGTCTATGAATCTGTGAAGAACTAATACACTTCAATATATCTTGCCCTGCCTTGCCTTGCCTTGTCGTCTTAGCTAGCGTCGTGCAAATGTTCCGCCAGATAGCTCAACTATTCTGTATCAAAAGTTTATTCTATTTTAAGTTTTAAGCTTATCTTCTCGATTGCTTAGTAAGGGTTATCCACGTGCTGATAAGATAAGGTCGCTTATATAAGTGTTCACGTCACGTGTTTAAACGGCTATCTCGACCTCCAGCTCTCTAGATCGCACCCAAAGCGGCAAATTCGATGACATCCTTTGAGGTATAGATATTTGCCATCTTTCAACCACTGGCTGAGCACTGTTTGATAACAGACTTCATCTCACTCTCGTCGATGGCCAATTGGCTTTTCCACCGATGAAACCTCGCACATCGGGCCATTCCATCCACCACCCAATGCAACTCTCACCAGCGTTGCCATTGCCCCTTCAAACTAGTCCTTGACTCTTGACTTTTTTTCCATCCCATCATTCTATCATCTTCCATCGCAATGTCACTATGGTATTGCGTCACGTTCCGGCCTACCCGTCTTGCCCATTGCCCCATGGCCTAACCCCATAAGAGTAGAAGGATGCATCCCTTCTTTGTTTCCGCTTTACAATACCCTATCCTTCACTTTCTTTATATAGAGGGAGCATAAATATATACGTATATTTCAATTGTTCGATATCAAAGGCCAGGACAATGAAATCACCCGCTCACTTGCGGGTTATACCCTTCCTCCTACTTCCGCTAGCCACCGCGCAATCCACTCCTGGCAGCGCCAGTGCCGGTTCCAGCAGCAGTGCCGCGGGAGGTTCTAGCTCTAACCCCAGCTCCAACCCCAGCTCCAGCCCGAGCCCTACCACGGGAGGAGGAGGTTCTGGTTCCAGCGCAAGCGAAACAGGTAGCATCGGTAGCGTTGGCGGTCCATCACTCACTTATGCTAGCGATATCGTGGTCCCTGCCACCCCGCCTGTTCGCACCGCCACGCTCGGCAGCCATGGTTCCTTCACCGGTTCTGCTAGCGTAACGGGTGCTCTTACGGGTTCTACCGTGCTAGCGTCTGCGCTTTCTGGCCAACCCGCATCAGCCCAGGCAACGAGTTATTCGTCCGATGGTGAATTGCACGATGCGCAGCCTGCACCGTACTTTCCTGCCGGCGGGTTGGGGACGAATGGTACCGCGCCCGTGTATAATGTGCGCAGCGATTATGATTATCAGTCTCTTGTATGCTTTTCCTAAACCTATATCTACTTCAGCGGGTACTGATTGACTAACACTATGTAGGCCCTGGCACTACATTGGGAATGGACGAAATACGACCTCCTTCAAACTGGCGCTTTACAGTTCGGGTCAAAGGATTTCCAAGCCATGGGTCTAACCGAGTCAGATCACAGCATGATCGGTCTCATGGCCAACCAGTCCCAAGGACACGCCACGCTACTCAGTAACATACTGGGAGAATCAGCCCCGGGGCCATGCACTTACAACTATCCATTCAAACCAGCCTACGAATTCATCGACTTCAGTCAAAAGATAACCACTCTCGCCAAGTCTACCATTTACAACTTCCTCCCACACCTAGACTCCCGCGAAACAGCCATGTTGGTCCTACAGCTTGTTTCTACCACCGCACGTCAGCACATGGTGTTTCGCCAATTCGAGGCTCTGCAGCCTATGCCAGTCTGGTTTGAGGCTGGTGTTCCGCAGTCGTGGGGGTGGAGCTTGTTGGCTCCGTTTATTAGCTCATGTCCAGGTGAGGGGAGCTTGGTATGGAGGAATTTCCCCGCCTTGCAGATTACGGATGGACCTAATCCTGCGAGAAAGGATGGAACTGGAATGAATGAGACTATGGGTGGCGGACTGGGAGTGGTGAATTCCACTGCCGTTCCATCTGGCAAGTCATGTTTGGGCTCTACTTCGGGTAGTGGCAGTAAAAGGGAAAGACGAGGCCGCATTGATCTCAAGTACGCGAACATTGCAGCCACCAACACTACTGGCGGAGGCGGTGGTGGCAGCAACTCTGCCTCCAGTGGTGCTGCGAAGCCTACAGGCACCGGTGGAAGCGGAAGCGGAAGTGGAGGCGGCGGCGGCGGTCTCAGCGCCGAATGCATGCCTGGTATCACATCTAACCGCACCAAACCCTTGTCCAAACCAGGTCGCGAGGTCCATCTTCAATGGGAATCTGCTGGCCAGCCCGTTGGCCCGAACAATAGCTACATCACCAGCTCTCAGGCAAAGAAGCCCGCTTTCGTCGCTTGGATTACGCAACTGAATGTCACATATACCCCCTTACAGGTGATGAGCGATGACACCGGCGGCAGCAGCGGTGCTGGTGGTGGTGGAGGAGAGAGTGTCAGTTCAGGCAGTAGTAGTGCTACAGGCGCAACGAGCAGTGCGATGCCCTCTGGAACGACTGGGGGCGGTGGTTCGTCGAATACTATGGGCACATTAAGCGGCTCACAACCTACCGGCAGCGGAAGTGCTTCAAACAGTACTGGGTCATCAGGTGGTGGCAGCTCTTCAAACGGAACCAGCTCGTCAAACGGCACCACAGGCGGAATGGCCACCGGTATGACTGTACAGCCAGATCTATCTACATTTGAAGGTGACCCGGCCGTGAATGGAACCGTGTTTATTGCTATCACAGACGAAAACCTGTTCCTTACGCCATTCAACCTGAGTCTGATTGATGCCCATGTTGTTGCTGGGCCAGCTTTATACCAAGCTGGTTAATGTTTGAAGGTTTTACTCATACGTTTGCTCGGAATCGATATATTAAAAGGTGTTAGTGCGTTAGGATATGGTGTGTTGTGCCGCGTATACCCTCCTTTTATCTTTCTATCTTTGGAATCTATATGTGCCGCTGATGACAAGGGAAATAGTATATACATTGTTGAGGCTAGCATAATAAAAGGGAATCCGGTATATATGAGTTCTACTTGTTAAAGTCCCTCGTCAGTCATACTTGCATGGACTTCGGCTTTCGTACCATCAACTTCAGTCTCGCCCAGTCTCCCTGTCCTCCTTCCCCTAGGCCTCTACCAGTAAATTTGCTAGCATCAAAGTGCAGGTCCGCAGATTGCTTTTCAGTTGACGGGATTACCTCAAACCCGCGTCGTAGGTAGACGGGATATCCCTTCTGCGAGGCCTCCAGATACGCCTCTGCACCGTGTTTATCAGCTAAATCACAGCCCCAGTTCACCAGCAGCGTACCTGCGCCGCGACGCTCATGCGCTGGATCAGTAGCCAACAATGCAAGCACTAGAATTGTTAAAAGAAATTATCCCAACAAAGGCTTTAAGAAAATAAACTGAAAAGATACATACCACAATTCTCTCGCCCTTCGCCAAAGAACAATTTCCGATTTTCAAACAGCTTCCCCATACAATATCTATATCCCTCCACATTCGCTCCCTCCGGAACGACCATATCTTCACCCGTCTTCACCTGTTCCCTCCACCTCTCCAGTGCTTCAGGCCCGCCAACGTAAACATTCCACTTTGCAAACGCTAGGATCTCGCCTGTCTCGTCATCGACGCATTTAAGCAAGTAGAATCCCGGGTCATTCTGCATCAGTTGGATGAGGCGTTTTGCCTGAAGTTCTCGGCGTCGAGGTTCGGGATATATTTGATCATGATCCTGGAGGCCATCGGGGTTGCTGATTTCACCACATGCACGGAAGAACCCGCTTTGCTTGAGCGAGGCGGATTGGATGTCGAGGATGCGAGGGATGTCGGCGGTGGTTGCGGGGTGGACGGACAGAGACATTTTCAATTTGTTTGCTCTTTTATTTTTCTCTTTCCAGTTTTTTTCCCTGGGGCACAAGGTACTTTTGTATAGGTTTATAAATATACACAAGTCTCTGAGTTCGGTTTTCGGCTACGTCGAGAAAATCGTGGTATATCGATGGTGAGAGGAACCCGGGTAATCGGTATTTATACTCCGGAGCCCGGACGGAGACCTATATGGGCGGAGTGAATACGAAGATCCACCGGCTTATTTAATGATACAAATATATATGAATGATGCTCGGCACGCCGTGAGTCACTTGGAGCCAGTTAGCGTATGAAGTTTGCCGACGGCTAAGATACCCTTGGCCTGTTGCTTCTAAGCCCAGAAGCTCGAGGATAGATGGCGTTGCTTTATGAAATATTATCATCACATATTCCAGCTCTTGCCCCTGGCATGCCGGAACTTTGATAAAAAAAATATTGAAGTGGCAGGTATTGCATAGGGCGTACCAAGAACCTTGAGTAAGCGTTTGGCGTGGCGAGTGTCAGATAGCTGCTTATATCGGTATAGATTTATGGCATGTATATCTTTGCCGAGTTGGAGTATTACCTTGTTTTTGGATGAAGGAATGCGGTATCTTCGAGATAATGGTTGCTGGATGGCGGAATGTAGATATTGAATTCTTTCATCGCTGGCGTTTGCGGCGAAAGCGGAACCGGAGACCATCATCACTCTCTTCAGCATCCCTTGACCTCTTCTGTGCTCTTGAATTATGGGTGGTAGGAGCTGGAGGCGGTGGGACCTCCTGTGACGTAGCCGTTGAATCGATATTCGATATAACTGGACTCCTTTGGCGCTCAGAGGCTGCAGTGCTACTTCCCCAGTAGTCATCTCCAATGCCAAAGTCTTTCTTCTTAGCTTCTTCAAGTGGAACAATAATGGCACGTCGCCGATGTTGAACATCCCCGTTGCCCTTTCGTCGAAATTTTTTGAAGTTCTGGCGGCCATTCCATCGCCCATCCCATCGACCATTATCGGTAGGGGTATTCTGCCGTCTCTCCCTGGGCTTAACCTCCATTTCCTCCACGGCCACGAGTTTTTGGATCTGTACGAGGTCCATTCCTTCTACGATGGCCTGGAAAGAAACAGCGTCTTCCTGCCGACGTGCTGTTGCGGCTTCATCCACTGCCTCACGCCGTTGACGGGCGGCCTCCTTTACATCTAGCTTCGGCTTCTTGACTTTTTGCGGAGGCGGCGCTGGCTCACTCGGTTCTAAACGTCTCTTACCGCCAACACGCTGTCTCATCGCAGCAGCTCCAGGTAACAAATCCATAACTGTGTCATCATTCTCTCCCTCGGATGGTACGCTCGAAGGCACTCTTTCCTGTAACGAGTCGGGGACAGCTGCCTGATCGAAAGTAAGCACATTGCAAATGATGTTTACAGTGGTCCAACGTACCTGTGGATCTCCTTCTTCCTCAAGTTGGTAAACAGGGATTGAATCCATATCAAAGCCGTCATCGAAATCTTTGAATTTTGGGACATAGGCCTTGGGTTTATTCCGTTTTGGTGGTCTTGTCTCCTTTTGGCTATCCTCAACAAGCACATTTGTATTTGTGCTGGAGGATATATCTTGGCTTTGTCCAGGCTCTGTATCTGGAACAGTGGCAGGGAGGCTAGAGGATGGCTCAAGCGACTTCTCAGATCGCCGATATAGTTGTGAGGCGTTGTTCCGTAAAATGGCATCCAAAAATTCGCTGGCTTCGACGGGTTGTTGACCAGTAAGCTGTGTTACCTTATTCTCAAGAGTAGCAGACCAGTCTTCGTGTCCTTTGATGCGGAATTGCATGAGCAATACGCCTCCAGTGCCCTCTTGGTCGCAAGCAAGTCCCTTGATCCCAGCTGCGTTGTTTAAATAATCCACCACATCTTCAGCCTTGGTTTTTCCAGGCTCAACTTCGTAAAGCAACGCTTTTCCGTGACCACTCGAAATTGGACCCAGTAAATCCTCAAACCGCTTTTTATCGCAAAAAACAAACGTGTAGCCTTCGAAAACATTAATCCGAGCAGGGTCCGGTTGGTATGCGCTATCAGGGAGCTCGGTGGGCGCATTACCACAGGGAGGTAGGTCCTCGGCGGGGTTAGGCCATGCATTATCAAAATCTTCCTCCAGGGGAGATAGAGATTCCTCGTGTTCCACATCTTTTGGAGAGGCCGCGTATCTTATACGCTCAATAAATGTGTCTTGGACTAAATAACAACCACTTATGAGTGCCTGAAGGCCTTTAGCGGTATTGCGCTTGCTCTGAACAACATGGGTAGTTTTCCCAGCAACGTAGGGAATGACTGTCTTTATATCTAGCTCCTCGAGTTGGGAGCGAGCGTGCGCCAAAGGATCTTTCGCTTTCAGCTGCTTTGTCGGAAACGAGAAGCTCAACACCACTGGACACCACTTTATCCTACAATAGAGTTAGAAACGACATTATGGCATTCAGTGAAAGGCTCCAATACCGGAGGACAGAGGGGTATCGTCCGAGTGAGAGTTTATATTCATTACGGCTGCCAAGTTCCTTGCTCTCTCCAGTTATAAGCGTTCCATCAAGGGTGGTACCCCATCTCGAGCCTGCGTCACTAACGATAAGCTTCGACTTGGTGTGTATGTGTGACTGAGATTTAACAGCCGGGTCAGCTAGGAGCAAGAGTATCCTTTATATTTGCTGAACGAACCCCATCGCCCGGCTTCACTTTCTCTACTTCGATGATAAGGTGCTTCCTTGATATCGTCCGGTTATCAATTGTATGCGTAACTAAGCCACGAGACAAAGGGTATCAGTATCGGGAAGACCAATAAGACGAGGAATACTGGGGGTAACTTACTTCCGTCTTGTTGAACCCGGCCGAACAGATACTTTTTACCAGGTTTCAGCCATATCCGTTTCCCTATTAGCAGTGATACAATGAGCTTCGAGCGGGTAAAAGCAAAGAATAAAGAGTACGGAGTGTAGAACCTTGCAAAAAATCACCATCAGAAGAGAGTATCCACATGTTTCGTAAGCTGTTGCACTCAATGATAGTCACAAACACCGAGCTGAGATAGTAGAACTCCAAATAGCTTTGTCAATTAGCGCTCGCTCTTCACATGAAGCTCAAGACGCGTGGAAACGCGATACCACGTGACAATTAAATTGGGATGGGTAATAGTTATTCCGAAATATCATCGTTACATCGTTATACAGATGATTAAAGTAGATACGCGATATAACTGGATGATAATAATAATATACGTTTTCTATATGTACAAGGATTACTCATCAGCTTAATAAGCAGTATTAATCCTAATTAGGAAATTTCCCTGCTTAGTCATTTATCTGTAGTCACGGGACTAGAATATATGTTGAATCGTATCATGTGATGTATTAGTAATCCAAACTTGAGGCTGAAGCTTCTTTAAGTGACTTTGGGGGCCTAGTTCTCGAGGATTACTTCCGTAGAGCTGCGGAGTTTACACCTTGGCCGAGCATGGACGACGTGAGCTTTGAATAATGTCTTTGCAATATCGATCGATTGCTAGAATCATGGAAATATGTCCACCAACACGGAACCGGCAGCCAAAGAAAACGCGCACGACACGGCTGGTGAGGACCATGATGCGAGAGGTTCACGCAGCGGGCATGATACACTCAAATACCAGCTCCTAGGGCCGTCCTTGACCAAAGCTGGTCAGGATACAGTAGACCAACAAAAAGTATGATTCCAAAATCAAGAGCCTTAGTCCGTTATCTACTTCAGAAGAGCTTATGATTTCTACAAGGTATCAGAGATTATATACAATGCTTCGAAAGGGTCAAAATTCTTCAACCATGAAAGGGCCCGTGATCAGGTATTGACAGAAAAGATCCAGCGGATACTAGCACAAAAGGCAAAGCTAGAAAAGCAGGACCTATCCCACAGCATTCGTCAAGCAGATGAATATATTGCGGACCTTGAATTGCGCCGCGATCTTTCGCAGTCTATTGTACACATTGACTGTGATGCGTTCTTTGCGGCTGTCGAAGAACTGGACAGACCTGAGCTACGAGATGTCCCAATGGCCGTTGGTAAAGGCGTCCTAACGACCTGCAACTACCACGCCCGAAAGTTTGGATGTCGAAGTGGTATGGCTAGTTTTGTGGCGAAAAAGCTCTGTCCTCAGTTGATCTGTTTACCTCAGAATTATGAGAAATACAATGCAAAAGCGCGAGAGATCCGGGCTATCCTGGCGAATTATGACCCAGAATTTGAAAGCGCAAGTGTCGATGAAGCTTATATCAATATCACCCAATACTGCGCTGTCAATGATATGGATCCTCAGGTTGCAATTAAACAGCTACGTGATGAAGTATCCGCTCAAACGGGGGTAACAGTTTCTGCTGGTATTGCTGCTAATGCCAAAATCGCGAAAATAACATCAAATTGGAATAAACCCAACGGACAATTCCATGTCCCTAGTGAACGCACTGCAATCATGGAGTTCATGGCCAAGATTCCAGTTCGAAAGGTGAATGGCATCGGACGGGTATTTGAGCGTGAACTCGGTGCCATAGGGATAACGACTTGTGGAGATATTTATCAGTTCCGTGGCATGTTAGCTCAACTGTTTGGGCAGAAGGCGTTTTGTTTCTTGATGCACTGCGCCCTGGGCCTTGGAAGAACGCGAGTGCAGCCGGCTGGGACATTTCAAAGGAAGAGTGTCGGCACAGAGCATACTTTTGGAGACCTTGGCGATCTTCTCCAACTCCAAGAGAAACTAAGGTCGACAGCAACCGAACTTGAGAACGATTTACGGGCCGCAGAAGTGAAAGGCCGTACTCTTGTGCTGAAAGTGAAGCTTCATACCTTTGAAGTCATATCTCGCCAAACCGTGGCCCCCAAACCTTTGTTGTTGGCTGACGATCTCTACAAGTATTCACTTCCCCTGTTGACAAAACTATACAAAGAGCGGCCCCAGATGAAAATCCGCCTTATGGGCCTTCGTTGCGCAAATATTGTCAGCACAAAAAAGGGAACATTCAACTTCTTCAATAGAAGCGATCCTGCCCAGATATCACTCGTTAGTTCCGAGGCAGGCAACGAGGCGATATTGTCTATGGAGGAGGAGTTTGAGGCGGCGGCGAGCCAGGAACGCATGGATGATATGGAGAGCCTGGAAAACCTGAGCCAGGAACTAGAGTCAAGGGACAAGACATACCAAAATGGAAACGATAAGGATCCTGATGCCGCCGAGACGGGTAAATTGGAGAAGTGGTTTTGCCCGATTTGCTCGATCCCACAGCCACCAGACCACACCCAGTTTAACCAACATGTGGATTATTGTCTGTCAAGGGAGACTATAAAAGAGATCGTCCAGGGAACCCTGGGATCGGAAGACAGCCCGTCTACTCAGTTAAACAAGAGAAAGGCCGTCGGTGAAGCAACCAGCGTCCGCAAACGTCCATTTTTCAGCTAGCTTTTCTTTAACGTTTATATGCATGTATATACCCATCAGATAGACCGGATTCCATATATCATCACACTCTAGATCACATCATAAATATCAGCTTCGACTTATTATATATATGGCCCTGTTATGATATTTACCAGGAGCATGAAGCGATGATGCAAACATCAACGGGCCCTCGGCGCTAGATCCGTTTAGTGCTGTGGCTTTATGACGGAAACAAACCACGAGATTATTGACCCGCGAAACATCTGATCGCAACCTCAACAACAACGACGCCCAAACCGCCGCCGAGTGACAATTCGAAGCAAGTCGAAGGCACGCTCAGCTGAGATATCTGTGGTTTGGCTGTGGCCATTATGCACCCTGCCCCATCCCGTCACTCGCTATGCCATACAGCGAGCTTTGTTTATCTCACTATTGATCACGATGTCACTATCAGATAAACAAAACAACAGCACGTCCGGCAAACCGCACATCTCACAAGCCAACTCTGCCTTTAGGTCCAACAGATCTCCGTTGACACCAAAGCTGGCTGGCTTCAATTCTCACCTGCCTCGAAAACTTGCACACTTTGACTCCCCGAGCCCGAATAGTGCCCGCACCCCTGAAGCGTCGACGCCCAACTCCTCTACTATTCTCAACGCGAATATCACTCCACGATCTGGTCAGAGAAAGGCCCGAAAGGATGGAAACTTGTCTCCGGCTGCAACGCCCACTCCTCCGGGCCATCTTGGCCCCCGTCTCGCCAACCCGGGGACCTCAAAGGGAAATCACACGGAGGCATCGCCTAGCCCCCATGAGCAGACGAGCTTAAATTTAAGAGTCTCGAGAGCGAAGAGCATGAGCAGTGAAACTTTTGGCTATGTGTCAAACAATCGTCCGGCTTCATCATGTGGCAGCTCTGTTGGTACCCCGATGTTCTTTCGCGCAGACGACGCCCGTTCCTCAACGTCTTCCTCATACGACATTGAACCGAAGCCTCAACCACCAGCAAACCCATATCTAGCTCCCAAAACCTTTATTTACGCCGATGGCAGGACAGAAGGACCTACCAGTTCCGCGGATTCCTCATACAAGCAGCCGGTTCCGGTCAAGAAGCCTGTACTCGCACAACCCACCCCTATAAAACCGCCAGAGTTATTTGTCTCCCCCCGACTTCAAGAAACACCCCCGTCAACAACCCAACCTAAGCAATTTACAGGCAGTGCAGCGGAGCAGCATACCTTTAGTCCAAAACTTGTGCCGGCACAGGAAAGGGCCTTCCCTCAGATATCCAATTTTACTTATCGCAATGAGCAGACGCCCGAGAGCCCCCATAGATTCGGCCATATGAAATCTCCCAGCTGTGACTCTACACAAACCGTTGGCCGGAAACATTCCTTTCTCGCTAGCCCACTAATCCGTCGCCCTACACTCAACCAAGACGGCACACCCCAACCCCAATCCGCGAATGGCTCGGTCGATCAGAGTCCTGGAATCTCCCATAATCCATCACCTTCGTCAGAAGATATATCACAGCACCTCTTCCCACGAGCCCCTAGCCCATCCAAAGATGATGGTAATGAACTGCAGAGAATGAATGAACTGGCTGCCAACGCGAGACGGGAGCGAAAAGTGTTGGACCTAGAAATCAGCAATTCATCCCTCCTAGCCATAAACCGTGCTCTGGAGCGAGAAATGCGAAAGCAGAATGCGGAACTACGTCGTTTCCGTCGTTTAAGCCGTTCAGGCCGGTTATCTATGACACCATCTCGCCGGTCAGTGTCAGGTGGGCTGTCGATACTCAGCGAAGCCGACGGAGACGATACTGAAGATTACTCCCATTCTCACCTGTCCTCTGGCTACTCGGCCGATGAGCTAACCGACACGGACGACGAAGTTGAACCTTCGAGTTCCGAGGATGACAATATGAGCTCTGGTGGTGTGGCAGAACATGATGAGAAGCATCGAGCCAGGGACGAAACCCGGCTATTGCTTGACCTTTCTAAACACCAACAATTACTTATCGACAGCCAGAAAATGAACCAAAGCATCAAGCGGTGTCTCGGGTGGACAGAGAATTTGATATCTGAAGCTAAGAAAGCCTTGGAATACAATGTCCATGTTAGCGACATCGAAGTTGGTGGGCGGGTTCTTGCTCCGGATGAGTTCGATGGTGATTATTTTAGCAATAGCAAGGGTCTTCTAAGCCCTACGATGGAACTACCCTGCCCTTCTGATGTACCTTCACTCGGACAACCTGAGGCATCCGAACCGCCCCCTTCTATACCCCTTAGGGATACCAGTGATCATCCTTCGCCTACCGGAGAGACGTGAAGCTGTAATCCCATTCCTTGCTCTGGCCTTTCATATTTTCTTTTCATTTGTCATAGGTACTAGACGCCTTTACACTACTATGTCTTTGCATATCTCTTCATCCGAGCGTTTTCCCTTTTTGTTGAATATAATACTGCGGGTGTATCTGGACGGAAACTTCTTAAGCGAGCGACTGGCGTTGGTTGATTGATTTATTGATACGGGGCATCCAAACTCGGCCTTCTCTACTCCTTTCCTTTCTCTATTGCTGGCAACCTCTGCATTTTGGTACACACTCTTGCCTGACGGAACCAGGCAATGCAGCAACTGCCTTACATACCCCATCTACTTCCTTTTGTTGTTACCAAACAGCATCATTTGCAACTGTACATATATGATACCCCCTTATTGTACTCCATTCCCTAATTGTTCGGGCTAGCATTCTTCATGTGATGGCAATTTTGGTCATGACTTTGTTAATAAACTGCGTGTATAAGATTATCACCTAGTATCATTGATATACATATGACATGGTCACAGAAGCTACTAAGCCTCGTTTGAATCCATTATATAAATGACCACATACATACAAGGAGGAACGTGTTTAAGAAATTTTCTGAGAGAAAAGAGGTATGGCCGGCGGAATTTTGACAGATTATCTATTTACGAGTGAGAGAGGGGGGAATACCAAATGAGAATCGACTTGAACAAATTAAAATCGATGCAAGAAACGGAACAAAACGACCGAACAGTGGCGGAGAATTCCTTCTAGAAACATGAACAATCGTCAACGAGCTGTGTGGGTGATTACTTCTAAATGCTGGAGGTTGGTTCGGGTTGTTTTGCTGATGCTGCTGCTGCGGCAGATTTCTTCTTATCATCCTTCTTCGCCATGCTGTCTGCCATTAGCTCTTCAAAAGCCATGTACTCTCCTTCTTCGTTAGGGTCACGTTCGGCCTATTGAGTGGAATGTTAGTGGTGGTCTATCACCCGGAGCTGTTACAAGGGGGGAGGAGGAAGACGTGCCTGTTGGAAATATCTTCCAATGACGACAAGGGCCTGGGCACGCTCTACCCGTTTCTCCAGACGGATTGCTTTATCATTCAAGATCTGATCACAGACTTCGCGCAGGACACTCTGGATCTCGAACTTGCTTCCTCGCCAAGCAGCGGCAAGAATCTTTCCGGTAACTCTCTTCTCATACTCTGCCTTCTTCTCATCGGTCCAATCCTCACCTCCCTTTTCTTCTAGCTTGGCCATCTCCTCCATCGTCATCTGTGCATCCAAAGCAGTGGAGATGGTAGTCCATGTCTCCCTGGCGAGGTTACCCTTATCCTTCAGCCTTGAGAAGAATCCAGATATGCCGAGGAATTTCTGTGATTTAAGGAAAGACGTTCCCTTGGAGTGATACGTGCTTCCGATAGCGTGTAGGATTTCCAGGCCGAACGATTCCATCTTCAAGTTCTCGACTTCGAGTCTGATCTTTTCCTGGAACGCGGTGGTGACATCGGGCCCCTTATCCGTCTCGGTCCAGACACTGAGTCGATCTATCAGTTTGCGCGAAAGGGTGTTGACTCGTTCCTCACGCTGTTTCTTCCTCTCTAGCTCAAATGCAGCGAGTTGCTCTCGTTGTTCCTTCGAGAGACCCTTCTTCTTCTCCTTTTTTCGTAGTTCCTTCTCCTCGGGTGTCAGGCCTTCAGCTTGCATTCTAGCTTCTTCCTCGGATTTATCCATGATTGCCTGCTGGCCCAACTGCCGCCGCGGGGTGCTGGTGCCGGAGCTGGCTTCTGGAGTAGCCCCAGCAGCTCCAGCAGCCGCAGTAGTTCCCGCAGCTTTCTCCTTCTTGGTTTCTTCATCATCGACGACGGTGGCAGATGGGGCAGGAGTCGACTTTTCACCGGGTTGCGATGGTGCGGGGGTATTTACGTGGAGCTTGGATTCGGCTTCCTTTGCAAGCTCTTCGTCTTCCTCCATTTGCTGCATGGTGATGTCCATGGTCTTGGTGAGATCCTTCATGAGCGATATTTCACCTATCCAGTCGACGAAAGCTTCACCACCGAATATCATGCCAAACAGCTCCGCGGGGTCCTCTACAGGAACGCATGTCTGTCAGTTTCCTATCACATTCTTCCTTCAACGGGGAGGGTACTGCATACCGAATCCACCACCAGGCACAGCCTTATCCTTTCCAAACTTATCATATTGTTTTCGTAGGGTTTCATCGCTCAAAACTTGGTAGGCTTCTCCGATCTGTCAAAAACCCCAACGGGTGCCTGTTAGTTCACCTTCCAGGGTAAAACATTGTAACCAGCTGGTGAGGGAAATGGAAGAATTACAGCCTGAAATCTGGTATGCGCGGTTTCGTCGCCGGGATTCTTGTCTATCTCAGAGGGTAAGCAGTTGAACGGGCACTGTCTAGGCAGCGAGCTGAGAACGAACCCGGATGCGTTGTGATCGCTAGTTTCCTGTATGATTTCTTGATCTCGAGCAGCGTAGCCGTTGGAGGCACGCCCAGGGCGTCGTAGTATGAAGTATCTACCACCATCTTCGCGGAATGGCGTTGTCAAGGCCTCCGTATTCTCGGGGTGTTCTGTCTGAGGGGCAGTTCGGGGACCAACAGGGGCAGGAAGCCAGAAGAACAGTAGAACAGAAGAACGGGAGAGTAGAGCAGGCGTAGTGCAGCCGTAGTCAAAGTGTAGAGACTATGGGCAGAGGATGCCAGAATATGTACTCCGTAGAGTCTGGTTAATGTTCTATATAAGCAGTATTAAAGAGCGAGTTCATCCTCCCGATCGTCATCATCTCAACCTCCCTCCAATAAGGTTTTTCACAGCTGATTTTTAGCATCAAACTCGACCTTTTTCTTTTTATATTTTTATCTCCGTCCTCGAAGTACTGGTCACCGCAGACAGAGACGGTCCATGTATTCACCTCTTGCTAACGTATCTACCAGAACTACACAGCCTATCTCTATCTCCGTCTTGTCGTCGCCTGCTGTGGCGCGGGGCATCGCAGCCTCAGTGCCCTCGAGTTCGTCCGACGCAGGAGGCTGTAACTGAACACCGCCGAGATGTAGGACTTCTACGTGGCTCACCAGAGTCCTTAGTTTCTCCTATCCTGATACTACTTGATCTTTGATACTGATCGTTGATACTGCTTGATGCTGGTGATGCTGTTGATGCTGGCGGTGATGCTGACTAAGGCCACAAAGGGGTAACTTGCTTTCTTCCGCTTGTTTTTTCTTCCTTCTCCTTTTTCTCTCTCTACACATTCTACGCTTTTGCCTGCCATCCTCCAACTCCTCCACGACTACTCAATTACTCTCTCCCTCCTCTGTCGCACCGTCTCTTCTGCTGTCTCTGTCTTCGCAACACCTACACTTGTAATTGGCCGTCTCTGTCTCGTTTGGAGCTGGTTCTCGAGCTTTGCATGCGTGGTCTTCGGTTCTCCTCTTCTCCCTCGGCATCTACTTAAACCGTCGCAATGAAGGCTACAGAGATCGTCTACTACCTCTGTCACCCTCAGGAGCTCAGATCAATCATCCAATGGTTCGTACCTTTTGCGCGGACGCACATTCCGAGCCACTCGTGACGCGCGTTTTTTTCTTCCCTTGCTGACATGCTCGCCCCCTGAAGGACAACGTACCATGAGCCCGTACATACAAGAGACCCCTCGTCCGAGACGGAAACGGAGAAGAAATGCTACGAGTTTCTCAAGCTCACCAGCAGAAGTTTCTATGCCGTCATCATGGAACTCCACCCGGAGCTCTTGATGCCCATATGTCTCTTCTATCTCATCCTCCGCGGCCTGGACACGGTCGAGGATGACACGTCGATACCGCTTGACTCCAAGGAGCCTTTGCTACGGGGATTCAAGGACATTCTTGAACAGGATGGCTGGTCCTTCACTGGGAACCGGCCGGAGGAGAAAGACCGGGAGCTGCTGGTTCAGTTCCATAACGTCATAACAGAGTTCAAGAAGATAAAGCCGGCCTACAAGGTTATCATCAAGGATATAGCCGACAAGATGGGCAACGGCATGGCTGACTATGCCAGACGCGGAGAAAAGGACGACGAGATAGTCAAGACTGTCGAAGACTATGATCTTTACTGCTACTATGTGGCCGGTCTTGTCGGCGAGGGCCTCACCCGCCTGTTCGTAGAAGCCGAGTTTGCGCGAAAGGAGCTCCTCGACCGTCCCGATCTGTTCATCTCCATGGGCCGATTCCTCCAGAAGACTAACATTATCCGTGACGTACGGGAAGACCGTGACGATAAGCGCCGCTTCTGGCCCAGAGAGATCTGGTCAAGGCACGTCAAGGAGTTTGACGACCTCTTCAAGCCCGAGTTCCGCCAGCAGGCGCTGAACTGTAGCTCTGACATGATCCTGAATGCCCTCTCGCACGTAGAGGATTGCATTTATTATCTGTCAGCGTTGAGGGAACAGAGTGTGTTTAACTTCTGTTGCATCCCCCAGACCATGGCCATCTCGACTCTGGAACTGTGCTTCCGAAACAGTAGCATGTTTGAGCGGAACATCAAGATAACCAAGGGCACAGCTTGTCGGCTCATGATAGACTCCACGCAAAACGTCCGAGTTGCCTGCGATGTCTTCCGTCGATATGCCCGTGCGATTCACCAGAAGAACACGTCCAAAGATCCAAACTTCCTAAAGATTAGTGTTGCCTGTGGACATGTTAGTTTTTATTTTATTTATTTATTTTGCTCTGTGGCCTGCTTTTACGTTGTTACTAATATAACCGACAGGTCGAGAAAGTCGTTGAGCGCATCTTCCCCTCCCAATCACCAGAGGCCGCTATTCGAAGACTAACCAACGAGAAATCCCCCGAGGACCTGGCCAAGGACAGGGCGGACGCAGAGGCAAAGAAGGACACCATGTTCATCATGCTGACCATCTTCGGCGTCCTAATATTCGTCACATTGAGCATGGTGCGTACCCCAATCCCTCTATCCCTTGACCAAGTTAACATGTGTGTACAGCTCGGTGTCGCCTGGATGTTCGGTGCCAGATTCGACCTGGCCCTCGACCAGTTCAAAAAAGGGCTACTCACTCCGGCATCAGCCCAAGCTCACGGCGGCGAGCTATAAGTCGCCGGCTCTGTATCGCGATATGCATTTACGACTTCTTCGGCCCACTTCTTCTTTGCATCTATGAAACCATTCTACTGTATGATATGCTACTTTTTGACGTCCATACTAATAATGTAATACAGGGAGGCCGGGATCTTCCCCCTTCCGCCCCATTTCCAGTTCTTTCCAGTCCTTTCCAGTCCTTTTCCAGTCCCTTTCCATTTCCTTAGCTCTGGATGGAATTCCACCCCAGCACGGATGTCAAATTACAATACAATCCACTCCATGGTTGTTTTTGTGCCGAAGATGTGCTGAGATTGATGGCTTGACCTGCGTCCCTCGGGATGCGGCAACTACCTGATGTACTGGATTTCTGTCGACTGATTAGGTTCAGACGATGGCAGACGTCTATTGAAAATCCGGTTACATTTCCTCTGCAGATAGAATAGCCGTAGTAGATAGCAGGCCGAAGGCGAAGGCGAAGAATATATCCCTGTTCGAATTATGTGACCTGTTGTTTTGATGTGCATCGCATCGTATTTAACCCGCGGTTGCGCAGGCAGCTAAGAATTTCAGTTCGGATAATTAACAGCCCAACCATCGTAGCCCGACGGTCGAACATCGAATCGCATCCCGACCATCCCCTCGAGGCCCGCGATGGCTTGTCGGCGCCAGGCCTAATCCCAGCTCTCTCTCGCAGCCTGCATCGCAGTCTCCGGCCTCATTTTCTCACCCCCACAGAGAGAACCCATTCGCTAGGCAGCATTTAGTGCCATCCACCACCCGCCAGCGAAGAAAATCGAACTCGGCTGTCGCTCTCGATCGAAATCGCTTCCTCCGCCCTCCCTCCCTCCCCGCCAGCTGGACCGTCGCGGCGACGTGCTCTGTCGCATTCTTCTCTACACTATCTCTTTTACTATCCTATTTCTGCGCGCGTTGTGGCCGGCTGGATGGGCGATAACGAGGCTTCACACACTCCGGCGACTTCCAACGCTATGGCCGGCGAAAGCCCACCCCGGCTGCGAGCCGCTTCAGCGTGTGTCGCCTGCAACAAGAAGAAGGTAAGTCGTCTATACTACGATGCGCTCTCTGGCGTGTTCGTGCTGGCCGATATAGCACTGCTTGCCCCCTTTTTCTCCTTTTTCGTTCTCTGCCATCGCGCTGTTAAGCTTCCAGCGACTAACCCGAAGGCCGACGGTGCCGGCGTCCCCCCCAGATTCGCTGTATATATCCGGACGGCGGCCAGCAGTGCTCGAACTGTGCTAGGAATCACTGGACATGCTCGTACGGATGAATCTACCCTACCCTCTTACTCGCGCGCATTTATTTGGCGTTCGTAGTAAAAAGTTTTTACGTTGGGCTAATAAAACACTCTTTTTCCGTCGCATGTTCAAGACCCCGCGAGCGCAAGCGAAAACGCCGGAAGGTCGCGACGGACACCACCAAGGAAGAACCAGACTCAACTCCCACTGACCAGCTCAGCGTTACGCCTTTACTGCCTCCGTCGCGCTCGCAGTGGGAGTCGGGGTATCCGGGATGGGAGCCTCGTCGCTCTATCCTTGCCGACGGCCATCCTTCCGGCACATCGGACTCCTCAGGGGGCCCCGGCTCCACGGCGCCAAATAATAATAACAATACGAGCCAGACGCCAGCGACCTCATCAGCGGTGCAAGACGCTGATGGCAACACCCTGTATTCGCAAAATACCCCCAGTTCGGTGCCTGTTCGGCATCAGCAGCTGGAACCCGGCCCACATGAGTCGGCTTCGGGGGGTAGTACGACCTTCCTCGGCCGGTCGGAGTATATTCGAGGCGAGCTTCCGTTGAACGAAGATCGAGCGAAGGCCTATCCCGCCGTGGCCACAGAGAGTTTGATGGAAGAAGATATACAGATCCTTCAGCTCCAGCATGCCTTTGATCTCCCGCCTCGCGCCGTCAGGGATGGGCTCATAGATACCTTCATGAAACGGTGTGCACCGTGGATGCCCATCGTCGAGAGAAGCTGGCTCATGGAACGTCGTGACAGCCAGCCGTCGATATTACTGCTTCAGGCTGTCTTTCTTGCCGCAAGTAGGGTGTCATCTGCCCCGGCCGTCACAGCCTATGCATCGTCTAATGAATTTTACCGTCGAGCAAAGGCGCTGTTTTGGTCCGGGTACGAGAAGAATACCATCACTGTTATAACTGCCGTGTGTATCTTGCACTGGTATAATCCCGAGGGGCCAGAACATGTTTCTATTAATACCAGCGGATTCTGGAATCGCATCGGCGTTGGTCTGGCGTATCAAATCGGTCTACACAAGGAGCCGCCACCTGGGCGAGAAGCTGCCCTACGACGCAGGCTATGGTGGACTCTATATGTAAGATTTTGCCTACCTCCGTCTATTCATTAGTTGTACATGAAAATTTAACATACTTTAGGCAAGAGATTGTTTGATATCCGCTAGCCATGGACGACCACGGGCAATTAACGTAGAGGATAACGACGTTCGGCCTCTCACGCCCGAGGACTTCTACGGATGCAGCGCTAACGATGCCCTATTTTCCGCACATGTCGAGATATCGGCGCTCCTTGGAGAGGTTACTCAGTGTTGCTGTCGCCGAGCTCTGACGCGACAACGGAGAATAAGCATTGAGAATGCTCTTTATAGATGGTCCAGAGAACTACCGGAACAACTCCGTCTCTTCCGCAGAGTCTGTCCATCAGAAGGGTCGGCAACCTCGAAACTAGTGCTCATGCCTTATAACTTCGAAGCACGTCAATTACACGTCACCTACTTTGTCATTCTAGCCATTCTCTACCGCACCTCGTCCCCGGGAAATACCCCTTCAGCAGCTGCCATCCTCGCCTCATCCTTCATCGCAGGAATATTTGAAGATTTCCTTGCAAGGGACGAAATTCGCTTCCTTGGCCCCATCTTCACCTTCTATCTCCTCGCATCCGGTGTCGGTCTCGCATCATGCTACTCTTACCCCCATCTCTGGGAACGAGCCCAACAAGACCTCCGGATAATCTGTAACTCTCAAAAGGAGCTTTCCAAACGCTGGCCTTCTGCAATCGGTAGCCTGAAAGCCCTGCAGAGCATGATTGATGAAACTGCAAAGGCCGCTCGGCCCGCAGACAGGCCACAGCCTACACCTCTCACCACCGACCAACAGACTACTTTCTGCGGCTTTGGTACTGATTTATGTCGACTGGGAGACGTCATGCTAGCCAACTATCCGCATGAAATAGGGGACTCGGGCAGGCAGGAAGATGACCAATATGCCAGAACCGTCTCTGATATGATGACTGCGGGTATACTGGCAGAGCTGAAAACGCCCATGGACCCCGCCTCGGCCCCCATCGATGAGTACCTGCCTCTCGCTTCGGTGATAGACCATAATACGCAGCTGGCATTTGGAGTGGAAGAGCCGACTTCGATTATCCCTGACGAGGTTCTATACGGGCAGTACGAAGGTATTGGCAACTGGTTACTTCGTGGCTGGGACTGCAACACCGAAGTCCCATGGTAATACCGGGCAAGCCAGCAGTCTATTTCTGCATATTATTATCATCACCGTCTCACCTGGAACTTCCTACTCGGCCGATCCTACTTATCCTGCCCATGAGGTCCCTATATCACGTGACTATTCATCCCCGGCTTTCGGCAGTCGGGATACCGGGAAGATGCCAAAGGACCAAGCCGCGCTACGGGACTATCACTTCGACGATCTGAAGCCGTGCCCTTCTGCGAATGCGAATACTAATGGGACTCATCCTGTACGCTCTTTACCAAACACTTATACCTTATCTATCCACGGGCTGGTTCTAATCCTGCTTCACATAGCTTTCACTCCTGATGACGTCCTACCCCAATAGCTTCAATAATAAGTCAAACCTGAGCGCTGCAGGAAAACTGCGGTCGAGTGCCCAAGAGAATTTGCAAAGACATATTTGATAGCTGCGCTATAGTCGCTATCATGGGGCTGGGAGTGTTAAATGTCGCTTTGGAAACGGTAGAGGGAAGATTGCCAGCCAAGGCGAGGTCGGTGTGAGTTGGAAGCGCGCCCGATCATATTATGCACGTCAAAATAGCTGGCTTGATGTTTAAACGCTTACGGTTATAATAATGTCTTTACAAGTATGAAATAGATATCCACTTAGTTAATGCCCTCATAATCTATCCACTCTACAATTAGAACTATTAACGTCAAAAAGCTATGGACTGTTACAGCTTAACACTGATCTCCTAATGCATATTCTACCTATATCATAATCTACCTATTTATATATTTAATCCAACTACTTATAGAAGTGGACATTCGGGTTTTGCCGGCTTGGATAGAGATGGCCGGCACTTCGGCAATACCGGGTTTAACAATCTTGACTGGTTAGCTAGTTATCCCAGTAATTCTCGTGTGATTGTCAGATGAAGCCTCTACATGTCTATTTTCATCATAAGATAGAATGCTCCATTAATTCTATTCACATTGATTAATAGTTAATATCACTATATTGTACTCCGTAACCATAGCGTTATAAACATGTTTACAGCCAGCTGAAACTCCACGCTGCTCACTTTTACATACATGCTCCGAGTGAATATTCCTCAGCCGTACTCCGTACATCCTACAACTCATTAAATGCAGGTATATTGATAAGAATACTGTTGAGGTCGCCGCGAATTGGAAGCGAAGAAGAAGTCACGAGACCAAGACCACGTGGACAGCCCTGCCCGGCGCCTCTCGCCGCCTTCCCGAAAAGGGTTTTTCTGCCAGGTCACACCTTGCGGGTTCTGCCCTTCCCCACCGCCCTCCCCAGCGCCCGATCGGGCTTCTCCAGACTTCAACCTTCTCGCAGTCTCACATTCTGGCATTCTCGGTCTCCAAGGCTGCCTCCTGACGCCTCCTTCGTTCGATTTTCTTCCTTTCTCTGCTTGCAATTCGGTCTAGGGCGTGGCGTCACTGGAGGGGAGGCCTCGCTCAGCTGTCGTGTGTGCAAACATACAGTTTAGACGCCAGGAAGTCACATGTCCGCTCTTATCTTATCCTGCTTGATCGCCTGCCCATCCCCTTAAAAATCTCGACAGTACGGTATAGGATACCCCGGCCGCTATCCTGCCAGCTGGCATCTGCTCTTCTAAGCCCGGTTAGCCATTTACCTGGGGTTCCTTATCTTGACAAACTGTATTTTCAGGGCTCGAAGTGAGGGGGATCTAGGTCACCGGTTTTCAACGGTTCGGCCGTCAGAGGAGAGTGGCACTGGTAGGTAGCCAGCCATGTTCGCGGATATGGGCTGTCATTTCCGGCCCGGCCGTTGCATAAGAAAACGACGTTTGTCCTCTTTGCTAATATAACATGGAGATAGTCCTGGAAAATTCGCAGTGCGAAGAGCGGTAGATGACCCCGGTTTTGACGCGATTTTGCCGTAAGAGACCGGTACTCGAAGAAGAACCATGGTATCGTCAACCGATATACCTCCGGATGATGCATTCCTCTCGGCTACGATGTCGATAGACTCGACCAACCCTCCTCTTCGCACATTCACTCTCTCCGCACCCTCGACAGACGATCTGCAAGACCAACAGCTGCAACCTTCTTCGTCGAGTTCTATAGATACAGAGATGGATGATGCAGCGACCAGCCAGGACACATATCTCTTACCCCCGCACTTTAACGACCTTCCTCCCGAAATCCACGAAACGATCCTTGACTATCTCCTTGGAGTTCGTGGCTCAACGCTTGCCTCCATAACTTCTGCAACAGTCACCACGTCGAGCTGGAGCAAAGCACTTCGGCACCCACGTAGAAAAGCCTTGTCAGATCTAGCTCTTGTCTCTCGAGCGTACCGGGCATTAGTTCAGGGCAGGATTTACCGTCATAGTGAGTGCACGCAAATGTCGTAATACTCGTGGCAGCGCGTCGAAGCTAACTGGTTCGCGCTCAGTTCAAATTAAAGGAACGACAGATGGCCTTACAGACTGCGCTGGGTGGTTCGACTCACACCCGCACCTTAAATCATATGTCAGGCATATTGAGATCTGGGTTCCAGTTTGGGGTGATCGGTTAAGAAAATCACATTTTACACCTCCTAGCCGACGGGAAAGCGGACAGGCTAACTTCGGTGTAATCGAGACTAACACCGTAGAATCATTTATGAGCGGCTTAGACGCTCTCGCCAGTAGCCGGACAAACTGCAATTTCAAATCGGCTAGTCACAATGCTACATTACAAGAAATATTTCAGTGCGTGGCATGTCAATTTCCTGACGCGAAGATGATGACTCTGGAAGGTGGCCATTGCAAGAAACCACCTATGATCCGCCATTTTGAAAGCGACCCGTGGGGAGATAGTGGGCTAGAGAGCCTTCCTCTCCTTCCCAATATTCAGACATTTATTATGAAGGGAGCATGGAACATTATGAGAGACTACAGCCATTGGATTAATATATCTACTGCCTTGCCCAACCTGCGTGAATGGCATTGCTTCTACGCAAAGTCAAAGCGTGAAGCCCACATCACCATCTCGAAGGTCCTTCGCACATTCCCGCCACAACTGACCCGTCTCAACATTAGTCTTGAAGGCTTCTGCAGTAAGACGAGCTCACGTGGGTTCTTAAACCCTCAGGATGAAAAGCATCTTTGTCGTCTGTTCGGCGCCATTATGCCCCAGCTAGAATCTCTGACCTTCACGGGAAAAGTCTGCGCTAGCCTTTTCCTGTCCGGGAGAGCAGCAGTGTTATCATCGCAGAAAAAGTCAAAGCTGAAGTCGATAGACCTAGTCGTCAAAGCCTGCTGCTGGGGCCACGAGTCTGATGACGGTGCACTTATACCAACTGATATCTCTGGCATCACAAACATGTCTTTTATCATCGAGTTTGAAAAGCTAATCATTGCTGCTATTCACTCGCTTGGTACATTAGCTGCACTTCAATACATACGTATCCGATTCATAGACCTGGACTCCATCTGCGGGCTACTGAACCCCTATTTCCAACTGGTCGGCAATAGCTGTACGGGTATATGGAGTGAAGCTATCCTCAAAACCCTTGAAGAAACCAGACCTGAGGCCCAATTTGAGGAATTAAATAACGGCATCCTTGAAGATTACGGGATCAATTCGAGGACCGGGACAAGATCATACCCACGAACTCGTCCTTTGAGCATAAAGACGAGTTCTTACAGGATTATTGCCGATAAGTCCAAGGCATGAGAATGCATACCTCTCGCTTGATACACCTTTCGCCTGGGCCTACTTTAGCCGCGGTCACCATATAATTTTTGCGCTAAGGCGCCATTAATCTATTTTAGCTAGCTTTGCTGTTTCTATTTCTGTTTTGCATGATACTTTTTTTCTGACTAAAAATACCCCTTTTCGTAGCTAGATCGCGGATAAGCTACTTCTTCGGATCCCATCTAGGGCATGTCAAGTTATCTAATTTTTTGGCCTGTATTGCATGGTGTCGGGAGAAATGGGCGCTAGGAGAATAATTGAACAGTCGAAGGGAGTGGGATGATGAAAGACCCGAGGGTTTAGATAAATCATGCACACCGACTAGTTGTTAATCTGTTACGGTGTGTTGATTCGTGAGCAATCAGTCTTACCTAGTACTTGTTGATTTCCTTTTAGACTAATGGGATTTCCAAAATTTGTAGCCAGATTTAATATAATATATTTCCTGGTATAAAATGCGAGGTTCTCGAGTATTTAACAAATTAACCAGCAACGCAGGAGCGGGTCTCATTTACCCCATTAATAAGGGGAGAATCGCCAAATCACCGATATCAGACTGAACGGATAGCAAAGTAATATACATCCATAGAGTACATCGTCTCATGTATTCGCCAATTTTCTAATTTTTGTTGAGGTGGTGTCAGAATCTTCGTGTATCGTGTTTATATATCTGCTTTAGGGCTCAATCTAGCAGTCAACTTCTACTTGTGGTGGAAAATCGAAGCATTCTCCAACGTCAAACCAGTCCCCTTTTCCTTTATCCTCTGCATGTCGATAGAACTCTTTCCCTCCCGGATGGAATCTGCCCAGTCCTCCTCGGGGAGGATCCAGAGCCCAGCAACCTCCTTTCTCGCTGACTCCTCGAATGGGAACAGAATGATAGGATCGTGGTGCACCACACCGTACATCCTTGTATGATGTGGCATATATCATATTCCCATACTGGTTCCTTTTCATAGGAACTGGCGGCGGTGGGCATCGGAATCGTAGACAATTAGCCCAGGAGCGATGTATTTGAAAGGAGGTCTTGATGCACGCAGTAGGAATCCACGAGTGAACCCGCGTATGGAGGGCGGTATTTTGTCCTCTGGAGCTAATCATTTCGGTTCAGACTGGGTATCTCGTTTGGAAGAATGATCAGAAAGACGTGTAGCGATAGTATCAACCAGGTCCTCCCACGCAGCGAGGGTCTGGTCAAGAATGGAACCTGTCCAGGGAACGGCTTTCTATCCAGGCTCCAATGTACTCCAGGCTCATCGTTGCGAATAACAGGCACATATTTTCCAATCTCGGCCATACAATTGAGGTTAAGCAACACATGCTCCATCGAATACCAGCCTCTGGTATCCCCGAGGTTCTGATATCCAACGAAGCTAGGCAGATATCGAACTCGGAGTTCGTCTAGATCTATAATCAGGCCGATATTGATTGGGAACAGACAGACGCAGTCAATGTCATCAGCTTTCATTCCCTCTAGCCCTAGGTCATCATCTATACTCGTTGGTGACATTAATGACTAGAAATTATAGATTAGTACGTCATGATAGGGAGCAGTGCCATCTTTGCCGACGGCTATTTCGATCTGTTCAAGGAATTCGATTATCGGTTGGCTGAATTTTTCGACATTTTTCGACCTTAGGATCTGTCTTCCATACTTCAAACCAGTTAGTTCGAAGGGACTCCCCCTCCTGCTCTCGATTGCTGCCATGAAAGCCGATTCGGATGAGGCGGTTGTATAGCCTTGCGCAGAGAATGGGGTCAAACTCTTCTGCTTCGTTCTCCCACTCCTCCTTATCCTTCGGTATGGAGTCAGTCATTTCTTGTATATTCCAACAAATCCCAGCTTCGATATTCTGTCATTTGACTGCAAGTGAGAATCAAATCATCACCGATTTATTTAGTAGAGAATATAATATTGACGAAAGTTCTGAATAGTACCTTGGTGCTGAGGATCGTGGAGGCAAAGCCGAAGGTACTATAAAGCAGCAAACCTGGTTTTACTTCTGAAAGAGGTGCAGGCGGCTGTTAAGGGTCAATAAGGTAAGTAGAGTCTGTTGGTTGACGGCTAACTTCTTCAACATTTAAAGGCCTGAGCGCTGCCCTCCCTGCAAGCTTTTGGTGCCTGCTCTAAACTAGGATGTCCTTCACTTGGAGGTGTTCCAGGACGGTGTACTGGGAACTCCGGAACTCTTTCAAATGCGGGTACGTTATGCAAAGACCTTGCATAGGTTCGGGGAGAAGTGGCTACCAGTCTTAACACAGAAATCATCGAGGTCATTGGATATTCCTGCAGTCTTTGCCGGGGTCCCCAGCCTTTGTATTCAGCTGATTTCGCGCGAATTCACGGAGCTGTATTTTAATAAAGTAGTCATGTTCTCATACTAGAGTTGGAGAGGAATCCAGATATTCATTTGACTCTTAGAGGTTTTTATTTAAAAAAAAAAACGGGTTGACTCCCGCTACCTTGGTAGGAGAAGAGGAAATGAAGTAAGAACTATATATCTTTTTCAGTCGCTATGGGACTCGGTTTATTAACCTTACCATGATCGTGATCTTTTCCTACCCGAGGAAGACAACCAATATCTGAGATAATAACCCCCAGAATCCAAATGTTGATAGCGAAGAATGCAAGGGATGAGAGATACAATCCAGGCACAAATGTGGAAACCCCTAGGAATTCAAGCTGGAAACCTTGATGAAGCCAAAGGGCCTAGTTGAATGGAAAATTTCGTTAAATCGGGCTCACAAAGTATCTTAAATAGCGCAGAGGAATTTACTCACCTGTGCGCCTGCCCATAGGGCAGCAACAAGGATTCCAAAAATCGGTTGACTGACAAGGGATGAATGGGGAAGGTATAGTGGTAGAAACACGAGATACCATAGAAAATACTATTTAGATCATCAGTTAGCGTTTCCATGGGCTCATCGCGCATTCCACAGGATAAGGGCTTGTAGCATACTTGGCTAGTGCAGACCTTGTTGAAGGTAACAAAGGCAAATGTTTGACTCAACATGCTTCCCGCGAGGTCCTTCTTCGCTAACGCCAGCGGGATAAGAATTGCTGAAAGCCCCAATTGTGGGATAAACGCGAGTGATTCAAAGTTATTTCCAGGTATACCCTGGGCAATCTCAGACGAAGATAGATATAGTAACATGTTGTAAGGGGAAAAGTTATGGCGATGGTCGACACGAGTGACGTGATGTAGATATGTATGTTGCAAGAAAGGGGCACCATAAAGCATGTACATAGATATATTCAAGGCTGCGAAAACACCAAGGGATGTCAACCCGAGAATAATACGCTGGGGCGTAAGGAACCGAGAAACGTAGTTGACCATGCTGTTAATAGTGAACCCGTTCGATTTATCGAATTTGTCACTTTCCTTATCACCCAGATACCAGATAATCGATGGTGCGTAAATGAAAGGATATATTTTGAAATGTACACCCAAGCCCAGTAGAACACCTGCTAGCGTTATTCGTTTCTCCAAGACAGCCCAAAGGAGTGCCATTATCATGACACACAAGAAACCCTCTGAGCTCCCTCTAGTGCTAATGGTAGCAACCATTGGGTTGAGAAGCCAGATACTTGAAAATTTAAGGGCCCTTTCCATGTCCATCCGTTGATGGGAGCGAAGGATATGCAGGATCAACCATCCAGCAATGATATCGGAGATTGCGAACAAAGCTTTGCCGAATGAGAACCACACCTGTGGGCCACCTAACGTCGTCCAAGTGGTTGGAAGGAGAATCCATGCAAGCAATGGCGTATATCTGTAAGTTGCTCTTTCATATGGAGACTGCCCTTCAGAGACAAATTTGGCGGCGTCGGTGAAAACATAGTAGTCGATATCGGTGTACTTCATAGGCGAATGGGAGTCTTGATAGAGGCCGTAAAATAGGAGAATCACTCGAAGCAATACCGCGGCCGCAAAAACGCGGGGACACGAATTGAAAAACCACGACATCATTAAGTCGTAGTCTCCAGTGAGTGTCTTGTATTCGAGTTATGCAGGAATAAATTTTGTTCTGGCTCTTATAATAAAGCCACTCCTTTTGTGGAAAACAATGACATTTGGGCCCTTCAGTCAAGAATGGATGCAATCCATTAACCAGGTAAGAATCAAAGATTTAAAATGGTTTATAGTGGGAGCGAGCGTTCTAGAAGAGATATAAAGAAGGGATAAAGAACTTCTCTGTCGTGGCGTGGTGTTATCAAGAGTTCTGCGTACACAGGAAGTCGACGTGTAGATTAAATGGCGTTGTTGACCCCGGATAAAGCTTAAGAGGTTCTGGAGGGGCGCTTGGACTATCTGCAGAAATAAAGGCTAGTTATTGGTCAATATGGATGACTAAGCTGAAATAGCAAGTTATTTTAACGCGATCGGCTTATATAATCCCGCTTATCCACAGCTTCCTTATCGCGGGCGAGTTTCGACCTTTCTTTTAGCTATCAAAACGAACACATCGCGGACCAGAGCAGTTCACTATTTCCCTATGGCCGGTAACAAACGAGCGTGGGACGGCAACCTCATACCAAGCCACTCAAAAGCAGAAAAAATGGACACCGAAGCCAACATGTCCCCCCTTCAGTCTATCTTCGCCGAGTTCCGCAACGAGCTTGACGAGCACCATGATCGCCGAGAGCGCGTCGTGAAAGCCTCCAGAGACATCACAGCGTTGAGCAAGAAGATGTATGTTAAAGGGGTGCTTAGTTGTTGCGCCCACCCATCGTTTCGTCGAGATGTTGAAATTATTACATATGGAATGTAGTAGATGCTAACCACGCCTCATGGTTAGAATATTTTCATTACAGAGGTAAGCGATACACCTCTAATTTGCGATAATGACCTCAAATAGAGGACTACGTCGTCCATATCCGTCACTAGAAATCTGTATCGGTCCTAATTATCAACCTATTTCTAGAGTCCGTACTGTGAATGCGCCAATTCCGAAAAACATCGCGAAAGAAACAGAGAAACACTTAACACAAATTCAAGAGCTTTTTAAATCGATCGAAGCAGATGTCTCTGGGGTCAACGCTTGGCGATACAATCAAATCACCTGGGGAATACAGGAGTACATCGAAGCTATATCATTCTATCGATATATCGAGAAGAAGGAACTTATCACACTGGAGGAGGTATCACAGACATTACCAGCTGGTATCACAGTTACAGAAGCCGACTACGTGCTCGGCCTGTACGATCTGACTGGTGAAATGATGCGATTTGCCATCACCTCGATGAGTACCGGCCGAACAACAGGGGTGAAAGAAGGAGGCGGAGCCGGCCCAGCTAGCTTGGCCAATGCTAGTGTTGATGGTGCGGGCGAGGATAACGTACAAGCCGAAGGGCCTATGGGAGGAGAGGTTATCGTTTCTGATTTACGTCAGCTTCGTGCGATGTTTGAGAAACTTAATGTTCCCCGCGGCCTAAGCGGATGGAAGGAAGTAGATAAGAAGATGGAAGTTATGCAGACAAGTGTTGAAAAGGTTGAGAGGGCTGTGTATGGTTTGTTGGTACGGGGAAAAGAGCGGCCATCTGGATGGATGCCTGATTTGACGAGTGCAGCTGCAGTCGAATCGCACTAACTCGTCTTTGCTCTTTTGAGAAGAGTATGTTGAGCAGCCTAATGTCAAAATACGGACGTGTTATGAGCTATTAATGTAAAGGCATAGGATAAGGCTATGTCCTGCGAACCTGCGGTTCGTATTGTGGCTCCTTTAGCCTGACATTTTTGAAAGATTACGAGGGACAAGCAAAAGCTCATACTTCCACCACTGTTAACCCATGTTTAGACTTGACACTCCTTAACTTCGAGGCCTCTGGAGTCACGTTGAACATCCGTGGATCTGGGATAGTCCAAAGATGTTCTAGAGAATTGCATATTCTGGTTAAGCAAAAACTTCAGCCGAGAACGGTAGGAAAAGGGTGATGCTGCTAATCGAATAACGACAATCCACGTAACCAGCCAATTTAATTGCACTTAGATCTTCAATCTCCGATGCCTTTGATTTCCGCCCCACGACTGCCGTCCTCAACTTCTTCGACTCAACATGCACCAAGTTCACGAGAACTGAATTGTTTCCAACAGAAAGGGGTGAAAAAGTCAGTGCCCATTATCCTAAATAGGGTACATCTCCAATTCAACCCCCGACAGGATATCAACGACATTCAAAAACACATATCAGGAGGAATGAAGGTGCTTCAAGGCCTCGACTAGTGAAGATGACTAAATTTTGATGGGGTTTTCATCCTCAGTTAAAACTCCTGACTTGATCAAGTCCTCAGGCTTTGGACGATTCTGGATCTTATGTTCGAGCGAGTCAGCGCGCATGTGTTTTTCGAGTTCACGGGCGGGACCCTGTAGAGCCGGAGCAGCGCCGGATGAAGGAAGGATGTTTCCTATTAAGATGAATGCAAAGAACGAGGGCGGTATATTCAGCATTGGGTCATATCATCTTACCCCAACCTAACAGTAAAAAAGAAGGAGAAAAATAGAATATAGATGACCAAAAATAAAAGGCCACATACGTTCAACGAGGGAATCACGATCAGGTCTCTTCTCCAGGCCTTTCTTCAGCGCATCTGCAGCCTTCTGGCGAGCGAGTTCCTGCTGGGCTGCTTGGAGAGAGCTGTATTCATTCATGAGTCCTTTTGCTTCTACCTTTTGCATGGCCAAAACCGAAAAAAAAAAAAAAAAAAATGAAAGGTGCTACAAAAGCACATACGGAGCAGCATTGGTATCGAGCAGGATATGCCTATTCTTCAGGTCCTGAGCATCCGGGCGGTACTGGAGAGATCTCTCCAACGAGTTACGTCGCTCGCTAATGGGGGATGTGGTCACCTCGACTGTCGAGTTAGCGGGGGCTTCAGACATGGTGATAGATGATATGTAACTATCTGTTTAGAACGAGTGAGAGATCAACTGTAGAGATTAGATATATGGGCTGATAATCGAGATAGAGAGCTATGAAGGCGTCAGTGAGTAGAGTGAAGTTGGCAGGAGGTTGAAGCCTAGAGAAAGGGGTACCTCTGCGGGAGGTACCCTTGCCTCAGATATAAGCAAGCGCGGCTCAAGCTACTTCATTATAAGTATCTCTTTTAATAAGCTACTACTATAAAATACTTAACTCGTTGTATCTATAAATGAGTATGTTATAGTGACTTCGTGGCGAGGTCACGCCCCCGCTCCCCTCTTAGTCACCTGATGGCCAGGCAACATCACACGATTCTGACTGCTAACCACCTGGTTAGATATAGAGGATGATATATATCGAAACAGACAGATACACGGCTTGTATCATCTGCCTCCGCCAAGGCATTTAAGAATGCTGAATCTGAGGATATCCGGCGAGGTCTCGAGATGGTTCAAAATTCAACAAGGGAAGACCTTGAAAAATATCTCCCTATAATATACCCCTGGGTCTAGCGAATGTGGGAAGAGGGCCACGCTGAGAAGTATTGGGGTTATATGGTTTATAAGGACCCTGCAACTTAGAAAGATGAGTCAAAGTTCTGCTACCGATAAAGTGGTCTACTAAATTATGCTATTCGTATGATTGCCTGTCTAGAAACCATTAAATATTGATGGAGGATGCAGTATTTACATTGGCCTTCTGAGCTCTCAAGATACTTATAGAGGCTACTTACGGGTGAGACTACAGCAGCTAGTTCATAATTTCTACAATGCGCATCTTTTTCAGGCCGAGGAGTACTCAATGAGGGACCTATAGAAGGCAGCGCAGAAATCCCGGAATTAACTATTCGTTTCTTTAGATGAAGAGGAGGCTCGTCTCTGGGTCCCGGATAGAACCAATGGTAGCGCATTGTGTCGAAAGCGAATGTGATATTCAGCCAAGAATGAATTTCCTGGCAGGAGATTTATGATTAAGTGTGATTCAGACTTCAATAATCTTGTCAGGGTCGAATGGGGTTTGTTCCTGGCTGCCACGACCCCCGAGATTGAGCAGTTTCGACGCGAGGCTTCCTGAGACCTCAGTCCCTTGATTTTTTGGAATCACATAGCCTCGTTGGTTGCTCACGAGCTTCACACTCCCCCGAACAGATTCCGAAGAGTGATGTGTGTGACCGTGTATCCAGTACTGCACATCGTCAAGAAATGATCGTTGTGTACCCCCAATGAGGTCTGTCCCAAAAGCTGAGCTGCATAGGCTACCCTCATTCGAAGGTTTAGACGTCCCCTTGGTTGACGGGGCATGATGAGATATGACAACGATCTTCTGCCTCAAACCAAGCTCCGTGCTTCTGATCGAACTGATCTCGTCCTTCAACCACTTTATATCTTTGGCGTGCTCAGCATTGTGGTCTGCAACTCTCCAATCGACAATTCGACGGAAGTCGTTAATCTTCTGCCCAACAACATTCTCCGAGTCGGGTGGTATGTGTGAGTGCAGAGTACAGCCTAAGAGTGTTACATCCTTGATATCAACGCGTTTCCGATTCATTATGACCAATCTATTCTTCAACTGTGGCTCGGCTTGGAGCATATCCGCTAGTCGGAGGCCTTTCTGACGGGAGACTCCGAAAAACTCATGGTTTCCTAGAACAAGATAGACCTCCGCAAAATTCTCACATTGGGGACGTAGAAAGTCGCGAAGGGCATCATAATCTGCGAGCTGGCCGATGTCGCCAGCCAGGATCAGACGTGGGGCTCGCGGTGTAATACGGAAGTTCGCATATTGTTGACCGAATTCGAGATGTAGGTCAGACATGACTTGAAAGGCAATGGTCTTTCGTGCTCGCCATGGTAACAGTAGTCTAGCAGAGGCCATCAGGCAGCGTAGACACGACCGTTCGGACGACACGGTCCCTCAGAAACGAAACAAAATATAGATACGGTTGGTAGGTTGGCTGATGGTTCCCCTTAGTTAAATCTCAGGAGATTCAAGTTTACCCGCTCCGGACAAACTAAATGGTTAACTAAATATATAGTGCGACTGCTTGCGATTGTAACATCACCACGTCCTAGTTAGCTAGGTCAAGCAAATTCCTAATTTTGCTACATCTAAGGGCTTCATTAGGATTATTTCTAATGCTCATGGACGTTCGTTAAAACAAAATCAGGGCAGAGTGCTTCTCACCCTAAGGAAAAGATAAATTGAGGCAATGCATACTATGTTTTTGATCTGCTACTCGGAAAATTCCAGAGCAAAATATGCAAAAATAATATGGCAATACTTCTCTAGTCAAAGACATAACACCTGAAAGCGCCCTTGAATACCCGACCTGGTGGCACCTTCGCCCGATTGACATGGGTAGGTAGGAGAGACATTTCCTTCTAGGCATGAAACCAAGCAGACGCGAACGCTCAGTCGTACCTCTTTGAACAAAGGAATCATAACACTCTACATATGCACGGCGCAGTTGATGTTGGCGTCTGTTGTTTGTTTGATATGCCAGGAGATAAAATGAGGTATATAAACCTCCATGGACTCACCCACAAGTCGAGATCAATATTATTTGCTTCCATAGTCGTCATCACACACTTAATTCATTTCCCAGATACTACAGTGTTATTCAAAATGAAGTTCAACACTGCCGCAATCCTTACTACCCTTGCCGCTGCCTGCTCTGCTGCACCAGCACCTCAAACCCCAAACCCTTCTATTATCCACGCCCGAGGATTGGTAAACGACTGTAGCGAGTCTACCCTGGAGAATAGGGCTTCAAATGGCTCCCCTCTTGTCTCCGATTGCAGGATCATGGCATCCAACATTGCCGGTGGCGGATCATGGCAGATTATGCCGGGCCCTCCTCGTCAGGTTGTCCAATATGGAACGTGTGCATTTAGTGCCAAAAATGAATCACATTCGTGGCTTAAGATTGGCAATTCCGATATTATCGATCTAATCAATGATTCTATTGCGAGATATCAGTGGAATGGCAAGGTTGGCACCAGGGGTCGGATGAAATGCCAGAATTACTTCCCAGGTGGTGATGGTTGGATGAGTTGGGGTATTTACCACACCTAGGACAGCCTAAACGATTAACACGGGGTCAGTTATATCTTTTTTCCTTTAATATGACAGTTTTACCATATTAGTACTTTTCACTAATATCTTGTTAAGAACAGCTTTTCCAGATGTGGTCTGAAAAGGGCAACAGGGGGGTAAGGTTCTAGATCACTATATCAAGAACATACCTACAGATATAATTGTTTGGACGAATAGACTACCCTTGGTTATAGATATAATGTTGAGAAATTTTTACGGTCATGATTCTTTGTTAGGCTCAATGAACTATACGCTACTCTCATCCGGCGTTTGTAATATTCTTCAAGATACTTATGATACCCTTGCTTTAATTTCCGGATTTAGTCAGATATACCAAGTTTTGTAATACTGTCACACAATGTTCTCACCAAAGCGGAGTTTGAGCGGCATCAGGCGATTCGTAGAAAATAGGACCCTTTGTGTAGGCCAGGTGTCTTATCCGTTGTATGTGCAACAGTTCATTTTCCACGAAGGCAGAAAGTTGGGAAAAGAATGAATGTATTGATGTTATCACTACGAATAACACTAATATTAGGGAAACATTATTTATCACTTCATCGTTAGTGAAAGAAAAGAGCCATCAAGAGGCCTTCCTTTGGCCACCGGCCTGGACACCAACCCTGTCCAACTCACACCTAAATCCATCGATACATCTCTGCTCACCTCCAAACTGCAGCCACAAGGCCACCATGGCCACCACCAACGATACAAGTAATAGTAACAGGAACAAGAAAGAAAAAATGTATCAACTGCGATACGGGTGTGGGTTCGTCTCCAAATTTCGGGTTGCCTCCAATTATTATTTTCCGATCAAAAAAATATTTCTTCTGGAGCCGTGAAATACCCTGATAGTGAAAAACAATGCATGTTGAAATTGGCGGCTTTCTTCCATCGTCCCGCCTCATCCATTAATGTAACCGTCAAGCCAACCTAGATGTAGAAAGACTCGATCTAGCATCGACAGGGCAGAAGATAACTTTTTTTTGGGAAATGAGTGGGTTGTACCCTCGACCCATTACAGTCTGCCGCCTTTTCTTATCGGGCAACATGGACGATCACGAAAAGCCTTAAAAAGACATGCGCGTTCCTGCAGGTTTCATCCTTCCATTTTAACCCCTTTTTCTCAGTTGAGAGAGATAGGTGAGTCCTGAGAGAAAAATGTGATACCAGCTTCCAACAGCCAAAGAGAGAGAGAGGCTGCTAGGAGCAAATACCAGTTCATGGAACCCAGAGCTTTCCACGCCCGCGGGTAGCTCCTCTAAAGGCTCCCCCACGAGGTCCGCCCCGACGGTTACCGTTTTGTCGAGGGTTCGGGTTGGGTGAACCGCGGTTGGCTGGTGTTGGAGAGGAGTTTACATTGGGCGAGGCGTTTTGCTTGGTCATTCCGATGCTACGGTTGAAGGAATCCGGGTCGATTGGAGTAGACGGCACTTCAAGCGGAATTTCGGCGACGACTGAAGGAGCTCGCGGCCTTCCACCGCCGTTTGTATTGCCGCTAGCAGCTCGATTGCTACGACTTGGCGTGTTTTTGGTAGGAGTCCGCGCTGCTGGCGCCTGCTGGCCAGCTTTGCCTTGCTTGCGTGGCACGAAAACGAGGACGTCCTCATCGCTTTCATCTTCATAAGAGAGCAATGGTTTCGGTTCAGCGGGAAGCTGAGATTGGGCCTGGGTCTGGTTCTTTTCCAAGTATTTGCAGTGATTTTTGAATTCCTTGTCTTCGTAGATGATGGACGTGCGTAGTTGGGCAACGTTCTTGACAATGATACCGAATTTCTGGGCCCAAGCCTGCGTGTCCCTGTCGTTTGTAACAAGGATGCAGCTGGATTGAGGAGAGGGTAAGGTAGGCAGAGCGTGCAAGCGCCACAATACTGCATTCAAGAGCGGCTTCAAAACGTGTGGAACAGCGGGAGCAACGTATTTTACGCCACTATCGGCGTCTTCGGCGTTGCTAGTGTCCACCTCGCGAGTTTCCGCATCATCTCCCAGCTGTCGGGACGAGCATTCAGGGCTTGCGCGAGAACCACCGGAAGTAGGAGATGCAGGAACGCTGCACGTCCCTGCGGAGGCAGCGGAGGTAGATCCCGGTTCCTTCTCTTTCTTGAAGTTCAGCTTGCTCAAAAGCATTTGTGACATATCGTTTAAGTCACGAGCGTCGCTAGTTTCCCGTCGGATATCTCCTGCGGGTTGTTTTTCTTCCTCTTTGGCGACGGAATCAATGGGCAGGGAGTCGTTCGCTGGAGTATTTTGGGCCTCCTCCTTGAATTCAGGAAGAACAAATTTTTCGGCATCTCCCCATGTTGCAAACTGTTCCATAGGACCTTGGAGTATCACCTTTTCAGCAGAGATGTTATGCTTCCCGGATGTGACGCGATCGAGAAAGCGGACGGCTTCACGCGCGTTGATACCGGTCTGGGAGCCCGTCTTTTTCAAAACATGGAGACGCTCAAGGGCTAGATAGTGTCAGTTAGGAGTATCTGAAGCAAACGTGATGCTAATCGCCGAGTTGACGACACATACTGTACAGAGGGACGATGAGGACGATAGCATCCTGCGAAGTCCACTTTTTGATTTCTCCGAGGTTTGTGGTTAGACAGGTGTCATCCACAACACAGTGGAATACCTTTCGGCCAACCGACATGATGGCTAGTAGGGTAGAGTCGATATGAGACAGGGGTTCCAGAGGGATATGATGGTTACTCGGACTTGTGAAATGAGGACCATGCGGAGAAACGGCGCGGCTGCGGGATCGAGATTTGCTGGGTGATTTATCTCCGTGAAAGAGTCAAGCACATCTGTGCCAGTTATAAGAACGTTGCTAGACGATCTAAGCAGTGACAAAGGTGTGGTCAGCCATTAATGGTGTACGGTATGACTGGATATGTAGAGCAGCAGCGGTTCGACGGGGACTTTTCACCACTTACAGGAATAGTTGAAGGCAGGGCAGAGGGCTAATTCAAGCATTTTTAACCAGCTGGCAACTTATCTAGCACCGGACCAAGCTGCAGGTTTCTGTAAATGCGACAAAGGACTGCTTCAACCTTTGAAGATAGAACGAAGCCTGGGGGATCCAGAATGATTCAACAGGTTGAGGTCAGGGTTGCGAAGGATATGAGGGGACCACATGACTAAGCAGGTACTTCCCGTTTACTCACAGAAATATTCACGGTTACTGTTACAAAATACAACATCAAATTTATTCACACAAAGCAAGAGGGAGTACAAAATAGCTATTTTTATCGCTGTCAAAAGGTCCTTGTGCTACTCGATCCATTCACATACTTCCAAGGCATAGATTAAAGCCAATATGTCCGCCAAATAGCGAAGAAGACTGTACAGAGCAAGAGTTGCTGCTGGGAGAAACCAGAGGCATTTTTGATGACGTATATCTCCCAAATCATAGATGACTGCCTTATGCTTTTCGAATTAATCCGCTGGCTTCTGTTACTCGCGACGCCCATTCACTATGAATCGTTAGACCGAAGGGATACTACCAAGGATAGGTGATGGTAACTTACGTCCAGCTCCCGTCATACAACCGCCTATTCTCCTTGGGTACGTAGTTTGCCTGCTCCAGCGCCAGATCAATGACGGCAGCTGTGACTCCGGATCCACAGGTACTGATCACTGGTCGGTTTGGGTCAACCCCCTTTGACTCGAATACCTGCCGTAATTCCGCCGGTGGACGTAACGTTTTCGTTTCCGGGTCAAGAAGCTCTCCAAATGGCATGCTTTGCGAACCTGGCATATGCCCGGACGACAGGCCGGCTCTAGGTTCCTTATCCGTTCCCGCCCATCGACCGGCTGGCCGGGCATCCAAGATCTGAACCGCATCCGAGCCTTCCTTGCCGTAATCTTCTCCCATCTCCTCCATCTCCTCGAAATGGACGACCCAGTTCGGATTGTAACTATCAACTACATAGTCTGAGGTATCGTTAGGGGCCACTTCGCCTTCCTCGACCGGGTATCCCTCTCGAACCCACATCCTGAAATTGTTCAGGACGTGGACATTAGGGTGTCCAAAGAATTTCAGAGTCCATCCAACTCGGGGAGCACTGAGGAGGCCTTGTTCTTCACTGTCGTAGACCACCACTTCGTCGTCACGATGGATACCCATCGACTGCATAGCTTCGGCGAATATCTCTTTTGAAGGAAGCATATGAGGGTATGGGGAATTGACATCTTTCACACCATCAATGTCGAAGAAGCGTGCATTGGGAATTCTTTTCTTCCTGAAGGTATCAATTCCGGTGCGACCCTCTGGATCATTGGGCATGAACCAGGAAGCACAGAGCGGGATGACTCGGGGCGAGGTCGATATCTTCGTTGGCACATTTTGCTTCAGGGCATCGTTGAGCTCCTTTGGCGTAACTACATAGGATTGAAGCGATATAGAGCGGTGCTGGGCTGTGTTTGCTGCTACGGTAGACCTAGCAAGAAGAAAGGCACGCTGTGAGAAACGGACGGGCCGAAGAGCTGCAAGAGCCATCGTCGATGACTGGCTGGGGTCTTCTTAGTTGTTCTGTGCTCTTACATAACGGAGATGGTGAAGCGAAGTTCACTATTCGCGCTCCTCGAGTGAGAAGACGTCGCAGTTTAGGGCCGAGTGGGCGGTTGGAAGGACAAAAAGTTGGCAGGGCAACTATCAGTCACGGGATATCGCTCTTTAACGGCAACTCGAGTGTATCTTGTTTTCTTTTCACGATATTTACTTCTACGGACGAACGGCAAGGAGGGTCTACGAGGCGTCTTTGTACTTCTATGCAAGCTGGCATGAACAGCAGTCCGCATTGATGCAGGGGAGAAAACCGAACTAGATCCACCCCCCGCATAGCTGATCGCATCGTGTCCTTTTAGACGAGCCCCTGCTGCCAATCCCAAGGCGTTAACACAGTCAAGCGGCTCAAAAACAGCAGCTATGAAGGTGTCCATTAAGCAGTGGAATGCTGTGGCCACATGGCGGTGGGATATGCCTGAGGACGACGTCTGTGGCATATGTCGCGTTCAGTTTGACGGCACTTGTCCGACATGTAAATATCCGGGAGACGAATGCACCTTACGTGAGTCCAAGATGAGGGAGTCTAGAGCAGTCGACCCCGGCAGAAGCTAACATACAATAGTGATTGGGAAATGCGGACATTCATTCCACATGGTGAGGCTTGATCTGCCCTCGTTTATCGGGTACCGAGATTTTAACTGATATATAGCATTGCCTCCTGACATGGATCCAGCAAGATTCATCCAAGGGCCTATGCCCAATGTGCCGACAGAGTAAGTTTGCCTGTGTACCGGCTATTTCAAACATGCATATTAATCTGGCTGCTCTAGAATTCGAATGGAAACAAAATGAATAACTCATTACTACTGGGAGTTTGGCGTAGATGAAGCTTAAGGGCTGGGAGCTCACGGACTAAAATATTGATGGGATACCCTTTTTTAGTTCTCTATTATGGAATAGATAGACTTCATTAATAAATTTCTAACTATTATCTCAATCTTGATCTTTTAAACCGTTCATATATTTTAAGTAACAGCATAGTCCTTATTAAAGATTAATAAATATCGTAGTAGTAAAAAGGAAGATATAGGTGATTGATGCTAACCAGGTTATAATACTACAAGGCTCCCTCTAGACAGCTGGAAGCTATCCAATAATGCCGTTCTTCTTCTCTGCAACTTACAGATATTAGTTCCCTGAGCAATTGCAAAGTACAGAGATTGTCTGATACCATTGCTTGGAAGTCTACTAGCACCGGCGACTGCTGGTATGATAATTTCCTCCTCCAAAATCCAGTCAGACGCAGCAATCCCTTGTAGATCCAGCAGCTGTATCTCAACAGTGAATTGATGCCGCCAGACTATTCCACCAGCCATCGATATTGGGGAGTTTTGCCGAATCCCATCTAGATTGGAAGGATGGCCAAAGCAACCATATGCGTATCAAATATTGTCATAGCATTGCTTCCGGTGTCATTGAGCACTGTGATATCAATCGAAGTACTACTCGTTCGTATAGCCGATGGTTCCCATTGGACAATAGACCATTTTTTTCCCTTGTGGTCCATCATACAGACAACTTTGTCGTCCTGAATCCATCTAACACGTCCTGGGAGCTCTTTTGTATGATATAAGTTAATAGCAGCCTGGAGGTTTACTTTCTGTGGTTCACTAGTGGCAGGGCCATCAATCATGGCCTGCAACACTGCGATACGACCTGGCCTATTCTACCGGACGGGGATGGAGTTGCAGGTAGTGGGTTAAAAGTGTACGACGACATCACTTTTAGGAGGGAGACGATATATTGATGGAGACAATATGGAAGTGATGAGAAGAAGATGAGATGAGGATGAGGGGAAGACCAAAGTATGCGGGGGAACTATCTACATCACGTGATACACCCGGTTGATCGGCCGCCGACGGTGAGCTTGATTAGCTAATATTTTGACAACATCGCAGTGTTCCATCTTCCACTTCCCTTCAACGTAGACACGCGAAAGCAGGAATCACTTGTGATGTAGTTCGTGGAGTGTAGAAATGTCTCTTTCGAAGGATACTACCTCACCAGCTGCATTATCACCCAGGGTGGCTGGTTTATCACTCTCTCCTACACACTATGATACCACCAGCCAGTCCGCGCTCCATCCTCTCAACACCGGCCATGAGATACCAGAGGATCAAGATAGGAATGAGAGCGGAGATGGAGATGGCGCTCAAACAAAGGAGGAACTAGAAGATGTCTCTGTTCCCGCCCGGCCTCCGTTTAGGCCGTTTTTTACTGTTATCGGGGATGCAACCTCGTCTGAGTATTACCATCCAACAGTTCACTATATATTCTCCGATGATGATACCGGTATCATAACGGAAGCTGCTCTCCAGTCACTAGAGGAAACCAATCAAAGAACTTCCTGGGACACGGAGTCGACGCCCCAAAAAGACAAGAAGAAAGGGAAAGCCGCTCAAGGGACCAAGAACGCTGCTGAGCGCTTCATTATCCTCGACGTGGAACCAACGAATAATGCCAGTGATACCACTGCCGGGACTGGTACTTTAAGTAGCGATCCTCAGAATACATCTGGCCGCCCTAATCTCTCTCATGGCTTTCCGGATTCCAAGGTAACATCAGCCCACAGCCTATCACCTTCCTGGCAAGTCATTAATACGACTATCTCCCCCGCTCCCAATTTCGATTCGTCTTCCAATAGCCCTACTTCGACAAATCGCGATGGCAACCCCGTACTCATGGTCGAAGGTACCTCTGGTTTTGCTCCTGATAATACGGCCGGGAGACAGCAGACTCAACAAGGCCAGACGCAAACATTGGAAGAAATGATGGACCAATTTTCTAAGCGCATGGCGGAACTGAAGAAGGTCGTTGAAGCAAGTGGTGACCACTCATTTGTGCCGATGGCAGAACACATGGAACGGAGGGAAGATGGACAAGAGGAGAAAGAACAGGATCAAAGCTAACAGTGGGCTATTTGACGGAGAAGATTAATTATGTATCATTTAACCCGCTGGGTACCCCTTGTTTCGATTTACTATTATTTTAATTGTTGTCAGGCTGTTAGGATAGCTGGGCTGTTCACTTATATGTATGATTGCATCGGGTATACAATAATCTAGGTTAAAGGCGTCTGTCTGGCTTTCGGCAAAAATGCCATCCCTTACTTATGATCTATCATCCTGTGCTAGGTATGTGATGTGGTTTACGGACTGACTATTCTCAAACCTACTAGCTATAGCTAGCAATCGCAATGTAGACAACAACCCAACCACTTGAATAGGGTTCAATAAATTTACAGTTTAAGTTGAAGGTAGCTGCTATACATAAAAAGCCATCCGTCCAACTCCTAACAAAACCTTATGCTATGTAATCTGTATCCAATCACCTTGAAACAAATGAGAAATCGCTTTCTAGTATTAAAGCATAAACTTAAGTAGGTCCGGGACCGCTTCTCACTCTCCTTGCATTTATCCTTGAACCCGCGCTTAGGGCGGAGATAGGGATATTTTCCCTTCCACCTCCAACAGTTCCTGCTGTTCCCTTGACATTTCTTCGTGTCATCCGCTTCGTCGGGATCTTCGTCTCACCAGTTAAATTTGATGCAGCCGCAACGGACGAGGAAAGGTGTCGTTTAAGAGGTGGTGGATCTGAATCTTTACAGCTCTCATTGTTGTTCACTGCTTCAGCGATAACTGGCTCCGGGTTCGGGTTATTCATCACATTGATATCAACTTCCCTGAGCTTTGTCGGGGATAGGTCCAACTCCTCGGGGGAGTCAACAGGCGTGGCTTTTACATCTTCAGCATCGTTATCAGAATCGTGGTATACCATTGACTTGGCTGGTGATGCGGGACGCTCATGCTGGAAAGACGGAGACTCTAATGGCGTACGTGATGGTGAGGGCGAAGCCATCGGGTCGCCCGGTGATCCTAATCTCGCAAGTATAACAGAGTGTGGTTCTGTTCGTGGGAGCGTTGCGTCGTATTTGTACGTTGTCTTCTCGGGGGTATTCCCCGTTGGGATGTACTCCGCCATCGATGTTTCCTTGACCTGAGACTGAAGCTCTGATAATGGACGTTTCACGTCAGACGAGGCACTCTTCACCAGAGTCCCGAGGGACTTGTTCTCAGATTGCATATTTGTATAGAATGCGGTTTCACGCTCCTCGATTTCATCCAAGTTCTGAAGCTGTTGTTGATAGCCTTCTCGAACCTTTTGCCCAAATTTGTCGACAATACCATTGCTTGCCCCACAATGCTGGTTATTCTGAGAGCGTGCTCTTCTGACGAAATCATCTAGAGCTTCCATCTGAACAGCCATGTCCTTCTTTTGCTCGTCAACGATTTGGACAGTCTGCTCATGAACTGTGTTTGTGGTTTTGTGTATAGATGTATTTCGCGAAATGAAAAGCTAAGACAGAGTTAGCAGAGGCGTCAGAGGTGGTTAGCAGCACAAAACTTACATCCAAATGATCCTTCATCTTGGATTTCAACTCCGACTCTGATTTAAGCACCTTTTCAAGTAGCTCGTCCTCCTTTTTATCCCAGTTATCTAACGTTTCACAGTATTTGTTATGTGACTGTTGAAGCGATGTTCCTGACATCTGCATCTCGGTCTTGATACTATCGATGTTATTTTTAAGGCGGGTGGCTTGTCGATCGCTTGACTCATTTAAGAGGTTCTGTATTTGAGAAGCTAGGATAGAACGCTCTGCATCTGCCGCTCGTCTTTCTTCCTTCAGAGTTGATTCCAAACGTAAGGCAGCCTTCTCATTAGCCGCTATAGCATTCTCGTTAGCCTCTTGTAGCTGTGTACGAAGACTATCAACCTCTTCCTTTTGAGAGCGAAGATGGTCTGCAATCAATTTGAACAAATCGGTAAAGTCGCCGCTTAGCAGGTTGTACATAGAGTGTAACTGATGAAGTTAGTCAATCATTCTGTGCCATGCGTTATTTGCTAGACATACCTCTGAGTCAAATTGCTGGAGCTCTTTTATCACTTCCCCGGATATCCGAGCGGCAGCAGAGGATAACCCGTTCAGGCCTTCGCCAACTTTCTCCTGGACATCTTCCCTTAGCACCTTGATTTCCTCCAGCACCTCATTCATGGTATCACGATTCTTGTAATTCTGGGCTTTGGAGTCCTCTTCAAATGCAGAAAGAGAAGTTTCCGATTCGTTGAAAAGGGATCGACTTTGTTTGAGGGCCTCTAGCTCGCTGCCCACAAACTCTTCCACGCGGGTGGTAAGACCTTTTATAAGTGCCGAATGTTGGGAGTGAAGAAGCGTCATCCTGTCATCGACAGACTTAGCAACATCTAGAACTCTGCCCGTACAATCTTCCCAGGTATTCTTGTTCTGTCTATGAAGAACCGATCGCCTTCTGAGCTTCGAATGTAGCCCAGATACATCTGTGACAGATTGATCAATAACTGATAGAAGATTCGAGCCAGCTTCATGTAGCTTCTGTTCAGTAGCTTCATGCGCGCGACGAAGGGCAGTTTCTTCTTCCAGACTTTTCCGTGCCTTGCTTAGAATTAGTTCAGTCTGTTCCAAAAGATCCTGCGTTTGGTCTAACGTAGACTGCGTAGATTCGTTGGTCTTTTTCATGTCATTAAAGTTGCTCGTTAAGGCAAGGTACTCTTGTACTTTCGTCTTCAAGTTGATCTCCATAGTCTCAATCTTCGCGCGTTGTTCTTCGCTTAGGATGCGACGGGACTCGCTTTCCACGGTCATTTCCTCATAGTTATCACTAGAAAGATAAACACCATTTCTTTGCCTTGTGGCAATCAGGTCACTGCGTAGTTTCTCAATCTCGGTGGTGAATTCTCGTAAAAGCGCCTTTTTAGATATGGAAGAATTGATTTGAGGTTTATTACGGATATTCTTTGCCCGGAAAGCGTAATCTAGCGTGGACATGGTTTCTTCGAGGTTGCAGCGAGCTGAGGATATAGTTGCAATGATGCATGTTTTCGTACGGCCGCCCAGAGAATCCTGAAGAAGTCTTGTAAGTTTCGATTCCCTATAATCTGTTAGTAAATATCCACATCACGCTGCCCGATTGTTAAATTGACCTACCGGTAAGGTATGTGAGGGCTTTTGTCAACGAGGGCATTGATAACCCGCCCTAACGTAAGTAGACTCTTGTTTATAGATCCAGCCTCCGTGGCCCTCTTGTTTTCCGCGCCACTGCGTCGAATGTCCTCACTTCCCGCAAGATCAACCAGATTTAGCTTTCCGCTGCATATATACTCTTCGCCCTTGTCTGTAACCCGTTTGAGAAACGTTGTGATTGTGAATATACTATGACTTCGTGAACTCAGATCATTGCACTTTGTTGAGGCGACCTGTCGGCGATAACTCCCTTCCTGGAGCAGTTTAATTCCGGCTGATGCAGAGTTGATATATGTTTCACCCACGCCCTGAACCATGGTTCCATTGTGGCCCTTCTTCATGCCATCTTCGTATATTTTTAACTTGACATTATCTTCAGACGAAAGAAGGTCCCTGAGATCCTCGTTATAGAGTTCGATGAAGGAGCATTTAACCGAGCTGTCGACATCTTCGATTTTTTGAAATAGCGCATGAAGAACACGTGGAATTATACCAGCACTGTCCGACAGCAGGCCAAGGGTCTCCGTCATATCGCCCGACATGGTATATGTTTTCCCAGTCCCTGTTTGTCCGTATGCGAAAATGGTACAGTTATACCCGGAGAGCATCTAGATATATAGATTAGTATTTTCCGGGGCCAAGATAGATTTAACAATAAATAATAAGCGCACCTCGTTCAATACCGGAGCCACAACATCCTCGAATACTATGGCCTGATCCGCAGCCGGCGAGAAGACCTTATCGAACTGGTACTCCCTATTTCCCAGCGCATTCGGTCCCATGGACACTTCCACGGTCGTTCCCTTTACCCCTTCGGTAGAGATAACCACGCCGCTGTTCTCTTTGACTTCGCGATCACTCCTCCCCCGACACCGTACGATGACCCGGATGTTTGTGTCGCCCGATACATTGTGCTCAAAATCGCGCTCCTTTCTTTTATTGCTAGCATGTTCGGTAGGTGAATTCTGCAATCGCGTCGCACTGGGCGTCTGTGTTCGTGAAGATACCTTTGGAGTTTCTGCTCGTTCGTGGGCCACGGAGGCTCGTGGCCTTGCTGTAGCGCGCAATGCTGGTTTCCTCAATTCCCGCGTGGGTGCTGTCCTCGTACCGCCGGCCATCTCCAAAATAGTTTATACCAAGCTAGACGGGGCACATAGAACTTCATATATGAAGCCGGGGCTGCCCAAGTCGAAAAAAAGAGTACCAAATAAACCCTGCAAATTAATGATGCTCACTCTCCGATGCCGTTTGATCCAAAAGGGGAAAACGTAAACAAACCCCAAAACAGTCAAGTGGCCCAAGCTTCCCCAACATTACGTAATATATTACACATGACCAAGGTCACATGTTTTGGTCCAGTTGATGACCTCATCGGGACAATGAACGGCGGTCATCCGTTGGATCTCAGCTTCCATCACGGATGCATCTCTGAAGACATCAACGCTCCTCCGTCACCTCAGATGGGATATTCTTGACTTGTATGCTCTACGTTTTATGGATGGGCCCCTTCTATCTATTATGCTGAGACTCTAAGCGACCCTTCATCATCATGGCTACCGCTAGAGATAGCCCCGCGTCAGTCTTCCCCGGTCGAGCTCTGGGATTCCTAAGTGCGCATAGCCTACCCTCCACGATCTAGCTATTTGGGCTCTAGCTGACGTTCTTACAGCACTTGGGGCGTCTCTGCACCATGTCCTCACCCGGCTCAAGTCTCTCCCCGAGATGTACACAGCCCTGGAGCTGATCTATGACTCCTCCCAGCCACTACATCAACCGGTCATAATACGCCTTCCAGAGAATGGTCTACGGCTACGATTTGATGGACCTGACCAAAGACTACGTTTGATTGAAGTCTTAGATTTTAGCAAAAATGCACTTGTCTACAAGACTCAAGAAATAGCAAAAGCATCAAAGTCACCCTCCGACCCGCCTGCCTCTGGCCCTGGCTTTCGTCACATATATAACAGATTATTTGGGCCGACGTATCCTGGCGAATATATCCCTCCAGCAGCCGGGGAAACCCATGGCATTTATGTGTTATCCTACCCGGGCGTCGCATTCTCCTTCACACTACTGCACAGCGCATGGTCAGAAAAGCGAGATTTTGTATCGCTCATGTCCTCTTCGGCTGCTTCCTTTGCAGTTTCGATGGCGATATTTCAAGGATCCTCCTGGTCCGATGCCCAGAGCCAGTTGTACACACGTCAACCGCAGTATCCGCGATCAAGTGCTCTGATGGGGAAGAACAAGGAATCGGTTGCCGACGAAGTCGAACTTGTTAAGGTCCATGAGGGCGGGCATATTGAACTTATGCGACGATCAAGCAACCCTTTTTCTATTATCCTTGGTGAAACAACTCCTCAGGATCTTATTACCGAACTTGGGCCTCCAGATGCAATCTATCGAAAGAGTGACAGTCGAATTCTAATCCACGGTGAAGGGGAGAAGAACCCGCACGGGGCGTCAAATGGGGGCGGTAACCTACCCACCCCGCCAACTGACCCATCGGACCCAGATCCGCACTTTGAAAGTGCCTTGACGGATGAGTCCGAAGAAGATTCGGCGCCAACAGCACACCAAGAATCGGGCCCGTTGTCTAGCGATTGCTTTTATAATTACTTCAGCCATGGTTTCGATATCCTAGTAGCCCCGTCTTCTTCATCAGACCGCCGCTCACCGGGTTCCCCCACGAGGGAGCCATCTGCTACTGGAGGCACATCAGAACTTACTGCCACAAAGATATTACTACATGGCAATGTACCAGGTTCATATCCCTTCAACCGGCACAGGCGCTGCCGCTGGGTGTTAGAAGTTGGTTCTAGTCAGGCATCTATCACGTCAGAAACAGCATACGAAGAAATATCTCCGAAATTAAAGGAACGATGGCGAGGCAGCTACTCTAGCCCTACGGAAGAGGCATCATTCCAAAGAGGGATGGTATTAAATCGTGGTTGGGGCGAGACCCCCGGAAGCAGCATCGAGCTTCTAGGCAGCTGGGAAGAGAACTCCACCGCTAGGAATAAGCCAAGTGCCGGTTCTGGAATGACCAACTCTTTGGGCAATACCGAACTATACGGCTTTCCGGGCTTGCTTTTCGAGGTCCTCAAGAATGGCTCTGTCAATTGTTTGACTGTGTATTAATATCTCTTTTGCGATTATGTCCATATGGCGCAACCCTGGATAAGGACAGAACTGGTGTTTGTATATCCCATTTGGTAAGGCGTTATAGAAAGATCTATCTATTTTGATAAATTAAAGTCGTTAGGAATTCATCAACATTTAATATCAAACTATTCACAATAAAACTTGCCCATACAATCGTAAAATATATATATTACATTATATTACGGTAATATTGATTAAACTGTGCTCTCATTGGCTGAATATTGAAAACCGCGGTATTAGCAAGCATCCGTAAACCTCTCTTCAATTTTCTATCCAAACCAAGCAGCAAGCACTCCAGCAGCGAGAAGAGATGCAACAAGAGGAGCATGCCGGAGCTGTCGCGAACCCTCGCTCGATCTTGGTCATCGACACTAAAGCTTCCAAAATCAACATTCCCTCCTCGGATAGCATTAGCTGACCAGGCGAAATACCTCAAACGATGCAGCGATGACCTCTACAGCTGGCAACAGCGCAACCGACCTGCGACGGATACCTTCACCCTTCACGACGGCCCTCCATATGCTAACGGCGAGCTACATATTGGACATGCCCTGAATAAGATCTTGAAAGATATAATATGTCGCGTTCAATTGGCTAAAGGGAAGCGAGTGCACTATGTGCCTGGTTGGGACTGCCATGGTTTACCGATCGAGCTAAAGGCGCTACAGGGACGAAAGGAATTGGGGGACCTGAGGTCAGCTGGGAGGCATGGAGCAGCACAGATTCGATCCGCAGCGCGACAACTCGCAGAAAAAACCGTTTCCCGGCAAATGGAAGGATTCCGTGAATGGGGAGTCATGGGAGATTGGGACAATGCCTACACCACAATGAACAAAGATTTTGAGCGCAGACAATTGGGTGTATTTTTGGAAATGGTTGAAAAGGGCCTCATTTACCGGAGATTTAAGCCTGTGTACTGGTCTCCGTCGTCTGGGACCGCTCTGGCTGAAGCAGAGCTGGAGTACAAGGAAGATCACATCTCAACCGCGGCTTTAGTCAAGTTCAAACTAGCAGACTTACCTCCTCAGATCCGAGAGAATCCTATCCTTGCCGATAGCGATGTTTCTGCGGTAATTTGGACAACGACTCCGTGGACACTGCCTGCGAACGCTGCATTAGCCGTTAGCCCTACCTTTGAATACACTATCGTGGATTCTACACAATATGGCAAGCTACTGGTAGCACAGTCTAGGCTGCAATACCTCCAAGAACTACTTGACGACAATTTCAACGTTGTTGTTCCTAGTATCTTAGGCTCTGAATTGCTGAATTCCTCTTATACTCCCCACTTCAAAGAGCCTGGATCAAAAAACCAACCGATAATTGCTGCAGACTTTGTAACGGACGATGCAGGTTCCGGAATTGTTCACTGCGCGCCAGGCCACGGAATGGAGGATTACGAGGTTTGCCTTGCGCTTCAAATTCCAGCGTACGCTCCCGTCGACGGCGAAGGCCGTTTCACCCGAGCTGCTATGCCAGCGCAACCTGACCTATTATCTGGGAAAGCAGTTTTAGGAGATGGTAATGAAGCAGTTCTCCAGTATATATCAGAAAAAGGGCTATTGCTGCACAAACACACCTATAAACACAAGTACCCCTACGACTGGCGCTCCAAACTTCCCGTCATTATTCGCGCAACGGAACAATGGTTCGCTGATGTCGGTGATATCCAAGGAGAAGCTATCCAGGCCTTGCAATCCGTTCAGTTCATCCCTCCAACTGGAAAATCAAGACTAGAAACTTTTGTCAAGAACCGGAGTGAATGGTGTATTTCTCGCCAACGGGCATGGGGTGTTCCAATACCGGCACTATATCACCGCACCACTGGGGAAGCCGTCCTGACAAAGGAAAGCGTGTCTCACATCATGAAAATGATTGAAGAGCGAGGAATCGACGCCTGGTGGACTGATGATGAATTTGACCAAGCCTGGTTCCCACCTTCGCTTCGTGACGCGAACGAGCCACTATATAAGCGGGGGACCGACACTATGGATGTCTGGTTTGATAGCGGCACTAGCTGGGCCCAACTTAAAGATAGTACTTCTCCTGATAAGCCTCCCGCCGACGTATACCTTGAAGGAAGCGATCAGCACCGTGGCTGGTTCCAATCCAGCCTCTTGACATATATCTCTCATCAACTCGCTCAGGGCCGCAGTTCAGGATTCAAAACCCCCTTCAAAACGTTGATCACACATGGATTTACCCTCGACCAGCATGGTCGTAAGATGAGCAAGTCCATTGGAAATACCATACAACCGGATGAAATCATGGGCGGTACGCTGCTCCCACCACTTAAACCTAGAAAGGGCAAAGGCAAGGGACCGAAGCCAAATCCCGAAGTTCCTATATACGACGCGCTTGGCCCGGATGCTCTTCGATTATGGGCCGCTGGAAGTGATTACACAAAGGATGTGGTTATTGGGCAACAGGTTCTAAAGGCAGTTAACATCAGTCTTCATAAATTCCGAGTGACTTTTAAACTTCTTCTTGGTGCGCTTCAAGACTTTGATCCAAAGAATCAAGTTCCATACGAGTCACTACACGCAGTTGACAAGATTGCCCTACTACAACTGCATAACCTCATCAACACCAGTCAAGAAGCAGTCGACAAGATGGAGTTTTTCAAAGCAGTGACCGCGATGAACAAATGGGCCAATCTAGAATTTTCTGCATTCTATATTGAAGCAATCAAAGATCGATTATATGCGGATTCAGAGACTGGGATAAGTAGGCGAGCTGCACAGACTACCCTGTTCCATATATATACACACATTCAAACCCTGCTTGGACCAATAGTTCCTCTGCTGGTTGAGGAGACTTGGGAGCATACCCCTGGGAGTATCAAGGAAGTAGTGGAACACCCATTTCAACGGACTTTCTGCCCACCCAATAGCGAATGGCGAAACGATACCTTGGAACACCAGTACTCTGCAATGATGGCAGCTAACTCTGCAATCAAAGCTATGCAAGAAACCGCTCGGTCCAAGAAGGAAATGGGGTCCTCATTACAATCCTTTGTGCGTCTAATGCTTCCTAAAAACTTTACCGTGTCCAAACAGCTGCAGTTAGAGCTCCCAGACCTCTTCGTTGTATCAGCTGTCACCTTGGGGGTTGAAGGTGATGCTATACCAAATGATGTCATGCAGGCCGAATGGAGCTACAACTCCGAATTCAAGCTACCGGATGGCCAGACTGGACAGGCATGGGTTTACGCGCCAAGTCAAGCCAAGTGCCCTCGGTGCTGGCGTTATGCAGTCGATTCGACAATTGAGTCGGACAAGGAAGAGCTCTGCCACCGCTGTGAGGATGTCGTGCGCGACCTGGATCAACGCAGCGATGCGGGCCAAGCTTCTGCCACGGCAGCTATATGAACCTGCCTCTTCCCCTGCTCCTTTGAGCGTGTAACATAGCTGTACGATAATCAATTCGCTTCTTTAGATAGTATGACGGTGCAAATAGATGATTAGGTAATCCCTGCCATGTATACGTACGTCAACGAGGCCTTCCAACAACCGCAAGCGTCTAACAACCCCTGTGTCAATCTACATGTTGGCCAATGCTACCTAGAAGACCTGGCAAGAATCCCTTCAGCCCTTCTCCAGCAGTGTAACTTTCTCTGCGGTGGTCCTCAGACCCGATTGGTCTCTTGTGTGGCAAGTTGGAATTGATGACGATGAAGTCATTCCAGGTTTCTCGAACGAACTTTCATTTACCTTCAAGAGGCGAGACATTGATTTCACGGTGCGGGGGGGTCCTTTAAAGAAGCAAATGCCCTGCTCGTGTTTACCAGATAGCTGTCCTACTGCATTTTCATCTACTTAATATCCCATCTCTCTGAGGTCTGTACCTCTAGTTCTTGGTGCCGTAGCACTTCTTTCGACGAGCTGTTCAGCTCTCAAAATTTAACTGTTATACCAGGCAGATATGATGCATACCATGGGAGATATTGGGGTTCCTCCCATTAACCCTATCCCGGGCCCTCCTAACCCGATCATGGAAGAGGCATCAGGGGTCGGCCGGCGGTGTCTATGGTAAGCTTCAGTGTCAACCTAAGGAATAATGAAACCACGTTTCCCTAACTTTGTCTTCTAGGGTCGTTGCGGTTTTGATGCTACTTTCATCCCTTGTCTTCTATGTTCTTGCTGGAAGAGTTCCCGAAGTAAGTCTACGTTCATGAATTGTTGAAGGCGTACTTGTTCTAATATAGCTTCCTAGCAAAAACGGTTTTTTCACGTTCTGGTATCCCTCGTAACCACAATCTCCTTCCTCTCGTACCTTGCTATGGCTATGGGATACGGAGTGTCCTACAACCATTACGTCTACCACAAACACCACAAAAAGGCCCCTGATACGTATCTTGATACTTGCCGCGAAGTTTACTGGATTCGATATGTCAACTGGATGTTGACAGTTCCTTTGATTCTTACCTGCCTCACCTTCCTATCCGGCCTCAACGGAGCCAGCCTACTTGTGTCGATCTCCGCGGCTCTTATCATGTTTATCTCCGCTCTCAGCAGCGCATTCATGAATCAACACCAACAGTGGGCATGGTACACAATTGCTTGTCTAGCATACTTGACTATTGCGTACCAAATTGGCTACCACGGCCGAAGAGTCTCTCAAGCAAAGGACCAGCAGGCACGCACCTTCTATTCTTCCATTGCAATCTTCTCTCTAGTGATCATGCTTGTCTATCCTATGTAAGTCAAGGAAGTCCTGGTTCTAGCCGCCCCGGCTCCCGATAACTAACAATACATGCAGAATCTGGGCGATCTCCAACAACGCTCGGAAGATGAGCATCAACGCAGAGATTATTTCTTATGCGGTTCTGGACATATTGCTCCAAGGCGCCTTTGGCTACTGGCTCATAGTCTCCCATGACAAGATCAGATCCATGTAAGGGAAATACAGAGTGCTAGCGGTGAGGAAACAAAACGCTAACTTAACCACTTAACCAGTTCGACCTCGCTAGATGGCTTCTGGGCCAACGGAACCAGCGGCGAGGGAAACATCCGGGTAGGAGAAAACGAGCAAGTATGATATCAAACTGAAAAAATACCAACGGCGTGGAGGGTGCAACCTTCTAAGCTTTTGCCAAATTTTGATTTCATCAAAGCCTGGGAGCTGCCAACTACTGGTAACCAGCAACAAATTTGCTAATCTATAATATACGATGATGCTACCGTAAATTTACCAAAGCAAAAGTTTATCGATAGCCCATACCAATTTGAGATTTCGGGGTGTTTTATCTATTTTACTTGTATTGCTTGTCTTATCAGCTAAAATTGTCCCTATACGATATTTGCTATTTGGCTCTTGAAAGTTCGGAGATGTACACTACTTGACGCAGCAATGCAATTTTGGGTTTTGCACATTATCATCATTAAACAATCGCAAGTCCATTAAGTACAAATCAGGTCACTCAGACCCCTCCCATTAGTTATTAGCATTCCCTAAGCCAGACATAAACTGGCAACGGGTATCTTTCCTTGTACAGTAAAAAAAGAAAAGAAATTCGTGATATTCATAAGCGTAACGACGTCATCGCGCCCTGCTATCACCACGTGATCACTCTATTCAAACCTCGCCAACTTCACCAAGTTGACTACTTCCGCTTCGTGGGCGTGCCAGTTGGCTTCCCATCAGGCGTGAAGACGCCTCCCGCCAGCTTGCCGGTTCTTGCACAGCTTCGGGCCCTGAATGCAGTGCGACGGTGCAGGCCGTCGCCATTGTCCGGAAAGCAATCTGGTGCTTTCTCGATGGCTGCATCCTCTCTGCCGATGCTGGCTTTACGCCATTGGCAGACCTTTTCGTTGACGAGCTTGTGCTCGTCTGCCTTGTCGGCCGGCTTCTTTCCCTTCTTTGGGATGTCCACGAGTTTGCCCTTGTCAAGGGCCGCCGGCTCCTTTCCCTTTCTCTTTGGGATATTAATGAGTTTAACCTCTCCAGGTTTGACATGCCTCACCCGCATGGCGTACTCTGCCACGTTATTTGGCCAGGATACGACAACTCGCTCGCTCATGGATCGTGGGAGAGCAAAGCCTGCATCGACACAGTCGTTCTTGAAGTTGATCACTCGGAGACGGTGTGGGTTAAACCACTGGAAGAACGGATCGGCATCAACCACGAAGCCATTGAGGCTTATCTGGACGACTGGCAGTCGGTCGGGGACGCATCCCATCTCGGAAGCTCTGGCTCTTGCTTCGGCGATTGCTTCTTTGTCTAAATATTCTCCGACTCCAGCACGTCGGTGTAATTCGCCCTCTCCAGACTCTCCACTATAAAACATATACATGTTAGCCTGATGTGATTTCTCGTTGTATACGTAAAAGAGGACGTGTTTATTTGTTGTAGGCTTGGTGTCTACAACAAGTCACACACAAACATTTGACATTTGGAGGCACTTACTAGTATGATCCCGGAGCCTCATCCACAGTGCGGTATGACCAATCTCCCTTGATAGATGGCCAGTCTGCATTGAAAGTGCGTCGAATACAGGGCTCGAGTGCCATCTCTAAATCGAGTTCCTCGAGGCCGGGATTCAGCCACACAGTCTGCCAGATATATTTCTGATATGACTGGGACATTCCCGTCAACTTGAGCCTTCGAAGGTTTCTGAAGTTGCAAAGTGACGAAAGTTCTTCGAGGGGCATGATATCCGGGCGAAATGGATTCTCAAACGGGTTCTGTCTCTTGGTTGGCCAAAACAGGTCCAACGCGAGAACTTCACAGTTCAAGTTGAGGGACTGCCATGCAGAACCTCCACGGAAGGAAATGATGGGCTTATCGAAGCCATCTGCGGAGTCATCGTCGTCGAATGGCTCTTCACATGGATCAACTTCGTGGGCCGGCATATTGATTTTCTTGCTTCCAAACGCGGAACGTAGAAGCGCGACGTTGCTACCGAAGGATGATCTGGATACTGATCTGTCGGTACCTCCTTTTTTCGTGTTGTTCGACGCGCCGATGTTGAAGATACGGCCGACTGATGCCAGAGATTCTGATCTGCTGAGGCTAAAGGGAAGGCAGCTGATATCACCTACGCTGGATCTCCTTTTTCGAGGAGGGAAGCGCGCTTTTGGTTTCTCTGAAGGATACGCCGATGCAGCTGACGCGACTTTTCGATGTGGTGGAATGACAGCTCTTCTTGTAACTGTTTGGCAAGCTTGTCAATCTATCGAGATCTGAAAAAGACTCCCAGTGCAGGTAGATGGGGAAAGATTCTTCTTGCAGCAAGAGCATGGAAGGAATATTCACTGACTCACCTGGTCTCACTGGTTTGTGATCTTTTTCATCGCCGTCCTCCTCCTTGTTGATATGACAACGAGGTGCTCGGCAACACACCATGGTTGCTACTTTAGTTTCACGATATAGGCCCGGACTTCTATAGTAGCTGATATGGTATGTGAAGGGTAGTTCAGGTTCTCAGAAGGCCTGTATTAACTCTGCTTCCAGGTACAAGGAGAGAGGGGTATTGGGATAAGGATCCTATCAAACAGTAAGAGGTTTGTGGGCTCCTTTTTCTTGTTGTGCTTTTTTATATGAAGAAATTTGTTCTGTGTGGTGTTAGGGCCGCTAAAAGTGTTACTGTTATTGTTGTCCTGATGTGCCCAGCTACTCCTAGACAGGAGGGGATATGTACTTGTATGACAGTCTACCATCTTGGGTCAAACAGGGGAACTATGAAGGAATGGATAATAAACCACAACTTTTCAGGATGACTGTAGTTTGGCTTGGGGAGGGTCTCCTATTTATTCTCTACCCCCTAACTACTTTGCTGCCACATATACATTTTTTTCCTAGGTGTTGTTGATAGCCAACATAAAATATATCCCTTTATTCTCTGGATATCATGCAAGGGGCTTTCTGCGACCCCTGAACCACCAAAATATGAAACCTAGTAAGATCTAACATCTATGCAAATAGGTTTCAGATTTGGTAGCATACGCCGGGTTGCAGTTGTTGCTACTGTCTGTTGGGTTTCCTTTGTCAGGGATGCATGGCCACGAGCATGACTGTACGGAGTACATATATGGCCAGGACATCGTGATACGAGCTTGATTCCATAGGTTTGACTATTAATGCACGGCCTTCTAATTATGCTTTTTGCTTAGAGTGTAAATACTATGGAGTTTGGCTACTGGCAACACATCTTGTTCGTATGTATGGCGCTAGATGTTGCGGAGATATCTTACAGGGCCCCAAGTTGAAGAGCGGGCAAAATATATGACCCATAGACCTCATTCAAGGACAGTCGAAGCACAAGGTATTAATTAAGCCATGTCAAATGGAAATCATTATCTCATTTGGCTCCTGACAAGCTCGCAAGGAATTTTATCCGCTAACTAAAATAGAAAAGGGAAAAGTAAAGAAAATCCTATTTTCCACTTTTTAGTATTTCTTTCCTTCCCGTAGAACATCACCGAATTCCTCGAGAGGGCTTCGGATGAGCTTGGTCTCCTTCCATAGGTTGGGGGTCAGGTAACCGTATGAGTTACCGACAGCGACGAAGGTGGCCTTGAGGGTGTTCTCAAGGGTCTTGGTGGAGCCGGAAGAGGTTGTGTAAATATCACCGACACCAGCCAATTGGAGGAATCGCTTAACGGATGGAGAGGCAACGAGACCGGTACCACGGGGAGCAGGGATCAACTAGATTATATAGTTAGGACGACGTTCATTTATTCATTCAAAAAACCCAAAGGAGAACCACATACCCTAACAGAGACGGAACCGCACTTTCCGCTGGTCTTGGTTGGGAGAGAGTGAGGTTCACCGAGGTTGGAACCCCAGTAACCTCTACGGACAGGGAGAACGCTGAGCTTGGCGATTATGATGGCGGCACGAATAGCAGTAGCGACTTCCTTGGAGGTCTTGATTCCGAGACCGACGTGGCCCTCGGAGTCTCCAATGACAACAATGGCCTTGAAACGGGTTCGTTGACCGGCACGGGTCTGCTTCTGGACAGGCTTGATCTATATCCACGGAAAATCCCCAATTAGCATCAATCGTCAAATAACCCTTATAAAACGATCATAATCCCAGGCGCATTATGCCCAACAGCCGTCCTCCATCGACGTATCCCGTATCCACAAGTCTCTGGTAGAAGAATTGTATATTCCGTACCTTCATGACCTCATCCTTGAGCTTTGGCAAAAAGAAATCGACGATCTGGTATTCCTTGATGGGCAAACTGTGGAGGTAGATCTGCTCGATGCTGGTGATCTTTCCGGCCTTGACGAGACGGCCGAGCTTGGTGACGGGCTGCCATTCCTTCTCTTCGTTCTTGGGACCACGACGTCCGCGACGGCCACCACGGCCACGACCACGGTCTCCTCCGCGCGAGCCAAAGCCACCGCGTCCACGGTCTCCTCGTGTAGCGTCAGCCATGTTTTTTTGTATCGAAATCGACGGTTGTAGGGGAAGGGCTGGAGGTCGAGGTCGTGTCGATTTGCGCTGGTCGAAGCAAGTTCTCTTTCTTCGTGCTTGTCGTCGCCTGCAACTTTCGGCACAGAAAGCGATGTGGAGCGTTACATAAGCCCCCTCTAAGCGAGTGACCGCAGAACCCTCCCCGCTAGCCCTAAGCCCTAATTTTTGGCCTAAAACGGACACGTCTGCCTTGTGGAAATAAGACCGAAAAGTGCGTGACTTTAAAGGGGGCTCGAGATTTTTAACGCCGCGATAAAGCCGAACTCCACCCGCAGGTCCAGGAGCAGCTCCGGTTGGGAGATCTCAAGCTGCGATGGCGCGTCTTCCCTGGATAAATCATTGAGGAGCGTATGAAGCTCGTCGTCTTTTACTCTCCAGGTGTACGATAAGGCAACAGACTTCATAATGTTGCGATGGTGAGTGACATACCTCTCTCCGTCATCGGAGACATCTTCAACCCCCCTGATATCGAATCATCTTCTAATCTTATCATGGTTGATATAGGTATCAAGCTAAGTTGGCTACCAGGCCATTGCTTACCCAGAGCATCGGCAGCGCCGTGAGCTACTACGTACATCTGATCTAATATAATATACAGCGGCTGACATGAATGCAGGTCCTTTTTGGAACCGGAGACGTCCTGGCCCAGCAGCTCGTCGACCGAGCCGGCATCGAGAACCATGACTACGCCCGCACTGGTCGGATGGTCTTATACGGAGGCGGTATGTCTAGTACTTTCCTTGCGAACTACACATAAGATCTCTGCTGATGTTTGCTGGTATTTCGATATAGCAATCTTCGGACCAGCCGCAACGACTTGGTATAAGTTCATGCAGCGAAACATTGTTTTCAGAAGTCCCAAGGCTACATTAGTTGCTAGAGTGTGTGCAGATCAGGTCCTGTTCACTCCTACGCATCTGACCTGTTTCCTATCCTCCATGGCACTCATGGAAGGAAACGACCCATTGGAGAGGCTCCGAACAACTTTTGGCACCGCCTACAAGACCAACCTCATGCTCTGGCCATGGGTGCAGGCGGCTAACTTTTCATTCGTGCCATTAGAGCACCGAGTTCTTGTCGTTAACCTCGTCAGCCTTGGTATGTTATATCCTGGTTGAACCCGCTGTTCTTTGCAGCATTCCATGTCCGCGTTGCTAACAGTTGATCGGCAACCCTCTAGGCTGGAACTGTATACTAAGCCTTATAAACAGTAAGGGTGATAAGGAAAGTTCATAATCAGTCCTCCTCCCTACTGCAAATTTTTGGTTATATTCCCCATAGAGCACTGCTTTTTTTGTCCTTTCTAGAGTGGCCATAGACCGGCCCTACGAATTGAACCTTTTTTAGCATAGAATAAATGTAATAGTATATTTCTCACAATAGAAAGCTGCTACAAGTTGCAAGATGCTATCGTCAGACGTAAAAGGAGACCAGGTTCTTCCATCGAGATCTCATCGTAGTTAAATCTGTGTGCAAACAGTGCAAACTCAACGACCAAAGCTTCTGATGCCTTCAAGATTAAAAAAAATAAAACTTCAAGAGAAGCGCGATCTCACCACCAAACGTCACAGTTCCAGATCACAAATTCTGCCTGGAGCAGAGGACCTTCTACTCCGTATTCCCCTTTATATCATCTCTATCGCTGTTGGGTAGTGGTACGATCGAGCCTTCCCGCATTCGACCAACCGACTCACGAAGCTTTCAACCTCACCTCACTCAAACCGCCATCTTCTCGACGCTTCACCTAAGAGCATCTCTCTCTCCAGCCTATACAGCACTCGTACATCGATCGAGCTAATCCGATACATACGCTACTTCTTACAAGATGGCGACGGAAAATGGAACCAAGCCTGAGCAGGCCGTGAGCAACGAGAACTCTACCCCAGACGGAGCAGAGGGCCAGAACAAGGATGAACAGATCACCGTCTTCCATGACCCTGTTAACTTCAACGTTAAGCACCCTCTCATGAACGAATGGACTCTGTGGTTCACAAAGCCTCCAAGTGGCAAGGTATGCATTCGAGAGAGCGCTCATTTTTGAAGCCGCATACAGTCATAATATACCTCGCGAATGCTAACTGGAGTATTCATTTTTTAGGGCGACAACTGGAATGACCTTCTTAAAGAAGTTGTCACTTTCAACTCCGTCGAAGAGTTCTGGGGCATCTATGTAAGCCTAGATTTGCTTATTCCACAAATGAGGGGCACTGTTTTATATATCCAACATAACATCTAACCTCGTTCCCGTTTACAGAATAACATCGCGCCTACCTCTCAGCTAGGCCTAAAGTCAGACTACCATCTGTTTAAGAAGGGTGTCAGACCAGAATGGGAGGACCAACAGAACAAACATGGCGGCAAATGGTCGTACTCGTTTAAATTCACCAAGGACAGAAACCAAGTTCCAATCGATGAGCTCTGGCTTCATGCCCAACTTACAGTTATCGGAGAAACATTGGAAAACGATGGTGACAATGAAGTCATGGGTGTTGTGGTCAACGTACGCAAGGCCTTTTACAGAATCGGTCTATGGACCAGAACTGTCGGAAAGGCGACCAACGACGGACGTACGTCAGAGCAGGGACAGAAGGTTCTTTTGGCTATTGGTAAACGGTTCAAGGAAGTTCTTAAGTTGAAGGAGAATGAGCTTCTCGAATTTTCGGGTCACACCGAGAGTGCCAATGCGGGAAGCACCCGTGCTAGAGCCAAATATACGGTCTGAGTGAGCAGCTTTTGATCGTATGAGAAATTCAATCTATTCCAGACATCGACTCTGTATCGCTGAGGTCCTCTTCAGTGCGCTGAACAGTTGTGGTTGGCGTTGGGGGATCTACGGCCATCTTCTGTCCCATCGGCGAGACTGATGATACTGGTAGAGATGGTTATTGCGCTTTCTCAATTAGCAAAATGGAGTCTATTGAAGGCTCAGCGTGCGCATAACGTTACTGGCGCAGCTCTATTTCCCCCTGGATTTTATTTTAAAAGCTAAAACCTGGGGCTAACGTGGTTTATTTAACGTGTCTTCCGTTTTTTTTTTTTTCACTTCTTAATGTCCTTGACTTTTATGCCTGTTCATTTTCAGGGAGTTCTCCCTTTTAACGTGGTTTTTATTATGCGTCCCTATCGTGTATAATGATTTATTTATTAGGAGATATCAGTCCCTGTTTCTTCGAGCCAGTATTCTTTCATTCCACGGCCTGTCTAAACTAATTTCCTGCCTGGTATATCCAACTTGAGCATGGTCTATATTCTAATATTGTACACGAGCCTTACATGACCCTACGTCATTTATATCATACATGATCAGCGGGACATCTTCCTATGATGACTCGCCGAAGACATCCCGTTTAAGGACTTTCTTGTTCACTAGTAAAGAAAATCAAATAGTCAGTTTCCGCGCATTGTAATAAATCTCCAAGTGGAGTTATATGAGTGTTTAAGCAACTTTACCTTTTCCCATCGCATTTCTTGGGATCCCATTTTCCAATATTCTCATCTCCTGCGGTATTTTGTATTCTGACAGTTTCTCCTTTAATGCGCGCCGCAGATCAAGGATGCCCCAAGGTTTGCCTTCACGAGTCCCCGTGTTTGCGTGTTTCGGGTCCAGCACCAATACCGCAGCAACTTTCTGGCCCCATTGATCTGACGGGAGGCCAACGACAGCTGCCTCTAGGGCCTGCGGACTAAAATCCCCAGAAGTTAGCTATAATATGAGAGCAATTGTCAATGTAATAAATACTTACAGGGCAAGAAGCTCCCGTTCGACTTCCAGTGCGCTCACTTTCTCTCCTCCAACCTTGATAATGTCCACACTCTGGCGGCCTTGAATGAAATATAACGGGCCTTTTGCCCAATTACTTCCACTTTGTCCAGCACCCGAAACCTGCTTTCTAATAGCCATATCGCCAGTCTTGAACCATCTGCCTTTGCCATCAGAACCTTCCATAAATGAATCCTCAGTGGCACGTTCGTTCTTCCAATATTCTTTGAAAATAGTTGGCCCTCGTAGTTGAATTTCTCCTACCCGCTCACGCTTGTTCGCGTCATATTCTTCTCCCGGCCGTATCACTTCTTGGCTGTCTAGATCGAATAACCTGACTTCAACAGACGGTAGTGGCCATCCAACACTCCCATCAACCCTGTCTTTAAAATGCATGCCACAACTGAGAGCCATACCGACTTCGGTCATGCCATACCGTTCAAGAAGCACATTTCCCCCGCTAAGCTTGGTCCATGATTCTTTTATTGGAGTAGGCAATGCGGCAGACCCGGAAATGTTTAGTCGTAGATTTTCGGGCAAAATAGCTTCCTTTGCAGCTTTTTGGGTGATATCAGGGAGTGTATTAAATGTACCGAGGAGGCGATGGTAAATAGTCGGAACAGCTGTAAGGAAGTTTATAGGTTTTGGAGGCGGGATTGTATTGGAGTTGGGCATAAATGGTCGAGCGAGTCTATCCCATACCGTAGTGGGATTGAATGGGAACGTAAACTCAATAGATGAACCAGCGAGTAATGGTGCTAGAATGGCATTAACCGTTCCATGAATGTGATGGAGCGGTAGCATGTGAAGTAGTCTATCGTCCGGCGAATAGGACCATGCCTGAACTAAAGACTTCGTTTGCGCTGCTAGAGCAGAATGTGGGAGGAATACGCCTTTCTGAAAATATCCAACAAAGATTAGCTAGTACTCCGTTCCACACCTTCATTGTTTAAGGCCCGAGTCCCAATTCCCAACATACCGGACGATTTGTAGTACCTGATGTATACAGCATCATTCCACCTTGGGGGTTCTCCATATCCCGAAATTCGACATTCGCCGGAGATATAGCCCCATCATTGAGCTTCGGAATATATTCCAAAACAGGACGCTTCACTAGTTCTCCATCGAGCACTTGTTCTGCTTTTTCGCGATACTTTTCAGTTGCTAGTAGTATTTCTGCCTGCGAATTATCGAGGATATATCTCAGCTCTGCAGCCGGGAAGCTAGGAGAAAGAGGAAGCGCAATGCCGTCGGCCGCAAGTATAGAGAGCAACGTAACTATAATTCCACAAATAATGTTAGCCTTCTAGAACATCAATTGCGAGGCTGGGGGTCTATCTAAGAGTGTCTACAGTACCCACGTAGTCGTAGCTATTCTCTGCCAAAAATGCCACGGGCTTTCCCTGTAGATTGAGTCCTTTCAAAGAGCGGTCTCCAAGTGCTTCAAGCTTATCTTGAGCTAGTATGACGTCTCCGATGAGGTTTCCATAGCTAAAGGTGCGTCCGGATGCACTATGGACAACGGACGTGGATTGCGGGTCGTGTGAGACCAGCGGGCGGAAGAAAGGGAGATTCGGAAGACCTGATGCTAATCGCATTTGCTGGGCCCTACCGCTCTTCCATCTTAACCATAATCTGGCGCTATACTGGTTCAATTGAGGCGTCGAATGCTGTTGCCCAACTCGAGAGAGCTGCTGGCAGCCCAGGCGCATCATCGTAAAGGAAAAAAAAAACGGCTATTTCGCAGGGCGTTCTCTTGTCTCCATTGCAGGTTAATTCCCAATTGAAATCATCGAAAGTAAAGCCATCATTTAGAGGTATATAATCGTTTATATCTTATGTTGTCTTCGATGTTGACCTTAGCAGAGTTTCCCGGAATTGCGTTTGAAGTGAACCCAAAAGCCTATTTTTTATCGCTATCGGCTTGGTGGTTCTTAACCCCGAGCCTTCAATCATACGACAGATATACAAGCACCACCACCGAATCTCTTGCGTTTCCCTTATATCCCTCTTTGCGATTCACATACCGATGCTCCGCACTATCAGACTAAGCCAGCAGCGCCTGCAGCTCTTCTCGCGCATACCGAGAATGTCCGCCAGCACTTCCGCCTCTCAGACACCATTGGAGGACGCAATTCGCGAAAAGGCAAGCTACAGACCACGGAACAGGAGAAGCGCAGAGAATCTACGATGTTTGAGCAGTAAGCTAATTGCAGAAATAACCATAGGTCACCAAAGAGCTATCGCCGATTTCCCTCACGATCCAAAACGACTCCAAACACCACGCTCATCATGCGCCGATGCAGGGCAATACATCAACAGAAACCCATTTCAGGTGTGTACGGCTGGCGCATAGCGATAGTTCATAAACCAGAACTCTGCCACGGAGTGTCCGACCCTTTTAAAGTTGACAGTCTGCTCACTATTACTCCTTGCCTATAATTCAGTGTAACGATAGTCTCGTCGGCATTTGCATCCAAGAACCAACCTGCCCGGCATAGAATGGTATATAACCTGCTGAAAGAAGAAATGGCTAGAGAGGGTGGATTACATGCGCTGCAGTTGAAGACCAGGACTCCTGAAGAGGAAGAGAGGGCAAAGCAGCAAGAGAAATAGCTATGATCACGCCATGCCATATGAGCTGCCGGTGTTCTTATCTTTGGAGGTCAATTATCGGCCTGAAGATAGATGCTATAATACGATAGATCTGGACCTCACGTTTAAATTATATATTGCATCAAACGTTGACTTGGCCCTGTTTCGATAGTGGAAGTGGAAGTGGAAAGGATAGAGTAAAATGAACGGACATTTGTTCAGCTAACTAATATATTAGAACAGCCTGTTGTGTTCCAACACTCGAATATATAAACCAATGACTCTTTTGGAAGAAAAAAAATCCAGTACACAACCAAAGAAATAACACAGGAGAAACGATAGGAGAGGGAGAAAAGGAAAAAGAAAAAACCAAGGGTAATATTATATAGTAGTAGTGGTAAATAGTACTCTTCCAAGAAACAGAAAAGAATATGACACAAGGAAAAGTATCACAGAGCCACGAGAGCTGGGATGGTACAGCTGGGATAATGTAGTTGTAACTGCTATGACGACAAAAACAAAAGAAAATAGGAGGCTCCAACGGTAACTGTGGCTTATCCGGGTTGATGCTGAGACGAATACGGTAAGGAAAGGGGATTTTGTTCGAGGTAACTCAGAATGAGTGAGTGCTCTGGGTGGTCTCCCCCAGAAGGGTTTTACAATATCAATTCAAAGACAAGGGTATAAGCAAATGTACAAAGGGAAGTAGAGGCTTAGCGTGGGAAGACTCAGGCCAGCCATCGGCCATCAGCATTATGGATGAGTAGGAGGTTGAATTTAAGCCTTCTTTTGTACAACGACAACGACGACCACGACGACAACGATGACGATAATGATGAGAACTGTTGGGTGGTGCGGTTAGCATGGGCTTTCAAGTTGGTGAGGATATCGATGGACTTACGGCAGATGAGTAGACACCACCACTTCTTTCGGTTACGTGCACGAGCGGAGTCAATGGCGCCTTTTATCTCTTCGTTGGCCTTGTCGACGTTCTCTCGGACTTCCTCGCCGGTCTGGTCGATATGGGCGACGGCTTCTTCCTGTTGAACCACCATGGCCTCAAGATCGTGGAACATCTGCGTCAACTCAACAAAGTCTCTCTCGATCTTCTGGATCTCTTCGTGTCTGGCTCGGACCATCTGTGACACTTTCTGTGCATCTCCACGACGATCACTTTGAATCAACTGTATTATATTCGGATTAGCACGATGTTTGGTTATGATAAATAGGGCGTGAAAATGGAACATACAGCCTGGCTGAAAATTTGTTGGTTCGAGCTATCCTGAACAGCCTCCCTGACTTCCGCATCCGTAGCATCTGGTCGAACAATTCTGTACTGTCTGGCCATCTGTGACTCGGACTCCTTTCGGAAATCGGCCTGGACCTGCTGATATCTGGTGATGGCTGCTTTCAAGCTTCGCTCGACTTTTCCAACCTGAGACGAGTTGCGTGGGCTTCCAGATTCCGGCATCTGTTTGATGGACTTGACGCGGTCGACCAAGTTGCGGTAAAGTCGCTTGGTCTGGTTGGCCATATCTTCCACTTCGTCGCGGATGGCTTTTTCTCGGGCCGGGTCAACATCACTGAGTAGACGGCGGTATAAGGTGCTGAGCTGGTCAACATATTTGTTCACATCATCGATTCCACGGTCGACATCTCTGCACTGGTTTAGGATGGCGTTGGGGTCGTGGGCAGGCGGTTGGTTGTAGTTTTGGCCCTGGTTGTATTGACCCATTTCTATCACGGTAAGCGGTTAGCCAACCCAGCGCGACAAACCTGCGAGTCCCGCCGCAATGGCGAACAGACGAGAATGGACATACCATAGTTGTTGTGGCCGGCTTCCATATCTTGATTATATCTGTTATCGGGATGGCCAGATTGAGCGTCGATTTGGCCGTAGCCTCGCACTTGATTGTTATATCCCTAAACGTCCCATGCAATTAGCCACCGAGTTCCCCCGCCAGAAACCACAGTGTGTCAAAAAGTACAGCTGTTATATCAAATTTCGACAAACGAGAGTGGCGACTCACGCTCATTGTGAAATATGGAGTGCCTAGCCGTCAACAAGGCGTGTATAAAAGGAGTATTTTTTTTTCTGGGGCGTCGAGGAGGTCGAAATGGAAATTGTAAGAGCACACAAAGATAAAATGCAACCGGTAACCCTTTTAAAAAAGAGAAATCTGTGTAAACGCAGTAGTGTGAAGGCTGCTATAAATGGAGGGTGGCTGAATGGGAATCCAGCGCAGGGCTGCGGCCGTAGGGTTGTAGATAGGCGATTGGGGGGCGCTGGAGCGGCGATCTCGGAGACGCGGCGACGGTGAGCTGTGGAGGGGCAGCGGGTGTGCAGATGACGCCAGAACAGCCAGGCAGCGAGGTTGAGAGATGAAGCCGAACGGTACGGTCGAGCAGCAGCAGAAGGGAGAAGGGAGAAGGGATGTGTTGATGTTGTCTGAAAAGGAGTCTAAAGGAGTCTCGGACTAATTAATTACGCGGCAACGGGCGGTTCGAGAGGCTCAGGCGGCGCTAGCTGGCTTGGGCCTAGCGCGACTGACGTGCATGGGCCGAACTGGGTAGCTTGGCCGTGCCGTTTTAGGGCTCCCCTTCCATCCTGCGGGATGCTCACGCCGCCCTAAGCTCTATCTTTAGGCCTCGCTACTCTTCGCTAAGCTGCAGGACACTACACGAACAAGACATACACGACTCAGCTGGCGGTGGAGGATGAGGTCAGGCGAGGACCTGGATATCGTTGAATATGGCCGTCATGAACACAATTGTGTCCGTGGTGGATGGTTCAAGAGAGGATGGTTCAAGACAGGATGGTTCAAGAGAGGATGGTTCAAGAGAGGATGGTTCAAGAGAGGATGGTTCAAGACAGGATCAGGTCATACAAGCTGAACATCGTCCACAAGGATTTATTTTGCTGCCTTGGTGATCTATTCTTGCTCTAACTATGATGGAAGCCTAGTTATGCTTATATGTAATACAGAGGATTAATTAAAATGCAGTGCTCATACATAGATGTGCTACCTACACCTAATTACTACCGTGAAGTAAATACATCTCTGCCGATAGGACTACTACTGGCTCCTATAGGCCCAGCTTCTGATATTTGTATTCCTACCATATATATTTAAATTAAACTATATACAGTTTAACATTAAGAAGATAGGCAGCCACGGATGGCAAACATAGTTAATTTATCCTAGGCACCCGCTTATAGGAAATATTTGATAAAGTTGCATATAGCTGTGAAGTATATTTTGCTGCACCAACAACAGGTGACACGATTATATATTAAACAATATTCACTTTCTAAGTTGAGGTCCAGAGGGATAAACTTCTCGAGTACTAACTTCCCGGGTGATATGGACTGGTCGATGCGGCTTTCAAAGAAGTGAAAGTATTCCTTCCCTTTCTACGGTGGCTTTCACAATCAATTCCTCACGGTCTGTGGGTTAGGCGCTTTTCCCATTGAGATAGCTGGCGTTTGATATCTCAAAGGTGCATGTTCAATATGACATCAGCTAGGGAAGAACCAAACGAGCCGCTGGTCAGTTAATCTATAAAGGGTATGATACAATATCGATGCCCTACTCTCCCTTCTTACCCCACCGCGCTGTCTCGTCTCCGGCTTCCCAGTCGTGCTCTACATAACCAAGTCGCTTTTTAACCTCTACCACCGTCTTCGAGTCGCCAGTGTTCTTGCCAAGGTTGTCACTGAGTTTGACCGCTGGCCGTCCTCCGGCGCTGGAAACCTTGATGACTATGTTGAGAGGTACCGACTTGCCCCCGTCCGACGAGCGTTTAAAGTCATCTAGAACATGTGGATTAGCCAAGGTCGGTCAAGCATAAGTGGGCATTAGACGTAAGGTATGAGGCTTCATACTTGTGAAAAAAGTTCCAACCCCAAAAGTAGGTTGGAATCCAGACTCCTCCGCAATAACCTTATACTCCAAGCAAAGCTCTATATTCAAGGAATCCGAGAATACAACCGTCTTCTTGTCCTTGATGCCTTGCTTATCGTAAAAGTCCTCCACCATCTTCACGAAATAGACGGGGTCGCCAGAGTCTTGCCTTACGCCTGCAAAAACCTGGGCATAGGTCCTTGTTGGGCCATCCTTGGCTCCATCTTCCACATGCGCATGAATAGGGGGTTTGGTTGATGCCAAAGAATCTGTCTCGGCGGTATTATTCCCTGAGGAAGGAAGTGTAGCCTCTGGACCTTCAGCAGCTGCCGTATGCCCTGGAACGGGCTTGCTGAATGCGTCGAGGAACGTCGGGGTACCAAAGGTATCTGTCAGGGCGATACCCAAGACCTGCATTGCAGTTCATTAGTATTCCCCAGAATAATATCAGTGATCAATATGGTACGGACCCCTTCACCGAAACATCCCAGCCAATACCGCAACGCAATCTCGTTGGCATTCTCATAATCGTTCGTAATGGCAGCAATTCCCATATACCACTCATGGGCAACGGTCCCCACGGGTTCGACATCATACTTCATGGCGAAATGGACGTTACTCGTGCCCGAAAGTTTTCCCTTGAAACCCTCCTGCGCACACTGTTTTGCTGCTCGAGTTAGACCTTCCATCACCAGATTCTGGGTATGATAATCTCTTCGTCTCCGAGTCCCGAACTCGGAGAATATACACCCATGTTCAAGGAGTCTGCAACCCTTTCGGAACGCCTTCTCTTCTTGTTGGTGGTAGTCCCAATCGCGATCGCAGAATTTAAAGTACGCTTCACTCGTCAATGCCAAAAGGGGTATTTCGTACAGGATCGTTTCAACCCACAGACCCTTGATCGCTATTTTGACTTCGCCTATATCTTCCTTGGACCCAGTATCGTCTATTGGTATGAACGAAACCTCCAACTGCTCAGAGGGTTTAAGGCGGAATTCCGACAGGTATCTCAGGTATGCCGTGTTGAGATACGGACAGCGCTTCTGCAAGAATTCTAGCTCCTCATTCGTCAAGGTGATATTTTGGAGTCCTGCGATTAAGCATGACTGGTCAGCGTTCCAACCCCACGAACAGGCCAAGATCAGCGTCTCTATAAAATGCACCAATAAGGCGTACTCTCTATTTGTTCTAACAACCAGTTGTATGACCGCCGGGTAAACTTCATGTCCGGTGTTCTGTTCGTGAAGGAATACGTGACATCTAAATGTATCTCCGCGTTAGCCGTGACTCGTACCAACGCCTCCAGAAAATAGAACAACGCGTTGGCGTAGAGAAGAGAAAATAACATACGGGCATTAGGGAAGTATTTTAGAGTCGCGCATTGCATCGTTAGCTTGTAAAGGTCTGTGTCCAGCAAGGAGAACACTCCCTCCGGAGGTGGTGGAGGGGAAGTTGGCCCCATGTTACTGTGATGAACAACTTCCTCGCTCTTGTTCAATTGAGGGTATCAGGCCCTGGGAGAGATATGTAGGGGTAGAGAGAGGAAGAAGACTCATGAGCTGGTAAGAAGCGCGCTCCCAGAAGTAAATATTCGGCAAGCGTTCTATCTTCCCTTTCAGCAGGCAACTTCCTCTCTCCCCCACGCGTTTTTGATGCATGTACGATGATGACATCGGCTAACCAGTGGTGTTTGCATGGTTTGCACTCATGTTTGCGCTTTGTTGCCTTGAAGCGAGTCAAGCGACTTCAGTTTCACCATCTTCGCGAATATCAACGAATTGAAGGACGTGGCTGCTCTACGAAGCTCTAGGCTACACGGAAAGAATATTTTAATTTACGAATTAGGGCCTTGCTTGTATTGTAGGCCTGCCTTTTTTTGCCGAAATGGGCCCGATTCGGAGATACCTGAGAGTCAGCAAGTGTACCGTCCTCGAATGCCGAATATACCTAGAAAACCCGTCAGACTCGCGATGGCTTCTGGACTCCCATGGCGCTATGCTACAGCGGGTGATTGCGAGTATTCGACCGCTAGTGCAACCTAAATTGCGCGAGGAGAAGGAAAGGATTAAGGCGAAGAAAAAAAGCAAGCCGGTCAAAGATGTCCTCGTTGAAGGTCGGTGATTTGCCACCATATGTAGGTGTGGGTATCGGTCTGTTCATTTATTAACGGAGTGGATAGATGATTTCGAGGTATCTATATTCCTACGGGAGAGCGGGAGTCGCCATTCGCTTCTCACACGACAGAAAACATTCAAAAATGATAGAGGCCGGATCACAAGTAATTCTGAGAAAATGACGAGTGGAACAAACGATTCCCCGATACAGATACCGGAGCAAGGTTCAGGCGAAGCGAGAATATTGGTGGAGAGTGATGAAGACGAGCAAATTCCCTTTGCGAATGACGCAGCATTAGATAGGTCGAAAGATGATGAGCAACAGGCCGTTGAGGTGGTGGCAAATAATGATGCCACCAAAGATGAAAAGAAACTAGGCCTTACGACCACATATGACGGGTTTGGAATATGGGGCTGGGTCCTTTGCCTTATCATCAAACGCAAGAAGCCGACAGAAACGGCCCAGAAAGGGAGTGCAGAAGCGCCAGGACAGGCTCTCATGGAAGAGTGGATTTGCACGCAAGCACAACAAGAATACGATGATTAACGATGATTCTGGAAAGAGCCCTATTAGTCCACGAACTCCTCGGGTTTGTCTTCAACGGTTACCTAAACTAGCCAAGTTCGAGACGGAACTAATGACCGACGAACGGAGCCTGCTCCCAAGTTATACGGATACGCCAGCCGTTATGTGGTACAGACCTGGGAGCCAAGGTCAATAGAGGAGCATACATGTTCACCATTCACATCACGCCCTTTCAAAATCAATCAATTGGAGAGCATCAGGGTGTGCTATCTGACTGAAACCCGGAGCGTTGACGTTTTAAAGCACCATTGCAGCAGTAGACAAGCAAACGGGGAGATTTACGAGGCTCGAAACTTGTCACACATCTTCTCCCTCCTGTTCACATGAAATGGGCGGGGGGGGGGGGGGGGGGCAGCACTTGTTCAGGGGCCGTCGATGCTGTGACTGCTTTGTCAAACGGTTTCAACTGGAGCGCACACAAACTGGTTACGTACAAGATTTATATCGCCTTGGCGCTAAGGAACAGATTTTTTCTTCCGGCGAACCACTTCGCACCTGCTACTAAACGGTCATACTCCGTACTCTATATATTATTGGATCTTCGGCTACCTAATTACAAAGTCCCCGAACGAAATTAGTTCGCCTTCCAGAAACGTTAGCCCCGTTTAAGGCGGTTCTCCAGGCCGGCGAAGTGGGCGCAGCTCAACGGCGACGGTCCCATTCGTCTATTAAAGAGGAGCCCAAAGACCAATCACGGCATGAAAATCCCCATAAATAATTTTACCGTGGCGCAGATCAACACTAAGCAAACAAACCACGTTTCTCAACACGCTTGTCAAACGATAATTTCATGATTGAATTGAAACAAGCGACCTTTTTTTCTGAGGCACAGCATGGGAGTTCGTAACAGGTTCAACAGCCAAGACACACACAGGTCCTCGCAAGAGGAACGAGATATCACCCTTGCTCATCTGCATGAACTCCGGCGACTGAAATGGCCATCGACAGGATCCGACGATCTGGTTAACTAATGCCGAACGAATAGACCGATCATTATATGCAAGGAGCGCTTACGACTGCATGCCTTAGGCGTAGTGCATCAAGCAGGGTCATGGTTCAAGGGTGATCAAGCGCCATGCCATATGGCTGAGAACCCCATCGTCGACGTAAGAGGAATATGCAAAGAGTGGCCCGCGAACGCCGCACCTCGGCCAATTCGCACATGGAATCCATTAAACGCCTCAAAGAAGAAAAACCAGCGATGGGAAAAGGTATATGTTTGGCCGCAAAAGATAAAAAACAGGGAAAAAGAAGGACCTCGCCCTAGGCAACCGAGTGCTTTGAACATCAACCCTGCCGGAAAGGCCGATAAGATTTCTCCAAACGAACGCCAAACAGCTGGACCCATCTGAGTGAAGCACTATTACAGGGCAATAATTAAACTAAGCCCCGCTCCGCATCCTCCGCGCCAATTGTCTCGCTCCTTTTGTCGTTTCTTGCCCTCTTTGGGTGTTCTGATCTATCCTAATTAAGATTTCGATCTTCGTCATCGAGCAGCCCTTTTTTATTTTTTGTTCTGTTGAGCCAATAGCTATATTTTTTTCAACTTTGCTAGGCCAATGAGAAAATTTCATCCCGCATGGCGAACTACGAACTAATACTGAATAATGTACCCCTAGTACCACCTGGTACCTCCCCCTATTTTGCAGTCCAGCCCGCCTTAATGTGTGTAATGCTATATGTTGAATTTTAACGAGAAGCCTAAAAGGCAAAATATATCCTTTAATAGAAGCTTGTTGAGTTCCCTAAGGCGGACGGGCAAGGCTGAAGAATAAGCATATGGATACCGATACCGAAAAGGGAGCGGCGAGGCTGGAGATTGCCCAGGATCAAACATCTGCGGTTGTAGCAGGTGAGACAGGCACACACAAAGAAAGGAGATTCAGATTAGAATGTCTATAGATAAGTGCTCCGTATGTTGAGTGTCTGGTTCTCCGTTGTACAGAGAGTGCTCCATAATTAACCAAGCGAGATGGAAGAGGGTGATCATACTAGGCGTGTTAAGTGTACTTATGCACGTAAGTCGACATGCTTTCCTGCACAGCGCTCAATTGAAGGAGACGTGGTGTAACCAAGGCTGTCCCAAGGAGGGCTATATTTACAGGGACTCGCTTCTCGGGCGCTGTACAGGATGCAGGACGCAGGACGCAGGATGCAGGCAGGCCGCAAAAGCACATCCGTACTCCATAAGCCTGGGTGCGCAGAGCGGCTGAGCCCTCTCTTTCTTTTTCCCCCTTCTGTGCATCCTTTTTTGCTTTTCTTTCGACCCGAGCTCGAGCTCGAGGGCCCCATTCGGATGAAACGGCAATTTCGTGTGATGCTCCCAGATGTCTGCGTGATGTTGTAGATAGAACTCCGTAACTCATGAAGGCATCAGGGATAGATTACGACGTAGCAGGTTCCGTAATCAGTTCTACTCCGACTCGGACTCCGATATCTTAGAGTGCATAGGCGAGGTGAGACGGCGTCGGCGAACTTCGAGAACAACATATGCATGTACGTGGGGTGTAGGCGAGCCACCTGATCAATTATGCGGCTCATATATGCAGGCCTTTCTTTTCTCGACATTCTTTCTTTTCATGCATGTCTGGGACGGATGAAAGGACGAAAAGGAATAGATAGAGACTGCGACTCAAAGCGGTATTCCAGGGGAAGACGAGACGAGGTGCTGTGTTTGTTCCAGAGTGACATCGAACGTCGAAGCTGTGTCCAGGGTTCAACCATGGCCATGACGTTGAAGAGTAGCAGCGCAGGTCTTCAGGTCAGGCCAGTGCATCAAGTCTGCCGTTAGAGGGTAAATCTCCCTCTCTCCTGGCCCTCCCCCCCATCCCCATCCCGAGACTGTGGTTATGAGAGGGACGAACGAGAGGAAGCAGAGCTGAAACTCGCCTGTCCTCTTTCCCATGGTCCGCAATTAACTTCGCAAGCCATCGACCCCTGCATGAAACACTAGTCGCGCGGCAGGGGCAAAACCAGCAGAGAAGAGAGAGAAGAGGGACGGATCGCCTTGTGATGGTGATGATGCCATTATTATGTCATCGATCTGTTTCCCTGTTTCTTGTAGTGATAATATCGAGTCTTATGTTCCATCCCTGTGTTGTCTCTATCTCTGTATCTCTGTATCTACCTAGTATCTCAGCTTGTCTCTGCTTGTCTCTCTGTATCTCCTGATGTTGTCTGTATATGTGCAACTGAGCTTCATGTCAGCCTAGTCAGGACGTGGGATGAGACGAGCTGTGGCACAACACATGGTGGCTATCGAATGCGCCTCATGTGATAGATACAGCGATGATATTAGAGGGAGGCCGCCGAGAGTTACGTCCGTTACGTCCTGCTGCTCAGGGGTTTCATCCCATCTCGCTGGTTTTAAGCTGGTGGCTCAAAGCGGGCACTAGGACTTAGTTAGAGGCAGCCCTTGATCCAACTAGGAAAACAACGGTTGCCGAAGAGAGAGCAAAAAAAAGAGAGTTGCAAAAAAGGGAGAGGAGGATCGAACTGAAAAAGGGTGAAAAAAAGTAAAACGGGGGCAACCCATCTGCTTGTACTGTACGATCCGTACTATCGAAGATACATGCATGTACCTTTTTTTTTTTTTTTTTTTTTTTTGACTCAGGCTTCGTTTCTCGTCGCGGCCTGGTTGTCAGGTGGAGCTGCCCCCTACGGATCTGAGCCCTACCATGCTATTACAGTTACATCTACTCTTATATATAGTCCGTCCATCTCGTCCATCTCGTCTATCACTTCGTCCATCCATCGACTCGCTGACATCGACACTACTATCACCATCATACTACCATACACCACGGCTCTATAACTACTACACACAACAGCCACACATACAGTCAACAGTCAACAGCCACACTACAACACTACACAACACACAGTCAAGTCAACAGTCAACAAGATGGCCGGCTACTCCAACCAGTTTCCTCCCTGCCCAGGACCACCACCAACGGGCCCCCTTCCGCCACTCCCCAAATAAAGAATAACGACGACAAGTCACAAGACAATAACGAGACACCGCTTCTTCTCATCGTCCTAATTTCCTCACTTCATAATGCATGGCGACTTTCTTCTCATCTCATCGATCTACCGGCAGCCGGCTGCCTGACGTCTTCCGTTATCAGCAATTCCTTTCTCCAGAGATACCCCGTGTTGGACCATAATACATTGTTCTGCCTTCCTATGTCTTCTTCTTCTTCTTCGCTTGCCTCCATGTTTACTTTGTTTTCGGCATAATAATATTATATAATCTGGTGCTCTTCCTTTACTTTTATGTTCCCTGCATGCATCGCATCCCTGGTCCCCAAAAAATTTCTCAGCTTTTTTTTTTCTCCTCTTTCTTTCTTTCTTTCGGAAAACACATATCATACATCACATTATACCGCGCCAGCCCCATCTTCGTCCGCGCTCCACCAACAGCATCCATCCATACGGAGCTCCTCTCCGCCCTGCATGGGGATCTCAAATCCGCCTCGCCGTGACCTGCATCTCGTACTCGACCTTGCATGCGGCAATTGACAACCTTTTTTTATTTCCCTCGCGCAACGACAAATCGCTCAAAGGGACAACGATGAGCCCCTCCCGCGCTGGAGTCGAATCATCCCAACTCGGCCCCCACGTCAATTTATCAGCGGGCGGGCAAGGCTTATGCACGCAATTGAGAGTGGGCCACCGATGATCAGAAGTTGTTTCTTTTCCGTTTTTTTTCTTTCTCCTGGGCATGGCGGGCGAGGACGACAGCGAGGGCGATGGGATATGGGTATAGCATAGCAATTCATGCATGAAACTATCGACTTGGCCCAAATCTAATATCTACCTTTTCTATGTGTGCAACTTGTGTTGACGAGAGCCGTTGGGCCCCCTGTCGAAAGAGAAGAGAAGATGCAGCCGGGATGGAACAGCCTGCAGGTTTAAAATGCATGAGATCATCTGACTGCATCCTGGTCCCTGTATCCGTATGATGCTCTGCCGACTTGCTCTACGCGCCGTCGACGATGGTGGATTGATGTTCTTTTCCGCGCTGCCGGAGACAGGCCACGGGCACTAGGGAGGATGGGCTTGCATCTTGCATCTTGCATCTCGCGTACTTTGCATCGTCTAGCGAACTCTTGGGAGGATTTTTCTTTTCTTTGTACTATTAAAAGCAGCATATCTTCTTTCCTTCTTCAAGCATTCCTTTTTCTTCGTACGCTCTATATTATTTTAATAGACCTTCCTTACGAATGCAGTGCATACATAGCCGGATTATTCAGCTCGCTTCCTAATTGTCCCTGTATACGTGAGAAATAAGAAGCGAAGGGGGCCGCCATGGGGACCTGCTTCCGCTGAATCCTTGTCCCATGCTACCATCATGTATGATTATCAACGATCCAACTGTTTTTTACTTTCGCCAGCTCAGAGCTGTCTCCATAACGGCCTTCGTTTTCGTTCCTTTTTCTGCTTCTTCTGCTTCTCTTTTTCCCTCTCGCCCTCCTCTGATCCGAGAAGTTGCCTCGTTCCGCCCAACGTGAGGATAACATCGTATCCCTTCCCTTAGCCGGCCTCTTCCCCGCACCGAGACCGTTCCTTTTTACGTATGAAACGCTCTCGAGCACAAGAAAACACGGGCGGCAAGCGGAAATCGCAACCAAGTAGGAAAAAACCCTATCTGATGCTTTTCGTCTTGACTCGACAGCTAGAGTTACCTTTTCATCTTCCCGCCCTCCCGCTCTCCCGCACTTTGCCGCCTGGTAGCAATGTCTGGTAGCTTTTGGAATCTCCCCATGACTTGCAGCAGAGGCGGGCAGCGGCCCGTGCCATCCTCAATCGCTACACACAGACAGACGTGCATTTTCACGATGGACAGCGGTTATGCTGTAGGGAGATTAGAGATAGGGAGGAGAAAGACTATTTGTTTCTTTTTTTGCTTGCGCGGTTTGTATTGCAATTCGCTTCTGCTTGTTTTGTGCCTAGGCGGGTATACCTGCGGGTATACCTGACTGTGCACACGTACTTCTACTCAGGTGTACCGAGTGCCCCCATGCTCGGCAATACTTATGCTGCGATTCTCGCTAGTAGCTTGTCTCCAAGGGTGTGGTTTGCCTGTGACGCCATCATTTTGCTACCTGCATGTAGCCTTGCTGGTGTTGTGCATATCGCTATTTACATTAGTAATAGGCAGCCGACACAGCATCGAGAGCTTGTATAATGGCAAGGGCAAGCTTGTCGTCACCGTACCAATCAGCCTCATCACCCGGTTCTCGTGTGAGTGACTGATGACCGATCAGGGGTGAGTCGCAGCCAACAATTAAGTGTTGACATAAACATCGCGAATAGCTTAGATAAATTGCGGAGAAAAACACGTCGTAATAGCCGATATTGTGGTAAGAGTTGCATTCTTGTGATCCTGCTCTCGTATCCGACCGATCCTGCTTTATCTTTTTCATTTTTGTCCGCGACCCGGAATCACGTCACATGGACTCCTCTTATCTCGATGGTAATATAATCTCATCGGGCAAGGTCCAGTTGCAAAAATACTAGACATGCATACCATGCGTCGGTGGGAAGCTATAGCACATGGCTACTAAGTCAGATCTCGCATCAGAGTACGAGGCCTCCACGGCTGGCGGCGGGGGCTGCATATGTATGTATTTCAATAAGAGGAGCTGGCCGAAGTTTCCTCCCATCTGGCGATAACTCTTTTTTTTGTAAAACAGATGATGGCCAGGTAGCTTGCCTAGGTATACGTCCCCTGTAGGCGGCTGGCATAAGGGCCAAAACAGCTCGCGATCTAGATGTCGAACGAACGACCTCCTTTTCTGCGAGGCGCGGAGAAACACCCCCCATCGACTCAGCTGGGTATGTAATTTAGAAAAGGGCGGCGATGCGGAGAATCCCAGAGCAGGCGTAAGCGAATGCAGGGCGTTTCACTAGAGCTTCCAACTCCTCCAGTGCCGGTAACTGTTGCATGCTATCGCGTGGGTAGCATCAAGCTGGATGGTTCAGGGACCTCGGGGCGCGGACTTGGCCCTATAAAAGGGTTGCATTCGGGTTGGCACGTGACTTGCTCTTCTCGAGGGCTGAGAAAAGACAGCTTGATTCGCCGAGCTTAATATCAACCTCAACGACGACGTTTATTCCAACGCAAAGGGGGGGCGGTCTTTTTCCTGGTCTCCGGGCTCTGTCTCCGTGGTTGTTTGTATATTAAGCATGGTTCTGGAACTACACGTCTGGGGTCCTGCGTTCGGCCTGCCTTCGATCGATCCGCAATGCCTGGCGACCATAGCCTACTTCTCCCTTGCAGTCGGACAGAAGAATAGCGGACCAGAAGAAGAATGGGTGGTGGTTGCGGATAGTGACCCTGGAAACGTACCGACACGTAAGCTCCTCGTCTCCCTTTTCTCTCTGGCAGGAACTTCACAGGGACTTGTTGGTCAGACGAAAAAAAAAATCCTTGAGCCGTTTTCTAACCTTCCATCATAGATGAACTGCCAGCACTGTGGACCGGGACAAGATGGATAAGCCGGTTCCGAAATATCGTTGACTACTTGAAGCAGTATTCCAATGGAGAGTGGGATCTGGACGGGTTGATGAGCGAGAAGGAAAAAGCTGATTGTGCTGCGTAAGTGCTGCGTTGTCCCTGTCAAAATGACGAAGCAGGAAGCGTGGGGGCTAAACTTCCTGGTTATAGTTTCTCGAGCTTTGTCGAATCCTATGGACAGCCGTTAATTGACCTGTCGTTGTATGTTTCGAGCGAGAATTACTATGCGATCACCTCACCTGCTTATGGATCCCTCCTGCAGTGGCCGAATCAGTGGATACTACCACCTCGACTCCGGACCATGGCGAAGACCAGGACAGAACACCTCGGCCTCTCCTCTCTCGACCTAGACGCTGCGGAGGAAGAGCAGCAGGAGAAGGCAAGCGGACGACAGCCACCGTCTGCCTCGAGCCAGATACCAAAGAGCCTGGCTACGAAATCTCGCGAGACGATAAGCGGTCTGCTAAGTAAGACGTCGCAGCAGAATCGAATCAGGCTAGACGGCATCACGGAAGCATTCGTAGGCCCGCTGGAAGAGCTGCTGGGCGGGAAAGGGTATCTGTTGGCCGACAAGACTCCCTGTAGTCTAGACTGTTTGGCGTTGGGATATCTGTCGCTGGCGATAGTCCCCGCCGCGCCCTCTCCCTGGCTGAGAGAAGGCGTGCATAAATATTCACCACGGCTGGTGCGGTATTTTGACCAGCTGCGATTAAAATGCTACGGCGGGGACATTGAATCAATCGAGACTGTTCAAGGAACCGGGTCTGCCGGGGTTGGAACTACTGCATTGCCATGGCAGGCGTCTGAGCCGGCCAGCATCGCAGGGATTGCCTTCCGCGTCGCAGAGAGTCTGGCAGATGCGGTGCCAATGGTGAGAGAGCTTCGAGCCAGCAGGCGCTTCCAGCAGCTCAGCAAGGACATGGACTCCAAGGCCGAACAAGAGGCCATGCTGGTAATTGCCAGGGTCAAACGACGGGAAGCCATCGCATCCACGGCGACGGTGGTAGCTGGTCTTGGGATGCTTGTCTGGTATCTCCTAGCAGGGATGAAGGTACCGGTCCAGCTCTCCGACAAGCAGCAGCAACGGGACGAGGACGAGGATGGCCCCGGAGCTGCCGGCCATCAAGCAACGGAAAAGGCCTCAGAGTCGAAATTTGGGGAGGCCGGCGCCATTCTGGGAATATAGCAATAATCACTACTCTTCTTCGTTTTCGCTTTCTCTCTCTCTCTCTCTCTCTCTCTCTCTCTCTCTCTCTCCCTCCCCTCCTCTCGCCTCTCCCTCTATTTCTACGTGCGTGCGCCTCCCCTCGTTTCATCACGAGCGATATTCCTTTTTCCCAGGCCCTTATCTGCGGTATTATCACGCACTCTCCCTCCCCTCCATGCCTCCTGCGCTGCTCTCTGGCTCTCTCGGTGCTTTTTCCTACTGGCCTTGCGCTTGGCCAATCGCGCATCCCTGTCCCCCGGGCGCGCAGGGTGGCCAAGGCTTCTTTACCGCCCCGTGATTGGACACGTGATGATGAGTCAGCATGGTTCTGCCATCCTTGCGCGCAAGGTCCTCATGCATGCTTTTTTCCCTCGCCCGCGCCTGCGTCTGTCAACATCGATATCATAGGACACACACCGGATACACCACACAGAGGAAGACACACACGGACGACAGATACAGAGGAAGACGACGGCGAAGTCACAGCAGATAAGACAGCGAAGACACGACGAAGAGACGACAGACTACGGCAGGATGATATCCTCGCAGAGATAGCCGACGATCCCTCCCATCGAGCACTCGTACTCCTCGACGACTCCCTCCCACCGTCCCCGAGGTCCCCGTTCCGACTGGTCTACTGCTCGCCAACGGCTCTTATAAATATACTGCCCCGACGCTACGGGATTCGAGGAATCAGCACTCAATTGGCTGCATTTAGTTCCGTCCGGAAAATATACATATTCCCTACCTGCATCCAACCTAGTTTAGCTCCACGAGGTCGGGCTGCTTTCTTTTTCGTCTCGTTTTTCACGTATATCGATTCAGCCTAGTGTCTGGCTCTTCTCCTGTGCCTTTACTTTTTATCTTCTTTGTTATATGGGTCAGGACGGCTGGGTTGGCATATAAAGTACCCCCTCCTTCGCCTCCTCCTCATCCCTCGACTTGCTTGGTATCACAGACTCGTATCGCCCTCAACACACATCTGCTTCAACTTATAAGATTATATACTCTATCAGGAAAGAAATCATGGACCAGCTACTGGCTTCCACTCTTGCAAGGCGAGTTGCCGCAGAGGGGGATGCAGCCTTTGTGGCCTGCAACACTGGCAATGAGTATAACGGCCAGATCAACCTGAGGATTTCTGCCATCTTCGTCATCCTCATTGGGTCTATGGGCGGCGCTGTCTTGCCCGTCTTTGCTCGACATGATCCCAACTCAACCTCCAAATACAAGCTTCCCTCTTGGGTCTTCTTCATTGCCAAGTTCTTCGGCTCGGGGGTCATCATCGCTACCTCCTTCATCCATCTGCTAGCCCCTGCACACGAAGCACTCTCCCACCCTTGCCTGACAGGCCCCATCAAGGAATATCCTTGGGTCGAAGGCATACTGCTCATGACCATCATCGTCCTCTTCTTCGTCGAGCTCATGGTCATTCGATATGCTCGTTTCGGCCAGGATGACCACGATCACCCCAAGGCAGAACCACAGGTTGAGAATGGTATAACCACCGCCGAGCCCAAGCCATCCGGCGGCCATAACCATGACCACCTTGGCCACTCCCGTGATCATCCATCAGACGGCGGCTCCGATGTCGTCGAGGCCGCCCACACAACCCTGCTGGAAGACTTCAGCGCACAGCTAACCTCCGTCTTCATCCTCGAATTCGGCATCATATTCCACTCCATCTTCATCGGACTCACCCTCGCCGTCGCCGGGGAAGAGTTCAAGACACTATACATCGTCCTCGCCTTCCACCAGACCTTCGAGGGCCTTGGTCTCGGCTCACGTCTCGCCACGATCCCCTGGCCCAACTCAAAGCGACACACCCCTTACCTCCTCGCCATCGCCTTTGGCCTATCAACCCCCATTGCCATTGCCGTCGGCCTGGGTGTTCGCAACAGTTACCCTCCAGAAGGCCGCACCACACTCATCGTCAATGGCATCTTCGACTCCATCTCCTCCGGCATTCTCGTCTACACCTCACTAGTCGAGTTGATGGCCCACGAGTTCATGTTCAGCACATCAATGAGACGAGCACCCATCCGAACTGTATTGTCCGCTTTTGGTCTACTGTGTATGGGAGCCTTGTTGATGGCTCTGCTTGGGAAATGGGCATAAATTTACTATTTGCTCTCAGTTACGCTTCTCCTGCTTTATCTTCTTGATATGTCTTTTCTTTTTATATCCATGTTCCATTTACTCGCGGTCAGGTACCTTGGTTCACTTTATCATTTTTTTCCCTTTTCAATTTTACTCGAAAAGTATGGGCTGGCGTTTTATCTTCTTGTGGACGACGCCGGCGCATATTATAAACGAGGGCAGTGGCTTCTCAGTTAGGCTGTATGTCTTAATAGTTGGGCTCCAGGCCTTTGGGGTGATTAGTTGATAGCATTCACCAAATAAAATCATTAAAATGACATCGTACTTCATTGTGTAGGCGATTTGACATTATTCACTGGCTCGTATGTAAATATCCGGCATACCATCCATCCAATCTCATTATTTTACCCGCTTCCAATCACTTCCTCCACACCATAGTTTTAACACTCCGACAAAAGGCCACACTTATACGACGTTGCAACCTTGAAATCGTGCTGGCAGCACTTCTTAAAACAATCGTTCAACGCATGAGTCGACCTCCAGCAATGATGGTTCGAACTGGTATGGTAGTATTTATACCCGCACTTCTTGCCGCAGTCGTAAGTAGGCGCTTCTGGATCACCATATACTGCAAACGAGCAAAAATGGCATTTAGTGCTGGCCATGGCGCCGAGGACCATGAGAGAGGCGAGGACGAGCTGATGGAACTGCATCTTGACGTAGTGTATCTGTCCGTCGACCAGGGTAGGTTTGTTAGAGCGGGCCAGGTAACTAACTGCTGGGTGGTGGCTGATAGTTACCTTTTGCGGGGATCTATGGTTTCTTACTTGATATTGTGTGTAACTATGGGCTTGCTTTTTGGAACTAGCTTGCGCGTCTATGACGGAGAGGAGAGGCATTATTTATCTTTATCCCGTTAACTATATAATTTCCTTTGATCAAATGTTCAAGTGGACTGTTTCTATATTTAGTGCATTGTAGACGCTAGATGGATGATATAAATATACTTACGGAGCAAGATCGTATTTATCTGCAGTACAGACCGAGGTACAACAGCCGCTCTACAGGTACTTTGATGAACATGATGAATATGAATGTATAATGTTGAACCTCGTTTATTGAGAGGTCAGGCTGGAGGTTTATGTACCAGTGACAGGGTAAAAGTCCTACGAGGTATATAATGTCCGTGTCAAAGTAGCTTCGAGTATCTCACAAAGCCTGTTGACGTAGCCAACATCTATTTTGAAATTCACGGATCATGGTAATTCCTTCACTTATATTAAACACATCTACCCATCTGACAGCTTCTAGCCCAATCTCATCAGCGCTCGGTAGTAGAGTCCGGCCAATGTAGATGTCAATAGAGAGTAGCCGTTATCTTAAACTTATAAGCATAAACCAAACTTACTTGACAAATATTGGATGCCTACCACTTTGGAGAGCCGGTTATATCATAGCTGCATGCTCTACACCCGTCCTTACTCCTCGTCGTCATATATTCCTCGCTGCAGCGATAGACCTTGATAGACTTTCCGTCTTGATGTATAACGAATGTTTGTTGGAAGAAGTCCGTCCTCATATCTGACTGGCCTCTCTAGGCAGGGTATAACGGCTGGTTGGAGGTGATATCGTTGTCTGCCCTCGAAGTTAACTGGTCCATGGCTGGAGGTGCTAAAATTGGCGATGTAACATCTGCTCTTCCACCCCGTTACCTGGTGCATGGGCTCGACGAAGAAGCTTGAATCACCCAGGGTCGATGGGACGGGAAACATGCCATCAAGGTAGTTCAACCTTGTGATATTTAGATGGAGGGTGACGTTTAGCCAAATATTAAAGGGCTAACATCCACCATGATTGGCCGCAGTTGGAAAGCTTGCTCGTGAAGGAATACGAAGCTTTCTGATAGCCGAGAGAGAGTTAAGAAAAACAACTTTGCCTTCCCATATGTGTATCTCAAGGAGAGGACAAGAAATGCTCCGACTACCCTTGAGTCCTGCATGCATGGCAGGGGATTCCGCATTCAAATAGCCGGGCAGTCAAGAGACCAGGAGGAATATGTCTCCGAGATAGACGTGATTTGTTCTGGCAAAAGGCTTATGCATAACAAGCTCCAAGGCTGTGTTAGAGATACCCGGGAACACGGAACCTTTTGGGATCTCGATATCATGGGTGCCAGACCCTGCCCAACACTAGTACGATGAGGTACCTTGGTGTATGCAAGATGAGACTACAAGCTCAATGAGGAAGGTGATATGGTGAAGTTATATCATTCCACGGCTGGGGTGAGTTTGCTTGCTCAAAGGGTTGATGCGATCCTACAAGTTCAGTCGAGGACCGCAGTCAGGAATTTGGCTTGATACTCCCCAGCAGTTAGAGCGCTGATGCTCTATCTTGTCACCTGAATCTGTTCCGCGGAGGAGACTAGATGAGATGGAGCAGGGGATGTGCGAATAGTTGAATATTTGCTGAAACGAAGCGAACGCCACAGTCTCGTAATATTTTTATATGTATACGATTATCTCGATGGCCTATAATATGAGCCATCATATTTCCCAAGGCTGATTATTCCCCGCCTGTCTTTTTCACGCATGGAGGCTGTTATTTCTCTGCTGTGCCAATTGCCCCCAGACTCTGCATCCGCACCAAATCATGGTACAATCCTTTTTTGTTCATGAGTTCGGCATGAGTCCCTTTCTCGGCCAGCCGGCCATGGTCCAGAACACAAATTAAATCGGCGTGCTGAATAGTACTCAATCGATGAGCCACGGCAATAGTTGTTCGTTCTCTCGCTGCACGGTCCAGGGCCTCTTGAACGATCTTCTCAGACTCTGAGTCCAATGCCGACGTTGCCTCGTCAAGTAACAGGATTCGGGTTTTCCGAAGAAGGGCCCGAGCAATTGCTAGTCTTTGCTTTTGGCCCCCGCTGAGCATAGTTCCTCCCGTGCCAACCGGGGTTGCAAAGCCATCACTAGAATTTGCGTGAGTCAGGCTGCAAGGCATGAAGGGGGTAAGGAAGGAAATAGGAACTTGATAGGCCTGAATAGAAGCGACTCACGGAAGGGAAGAGATGAAATCATAGATATTCGCTTTCTTGCATGCCTGCACCAATTCCTCCTCTCCCACTCCTCTTTCGGTGCCCAACAGGAGGTTCTCCTTGATTGACCCCTCATACAGAGTAGGCTCCTGGCTAACCAATGATATCAAGTTCCTATAGTCATTGATATTGAGCTTGGAAATATCTTCTCCATCAATAAAGATTTTACCATCTGTGGGGTCGAAGAATCTCTCTAGTAAATGGATCACGGTGCTTTTTCCACTGCCGCTCGATCCTACCAATGCCACATACTGACCGCGTCGTATACTGACGCTGAAATTATCGAGAACTAGCCGTTCTGGCCGATTAGGGTACCGGAAACTGGCATTAACGATGTCTATCCGCCCGCCACTCTCAGTAATGCCTTGGCCTGTGGTATCCCAAGTGTCGATTATCGGTTTCAATTCAAAGAGGTTCTTCAAATTCTGACCAGCATGAAGAGCCTTACTCATATCTGGAGCATAGGAGAATATTGCCCCTGCAATTTGTGCACCGGAAATCAGAGCCACGAAGCAGATGAAGAATTGAAGCATATTATATTCGTTTTTTGCCAAGAGAGTTCCGCCATACCAGAATGCGAGTGCAGTGCTAAATAATGTGAAAGACTGAGATGCAGCGTAAAGAGTAGAGGTTAGTAGAGTTGATCGCAGTATTTTTGCCGCTTGTCGGTCTAAGATGCTTCTATATTCGTCCAGTACATGACTTTCAAGAGTCAATGAGGCGACCGACCGGATAACTGTTATGATCTCACTCGCGTATATGGCCCCTTCTTCGTGAATTTCCCTCATCTGGCTGTCAAAGAGGGCGAGCACTCTCAGTCGGATATAGCCAGAGCCTGCCACGAGTGGAATTGTTACAGCGCAGACAAGAGCGAGTTTCCAGCCAACCGCCAGAGATAGGATAATTGCGGCTGTGAGGGTGGCTATGAACGTCAGACATGCCCCTATTATTGCACCACTGAGACCCGTGAGGTCGGTTGGCGCGGTGGAGAGGAAAGATGTCAAACCCCCTGATGAGTGCTCTTTTTTGTCAAAGAAGCTTAGGTCCTGACGGAGGATAGATCGGAAAGCTTGATGTCTGGCCTTGTAAGTGAGACGTTCTGTGGAATAAGAGAAGCACGCTCCCTGACCGAACCATGCAATGAAGGAAACGATGGATATCATCAGAAACATAAGACACCAAAAGTCAATTTCGTGGCGGAGTTTGGCATATTGGGATGCTGGGAGGGAGACGACTGTGATTGACTTTGCAAAGAAAACGGATTGTCTGTGATTATATCCCAATCAGTAGCAATTTACTTGTTTAGGGGGTAATTTTGATATCAGAACTTACGTTGGAACCACGCCACCAGCAATTATGCAGAGAAAAAGACCGGCAAGAATGACACGGGCTTCCTCTTTGTTGAGCTTTGCTACAACCTGAAAGTACGTCCAAAAAGTTGGCCTATTCTCTGCTGGGGCGTCCTGATGCCCTGTATCGGCCATTTTGGAGCTCTTGGGGCTATGTTCAAGATCCAGTGTTTCTGCGGCGGCCGCCAGCTTGGGTTCTTTGGTCAGAATGGCTTCCGTTTGCGCTTCTTTCCAAACGATATCGTCACTCGTGTCGTTTGCGGCATCCTCGGACGCTGTTCCTATCTGCTGTGCTTCGACTAAGCCGGAATATATTCCACCTTGACTCATCAACTCATCATGTCGACCTTGCTCAACAACGGAGCCTTGTGACATGACAATGATATTATCAGCATTGCGGATAGTAGATAAACGATGTGCAACCACTATTGTTGTACGGCCTTGAGCAGCAGACTCCAATGCCAGCTGAACTGCCCTCTCTGATTTAACATCTAGGGCAGATGTGGCCTCATCTAGCAGGAGAATCTTGGGGTTGGTAATAATTGCTCGGGCAATGCAAATACGCTGCCTCTGGCCACCTGAAAGCTGCAATCCTTTGGGGCCGACCTCGGTTTGGTAACCCTGTGGGAGAGCCGTGATGAAGTCGTGAGCGTTTGCAACTTTGGCGGCAGTGTACACGAGCTCCTGTTTTTCATGCTCTGATCGCGGTAATCCGGGGTCATTCAAGCCAAGGAGGATATTCTCGAAAATACTACGGTTGAACAAGATGGGCTCTTGAACCACATACGACATTTGCTGCCTTAGCCAATTCAGATTCAGGTCGGCTACCCCACATCCATCCAACGCTGCCGTGCGATCATACAAGTCAGTAGCATACACTAATTTTGATGAATTCATAATAAAAATTCTTACTGATACTCCCTCCAGTAGGTTCGTAAAACCGTTCTATTAGCCCAATGATGCTGCTTTTTCCGCATCCCGATGCCCCGACGAGGGCTGTGGTCTTGTTCGCAGGGAACCGCAGGCTTACCTGCTTCAGAACCTCGACATTCTGTCGGGATGGGTATACTAAGTTGACATTGTGCAGTTCAATATCGCCTTGCACCTGAAGTGGCCGCTGCCCTTCAGTAGAAAAGGGGTCTAATGGCGACTGGCGAGAGATTGCTTTGAGAATCGTTCCTGCGTGAGTAAGACTGTTGATGAATGATTCACCACTAGGGGCAACTCTTCCGACAGCAAAGGCACCAATGATTGTCGCTAAAATAGTGGTAGTGACTGCGGCCGCGGTCGTCTCGCCGCTGACGATATAGCGAGAGCCTTGCCAGAACGCTAGGGAATAGCTAATATAGGGTATTGCGTTCATGCTCCCAATCATGACTGATATCGACAGCCGCGTCTTGACCCCCCATGTCTCTGCAGAGTCGAGGTACTTTTGGTAGCGCTCGGCCATGGCATCCTGGATCCCAAAGGCAGAAACGTGCCGAATGGTACCAATTGCTTCTTCTGCAACCGACGCACCCTTGCCTAGAGACGCAGAGTTCTTTCTGCTGTACTTTAGCGCGAACGATGCACCTAGAAACTCCGCTACTCCTAGCAGGACGGAACTTGATAGTAGTATCAAGGCGAGTTTCCAGTATTCGATAAAGGAGATGACGATGGCCGACAAAAAGGTTGCTAGCGCGGTGAGAAATAGTGAGATTTTGCTTGAGATTCCCTCCTGAAGGACATTCATATCTCCAGTTATTCTCGTCGTAACCTCCCCGGGACCAAGGGTATCAAAAAATGCAATATTTTGCCGGATAATCGCCTTGAGGTATGCCAGGCGCAGGTTTCGCGTAATTCGCTCCCCCGAGTAGTAAAACCCAACTGTTGCAATGTATATGAGGACGAACTCTGCAATGCCGAGATATACATAGTAGAGGGCAAATTTGGAGACATCGGAAGACAACTGCGAGCTGTCCTCCGTTCCGTGTGCATGGCTTTGGAACGAGCCCACCAAAAGACCGTAGATTACAGTAAGAAGGGGATTCAAAGCGCCTGCGAGGGTGGCCGAGATCGTGCTGATAGTGATCAGAACCACATCCAATGGCTGGGCGTATGCGAATACGGTGGAACTATTCTGCGAGAGGGAGGGCAACCCATCAAGCTGGCGTTGGAGAATATTTTTAGAGAGCTCATCCTCGATGTCCGGAGAGAGTTGACTGTTTTCGGGGAGCTGCTGCTGCTGCTTCATGTTTCCTGCCATGTTTCCTGCCATGGTTTGCTTGTGTCCCTTCTCCTACGTAGAGCTTTCGAGTTGATCCTCTAGAGTATGCGCTCCCCCTTCACTCCAAGGCAGTTCTCTTAAATATCCCCATCATCATCATGACTCATATCTAGGGGTTGTTGGAAGACAAAAACAGAGACAGGAAGCCAATTCCATCCCTGATAATTGTCCCACTTGGTGTTGGCTATCCCGTATATACAATATGCATGCACATACTGACTAGTGGAATCTGATGAAGGATCAGGCCGGATATTCCTTCGAGTTTCCCCATTAGTTCTCCGCCTCAGTTCCGCTGGGAGAGCCATCCATGTATAAGAAGAGGTCTGGGATGAACCCCGGCAGACTTGTGTCTTCACCAAGGCACTCGTTCACCATCTTTTCGCCTTGCTTTTTCTCTCTTTTTTTTTGAAGACCAGCAGTAAGCGCATTCGTCTGGCCGCTCCAGCCTTGCACACCAGGGATATGCTCCATGAAAAGAAGAGCCGAGAACCCTTGTGGGCTGTCACACCGCTATACGTTAAGTCTCTTATGATCGACACTTCCCCGAGACAAGGGCAAAGATGTCGAGTACTTCTGATGGAGGACGGGTTAGCGAATCTCTGCAAGTTCGAATGAAGTTGAGAGCTAGGATAGACTCATATATCAAGGGTGAACCTCTTTAGCCCTAACTTTTAATTGATTATCGTCGAAAGGTTGATGTTTGGCTAAAAATAGACGCAAGCTATTATTCTTGGTGTTTTTGATATGAACGCGTCCCAATCCTATCATTCACTCGAGTAAACACTCGACCTGAACAAACATATCCAGGTTGCCAAGCGGACTGATCTTTAGCTGCAAACTGCATGATCATAGAAGCCTTCAGGAAAAGGTTTCTATGCATGTAACAGCTAGCATCTAAGTCTCTATTTTCCAAAATGTTTGAATTACGCTGCTGCCTGGGGTATGAAGTCATGGCAGGCCCTACGTCAACAGAGCATACGTCAGTTGCAAATACGCTATCATGAAGCCAAGGGGATATACGAGCATACGGAGTACCTGAAGTCGGGTAGGCCACTGACGCGCCCGGTAGGAAGACATTCGGTTCAGGGCGACGACGCTGATGTCGGATTACGTGGAGATCCTCCCTGCCGATAGGGCTGGATAGCTGAAGGCCTCCCGAAAAACGGACCAGGTTATTGATATCGAAGGGACCGGTTACCTTTCTGGGTTGGATCACGTCGTCATGTCAATCTGAATACGCATATGAAATCTATGGTGGACAATGCAATCTGAGAGCATAAAAGGAGTCCTTCTCCCTCTACGATTGCTATTATCCTTCCTCAATCCATCTGTCAATACCCTCATCATTATATACAAACACTAGCCTTCCCCGAGCCAAAATTTATTGCACGCAAGATGGTTCAAATATGGTACGCTGCAACAGCGCTATTACTGCTGAACCCCGTCCCTGTCCTCTGCGGCGGTCATAACTCTCGAATCGTGGAAAAGATTAGGGCCGAATTCAAACTACCCGGATTCGCTGTTGGGTTGGTTAAGAATGGCCATTTGCAGTATGAAGTCGTTGGTCGACGGAGAATCACGGATCCAAATCCGATCAAACGTACAGATAACTTCCACCTGGGATCGAATACGAAGGCAATGACTGGTACCCTGATTGGAATGATGGTCGATAGAGGCTTGATTTGTTGGAACAGCACTCTTCCGGAGGTGTTGCCTGATTTTGCCGACATCATGGCTGATGGCCATCGACAAACCACTGTCGCCATGCTCGGCGCCCATAGATCGGGTATTTTCGACGATTACTCAAAAGATCTGGATTTTTACCTTGGTCTTTATGACCTCGCCCCCGTTGAGGGCCGAAAGTCGATGATAAAGCATACCCTCAGCAAGGAGCCAGAGGCCGTCAGAGGCCAATATGTCTATGATAATACCAACTACGTGATACTAGGCAGGATCATCGAAAATTTCATGGGAGGTGGAGCATCTTCTTGGGAGGAGATAATCACCTCTGAGCTTTTCAACCCTCTCGGAATGAGATGCGGGTTTGGCACGCCTACTGAATCATCGGAAACGTCCATCGACAACCCCTGGGGCCATTATTTTTACAATTCTTCATCCAGCCCCGAACCTGTGGGAGGTCCGCTGGTCAGACGAGACAACCCACCCGCCGTTGGGCCTGCAGGTGCTGTCCACTGTGATATCAAGTCGTACATGAACTTCCCTAGGATGCATATCGATGGATTCAACGGCCGACGTACAAAACTTGGAATAAGCAAGGAAACGTTTAAGATGTTGCATACACCATACCCATCGTCCGACGGCGACCAATACACCCACGGTGGTTGGATTTACTCCAACGGAACCCAAACTCCCTGGGCTCATGGACCAACGTTGGGCCATGAAGGTTCAAATCGGTCAAACTACGCGCTGGTTTTTCTTGTCCCGAAGCGTGGTCCTGCTGGGGAAATCATCACCGGCTTTACAAATACGGGTAATTATATCCTGGAGGCGGGCACGGCACCAGCAGCGGATGCGATGTATAGAGCTGTTCTGGAAATCGTTGAAGGCCGTCTGTTCACGTGAGTTTGGAGTGGTTGGTTAATAGAGAACATATTCTGAGAAGTAATATTACCTCTCAGTGCGCTTATAGACAGCCTGTCAAGAACATAAGAATAATGATAGAATGATTTTTCGTAAACTACGTGTATCTTCATCTATAGTTTCTAGCTCCTATAAAAATAGCACGTGACACGTGACATCTATTATCAGATTGCAAATCCAAAGCCAGCATTCTTGAGCCTCAGTCCATCACTTCCTCCAACAAAAATACTCTGGGCAGTGCACCTTTGGCATGGGATGGGTGGGAATAGGGGCTCTGATAGCCTCTATAACTTATATTCTCTATAAGCATCCTCCAACATCATGGTCTTTTCTCCTTTCGCCCTGGAGTTATTTTGCAGGGCGACGTATCTCTCCAGATGAAGGGAATTCAAGTGCAGCTTCTATCAGTGTTCTGCAGAAAGATGACCGGGCCGGTACGAAGCTCGATCATAATGATATCAGCTTACCCGATGTGACATCTAGCGGGCGGAACCTGGATGCTGAAACGACACCAAAGGCAAAGCCGACCATACCGGCATCTAGCATCCCACCTATAACCCTCGAGGAGCCTTCAGTTACGATAGAAGGTGAAAAGGAGGCCGTCACGCCGTCCTCTGGGCCAGCAATAGGTCCAGATGCTAGAACACAAGCCGTAACCCCTCCAGATATTCGAGTTCCCCCTCCAAGGATGACACTTGATCCTCCCGCGCAAGCTGTCAAGGCACAGGCACAAGAGCAACGTCTCTCTACGCCGACAAGTGCATCATTGATGCTTCCTCCACCTCCGCCACCACCTTTCTCTCGAACGTCTGCCAGGGCTCCTCTCCGGCCCCCACCATCCGCCGCGGCCTCCCTTCGTGTCCCGCCTGGTTCACGACCTACATCCAGCACCTTACCCGTTCTTCCTCTCCCCGGCAAACCACAACGATCATCTCGTCCGGTCATGTTAGAACCAGGCCATTCTCCGCTTGACTGGGCAGCTCTAACATCCGACCCGAGAAACAATCTTCGCGGTGCCGATCTGCCACCTACCTTAATCAGAGTCACTCCGTCGGTGTTGAAGCAATATAACGGACGAAAAGGCCGTGATGCATGGACATCGTATCAAGGAAAGGTGTATAACATCACCCCATTCGTACCGTTTCACCCTGGTGGAAAGGGAGAACTCCTGCGCGGTGCCGGGAAAGATTCAGAGAAGCTATTTGCTGAGATCCACCCTTGGGTAAACTGGGATGGGATGCTGGCCGAGTGTATGGTTGGAATTTTGGTTGCTGAACATGCTGCTGTTGATAAAGAGGGCGGAGAACTAGAAGAGATGGATTAGCCCTTTTTCTCGTCAGTTGGTTTATTCCACCCCCACTTTGTGTGTATATAGATGGTACATTTATGGCGCTGTGAGATTATGGAGTTATGATACCCAGAAACTAGACTATCAATATATCTCATTTTATATCACTAGTCAGTAGAAAGCAGTTAAGAAGCCACGCAATGGTGGAGGTTGGAACCCGGACATTACACCTGTGTTATATCTAACTACGGCTGCAGCCCAGACTCTAATCATTTTGGCTTTGGCACAGGATAGGGCCGTCAAATGATTCGTTCCGGTAGTTTAGATCTTCATATTGCATATAGATATAGATATACATATATAAACTCAAAGTCATGCCCCCAAAACCCATGGCGGGGCACAACCGATACATCTAAACATAAGACCCTCACTTGCTCTCGTCACCATAGATTCATCAGTCCGGCAAGGGACAAACGCCGACAAGCTAGGTTTTTGTCTATTCGCGGTATACCGGAACAATCTAAAGCTCGCTCTTGGAGATCTCGACCAACTCGGTCTCGAAGACGAGGGTGGCGCCTCCGGGGATAGGGCCAACTCCGCGGTCACCGTAGGCGAGAGCTGGTGGGATGGTGAGCGTCCTCTTCTCGCCAACGCACATATCAAGGAGTCCTTGGTCCCATCTAGACACGTAACAGATCAGTATGCGGGGTCTTGCTATATAGCTGGTGGGAGGAGAACTCACCCCTTGATGACCTGACCGGCACCGACGGTGAAGGCCAATGGCTGACCACGGTCGTAGCTGGCATCGAATTTCTTGCCAGTGTCCTTCAGGGTGCCACGGTAGTGCATCTTGACGCTGTCGCCCTTGACGGTGCGGCGGTCGCAGTTCTCGACGGCCTTGGTGACCTCGATGACGAGGCCCTCTGGGGTGGTGGTGGTTTTTGCGGAAGACATGGTGATAGCAGCAGTCAGGATGGTCAGGATAGGTGCAAGGCGCATGTTTGGATAGGAGGAAGAAGGATGGAAGGGAGTCTCGGAAGTCTGGCGGCGGGGGGTTAAGTAAACAGAAGTGGGCTCCGAGTTTATAACTAATCGGCCTGATGCCTTGGACAAGGCCTGCTCTGCTAACCATATGGAGTATGTTCCTCCATCGTTCGTGGGTTACAGCCAGTTTTGACCAAACTCTACAGCAGAGTTAAGTCTATCTCTAGCTATGTATACAGTATCTACAAATCTACATATATACAGTATATCATACTATCCATCTTAGATATCTAGCCATAGCGGTGGTATAGTGGTGGAGGAGGAGGTCACGTGCCTACTAGTTACAAAAGCTTTTCCGTTCCGACAAATCTCTAAGAAACATCCCACCTTCGGACTGCTTGATAGCAGGGAAGAGAAGCATTCTTTGACAGGTCTGCAGAGACACGCCCGGACACGAGGAGAACACGCCATTGAAGATGCGGTTAAAGACACTGCCTTGCCTGGAGCTGCCGGCTGCGGCCGACATGCATGTCCACCTCCGTCAGGATGCCATGATGCAGCTAGTTACACCCTCTATACGACAGGGAGGGGTTGATACTGTGTTTGTGATGGTATGCGCAGACGATTCTTTTTTACCGTAGTCCCTGTTCTCGTTACTCTCTGGTAATTCAAGTTTCTGACTCGTCCAATTGCAGCCAAACCTTCAGCCACCCATTACAACGGTCAACCAGGCACTAGAGTACAGATCCAAGCTTCAGGAGATCGAGCCGGATGTCCATTTCCTCATGTCTCTGTACCTCCATGACTCCATCACCCCGGATGTCATCAAGGAAGCTGCTGCCGCTGGCATCACTGGTGTCAAGGTTTACCCTCAAGGTAAATTGATGGTTGTCTCCTTATGTCCCCACGGTTGTGTAACACGCTTCTAACGAATGATTCAGGAGTGACTACCAATTCGGCGTCTGGCGTTACCAGTCTGGATGACTTCTACCCTGTATTTAAGGCAATGGAAGAACATGATCTCGTGCTTAACTTGCACGGTGAAGTTCCAGATGTCGATGTAATGAATGCGGAAGAAGCATTCTTGCCGACTTTAAAGCAGCTACATGAACGATTCCCGAGTTTAAGGATCGTGCTTGAGCATTGCACCACTTCCGCTGCCGTGGAGACCGTACGCTCATGTGGACCGACAGTTGCAGGTATGCCCCTTTTATTGCTGATGAATTTTATTAAAAAGACAGTCACTAACATTGGAGTCCAGCCACCATTACTGCCCATCATCTCTATCTCACGGTCGATGATACAGTTGATCCATTGGCCTTCTGCAAACCTATTGCCAAGACACCGGCAGACCGAGATGCCCTAATAAGGGCTATATGCAGCGGAGACTCTAAATTCTTCCTGTAAGGCATCTACATCCTACATCCTTACTCGAACGTCAAAGGCTAACGAGCTTCTGTAGTGGAACTGATAGCGCTCCACACCCAAAATCAGCCAAGGATCAAGCGAAGCCAGCAGCTGGTGTCTTTACCCAGCCCTACGCAACACAATATATTCTCCTCGCTCTAGAGGATGCTACCGAACGTAGCATTATACAGGAGTCCGCCGTCACCCAGGAGCGGCTGGAAGGGTTCCTTAGCCGGTTCGGTAGACAGTTTTACAAACTACCTGAACCCGAGTCCGGGAAGATCATCCTCGAGAGAAAGGGAGAGACGATTCCAAAGACTATTAAAAATGATGATTCCAGCGTTGAAGTTGCTTTGTCAAGAGCTGGCGCGGAGATTTTCAGCTTGCGATGGGCTTAAGTGTCCCGCGATACCAAGATTATGCATTCCTACATCTCTAAAGCAGTTAGATTGTTCACATCGACTCAGTCCGGGTATCCAGTTGTCAGCCACTAATACACGTCTTCTTGGTGGGAAGGCATATCTTACAAAGGCTTTAATAGAGCTACTCCCGGGCCCGCTTTCTTTTGAAACTTGTTCCTGAATGTGTTCGGCCACTCTTACTAGCAGGGCAGTTTTGTTATTAGATATCTAATCTAAGAAGCCCACGCTACGTAATCTACAGGCATCGTGCAGCCACGCTCCGTTTCTTTCCCTGTGTTTGAAAAATGAGATCACGGCAGTTTATTTATCGCTACGTACCAAGCCTAGTTACTCCATTGAATAATCTATACGCTTGTTGCCGTTGGTGTATACCGCTGACTATGCCGTTAGTTACTGGAGGAATACATACTGTAAGGAGGCGATAGGATATTGTATAGAGCTTGATTCGAGGGAGTAACTGAAATACTCTCAAATCTAAACCTCGCCAACTCTTTGCATGTAATGTTATCCTTTGGCAAAACATCCTTGGCAGCTAGAGGACGGTCCCTTTTTCAAAGCTTGAAACGGCCAAGGTATATTGATACTTTCAAGTCATCAATATATATTATGATTCATCCTATTAGGACGGTACGTTGGATTATATATTTAAGCCAGAGGCGGAAACGAAAGAAGAATTGACGAGCTCTTGATTTATATCATGCTAGATTCCCATACTAGCACCAGGGAATGCGGCTAATGGCAATTAAGAGACATGAAATAAGGACAAAGACATAAACACCTGTCTGGAAACTCCGTTCCTCACTTGATTTCGCTCTAACTAGATCTATCCCCTGCCTCTCACACCACTGCTTGTACTTCACGAGCCATTCATCGTATTTATCGCCTGCATTAGACAATGATGGCGTCTCGGTGGTCAAACCCCCTCCGTTAACAATCTTAACGAATCCCTGGATATCGGCGCCATGTGTTTTATCCAGTCTCACAAACCCCCTATAGTGAATGCAGCAGAGGCAGAGCGATGTGCAATGGGAATAATGCACTTCTCCGCCGGGAGATACTTCTCGAGGCTTTGTGCAGCATCCGCAGTCTCTCGAACAACACCCTCCCCTCGCCTTGCATGGCTCTGCATGCTGACTTTGCGCCAGTAACCAGGGCTCGCCCATCTTTGCAATCTTTCTGCGTTTCCGTTTTGAATCCACTAACCAGCCTCTTGTCTTTGGACCTACAGGCATCCTCTCGTGCAAGTTAAGAACAGCCTTTCGATTAAGCCATAGCCTAGTCTTCGAGTCCGCTAGCTTATGCGACCAGTCCTTGGGACCAAAGCGATCGAGTCCCTCGTCAAGTTTTTCGAGTTCATACTTGGTAGCATATTGAATATACATTTCTTTAAGGAAGATATCCCGTTGTTTCAAGTAAATCCAATCTTCATTTAGACGCTCTTGCGCCTCAATCCACTGCGTTTGCATGTGGAGATAATCATTTGACTGGAAAAGCTCCATATGCTTTCGGATCATGTCGGATACACAGTATATTTGGAGGCGGTCAAATATCACTTCGAAACTTGGACCAATGCCGAGTAGTAGCTTTATTAGTATGGAGGACATCAATATCTCAGCAACGAGAGTCCAGGTAGGCACGATGGCAAGGTCTAACGACCAGGAAATCTCCTTGGGCAACATTGTGTTGAATATTGCAGGTTTTCTTAAAGTAGTGGTATATTCGTGCAAGATAGAAGCAGGATGGAAGTTGGAATAAGGAAAATGGGAAAACTGTGGCCTTAAATAGGCCATCACGGGTCCTACCGCCAGAATCTGGCATCGGTATGATTCTATGATGGCATTTCCGGCTTCTATCTAGCGATTAAAGGTGGTCGTTGAGGCCTGGTTGAGATGGAATTGTGGTCCAACCAGACGTGTATAAAAGGTTAAATTTTGGCGAGTCAATATAATTCATACACAGCTTGCCCTCCTAAAAAGCGCCCACCGTAGTTACCTATAAGACATGATACACATTCCGTTGTGTCTTCCTACCAAGACAACCGTACCTGCATTGAGTCGCCTCTTAAGGTTATCAACACAAGCTTTGAAACTAGAGTTCCAACAGGAGGACATACGAATAGGTAGATAACTAGTATCTAGATACCAAACCGCATCAACCGGCTAGGTATAAATTCAGCACCGTTCTAAGAAAGGTATATGGAGAAACCTAGTTGATTGTCCCATGTACCATCTTAGAGTTGCCAGCATAAGCTGGTCCGGTCCTGGTACGTGAAGAGCTACACCAACATTATCCATCCAGCACCCAGTCCAGACTCACTATCCCGCACTCATCCGTAGACGGCACCATATCCTTGCTCCCGGCCCGTGTTGGCTTCCGATATGCAGAATGCCCATGACGATACTCTGTACTCTGGCATCAGCGGGAGTCTAAGCCGACTACCGTACCTCCCCAACGTTACTCTATGGGAAATGTTGGGTGCAGACACGGGTACAACGCATGGTACGGTGAGGACTCGAAAAAGTGATCTCATGCCCTGGTTCTTGCAGTTTGAATCTAGGTCCCATTCGGCTCTGCCTCACCGCAGTTTGTGCGTGTGTCTATCATCCAGGGGCTGTTCTCCGTCGACCCATGGACTCGCTCAACTGCCGTGTGAGATGGTAACAGGTGCAATCCACATAATGCCACCACGTCATGGTTTCAGCTGTTTGAGAGATGGAGACTGGTAATTCCGGAACCCAGCTTATACCATCAATAGGTGTATTAGTAATTTGCTGCTATGAATAATCTGGTACTCCGTAGACCGCCACTCCGTACTCCCATCGCCTCTCGTCCTCCATTTCGCTGTACGGGCGTGGTGTGAGGTGTCGCAGTTCAGTCTCAGGGGGTATGACGTCGACTCTGGTTAGCCACGACGAAAAATAGCACACCGACACGGCCAGGCTTAGGAGCGTCGCGGGTGTGGCTATCGGGCATGCATCGACGCTGAGCCTCTCGAGTCCAATCCGTGTCGTGGCTGCGGTAGACACTTGGGCAGCGATGGTCCAGCCCGGAGCCCAAGTCTGATTTCCCTGATGCTGATACAGGGGGCAAAGGGTAAGGAGCAAGGCAAAGGGAGAAGGGACATCACGTGAACCCTACTGTTGGTCGCCCTGCTTAATCACGTGAAACATGCCCAAACCGGCTAGCGCAACTGCCGCCTCACCCGCTGACTCAGCAATAACAAAGCTAAGCCTCTTTGGGCAGAAAACCAGGGCTCGGGCCGTGTTTCTGCCTGGCGACGCCGCCTTCCAGCCATCTTGAAGTTAGCGCGTACAAACCCCGAAGAGGAAGTCTGCCGGCATCAACTTTCTTCACCACCCAACGAGCGCGTCCTCGTTCGCCGCAGCCTGCTCCCATTTGCTGGCAAGGGGAGAGATGCTGCATGCTGCTGCCTGCTGAGGTGCCGGACGATGATCGCCTTACCCAGTCTCCTGAGTCACCCCAAAGAAAAACTACCTTTTTTCCTTCCCCCTTCCGTTCCCTGCGTGGATCTTCGGCTGGGGGCTAACTATTCCCCTTACGGTGGCTTGAGCTGGTCTGTTTTTCCCCCGGACGCCAGACAAGCCGGAGGTCAATTGGACAGCTGCGAAACAGCTTTGATCCTAGGGGTCAGAAAGACGAACCACGTTCAATTGATGCTGTCTCACTGACTAGCTCGGCCTATCACCACCGTGCTCCAAGGACAATTTGTTTTTGGAAGTTCGTGGCCCCTGTCATTTGGGGCTGTCCGTGGACCGTACCTCCGGAGTACCGTCACCTTCTTTTCCCCCAGGACCTGATCCCTCACTTTCTCACACCTTCTCATCCAACGTCTGAATGCAGTCCAGAGACTGACGACACCTCGACTTCCCCTTCTGCCTTGCCAGCCACGGGACTTGAAGCCTCTTCGTCGAATGAGCTTCTCATCCGCTCTTCTTGCCTACAGTTCTGCCTAATTGTCTGGCGCCAATTTCATCATCCATTGCCTGGCCATCTACCATGACGCACATAGTAGACGGCTATCCTATACCCTGCGAAGACTGTTAATCGCGTGCCTCTTTTTGTGTCCTCTCTGGTGCCTGCAGAATTCACCCTCTCCTCGCTCCTCGTCCGTCTGGCTGCCTAGCTTCAACCCCGCGGCATTCTTTTCTATCTTTAGAGCCGTTCGAGGCAAAAAGAACATACTGGGTAGACACCTGGTTGGCTTTTACCCGACAGCTCTCATCCTCCTTCTCTCTCTTTCCCCAGCCCTCTTGTAGATTCCTAGAATCCCTGAGTGCTCTGTGACCTTCGATTTCTTCTCAAAGCCTCCTCCTCCAGATTATAAATACCTGGAGAATCTTCCTTCCGATCAACCATCTTCTCTCAACACTCACACGCACACACACAACTGTCACACCCACACCCACCCAAAGCTTTATATACAAGCCGTCTTCCGTCTCTATCTTTGACGATTCTCTCTACCTCTCCACCGCTATAAACCACCGTCTTAACAACAAGCGGTACTCCATCTCCTGAACAAATTACCAATCTTCACCACATACAACCTACGGTTCACATCTCTCATCATGCCTCACAAATCTCAAGTCTCTGTTGGCTCGACTGGTAGCTCTACCAGCAGCGGATACTCATCACCCAACGGTCAAGGTATGCATCTCTCGTTCTCCTATTCTCTACTGGAAGCTGTTGCCATTGTCGGCTCCTTACATCATGCCATCAGCTAACCTTACTTTCTTCGATTCACCAGGTCAAAATCCGGGCCACAAGAAACCATCCAAACCATTCATACACAACTCGAATCCCTCGGGTTGTGACGACAAGAAACGTTCCGGGTTCGACGGAGTGAAGTGGAAATAAACGCCAGCCCTGCATCCACTACTTTCACAAAAAACGGGGCGAACCTACCATCCTCAACCGTCCCTTTACCTTTACAATTGGAACCCAGCCTCAGTTTCATTCTTCCCTTTACTCAGCATTCAACATCTTATTACGAACCATACCTGGTGACACAAGCGGTGCCCACCCCATATGGTGCTTTATTTATATCATGACCTGGTTTTACTACGCCAGTTTCTACCTTGGCATGGTAAGATGAACGTCTATCTCGTTGTCTCATGGATAACATAAAGTCTGCACTGTGGGTCCACCGTTGAGCAGCAGTTTCCTGCAGGCCAGGATCCTATCTTGTTCGACCTGGATGTTCCCCTTCTGTACTCTACTTTCCTTTGTTTCTATTTTATGTATGACTACTCGGAGAAGGTTTGGCAAAGGCGCACTTGGAGTTCGTCTTTCCCAGCTTTCATGCTGGCTTTCATGCTGCCTTTCAGATGCCTTTTGGGGAGTTTATTGCTTTTTTCTTTACTCTTATTCTGATAATTTGTATCTCGTTGTTTCATCTACTCTGTCCCACCCCCACAGAAGTCACCTTTTCCCTCTTCCTCGCCCGGCTGAGCCGTCGAGAGGATGATGGTTAATTGGCGGGGGGAAGCGAACCGTCCCAGTCGGGCGCAGCTATCATCCTTCCGACCTAGCCCTACATGTTGCAGCTGCAGGGGTTTTACTCCGAAAAGTCTGGGTGTTGCCCTGGCCTAGCCGCAAGGCTGCAGAACCATATCGCTTTTTCAGCCTTTCCCATGTCCTTCCCTCCCTTACCACCTACTCATAGTTTGAGAAACAGACAGACTTTTTTCGTTGGAATCATGTCCCTTTTATGAAGTGTTTTTGCCCCAGAGCTTGTCCCAGTCCTCTGACCCAGTTTATATTGCTTTTTATATTGCTTTTTTTTTTCTTATCTCGCTTGTACACTATCTTGCCATGCGTCCCCAGCAGAAATTTCTCGGCTCTAGCGAATGGATAACTACTACCAGATCGCTATATAATTACTCCATATTGCATTCTCAATCACTTCAGATCCACGGTGGCTGCCCCTTGACTTCTTCTTCGTTGTGGCTTGCCCGTTTGGGCGGTCTAGTCACGTGTGATCTTCGACCTGCGTCGTCTTTTCTTTCCTCTGCATAACTTTCTTCGTACTCTCTTCTCCGTTCTCTCTCTTATTATTATAAAGGTCGGAAGCCATCAACTGCTTCATCTTGCTACTCTATGCCTCATGAGGACAAAGGTCCCAGGCTCGTGAACCTAGCGAGCACAGATGGGTAAGAAACGACTTGCTGTCAAAGTCCTCCTCGGCACACGGCAGTGATGATCTGTCTGGCTTATGTATGTGATAATGTCGGTGATTTACCTAATAGCGCGTGGTTAATCATTGCTTCTGGCTTTGCTGATGCATCCTGATAGGTTGTCAGACACCCTGTATTGGACGCTGGGCCCGGCATGTCCAAATCGAGATACGTAACTAAAATGCACGAACTGTCTCCATAACCCTTGTACGGAGTAATTTTATCCCTCTCGGGCCGCCAATGGTCCCCTGGAAGCTTTGTGAAGAACCTCAAAATCTGCGATCAACGGGTCCCATGGAGTTGGGGAGGGTTACTATTGTGGTGGCGGGACATGACCCTTCCTCTAGTGGCAGCATAGTTAGATCCCGAAGATTTGATTTGGTGCTGTATCGGCGGAAAGACTCGAAACCAATTCTGAGAAAAGCGATCTAAAACTATACCCTGCAAGCATGATGGAAAATACGATAGAACTTAGCATGCGTTCCTAGGGTGTTCTTTAGTGGCGAACGCCATGCATAATACCACGAGCCAGGATGGGGGATCATCCCTTTATATATAAAGAGGTTTCCATTGACCCGGCTCCCCATCGTGGGGGGAGCCAACCTTCGTCTACCAGCAGTCTCTTACATGTTGAGATTCCAGTGTCCTTAACGGACTCCCCCAGGGTTCGCCGCCATACAAGTCGTCGCCCCTACGGCCGCGACGACGAAAAGCCGACGGTATGAACAGGGTACCACAGGAGCCTCCGGATGGAGATGTCAATAAGGGCCATATCATCATCATCTTAACATGGACCGGGTTCAGCCTTTCGCTTCTTCTTGTGGCAGCCAGAGTGTGGACTCGGGTGCGAGTTGTTAGAGCATTTGGCTGGGATGATGGCTTCATTTTACTCGCCCTTGTAAGTGCAAGCTTTTCTCCCGTCACCACCTCTTAAATCTCCTTTGAAATTCAGCAATTGATCTCTAACCGCTTCATTGTATTTTTAGGCATGCGCTGTGGTTAATGCTGCGATGGTCACCACTAGTATCGCACACGGTACTGGACGCCATCAGTACTATCTCACCAAAGAGGAAGCAATGCAAGCAGATAAATATAATTGGATTTCCCAAGGATTCCACGTCGCATCAACGAACTGGGCGAAAGTATCTATCATGTTATTCCTCCTTCGTATCATTGGCCAGGCAAAATCCCGACAAGCACCCTATTTCTATGGAGGGATGATATTTCTGTCCGTTGTCAACTTTGTCTGCATATACACCATATACGGTCAATGCATGCCGGTGCAATCACTGTGGGATCATACTATCAAGGGGAAGTGTTGGAACCCGCGTATTCAGAGGGACTTTGCTTTCTTCACAGGAGGTAAGGCCTTTTCCCGACTTCTAAAACGAAGTAGAGGTTACTGGACAGCTAATACTCTTCCACAGCTGTATCTGCCGCATCGGATCTCGCGCTCGCTATATATCCGATATGTTTAATTTCGTCGTTACAAATGCCACTTCGGGTGAAACTTGCCCTTGCAACGATCTTTGCGCTAGGTTTCGTGTATGTATATTATTCCCGCATCATCCCCTTCGGAGAATTATTGCTAGTGCCTCTTTTAGTGCCGTGGGCGCCTCTATCGTGAAAACGGTCTTCCTATCACGCCTCTCTGCGCGCGCAGACTACTCATGGAACACCATCGACCTCGTTTTTTGGCTGTGCATCGAGCAGTATCTGATCATGATTGCCGCATGTATACCCATGCTTGGTCCTCTGGTTAAGCTCATCCTCAGGGAAGCCACATCTCGGAATACAGGGTCGTCAGGGTCGTCTTCGTGGCCACGGAGTATTATGCGAAAGATACCTACTAAACGAAAACCCAGACCCTATTGGGCGACAGACACGAGTTTGTATGCGACCCGAGAAGAAGGAACAATATACGGAGTGAATCCTGGGATGAAGACACGATGCTACCCACTCAATTCCTACCACAGTGGTATTGAGCCGCAGGCAACTGCTGAGAGTCAAGAGGCTATTATCCCGGGCTCGAATGGCCAAAGGGATGCTATTGTCAAAGTTAGCGAGGTGCATGTTAAGATCGAAAATCTGGAGGTTGATACGAAGTCAGAGCCTTCTCCGTGTTAATTTGGATATGGGGGAATCAGGCGTTGGTGGTACAGGTTTCTTTTGTTAATTTTTTTCAGCGACTTGAGCACTTACTGGAGTACTTGTATATATCAGAATTTTTGAATGAACAGCGACATGAGCGGATGTACGATATCTACGGAGTATATATCTATATGACAAGCCAGAAACCAGCTGTTGGTGCATATAGCCGGCCTACTGCACCTTTCACCCGAATATCAGACTCTTTGCAACAATCGCATCTTTCCCGTACAAAGACCAGAAAGCAGTCCGCGGAAATCACCAATAACCTGGAAGAACCAAACTAGGTTGGCTGAAATGCTTATGCATGACCTGAACCTGTTCAAAGGTGTATTTTGTCGTTAGTTGATCGGTCATCAGAAGTGAAAAGGGCCAATGTTGTCAGTGTCAACTCCAAATTCCTTTTTATTCGACAGTCGAAGCCCGAGTTCCACAGTCTTTACCCCATACGAAGCACTTGTTTAGTCGGTGGAGTTACTATAGAAAGGAGATATTCTTACCCTCGCGGAGTATACTCGGTAACTAACTACGTCCCGCACTATGGACGGGAAGAGGTCGCACTGGCGTTCCTGGTTGAGAACTATCCCACGTCTCAAGCGGCTCGCATCTTTGATATATTCAACGTCAGACTGAACTTCAACCACGCGAGGGGAGCTTGACAGTGATCTACAGTGCTCCGTATATCCCTCCACTTGATACCCCATGCCGCGCTGAATTTTGAGCTATCGATGACCCAAAAATTGGACATTGCAAATCCAACTGGACACAATGCTGGCAACGCCGGTCACTCCCAATCATCAATGCAAAAAGAAAAAAACCATCTCAAGTTTGCGTCCAGCATAGCACAAAGTGATACGATGTGCTGGAATCTTGCACAGTGCATGTTGATTGCGATGGCCGAAACCCGAGCTATAAAGCGAGGCGAGCCTTCCTTCGAAAAGATGGGAAAGTAGGCATATATCCTGTTTGCTTTTCTTGCGACAGGTATAGACATATTGACAGCCAATATGGGAGTCCGCAGCCTTGTCCTCGTCGTGTTCACCTTCATCGCTGCCGTCCTTGCGGGCTCTTCTCTCCCAAAAGTCGACTACGATGTTATAGTCGTTGGTGGTGGACCAGCTGGTCTCAGTACCCTCAGTGGCCTGGGCAGAGTCCGAAGAAAGGCCCTGCTTTTCGACGATGGCCATTACCGCAATGGAGTTACCCGACATATGCACGATGTCATCGGCAATGACGGTATGTTCTCCTCGACGTCTAGTCTCAGTTTCCCCTCTAACAGTTATCTTTAGGAGCTGTGCCGGACGAATACAGAGCTCTTGCCAGGAAGCAAATCTCTAGATACACCACTACTTCGATCAAGAACGTCAGAGTAGCTACCATCAAGAAAGAGAACAAGGACGCCAAACCAGGTGCATACTTCGTCGTCATGGATGTCAAGGGCCAAAAATATACTGCTCGCAAGATCGTCCTCGGTACTGGGCTACAGGATATCTTCCCAAAGACTCCCGGTATTATGGAGGCCTTTGGCAAGGGGATCTACTGGTGCCCATGGTGTGATGGCTGGGAGCATCGTGACCAGCCTTTCGGCATCCTGGGTAGACTCAGAGATGTCATGGGCAGCGTTGTTGAGATCTGGAGCTTGAACAGAGACATCATTGCCTTTGTAGACGGCACCGATGTCGAGAGCGACAGAAAGAAAATCGCCGAGAGATATCCCAACTGGCAAAAGCAGCTTGAGAAATACAACGTCAAGATTGACAACCGTACCATCAAGTCTGTTGAACGTCTCCAGGATGGCTCCAAGGTGTACGACCCCAAGGAATGGAGGGAGTACGATTTGTTCCGCCTCAACTTTGAGACTGGACCCAGCGTCAACAGAAGCGCTCTCATCACAAACTACCCATACAAGCAGAGATCAACCTTGCCCGACCAGCTAGGTCTCGAGCGTGACGCAAATGATACCAACAAGATCAAGGTGAACATCAACGGAATGCGAACATCCCTTGACGGTGTATTCTGTGTTGGAGACGCAAACAACGATGGAAGCACCAATGTCCCACACGCCATGTTCAGCGGAAAGCGCGCTGCAGTCTATGTCCATGGTGAGTTTACTATTCAATTTTTATGATGATACTAGTGAGTTCAAGTTGCTGACAGTCCTTTTTCAGTTGAAATTGAGAGAGAAAATTCTCTGGACTCTATCCAGAAGCGAGGCACCAAATTCTCCTCTAGAAGCGCAGAGAAGAAGGCCATTAGAATTATTGGAAACGACCTTGAAGAAGCATGGGCTAAAGCCCAGAAGGCGAAATGATGACCGAATGCCCACGTACGTAGCTATGAATATATAACAAAAGTACATACGAATGACATGATATGGTTTTCAAGCTCATAGAGCTGGCAACAATTTCTACTGTAGGCTTTGTAATAGGATAATGTGTAAAATTAATAAGGAAAGATAACGTCAAGGAATGTATGTGACATCCTTGCTATATAACCTGAGTAGTACATATATTATATCCAAAGAAATGTGAACAAAAAATCGAGAGAGATATATAGTAGCGCTAGTATGCAAGTGTTGTCATAGCCAGGAGGCAGTGTAAAATACATAAGAAATGCACCTCTCTCTCTGCTCCTACTCTAGGAATATAGAAGCAAAAATGGTCCAAGGCCGACATGAAGGAAGAGAAAAAAGAAACGAGAAAAAAAATATGGGTATATATATAAATAGAAAATCGCACACTCTTACTTTCATGATTCCCTTATCTTGGGAGTTGCGTCTTCTCGCTATCAGACTCAAACGCAAGACTTTCAAGCTGTTGGGTTACCCGTGCACAGAACGAGTCGACATATGTTGTCCAAAGATGCGCAACGGTGTATACTATCACGAGCCAAATTGGTATACAGATGGCGAATACCCCGAGTGACCCACGAGGGAAATATGGGAATACGTCTTCTCCCTTGTCGTTCTTCGTGACAACCCATGGTTCTCCCGTGATGTTACCGTATACCATCCAGGTAAGTACGGTCTTCAACAGGGTACCATGGGTAAGGTAGACGGCAAAACTATTTCGACCGAACCAAAGGAAGAAGCGGTTTGAAAGGATGTTTTTGATGGTGGGAGAGAGGAATATTCCAAGTATGATGAGGTCGACGCCGAGGGCGGTAAATCGTTTACCGAGATTTACGCCCGGCGGGAACATGTATTTTGAACCTTCGAGGAGGATATTGGACCAGCCACATCGTTCGGGGTCGTGTTCGGGGTAAGAGGCAGCCCATAATCCGAAGAATATCGCGGTGGCGCAAAGGGCGCGACGAAGCCAGCGACGCGAGGAGAGATAGGACTGTTCTGGGTGGTTACTTGCGATGTCAGAGAGCAACATGCCATAACATGCTTGTTGCCCAAATGTTTCTACATTCCGTTATTAGTATTGGGTTTGGATGAAGAGAGTTTGTTAACAGTCAACGTAGAACTCACCTGTATTGGCAGCATTGTTTTGGTGGAAGTACAGAATCATTCCAGAGTAAACTGCCAATCGATATGGGTACTTGACGTACATCGTCGCTACAAGGAGGACGTAGACCAGCATTGACGCCTTTAGTAACGGTAGTAACGCCCACTGGTGGTCGTCGTAGTCGTTTCGCCCATTGGTCCATGTTGACAGGATGGTGAAGAATAGTCGGCTGATTTCCTTGAGCCATGAAGGGTCGACTTTGACGCTCGCTGCCCTGAACCATTCCACGTCAGATCTTGTGGCCACCTTGAAGGCGCCGAATTGCGCGACCGTCCAAGCACATGCCAGTGCGATTGTGGCGGGAAGAATCAATCGTGGAGGACGACGAAATGCGCTTTTTGCGATAGAAGTGAATGAAGCATTATAGTTTCCAGAACCTGACAGCCTCAATGGTTTCAGCGCGCAGACATAACCGGTCAAAAAGGCGAATATTGTAACGCCGATACGGCCCTGCCATGGGATTCGAAGGACGGGCCGCTGCAGTATTCGAGGTGTTCCTTCGGCGGGCCCGGCGCTGAAGAGATTATAATCCCATGCTCGCGCCAAGTGAGTGAGGATTACCAGAAACGATGCGATTCCACGTAGACCCTGTACAAAAATCAAACCAATGAGCATTTTGACGAAAGTGTTGGTTATTTCAGGTCTGGATCCTACTCACATCCAGCCATTTGACGTTCCGGCCATTGTCTCTCGCAGAGGAACCAGACTCTCCGGCGCCAATTAACGACAGTATCGATCTCCAGAGCGAGATAAGGAGAGAAAACGGAAACATCTTTGATCAATTTCCAAACGGACCCAGGCACCCCCAACCATATATACACATATCGGGGACGGGTTTATGTAGAGTTGTTATCTTCGCGTCAGGATCATAAATAACGGGTCGAAACTTGAAATTGCTTGTGAGACGGATAGCGTTTGTGCCAAAAAAAGACAGTTGCGCAAAGCAGGAAAAAGAACAACGCCGGATATCAATATAAGGTAGGAATGAGATACGGGAAAAAAGAGCGACGGGTGTCAGTGACTGACGAAACGAACGAGCAGATAACGAGCGTGATAAATAACCACCGAGGCAGATGGACCAAGGGTAGGAGATGCTCCGTAACAGGGGGGGGCTATCTTGTTGTCGCCGGCGATTCCACTTGTAACCAGAGCCGCCAAGGGATCTGCGCCTGCAAACATAGGGGGTAGCGGGGAATCCACGCAAGATGTGAGTATTAAGTGGTCGGTGCTAAGGCTTCAAGGCTGCCGGTGGCCCGTATGTATATATAAATTGTGCATGAAGCAGCCGAATCAAACGGCGTCTTCACGGACTAACAAAGACCTGTGTGTCTTCGAAGAGGGTCCCCCTTCATGGCGCCGCGCGCTTGGCTGTGCCAGCTTCCCTGGTCCGGTCAATATGCTGGCTTCCAATATATGGCGTTCGTTAAGGGGTGCGTAAGACTGGCGCACTTGAGACGCATGTCGCAGGGTACGGGCGCACGGGAGAGTTCCCCCATCGCCGGGCGCAGGTCTCACAAGGTACAGAATATGTATCTTCATCGTCATTTTTCCTGCTTCGTTGATCTGAATTTTCTTAGCATCTCTATCAACCGCGAATGAGGAGGCAGCGTCCTCACGAGACGGTGGCAGGTATGACGACGGCCGGTGGATCGAGGGCTTGCTTGGTACGGAGCATGATGCAGACCAGGATTCTCCACCCGAGATCCCTACAGCGAGACATTTGCGACGACAGCCAAGGCACATCCAGGTCGCATCCATGGCCGGTTCGTGGGCGAGTCGGACATATAAAACCGAGATGTCGCTGGAGGAAGAGAAAAAGGCGAGCGTAGTTACTGGCCCAAAGAGGAAATTGGAAGGAAGTTGTTCTACAGGGATGATTACTTAATCAAACAGACTGAGATTTGTATTATGTAATTATCACATTCTGCTTGAAGAAAGCAAGCAAATTCAAGTCACCGTGAGCAGAGTTGCATTAAATAATTCCGACTCGGTCTGTCTCTGCTTCATCACCCGGCTCTGCGAAAAAAGGCACAGAAATCTCGAAGGTAGGGGGGGGGGGATAATAAAATAGAAAACAAGGTGCTTTTTTTTGGGTGAAGGCCTTTTTCCCTCGATTCGTTCGATTGGTACAACAAACAGCTCTCTCTCGACCTCGTCCCCAGTGTATCCACGGCTAATTAGATGATAGTTCTTTTTGAAAGAAACCCCCGGCCCTCATCCATAGTCTGCTTCTTCTTCTTCCTCTTCTTCTTTTTTTTTTGGGTATGTTCTTCCTCTTTTCGAAATAGGCCTCTTCACCACCTTGTTCTCGCCATCACGATGTCCTCGGAAGGCAAGGATGGGGAACAAGAAATGGGTCGAGAAAGGGGTATATAGGGGTATTCAAAAAACAGTATTAAGAATGCAAACAAAGACAGAAAGGAAAAGGAAAAGAAAAACAGGTAGGAAAGGAATAGAGCCCACACTTACTCAGACAGGGTTAATGCAGAAAAAAAAAAAACAAGTCGAAAGAAAAAGAGAAGAGCCGAGCCGGATGATCCGTGCTGAGAAAGAAGGAAGAAATATGAGTGTTTGGCTGCAAAGGGAGACAGACATGCGGAACGCTTCAGACAAAATCAAAAAAAAAATCTGCAAGAGTGAAGAAAAAAAAATACTCGCATGGAGGGAGAGATGGTACAAGAACAGGAAACAGCTGATTTCGAAAAGAACATTCAGATGAATCACGCTTGCAATGCTAGGAATAAGAGCAAATAATAATAGTAAAAGACTATGAGATGCAAAACATAGGAAAATGGAAGAAGATTCGGGACCGTATGATTGGTCCGTTTTTTGATTTGGGGATAAAAGCTAGAATAAATAAGAGAACTGGTATGGAGGGAAGATGGCTGTTGGGCGATGACTGAACGAGCCCCGATTCGACCATAGTTTTTTTTTTATCTGACGTGGAACGAGCAGTTGACAAGACTTGGGCTTACATCTTCAAATTCACCGTCGCGCTTTGTTCCGGGATGCCGAAAGATAAAAGAAGAAAAATTCCTATCAAGCGGCAAAAAGGGTATATTATTTCCTGCTTCTCAAGACAAGCTATTCGCTCGACAGGAGCAAGCATCTGGTGGAAATAACCAAGCAACCTGGCCGAGCGGGAGCTAGACCAGGTGTGCGAGGTGGTTTGGTTCAAAACACGGGATTGAAGGTTTGTGCAGGCGGTTGTGAAAAGAGTCGATGATGTGAATAGGCAGTTGCATCTGTCATTTCATAATGTTGGGTTGTGTACTGCATGGTTGGCGCTGGCGTAGGTGACGGCGGGCAAGTATATAGCATCGTATTTCCATCCTTTGCTATATTTGGGTTTCCCGAGGCACCAAACGCATCATTCTCCGGCGTGATGGGCGGCGTGATGTAGCCGTGGGATACGGCTGGGTACTGTGCCTTTTGAGGGGTGGCCAATCCTGCCTCACCTTCATACGATGGCTTGGACTCGCACAGGCGATCGGTTGGAGGGGTGGGAGGATTATAGGACTTGTTGATTGACTCTTGACGGGCGAGGAATTGTTCGAGAATCTTCGATGCTCGCGAGTAGTGCGCGGAGGAGTACTTTCGGGCCAGGACATGCGAAGGCTTTTGTAGGTACTGGGAGAGGCTAACTAGGGTTAGTGAGTCGTAGTTGGATGCCCAGTCCACCTGAGGAGCCTGTGGACGGTTTAGTATGCAGCGAGACAGAGCCAGGGAAGCTCTGGCGAGGTCGGACGACAGCTTGGAGACAAAGTCACGGTGGAAGAGGGATATCTCAGCGATATACAAAGCGAGATGTTCGACTTCGGGATCGTATGGGGTGTCGACGACGGCGTTCTGGAGGAAGCTGTCGACAGTTGGGTGACCGATGGACCAGCCGAGGGTTTGCAGTACGTGCCATTCCATCTGTACGAACATATCGTCATCGTACAGCGAGCAACACATGGACTTGAGCTCCTTGATGGTTGGAACACGGTCCTTCTTATCACCATACTTGGCAGCAATGAGAAGTGCAGCACATCCGACCAATTGATAGTGTCTCTTGTAGACGACTCGTTTCGAGCAGTATCTGTCAAGCAGGTTGACAGTCAGGAACAAGGTGGCAGGTAGCAATTGGAAGGCGGCGTGTGCTTCGATGAGAAAATCGAGGAGATATGGTCTCATAAACCACTGGATCTCGGTCTGGATGTCTATCGAATCGACGTCAGGCTGGGTGGCGGTGTCCATCATGTGCATATGAGAAAGAATGTCTTCCTGATACTCGTCCGTGGCAAGCCGTGACATCTGGTCGGCCATTGCGTACTGACGCTCCCTAGCCAAGAGCCGTGCATGCTCCTTGGGTCCCAGCTGTGGGTGGGAATGTGAGTGTGGCTGTGGCTGTGGTGCATACTCCTGGTCGTAGGTCTCAACGAAGAAACTGTCGCAGGGTTGGAAGGTGGTGGTCTGGCATCGCTGGTACGCCATGTTGGGTGGTGTTTGGTTCGAAAAGAGCACAAGATGCGAGGGAAGATCGAAGACGCTCCGCGTGGCTTTCGAAATGAATGAGTGGTGTGGTCTTGTTGAAGCTCGGACAAACTATGGGTTACGACGGGGAAGTTCAAAAAGAGAGAGACAGTCGTTTGGCAATTCAATTAAGGAGTGTAAAAGTATTAGTTGGGAATATTAAAGAGAGTCAGGCACAGACAATAATCTGTGCCGTTGCAAACGGTCGAAGACCGAGGTATGGGATGTTTGAACAAGCGCTGTCAACGAGGTTAGCCTTCATCATTTCCCCTTTTTCCATGGCAAGGAGATATATATACCCAGTTTGACGTCTTGTATCGCTGGGTATATAACAACCCTATCCGGACGACCTCACAGCATCTAAGTTGACGGTAAGGCGAAGAAGAGTGCTTGCTTCGTGGAGCGGTGACAGCAGTGAACGACGAGTTAACGTCTCCACTTTCTAAACACCAAAGGGAAATCCGATACGACTAGATTATAGTCGTAAGGGGAAGATGGGGGAATATTCGCTCGAGGGACGGAAGATTCCTAGCGAGCAGCAACCAGGCTAAACGTTAGCTTTCAGTGAATGATGAAAAAGATATTCGTGTAACATATTCTCCACAATTTCGGGGAGGTGAGTTCCGGGGACGAGTTCAAGGAAGTGCTGAGTGGGAAGCTGGGAGAAGATGGGAGAGATGATGGGAGAAGAGTGCGGAGAGGATGGTGGTTTGTCCCTGGTGAAAGTTCAATGGGGAGTGCCAGTGACTAGCCACTCAGGGGAACATGAAGTTGCATCGTATTCACCAACGTATCAAAGCATCAACGCCAATTGCAGGTCTGCCATGAGCATATACCCAGCATTCGGTCTTGACCTTCGATATACGCCGGGTAGAGTGTTGTAGTGAATTGACGGGTTGTAGTGACTTGACGACGGGTGACTGCAGCTCGGGAGCTTAGAGACAATGCCGTGCTGTAGAGTGCTGTAGAAGTGACGGTGACGGTGACAGCTACAGAGAAGCCATGCCCGCTCAATGCCATATATCTAGGGAAGTTGAAGAATAGAAAAGGGTGTCCTCACACGAGACGACGCTGACTGCACTTCCGAATCCGACCAGGCAACACGCAGCTAGATAACTGAGTCTGCCGGAAGAAGAACTGTTCTGAACGAGTTACAGCTGGTTAGAATTGAGAGCTCGTAGGACTATCGTGAATCGTGAAAGAGCTGGGCAGGGAGAGAGGGAGGTTTACGGTGGTCGTCGAAGCGAGGGGAATTGCCCGGAAATAAAAAAAAGCGAAGAGGTTAAGAGAAGTTCGCTCTTAAGGAATCTCTTGCAAAGCCGGGTGGGAGACGAGCAGCCAGTTCCACTTTGAAGCGAGTATAAGATTTTTTCTTATTTATTTTCCACTCCCTTTTTTGCAGATTGAGAGTGTTCGAGACGATACAACCCCCCAAGCGGATCCGGAATTGCGAGAGACGAGAGGACGACGGGCGAGGGCAGGGGAGGAGGAAGAGGAAGAGGAGGAGGAAGAGAGGAAGAGAAGAATGAAGGAGAGGACGAGGAAGAGAGAGGATTAAAGGAGCTGTCTCTCCTGGGGGTGCGAGAAGAGAGAGAGAGAGGAGGAGGACGGGCGAAGGTGGTGAGGTAAGGCTCGAATGCGGAATGCAGGGCCTTTTACTAGGAGGGTTTTGCCCAGCAGGCGGACGGGGCGACTGATTGGGCGACGGGCCCTGGTACTTACACACAGCCAGTCCAGGTGCGCTTGGGGGTGGTTTTGGGGCTAGGGGGCGTATTACCTGCGACGTTACCGTTGACTCTCTTTGTGCGTGCGACACGGAAGCAGGTAGCCTACGTCTATCACTCTCTGTATATCTTTGCATCTCTGCATCTGTTTATATATGTATCTCTATCTCGATGTCGATATTTATGTCGGTATCTTGATACATACTGATACATACGGAGTATACAGGTAATGTCACGGGTAAGGGTAATACCATACCAACTTACCCCCATACATAATACGGCTACTATGTATGTATGTTAGTATGTTGTATGTATGCTGTATGTAAGCGTAGATTTCTTTTTCTCTACCGCGCTGGAGTCTCATCCCTTTCACAGCTTCTAGTGATCGTTAATGAAACGGCGCTCAGCCAACTTCAGACGCCTACGCAGAAGCAGCAGTCTCAGCCCTTTGACGGCTGACTCCACTGGCTGTCGAGGCAGGACAGTCGAGCGGCGACTCTGCGACGACAGGCGGATGCGGCTCAGTCTCTCGCAGGTCCTATACGAAGCAGAGGAATGGCGTCCCAAGGATCATTCTGCATGCATGCCGTTACCGTGTACGAAAGTACGGAGTATACGGGAGTAACTGGTAATGCACCACGCGATGCTCGTTCTCCTGCGAGAACAAGGAAACGGAAGATGATCGGTGGCTTGTATAGTTGGCCCCTAGGTCTAAGACGTTGAGAGAGGTGTCCGAAGAAGGGTCATAACGCAGTTCCAATCTTTCACTGTCTCTCACGCTAGGATGGCCGATATTCCAGAATCCTCGCCTCTATCTACAAGCATCTCTATGCAGTGCTCCGTGCCGGGTTCGTGGTTGGTGTTCAGCCAGCCTGAAGGAGCCGCGTTTCCATCGTTTCCATCGTTCATCTCCGGGCGTTTTTTTGCCACTTACACGCTCCCTTTTTTCCTTTCCCTTCACTTCCCTTCCCCCGCTTCCCAGTTTGCTACTCTCTGATCGTCCATGTCGTGGCCGAGAGCCTTCGTTCATGCGCCAGTCGATGTAACTAGTCGGGGATCCCCCCTGGAGCTTGGGGACTTCTGTCTGCTGGTGGCTCAGGGGAGATCAGCCAAGTCTCCTCTATGACGTTCGCTTTGCAAAGCGACGATGGTGATGGCAAAGTGGCTCATTTTGATCCTTCTATAAGGCGAAACCGACACGCGGGGTATGGAGAAATATCGGCCAGTTCATGGGCATACGTTATGGCCATCAGGGTTAGCTAGCGGCCGACCGGCCATTGGATGGGAGTTCAAGATGGCCCGGATTGCGACATCATTTTACATGCACTTCTCGATCGCGCTGCGGTTCTCGATCTGCCAATCACCGTTCATATCTGCATAGATGGAGTCGGCCATATACGAAGGGCGATGGCGCAGCTCGATCTTATCTTCCAACTGCTGTTCAGCATTGGTCGATGCAAGTCTGGTCTCGCCACATGGCCGTTCTTCCTCTGCTGTATAGAGTAGTCTTTACCTGGCCATACTGGCGTTGATGGCTGGAATCAGGTTTTAGGTACTCCTCTCGGATAGAGACCGGTTGGCAGCAGTTACACCAGCACACATCAAATAAACGAACAAACAAATAATGACACCGGGTTGCACTTCCGAATGAGGTATACCCTTTGTTTTTTGCGTGTCTCCTCATGATTCAGCACCGTCGCTGCATATTCGGTTGATCGGCTATGGTGGTGGTCCTCTCCCCGTTTCCCTGATTCTAGACTCACCGACCATGGTCCGAGAGGCCTGTGAAACCCTTTCTTTCACATCTCAATAAATAAAATATACTCCGTACGGTTCTTTGGTTGCGGCTCGATAGCGCCAAAATAACTGTGTGGGAAGAACCCAAGCTGACGGTCTTTAATGGTCAGCAGGGGCATAAAATAAGTATATTACTACCAACCCATTGGCTCGATCAAAGCTTATTCTATCCAACCTGCCTTGGAATCAACAATAATCGACGAACAATGCGATGTGATGCGATTGATAGTCGACATCGTTACCAGTGAATTAATGGACATGGGCCCCTTCGCGGCCATGGCACGCTCGCGCCCAGCGTATATTATCCATGGGACTCCAAGGTGCAAAAGTAAATCATGTATCCGAATGAAACATCCTTCGCTTCAAATCCTGCCCTCCCCAGCCAAATCTCGTTTCAGCTTCACAAGCAGTACCACCCACCATTCCTACCCAGCTACTAGCTCTGGTGTGTTTACCTCCATCTCGTTATACATCAGGAGTACGTTTGATGAGCGATCTAGAGATCATCGCTAGTTGGCCCTCGTTTCTCCAGACCAGACACGTAATATAGCGAGCTTATACTCTTATCTCGTGTGAGGCCCAGGAGCCTACTATCAGTTACCGAGGGAACCTAACTTCTTTACATACGGAGTACTTGGTTGGGATCAACGCAGTGTTCAATACAGAGTACGATGCAACGCTATACAGACACGCGACGGCGAGGTTAATCCTGGAAAACCGATTCCCTTGCAGAATTTCAAGAATGCCAACAAAGCGAACGGACGACAAGGGCGGCACACGACCTCCATCTCTAAACAGGCACGGAGCAAACAGCTAAGGATAATTATTCCGTCGTAAATCTCGATCGAGCCCTCCCTCTTCCCGTCCTAAATTCACGGAACCCGATACAAAGGAATCCAGTCACAACCGCGCCCATCCATGCTCAAGGTTTAGGAGGGATTATAAAAACATCGCATCACGTAAGGAAAGCCAAAAGGCCGCGCTCAGAGCGTATCTCCAATCATCGCCGTGGAGGCAGGGGAACGCGAAACAAAGCTCGCTCGTGTGAGCAGGAATGTGAAATACCTCTAAAGATGGGGCGACGGGTGGGAACGAACAGTTCAGTAAAAGTAAACACGGTGGATTTATTGCAACCCGACCCGGTCTTTTTTACGGAGTGCTGATTACCTTTTTCCTTTCCCTTCCTCATGAAACCGATGATGGTTGTCATGGGGAGAAGGAAAACGGAAGCCCTCTTCCGGATAAATCCCCCGTTTGTGATATACTTACTCTGCAGCGTGAGAGAAAGAGATGGCTCGTCGCTCTTCGGGGCTGGGCCCTGAAAGCAGCCAGTGCAGTGCATCGGCAAGATCCCTCTATCGGTTATTTATATCCTTTTGTCAACACCGTAAACTCGTTAATCAATTTAACTTCTCCTTCTCGACCGTGGTGTTACTCCGTAGCTCCGTACTTTAAGTCTGTATAGCTGCATCAGGCAAAACTGTGTCTCATCCACAGCTGTATTTCAAACCTCTCCAAGGACAAGGCTCCCTATTAATAACCACCGTTCGCGCCTGCATATACGTCCCTTGCCCTGCTACCCTCGGCCATCCACGCCATGCTGCAACCGAACTTCCTCCTAATGAGACGGGCCAATTACTTAGCTCGTACGACCGCTGGACTGCCATTTTTGATAGCTGACTCGCGGCTGTAAAATGAGGCATTCGCCTATGCCCACGTTTTTCCGACGCCAAGTTTGTACGCAGACGGTCTTCCCAGAGATGCCAGATTCTTTATATCTGTTATTCTCAAGCTAAGCAAGTTATTTCTTGATTGTCCCTTGAATCCAACTCCCGGCGAGAAAGACATTGTATTGAATCGTTATTTTTCAACGGGTATCCTGGTATTTAACCGTACGCCTTGACTTTAAATACGTATCTGGAAAAACCCTGGTCCCGGTATATACTTTTGTTAAGCGCCGAAGCTAGCGCTACTGCAGCCAACCAGAGCTCTCCTAATCCTGGAGCTGTCAGCATATACCGCACATACAATGCAGGGGGAATCACCTCCGAAGCTGGGGTTGGCAGTACACGGCGCAGGGGAGCAGCAATAATACACGGGAAGCTGCCGCCCTCGCCTCTATCCATGACAGCACCACCAACAGCAACATGTAACGAGAAGTCAGACCTTCCTGCTTGCAGAGCTCAGCATCAAAGCCTCTCGCTAATTAGGGTTTTTTAAGCTACCGTCCCTTTCATCGCTGACGTGCGTTTGCACCAGAGCACCGGAACAATGATTACAGTTTAGCCAAGGTGAAAAAAAGGGGAGAAAACTTTACCTTACGCCATGCACGAATTCACGCAAGGCGAGAAATTGGAAAATGTGACGAGTTCCAGCGTAGGAGCAGCCCTATCCATGCTGTCTTGCCTTAGTATCGGAGCAACCAACCATAACGAAATAAGATTCCAATAGGCACACCCGAGGCAGCCCCACCTCCCAAAACTTAAATCCCAATTAAACGCGAACTCTCTGCCAAATAAGGACAGGTGGGTCTGTCAGCTCCACGTGCTGGGACGCGTCGTGATTGGTCGAAGACGCGGAGTTGGCGTTAAGCGCGAAGTCGCGCCTTGCCTGAAAGGGAAGGCTGGTATCACCGTATCCAACATCTGTACGCAGTATTGTCACTGGGTTCCAGTATTACGCCGCCCTTCTTTTCTCCGTTGCTCCATACGAACGAGAATAACTTCACCCAGCCAGCCCCATTATGTAGCACCACGGCGAGAAAAAAAAAACATGAAAAAAATAAAAAAAAGGCGTCAACGAGAACACCAAGGCTACCGTCGGTTGAAAGCGACCGTACGGTCAAAAGTTACTCATCTTTTCCTTGTTCTCCGATGCAATATCATAGCTGCAAGCTGTCTTATGATATTCCGTAACTGACTCAAAACATTTATCATATTCACTATATCTCCATTTTGCTCCAACAGTTGGATTCACGTCCCACCCGTATCCCCGGAGCTCCCAGCAGCAACTATTACCCAACTATTACTTCTGAATAAGCACGCGGGCTAGGCTCCGAGGTCCAGGGAGCTACCTGGAGCGTACCGCCTGTCAATCAATCAAATCAACCGATCGATCGATGCTGACCTCGCGAGCTAAACTACTATGTAAATTATGGCTTTCGCATCCCTGAAGCTCCTGCATTGAATCCTCTGCTGTGTGTGCTCTTTGTCTCTGACGTGGCATCACTGAACACACTTAATTAAGGGGCTGATGTCAGCTCGTCGCCCGCTACGCAAACTAGCTCTCACGCTTGCTCAGACTATTCCTTTAATCCGTACAGGTAAGCTGTAGGATATGCAGTACCAAGAGCTGAAAAAGTAGGCCTTAGTCCTGCCTTGCCCTATCGCTCGTTCAATAATCCGCACCTATTAACAGGTACGCCACAGGATCAACATAAAAACCGTGATATAGGGCTGAACAGGTATTTTGATGGCAAAAATTACAGTGAGCAGAAGTGAGCTCTCACCTTACAGAGTACATATATGGAGTCGCTGTCTACTCACTTGCATAGCGTATGCATAGTTCAAGTATTTCCTCTCTGACCTGCCTCTTTCAAGTCAGAATCAACATATTCCCGTAATATCATAATGACTGGTACGATGCAGCGAAGGGGAAAAAAGGGGACGTTGGAAGGTTAGGTAAAAACTGCCCTTGAACCATGCTAGCAGGTACGGAGTAATTAAGCAGAGATTGCCTTGGTTGCAGGTAAATACTGCAATCAAAGTACCCGTTTATGCCTGTAGTTTTCATACAGTAGTATCGCTCCTGTCTTCTTCGCGGTGAAACACAACTTATATTATACCAAACAGCCAAGTTGTACGGTGACTGATTATTCTTAATTTTTTTCACACTCATCTCGTTGGTACCACCTCGCTTCTACGTACCCCTATGTTTCCTTTTCTACCGCGGTATCACACCTGCTACGAGAACTTCGTACATTTTCTGAGAAGTTTGACATGACATACGAACTGCTGTATTCCGTGAGGAGGCGACATCGCTCATAACTGCATAGCAAATGCCGACATCAAGCAAATCCCTATTCGCCGTCTGGAGAACGGGCTGAATGGCAATGCAATAGATATAGCTCATGCTATCGTCTTAGGGGACTTTTTTTCTCGTTTATATTGCAAATCCTCCGCCTGTGCTGTGGAAGGTTACCCAATTCCCATAGCGAAGGGAACCACAGGCGGGAGTAACGCCGCACCCTCCGGGGGACGGTCAAGACATTTGATCATCGTCTATCGACCATAGGCGCCGGCACATGTTTCAATGTTCAGCGTCGACATCCAAGGGGGAAAGCCAATAGTACCGGTTCCTGAGACATCTAGAAGCCGACAATCCTTCCACCTATGGCATGTATTGGGTTCTCAATATTCCTCGCTTATGCCGGTTGTTTGCTACATCACTCTATGCGGGCGAATCGCGGCGTCCACTTCACCGCCAACAGGTGGCTAAAGAGATATATCAAAAATCTTCTTCTGTGCACGTACATCTGTAGCCCTGGCCTTGAATACATATGCGATCATCCTGTGTCTCTCTAGGCAGGTAGCAGTAGCATACGCGGACCAGCTCTAAACTTTTCTCGTATATTCTCTCGTCAACACGGCACAGCACCATGAAGGTGGTACGGCTCTGATAGGAAACTGCATCACCACATCGCTTAGTTTGATCTAGCAGGAAGTTTGCTGGCCGTAGGTATGGCCACCGCGCGTTCCAATAATGTGACCTATACTTCCCCCGGGTGTTTGATGGTGGCCGGAGATATGAAACCAACCCCGCGTATGGATGGGATGATATATAGTTCTCTTTATCGGCGCTGTTGCGCGGGGAGCGTGACGGAAACCATACGGAACTTGAACGGCCTGGTTTGAGAGTTGGAGCACTGAAAGTAGGTAATGTCTCATACCATACTCCCCACAGGGAGTTTCGATATAGCTGCTTTCCATCTAGGCTTGAGATGCAATTGAAGATGATCTATAGAGAGCCTCGTTTCGGTATGACCGTGTTCGCGCCCAAGAGAATACTGCTCTTCTGTTTTATGAATGAAAGTATCAACGGTTCCATCATGCAGGCAAGACTCAGCCCCCTGATAACCTTCATTTAGCCCTTAATCCTCCATATCTTCAAGCTGATATCGAATATAATAATAATTCAACCCAGCAGAAGTAGTTTTTATGTTGCCTCGGACTTATTCCGTATATGGAAGGTTTACCCGTGTCACGTGATATGATATTCTCGAGAAAAATTGCCCTGGAAAAGCCGCAAAGAAAAATAATTTTTTTGAAGCCAAAGGTTCCGTGAGAGAAATCGAAGCATTCAAGAAGCAAGTTGCGATGGGTGCTTACAGAAGAAGGGTCTAAAAAGCTGGGAGTCAAGTAACAGCAGCTCTTGCGCAGCACAATTGCCGCGATTCACGCCACTCCGACTCAGCAACCATCGTCAGCCAGGCTTCTGTCGCAGCTTCATACGCCATGGATATCCATAGATGTCGTTTCGTGCCATACAACCCTCAGTCGATCAACGCGCTGGCCTTTTCGCATCCTGCGTCTCATGAGATCCAGGGACGTGGATTTCCAACGCTACGCCTAGCTATTGGACGGGCCAATGGTGATATCGAAATCTGGAACCCCCTCCGCGGCACCTGGTTACAAGAATCGATTTTTCGCGGAGGGAAAGATCGCAGTATTGAAGGGTTAGCCTGGACGCTTGACCCGAGTGAAACTGTCGAGGGCAAAGAGGTGGCAGGGAGACTGCGTCTTTTTAGCATTGGATATTCCAGCGTTGTGACAGAGTGGGATTTGGAGACTAGTCGACCGGCTAGACATTCGAGCGGGAACTACGGAGAAATCTGGTGTTTGGCTGCCCAGCCACGATGGAAGCCGTTGCGTAAGACCAAGGATGGGCAATCTGCTGGACCAGCGGAAGGAGAATATACTGGACAGCATTTGGCTGTTGGGTGCGCTGACGGTACAATCGTGATCCTGTCTACCGAAGATGGTGATTTGAAATATTTGAAAACGATAAGACCGTCGACGAAACGCGCGAGAGTTCTCAGTATCACCTTCCAGAATCGCCATACCGTCGTTGCCGGCTACGCGGACAGCTCCATCCGAGTGTTTGATATACGGAGCGGGAACCTTCTACGAACAATCTCCATGGGCAAGGGTCAAGATAAAGATACAAAGGAATTATTGGTCTGGTCCGTCAAGTGTTTACCTGACAGCTCAATTGTATCTGGAGACTCGGCCGGCGAGGTCCGAATCTTCGATGGGAAGAACTACTCGCTGGTCCAACGATTGCAGGGCCACCAGGCAGACGTATTGGATGTCGCCGTCAGTGCAGATGGAGAGTCCATTGTCAGTGGAGGTGCCGATCAGAGGACCGTTATCTATAGATTGAAACGCCGTGAGAAGAATGTGAAAACTCGGAGATGGGCAGAGGTAATGCATCGACGGTACCATACACATGATGTCAAGGCTTTAGCTGTTTTTGAGACTGTAGACATGAGCGTCGTTGTGTCTGGAGGTAAGAACGCCCATTGAATCTCAGGCTTAGATGTGGAATCAAGTGCTGACACGGATACTTAGGTCTTGATACGATACCTGTCGTGCTTCCACTGAAAGAATATGGAAAGGAACATCACCGAAAGCTACCCAATCTACCACAAATTCCTCAGCTCAGCACGTCGGATACCTCTCGCCTACTCATGAGCTGGTGGGACCGCGAGGTCAACATCTGGCGTGTTGCTGGTTCCTCCCAATCCGACACGGAACAGCATAAACTGGTGGGCAAGATCCTATTCCAAGGCGAAGAACATCTAACCTCTGCAGCATTGTCACGAGATGGAACAATACTCGTCGCTGCCACTGTTTCAGAGGTGAAAGTGTTTTCCCTAACACCCGACGAAGATGATGATGTGTCAAGCCTACAGGTTCACAAATTAGATATCTCTTCTCAACTTTCATCTCGGGGTGCAAAGAATGTTGCCATATCGCCCGATTGCAAGTGGATCTGCCTCGTCCGACCCAATAACGATATATATCTGGCCAAAGTTTCAAGGGATCCAGAAGCTGAAGAAAGCCTTCAGATACAACCAAAGTTACAGAAAGTGTCTCGTCTACCTAGGCACAAAAGGGGTGAGAAAGCTCTTCACGGCTCATTAGGCGCATACGACAGGATGGTGCGGTCCCTGTCGTTCTCGGGAGACAGTCGAATTCTTGCCTGTGGTGACCTTGCTGGATTTGTAGATGTTTGGACACTACAAGACAATGTTGCCGCTCCCACTGCGATAAAAGCTGCCAACGACGAGGAGGAATCATCGTCAGACGACGATTCGGATTCAGATTCCGACGAGGAGGACAGCTCATCGGCAGGAGAGCGATGGAAACGCGCATCTACAGAAACTCCCCTTCCTCGCCTAAACTCCAGTGTGCTATTGATGTCCTTCCGCCCCGCTCTCCCCGCTTCATCCACATCCCTTAGCAATGGCCGGACGTCTCGCAAATTAAATACCAATGCTTCTGAATCTAGTGCATCGGACGACCGGTTAATGGTGCTGACTGCTGATCACCATTTAACCGAATTCAATGTATTACAAGGGAAACTTTCTGATTGGTCCCGAAGGAATCCCAAGGCATGTCTGCCCGAGGAATTTACAGTCATCAAAGATAGAGCCATGGGTGCCATTTGGGATATTGCAGGTGGCCAAGATCGTCTATGGCTGTATGGTCCATCTTGGCTCTGGATGTTCGATCTATCCCAAGACTTCCCCAATGGAGAGACTCGACGTATAAAGGCTCGAAAAAATCCCTCGCCAAGCAAAAGAAAGCGCGTTGCCGACGAAGAACATGGTAATGAAGGAGAAAGGAAGAAGAAGAGAAATACCGGCGCAGGTGATGGAGTAATACTTTCGGAAGCGGGTGTTGGTTTTGGAAAAGTAGTACGAAAAATTGTGGGAGAAAAAGAAACAGAGGCAGAGGTGCTATCGCTTGAAAACCGAAAGAATGAAAACAAACAACTTGAAGGCGATGATGGCGATGATGATGATGGCGAACTTGACGAGTTAACTCTCGCAAATGAGGCAACACTTGCCTCGCTCCGACGACAACAGCTCTCCGGTTCTGATGAACAGACGCCAAATGGTAAGAACGCCTTTCGATATTCGAACCTTCGCTATACACTTTTGCTACCCGTGCTAATATACACTTTAGGAAAACATATATCAAACGGTGTCGAAGATGAGAACAACCAGGTCGCCAAGCTCTCTACACCAGAGCCAGAATCTGATCACAGCCCAGAGCAACAGCGACAATGGTGGTCTACCTTCAAATATCGTGAAATACTAGGGATTGTTCCCTTGAGTCACAATTCGCAATCCACCGTGGAGAGTGCAGAGTTGTCCGGTGCGGAAGATGCGAGAGCCATGCCTCTAGAAGTCGTGGTGGTAGAAAGGCCGATATGGGACGTTGATCTTCCAGGTAGATATATACGAGACTATGAATAGGTTCTATGTACTTGAATTAAGACTTGGATATTTCGCTGGCAAACGGTTCCTTTGATAATGGCCTTTCTGTGTTGTTTGTTGTATGATGTTCCTCCTCCCACGCTAAAGGCCATACAACTACGGTTTGCCATATAGCGAACAACACACCAGGAGGCTCTAAAAAGCATCGTCTACGAGCAAGGCTACATAACATTCAAGCCTGTGTTTCAAGTCTGGTCCAATGCAGCTGCTATTGGGCTATCAAGTATACCAGCCTCCCATTTTTGCTATCGTTTCTGCCTGGATGCGTCACCAGGCGCCAGCATTGCGGCACAATCCACATAAATACAGTAAAGGGTAATACAAGCAAACCGCCAGGTTTTTGGTTTCTCTACAACATTATGATTACTCGCTTCCTCCTCTATTGATTTGTTCTATGGGCCATTTGCCGTTATTCTCTATACATAATTTCATATGGCGTCTACTCCAGCGCCATACTGCATCATTTGCGGTGCCTTGATCCATAGCCGCACCCGCAAGAGTCCATGGATGGCCGAGTTTCGAGCTGGTAAGCATTAACCTACCCTCTTTATATTCTATACCGTTTCTTTAACAATGGCTCGTATATAGTTCGAGTTATTCCCGGCGATGGACAGCCATTCTTGACTGGAGTAGGAATCTATAGACATCGAAATGCGCTACTTTCTGCGCCTTTAAGCCCACACGAGAGATATGACGACAGCGGGTATCGAGAATCAAGATCCGATGAGTTTGTCTCGCAGGGAAGAACTTCGGCCGACCATCCATTCCCTGGATTTGTATTTCATGATGCCTGCTGGGGAATTCTGAAAGCTCTTATGCACCCCCATGAAATCCCCATGCCATGTTTATATGATATTTGTCAATCGTTTCCTTCTCAGACATATGGGCAACTTACCTGGGGCCATGGCTATGGAAACAGCCACTCGGACACGGATACATCTGTTCATGGACGACCAGAAAACTATCAGCAGCCCTACTTTCTTCGGAATCCTCTAGATATCCCAGAGCTACAAGAAGCCCTGCTAGAAGCAGAAAGAGGAAGAGACAGAGACAGCCTAGTTGAATGCAGCGTTGTCTCTGAAAAGGTAGATTCTGACTTGTTCTACCGCCTGCCTGTTGAAATACGTGAAGAAATTCAGTGCCTGCTCAGCTCGAATGAGGTAGCTAGGTTACGAACGGCATCAAGATCGTTTGCGAGTATGCCACTATCACAGAAGTTTTGGAGATCTCGATTCCTGCCATTTTTTGAGAGAGGTTTTGTCTTTGAGCCGGTAAGGCATCAACAGGATACTATATCCGGAGCAGCTACTATTCGCTACGACTGGAAAGCTCTATATGAGAAAACAGACCCGAGCTTGGCTTATTTCGAAGCTTTACGGAACCGACGAAGAGTGTGGGAGTGCAATAAGCCCCTTGCAGAGTTACTGCTCTTACATCACACGCTGGACGGTGGAGGAGTAGATGCTATGGACGAACACAACCATGTTGTCTGGCGGACGGTAGCTGTTAAATCGCCCAAGGAACAAGTCAGAGGAACCAGCATTAGACAAGGTCCGGCGGTTTCCTCTACATATACTCCTCCGAGCATTCTCAAAGAGCTTGCCATCCGTGTTCCAGCTCGAATATCACAGATCGCTGTATCTCTGGTTTATTTCAATGGCAACACCTACGTCTCCGGGATAAGGATAAACACGCCAGATCAGAAAGAGACCAGGCTAGGTTATATCCATCCTACCCAAGAAATTATTCTAGATACTCGCCAACCAGGAGGATCGGGACCACTGGATCTCACAGGATTTGCCATATGTGCTGACCCCGGAGGTATTCGTGGTATCAAGGCAGCTCTAGCCAAGGGCCACTGGTCGACCTGGGCAGGAGACCATGAAAACGTACCCAACACCCTTCGCCTCTGTCTGGATGAGCGTATAACCCACCTTAAAGCAACGTTTGATGTAAGTCATCCGCAAGTAAGGCAGGTAGAAACGCAAGTCGACTAACACACTTACCATAGGCGTTTAGGATGGTCTCACTCTCTGTCCCTGAAGAGGAGCAAATACATAACCAGAACCCACCTTGTCTGTCCGCTCGAAAGGCAGCTCTCTGGTACCCTGATATCCCCTCTGAAGACCAATTTCTGCATGAAATCGACTTCGTAGGACAATATGACTCTAACCCATCACCCCTGACCTCGCAACAGCCACTCATCCGACTTATGTTCGGTGGCCAGCAGGGAAACTATCTCAAATACCTAACCAAGATATCAGTCAGTACTCTAGCTGGAATCCTCACTTGGATAGATTTCCATTATGACTGTGATGATGCGCCGGTTCGTTCGTTGTCAGTCTTCCCTAACAAGGCAAGAGATTCAAACCAGTCGAAGATACAGTTTACTATTGATGGACCTGGTGGTGAGAGGGTGACGGGCTTTCGAGTCAAAGATAAGCAGTGGTGGACCCCTAAAAATGAGCCGATTCACTTTAGTATCACTACCCTTGTGGTAAATATACTCTTTACCTCTTTTACTGTTGGAATATTGAGTTAACGATGATTGAAATAGGTTTCTACGAATCGTGGGCGGACATTCACGTTTGATGCCAATGTGCTTCCTAAAATCAGGTTGCCATTGGGGACGCATATGCAGCAGAAAAAGCAGAAACTAACTATCGAGCCGGATTCGACGATTACGGGGGTATATGTCACGCATGTGAGTTACGCTGTGGTTCCTGGTTCCTGTTATTCAGTCTGACATTATGTTATAGGACACTGCAAATGGTTTGACTGGCTTCGGGGTGATTTCTGAGAAGCTATTAGGGTAAGAAGGCAGGCTTAAAACCGAACCGTAAGGATCAAGGGGATTAGGCATGTTTTTTGAAATATGTGGGTTGCATTTTACGTATGCGAGCAGCACCTAGAGATTACACTAAAAGGAGACATTCACGATAAATCGGATGATGATGGCGACCACTTTAATATATAAAGCTGAACATTGTAGTAATTGTAGATACGAATAATTATTCGATGGAGTAGAGCATAGCTTAACATAACTGCAACCAAAACCCAGTCAAATAGACGAATAAAGAAGACCCATCCCAAAAAAGAAGAAAAAGAAGAACGCTGTCGACATGTAACGTGAACTCAGGGCAAGACATGGCAGGAAAGGAATAATGATAAGGTAATGTAGATAGATTAGGAAATTTGAGATGACCGAAGGAAGGAGGCCAAGGATGATAGGATAAAAACACTTTTCTATTAAGGCGGGGGTGGTTGTTTGTGCCGTGGAATTATATATACGTATATATATATATATGAATGGATGGATACATAAGGAGGGTAAATATTATTCCAGCGCATTGGAACAAGTAAGGTAAATACGGATATAAATGGAGGCGGCGATTAAGTAACAGCGAACAAAGGAGAAAAGCGGGTGCTCGATAAGCAGAATCGACAGGGCGAGTGAAGCCGTATAAGTAAAGTTGGTCAAGTAGTAATATGTAAGGAAGCAGAGTGTCCTTATTAAGCCGTTTTAGCCGCGTAGAATCAACATATCCAGAACTAAAGGCGACACGCTAAAGGATGTAATAAAAGAAACAGAAGAAGTAGATGCCAGAATGTCCAGGTCATGCAGGATGTAGAGTAAGCGATAAGGTAATGGACTAAGCCAAGGAAGGGAAGAGTCGAAGACGTAGAAGTAGAATTTGAAGGGAAGTTGTTGGATGTCTACCGTAGCACCAGAACGCCTTGGTATATTATGATGCCGACTAGGAAAGGTAATAAAAAAGAATAAAAGGTAATGGTATTGGTATCAAGGTGTTTATGAAGGTAGTAGTTTGTAGAAAGGTCGGTCGTAAGGAGGAGAGGTCATGGCATGATGCGTGAGTGTGAGTGTGGGTGCGAGGGAGAGAGCTCTTGGACGTCGTGCAACTTGATGTCGTGTCGTTCGATCGTGAGGGCGTTAAAAGAGACTGGCGGTGTAGACAGGTCACCGATGCCTCCTTGACTGGTCTGGATTCGGCTGTCCTGTCCTCTCAACTCCGCTCTGCCCTGTTGTGGTTGCTGCAGCAGAAACAGGGACTTTAATCTCGTCACCGGCAACCGGCGCCGAAGTGCCGTTGGGGTTCAATCGGCTTAATTCTGTCGCAATACTTTGTGCCACGTATCCTCGTAGCTCACGCTCTTCACGTTCGTCCTCCTTCATTATTCGTCGTCTTTCTTCTTTGGAGAGGTTCTCACGACGCATGCGGCGGATCTCGTGGATTACCCAGAGTAGTACTTCGTCTGGGGCGCGAGATCGGTCGAGGCCGTGTTTAGATGGGTTGCGAACATAGCGTCGAGTGACGTCGGTGGCGCCGTCGATAGAAAAGGCAATGCAGTATGCCATTTTTCTGTTCCAGCCTAAGGAGATCATGTTAGTTATTGAGATTGTAGATGGCGAAAGGGCAGGTATATATGCTTACCCTCTGTGTAGAGACGGGGGTTGTCCCACGCCTCTTCGCAGGCGTCGACATGAATCCATCGCTTCTGGTGTTCAGAGTAGACTTCGGTCCAGACGTGGTCTTCTGAATTCCAGACCCATCGTACCCGACCGCCGACTGCTCTGCACAGCATACTGAAGCAATTGGCCCATTCACCTACTCTGCCGCGTCTCGATTGTAACAAGGTCCAGACGTCTGAGTATCGGGGGAATCGCTCAAGGCCGGCGCAGGACGGCTCTGAGCAGATGTAGAGCTCGACCCTGGTGGCTCCCCGGGCGGTTTCGTCCGGAGTTGGAGGGGTCATTCCCTGTAGGAGGGTTGGTCGGTAGCATCTGGAGCAAGGTGGGTTGTTTATGAATTGGAAGAATGAGCGTTTGAACCATCTGCTACTATCAGTATTTGTCTCATTTATATTATTGTTTCAAAAAGGGATGACCCTACCTTAATAGCGCCTTGATGACGCAGTCCTGGTATCCCCAGGTGGGCTTCACGTTCTCACCCATGCTAGCCGCCTCCGCTTGCAGAATCTGACACTCCTCCTCTGCCTCTGCGTACAGTCTATCAAGGGGCACCTGTGACAGGGCCTCATCGAGCAGACCTGGGTTCTCGTACTTCATCGGCGTTACCGAGAGGACGTGGAGGAGATTGCGGAACTTGAGAGAGGCGGAATCCTGTGGCGGAGAAGGAAAGATGGGTAGACTCCGGATGGTCGAATATGAGGGCGGTTGGGAGGATGATGGCCGACTGTGAGAATGCTGATGTGATGACGGCGATGACGATGATGATGGCAGGTGCGGCGATGAATGCGAGGATGAAGGCATCGGAGAAGAAGTCCGTGATCTCGAGCGTTCCTGTAGCGTGTTCAACCGTCTTGTCCTGAGTAACTGTTCGAACTGTCGAGCGAGTTCTGTGGCGTCAACGGCAGTGTTTGACGCACCAGCCGGCCTGCCATGGCTATGGCTCGACGGTGTGCGAGATCTGTCTGCCATGCTGAGATGGGACGATAGGGCGAAGGTGGAAGTGAGGGCTGGCAGTCCACCGGATGACTGTCAGCGCCCACTCTAGGCCAGTGGTCGACTTGATGATTGAAGCGGCGTTCTCAAGACTGTGATGTTGATGTCGAGAAACGAGTGTGATAGTCGATAGTTGTTGACGATGGTGATGGAGGATAATGTCGTGGGAGAGTGCCGTTCCGTCCAGAGGGAGATATCTTTAGATGATGCGCAGCAGCACAGCCCTTGGCTCTATTGCGGTTCCACGCTAGCCCGGAAATCGAAGTGTGGCTTCACGTACCTGCGGGAGACGAGAACAGTCTCTTCGCCTCGACCGTGTCTAGATATACAGATGAAAGCTGAAGATGAAGCCGAAGACGAGGGTGCAGGAGACGGACAGAGAGGTGAAGATGTAGAAGTGAGGTCGAAAGAGAAGACGACGATGGCGGCGTGGGAAGGCAGAAGGGTTGGAGGGCGTATGCGAAATACCATCTTACAGGCCTCGTAATGCAGCACAAAGTGGGTACCTGACAGTACGCGTGGTACGGCCGATACGCAGACGGTGACGAGGCCCCTGGGCGCGCTAGTCCGTTTCGGGAAGCCAGCGTCGTCAGCCTCTTGCTTATATAAGGCAAACTTCGTCGCATACTTAGTCAGACGCTTCTTCCTCTTCCTCTTCCTCCGTTTCACGCTGAAGAACATCGCCCTCACACGCGTCCATGACGTTGCCTCCTCGCCCTGTATCTGTCATCCTCTGCCTTGGTCTATCCCTCTCGATCTCTCTCGCTCTCCCTTAGTCATCGCTATCTCTCCCTCTACTTCTACTTCTACTCCCCATACTCCGTTGGTCGCTAGAAAACTCCTGCTGCCAGATCGGCATTTTTTGGATACGAAGATCGCCAAGACCGCGGACGAAGCTTACGTGGCGTGTTAAACCGAGGCTTGGCCTTGCCGGTTTTGGCCAGTGTAGACGCTTTGCTGAGTCAGCCACCATTTATATAGAGCCTTAGAGCCATAGAGATCGAGTAGACCAGTAAGTATGTTGGGAGAAACAGAGATCTATCCACGCGTCTGATCAGCACGCGGAAAGCGGGAGCTAGATGCGAGGCTACGATCGATCAGCGGTTACGCGGCCAGTAGCTCGTGGCAGGCAGGCGGATGTGTAGAGTGGATGATAAGTATTATTCGAACTACAGAACGGCAAAGGCAGAGACGTAGCTGACCGAACTGTCCGCCACCGAGAAGCAGTCGGAGCTCCTCTCATACCTCATAAAGTAGAACTTACCCTTGCACAGTCCCTCCTCGCCTTCGCTCCCTTGCCCCTCCTGCTGCAACTCTTCCATGCCGGCCATCACCACCCCGATCGGATGACGCCCACACACCGTGTTGCCTGTCCTCTTCAACGAGTCTAGAAACACGTCAGTATCACCACTGGCGATCGCGGACATGCACGCAACGTCACATGCGGAGATGCTCTCATGTATAGCACACGCACCCGCCGCTCGATGCGTTTTATCCTTCCCCCTCAACGCCATACCAGACGAGACCGCCTCGACCTCGACTGCTGCCTTAGCGGCCGTCAAGCTATCCGATGGCACAGGCAGAGAGGGATACGTAAGTGGCAGGTTAAAGACCGTACTCAACGCATGCGTGGTGTAGTACGTATACCCGAACCTCGTACCCCAGTGGCAGAAGTCCGAGGAGATGATGAATGCGTTCTCCTCGTCAGCCAAGTACGGGGCGAGGATGGAGCCGAACGCGCGCTCTGTTGCTGCCGAAGTGCTGCCTACCATCATCGGGACGAGCGGGGGGTATGCTGACGTAGGCTGTGAGGGATACAGACGCTGTAGCAGGCGGTGTATGTATGGTAGGTGCAGTTCCATGCTGTGTTCTGCCTCGTCGACGGAGGGAGACATGTCTGAGAAGCGTGGAGCTGCAGACCTGGCCCGGAGTTCGGATAGCAGCTTCGTGTCGAGCGGCAGTGGGGAGGAGGAGAGGGGAGTTCGGTATCCCGTCAGTTCCGGCAGGGCGATAGTGGTCAGGTAGTGGTGGTGAGACGGGCCGATCAGGAAGATGCGTTTCCTACTCGCATTATTAGTCTCTGCCTTCTGGTCGGTGGTAGGCTCAAGCTTACGCCTTGGATAGATCGAGACATTTATATGCATACGCCGCACAGGGTCCAGAGTATGCGTATCCCGCGTGTCTGTCTAACGGTTAGCTGCTATACACTATACATGCCAGTCAGTGTACGGAGTACTCACGGAGCGATAATTACCCTCGCACCCGGCACAGGCAGGCTGCCTATGCCTTCAAGCTTATCCGGCACGTAGCCCAGCCACTTGTCTATCTGCGTCTGCAGCGTCACCTCATCGTCCGAGTACCAGGAGCCGGCGTGGGACGGCCGGCGGACAGACATGGCGAGGACCTGCTACTTCTATCGCGTTATGTATATTGCTATTTGTTGGTCGTGGATAGCGTATAGTAGGTACGAGGAGAAGACGTGGTTGGGCGGACTTTGGTGGCTGCGGGGGAGGGGCAAGGGATTAGGGCTCGGTATGCCGGCTTGGCATATATCGGCATGCCGAAACTTTATACTAGAATATAGCAAGTAGAGTAGAAAAGTAGAGGCAAGCAGCTATGAGTACAAAGTAGAGTAGAGCAGGGTAGAGAGAGAAGCAGAGGAGAGATGCAGAATAGAAGAACAGAGTAGAGAGTAGAGTAGGATACGATTACTTACTGCCCCTTGAGACTCGCGTGAAGCGCGTGAAGCCTATTAACCCCGTTTTGGACTAGTGGTAACATCTTGATACTGGTAACAAAAGATAAACCAATAGGATAGAGGGATACGCGGTCTTGGCGCCCCTGAGGCTGTAAAATACGGCACTTTGTATGCGATGCGAAACGCGACAAAACCAACCACTTTCGACCGCCAACTTCTTGCTTTCTTCAGCTTCGTCTTCCTGTTTGTCTCTTCTCCCTCCCATACCTGAATAACATATATACATGAGAGAAGCACAGGGTATATACACGGAATAAAGTACCAGACGAGTACGAGCATATATTTACAATGACGCTGAAGCGCAAGGCCTCCTTCTCGACCATCCTCTCCCCTCGCTCCTCGACATCCTTCTACGACCACAATGTCTCTCCCATCCCTTGCTCGCTCGACGACGCCATGGTCATAGACGAGACACCCCAGCATCTCCACAGTCGGACCAGGAAGCGGTTCAGGAACGACCGTCCGGACGAGCAGGCTGTCTATGGTGCGTCAAACTACCAGATACATCGCGCCCTTCCATCCACTAACCACCAGTCCGACACGTACAGATAACACCCTCCGCTGGCTCTTCTCTGCACAAAAGCACATTGATAACACTGAAGTTCACCCGATGGCGTCTACAAGCAACGATGATGGACCTGACGAGGCTGAACCAAGCACACCCTCACTGGCCGACTCGGTCGCTTCTTCGATGAAACCTGACCCGTCGCAGAGGACGCTACACCATTTCTTCCGGCCTGCTTCTGCGCCTGCCCGCGTGTCCTCGTCGGATGGCCATACTGGGTCAAACACGAACACGACACTGTCGACGCCGACCAACGCAGCGTCCCAGGCGTCGTCTTCTCGCACCTCTTCATCTATATGGTCCGCTGATGCATCCGCATCTCTCTCGCCTAACCCCAGTGCTGGCGCTGGTCCTGGCGTTAATGCCGGTGAAAGCGATGATGTCGATATGGATATGGGCGTTGAGACGTTTACCGCCAGCGCCACAGCATTGACTCCCGCTTACCAGCAAAGGGCCTGGATGGATGGGAAAGACATGACTCCGCCTGTTAGATGTTATTATCTACTCAGCTAGTAGCTATCGGCTGGGTTAGTGGGGTCGAGACTTTGGAAGACGGAGTGCCGGCGTTTTAGTATATTCTTATCTGGAGGCATCTTTCTGTAGTTTATCGTGTTTTTACCATGGTTAAGCCGGTTCTTCGGCTGGGGAGTTCGGGGAAGCGGAAGGGCTCATTTGCAGGTGTTAGAATTGTATTTATACCTATCATAATCGAAGCTGACGACGGCCACCTAATATATCTGTTTCTCGTGTCAGCGTAGGCTTGAGATATGTGGTACGGACGCCAGCCTGACGAATAAACCGTTACACCGAGGCCAACTTGCTCTTATACAAATGCCACTTTTTTATATCTGACGTCGCGAAAAACTTTTGGGAGAACGAGGCTTAGTCATCCACACCCCAGAGTCCAAAAGAAACCACGAGGAAAAAGCGCAGCCAGCTTGGTGAAACTGGTAAAAGAAAGGCGAACGCTGCGCCATACCAGACTCGCCGGCAAGCGAATTCACCTGGCCTCCCCCCTTTCTCGCACTGCGAGCCAGGGTCGATAAGCCGCGATCTCGCATCCGCTCTTAAAAGTTGTCTTTATTAACAGCGATTATACGACCCACACGGAGGCTTAAAGGGGGACAGACGAGACACATAAAGCAACTCTCCTTGCTAGCGTCATCACTGCCATCTCTCGCTCTCTCTAACCCGTTGAAACCGGCCCTCCAACCCACGACGTTCGACCGTTTCCACGCCCATTGTTCGAATACAACAGTATCATGACCTGTCCCGCGGAGCAAACCAGCTGAGAAAACGTCCCTATCCAGCCCTGACAATGGTTGGTTCGAGCTTTGAGAAGTCCGTCAAGGGCGCGACCAAGACAAAGGTATGGAAGACTCTGTGGTGGCCTGTTGTCAGTTTTACGACGGTTAGCTGACCCAAACGACCCTAACGAGAGGATAGAATGCGGCCCCGAAATCAAAATACATCGAACACATCCTCACGGCCACCTACAGCGATGCAGGGACGGCAGAGATCTTTCGCACGCTCCAGATCAGACTGCGCGAGTCGGCGTGGACGGTGGTCTTCAAGGCGCTCATAGTGATACATATGATGATACGTGAGGGCGCTCCGGGAGCTGCGCTGGCCTACCTATCTCAATATCCTCGGAAATTCGCCATCACGAGCATCTCCGACGGTGTGTAACATGTCTTCTTCCCTCTCTGCGGGCAGAGAACGCTGGTAGATGGGGAGTGCGCTTTGCTAATCTGATATTGCTCATTTTTAGCACAACTTCAAGGCGCGAATATTTGGAGATACTCGGAGTATCTGATCGCGAGGTCTTTGGCCTTCTCTGAGACCAAGACAGACTACGTTCGTAACGGACAGGGCAGGCTGAAGTCATTGACGGTCTCGAGGGGTTTGTTGCGAGAAACAGAGATTGTTCAAAAGCAGATAAAGGCTCTTTTGAAGTGTGATGTATGTTTTTTTGGCTCTGCGCTTCTATCATGGGTCCCTTTTGACTGATTTCTGATATAGCTCCTGAGCGATGAACCTGATAATGAGATCACCTTAACAGCTTTCCGATTGGTGACGCTGGATCTGTTAACATTATACTCTGTTATGAATGAGGGTGTTATTAATGTGCTAGGTTTGTCGGTATCATCTTTGTCGTTCATAGACAGCTACTAACCTTGTCTCTAGAACATTACTTTGAGATGTCCCGAACAGACAGCGAACGAGCACTACACCTATACAAAGTTTTCAGCACACTGACGGAGGATGTAGTGAGCTTCTTGCGAGTCGCAAGGCAGTACGAAAATGCCACTCGTCTTGAGATACCAAACTTGAAACATGCCTCTACAGACCTAGCAAAGCTATTGGAAGACGACCTGCACGACCCGGATTTCGCAATTAGACGACAAGAATATCGCGAGCAGAAGCTTGGGAAATCAAAGGGCGGAAACAGCTCCTCGTCCGGAGACGGTAGCCGACAACAGCAGCCTTCATCTAAGGCGGACGATAGTTCGACTGCTAAAGCTCCTCCAAAACCAAACGTTAAAGCTCCCGAGCCAGATTTAATTGATTTCTTCGGATCCATTGAGCAAAACCAAGAACCTCTCGCCCAGCAGCCTCAACAGCAACAGCCGAATATGCAAAATATGCCGATGCAATTCCAGCAAACAGGCTTCCAACCACAACAGACTGGCTTCCAGCAACAACCTATACCTGCTGAATTCATACAAAATCAGACCGGCTTTGCACAAAACACCAATCCATTTGGCCAGTATGATGTTCAATCTCAGCAGCAACAACAGCAGCCACCACCAGCACAGCCGCTACAAGCCTCGCACACGGGTGCTGGTTTCGGCGGCTACACCCCTCAGCCGTTTCAAAGTTCCCTATCGCCCATCCCGCAGAATGGAGCTGCTCCCTTCCAGCGACCGATGACGGCGGGGGCGACACCCCGAGCTAACAACCCATTCCGACAATCCATGCTTCCGCCCGCAGACTTTTCTCCGTCCCAATCACAATCCCCTTCCACCTTGGCAATGAAACGACAATCCACCAACCCATTCGCAAAGCAGCCCTCAAATATCTCCCCTCAATACCAAATTCCTAACCCGAATCAATACCCTCTCCCGTCAACCTCGCCAACCCCTTCACAGCAACAACCTCAACCCCTTCAGCCTCAACGAACAGGAACAAACCCGTTCGCACGGCCCCAGCCACAACAAAGCGCCGAAGCTCCCGCAGCTCAACGCCTCCAGCCAAACCCAACTGGAAGCACGAATCCTTTCCGCCAAAGCGCTTTCATAAACCAGTCCACGGGTCAGGGGTGGCAGAATGTTCCGCAGGGAACAATGGGTGGGTTGGAGAAGTTGGAGACTATCCCTGTTTTCCCTCGGCCAGGACAAATGGCTTAATAATGGTAGCGGCCTCTTCTCCATTCTACCTCTCCTCTCCTAAACACCTTACCTTTTCTTTCCTTTTTTTTCCATTCCATGGCTTTCTATAATTTTGGGAAACCCCGAGCGTGCATCTACATGGGAGCTACTTTTTAACCTGAGGGGGAAACAAATCATGTCCTGGAGACCGGCAAACAACCTCAGTTGTTGTGTTTCTATTTTCCGTATCATTGATATCTTTTCCTTTTGCCATCTTGCCGGTTACTCTCCGTCGTTCTAGAGATATGGCTCTTTTACTTCCACGAGTTCTCAATCTCAAATTAGCATTGTTAGTTACTATACCTTTTTGTATCTGAAGGGAAGCTGATAGGGAAAATAAGCCAGCATCAAGCCGTGTTTTACCTGGTCACGTCGATGATATAAAAACGTCGAGATTGCTTTAGTCTCGTGATGTCAAATTTAGCACTTCCGCCAAGTCGGGAACTATGAGAAGCTGACAAGCCATTTGAACTTCGTGATAACTCGTGTAAAAAAAGAATAATATCCGTTCAGCTACATCAAAAACATACACCAAATGATCGATTACTATTAAGAAGTCTCATATTATCCAAAGGTTGAAGAGAGAAACAAACAGCCCATTAAACCACCTCCCGTTCGGTCTTCACTCGCTCGCTCTTTACCCACGGTAGCTGGCCGAGGGGGAATTTCACAAAGGTGTTCTTTGGGTCTGCCATTCCAGCTAGAGCACAGTACCAGGCGAGCAATGCAGCCAATATTCCAAAGAATCCACCTGTCTTGATGAGCGGCGTGTATACTTTGCCGGATATCACAAGGTGACCGACTCCCAAAAAGAGGAACGCGAGATCCAAGTTGAGGAAGAGGAGGAAGAAGGCGAGGTTCGTCTTGAGCGTGCAGATGAGGCAGAGCGTTGTGAAGATCCACCAGGACTATACGATGGTTTATCATATTAGCGACCTTTTGACCAAGTGGGAAAAAGAGGATAGGGAAAAATACCATGAGCCAGAAACCGGTTACGTTGTTCAGAGCAGCTGTTCCGTTGAGCTTCTCGATGTTTGAAGCGATGTTGAATCCGCCGGGGGTGAATATGATGGCATAAGAGATCCAGAATCCACCGTACGAGGAGAGAGCAGTCGCTCCGAAGGTATTTCCAACTGCCATTTCCCTTTACACATGTCTTCGTCAGTCTGATAACATCTAGGTATCGAGGGAACAATCTGGCTTACCACATCCCAGCAAGAAGCTGAACCAATCCACCATATGCAAACGCCGAAGCGACGACAAAGTGTGGCGCTGTGATTCCGCGAGCCTGCATGTTGATAAGACTGAGGACCATAGTGGTAAGGGCGAAAGCGGACAATCCCAACGGAGCTGGGTTTGCGATGGTCTGGCGAGGAGCTACTGGTTCCGACGATGGCTTGAATCCTTTGCCGAACGCAGATAAGTTGCTGTTGCCGTTGGCTAGAGGTCCATAGCCATAGCGAGCTGCTGCCTCTGCCACTTCTCGCTCCTCCATGTTCATGCCATCCAGCCTCCCCATGGATGGCGAGCTATCATGGGTGGTGGTCACACCCATATCCTTTTCGCCGTCAGCACCCATTGTCCTAAGCCTATTTCAATCTCTCGGCGGCAAGTTTCTATATTGTTTTTCCGTTCGGCGCTCAAGATCGTTCACGAGAGCAAGGAATCGCAAACCACACCTGCCACAGAGGACACAAAGCCCAACGTTGCGCCTGCTTGATAACGGGATAAAAAGGACGAGAAAGAGCTACAGAGACCAGGAAGAAAAGAAGAGAGAGAAAAAGAATGAACAGACCCAGGCGGGGGATCAACGGTAATTAATAAAGGATTATATTTGCAGCTGGCCCGGAGACAAGGCCGCACCCCCCCCCTTGCCTTCAAGCACGCGGTGAGCTCTCTCCTCTTGGGCTTGACAAATGGACCAGATAACCTCTTAGCTAGGATATAGTTCTTCCTCAGCTCCACCAACCGTAGAGGTCGCCTGCACGAATGAGATACTCTCGGGAGGCATCAGAGTGGAAAGATACATCCACATTCCCTGTCGAGCACTAATTAATCACACAGGAAGATTGTCCCCGGCGTGTATCATCAAGCGGCACTTCCTGGTCATCGTTCTCCGTATGGGGTACTCGAAGGTCTGTTCTCGCTCGAAGATCATCACTAAGGTGTGATTCGGGACGTCCGCTCTCCGGCCTGAGAATGAATCCGGAAAGCTTCCCTCATTGCTCATAGGCAAACGAGGTTGTACACGCCAGGGTTAGTTTCTAACCCCTGGTCACAGAGCCAGCATACGATATGAAGGACAGGGAGGGATCGGGGCCGGGGTATGCTGCCTCTTTCCAGGTGCTCTAGTTATTTTGGACCAGGCGGTGAAACGAGCCATAATCCGCTGTTTGGGTTATAATCATCGCAGACTCCGTACAAGTCGCCACGAAATACGGATGTCCAGTTTCTCTTACTTTCCCCTTGTGCGCGGTATTGCTTCCGCGCAAAATGGTGGCTGTAAGGGATTCCTGGATACTTGATGCACGCAGGATCAATGAGTTTGCGTTGAAGCGTGCGACGTGGAGCCCAACCCGAGCATCGTACGGGTCAACACTAACCCGAGGCCAGCTGAATAAGTTGTGATATTTCACATGCTGGTTGGCATCTAGAACCTATAGTGGATTTTATACATAAGTCGACGTATAAATAAGCTTGGGTTTTCCGCCGTCCAAGTGATGGAGAGCAAGCCGATCAAGGCGGATGTTTGACCGAAAACAGGGGGTGCAACATGAGCTTCGAATGCAGTGTAACACCCACCGAATAGTGTGACCTCGTATATCGAGTGAAACTCTTGCATGCATGATAGATTCATGTAACTACAGGGCGGGGGCAGAGGGATCAGTTTGCTCGTTCCGACTTGCTAGAAAAAGCCACCTAGGAGAGGAATTTGCATCGGTTAAATAAATTGAACAAGCATTTGCCTGTTCCCTGCTGCACAAATATTACCAAGTCTTTTTTCTGGGCTTAATCTGTGACTAAAACAATCTTAATTGTTAGCTTCGGCCTCGTATAGCTAACTAGCTAGTGGATCGTGTGGTGGATTTCTCGCCTTACACTATTTACGTCTCAAACAGAGATATAGTTTCCCAATTTTTAGTCTCAACATGTGGCAGGCTTGTTTTTACAGCTAAATAACTAACATTTCATGCTGTTTACACTATAGGGAGCATACATTGTCATAGTAGTGCAGTGAGTGCGCCTATCCGCCATTCTTCAGCAAACCATTCTTATCAGACAATGTACTCGGTAGCTACGGAGGACAAGAGACGAACGCAAGTAAGGAAAAATTTGAGCCAGGGAAGTCTAAGCTAGGTAGCTTCGATATTATCTATCACTCAGTTATGTTAAATCATGGACGTTCTGTCTTCTCGACAATCCAACGGTCTAGACCATGTGCATTTGTATATTTCTCTCCCTTCCGATATTGTATCTGTGTCTGGACCAAGAGAGAACTATGCAGGAACAAACGCAGTTCAAATAAATCCTCCACCGCCTGCTCTCGATGTAGATTCTAGGAACCCGGGCAGATCATCCATCTCCTTGCGGAGTGCCTCTTGATCGTCACACTTCCGAGCCGTATCAAAGTCGATTATAACGGCCCTTGACTCGCGTATGAGAAAGTTGAACCGGTTCGTGTCACCGTGCCGGATCCCCAGTGCATGAAGCCTAGAGAGTGCTTGTTGGCAAAGCTCTAGGTCCTGTGGCCCTGCATGTCGTCCACCGGTAATCCGCTCGACGACAAATCCGATCACACGGCCGTCTTCAGTCAAATGGCCGAGGAACCGGGGCCCAATGCCATGGCCATCAATCCACTGATATGCCGTTGTTTCGTTCTCGAGATACCCTGTCTCCCACTCGAAACGTACGAACTTGATGATGGCGTCTATGTCAAATATTGGGGACTCAATTGCATAGATGCCTGTATGAATTCTTTCTTTCACTGTGATATCCAGATAATCGACCAATGTTCCATGCCAGGTGTTGACAACGCTGGGGAACTTGGTACGACCCACGCTCTCAAAGTGCGGTTTACCAGTCCCTGGATTCCTAGTAACGAGGGCATCATTCCAGTCCCCAGTGGGAAAATCTGGTAGGCTTGGAAGCAATGATGGACCAAAACACATTGTGTCTTCGCTATATAAGCCAGGGTTGATGGTGAGATATCTGATCGTTCCATCAATTCGGAGTCTGAAATAGCTCTCGGTGGCTTCGTCGACTTCTGCCTGAAGCAGCTCTGCTCTTTGTTGGTTCTGTGATATCATTGTGGCCTTTTGTCAAGTTATGCAAGGAAGGGTTCGCGAGCATACTCGTATAACTGTTCGAAGCCTTGAACTGGAAATTTGGACCTTCTAAATATTCGATAATCTAAGGTGAGCATTTGTTATGCTTACATGTAGACCAATTTGGCTCTACGATGCAGCGGGTCGTAATTGAATGTAGGGCATGTTTGGATTTGACAGCGATCTCGTTGGTTTGGTATAGTTGTATAAATATACTGTTAAGCGCCGTTCTATTTTCAGCCCCAGCCCCTGGCGGTAAGACGACTCTGGGCTAGGAAGGAGATCTATATATATTGTCTCAGCTTCATTGTCGAAAGGACCCTCAGTGTTCAACAACACCACAGAGAATCTGGATGCCTAGAGCTCATTGATACTCAAATCGTTAAAAACACTCTGAAAGTCCGCTGAAGTACGTACTCAACCATCACAGGAAATCTTCCCCGCGCCAATCTATCCAAGTCTAACTCAAGTCCAGGCATAATCCTCGATTCTGCGATACATCACGCATCTACTCAATACCAATACCCTACCAACAAAAGTTGGGTCTATCGAGATGTGTATCGAATATTATCGGATGTACACATGTGGCTGTAAGGGGACCGAGACGTTTGTTCAATGTCAGGAACGCCTGGGTACAAATGTCAAATGCTCACCCTTAACCCGCAAGGCCTTAGATCCCTCTTCTCATATGTGCGCAAAGCATATGGTCGAGCCTGACAAGGATGAAATGCGCAAACATTAGGAAGTGGTTGCTGGATCGCAGCTCCACGGGGCGCTAGGGTAGGGGTAGTTGGAATTCTGTTGGTTCTCTTGATTCTCCTGATTCTATCAAGGACTGGATAGTGTTGTTCTTATTACATTGCTTCAGCCAATAATTATATCACTTGCGGTGTTTGCCATCTATTATTTCCCCAAATTCCTTGATATGGGCCTCGAAACTCCTCTGCATGAACTTACGACGCCAATTGCGTCGCTTCTCATAGTGATAGTTTTCCTTGCAGCCAAGGCAATGGAATCCCCATTCTGGTGTGTCTGTACGAGGCCGTAGATATGGCGCCCGAATGATTGCCATGAACCGTTTCGGATTTCGCTCATATCCCTCGAATTCGTCGTCTGATTTGGGTCTGCGTGGTTTTGGCCCACGTCCTTCGTCATACAGTGACATTCGATGGTAGTAATCAAACATTTTTTTTTTCTGTCATCTCGTATGTATATTGTTCCATTAAATCGAGGGATCCGTGCAAAGCAATTCCGGCTTCTTGTGCGGAAGAAGGGTCGACCAGTGTAAGCCGTGAGCCGAATTTGCGGTCCTTTAGTGAATACCTGCCTGGGACATTTCTCATTGAGGGTAAGTTTTCTAGTTGGCGACGCTTGAGTCCAAATTTCCTGACTGCATCTGCTCCTAGGAGTGGGAGGTAATCGGGATGCTCAGAGAAGCAGAAAAAACAAACACGGCGGCATGTAAGTAAATATAGATATCCCCCGAAGTCGCCGCAAATATCACATTCAGCCGTGCAGAGGGTTCTGTAAAGGTCTTCAAACGAAAACCACCTCCCAGTTTCTATGCTAAGAATTGCCCGTACAGTGTTTGGCGCGTGTTTGATGATTTTTTTGTATTGTGGAATGGAATCCGTAAGCTGTCTCGTTCGGCGATTGACACGTCGAAAGTCAGTTAGGGACCGAATATCAAGCTGGACAAGCACCATGTGAAGCAATTCTAAAGGTATCCGTCCCAGGGCGCCAATATCAGGGCTAGGAACATGCTGATGACGTCCATTGTCAAGCGGACAGAGACTCTTGATATCATCTAAGCAGTTGTTTATCATCCAAATAGGATGCGCGTATGTTAATTCGGTCGCCGATTTCGCTGTTGCCATGTTTTTCCATGGGGCCTGCCAGGTAAGAGTCGCGTTGGGTATATATATTTTGTCAGATTCTCTGTGTAGGGTATACGACTCGTTCCCAAAACCAATGGTACCTATTGGACACTAGATTTTTTTTGTTTCTTGTGGTTTAATATATTTTTTATAACGCGCTATCTTGCTAGCTTCCGCCACTGACTGTTTCTATCGACCATGCCAGTGGGAAAAAAAAAGGAATAGAATGGCGACTGAGAAACGGCAAGTACAGGCAAAAGTAGAGCGTTCGATATCGCCAGGCCTTTCGGTTTGCCCTATCTTGTATATCATTCCGTTATTTAGGTAGACATATTTGGTTGACACGTTGGGATTTGATATCTATAACATCACGTGGCTACAATAATTACTCTAGGTATGGCCATGTATGTCCATGAACGATGTAATCTGCGAGTATTGCTGGTATAGAGAAGATCTAAAAGGTCCGACAGCATTGATATCACGAGCCTCGACGGTCCAGTAATGCAGCCGTCCTTTCTAGCTGGCTATTAAACGCTTTAACCTGGCTCAGCAAACCACCGTGAAAGTTGGAGCTAGAGGAACAGACATCCTGAGAAACGGTCCGTAGCAGGAACTCAAGGCCAACGAAAGGATTGGTAGAGTCAACGGAACCTTTGCCTGCGTTTTTCTGACTTCTATCAACGGCAAGTTGAAGGTCGTGAAGGGCATTGTTAATTGTCCCGTGCTCCTAGTAGATAGCTCGTTAGACTTGCTCTCCTTTGAACAATAATAAGGGGAACGGGATATCTTACTATTTTGGCATTCTCGTCTGCAGAATACCTTCTCCTCACTTCGTCTGCGCGAAGGGCAATCTCTTCCCTCTCCTTTCGTAGGTCCATCAATTGGTTTCTCAGCGTAAATACCTCTTTCTTCTCCTTCTTTAGACGCATTGCAAGTATAAAGTTACTGTCCAGCAGTTCACTCATTTCAAATAGCCTGCCATCTAACTCCGAACCAAAGGCCTCGACGGCTTTGCGCTTCCGAGTCCATTCCACTTGACGAGCACGATTCGACTCTCGCTCTATTGCAGATTCTAGCGTAGATATTGTCTTCTCTAGTGTCTCACGACATATCTGACTAAGGACGTCGGCAGCATTTACGCCGCTACGAGACAAAATTTGTGGGTGATGTGAAGAAGTTTCGTTGGGCGATGGTTGTCGCCCATCTTCTGGAGAGGAACGGGTAGAATCAGCTTCGTCTGACAATTCGTGCAAGGCTGAGGTGTTGGCAAGTCTGTGGACAAGGACTGGGACAGTTGATCGCGTCTCGCCCTTGTCTTTCTGCTGGCGGCCCTTCCCTTTCTGCTTGGTAGGATTATCTGTATTTTGTTTCTTTCGTTTTCGGGTTGGTTTTGGATCAGAGGTTTTGTGCTGCGAGACTTCTTGTCTCGTAGGCGGGCCTTCCTCTGCTTGTATGCTTTCTGTCCTGGTATCTTGGTCTTCAACCGTCGGCGAGCGAGGCCCTGGCCCGGGGTCACCCTCATCACTTGGGATTTCTACGCTGATATCTGGCTCGTTGATAGTAGCTTCGGCCTCTTCTTCTTGCTCTGGTATATCATCCGCCTCCGCATCGAGACGAGGCTGAGACGAATCTCGAGGAGGATCTATGGGCTCCTCATTCGGCACGTTAACATCTTCAGAATGATGGGATTCGCTCCGATCTCGCTCAGCATCGGAAGGTTGGTCTTCGGGAGGAGACTGTAGTTGTGTCTCTTCCTCAGCTTCGACTTCGTTGCTCTCGGCCACAACGGGTGGCCTAAGTAGGCTTTTACGTTTCTTTTTCGGATGTTGTACTACTGATTTTCTCTTTCGCCGCCTCTGCTTCGAATTTTGCGAGTGTATAATTGTCTGCTGTGTTATTAACGTCGACCCCTGAATGCTGTTATCTGGACTTTGGACTCTAGGGGACGATGATGCGGAGACAGAGACTTCAATAGAGGGTTGTATAGTCCGCGGAGGTATAGAATTCCTAGCAGGAGAGGCCGTACGTCTTACTGACGGGGATCTGCTCGTATGTTTGCTAACCTCTAGTGCTTTGAGGAAGGGTGGTGGGTTTGCATTCGTGCGGTGGGTTGTGGGCGAGCTCTCTGGCACAGAGCTTTCAAATGATCTACCTATACTCGTCCCGTAAATAAGTGAATATAAACCAGTACGGTTGGTATAGGCCTTACTTATCCGCCTGCGCTTTGCACTTCTTTCTTCCGGCCTATCATCATCCGCCGGAATGTCATAGATCGATTCATCCTGGGGTAACGCAGCTGAAGCACTGGCGGCTGAACGTCGAGATGACGCTCGGGAGGGTATAGAAAGTTGTTTATTTGATGTCGTAGAGTGGCGCGACTGTGGTGTTATAGGGGACTTTTGGGAGAGCGATGGAGATCGAGGCGTAGGAATCGGAGACTGCGGGGTTGGAGATCCAAAAGAAAAGCCGAAATTGACGTCTTTGACCTTGTGATTACTATTATATCGGTGAATAGTAATTAGCAATCGGTTTAATATCGTAATCGCATAGGACGATAACACGCGTGTTTGGGACATACCCTGCGCCGCGCAGTCGCATCTGCTTCCGCTCCTCGCGGCCTACTTGGAAGTTAGCAGAGAAACATCATTAACAGGGAGAAAGAGAAACACAGGGCTTACTCGGTGCCATCGCCATTGTATATCGGCTGTCGACGGTCTACACGGTCGATGTTGTAGATAAGGACGCGCGACCTTGTAACTATGTAAATAGAATGCGATGCTTGGCGCTGGCAAACTGAATCTCGACCAAAAAAAACAGCATCAGGACGAAAGCCATCGAGAAGAGCCCAACGCAAAGGGTCAAAGAGTCGACCAGGTCAATTACACACGATTTAAGTCGGTTAAATCACTGCAGCGTCTGTGACCGGAATCAATGGGTTGGTTTTGGGGTAACTCTTCCGACGACGCTGATCCGACGAAGAAGTTGGATCCCAGTCTACGAGGATACCTCGAGCAAGAGTCTCCGTCCAAATATACACCTACAACAGCTGGCGTGCAAGCGCAGGATCGAACGCCATCGCATGAGAAGCCAGCAGAGGAGTCTCCCTCTCCAGATCGGGCGGCCGAATCTGCAACCTCCGTCCCCTCCGCGTCGCTTTACCCAGATGGCCGATATGCGCATCTATGGAAGGACTACAAGTCTCTCGAGCAGATCGAAGGGCCTACCACTTCGCCGGCGGAGAAGGTAGTTGAGAAATTCAAGCAGCGAAAGGGTGTGCTGAACAGGGCGGCCTTGGAGAACTGTGCGGAAGAACAGGAAGTTCTGTCGATGTGCTATAAGTCGGGCGACTTTACAGAGAGGATAAAGGCTAGGATGACTCTGTGTCAGAAGCAGAATTATCAATTCTCGAGGTGTTATACCATGCAATTGGTAGGTTTCTACAGCATTTCCCTTTACTCTTTGAAGGAGTTATTTTGTGTTAGAGCCCTGGGGAGATGCATTTACTAATAGCTTTCTAGAAATTCTTGCAAGCCCTAGGTTATGGCGCTTCGTTCGAGTGGGATACAGACAAGGAAGAACGAATCCAGATGCATGCGGACAAGCTATACCATCGCATGATGGACTATGAACGAAGGGTGGCCGAGGCAGAAGCAGACGGCCGTGAACCTCCTCCCCTGAAATCCCTCTTCAAATCAGAGGCAGAGATGGCAGCAATGCCAGATACTAGCCAATCCAGTGACGAGTTGGTCATTCCTGGCGGAGAGCAGTTACCGGCTGGATATAAGCCTCGTAAGCCGTTAAAAAACATGACACCACATGAACGAGAACTGGAAGTGCAGGCTTTGAAACAACAGATGGCTCAGCGCCATGTCTACCTGGAGGAGGTATCTCCAGTACTGAGAGCTGAGCACGAAGCAAAGGCTAAGCGGAGGGAGAAATTCACTAGCTGGTTTGGAGAGACGATTGGAAGCTGGCTTGCATGATCGATCCATTAATACCGAGGCAGACTGTCGACCTGGCTGATTCCAGTCCATAACTTTGGCCTTTGGGATCTGTCAGATTTCTCAACGGCTTCCCCTGGGACCTTGCAATCTCTACACGGCCATCGTCCTGAGAAAAGACACAGGTGTCTAGCATCCGGAGTCTCCGGCATCCATCGACGACGCAAGCGGCAGAGAGAGCGCGAGCACAGCACCAGCCTCGCCTAGCTGGTGTGATCTAAAACACGCAGGACAGCAGAGCTGCATTAATAGCTGGTCGAGATATGTACATTACCATCCAATCACAACGGGCTAATAGCATCTTATATTCCCATGTATTTTAAAACAAACCCACGTAGGTATTTATCCACTCAGCTCGTCTTTTTCTTTTTTAAACAGAGTACGGAGCAAACACGTACCTACATAGACTCCTCACGTACGGAGTAACGGGTGTGTTGTTAGATTTGAAGCGCAAGTGGTGGCTTTTTTGTTGTTTGTGAAAGCGCCGGGGTTGTTGCACCATGTTCAGTTATTTATAATAAACAGTTGATATAGTAACCACCTCCCCCAGTCCTCCCCCCGTCCAACCGACCACCCCATCCCCCAGACACTCCCAGAGAACAGGCGATTTGGATAAAGATTACGTTCTCCTGGCTGTGATATAGCGTTTCTGCTTTGCATCGCAGTCATTCCAATGCTTCGTCTTGTGGTGGTTTTTTAACAAAGTACCCCCAAATATCCTCCCTCCCTCCAGAGAGAGAGAGCTCCTGTCTCAGCGACCACGGCCACTGTCTCTGAGCTGGAATATCACGGTATCCCGAATCTACGGCGTCAATCGGCACGGTTTACCTCGAGACTGGTAGCAGGGGAACTTCCGGCTCTTTGGTCGGCCCTCTGTGGCCGTCAATAAACCGCTACGATGAAAGCAACCCCTCTGCTGATTGCCTGGCACGATGACAATGCTCCCATCTACTCGGTGCACTTCGATCCCCATGGCAAAGGACGATTGGCAACGGCTGGAAAGTACGTGCAAATAACTAGTCGATTAATGCTGTGCGGTATGCTAACCCGTTGAATAGTGATAACAACGTTCGCGTACGACTAAGCTCCCCCGAAAACCAACTCTCCCCCCAAAACCCCCCATCCCTCCCAGCGAGCATCAATTCCTCATGAATCTGACACATGGATAGCTATGGAAGGTCGAGTCAACGGGAGAAGAGCGAAAGGTTACCTACCTTAGCACTCTAATCAAACACACGCAGGCCGTTAACGTCGTACGCTTCTGCCCGAAAGGTACGTTTGTTTTTCCTGTTGACCTTGGACGTACATTTAAATGGAGACTGAGACAATGTAGGCGAGATGCTGGCATCTGCCGGAGACGATGGAAACGTTCTTCTCTGGGTTCCATCCGAGACACAGGCCCAGCCGGGGTTTGGACAGGAAGGTCTGGACGATAAGGAAACATGGCGCGTGAAACATATGTGCAGGTCATCTGGAGCAGAAATATACGACCTAGCATGGTCTCCAGATGGTGTTTTCATTATTACCGGTAGCATGGACAATATTGCTCGAATTTATAATGCGCAGACAGGTACGGATTCCCAAAACGCTCTTTGTGGCCCAGTTCCAAGCCGAGTCTGATGGTTTTTTTCTTCTTCTACAGGCCAGATGGTCAGACAGATTGCCGAACACTCCCATTACGTGCAAGGCGTAGCTTGGGATCCTCTAAACGAGTATGTAGCGACACAGTCCTCCGATCGATCGGTTCACATATATGCCCTAAAGACCAAAGATGGCCAATTTACCTTGACGACACACGGAAAATTCCTGAAGATGGATTTGCCCGCTAGGCGAGTAGCTTCGAGTAGTCCTGTGCCGGACTGTGGAAACCGAGTTCAGCCTACGTCAGGCAATGCCATGAGCGTGTCTTCCCCTGGAGCCTCGACTCCTGGCACTCCATTGACCGCACCGCTACCCATGGATCCTCCTCCAGTATCCCTCAGTCGGCGCTCCTCCTTTGGTTCCTCGCCATCTATCCGGAGGTCAGCGTCACCAGCACCTTCTATGCCGTTACCTGCTGTGAAACCGCTCGAGGCTGCTTCTCCCGGCCTCTTTGGCGGGATAGGCGTGAAGAATGCCAGTATATATGCCAATGAGACGTTCAACTCTTTCTTTAGGCGCTTGACCTTTGCTCCAGACGGCAGTCTGCTATTTACGCCAGCAGGACAGTACAAGGTTTCCCTTGCTGGTCAGAATGACAAGGTCATGGAAGACATAATAAATACGGTCTATGTTTATACCCGCGCTGGATTCAACAAGCCACCGATAGCCCATCTTCCGGGGCACAAGAAACCATCGGTGGCAGTTAAATGCTCCCCTGTGTACTATACGCTAAGGCAAGGCACGAAGCCCACTCGCCAGATATTTTTGGATTCCTCATCTAGTGACGAGGCATTCCCATCTTTGCCAGACTCTATCATTTCTCAGCCGGTCATGGAACCACCAGCGAGTGCTCCTCCTTCTGCAACCAGCGAAACATCACGCTCTCTCCCGTTGCTAGGCACTCACGAAAGCGATGTCGGTTCACAGCATCCTCCACTCACCCCAGTATTTGCATTGCCCTATCGGATGGTTTATGCTGTCGCGACGCAAGATGCAGTTCTGATATATGACACGCAGCAACAGACACCGCTCTGTGTAGTAAGCAATTTACACTTTGCTACATTCACTGATCTCTCTTGGTAAGTCTTGGGACGCGTAATACCTTTTTGTTCCCATCTCTGATGCTAACCAAATTGTAGGTCTCACGATGGGCTTACCCTCATAATGAGCTCCTCCGATGGATTCTGCTCAGCCCTCTCCTTCTCTCCTGGTGAGCTGGGCCAAATTCATCATATGGAAAAGTCGCATCCTGTCGCGTCCAATGTGCCCGCCTCTACCAATGCTTCCGCTGCACAATCTCCGGTTTTGACTTCCCCCCGCAAAAATTCGGCAGGCAAGGCATCGTTAGCAATCGGGACTCCAACCGCAGTCCCTGCTCGTGCAACTAGCTCTGGCCCAGCCACACCATCCTCGACCACTTCCAAGGCGGCTGCGGTGGTAAACAACCCGACCCCTACCCTTGGCACTGTACCATCCGTCACCGCTACAAATTCAAGCCAGCCCTTCAGCACGCCACCGGAAACCCCCATGTCATCCCACAGCGCCGCCAATTCTATTAGTGGAAGCGTCTTAGGGAAGCGAGATCTTAGCACGGTGAGCGAATCAGAGAAAGAAGATCCAATCGAGAAGGATGAGGATGACCAAGGAGTAAACAAAGCCGGCCAGCGGGGACCAAAGAGAAAACGAATTGCACCGACGTTAGTCTCATCTGCGAGTTCCGGGATGCCAAATTCCGAAGACACAAGCAAGCCATCCACCTGACATACTCTTTAACCGTCTGGGCTACCAGGACAACTGCCAAAGGAAGGTGAAACAGCTTGTCTTGGCCCCAATATCCAACTATTATTGGCTCTTTGAGGTTGGCCTCCTCCTGACCAACCTGACTTACGTTCTATTATTCTGTCTTATCTTTGATGTCCCTTTTCGATTTTTCTTCGCTTTGTACATATGTGGGGTGTTATCAGGTCGCTCTCAATCCTCCTGGCCTCTTTTCATTATCTTATGGTTTCATTTTAACAGCGTGCTTGAAACTGGCATTCCAAGCCTCCCCTATCTCATATCCATCTCATATAATTCCCCATTATCGATGATATACTTTGCTTGGAGAGGAGCTCCTTCTACCCTTTTGTCTACCTTTTCTTAACTTGTCTCACTACAATGCCCCTTTCTGTTATTCTTTGTTATCCTTATCTCGCCATCCATTCTCCTTCTATGCTCTCTCAGACTGATATGCCCGTAACTTATTTCTATCATGACGGTGGTGGAAAGTGGCCGATTCCTGGCCGATTGGACCTTCAAGTAGGAAACGTGGAGACCTGGATGGATCCTTCACCTTAGTTTACTTAATGCTATGAACGTATATTATTTGATGCCAGTGACAGTCATTATTCGTTTATTCAATAACCTTTTAGCTGATACATAATTGGTGGGTGTGGTACTGGCGACGACACCTTGCATGGCAATTGAGGAACTTGCAAAACGAGGCGTAGGAAACTGTTCCCCTGTAGGAGAATAAGTCCATATACCTGGAATGGAAACACACGCTGAAAAGAACGACAGATACGATTGTATAACCTCGAAATCACACTCGTCATTCTGCATAATTCAGGTGACAGGCGCAATTGAATCTAGAACAAGAGATTAGACGAAAATGGAACCAGCAAAAAGAAACGCCGAGGATAGTCAATCCACGTGGGAAGATCAGGAAATCAGAAGCTCTGAAGCAAAAGAAAATAAGCAGGAAGAAAAAGGAAAGATTTTTTTTTAATATATAGTAAGTTTAGCCAATGTTCAACAGGCGAGGAGGTAGGTAATATAGTATTAACTGTATTGTATGAACAACGGTTATGAGAAACAAAAGAGCGAACAAGAAAGCAGGTAGACAGATAGGATAGGATAAGATAAGATGGAATAAGTGAGATCTCATTGAACGCATCAAAGAGTAAAAAGTTAAAGAGGCCGTAATGAATGAAATATTACAATCCTCCCCCATGACACTGACCGCCAAATACAGATGACGCCGAACAGAGCGCTAATAGTGTTCATGTCGCTACAGGAAACAATATCGAGTATTCCCCCGGCCTGGCCCATGTAGATCTGTCCAATAATTACAAAGAAAGAGAGAGGAAAGGGTCCGGGGTAGGATGGAAGCGCCGGAATGGCGTGCTAGACCCTTGGATGGTGAGGCGGGCGGACGGGCGGAATTATAATGGTTGGCTGGTTTGTTGGCATTCTTGGAAGGCTTGCGAGTCATGTGGTTGTCTCGCCGGCTCTAGGAGGCATGGCTATTATTCTCGGGTGGCAGCTGGAGAGCCCAAGATGAGATGAAAGGTGCGCGTCAAGCACGGCGACCACTCAAAACCTCAAGGGGATCAGTCCCAATTCCGATTCAGCCTAATTCGTTAGAGCTGATGAACGCAATATATCTTGCCTCCCCGTAAAATCGAATGCGGTGTGAGGAAGCGATGCGCGAGGCTGAGATCAGCATATAGATGACCAATATATAAAGCGTCTCGCGTTTTTTTTTTCTCATACAACAAAGTTAAGAGTAGATCTCTAATGGTTGTGGGAACGTCGTCGGCCATCTCAATAACTCTGAGCAGAAACCATAGCAGGCTGTAATGCGTAACCAGTAAGAATGTATACTTTCAGAGTTTATAGAGTTGCGTAGATGAAACACTACTGGCAACAATAGCGGGATGGGAATAGAACTTACTGGACTGTTGAGCATGTTGTTTCGCTTGTTTCTGCCCTTCTTTATATGGCTCTTCAAAGCGCTTGAATCCAGGGGCTTCAATAGCTCGAAACTGCAAAGGAGCTCGTCGGAAACGGACATGATGGCACCCCAATTGTCGAATGCACCACAGTACTATAGGCTAGGTTAGACTCGGGGAGATGCCGCGGGATAAACGGACACGGAACGAAAACTTACATTAGGCGCAGAAAAGACGGTGACGAGGATACGATCGTTGAAGAACTCGTAGCCATCTTCGACGACCATGTGGGCGCGGCACACGAGATCGAAATCGTGTCTCTGTAGGAATTCCATGATGACCTTCTTTCCAAAACAATAGCTTACGCCTCGTTCGTTGGGTTCCCAGTCTTCCTCCATGTCGGCCGGATCACTCCATAGCAAATCATTCAAGAGCCCATAGTCGGGAACGTCAGTTGGTCGAGCAATACCGCGGATGTCATCCATATGAGATAGACTTGGGGATAGCCCGCCGTGAACGCAGAATATTTTACCAGCAACGATAGCTGCGATGGGAAGGCAGTTGAATGTGTCGACAAACGTTTTCCAGGTCTTAATGTTGCATCGTCGTTTGCATTCGTCGTAGAACCCGTAGACACGTGTGACATTGGCGCATTCGTGGTTACCACGTAGAAGGAAGAAATTCTCGGGATATTTAAGCTTGTAGCAGAGTAGAAGGAGGATGGTTTCTAGACTCTGTTTGCCCCGGTCGACGTAGTCGCCGAGGAAAAGGTAGTTGGAGTTTGGGGGGAATCCGCACATCTCAAAAAGCCTGATCAAGTCGGTATATTGGCCATGGACGTCGCCAACGATCTTCACTGGCGCCGACAGTTCGAGCAGCGCAGGCTGGGTCAGAAGCAGTTCCCGGGCGGCGGTGCAAACGGCAATAATCTCAGCATTTTTCAGGCATACTGCCTTTGTGACTTTGGTAGAGTATCCGGCATCAAGCAGCCGGGTGATCATATCGTCGACATCAATGGACTTCAAGGCACCAATAGTCATACCTGGGGATCCATTAGTTCCGTTTTGATCTGTTATCGATCTAGAACCGGACTCTCTTAAGACAGGGTTGATTGAATTCTCTCGCTTGATAAGGATGGATTCGCCTGCCTTCTGGGCGACGGTCGATGGTGCGACCTGCGATGGGGGAGCATCTGACACGTGGTCAACTTCCCCTGACTTTTGTGCGGCGGAGACGTCTTTGTGCCCACGGCCGATCGAGGACGAATGTGGAGGAGAAGGTGGAGGCTTGGGTGCTTCGTTCTGCAGGTCATCCTGAGAGCTGGCCGAATGCACTGGCATCGATGAGCCGGACAGATTGCGTGCATGTCGGGAGATGGAAGAGCGAGCAAAGGCAGCATCTAGACCCTCAATGGGAGCACTATCTGAGCGCACAAGGGTTCCATTGGAGCCCCTTGGGCTGTCTGCTCTGTCGCCCTTCCCACTTCCTGGTATCTTGGAGCGAATGGAGCCACGGATCGAGCGGCTGGAGTCCTTCGTGTCGGATTTTGAGATCGAAGGATACGCCTGCAGGCCTTCGACCTGCAGTCCTCCCCCATTCGACCGTGATGCGTTCTTCGACTGCTGTTGTCCCATGCTTGCGTGGGGTGTGTGTTTTGAATTTTTCGTTTTTCAGCTGGGAGGGTGGGGAGGATGGTCGTTAAGGTGGCTCGAAGAGGGTCGAGATGAAGCAGAGGAAACTCGCCTCTACGAACGACGTTGTGTGCGACAGTTTCTGGGACGACCTTGTGACACACTCAAGGCGGTCGTCTAGGTTGTTATGGGGAGGAAGGGGAGCACGCCGACGACGGTGAAATGGCTCCAGGTTCGTAGATTTTATGCTCTTCTGAGCAAGGACGGAAGAGTGGGAATCACGGGAGGAACGAAACGCCTTTGACGGGGGTGACAGGGTCGGGATCTGGCGCTATAACTTTCCAGCGGTATCTACGGGTAGTGGCGAGTTAGTTTCAGGTCCACAAAGAAGCAGCCGGCGTCTCTGGCTGACGAGCAGCAGGACGATCCCCATAGGAAGACTGTACGGAGTAGACAGTGGTATGGAGAAGACGACGATCGCAAGCTGGTGTATGTTACGTACCTATATCTGCGGTGATGAGAGGGAGGGATGGGGGGTGGTGGTGGTGGTGGTGGTCTCCCAGGGAAGGGAGCAAACGGACTCAGATCGAGCTGAGCAGGGGCAAGCTGCAGACTTGCTGGCGGGGGAAACGGGCCCTGGCGAGCGTAACAAGCATCAACACGGTCAACACAGGTCAGCGGGTGGCCCTTCGGAGGCGTTGGACGTTGATATCGGCGGAGGGAGGCTGGTGAGATGTTGCGATGTTCCAGATAAGTCGAGATGGACCCGCGGGAGCAAAAAAAGGCGGACTTGGGAAGCTCGGCGCCGGATTATTCGTTCTGCCGAACCGCGCGTGGCGAGGTTATTTCAACCTAGTTCAAACAACTTCTATAACCTCCTGGCATATAAGGGACGAGATGGCGAGACGAGGGCGGTTGATGGAGGCAGTCTGGGGCCCTGTCGATACGAGGAGGTGCGGCAGCGTTCAGCCTTAACGCGGGCGACGGTCTCACAGCGTCGACGAGACGTGCAGCAGGTACCCTGGCGCTGTGGGTGGTACGCGATGTCACCTTATAGCACGGAGTATACGGAGAGCGTCGAACGTCTACAGATCCTATCTCATCTCTCTCTACGGAATACTGCTAGAGATTATATATCAGCAGCTTGAGCTCCATGTTGTCGCCGTCGACGATCTAAAAGCAATATATATGCCGGAAACCAGTTCGTCCAATGTGATGCTCGCTTACTGTCCCGATGTGCGAATCACATTGTACGCTAGCTCGGGGTTTCATCGAATGGCCTTGTTGTCGCTGAGGCCTGGCCGGAACTAGTCCAGCAACGTTGCAGATCCCTGGTGAAGGGTCAAAGAATCTCCACGATAACTGGATATGGGGTTTCCCTGGGAAGTTTAACGTTCCGACAGTCAAGAGGAGAGTAGGACCATTCACCGCATATACTCCGTATATTTTCAATATAAATAGTCTATGCACCGACTTCGAAAGATACATATTCGCCACTAAGATGCGGGTCGATATCGTGGCAGCCCGCTGGTGTGACCTGAGCGAAAACACCTCCCGAGCGCTCGGCGCAGAACGCACACAGATGCAGCTTAGGCTGTGCGTAGTAGCTATACAGGATGCGTCTTATGATCCAGCCCGACAGCTGTGCGGAACGTGGTTCCTGCTGATCGGGTCCTCCCATGTTTTTCCCCTTTCCCACAACGTCCAGCGCCTCAAGGCGCACAGCACCCCCGTCCGATTCGCTTAACTGAACGCACCCGTGTGATTTCCCCTCTCTCCGCTGTCGGAGGTCTGGGATGGGTGTGTTTGGCTGCATTCCGGACACGTCGGATTCTTCAGTTCTGGAACACTTTCACTTCAACCATCTCGCGCCGTTGCTGTAGATTTGTCGAGCTCGATCTTTGTAATGTGCTGGCCGGGGATGACGACCAGCCCGATGAACCTGCTTGACATGTCCGCCGTGATATCGAACGGCTCGCTGCTGGCCGGTTTCGGGCTACTGGCCTCCTCTGAAGAGACGCTCTGTATAGCTGGCTCGGTTGGGCAGCGATACTCATGCGTGCTGCTGAGTATGATGTTTCGTTCCTATATATATGCACCACACAGAGAGTTTAATCACCCAGCAAGTCCAACGAACCTGAGGAAGCGCGGGTTACCCACGTTATCGGTGCATTTGAACAAACCTACGAACGCTCGCGAGTCCGAGGTATGGACACGGAGGACCTTATCCACCAAGTTCTCCAGATACTCCCGGGCTTCAACTTTCTCCATCGCTGTTTTGTCGTGGTATACACTGTGTTTGATGTCAAGGGAAGAAGTTTATCGTCGCTTCCTTCGCCCGTTAATCAGGAACAGACACGTGATTGATTACTCATCCGGGCCAACGCATAAAAAGGGGCATAAAGAGGACATAAAATGGGCATAAAATGGGCATAAAATGGGAATAAAAAGAGCATATAAAAAGCCATTGAAGATAGTGAAAGGAACTAGATAATGGTATTGTACGGATAATCTGGAGTACCCTGGGATCTACCTGATGTAGCCATGCATTTAAGATTGATGGCTTGACTAGGGAGAGATGCTTAATCACTGCATGTTTGCTTAGCATCATCATTGACTTTCCACATTTCCATTCCAACACCACAGACAACAAGGTGTTCCCTAGTCACCCCGTTGACTTGCACCGCGAATTGATCTATGGCGGACAGATCGGCCACAGCGGTGTACATGTCGCTCTGCAGAGATACATGAGGGCCCCCGTCTACACTAGCCGATGCAGACCATAGTTTGATCCTTTGGTCATTCCCGCTTGAAGCGACAAGGAATTCCACCACCCTGTCAGAGTCACGCCCACCACTACCTCCATCAGCACGACGCACCAGGGTAATGGCGTTGATTGCCGAAGCATGTGCATTCGGATAGGGGGTCGTCGAGAAGTCGTCGACAAGACTCGCACTAGATTCCAACATCGAAAATTTGAGCGTCGAAAAAGCGAGGCAGTTGTCGTCTCCGCCAGTGATTAGCAGGACTTGTGCGTCAGATAATGGGAGTATCTCCATCGCTTTAATGCTGCTCTGGTGGGTGGGTCTACGATCCTCCCATTTGATCGACGACGGCTCGGCAGGTAGCGGTACGCCATCCTTGCGCTTCATAGATCTACCTCTAAAATTGAAATATGGCTTGATCGGTGCTGCTAAATCCCAAACTGCAATGTGTCCATCCGTCGAGCCTGTGACAAGCCGCAACTCATGATCCGACATCACCAGCCGGATTTGTGTTATGCAGTTGCTTGTATATGATCCCTGTGCAAGGAGTGTAAACACCCCACCCTCGGGGGACGACACGTAGTAGAATACCTATTCCTGTTAGCATGTCACAACGAACTTCCGATTGAGGAATTTGGTTACCTTGGTGGTAGAGTTAGAGTATGCCATGGCAATTAAGAACGATTCACAGCCGGTATCATCGGTCGCGACGCTGACGAGGTCGAAATGGGTCGTTCGTAGATCAGAATTCACCCGCCCTGTTGGAGCTTCACCTTCATTCAAAACACAGACGCCAAAACCAGGTATCCATCTGATTCTCCATACGTAGAACTCCTCCCTACCGGCACTGCTGAATAAGAAATTGCCGCACGTAGACCACTGGAGATGCTGTAGACCTGCACTATGTTTCTTGATTGCTCGCACACAGCGGAAGCCACTATCCGTCCCCCTTTCCTGTCCATCAATCGCGAAGAAACGAATTTCTGTATCCTCGGCACCGGTTGCAAGTATAGTTAGCTTTTCCTCTGCACCATCTATGCCTAATTTAGATATTGACGTGGTTTTGATCTCCCTTCCATGTCCACCTTGTCGTACACGGCCATGACACTGGAAGGTTTCCGACATTATGTTGAATGTCGACGCTTTAATCCATAGGAGGACATGGTGCATACTGCTGCCATGGTACACCCATCTTCTGTGGGCTCCTCCGCATTCAATCGATAATATCTCGGTTTGAGTCGTCTCATTCCATAACACAAAGTATGTATTTCGAAAACCCCATAGTATCAGGTCCTTCGTTTCGGCATCTAGCCTTGACCCCTCGATATACGGTCCAATTGGCGGAGTTGATCGGTGAAGTGTTTTAACTGTGAACTGAGAATTATTCTCCTGAATGCGATGGATACAGTAAGCCCCGTCTCTCCCAGTTGTAATAATATCCACAGACCGAGTAGCGGCATCGGCCGCCGCTCCCAAGTATGAAATAGAAGTAACTGTGTCTTTCTTGTGGGCGGTAAACACGCATAAAGGAGATTCAGCTGTCGTTTCCTGGATTTCAGAAGTAAAATTAAAGACTGCTATTCGCCCCCATCTTGCACCAAGAACCAGTAGTGAGGCAGATGGGATGAAAAGAGCGCTAGAGACCACAAATTCTGCTGGTAAGGCAAGCTGTTGTTTGGCAATGACCCTAGGAGACGGTTTAGGTTCGACAATAAAGAGGTTCGCATACGAAAGCGCTCTAGAGCTGGTGATGAATGTTATGGGCTCTGTGGTAAGATCGCTATAGTATTTGGGTGAGTGGACGACGAAAATATCGGATACGCTTCGGCCTATATCCGCCAAGTTTGTAATGCTTCTCGTTTCGTTGTTGTACCACAAGATTCGACCTGTGCCTGTGCCAATCAGTCCAATACCTCGGTCTGGTATGCCAGATATCGCCCCGTACGAGCCAATTCCTTCGACCATGGAAATTGTACTCCATTGTAACAGTGGCTCATCTCCTGATAGCCCCTTGCCGAGTGTACCGGTAGGAATATGGCCGAGAAGGACGCTCCCTGAGGTAAAAGATGCAATAAAACAGTCGTCCGAAACGAAGCCAAACTGATTTATTTTGCCGTCGTTTTTGGGCTTCTTATTCGTGTTCGCTGAATCCAGGCTTTGGTCCAGGTTTAGGAGGGTTGACTGTTCACAAATCTCATCGGGGGTATAAACCTCTGTCCTTCTTCCAGAATTATATTCTCCGGTCATTCGTGGGATAGTAAAGGATACTATATTGCTGTCGGCACCCCCTGTGTAGACACCAAAGGAGTCCTTCCCATTAACCACCTCCATAGACCATATGCTTTTGCCCACGTGGTAAGCATAGGAAGATATGCTCTTCAAGGTGGTTTGATTTTTCTGTAAAATGTATTCTCCCTCTATCAGTTCATACCTCGTTTTAAAATTCCAAACCTGACAGGTGCAGTCCTCGGATCTGGAAATAAGATTGAAGGTGATAAATTCGTCATATATTTCAAAGTCGAGGAATCGCAGCCCCCATATGCGTGCTTCATGGCCCCATTCTTTCGCAATGCAGGATTCTTGTCCCATAGCTTCATCGTCGGCTGTGTTTATGTGGAACCCGGTCCCACGGCCTGTTGTATATCCTTCAATCGTTGGTGGGTTGTTGCTGTTGGCAAGTGCTGAGCCACAGGAGGATATATCCCAAATGCGGATAGTCCTATCGTCGCTACAGCTTGCCACAAATTTCTTCGTTGCCTTTCCGCCATCTAATCGCATGTCTGGTGATATATCCACACCAAAGATTGACCCTTCATGGCCCGTAAAAAAATGGTGAATGTGGACAGAATCATCTACCTTTTGGCACAGGTCTGAATCTGGATTTAAATGGCAAGACCATATTATAATTTCACCAAACACTGTTCCAGTGGCAACAAGGATGCGGTTAGAATCCCAACTGATGTCAGCAGAGTATAAAATTGGTCTCAGGGTCGACCCGAGTTCATGCAGCTGAATGGCATTTTCATTTTCCAGCTTTGTGTCTTGAGTGAGAATTCTGAAGACAAATACTACATTATGTGCAGTGATCAGGCAGCCTCTGATACCCCGTCCTCGGTCTTCATTTGTGGGAAGGGAACTGGGCACGGCTGTATCCAGAATCCAATCAGGTGCACAGCATTCGACGCTTGCTGCTGACAAGGATAGGTCTTTAGGAGCGTCTGTTTGGCATGAGGATAATTTGATCAGACGGAGAGACTGTCCTCCCCACGCTAAGAGAGTTGCATAGTAGGTTTTGCCATTACTACAACACTCTTCGATAATCTGGATTCCATGGACCGCATTTCGTTCAAAAACTCGAAAGCGATCTAGTAGGGTACCACTAGATTCATCAAGTAGTAAGATGTATGGCCCATTTCCGCTAATAATTAGCTTCCTGCTGGGTATATTTAAAAATTTGACTGCGGTTACTGGCAGACATGCGTCTTGATTCTAGTCACGTATTAGTGCGAATTAAAAAACTTGAAATGGTGGGGGATAAAATTTACCTCAATTAAACATGACATCGATGCTAATGGTCTATACAATAAACACTGATTTTTATAAATATTTTAGTCATGCTATCTCTCATTTCCGAGCAATCGCAACTCTTTTTTTATATTTTTATATGGAGGGGAACATTTTGAGTGCAAAGTAAGTTTAGCAGGCGCCCACTAATTTAAACCACGTGATTACGCGACTTGACGTGTTGCTGACTAAGGGGCTGAGTTCTTATCGCCAACATCGTTCCTCCATCCTCCATGACTCGGATCAACGAAGTGCTGGCATGCAGATATAAAGCTGCCATGTTCATAGCTATTCTGTTTCCCATGATAGTACTGGCGCCGACTTCAGATCATGGGTGTGACCGGGCTGTGGACGGTCGTGAAGCCCTGCGCACGGCCGATCAAACTTGAGACTCTGAACAAGAGGAGACTCGCCATCGATGCGTCAATCTGGATCTATCAGTTTCTAAAAGCCGTACGTGACCAGGAGGGTAATGCGCTGCGGAATGCACATATCGTTGGCTTCTTTCGGCGAATATGCAAATTGCTCTTCTTTGGTATTAAGCCGGTGTTCGTTTTTGATGGTGGTGCGCCAGCTCTCAAGCGACAGACAATTGCAAACCGGAAGAGGCGCAGAGAAGGGAGAAGAGAAGATGCCGCAAGGACTGCTAGCAAGTTGTTAGCTATTCAAATTCAAAGGCAGGCAGAAGAAGAGGCGGCAAGGAGGAAAGCAAAACCTCAACATGAAGAGCAAGAGGAGGAACTGCCGGATGAATTTGTATATGCCGAGGAGATTCTGATGTCCAAAGCAGAAAGACAGAAGAACCGGCAATTTCGGAAAACCGACGCATATCATCTTCCGGAGCTGGATATGTCTCTTGCGGAAATGGGAGCACCAGATGACCCCAGAATAATGTCACACGAGGAACTCGAGGCATACGCTCAACAGTTTCAATCGGGCGAAAATATCAATCTTTATGATTTTTCAAAGATTGATTTTGATGGGCCGTTTTTCCTCAGTCTACCTGCAAGTGATCGATACAATATATTAAATGCTGCAAGGCTTCGAAGCAGGCTACGAATGGGTTACTCCAAGGATCAACTAGATACCATGTTCCCCAACCGTATGGATTTCTCCAGGTTTCAAATCGAGCGGGTGGCGGAACGTAATAACCTTACCCAGCGCCTCATGAACCTCAACGGCATGAATGATGATCTTGTATATGGCAGCGGCGGGCCATCTCGTATTGCCGGAGAACGAGACAGAGAATATATACTTGTGAAAGACAATGGGGTGGAGGGTGGATGGGCATTGGGTGTTTTGGGGAATAAAGAGGGAACTGATATTAACAAGCCAATTGAGCTTGACAAGTCCGAAGAACAAGTTCAATCTGAAGATGATGACGAGGGTGAAGAGTTTGAGGACGTACCCATCGAGGGCCTCAACCGCCTCCCAAAACTGCCAATTTTTGAACAAGGCGTATTTGACGAGTCTATTGCACAGCAGCGACAAAGACTTTATGATCCTCGAACTGGGAAGGCTTCTAATGAGATGAAGGAGACTGGCGGTGACCTCGACGATAACTCTCTTTTCGTTGGTAGTGAGGCGGAAGCGGATGCTGCTGGCGTAGCAGAACTTTTTGAGCACCTAGAAGACGAAGAGGACGAAGACCTTTCCCGGGCTATTAACCTATCCCTGGAAGAAATGCCTGCTGATGATCCTAAGATTGGTAAATGGGCTAGTAAACCCATTGCTGGCGGTTTTCCTACCACGACAGACGCCTCAAATCTTTCCGACAGCGACGATAATGAAATGGAGTTGTTTTCTGCCTTAGCAAAGTCGAAGGTTACGAAACAACCAACTAGTACTACAAAGCCATCGCATCCATTCTCGGGTCCGCTGCCCTTTGAGACCCTTAGGGTAATTACTGGCCCTAAAGTGCTTGCCAGCACAGCCAAAGATTCGAATGATGACACTGCTGGAGGGTTTGAACCCCCCAAGTCCAAGGAAGATACCCGAACTCAGCAACTCCCTCCATGGTTCTCAGGGGTATCCCAGCAAAAGGAGTTCATTTCCAAGGAGGAAGATTCTCAATATAACGGGACGGCTATTCCAAATCAGACTTTCCAACGCAACGAGATACTCTCTAGCTCAAAGCCAATAGAGGTAATTGATGTCGACGACTATTCACTGGATAAAGAGGAAGTTATTGATCTTGAATCGCCCGCGAAGGCTTCGACACCTTCTGCCGCACCTCTGGCTCTAAGTAACACCCAACCTCCACCTCTAGATATGCCTAGAAAAGGACCTGCCGCTGCGGAGAACCCGTCAAAGTTTCAATCTTCATCACCCGAGAGCGCTAGGATTTTTACAGAACAATCCGTACACGAAAACACGGAGGAGGGACCTAAACTGACCCCCAAAATCCTGGATTCTACTACCCTTGCTGAATATCCACTTGCCGCCGACAAGAAATCCACAAGCCCAGAGTTTGAAGATGCCATCATGTCAAACACTACTCAAACTACGAATGTCTTACCTTCTGGTCCCCCAACTTCTACTGTTGAACCTCAAGCGAATTCTGAGACCGCTGTGGTTGAATTTCCTGATGATGCGGATGACTATTCAGATCCCGAGGATGACGAGTTGATGTACCAGCTCGCCATGGAAACTGAAGAACATGCTCGATTCGCGTCAACCATGAATTCCAAAAGCCAAGCAGAAAATGCATTCGACTATGAGCAAGAACTAAAACAACTTCGTTCTCAACAGAAAAAGGACAGGAGAGATGCGGACGAGGTTTCCCAGATCATGGTTACCGAATGTCAGCAGCTACTACGACTATTTGGGCTTCCATACATTACAGCTCCTATGGAAGCCGAAGCACAATGTGCAGAGTTGGTGTCGTTAGGGTTGGTTGACGGAATTGTCACAGATGATAGCGATACATTCCTCTTTGGAGGCACCCGCATCTACAAAAATATGTTCAATCAATCGAAATACGTGGAGTGTTATCTTTCAAGCGACCTAGAAAAGGAATACGCGCTAGACAGGAAGAAGCTTATAAGCTTCTCCCATTTGCTAGGGAGTGACTACACAGAAGGTATTCCAGGTATAGGCCCTGTGACTGCTCTGGAGATACTTACCGAGTTTTCTGGCCTGGAAGAATTCCGCGACTGGTGGTCTCAGGTTCAATTGGGAAACAAAATACCAGACGATACGCATACGGCATTTCGCAAAAAATTCAAGAAGAACGTCACCAAACTGTTCTTACCTCCAGGCTTCCCTGATAAAACAGTGGAGAAAGCTTACCTGGAACCTGAGGTAGATTCGGATCCCTCAGAGTTCAAATGGGGTGTCCCTGACCTGGATGCTGTGAGACAATTCCTAATGGCAACAATAGGGTGGTCTCCAGAGCGAACCGATGAGGTTCTCGTCCCCGTAATACGGGATGTAAATCGAAGAGAGCAGGAGGGTACACAGTCCAACATCACAGGCTTCTTCCAAGGTCCACAGGGAGCAGGAGCCTTTGCGCCCCGTCAACGGACGGCTGGGAAGAGTCGCATGGAAAAGGCATTTGGTAGGCTGCGAAACCAAGCAGAAGCAAAGCAAACCACCCTGGATCCATACTCCAATAATAATGCCACAGAGGCCATTGCATCAACGGACGATGCCGTTGGTGATGATAACTCTACAGCGCAGACGGAGACTCGAAGACGACGAAGATCGACTGCCTCTAGCATACCCATTGATGATAATGAGCAGTCAACCAATCAACCCGCACGCAAGGTCCGAAGAAAGGCAAAGCGCACTAATGCATAAATTTGGCAGCCTCCACCATTTAATGTTCGAAAATATACCCAATCTATCTTCATAATTTATTAGCTTCGGATGTGATGCAAGTTCCGGCGGCAATCGAGACAGCCACTTGCCATCAATTGGGTTTCTGATCAGCCCAGGGATAGAAACCGCGCGCGAATGGGGTGGCGACGCTAGTTCTAGACTATGAACTATTTTAATTCTCCGTTTCTTGTGCAATATTCAGGCGGTTTATAGAGAGTTAAGTGGAGATATGACGTAGAAGCGAATGTGACGTTTGTGCATCCAGCAGCTTCCGGCTTCACGAGAGACCGTTAAGGCCAGTAGACGTAGGTCCTATCACTGCAAGTATTTGCCCGGCTGTGACATCTGGTGTCTTCGTCCCTGTACATCAAACTTATAAACTGTCGAAGCTGCGAGAGCGTTGAAGCGGCTGAAGGAGCTCCCTGCTGAGTCAGCAGCGACGTCATTTTCCATGCTCATAACAAAAGCCCAACTATTTCACGTCAACCCGAGCATCCAACCTCGCCCCCAGACGCTCTTCGGCTCTTCTCACGGTATTTACCTTCATCGACAGAGGACCTCGTCAATTCCACTCGCTGGGACTCTATAATTGAGACGCGAGAAGTACATTTCGCATCACCAGCCTCCAACGTCCACCAGTTCCGCCGAGTTCCATCTCCTCCATTCCCGCCTAACAGACAACCGAGAGACGGGCTAGAGACATCCTCAACGAGCGATATATAGGCGATTAACAGACTAATTCTCAGCCTTTACCCTTTTTGCGGCACGGATTTTAATAATTTAATATGCATCGAACCTATTCTTTGCGACAGAGCCGGGCTCCGACAGCCTCGCAGATCGAGAGCCCTCCTCCACCACTCTCGTCAACCAAGACAAATAGACTGTTTGGAGGCACTAGCTTTGGTATGATACATCAATACCCTTCCTATGTCTGCTGGGAGTGGAACTGGCCTTCCTTCGTGTAGCCTCTGACAGATCGATTATACCCTCCAATCAATGCTTATCAGGCCAATGTATAGCTAACAACGTTGTCTACGATAGGCCATGCTTTCCGAAAAACAGCTGCGGGCAGCTTTGGCCCGGACCTCGCCAAAAAGCTTTCCCAACTAGTTAAGATGGAGAAAAATGTTATGCGTAGCATGGAATTGGTTGGCAGAGAGCGAATGGAGGTTGCAGTACGTCTTATCCGACGACCACCTCAGCCCTGGATACAAATCTAATCTGGTCGATAGCAACAACTTTCTCTGTGGGGAGAAGGCTGTGACGATGACGTTTCCGATATCACTGATAAACTGGGTGTCCTGATATACGAGGTTGGGGAGTTGGAAGATCAATTCATTGATCGGTATGATCAATATCGGGTTACCATTAAGAGCATTCGAAACATAGAAGCTTCCGTCCAACCCAGCAGAGACCGTGAGTTATTAGCTGTACCACTTGACCATATACGGAGCTAACCAGTATGCTAGGAAAACAAAAAATCACCGACCAAATCGCCCAACTTAAATACAAGGATCCAAATTCGCCTCGCCTTGTTGTGCTAGAGCAAGAGCTTGTTCGTGCAGAGGCAGAATCCCTCGTTGCTGAGGCACAGCTTTCCAACATTACCCGTGAGAAAGTCAAGGCTGCCTTCAACTACCAGTTTGACGCTTTGAGGGAACACTGCGAGAAATTAGCAATTATTGCAGGCTACGGAAAGCATCTCGTCGAACTGATCGATGACACCCCTGTAACTCCCGGTGAAACCAGGGCTGCTTACGATGGATACGATGCCAGCAAGGCCATCATCCAGGACTGTGAGGACGCATTGACAAACTGGGTTTCTTCTGGAGCCGCAGTTCACTCGAAACTTTCTTCTCGTTCCCGTACCCTGTCCCAGAGGAGACGAAACAACATCTCGAAAGGCCGCGCCGATGGTGAGATGACTAGTCACGAACATTCCGTTCGCGGGGACCGTGATTCATGGTTGCCTGCAGAGCAGCACCCAAACTACACCCAGTCACATAATGATGAGGACGATATCTATGAGGAAGATGACATCCTCCAGACAAACGGCGACACAGCACGAGAGGAGAGGGTGCAGGTTGCCGCGTAAAAATTCCCTCGTTTTTACGTTACTTGCGTCCATTCCCGCCTATTCCGTGCCATTCTTGTGTCGATACCCTCTACTATTACCTTTATATAAAATTTTGCCTTGGGTGAACGATCCCACTATACAAGAACTTAATGGTGTAGCGCCACAGCCGTTCAATACACATGGATTCCCACAATCTCTGAAAGACGGAATGAGATGCCTGGCGCCTTAATCTGAGGGCTTATTTGTTCTCATGTTTTATGTTCCTTCACGCTGCTAGTTTGGGGCTGGGTGGTGTTAATGCGTAAAAAGGGGGTTATTCAGATGGCGGTTCTGGGTTGTTTATATCAATTGAAGCGCAGACAAAGAGGGGTGTTCATTCGCAAACATGTTCTCAGGTTCAGTTCTTTTCTACGTATCCAGTGGTTGCCAGTTAAAGGTTCGAGGCCTTTACGGATGGTTTTACCTTGCTGCATGCAAATCTATTCTTGCCATTGGTAATGCATGCCATTAATTCATCGCTTGAATTCGACTTGTGTTGTTATAATTCGCACCCTTACCGCAGTAATATGTAATGTTATAATGTTTATTCTTTTGTAACATTGCATTATTTTTAAACGTTTAGCTCTAAAAAAAATTATACGACAGAAGTAGGTCTAATCAGAAACGAAAAGATATATTTCATTATAAGTTAAGGGTACAAGTGCTCAGCCATCCCGCCCGTTATCAAAGGGTTCCAAGCCTTGGTATATATCGTAAAGTAAAGCGCCACTCAAGAAGCATAGCCCTGTTCGCCTTCGTTGTAAAACCAATCATAAGTCATTAATCGTTTAATCTCCTAGGGTTAACACTAGGGAGGAAGAATGCATCTTCCAAATCAAAGGAATATATTCTCCCCCAAAGCCTTCACAGCTGCCCTCCAGAGACCATTGCCCAAAGTAACAGGAGATTTATCTATCGACTTGGCCAAAAAGTCACTTAGATGTGAGTCTGACTTGGAGGAATCGCTGCAATTGTCAAGCCCGTACACCCTACTCGCAGAAGCATCTACATCGATGCCAATGTCAAAGCTCAAATCCTCCAACTGTTTGCTGTGATTCTTCGGCTTGACTGTGAAATCGATATCAATCCTTACCCGGATCCTTCCGTCTTTGTCACTCTGAGATTGATCAACACTAGGCGTTTTCTTGTCTCCAACCCAGCCAAGCAACATGCAACGGACTTTTAGCAACGTGGGTTCAGATGGATTAATCCCCGCAGACTTGGTAGTGGTAATTCCACAATATCCTAACATTCGAATTTCTTCTCGTAAGGACGCCGCAATTCCCCAAGATTTTGCAATGCTGTTGAGGAATAATTTGGGTGAAACGGAAATTTGCGTAGAATGAAGAATACGCGTCCGTATGGCATTTAGAACAAGAGAAACCTCTGGGCTAGGCTTGGCAGTAACTGGTTGTGATCCGGTTCCACTAGGAGAGAATGTGAGTGTTATGGGAGAAGGCCCGCGAAGCTGTGAAATGCGCCGCCCTTCGTTGGCTGATTTTGGATATGGACCACGAATATACTTGGGGATAAAGTCGAGTCGAAGCTCTCCGGCGTATCGCATGGAGAGAGTGGTATGGCTCTCAACGTCCTGACCCGGCCTTGCTGAGAGAACAGTCCATCCAGTTCGCTTTTCTAAAGCCTGGACGGAAGCTATACAGGTCTGGTTAACTTTCAGGCTCTAGGAGAAACGTTCATGAAAGGGAACATCTAACTTACCCCGTAGCCCGCGCACTTCCTTCACATTCCACCCTCGACATTCTTCTATTATACCCTCAGCATCGCGTATTTGTTGGAGCAACTTTTCTTTTCGAGCTTGCCCTGTCTCCAATACGTTGCTTTTTTTTTCTAGGCTATCCCGCACATGTTCGTATTTCTGCTTTTGATCCTCAAGTTCTGTTTCGACGGTTGCCAGTTTCTCTCTGGCATCTCGCAATTCCTCCTGGTCGCAGTTTTCGATTTCGTCCATTACCTTTTGAAGGTTATGAGATTCGATCTCAAGCCTCGCATGTTTCTCCGTCAAGCCTGGAACCACTTTTGCAAGAATATTTTCTTTCTTCGAAAGTAGGATATCATCCTGTTTCATTTCATCGACATGTCGATCTAATCCTTGCTTCAAGCCTTCTAGGAGTTTCATGCGCCACTCGTACCACATTTCTTTGCTCAATAGTCGTGCATGGGTCTTGACATTGCGAAATTGATTATCCATTAATAACCTGATATCCGGCGTGGCCGTGATATACTCTTGGAATAACGGAGGATTCTCTGCATACGTCTCAGCCTCTATTGAGCGAATGATGCGTCGGCCTTCAGAGATGTAAGACTTAAGCTCTCGACAAGACTATGAGTTAACTAGTTAGCCATGAACAAACGATTATTTCAAAGGTCTGAATGTTAAAATAAACTTACGTGTTGGTATAACTCAAGCATGGGCACAGTGCAGAACCCGGCGGCAACGCGGTCCTCCAAATTGAATACTTTCCCGCCCTGGAATATTTCTATATCACGCTTGTCAGGGCTTCCAGGGGCTATTGTATGCCTCCTCTTAGTTGTCGTTAACTCCATGAAGTGTATATTGGTCATCTCGAGGAAATCGGAAAGTTTGATTGCATCAACCCTAGGTTCGGTATCTTGGAGCATATTTTCTTCCTCAGTCTCAGCCTCTTTCATAGGTTTCTTGTCATCTGGCGTCTGCACTATAAGTTCCTTTGCCTGTGATCTTTGCTTTGCTAGGGAAGCATTTATCAGTGGTGACACGCTTCGAGCATAGTGAAGGGACAGACGGCTTGGTCGGCCAACCGTTTCTGCCTTTGACGGAGGAGCTGGGAGTTTGATGTTTTTAACCGGGCTAGCTTCTCTTCCTCGCAGGCGTTTAGGAGTAAGATCTTCGTCGGCATCGTCCATGTCGAGTTCAGCTGGTCGTTTTCCGAGAAGGCCTCTAGCGGCACCAACATGAAGACTTTTGCGGCCTTTGAGTTTGCTTTTCTTCGGGGTTAGACTTGATATCAGTTCCCTCAAGTTAAGTGTAGTGTCTTTTTCAGATTCTTGACTGGCCCTATGCGGAATTTCTTCCTCGATATCCTTTTCTACTCCTGGGCCAAGTTTGCGAGGGTCATCAAATCTGACACCTCTATTGGGTGTTGGCTTTAATACAAAATCCTGAGCATCTTCTCCAATGGAGCGTCGCCTGTCTAATATTTCTGTAACTCGTGGAGAGCCAAGGCCAGCCTTGTTGACACCCTGAGTAGAGAGATTTAATGCCTTCAAAACAAAGGTGGGCGTTGACTGCCCGGTTAACGCATTTTTCTGGAATAGAGAAACGGGTGTTGATTTGGCCGGAGGCTGGTTTAGTTGCAAGGGGCGTCGCTTTTGAGGGGATGCACTTCTAGATCTGGGTCTGATAGGACTTCCCTCAGGGGTGGCAGGTGTCGATGGCTCGACATGACGAACAGGCTTTTGTTTCAATGGTGTGGAGGGGCCTCTGGCTGGAGATGATTGTCGTGATAGCGATTTCCTTGGGGAGGAAGAACGTCGGGACCCAACGCTAGATCTAGCCCTGGTGCGAACTGGGCTGCCGCTTTCAGACGTAACAGTAGCCGTATGTAGCGGTAACGGGAGTTTGGCAGGAGAGGCAGCAACTTTTTCTTGGAAAGGGGAGCTTGGAGGGTCCGCCTCGTAGTGCTGCATTCCCCTTTGTCCCTTCTGGCTGGCTACGTGGAAAGGTGCCAGTATTTTGCCCACGGCGTTCGTCATATCCATGCCCATAGTCCCGTCCTCAGACGGCTCGGTCCGTTCCTCTATCGGGGGTAGTATACCGCCAACCGCGCCAGTCATTTCCATATCGTCCTCTCCTAAATCGGGGTATGTTACGTCTCCTTCGTAACCATGGTCGTAGGCGGCCCTTTCTTGGGGTATATAATCATTCTCATTACCTAGATTTTGTTTGTTAAGGACACCGCCCAAGACATTGGTAAATTCCATAGTCATTTCCTCGTCGGTATCGATATTGCTCTCTACATCGAATTGTTTGGAAGGGGAGCCACCCTTAATTCCGCCAAGAACGTCTGTAAATTCCATTGTCTGGTCACCGAGGTTGGTTACAGCTGATGCTCGGCGAAGGGGGGCTTTATTATTTTGAAACGCCGAATATGGACGGGAATCCTGATCATCCGGTGCAGCAAAATTACTCTTCCTTCGAACAATACCACCAACAGCCTTTGTGATATCCATACTCATATCACCATCGTCTTGATAAGCTGCGCTTGTTCTTGAAGAGCTCGGGGCAACTGTGTTTGCCGGAGTAATATTCTCCTGGTCGAGACGAGAGGTTAGGTCTTCAGCATCAAATTTTGCGGCAGACCCCTTCTTAACCCAGGGTTGGAAGGCTCCAACGATCTCATGGTTGGTGAATTCCATTGATAGGTCCCCATTTTCATCAAAGTCAATTCCCCTAGTGCCAGCCGTTTCAGCAGCCCTTCGTAATGACCGCTCCAGACTACTAGAACTGGGCGTTGAGCCATCGGACTGTGGGGAAAGTGATCGTTCGGTAGCATTGTCCAGGCTCATGTTCGTACTTTCATCTTCAGGCCCAGAACTCAGAGAGTCACTTTCCACCTCCATGTTCCCACCCTGAAAACCAGCGTCATTGTTATCTGCTGCAGAACCACCACTAAAGGGGCTAGAAGAAAACGCTTCATCTGCAAGGTCATCTAACTCAGCTGCAGCATGAGATCCAGGGGCGTCTTCTTGATCATATTTCTCTGGTGATGATGGTGGCTCTGCGTCCGAACCTTGGTCCATATTACCAGCCGCGAGCGAAGAAGCTCGGCGGGTTGTATTTGCAGCTGAAGAAGCGGTGGAGTCCTCCATCAATTCGACTACATTCCAGGTATGCAGAGTCGCCTCAGGCGCAAATGAAACTCGTCGATTGGCTAGAAATGGATTAGCCAGGGGCGTTCAGTGTCAAAATTTATGTATATCTCTTACCCATTGATTTCCTTCGAGCAGCTCGCTGTTCTAATATGGCCTTTTTCTTCTCTCGCTCATTCTCAACTCGCATCTTTTCCTCTCTTTCTCTTTGGGCAGCGAGAGCCTCATCTTTGGCTCGGGACGGTGGTATTGGGTTAAAATTATCGAACGGGTTGATCAAGCTGTCTGTGCCGACGACTGGGGCAGCAGTGGGTGTAGAAAAGTCAATGAGAAGATCATTGTTGCCAGATGCTTTATGTCCGATTCTAAACGTGTCTCGACTTGGAGTCTTCCTCCGCGTTTCTGCAAAGGTGGGAATATGGCTGATGGGAGAAACGGGGATGGTTGGTTTAAGAATCGACTTCAATTGTACCGCAGCAGTAGACTAAAAAAGTACTGTCAGCCTCCCAATCCCGGCCGGATTTATACAACAAGTGAAGGAAATCATATTTACACACCTTTCTCCTATCGTTGCCCCCATTCTTCAAGAGATCCAATCCTCCTGGCCCAAGACTCTTGCTGCGGGACCTTTTGTCCTTCCCGAACGTCCTAGAGGGTATATTGCTATGTTTCTGTACGGCACTGAGGTCTGTCGTAACGTTCTCCTTGTCGATATCGATGCCACCACCTCTATGGGGCATTTGCGCAAGCGAGCGTCGAGCTCTCACGCGCGCAGCGTTGCTCGGATCGCGGGTATAGGACGACATTGGTGCTCATCTATCGTATAGCGGCGGCCAAAAAAAAAGAGGAGGGCAAAGCAGGCGGCCCCAGGGGAGATCCAACTCCAGCCAAAAAATGTATCGTCCACGGCTATCCGTCCATAAAGCAGGATTCAATAGTATAGATGTCGTTTCTCATGGCTTATCTCGAAATGCACTTTGACGTCGCGTTAGCATCATATTACCATATCGGGACTAGCGGCGTAAACAAACCAGAAGCCCTAAGCCAAGACGCGCTAGTCTGCATTAAGGCTAGAGCCCTACTTTCCCTCCCACATTGGAAATTGGCGAGGAAAAAAGGGCAACGTCAAAGTCAAAGGCAAGATTCAACAATCTCGCACGAATCGACGACCTCGCGGATTCACGACAACGACCACCGTTCCCTTTTCCAACCATAATCCTTTGCCCGCGCGAACAGGTGTTGGAATACCGCAGCCATGGCGACCGAGTTGACCGTCCAGTCGGAGCGTGCGTTTATGAAGCAGCCTCACATCTTCACTAACTCCAAAGTAAAGTCGAAGAGCAAGGCTGTCGGAAAGGGTGGACGAAGATGGTACAAGGACGTTGGCCTGGGTTTCAGGACACCAAAGACCGCCATTGAGGGAACCTACATCGGTATGCTCGACGATTTTCCAGACGGGGGAAGCTATCGCGATTTTCTTGCAGGGAGTTACTTGATGGGGAGAGAGGATGGGGGCAGACGGGGAGATGGACTGGGGGAGCTGAGCGGTCGTGATTATCTATGGAAGAGCTCATGGCGATTTCACAGATAATTGGGGCTCGCAATACCTCCCGGGACCTCTACTCTTTGCCATCTCGCGACTACCTGCAGGAATCGCGAAAGAAGCTCAAAATTGGTTGTTCGAGATGGAATTCTAACAGCGCTTTTCTCTATAGACAAGAAGTGCCCCTTCACCGGCCAGGTCTCCATCCGTGGCCGTATCTTGACCGGCACCGTTGTTTCCACCAAGATGCACCGTACCCTCGTCATCCGACGTGAATACCTCCACTACATCCCCAAGTACTCCCGTTACGAGAAGAGACACAAGAACCTCGCCGCACACGTCTCCCCCGCTTTCCGTGTCGAGGAAGGTGACCAAGTTACCGTTGGCCAGTGCAGACCATTGAGCAAGACTGTACGTTCTCCAACACATATATATCCGAGTTCATTTTCTGTGAAACCCCATGTCTAATGAATATCTGCGTTTTAGGTCCGATTCAACGTCCTCCGTGTCCTACCCCGCACCGGCAAGGCCGTCAAGTCGTTCCAAAAATTCTAAATTAGGGCTTAATGGCGTGGATGGAAGGTTGTTTGTCTATGTGCGCTGATGGACCGATACTGCATGACATGATGGGATACATGGTGCTTTAGAGATCGTGAGGAGAAATCGAAATCAGTGGACAGGACAGGACAAGAAAGAAAAAATGAAACTCCAATTCAAACTTCAAATCCACGTTCTCAGTTCGATTTCTCTTTTGTATTCCTGACTCAAAGAAAAACTCCTTATCGAAGGCAGCGTTTTTAACTTGTCTTGTTCCGATTGGAGTTTTTTTTAGCTGCCTATGAAATGGAATTCGTTCTTCTTTTGTTAACGAGTATAATAATCACGGTATACGATGAAAAACATTTAAAATTCATTGTCCATACTAGGGCCTGAGCAAAGTCGAGACCGTGGCAACCTCCACGAAGTTCAAATGCAGCCATAACATGTATCCACACAGGCATGGAATCCACCTCTTGCTCTACTAAATTCACAAACTCAACATCGACGTAATCCTTGCTCGTTGAGCGGCAAAGGAATCAACCTGCACCTGACTCCTCCAAGGTACATATTCTTCATCATCCACTATCATCCTGTTGCCAACTTGGTCTTCCTCTTCGTCATCCTCATCATCCTCATCTTCGTAGTCCAGTTCTTTATCTTCCTCATCGCCTTCCACATTATACCTTTCACTCTCATCGTCCATGTCTTCGTCGTCATCGTCGTCATCAATATCGTAATCACGATACTCTCCGTCCTCGTCCTCATCTTCATCGTCCTCATCAGCTTCTACAGTATCAGGAGCTGGCGGTAGGCGGTAACCTCTAACAAAGCCGAGTTGTACTCCTCTAAGATAGGCTGCACGCTTGTCTCCCGGCGACCGGAATGACCATTTTGTAGCAAATAGTAGGGCTATTGCATTGGCCTGGCTCTGTGGAATATTCAGAAGATGGAACAGCTGTCCCATAGATTTCCCAGATTTTGTATCAGCGGTGATCATCTTTGACTTGAGTCTTTGAACTAGGGGAGCTCTGTTATACCGGGCAGCCTTGATCACCGGTAGTTGAAGCAGCCGCCCTATGGCAGGATATTGCTTAGTGATACTGAAGAGACGTTCCGTAGAGAATGTAGTGAGAATAGCATCTGAAGGTATAGCACCCCATGCCAACCACTCTCCCTGTCCATAATAGCGGCTCTTTTTCTCGGGTCCATATAGGATCGGCCTATCTCGAAGAATGGGAAATACTGAATGTAAATGAGACTGATTCATTTTAGACGTATCTAAAATTGAAATATATGCCTTCCCAGCCCTTAGGGCACGATGAATCACTCCGAGAGGGCTCGTTGACATGGATATAAGAGGGGAATCAAAGTCAATCCTTGTGAGATGTGCTCTAATTAATCCAGAGACGATTCTTGGATCAATTGAAGAGCCGTCGGGTATTGGTAGTCCGCAATGTCCTGTCCACATTCCTCCTATAAAGTTCGTTGCTGAATTAAGGCCCCCGCTGTTTTCGTGCCAAAACCTAAACAGTAGTGGCGGAGGGGTAGCCGTAGGGTGGCTAGATGGAAACGGGCTAAGTGACGGAGTTGAGGCTTGAGCTTGAGCTGGGGTTTGAGGTGGTTGACTTGGAGCTGGTCGAAATCTAGTAGGGGTCCTAGGTGGTGTTGCTTGAAGTCGAGTTGAAGTAGTCTGCGGACGTCGGGATACAAGATCAGATGGAATTGACGGAATTGATGGAGCTGCTCGAGTTCTGCCTCTCATGTACCCTAATCGTGTCTGCTTGCCCATTCTCACTAGACGTTGAATATCAATCCCACTACAGACGGTTAGGCGAATATGACCCCGCTCCGCGACAAGCTCAATCGTCTCGACAAACATGGCCAGCCTCACCCATTGATTCGGGTGGGTATCATAAACACGCGTCCAGATGCGGTCCTTCCAGTGTTTGAGATGGCTGACCTGGCTTACCAGGGGCCCTGCTCTCGTGCCATCTGTGAACCCCGCCGCCAGAAGACTCTCTGCAAACGCGTAGTTGAAGAGCCGAGTAAACTTCGCCCAATTGGCGACGTAGACTCGATACAGGATGCATATAAAGAGCTTCATATAGTCATCCCATTTAATCTTGGGGGACACGCGCGGGTTAAGGGCTGTGTGGCTGTACTGTGGAGCCATGGCTTTTCTATAGTGAGACAGCGGTGATTGCAGAGTGTTTGGAATAGGATCTCGAAGCTGACGTAGTACTCCGTAACGTAGAAGCTTGACAGGGAGTCAGAGAGAGTTAGACTTGAAAAAGCAGTAGACTTGAAGAAGCAGTACTCCGTAGACTTGAGAAGTAGTAGACTTGAGAAGTAGTAGACTTGAGAAGTAGTAGACTTGAGAAGTAGTAGACTTGAGAAGTAGTAGACTGACGAAGTAGACTTGAAGGGTAGACTTGAAGAAGTACGGAGTAGAGAAGTGGAAGACGAAGAGAAGTTGGCGTCGTGTCAGAACAAGAGACACGTAGACCGCGACGAGGATAGATGTCTATAGAGCACACTGACAGATGGAGGTACATCTGCCGAGTAGACGCCCTGTCATCTGTCACCCTGCCATCCTATCTCAGTCCTCGACCATCTTCGTTCTTCCGCGTCACTCGGGTATCGTCCGCGCGTACATCTACCTCGCATCTTCTTGTATCTCGGCATCCTTCTCATCGTATCGTGGTATATCTTCAGCCAAGAGTGTCCTCAGGCGCAGCGAAGGAAGCGAGTCCAAGTAAGCGAGGTTGAAACAGACGACTTCCGCTTTTGGGTATAAACATGGATGTGGCTTAAAAAGGGAAGGAACGAGCCCAGCTGAGAAAAAGTGGAGCCCGCTCAGCCTACACGCTAGTCCCAAGAAGGCTAGCGACGCCACGAGGAGCCAGGAATAGAAGCGGTTATCCCAACTAGGACTAGCGTGTATTGTGTACGGTAACTTTGCGGTAACCAAGGCGTAACGGCCCCCTCCCCCCGCCCCAAAAGGGCCCAAGAGCACAGGTCTGGTAATTACCAGTTCTCTTGTTTGCCCTGCCACGCGGACCCACCCAACACTCCAGCCTTAGCTCAGCCATGCGGCGCGCGTCAGCTCGAGATATATTAAGGGCAGTCTCACCAGCACACCGTCAATACTCAACATCAACATCTCCATCTCGTCGTTCACCTCTTATACTCGTCTCGTCAGCTTGTTCAGCTGTTCAGCTTGTACTTCTTGCTAGATCTCGCTAGATATTTCACACTACCCTCAGTCTCTGTCCCGAACTCGGTTTTAGTTACTGTCTCAGGCACCAACAGTCATCAGTCATCATGGGCAAAGGCGGGAGATTTGCGTGTATCTTCCTACCATACATCCTCTCAATTGCGACACTCGCGTGTCTTGCTATAGTCGGTCTAGGATGCTACAACACCAGCACCCTCACCGATCTCTACTTCGCCAAGGTATGCTTTCGTCTCATGTACCAGCTTCGTACACCCGTTCTAACCAGACGACGTATCGTGTAGGTTGATATGAAAGACATAAATACATCACCGTCCGGCCTACTCGACGAACTCCAGCCTCTCGCCAAGGGTCTCCAGCAGGCCCAGGCCAAAGGCGATATCCATGACTTCTACATCGTCGGCATGTGGAACTACTGCTACGGTGACAACAAGGACGGAGTCGACCATGTCACCCATTGTTCTCCTCGCCAATCGAAGTTCTGGTTCAACCCGGCCGAAGTCTGGGGTGTCGATGAGACCGTCGAGAAGATCTACCCATCTACCCTCCAGAAGGGCCTAAACACTTATAAGAAAGTAGCCGGATGGATGTTCGTTGCATACGCCGTTGCTATTATTGCTTCCGCCATTCAGCTCCTGGTCGGCATTTCAGCCATCTTCAGCCGATGGGGTAGCTTCTTCACTACTCTCGTCGCAACTGTAAGTTCTCCTGCCCACATATGGCTCCCTCACTGCCAGTTCATATACTGATATGTCCACCAGGTTGCTGCTGTATTCACTATTGGTTCTGCTGCCACCGCATCTGTCCTCTACGGCATCCTCGTTGGAGCCATCAAGGCTGGCCTCAAGCCGTTCGATGTCAACGCCAGCGTAGGCACCCGCATGCTCGCCATCTACTGGCTAGCTGCCCTCTTCACTCTCGCAGGAGGCTTCTTCTGGCTCCTCAGCGTCTGCTGTTGCTCCGGCCGCTCTCCATACGGCCACCGCGATAACCGTCGTGGTGTCACTGCTGAAAAGGCTCCTTACACCTACGAACGCGTTGCCAGCCCATATGGTGCTCACCCCGGAGCCAACGTGCCAATGCACAATATGCCTTCCCACCATGCTCAAGACACCGCCTACGAGCCCTTCAGACATGACCAGCGCGCGTAAAATCTCTTTTTGCCCGTTGCCAGGATCGATTCATGTTACAAACACCGTCCCATATACCCACTTTTCATTTTGCTTGTTTTGCCAACGGCCTAAAGAGAGACAGACAGAGAGAAAGAGTGTAACGACCCGTCCATGACCACTATGGTGAAGTTTGGAATTGCGTTCAACGTTTGTAGACTTTGATATTTGCTTTTTATTTTCTTTTGTCCACATTTATGGTGCGGAGGCGTTGGCCTGGTCTGGCCTGGAGATATCTGCTTTCACTTTTCTTATTCTAACTATTTACGGCAATAAGGATGATATACGGGGTACATAATACATAAATCCTACCTATACGCTATTGAGCCTACAAAAATATTATGATACTAAGTACAGAGTATTCTCCCCTCGTTGATAGAACATTAAAGTCAACCTTTAAGATTGCACTTAGTATCTCTACTTACTTTTGGATTTACTAAAGTATAAGGGCAAGTACAGATATGCTCCCTATACAATAATAAGTAGAAAAGGCAGGTAAGGTCGAACATAGGTAAACACTCGCTGTTTGTCCAAATATCAGATAGTGTTATTCTCAAGATATTCCAACCCCCAAGCCATTACAGGAGATATATATATATCCCACCAAGTACTGCATACATACATATCCCGGGAACATGGGCGATCCAGGCCTTGGTGTGGTGCCAGGTGTAGATGACACTCCAAGCCCAGTCTTGCCGCAACCAGAACCCCAACTTCGCCCACCAACACCTCCCATTCTTACGCTGCCTTCGGAGCTTGCATACCACATATTCTCATTCTGCCCCCCGACGGACTTATGTTCACTGGCAGGAACATGTCGATATCTACGCGAGCATGCAAATAACGATATAGTTTGGACTACGTTGCTCCTGGAAAATATACCATCATGCCCAACCCCGTTGCCGAAGCCTGGACCAAAATTCCAGAGCTATAAGGAGCTATACCTTGCCTTAGACTCTGTATGGTTTCTTGTGCGCAACCAGATATGGATTGCGGACGACGATGTCAAGGGGAAACTGGTGGTTGCCCGATATAACTGGAAATTGGAGAGAATAGAGCTCTTACGTTCCGTCATACGGTGCGATCCCTATTATGATGATCGCTGGCCGCAGGCTCTTTCGTCTATTTTTCAGTCATTTGATCCGCAGGTTATGCCCTGGGAGAAAGCCCCTGTGGTATGCCTATCTTCTGATTGCGCCCGTCAACTCCGCCGGCAGGGTCGCCGGTTGAATGATGGAGAAATGCGCCGAAGTTCAGATACTGACTCCGGTATTATCCTTACGTTCCCAACGTCCCGACGGTCAAGAGCTCTTGAGAGCGGTTCAAGGCTGGAAATATGGCCACCTCGCGCTATCCCGGCGGAACACCGAGTCGCGGTGGATAGACGGGCATGGGGACTTGATCAGCAGCACAGTGTGGAGGTTAGGCCACCAGAGATAAGCGAAGAGCCTTCCGATGTCATATTTAGGTACAAGATATTGTGCCAGCCCGAATTTCACGACCCCGACATACCGTCTGAGCATATCCCCAGCTGGAGTGTTACGACTTTTGCAAGCTTGCCCCCGTTCGCTATATACGCCAACGCCTGACTTTCCATATCGGGGAATCTGGGTGGGCAATTTCTCAAAGTGCTACCCGGAGTTTTTCGTGTTTAAACAATTCGACTTCCAGGCAAATGAAACGGTTTACAAGTATCTACACGCGATTAAGTTGACTGGAGACGAATCCGTGCATCGTGGGGAGTTAGCTTTCAAGACCAAAATGGACTTAAGTGCGTGCGTTCAAACTGCGGACGAAGAAGCAATCCGTGGAGCTACGGTAGTGCCCGCGATAGTCTGTCATCTTGTGGCCAAGCCTCGCAATCGGGCTCTTGGTAGGTTAATCTCACCCGGAAATCGGTATTTTAACTAACGGTAATTAGATGTTTACATGGAGGCAGAACTCATATTTAAATCAAACGACTGTGTTGCACTCCATTGGATTGAGGATCGACGTATATCTGTGTTCAAGCGCGTTAAGGGGGACATGACCAAACCCCCGGAGTAAAGACCCTTTACTTTAGGCGATTATTGTAACCCATGAACTTATTCTTAGATATCCTTCAAACCCAGCTTTTTGCATACACCTACAGATATCTCTTTTATAAGCCCTAGAACCCTCATATTTTATTATGGAATTAAGTAAAGGTGCTATCCGTTTCAATAAGAGTTGCTACTTGTATAAATATAGCCCTTGACGTCTTTTGGTAGATACCTTCGTAAGGACTGCTATGGAGATTGGGCGTAAGCATAAATTGAGTAGACAGCTCAATAGTAAACATACGGATAACGCAAATCAAGGACAGGGTTAGGTGTGTAGGTATCCGAGCAAGTCACGTTTGTACCTACATGTATGACTCTAAGATTAGGAGCATGATTGGAGTTGACATTTACAAGATGAGAAGATGGGAGGAGCGAGTACTACTATACAGAGTAGACTGGTAGCAAGCATCTGGCCGAGTATAGCTAGAGGAAGAAACCAACCCCGGTGTAAAAGGAAAATAAAATGGCACGATCGAATGAATAGGAGAGTTTCCAGTCAACGACAACACACGCACTCATTATATCGCCTCCACCACTTCGATGGTAATGTGCAGTTGTAGGCAGTCCTCGGGCTTTCAAGTACGTTCCGTCGAAATGTGCCAACTCAAAACACCCCAACCCGGATTGCACCGAGGCTATATTCATATTCGACAAAAGAAACACGTAGCGGAATGAAACGCAGCATAAACCAAATCAAACGATCAAGCACGCACGCTGGAAAAGAAATCAGATGCGAGAGAGGGAGAGAGGAAAGACGTCAACCACGGCCACGCACGATCACCGTTTTCGCTCGAAGAAGCCGCTCGATCCCAGCACGGCGATGCTCTGGTCCATAACCCATTCACCGACACCTAGATAGCTGTCTAGCCATCGTTTAACTTCTTTGCTCTCTGTTATTTTATCAGAGTTTAGGCTGGGGCTAACGTCATATTGGCCGTTCGTCCACGGCCCATGCGAGCCCGTCCGATTCCCACGACGCCCGGTCTTTCCTGCTTGATGGCTCGAGATGGACGGGGCGAGTGGGAGTCAGACAGAGTACATGGGACGGGCCGGCGGGGGGACACGGGATGTTAGTTATACTGTTTCCATCATGGCAAGAGGTGTAGATATGGGTGTATATTTTGTGTGGCTGGGAGGTATAGATGGGAGACGGGGTATTTACGTCAAGCCTGAGGACCGTTTGATTCCCGCTAGGAGTGCAGATACTGCAGGATGTTAGCAGGCTATAGATATGAAAGACAAGGAGAAAGAACGTACGGAGCACAGCATCGATAGCATAGTGAGTAAGGCGCCCGAACTATCGACCGAGGTGTTAGCTAGCTTCCAGGCAGCCAGGACGAGCGGGAAGACAGGCTACCATCTTGGAGAGCTGGAGTATACGGTGAACGAGTTCAAGCAGAGAGACGAGTCGGACGGTTGATCGTGAAGGGCCTTCTTGTAGTGCTGGCGTTTGTTCTATGGCGAAGGTGAAGCTGTCACTTGTTCGCTTTCCTCCTCCTTCCGTTCTTGGCCAGTGCCTGATAATCGATATCACATGTCCATCACGTGATATTACTAATATATCACTTTTACATAAGCATGTTGGTTTCCTTTTTTGAACTAGCGGGATCTAGTTATCTCCGGACCCACTATTCGGATTTAGGATGATCCGGAAGACTGATAAGGAAACAGCCAATCAGCGAGCTGCACGGGCCAGTCATTGTTTGACCCCGCCAGTTACCCAAAACATCGATAGAAGTGAGATATATATATCTATTATATTATAATATTGTATAAAATAGAATATCTTTTGTGATCATGGAGATATGTAAAAAAGAAACAGGTAGAGAGGTGCGTCTATAGCTGAAGCAGGAGGATCGGAGAGTGACGTAGCTGTACCCCCCATGCTCTCCGGAGGGCCCTGCGCTTCGTGAGCTGTCAATTAACTCCAGGACCCCCATGCTAGAGCCAGGTTAGCACGTAGCAGACCGCAATCCTCCTGAAACGCAGAGGCCATCCGAGTAGACAGAGTAGAAGGGAGACTCAAAGTACAGTAGAGAAAGAGAGATACGGCAAAGTGCGTGCCCAAGAAGTCCCGCTAAAAAGTCACTCAACGCCCAACAAAAAAGCAACCACTAAAACACATCGCATAAAACACATCGACTCGAGCTGCAGCTGCAACTGCGTCTCCTTGCAACACTTGCTTCTGGCCACTGGTATAAATCAGAGCTGTCCTCCCGCCTCCCTGTTCCCCTCACCTGCCCGCTCCCTCACAGCAACAGACAGGGACCGCCATCTTTGACCAGGCCGCATACTCTTATATCTCAATCTCACCATGGCAAACTCATTAGACCATCTCTCTAACAGGATGAAGCTGGAGTGGCATTCCCAGCTTGATATAGAGTATCAGCCTACTAACAACTATCGTCGCACTTCCATCATTGGCACTATTGGTGAGTGAGGCCGTTCACGCTCTTCGGCAGCTCCGGACCGCGGACACCTACACCAGCTTCATTTTATATCAACATGCTAATGCTTTATATTTAATCACTTTAGGCCCAAAGACAAACTCCGTTGAGAAGATCAATATCCTCCGCAAAGGTCTGGCCTGGCTCTTGTTCTTCACTGAGAGATCTCTTCTAATTTGTTTGGATAGCTGGTCTCAATGTTGTTCGCATGAACTTCTCCCATGGCTCTCATGAGGTAGGTCTCGCTATGTGAACTTGTTTGTTTTCTTGATTATTCTTTCAGCTAATGCTCTGATCTGTCTAGTACCACAAATCCGTCATTGACAACTCTAGAGAAGCCGAGCGCATCCAGTCCGGTCGTCCCCTCGCAATTGCTCTCGACACTGTACGTTAGCCATTTAATTCATTCCCCAATGCAATGCGTGGGTTCGAAGCTGATTTCCCTGTAGAAAGGACCAGAGATCCGTACCGGAAACACTCCCGGAGACAAGGATATTCCCATCAAGGAGGGAACGGAGTTAAACATTACAACCGATGATAAATATGCCACTTGCAGTGATGACAAGAACATGTTTGTTCCCCCCCTCCAACCACCCCACCTTGCCCTTCAGTACTAACTTTTGGTGTTCTCCAGGTATGTCGACTACAAGAACATCACCAAAGTCATCTCAAAGGGCAAGTTGGTATACGTAGACGATGGCGTTCTCTCATTCGAAGTCCTCAATGTGGTTGATGAAAAGACCCTGCACGTCAAGTGCCTGAACAATGGAAACATCTCATCCAAGAAAGGCGTAAACTTGCCCGGAACCGATGTCGATCTCCCAGCACTGTCTGAAAAGGATAAGGATGACCTACAGTTCGGCGTCAAGAACGGTGTCGACATGATCTTTGCTTCCTTCATCCGTCACGGAAGTGACATCAAGCACATCCGCGAGGTCCTGGGCGAGGCAGGAAAGGAGATCCAGATCATCGCCAAGATCGAAAACCAGCAAGGAATGAACAACTTTGACGAGATTCTGAAGGAAACGGACGGTGTCATGGTTGCTCGTGGTGATCTTGGTATCGAGATCCCCGCCGCAAAGGTATTCATTGCTCAGAAGATGATGATCGCCAAGTGCAACATCAAGGGTAAGCCGGTCATCTGCGCTACCCAGATGTTGGAGTCTATGACCTATAACCCACGCCCAACTCGTGCTGAGATATCTGATGTTGCCAACGCCGTGCTTGACGGTGCCGACTGTGTGATGCTGTCTGGCGAAACTGCCAAGGGCAACTATCCCAGAGAGGCCGTGGTGATGATGCACGAGACTTGTCTTCTCGCTGAAATCACCATCCCATACGTTAGCGTCTTTGATGAACTGCGTAACTTGGCTCCCAGGCCAACCGACACCGTCGAGTCCATTGCTATGGCGGCCGTTTCTGCCAGTTTGGAATTGAACGCCGGCGCCATCTTGGTCCTCACCACCTCGTAAGTAGCAATACCTTGACCTCCCATCCTTGTCTCATCGTATGGACCCCTACTGACAGAAAAACGTATTTGTAGCGGCAACACTGCTCGTCTCCTCTCCAAGTACCGCCCTGTCTGCCCCATCATCATGGTTACTCGCAACCCCAGAGCTGCGCGAGTAAGTACCGCCACCTATAGACCGCCAGCACGTTGGAGACGCACTTACCAATTTCATCCATAGTACTCCCATCTATACCGTGGTGTATACCCCTTCATCTTCCCCGAAGCCAAACCCGACTACAAGGTCGAGGACTGGCAGGAAAACGTCGACTACCGCCTGAAATGGGGTATTTCCCAGGCCATCGAGCTCAACATCATCGCCAAGGGCACCTCCGTTGTCTGCGTTCAAGGATGGCGTGGTGGCAAGGGACACACGAACACCATCCGTGTTGTTCCTGCTGAGCCAAACCACCTAGGCCTTGCTTTGGATGAGTAAGGTAAAAACAAAAGAAAAGAAAAAAAAACGGAAGTAAGATATAAACGGGTCCCTTTCTTGCTTCCTAGACGAGGATGATGTCTTTTCTTTTCCCTTTTTTCTTTATTTCTTTTTGCATGGAAGACAATCATAAATGTCGGGGATGCGATCAATGCTTTTCAATGTGTTAAACGATCTTTAAGATCTCTTTGCAAGCTTGTCAAATAAGTACCCAGCCCATATAGCAGGTAGCTTGGGAATACAGTCCTGGACGTAAACTGCATTGCTGAAGATATTCAAAAGGTTCAAAAGGAAGAGGTGTCGAAAACTGCATTGCTGAAGATATTCAAAAGGTTCAAAAGGAAGAGGTGTCGAGACGTACTTCGCTTGTATATCAAACGCCAAGGGGTCGGGTATATTCGGGCTGGGCAGGTGACTTCCAGGTTGGGCCGAGGTGATTTTCACATTCCCTTTTACTCAGGCCAAACACACGGAAAGGCAAGATAGATAACGAGGATTAACACTGAGTAATAAAAGAAGTAACTGGCTTAATGATTTACACGAGTAACAGAGCTAAAAACAATTCCAAAAACACAAGGGAAAAAAAAGTAAAATGTAAACACAGATAATCGAATCGAAAACAGGCCCCTAGCGACTGTCCAAGACAAACGGGGGGAGAAGGCTACATGAAGGGTTATCGTAGTAGTAGAGTGGGGGGTTGGTTGAAGTAGAGGGAGTAAAAGGGGGGTGAGTCGGTCGATTGGAGAAGCAAGGTATGGTATAATGAGGTAGGTACATAGAATAGATCGAGGGAGAGGCTTAAGGGATGAAGGGAAGTTTCACAAAAACAATATATCCAACTATAGCCCGAGAGATAATTCCAATTTGTGTAGTTTATTGTGCTGTAGTGATGCTGAGGAGAGGATGGTATGGGATGAGAGGTCTAATGGTCAGTTAGGTGCTTTGGCGGTTGGTGTTGATATCGGTCACACCTCAACCGCTGGAGTTGCTACCGGCTGAACTTCCACTGGTTCTGCTTCTTTTGGGAGAGGTTCCTCTGGTTGAGACTCTTCTGGTTGAGACTCTTCTGGTTGAGACTCTTCTGGTTGAGACTCTTCTGGTTGAACTTCCTCTGGTTGAGCCTCGTCTGGCTTGGTTTCTTCCTCTGAAGGAGCTTCTTCCACAAGCTTAACTTCTTCTGGTTGAACTTCTGGTTGAATTTCCTCTGGCTTAGCCTCTATAGGCTGGACCCCCTCTGCATGGACTTCCTCTGGAGTCTCCTCTGGTTGAGTCTCTGGCTGGGTCTCTGGCTGGGCCTCTGACTTTACCTCCAGCGGTTCAACTGGAGCTGGTGCTTCAACCTCTGCATCTTGCACTTCGGGCTCTACCGGCTTCGCTTCTGCGACTACCGGCTCTGCAAGCTTTGGAGTGACAATCTCCGGTGCAGGAGCGGCCTGCTTGACATGCTCTTCGCTAGCGGTTCGTACAGGTGGCCGAGATGACTTGACTCTCACGGGACTTCCGGTATGAGCAGCGGGAGCACCCTTATCCGAAGACTTTCTAGCCGGTGGTTTGGCAGCCAGTCTAGGAGGGCTGACAATGTCCATCTTGTCCTGTCTCTTGTTCGCTGAGCTTGCCGTTGGCCGTATGAGCCTTGCCAAAGATGAGTCGTCGACTGGCCGCGAGCTGAGGATGCTGGAGCGGGAGGTTGGCCTGTCATGACCGGAGGATGTATGTTGTGGTGCGAGGGAGGCTCGGGAACCTTGTTTGCGAACCGTGGTTGTGGTGGCGGGAGGTTTAGATGTAGCCGTGGTTCTAGAAGCGGCGGTGGTGGTAGGTCTTAAGGTTGATGGTTTGCGGTTGAGAGCTTTGGTGTTGGTAGCGGCGGTGGTAGCTGCACTGGTTCGGCTTGATGGTCGTGAGGGTGGTGCATTGGGTGTTTTTGCAGCAGATGAAGCTGTTGGTGCCAGCACGGCGGGATGAATGCGCGATGGGCGAGTAGGAGACTTGGGGCCGCCATTTTTGAGGTTAGGAGTAGATTTGGCTGTCTGGCTCGCCGTCTTCGATTCAGGCTGCTTGGGCCTGCTGCTGCTGCTGCCGCTGGTAGTGGTTGCTGGCTTGCTTGCTGGCTCTTGTAAGACTTTGTTTAGCTTCTTCGTCGCAGTTATCGTCTGGGATTGCGCAGTTTCCTTTGCAGTTGTAGCCGGAGCCTTTGCAGGCTTTGAAGCAGAAGACGATTTGGAGCCTGTCACTGAAGATTTCGGTGCCGGTCTATTGTTTGAGCTCTTCTCTGTGGTGTTGTTGGCTGCACGCTGGGAATTGTTCTTGGAGACAGCAGCCGTCTTGGGCTTCCCATTCTGCTTATCCTCTGCTGGAGCCTTCTTCACCTGCATAGCAGCCTGTCTGGCCGACTGTCCCTTGGCCGGGCTCGGGGGTGCGCTGGAGTCTTCAAAGGGCGAACCCTTCAGGATGACGCCCAATCCTGGCTTCGACTTGCCGCCCAGAGTAACCTTCCCCGAGTCAATGTTAGAGACGATAGGATCAGAGGTCTTTCGAGGTGATACAACTTCATTGAGGTTATTCTGGCGCTGGGGGGTGCCCCATTTCCTGGGGGACATCTTCTCCAGGTTCTCTACCGGAGTCCGGGTAGCGTTCCTATCGATTGGGCTTCCCATATCGTCTGCAACGCTTCTTGGTGCACTGAAGTAGTCTCCAGCCTCGCCGACTCTCTTCAATCCGAGCAAGGGTGACCCCGAGCTGCCTGGTATACTGCGTTCGACGGCGACGAAACTGGCGCGGACCTTCGACAGCGGACGTGCGGTCGACGAGTGATCTGACCCAGCAGGAGAACGGCCTCGAGACGGAGGAGATGTAGATGCGTTGCTGACGTTGTTGTTTTCGAATTTCGCCAGAAGGCCACGAACGCCAGTTGGGGCCGACATGGCAGTCGATATCAGATGTGACGTGACCTCCTTTTTTTTTTTCTCTCTACCCTTGTTGTTGTTGTCGTTGTCTAGGTACGGGAGGACCTGGTATCGAACGGTGGAAAAACGGGCAGAGAGGCCAACACGGTGTCCTCTGGAGATGTTATTCCAACAGTTCGTGACGAGCGAACGCAGGTGGCCACGGCAACCGGGGAAATTATTTTGAAACAAAGCACGAAGTCAGCGACCGTTGCTTGCGATCATCCACAAGGGCCTCGCAGGGCCGCGCCGACAAGGGGGGGAGGTTTTGGGTGGAGGGAGCTAGACAACGCGCTATTGAAGTAAATGCAAACAAACGACCACAGCAACGGGCCTCCGGTTTGGCTTTTGCCTGAGCTCAAACGAGTTTTAAGGAACAAGAAACGCAGCGAGGATCTGGCGGAGCCGAGATAGATCCAACGGCCAGTGAGACTCGAGGGCGTTGTGTCGCGATGTAAATGGCGGGTTTGAGATGTGACCTCCTGGACGACCTTCACGAGTGGTCAGATCGGATACGACAAGTTGCGCTGGCTCCTGAGACTGCCGGTGTTGCTGTTATATCTACGGAGCAGCTGGTAGAGGATAGCTCAGGTGGCATCATATCCGTTTATGTGATATCTTCCTCCTCTTTCGCTTGTGGCCATGGCAATGTTGGCGGAGGACATTTGCATCTCGGTTTGCATCTCGGTCATACGAACCGGTTTTTACTTATGACGGGATTTGTTTCTCAATTATTACTGCTCGTTTCTTTTCTACCAAACAGTTCTTGTACGGAGAAGTAGTAGAGTATTCCGTAGGCATTCACGGAGTACTACAACACGCTGTATCTCGTACAGTGGCTGCTAACTACGACTGTATCTATCACTATCACTTTATCACTCTATCTACTGTATCTACTATATACCTATACTATACTCTATACTTTATACTCTAGTCTATACTCTATTCTATACCTATATCTATTCTATCTGTTCAATCTGATTATTCTGTTCATCTTCATCCGAGGTGCGATGTGCTTACTCAGCACAACTTCTGTCAAAAGAGCAAAATTCCGGCGAGTGACTCAAGAAGCAGCAAGGACAAGATGGCAGCCAGAACACTGAGAATAGGTCAATTGCCCCCGAGACAGCTTGTACTGCTTGGTTTTATAGACAGACATTAACCAGGCTTTGGCTCTAGGTCTTATTCCGGGTGACGGAATCGGTAGGGAAGTTATCCCGGTATGTCGAGCGTCCTTAACAAACCCCCTGTATGAGCTCCGTTGACCAGGTTTCTCTGCATGTATAGGCCGGTAAACGTATCCTCGAAGCTCTGCCGGCGTCGTTGGGGCTGAAGTTCTCGTTCGTTGACCTCGAGGCGGGTTATGATACCTTTCTACGCACAAAAACCGCCCTTCCAGATAAGACGGTTGATACCCTGAAGAAGGAGTGTGATGGAGCTCTCTTTGGAGCTGTCAGGTATGTCATGCCGATCTGGACAATATTATAGAGGAGATCAAGTGAATTGACTGGGAATGGGTGGTCTAGCTCTCCATCGAGCAAGGTTGCCGGATACTCTTCTCCCATCGTCGCTCTGCGCAAGAAGCTAGATCTCTACGCGAATGTACGCCCGGTCAAGACCACGGCCGGTGCCAACGCTACTGCACGACCAATTGATCTCGTCATCGTCCGCGAGAACACAGAGGATCTCTACGTCAAGGAGGAGAAGACCTACGACACCCCCAATGGCAAAGTAGCGGAAGCAATCAAGCGAATCTCCGAACGTGCCTCGTTCCGCATCGGTACTATGGCCGGTGAGATCGCCCTACGCCGCCAAAAGATCCGTGAAGCCCAACAGTCGACTGGCGCCAGCCCCATGGTCACCATCACCCATAAGAGCAACGTTCTCAGCCAGAGTGATGGATTGTTCCGCGAGACCTGCCGCAGGGCCCTTGCCAACGACCGATTTGCGAGTATCGAGGTCGAAGAGCAGATCGTAGATTCTATGGTCTACAAGCTTTTCAGACAGCCGTCCTACTACGACGTCATCGTTGCTCCAAACTTGTATGGAGACATCTTGTCTGACGGCGCTGCGGCACTGGTAGGTAGTCTGGGTTTGGTACCTAGTGCCAATGTTGGCGATGGCTTCGCTATTGGTGAACCATGCCACGGCAGCGCCCCTGACATTGAAGGAAAAGGCATCGCTAACCCCATTGCCACCATTCGAAGCACTGCATTGATGCTGGAGTTCCTTGGTGAGGAGGAAGCGGCAGCTAAGATCTATGCTGCTGTCGATGCCAACCTGGATGAAGGACGATTTCTTTCTCCTGACCTTGGCGGCAAGGCTACGACCACCGAGGTGCTGGAAGATGTCCTCGGAAAGCTTTGATTGCGTATATCATAGGAATTACAGCACTGCCATGAGTGTATATTAGGTGTTGCGCAAAGTTCTCGCATCTAGTTGAAATCATTTTTTTCGCTCATATCGCGTAACTCCTTTATCGACTCCGCTAAGCTCTAAATGCTCACCCGGAATCACATGTAGTGAACACATCTAATCAACCTCCGATTCGCCTGTTGGGCTTTCATCCTTTGGCGGCTGGGCTTGTGTCTCAGTCCCTATTAGAAGGGTAAACAGTACCACGAAATAGATGTCGCCAGTAGCCTTGTTCTTCAATATGTACCGTAATTCATGGTTCTTTTCGTCAATATATTTAGTAACCGGGACTGGAAATCCTGGAATACGGATCGTGAAGTCTGTGGAATTAAATGGCGGTTAGAATTGTTGTAATACTGAAAGAGTGGTGAGGCGATATCATACCGCTGAACCCAATATAGGGGTTTCCAAAATCTGCTTTATATACTCTTCCTGGCTCGAATTCAAAATCCTTCCGGTTCTGTTCGTTCAAGAAATGTTTCTGCCTCTGGCTCGGGTCCTCCGGTATTTGAAACCTGTCCCTGACCTCTTGCCCACTACCTTCAGCCCCTTCTTCAACAACAGCCTCGTGTATTTCGAGAGTCGATTCCTCGATATCTTCCGTCTCTGCGTCATCGGTTCCCTCAGGCACATATTTCTCTCCCTCTTTGCCGCAAATGCGGAAATAGTTCCAACTTGACAAGCCTGGCCCATAAATATAAGGCTCATCGGCGTATATATCCCCTTCTAGACCTGGGTCAACCCACCACTTAATAAATTTAAAGGCATAGCCGGAACCCGGTGGGAGGCGGTCACGGATGGGACGATCGAGATCATTTCCAAGCACTACCTCATCGCCTGCTATCGGTTTCTTGGGTACGAAGGAAATTGCAAGAGAGTACTGGTCATTGCTCCGAGATGGGTGCGAGAAATGGGCATGTGTCCGTGGAGATGAAGTTGGTAGTCCTAACCCGATTATGTGAGTAATGGTTTCGAGGCAAAAGTGGTCATCTGGGGGAGAATAGGCTATGTACCGTTATAATCTTGTATGCGAAGACAAATGTTCACCCTCGCGTGCTCCGTTTCAATGGAGAGGTTGGTATCAGTATTCACATGGACGAGACTATGCGTAGATGTGTCATAGGTCGGGCCCGCTGTGATCTGAAGCTTGTACTGAGTACCTGGCTCTTCGGAGGCCATTTTATGAGGTCAAATATGTGCTTTGATGGGTTCGCAAGTAGTAGAGACTAGAGAAAGAAATACTCTTCGGAGTCAAGCAGGGATGCTTTTCTTTTAGGCGGTTGTAAATATAGATCCCTGCACGCGAGCACGCAGTGTAAGAAATTGGTTTCAGGTAACCGTACAAAGCCAGAAGATTGGCTGATAACTCGGGTGCTGGACGAATTTCTCGCTATTGAGAAGCCTGAGACTGTCGAGTTCTGTTAGTTCAATCCTCCGCGAGTTTTCGCTTCCTTGAAGTCGCTTCCGCCTAAATGACGTAGTTACTTTGGACACTTTTGCCAAGCCGGGCGCATGGCTTGGCGTCTCCTTTCCCCAACTTCAACTTTGTCGTTTATAGATTGATCAATTGTGAATACTTGTTCAAACATAACTCAAAGCGACATGGTTTTTGACATGGCCATGGCAGAGACTTGGCTGTATCCTCATTGCCTTGGAAGTTGAATGATGTCAGTCCAAATGGGCTCAGAATTTCTATATAAGGATGGATATTCTATTACAAAAGAAACAGCTAGATGAGAGAGTGTAGTACAAAACGTCTACCCCGGGTAGGTCTGAGTAGATAATGAGAGCCCTCAGGCTCGGGGAGAAATAGGAGAAATAGTCGAGAATGAAGTCGTCGTGGGTTTGCATGCACTCGACGGTGCTGCTTCAGACTCAGACCATTCTGCTTCCTCGATCACACCGCCAACACCACTATTTGGGCATCGTTTGCGTTTCTTTCCTCTTCCCATCTCCACATTCTTGAACCTGCTCACGGTTTCTGGTGTGATGGGCTCGCTTCCAAAGCCGCTGAAGGAATGACTTAAACCCGCCATAGCGTTACCGCCCTTGCTCGCCCGAACGCTTTCCTTGCCCAGTAGCTGGATTCCTTGCTGCCATTCAGCAATCGCCTTTGCAGTCTCGTTCTGTTTTTGTTGAGTTAGGCGGATTGCATTCCGGGATATGCGTTCCATGTTCTTGAGACGATTCTCGAGTTGGGATTTCTCAAACTGGAGCGTTGCATTTTCGGTCTTTATTTCGCTAAGCGAGGTGGAAATGACGGATAATCGGACGTTCAGTGCCCCTAGTTCCTTCTCATGCTCGTCCGATTGCTCCTTAGCAGCTTTTTCTAGGGCCACAACGACTTGTTCCTTCTCTGTTTCGAGGAGCTTCATCTTCTTGTTAAGCTCTAGAACTTTCAGGTCGCGTTGGTGGAGAGACGATTCGATAGATTCGGTCGTTTCTTTCTCTCTCTGCAGACGACTTTGAAGCTCACATATCTTTGCTTTGGAGAGGTTCCCTTCGTTCTTCATTCGGACATTCAAGGCTGTCAACTTCTCGGTTTTCTTGTTTGAGGCGGCTACCTCATCCTCTAATTCCGAGTTTAATCTTTCGAGCATCAGCAAATCTTCCCGATACTTGCTCAAGGCATCTTGGAGCCGCGCTTTGTCCGTTTCCTGGGCTTCCAAGTCTCTCTCCATGCCCTGGAGCTTCATGCGCATGTTTAACGTATCTTCGGTAATGGATTCAGCAAATCGCCCTAATTTACCATTCTCCTTCGTCTCCTCTTCTAATCGAACTAGAGTAGCGTCGAACTGTCTCCGCAACGCGCTTTCGCGATCTTCACCGCTCTTGATCTGATCCTTAGCGTGCTTCAGCCCACGTACTAAACGATAGATGCGATCAACTAAGGCGTCAATAATAGCCTTCCAATTGGATAAGCTGGCGTTTGCTGTTTCACCTGGAACCAATCTCTCAAGCTCCATTCTTGCATGCCGAAAATGGGCCTCGATATTGGCAATAACCTCTGCCGCATTCTCACCATCAAACCCATGGCTAGAGAGTTCGGCATGGAGCTCTTTCACATTTTTAACTGCCTCGGAAGCCCTGACGGTGGCGTCTTGTAGGGTTGAAATGACTTGTTTTGCTAAGTCGGGCGGCGGTAAAGTACTGCAGTCCTCTTCTTCGTTATCCTGAGTATCGGCATTTGGCGCACCTGACAACCTCTGCCATTCTTCGAATAAATACAGTTGGTCCCTGTTTTTGATTTTGAGGTCTTGTGTGAGCTCCTCAACTCGAAGCTGTGCACCCGGGTCGACGTTGGTTGACGACCGTGCTGCAGGCTCAAATGTTGAGATTGGTGTGCTACTCGCCATGGGTGTCCAAAGAGGGCTGTTTGGTATACTATAATCCTCATCTATCATGTCGCCATCAGGCATGTCGACAATATCTCCGCTCGTGTTTGGACAGGGCGTGAACATGGAATCGTCGATCGGATGAGTGGTTTGCCTTTCACTCCTATTAGGGGTCTTACATAGGGTTTTTTGGGTATTGGGGTTTTCGACGTCCAGTTCCATCCTGTCATTCCGTAGAGACTCAACCTCTCTCTGTAGTTGCCTCATCTGCTCGTCCTTCTGCCGCTGGAGTCGCTTTTCCTCCTTTCGCTTCTTGTCGATCTCATTCATGGCCTCGCTAAAACCAAGTCTTTGTATCCGCCTTCTGGACCGTGGATCAAGAATATCGTGGAAACGCAGATACCGAAATACGTTTGAGTCGGGGGTTGACATCGTCTTCTCTGCCTCCATCTGCCGAAGCTGTGAATATGCAGCTGGATCAGAGTGGCGTAGACGTGTGTCCCGCCGCCTTCCTCCGCTGCGTGGTATTTGTACCGTGGCATCGCTCTGTCGGTTCGCATAGAGCGTAGTCCGTGATACCATTGGTGTTAACCCGGTTGAAAGACCACTCTGTTCTTGGGTATCCTCTAGACCGATATGAGGACCAGGATCCGAGAACCGAACCCGCTTAGCCCTTGAAGGTCGCGGCGACCGTACCTTGCGTGGCGTGCATGGAGCTTCATCTAGTAAACGATCTGCTACTGATTCTTTCGCAGAACTTGGCCTCTCCCTGGGACTTGAAGCTCCAGCTCCGGGGCATTGGTCGCCGATTGGCGGGCCGCCGGCCTTGCTGCGTTTTCCTGGACGCATGGTTGACAGCCAACACTCGTACGTCTTTAGAAGCTTTAGTCTGCTTCGCGCCCAGTCCGGCTGCAAAGAGTTTGTTAGCTGTATATCTTCCATGGCTTCTCATGCGTGATGTAACATGGGGGAAGGATATCTAGGTTTCGGACAATATATAACAATAAATGAAGGCTTTATGCAAGCGAGGACTCGAGGATAATCCCCGACCATTTCGATGCGCCAACAACAATGAACTCATTATACGGAGTAAAGGAAATAATATTACAGCTGACTTACCAAGGCGTTCGAGGAATCAGGACGAATAAACACTCGCGTTTATATGTTGTAATGTATGGCCTTGTCCAGGTCAACAAATGTTAAGCGCGTCTGCGAAGTAATGACGAAGCAAAGCAAAGTATCCCTCTAACTCCAGAGGATATTTAATGCAAATGTGAGACAAATGCAGAATATATATCAGGTCGGTCTACCATAACGTATCTAGAACAGGGATCAGCAGGCCTGACGAAAATCAAAACATCAACAAACCCAGAATCCTTGGCAACAAGTCGCGTTTGGCGTTATTCAATTAACGCCAATTTATATGCAAGGTAGACGCGTATATCGCCGAACCCCTGGTAAAACAATAACAACAATAAGGTCGTGGGTGGGAAAACAGCATCGCACGAGGGCTTTTGTTTACTTTCTCCTTTTGTAGTACGTATAATACCAACGCCCTATACGGCTCTTTGTGAAGGGCAACCACCGTCATCTTTACCATTTGCCGGGGCTCTACACCAGCAACCGGTTCGTCTGTTCTTTAATACCATCGGATGGTATGCCTGTACTCTTTGCCAAAATAGAGAATTGTGTAAGTGTTTCATTAGAACTTAAGGCCCATACTATCCATCCTACCTCCCTTCTGCTGTCGTTTCTGGGAGTCTACTATCACGACCCCGGCTTCATCGACCGGAACTTCGGGCGGATTAAGGTGTTGGGTGGGACTGATGCGCTCACAGGGAATACATGCATATTCCCTTGAAAATTTCTTTAATAAAGTGTTGGGATTCTTCCACCACGCTGATGTTGTCGCGTAACTCGTTTTATCCCCGTTGACGCCAGATACTTTCTTATGCGGTGGGAGTGACGGTACAGGCGACTTCCGGACAGGGGGAGACTTGGATTTAGAAGGACGGGTTTGTTGTTGTCCTCTAGTTTGTGGAGGGTTAAGGCCGTGTGGGAGAGGGCTAGGGTGCATAATTGGCGCCTTTGAACTGGGATTGCTGGCCAAAATACGGCCTGTTCCTAGTTCGATAGGGTGGCCTAGGTAAGGCCTGTTGTTTGGAGAGGAAGTCGGTTGTGGCAAGCGGCCGTGTCCAGCATGGGAAATGTCTTCCTCTTCATCTTCGTCATCATCGTCATCAGGTTCTTCCTCCTCTTCTACAAAGGACATCGCCTGTCTCCTCTTCAGATTACTGGGAGCTATGCAACCGGCATCATCACCAAGTTCAACACTTGCCCTATCATACATATGCGGTGCCTCTGGGCTCACGGCGTCTGTATCTGAATCGGAAACTTCGCTTTCCAAATCCCTTACCGGCCGTTTGTATGGTGATTCTTGAATGACACGCGGCGAAGCGGTGGGTGGTTCAGGGGTCATAGCTAGTTGAGTGCCGCCTTCGCCTTCACCACTACCATCGCTATCGTATTCACCCTCAGCCTCAACAACGATCGTTTGAAGATTTTTTACCGTTAGATTTCGCCTTTTATATTGTGCAAACTTGGCATGTTTCTGGAAATAGGGTTGGTATGCGTCAGGGGTTTTGTGTCGTTCAAGGCATCTGCTTATGTAGTGTTGATACTCGGTAACTTCACGAGCAACAAAATCATCCCACAACATTGACTTCTGCATTAAACCTTTATCTCGGAGTGATTGAAGCTCGCAGCATGCTCTTCTGAAAGTATCCAGGCTACCGCTATAGGTCTTGTACGCCTGTAGAAACTTGTAATATATCTCTTCCGTTTGCGAGGAGAATGATACTTGGCCGAAGGTTTTTTTGCTCTGGTGGCTAGTTGTACTTGTATCTGCTTCTGACATTCTTGAAACTTTTCGAGGAGACGATGACCGCGAAGGAGACTCGTCTGTACGCTTACGCTTTCGATCGATTTCTTGGGGTGGCATAGGGGGGACAGACGTCTCGATCGATGGAAGCACGACCATGGCCTGATCGGCAACCTCCAAGGAGGACCCAGGAACTTGCAAAACACCCGGGGGATTCTTAGAGTCAGATAGTTCGGTGCTATTCAACCCTGCCGCGAGCTGAGCTTCTACAGCCATTCTGTCATAGCCTGACGAAGAAGAATTGTGGATTGTAGAATCATGTGCGGGAGATTCTATTGTAGGATCATGGCTTGGTGGTCTGTCCTGAGACTTTCGAGCACTGAATTTCAGAGTAGCCGGGACCAAGATTGTGGTTGCATTTGGGGAAGGGGTTTCAGAGCTACCAATGTGTTGGTCGGGGGGTGATGGTGTTATCGGCTGTTGTGACGGAGAATGTGACTCTTGAGATTGCTGTGATAACATAGTTTCTGTTATCCTCATTGGTATAGATGAACGATTAATGGTGCCTTCCGTTTCGTTCTCTATCATGGAAGACGTGGGGTCAACATCGTGGTCTTGAGTGGATGTATATAAACCCCTGGGAATCGAAAGCTCTATATCAGAGTCTTCATAGCTTTCCGTATCTGGCAATGCTCCGGTTTGCGCCGCTGAATTGGGTAGATTTGTGGTCTCCAAGCTGGTAGAGTTATCGACCAGATTGAGAGAGTCTGAACCAGGAGTATCCCTGTGGAACCGTAGGGGTGACCCACCCTCATTATTTAGAGGGCTGCTATCTGGGGGTACGCGGGCAGCCACAGGTGATGGTGGCCACTGCTTTGTTCCTAACGGATAATCCCCTAATTGACTATGGGTAGATGACAAGGGTGGCTCGGCATCATTGTCTAGGGCTTCGCTCTCGCTCGAGGGGCTGATACGCGCAATAGCAGCCTTCTCTCTACGCTTCTCGCTCCATTGCTGAATAAGACTGACGGGCACATGGCCTTGTGGCATCCGCATTCCCGTGTTCGGGGGTATCCATGAGTCAGTACTTTCAATCAAACTTTGTTGAGCTTCAGATATGAACACATCACGACGACGAATTCTGTTCCACCCACTGAAAAATCCTTTATCGATTACCTTAACTTCACGGGATGGAATGAGCACCGAAGACTTAGATGGCTGGTCGGGTTTATGAGAGTGGGCCTGTATATTTGGACTAATGCTGCTAGGGCTCGCAGGTGGTGATTGTCTGTGTTGAGAGTAAATTTTAGAGGACAGAGGGCTGCTTCGGCGAGGCTCAGTACCTGCTGATTCAATAATGTTTGGATCGGGAATAGGCAGGTCATATACAGGCTGTGGAACGACGGGTTTGTGCCCATGTAAAGCCGGGATTTCTCCTTGAGTGGATGGGTTTGGCGATTTCCTTCCAGAGTTTGATCCCTTTGGTCTTAGGGTATTCAGTAGATCTTGCATCTTGGATTTTGGTGGGGCATGGTCCTCCGCATTTTTTACTTTGGGCATTCGTGCCACGGCGGATGTTGGCGCCTGCGTGTGCCATCCACCTTCCTGGGTTGAATTTGTATCCTCATCATCCGAAGGCTCAGGATCCTCATCATCGTGAATACTATTAGAGCCGGGCCCTGACAATATAGATTCCGTGTCTGAATCGTCACTGGTGTCGTTTGTCCGATCCAAGGCCTGTGGTCCTGCATCGCCATCTTCGCGGGCCCATTTGTCACCCAGTTCGACAATGGCTTTACAACGAGCGATATCTACAGGATTCCCAATTAATCCTGTCCCCTCACAGCCTTCTATCTTTATTTCTTCGATATAAAGATGTATTTCTGGAGGCGGAGTACGCAGTTTCCCAATCGTAATTTGGACCTTCGAGATCCGTAGAACGCTCCCTGTCGAATTCTTTCGAATATCGGTGTCATATTGCTCTTTATAATTTATACGAGCACGCTCGGAAAATATGGCGCGGATTGTCGTGGAGGCGTCCGAGAGAACGGCATGGGGAGTCGGCTCACTGGATAACCACTATGAACGCCAGGGAGAGTTAATTAGTACTGATGTATATGCCAACTAAGAGAGATCAATACCTTGACTAGTTGCACCAATTTTGGGCGTTTCACGGGTATCCGAAAATTGCTCCCATCATCAACAGTCTTCCCAAGCTCTTTGGAGCCGGCCACCTGGTCGTCCGGGTCTATACTCTGGCGTACAGCCCCTTCTACCAACGGCTCGATCCAGCTCCTCAGCAGATCCATCCTGGTTCAATATAGCCAGCGTCAGAGCGACAGAATCAGAACTCATTTTGTCCGGGAGCTGAGCAGAAAGGGGCGAGGGTTCAGCTCTCTCTTCCGCATCTTCTTCAACCTTTGTGTACATTCACTTCTTCGCGCTTCACAGACGTCCAATATACGCCTGAAGCGGCTAGCGCAGCCGCGGCTGTGAAGCTTTTCGCGACTTTCACCGCGTTTGCTTATTCAGCAACTTACATAAGCCCATGCTTGGCTTTGGTTGGCTGCATGTGACGTCGACTCTAGGCTGTGACGTTTGTCCGAATCGAGTATGTAAAGCAGCATCGACGCTTGGAGGGACATCATCCTGGCATATATCCAGCGCTGTTGACGGACCTTGAACTGGCGGTCTACGTTCTAGTGCGTCTCTCGGCTGTGCTACAGGGTTTCTCCATTTCTCTCATATTTTCCACACCAGAGAATGGCATGACGGCCGTAACGGTCACCTCTACCGGTTTCTGCTAACAGCCACCACGAGCTCATTTTCTCCGAGTGAACCTGGTGAATGAACATGTGGTGGTGTCCGTGAAGGATATGGGTACTTTAGATTACTGCGCGTGGCACCTCTTGACTTTCGTTAACCATGACATCCAATCCTCAAGAACCGCCGAGCCCCTCCGCGTCGTCGATATTTCTTCCGCTCGGTAGGAGGTCCCGGCGTGGTTCTCACACGTCCATCAACAGCGAGGCAGAGAAGGAGAACCTAACCGAGGCTCTCGATCAGATACATAGCGCGGCGTCGCAGCTGGGGACTCTTACCGTATTCAATGAATATACAAACCCTCCAGTTCAGTCGGTGGCGGCGGACAATAAGGGCCTTGTGGGAGACCTGCAAGGCGGGCTGAGTGGGCTATACAACATGTTCAGGGCGTCTGTTGGCGGCGTTAGAGACATGGTTGGCGGCCCAGCAAAGCCATCGGATGTTGCCTCCCAGGAAGTTGGAAATAATGAATCATCAAAGCCTCCCGGTGCTGGCACACGGCCCGCAGAGACTTCGTCTACTCACCTGGCTTCCGCACAAGCTTCTGCCACAAGTTCCCCTGTGTTAGGCACATTTCCGCTACTTCAAGAAGGCAACCCCAGCAACCTTCCTAAGACTTCAAGGATCTCTTCCAAAGCTGCGAGTATTTCATCCAAAGCATCGACACCCGCCGGTAATTCTCTAAAATCACCGCTGCTCCCGCTTTCGAAAATGCACACTCCTGCCACAGCGGACCCCACTGTTACTGAGATAAATGTGAATGCTGTTAAAGATGGGTTGAATCATCACAGAAGTAATTCTGGCAGCCTGTCTACCAGCCTGTTAATGAATTCAGATTCGATGCCGTCAGAGCGGAAAGATCGAACTCCCCACTTATCATCAAGTCAGATATCGCAGGAATCAGCTGCCGGCGGGCGATCCCAATCACCGGTGCTGTTGGCAAAATCAAGCGGCGACACATACAAAGACTTCCAGGAACCCGAGTCTAGTCGAGCTAATTTCTCCGAATCAGTCTCTCATGATGGATCTGTTTCCCCTAAATTATATTCTAATAGCGCGTCACGGAGCGGCTTGTCTGAGCTTGATTCTTCCTATTATGCAAACCAGCCAAAGAATAATCAGGCGGGAAGTGCTCACGACGATCACATTCGTCGCAAGGAAGTTTATGCTGGAGACTTGAATGTATCCTTCGCCACAGATTCTGTACCAACCTCCGTCTCGAATAGTATGTCAAAATTTGATAGCTCAACGCATGACGGAAACACTATCACAACGTTGGATACTTCAATCTCCATGACCGACCGTGGCATCCCATCTGCACATTCCTCCAAGGCCTCAATAAGTACATCTCGCGAAAAATTACCTCCTCGCGTTACCCAGCCCCATCTGCCCAGATTCGCTTTTCCTGGTATTGCGTCCTCAGAATCATCTCAGACGGCATCTACTGCTGGGAATTTTTCGACAAAAAATGACGCTAAAGAGACGGAGAAAACGAGTCAGACAAACAACTATCCGTTTTACCCACGATGGAGCCAGAGTGAGGCACATACTGGGGTTAAAAACAAACTTCTTAGCAAAGAATTCTGGATGCGGGATGAGAACGCAAAAGATTGCTTTTACTGCGGAGAACCATTTTCGACCTTTAGAAGAAAACATCACTGCAGAGTATGTGGACAGATTTTTGATGCGAAATGCACCACCCTTATCTCCGGGGCATCGTTTGGGTATTCGGGCTCCATACGTGTTTGCAAGCCATGCGACGCTGTTATAAACGCTCCCAGAGACGACGATTCATCAGAGTTTTCTGCAGATGAGGCTCGCAGCCCTGTCGTTATTAATACTCGTGCACCTGAATCTCTTGGGAATAACCTCAGCCCCAACTTTCCAGGAGAAGAGGATGCTGGTTCTACTGTATCACAATCATTAGACCACGTCTTGAAACCCCCAACGATGGCAATCCCCGCAACACGACGTACAGGGGACGGAAACCATAGGCGGTCAGCTATTCTAGAAATAGACTCGGATCGCCAACTCGTAAGGCCAACCTCGTCAAGGTCATTGAAATCGGGAATGAGTAGATCTCATTCAGTTCCGCACAAACGGCATCATTCAAGAACCCAGTACATTCGCAACTTCAAACCATACCATGATGACAGAGCACCATTTCAACGGCGTTTTGGGGAGGATGTTATTGGCGAAAAACTTCCCGCATTTCATCGAGATAATATTATCGACCCCGACCTAGCTCAATACCTCTCTGATGATGCTTCAAGTGAAGACGATCAGCCAAACTTATTTTCGGTCGTAGGTGATGGTACGCTCTCTCGGAGTGGCGGAGATAGTGAGAAGGCTGCTTTTAATGGATTTCTTGCTGCCGTCAAAAAGGGACGTTCTCGATTTGGTGATAAGAGCGGTTTGTACCCTGCGCGTGACGGAGAGGAAGGGAGCGTCAGCAGCTCTCGAGCTGTTAACTTACCCCGTTCAACGCGAAGGCGAAATTTGAGCGTTGCGAGCAGCATTCACCAAAGAATATCCCCTCGGGCCTCAAAGGATAATCCATCCCTGCATTATATACATGACCATAGCGCTCCCCCATTCACCGTTCCAACGAACTCTGCAACTAATGGGTTTAAAATGACAAGGAGCGCTTCCATGAGAGGTGCAGGAGCTCCCGCTATGGAACTAAATAAAGCCAGTTTAGACCATGTTCGCAAACTCCTACATCAGCAGCTACGGGATACATCAGTGCCGAACTTTCAAAGTTGGGAAACCGCACTTCTGCCAATTCTATTGAAAGCCACTGATGATGTCGAGCCTGACGTACAGCGTGGTGACGATATGGATATCCGGCATTATGTCAAACTAAAAAAGATCCCAGGAGGCCGACCTAGTGATACTGCATATGTTTCTGGTCTAGTATTTACGAAAAATCTAGCACTAAAAAGCATGCCCAGGAACATATCGAACCCTCGGATTCTAATCGTGACATTTGCCTTGGAATATGCACGTCAGCAACAGCACTTCATGAGCCTGGAACCTGTCATTCGCCAAGAACGAGAATTCCTTGAAAATCTTGTCAACAGAATAGCAGCCTTGGGCCCCAATTTATTGCTCGTCACAAAACATGTGTCTGGCCTAGCTCTTCAATTGCTAGAACAAGCGAATATTGCCACAGTCTGTAATGTCAAGGAGTCCGTTATAGAGGCGGTCTCGCGATGCACTCAAACTAGGATCATAACATCCCTAGATCGCCTCGCCGCGTCTCCGTCTTCTACTGGCCATTGTGTGAGTTTCGATCTTAAAACTTATGTTCATGGAGGCCGGAAAAAGACGTACATGTACATCTCTGGCTGTCCGAAGGAGTTGGGTTGCACCATAGTCCTTCGAGGTGCGAATAATGATGTGCTCATGAAGATTAAACGGATCACGGAATTCATGGTCTATGTTGTCTACAACTTGAAACTCGAGACATGCTTAATGAGGGACGAATTTGCGAAAATCCCTTCCTCCCCATCAAATATGGCCGGGTCTGGACAAAAGAAGGGCCAACAGGCAGAGCTACAATCGGCCAGCAGCGTTGCTTCTGGCGCTGCCAACGACGAAGCTCCTGGTATCTCGGATACGAAAGGCGAAAATTCGAGAGACGAGGTCTCCGCACTTGAGAAACCAACGGTTACGACCACCTCACAAAGACAAGCTGACGATACTGAATTGTCTAGCGATGTCCCTGCCCCAGCTTTCTACGAAGATATGGTAGAAAAACACCAAGTTAAAATCCTCTCAGCATCTCCTTTTGTGAAGTTCCGCCAACCCTATCTCCTTATGCGAGCGAGGGAGTTAGAACGCCAACTAGCTTATCTCAAGCGCCTCCGTGACCAAGACTTTTCTCAAGAGCCTACCTCAGACGAGAAATCAAAATCAGAGAAATTTTTCCTGATCACACCAGAGATGATACATGAATCTCTGTCTGGCGCATCCAGCAAAGTTAAGGAGGTCGTCCATGCCGTTCATGATGCCGAATATGACAGGGCATTGCATCACTATCAAACCCAAAAGAGGCAATGGGAGGCATATATATCTGGAAATATAAATCTCTTCGATCCATATGCGCACCAGAATATCGTTGTCTTGTATAGCTTAGTCTGTACAAAAACATCGATCCCTTGCTCTGGCCCTGATACTTTTGCCCTTGGCTTCTATAACCAATATGATACCGATAAAATCTTTGAAGGGGATTGTACCCTTGGGCAGTACGTCGAGGATCTATGTCACAGTGCTAACGCCGTTTGTACTGCAAATGGCTGTGAGGAAAGAATGTTCGACCATCATCGTCAATATGTCCATGGCGAAGCGCAAGTCAGCGTATTTGTTCAGCCTTATCCCTCGAAATTACGCGGCCTTCAGGATACAATCTTAATGTGGAGTTGCTGCAAAAAGTGCGGTAACGAGACCCCGGCTATGCCAATGTCAGATAGTACCTGGAGGTATTCATTTGGAAAGTACCTGGAGCTCTCATTCTCGAGTGCAGACTTGCATGCCCGCGCGGGTGTTTGTCCCCACGATCTACATCGAGACCACCTGAGGTATTTCGGCCTCAAAGATATGGCCCTTCGGATACATTATGATCCCATTAATCTGTTGGAAATCATTGTCCCGCGACCACGGGTTACCTGGAAGGTGGATAAAGCCCTCAGGGTCCGTAATGAGGTTTACATTGCGGCGGAAAAAAGAGTGAACAAATTTATGATGTCCGTTAAAGGGCGTCTTAAATCTATAAAGGTTGAAAGTGTCATGCCTGAGATGGCACAAGCCTGTCAGAAGGAAGTTGAGGCGCTCAACAAACGGGCCAACGATGATCACATCGCTCTTATCAAGCAGCACCAGGCGCGATATATGAATAGTCGATATTGGGAAGTCATCCCTTTGAACACTGTCATCATCTCAACCCAAGAAAAGGTTGTGGAATGGGATGCTATATTTGCTGAGTTTGAACGAAACTATTTTCCCTCTGAAAAAGATATTAGACGATTGGCAACCTTGCAGCTGAAGAAAATATTTCTCGATAGAGACGTTTCCGTCACGTCACTCACATCAAGCGAAGACTCTGGGGCGACAGCAGTAGAGACGGAAGAAGGGACGGCAACGCCATCGGGCTCCCCTCGCCTAACAAGGAGAATGACACTATCACCGCAAGAAGCGAAAAATATGTTAGCATCTGTGGTGGAAGAACACACCACGAAGCCGAGGAAGGAGACTGAACCTGAAGAGCCCAACCCACAAAGCCCGACGCAAGGTGCAGAGTCTCATGGGTCTGGTGACTTATCGCCTATGAAGCCCATACTTGCGTGTCAAAATGAATTCCGGCACTTGGACTTGGTCATCCCATCAAACTTGGTAGAAAAATTATCTCCGCCACAGGTGCAGCCAGACTTGGAGATACATCAGCCTGTCAATCCCACCACTAGCCCCGTGCCCACAAATTCGGCGGGAAATGAGCAAGAAATTCCAAGTGAGCCTCGACTGAGCAGTGATGATACGCCGGATAACCAGGATGCTGCCGACTATGTTGCACGCCCTTCCGGTCTCCCTCGTCCCCGTGATAGAGCACTCAATCATGGGTTTAGGGCAAAGTCTCCGCCATTGATGAGGGCGCAATCACAACCGGCACATCTGCAGCAACAGCTTTCTAATCCAGTGCTATCTCAAGAAAAGCTTCAGAGGCCTACTGGGGAGAAGGGCTCTGACGGCAATAAGGGGCCATTCACGTCCAAAAGGCAGCGTTTTTCAGAACGACTGAGGCTAGCGGGTCTAAAATCTCCGAAATTGCCTGGTGGTCCTTCTCTAATACCACGATCGGTCACGAAGAAAAGCTCACATGTATCGTACCTTACTCGTCATTTCGAGGAGCTAAGCCGAGAATTCCAAAAAGAGCGGATCATGCAAAATCATCGGCGGGCTGCACAAGGCAAACAATCTCGCGCCTACCCAATGGCATCTTCCAAGCCGATTGTCGAAGTGTACAAAAATGTCAGGGATGCAGTAGAGGAACGAGAGCCTGGTGATGAAGACTTTTTGTCTAATACACCCACCGCGATATTACCAAAGGAACCTGCAGTTCTAGTGGTCGAGGCTACTGAAAATGTCGAACCTCCAGTTGTTCGACCAGAAACCCCTGTTAGAGGTACCCAAGAGTCTAGGGTATCGGACGAAAGTTTGCGTGAGGGCGACCAAATCCTTTCAGGGGCGGATGGTGAGGATGAACATAGTGATGGCGAGAAGAGCTTTTTAGAAGACGATGGCCAAAATGTCGAGGCAAACGAAGAAACAGTTCCGTTATCCCCAGATGAAATTTCCTTGGATCTCAAGGAGCTACCCAAACATGAACAAACGTCGTTAGTCAAAATGCTCACGAACTTTTGGGCTGAGCGTTCTGCAAGTGGATGGGCTCCCTTGGATTATCCGCTAAGCGATTCCGACCATATTTTTGCTGATTGTGATATCATTGTCCGAGAAGACGAGCCAAGCTCGTTGATTGCATTTGCATTAAACTCTGAGGATTATCAGCAAAAACTTAGAAGCATCCAAGAGCAAAACGAAGCGGGCGATTCGGTCAACGTTGATGCGGAGCCCGAAGTTGAACAATCATTGCTTCGAAGTACGGGAACACATCTCAAATATCAGTTTCAAGAAGGCCAAGCAAAGATGCTCTGCAAAGTATTCTATGCTGAGCAGTTTGATGCTCTTCGCAGGAAGTGTGGTGTAGCGGACCGAATTGTTGAATCGCTGTCCCGGTGCATGAAATGGGATTCCAAGGGAGGCAAGACAAAATCCCTCTTCCTAAAGACGCTGGATGATCGGTTTATCCTGAAGTCACTTTCAACAATAGAGACACAGGCTTTCTTGAAATTTGCGCCAGATTATTTCCAGATTATGTCTGAAGCGCTGTTCCACGAGCTCCCTTCCGTAATCGCAAAGATGTTCGGTTTCTACCAGGTAATCATCAAGAACCCGACGACTGGGGTAGAATTCAACTGGTTCCTACTCATCATGGAGAATCTATTCTATGACCGCAGTCCAACCCGAATCTTTGACCTCAAAGGGTCGATGCGCAATCGAAAAGTTCAGAGCACTGGAGAACGGAACGAAGTGCTGCTTGATGAGAATATGGTCGAGTTCATATACGAAAGCCCGCTGTTCACCCGAGAGCATTCAAAGAAACTACTTAGCCAGAGTGTCTGGAATGATACCCTATTCCTCGGCCGCCAGAACGTCATGGACTATTCTCTGATGATTGCTATCGATGAAGTTAAACAAGAAATTGTAGTTGGTATTATCGACTGCATTCGAACTTACACTTGGGACAAGAAACTAGAGTCGTGGATTAAAGACCGAGGGTTTGCCGGGGGTGGAAAAAACAGGCCCACGGTCACCAGTCCTAAAGAGTACAAGAGCCGGTTCAGGGAAGCAATGGCGCGATATGTCCTTTATGCCCCTGAGTAAGTTTCATCCTCCTTGGATCTTCTACTAATGCTTGATAAAACTATACTAATGACCTTCTGTAGCTCCTGGCACCAGTTCCATGTTGCAGACCCCGACAGGCGGTCCCTCAGGAGCCATAATCAAAGCAAGAGTACTATAGCCTCGCAAAATAAACTACCAGACGCAGCCGCACCCCAACCTTAAAATATACCAACGACGTGCTTTCGATACGAATAATGACCTTTTTAATGATCAACATATACAATGATTCCCTGTTTCTGCTTGACTTGTCTTTTGTATAACAGCGCAGAATCAGCATGTTTCCGTCATTCCAGATCAAGATATAGATGTACTTGTTATGATTATCATTGACCCTACCCTAATCCATGCATCATTGCGAAAGAGTATCGCCTTGCCCAAGGTTGTCCCTCTAGCTGCGCCTAAACACCCCCCCTAACATCAAATAAAAGAATAAACACTCATCACATATCAATACAAATACTTATAAATTGCCTGTTTCTCAACATCCGCCTCCACCTCCGCCTCCCCCGTCGCCTCCACCGCTGCAACCACCTCCTCCACCGTCACCTCCACCTCCACCGCTGCAGCCACCATCCTCTCCTCCTCCTCCATCGCCTCCGTCAAAGAAGATATCCTGGTGCTTGCCCTTTCGTTTAGGATAACTCTGGCGGTGTTTTTGAGGATATTTGTTTGATTTCCGCGGAGGCGGTGCTCTATCACGGTCTTTTGATGAGAAACAGCACATTTTTGTTAAACTTCTTAAATATGGGAATAGAGATGAATGTTGACGGGACGATAGCCGTATCCAATGAACGAATGAGGAATAGGTTGTAGCCTAGACTGAAGATTTAGTTTATGCATGAAAAGATCCCTTTCACAGTCAAGAAGAGAAGTATTATACCTTATGAAATATTATATAGGAGCCGAATAATATGATGTAGATATTTCACTATTCCCTCTGAAGAGTGAAGACTCGGTAAGAATGTATGAGGAGCTAAAGACGAAGATATTGAAAATCGAGAGAACGTGAAAGGAGTGCCATTAAATATATAATGATACCCCCTTGCCATTCTTCAGCTCGCAGAACATTCCCTGTAACTTCTTTTCTAACCATTCCAGATATGCCGAGGGAGTTTAATGTATGCACTCGCCTTAAAATTTACGTACACACTTTCGTGTGCTGGAGGCCCAGCCGCGATGGTTCCTTGAAGGATTTCTTAGCTTCACAGCCCCCTGTGTTTAAAGTAGGTATATGATGCGCCGTTACTAATAGAGCTGTAAGCCCCTTCCTACAGGGTAAATCGTCATATGGTAGATCGCCTACGCCCCGTTACGAGTGACTGATCACCTGGTTGCCATAACGGACAGCCAGGAGTTCGAAGTATACCTATATTAAGCTACTAGAGTGTCTAGATATAGCACGTATGGGAGCGGATGAGATAAGTGCCAGTCTCGGTGCTGGGCGTATTGTAGATAATATAGTTAAATAGACGAATGTTAGATGTGTCTGGCCCTAACTTTGGGAATACGGGTATATGTAAGCCAACGCTTGCTTGACCGCGGGAATGCGTATTCAAAAATATAACGTGAAATGGGATTGTAGATAGACAAGCGTATGCTTTAACAAAAGAAATTCATCGATCATAGGTCGTCCAGAAATATTGCCTCCCGAATTTCGATAGCTCATCGCTTACAGTTTTTTCTCCAACTTCTTAAAGAGCTTGTTTACTCCCTTCTCCATACGCATTGCATTGCTGCCAATTTTACCGAATTTTGGCGCCTCGTTCCTATTCGCTGTTTGGGCTGGTGGTGTCTGTTCCGACCCTGGCGGGACATATACCTGATTATGTATAGCATATTCGTTCTGCGGCCTGGGCTGTTGCTGATGCTGTTGTTGCTGCTGGTAGTGCTGAGGATGCTGCTGCTGCTGAGAGTAGTTATATGGCGCATACCCACCAGCAGAATGTTGCGAGGCCTGCGATTCACGTCGAGAAAGATGGGCCTGGTTTTGGGCTAGGGGCTGAGTAAACGGGCTGACAGGTGGTGGCCCATAACTTTGTTGCCCATATAAGTGTGCATTGGGATCTTGCGGAGGAGGAGCGAAACTAGAACTTAGGCTTCCGCGATGGCTAGCGGTTGTGGCTGGAGGGGCGCTGGGAGGGACACTGGCTGTAGTTGGGGGAGGGCCAAACGACAGGCCACCGGGTGGAGGCTGTCCTGGGGTGTATGGCTGCTGATGAAGGCTCGAAGGTGCCGGAGAATATGTGCCTGGCGCACCCGGAACACCGTATGGCTGCATATTGACATTGCCAATGCCATGCGGCTGAACGGGCTGAGGGCTTTCTATGTCTCCCGTAGGCGGCGGGGCAAATGACATTCCCATACCACCGCCAGAAAGTCCAGTTCCCTCTGCAGCATCCGGTGGTGGAGGTGTCGCCTCACGAGGCTTTATCGGCTCCGGGGCGGGTGGAGCTGCAGGATTGTAAGGAAGAGGTGCATACGTTGCTGGTGTTTCTTCCCTCTTTGGAGCCGAAGATGTTTGAGGTGCCTTCTCATCTATCGGGCTGACTGGCTGAGTCACGATTTGCACGTTTGCAGGCATTATAGGAGGGGTGGGATGCATTGGTGGCGGCGGTGGTGGAGGAGGGATGTTAGACAGACTAGTAGCATCATTGGGACGCAATTCCGCCTTTGCTTGATGGTAGTTTGGATCTGATATTGCGACATTCTCCAGATTTTGCACCACACTGCTCATTGGGGCCTGCAGAGAGGAAGGTGGTTGTGTTTGCTGAATATTTTCCAGCTGGTTAGGGCCCACCACCTTCTTGATGGTGGTCAAAAACTGTCTCGCATCATCCAGGGTCCAGAAGTATAGATCCAGGGTATGTAGGCGGAAATATGACGTGCTTCTATCAGCTGGATTCGTCCATCCTAAACGCCATTCATGCTCACCGCCGCCAGGAGCTGAAGGAGGCCCGTCTACGCTGTTTCGGCATCCATCTACCGTAAGGGTGAAAAGGGTTGGGAAGGTATCGGATGTGCGTAGGTGGGAGGACGATAGAGCTGCTAACGGTTAGAGCTTGGAACCGGACTCTAAACCTGTTCGTACATGTATGAAATAGGCGACCTACAGCCGTTAAAGGCATCCTGCTCGCGAGTCCCAGGGTTATTCGCAATCTCGATCCTCGACCCTCCCTGCGTAGGATTATGATAGATGTAGAGGTAGGAACCCTTATCGAACCGATGGTGGGTAGGATGCGGGGAGGGCGCCGTGAAATAATAGTGAACGTCCGTAAACCTAACACCGCATCAGTATTACCGTCTTATATATTGGATATGGCTACTTACACGGTCAGTAACCGTTCTTCGCCTGGGAGGGGTGGCATCTCCGATAATTAACTATATCCTAGCCTGATCGCAAGGAGGGGTCGATCACAACGGGAACGGAGCTTCCCACGGCGCAGCTTTTCAGGATAAACAACGAGTAGGATAAAAGAGAGAGAGAGAGAGAAACTTCTCTACGCCGCGAGCGCAAGCTGAGTCTCTCCTCCTGCTGCCTTCTTATCGTCCCAACTTCCCTGTGGTTTCGCGCAGTTCAGCCTCTGTGGCCAATCAGAAGCCGCGATCCAAGCTCCCGGCGCTTAACCGCAGGCTTAGTCATGATCTTAGTCAGCCAAAAGGGAAAAACATTCTTCCGATCTCAAATTTGTTTCCTTCAAGGACGAAGAAGAAGAAAAAGAAGGCGAAGAGGAGAACAGGAGAACAGCAGCACGACGGGCGATACTACTGTCAATTGCAGCCCTACGTAAGGAACCCCGGCTGGTACCCATGAATACGGCAGGATTGCTGACTTGAAACTACTTGACAGGGCCCCTTTAGGCGTGGATCTCCAGGAAGCAGCTACACCAGTCGACATACGCACCATATTCTTTCGCGAGACTGGAAGAGCCGGAACATAGCTGTCGAGGAAGCTGTTATTTGAAGGATAATTTGCGCGGAGCATTTTCACAATGTCGCTCGTCCAACTCTCACATGTCTGCTCACACCTTTCGAATGCCAGCAAGGCTCGGTTGGCTTTGACATCTATCCCGAATTCGAACCTTCATCTCTCTCTCTCGAATGCCCTTCTCGAGGCTGGGTTCATATCATCCGTCGTCCGAGGTGGCCCAACTCCACCGGCGCGCCACCTGCTCTTGAACCATCCTGCGGTCAACGATGAGTTAGAACCCATTGAGCCAGTCACCCAAGCCAATGTTGCGTCAAGACGACTATGGCTAGGACTCAAGTACTGGCAGAGTGAGCCGGTTCTCAGCAAAATATCAATGGTCAGCAAGCCTACTAGACGGATATACGTGGACACCGAGGCGCTACGGGATATCGTAAGAGGGTCGAAGAGCAACATGGTCGCCGGGCTGAGGAACCCTGGTGAATGTCTGTTTCTCAGCACTGATCGTGGAATATTGGAGTCTCGGCAGTGTGTTGAGAAGAAAATAGGAGGGCTGGTTCTATGTCGTGCTGTTTAGCTGGGTTGTATCATACGCCATGATTTCTTTTTGGCATGGGAATGGAGTTGATGGATTGTGTATATAGATCACTTGATCCACCCTTTCAGTTGAATGTACTATTATATCTCTCTCCCGTTGTATGCCCTGTCCTTGCTATATGTGCTGCTGTTGATAGTTACACTAGTTTGTATTATCTTACCATCGGTGCAAATTTATTGTCACACTTTGAACACTTCCTCTCTCCAGAGCTACTAATGTTTTCAGAATGGAGAATCATGATAATTGTCTATCATTAGCAGGGAGAAGCCTGATATCGAGGTGCATTGGAGCTCAAGTACTCTACCTACGACCAGAGTGTGCCTAGCTCATACAGGACATCTTCAGGCTATCTCCAACCCAAGGCTCAGCTCACCGATTCCTCTCAATCCGCCTCTCTCCTCAGAGTCTCTATCTTATAATATTTTCCATCTATCTTCACATCGACATCGATCAATTGGCTTTTCTAGGAAGCTTAGCCGGTCTCCATGCCCTTGATTGGCCAAACAGTTTCCTCCACCACCAGAAAGCCAAAAAAAATATGCGAGCAAGGGAAAATACCACTCAGCTATGGCAAGTCGACATTGCACCCGGATCGCAGAGGGATGATGAGCAGCGCTTCAAGAAATGCTCACCCAGCGCATCCCTGAATCCGAGCCAAGAGCGGTGCTTTTAACAGTCTCGTATCCCACCAAGCACGGCCGAGGCTTCCCCACTCCAGGCAAAGCTGCCCTCGCTATATAAAAGCACAGCTCGCGCTCGCGTGTCCCAGCATTTCAGCCGGTTAAAGGACGGTGGCGTCGGTAGGGAACGCTACGTATTGATATACACACGAATATCGTCTATCTTATGTTGAGCTGGATATCGTCCTCCCGCAACGCGCTCGCTCCCTCGGCTATACCGAAAAACTTGACCGGCACGCTGCAGTCGCATTAAACCTGGACGGGACGGACACAGGCTTACGATACCCTTTATACCGATGGCGTCCGAGAAAGATGATATCGATCCCGTCAGTGTTGACGCTGCTCAATCTTCCGCGGCAGAGAGTGATGGTGAAAATGGGACGGTAGCAAATGTCTTTCAGAATGCGAAAGCGGCAGCAGATAAAGAACACAATATGACACTACTGCAGGGTATAAAGCTCTATCCAAAGGCAGTCGCATGGAGCGTCCTGATTTCCACTTGCATCGTCATGGAAGGTTACGATATCAGCTTGATCAGCAACTTCTACGCTTTCAAACAATTTAATCAGAAGTTCGGAGTGCGACTAGAAGATGGCTCATATCAAGTTCCAGCACCGGTATGTTTGTTATCTCCGTCTCTGAACCCTAGTACTCGGGAGTCTAGACTCTAAATACCATCCTTTCTCTAGTGGCAAGCCGGTCTCAGCAATGGTGCAGCTGTAGGCGAGATATTCGGTTTATTCCTCAACGGATGGTTGTCGGAACGGTTTGGCTATCGTTGGACAATATTAGGGTCACTTGCATGGTTGACTGCCTTTATATCACTGTTCTTCACCGCCGACAACGTGCAAACGCTCCTTGCTGGCGAAATCCTCTGCGGCATTCCGTGGGGCTTATTCCAAACCCTGACCATCACCTATGCCTCTGAGGTTTGCCCGGTAGCACTGCGTGGTTATCTAACTACATATGTTAACTTTTGCTGGGGTCTCGGACAGTTTATTGGCATTGGAGTTATCAGGTCGATGTTGAATCGAACAGACGAATGGTCCTTCCGGATACCCTATGCACTTCAGTGGATGTGGCCGCTCCCTCTCGGAATTGCAATATTCATGGCCCCGGAATCGCCGTGGTGGCTGGTCAGGAAAGGTCGTATTGCAGATGCCAAACGCTCTCTTCTCCGGCTGACTAGCCGAAACGATGAGACGGGTTTTGATGCCGATGAGACCATAGCCATGATGGTCCATACGACTGCCTTGGAGGCTAAAATAACCCATGGAGCCACCTACTGGGACTGCTTCAAGGGAACCGATCTTCGGCGAACGGAAATTGTATGCATGGCTTGGGCAATGCAAAATTTAAGCGGCAACTCGTTCTCCAACTACTCGACGTATTTCCTGGAGCAGGCGGGCCTATCGACTTCTCATGCGTACTCGTTTGCCATGGGCCAGTACGCTATAAATATGATTGGAGTTTTCGGTGCTTGGGGGCTGATGTCCGTCGGTATTGGACGAAGAACTCTCTATCTCTCTGGATTGTGTGGACTCTGCGCTATGCTTATGATCATGGGCTTCCTTGGCCTCGTACCGCAGTCACACAGAAACGCGGGATCCCTTGCCACGGGGAGTATGATGATTGTTTGGGCATTGTTTTATCAGCTTTCCGTCGGCACAGTCTGCTACTCCCTTGTCTCCGAGCTCTCGACGCGAAGGCTACAGATAAAGACCATCGTGCTAGGCAGAAACTTGTACAACGTTGTCGCCATTATATGTAACGTCTTAACGCCGTTCATGCTGAATCCTAGCGCCTGGGACTGGGGCAATTATGCCGGTTTCTTCTGGGGCGGTGTTTGCTTCTGCTGCGTCGTATACACCTATTTCCGTCTCCCCGAGCCACAGGGCCGATCCTTTGCAGAGTTAGACGTCCTATTCGAGCGTGGGACTAGTGCTAGGAAATTTGCGTCTACCCAGGTTGACGTCTTCGGAGAAGAGGTGGCAACTAACGTGATTGACAGTTATAACGAGAAAGACTCAGGGCAGATTCGGGCTTAGGGTTTTGGGTTCTGTTTGGGCATTTTCGGCTTGGGGGCATACGTTCCGGTTGGCTTCTGTTGTGTATATATGTTCCAGCCTGTTTACATATCTAATTAATGAATGGACGTATTAATATCAATTATCAGACAAAAGCGTAGTCTACGATTACATATTCTTTGCCTTCCTGTATCCGCCTTAAAGCCTCATTAGTATCTATAAGACGCTCATCGATGCCACTATGGTTAGTTGGAGCCTAACATTAGGGAGCTAACATATGGGAGGGGAGGCCGTTGACATCATAGCAACGAGTTTAACCACAACTGTAGAATATTGCGTGTAGGTCTTGAGAGCGAATGAGATATGGCGGACGGGAGCTGTTCAACCATGGATGCATCCCCATTTGACAAACGGTAACTTCAGCGGCACGGAAGCTTAGTCCAGCGAGTCCCAAGGTTGATGCCGTGGGATAAGTTTATCGTGACCTTACATGGAAAGGAGGTCGTGGTTGTTACTATGCTCAGGGGCAAGTCAACCTCAAGTCAACCTTCAAGTCTAGAGTGATAGTTGGCTTTGCAATGTCTATGAGGTAAATTCCTTCGCCTTCACCTTACCTTTTCAGAGTGACCCTCCTTGACGGTGTATCGAAGCCTAGAGGACCATTTAAACCCAACCTCCAACTCCAAGCACGGAGCCGAGCCGATTTACGCCCAACTTGATCGGCCTTGCCACACTCCCGGCATGTATCAACTGACGGTGTTACCCTGATCCCAATGGTAGCCCTTGTATTTCCACAACACAGCTGGTCCCTATGTCATGGTTCCTTCGCCGTGTCCCAGACGGAACTAGACATGATAGGATGGCCATATGCCGACGTATTCGCTTGTTACTGTAAACGTGACAACCTGGAAGTAACTGGCCAGATACGGTGTCCTCCATGCAAGTCAAGGGTTCGTTTCCATGACAAGTCCTATTAACATCCGGGCTGGATCTCTTCTGATCTTCGACGCTTGACTTTGAACTTCACTAGCCCGCTCATCTGGTACTCGGCATCGTCTTCCTTCTCGATAACAATAGAACGTTTCTCTTGAATGGCGCGGTCGGTCGGAACACGGGCTGCGGTTGGGCTGACGACGGCTGCCGAGATGTGTATCGATTGGATTCAGGCGCAAACCGCTGCTGTTCTGCTGTTCTGTCCTGCTGTCCTGCTGTTCCTTCGTGATCCATGGAGGAAGTCGAGATATCCACGTGACCTGACGACCAATCCAGAGTGAACGAAGTTTCTCACCAAAGAACGCTCGACTTCAATATATAGCAAGATGCCAGATCACCACGACGCCGGGAGCCTGCCGCGCCCTCACGGCTGAGCAGACGGCAGACAGGTTGAAAACGAGCCCAACCGCCCACCAACGAAACAGCCATGGTCTACAGCTCAGAGTGAGGCGAAAGAATGAGATCCATTCCTGCAGCCAGGACCATCCGTCTATGGATATATACAAACGCAGGGAGTATAACTCTACTCTCGACCCCTCCCCAGCAGTTGATCAATGGAGACGGCCGTCCCCCGAGCAGAATCAGGCGCTGGAACCTGCAGGTCCTGCTCTCGTTGGGCTGGTCAGCATAGTTATCGGCCGAACTCTGATGAGAGTATCTGATGTCTTTTATGCATCAAACAGGGCTCTCCAGCAAGGCAAAGCAGTCTGCTCGAGACATGCTCTGCGGGTGTTTTAATCTTCATAAAAGTATGCGGGGGATCGATCGCTGCCAGAGCTCACAGACCGTTCATAAATGTCTACGTAAATAGCCGGGCTGCCATGAGCTGGCATAATATATTGGAGCGCCGCTTAAACCTGCAGAGGCTTCTAGATGATGTACCTTTATTTCTGTTTAACCTAGAATCCCAGCGCCATCACCTCCATCTAGCTGTTTATTGCATCCACGACTGGATCGAGAACCTAGCTGTGCCTGAAACAGCTCCATGGCGACGGAAGTATGGAGGAATCAGCCTAGAATAGAGACGAGCTAGGGAGTATACTCCGTACCCGAAGCTGCCTCGCCATAAGATGTATCCCCCACAGTCATGGTCATTGTTGGGATAGTTTTGGGATACGAAATGCACGACGCCGTTGGACATCCTCCTCGCACCAACTGCAGCTGTTCAGGCCAGATTTCGCATCTCACCTCGAATCGGCGGGATCCTTTTGCTGACAGGCCACTAGCAGAATGCCAACAGAGCAACATATCGCTTGAACGGGACCATGCAGTGGTTGGCTCTGCCCCGGCGACAAAAAACATTGGGCCGCAACGCAACGCGAGTGATGTGGATGTGCGTCAATGCCCAACTCCCCGATGAACAGCATCCTCAGCGTCTTGCGCCGATTTGCACCCTCGTAGATCCAGGGGTTGCATACCGTCCAGATCTAAAATTGGCGGTCCTTCGTCCCATCACCTAACCCGTAATGGCGACGGACCGAGAAGAGCCCAATCGCTATAGGCCATGGCTGCTTCGCTCGAATGCTTCAGTTCACGGATTATGTGCAACCTGGCTTCCGTGCAGGTAGGATAGCCAACGGTCTGAAATGGCATCCCTTGTCCTTCTCCATGCACTTTCTCCATGCTGACTGTCCTCCCCTAGGCCCCGTTAAAACCTACCGGCAGGGCCAGCTCAACTTCGAGGGACCAGCCCGGTGCATATACAAGCTACCGCACGGCGACCACTAGGAGCTGACATCTCCCGGACCATAGGCCAGAAGGCCGTGAGAGGGATGAATCTGCTCTGCTCTACTCAACACCCGCATTGGCTACTTCGAAGGGGGGAGGCCGACCCTCTCCGCCCACCCCTTCGATTTTGATGCCCAAAGATTCTCTCCCTGCCACTCCCACCAGGCCATGTGATGCTTGTTTCCTTGTTAATTTGCATCCGCCGCCTCGATGGGAATTCGGCCATCGACCTTTTGAAAACCAGATGGCGTATTCTCGTGGTGCGGGGCGCTTTTTTGAGTTTGGGTCGTGTCAACTGCAAGGCCCTAATCCGGGATTTATAGGTTCATAATTGCCCATGAAAAGAAAAATAGTGAGACGGAGGACGTGTACGTGGAGCCGTCTGCTCTTCTCTGAGCTATACTGCCATAGCTCCCCCAGCCGAGAGCCCAAAACAATAACAAACGATCCTTACCCTCTTACAGATAAAGACGATTACTTTTCATACCCACTGCCTTTCCCTACCCCATGGCTCGTCACGCCTCCTCCTGGCCCAACTCCGCGAATTAGCGGTGTAAACATTAAGATTCTATCTAGATTCGTACTTTTCCTCTCCCGGGTTTCTCTTTTTTTTCCCCTTTGGCTCGGTGCAGGGTTAAGGTTACCTTCAGCAAAATCTATATAGAATACTTGCCCACTCCTTTTTATAGCCCTTGCATGGCTCGCCCGGGTTTGGCGTGATAGCGTTACTTGTGTCTCGCCGGAGAATGGCATATTCGGGAAGCATTCCTCTATCCCCAGGCGGCCTTAGGGAGAGTGATTCGATGTTCTATCCACAAAGGAACAATGCAGCCACATTCCCTTTTCGAAGGTTAGTTCCGGAGCAAAACCCTTCCCGGAAGCCGGCAAACGATCGAAGCTCATTCAAATTCTTCGAAATAGTCCTAGTTTGTTAAACAGAGAGCGCGAGATCCCTTGTTACTCGGACCTGCCATGGCCACCCGAGCTACGAAACGCAAGGTACGGACCAAAAACTTGTATCAAAATTTTTTTTAGCATTGATCGTCGATGAGTGTAACTAAACGTCGGATTTATTAATGGAGCTAGAATCTCACCGCCATGGGATATTTCACCTCGGGAACATGGAGAGTTACCCTCTCCAGAGAGGCAGCAGCCCGGGCCTGGTAGGCCTATCGATGTGTTTACGGGTCGAGGTATGGTCACAACTCCACCTTCGACATACGATCGATATTCCACTGTCCACCCGCCAATGGCCCTGGAACCAATTGGCGAGCTACCACGACAAAGCCCTAGTAACGGTTCGAAAGATCCGTTCATGTCTTATCACAATTCCAGGCTATCTGATCCTGGAATGCCTCTTTCATTGGAATCTGATCATTCTATGGGGCGTATGAAGAAGATGAACCCGGAACATGTGGACTCCATCCCCAGATTCCATTTGAGGCGAAAGCCCGGAAACAGGGATGAGTTCGACGGACCAACTCAGCTGCTGAGGATGCCTAGCCCAGGCCCAGCAGCAACCGAAATCCCGGAGAAGGACCTGCCACACCTTCCCACTTCATTGAATGTACAGGAGCAAGTGAAGATTTTATGTGATATCAACGATCGTTTATCCCGGTGCGCCTTTGATTTTGTGGCCAAATACCAGTTCCCAATCCCATTGGAGCCCGAGAAGTCAGAAGTAAGATCCCCAGAAGACCGTGAATGGACAGAATGGGTCCACTTGCTCAGAAGACTTGCGACTAAACGCCGTATTCCTGCGCGCGTTTTATATGATGGCCAAATAAAGCAGTTCATCACTGTGCTCGAAAACTCACTGGAAATGCGCCACACAGCAAAGAACCAGTCGCGCCCACTGAGAGATGATCGAAACATTTTACAGCTTATATCTGCCGGAACACAGGTCGCTAAAATACTCAAAGACGCCCCTGCGATGGAATATTTTGATTTTTTGTATTCCCGAACAGAAAGGCAAATCCATGAGCGACGGAACCATACTCCTAGTTTCTTTTAGATGGGCATGCGGCTGGTCGTATGTTATACGAACATCAATCGTCATTTTTCCCTACACCTGATGACCGTTTATTTTTCCTCTTTTTCCATGAAGTATCGGTTTCATGAAAGCCATATATATTGCCCGTTGTTAAGGCAGAAATCTTCCCGATCCACCGACCTTTTTTTCTTTTCCAAATGTTATTCTATCGACGGGAAATGGCACCACAATTGGAGTTTACTTTTACTTTCACACCTTCTGAGAACCGGAAATAAACGATTTACCGCTCTCTTTCCCGGAAAACTGTTCTCGGGAGTTACCCAATGGCCCCCAATCCTAAATCTGGGTATCCCTCTCATTATTCCCTGTCTTGCATCATGCCTCTTGCTACTTCTTTTTGTTTCTGGGGATTTATCTAATTGGGGATGGACACTTATACATGCATATATATACACCAAGCTTCTTCTCGTCCCTCTCCCTCCTCTTACTCCAAATAATGATTTTGTTATTGACCATTTGTCGCCTAGCTCAACCGCTTTTGGCATTTAGATATCTCTATGAACAGCAAATAGCGTTTACAGCGTTTTTCTTTTAATTTAAGTATATGGCTTACCTTTGACATTGAGCACTATTGACGTTTACACTACTCTTTTGTTTTATGTTTTATATCATGGCTTGACTATACATAGATTGGTTGATTTAGCTAGGCGTTAAACATGCGGTACAGGGATGTGCTTAGTTCTAACTTCACTGCACAGGGAGAGTCATTTTCATACGTTCGGTACTTTGCTGAGAGTTGAATGGGCCATTAACTAGATATATCTACAATAAAGGAGCGCTGTTTATATTTATATCAACACAAATAGTAGGGAAGGATATTAATAAATTCTCTAGGGAGCGAATAATCACGTTAATCTATACATAATGCTTCAAATTCCCTTCATCTTACACATTGTCTGTTCCCCTAACGAATCGAACTGCAGTATGTAGTGTTCGAGTAATCAGATCTCTAGACCATTGCCATTTCCATAGACCGATGCTGGTGAATCCGATAAAAGAAACAAAGGTCGTTACCATTGCTCTGGTGAGGACATCTGTTTGGCGCTTCGTGGCCTTCTCCACCTCCGAATAGCGTGCATTACCAAAGCTAACGCGCGCGTATTGGGTGGACCAACCGAGTCCAGGTAAGTACTTATAGAGGGCCTCTTCAAGAGACTTTCTAAGCCTGTATACTGGTGACCTTACTCCCGCCCTCATTTCGATGAAGTTGTTTCTTGAGAGGTGGTTGATTGCATAGGCATCTGGCACTCGCTGACGGCTATACGCATCCAGAGCCGCGGCACGACGGTCCGCAATGGGTTCTTGGTTGTCTTTATTAGTCTCCTGATAAACGCCATGGCTGTCTAGGTGTTCAAAGAGAACTCGAACGTCTTCAAGGCCGGCATTAAGCCCCTGACCGTAGAATGGGACAACAGCGTGGGCGGCATCGCCAACTATGACGACACTGGAACCAAAATGATGAGGAGAGGATTTGAGGCCGATCAAGGGGAGATGTGGGTTGGTGTTGAACTGATCGAGCAGAGCTTCTGGTGGGATCAGCTCAGGGGAGACACCTGGGAAATGAGATTGGAAGAATTCAAATAGGCTGTTTGGATCTTTTTCCAGAGCTTCATAGTGCTTGGAGGGGGCGAATAGTGTGCAGGTAAACGTTTTATCTGGAGATGGAAGCGCGATGAACATAAAATCGCCGCCGGGCCAAATATGCAAATGGTTCGGAGATATTTGGAACTGGTTATCCTCGGAAGGTTGGATGCGGAATTCACACCATAAAGTGTCAATATATTCTTGCTGATAGTCCATACGGACATATTTCATGAGGTGGAATCTTGTAGCCGAGTGAGCGCCATCAGCACCTATTAGAAGATCGAATGGTACCTCTAGCTCTGGAGCTCGAGTGACATTGATAGCCTTGTCATCGTCGCTTAATGTGGACCTGAAACCAGGAGTATCATCGGGATTCTTTCGCTCAAACCACGCCTTCTTGTTCGCGAAATCAGCGCCTGTAAGCTTATGGTTAAAAAACAACTTGACGTTTGGCTCTTTCTCGAGTTCGTCAAGTAGAGTTGCATTGAGCTTCCCGCGATCAATGGCATTTATGTACTAGAAAGATAAAAGAAAAAAAAAGGTAAGCTCGTGGCTCGAATGGATAGGGATATTGGCAGCAGCTTACCCTTCCATGGACGTCGTAAGCTTGGGATGCTTCCCATAAGCGGCCAGTAGGGCCACGTCCGTGGATCATACGGCCAGTCATTGGAATCGCCTCACTTAACACGCTCTCGACGAAACCCGGGCGGTTGGAGGATCTCATGGCGTTCAGGCCACGTTCAGATATGGCGAGGTTGATGGACTTTGTGAAGTTTAGAGGAACGGTTGAAGCGTCACGCGGATCTAATTTATCATGTAAGTAAATAATTAATCACGGATGGCTTCAAGAAGACCGAATATGTAATGGGATATTGCATGTGTATACACTGTTGGTGAGTGTTATGAGAAAGCCAAGAAGATCCACGGGTTCCAGAACAAAGGTACCCGGGTATTACGGTTAGGCGGAACGCAGGAAAATGGCCAATTCTACCAACTAGATATAGGCATATATATCACGAAGAAAAAAGCGATAGGAAACATGCAAGTTGCATGGCCACGTACCTCCTCTGAGCTCGTAGAGCTCAACTTGGTCGCCTCGCATGGCAGCGTAGAGTGCGGCCAGCGAGCCGACAGGGCCTGCGCCCACAATCACTATTTTCTGCATGTTCTGTCTGCACTCCGGGTAAGTTGAGATAGCTGAGAACCTCGAGAGGAGAATTAAAAGAAGATTTGCATCGAAATGCAGCAACCGGGGGACTAAATATTAAATAAACATCCGGAACAATCTTATGTAATTGCCTTCCTTGCCTTCCAAGGTTCGTTTACGGGCGGGCATTGGCGCTGCAAGCACGGAGTACCTGGGCGGTTTCACGCCTGTTGATCCCCTGTCTTTAGTTGACGTGGTATGGAGTGACTAGTGAAATATTTCGGTGTAGACGGTGGTCCACGAAGAGGTCGATTCTGTACTCCCGTGAACGGTAAAGGCGTCCCGTTGGCGTATGTTACCACTGCGGCGGCGATCCCATGCTGGCCCTGGAGCAATCCGGATGAATCCCCGTCAGCACGGCTGGGAAAAAAAGCCTGAAAAAAGTCTGGTAGGCCAGGGGGTGTCCTCAGACGCTGCAAATCAAATTTTGAAACCCGGTTATGTAAGAAGCGCCACCAGTTGCTGAATATCGAGATCAAGCCACATCGACAGACTACTATGCCCTGGACTGATGCTCGTTACACTCGTTGAAGCTGTCGAGCGACCGTGTTGGACGCCAAATATTGGGGAGTTAACCAATACGAAAGGCTGAAGCTTGTGGATAAGTAATTAGCCAGACTGGACGAGAACGGAGCTGTGGACTTGGATGGTACCTTATCGAGTCTCACAGACGCCTGCTCGGCATATTTTCCCTAATAACATTGTCATTTATGTAGAATATTCCGTGTTTACTCCCAGATTTCTATATTTCATTATTTGTTTTCTGCCGTTTGCTGTGGATGACTATCGCGCCTATTTTTCGTTGGTCGCTTAGTAAACAGGGAAAAAAGATGCAGATCTGTTCGCGCGGCTTTGACAGCTCATCCATCCCCAGTAGCAACGACAATTCGACGACAAGTCCGGCTTGCTAGGAGGGTAAAGCCAGCCATCTCGGTGCAATAATCCTCTTCCACAAGTTATAACTGAGTCTGCGGTTAGGAAGGACTTTCGTTTTGGCAGCAGTTATGAGTGCCCCGGATAACAAGCAGTGTAGCGGGGTGGACTGCAGCGAGGCAGCAGGCAGCCTACGATGTCCGGCGTGCCTTAAGATCGGGGTTGAAAGCTATTTCTGCTCCCAAGATTGCTTTAAGCGTAGCTGGGTACGCTTCCGTATCGTCTCACAAGGTGCTGAGACCGGCCCCGCTGACTTTGCGCAATGCTGACTTTCTCCCAGGGTGAGCACAAAGCAATTCATAAATCGAAAGGTAAGAGAGTGCCTGTGTATTCTCTAGTCTAAAGACTATCAGGTTGGCTAACCTCTGTTCTGCAGAAACCTTCAACCCGTTTCCAACATTCCCGTTCACTGGGACCCTTCGACCCGTGTACCCTCTTTCACCTAAAAACCCCGTCCCCAAGTCTATCCTGCACCCCGACTATGCAGGCGATGGCGTTCCACGTTCCGAGCAAAAAATATTTGGGCGACATAATATCAAGATCCTCAATGAGAAAGAAATAGACGGGATGAGAAAGGTGTGCCGGCTGTCAAGGGAAGTCCTAGATATCGCGGCTCGAGAGATCCGGCCCGGCGTCACCACCGACCATATCGATAAGGTCGTACATCAAGCTTGCCTTGAAAGAGAAGTGAGAAACAACCCCTCTCAGCTCTATCTGCAATTTTGTCTAACCTTTTGACAGTCTTATCCCTCACCTCTAAATTACGTGAACTTTCCCAAGTCCGTTTGTACCTCCGTTAACGAAGTTATATGTCACGGTATCCCCGACCAACGACCCTTGGAAGATGGCGATATTTTGAACATCGACATTTCGCTCTATCACGGGGGCTTCCACGGCGATCTTAACGAAACATATTACGTTGGCGACAAAGCCAAGGCGGACCCCGATGCAGTTCGAGTTGTAGAGACTTCAAGAGAGTGCTTGGATAAGGCGATTGAAATTGTTAAACCAGGAACGCTATTCCGAGAATTCGGGAACGTTATCGAAAAGCACGCTAAGAGCAGAGACTGCAGCGTCGTCCGAAGTTATTGTGGCCACGGAATCAACCAGCTATTCCACACTACCCCAAGCATCCCCCATTATGCCAAGAGCAAAACTGTAGGATCTGCGAAAGTTGGAATGTGCTTTACAATTGAGCCGATGATCAACCTTGGAAGCTACAGGGACAAGACATGGCCAGACAATTGGACAAGCGTGACAATAGACGGAAAGAGATCAGCTCAGTTCGAACATACCCTTCTAGTAACAGAGGATGGCGTCGATGTCCTCACCGCGAGACTCTCGGACTCTCCAGGCGGCGCCATACCGATCCCAACCGCTGCATAGGGTGTTGTCAGGTCTAGGTGGAATATCAGTTTTTTACGGAGATAGGAGTTAACATCTAACGAAGCGTCAACTGGTGTTCGTATTTTTTTTAGACAAACTCGAGAAATATAGCTGTTTACATCCACAGTCTACCAAGTAACTATGTGATGGTATCTAATCATCCACTGACTACAAAATGAAGAAAATGTTCATAGTATATAAGTGTTTGTCCACTATTCTTCAGCATTGCCGTTTAAGGAAATGGCACGTGCTCTCTGCTTAGCCGCTAAATTACATAAGCACGAGCCGTCTCCACGTGATATTTACCCGCTAGCCGCGCACCTTAAAAGAGACGTAGAAGAACCGGCTTCCTATGTATCGTGAAAACGAAAGATGAACCAAGATTGCTCATCTCATGACTCCCAGAGACTTCAGCGCTGCTCTCCGGTTGGCCTGCGATACGAGAAGTCGGAAGAGAAGTGAAGCGGGGAATGCGCCGGCCCCACTTTTGCTTACCGAGCAGCTTGATGCTTAGCATTTTACATAAAGCGCCTTCTGGCGCCGACCCCGGCCTAGGAAATCTCGAAGAAGTTCTCTTTCGGTTATAGGAGAGTCAGGGCTGTGCGGAGTTTATAGCAATGAGGACATCACATCCTGCCGATCGAGATGCACAGATACCGGCAACGGAGAGCTCTCCGTTGTTAGGCTCTCAGGCGGTGAATGGTTCATCCCCAGGTGTTCTGACAGCTGAGACAGCTGAGGGGAATGGACATGGCAAGCCTGACGAAGAAACGGCAGGTGGGAATGGAATTGACGACGCAAGAATTGCCCAATTCAAGGGTATACCAGAATTGCAGGCACGATTGAAATATATCGTGCCGGCCATCACAATTGGGGTAAGTCGAGACAACAAACCCACAGCTAGGCTCGATTTAAGCTAATCGAAGGAACGTGTATCTAGGTCTTCCTCTCGTCCGCCGACCAGACTATTATCGTTGCAAGTTATGGCAAGATTGGCAGTGATCTCAAGGCTCTCAATTTGACCAGTTGGATCGCTACCTCCTATTTCCTATCCCTGACCGCTTTCCAACCGCTATATGGCCGTCTTAGTGATATATTCGGGCGAAAGGCATGTCTGCTATTTGGATATACGATATTCGGTACCGGATGTGTCTTGTGCGGACTGGCTCAGAATATAAATCAACTGATTGCTGCAAGGGTATGTCACCTTAATACCAGCACCATATTAGAGGCTGACCGTGAAATTGATTTTGTGAAATAGGTATTCCAAGGCATTGGAGGCGGGGGCCTATCGACTGTTGTAAGCATAATCATGAGTGACATCGTTCCATTGAGAGATCGTGGCGTCTGGCAAGGTGTCATTAATATCGTTTGGTCGGCTGGATCTGGACTTGGAGCACCTCTAGGTAAGCAAACGATAATGCTGGATACGTGTTGTTTAGATATAAAAGCTAATAGCTTTGGTCAACAGGTGGCTTTTTGGCAGACACTATTGGCTGGCGATGGTAAGTGGGATCCCGATATTCCAGCTTAAATTCTTATTAACTCATCCTCTCTTAAAGGGCATTCCTCGCGCAAGGGCCATGCTGTTTGCTTGCATTTGCAGTAGTACTGTTCACCCTAAAAATGCCAGCCACCGATCAGTCAAACTGGCGGGAAAAACTGAAACGAGTCGACTTCTTCGGAGCATTTGTTCTCGTTGTTGCTGTCTTTGGACTTATCCTTGGTCTAGACCGTGGAGGGAATGTTTCATGGACCCTACCTATAACTATCATATCGCTCGCTGTATCTGCGGTAGCGTTTATCTTATTTATGGTAGTTGAATCCCGATTCGCTGTGGCGCCATTTGCTCCTATTCACATCACGTTCGGTCGCGGCCTACTTGCATGCTACCTCACCAACTTCTTTAGCATTGGTGGATGGCTTGCCGCAATCTTTTATATACCTCTCTTCTTCCAGGCTAGCGATGGCAGCTCTGCCGCCAGTGCTGGCATGAAACTCCTGCCATCGATCTTGCTGGGAGTGTCTGGCTCATTATTCGGAGGATGGCTAATGAAGAAGACCGGCAAGTACTATTGGATTACCGTTTGGTCTTACGGTTTATTGTCCGTTGGGCTTATTATGATCGTATTGTGTTCCGGAGTGATCATCAAGAGCACCCCGCTAATAATTATCGGGATGACCATGTGCGCTTTCGGAAACGGCATTGGGGTTACCACTACACTGATTGCATTAAGTATATACCACGACACTCTATTCTATCTCTATACCAGCTTGGATTGGACTTACAGCTAACAAAATCTAGTTGCAAATGCGCCCCCCGAGGATCAAGCCGTCGCGACTGCCTGCTCATATCTATACCGATCACTAGGGTCAGTCATTACAATATCGTTATCCGCCAGTATTGTCCAACAATACCTTCGGACTTCCTTACGATCAGCATTAAAGGGAAACAAAAACATCGAAGAGATTGTTAATGGGGTCAGACAGAGTCTTGATTATATCAAAAGCCTTGACCCCCAGACCAGGGAAGTGGTCCGAGACTGTTATGGCCGTGCCACAACCACAGCGTTTACGTTTATGGCCGGCCTCGTTTTCTTCGCATTGGTCAGTGCCGTATTCATACGAGAGCAGAAGTTGAGCGCATAGAGTATCCTTGGCCGCAGGGTTAAAAGAGAATTAAAGGTAGGAGGACGTACGACATTTCCTGATTGACTTCGATTTTCATGCATGAAATTAGATCTACACAATTATTTCGGTATATACTCTCCCACAAACCCGAGTAAATGCATTGCGTATCCATTGCCATGGATGCCGAGCGTCGTAGAAATTACCAAAACGAGTAAAATGCTCTAGGACCTTGAATATTAGCCCGCAGTCTGCGACTTTCGCCACGTTTTTCCATTATTTCTAATTTCCTACATACAGCCTGCTTCGCATGCATCAGTAACTGTGCTCCACGCTACCAAATATCTGTAGAGGCTTTGCAGATATTTATAGTGCCTTTACCAGGGCATCCTGACTATAGGAAATACTGCTATGATTTTATTACTAACAGAATCGAGCGTAAACCAAATAGAGCTAGCCTCGTTGATATGGCCATCGGTGACCACCCGGGCTTCTAACAGTGGAGTTTCTGCTCCGTCATATAGCTTCCAATCGAGCTTCGGGTGGGGGGATAGAAGAGTGTTGAGATTAGCCCGGTCAATACCCTTATTTCGACCCCTATCGATGGGCCAATAGCCCCGGCCTGATGACTTGTGGTATGCCCTATGGGAACGCTCATACTCCGTACGGAGTAGATCCTCAATGATTTCGAAGGGAGCTGAATGTTTGTCCAAAATTTAAGAGGCTGCAGTCCTTATTCCACGTATTAAGTGGCATAGTAAGACCAGGATAAGACCCTGAATCCCACGAGCAACGGGTGGATATCTTTCTAACTCCTGGGAGGCCCCGGGATGGATCTTCCTCAATGGTTGCGGCATTCTCTTGACCGCTTTCTCCCTTGGCAATCCTTCTTGATGTGCGATCCTTCGTTCATGCGTTCTATAACTCAATCCAGAAAGATCCAAAAAGGTGCAGAATCTGGGGCTCACGGCACATGGTCCTTAGCATTGACCCTTTGCTCTTTTGGATAAGGAGAAAAAGTAACTTGGCGTACTCCGTATTTGTCTGGATCTTTGCCGGGGGCGTTTTTGAGGGTTTCTTCTGCATCTTGCGTCGTTGTCTGCTTTTGGCTGCAGGATTACCTCTCTAGCCACGTAATACCAGCATTTTATAAGCAATCTCCTAAGAAGCCCTGTTTGAACTCTACGCCCCCCGCCTCGTATGCGATAAGAGGATGCTACGGCCAGAGTCTGCCCCCTCGAGGGCGCTTGAAGTTCTAGAGCAGTTCTCCCGGAGTAGATTCGGGCGATTTGTTTCCCCCTAGAGGCCTAATCGCTCAATTCAAGCTCCAGCTTTGCAGTCGAGGACGTTCGTTTCTCCGTTTTCTCCGTTTTCTCCGTCTTAGCCCCGTTCATCTCCATCCGCTTCCTCCTTGGAGAGAGTTGACTGTCATCCCCTTTAGGCTTTGGTCCATTATTTCTCTTTTCAGCTTATGAGTAATAGAACCCATATCTCTATAGAAGGATTCATCCGTTGGATTCGCAGCCGACCTATTCGTCAGTCTCACACACTTCCAGCTTGTCTACGCGTTCCAATAGTCCCATATCCGCGCTTTTGTAGACATATAATTGATCAGCTCGTTTTCGGGAAATAAACACCAGGCAATGCTGATTCCATCCTTGTCCCCACGAGCCTTGCTCGACTTTCCACAGCCAAGGAGGATGCGGGTGGAGTTTTGTCTAGTTCAGTTAATTAGTTAGGGGTAGAAGTAAAGGGGGGAACTCGGCGTCTCTGTCAATCCTCATTAGTGCCTGCAGTAGAGGCTGCTTCTCGAGTCTCGGACAAGGTAGATATGTCTCTCTGCTCCAGTCGATTTTCCCTGCCATCCGGCCGTCTGGAAGGAAGAAACCTTCGATCCTTGGGCGCGCGTGTCGACTCTGGTCTGATCCATGCCTGATCCCTGGCAGTGGAGGCGAAGTGGTCGAACTTCCCAGCCTGTCATCGCGTAAGGAAGTGCTACACACCGTTGATTATTGGTTTCCAACGGCCCCCTGGCTGCTTAGTCGAGGCGATGCGGTTGAACTGCAGGCCGGCGTCACGTAACTAGGCCATCGATCATTGGTTTCCGCTGCGGATTTAAAATAACGTCAGTGGACGAAACTCTGTCATTTCCACACTCTTTGGCGTTCGACGGCCTCTTGGGGGTATATTCAGCAGCTATATACATCAGCTTGAGCAGGGAGAAGTGAGATTACGCTCAGTTGGCGCCGCATGAGGTGGCGGGACATCCTCCGAACGGCTTTTTTTATTATAAGCAAGCAAGACATCAGGACGGACGACTATCCATCCACACAGCAAGGGTCTTGAGCCGCAGCTTCGGGAACTTCAGCGAGGATGGACGGCCGAAACGATGCTACAAGTGAACCCCTTCGCCCGAATACACAGCCAGAAAACTACAAGGAGACAGAGAATCCCCGTCAAGAACAGTGCGTGTGGCTATCCATCTCGTTTCCCGTCTGCAGAGAGCCCGTTGTTTGAATCTATATACATATATATATGTATGGATGGCCATGATGTCTTTATCCGAGCCACCTGCTTTGCTTAATCTTCAATACCACTCACCCGTTGCCAACTACATGTCACCACTAACTCCCGGTGAAATCAGAGCTGGCGCAGACGGTCCCGGCGAGAGTCTGCCAACCAGAGCATGCCAGTCATGTCGACTGTCCAAAGTACGATGCAATCAACCGAGCCCGGGCATGCCGTGTGCTAGATGCCAAAAGGCCGGGAAGATATGCATACCCGCAGAGCAGAGCGGAAAACGACAAAAACAGTCCAACAGCCGCATGGCCGAGCTCGAGTCGCGGATAGACGCCCTTGCAACTTCGATCATGCAGTCTCACAACCAGGCTGCGTCCGCTCGGGAGCGTTCAGATTCATATCCCAGAACTAGTCCCACGGCTACCAGCTCTCCACGGGCTGACAGTGCCAGTCGTGCATCTCAGAACCCGCTATCTTCGACCCTATCCAGTCCATCACATCGAGACGCCGTTCAGGGAATGAGAATTCCTTCTTCGTCAATGTCCCCGTCCGCTGGTCAGTATATATCCCCATCAAAAATAGCCGATCCTTACATCGTTGGACTAGTATTGACAAAATTCTAGGTCAACAAACTCCGTCAGTTAATGCTTTTGAGGGTCCAGAGAACGACACTATACCCTCGTCATACATAGACGCTGTTATCTCCCAAAACTTGGATGAGACTACGGCGAATAATATCTTCAATAGATACATCACTGGCATGGCGCCAAATCTCCCCTTCGTGATGTTCTCAGCCGACACCAAAGCAGCTGATATCCGAAAGTCAAAACCTGTCGTCTTCCTCTCGATTCTCGACATTGCATCTGCTGGATTCTGTGAGGTGTCTGCCCAGAGGAACATACGCAAACTTATAGTGCAGGTATACCTTCATTACATGCTTAGGACCAACGAGTATTCCCTTCCTGTGCTTCAGGCTTTGATAATATCAGCAGCATGGTATCAGCCGATTGAACCGATTCAGCCTGGAGAACAGATGGATGTCTATCAGCTCAGCCACACGGCTTCGAATATGGCCATAATTATGGGGCTTGACAAAAAGCTAGGAGCAAGGTCGTGGGGCGGCCCGTCATTCATTCAGAAACAACGATTAAATGGCCCCAATAGCATTGTCCAGGAAAAAAGCCTTGCCGCGAGAAGGGTCTGGCTTGGCTGCCACTACATATGTTCAAAGTAAGCTCTCACCAACATGAATTACTCGATTTGAACTAGAGATTAACTATACTAGCACGTCTATGGCGCTACATGCACCGAATGTGATGCGGTGGACACGGTATATGGACGAGTGCCTGGAGGCCCTTGAGAATTCACCAGCCGCATTTCCATCTGATAAGCTGTTTTGCCAACACATCAGATTGCAGCATATCATTGAGGAGTATGAGCTCCAGCTGGACTGGGACAATTCGGCGGCCGCCAGCCCAACGCACGAGATCCAAGCTCAGGTCACCCATAGGGCATTCAAGCGTCAGCTTCTAGATTGGACTAATGCGGTACCGGAGGATTGCTGGAATGGTATTTCTTCCCGTCTTCTCTCTTTGCCTCCCTTTAAGCTAAGATCTCCTCTTGCAGAAACCCTTGACTTCTCTCGACTCTTCGCAACTCTCTATATCAACGACGTCGTGTTGAACTCAACCTCTCGACAAGACCACTGTTCAGAATCAGATGTCCAATCCGAAAGCGAACAGTCTCATAAACTCACTATTGATGAGTCCACCTTTTTCGAATTCCTAGAAACAGTGAACAACATCTTCCGTATAATATTTTCTCTGGACATGTCAGCAATCCGCGCCCTACCGACAGTCTACTTTATTCGAATTGTTTACGTGGTCATTATTCTTGTTAAGCTCCATTTCGCAGCTATGCAGCTTCCTGGAGACGGTGGGAAAGTACATACCGCTGAGCTTAAAGTCAGGGAGCGCCTTGACCATCTGATTCAGATGTTTGCGGGCTGGGGGACTCTATGGCCGGCAAATAGGCTCATGAGAGTCCTTCGGAAACTTAAGTCATGGTTTGAGAAGAACAGCAGTTGCAAGATGGCACAACATGAGCTTTCATGGCTGAATTCTTGGGTCTTTAAGCAGGGGGATGATACAGGCTTAGAGAAAGAACACCCACAGCCGGCAACATCGGTATCATCTCTGCCAGCCTTGGTCAACGACACAATACCACCAGAAGCGCTATCACAAGTTGCGCCTTCTCAAGCGCCTTCTCAGGCACCTTCTCAATCCACTCTTGACTGGACCCTCCCAGACGATTTGATGAACACGTCTGCCCTACGAGACCTCCCAACGCCATCTCCTTTTTCCCCCCAGTCTCATAATAATACATCTGATGGTATGCCACTCACTAGCCGATCTACAGCTCCTATCGACTTCTCTGAACCCCCTAGCTCAATGGACCTTGATCAGATGTTCCCGGGAGCTATAGAGGGATTTGAGATGGACTTTAACGTGAACGCCTACTTGGATGCCCTCGGATCTGAGGACTTTAGCAATGGGAAGTTTGGCTTTGGTTCTCCTCAGATGCAGTCGAATACAGATATCTCAAGTACAGACTGGTCGACATTTCTTGAAGGGGATGCATCATTCGATGCAGATGGCGCGATGAAAGGGTTAGAGTACGATAAAAAGAATATAGGGGATAGTTAGACAAGGCTTTCGGGAATAATAGACAAATTAATTTCTTGGCTTAATACTCGATCTGTTGGAAATCATTCCTTATCCTTTCAGGGGTCAGTTTTCCTGGTAAGAGGTGGCTATGGAAACTTGAAGCACAACCTTTTCACCTCTGAAGTACATATCTTCCAAGGTTCCAACGACATTAGTAGGTAAGGTCCATTATATCCCTCTCCATATAATATTCTATTTACTACAGCAGGTATAAAAAAAATCGTGTTAATTGCAGCTATTTCTAGGTATTAATATTCGTCTATCCATGTCTTGATCTATATAACGATAATAAATGCTCATTTTCGGTTATGCGCCATATGGCTTCGGACCAGCGAACCAGCCGCAAGTGCTGAACATAGGCTCAACTCTCCCGCCAACACTCCTGAGGCAACGATTCTAGCGAGTTTCTGTGCATTCCCTCCGGGGCAATCCTCCTTCGAACCTCGTACACCCATCAAGTCAAGCATTGCCTGCTGAGGACCGAGTATCGTTCCGCCTCCAACAGTTCCTACCTCAATTGAGGGCATATAAACGGAAATTTGGAGATCTTCACCGACCCTGCAAAATATTGTTAACATCCTGCTTCCCCTGAATTATAGCAATGGGAGACATAAAAGGCAGGGGTGAACTTACTTCGTCATGGTGGTCAGGCAGCTACTGCTTGCAACATTTTGAGCTGGATCTTGGCCTGTAGCAATGAATATGGCCGTAACGATATTTGCGGCATGCGCGTTGAAGCCTCCAACGGACCCTGCAACAGCGCTTCCAACCAGGTTTTTGCTCCTATTGAGGTCAACCAATGTATCCACATCAGTTTTCAATGCTGTTCTGACAACATCTCCGGGTATCGTTGCCTGTGCACTAATGCTTTTACCACGTCCTTCAATCCAATTGATACCGGCAGATTTCTTGTCAGTACAATAGTTTCCGGAGAGTGACGTAACATGCATATCCTCAAACCCGCCTTCCACCATCGCTGCCAGGGCCTTTTCCACGCCTTTTGACATCATGTTCATCCCCATAGCATCGCCCGTGAATGACTTGAAGCGAATGAACAGCTCGGAACCGACAATGACGGATCTAGCACTTTGAAGACGACCGAAGCGGCTAGTAGAGTTGAAAGCTGCTTCGATTGATCGGTATCCATGCTCAGAATCCAACCAGGCCTTCGCCTCGCTGGCGCGTTGAAGGTCGCGGAAACGGACGGTTGGCCCCCGGGTCATACCATCGGCCAACAGGGCAGTGACAACACCACCCCCAGCATTAATAGCAGTGCAGCCACGGTTTGTACTGGCCACAAGAGCGCCTTCAGTCGTTGCCATAGGGATAAAAACTCGGGTTCCGTCCACGTTCAGGGGTCCTGCAACCCCAACCGGAAGAGGCATATATCCAATCACGTTTTCACAGCATGCACCGAGGACCTTTGCGTAGTCATAACCTTCGTGTGGAAGATGAGAGCCTTCTAAAGAGAAGTTCGACTGAGATATGCATTCATAACGAGAAACGACCTTTCGCCTGACTTTTACTGCTCTTGCTGGGTCCTGGAGAAGTTTTTCGAGGCTATAAAGGGGAACTGCGCCTTGGGCTCCAAGTTCAGCAACCTTATCATCGGTCATAGCTCGTATCTTGTCATCTTCAGGGCGCCCATTACGCTTGGTATTCCTTGAAAGGGTAGCAACAGGCCCGGTTGCTGCTTTTTTACCTTGGCTGTTGACAAGAATCGGGGGTTGACTCCGGGGGTTGGACCTGTATTCGCTGTCAGAAATACATAGTGATGCAAAGATGATAATAACCATGACGGTCCGCACTCCTTACCGTGACTCAGGGGAAGGACCAACGCCGGATTGACCACGTTTTGGTAACAGGTATTGCGCAGTGATCATCACAGCAAAAATAGCCGCAGCCAGCATGGCTTGCTTCGACCCTCCCACCAATTGAAGTAAACGTGCAATACTCTTCCGCATCCAATGGCGAGGCCGGGAGACATGAGTGCTGAGCAATACAAATATATTATTTGTACCACTTTCCGAAGGGTCTGAAGTCTCGTTCATGCCGCTGAATATTTCCTGTGACTCAGATATAAGCTATGAGAAACACAGTTAGCCTCATTCAATTTATAACTATACCAATAATATAACTCACATCAAGGCCTGACACCTGCAGATTAGAGGCTCTATGGGCATGGAGTAACGACTCCAAGTCCCGGAAGACATCCACACGTTTTTCCACCAATCTGTCTTGCTCAAAAGCTTCTGTTTGTGTCCATATTGAAAAAGTCCAGAGCAGAACTAAAAATGTCAGAGCTTGAACGGCCAGCCTGGTTCTATAACCTGCCCGCCCGAGCCCCGACGACAGCATTGGAAGTTTCACCATCTCTCTCCACTTTGCCCTGGTCACTCGTCCTTGAAAAGATGGCGTCAAAAGCGAATTCTCTAGACAACTCGGGCGAGGGTATCAGAGTGGCACGAATTGGATTGAGAAGTGGTTGTCCTCGCTAATCGGTCAAAAACCAGAGGACTTTCTAGTTCTTTTGAAAGAGAAATATGTAGAGGCTTGCTCCAGCCTCTACACCAAAAATCGAATATTCCATCTCATCCATAGGGTAGCAATGGAATGGATCAACGGGATTGTCTTGGAGCATAGTTGATGAGAAGCTTGTCGGCGGGAGTTTCGGTGGCGGATCAAAGGATCAGGGATGAAGAGATCGGGAATGTTTATTTTCTTCTCCCTCGATTAAAATAGCAACTACGGAGTAAAGGTGCCATTATTATTGCTAGTGCATAATAACAAACAGCTTTTGGGGGGAAAGCGGGTGGGTATCTGTGGTTGAAAATAATATAATCAACAATATGGACTGGGTAGTTTCGAAATGTGTGCTTGTACCACTGGTCTTTGTCAGCTCGTCCATTTTCTAGATCAGGCTGGCCACGTTGGTTGGCATGACGTAGATAATAACACCGCTAATAATAAAAGAGGCAGATCTAATTAACTGATGCTAGTTCAGAGCCTATGGATATTCAATAAAGGGGCTTGGCCTAAAATTTCAACCAATGATATCTTAGTTAAAGATGGCTGTTGAAAAGGAAATATAATTTACATCTCAAACTCGAAGCATGGTGAGGGATGAGGAACAGAATTACAGTAACTCATTTGGTTTATGAACCCAGGAGTTGTCTAGTTTATAGATGCGGGAATAATGTGATTGTTTACATGCGTGGGTACTCATTCTTAAAGAGGACAATTTATCATCATGACATTGTAACAAAAAGTGATCATACATAGAAAATAAGGAAAAAGGAAACAAAATGAAAGAGAAGAAAACCCCAAGACAGTAAAATTGTAGCAATAAAAAGAAATAGGGTCATCTGTTAATGACAAGCCTGGAGACTTTTCACTAGGTTATCCAGCAAAGCTTCAAGCTTAGGATTCGGAATCTTAAGGTCCAGCAAAAGCTCCCTTGCCCTCTTGTTCAGTTGTTCAAGAACCTCCCTCGTATACCCAAAGCTCCCAGATTGGCGGAGGCTCATGACTGCACAAGCTTTGAGAGTGTCATCCTCGGTTTTCATCCGTAATATATCAAGGATGTCGTCCTTTCTAGAGCTTTCGGTCCATATGGCATGGCATATTGGGAAGGAGAACTTGCCCTCCGTTAAGTCGTCGCAATAGCCTTTTTGAGCGGCCATCTAACATCTGTTAGTATACAATCAGGCATCGTCAGGAAGTTCGATATCAAATGTTTACCTTGTCATCCACCATATTCTTGTAGTCATCCAGAATCTGGAAAAACAGGCCAACCACATTAGCCAAAGGAGTAATATCCACAATACGCGTGCTGGCGCACTGCAGAAGTCGAAGAATTAGTCTGAAGAGTCCGCCTGTTTTGTTTGCTATCATCTGGAGGTAGTCTCCCTCGGAAGGTGGTTGAAAGTTATCACGCCAGAAGAGCTCCATCCCTTGGCCGCGATGGAGATTTATCAACTCCTCATTGAAGATTGCCAACGCCTGTGGCCAGTTTTTCAAACGCATAAGTTCCTGTTGTGCCTGAAAGTAGACATAATTCGCCGAATTGATGGTCTGGGCAATGCCGTAAACCCTATGTGCTGTTGGGACGCCCCTTCGGAGCTGGGAGTTATCTTGTATATCATCGATCCTTGACCTATGTCAGCATAAACGATAAAACAGCGGGTAGCAAGGGGTTTGGCCGTACATCAAGGAAGCATTGTGTGCCATCGTGATTGTTCGTGCAATAATCTCGCACGATTCATCATCCACCTTCAACCAAACATTGAACGCATCTAGAAGCCGCCTACGGATCTCTTTTCCAGGCAGCGCTGCGATGTAGTCGTAAGGCTCGCGAATCAGCTAAAAAGATTTTCTCAAATTAGCATATATAAAAGATTAAAAAAAATTGGGCTCAGAGGCCAACCCTTTCATTAGCCGGGTTCCATTCCATGGACAATTTACTGTCGATGGAGTCACCGCATTTCGCGTCTGGTAGAAGATCTTTATGATTCTGAGGTGCGACCGATGTGGACCAGCTGCTAGTTGACGATATGGAATCAGTCGGTGTGTGACTTAGGTTCCTGATGCTTGGAGACGATGCTCCAAGCGACTGATCCAGGGTGCGTTTAAGGGGTGTGCAAGCCATTTCGCCTGCTGGAGAAGAAGGCAACTCTGAGATCATATGGGTTCAGTGTTTCCGATGCGTTGAAGATTATACGTCAAGATAGATGTCTCTGAGGCCAAATATGTCGATGTAGATGTTGATGTGCATGAAAGTGGACGTATATTCAAGGATATAAGAACGCTTTTGTACACATTGTTCTGATGAAGAGAAATGATATAAAGCCATGTAGCTCTGAAGGTGTTCAGCTCTTCAGATGTGCATACGACTGTATGGTATGGCTGCCGGAGGTCGATACGGATTCTCGGAGGGAGTGAAGGATCTGGATGACTGGATGGACTAGAGGATCCAGTCCCCGACGCTGCCTTCTCCGAATATCAAGCTCTATGAGTTCATCGTCAACATCTTCTCTAGCTGAGCGTTGATTATAGCTGGCGACCGAAGAGAGAATCCTCCGTGGCGCCTTGGAGGCCATCAGGGCTATTCGTTGTTAGCATGGATCCGTCGCCTGAGGATGTGCCCGATGCGGTCTCTGATAGCGACTCGAAGAACATATGAAAAGGGAGAGATTCCTCTTGTATTTTCCAATATCGAGACACATTCGAAAGAAAGCAACATCTTCATCAGCATCATCTTCCCTTTTTCAAGATGCCAATTGCAACCAGCCCCAGCCCAGCACCCTCGATGGCAGCTTCTAGCCAGCTCTCTTTCGACCGTCCACAAAATATAGGAATTAAGGCCATTGAGCTTTATTTCCCGAATACCGTATGGACTCCTATCTCTGGGCACTCAAGATATATCGAGTACTGACCAAGAATTTGCAGTGTGTTGACCAAGCTGAGCTCGAAAAAGCCGACGGTGTGTCCTCGGGCAAATATACCGCCGGCCTTGGTCAGACGCGGATGAGCTTCTGCAACGACAGGGAAGGTGAGTTAACAGAATGTTCCAAGGTTGAGATATCCTTGCTGACCTGCAATGCGAAGATATATACTCCATCTGTTTGACTGCTTTGTCGTTACTCCTTCGAAAATATGCCATCGACCCAAAGAACGTTGGGCGCCTCGAGGTCGGCACCGAGACGCTGCTCGACAAGTCGAAATCTGTCAAGAGTGTGTTAATGCAGCTGTTCCAAGAAGAAAATACCAATATTGAGGGCGTCGACAATATAAATGCTTGCTACGGTGGAACAAATGCTTTGTTTAATGCCGTCAATTGGGTTGGTTCGCCATCTTGGGATGGACGTGATGCCATCGTCGTTGCTGGAGACATAGCGATCTATGGCAGCGGCCCAGCAAGGCCAACCGGTGGCGCTGGTGCTGTTGCAATGCTCATCGGCCCTGACGCTCCAGTAGCCGTGTTGCCTGTGCGTGGGAGCTATATGCAGCACTGTTACGACTTTTACAAGCCAGATTTCTCCAGCGAGTACCCCATTGTGCATGGCCATTACTCATTGGAGTGCTATACCAAAGCACTTGATAAATGCTATGATGCATATAAGCGCCAGGAAGAGCGTTTTACGCCCTCATCTACGCCGGCTGCACAAAAGGTCATAACGGACCGATTTGATTACATGTGCTTCCATTCGCCAAACACGAAGCTGGTATCCAAGGCTTATGCCAGGCTATCGTACAACGATTTCAAGGACCAACCCGACCATCCCTCATTCTCGACTATCAATCCCTCCTTTCGCACCGTTGGCTACGAGGAATCGCTCAAGGACCGGAAGCTCGAAGCCACATTCAGGGCACATTCAACGGAGTCATTCCTCCAACGCGTTTCGCCTAGTATCACGGCGCCAACTATGTGCGGGAATATGTACACCGCAAGCTTATACTCCTCGCTAGTTAGCCTTCTCAGCAATGTCGAACCAGAACAATTGCTCGGAAAGAAGGTTGGCATGTTCAGCTACGGTTCGGGATTGGCAAGCACACTTTTCTCTCTAGAAATAGTTGGGGATACAGGCAACTTACGAAAGGCATTGGATCTTACCAAACGGCTTGAGGCCCGATCGGTGGTTGACCCAGTAGGATACAGCAAGGTATGTCGACCAACACTTTCGATCCTCTGAGAACTAGCTAATTTGATATGTAGGCAATCTGGCTTCGTGAGAAGGCCCACCTTCAGAAGGACTTTGTACCTCACGGCGAAATTACCAGCTTGGCACCAGGCACATATTATCTCACAAAGGTTGACGACCAATTCCGGAGATCATATTCCATTGCGGTATGATGACCTGTTAACACTACGAGGAAGATTTACTGTGATAATGTGTGGTTTGTTTCATGTTGTGATGTTCCGGTTCATATTTTATTACTTTATTATGTTTATCTAGAAATTCAGACCTAATTTACTTTACGTGTGGCCTTTCTTACCGTCGCTTCGGATATGGAATGACTTGATTATTGGGGTATTAAAATTAGTGATAGTCAAGTTATCCACGACTAGCTGTGCTAAATAACTGGTTCTAATACGACTGGACTCTAAGGATTATAGAGGAAGCATAGCCAAGGTTAAAAAACATGTATTTATTCACCAAGAAGATGAATGGAAACATAGTCTATAATTGGGGTCAAATATAGATAGGGGCTTGCTACTATAGACTAGTTAGTAATAAAAAGGGGCAATATGACAATGATAATGTCAAGGCCACTGTTAGCAGTAACATCAAGATTCAATCCAGATGTTATTCTACCTTCCCCTGGCAACCTTCTCATAATCGATATAGGTTTTTTTATTTACGGAGTGCATGCTCCGCGTTCCCGTGCACTATTCGCTGGCTCCTTGTTCTAGTACGATCCGCCGTCGGCAGCTCGGAGCGTGGATCTGATCCTTCAATCCGTAACACCGCCATGCCGTTCTTCTATTCAAAAGCTCTTTAAATGTAGCTGGTTCTTTCATAAATATGTAGAGACATTTCCGTGGCCTGTTGATTTATCTGCAGCTAGAGTGAGTTATGTCCTGTCTTTATTCTAGCTATCGAAATCAGAGAGACGTTACAGAAATGCCACATAAAATGGCCTTCGGAAAAGTATACACATACAAGGTACGGAGTATATTCTGCCAATTTTCCATGAGGCTTATACTATGCCGTTAATGCTTGCATGATGCCGTTACGCTGACAGTTTAGTCAAGGGAAGCCCCCGAGCCATTGGCATATTAGCAATCGCCAAAGCTAGTGGACTCGAGTTAGAAGAAGTTGAGATACAGCCTGCCAATGGAGTTCCTGACGAGTACCTGAAGCTGAACAAGCTGGGGAAAACACCTACATTCGTTGGAGCCGATGGCCTGGTCCTCACTGAATGCATAGCGATCGCCCTTTACAGTACGTAAATCCGGAGATAACTTGCTGTCAACCACCTCTAACAAAGCAAACTTGCTGGACATAGTTACCAGCCAAGATCCAACGAGTACTCTCCTAGGCGCATCAGAAATGGATTTCATTCATATCCTTCGCTGGCTATCCCTTACCAACACAGACGTCGTCACCCGGATGGCGGACTGGGTCCGCCCCTTGATCGGCTACACCCCATATTCGAAAGAGGCAGTGGAAAAGGCACAGAGGGAAACGGACCAGGCAATCCAGATATTTGAGGAACATCTACAGGACCGGAGATTCCTTGTGGCAGATCGGCTCACGCTTGCAGATATCTTTTGTGCTGGATTGTTGACCTTTGGGTTTGCAAAGGTGTTTGATGAGAAGTGGAGGAAACGATTCCCCTACTTCACAGGCTGGTTCGTTTCGATCACAAACCTCCCGATGTTTAGAGCAGTTGCACCCGTTGTGCATATGGTGTCTGTTGGTATGCCCAACGAGCGGCCAACGGAGCCGTTCAAGGCCCCCTAATGGTGCTGGGGATATACCCTTTTTGTCTTCTGTTATATGGCCGTGTTTCGATTTCGTGGTCTTTTATAATATACAAATTGCCACTTCGTATGTAGTTACGGGGTAGAGATGATTATACTATGGAGAAAACTTGAAAACAACCCATCAGCTGAAATGCATGGGGAGTTTTATATCTTCTACTAGTAGAATGCATTCTTCACCCAGTCAGATATATCAATACAACACTTTATACTAATGGTTGAATATTTCCCCATTACTTATAGATGCCTTGTGAAAATGGTCTATACCATAAAAATACTTCACAATTACTAATATGTGTTTTTGTTGATGATTATCATAGGTCCGTGAGTTCTAGTATGAATCCTTACTTGGACGCACTGCATTTTACCCCTGAAAATGCCACTTAGCCTTAAAAGCTTGTAATATTTATCAGTATTTCCGGTTAGTAATTAGACATACAGACATGAGTTCAATTTTATATAAATTCGTCCTTGATGTATGCGTGGGCCAGTATCAAATAAGATTATATCCTGATTAAATACAAATAAAAATAAAGGAGACTACCCACTTACATACGACTCGCAATATCCCTGGCAACATAAATTTGGCCATACAAGTCGGTCACATCACAGAACATTTGCACCTTTTGCAGTGCTCTTTGTTGGGCCTTATCCTTTGCAGCTAGGTTTCGAAGTTTCCCAAGAGCGGTTTCCATCTGCTCGCGCTCATACTCTGCTAGAAGAAGCAGCTCCTTCCTTAGGGAATCGTCGTCGGAGCCACCATCAGACGGCGAAGATGGAGCGAACTCGGGGAAATTGACAGAGTTCAAATTTCTCTCGTCCCTATCACGAGCCACGGATCCATAGTCATTGTACATGCGGCAGAGAGTGGCAAGGTGACGACACATTGCTTCTGAAATATACCTTTGCTGGATTCCTAGACTAGCAGAGGGACGATTTCTTTGCTCTGCTGCCAGGAGACATTGATAGAAGGCGAAGGAGTATGGGCATGATGTATGGTTGGCCGAGGTCGTGTGCACCCAATTGTAGAAACTCGTGCGAGGCTGCTGAAAGGTCATGTCTGATTTCCCACCCTGGCAGTCAAGTTGTTTAGAGAACTGCATATTGTCCTCGGATTGTTCCATATGGGATAAGAGGAATGTTCGCAGCTCTGTTTTGACGCGCGAACGGTCTAGTGGAGTAGCTTCGTTGACGCAGGGGTGGTGCATGATGTAACTTATGAACGAACGTAGAACGTCAGATACATCCTGAAGGGATGGGACGTCCCGGGATTCTTTCCGAGTTTGAACGCCATTATTGGATCCATTTGCATGTTTCGTAGGAAAACTACCATTAGACGCTGGATGACTCTTCGTTAGCTTCATTTTCTTCAAAGCTGGACCACATGCCTCCTCGGTATTTGCCGCACCCTTTAGATTGACTTCAATGTCAGAAAATATACCATCGATTATGGAAACGAGAGCGGAATTTTCCATTCCAAAATATCTCCCAACGACAGCTTCCATATATTCATCCGCCTGGTAATTGAGGAAAGAAAGGATCATCATATCTCGAAGCGTCTTTGTGGGAAGGAAGGTGTTGTTGTGGTTACTATTCCCAGTCCATGTAAAGGGAATATATTCGAAGTATTTGTCCTCTTCCATTTGCGTACGGGGAAACACATCCAGCCGAATCTGGCGCAACTGCGGTAGGAAAAGATAGGCCTCAATGAGTGCTGCGCGGATCTTCCAAGGCGCCACGCTGGAAAAAAGTGGGAGACTGGTGTAAAAGGCGACGTATTTTTTAACGGACTTCTCAGGGACATCAACAAGCGAGCTGATGCTGGCCAAAACCTGCTCCCGTTTGTGATGTGCTTTGAGGGCTGCTAGCACATAGCTCTCGCATAGCACAGCCGATCCATAGGTGACCTTCTCTATCCAAAGAGAGTCTGGGCCCTCTCCAGAGTGTAGTTCTAGGAATTGTCGACCGATGTCAATTGACGTGTCAATCACAGGAAATAGAGTCTCCAAATGCGGCAAACAGCAGGCATTCAATATTGTGAGAACTGCGTACGCCGTTTCCTCCCGGGAGCCACGGGGTCCCCAGGAACCATCGGAGTTCTGCTTCTGCAGTGTGCGAATTAACGCCTGGTAGATCGATATAAGAACCTGATCACGAATGAGAGTTTCGGGGAACGATGGGAGGTTTCCAGAGTCCCATACAGCCAGAAGTTTCGATAAAGCCTCTGTTAGCAGCATGTAGGGATAATACGTCGATATACTCTGTATTTAAAACGAGTAAGTAACAGCCTATCAGTCAAATAATGGAAAGCAGCCTACCCATTTATCTTCAATGAACGTATCGCTCTCCCACCAAGTGTTGCACAGAAATTTCGTCGCCTTCTCGATTTGCGAAGTATATACCGATGGATCTGGTTGGGAGAGAAGTGCGAGCAAAACATTACAGTTTGCTGAAAAACTCGCATTTCGCTCTCCTCGATATGTACGGAAATGCGTTTCGCATTCAAACTCCTTGAGTAACCCGGCAGGGGATGTATGATGACCAAGAATACTTAAAGCAAGCAGAGCTTTGGCCGTATCATCTGCATCTGCCTCTAGATTACATGCTATTAAACACAGTCAGCCATGTAACAAATTAAATATTGCACAAAAATAGACTCACCAAATCCTAGAAGACCCCCCTGTTCTTCAACGGCTGATTTCAGGAAAGTAGCTGCTCGTTGCGCCTGTTCCTCGCCAATGTCTGAAATAGTGAAGCTATTCTCAAGAAGCGTGGTAAGGACCTTTGTGCAATGTTAGTTACGTATCTATAAAATGCGTAGAAAATAGCGGTGGCTACTCACCCAGGTCATCTCGAAATATGTCGAAGGAAACGCACTGGGCACACCACCACTGCCTTGTCCAGCGCCACTCCGGATAACGTCATGCAAATACTCTTCCGCTTCATCATCCCAGGACGAAGAGTACATTAGGTAGGCCGCAGTTGAAGATGGCGAAGCCATGAAGGCACCGGACTGTTTGTGGTGGCTGACCTTGTCGAAGTCAATCATCCCCACAAACGCTTCGAGGGAGTGGAGAGCAGTCGACTTTTGCTTCGCGTAGAGGTATTCCGGCTTCAATTTCGACAACTTGATTTGGTTCAATTTCATAAGGGCGGGTCGACCGGGGAAATCAAAGGTAAGGTTCTCGCACTCCAACAGACGGAGAATTGAGGGCACGAGGATCTCGAAGCCAACACGGTCAGCACTTTCGACATCCCAGAGCTGGAGTTGGACTTTTAGCGAGATAATAGCTGACTTTATCCGCCGATTAAGCTCTTCGTCGGATGGGGAGGTAAGTTGAAGTCTCTGTTTGGAGTGCGCAACAAGGGCGAGTAATGCAGCCGCTGTATTGAGAATGCCATCAATCCCAGGTTCAGCAGTCTCCCACCCCTGGCCTTCTTTCTGTGTTTGCAGTAAGTATTTAAAGCACTCAGGGAAGAGCCATTGCGGCCCTTCAGGCGAATCCTTCGTGATCATAGACACCCATGCTGTGTCGTAAACAGCACAAGACATGAACCCGACCTGATCATTCTGACCGGAAAACAACCGACCTACAAGCTTGGATGCCTGTGTCGATAGATCGAGGGTTTTCGCTGGTGACATGGTCAGTTTTCTGTGGAATCTGCGGAGGAAGGGTATAGAATGGATGTTTACCAACTTGAATCCTACAAAGAGGAACCAGAGCTCCCCTTTAAATCCATTCATAATACAGCCTATACTATCAATTGGAACTCAAGACGAGAATATCGGCGCCAGGACGGTTAGGCAAACGTCGTCCTTGAGCCTTGAGGGAGTGAATGGATCGACTCTGTGTCAAAGGAGCAGCGAAATTAGTGGCCGTAGAACCTCTTGGATCCATCGGTCCTTTCATTCCGATGGATCAAGCCCCGGTTTCCGCCCCGCGCGACTTGTACGGAGTTCGATTTTTGATATTCAAGGCACGATAGATGAAGAGAATCGGATGAGCGGAATCACCCTTCCATGTTATGTTCTCGCATAACTGCCTTGGTTGAAGTTTGAAGATCTCCCATGTCAGCGATAAATATTTAAATAATTGGCCAATAGAAAAAAGGAGTCTAAACTCGCCAATTTAGCGACATCTGGGACGCGTTTGTTTTTAAAATTCATTTTGTGATCATAAAATTATGTTTGTCGCAATTTGTTCTTATTTTGATTTTATGTTTGTTTGTGTGCGATAAATAACATAAAGGAAAGCACATCTATTACAAGGCTAATTGCTAAGAATACCTCGGTATTACGATGGAAGCCATATCGGCGTGGAATTCAAGCGAGGTGGTAGTCATTCGTGACAAGAGTCTACTAAGGAGCAAACGAATGAAAATAGTGAACAAGTAAGACTAAGCCTGTAGACATTCAATTTCATTTTTGGTATTATTTCCCTCCCAATGCATAAAAATCGCCCAACGCCAGCCCCCTTCCCGGGTTTGCAAATGAGATACAGTACACCAAGTATGTGAATGGGGTAGAATGTAGAAACGAAAGAAGGTAAATAAACAGGAATAGAACTGGGTATGCATTTTTATCAGGGTCAGACCACCTCAATGGCTCCATCATGCATCTCCGGCGGCGCGAGAAATTAGATCTACCGTATGCTTCCATACAGTGTCGGGCATCCCCTCTTCCCGGTACTTCTGCATAGTCTTCGGTGCCTGTTTCCCCTCTCCCTTCCAGTTCAAGAGGTATGCACCACCCCCGACTTGCCCTGTAGATCCAATGGCTCCCTCCAACCCTCCTGGGACAGGAACACCCTCGGCCGGGGAAGAACCCTTCTTAGGCGCATATAGACCCGATGTAAGATGGAAGAGATGACGTTCTCCACACTCTTGCACATTGACTGAGAATGGCCACATCATCGGCCATGCAACATAATTGTAGAATGCTGCCATGGGGGGAGGGAAGCTGTTGGTGTAGATATTTGACCGCACCAGGCCAGGATAGATATGCATGAAGCTCACGGATGGGTGTGAGGAAGCAAGATGTTCCATGGCCAATGACGTCATGGTAATAGCATGCTTTGCGCAATTGATGATTGAGTAGTTGTGTTTAAGATCTAGATCGTCGGGATTGACACCAAACTCGAAACCTCCTCCAAAGATACTGATGACTCTTGCTGGAGTGGCAGAATCGAGCAACGGCAGAAGATTCTGAATGAAGCGCATGCGAGAGTAATATCGGAGAGCGAAGAGATGGTCGATTCCTTCACTAGTTTCTATATCGATGGCGTGTTAGTTCCCCCTGGTAGATCTAACCATCCACGATGATAGGGGCTTACCTTGTCTTCCAGATAGAGAGATCCCGCCAGGTGTCATGAAGAGTAAATTCAGCTTTCCCTCCTTGCTCTTAATTGCTTCGCAGGCGGAATCCACGTTTCGCATGAGTGAAACGTCTTGCTCGATGAAATTAAAGCTCCCCTGAGGGTTGAGTTTCCTGAGGTCTTCAAGGAATGGTGATGCCTTTGATTCGCTTCGGCCGATGATGTATACCTTTGGCTTTTCCGCATGGATTGCGAGTTGGCGTAGAGTGCTCTGGCCAATGCCAGTTGTACCTCCAACGAATAATGCTGTGAGGCCAGGGATTGCGGCTTTGAGGCCTTGGTTCGACGCTCGAACTGTTGCTAGTGACACCATGGCTAGAAGCGTTCTTGTTTTCTGCAGCAAATTCGAAGGCCGTAGGGTATAATAATTAAAAAACCAAGTTCCAATCAAGGAGGTTGTGGGATACTTTCATCCTAGTTGCAGCAGTTAGCATCGTCTCTAGTTCGCATGGAATCATGCATACTTACCGAGATGAGGCTCAATTCGTATAGTCTTCTGAAGGAATAAGAGTAGAGATGAAGAAGCTAGAGGCTAAGATAGTTATACGATTCCTTCAATATTTACCATCTATATAGTCCTGGGGAAGGCGAGCAACTTCGGCCCGTTCGGGGATCAAAGGGCCGACGAAGGATCAGCTCCATGCCGAGCATCTCCAACGCGAAAGGAGCACAACATCCAGCTTCGGTACTGTGTATTATTCCTCCCACGCTGAGGAATGGAGGTAAATATGAAATATAGAAAAAGAACCGGCGTCGTCGAATTTCGAGATGTTGCGAATTGTGCGAGCTTGTTTTTTGAAGACGAGGCGAAATGATGGCTGCCAACAACACGAGTAAAGGCGTTGACGCCTGGATCAACTACTATAAACCGCCAGCAGATGGCTCTCTGCCGCAGCATAACGACCTGGAGATCATGCTAGGAGATAAGGACATGGTCTCCTATCGCATGCGCATCCACGACTTGCGCGGAAAGGAGAACGACTTCACACTCGATACCCACGGACTACAGTACGCCAAACTGCAGACGAAAGTCACTGACTGGGCAAACGAGGACGAGATCAAGTCGACGTATTTCCCAGAGGTTGAGGAGCTCGTGAAGCGAGTGTGAGTTCGGTTTAGCCATACTTTTAAGGCTGCAAACTAATCAGGCGTTTTTGCAGCACTGGAGCTTCTCAGGTCTTGGTCTACAACCATACCGTTCGCAATGCAGCCGCAAATGACTACGGAGACCATGTCAAGGGGATCCAGGGTGTCACTGGTCCCGCGCGCCGCATCCATGTCGACCAGACTCCCGAAGGTGCAGCGAGCACGGTGGCATTCATGTTTCCAGAACAGGTAGACGACTTTACGAAACGGGGATACCAGCTTCTGAATGTTTGGCGGCCGCTCACTCGCGTTTGCCGTGATCCACTGATGGTGGCAGATATGTTGAAGATGCCGGAGTCGGATCTCGTCGTCGTTCCGCGGTCCTACTATAACGGGATGAAATCTTGGAATTACGCAGTAAAATACAATGGAAGCGAGGCCGCTAATAATGCGGAGGCAATCGTCGACGGGAAGAGTAGTGGAGGAGAGCACAGCTGGTGGTATATTGGCGATCAGGAGGCAGACGAGGCCATGATATTCTCTTGCTCCGACCTTCGGCCTGGGAAACGAGCGAATGGCGCTGTACACGGCTCTTTTTGTCTTCCTGACCAGGAGAAGTTCCCGGCTAGACAGAGCATTGAGGTTCGCGTGGTTGCAGTCTACTGATTCAATAATGTGCCTTTTGTAACTATTGTCCAAGACTCTGTGTTCGGTACTACTCTCCTATAGCTATTACACTGGGCCTTTAGAATGACGTCATAGCATTACCCCTATATATGTTGTCGGATTCCTGTGTGTAGGATATACAACTCGTTCCTAAAACCAACGGTACCCATTGGACATTAGGCCTTTTTGTCCCTTGTGGTCCAACATATATTAATTGACAATGATTTTAATAATAACATAATAAACCATCCTTTTAATTCTTCACAATGGCTAATTCAAGCACAAAAATACCCAAAGTTGCTGATTCTACACTATTGATCGGGCTTCCTGAGGGGACACCTGAGGTCAAATACACCAATATGAAGGATCTCGGGAGCTCAGTAGATAAAAGGGCTAATGCATGTTGTTCAGATGATTCTCTGAGCCCCTTTGTCATAGTAGTAGATATACCACCTACTATCCTCCAAGATTTTGACAATTTTTATTTGGATAAAGGCCCAAAAGTAACAGTCAACATCCAAGATGGCATTTTTATTCTTGAAACGATGACCCGACAAGCTCATGAAGTAGCAGCCAGGAAACTCGAAAGCTATATTGCCAACGAACTCACAAAAATGAATCTAGAACGCAAAATCACTATTTCTGGATCTACTCGAGTGACAAGCAACACTTTTATCAAAGAGCCAGATGGCAGCTTTACATTGGCACATCACGACTGGCCGATTTTAATAGTTGAGGCTGGACTATTTGAGACCGACTCCAAACTGGACATAGATGCAAGAGGATGGCTCGAGTCGAAAGGGTCAGAAACAGAGGTTGTTTTGACGATAAACATAAATCGACACTTTCCCCAAATCTTTTTCAAAAAATGGGAGAATCCTACTCCGTCAGAGCAGAGAAGAACGCGCTCTTCCCCCCAGCCAGCAGCAATGACAGCGAATATTGATGTTACCCGTTCCAATAACATCACCGAAGCTACAGGCAACATGGTTATACCATTTGAAAAGATAGCTGGCCGCGAACCACAGAATGACAATGAACATGACATCACCATCACAAAAGCTGCTTTCGAACACATATCCGAGATTGTATGGATAGCTCAGAAATTTATGTGATGCCAGTCGTTGCTATCTTTTCATGTTTTCAACTGATGGATATTAAGGGAACTCTTGTAGCCAACAATCGTCTTGCCATAAAGTATTTAACTTGATAACATACCTTGGACTCCCGGGCTACTTAGATCTACACTACTAATGAAAACATCAATGGGGAAGATACTATAAGCTTAAGGTGCATTATCTATGAAGCCTTGCTAAGTACCTTAAAAAGAGTAGAGTTCTATAGCAATACTCTTAATATAATAGAAGAGTAAATTATAGATGAACATCAGCACCTTTCAAATAGTAAAGGGAGACTAGGATAACGAGACAAGGAGGCAAATAAGAGATCTTAAGGAGCAAAGCATCTAATACTACGTTATAAATAATTAATAGAATCTTTACTTTGCAATGACTAAAAAACTCAGCAATAGTTAAGATGGTATATAAAGGCAATATGTGCAATTTGGAACTGGTAGGCTAAAAGTAAACAACAAAAACAGAAATCTACCTCGCAAGAAATGAGAGCATGCCGCCGGTAAATAAACGAGAATATCACGTAGTACTCCTAAATGCATCCCCCAGATATCATTGCTTCCTACACCTCCGTGACGCTTCATGGGCATTTCTTGCGGAGCTCCGAGAAAACACCGCATCGCAAAACGAACATCGTAACTTGCACGACTCCCCACGACGCTCTCGCTGGTGCCGGATGAAGTTACTCTTGTTCGAAAAGTGACGTCCATTGCAGCACGACTCCCAGCACTGGAAACGACCGTTGTTGGCAACCTGTGGTCGCTGTTGGATAGAATCGCCGGACGTAGGATTTGAGTCAAACCGACTAGCAGCGGCGTTTAGTGAAGAGCTACTCAACATGTCGGCACCTGGCCGGACATGAGAAGATTCATTATGTTCAGATTCAGAGCTGTTTGGAATCAAAGCATGAGTATCAGCAACCATGTTTCTGTCTGGCTCCGGCACTGCGCTTGCTCGACCTACCTCGGGAACTGTAGCTGATGAAGATCTTGCCGCAACCTCTGCAACTCCTTCACCATATCCAGGCTGGACGCTTGTGATGATGTATCCACATCTTGAGAATCTAGGTGCTTTATGGCTGCTGCTAGATAGCCCGGCGAAGACGACTGTGATATATCGTCCGCGTTGCTCTGGAGGGGAAACGACGAGGCCGAAGGATGCTGGCTGGAGAACTGGGGTTTGGGATCCTGCTCGGCATGGAAGAGTCCCCAGGCTTCTCTAAATCAATTAACGGCCTACGGTGAGCAAAGATTGCCATCGTCAACGAGCACGGAAGCTGCTTGACCTACTGGTATGTTGCGGACATGGGTGAGATATGAGATAAATACCGTGACGGGTGGGCTTTAAGACGAGAATGCAACAGTGTTAGGAATGGGATGATCGATATCCGAGAAAGAACCAGGAAGAGGCCAGCCTGAAGATATTTACGTCGACGAGAACCAGAGAATTTTGATCGGCCGGCAAATGTTGTATCTCAGCGTCCTAGCTTTGGAGCGAAGGAGCACAATGGAAAAGCGCTATTCAAAAAGACCTGCGATAAATATTGAGACTTCCCTGTCATTACCGACCACCCAGCCGTTCTAATAGTTAACAGGCAGTATTAATATTGTCTTCTCTGCTCCGGGATCGCAAGCAAGCATGGTTTCGGCAACTCTCGATCATGGATGGAGAATCCCAAGGCGTGGAGGATGTCAAACCCTTGCCCGGGCTATTCCTGACTCAGCGTATTTTGCAGCAAGAAGAGGACCGTTGTGGCTCTAGAAAACAGGAACAGAGAGCAATAACATCGACAGTATACTTCAGACGAAGGACTTCGGTATGGTTGACGATGTAGGAGAGATGGGGAGTTTCGACAGCCGACGGATCATGGCTGATCCCATCGCCATCCATCCACCGACAACCCGACCAGCGCATCCATCCCTGAAGCCTTGGACTGAGGAGAATCTGTCTGCTAAATCCTTCTCTTGGACGTGGGATCTTACGCTTGCCTCCATCGCTTGACTTGATCCCTTGACCGGCGTGCAGAATTGCGATGTCGTCCTCTTATTCTGCAGACGCCATGGCATTTAAAAACCCGCCATGTTGCTCGCAATTATGGCTTCCCTTGATATGTCCATCTCAAGCACAGCTCAGCCTCTCATCATCTCATCATTCATCACCTCGATACCATCGTTGCAATGAATATCAACATGTCTGGTCTAGAGCTCCCGGGCTCCGTTCAGCACCTGTCTCTCGAGGTGCCTGAATATGTCAGCAAGACCAATATTTATCTTTTCGCTATTGTGGCCCTGACCAGCATCTACCTGTTGCAAAACTTCTTATCCACTTGGGGAGAATTTAAGGCTCCCTTTGTGGGTTTCCGCTCTGCATGGGAGCCTAGGTGGATGGTCGGCCTCCGCTTCTCAACGGGAGCCCTGAGCCAGGTGAACGAGGGTTATGAAAAGGTCAGTAGTTGGGGGTTCTCGAGAACGGCATGGGAGATCCATTGCTAATATTACGAACTAGTTCAAACATGGAATGTTCAAAATCGCAAGAAATGATGCTGATATCCTGGTCATCCCCAACAAATATGTTGAAGAACTACGTGCCCTTCCGGACGCAAAGATTAGCGCAATTCGGGCTCATATCAAGGTAACAATATACCCCTATAAGACATAGAAATGAAACAATGCAATAAATCCAGGCTAACTACTTTCATATAGAATCTTCTCGGCAAATATTCGACAACAAACATCCTTCTGGAGAGCGACCTCCATACGCGCATGCTTCAAACCAAACTAACGCCAAACTTGGGATCATTTGTCAGTGTGATTGAATCGGAACTGCAATTGGCGCTGGATCTCGAGGTCCCCAAGGACCTTGATGAGTTCAAAGTGGTCTCCGTTTACGATATTGTTCTTCGAATTGTTGCTCGAATCTCTGCTAGGGTCTTCATTGGAGAGCCAGCCTGCCGAAATGAAGAGTGGCTCAGTACCTCCATCCACTATACCGAGAATGTTTTCACAACTGTCATGATCCTCCGAAGGCTACCCAAGTTTACTCACACCTTTGTTGCTCCGTTCCTGCCCAGTTACTGGAGACTCCATGCCAATTTGAACACTGCGAAGAAGTTTATCGGGCCCATTGTATTGCAGAGACGAAAGGAACAAGCCAGCCGCAAGGATGATCCAAGCTATGAGAAGCCGAACGATATGCTTCAATGGATGATGGACGCTGCTAACGAGAACGACGGCCAACCTCACAAGCTTGCTCATCGTCAGCTTCTGCTCAGTCTGGCATCCATTCATACCACCACCATGTCCACAGCTCACTCGCTCTACGACCTTTGTGCCCACCCTGAATATTTTGACGAGCTCCTTCAAGAGGCCTATGACGTGGTGAAAGAAGATGGTGGCTGGAAGAAAACGACCCTTAACAAGATGCGCAAACTGGACAGCTTCCTCAAGGAGAGCCAGCGTGTCAACCCACCCAGTCTTCGTAAGTATCCCTTAGCCGACATCTAAAACCCTCCTGCTAACGAAACCTTCTACCCAGTCGCTTTCAACCGTATTGTTCAAACACCACTCACTCTCTCGGATGGCACCCACCTCCCCAAAGGAACGCATTTCAGTGTCCCAGCAGCAGCTATTCTCAAGGACAACGAGAACCTCCCCGACGCCGATACTTTCGACGGACTTCGATACTATAAAATCCGCCAGAACCCCGAAGAGGCAAACCGACATCAGTTCGCCATGACAGATACGAGCAACCTGCATTTTGGCCATGGAAAGTACTCCTGTCCCGGCCGCTTCTTTGCCTCAAACGAGATCAAGATCATTCTGGCCCATCTGCTCATGGATTACGAATTCAAGTACCTTCCCGGGTGCTCCCGCCCAAAGAACCTGACGGCAGATGAGAACTTGTACCCAGATCCATCAGCTCGCCTGTTGATGAGGAAGAGAGCTAATCATACTGCCCCTGCCGCCCCTAAATCCACAGCTTGAAGGGCTAGATGATTGCGACAATATAGTGCGAGCGAAGAAACATGGTGCTCACGGTTTCCTTACATCCCCATGCATTCTCCCTTTTTCTTATCCTACTTTTAGACTATTAGTACTCATTTTTTCCTTGAGCTGTGTGGCCGCATCGTGGCGGATGGGCCGTGGATCGCTTTAATTATATAGAAAAGCACGACTATGAATTTCTTAAATATATCTTCCATACCAAGTAAACTCCTAATCTCATATTTAATCCCTTTATATAAATATTCTGAGCTTCTTTGATTAGGTTCATACTACCAGCTACTTTATATGAGTGGAGATGGCCGTGAACATTGTTTGGATCGCTGCTGCTCCATCCTAGCTGCCACTTGAATAAAAAAATATTTACTACCCTAGAGCATCAGCCTTTAAATCCTTCAACGTCCACACACATTCCCTCTCCCTCTACTAGAGGCACGACCACTAGATCGCACGCCCACACGAAGCCGGCATCTTTTGTATGCGATGTTCCCTTACGAGATATGACGGCCGTCCCCCGTTTCCCTAGCTATCCATCGCCGCCGAAATGTCATCAAACGCTTCCTCGATCGACGGGCCCTCAGCGCTGACCTATCGTCGTACTTTTTACATCATCACTGCGTTTGCTGGCGCTCTAGCTCTCACGCAGCTTCGTCGATACTTCTTCCCTCCTCCTTCGGCCTCGCAGACTCTCCATCGACGAAATGCGGTGCGGCACCATAGACACCCCCAGAGACGGGGCGGGATATCTCTACCAAGCGGAGAAACATATGAATCGTCTAGCCCGGTAGCGCCATCACTTGCGCTGGCTCAGCGGGAGCAGGAGGGCAGAGGCTATGGGCGGTTCAGCATCCAGGTGGATAGCGACCGATCTCTAGAGTGCTCCCTTCTGCCCTCGCAGCTGGCCTCTGTTGAACGAATACAACGAGAAGTCGGGGCAAACTTGGAGAGCGCGAACTTGATGCGCCATTTGATAGAAGACGAGTTCCTTACGCGGTTTCTGATGACCGAGTTTCCACCATCGCATGTCATCCTTCTCTCGACTGGAGAATGGCGATATCTACTAAACGAGCTTACATCCCGTGGAATATCGGAGACTGCGGTTAACGATGCATTCACGAGGTTCAATGAGAATCCAAATTTCGGTGAAGAACTGAATCGCGAGGGGGCGGAAGATCAAGGCGCGAATATGGTGGTGAACAGTAATGCTATATCAACGGAGCAGCGCCCGCCACAGCCTGACCTAGGAGACACGACCATAGATGACCAGAGTTTGTTTTCATGGAGAGATGGTACAAACGATACAGCTCCGCCCAGAGAAGGGCAGAATTTGTTGAATCTGCTCTACCATATCGCTGAAGATCAGGCAAGGCGCGATGGCTACATACATCGGGGGGTAACATGCAATAGCTGTGGTGTTATGCCAATCCAGGGGATTAGGTACCGCTGTGCAAATTGCGTGGATTACGACCTTTGTGAGGCATGCGAGGCATCGCAAGTCCATATTCTGACGCATCTGTTTTACAAAGTCCGGATACCTACTCCATCATTAGGAAGTGCGAAACAGGTCCAGCCAGTGCTATACCCGGGCAAGCCGAATCTGCTTCCTCATACTCTGCCTAGAAATGTAGCAAAGAGACTCAAGAAAGAGACCGACTTTGAGAATACCGAAGTGGACGCGTTGTGGGACCAGTTTAGGTGTCTAGCAAATGCTGAATGGCTTAACGATCCGAATAACCTCCTACTGGCAATCGACCGTAAGACATTTGATAGATGCTTCATCCCAAATAGGCCTCCACCTCCGAGCCTTATTTATGACCGGATGTTTTCCTTCTATGATACCAATGGTGACGGCCTCATCGGATTCGAGGAGTTTTTGAAGGGTTTGGCAAGCTTTGGTAATAAGGGCATGCACGAGAGGCTCAAGCGAATCTTTGCCGCTTATGATATCGACGGAGATGGCTACGTGGAACGGAAAGATTTCTTGCGCATATTTAGGGCATATTATACCCTGAGTAGAGACTTGACCAGAGATATGATGGCCGGAATGGAGGACGATTTCATGGAAAGCGGGTCTCGAGATGTGGTATTAGGGAGCCAGCCTGTAAGCGCTGCATTTCCTGGGACCATACCTGGGCCAGATCCGTCCAGAGCGGGTGAAGGCAAGCGCACGAACCTGCAGGGCGATCTAGAAATAATTGATAACGAGGGGCCCTTGAGAGAAAATAGCGACGAAAGGGGCGATAGAGATATTGTTTTGGGAGATGCAGCCATCAGGGACACACTTGGGCCTAATCGACCTCGCCAGCGACATTCGTCACGGGCGGACAGGCTATCTAGTGCTCAGTTCTATGGCCCTATGTCGAGTGATTGTCTTGTCGAGCGCATGGGAGAAGGTTACGACATCCCTTGCTGCGAGACGTATCCTTGCGAGAGCCTCTTAAACTGGCCTCCGGCTGAACACGTTCAGCGCGAGGATATCATCAACGCTCTTGGGGCTTATGTACCCCTAGAAGATGTTACCGATTTCGTTGATAGGGCCAGGATAGGAACATGTCTTCTCGAGAGACTTCATGCGGCTGATGTAGAGCACCAGTCGAATATTAGGCGAGAGGGGATTGAAGAACGGTGGCGAAGGCGAGCCTTTTACCTTGATGAAGAAGAGGGTACCCTGGGGCGGTCAAGTTATCATGGGAACGAGGACGATTATGAAGCAACATCTGACCGAGAATGCAACGAGGATTCAGATTGGCATAACCCTACTCCAAGATCTAGATCTTCTTCCAAAGTTCGCTTCCAAGACGATGTCACAGACAACGAATATGAGACCCGCTCTAATCAGTCTACATCGTCACGCAGCATCCCAGTAGGCGAGCGCTGGGGTGGTTATGAGATCCCGGAGGTTGAACGTGACGCGGGGAAGGAGATTCTTTACCAAGTTACTCAGCAAGGATTAAACGAGTTACTGGATCTCATTTTCAAACCCAAAGAAGACCTTCTCATGGAAGCTCACCGCACCCGCGCAGAAAGGAAACGATGGTCCAAGGAGATTGAAAGGTTTCGAGAGTGTCGTCACCGATCCAAGGATACCGATAATTATGATGCCGGCGTCCAGGCTGGAGAGGAGACGGAGAATTCAATGCAAATTCCTAAAGAACTATTGCTTGAGAGAGGCATTACTATTGATCAGGAATTCCTCGACGGGCTAGATCGAGAAGATGAGCTTCACCAGGCGGATATGTCCCACCCCGAAGGCAGCATAACATCAGGACATTCAAGTGAACCGGAAGTTGAATATTTCCCGCTAGCACCCGAGAGTGAGGCTTTCCAGGGCGAAGATAAGTATTCGTTGACTCTAGACGACAATACGCCCGAGACGCCTGACCCTACCCTTCCTCAAAATCGGCCAAATGACGAAGACCTGGTAGCACTGACATGCACACCACATGTTGATGAAGTATCATCTAATGCCGATCATCCTCATTCGCATTCTACAGAACCTCGTCCAATATATGAATCAGCGTCAACGTCCACATCTACCTCTGCACCTTCTCGCCGCCAGTCCAGTAACCAACCTAGGTCACACAATCGCTCATTGCCCCTTCGGCTTCGATTTCAGCAGTCACCGCCACCAAATCGTGCGAGAACCAACTCTGGCTCGTCATTAGCGTCATCTTCTTCCTCCCCGCCTGTAAAGAATGCAGTGCTCCCCTCTCCACCTCCGTCACCGAAGATACTTGCTCGATGGGCTCGATTAAACAGCGCTGAACAAGAAGCTAAAGAGCGTGGCGGGTCAGGGGCTAAACTTAATTTCGAAGAATTTGCTATGCGAATGCAAGGCGAAAGGGGCAAGAGGCTGGGTTTTGTAGCGAGCTGGATTGACATGACTACTTTTTAATCATGGGAAGAAATAGACGGGTGGAAAAAAAGTGATTTGACGAATGGTCCAGGTGAGGATGCATGGGCTCGAAAGCGTATGACAGCCAGCATACAGACACACTTTTTCCTTCCTCGAGCTTGACTGCTTTTTATTCGCACTATATTTATTATGTCTTTGATACCCTTACTTTAGCATGGTGTTCTACCCTGGATGGCTTCTTTATATTAGGCTATGGATTACCAGATACTTACTCAGAGTGACAGCCGTTGATGTCACATCGGCTTTGTTTCCAATTATTATGATCAATGTCAAGCTACAGCGTAGTATCAGTAGACACGATCCTATCTTGATATTAAATCACCAAGGGTTCTTTGATTTACAGTATAATGTCGCGCCACACCCATAGACTCCAATCAGCAAATAACGTGTCTACTCTGATGAGTTAGGATATCATTAGCTACTCGGGCCCAGTAAAACAGAGAAACTCCGGCAAATGCCCACCAACAAATTAAACAGCAAACTAGAACTAATCCCAATATTTAATGACTCCTTCCAAACCAGCCGTGGCAACTTTACTAGTCTCTCGGGGATGCCAGTCCACACATGTAACAGCGGAGCCTTCCTTCCCTCCGGCTTTAATCTTATGCCACATCTTGCCAGTCTTCCAGTCCCAAAAGCAGACATATCCACCACTATCACCGGACGTGACAAATTGGCCATCAGGACTGATAGCAACGTCAATTGCATACCCTGCATTGTTGTGTCCTCTGAAAAGCTTCTTCCTATTCTGTCGGAATTTATCTGTGGCCCCATAGACAACAATACTGTTGTCCCCGGACTGGAAAGCAACATATTTGCCATTAGGATGAGGAGCAGCACGAACAAGGGCGTAGAGATGTGGTTCGGCTATAAATTTGATAGGGACTGGAATATTGTATTCCCAGGCGCGCAGTGACTTGTCGTCTGAAGTAGAGATGAAGCGACGGTTATTATCGACGAAGGTAAGGGTATTGACAGCATCAAGATGATGATCATATTCCTGGGTGATAGCTGCAGTTCGTATGTCAAATTGAACAATTTTCTTGTCGGACATGCCAGCAAGGAATTCATGGGAGTTGGCAGGGTCTGGGTTGAATCGGACAACGTGAGGAGTTTTTCCTGTTGTGAATCGTTGGATACACTTTCCATACTCTGCGTCCCAAAGCTTGATTTGCCGATCATACGAAGCAGATAGGAAAGTAGCTCCCGTGGGATCGAAGGTGGTATCCGATATCGAGTTAGAATGACCAGAATATGTGCGCAGTAGCTCTCGTGAATGATACACATCCCATAGCTTTACCTTTGAATCCGCAGAAGATGAAAGTAGGAGATGTCCAGAGCCTGGGAAGAAGCGCAACGATGTAATGGGTTTCGTGTGCGATTTCCAAGTGTGAACCAACTTCTTGGGTATGAAGTTCTTCGCGCTCCCAGGCTCTTTCTTGAGGTCGATATCCAAATCCTGCGGTACGTGCATATATGTCCGTCCTTGGTAATCGCGCTCTTCTGTGCCGTGGAACTCTGTCGTTTCTGTGCGAGATAGATCATCCTGGTAGGCCGTTGCCTTCTTATCCATCGCCGGTATGTTAGACGGAACAATAGATTCTTCAATATATTCCTCATCACTGCCCAACTCAGCCAGCGCATCGGCCTCTCTACCAGCCAGCTCGTCATCTTCGTACTTTGCCCACGGCCCCAAGTAGGCCCCCTCCCCTTCAACTATGCTTGAATCGCCCTTCTTTTGTCTCTTTCGCCGTATCGCAGCGCTCTCCTCCTTAGAAGGACGCATCTGCACTACATCTTTCCCCTCATACCGCGCCACCTGCTCCATATCCCCCACAAACGCCCCAGGTTGAGAGGGATCTTTGGTATAACCTAAGCTCTGGAAGGTGCGCTGTTGCGTGATAAAGGTTGCCTCACTTATTGCGGCTTCTTCGGCATATCCGGTCAACACATTTTTCCTCTTTATCCCGGACATGGAGTTTCCGCTCTTGAAGGGATTTGCTGGCCCTGCTTGGGGTCGCGTGAGATCATCGTAGGTTGCGTTATATGTTAGGGCAGTATCTGTTGGTTTTCTAAGCATTAGGTGTAATTGCGATGAGCCCTATAGAAATGTTAGCAAGAGAGTCAGGCAAACCATACAGGCTTTCGAAAGATGAGCTGAGGGAAGTATAGTATTGCAAGGGGACCAAACCTCTACCGGGACATCTGGCGCTGCTACGATAGCTGGCGCTGGGTTTGACCTGATAGGCGCAGAGCCTGCGTCATCATCGCTTGACGACTCGTACTGTGCTCCTAAAAGAGATGCCATGATGGGATGTGGAAGCTCCGGGTGATGCCTCACTGAATGCTCATGATGGAAAGTTTTAATTGTCGTGAGCAGACGCGATGGAATTGAGTATGTAATCACGAGGTATGGATCGTAGTCGTCTCATTGGCCGATACGATAGATCTTTGCTCGATAAGAGTAGAAAGTAGATAGAAATATATATTTAGGCAATGTTATCTTCGAGGACATTTATTTACAATTAATGGATATTCAGATTGAAAATGTTTTTTATAGCAGAAAAACATGAAAGTTTCGCAACCCCCACACCGCCTGTCCCATCTAGGTAATACTTTATCCAAACCTCCGTTTCTCATTTGGACGTCGATAACCAACACACACAACTTGCATTCGCATCGCTAGACAGATAAAAGGACTTTTAGAGTATACAAAACAGCAGAGTGGTACCCGATGGCTGGAACTAAGCGCTGTGAGTTCAGAAAGATACCCCCTGGAGATGATAGCACAAACTGAGCTATGCTAGTAAGCGTTTCAACGCGAGATGCTGCTCAAACAGGCTCCAAGAAAGCAAGGCAAAACTTGAAGCAGAGTGCAACTACACCTCGTGCGGGTAGACATGGGAGCGTAAGCGATGAGCTCGAGAGCGAGTATGGAATATCCGACGGGGAAGATGGATCGGATGACGCCCAAATCGAATTGGACGACGCTCGGTGAGTAAATTTGGCCGTGTCAAGCTGTCATGGGAAAAGTCTTGCCTGCCTAACACATCTTACCTTTGATGTGATTCAGGAATGCATTGAAAAACCTGCAAGCCGCAATCGAAAAGGCAGAAAAGAGCGACACCTTTGCAAAGGAGATGGAAAAGAAGGTGAGACTAGACGAGAGAAGGTTGAGGGGTATAGTTAAAAAGGAAGAGGAAAAATGGTATGTGTGTGTTTATCACGACCTTGAACGTCAGTCTAAAAAGGAGCCTTTACCCGACAGGAACAACGACGAGGAGATTTTTCGATCTCGGTTTTCTTCTCTCATCAAAGCGGCCCTATCAGCCAGGACGAATAAAGCCGAGACTACTTCATCCTTCAAGCAACCCCTTCAAATAGCCACTTCGGATGTTATGCTGGCTGCTGGTGACCACCCTCTGTATCACAAAACACAGGAGCTGCTAGAGTCTTCCAGGGCTTTGATCAATGGCGTTGATAGCATCAGCACCCATACATCAGAGGCAGAATTACCCCATAATCCAAAGGAGGGACTGGAGAAGGACGTTGCGGAAGCACGTCGTATCATTGCCCATGGGGCAGAAGCAACTGCCATGGCTGTAGAAAAGCTGTTGGTATCAGAGAGGAACGGCGCACGGCGGGAGAGCCAAGAGAGACTGCAAGCTGGAGAGGGCCAGGAGGCGTTCCAGAAAGACAACAACTTGCAGGCAATGTTCGAAATGGGGAGGGAGGAGCTGAATGAAAGCACCGAAGACTTGCAAGCTCAGGGATGGGGACTTGTGGCACATCATCTGGAGAGGGGGATGAGAGAGTTCGTCAAGGCGCTGCCACAGCAGTAGGTCAGCCTCCTCACATCTATTACCAGGCCATCCACATCATATCTATTACCAGACCACCCTGTTCTTATCATATCCATTGCTAGAATATCAATTATCAAGATGCTGTTGATGTTGATGCTGACTTGGTGTTGATGGTGTTGTAGTGTACCACGTGACGCCAAGACTTCGATACTCGCTTACTTTGATTTTCTGCCCACACAAAAGTTGAAGTCGCAGTTTGAAGTTGTGGATTTGATATCTTCACGCCTGAACGACGGTAAGTAACAGCAACAACCAGGCCAACCACTCCACGACGTCAAGGTAAGAGGCTCCCCCGTCCGCGTGTGCTTTCAATCAACAGCCCATGCTCCGTCTCTGGGGATAGAATTGGCGCGAGAAGCTGACCAGGTTTTCCTCGAACAGATGGGTGCCCTCAAATATGTGGAAGAACTTCAGAAGAAGAAGCAGTCCGATGTGATGCGCTTCCTCCTGCGCGTCCGATGCTGGGAGGTGAGAAAAACAACCCTACAGCCCTTTCCCTAGTCCGAGCGAGACGATTCATCATTCGAGACCTGGACCGAGTTTGTCGAACCCGATCCGACGAGGACCATGGCCGAGAGAATCTGCTTTTTGTGGCACACACAAAATATGCTCTGTTGTCGTTGGATTTTGCAGTGTGCCTTGCTATACACTCGTTGAACTTTGCTGAGAGTGCATTAATATAGCTTCGTCAACTCAATGTCATCCACCGCGCTTCCCGACCATCTCGTCCCGACAAGGCCCGCCGTCTCGGATACAAGGCCAAGCAGGGCTACGTTATCTACCGCATCCGTGTGAGACGTGGTGGCCGCAAACGCACTGCTCGCAAGGGTGCTACCTACGGTAAGCATACTCGATGCCGGGTGAGATCGATTGTGTGTCTAATTGTTGCACAGGTAAACCCACCAACCAGGGTATCAACCAGCTCAAGTACCAGCGATCCCTCAAGTCCACCGCTGAAGAGCGTGTTGGCAAGCGATGCGCCAATTTGCGCGTCCTCAACTCCTACTGGATCAACCAGGACTCCACCTACAAATACTACGAAATCATCCTCGTCGACCCCCAGCACAAGGCCATCCGCAACGACGCCCGCATCAACTGGATCGTCAACCCCGTTCACAAGGTAAACCGGTCCCGAGCACATGAGAAGACCGTGGAACACACATCTAACCACTTCCGTTTACTTTTTAGCACCGCGAATCTCGTGGTCTCACTGCCACTGGCAAGAAGTCCCGTGGTCTCAACAAGGGTCACGGTTACCACAAGACAACCGCCGGCCGACGGAAGACGTGGAAACGACTCAACACTCAGAACTTCTGGAGATACCGTTAAATGTAATGAATGGTTTGGGCTTTGCGGGTTTTCAAATTTGTTGTCATGTTTTACCAAAATTCTTCTACCGACTTCTTTCCCAAGCATGCGCAACTACTTTAATCGTGTTGATCAATGCATGCCATAGCAAGAAATGATATAACTCCTGGCTATGAAAAGAACCCTCAAGACACCATCAATTCAGTCAAAAGACGCCTCCAGGCCCTCAGATTCCCCTATGATATCCTCCGCCCAAAAACCAACTTTAAACCTGATGAATATACGTATTTTCCATGTACCTTGTACGCCCTAGATCGCTTTGACAGATAACCGTAGACTCAAGCCACTGCACCACCGTAGTCAACGTCGCATAAATAGCCGATGTCCCAGGGTCAAGTGTGGCTGAAATCCCAGGCTGGCGCCAGAACTAGTCAACTATAAACCCTGCGCGCATCATCGTCAACCACGTACTCTTTTAAAGTGGAATACCCTTAATTCACGGCTTCACAACTTCGCCCTAACGAACTCCAGCTTGCAGCCCGAGCTGAACGCTCTGGTTAGGCTAACAGCTAGGCGAACAGCTAGGCGATACTCGACGGAAGGCAGTGCTAGCAGCTCCAGGATGCTGCTTCTGCAGGCCAAACTGCTGCTGCCTCGTTGTCCGGGACTCGGCGGGTAGTAATCAACAGTTATCGAACAGCCTCGCGGCGTTCGTCTCAGTTTCAGCTCTGAGACAAAGGATATCGGCCTCTCTCTCTCTCTCTCTCGGGCATATTTACTCTCGGCTAGCTGATTGTCAGCTGCGTTGTGTCGTCACTCGAGCCGGTCATCGGTTCTGCATGATTTACGCCCTGATGGTTCTCATTGTCTGCCAACTTTCTGGTGAATGCCAGCTCAGAACAAACCCAAACTGCGGATGATATTGCGGAATTGAAGAGGCTATAAACCTGCTGCAGTACCTTCTGGTTGTCTCCGGGAGTATACGTGCTGGATCTTGGTCGGAATCATGGCTCCTCCATGGATATCTCGTCTCGCCCACAACAACAGCCACAAGCCTTCGAATTCTAGCACTTCCACCGCAGATGGCCCTACCGTCTCTCAGTTATCGCCAGGCCGTGTTTCATCTTCGTTGTTATCCCCACCGGGCCAGTCGATGGCGCATCCACACGCCATACCGATCCGCCGTGGTCATTCACGCTCTATCAGCAATCCATTCCCTGCCCTTTTTGCGGGGAGGAGAGGGAATCGCAGCGGAAATGGTAGTTTCGTTGACTCCGAGTCTACAGACGGCGAAGCTGAATTACATCCTACGATTTCGAATGCTCGGTCTTGCAGTCCTCAGAAGCGTGGTGGATCCTTCGGTCGTACAGAAGAACACCGGAAGCGCAAGTGCATGACATGCGATCATACAAATTCGTTCCCTTACACAAAAAAAGGGTTTCGGTGCGGGAAATGTGCAACAATGAACGATTTAGAGCCGTATCGTAGTAGGAGGTCGCGGAGTGACAAGCCAGATGAAAGACTGCAGCCTGATATTCGACCTCAATTTAAAGGTTCGTGAGTTTCCAAGGCACCTTTGTGGTGTATCTTTATCCTGGTCCACCTTCCTAACATGTCTCTCTTCACTACAGTAACCATAGAGGAAACACGGGATATAATTGACCAGTGCCTTGCCTCGTACCTTTGTACAGAGCTTGGTGAGCTTCGGGTCCGTCAATCACAGCCAAGGAGCAGCCGTAATCCTACTGGGCAAACTAGGACGGATTCTTACAACAATAGAGCACCTTCCCCTGGAGCTAGCAAACCTGATATGAATCCGCCTACGCTTTTAGTTTCCGATATGCACCTAGACTCTAGAAGCGTCACTCCACCTGGAGAATTGGATCGAGCCGACGAGTCCACCGGTAATAGACATAAGGAGCGGCCAGTTCAGCGAACGGACAGAAGACAGATTGATCCAAGAGCAGATGTAGGAGGAACAGTTGGCGTATTCCACCCTTTGGAAAAGTACATAACAGCCTGTTTTGATGGTTGTGATGTTCTGAATAATTCATTCTTAACTGGAAAGTCTCGCTACCCTCGAGCAGCCAGTGAGGGCTCACAGCCACCCATGGGTGTGGCTGACGAAGGGCAGTTATCTGGGCCCCCTGACGCTTCAGTATCCAATCTTGATGAAAAAACTATTCTCCTCGGGAATTTCGCGGAGAACGGGTCATGGTGGACTGAAAATGGACAATCCTCGAGACACCAGTCAAAAAATGACGGTCAATCATCAAGAGGATATGGTAGTCTTGCCAATTCAAGATCTCCGCGAATTAACTGGCCAGAGCTCTTGGAGTGGTATCACCTCGTTATTCACGCAGGCGAATCATGGAATGAAATGATTCTGGATGTGCCTGGTTCTGGGGATGCATCAAATCAACCTAATACACTTGCGTCTAAGGAGGCAGCAAAACTGGTCCAGCTCAATGAAATAATCATAGAGTCTCAGTTCATTGTTCGAAAGACACTGCTACGGGCAACTGAAAAGCTTCTCCAACGACCAAAACGGCCGCTGATGCGTTCTGATGATATCCGATTCTTGTTAATACTGCTTGAAAACCCCCTTCTATACTCTTCCAACTCAACCCCTAGGACCCCACCTGGCACTTCGCCTTCGCCGAGAAGAAATAATAGCAACCAAAGGCGACAGGGAATATCTACTTCCCCATATAGCAACTCTTCACCTGAAAAATCCCGCCCTCAGCCTTCTACGAGGTTAAGCGAACTGTCAAGCCTCCGGTATTCGGTCTTAAAGAGGCTCCTTGGGTTGATCTCCAACCTACCTAATGAGTGTCATCAGTCTCTCGTCGTATGGTTCTCGAGGCTCTCACCAAGTCACTTTAAGCGGTTGGTGGAGGTTGTCAATGGTTTTGTTAGTTATCGCCTCGGCAAATGTAACAAAAAGCGTTTAACCAGAATAGAGTCTGGAGTCAACCTCGGAGAATATGTACCTACATTTTCATCGCCAGGGATTGTTACACCGGCCCAGCTACATACAGCGCTGCAGCGAGATTCCTCTGCAACATCGCCGCAGGGTGGTCACAAGTCGGTTGGCTATGCAGACGATTGGCAGATTCGCGCCGCGGCTCGTGTCATGGCACTTCTCTTCAGAGCGAATGGTACAGGAATTGGCCGCAGGCCGGAACCCGGCTCTCGGGCAAGAGATGGCTCATCAAGCTCGAAGTGCGGTGGTGATCGCCGAAATAAAATCGCCATAGATTGTTTCTACAACACACGGCTTGATTACGCTGATCTTATTTTAGATTTTGAGGCATGGGAGTCTCGCAGCGGCAAATTTTCCTTCTGCCAATATTCTTTTTTGTTAAGCATATGGGCCAAGATACAGATAATGGAGCATGACGCTCGCCGCCAGATGGAGGCTAAGGCGAGGGAAGCTTTTTTCGACACTATTCTTGGTCGGAGGGGGGTAAGCCAGTATCTTGTGTTGAAAGTACGAAGGGACTGCCTGATCGAGGATAGTTTACAAAATGTAAGTGCTGTTGTGGGATCTGGTGATGAAGATATCAAGAAGGGGTTGCGCATAGAGTTCGTAGGGGAGGAAGGCATCGATGCCGGTGGTCTACGCAAAGAATGGTTCCTCCTTTTAGTGAGAGAGGTTTTCGATCCCCTTCACGGTAAGTTTTATCCGCCCGTGGAGACATTACTTAAACTATAGAAGCAAACTGACATCTTCCGTAGGTCTCTTCCTTTATGACGATGATTCCCAGTATTGCTACTTTAACCCATACTGTTTTGAGTCCTCGGAACAATTCTTTCTAGTGGGCGTAGTCCTGGGGTTAGCGATATACAACTCAACCATTCTTGATGTTGCGTTGCCTCCGTTTGCCTTCCGAAAGCTTTTGGCATATGCACCATCGAACATTGCACCTACATTATCCTCTCCTCCCCAACCATTCAAAGCTACCTTGGACGATTTGGCCGAATTCCGCCCCGCGTTGGCGAAGGGTCTACGTCAGCTCCTAGAATATGACGGAGATGTAGCCGAAACATTCTGTCATGACTTTGCAATACAAGTCGAACGCTATGGCGAGGTAGTCCAGATACCATTACGCCCTGGAGGGGAGAAACAGCAAGTGACCAATGACAACCGCCGAGAGTTTGTGGATCTCTATGTGCGCTACATTATCGACGGAGCCGTGACCCGCCAGTTCGAACCATTTAGACGCGGCTTCTTCACAGTATGCGGGGGCAACGCACTTAATTTATTCAAGCCAGAAGAAATCGAGCTGCTTATTCGCGGGTCTGAGGAGCTGCTTGATATACCGTCTCTACGGGGAGTAGCTAAGTATGATCATTGGCCAGCTACCTCGCCCGATCGCGAGCCAGTTGTCAACTGGTTTTGGGAATTCTTTGAAAGAGTCTCGGCCAAAGACCAACGCAAGATACTCGGCTTCATCACTGGCAGCGACAGGCTTCCTGCCATGGGCGCTGTCAACCTGGTCATCCGGTTGATGTGTCTAGGCCCAGACTCGGAGAGATTTCCAACAGCGAGGACATGTTTCAATGCGTTGGGTTTGTATCGATATAGAACCCGACAGAAATTGGAGGAGAAGCTATGGCGAGCAGTAGTTGAGAGCGAGGGCTTTGGGCTGCAATGATCAGGCTTGGGCATCTCCCATCTGTGACTGTATGACCTAGTTTCGCATAACTAGCTGTTATTTCCACTTACTCCGTGTTATATAACCGCGATGCAACCTCCGTATTCCCTTTTCTATTATTTCTTATGCACTGTCGGGCTTGGCCTGGTTCATTTTTTCTCTTCGTCATGCATGCGCCCAAAGGGGAGCCTAGTAGTGTCTTATTTTGAGCGCTCTGTTTATTGGCTACAAAATTTAACGACTTCAGAAAAAGTGCATGTCAGCTTCAGCTACAGGATACAGCTCATCTGACCTTATATTAAATTAGGCTTGTTTGGCCAGTAAAAGCTACAGTTAGAGCAGTATGACACCGAAGCCTTAGGGTCTTTACATGTCTAGCGCAATAACGATAAGGGTTTCCATATGTAGTAACATGCCGATTTAGACAAGTAAGGAAGATATGCAGTGTGCATAGTAGGTGGGCTCATTAACAAGCAATAAGGTCAGGGTATAGATCTGGCTATACGGTTTGCTCTAGACAATAACATAGACGGCGTTTACGAAAGTAGTTCTGGTGGGCCCGCTTAAACTAATGTCAAATATAAGCGAGTACAGGCTACATAGAACCAGTAATAATTATCATATTGCATAAGTGCATTTACATCATGTTAAGAAGCACGGTTGACTGTCTACGTTCGTCTAGCTCGCTCCCAAATAGCGCAAATCCTCGAATCTTGTCTTCGCGTCTATAAGATAAATATCTAACAGTTTCATATTATACCTTCCAGCTTCATTGTCTTCAATAGGTATAGGCGGAGGTTCGTTTGCCAGCCTTTTTGTAAACCCCCGGCTCAAAAGGCAGCCTAGAGCCCTAGAAGACCCAATGGCTAGCATTACTTCAGTTGAAAGGTTTCCTACTTCCTTCCTGAAAACTCGCCAGAACCTTGCCTGAAGGTCTTCATGGTCCCCGTATTGTCTCCGGCCATGTGCATGGTGTAAGGTACCTGAAAATTCTTGCAGGTTGTATAAATTTTGTCCGAATGGGCAGATTTCCGCCTCCGCCCAGTCAATAACACCAGTCAACCTGCCAGATTTTTCGTTGACCATGATATTAAAGAAACTAAAGTCGCGATGTAATAGGACGGTTGGTAGAAGAGAGAAAATCAACGGCAATGAATCTAGGCATCGCCGTATGGACGGATGAAATCGGGATGGCAGGTGTTGAAGCAGAAGTTCAAGATCTCGAGAATAGCTCTGCAACAGCTGCTCCTTGGTATTTAAATCCATAGGTTGTGGCGAATTCCATGAGATGGCAAAGAAGCTGCAGGTCGTTAGCATCGATTCGAACTAATTTCGCTTTGATTGAAGCCTCACCTAGCAAGATCCTCGATAAGAGCTCCTCGCATGGCCATGCTTTCCTCGGAGTTCTCAGCATGCTGATTTGCAAGATGGTACTCAAGATAGTTGACACCTGGAATTCTGCTGAGGGTATACACGAAGACCGGTCGGTCATTAATGTCTCCAAGATGTCCGTGATATGTTGTAAGAGGAGCTAGGTTACCATGGATCTCGTGTGCAAGAGCTGCGATCTCGAGTTGAAGCTGGAGCAGCTCTAGGCGAAACTGTACAACGAACTCAGACTGAGCGCCAGCATAAACAGTGTAACTACAGCATCCTTGAATTGGCACGGGTATAATTTTTCCTCCCACAAGTCTCGCAGCTTTCTCTTCACAAGCTTCTCGAGTAGCAGACGTTGATTTGAAGAGCGTATCAATAGCGTTATCGAGCGAGTACACCTCGTAGGCAGCAGACATGGATGTAGAAGCTCTGGGAGCCCGTTTCGGTGTAGAGGTTGGGATAAAGCGAGTGAGCTCGACGCTCTGGAGTAACTATGATATGGGGGAAAACGCCAATAATGTCCTCCCTCACTATTCCTTGATATCCCCACTATTACAATTTCTTGCGTCCGTTGAACTCATCCCCAAGTCTCTATCAAACACAGCCCCTCGCGTCCGTTTGAACACACCACCACGCAACCACAGTCACGAGCGCTACTTGAGCAACTACAACAATAACAGGCAGCAGCAGCAGCTTCAGAGACTAGGCCACTCCTCGAACAATTCTGTATCTCAGTTTCCGCTATTCTTTCACCACTCTATCAATCAAGAACTGGGTCTCTTACGCCGATAAGCGTATTCATGCTCGTCTGCTTCTCTAAACTACCGTGAGTACTATTTTTCCCTAATAATATATACTTAATTATCAAGCTAATTCATAATCTACAACTTTAGATATGGCGTCCTTGCATTATGAGGCTAGCTTCAATTTATATATTTAAGCAAGGCACCCTTCTCGAATTAACGTGGAAGGTAACCGATAGAGAGACCTTGCAGCTCGATATGTTTGGTACCTGCTTTTCGCACACTAGATATATGGGAGCGCAGGTGCCAAAGCGGATATAACCTATGCTATCGTGGTCGGAGGAGGCATCGCTCCCTCCTTGCGTGTGTACTCCATATTAACTTGTAGATTATTACTATAAAAAGACCCTGTTGGGCGGCTATATTCTAATTCTTGAGCGGCAATAAAATAACCAACTAGTTACCCAAATTCTTACTAAGAGGGCCACATAAATTGCGTCCAAAGGCCACCGCCCATATCAGCACATTTGGTGAGACCCCGATTTACTCCATGGTCTTCATATAATTTTTTTTAAAAAAGATATCCAATTACATAACTATTATGTATACATTATGTATACAGGGGACATATGAATATCGTATACGCGAAGCCTTCTCGTTTAAGACTAAAAAGCCCAAGTTTTGCATCGGTTTGAACGTTTCCCCATATTCTTCAGATCACCGCATCTTATCATTTTATGAGCGAGATTGGCTTTTGTCTAGCGTATCAATGAATGTTTTTGGCTTTTAGCTTTCACGTTGCCGACGTTTATCGAATGGTCGCGCTATTCCGAGCAGACAAAGGTTCGGGATTTTCTTTCATTGCCCACGTAACAATTTAATAGGTTGCATTGCATCGAGGAACCACAGGGGTTTGAATGGCCAAGGCCATGGGGGTAGGTAGCGAATTCATAGCAGCTGTTTGATATTACTGATCACGTAAAAACGTTGAGTCAACATGCCTACGATAGGCCCTTGTTGAGCGTCCCGGTCCGGAGCTGGCGGTATTAACTTCATCACTACCAACCCGCGATGGGTTATATCTGAAAATTAAAGGCTCAAGAACGAAAAGCTCCGCCGAAGCTGTTGACTTTCGGATACAAGCAATGATTTTAAGCACATCACGAGCCAAACGTGGGGCAGCTTACCTCATAACTCAACCATCCTCAGAGTTTTCTCGTTGCTTTTTGCTGCTTTATTTCGCGCTTTTTTCGAACAAAAAACGGGCGGGACTGGACCAGGACCAAGCAAGCCCAAGAAGGGCGAGCGTGCATGCATGCGGATACCACTGGTGCTCGGTTCTTCGTATATCTCACATTTGACTGGGGTTATCATGCCCTGGGAGGGATGCGTTGGCCATCTGTATAGTCGGTACGGAGGATGCCTAGTTTGTTGAGGGTCTGTCCTCGTAGCTATCTCTGCCCTGAGGATACCGCTTGTACATTCAACAGCCTGCAGCGCCACCTCTTTCTAGCCTCGTTCTTTTGACTCCGTAGTGAATAGTTCTGTGGGGTGAAGAGGGGGAGGGGTAAGAGATAAGATGTGTATGTGGTCCAGTAAGTTTCAGCATTGGTAGCCACATGTTTTCGCAGTGAACATACAGCCGTTTCAAGCTCGTCTTCGGCTTTTCGGGCACGTATATGGCAGCTCTTCCTGCTGTCGTGTAGGAAAAAGAAACGCCGAGGGCTTAATTGGGCTGAGGACTAACGTTCTGTTGATCTATTGACCGGCGAGGATCGATCTAGATGATATCCGGAAGCCATGCCCGCAACGCGCCTTTTATCTCCAAGAACCGAATCATGTTTCTGCTCCATCCCAGGCCCTAGGATAGGAAGGTTAATTGCGAACCGGTGCATTTTCACCGCTCTTAGTTCTCCATAACTAGTACTGCGTAGTCGTACCGGCATCGCTGGCGCGCGCACGTCTGCATCGTTTCCTTTCTTTTTTTGCTTCCTCTCCTTCTGGTGGTGTTGTTGTTTTGGCTGGTGGTGGGTAATTTAGCTCCATCGGCTTCTCCTTGATTCTCTTCTATCCACCAGTCTCAGAGTCGGTACCACGTATGATAGCTGCACTGTCCTTGTCCCGACTCCAGTTTTTAATGTTTGTGTTCAACAGTTGTCCCTCGTCAAGCTAGGTATAAATAGTTCATATCGTCTTCTCGGCTCGATTGATCTCTCCCCTTTGTTCTCATCGCCCCTCATTCACTTCAAAGCTCCCCCTCCAAAAAATTTCGAAGGTGAGTTATAAGCAGATTCACTTACCTGTCCTCATCTCGCTATAAAGCCAACCAGGCTGAGAACTTTTCACGCAGCAACTCAAACATCCCATCCATCGAAATGGCTGCTCAACTCCCAAAGAACATGAAGGCCCTCAGGTAAGCTTCGTTCTTTCTCTGCCCTCCGAACAAGTGAGATATTGAGCCCGATTCGCTAAATTGATATTCTCCCTGGCAGGTACTCCAAGCCTGAGGAGTTTGGCATTGTCAACATCCCTCTTCCCGAGCTCAGAGAAAACGATGTTATGGTAAGATTGCTTTTGACGTTAGGTGGGGTAACAACAGCAGCAGTGCTGACATATGTGTAGATCAAAGTCAAGGCTTGCGGTGTCTGCGGCACTGACCTTCACATCCACGAGGGTGAATTTTTGGCCAAGGTGAGCTCAGTCAATCGTCCAGCTATGGAAACTCAATGGCTCACAGTCGCTGCAGTTCCCTCTCGTTCCAGGACACGAGACCGTCGGTGTTGTTGCTGCCGTTGGTCCCAAGGTCAAGGGATTCAACATTGGCGACAGAGTTGTTGCCGATAACTCCGAGCTTTGCGGAGAGTGCTTCTACTGCCGCCGCGGTGAGGAGCTCCTCTGTGAGCACTTCGAGGCTCACGGTGTCACCATGAACGGTGGATTCGCCGAATACTGCGCCTACCCCGGTAAGCTAAAGCGTGATTTCCATTATAAACAGGCCTTGTTCTGACGTTGTGACTCTTAGCCGGCCGTGTTTTCAAGATCCAGAACCTCTCCGACGTTGATGCCACCCTTCTCGAGCCCGCTTCCTGCGCTGCTCACGGTCTTGACAAGATCAACCCCAAGATGGGATCCACCGTCCTCATGTTCGGTGCCGGCCCAACTGGTCTCGTGCGTTATTCCACGTAGTTTAGTCGTGTATCCCCGCGGCCTTTATATTCTGACAAAGTTTGATAGGTTCTCGCCCAAATGCTCCGATTGAACGGTGGATGCAAGGTCGTCATTGCCGCTCCTGAGGGATTGAAGATGAACCTTGCTAAGAGCCTTGACGCTGCTGACGAATACGTCGAGCTCTCCCGCAAGGACCCCAGCGCTCAGTTCGATGCTTTGAAAGCCGCCAACCCATACGGTTTCGACATTGTTGTTGAGGCCACTGGCAGTGTCAAGATTCTCGAGGATGCCATCAACTACTGCCGTCGTGGTGGAAAGCTGATCGTCTATGGTGTTTATGCCAGCAAGGACCGTGTCAGCTGGGCTCCATCCAAGATCTGTAAGTTGATTCCTCTTCCTGCGGATATTTAGATGCCGCATAGAACGATTGAAATTTTCAATTGTCTGACATTTTCTTCTCCGTCTAGTCGGTGACGAAATCACCATCCTCGGAAGCTTCAGCGAAACCTACAAGTTCCCTGCTGCCATTGACTACCTTGACTCCGGAAAGGTCAAGGTCAAGGGTATCGTCAACAAGACCTTCAAGCTCGAACAGTGGGCTGAGTGCTTGGAATCCATGAAGAACAAGACCGCCATCAAGGCTGCTATCACCTTCGACTAAATCAGTCGCTTCCCTGGCTGTACTCCTCATTGCCTCGACGCATGATGTTTATGAACTTTTTCTTATGGAGTAGAGCCTTTGGTCTGCTTGATGATTAATGCCTTGGTGGTGCCTTTCATGAATGACGCTTTTTGGTTCTCAGGAAAAAAGGGATACATCTTTTTTTTATTTCTTTGCAAGCTTCAACGGAAAATAGGGCCTTGCTGGATCAAGATATCGGAATAGTGAAGGTATTGGGGGTGTTTGGATCAGCCACTAGGGGCTACTGCCCGCTGGCTCTGTTGTCAAAAAATGACTTCATCCCTAGTTAAATAACATAATAATGGATAGATTCACGACACCATCTGGTCTCTATTTCTCAAGATGTATCAACACCGTGTAAAAACAAGCCTAACAGGATGGAGTTTCATCAGGAAGATGGGATGAAAATGAGGTTGAACAGGCTTGCAGCAGCTTTTCTGCATTTATACTTCCCCTCGCCGGCCACACAAGGTCCCCAATCGGGAAGCCGGTAAAACATTCTTCCGCGATGCGCTTTTGGTGCAGGAAACAAGTCGTGATTCTGATATTCTGATAATCAAAGGCTGAAGAAGAGCCGGTGAGCTGGTAATCACAATGGTTAAGCCACTATCCTTTAAAGGCGATAAAAAGACGAAGAAGAGAAAGCGGCAGCCCGATGACAATGAGGGAAAAGGAATGACCGAACGGTCTACGGCCACCGTGGACGCCGAATCTACAGCTGAGGAAGAAGGTCAGAGTTGGGTCTCTGCCAATGTGCCAACTGATATTTCAGGGCCTGTTTTGATAGTTCTACCGTCTACGCCACCGTCCTGCATTGCATGTGATGTCAATGGGAAAGTATTTGCCAGCGAGCTGGAAAATATAGTCGAGGGAAACCCCAGCACTGCAGAACCACACGACGTTCGACAGGTATGGGTAGCTACAAAGGTTATAGGGAACGAAGGAATTAGTTTTAAGGGGCACCATGGAAGGTACGGATTGAGTCTGCTCAGGACATTTCACCTGCCGCTGAAGAGCTGGCAAAAGACACTGAAGCTAATCATGACAACAAAGATATCTTAGTTGCGATAAATACGGTATCCTAAGCGCCAACTCATCCGCTATTTCGGCCCTTGAGTCCTTCATCCCTATATCTTCTCCCGATTCTCCGGGAATGATATCTCTGCAGATATGTGGCGGTGATATGGAAGCCTACATTTCCTCCAAAGAACCCACCTCCACGTCGGCCTCTTCCAAAACATCTATCGAAGTTCGCGGAGATGCTACCGAGATCTCTTTTAATACCTCGTTTCGGATCAGGATGCAAGCGCGTTTTAAACCGAAGTCAAAATCTGCAGCCGCAAAAGAGAGCAGGGCGTTGGAGAAGATTAGTCGAAAAGAGTTAGAAGAAGCTGTAGGTAGAAGATTGAATGACGATGAAGTTAAGAGGTTAAGAAAATCTCGAAGAGAAGGAAACTATCATGAGGAGATCCTTGACGTTAGGGTTAAAGGGAAACATGATAAGTTCGCCTCGTGAGGCTTATTCCTACATCGTACATACAAGCCGCATAATACGACGCGGCATCTGACAATTAATGACGGAAAGTAGTTCGGGGGATAACAGTGTACAGTGCCACTCCAAAGGCCGCATGTGTACAAGGTGGGAGGCCAGTTTCCATCAATGATACCCAAAACTCCTGTCATCTTAGGTCCCTATATCAGAAATACGAAATACCCCGGGCCGAGATATTCAAGCTTGGCTGAATGACATATCTGCAACAATAATATTAACTCGTCATTATCGTAAGGCGGAAATACCGCCATCATAACATATACACACTGTCCTCTCGCCGGCGAGGACAAATCCCATAACAATATACAAACTCCCCTATGAACAACCCACAGATCCAAGAACGTAAAAGTCAACGCCATCGCTCCGGATATCACCCGTAACGCATGCATAATGTAAAAAACTCCCCAAGACTAGCAAAGGATGATGATATAAATACGATTCGTAAATCGAGGTTGTTGACATGAACCTATTGTGAGCCTGAAAACGTCACCTAAGTATAGGGAACAGTCTATGTAAAATTTTAAGCCCTAGAGAAGAAGTTAGAATTATATATGGAGGGTAAATATTAAAACTTAGGCGGAATGGACAATAGTTCTTACATCTGGGCCTCGCGGCATCCCTCTCTCTCTCTTCGTCTTCCACCATCCGATTATTACCAAGCATAGCTAAAGCTCTTTGACGCATCGCCTCCTGCCGCTCAATGCTGCTTACGGTTTCGATGCGCTGTCCGGCCGGGAGAGATGTTAATGGGATCCCTGAGGTAGTATTGCTTGAATCCCCGCGCTGGCGACTTCGTTCTTCTTGTATTCTCCTAGCAAGCCGTTCTTGACGAACCATCAAGTTCGTTACCTTTTCTGGGAAATAGCCAACTGGGAGGACGCTAATCTTGCACACAGGGCACAGGCTACTGTTTTGCAACAAGAAGGTATCAATGCATCCTGGGTGAAATATGTGGCGGCATGGGAGTTCCCGAACGGTAGTTTCACCAGGGGTATAATCTTCGAGGCAGATAGGGCATGTGCATTGCGAGAATGTTAGCTGGCCGAGCTCCTGCGTCGTAGGCGTGGATTGGGGCCTGGCCTCTCCCCATCTTCTTCCAATTTTGGCAGCTGGCGTACCAGCCGCAGCTCCCCTAGAATTGCCGCCAAACCATTGTGAGACAAAACCTCGGACGGTAGGTTTCTTGCTTTCTGAAGGGTTAGATGTCGGTGCTTGGTCGATATTCAAAGGGGCTGCCGTGACGGCCGGGGCTGCGGCCATTATGTTCCCATCGTTGGCATAAGTATAGCGTGGCATTTTGTCGAGAAAGTGTTGTGGTACATTTAACCGTTTGATACCAAGCATCTCCAAGTCTACCTCTCCTGCCCGAATTCTTCTTTGTAACGACAGGCGCCGACGTCTTTGGAGGAAGCGCATCACGATAGATGATATGATTATAATAACAATGAGTATCCCAAGTACGGCGAGAAGGAATATCCAAAGATTCGGCATCAAGCTCTGACCTCGCGCTATCAAAAATGTTAGCCGACGGGTTCCCCTAACTTGAGTTATATACCAGATATCCATTACCAACATCGATACGAGCGAATAGCCTAGCCCGTGCCCCAGGATCAAATTTGCTGTCAAGTAGATCTCCATGGGGAGCAGACGACAAGTTCCCAGAATATATAGATATCTCATTGATCAACTGTTGCCCAGGCCCGCCGGGAATAGCATAGACCGGAAAGGGGTGGTTTAGTTTCCATGTATCGTCATTATCCAACTTCCAGACAGTATCATTTGCCAGTGGCGGTTTATTGTTTGAGCCATTTGGTAAGTAAAAGATCGATCCGACAGCACGATCGTCCTTTGCGGCATCCAAGAATGAAAGCGTGCAGTTCGGCGATATCCATGGAGCCAGCGCAAGAAGAGCACACGGAGGCTTTAGGAAGTCTGAGCGTCGGGTTACGTTGGCGGGAATCAGGCTCTCAGCCTCTGCATTGCACTCATCGTTGTGAGAAAGCTGGGGCACATATAATAGCCCGCTAATTGAATCCCCAGGTCCGCTGGATGAAAGAGTTGTGAGATTTCCACCTATGTTGAGTTGATAGGATATCGTCTCCTAAAGAAGCTCTATGTCAGGATTCAACAATTCGATGATGAGCTTTAAGAGGCTCTCACGTTAAGGGCGATTGGGTTTTCGCATGTCGGCCCTGGTAGAACCAGCGTGCCAGCCCGAAATGACGATGCTGAGCGATGGCGTGTAAGCGTGATATCGTGGAAGCGACCGGATAACAAACGAAAAAAGGCCCACACTTACCCATGAATTATATATAGGATATAGGACCAGCAAGGGCTTGATGGGTAAGACAGCGCAAGCGCAGTCCGATTTCGGCTTGTTTCCTCTACCGTTGTCCCACCGATAGAATCCGGGATTGCGGGCAAGGAAATTATATAACAGGAATGTGTTCGACACAAGTATGGCCTTGGGGTTGCTATTAAGCATTTATAATTAGCCCCGTTCCCAGCCGCAAATCATGCTGTCCTAATACGACCAGGCCTCGTTGCAATTCTGCGCCCGGGTGCCGGGGGCCAGGATTGACTCGCTTGAATACGACGACAAATGTTAATCTTGGGCGCTAATCAACTCCCGGGAGGTATTTATTCACGAAGACCAGTAATCAAGTGTGAAGTGGAGGCGGAGAGCGGCGATCAACTTCTCACGCAGGTTTCGTGATCCAAGCAACAAGTGCTCACGGCTACATGATGCGGGATGCATGGGTGGGCATCCTGGATGGCAGCAATATGAAGTTGGGGCTGACGCGGGGGGGGATGTTGGAGAGCGCTAGCAAGCCCCTAATAATCGCACGACATTCCAGCCTAATAAGCACTTAGAGCTTGGCTTGTGGCCCATGAGGGCAAAAATGATCGATCCCTCGAGCCTGCTATATTTATCAAGCTCAAGATCGTCCATTTTCCTTAGATGTCAACCGTGCGCAATGCGTATCCCGTAGTTAATGTGAAACGATAAAGATCGCAGCTATGAAGCCCGCTGGATATGACTTTCTCGAACTTGGTAGCCACGATTTTTTCCTTTATTGGCATCTGGCATGTACTCCGACTCTGTACGTATGGATGCCCGTTTTCAATTATTAATAGAAGCCATGGGACCTTCGCGCTCGGGTCTTTCTGCCGCTGGGAGATGGCTGCTGTGTTCTGTTCCAATCATCTATCATCTTACATGTGCCACACAGGTAACCGCGCCACAGGATAGACGTATATTTGTACCAAACTGCCCTGAATCGAGTCAGTCGTGTCAAGTGAAGGTTCGCTACCCGTAACTGGAATTTTATTCCTTCCCGGCTCCTCCGGAAAACAGGCAAGTTCCTATTGATTTTGAAGAGTTATCAATAATGGATAAGAATTTGGGATTATCATGAGGTCTAAGCCACAGAGCATCCCATCCTTCTCTGCTTTTCATGATGTAGTTATGCTTTCCCAGGCTTGGATCATCAGGGTGCGTATTTCAGCGTACTGCGTCTAAGCAAGGAAGCTCGCGAACATGGGTCGGCTTTTATTGACCGGACCAGCTTATCGTAGCACACGGAGATCTAGAACAGTTAGCGATGATGGACTAAGAAAGGTAAAAAGTGAGAGGTTCGCCTACAGATCATATACTCACTAGCCACCTATATTTGGAATCAGTGACTTGCACCCAGCGTACACTCCATACACCTTCGAGAACGTTTAGCGATGTACGTGCAAGCGTGTCAGTGGCTTGAAAGTCGCTTCTTTCCCCCAAAATGCGTTTTGCTTATGTCAAAATAAGGTTCTGTGATTATATAAGGCAGCATGATTACTAACAGGGTTCGGCACGGGCCAAGTTCGAAACGGGGCAAAAATGCGTCAATGCGGCGAGTTTGTTCAACGACATCAAGAAACGCGAGTTTTGCAGGTTGAAGGGGATGATACAGCGCAGTCTCCGAGCCCCCGAGACACATTATACCGGCCTGCGAGTCCTGTTCGAGCTGATTCCACCGCCCCAGACGTTTCGACTGAGTTTCCCGGCCGTCTTGTACCCCGTCCTACCGCCGCCGAGCCTCCGTTATCACCACTGCGCGCCCCCAGCACGATGGCTCCTGGCCTCGGGAATAAGAACAAGGGCAAAGGTCGCGAACCCAGGAGCTCCAGGAGCCGTAATACCACGCCCAGCTCTGCCCTAAGCACCAGCGCTAGCACCGTGACCGGGATTAGCTTGTCCATGGGGTATCTCGATAACGATGTTTCTAAGCTTCTCGTCCCGACTGCCGTGCAATATTCCGATATTCTTGAGAAATTCGGAGGAGCAGGCCAAATTCCAGACCAGAAGTCGCTGGAGTCGCTCGTGGACCAGCTCAAGACTCTCGGTCAGCTTGCAGAGACCAGGGAAGATGCGTGCAATGCTGGAATGAGAGAATTGTCGCAAAGGCGAAAGGAGGTTCTAGAGGAGCAGAGGGAGCGGGAACAAGTGGGCCGTGATGCCGAGGAAAGGTTAAGGATGAAGAGGGAAGCTGACGATGACGAGGAGGAGGCTCGGATCCTCAAAGGAGGGAGAATAAAAAAGAGGAAGGAGAAAAACATACCCAAGGAGGAACGGCCACTGTCACACGGTGCGCATGGTGTTGCAAGGCAGGACGGGCTTGACGTGAAAGCTGACGGTAAGCGGGAACCCTGGTTTACCCATTGAGGTAGACAGCGACGTGGTCTTGGTAACGATCTATTACTAACTCTCACGTTTAGCACCCCATAAACGAGGGGGCAAAGACACCAGCCTGGGTTCACCTTCCAAAAAGTCACGGAACCAGGCGTCAAGCGCATCATCTCTCTCGCCGCCTTCCCTCCAATCACCTCCTCCAGCTACCGCTGGATCAACCGCAGGCAGTCCCGAATCTGTGGATAGTTCCGATTCCCATCAACCGGAGCCGGCACCCGCCGTCCACCAATATCAAGTTTTTGGACCTGACCCCTTGGCGTTCGATGACCCTACTGTATATCACATTCAAGATGTCACGCCCGATATGTCAGTTGACGAGAAGAAGAAGATATACAGTGTGGCGAGCTTCCCGGAATCGGACTTGAAGCATATGATGGCAGGCGAGCCGCCAGACAAGGATTTCAGCAATGCAAAGCCCACAAATCAAGTCAGTGCCAACACATTTGCAACATATCTTGAATCATATGTGCGGCCCCTTACCGAGGAGGACATCGCCTTTCTAAAGGAAAAGGTAAGTGCCCTGACTTAGTGATTTTCAAATTATATACAGAATCTAACCTTCGTCACATAGGGCGACCGTGCTACTCCTTTCCTCATGCCCCGTCGTGGGAAGAAACATTACACAGATGTTTGGGCTGAGGAGGACGGCTTAAATGTAGATTCGACCGGCCAGGACCGAGATAAGCTGCCCCTAAATCAGGGCCGAGGTAGCATTGAACAAATCACAGATGATACTGCTGAGACAGATCAGGTTTCTGTTCCCCCCATGCTCAGTCGTCTGTACTCTCTTCTTCGCTTTGAGAATCGCACCCTCCCAGACGACTCGGCCCAGCCTGGGAATGAAGACGGGGCCGTGAATGGAAGTATGAACATTGACGGTCCAATGGATATCGACCACCCTAATGGAGACACAGAACCAAAAGCTCTAAATTCAGCCACAGCGTTCCCCGAGTCATCTCTAGGCGGATTCAAAGTACCCGCAGCTAAACTGGATCATGCCCAACTAGATGAACGACTCAAAGCAGAACTGCGATATATCGGCTTCTTAGGGCCCGATGATAACCCGGATTATGACGCCCATTATGACGACGATATTGCCGAACGACTTCGCATTCTACAATCGGAACTCAAGAAGCAAATGATTGTCAACGGCGCACGGAAAACTCGTCTGCTAGATATAGCCCGCGAGCGCCTAGCTTATCAGGAATATAGCACCATCCACGACGATCTTGATACTCAAGTGCAACAGGCATACCTCAAGCGAACACGCACGCTAGGCAAGAGCAAAAAGGGCTCGCATGCAAAGCATAGACCTGGCGGGGCAGGTGGAGGTAGTCATGCCGTTAGTACTGCAGGCGTTGGGAGACCGGGCATTGGTGATATGGCACGTACCCTTATGGATCGTCGTAAGAGATGGATTGATTGCATTGGTCCTGTCTTTAAGGATTGCAAGACTACCGTACCGGGTAAAGATGAAACGATCTGGGATCCAATATTAATGGCGGAGTGCGAGAAGGCGGAACTAGAAGGATGGGACGAAGAACAAGAATGAATAACGAATTTTTTCTTGTATATACCATTTGGAGTTCCGCCCTTACTGTATATATTTTTGGGGGGTTGTTATATGGTCTTATACGTTATATGGAGTCGTGGGAAGGTGGATTGTGGGGGTTGGCGTATTAAGGGTCATGGAATGAGTTGAAGCTAAGTCTCGCAGGTAGAGAGTATCAAAATGGTAAAAAATAATTTACAAAATTGATATAGATGCTTCCAGAGCAGCTGTTCGCTAGTGTCTCTATTAAGAGTGGATTATAACAACCTCTCGAGGATACCGCTTCAGTCTCGAGGTAAGCTCTTTATCGGTAATCTCCAGTTCTGTGCAAATCTGATCGAAACAATGTGTCCCGTCCAAATGTTTGGCCAGAGTCTTATTATCTATACCATAGTCACTTCCCTCGCCGTACTCATCCGCATCCGAGTCATCGTCGTCGAACTCCTCCTCATCGCCATCATTCCCTTCATCGTCATATCGACGAAGGGGACGACGGCTACGTATCCTGTCTCGAGGAGAGAGGGTAGACGCAGATTTCGACAGAGGTTTGCTAGTCGACAGTGGATCTATATTGCTTGCGGTTGACCCATGGCGGTCACGGGTGAATGAATGAGAAGATACACTGCCTATATCTCCCGCAGTTGCTGCTCCCAAGTTATATCCAGCCATTGGAGACGATGAAGGGAATTGGTTTGATGGTTTCCGTTGATGGTGATGGCTCTGTATAACGCGTCCAGTTGCAAAAGGATACTTATGTACCCTATATAAAAATCCTTTGATGACTCCAAAGGTAATGAAACGGCGTACATCAATATTTGCGAGTTCACGCATATGTTTCAGATACCATTGTTTGACTGTCTGGCCCTGTCTCAGGCTCGCGTATAATTCAACAAGACCGACACCATCGACAATCGTCTTGGAATTAAATTTGCTCGCGCCCTCCCCTGACGCTGACGGGATTGAAGTATCGATCTTTGGCCAGATGCTATCGTGTTCTATCCATGGGTCATCACTAGCCATAGATATTCCATGGCTTGAGCGGGGCACTGAGCCTTTGTGGTGTGATGCGGATGCAGAGGTAGCTGCGCCAGATGTCGATTTTGGCACTGGCGAGGGGCCACCAATGGGTGCAAAACGTATATTAACATACCGCGCGCATTCGCATTGCATCTGCTTGTCCGGGACAATAGTAGAGCTAAACTCGGCTGTAGGAGCGTATATAGCCGAGAAGGAAAATATATCCAGAAGAAAGGCGCATCCGTAGTAGATTAGATGGCGAATTGCACGGCAGGTGAGGGTGAAGTCTGCATCCGATAGGATGGAGATTTTATGAACACTGTTGATCCCATTTATATAAGGAACAATCTACGCCTAACATTAGCACTTATGTTGAAGGGTACACGGTAAAAAAGGAAAAGTCTCTCATACCCTTCTCATAGTTAGGTCCCAGTTTTCATCCATAAACGTTTCACACCGAACAGTGAAAAGCGGAACATGCCATGCTTTCACAATGGGCGGGGAGGGATATAGCGGAAACAGTTTGACGTTTAGAGTATTCAATTCATCTGATAATGAAGCAGAATGGTCAGCATAAGAGAAGAACGACCTGGGCATTATTCGAGTAAACAATAAGCATACCAATTGGAATCATGCACTCGTAATAATTATTCAAGTCTTCCATCAGAGTCTCGCACAAACTATATACCTTCCCCTCGCCGTCCTTGGACGTATCCTTGGACAGGAAACCCGACTGCTCTTCAAGCCCACATAGCAAGTGCGCCAGCTTTTGCACTACACTCTTATATGTCCCCCATTCGTCCTCTTCACTGAGAACGACGCAAAAATTGAAGATGAATTCGTTGCGGTCATATCGGGGTGATTTCATGCAGACGGGGGATCCGAGTATTCGGTGGCCGCCGGTACATACATGGATGAGGTTTCCACATAGCTCTTGTCGCGGAATCACAAAGAAGGAGACGTCGGAGAAGCTGAAGAGGGGAGAAGTGCCTGGAGGGGCAGTGGGAGAGGGCACGATGGCTCCATCTGGGACCTGATGAACGACCTTCGGGCCTATATAGCGAGCGGGATGTTAGCATGGGTAAGCTTATTATCGTGTATATATAGACAGCCACAGCGTTTAATGGCCTGTTGATGCGCTGCATAGATAGGAGGTAGTTTGCTTGCCTGATTGAGTGTCGAATCGGCTGTAGAAGATGGCTTTAATCATCGTTCAGTCGCGGTTCTCATAGAGTAAAGAGGACGACCCGATAACGGTGACATAGCTCTCAACCGCAGTATGTCCTTCCAGCGGCAGACTCTAGAAGTCAAATGTTGCTACCGTCGTCTGGTTCATGGCTGTCTATACCTATCGGCGATATTGCTGGCGTTGATATTAGTCATTAGCTCTCAGCCTATACAAAATACTTCGAGTTACATTATTTAACCGATACTTGCTACAAATACCTTAGACTTGTGATAAACACTGAAAGGATTCTTTTCTAGAAGACTAGTAGCTATAGTATATTTGCTGCGAAGAGAATGTGAACCGCGTTCCCCTGAGTGATTACAGACAGGCAAGACAGCAATATTAAGATGCATTACATAGAATGCAGCAGGCATCTTCTTTTCATGGACACAAAATGAAAATATGCAGAAGGCCTTGGTAATGTGATTACAAACATCGCATGCTTGCTCAGGGATATCATGAAGTGAATGAGAATAGAACATATGCCGAAGGTACGAGCAAGATAAAAAAGGAGGAGCCGTCAAATGGTAAGATGTCGAGACTGCAGCAGAACGAAGAAAAAAGACAGATCTATCCATAGCCGTAAATTTCTTGAATGTAAAAACTGTGATAACCGAGTATCAATGAGATGAAAGACGGGCCTGCCTAAGCGGCCCTCTCCCTTGAACGCTATTTTCAGAAGCTGTCCCAGGATGTGAAAAACGCCGATGAGAGAAGGAAATAGCAAAAGAGGTAAAGTCTCCTGTGTATCATTGCGCCGTAAAATGCCTGAATTAAAGAATGGAATCACGGAATGGGGAAATGGAGACGAGGCCGAAGACGGAGACGAAGACCTGGCGAGTAGTTTCTAAGGGAAACGCGCCTGGTAATTTAGCTTGGTAGTTTAGCTGTGGTGAAGGTCTCTTCTTGATGCCTGGTTGGAAACGGTGGACGGAGGATGTATGGTAGCGCCCGCTGTTGAAATCGGGGCTAGAGATGATAGCATATCATTGCCGGTTATGGCTGGTAGCCTTGAGCTGGCAGAATGGTGCGTGCTCATCTGGGGAGTAGCTAAGCTCGATGCTCCAGATACCGGTGCATGGGAGTGTTGTTGCTGATGCTGATGTTGATGCTGATGGTGCGATGAGACTCCTCTGTGCGTGAAATCAATGGCGCGGCCTTCCCGAATTGCATCAAGCATGTCCGTGTAGCCACCCCGTTCAATGGCTTCCTTCAGCCACTGCTCCCATATCTCGTCAAGGGCAACATTGATCCCCCGCTCTCGAGCTGCCGTAGCCTCCAGGAGATGTTCGTTCAGTGCCACGCCGTAGCTTTCTAGATCCTCGTCGCTGCTGCTGTCTTCCGTTCCGCTCTCTCCTGTGACGGGCCCGTTGGTCTCGGATCCGGCGTTGCTCGACAGTACTGGTCCATCCGGAAGTCGGGAGCGCGAGCAGCTGGAGTCTTCTCTTCCATCTTGCAGGCTGTGCACCTGCACTGAGGGGGGCATCAAGGGAGCTGCCGGCTTGATCTCGTCTGCCGTGGTGTCCCTCACCTTCACCCCCGTGTCCCGCTCATAGCGCTCCCTGGCCGACTTTGTCCCCTCCCAGCGACATAGAGACGCGATCTCAGCTTCGGTCAGGTTGAGTTCGTCGAAGACTCTGAATAGCTTTTTGTGGTGATGAAACCGGCCTAGTCTCATACGGTGAGGGGCGTACGAGTAGTCTAAGCCGGGATATTGAGCCTCGATACAGTCCAGCGTCCCGTAGAAGGTCGAAGTCTCTACCCGGACTTCGGGAACGAGGTTTCTGGTGATGTGTGAGGAGAAGGAGGACGGGTCGTTCCCGCGCGGCTTGCTGAAGAGCGCGTTGTAGACCAGATGGGTGAGCGAGGGCTTATGCATGGCTCCAACGCAACACGGTGTGGCAGTGTTCCACGATGAGTTCAGGCGAGTTCAGGTGAGGTCGAGGCGAATTCGAGGAGGAGGTATAGATAGCAGGAGTAGGGGCTGAGATGTGGGAGAGAACTGCTGCCCGTCCGCCGCTTGGGTCGCTATTTAGTGGCAGCAGCTATGGATGCGCTTAGCATGCAGCCGAAGCCTGGGCCATGGATGGGATCAACGCAGCTAGAGACAGCCTCGATAGTATGCCGAATAGAGCTATTGCTGCCTCTCGTTTGCCTTTCCGTTGCTTTTTCTCAGCTAGGATTGCGGATGTGTTCCAACAAGGCTGGACTTGAGACTGCAGCTATTGATTGTCTTAGACGGTGTATACGCTGGGTCGACAGTCAAGGTTGACAGGCCTGTGAAACTACTCCGGCCTCGTTTTGAGACAGCCCGGCGGTTATCTGTTTAAATATCACTTTCGGTACGGGCTGCTGGATGGCCTGAGTTGGTGACCGCTGCCCATCACACGCCGCAGACACAATCCTGAACTCGGGTGGCACTGGTCAGTGAAACGAAGGTCATCTGAGGGCAGGACGAGGATGCTTATACGCTCCACTCACTTCTCAGCTGTATAGAAGCTATCCTTCGGTCAGTTCGGGTCTTCAGGCGAGTCGCATCATACATGAGCTTCTATATACGGGGATTTTGCTCTATGATGCAAGAAGCGGACTCATCAGGTGGTGACGAAGATATGCCCAAGGATCTACGATGGCCCTTTTATATATACTCCCTTGAGTCGCGCCATGCCTGTCCACCCTGCACCGCTTCGTGGCTACATCTACTTGGGCTAACTCGCCGTCGAAACCCCGTCGACCGACCGACGTGGGCGGGCGCTCTCTCCGACTGCTTCGATGCGTGGTTGGCCTGCAGATTCTGCGGTGGAGAAGGACCAGCGACGCATGCCAGCCAGCAACCTAACTCCTACTCACGTCCTCCTGTGCATATGTCGTGAGCTCTGGCGGTTGGTGAGGCATCAGATTCGTGGCAAATGAGGTGGCAGCTCGTCTGCGGGAGCCCTATCAACTGGCCGGTATACGAGGCGTGAGTGCATTTAGCAAGAGTATGATGCATCGACTCAGGGAAGAATGTTCCGTCCAGATATGCGAATAAGCAGCCGGGGTCCTGCTCTCCATTTTTCCCTGACCCTGGGCAAGGTCGCATGTCTGTCCGACCGTCTTTCTCAAGGCCTGAAGCAGAGAAGACCGTATAAGGCGTAGGTGGTACATAGTAGTATCTGACGGTTGCTCTATATCAACGTCAGTATCAACGGTGTCATCAATATAGTATCATCATTAACAGGAGAAAGATACGACTTAAGCTTCAAATACTCCTTTGACGAAGAATTTAGCCGTGGTGGAGCGCACTTGGCAAGGAATAAATAGTTTCTAAATAATAATAAGCTCTAGGCTGACGACAGGCAACATCTCGCTATTGTCGATATATGTATCGTTTGTCGATGGAAGGCAAAAGTGTCAGGCAGATCTCACTTTGCGATGTCGACGTTCAACGGCGTCGTCGAAGGTCTGTCTCGCCCGTCGCTCACTTTTGATAGCCGCTGACTCGAGTCACAGAATTCCCGTATATCAGAAGTAATACATACCGGCATCCAGGAATAAGACCGAGCTGACAAGTAGACAGTCGACAGCTTCCGGAAGAATCCAGGGAGACCTGCACCGCTGGCATGTTTTCTCAGCCATGTCCACAGCGACCATCTCATGGGCCTCGAGTCCCTCAGGGCGCCGTTCGTCTACTGCTCAGCGGCCACTCGAGAGGTAAGAGGCTGCATACCAGCTTTACGATACCCGTTATATATTGATGGCAGTGTCTAGATACTGTTACGGATCGAAAAGTACCCCCATCGTATGAACTTTAGCAAGGGGATCCTAGAGTCTAGAAAGCAGCATTATAAACATCTAGCCAAGTTGCTGGTGAGTTGAAGAGCAAATATTATGCCACCTGAGCATGGTTGATCATACGTTATTCCTGCAGAGACCGATTCCGTTGCAGGTGCCAACTGAAATTGAGCTTATGCCTGGGAACACGATAAGGGTCACCCTTTTCGATGCCAACCACTGTCCCGGTTCGGTGATGTTTCTGATAGAAGGCGGCGGCAAGGCGATACTGTACACGGGCGACATCAGGGGTAAGTACCGCATAACTCCCGATATCCCAATATCCCACACTAAATAAACACCTCTCAGCTGAAATGTGGTGGGTTCAAAGCCTCGTCAGAAACCCCGTCTTGATACCGTATACCATGGGAGACAGTCGGCTGAACAATATATACCTGGATACAACATTTGCTACCAAGTCTGATATTCATCAAGATTTCCCTTCCAAGGCAGATGGAATACGAGAGCTCTTGAGTAAAGTTAAGGAATATCCAAAGGATACTTTATTCTACCTGCGGAGCTGGACGTTCGGCTACGAGGACGTTTGGTTGGCTTTATCCACCGCCCTCAATACAAAGGTAGCCTCACCTACCCACGGACTTCTGGCTAGACGTCCCCAGCTGACTAAGTTGTTAGATTCATGTTGACCAATATCAACTTGGCCTATACAAGTCACTAACCGCTAGGTCAGGTAATGGGTTCGGAGTCGACGATTCATTATATCTATGTGGTTTCCCGCTGGGGAACTCTTCAGCATCAGGATGCCTCACACACGATCAATCCGTTCGTGTCCATAGCTGCGAGCCAGGTGTGATGTGCTCTAAGATATCTGCTGGAAAATCAGTCTACATCACTCCTATAATCACACGAACCAAGGAAGGGTATGAAATACCAGAGGTCGGTGCGGGAGGTGGCAAGGGAGACCTTGAGCAGAGTCATGAGCTTGAATTACCTGATGACGCAACCTTTCAGCTTCTATTAGACTTGTGCAAGGAGCAGATAAAAGAGCCTGAGACGAGGGATATGGCTATTTCAGCTCTGACGAAGGCGTACGAGTCAGGAGGCAAGGCGATACCTTTGGATGACTATGGGCTTAAGGAGGAAGAAGAAATTCCGTTGGCGAGACTCGCCGGTATAATTGGACAAGGCTTACAACAAAAGGCAAAGGAGCCTCTACCGAATACGATCGTAAGCATACTCTATTGGCTGTCCTATATGAAGTAACTAACGCTGTACATAGAGATTCCCCTATTCTCGGCATTCATGCTACTCCGAGCTTTGCCAACTAGTCGCAGCTTTTAAACCCGAGGACGTATATCCATGTACAGTTGACTCTAATTCATGGAACGAGAGGGTATCTATGCAAGCCCTATTCGGTCACTTGTGTTCCGGAACCACATTCAGTCACGACAAAATGATGCGAAGAGAGTTGCAAGGTGAGGGTTACAGACCGTTAAAACGACAACGACGTGCAAGTGATACCCCCTCCGAAGCATTATCAACCCAACGTTCAAATCTAGATGTGCACAACGAACCCGAAGGACAGGAATCACCATTCATAGACTCTCACGCAAACCAGCCAGAGGAAAGGCAATGTAGTCCTCCAGATGGAGAACAACAGGGCGAAGACGATTCTATCGACGACTATCCTACCTCATTTCCCACGCAGCTGACAGGCCAATCATCAGAATCGCCTACCACAAGATTCAAAGCAATAAAACAAGCGATGCAGCAGAACTTTAGTAACGACGAGATCAGCTTCTATTTACCTTCCTTTACTGATTCTCAGCCAGACGCAGAACCCACTTCCCATCAACAGGTACAGGTAGCAGAGGTAGAACATGTTTCTATACATTCGCAACCTGCAGCGTCTCAAGAAGAACTTCAGCAGGAGCAGGAAGAGCTTGACTTACAGCTAAGTTTAAGCGTTTCTCACACGTTTACTACCAACGAGGGAAACGGTAATGAGGAGGACGAGGAGGAAGATGACGACGACGACGATGACGATGTGGAGAGCATTATATCGCTTTCGACTTCCGCGTTCCTCTCCCAGCCTACCGTGAAGCCTGCCGGGCAGGTGAACCACGAAACGGCAGATATGGTATTAGTTCCATCATCGGCTCCGGGTCCAGAGACGGACCTGGAACTAGAGCCCTGCAGCTCTAGTGCACGCTCATACGTGAGGAAACAAATGCGTATAACTGCCTATCGAGCTGCTAGGAAGGGAACGTATGAGGCCTGGGCGGATACGTGCCCCTTGATCAGTGTGCGGGACAACCATACACACCCGGAGATCGAACTGTGACTGACTAGAAGGATATACCCTTTGTTTTTATGTTTTTTTATGATACCCTTTATAAGCTATATGCGCGCAGTACACAACACATATATACATATACGGGCGAAAAATGCTTAGAATATAATATATAGGAGACGTTTCGTGAATAAAATACATTCTTTTAAACGTACCTCCCAAACCGCTACCGCTACCGCCGTCGTCCTCGGTTTTTTTTTTTTTAAGCTTAGTATATGAAGTAATCATGTCCCAAGGGTAGAGTATCGATCGGGTCAGCATCGCATACCACCCCGTCTGCTTCAACGGTCTATACCCAATATTAGTCAATGTAATAGAAAAAGGTTAAGAATCAGGGTGGAGAAACATACATAGCTCTCCGGATCAACTCTCATCTTCGGCATGGCTTGGTTAAACTTCATATCGATTTTACCTATATTTCTGCAATTCTTGACTGGTTCGACTCTCTTCTTGAGGCCGTAGGTGTCAATTACCCCATCGTCGACGGAGGCTTGGGAAACGAAGATGATAGATGTGCTAGGCACGTAGGTCTGGGAAGACGTTAGTTCGTACGACGTAAGGGGGTAGATAGTAAGAACAGGGGAAACGTACAGCCCACATAGGCCGGGACATAATCGGTTCAATGGTTGGGATGGATCCATTTGGATCGCCCTATTAAACGAATTAGCTATCGACTTATTCACTAGATATTAGGAGATTATTTGGAGCAAACTGTACCATCTGTGCATTTGCAATCATGCCACCCTTCAAGACAAGGCTGGGCTTGACGCCAAACTCGGCGAATTTCCACAATACCAGGTCCGCTGCCTTGCCCACCTCCACGCTACCGATGATATGGCTCATGCCCTGTGCGATGGCTGGGTTGATGGTATATTTACTCACATACCGCTTAGCTCTGAAGTTGTCACAGTCGGTTCCCTCGTCTTCTGGCAACGGGCCGCGCTGCAGTTTATTCTTATGTGCCGTATGCCAGGTGCGGAGTACGACTTCTCCACAACGTCCCATGGCCTGAGAGTCGGAGGACATCATGCTTATAGCGCCGAGGTCGTGCAGTACGTCTTCGGCAGCGATGGTTTCGGCGCGAATACGGGACTCAGCGAATGCTACGTCTTCGGGAATTTGTTTTGATAGATGGTGACAGACCATTACCATGTCAAGATGCTCGTCGAGGGTGTTGAGAGTATACGGTCTGCTTGGGTTGGTACTGGACGGGAGAACGTTGGGATGTTCACACACGGATATGATGTCTGGAGCGTGGCCACCGCCAGCACCCTCGGTGTGATAGGTATGGATTACCCGATTCTTGAAGGCCTTGATTGTCTGTTCGACGAAGCCGGATTCGTTCAGCGTGTCGGTGTGGATGAGGCATTGGACGTCTAGTTCGTCGCAGACGGAAAGACAGCTGTCGATTGCTGCAGGAGTAGCACCCCAGTCTTCATGGACCTTGAGGCCCGCGGCGCCGGCACGGACCTGGTCTCTGAGACCGCACTGTTCGCTATCGTTGCCCTTACCGGTGAAGGCGAAGTTCATGGGGAACCCGTCCGAGGCCTGGATCATTTGGCGGATGGAGTTTGGCGAGGGAGTACATGTGGTTGCGTTTGTGCCTTCGGATGGACCCGTGCCACCTCCCAACATGGTCGTGATACCGGATGCCAGTGCCTCGTTGACTTGTTGTGGACAGATGAAGTGAACATGGGTATCGATACCACCGGCGGTGATGAACATTCTTTCGCCGGCCATGATATCTGTAGACGAGCCGATGATCATACCTGGCGTGACACCATCCATGACATCTGGGTTACCAGCCTTGCCGATACCGACGATAATGCCGTTTTTGATACCAATGTCCGCCTTGTAGATACCCGTCCAGTCGAGGATGACTGTGTTGGTGATGCAGGTGTCCAGGACGTCGTGTGCATGTTTACCAGTTGCCTGGCCCATGCCTTCTCTCAGCGACTTTCCTCCGCCAAACGTACATTCATCGCCGTAGGTGGTGAAATCTTTCTCAACCCTAACCCATAGATCGGTAGCAGCCAATTTGATCAGATCTCCCGTCGTGGGCCCGAACATGCGAGCATACGCCTCGCGTGTCATCGAATACGGCTCAAGCAAGCTCGCATCACTCATAGGCTCCGGCGTATGGAAGAATCCAGCTTTCCTGATGCGCTGTAGAATTCTCGACGAACGGTCCTGGTCAATTACCCCCGTAGCAAGAAAGTTACCACCCTTAATCACCTTGTGGCCACCGATTTCGACGAGCTGGACGGTCTTTGACTCTCCCGGTTCAAACCGATGGGATGTGCCAGCCGGTATATCAAGACGATACCCATACGCCTGTGCCCGATCAAAGTCCAGCTGCGGGTTAGTTTCGATGAAATGATAATGCGAGCCGACCTGTATCGGCCTGTCGCCTTTACTCGTCACCCTGAGCTTGATCCTCTTCCTTCCCGGGCTGAGAACGATCCGCTTGTCCTTGACGACGATGAGAGCCCCCGGCATGCGTTCAGACCGGTACTCCTCCGGATCGGGGTCTGGGAAGATATCATCTGGCGGAACGGGCAGGAAACTACCGTACAGCGCCTTTTCCAGATCCCCGTCATCCGAGCAGATGGGATGATGGACTGTGACCAGGTAAGTTCCGCAGATGAAGGTCCCTTCTACCTGGAGCTGGGTCAAACTGGCCACCACGGACGGCAGGACATGACGACGACCGAGCATCGTCTTGCCGATGGCCATGAGGTCGGCCACCGTATGGTTCCCATCACGTATGAGCTGGTATTCCCTTCCTATCAGCACTTTGCATGCATCTATACATGGGGGTGTTGCCCGTGTTTCATCTGACGTACCTCTTGGAGGTTGGACGATATCAACGCCGTGGCCTCAGCATGATTCAGCCTGACGCCGCGCGCCAGTCGTCTCTGAGCCAGGAACCCCAGCTGCGAGATGGTAAGTTTATCGATCTATAGCATCCCGATGCGAGGACGGCGGCTCGTTAGTAAGGTCGTTGCAGGACGCGGTATGATGGAGCACACCCAAGCATTGGCAGCGATTGGGGGACCAGTCAGGAACGCACCTCTCTCGGGACAAGGCGCATCGTAGCCAAGCACACGAGCAATACCTAGTAGTTACCTAGTAGCTAGCGAGATCGGTGGGATAGCTTCGTTCGTGATATGGAGGATGGATGGTTGGAGGATGGACGTCCAACTCTCATATTTGGGGGAACTTGTTTAGGAGTTGATCCCCCTCTGCCGAGGCTTCCTGCCGCTAGGCCAGCTGTAGCCGGCGCCGCAACCAGGCACAGAGTTAGGGAGCAAGAGGACAGGGAGCATGTAGATAAGACTTTTGAGGCTAGACGATACTGTGGCTAAAATACACACGATAACACTAAACATGATAAAGGACAGAGAGATCACTCGTCGACGCCGCTCTTACGCTTCTTCCTGGCCCTCTTCTCCGACTTGGGCGGCTCTGGCATCGGCGAGGACGCAACGACGACAGACACCCGTCTATCCTTGTCCTTCGCCTTGCCCTTCTCAACCTTCTTCTTCTCCGGAGACACCTTCTTCGCAGCCGGAACCGGCGTCTCTATCACCGGAGCAGCCGTGACGGCGGCCTTGGACTGGCGGCGTTTCTGCGACTTGGGCGTCGGCTTCGGCGGCGAGGGCGTAGGAGTGACATCTACGCTCTCGCTATCCGACGAGTCCGAGTCCGACGAAGATGTGTCCTCCGTGGCTTCGTGGACGGAGAGCTGAAGCTGGTGGGCGGCTGCGTCATGCTCGTCACTTGGTTTGGCTGCAGCTTTAGCCGGCTTTGCCTTGGTTGTCTTGACTGCTTTCGCTGCCTTGGCCTTGGGGGTGGCGACGACGGTGGTGTCGACTTTGTGGTCGGCCGGCAGACTCGCCTTGTACGCGCTCATCTGCTCCTTGTACACGGCCAGGTTCTCGGCGTACATTTGTTTCCATTTCTATCTCGTCAGTCGATGTCTACTAAAGTCCAAAGATAGATACTTACCTGTCTGTCGGCATCGCTCATCTCGCTCCATCGACGCGTCCCCTCGTCGGCAACCTCCTTTGGTCGCGCGTTCGTACCCAGCTCGGCGGCGATGTTGGCCCGCTCATGCTTCATGTACAAGAAGTACGCCGTCAGAGCACGCTTGGGAGCATTGGGGTCGTGTACTCGTTTACGCTTGGTGCCAGCTACCGAACGCGCTCCCGGGCTTGCTGCGCGCACCGTACCGGCCTCAGTGGCAGCTCCGGCAGCAGCATCGCCGTCTACGGTGCCGAGAGGGTTGGCGGTGGTGGTCGGGAAGATACCGTTCTCCAGCAGCGAGTTGAGGCCGCCGATGTCGATGGTGGAGGGCCCGCGGTTGAGCACCGTGTTGGCATGGTTGATGTAGGCACGCGAGAGATCGGAGACGGCGGACTGCAAGGCAGCGAGACCTACGATGACCTGTTCGCAAGTTAGTGCTGGAGGGAGCAAGGTAGGCTGTTGGGCGCCGAGGAAGAGATCCTGGGCGGTCGAGTTGATGCGGTACGTGAGCAGGTTGATGGACTGGGTGAAGTCGAGCGGGTTGGGCTGTTCGTGAGCTGGCGTTGTTGCACGTCGCGATGCAGGCGTGGTGGCACGACTGCGCGCAGGCATGGTGAAGACCAGTCGTGGTGGTTGTTGACCGGTTATGCGTAGATGTAGATGTAGATGTTGGTGTTGGTGTAGTAGTTAGGTAGGTGGTTAGGTGGTTAGGTAGGTGGTTAGGCGTGGTAGGCGTAGTAGGCGTAGTAGGCGTAGTAGGCGTAGGTGTAGGCGCGTAGCGTGTTGTTGTGGTAGAGGGAGGAAGAAGAGACTTACGCTGTCGCGGGTGCGAGTGAAGTCGTCGATGCTGACGACGAGAGTGGTGGTGCCGTCCCCCTCGGCCTTCTTATCCTTCTTGTCCTTCTTGTCTTCCTTGCGCGACATGATGAGACCGTCGATACTGTTCCTTGCTGGTCCTGCTGGTGGTGCTGTCCTGCTGGTCGTGGGTAGGGAAGAGTTTCAGGGAAGACGCAGGCGGGCGACGGGGGAGGGCGCCCCTAAATACTCGTTAAGCCGGTTAGGGGGGCTGGGGCTGGGGCCTAGGCTGGGGGGAGGGAGGGTTAAAGGCTAGTTAAGGGTTGCCGGCAGGTAAGGGTTGCAGGTAAGGGCTAGGCGAGAGGGTAAGGGCTGGCTAGGGGTGAAGGCCGCGTGCTTTAAGCCTTTAACTGCGCTTTAACTGGAGCCTGCCCTAGGCCAGAACTCTAGGCGTCCCTAGGCGTCCCTAGGCGTGCTTCCTGCGCGGGCTTGCCTACGCCTGCCATTGGGCGCGGGCGGCCTGGGCGCTAGCCTCTTTCATGGCTGGGCTCGGTGGCAAGCCGGGGGTGACTTAGCGAGGCCTCCCTTTAGTTAAGGGTGGCTGGCCTGCGTGCGACCTGGTGCCTATAGTGCCGGGCATGTGCGACAGTTGGCGCCCAACGTAGGGCATCAAACACAGAGCAGGAGATAACACATGAGTATAGTAGAGATAGAAGTCTATACATATAATACACTCGTCACCTCTATCGCTGGCTGTCTAGAGATAGCTAAAGATGTCTAAAATTTATACACTTGCTCCTTGGTGTATCCAAGATCCTTAAGGATACCAGTCAGCTCGCCCTGGTCCTTGGGGCTCACCTTCCCGCCGCTGACGGCCTTGTACATCCCCGGCGGCCCACACACAAACACCTTCACGCCTTCGGTCTTTGGCTCAGGGAAGGCCATCTTCACCAGCTCCTTGGTCACGTAGCCCTTGCCGCCGGCCCAGCCCTCCGCCGGTGGCTTGTCGAGCAGGTACAGGGCCTTGAAACGGCGAGGATGCGTGTTCTCCAGCTCCTCGAGCTCACGGCGGAGCAGGATGTCCTCCTCGCCCACGTTACCGTAAATCAGCGTCACCTGGGTCTTGTCGGCGGGGTCGCTGAAGATCTTGCGGATGAGCTGGTACATGGGCGTGATGCCCGTGCCACCGGCGACCATGCAGACGTGGCTGTGCTTGTTGGCCTCCCACTGGTATTTCGGGATAGGGCCCTTGAAGGACAGTGGCTCGCCGACGGACAGGTCGTGGATGTGCGTCGACATCGGCCCGTTAGGGTACTTCTTCACCAGCAGGTCCAGGTGGCCGGGCTCCTCCTCGTCGCTGACGGGCGTGTACGGTCGGATGGTAGGCTTAGCATCATCCGGTCCCTTGAACTTGGTCAACAGCGCGGCTACATCTCGTTAGCACCTAACCATCAATTGATATCAAGTAGACGTACAGGCAACATGAAGCCCGGAGACGTTCTCGCCGTCTGGGAGAGCGAATCTCAGCTTCTTCACGTTATGGCTCACGTCCTCCACGGATGCGAGCTTTAGGTCGATCCATCCCTGGTCGCCGCCCGTGAACGCTGGCTTGCGGTCCTTCTTAATGATCGCTGCAGGAGTCTGTTGCAATTGCCAGTAGTAGTATCCTGCACCAGCAGCCACGGCGAGACCAGCGAACAGCGGTGCCTGGGAAGAAGGCTTGGGTGCCTCGGATGAGTATTTCCTGATTCCCTATGGACTGTTAGCTACGTCCGATCCAGATGATTTGAGGATACGTTCGGCGGGGTCAGATGAACGAACCTGTCTCAACGGGCCGGCCGTTCGGGCGACGCGAGCAAACATTGTGAATAGAGGGCTAACGAGTGCAATTGGTGTAGGCCGGAGTGGTGGTGGGCGTAGAGGTTGTTGGATGAAGGGTTTGAAGCTCGGTCGAGGTTGAAGCTGATGTCGAAGTGGGAAGAATTAATAAGACGACCAAGACCCATGACGCCATCCCTGTAGAGTAGAATACGAGTACAAAGATGAAGCGTTCCTACAAAATTTACCACATCTACATCTATACAGGTTACAGTTACAAGTCAATGGCAAAGATTGGTTGAACATGTAGTAAATTTGTTGTTCATTAAGCTAGAACATAGCAGCCGTTCATCGATTCAGGCCACAACGTCGATACCTGCACCACAACTAGACCAGAAGCCACCGTTTATCTGACATTCTCCAGCGGTGCGGCATTCATTCGAGTCCGTCGTCACAATACAGCCATTTTTACTCTCCAACTCCTCTGATTTTGATCTTGATCTGACCCGACCGTCCGTCACACACTTCGTAAAGAAAAAACCGTTTAAGCAAAAGTGGATGGTCTCGTGGCTGCGAAGATTTGCTTTCCAGCGGGCTTAGCGACGCGGTGGGGGAGAGGGAACTTGAGGCCCTTGCTGAGGAGTTGTTTGATGTATGGGCGGCGGATGCTCTCGGTCTTCTCGATCTCGACGACCTTGAGGATCTGTAGCATGACGGTTAGTATTTATATACTTTATTACTTTTCGAGAGAGACGTACGTGGATGGATCTGAATCGGGCACGGTGACGGGCAGCCATGTCCTGGTACATGGCCTCAACGGCATCGGTTCTGGACATCTCTCTGTACTCCTTGTACATGTTGTGCGTGCCGGAGCGAGAGTCGTAGACGATCCAGATACCGAAGTTCTTGACCTTCATCGGTCTCTTCTCGTGGATCTGTTCCAATTCACCGTCTTAGCAAGTCTCTCCCACATATACCTGGCAATGGTTTTGGGGTCCGGTTATCGTTCATACCATGTTGACAGCAACAATCTCACCGCTAGCCTTCTTGACCTTGCGCATCTTCATGAGGAAGTACCAGAATCTCGACTTGGCCACGACAGTGTTGGGTGCGAAAATTCTCATGCGGTAGAGCTTGGGGGTGGGTTGGGTTTCGGTGGGCAAATGGCGCCCGATCACCTGGTATTCGTTGAGACGCCCTACAGTCCATTGTCAGATCGGTGTTCCAGTGTAGAATTTGGTGGTAGAAGCAGCGCATTTGATGTATTGCTGCGAAGATTCAGGAAACGAAGATTTCGAGGTCTCCGTCTCGGTGCTATCGAACGGATCTGTGCGGGATGCTGGAGAGGAGGCTTACCCATCTGGACAAACAGTTAGCAGCGATTCAGGAAACAGCAGACAGAAGAACCTCTTACCTTGAGATATTGTCGTTGCCGTGGTCTTCAACGAGAATTCGTCGCGGTTGAAGGTCGAGAATTGTCGCTTTTCGTGGTCTCTAGGGCTGTGGGTTTCGCTTAGACAAGAGGCGACCGCGCTAGCCGTTTGTGGATGCCAAGCCTTTTGACAACATACAACTACAACTTCAAGTATAAGACGAGAAGACGAGAAGACGAGAATATGATGATGAACAGAGAGAGATGACGTCGATATTTGCAGAGTTCAAGCGGGCTCAGTCGGCGGGCTCAGGTGAAGCCCTGGCCGCGACACTGAAACCCGTTGACATACCCCGTCTGCGGGCGTTCTATAACACCACCAACAGCGTCAGCGCAGCCTCGGATATCAGATATGCACTCCTTCAAGACCGAACTACGGGGACCAAGATGCCCAAGCAGGAAGGGAATGCATGGGTCGACATATATGTCGCCTTCTGGCGAGCTGCCGGAGAACTAGTAAAGATGGATCAACCCACGCACACCGGCAAGGGGACATGGACTGCCCTATTTGCGGCCTGGAAGGACCTTGCCATTCTGCTAAACACAAACTACTCCAGTTCAAACCTGGAAGCCTGGACTCTGCCCGTTCTATACGTCGTTGGCAAGTATCTACGGATATTCGCTATAAAGGCAGACGCGGAGACCGCACAGGACCCCGTCACCACTTTTAATGACGGATTCCAAGATGACATCGTTGCCGATGTGAGCAAGAATGCAAAGCTTGAAGAGACCTCACGGATAATCAGCAGAATGTACACCGTGTGTCTCCATGATAGGTATGCATTAGATGTTCCGATTGATCTCTCTTTTTTTTTTTTTTTTCTCTCCTATGCTGGGGTAGTATTCTGAGCTCTTGTATCTATTAGGGCCCCCATCGAAGAATCTCGTAAATGGGGAGTTTATAACACTATAAACCTTGCGTTTAAGACGTACTTTAAGGTATGCCAGCTAAGTCGTACTTGATCTCATGTTAAATGCTAGTGATATCACGTTGCCTAACTTCTTCCTTGTAGTTGGGTTCTATTGCATCCTGTAGGAACTTGCTCTCTGCAATGAAAGCATCACAGGCCGAACTGCCACCTCTTGAAGCGTTTCCTAAGTCTCACGTCGTTACCTTCAAGTACTATCTTGGTGTCATCTCTTTCTTAGAAGAAGGATACGCAGAGGTAACGTCGCTCCAACAGTCCGTCTTATATATTAAACTGACCAAAAATAGGCCGAAGAACATCTAACAGCCGCATGGGAACTTTGCCACGTAGACTCCCAGAAGAACAGAGAGTACGTATAGTCATGACAAGTCCGATAAAGCTCAATTCTAACCAAGAATAGACTCATCCTCACATATCTCATACCCTGCCACATCGTCACAACAAACACCCTCCCGTCAGCCCGTCTCTTATCCAAATTCCCCCGTATCGACAGACTTTTCCGCCCACTCAGCACATGTATCCGCAAAGGAGACCTTGCCGGCTTTGACGCCGCAATGGCTGCAGGTGAAAACGAATTTGTCAAACGGCGCATCTATCTTCCTCTTGAGCGAGGCCGAGATATCGCGGTTCGTAACCTATTCCGGAAAGTGTTTCTTGTCGGTGGGTTTGATCCGCCAGTAAACGGCCAACCACCTATTAGACGGACGAGAGTACCGGTTGCAGAGTTTGCAGCGGCTATTAGATTGGGGACGAATAATACGGAGGCGAAGGCCAAGGTTGATCTCGATGAGGTTGAGTGCTATCTCTCCAATATGATTTACAAGGTATGTCTAGAAAGGTGGATGTGTCCTTGTACCTTGCTGTGTGAGATTCTCTAACATGTCCAATAGAACTTCATGAAAGGCTATATTGCCCGTGACCGAGGGATAGTTGTGCTAAGTAAAGGCGGAACAGCTTTCCCTGGGACTGGCGTCTGACCATACCGCGTACCGATGCTCTTAATGTGATTAATGAAAACGGAATATTATCATACTTCATGAACCAGCCATTCTTACGAGAAAAGCGAAGTAAAGAAATTAGGTAGCAATGTAATCGTGGGGTTGTATAATAATATCGTCATACTAGCTCGGCCGAGCGATGAGAATATGTTTTATTAGATCAGAGCCAGCTGTAAAGACATAAAATTTCAGCCTAAGGCGACAAATTAGGAATAAGTGTAGACCATAACATTCCAGGGAAAGAGTATAAAGAACGAAACCCAGAAATGTGTTAAACAGCCAAGTAACAAGCAAGCAAGACATACCAGTCCAATAAACCCCTAAACAGTACCAGATCGAAACAGGGTAGATCCCGAGACGAGAACAATTTGATAGATAGGAAAAGATCACCATAAAACCAAAGAAACACCCTGAAGCCGACCCAAAAGTGCAAAACAAGCGATTGTTGCCCCATGCAAGATAAGTTAATAAAACAGATATGTGTCGAAAACGCTAGAACGCCAAAGCCTGGTATAAGGATAAGAGATGAGAGAAAAAAGGGAATAAGTCAGCTGAACAATCCTCGACGCACTTGGTCGGTCCATTTTTGAAAGAGGGTATGAGTAACAAACGCATCACGAAGGAATTTTTGAGAGAATGGCGAGAAATGGATATAGTACATATTAAATAGATGGTAAGGCTTCGTGGTTCCGTCTGGATATTGGTAAAGGGGGAAGATATGGGCAGTCCTGGTAGCGTAGTGGCCGTGATATGGTATGGTACAGGCTGGATAGAGTCGAGTCGTTAGAAGCGATTTGAGGCAAGATGGATGGGCGATGGTCTCTGAGGGGAGAGCGATATCGTTGAGAGATGATGGGCCTAACGGGAGAAGGGAGACTTTGAGGCACTAGATAGGTCGTCCTAGAGAGCATTAGAAAGGGTCGACGACAGCACAACATCTACCAACGTACCATATGATTGCACATGGCGACGAAGAGGTCGAAGAACAGTTTCCCTCCTCCCTCCATCTCCAGTTGCATGGTCCCACTACGCTTGAAGGTCGACCTGGATCGAATGATCAAGGCAAGGTAATGGGCTCGCAGCTTCGAGTCGTTGTCTGGGGTATTTGCATAGGCGTATCGAGCGCTGGAGAGGATGGTGCTGCACTGAATAGCTGTCTGGAGACCCTGCTTTCGAAGTGCCAGACGCTTCAGCTCGTCCAGTCCGTATCGTTCGGCCGCACAGCTATGGATGTGTTAGATACGGAAGGTAAATGAAGACTGAGATGACTGACTATATGGCTGTATCTTTTAGGATGAGGGTACCATCAGCCTGGTTCACGATGGTCGACTCGGCTGACGGCCTCGAGCCTGTGGTATCTGTGTCCTCGAGCAGCCATGTATCCCGACGCTTATTGTGCATCAAACGAGGGTAATAGTCGCCCTTGTAAAGATACTCGAGGACGGAAGAGAGTATCTCTGGCTGTTCGCCCGGCAGAGTTATACGTTTGGTATGTGATTCGAGGAACTGGCCACGGCAGCAGGCAGCGAAGTAGGGCGAGACACACAGCACATCTTCATGGGCAGCGAAGAGACGCTGATCCGGCCCGACGCAGATGGTAATGATGGCAGACGTGAGGTTACTATGTTGATCACAGTGAGTTATTGATCTATGAGTTGAACATTCAGGCTGATTGACTTACTCTGCAGCCGGAGAGGAATCTGGACGACGATCTGACTCTGCCCGTCTCGAGGTGCTCACGGAGGGATCTCTGAACGATCTCTTCGACCGAGACGACGACTTGCCAGCCCGATACTTCGAGAAGCTCTCAGCATTGCTATGAGACCGTTTGACGAACATGGTGCTTCGGTTTACGTCCGGCGAAGATGCTGATTATATCTTCTACTTATCAACCTTCACTTCATTTGATACTTGCCTTGCCTTGGTAGTATCTGCCTGAGGATATCAAAGGACAGAGATGAGAGGCTGTGTCTTGTCTACGGGGACGGCCGTCCTTATATACCCACTACGAGACCCCTATACAAGCAGGATATGCGGCCTTTGATGCATCCGCGGGCTGAGCGACAAGGAAACCTGCCGTAACCGGGAAACTAGCCAGCTCTTAATCTTCTTAATCTTGCCTCTCTTCCCTGTCCCTTTTTTGGTTCTCCGTCTCTCCCCTGAATTTATATTACTTTTCGTCTTCTTTCTCGACGCGAGCGAATGAGCTCAAAGACGCGTCGCAGCCACGCGTGACTCACACGGAGTCCCGTGACTTAAAGTGGTTTCTGCAGCCAACCAGGGACCAGGATATGATCCACTTCGGCCGAAAGGGGCAAGACGGACGTCGGACCTTGCCTGGTTACTTTGTGCTATTACTTTGCTTAAGACACATCACAGGCAAGGGAGAAGACAGTGAAGCAGGCGGAACTCAATTACTGCATGGGATGCATGGGAGAGCATGTTCCGGTGGGATGGAGCTGCAGTGTGGAGTGTATATCCTCGTATTGACTATGTTTCATTCACCTGTTCCTGGCTGCCGGGTCTATACCAGACGGCGTATATGCTAATGGGTGGGTGGTGGCAAGGTGCAGGGGAAGGCTGCGTGCAGCCGTTGTGATAGTTGACGTCGTATACATGATAGTACACAGGCTGAAACCGAACAGAATATAGTATGGTACAAATATGGTACAAGTGAGGCAACACACCGTCGTCACTACTTAGCCGAAGAGTTAGGTTCCGTCGCCGTCACACTCCGCAGGTTGCCAAAACTCAGCACGTCGCTGATCCGTCTGGCACCCGTGAAGAACATACACAGACGGTCAAGACCGCATCCCCAGCCTCCAGTCGGCGGCAACCCCCACTCGAGAGTCTGGAGGTATCCCTCGTCCAGCTCTCCGGCGTTCTCGGGGTCGCGGAATGATAGCTGCTGCTGAAACTTGCGTCTCTGCTCGAACGGTGAATTCTCCTCTTCATACATGTTCATTATCTCTTTACCTTCCACAAACAGCTCGGCCCGTGCAGACACCACCTGTCCGTTCTCCGGATGGCGGAAGGACTTGGACAGTGGCGACATGCATTCGGGGTGGTTCACGACAAAGGTAGGCTCGTGTAGCTGCGACTCAACGTAGGTAGAGCAGAGCTTGTCCAGGAGTCGGGGAAGGGTCTGGTGAGTCGGAAGCTGAAGTGAGAGGTCGGCGAAGATCTGCTGGACCTGAGAGAGCGCATCGTCGGACTGGAGGTCGGGCAGCTTCACGCCGGCAGCCTCTTCGATGGCAGGGATGAAGTCGACACGTCGATATGGCCCTGTAAAGCTCACGGGCGTCGGGTTCAGTGAATTGTTCAGCCTTTCATTTAGTCGTTGGATCTCGGGAGCCAGGGTCGAGAGTAGTGACTCCGTAGTCTCGATCAGGGATTCGAGATCTGCAAACGCCTGGTAGAATTCACACGTGGTAAACTCCGGGTTATGAGTCTTGTCAAGACCTGCAAAAAAAGCATGCGGTTAGTGTGACTCACGGGAAAATTCGCAGTCATCAGGCTATATATTACCAACCTTCATTACGGAATGACGGCCCTATTTCAAACACTCTGTCAAACCCGCCAACGACCAGGCGTTTAAGCCATAACTCGGGGGCTATCCTGAGAGACAACGGCCGTTCCGGAAACTCAGTCGCACTCGTCACAAAGGGTTGCGCCATTGCTCCGCCTGATTTGGAAGCAAGGATCGGAGTGTTCACCTCCATAAAGTCCCTTTGGGCGAAAAAGTTCCGCATCGAGTGGGTTATCAGCGACCGCGCGCGAAGGATGTTGGCCGCACTGGGGCTGGAGAGGAGCTCGACATGCCTGTCGTATGGAGATATCTCCAGCTGCTTCTGATGGACAGGTACATCGTGCAGACACGGAGACACAAGTTTTGGTAACTCGGTCGTCTTGATCGTCAGCTCCCCTCGGCCAGTACGATGTGGCTTTCCAGTCACAGCTAGGGGTCAATTGAGTGTTAGAAGATGGCGGCTTGGAAAGTAAAACGAGTCAGAAGATCCCTTACAGAAGGAGTCACCACGCCGGAGAAGATGGTAGAATTCTTTAAACCGCTCAGGTGATATCCCTGCCTCCTCGACAATGCGTTGATTGCATAGAACCTGCACTTTATGTCCGTTTTGGAAGAGATCGAAGAATATCAACTTCTTTCCAGCCGTCCGCTGAGACCGTATCCTACCTAGTACTTCCATGTTAATCCATGCAACAGTATAGATCAATGACACATAGACATACCATAGAGCACTACCGTATCGTCCTCTACCGTTTCATTCGGCTGTATCCCATCGTACTTTGACCGGAATTCCGCGCATGTGAGTGAAGATGAATCGTGGCCTATCCGGGGATATACATCCGGCCAGGCTTTCCGGATATCGTCAACTCTGGTCTCCGGAGTGTGTTGGGTTGGGGTTGCTGCTTGCTGTTCGAGCTGTGGCCTATGGCTCGTAAATGGGCGAATTGGCGTCCATACCAGCTGTTTCCCCAAGGGCAAGGAGGATACTCTGACACTCCTAAATTGAAAATAATTAGCTATGCCTTGAATTTGTGAATAACGCTATTGTCATGGAAAACTTGTACAGGCGAACGGTGACGGAATTGTTGAAGTTCGACGAGCTTACCTTGCAAGAAATCTATCCAGGCATACCTGGGATAGAGGTCTAGAGCAGATGGATAGCATCAGCTCATCAGCTCACCCCGACTGCATTCCAAAAAATAAACAAAGAGCGACGGCGATGCGCTTGAAGAAAATACTCTTTTTCTGTGCTTGAACTTCAGAGCTATATCGATATTCCGCATCGAGTTTAGCGTCGCCTTCTGACGTTGAAAGCTAAGTTTTGATCTTGGTCGAGAAAACAAATTGCAGAGATATCAACACTCAATTAAGGCACCCATCAGACCGCTTAAACTACAATTCTGTGACGGAGATTCACATCAGCTATTCCATTTTAAATACCAAGTTTCCCCTCGTCGATAATCTACCCACATCTACGAAAATGTCTTATTTGTTCGGCGGCCGTCCTCAGATCTCTTCCGAAGAGAAGATAAGGCAAGCCGAGTTGGAGGTCGAGATGGTCACTGACATGATGACTCGGTATGTTGCTATATTCCTATTATCAGTAATGATCAATTGCGCTTGACCTTTGCGTGATAAACCGCTGCATGAGCATGTACTGACGACCGTCACTAGTCTTTCCAACGGCTGCATCAAGAAGTGTATCCCAACCGACTACCGCGAAGGAGACCTGAACAAGGGCGAATCCGTCTGCCTCGATCGATGCGTCGGCAAATACTTTGAAGTCAACATTAAAATCTCCGAGAAGATGCAGCAGCAACAGCAGCAGCAGGCAGCCGGAATGGGCGGTGGACTCTAAATGCAATTCCGGAAATACACGTCAATTCCCTCCATTTGCCGTCATCGAGAATACGACATACCTCCTCTCTACGAATGGTGAAATGCTGGGTTGATTCGGCCGCAAACACGATTTTCCTCTCATCCTTCCATAATGCAGGTGTAAAGACCTTTTGATAATCCCGGCGAACCGGGATCATGTATATTATGTGCGGTGGTGTTTCTTTGTTATAATATATTTAACGGTTTGGACGTTTGGGTTGGCATACAGCAATCTGAAAATCTTTACAGGCTACGTAATGGAATAGGGATTGAAACGCTCGCTATAAATGAAAGATCTATTAATCTATTAATGATAATATCTAATGTGTGTTTATATGTATAGTACAAGTCTCCTCGGTCATGTCATTTTAACTCCTTGACCAGGCGACCCGTGGACTTGTTGTCGTCCTTGCGACCCCTAGAGCCGTTAAAGGTGCGACGTTCGAAATTATTGAGCTGACGGTGCCACATCTCCTTCATCCATGCCAGCCACGGAATATTCATGTCAGACTCTTCTCCATCCACGACGGATGTGGTCCTGCTTTCAAGGTTGATGATGACATTGCGATAATCTTGCAGAACAGCCTCTACCTCATCAACCCTTGAGCGGAGTGAGTCTACTTCATAGTCAAGCTTCGCATCCATCATTTCAACATGTTGGACAGTTTCCATAAACATCTCCTCCTCCTGGGACATGACGTCGCGGGAATAGATGCCCAGCTTCTGGAATTCCTCGAGCTTCCTTTCGTATGCAGCTTGTATCTCATATGTGCGGGCTTCGACGGCCTTTTCAATCTCCTCCACCCTGGCTACCTTCTTCTCAACCCAGCTTGCAGTCGCTTCTTTTAATTCGTGTATCCTTTTCCCAATATCTCGTGTATCAGCAGTGATCATATCCTCGTAGAACACTGCATCCGCAAGGCTTAAATCTGGATCTAGTGCCTTCAAGTAGATATCCCCTACTTCCTTCCACCCCAGCACATATTCTTCGACGTAACTAAAGGAGAGGCGGCGAGGGCATATAGAATCTTCTTCGATAAGACGACGGTCCAACTGCGGTAAATCCACGCTTCCAGCACGTTGCCTAACCCTAGTAACGGCAACAGGGGTATCAGGTCCATCTCCTCTCTTTCCCTCGCCCTTTTCAGAAGTCCGCTTAGCTCCATCTACCTCTCCTGCTTCGTGGCCTTTACCTAAAGAAGGTGCATCTTTTTCGCCGGAGTGATCATATGTCCTAACACGATCAAAATCAGGAACAGTGGAAGGCCCTGGCCCAGTCTGCCCTATTAAGGGATCATGGCGACTAGCTTCTGATAACGCCATGCTATCCATTCTGGCAGCTCCTTCCGGGCCATCCTTCGAGCTTGTACTTGCAGTTGTTTCCGTCATAAAAAGCTGCTGAGGTAGATTCGCCTCTAGATCCACGCTCTCTTTGGAATGTTTATGATGGTGCGGACGCAAAGTTGGAAGTCCAACAGCGTCCCTGAACCGCCCAAGGCCAGCACGGGCGTCCGATACTTTATTGGTAACCGACCGCTTGAGCGTCGACCTAAGTTGGTCTTTGTCGTCAAGAGGTACGGGAGATTCCGTTTGTTTCCACTGGTCTGCTTCAATGCTTGGACGACTTGAAGGGTAATCGTAGATAGCCTCCCTCTTTCTGCGAGTCCAAACATATCCACCGTGTTCATCCTGTGCAAAGACAGTCTCGTCTCCAGTATCGTACTGGGCTTCGTTCAGGGGTTTTGAAGGCTTGCCGCGCCATAGCCACTTTGCATGGTCTCCAGTGATTAGTTGCAGAAACCGATCAAGATCAAACGTTTCAATTTCAGAGATGCCTGCTTTGTCCTTGCCTCCTCCCACCATCTCCATGACCATTTCACCTCCTTTACCACCAAACTCCGCCACTGTCGATTTAACGGCTCTCTGCACTCCCCAGCCTTCCCCACTTGCTGCTTTGGCTGTCACCCGATGAAGTCTTTCCAGTGTTTGTGGATCGAGTCTTTTTGTTTTATCAAGGCCCTGGGCCTTTTGAAAACCACCTACACCTTTTTCGAAGCCGTGTATATCAAAAGGATCCTTGGACACAGGCGCTCCATTCGCATGAAGACGGTTTCTTGCGCCCATAAATGTACCGAGAATTGCAGATACCGTTGTCGGGCCAAGGATCCCATCAACAGGCTCGATGTTGAAGAGATCAGTTCCAATCTCAATCCACCAGTCGTTGATAGCTCGTTCTGTAACATCGCAAAGTAGCCCATCTGCATATTCGGGAGCAAGTTTGTCAAACATCACGAGTGCCAGCTGGCATAACCGAACCAGCTCCTGCACCGAAGTGTAAAATTGGATCCGGTCGCATGTCTGATAAAGTTGATGGAATTTCGCTTCCGTATCTGATGCAGGTGGTTTGACTGTCAAACCAGCTCTCCCCGAGCAGCCCAGACGCTTCAGGTTCTCGTTGACAATGAAATCTTCCCGATGAAGCTTGACATCACCATCCGGGACAGGAATCGCAGTGAGCATCGAAGGGAACGTGCTTAGGTTCGTCACCATCACCGTCCCAAGGCTGGTCTCCTGCTTCCGGGCATGGAACTGGGCCATTGCATTGAAATAGACCTTCAGTCGTTCGGTCCATTTCCCCTCATCCACGGGGACGCTGAGAACGCCAACAACGACCGTGTGAGACTTGTCACCGGTGTAGGTGTTGATGACAAACGTAGGATGTACTCTCGAGCAAGCCCACTGCTCGACTATGTAGACCTGGTATCCGGATAGGGTCAGTCGCCTGCTAACAGTGACCGTGCAAGGATCTTCCTCTAAATATCGATATGCAACTGGATCTGTAAATACGAGCCGCTGGTATGTCGTGTCTGATGCAACGCGCTGAGCACCTTTGGCTGACGACTGTGGCGTCGTCGTTGTCGTCGTCGAGGGCTCAGCCGGGCCCTCGCCCGCCGAATGGGCAGCATAAGTCTTATCCTGGCGGTCGTCATGCGTGTTGATGTTGGTTAAAGCAGAAGGATCCATGTCGTCTTTCGCCAGCCGGCCTCTTAACGGCTTGCAAGATGCGCCTGTTGGTGACGTACCCTCCCGGTGGTGCAGCTGTGCTTCCGGAGCTGTGATCCGGGCCCGTCAGTGCTAATACTGCTGTAATCCGCCTTTCCCTGAAATTAACAAGCTGGCGGACGAGTAGTAGGCCATCCTCCGTGCTGTTTGTCTGCCTCCGATCTCCTCTGGTTGTTGAGGGAGAAGCTAAGGAGCCGATGATGTCACTTGTAGCAGCATCAACGACGACAGCTCAGCAAGAAGCAGACGAAGACAAAGGCGATCCAGTATCTGTAGTTTGATATAAACAACTAAACTGGCCTCTAGGCCTCTTTACAAGAAACGGTATTAGGTCGTGGTCTGCGATCGCTGCCAAAAGCTGCATAAATATTTATCCCTGGCGGTGCACCATGTGACACCCTTTTCTACTTATATCCCCAAGGGCAAGCTCCTCCTCCGGTTTCTGCTTCCCACGACCACGACCAACGCGCCGCTACTTCGCCCCGTCATACACTTACGGCGCTATAGAAGAGATCTTGCCGGAGTTTCTCTTGCTGAACTCTTTGGATAAATGCCCTTTCAAGCTTGAGAGAACCCGGGTCGACATGCATACCATTCTCCGCAGCTAACGAGCATCTCCCCAACCGACACCACCACACCATGGACCAGGTCCAGAAAGAACACCAGCGCCTCTGGAAGAGGGCGCAAAGCTCAAAATGCATCAACGACGTCCAGGCGACCATCGACTTGCTTCTCGAAGCTCGCAGGACCATCGTGGATGGTATGTGCCTCTCCTCACTTACCCCGCTGGCAGCAGTTGGCAAAGACTCGGTTGTCTAATGTTTGTTCTCGTATATATAGATCCGAGTTCTGCGTCTATCACTCTTGCAAAGCTTCAAAATCCAGTGAAGGCGTCATTCGAAGCAACGAACAATGATCTGAAGGAGGCATACAGTGGATTGAATAAATATACAAAAGCATTGGACAAGGTGAGAATCTACCGAGAGACTTAGACTCTGTGCGGAATGATACTGACTTCATCTCCAGCTATTCAAAGATAAACCTCTTCCCACCACCGAATATGACTCCCTATCCCAGCCGGTCTTGGTCAACAGGGCAGTGGCAATGCACCTTTTGCGAGAGGGAGAGTTTTCTACCGCCGATACCTTTCTGTCCGAAGTATCGAGAATCCACATGTCATCAGAGCCAGATACGACCATGTCCCAAGCCGAAAAACAGGCAACGGAAGCCATGCCCGATATTGAAGCCATGCAATCCGGCGAGATTCGAAACCAGTTTCTCCTCATGCATGAATTGTTGTACGAGATGACCGAACATCAGAATTTACTCCCGGCTATCGAATGGGCTCGAAACAACCGCGAGGCGCTATATGTTCGAGGGAGCAACCTCGAGTTCGAGCTTTGTCAACTTCAATTCGTATGGCTCTTCCATGGCGGGAAAGAAAACAACGTCTCCGTAGGATCAGGCAGGCTCATGGCGTTAGAATACGTTAAACGCGAGTTTCCCAGGTTTCAGGGACGGTACCTACCTGAAATTCAACGGCTTATGGGTGCAATGGCCTTTGCACCAAACCTTGAAGATTCCCCGTATAATTCAATATTCAACAACCCTAATTCCTGGGAGCGCGTAGCTACTTCCTTCAAAGGGGAGTTCTGCGCCTTGCTTAGCCTAGCAGCTGAATCACCTTTATATGTCGCCGCAACAGCTGGCGCAATAGCTCTCCCAACCCTTCTTAAACTCCAAACAATCATGAAAGAGAAACGAACCGAGTGGACAAGCCAAAACGAACTCCCTGTAAGTGATCTAGTTGTACTCTTAACCCAGTTCCCTATTCTAATTCTTCATTAGGTTGAAATCCCGCTCCCACGCTCATATCAATACCACTCGATCTTCGTGTGTCCCGTGTCCAAAGAGCAAACAACGGACGAAAACCCACCAATGCTCATACCGTGTGGACACGTCATCGCGCAACAGTCACTCGCGAGAATCAGCAAAGGGGTAAAATTCAAATGCCCTTATTGCCCAAGTGAAAGCAATGCCAAAGATGCTCGAAAGCTTCTTTTGTAATCACGCCTGTGATTCCCATATTTGTTCCGCCCTTTTTTTTCTTTCTTTTTACGATTCCCCGCTATAATAATGACTGCGCATGGGGTCGAGGAGTTTAGAGGAGTTTCTGGAGTTTCTCGTTGGGGGTTTACGAGAAAATTAGGTGTTAACTATTAGCTACTGAGGTTTTACTCCTTGTTGAAGGGTTTTTGTATTTCGTTGTTGCCTTATTTTATCAAGCGCGCGACAACTTGTGAAAGTACGAGATCTAATACGAAAGACTGTAAAACAAGGTCACTTGCTAACTTCTTTAATCATTATTACTATCATCGTCGATGGTTGGTTTAAAATGCTATCACATACGCCACGTCATGTTAGAATGGTTTTTGAAACTAAGTACGAGGAGAAACGAATCGCCATAGACTGAAAAGGATCTCGAAGAGAATAGGAACCACGCAATCATAAGGGGGAAAGAAAAGAACGGGGAAAAAAGACATTAGGGGAGCCTCCGTTACGCCATATACTCCTCAGCTAGTGCAAGAATGTCAGACCCTCCTTCGCCAGTTCACTTCCGTCTCGATTCCTTCACCGGTTTCACCGGCTTCGTTTTCGCAATATGGTCAACAACCTTGCGCAACTCTGCGATTTCACGTGCTGTTGGGCGGACTCCTGGCCCTTGGTATCGAATGGGCGTCTGACCCTCGACTCGCTCAAGTTTAAACCGATGCAACGCCATTTTCTCGTCTAGAACTTCGTAACCGCAGATGGTGTAAAGGCCATCGTACCTAATTCCTTCAGCAGGCCGATATTGGTTGACCTTGGGCAGTTTCGAGCTTCGAAGAACACGGATATCACTCTTCCTGTTTGCAGCATCAAGCAGCAGAGCGGTATTGGCAGTAACCTCCCCGTCCTTACCGCGTGTTCCGCAGTACAAAATTGTATCGCCCTGATCGACATCGGCGTAAGCGTCATTCCCACCCGAGGAGCTCAGGATAATCGAGACGGCTCCAAGTGCCTTATTTCCGGATATTCCTGCCTCTATCTCGCCATGGGCACCGTCTCGGATAGCACAGATCTGCCAAGGAAACCACTGGCCGTTACGTAGATGCTTTTCTCCGACGAACGTAGCTGGGTATTTAAATGGGTAATCTTTTGCAAGAACACGAGAAAAGCCACTCCTCAATCCATCTTTGTGTGTTCTCCGAGTCAATACTCCGCGCAAAAGGTCGGCATCGAAATCATCCCTTTCCATTCGCTGTAGAATTACCTCGCAATCTAGACGAATATCCCAGGGGATACGTTCACGATTCCTGATGATGGCTGGTAAACCATTTTTGGGGTCAGTGAACCTGGCTTTGATGGTCTCAATAGACGATGGAGGGATCTCATAAAGCGCAAGGTAGTGCACCCGGTCTCTTAAACGAGAAATGGACCTTTCAAGGTCGTTGGGTGCATGTAATGTTTCGATCTTTTTAATCAAAGATAAGATCTCAAGTATGTCTGAGTTTGACCGAGCTATCTCATTTTGGCGCCTCTTAGAAATGTACTCATGGCGTATCAGCCTGTTATTAGAAACTACGGTTAGCAACACATCTTAAGATTCCTGTAGGGGTGGTTGAGACATACCCTGTGCCCTTGGATTTAGAAAAGGCTTTTCGGATAGCAGGTTGTGACTTTGCACGGCAGTCCTTCACTCCGTTGGCCGCTGTAATTTCACAGTCCGTCGATATAGAGCATATACAAACGGCCCCTTCTTCCGATGGCATTGAGCTTTTTGCTTTCTTCGTAGGGGGCTCATGAGGCATGGATGGCGCCTCCGTATCGTTGGAGTTATAAGCACTGGTTGACGCGTTTACCTGATCCATGTTTCTCTTTACACCCACGACGCTTGGGATAGAGGTTGGCTGCTGTTCAGATATTCCCAGTCTTTTCTCAGGCTGTTGCTCCTGTTGTTTTTGTTGTTTCTTCTCTTGCTCTGAGGGAGGTGATGGTTGGTGTTCTGGTGGTGGTGGTGGCTGGTGTTGTGATGCTGATTCGGGCTCTAGATTTGATATAGGGGATTGGGATGCCGCCAGAGATTTTCGAGCAGCCAAAACCTTTGCAATCCTTTCTTCCAACATCAGCTGAAAGCGTGATGGCTGCGCTGGTTTGTCGTTGGGTCGAAAGTCGTCGAGCTGAACGCGACTCGAGTCTGGATTGCGACTTTCCTTCGCTATTTCTCCTGTTAAGTCTCGCTCAGGCCGTTGGTTCAACACCAGCTGGATATGAGATAAACCAGCCGACTCGCCATTGTCTTGAGAGTCGTCAACCCAAGCTCCCGTCGAGTCCATGCTAAAGACTTTATATCTGTCCCATATAATTTAGGCTTCAACCTCTAGCAATTCAGTGGTATAGTAACAAAAAACAGTTTGAGATCTAGATGGACGTGAGTATCACTTGAGGTGAATAAAACGTTCTTTAGCTCTAGCACCTCACTTGAAGATTAAAATGTTCTTTAGCTCTAGCACTTCACTTGCATCTATAGCTCTAATTCACAAAAATAAACTGGCCAGCCAACGCCCCAAAAACGACAAGCAGCAGTGGAACCCATTTATTACTAAGCTTGTACAGCGTAGCCAGTGCAAGTATGTATAGCACTGCCGCGGGCCCGCTGTCTGCAGCTTTGGAGATAGCCAGCTCCACTGGTTTAAGCTTGAAATCCTGCTCGCTGCCCTCGACGCTAGATTTCAGAATTTGGAAGGCGATAATCGCTATGACACCGATGACAGCGCCGCAAAGGCCGTCGAAGAAGCTTGCTAGGAACTGCCAGAAACTAGTTAGCTGAATGTCCGTTGCCAAATATCAGGCCTAGGCTAATGATAAGCATTTTCGAATCCCCTACCTTGTTGTGAACCAGCTTCTCCAGAAGATCAAACCCAGCAATTGTAAACAGGAAGCACGGGAAGAACATCCCGATTGTAATGACTACAGCCCCGCCAAATGCATTTCCCAGACCACCATCTGCAAGCCCACCCTGGAAGCCGACAAATGTTGCAAAAATGACAAGAGGAGCTGGAAGAACGTTTCCAATAGCGATGCAGTCGATGAACACCCTTTGAGATAGCCATCCGCCTTTGAGGACGGCTTCGACCTGGATAAATGGTATGGCAGTATATGCGCCACCAAATGAAAGGGTGCCAGCAACTAAACCGAGCACAAAGAGATTGATGAGAGATGGTGACTTGGCGATTCCAAGCGCGAGAGAGACCGGTGAGGGAACGCCACGGAAGACAACGTAGATGGCGTACGCGACATATTGGAGGACAAAGATAATGCCTGCCGGAATCCAAAGTTGTCGGGCGACAAACATGTAAATAATACCGTAGATGAAGAGGGAAATGAAGCTGACAGAAGATCAAGTTAGTTGAATGATGCGGAAGCGTGGAGTAAAACGCCTAGCTTCGAGCCAGCGTATTCAACTGACATATTGATGCGCATGGCGCTATTAATCATGGTGCAGACCATTGCAATAAGTAGGAATGGATCTACTTTCTTCGTCTTGGGCTTGACAATGGAATGGTCTGCTATTTTATGCACAGCTCGTAGAATCTAGATTCCATTAGCACACACAAGTTTTGCTATATATATATATATCAACATTTTCCTTTACTTACCATGGCAGCCACGATGGGTTGCAATGCTCTAAAGCTGGCATTGAAATACTTATTCTCGAATCCGGCCAAGCTATACAAGTAGCTAGCAACCAGCATCAACACAAAGCCGGGTAAGATGAATGCTAGCCCGGCAACAATGCCACCCAGTCTCCCAGCACTTAGACATCCAAAAAACATGCATAGTTCGGCAGCTTCCGGGCCAGGGAGAATCTGGTACACGGCAAAGACTCGCTGGAATCTGGCGAGTGTAATCCACTTGTCTTGGATGACCAGTTTCTCTTTGATAAGCGCAATTTGGGCGACCGGGCCACCCCAGGCGAAAAGACCAAAATTGTAGAAGAAGAACCAGAAGAGATGGTGCAACGGGAGCTTAGGCGCATTTGAAATGGTCAGGTCGTCATCCTGGGGGGAAGGGGTCCTGGCATCACTGCTTGACGATAGCGGTGCCTCGATATCACCAGCATGGTGCTCCGTCACTGAAGATATTGCGGTATTAGCTGCCATGGCTATTTTATTTCCTCGTCAAAGGGCCAGAATAAAATGGATTGACAATGCATCTCCGACATCATGTCCAGATTCATACCTTATATACTACTCCGTACACGCAGAGCTTCTATACATCAACACTAGACTGGCGAAAACGCAAGCTTTTGTCAACGCTCAGTGGCTTGGAATTAGACCAATGATAGTGTCGCTGTCCCGGGATCGCGTCGAACCCTTTTTATAGGCGGAGGCTCAGATACGATAATCACGGCCAACCAGACGCGGGCAGTCCGTCACCGTTTCATGGAGAAACCGCAGCACCGAAGCGTCGTGCCCCTGCCATCGACGTGAGGGTCGGAAGATGCGCCCCCATGTCTCCACAGAAGGTGTTTTCTTCGACGTTATCCTCTGACATGATACTGTGCTAACTGGGTTGAGCCAGGACATCGAGCGTGCCTTGCGCATACGGGAGAACAAACGCCGCAGCAGAGCGCGTCAAAAAGAATACAATGCTGGCCTTGAAGAGCGGCTGAGGCAGCTGCAGAAAGAAGGCATCCAGGCGACTGTTGAGGTTCAGGCTGCAGCAAGAAAGGTTGCAGAAGAAAATCGACACCTGAGAGAGCTTTGCTGTCATATTGGGCTCAGTCAGCAGACAGTCGAGGAATGGCTCAAGGAGAGAAGGCGGGCTGAAACAGAGAAACTGGACTTGCGTCAACAGCGGCATGGCACAGATATACCAAGTATGGGAGGCAATCCGATGAATCAAGATGATAACTCTAGTGTTCGTGTTCGGAGGAATACCGATCAGCATTTAGAGGCTTCACCCTCTACCTTCCCGGGATCACACTCGAGCCCAGAGCACCGCAAAAAGGGGACCTTATACTTGGAAGATGTGAACCGGCCTCCCAACGAATCAGCAATGTCTATGGCGAGTTCCTCATCAGCTAACAGCTTGAGTCCATCCACGGGGCATCTGAGCGCTTGCAACTCTGAAAAACACCGCAGCTGTCAGCAAGGTCGAGCTGGAAAATCCCAGCAAACCGAGCCTCCATGCAAACTCCTCACCCGGCTAGCTGCCAATCCTAGTACCGATATCACACAGGTTCCTATAGCTTCAGACGATGAGCAAGATCCTGACAAAGTGGAAGATGGAATCCCATGTGCTCGTGCCTACCAGTTACTAATGCATTATGCTACTTCGGAGGAAAAGTTGGATACAGTAGCTCAGGTGCTTGAGATGGGATGTACGCCCAATGCAAGTCGCAATGGTGGATGTAAAGTAAAGAGCGCTGTTATATCTCAGACTCTTCTTGATCTTTGTCTCTAATCAAACTCCTTAACTAGCCTGCAAAGCAGCTGTCCACAGACCAAACGGAATTCCATATTCACCTACCTTAAGAGATATCTTTGGGTATCGCCTAATATAAGAAAGTATTAATATACGCGACCTTGCAACCAAAATATAAGAAGCCATCAATGCGAGAACTTGCTAGGTAAAACTAGACTTACACAAAGAACATAATGAAAGCTCTTTCTAGCAAATATAGAGCGATATCTATTAAAGACTAATGATCCACCCACATGATGGGAAATGGCAGTTGCAAGGGCAACCACATAGACATAGCACTGCGATTTATAGTAGAGCAACGCGAAATCCTAACGAATCGAAAAGAAAGCCCGATCCGGTAGCAGAATTAAAACTATTGTATGACTACCTAGCTAGTTATCGGGAGGGTGCTAATGTCGGAACAAACATGTTCCATTGTCTAACGTATCTCACCAGTCAACGATCACCACCAGTCAACGATCACCACCAGTCAACGATCACCACCTCCAAATGCTCCTTACGTCCAAACATGCGTGTAAATATCGAGATATCTCAACACAACGTAAATAACAAATAAAATTGACTATTAAATAACGATAGTAGGGTTCTAGTTTACATACAAATTAGATAGATTAAGAAAAGAAACGAGTGTTGGGCTTGATAACTCGCCCGGAACGGGTTCCCCGCGGTTGGGATAGGAAATTGGGTATTAGAGCAATAGGATCGATAGGAGCAACCTTAGAAGGTGAAGTCTTCTTCTTTCCTAATCGGGAAGGTGAGATAGGGCTTGAGACGTTGTTTTGAGCCTTTTTGGCCTTCTTAGCCATTCGCTCAGCTTCCAATTCACCAGCTTTACGCTTCCGTTCAATCGCTGCCTCTGCGCGCCGTGCTGCAGTCTCCTCGCGGGCCTTCTTAAGAGCCTCCTTACGTTGCTGTTGATCTGCAAGCCTTTGAGCCTTCTTCTCTGCAGCCTCTTGAGTCTTATTATCGCGGTAAATCGATCGCTAAAGCTTTATTTCCTCTGCCTGAGCTATCTTATCTTGTTTTTTAGTCTCTACCTCGATAGCTCGCTGCCTTGCTGCTTCAACCTTAGATGGAGAGAATATCTGCGCTTGGCCTGCTTTATCCTTTTCAAATAGGCCTAAGCCCTTGCCTCGCTTCCTTTTCTTCTTCTCTTGTATAAGTGCAGCTGTAAGAGACTTATTTTCATATAGTAAGATCTCTTTATCGAAGACCAGCCTCTCACTGGCGCGGATGATCTTTGATATATGAAGGCTGGTTAATGACTGCCGGAGCTGCACTTTCTTAACCGCGCGGCGGAGACCCCGTACAGTAATAGGGGTAGGAGGCTCGATATCGATATTCGGAGGTGTTAGAGGTCTCTTATCGAAGTATTTCATTTGACGTTGAGGCATAATAGGATATATCCCTGTACTTGCAAATCCAGACTTAATATTTGCTGGTGTAAGAGCTCTTTTCCATGCAGCGTAGAAGAGTCTCCAAAAGTCTCGCTTTGACATTGATAGATACCCATATCCGCTGCGTAAGAGATTATCAACTTCCTGGGAATATGCACTGGCTAATGGCCCAAATATCCCAACATCCAATGGCTACAGACGGTGTGTTGAATGTGGAGGTAAGATAACTAGCAAGATACGGTTTTTATCTGCATATTCGATGAATCCCATATTGATATGAGATGAGTGGCCATCTAGAATAAGAAGCCTTCTTCCCCGGCCAGCCTTTGCCTTTATATGCTTATTGAATATTTGAAGCCATTCCTTGCCAAAGTTATTATTGCTCCAGCCATTTGGAGATACTATAAAATATGCTATTTCTCTCTGAGGGTCAAATTCGTCCACCTAGGTGTCTTGTAGATCACCTTCTCCCTTATAAATAAGTGTAGGAGGAATCCATTCTCTATCTGCAGAGACAGCAGCGAGTAGAGAGATAAACTCGCGACTTCTATCTTATATAGCTGTTATCCTTCTATTTTTAAGCGCATGAACAGGAACCACCCGTTTAACAGCATGTCCTAGGCCAATAAGGAAGCCTTTCTCATCAAAGTTGTAAATATTATCTGGAGTAATATTATACTTATTTATTGCTTCCCTAAGCTAAAGAAGAGGTTAATATCAATATTTAATAGCTAACTACTAATAAACAAGTACTTGCAAGCTCATAAAAGTGTTCAAAATGCTTGGAATTATCAGCAACATGCCTGGATTGATCAATGGTGCGGAGATAGAGACTCTTAATGCGATCCTTGTGCCGGCTACAGAACCGAGCCACCCAGTTGATGCCAACAGCCTGTTTAGTGAGCTCGTATACGAGATTTCGCAGTACCTGGGGCGTAGGTGATAGGCCTCTCTCTGATAATCGATTTATATGCTGTAGGAGCACTTCTTCTTGTGCATTTGTCAACTTTTTGCGATGGATAGATGTTGCTTCAGCTCTTGAGACTGCAGCACCTTGATACCGCCGCGCCAGCGTTATTCGGTTAATTTTGAACTTTTTAGCGGTTTATGAGTAATTAGGAGTCTTTTGCGATTTTAAATCTTCAATCGCAGCAGCAATTGCTGCCTCATTGACCATTTTGTGGCTGTTGGAAGGTGGTTGTTTTGGTGGATGCAGAGTTTTTGGGGTGTGTTCATTAAGTGGTGATGATCGTTGACTGGTGGAATACGTTAAGATACAACTTGATCCCACCTGATATCCAATCACACTAATATCATGATTGGACAGGACATTGTGCCTTTTTCTTGCAGATGGTACCTGAGAGCATACAGCCACCATCTTTCATCCAGTATTCTAATAATATTGCAGCTCTCGAAAATGTTTGCGGGCCCATCGAACGCTCGTTACTATTCTCTATAATAATAACTAGCCAACGAAGAGCTAATTCGACATGAGAGGGAAACTGTGCCAGTCCGTTTTCCAATCTCCAGTCTCCTCGGGCCAAATCTCTCGAAACACCAGCTCTTCAAGTATGTCAGACCCGTTCCACTCTGACCATACTTTGATCCTTTCTTCTCTCTCTTGCCGACCAACTTCCTGCACGACTACATCATCACAGTCATCTCTTCTAGTCGGGTTTCTGCTAATCTCCCAACTGCGGCCAATAACGTCGATAATGCTTGATAGTCCCAGGTGGCCACGAGTACTCGCAAGCTCATAGGCTCCACTAACATGTAGCTTTACACATTGCAAGGTAGGCATATTCCGGGGCTTACCTTGGATAATTTCTCGGTATATAGCGAGAGCGAGCGGTTCATCGACTGCGGCATTGATGAGCCTCTTTCGTACTAGGCCCTTATCCAACTTCGGGAATAGAACATCATCTTCTTCTTCGTCTAACTCGCTGTCGGATAGGTTATAAGCGGTGAGATCCGTACAGTCGAGGTATAGGGTAAGATTCCTTAAACCCGGGAGAGAACCAAGTAACCGATAAATGAGGACTTTTTCCTTACTACCTTGAGAACGTGGAACTAGTAGCGTTAATTCCTCTAGACGTGCACAACATTTAGCAAGCTCACTAACTCTTTTAGCCGTTATAACCAACTGCTCAGCATCGGTGTCCGGTGGAGACGATAGCCATAGCTGATAAAGCGTATGGTGACCTAAGACAGCCTGGAATGTCTGCTGGCCAAAGACTCCTGTTAATTTGAGCGAATGGAGGGGAGGTAGATTCAATAGCAAGGCGCCCGCTACTTTATCCATCTGTTCATATTCAATCCGGAAGCCTTCGAGATTCAAGACAAGCGTTTTTAGGGAGCTAAAGTTGCAGGTGCTCAGCCATCTAAACATCTCAGTTGAAACACCCTCAGCATCCCATTTTAAGGTGCGTAGTGACGAGAATGTAATATATTTACTCCATTCTCTGATATCCGTGACCTGGCTTGCCCCAAAACCTAGGGCATTAAGATGTCCAGGCTGCAAAGGCTGCTGAGGGCGACTCGGAAAGAATCCTTGCCATGGAGCCCACGGCTGGCGAAGAGCCGCGACATATTCTGGGCTCGAGCCTGGACGACGGATAATTAACCGTACTCGTTTGAGATTTGGGGCTAATCCTGCAGCCATCAACTGAGTAGCTTCATAGTTGTAGTTTCTCAGGCCCTCCGTGGTATACAACGAATGTTGCAGAATCACGCAGTATAACTGAGGGCAGGTAGCGAGAGAATATTCGTAGGGATCTATGTCCTGCGGCTGATCTGGTGGCTGCACCAGGCTTCCCAGTCCAAAGCTGTGAAGGTGAAGTCTACAGTTTGGTATAGAGCGTAATGCATCCATCAGGCAAGGGGGGAATATACCAATAGCAGAATAGACGAAGTTGAGAAGCCTCGGGAGGTGCATTATAAAGCGAGATAGAGGTTTCCAGTCATCATCTTTTTCATCGGAAAGCCTTCCATAGTAAGGTCCACCCACAATGGTACCAGCATCGTAGTCTTCGAGGTCATCTTCGGTTGTGGATATCAGCTTTTCATTTCTGCTATCGCTACCAAAAGGTAAGAAGCCTCCAACTATAAGCCAGCGGACATATGTAAAGCTCGATCTAGCCTGTAGGACATCATTCCAGCAAGCAAGGCGGTCACTTAAGTTCGTGAGGTCTGGGAAACGAATTGTTTGAAATCGCTGAGGGTTTGACGCGAGACAGCAGCGCCTACTAACAAGTGAGTAGTTGTATAAGTCTAATTTGCAGTCTGCTGCAACGTCATTGCAGATATGTTGCAGGATCTCTAGGGGTAAGCTCTCGAAGATAGGCATGATGGAGGATGTGAGGCTGTCGTAGGCAGTTGGGGAAGGCGAACGAGCCGATGGTGATATTTACACCCACTAGTTAAGGAGTGAGACGCATGCAGGTGTAGGCAGACCAACATTGTTGTTTATATACGTACATCTACTGGGCCATGACTAAATAACCCTGTTACCTAGTCTACAATACTACATGGAGATGCCATCTAACTAACCAGGTTGGTGACAGCACTCCCCAGTTAAAATCAGTTTCCCCTCGCTTACACTAACTAACAATGATGGAGGGATATAGTTAGATACATAGTCAAGTTCATTCAAATACTGTTCAGCTACGAGAAGGCGAATATCACAATCGTCCGATACATACATAATACCCAAGCCAAAGCGTCTCGCAGTTCTTCCCGACACCTTGGTTTTATGTATAGAAATCTTGCAAAGAGACCTTCGCCTTTGACGAGATAGACACACAGTTATCGCCCGATGCCACCTTGTAAAAGGTCTTGCAGGTATCTATCATGCCCGCCTGTATAGGTGTAGGCGTTGCCACGCCGTTCCCCCTCGTTGTTGTGGTCTGCATCGTGGTTGGGGTCGGATTGTTAAAGCCAATGATGCTAATATAGATATAGTAGCCTAGCCACAGGCCGCTGCAGTCTTGCTTGACGCCTGGGTTTTAGGATAAGAGCCGAGCCATGCTTATACTGTATTTCTGGGACACTTTGCTACAATCATCACCGGATTCTACCTTGTAGAATTTATCACAGTTGGCTACCATTCCAGGTTGGATTGGAGCCGGTGTTGGAATCCCGTTGGTAGGAGTAGACGTAGGAGGCATCGAGGTCACAGTCGGTGGCTAGTGACCGATGATCGAGACGCACACATAATAGCCCAGCCAGAGGCCGCTGCAGTCATCCTTTACATCCTTATTCCAGCTGAGGAACTCGGTTAGGGTGATGTCGTGTTTTGTGGCTATTGTACCGCAGATATCACCCGATTTCACCTGATAAAGGGCATTGCAGTTGGAGACCATTCCTGGCTGGGTTGGCGTAGGGGTCGCTATGTCATTCGAGGTTGTCGGAGTTGGCGCTGCAGTAGTTGGATCAACACCAATTATAAAAACGCAGACGTAGTAGCCAGACCACATTCCAGTACAATCCGCTTTCACCTCGGGGTTCCACTCGATGAACTGGGATAGGCTAATGCCATACTTCTGAGCAATACTCCTACATAGTTTCCACCATGCCGAGTTGGATAGGAGTAGGGGTTACTACCCCGTTTGTGCTTGTGGGCGTTGGAGCGTTAGTTGTCGTCGTAGCTGGCGGAGGTTCATCAGACCAGCGTGTCGACAAACCTAAAACTATTACCATCGGAGGCCTCCGAGAGAGAAAGCCGAGGATAAACCAAAAATGCACATTCGAGTAAGGAGGAGTAGAAAATCCCAGGCCTTATCTCAATACTGCAGCCTACTAATTGTACCATCGGATAACTTCAACATCGTGAATACGTGAAAGCTGCCATCTGAACTTAACCATGGGCGAGATCACTCATGCAAAACCCGTAACTGTGAGCTTACAGGAGCTGCGAGCAGGTAGGTGAACTGAAACTGGCCATTCTTGAACTCATGCCACCGATGCATCTTGTTGATAATGCACATATATACTGACGTCGAACTATAGGCACTGTTTCCTTCGAGGCCTTAGCAGAGGCGTTTGGCCCTGAATCGTTGGGGATTATTGTTGTGAAAGATCTCCCCGCAGAATTTAAGAGTCTGCGATCTCAGGCACTTTCTAATGCATCATACATTGCATCGTTGCCATCGGAGCAATTGGGTACGTCAGGCTACCCCTTAGAACCGCAGGGTCGTATCGTGTTGACAAACTGCTATTAGAATCTCTCACTTCAGCTGAATCCAAATATCTTGTTGGCTGGTCCTGTGGGAAAGAAACACTCCGCTCTGGCCATTTTGATACGCTGAAGGGATCATATTATATCAACTGTGCCTTTTATCAAAATCCGGACCTGCAAAATGCTCCTGCAAGCGAGTTCCCCGACTTCCCGCAATATACGGCCCCTAATATCTGGCCCCCTGCCGAGAAGCTGCCAAATTTCCGGCCAAGCTTGACCGAATTATGCACGTTAATCATTGACACCGCAGCTCTTGTTGCAAGGGCCTGTGATCGATATGCTCTAGCAAATATTGAAGGATATAAAAATGGATACTTGGAACATGTGGTGAAGACTAGTCTTACAACGAAAGCTCGACTTTTGCATTATTTCCCTGCCCCAGAGGCGGATGCCAACGGCAAAGAGACGGACGATGATGACTGGTGCGCTACACATGTTGATCACGGTTGTCTTACGGGCCTTACATCGGCAATGTTTGTGGATGAGGCAGTGAATAAACCCGAGCAGTCGGCGGATTTGGCTCCTTTGCCTGAACTCCCTACATCTCCAGACCCAAAGGCTGGCTTATACATACGATCTAGGACTGGTGAGGTAGTTAAAGTCAATATCCCGAAAGACTGCATTGCGTTCCAGACGGGGGAAGCTCTGGAGCTGATCACACAGGGCAAGTTCAAGGCCGTGCCGCACTTTGTCAAGGGTGCAAAGACGGGAGGTAAAATCGCAAGGAATACGCTGGCTGTATTCACCCAGCCAAATCTATCTGAAGAGGTTGCGGCTGGGAAGACCTTCGCAGACTTCGCCCGTGAGGTCGTGGAAAGGAATCATTAAGGACACAAAATAGCCGGCTATTCATATAGAGCCATGACTATGGATGGTTTTATACAGAGTATATAAAGGGTTAGCAAATATCAGAAGAACAACCGCTTAAAGAAGTATTTAAATACCATAGGCTATTGTAGAAAACAAAAGTCAACTTATACAGAGTATGCGAATCAAAATGTGCCGAGAACGCTTAGAAAGGAAGGCCAAAGACTATTGTACACTAACATTTATTAAAAGTCGCTTTCGCTAAGTTTTTTGTGAATGCATAAAGCTGTGAAACACCAAATATCGCCTAGCAAGAACCTGTAAGCCCGTTTACCCATTCGCCCTAATATCCCACCCACGAACCGTATTCAATCATCATTATTAGCTGAAGAAGCTCAATGCTGGCTTATTGCAATCTTGGGCGCTTGGTTTTAGCTTTCATGATTGGATCCTCCTCACTATCGGATAACATCCCATTTTTCCTTGAACCCCCGACACTTTCATCTTCACCTGATTCATCTGCCCCCGTATCGGGTGCAGAAGTCTGCATCGGAGTGATGATGGAATGGGAGGGGAGAGCATCGCCGCCAAGCGCTGTTGAGACCATAGAACTCATTTTACCCACGCCATCGAACTTGGTGTTGCCTGATCTACTGCCAATAAGTCCTTCGTATGGCCGACCCACTGCACGAACAAGTTTAGCATCTTTGACATCCGCGGGGACGGCTGTGCCATCAATAATTTTCAGGATGCCCCTATACATTTTAGGGTCCCTTGACTCGTCATTTCTGCCAGATTCAACACCGTTCAAGGAATCAAGGCTGAGAGTTTCAAGACGGTAGTCTCCGAAAAACCAGTCCTTACCGGGAGCAATCCGATCGTCTGTTTTCTGGCCATATAGCCTACCCCCTCTTACGCCTTCAAGATCGATATCGAGGGATAAGTCTTGAAACATAACGTCCATATATTCGGACTCAAAACATCGGCCAACGACATGGTTAATGGAGATCTCAACAGTATCATTTGGCGGCTCGTGTACTCGATACCATGGCCCATACGCTCGCATGCCGGTGCATTCAAAACATTGGCTAATCTCGAAGTCCGTCATTGGCTCTTCTGGATTATGAGCAAGTTCAGCGTTGATGGTATAGATTTTCCCGATCAAACGTGGGGCGATAGATTCGCAGAGTAGGGGCGACTCGAGCTTTGCATCGCAGTTCATTAGCCTAAGCTCAATTTTCTCAATTACCATAATTTCCGTAACCTTTTCCGTGGGCATGATATTTCCCTCTAGGTCGCGTGGCATCAGACGAACACCATCGCCGCGAATAAGCAGCTCAGCACCGAGGTAGATGCATTTACAGGATATCGATGCATTTGGCCATTCCCCTTTGAAGCGATATTTTTCCAGCATGGAGTATGAAGACATAATGGTTAACGCATTGGCTATTGAAGGATGGAAATCCTTCGTGTCGACTCCTTGTAGATAAACGGACCAATAACTGAAAGGGCGAATGAGGCTGAGGGGCACGTATTTGTACTGGTTTGATAGGCTCTTATCAGAGCTATTAGGGTCAGGAAACATCTCGATGCGAAACCCAGACATGTTCAATGCGCAGCTTTTGTCGGTATGGATAATAGCATCGTGCAAGACCAGAGGTTCCTCTGCAACCTGTGAAACCACTCCGGCATACCATTTCGGGATGCCTAAGAATTTCTTCCTTTTATGGGAGTACATCTGGAATGTTTCAGTCTCCCACTCAAACTTGACCTCCCCATGCACACCCGGACAGCAAAGGACCAGTTCGCCAAGTCTTGGAATAAAGGAGTGTTGCATACGGACACGCGTCAAGTGGTTGGCCATCAGGTTCCGCTCCGCTTTCCAGTCCATGCTTGAAGGTTCCGATATTGCCTCATCCAGAGTACCTGCTGCTTGGAGATTACAAACCATCTCTTTAAAGATATCCTGAGTGCCTTCCGCATCTTCAGCCAGGAATTTCTTTCTCCTGATACGTTCTAAACCACGAGTTAGAATGTAAAAATGCAGTGATCACACAGGCCAAAGAGAACTTACTCCCTTTGCTAGCTCTTGGCTGTACTAATCCTATTTGGTCATTCAACGCGTTCCGAGAAACCCCTGTCGGGCGTGGTCTCCTGTGGGCCATGGTAGTCGAAGATCCTGTAGGTTGAGAACTTTTTCGAACTGGGCCGCAGTGTTCACAGTGGCAAGGATCCAAACCACCATTCATCAAGTAAAGGAAGTGAGGCCAAAATCTATTAGGTGAAAAATAATATTTCCCAGACGGGTGGCCCCAAAGGAATTTGTCTACCTATTAGGGCGAACGTTAGCAATAGTCGAATATTCATGTATGCGCCATCATACTTACACCTTTTGAGCCACTCTTACGCGATCGAATGTAGAAGATATATCCTTCTGGAAGTCGGTCAAGGATGTATGTTTTACCTGAGCAATAACAAAGGGACGCGTTAGTACCACCTTAGCTTGATAGCTTCTCATAGCTCTGATTAATTAATAACACATTATCCCTTGCACAATACATAAATTATGCCACAGTTGCCATGTAGTAATATAGCAGCCAATTCTGGAACCCTTTGCCTCCAAGTTGTATAAACAAGCAGCAAGCAAAAGGAGCAATGAAAAGATGCAAGGGAACTGGTAGTTGTTTGGGTATTCCATAAGGAATATAACAGTACTAACCTTGCTGGAACTCGTTTCTCTGCTGCATCCACTGCGCCCCTAGCTTCTCGAGGTAGATAACAGGGTCGGCTTCGGTGTGGAAAGAGTCGTGTGGGCAAGCGTTGGGGTCACCATCGGAGAAGTCGTTTATAGGGACCACGATTCGGCCATTCGCGTCGACGGTATAATTTTCCGAGTCCATATCGCCAGTTAGTGTTGTTGGTGATGTCGCCTGTCGATATAGAAGATAGCGTCAGTAAATGCCGACTCGACAATTAAGCTTTGGTCAAGCTCTTGTTCAATGAGGAAATATCTCGGGGTTCCCATGCAAATAAAATCTCCTGCTGAATCTCAAATATATCTGATAAGAGGCCGCGCTTTCTCCTCCCCGGAGAGATGCAAAGGAGTATCTTTAAAGACTGCAAAAGGGCAAAGTGAGGTGAAGTTGAGAAGGGCCGCGTAGTAGAGTCACGTGGTAACTAATCTTGTTCCAACTCGAGAAAACTAATCGCGTATATTGGTCTATATCAATTAGACTAACACTATAATTAATTCTAGTGAATAGATATATTTTAGTGAAGGCTTAACTCGATATAAAAGATCTATCTCTTGCAGGCTGTATTAACGGGCATAGAAACCCTCAAACTGATCACCAATATCCTGAAATATAGCGCCAATCACTACACTACTATCACTCAGTCAACGAGAGAATACGTCAATGTAGTACACTTAAATTTATGGTCGTTATATACACACGTAGCATGGGTGCCAAACTTTCATAAGGGCTCCCGCCATGCTACTGTAGCTCGGTATTTACTTGGAACCTGTCGATCCGGACCTGTCAAGGTACAGTGCTGTGGAAGGGGTTTGGGATCTATATATGTCAATGGCTGATACCGGCTCCCACGTCTCTTCCACTATCCCCCCGGAAATCTGGTTTGAAATGGTCAGGCTGAGGTCTCGGTGCGGTGCAGGAGTCGCGTGTCGGTTAGCTGGCAGAGATGAGCTTGGTAGTATCCTGCTCCTCCACCCACACTTTCTGTAACTCGTCTTCAATCTCCTGCCTACGAGCCTTGAGTAAGTCAACACTGTCCAGCTGCTTCCTCAGGTCCTGTAACTCCTTCTCGACCCCCATTTTCTCCTTCTCCGTCCCGATACGGTCAATTTCCCAGCTCATCCCATCAGCTCCGAGGCCAAGGGTGAGGTTGAATGTGTGATATTTTTTCAAGGACGCCCGGGTGGAGATGGTTATCAGGGTGATGCCTCGCTCTTTGGCACGCTCGTATAATAGACCCTCGACGTCCGAGGAAACTGCAGATGTGGCTTCATCTAGGAATACGTAGCGTGGGTCGTGGTAGAAGAGACGCGCCATGCCCATACGCTGCTTTTCTCCACCGCTTAGAACGTCTTTCCATTCCTTGCGCCCATCCCATCCACCTTCGCGAGCAGGGAGGTAACCTAGATGAACCGCTTCGAGGATCTCAATCAGATGATTGTCGGTACGTCCACTCTCTCGCATGTCGAGCTCGTTATGCGGGTAGATGACTTGGTCACGCAGTGTCCCAGTGCTCAAATAAGGTCGCTGCGGTAAAAACATGATGCCATCCTGGCCAAAATTTCTAGGCCGGCTGACCAAGCCTCTGTACACTGGCCATAGGCCAGCGATTATCCGCGCAATGGCAGACTTTCCAGCTCCATTAGGGCCTGATATGAGTAGGTGTTCGCCTGAATGGACAATAAACGACAATGATTCAACGAGTTCGTCTCCCCCGTGAGGGAACAATCCCGGAGCCACGATGGGGACATTCTCAAGGCGTACCCCGTCGTATCCGCTGTGGATGGTTCCTTGAACATCTGACAGCGAGTACAGTTCTACTTGGCTTCCACGAGGTTGATGGTATGAATTGGCGTGGACGCGGTGGAGGGTTGATATCAACGTATATACCCGTGAAGTATATCCAGCCAGCTCTGACAGGTCCTTAATGCTATACATCATACGGCCACCAGCATCTGCCAACGATAACATCAAGCGTTTGTTAGTGATGAATTCCTTCATACGGCCTCGTTCGCGAGTGACGCCTGCGCCGGGCGTGGCCATCTCAAGAACACCGCCAGCTCCGCCCCAAGCGGGCAGGAAAATCGGTAGCGAGGTAATCAGATATCCGAAGGCTGACCAAGAGTACTTCAACAGAATATCTTCGAACATGTTATATCGTATCTTCAATTTATAGATGCCCTCCATCCAGCGTTGGAGGTTAGAGAAGCTCTTGGTAAGGAAGACTCGCTCTATGTCAGCACCACCATAGAACGCTATCTCTTCAGCGTTCGCAAGTATCCTAGAGTGCAAACTGCGGAAATCGCCTTCTTTCTTCCCCTCCACCGCCTTGAGTTTTCCGAACGGAGGAGAGTGGCCACGGAGGAGGGTTGCTGTGCCAATATATCCGCTAAGGATGGCAGTCAGTGCCAATGGACCTAACGAACGATAGAGTTGGTAGTTGAATACGACAAGATCTACCAGCGGTTTCCCAAGTGAAGAATATAGTGATGCGACAGCGCTACAGAAAAGGGTCAAGTCTTGGGTGATGAACTGGTCGACCCCTTGGCCGATGGATCCGTCGAGGTTCGAGAGTTTGTAGTAATTCATGTTGTCGTTCAAATAAAGGTCATGTACGTAGCGGGTGAGTCGTGTCCGGAAAGCAATCGAGACCTTCGACTTGAGGTATTTGATCATGGCGTTTGTATATGAAGCGAAGGTTCCAATGCCGCACCATTTGATAATGCCCCAGATGAAAGCTCTTCCTTTCCCAGCCACGAGATCCCGCACAATTTCACCGTCTAGTCTTGCCACCACTAGGGATAAATATGTCCTCAGCATAAGGAAAACGCCGTGACTAATTAGGAGGCCAGTTTCCTTGCTATTCCATCGGGGGATCATAATGCTCAGCAAGCTCAGCAGTTGGTGCAGGAAGGCTAGGTTCAGCCCTGGCTTTGTGGATGGAGGCGGTGCCCCCCCATATGAGCCTTCTCCTAGGCCGGCAGCTCTTGGAGGGTTCAAGAACAGTCGTCGATGGGCGTCGAATGTCGTTGACTTCGTAGGGTGGATGGTAACTTTGGATGTGCTGGAGGACGTAAGCGTTGACTTGTAAGGAACATATATGATCCTTGAGCCATCTTTCCCTCGAAGACCCGAGTTTCTGCGTAAAAGTCGCCTCCCTTGTAGTCTCTCTTTCGTCCAGTCCTTCCACCAACTGTATCCTCCATACCCACTCCCAATTATGGAGAGAAGCAAGGCGACAGTAGCAAATAGTTTCGCTGATCTGGACGAATTCCGAACGCGGGACTCAAGAAGCTGGGAGTAATGCCGATATAGTATTATTAACGGATCATCCGCTCTCCGGAGGGTAGATTGCGCGGCCATGGTGCCTTCAATATAGGACCATAGGTCGTCACATTCATCAGTTATCTCAGTGTGAATCCCATGGTCTTACGACCTTCACGTGGGCGGGCCTGACGCTGCAGCACAGGGTAAAAGACGCAGACCCCAGTGTTCCTTCACTGAGAGGACCCAGAACCGCTGTCTGATTGTAGATAGATGGTGATGTCGGGATTTTGTTAAAGACTCCAAGATGAAGTCGAACAAACCCCAGATATCGTCCGGAGTTGGCCAAGACTTGCATGTGAACTCGATGTCCACGTGACTAGCATATTAGAGTTGCCTCGGCTGATTTGCGCCAAGCCTGAACTATATAGTGATCTATTACTAGTATATATAGGGACATTGTAGAAGATAGGAAGCAGATTGATGATACAGGTTGAATTGAAGGCTACGATGAAGTATGTACGCATCTACCATCCAGCAAGATATCTTTGATGTTATGTATTGTATAATTTCCACGACACAGCAACGAGGATGCGTTGTTCTTCGCCATCAATCGTAGTGGGAACAATATATATGACATTGTGCATTTCCAAGTCATATCTCAAAGGTGCTATACTCTCACGTAGGCTAGAAAGGTAAAGTGGTTAGTGTGGACTATTATAGGAACGAAACTGTGCGTTGAAAATAGAGCTACTCGAAGCATAGCGACGATCTATGGAATGGAGACGCGAGTATGTGCAAAAGGAAACTTACTAGCATCAATTTGTTTGATTTGTGGTAAAGTGAGCCGCACTTTATTTCTGTATAGGGCTGGTGCCATTTTCTGCAGAGGGTTTCCTTCAAAGTACACCGTACTTAGCTCCTCCTTGTCTTTCAGTTCACGCTCAACCTCCTCGAAACTTGCAAGCTGGTTATTCGATGCCCATAGTTCCTCTAGTTTGGATAACTGTGACATGTTTTCGAGTCGAGAAACTTTATTGTTAGATATGTCCAAAACACGGAGAGCTGCGTTGTTTTCTAGCCCAGAAATTCCAGTGAGAAGGTTATCTGAAAGATATAACTCCTCAAGGCCCGAGAGGGATTCTAGGCCAGAGATGGCTTCGATTCGATTGGAAGGAAGCGAGAGAATTTTTAGATTAGTAAGGGAAGAAATGTTCTATAACCAATAAGTCATTAGATTTGCAAGGGCATAGAATGCTTGAGTGCGGGGCGCTACCTTAATCTCGGATATTTTGTTCTTTCCGAGCCATAATTCTTCTAAAGCAGCCAGGGTATCGAGATTATCAATTTCCTATTATTCACCAAGATAGCGATGTTGTCAGCTTCCCATAAAAATAGATTCGGCCGCATTTTGAATTAGCCTAGAGAGGACTCCAAGGGCTGCACAGTACCCTTATTTTATTTGCACCAAGTTCTAGATTTCTCAGCTCTTTGAACTCTTCCAGTCCTTCGATTGTTTGGATGCGATTTTGAATAAAGTATAGGTCCTTTAAATGCACCAGTGTGGAGATGTTTTTGATATGTTTAATATCGTTGAAACTAAGATCAAGGCTTGTCAGATTCACGAGGTGATCGAGGCCTTTGATATGAGCAATGCCGTTGTCGTAGAGATCTAGCTCTTTTAATGTCGGTACGAGGTTATCAGGTAGATGGATGCGGGATATTTGGTTTTGGCGAAGACATATTTTCTAACGAGAAAGGAGTTAGAAAGATGACCGAAATGAGCTTCATATTCAACTTAGAATATTGGACAGGATGAGTGGCCAGAAATCCTGTTTTCCAGAGGACAAGTCCTGCGTACCTCAATATGTGTAAACCTTTCTAACTTCAAGTTCTTCATGGACGATACTCTGGAGTGAACAAGATATATTTCCTAGGATGACCACACCGGTTAGAACCTAGGCTCTACAAGGCAACCCACAAACCAGTCTGGGCAAACCATACGTCCGCATCATCTTCCAATTCTGCCAGCAAGTCTGTAAAGAGTAGCTAAGTTAGCATCTTGCAGCTTTTAGAGCGGCTTTCTCTTGCAAGGTATCTATCGTATTGCTTTACCTTCATCGGCTTCAATTTTTTCAGGGGCAGGCCCATCCTTATCCTCATGAGGATTCTGCAGAACTTCTAGGTTGGTGAGGATAGCGCGAGGGCCCGGAGCCTTGCCATGGCTCTTTGGTTCGTCACTCATGTCGTGGTAATGCAAATGTTTCCCGAATGCGGTCAGGTATAACGGCGCTTGCCTGCCCAGATAAAGCCACCGGTAAGTTAGATTCGGGGACTAGGTGCTGCAGAGGCAGTGGAATGATGTGGAATAACGCTCCAGGGTAGTAAGATACAATCGTGTGTCTGATTTTCGTTCTCGATCTAAAAGTATGCCCCATATAACTGTTATATTATTATCGATAGCGGGCCCAGGAACGAACTGCGTCATGTTCGGCCACGTGACAAGGAACGAGTGTATCAAACAGCTACAGTAGGGATGAATTAAATGTTTAGGAAAAAGGTTCTCTCGAAAATATTTACTCCATAACTACAAATTGGTAGTGATCGGCTCGAATATCAATCTATTAAAACATAGACACGAAGGAATACATCAAGTATTTAGTATAAAAAAACGTTACTAGAACGCATGCAAATATGAAGAAAGCTGCAAATCTCAGGTATGGAAATATGAATGCATGCCAGGCAAGAAGAATAAGCAAGAGAAACAAGAACATTTGGTTCTAGAAGGTAGAAGAAAAGTATGCATGTATATAATCAAACTAGGTGCTCGGCTAAAAGAAGTAGTGCAATATGGTGAATGGTAGAAGGGTAGGTTGGGTTATTGGAGGTAGGTTTAACGGTGGCGTTGCGGAACCAACGAGAAAGATGATATGCGGGTTATGGGGAGAGGAGGGAAATTGAAAATGAAAGTAATGAATGACAAGGCTCAGGGCTAAAGCTGATGCATAACTGGATGTGTTGTATCAAAGGATGTATAACTGGATTTAAAATAACTGGATAGTTGGGATATCAGGGAGATGACGGGAAGGGGGACGGAGGTGAGGAGGTGATAGGGAATGGGATTAGACAAGGAAATGGATGTGCAATGTGGCGCCTTTTCGCGGATTCGGAATTCGGAAATTCTGGGAACAGCGGGGAAGGGAGGTTAAATGGGTAGATGGTGAGAAATAGAAGACCCGAAGTCAAGATCATCAACGTTGTAGGGGTTGTTGGTAATTTCGGCTGGGAGGAAAGAAGTGGTTTGGGGAACAAAGCCTACTAGAAGCACACGGGAAGTGAAATCTCAAGTTGACGCTCACTAGGCGGGTGGAATTAGAAGGTAATGAATAGGTTGAAGAATAGGAAGGCCGCCAGGGAATCTGTTTATAAAAACAACAGGAAGAAGGATAAGGGGGTTGTAGGTGGAGATATGCCGAAGATATTTCAAAGTATGGAATGGAAAAATGGAAATGACAGAGGGAAAAAAGTGCTCGAGGGGTAATAATAGAGAGACGACAAAGAAAACTAGTGAAAACAAATAGGGTATTAAAACGAACGTGGCTCGTATAATAGAGCATCTTTTTTTAGGTGCACAGGCAAAGTCCAGAATTTTTGAGGGTTAATTAACAAGGGGATAGGTATGAAAAACGTCACGCTGGCACACGTCGAGTGCTAGCTGTATTAAGCATGCGGATGCTATAAGGCGACATCTAGCACCAAGCTCACATCCCGTACTTGGCTGTGGGCTAAGTCCTCTAGGACTGGAATGAGATCGAGTAATTCGTTGTCGTGGGCGTCTGAGAACCAGCTGCTGATAGGGATTGCATGTTTGGGGTGGAATATGTACGAGGTTGGAGAGTTGTCGATAATGATGGTTTCCTTCAAGTCTCGGCCAACTTGTGAAAGGTCCTGGCGAAAGGATTAGCTAAGTTATTATATATGTGAGAGAGAGAGAGGAATAGGTACCTTCACATAGTTCCCTTGGTGGTTGTAACAGCTGTCTCGGAAAAGGCGATGGTGGACGACCTTGTGGATATCTAGTTTATCTAGTAGAGGGTCTCCGTACTGTGTAGGTGTTAGCAATAGCTCCAGCATGATATCTAAAGTAGGCTGAACAAACCTTCGAGACAGACGCAGTAAAAACAACAACTTCGTAAAGTTCACCAACGCGTTTCATGAATTGATCTACTCCAGGACGTTTGATCACATAGATGTTGTGGTACTGCCCTTCAATCTCAACGGGGATGGTGAAATCGGCTTTGTCAAGGACCTAAATACGTTATGTTAATAACGGGTTCAATAGAAAATGGCTAGATGTATCCTACCTTGAAGCTGCTATGGACAAGGGTTTCATCAAGATCCAACACCAAACATTTCCGGCCGTTGAAATGGTCTTGAATGGGAGGTAATAGCCATTTTTGCTTTTCATTCTGGACTGATGGGACTGGTGGAACTGGCTTATCCGCGTTTGACTGAGTATATTGACGGTCTAATGGAGGTGGGGGCGGGAGGTTGGTTTGATGAGCTACTTGGTTATTCACTTCGGCAACTGGTTCGTCAACAGTGGTGGTCGGATACTGGTCATGCATGTTGGTCTCGTCACCCCTATTCTGTTGCTCTGAGGTAGGCGGTGAAGGCTCTGCGTGTTTTTCAGTTGGAGGAGCAAGTGTAGAATTCGACGCGCCAGATTCTTCAGATAGCAGATATCCTGACTCAAGTTTGGAAGTTTCCGGGACTACCGGCTCGATTTGATGATGGGGGTTACCGTCACGACCAGAAAGGGTAGATGCCTCTTCATCCTCGTTCTTAGCTATGACTGGTTTGTGTCCATCGTCGACGGCGACCATAGTATCATTTTCTGTCTTCTGCGTGCTCTGCTCGTCAGATATCTTGATGGCTGGTTTCTCGGTAGTGTCATTCGCATCTTTCCTATCGGTATTGCTCGATTCTGCAACGCCGGCATCCGGTTTCTCGGAAATTGATTGCTTATTCCTTAGGGAATGAGGTTTGGCTATCGGCTTTGGTGGGCGCGAGGCCATATCTTCACCATCGCCGTCGTCTTTAGGCGCACGACAGCAGCTCAGGAATGACCACAGCGAACCCCTTGGCTTCTTTTCCACCTTCGATTCATGTTCCGTCCGTGGGACTCCATTTTTGGTTCCGATATGGGCAGCTCTGGGCTCCAGAGGCTGCGCTTGTCGTGACCTTGTGCTGCTCGCCTTGCTGTGGCTCCCTGTCAGGTTTGTCTGTGAAGTGGATAGCGATACTCCAGTGCCTTCCCGGGTTAGGTCTTCTGATTGTGACGTTTCCCTATTCTTCTTTGACGACGAGCGAGACGGAATACGGAGGAAAGATCGATTCTTCTTGGGCCGCTCTACGGCCTCCGTAAAGGAGGACGCCGGCGCATCGTGAGACATTGGATCTGAGGGTTTGGTGTGGTCTTGGGGAGCCAGGCTTGAGTCTAGAGCAAAACATGCGAGTCAATTGATGTTCACGTGGTATGTTTTTTTTTTCTATTTATGAATGAGAGCTTACCTGGAATTGTAGAAGATGTTGTCATTGGCACAGCGTGGTATATGCGAATGGTAGCGCCGAATTGGAGCTAGTTCGAGAAACAGGAGGTGGTTGGTCTCCCCTTCAACGAAGCAAATTTCCGCTAAACGAAAGAGCGGTAGGACTGATGATTTCCAGCGACCTCTGGCTGCCGACTATCCAATCGAGTCGATTGTGGCGTGGATGGATTGTCAATTTGAGAACAATTCACAAAATATCACACGTTCCAGCAGGCACCTCCAAACTGTGGTCGCAGTCCCGGTGAAAGAGTAGATTTGAGAGAATGTGAAAATAAGGCTGAAACCCCTGATACGGTGTTGGCTAGCAGCCTGTCTGAGACTCCTCTCTCGCGCCCGACCAACGGTGCTGAGGTGTAGCTGAGCTGTGCCGCGAGTGTTGCTGGGAGAACCCCCTCGAGCGTGGCTTCGAGAGGACCGCTTGCTCGGTCCGGACGAGCGAAACTGGGCGTTTGCAACGGTCGCAAAGCGGCACTGGGACGGGTGTCTGGAACTGAGGGTGCCGTATGCGGTGTCTGGAGCGGTGCAGGGAGAGGTCGGTCGCAAGAGTTGCTGGTGGTCGGTGGAAGGGTGCAGGCCACAAAGGGAGAGGAAGGGAGTCGAAGTTGGGATGAAGTCTGGGTTAGCTTATGTAAGACTCCCGCGAGGCGCTGGGCGGGTAGCCGTATCGTTGGTATTGGGGCGGTATCAGGCGTTACCAGCTGCGATCGGGCGGTGTCAGCCCACTGCCGCCCGCTGGAGCCTGCAGGAGGTCACTGGAGGCAGGCCCTGGTACGGCCTCGATACGGCTACGATACGGCTGCGATACGTCCTCGATACAGGGTCGATACAGGGTCGATACACACTTTATTCTCACTTCTTCCCAACTCTGTCACCTCTGCAACCTCCCTCCATGCTCCTATCGACGGGGTATACGCCGGATACCTGCCTGTCCATGGCTCCCGGTGTATAAATAGGATATGTGTGATGGCCCCCGAGGACCGTCTCATTGGGCAGCGCCGTCCTCATCACAGTCCAGGCGGCCAGGGTCTCTGGTCAGTGGCCAATCTGCGATGCTGACTGGCGGGAGGCCAGGGGCGACAGGACACTAGCGGCTGGTCTGCAGCGGACTAGGAGACCTCTCGAGGTGCCCGGTCACAGCCTAGCCCGTGGAGGAACCAGTGTAAGTAAGTATAGGCAGGTAATTACATGGTACCATGCACGGGGGGAGACTGTGCTATTGGCCTAAGGTTCCCATCACATCCATCGCAGCACAACCTGATGGAAGCGGACCGCTGATCTCCAGGTTACATAACGCCGACGGTGACAAGGGACGGGGGGGAGATGGTTATGGGTGTGGACGATGGGCCTGGAGTCTACGGATGAACGCATGACTCGACCGTCATGGTTGTCGTGTGATTTTCGACATGACACCATTGCAGTCGAGAGTTAAGGCATAAAATCTTGCTTTGCCGACGGATGGGAGCATCGAAAATACCGGCCGGAGCAGCCAGATTTACCCCGGCCAAGACCCGATGGAGCCTATATAACGGATGCTATGCATTTTGCATACAGACAGCTGCCGAAATATGCAGGCGAATTCTCCACAATTGGGGTCAGGTCTTCTCGCCTTCAGTCTTGACTTCACCTTGTCCTGCACGCCGTGTACATGCACGAGCCTCACATGGTGAATTGATCTCTCATCCATCCTGCTTCTGCTGGTCAGAGTTTTGCTCAGCGCCTTGATATGATCATGTCTTTATCTATAAGCCAAGACCCGTGCAGTTCAAGCGGAACCGACACGAGAGGCATCAAGGCACCAGATCAGGCATGATTCCCTGCTTCCATTTTCGATCTAGATGCAATACGAGAGCTCGTGACTCGGGCGTCTAGCTCTCGAGCTTCAGTCAAGCGCCCGTTCTCATCGTGCCGGCCCGCTCACACCACGAGGCTATGGTGATGGTAGAACTGAAACGGGGCCTGAGTATCTACTCTGGGTCATTGATAAGCACAGTAGGCTAGCAGCATGTTTTACAGCCTGCATGTTCAAGCTCGGACGTAGCCATGCAATCAATGCATAATAATACAGTAATTGGGCATAAAGATCCCCCACAAGTATCTCCTCGGCTACGCGATCGTTTTAGTGGTATTTAATACTGACCATTTTATATCGTGGTTGGTCAAAAACTCGCTACTTTGGTATGGTTCTAGGCGCTACAGATGAATGGACGAGCGCCTTAAAGGAGTCCATTCGATCAACTCAAGTGATGGGGAGCAAGTTTACCTCGAACTTGGGCGCTTGCGGCTGTGTTCGAGCTTGTTAACGGCGGCTTTATTGAGTTAGGCCCGAACTGGGAAGCGAAAGATAAAATTGAGGAAGAACCGAAGAGGTAGCAGTTTAGGCTCTGAGCTCTGATGAGAAATATCATTTCTAGCAAACAAAGTTAACCTTAGCTCTAGAAATAACGATTTCCTTTACCGGTTATTTGTGCTCAGCAAGTATACATTGTTCCGCCAGCGAATGTAAATTGCGTATTATGCCGCGTAAGTTTTTCTCAAGTGAGTTCTCTGCCAGTTATGGATGTCGTATCAAGTAGAAACTTCGATGCTATGGTCCTATCAATTGCATTTTCGAGGGAAAGTTCAACTATAAAAATATAATCTATCAAAGTAGCTTTAATCTAAAGAATGACGTCTCTTCCAGTAAACGCCCGAAACCGACCTGATATCACGTGATATATCTCTTCAGGCAACCTTCCACTTCACACTTCAGCTCGTCCATCCAACTTCATCCTTTATCTATCAACCTGGATATATTTGACAACCTCGACGGTTTACTCAAATATCCGATATCGCGGTGCAGTTGAATGCCAGTAGCAGCTCCCACCAACGTACAGCTCAATTGCACTGAAGTACTTCAAGATCTCCTTTGAGACCTGCTTCCTCAAACGCTGTTCCTTGAGTTTTGCTGCTTTGCCCTCTTCCTCAACGATTATACCAAGCAGCATGGTCTTCGCCGTGTCCGCGGGGACTCCATGTTCCCTCATAATGACCCTCACCGCATTTCTGATACGGTCTGTTGGCTAGTCCTTCTCGACATTCCAGCTGAAGTAGTCATTCGTCAGACCAAGGACATTGCCCATTGCAATGTCATATTGCCGGATGGGCTCGTAACCGGACTTGCTCAGGGTGATATCCATACCCCAGCGGATAAAGAATGACGAGATCCTGCTTTCTATTAGATACTGTATATGTTGAAATATCTAAGACACATGTCAAAACTCACCAATAACCACAGTTAGGGATACGATATGGCATGTACTTGTCCATCTTTTCAAAATCATCACCGCAGTTATCAAAGGTCTTTAGGTAATTTTTCAGCGTCTTGATCATAAGGGGAGCCTGCGCAGGGTCCATATCAATGGCCTTTCGAATCAATGGAGCCAACGCCGCCTGGCGCACGTTATCCGGCTTGAACGTCGAGGGATCGATATCGAGGCGGAGTACTCTCGCCAAACTATCATGCTCTCTGCATGCCTAAAGAATTTTTAATGACCATCCATTCCCAAAGTGTGATAGTGACTTACAGCGTTGTGTTCCATTTCTTCAGTTACATCTGCAATGCAAACGAACAGAAATGTCAGCTGTCGATCTTGTTGACCGGCCCATCCTGATACAAAATGAAATTTTACCATCGTGAATCCACATGATCTCAACGATACTGGATAACAAGACGAGCCTTTTAGAGAACGCTGTACAGTGTCAGACGGCGAAAGGGTCACTGTAAGGGTTGATGTGCCGAATCCGAGCTCGTCGTCTCTCTCGCGATCCTTCTTCAGTAGCTTGCTCGCCAATGCGTCTAAGTGCATTCTCAACCTCACGGGAGGATACACTTATAGCAGCAGGATAACGGGAAAAGAACACAGAGACTTTGCTCGCGTCTATGGGCCTGCAGACTGAAGAGAACGATTCCACCGTCATTTTTTGATATGCGAAAAGATTGAACTAGTTTGGGGGGTGCTTGAATTGAATTTCACACTGCCACAGATAATGATTAAAGTCTTACCTCAACGACTAAGAAATCATAGGACTATTTATACCCCAGGCAGACGTGGTTCGGATTCCTCTTCGATGTACCTCTCCGTGGCTGTCTGGATGCGATATGTGTGGCTGACTGGGTAGGACGTGTGTGGCTACCTAGGTAGGATTTAAGCTGAACCTTGAGTTATATTTTCTAAGCAGGGAGACTTCAGCTGACGACGAAGAAAAGAATATACAAACGGCCCGCCATAACCCATTGACCTTTTCGTTCGGAGCTGAGAGATGGCTGTTATGGGTCAACACTGCAGAGGGCTTACCGACGGGGACACCCGATTCCAACATCAATCTCACCTCATATATCCCATATATACAGAGTTGGAGATATTCTGGTGCCACTGCAGGCTGAGGGGGCCTATAGCCAGCCCTGGTTTCCATGATGCCACCAAGAAAACCTCTGAATATCCTATGCAAGGTATATACGGGATCAATCTTTCTGAAAGGTGTGTCAGGAATAGAGGCTATTGACTAAGAGTCCCTGCTCAGGAGAAGATTGCAAGATATAAAGCTGTACAGCTCATGGCTTTACTGCACTCATATTTCCCCCACAGTCCGTCAGCTACAAATTACCGCTCCCCAACACTCCAGTTCCCTCATTCATAAAGCCAACTTCCCACATTTTTCATTTCGATATCGAAATGGACTCCATTATCCATCTACTGAATCCTTTAGGGAGTGTAGTTGCCATTCCTACATTGTTGATACTGTGGTTTTCCATGAGGCTATACCAAGCAATAAGCAAATTTAGGAATCTGAAAGCTCAAGGCATCGTATGTTCCTTTTTCGTTCTCTAATTATACCCTAATCTAACGCCTCTAGCCTATCATGACCCACTCGTTCCTCCTAGGCCATCTTCTTATTGTACGCCAGTTCTACCTTGATTGGGCTTCAGATGCGAATTTCATTCAAACTTTTGGGTACTACATCAGTAAACACTGGAGGAGATTCTCTCCAGACGAGGATCAATGCCCTCCGGTTGTCTATGTTGACGTCTGGCCCATTTCAGCCCCCATGGCTTTTTCTATGGAAGCATACGTCTCTTATCAGATAGAGATTGGGACGACCTTGCTCCCCAGGTCTCCCATGCAAGGGGAATTCTTGAACCCAATTTCGAAGGGAAAGGACCTTAACTGTATGCACGGCGAAGAATGGCGTGCCTGGCGCTCAAGATTCAACCCTGGATTCAGCCAAGCTAATATTAGAACCTGGATACCTGCTGTATTACAGGAGGTTGAGGCCTTTTCGGATACGCTTTGAGTCTTGCAGGCGAGAATGGCGCATGGGGCCAGGTCTTCCAGCTCGAGCAAATCTCATCTAACTTAGCCTTTGATGTCGCTGGCAGGGTTGTTCTGTAAGTCATCTAGATCTATATCCGTCTTAGCCGGTCAGCGCTAATACCATAGCAGGGGCACTCGGTTGAACTCACGGTCACCTAACCCATCCCTGTTTACTGTGGCTTACCGAGAACAACTTGAACGTATGGAAATCACTCTTAATGTCTTCAAACTCATCTGGAGGGCAACGCCGATGTTTAAGCTCGCTGTGAGAAGAAAGAGGCAGCAGCTCTTTGAATTTCTGAGGCCATTTGTCATGGACAGCTTTGGCACACCTAAGCCTGGACCCCGGACCATACTCCAGGCTGGAGTCAAAGAAGTTAATCATGGGGCTATAGAGAAAGGAACCTCCACTCCCATTCCAGGAGAGTCACTCATCGAGCTTGTGTTCTGCCAACTGATGGTCTTCTTTTTCGGCGGGGATGATATAGTATCGATTACTCTTCCACAGATATTTAGACATCTCCAACTCCATCCTGAATGCCTTGCGAAACTTCGTGCTGAGCATGATACAGTCTTCGGTCCTGATCCGAATATCGCCGCCGATATGATACGGGAAGCTCTTCATATTTTGGACTCACTGTCGTACGCACAAGGGGTCATCAAAGAGAGCCTACGCCTAAACCCGGCGACTATCACGATCCGGAAAGGGCAGCCAAATTTTACGTTCAAGATAGCTGGCTCAGATATAGCGTGGCTAACACAGGGGTTCGATCTTTTCGACAGCAGTATAACCATACATCGAGATCCGGCAAATTTCCCAGATCCCCTTGATTTTATTCCCGAACGATTCATGGTGCCGGAAAACGATCCCTTACATCCACCAAAGAATGCGTGGCGAGCTTTCCAGCTTGGGCCTAGGAAATGCATTGGCCGGGAATTAGTAATGGTTGAGCTCAAGCTGGCCTTGGTGCTTGTCGCCAGAAAATTCGATGTTGAAATGGCTTGGGAAGAGTGGGACAAGATGAGAGAGAAGCAGGGATTGAAAGTGACGAAGCAAGTGGTGGAGGGCGATATAATGTATACCACTGGAAAATTGACATCGCATCCTAGGGATGGCGCACCGGCACACGTGAGAATTAGGAATCATTCTTCAAAATAGGATATCTCAATCCCTAGTTCCTTATAAGATTACTGTCCAGTCCATTCGTTGCATATCCCTGATTTAATATATAGTTTCTTGATAAACTAAGACGTGTCAAGGTGAATCATTGTTTTTTCCATATAACAAAGCTTGCCCCTTTACTATCCTGTATTCTCACTCCTCTGAGATCGTCTAATCAAACCCTTCTCTACAAGTTGCTATCATGCAGATTTATGCAACGTGAAGCCGTTAGTCTTGCGTCTGATTACATAAGCCAAATACTATTTCGTTGCTGCAAAGAACAAAGATAAAAGTACGAGACCGCAAGCACCGAGATCCTGATTATTACCGGTCTCAAAATTGTGAGATATCTTGATTAACGTGCAGACAACATCGTCCCCTGACAGACCTTGTACTGTGGACTCGCAATGGCATCTGCGCTTCGGGTTCCTATCAATAGTCGCCAGGTGCATGTCAGGATGAGCCCAGCTCCTCGCACTTTGGCTCAGAGCAGATCAGTTCTGAAGTCATTACAGAAGTTTGGCGAAATATCGTCTTTTCTTAATACAAAGGTACGGTGTGTATCTATACGGCCAACCGCGTATTTGTCGCTTTCAGTGCTAATTTTACAATAGTATTTCAAGATTAGAACGTCCACATCTGGAGGCTCAGCCTTCGCAATCTTCGAATCGTCTCAGGCAGCAAGCGACGCAATCGGCGCCTCACCGTTGATTGTTTCCCTCTCTGATCCGTCGATACCAAACAATTCTGGCTTTCCTACTCAAAACGATCATATCAACTCCTCTAGCCTTGACGGGCGCGCTCCAAACTCTCACGATGACGCTCACAGCCAGACCATCGAATGCACAATCGCAGCTTCGGAATATGACCACGAAGGAAATATGCGCAAGAACCCATATAACATGGGCTTCCAAATTTCACGCCATTGGCTAGAGGTACAAGATTTGATGCGCTCGCCAATTTGCCGCGCACCCCTCGCGGAATATGCCGATTGCTTTACGAGGCGGAAATTTTCGATGCCATTTCGGATTCAAGACCGGATCTATGATGAGACCGTTAAGGCTGGAGGTACTTCGCTAATGGATATGTGGAGACAAGGCCTGGAAGCGAAGAAGAGGGAAGAGGCAGGGAGCCACGATATTGATCAGTCCAAGCAGAAGCTAGACTCAGCTTGAGTAAACTTGATGCATTGGGATCTCAGGAATTGTGAAAAATATTTCTGACCCATGTATGCTCATTTACCAAACGCCTTGGTAATGGTGGTGTATTGAATGCCGCAGCAAGTCGATAATAGCTGTCGGCGTTCCCCGTATGCAAGATGCTTGGTCTTGATCGAAAGATCGATGACTGGTATCAAAGCATGCGCCATCTTGCGTGCCACCTCCTACTCCACACTCCAGACGAGAGGCGCACCTATGCGTGTTACACTACAGAATCCTATCTTGCCCAAGTTCTCCGCAGACGACAGAATTTATCCTACCAACGAAGAAGGTGCTACGTGCATCGAGCGGATTGGTGGATAAATCATGTGGAATCAGCCATTCGAGCTCTGTTCTCAGCTGAGTGTTTTCAGATGAGACAATATATCCATGGCAAGCTGATTGCGGTGCAGTGCTTACTATCAGGTGGAACCTCCGAATAGTGTCTACCTGAAGATAAAGTGAGAAGTCTCCTCTCAGCCTTGGCCTGATAAAACGAAAACTATTACATTTATATACTGTAGGTAATGCTTGTTTCAGCCACTCTCACGTTTATTTGGATATATATCAAGAGAAAATTGGTTCAATTGCTTAAGGCACTACCTAGCGTAGCAATACTATCCTAATATTTTGATATTCCATATTTTTGTATATAGTCTCACCCGTTGGTAAGAGATTACTGATGAAATATTTATCCAAAGATTGGAAAGTTAACGTCGTACTAAACGTGCCGATGCGCGGAGAGTCAGTTACCATAATCAGATCAGATTGGGCTGATAAACATCCACTTACACTTGGAGGATTATTGAATCGTAGCCCCTGGTTAAGAGCGCTAATAGCACTGACTTCATTCGCTGTAAGGTTGAAGCTTGTGGCATCCAGGTTCTGCGCAAGTCTGTCTGGATTATTGCTCTTTGGGATAACAGCAACACCTCTCTGCGTGGCCCATCGAAGCAATACCTGTGCAGGAGTTTTACCATGCTTCTCTGCGGAGGATTTGATAGTCGGGTGTTCGAGGAGCAGCGTCGTTCCAGTGGCCGCCTTATTCTCCAGCTCGATAAAGCTCTGTGGACCAAGGGATGAATATGCCGTCACGGTCAATCCCTCCTCCTGAGCATACTTGACCAATCCCTCCTGAGTGAGGTATGGGTGATGCTCTATCTGCAAGGTAGAAGGTCGGATTCTCGCATATCGCAGCAAGTCCATGATCAGCTGAGGGCTAAAGTTGCTTATTCCGATGCTGCGGGCAAGCTTCTTATCCACCAGCTCTTCCATTGCTCCCCAGGTCTTGTGCATAGGTACATCGCCTCTTTCGGGTTTTTCACCGGGAGCAGACCACTCTGGGGGATATCGAACGGCGGGGTCGACATGTTTCAGAGAAATGGGGAAATGGACGATGAACAGATCGAAGTAGTCGATGCCCCAGTCGGACAATTGACGGCGACATGCTTGCTCGACATGGTTGGGGTCGTGGAAGGTTCCCCAGAGCTTGGAGACGATAAAGAGATCCTCCCGCTTCACGATACCTTCCTTAATAGCGCGTGCTACACCTTGGCCGGCTTCTACTTCGTTTCCATAATCTGCATAATCAGAGTGAGAAACGGATGCATCACAACATGGATCGATACCTACGTACCACAGGCGCCATCGAACAGACGATATCCAGTTCGAATGGCGTTATAAACTTGGTCCGCGCAGGTGTCTTTATTGACTTTCCATAGTCCAAACCCTACAAGCGGCATGGCATAGCCACTGTTCAGCTTGACGGCCGGGGCCGTTAGATTCGGGGGGCTAGATGCCATATTTTCGAGATTATATGCAGATATCCGGGAAGAATAAAGATGTTAACTCCAAAAGTTCTCTGAGAATACAGCGTTGAAGAAAATTCGACAGTTGATGGCGATGTTTCTAGCTATCCGGCGGAAGAAAGCGGGCCTACGGCTATGGTTGCGGTGGGTACGGACGAACCAGAAAATGGCTGTGGACCAAGAATCCAGGAATAAATCACCGAAAAAATGTATAAAAATGGTTTACGATTAGATCTGGGATTGCGGGGGAAACTGGACGATCCGTTTTCATGCAGTTGAGGCTTTGCATAAAAATAGTTAGGGCGTTGGTCATTGATTATCGTCAGACGAACAACTCCGAACAGTTGATAGCGAACATGGAGACAACGAGGCAACCAAGGCAATGAACAGCTTGGCGAGTGGACCGCGAGACGTAATACAATATCGTTTATGATATATCTTGAAGCTTATGCTGGAGAACCGGGTGCATATGTACGCAAGGAGGGGTTGCATATGTATGCTACGCCTTGTGCAGGAAGATTTAACAGGATGAATTACTATCACTTGACAAAGGGTTCTATCTGTATCTGAACAGGGATGACATGCACAACCCGTCGATATTAATCTTCAAGGTTGGCATCGACGTTGAATTTCTTTCGTCCGGATCCCATGAGTTTCTGGATCTTAACTTTGTTCACCTGTGCGTCGACCTTCTTTTCAATCTCCTTGATCTGGTCTTCTGGGTCGGTCGCCTCCTCAGAGACGAACTCTAGGACAAGCCGTCGGCCGAGAAGATGTGTATTTCGCAGTGCGTCCATCGCATTCTCAGCCTCCCTCGAGCTCACGAAGTCAGCAAAGGCAAAACCGCGGGCGGTCCTGTCAAACTTCTTCGGGACACGGACTGATCGAAGCTGGCCATAAGCTGCAAAAAGAGACCAGATATCCTTCTTCGTTGCTTGAAATGGCAGATTTTTGATGATGATCTTGGTTCTTTTTGCGGAGGATTTTTTGGCATTATCCTCGCGCCGTCGCTGCTCGGCAGCATCCATCCCCTTGTGGGAGGGTTTGATAACAAGTTCATGCTGATCAAGCTTATACCCATTGAGAGTTTTGAGAGCTGCTTCCGCTTGTGCTCGACTTTGGAATTCCACGAAGCCAAAACCCATGCTAAGTCGTTCGCCGGGTTTCTTCGGGTCTGGTCTCGTTTTGACCTGAGCAGATATAAAACCGTCAAGGGGTCTAAACAAGTCACTTAGACCCGCGTCAGTAGTAATAAAATTCAGATTGCGGACAAATAATGTTGCACTCTCCATAGGTGCTTCTGGCTCATCCGCTCTGAACGTATCTGACGTAGAAAAGCCCTGAGAAACGGTTTTCTGGTTAAGCACCGATGGCATGGTAACAGCCGGGCCGCCTTCAAATAGGTCCTTAGGCGCTTTCTCTACGTAGAGAATTGAATCACCTAGCCTTTTATAGGCAAGGCCCTTGAATGCTCGTTGCGTTTCATCTGGCATGGCAAACTCAACTATAGCAATTGTGCCACTAGGTGGCATAAGTAATCGTGTTAGCTGTCCAAAGGGTTCACACAGTTTTCGAATATCCTCAGATGAAACACCATATGCGAAATTCTTCAACAAAATAGCAGTGTTTCCCCTTTCACGCTGTTTGAATGACTCTATGTTGACTCCGTTGGCACTAAAATAGGCCTTGGTTTCTTGGATAACATGGGTTTCTGCGTGAGCTTGCTTGACGGCAGCATCTGACGAGGTTGGATCAAGCAATTGCGATTTCGAAACTCCCAACCTGTCAGCTACGGAAGCCATTACCGCATCAGTCTATTTGGCTTGTTAGTCACTGCATTACATTCTCGATTGCGAGGCACTGGGACTTACGTTCATATACAGAGAATTCCAGCTAAAAGTGGACGAGGCCGCTTCAGCTTTCTTTTTGATTTGTTGTTGCTTTTTCAATGGCAACTTTGAGATCTCGAATTCATCTAGCTTGTACGTTTTCTTTGAGGAAGCAGGTAATAGGTGCATTAAACGACCTTGGAAGTCTTTCCCATCCAATTGTTTATAGGCTTCGATTGCCGCATCACTCTCAATGTACTGAATGTATGCGAAACCTTTGCTTTTAGAATGTCGTGTATCTGTAGCAACATGTGTCTAGTTTCAGTCAGCTTCCATTTAATCACTTGAATGAAAAGATTTGATACTCTAAGCAATGGGGCAGTAGTCTTCAGATTAAAAGAGGCATCTACTAAAATTCTCTTCCTGGTAACATCATATGCAAAGCATCAGATGTCCCTATCAGGACAATCATCATATAGACTATGGGTGAAATTTGGGAACAACAGTGAGGGAGAAGATATCTTACCTCTTCGATTTTGCCGAAACGAGAAAATGTTGCGTTAAGATCGTCTTCAGAGGCATTGTAAGGTAGATTTCGTATAAAAAGCCGGCCGGTAAGCCGGATCGATTCGACATTAGCATCGGGAGCTGGCTCTGGTACATGCTCTGTCTCTTCCTCGACGGCAGCTTGAGTGTTAGTTGTTCTAACTGGATGCACCGGGGCATGATCCACAGTAGCTTCTAAGGGTTTGGCACTCTGAGTTTGAGTGGTCATCTCATCATCTTCATCTAGAAGCCCGAGGAGTCGAGATGTCTTGGACCGCAACCAATCATCATCATTTTGTGGTGCTGTTGAATTCTCTAAGGTCTCTCCGGAAGTACCGTTGTCGGTGACTTCGATATTGGAGACCTGTGGCTCCATTGCAGGGGCAACGGTGGTCGCCTTCTCGGGATTGCCCATCGCTATATCGCCATCAGGTTCAACATTGTCATGTTCAGAACCGACCACAGGATTTGACTCCTCTGGTTGAGGTGCGGCGTGAATGGCACCGCTATCAGCCCAGGTCCGTGACTTCGTTGGCGGTTGCATGGCAGTCAGGTACTCTTGTAGCTTTGTATCTTCCTCTATCTCTTGTGTCTCACGTTTCCGCTTGAGAGAAGGAGGATCATTTTTGGCATTCAAGTGTTTTCTATACCTTGCCCGCAAATCTGCTTCGCCATCAGCATCGACCTTGAAATACCTGGTCAGCTTTCTTTCATTGAGTCCTTCGAGGTTCGTTAGCCTCGCAATAGCCTAACACTGTGTACACGGCTCGTATGATAAGAGGAGTCGGGGGTATGGGGAGAAGTCAAGGCTACTCACAGCTCTAGCCATTTCCACTGATATCTTCGACATGTTGATGAATGTCTTATTGAAATACTTGACGGCATTCTCGGCAAAATCAGGGTCCTTGAATCCCACGAAGCCAATTCGTCGATTGGGAATGACATGAGCATCAGTAACCTCGAATCGCTGAGCAAAGTGATTTCGAAGCTTATCACTCGTGAGCGAGGGCGGGAGCCCAGACACAAACACACGAGTTCCCTCCATGTTTCTGTGATAGATCAAACGCCGCGATCTAATTACATTCTTCTCCGTCGAGTCGAAGAGAAAAGACGTTGGTTGTTGTTTTTTTCGTTTTTTTTTAGTTTTTTTGATATATTTTTTTTCTGCCTCCAAAGGCGGTGAGAGCTGTATTATGTCATCCGAATAGTTCATGCCCATGGTCCGTGCATCCAGCCTTTCGTCACCAAAAACGAAAACAGAAGAAGAAACGCATGGGGAGAGAGACGAAGCAACCAGCAACAAGCCACAGCCGGAGCTCCTGAGTTACAGTTGTTTATTACAAGTTTATAGATCTTTCAATTCCACCGCCAGTCAACATGGCCACCGAGAAGCGGGAGAAGCTCGAAGGTACCATTCACCCCCTATTTGCTTCCCCTCCGCATTAGGAGCTAACGGCTGACACGCGAATTATATAGCCCAGATCAAGTCTGTGGACATGGTGAGGATGTGCTTGTCCTGATATACAAGAGACAGTCTCTGACAACTAGAAATAGAGCGAGGATATGCAACATGAAGCCATTGAAGTTGGTACGCAGACCTAACCGCCCCCCGCCCTTGCGACACGGACCAGCTAACGCAGCCATCCTTTAGCTACCGAGGCCATGGAGAAATACAATATCGAAAAAGCAAGTGATGCGATTGGAGCGAGAGTACTACATTCCTGGGATTTAACTAACTGAAGGGGTCATAGGACATTGCGCAATTTATAAAGAAGGAGGTTTGTGGATCCAGGCTACACGATTACAGTGGGAGTTATGGAAATGCTGATAATGGGAATAGTTCGACTCACGAAAGGGTGCTACCTGGCATTGCATAGTCGGGAGGAACTTTGGAAGCTTCGTCACCCATGGTATAAATTCTCCTTCCTCCCTTGCTTCGGTGATTGTGCGTCACTAACTGGCCTTCTCACGCAGAAACTAAACACTTCATATACTTCTATCTCGGCCACTGCGCTATCCTGTTATTCAAAACGCAATAAGTGTGCGGCACTTTTTGGATTCTTCAAGCAGAGCGTATCATCCTTATCTTTCCATCTTCGTGATAGTGTTCCACCCCCGTTGCGAGGCGGACTCGGGGTTCATGGGCCCAGAAACTGTATTGGTGGTGGCCCTGTGTTAACGACTGTTCTTCCCCCTGTCACTAAGGATATATTCCGCCTTTTATGTTTTAATGATACTCTCTAAAGCAAACATGGAATATGGTTTATACTGCTCTTAAATTCCCTTATATCTATGCCCACCCTTCCGATTTTTTAGTAGCCTGTTACCGCTTATATATTCCCACTAAAGCGCTTCAATTCAGAAACCTGATGAAGTAAAACCTGATGAAGTAATATATGGATTTAATGTACGGGTTGATCCCCAGACTTGAGAAATTAAAATGGTATCTAAGCATAGCAGAGGACAGTTCAACGCGAGCCAAAAGGAAACCAAGAGTATTAATGCTCGACCGGACGCGAGCGTAATAAAAGAAACTGGATATCTGTAAAACGGCCCTTCCCCCCTAAACATAAAGCATGTGCAAATCTTAAGCAGTGGAGCGGCATGGTATCCAGTATTATTTATACCCAGGTTGCTGGGGCGGTTGATACTGCGCTGGTTGCCCTTGATGCCCTCCCGGCGGACCGTACTGCTGACCGTACTGCTGACCCGGCGGGGGTTGAAAGCCTCCGGGTGGCGGCCCTTGTCCTTGACCTTGGTTCTGGCCTCCAGGCCCTTGAGATTGGACATCCGGTCGCATCCTAATGTGAAATGGTTAGGTACAGTTTTCTTCCCAGGTGGGAAGCGCCACTCACGATAAGTCTTGCGAAAACCGGCAGATGTGGCAGTATACTTCCTAGAGAAGAAAAGAATGTAAGTAATGGGTCAACCTTATTGATACCGCAGAGCACGGAAGCTCACTTTATATTTGTGCATTGCCAGTGGGATAAGAGGCTGTATAAACGATATTCAATCAGTATTCGGCATCGATAGGGTAGACTCTCATGTATAGATCGAAGCTCATACGATAAAGCAGACTGTGAAGAAGGGCCTAGGTATATTCAAGAAATGTTAGTTGAATACTATTATAAGCAATGCTATTGTTCTCGTAGCTGTGTTCGGAAGTTGACTGACCATCTGGTTATACAGCGACCTGACCAGTTGCCGCCTAGCAAGAAACATCCTGGGTTAGAACAACGGGTTCAAAGAAAGGCGCATGGCTGCGCGGATGAACGGCCTGTCTATCTCACAGTTCTGGCATTGGGCGTTGACATGTTCGTATCCTTGTAGCTGCGAAGTGAACTCTGCGAAGAGACAATGTCCTGGTTAGTGTGTGGCTTTCAAACGGCATTAACCGACTGGATCTGCTCTCCATACCGTGGGTTCCAAAAGTTATGCAGATAGCCATGATTAGATATCGTATGCGACTCTGGATATAGTGGTATATGAATTCTGTAAGACGTGAGAGCTGCGAATGGTCGTGAGTTGGATGTCGAGGACGCTGGACGTTTTGTTTACGAGAGGTTGAATGACGCAGAGCGCAGCCACTCCGTACTTGGCTAGGATCGGCGAAACCGGCAATTTAACGCTAGGTTCCTTATTCGGAGCTAAAAATGGCTACAGAAACAACAAGGGCCGTGAGACATAGAAAAATATGTAACGGACAAGGTCGTTGAATGTAGAGTCATGAGTGAGCAGTTGATAAACTACGCATGGTCAAAGTGAACACCAGAGTCCAGGGCCAAGAAAAAAAAAACGAGTTTCAATAAAGTTACAGGAGAAATAAAATCTAGCTAGATTCCAGGGACATGGAGGGCCCAAATATACAGCAGATATTGGGGTGGTAGGGAGGAGGGAAATCACGCAGAGATAACGAGTCGAGGAGTCGGGGCGGCTAAAGCCAGAGCGGAAGAATATTATATTAATCACCCAGTTGACTCGACTTCATGTCCACCATCAGGCTTCGTCCTAGGTAGGTTCGACGTTGATAGGCGGCCGCCACGAAAAATAAAACTGTTCCCTGCGTTGATAAGGTATAGATGATGGTTTGTTGTGTTGTGTAGTTGTAATATAAAAGTGATGCTGTCCGAATACATTGGCTCAAACCCTTCCCAGCCTTTAAAATAAAATAAGAAAAAGGGAGCCTATGCACCGTTTCAAGCCATGTAACTCATGTTTTTTGTCAATGTTGCTCAGAGAAGGAAGGAAGAAAGTAAAACGTTCGGTATAAAACGCGACACGTTTACGAGGAGAATTTGCGGGTGATCTTTGCAATGACTATCAAGAAGGAAGCCTGGGTTAGCTTAGATCATAATATTTAAATCTAGGCAAAAGAACTTACCATGTAATCCAACAACGGAGAAAATGAAACCCAGAGACAAAACCAATACAACAACAGGGTCGACTTTCAGTCCGGGGCTCTCATCAGTGTACAATTTCAGCATGGTGCCTGAAGAACCACCCGCTCCGGCGGATCGAGTAGATGCTGGGCGCGCATTTCGTACGGATTCCTTGTGGTCTGCTGCGGCGCGGCGACGGAGAGCTGTTCGTGGACCTCCTGGAGGAGTAGGAGAAGATGGGCGCAAGGCCGAGCTTGAACCGCCAGCTGGAGATTGGCCGGATGCCTTGGATCCCTCAGCACCGGACTCGGCACCTGATATCATTGGAGAGGAAGGCTATGAGTAACAAAAAAAAGGCTGTTAGCTTTTGGTTCGTCCTCTAGCTTGTTTTTCACGATGATAGATGGTGCATTCAGGCCAAGGGGTGATCAAGAAATGGATGGGCGCGTTCATTACCATTATGGAAGGAAGTGCTTGAAATTAGTACGTAAATTAAAACAAGAAGAATTGGCTATTGAATGAGCACGTCGGAGGAGATGACAGGTGCCTGAGGTTGGATAGTTGTGTCTGTCTATCTCCGGTTCTCTTCTGTTTGCCCGGAACATGGAAGAGGCCACGATTTCCCAAGTAGTGCGGTTGGTGATTATGTAATTCACTGACTGGCGTGTTTTCTGCCGCTCTTCGCCGCCGTGGTGTCTGGGGTGGCTGACGTAATCAGGGATGGCCGCAGGAAGACAGGAGACAGAAGTATCAATGGGCTATCTAGAGTAGAGGGGGCTGTATTAGGGGTAAGTAGGGAGAAGTTAGGGTGATGATAGCTACTAGATAATATACGACACAGAGGTAGACTCCAATGTAACAATTTGCCCATTTAATCTTAAGGGAGATGTAAGGTAAAAGGCAAGGAAGCACTGCTTCCTCAGAGAAGAAAACCTAGGTTTATTTGACATGTTTATATTTTCAAAGAAACCGCAAAGGAGTGACAAGCGATAGGCTAAAACAGCCTCGCAATAGTATAAGTAGATACAGGCAGATAAAACAAGACAGGGTCATAGGAAATACATGAGGTATCATTGAAAGAATAAAAGTATCCCTTTCCAATAGATTAAAAGTAAGTTTGGTATGAACGGGTAATCGAATCTTCTTGGTTTGCTGCTGCTGTCGTTGTTTCTGTTTTCCGCCATCTGGTCGCTATCAGATACAATTTCAAAGGAAGCAATCGTGTTTGGGAAGTAGGCATAGTTAAAGTCCCCAGGTCCGAGAAAGAGAGAGAAAAATACATAAAGAGAACGGGGAACAAGCGAAAAAAAGGGAAGTTCCTTGGGGTATATGAGCATTCGGAAGGTTAATTTCGAGTTTAGATTAGAGGACTTTTTTTTCTAGTTCTTTCTTTCCTTTTCTTTCAAAGAAAAGGTTCAAAACGCTTTCATTCACAGTCAATTGGTGATTTCAATCGATGGTCATGCGGCTCGGCACAGGGCCGTGAGAGAACTGGTCGTTAAGCTCAGTGCCCTCTCCCTTTTCAGCACCGCGTGGTCTCTTCTTGCTTGTGATGTGTGGCTTCAAGCCCTTGTTGAAATTGAGTGTGCACACTATAGCATTGGCAATTGTCATTATAATAAGAATGATGGTTGCAACGGCGAAGAAGGTAAGAGATCGACGGGCGGGGAGATACGCCGCCATCTTCTCAGGCGAATACATCCGTATTAGCTTGAAGAGGAAGTAGGCAAAGCCTCCGAAATAGAGCAGCTGCGGTTGACTGGTTAGCTAAGTCTAGATTAAAGGATGCATGTTTGTCACTTACGATAACAATTACCATGCCAACGGTGTTTTCACGTCTGGTCCAGAATGCAGCCATGACCAAGATCAGGATGGTGACTGGTATGGCAGCAAGCGTGAGAGCGAACTCAATAGTCTTTGTTTCAGTCACAACAACCACAAATTGGACCGTGAACCCAAGGAAGAAGAAGAAATCGAACTTCAACAGGGCAATGTAGATCTACACATTATGGTTAACATGGCTATACGACTAAAGAAAAAGAGGGAGGACAAACCTGATAGGTAAGGTAGCGACGCTTCATCCGCAGATCAGCACTGATATGCTTATAGATAGTCCAGGCAAACTCGTCATATAGTTTCCAGGCAAGGAAGGCCATGGCAACCGTGCCGAATCCCGTGATGCAAGGGATGGCAACGAGGAACGGCCTGATTTCGCCCAATACAGAAGGGTGGATGAGGCCAGCTTTGTCGAGTGATTTTACAGCCTCCTCGATCTGGTCGATTTGGACGGCCCCATAGATGAGCAATCCGAGGTTGCATATACACAGCCCAATAACCTGGATAGTATTCTTAAGACGGAGTGCATCGTATACTAGGACGAGTTCGTATACGAAACCAAAGATGTAGAGGGTCAGGAAGGTTGGGATGGTCTTTGACTCGGTGTTTGCGCTTGCATCTCCTATAAGCTGTAACTGGAAACGAGCGAAGACATATCTGATCATAGCGTTAGATCCGTTACATGTATAGAGACCTGCTCCCAACTTACGACTCGAACGCGAGGATACAAGCTGCCTGGACTGTTGTTACAATAACAAACGACCAGGTCCAGCGTGTATTTGGCATATACATCTTCATGGTCGACTCGGAGCCGGAAGTGTATCCTTCTCTAGGCCTGTAGCCCTGACCAGGGGGAAGTAATGGAGGGTCAAGCCCTGGCTCTCCCAAGAGAGACGTCCGCCTCGAGTATGGACGAATTTTGGCGACCAGCTCCTAAACGGAGCCTTGCTCTCCGTTCCTATCGATGGACGAGAAGATGAATTAAAAAATATTACCAAAAACGGAGTCCAGTGGTAAGATGTATGGGGGATTGTAGGCGCTTGGATGGCTGTGCACGAGAGAACGACGGCGGCAGGATCTCTGTTATATCATAAGCGGGTGCGGGTTCAGGCTCGCTGGGTAGTTGCGAAAGGCGGTGCAAGGCGGCTCCGCGGCGGCTAGGGGCGTGCTGGGAGGTGAGAAATAAGGAACAAACGAGTGACAGGGCAGAATGGACGGCGTTGACAGGTTAACCTCTCTGGTAGCGAGGGAGAGAGGGAGGCTAAGTCGTGAGAAACGATGGGCGATGGCGGTGCTGAGGAGAGAGAGAAAAAAGACGACAGAGAGAAAGTTGAAGTCTGGCGGTGGAATATCGAAATGCGCAGTTCAGTGGCTTGGCGGAACCGCTTTGGGCCTCAACAACGGGCGCCTCATCAGGAGCGAAAGCGCGCGTTTTCTTCCTTCTTCCTTCTCCGTTGTGGATTTGGGATAAGCTGTGGCTGGACCCTTGCCTGCGGTGCTCCGCTGCTCCGTTCGACGGGCTTGCTAGCTACGGGGAGGTGTGTTAAGACTACGCTTTTCCATGGCTCGTCAAGGCTGGACCCCTGGATCCCGTCTGGCAGTGTTTTATCGCGATGGAGCAACCATGGACCAGGCCGACAAGCGTGAGCGTAAAATCTGCTAGCTGTGGCTTAGCCGGGCGGCTGGTGTAGCGAGCTGAAGACCGCAGGTTACGTATGTTCTCCTCAGGTTGTCCCGGGTCCCTAGTCCTCCCTGGCTCCCCCGTAAGATTAGTGCTATTTATTTTGTCTCGACTCCATCGTGTTGTTTGATTGCATAGGGCGGAGACTCCGTATATTTGACTCAAGCTGGGTTTCTAGCGTCGACGGGCAGACGAACGGCGAATAGAGGCTGAGAAGCTGAGGCCGAAGCAACCGAGAAGGAACTGCAGCCGTCTTCCGTGAAAACCTTTAATCCCACTCGTGTTGTTTGTTGTTTTGTTGATATGTCGGTGAAGTCGAAGTCGAAGTTGAAGTTGAAGTTGAAGTTGAACATCTCCGTCCCAAAGGAGTAGTCATCACGTGATTCAACCGCACAACAAAAACTTCCTTGACTCAACTTCTTCTTTTCTTCTTCTTCTTCTTCTCAAGCGTCGTCCTCGCCAAAGCTGCGTTTCTTTGCTACACTCGCCAGATATCTGGAATCACACATGCAAATGAGAAATTCGGAGTATTCTTCAACCTTCAACCCGCTTCTGGTACCTCGGTGCTAGAAGCCGGTGCTGCCCGTGAGGGCCTGGCATGAATATATATTGTCTGCAATTAGGCATCAGAAACATCGGGGGATCGGGGGCTCCGGAGAAATCCTGGGTTCCCGTTCGCCCCCTGGGAGAGCCGTTGCGAAGATTGTGTGTGTCCCCCGTCCCTCGGGGCGAGGGATGCGACACCTAAGTGCAATACGCAGCGTGCCTTGCATCCTCGAGAGAGGTGCAGGTATCATTCGATTCCGATTACTCTGGCGAGGACGACGCTTCACCTTTCTTTTTCTCCTAGGTATGGGCAGCTTCTCTTCCCCCTACTCTATAAGAAATGTGCTAACCTGGTTTATTGACATGAATCCAACGTGTCAATCCTAGGTAACGATATATCCGAAGGTAGGAGCAGCTTCTCGGTCCGTCATGGAGTTGCCGTAGATATTGCATAGTAAGTTCTATAGATAACCATAGCAATGAAATATAAATGAAAGATGAAAGAATATTGATCCACTTCATTATTCTCCTATTTCAATAAACAGCTACTCTGACTTCATTCTGTCATGCAATCTAAATTTGATCTGAAGGAGCTCGTCTTCAGAATTGTACGCTTCATTATTCCTCATCACGTAAAATTATTTCCCGCCCCTCCAACCCCTTTCTTTGGCCTGCGGAAAGTCACAAAATAGCATCCATTTACTCGTCTTCACCAATCTGTAAGCAGAAAACATATAGTTAGTAACCCGGTTGTCCCACAATATAAGGATAAAATGTAAAACGGCTATGGCAGGATGATGGCTTACCTTTGGAGCAAGATAGAACCGTACATATCCAGATCCATCAAGTGCATACTCGACAAGCAATGGAACCTCGGCAGAGAGCGATAGTCGTACTTTCGAGGAAAGACTGGTGGCTTTGCAGAAGTTCAGGAGATATTTAATAGAGAATGTAAGTGCAACGGGCTCGGTGAGCGTGATGGTGACGTTCTGGTCGGGTTTCTCGACATTAGTATTCTGGCGAATCGTCACAGCACCGTTACCGATTTCTCCCTGGCAAGAGAATCGGACACCATCCTTGCTGGCCTCAATTAGAACTACGGGATTAAGTTAGCCATATTCTTCATCTACGCCCGCATGTCACACATACCTGACTCGGACAACTGGTTCAAGTCTCCGCAAATTCGCCTAAATTCAGCTGATGGCATGTCAACCGTAGCTGCATATTCTGTCTCCGGGATAGCCAAATGTTCCTGGTCGATATCCATGAGCTTGATATCATACTCGCTCACACGGTCCTTCTCAACACTCTCGAACAAAAGGTTGACAACATCGGGTGTATCATCGGCCTTGAGCGTGAGGACATCTCCATCCTGAGCGGCTCGTAGCACCTTTGTGAGAGAAACGAGGTTAATTCCCAGGGCGACGTTTCGGTCGCACCGGAAAGGCGAGAAGCCTTCTGCTTTAAGCATCATGGAGACAAGGGCGACGTGAGAGTTGTCCATGGCCTGCAGGGCAATTCCAGAGTCATTGCAGTCGAAGTTGCAGTCGTGCACGAGGTCCTTTACTGCATCGACTACCTGGATGTTGATAAATGGTTAGATATGTGTACGTTTGGCAGGCTCCTGTTGTCGTTTCGCGATATCAGGCATACCTTCTTCAGCATACTGGCCTGTTCCATTCGTGCTTCCAACACTATTTACACGGCAATCGGTTAGCAATCATGTTATATATCATTCGTCAGACTTGGGTAACGCACTCTTGACTGATTTATGCCGACGGGCTGCTTTTCGAGAGTGCGATTGATGGCGGGGTAGAAGAAGCGGTAAACGGATCAGAGCTCGGTGAGTAGAATGGTATAATATGTAAAGCTGCTGGCTAGACAGTAGCAGGACGTTAAGCTAGTGTCTGAATGGTGGTAATTGTTAAAGATTGAGTGTGACGATGGTTGAATCTCAAGGTCGAGAACTCGCTGACTTTTTGGTGTGCGATAAATTGCTGATGGTCGCGTCGCGTGTCACGAAACCAATTTAGCTCGGGTTCGCGTTTGGCCTGTCAAAGTGGAAAAAGCAACGGATGATGAATGGTAAGCATGGGAGTCAGTTAAACCATCGTAAATCCATTAATTCATATCTTGAAGGTTCTATATATAATATAATATACATACTAGGAAAAAGCGGGTTGCTACGAATGCATCATGTATATAGATGATGCTAAAGATATACAGCCATCGACGCCAAAGGAAATATAAAAATGGCTGGAGCCAAAAAAGAGACACCGAGAGTTAAAGACTAGAGACTCTCGCTCCGTTCTTCCCGTGAGGACGAAGCTTGATAACAGTTTCGAGCTCTTTCAGCATATGCGTGTTTGCATCTGTTCGTTCTCGAGCAACGGCCTGGCGAGCCCTATCTTCCTTCATCCGCGCGATCCTCTCTACACGAGTCATCGAGCTCCGTGTCCGGGGCATAGCGATGGCCTCAAACACCTCGTCGTCATCCATGTTGCTATCCGGGTTAAGAGACCTCTGCATCTCTCCGTTCAGAGCACGTAGAGCGTCAGCAGGACCACCATCGACGGCCGTGCTTCCACCGATGCTGAAGGTTGGTGATGAAGGCGATTTTATGATGCTTGACGTACGTAGGGACGAATAGGACTGGCGATCAGATGCGTCAATACTAGCACGCATAGAAGACTTGCCAGCTTCCCATTCCTGTAATATCCCACGTAACTCGGCGCCGATGGATTCGTATTGGGCAAGCAGGGTCGAGCCAAGATCCACGTCTTCGGAAGATCCGTCTAAACAGGCATCGGACTCTTCGCGGATCAGCTGCATCCTTGCATGTAGGCCACGTATGCCTTGGGATAGGGAGTTTAGTCGTCGGAGCTGCGCACGATATCGGTCCTTGTTTGGGTTAGGGTTTGTCATGGGGGAGGATGCAATTATATCGCCTAAAAGGATGTGTTAATCTTTGTAGCTCATGCTCATGTCAAGGAAGAAAGAAGAAAGCCAATCCTTACGGTCTTGCTCGTTAAGAATATCCCTAAGCTTCTCAATCCATTCGGCACTTGCCTCGGTAAGGCTATGCATCTCTTCACTTGCAGTGCTCCATCTCGCGATGTCCGCCTCACTCCCGTCTGCAGTGAGCGCAAGGAGATAGCACAAGGTACTTTTCCGGATAATATAAAGTCGAGCGAACAATGACCGAAGAGATCTGAGGGATGTTTTGTCGTCGACTGACTGGTCGAGCACTGTTGATTCAGCTGCCTGGAGTTCCACCTGGGAAATCTCATAAATGTCGTAATATTTTTCCAAATTCGTGTCATCTACAAGTGGTCGTAATCGTCGTTTCACATAGAGATACTTTTCCAGCATCTCCTCCAGGCATTTTGCCAGGACACGGCGAAGTTTCAAACATCGCCGGGTCTGTGATTTCTCCTCAAGACGGCTCACAGGGGGGAGTGGTGAGCTCCTATTCGATGGTTAGCAAATGAATAAAAAAAGCTCTCTGGTAGAAAATGGGGTTTCGTACACTCTATATCCGCGTGAAACAAGCTCGACTTCTTGTATGAGCACGACAGAGGCTGAAGCCGCAGAGTCGAGTGTCTGCGCATTACCAACGCAAGCAGTGGCAATCTCGATAGCCTGGCTTCGCAGGTATCTCAGCCATTGGCGTTTCGCAAAGATATAGAACGCTGCCGCAATTGCGGTCAACAGGAAGCCAAAAAGAAAGACCGTTCCAATACTCCAACCTATCCTATGTATTGAGCGTGCCCAGTGTAAAAGGAAGGCAACGGAGAATGATGCCAACGCCGTAAATATCGCACCTCGGACGCCAAACACGGCCGCTCGTGAGGCCGCCTTGTCATCGTCGCTCTGGGATGCGTGGCTTAACAGATTCGATACGGACGTGTATGACGGGGCGCTGGGTTCGTTTAGAAGTTGAGAAGCTATGATAGTATAGCCAAACTGTTCTCGGAACCGCTCGTTGTCGGTTTTACCGATTCTCGCGCTGATTGCTGCCTATACCAACTGTCAACACAACATCATTCCAACGTCGCTATCCAACAAACGAGGGTATAACTAACAGCACAGGTGTCATGGATTCTAGTCAGGGCCTCCGGTCTACTCGGCCGCTTCAACTTTAAAGGCTCGGGGATTTTGTTTCTGATGCGGTCTTGGAATTTCGGGGGCCCTTGAGGAGCGAAATCGGCTGTCGTGGAATCGGAATACTCGGTCTGCGGCCAGTCGACCTCCTGCGGTGCCCATTCCTGCTCAGCTTCGCCTTCGCCTGCAGCCGCGAACCCAGCGTCGTCAGCACACGTATCCTCACGGCGGTTAGGTGGTTGTTTGCGGGGAAACCCTTACCTTCGAGGTACGCAGCCAGCGGCGAGTCTTCATAAACACAGGCCTCCATAGTACCGCCACATCTTCCTCCCAGAGGTCCTTTGATGTGATCTTACTATTGCGATATCAGCTTAGACATGTCGCTATTGAACCGTAACTCAAGGAACTAAAGTGCGCGCGGTTGGGAATTTGCCACATGCCCGTAAACTGCGAAGTAACACGGAGCCGGATGTTTAACCGCACGAGAGGAACAGCTGCCCCTTAAACCAGGCGCTAGCTCCGTAAGGTGCTTAAGACGGCGCTCTATAACTTGGCCAACAAGCAACCTGGCGATATCACACGTCCGGATAATCACCCGACGCTCAGGGCGAGGAGCGAGAAGCGAGATAGCATGCAACCTAAGCCCGTCACGCATCATCTTGGGCCAGAAGCAGGTACAGACAAACAAATATGCCTATTACACGTGGAAACAACAAGGTTCGCCCCCGGAGATATTTGATAGATCTTAACCTAGATCCTGATTTATACGAGCAAGATGATCATGCTTGTTTTTTCAGGTTGACCGTGGCTGTCGAAGAACTGGCCATATCCCTCGTCTATCGTCTATCACTATAGCTCTACTACGACCACTGGCTTTACGGAGCAATCTCAGACCTGTGGAGGTCGAGGATGATACGGAGTGCCGACAAGGATCCTATCAATAAACTCGGAAAAAGGGTGGAACAAGGCAGAGTTTGACTCTTATCATGGGTATCCGACCGGCGTCTATCCGGTATACCACAGTCTAATCACTCTATCTAACATTCTAAAGAGCATCTACTGAGGAATCGGTAGGTTCATGGGGTCTAGGGGGGATATGAGTAGCACTCCGCATGCCCTTGTCATAAATCATGCCTATAATGGCTCGCATCCAGGCAATCTCTCGAGCATACTGGGGCCGGTGCGCCAGTTTTCCCATCACAAGTGATAAGGACGCAGTAACTACGAACGTTCCGGCCATCTTCATATGCTCTTGTATGCAATACTCTGCCGACTTACAGACATTGTAGGCCATGGGAAGATAATCATTGCGGTGACCTAGCCGGGGGAGAAGGGCAGGAGCACCAGCTGGACGGGGGTTAGTTATCGATACCAGCAGCATCGTCGGCTGATTCAGGGCTCGGGGAATCATCGACAGCCTCAGGTTGGATTCCCTCAATAAGCTCATATAGGTCACACAGCCCAGTCCAAAACATCAGGCGTGTGGCCCAGTATGTCATCATCACCCAGGCTGTCTTTAGATCAGGGAACCGATATACAATTGGGAAAAGGACCTCCTTGGTATCGGTGGGGTTCCTGAGTTCAGCCAGTACACGCCAGTATAGAGGGCTCGGTCCTGTCGATTGTATATGAGCGTAAACATCATCAAGCTTCCGGTCGAGTTCCCAGTACTCTTGCACCAGACGCCGGGCCAGCTCTACCTTTTGTTGAGGCCCGAGACGTGGGAGATAGGTAGTTTTCTGGAGAATCGCCGGTGAGAGCGCTAGACAATCATTAACACGATCCATGTGCGACTTTGGGTTCTTAGCCCATGGTCCTTCTATCCAGAGAGGCTCGGACAGGAAGTTCGGTGTTTTATTACACACTGCCTGTAGAATCTATAGTATAGGTCAGCAACGAGGGTAAATAACAATATCGACGCAGAAAGTAGAGTCATCATACGTACACCATTGTACCTATTGGCCAGAAATAAAGCATATCCTGGCCCAGAAGTGTGTGCTGCCACCCCACGGGCTCTCATCAACGCCATTAACCCTCTGCAGTGGCTATCGTAGGCTGCTATCCCATTGCCTGGACACTCAATGGTCTCGAATATACAGAGTGACATACAGGTCGTGAGTGTCTCATCCCTGAGCATCAAGTTCTTATCCCACAGAGACGCCTGCAGCTGTTGAAGCCCTTCAGTATAGAACCTCATACCCACTCTTATCAGCTGCGGGATACCATGCAAGCGTCCTAGTCCAGCTGCAGCAATTGCTACACCTGCTGATTCGAGGGCCTGGCACTTCGTCGGTAGCTGTGTGAGGAAGTGTGTCCATGGTCTATCATCAGGAGTAATGCAAAGGTGCGGCTGGTCCGGAGGGAAATAATCTGAGAGGAATGCAAGCACTATACTCCGGCAGTTGCTACTCTTCATGATCATTTTATGGGCGTCACTTGTCTCCGTAAAGGGATACGAGAATTGACTCCCCCCCTGGGTAGCTGTGCGGCTCAAACTGGTGCTGCTGGTTGATGGCAATGTGCTGCCAGTACGCTCGTCCTCAATCGACGCATCTGGAGACTCCCTCTCCATTTTCTCGGAGTATTTGAGTCCATCACGCTTCTTTTTGGATCCTGGATGGACAAAGACAAATATATTTTCATCCGGGTAGCCAGAGCACTCTCGCTTTGACCGTATGCATTGGGAGCAAGCTGGTCGTTGAAGCCCACACTAAAAAAAATTATTATCAGCATGGAATTCAATTAATTGTGACTAGACGCCGTCACTCACTCCGATTTTGCGCTTTCTACAAGGTAAACATCCCCTGGATCTACCTGGTACTCCCACCATGGCGATTCATGAGTGTAACAATGCTAGTTTTCTCAACCTCAACCTTCGGTATTGGAAGAAGAGGAGGACTTCAAGTCTCTCGTGCTAACAAACACTCAGGCTGAAGCCAAGAGGACCCTGCATACTCACCAGGGGTCTGATTAGAGAAGAACATATACGCGGTGCCCTAGTGCATGGTTAAGTTCTTCAGGCATGCATGCAGGGGACTAGAGGCCATACTCGGAGAAGCTAGCTTGTCTCACGGTTCTATATGCGCGACTCTTCTACCAGGAGCGAAGGCGAGAAGATCAATAAAGAGTAGGGTAGGTCCCGCACGGGATAAAGATGTTACTCTCTTCGACTTTTACCCCGGTAGTAGTAGCTTTGCTCTTACCATCATGATTCCCTTTGACTACGGAGTATTATAATTACATCGAGTACAGGCCAGCAAGGTTGAAGATTGCAATATAAACTGGTTCCACTCATAACTAACTAATAAATCCAACATTGATTAGAGCGGTGGAATCACACCCCCTACAGACTCTACCCCGAGCTGCTCATACTTCCTAATAAGGGCTACAATATCTTCGTGGCCTTTTTCAATCGCGACATCAATAGCACTTTGGTCAAGTGTATTTAGTAACGCCAGGTCCGGTTGGGCTCTTAGTAACTGGACTGCGGTTTTGAGCGATCCATTCAATGCAGCCAGATGTAATGCTGTAGACCCGTTGACGCTCTGCACATTGACATCGATTCCTGCCGCCAAAAGTATAGTTGCAGCACGGAATCGGTCGTGGAAAGCTGCCAGGTGCAGAATGTTTTGATGGCCAACGTCTAAGTGGGAGGTGCGCGATCCGTGTTTAAGTAGACACCATATTGGAGACGAGCTCAGGTCCGACTCAGGATCCTGATTAAACAGGTCAGTGGCATATGCCCAGAGCAATGGGGTCCTATTATTCGAGTCGGTGTCATGGACATTGGCTCCCAGGTCTACAAGGGCGTTAATCGTGCGATCACATCCGGCCCTTGCAGCCCAGTGAAGTGGTGTACCACCCAGCGAACACCTCGCGGTCAAATCAGCACCAGCTGAAACGAGACGCAGAATAAAAGCCCATAGTCCGTTCTCAGCCGCGCTATGCAAAGGGGTAGCTTGGGTTTCGGTAGCTTTAGCGGAGAGATCAATGCCAGCGGCGAGGAGGGCATCTAGGATTTTAATTTCGAGGTCGTACGACTGTCTATCAGTTTCAGCTTCCTGAATGCTATTTCGAGTCAGCCAATGCAGAGCATTTTCCCCAGCTGTGCCTCTTGCATCCACCCTAACACCTCTGGTCTGCAGTAGAAATAGCACCATCTCTCCATTACCATGCATTGCAGCTTGCAGAAGCAATGGATATTTGGCGTCCGGAGGATCGATCTCCTTGTTCTTCTCGCGGTAGATATCGATGAGCATCTTCGCACTGGCTACCCTTCCCTGGTTCACAGCACATAACAGCGGGGTGAGCCCTTCGTCGTCCATCTTGAATGGATCCACGCCATCACCATGGACGAGCAGCCGCTTTAGCACCTCGTCACTACATCCAGCGGCAGCGGCAAGGTGTAGCAGAGTGACACCCGTTTCTGCACATATCGATCCTGGCGGGTATACAATTCCGACTCCGCGATCCAGTAAAGGAGCCACATAGTCATCATGCCGGTTCAGGATGATCTCTTCTAGGATCGTTCGACCCCCCCACGTAATACTAAAATCAACGTCCTGTTCGAGGACTCGAAAGAAAAGGTCTTGTTTCCCGCGGTGGGACGCATACGACAGGGTTATTAAGCGGGATCTCGGTAATAGAATAGCTGCGAGTTTTCGTGAAGCAAGGGCAAGGTAAAACCCGCATTTCTGGCTCAGATGGTCAGATATCCGTAGGATCAGCTCAATGGGAAGTCTCTCAAGCGCCATATTGTGCTTTCTTGCCAGTACAAGCCCAAGTTCATAAATTTTTATCAAGGTTCGTAGGCTGTCCTGTCTGAATGCTGAAAGGGATAGAAACAGAAGCCATCGGAGACAGGTTGAAGGTGGGATAACTTCCAGATCGCCGCCAAGACGCCATAAATACGACCTGCGTTTATCGATTCATTAGATATGAGTGAAATCCATAGGTACTTACTTGATTTCCAAGTTTATATGTGGCTGATGTTCAAATTTGTTTCCGTTGACAAGGTTAAATATGTAACTATGAAAGGTTCGGTTGATCAGGGACGACAATATTGGCACCTCGAAACCGCCACCCTAGACGACCGCAAACCGATGTTACGGATTGGCCCTCAACCCTCCAACCCATTTAAGGACTTTTGGTAGGGATCTCTATAGACTGGGCCAGGTTAAGCGCCTAGTTAACCCAGTGACAGAGCATCAAATAACTAGTTAACGTTGGAAACCAAACACATTCTCCAGGATCCATGCTTTCAAAGCCATCCAACGGCCCCCAAGAAACGGGGGGCTTGAGTTATTTAGGGGAATACACCTATGCGCATCTGGCCCGCCTTGCTGCGCCTCATCACATACATTTCACTCATTATTCGAACCTGGGCTCGATAATTCTGAGATAAAAGGAATTTCGAAGCTCATTCCCGCTGAAAAGTGCATATACCCCATCCACTCTCCGTCAGATTATATCAGTATGAATGCGACTTTGATCTCCAGGTTTTATCTACTATTGTCCTTGCTATATCTTGTCTTTGCAAATGCAGAGGCTAAACCATATCGTATGGTGTCGTCCCTCCCTCCCTAAATTCGAAAAATGCTAACTCTTTCATAGCTATAGGAATTAGCTTTGGGCCAACATACATGTGGGTTTCATGGCTGTGGCATGTACACTATTCCTCAAAAATGCTGAAATATTGATCTAGTACTGCTGCCTATATCGACTCTACCGGCGAGCCAGTGATAGTCGCCAGTATAAAAGGAAGCGATGAGTATATTAATTTTATGGCGGACTCGGCGGAAAATGAAGGGGTAAAAATGTGAGTACATATAGCTGATGCGCAGTCCCTTGTTCTTATAACTCAACTGAACCACGGAATAGTCAGTATCTGGCGAAATGGTATATTCGGGATGGTGAATCCTTTGTTGAAATCCCACCGGATCCAAAAAATAATCCCGAAGTTGAAGATATCTTGACTACGGCCATACAAAATATTAGAAAGGAAATCACGAACTCCCTGGGAAAGCCCCTCGACATCACATCAATATCCATTCCTAACCATTTCAATGGCACTTCGGCTGAAATTGTGACCAAAGTAGCAATGGCGAATGAGAAAGGAATTATTCGTCCCTGGCAGGTCAGAAGGAAGTTCAACGTTGTGCGACTCGCATATGGCCTCAATTCGTGCGAAGGTTTTGGCCTTGACCCCGACACATGCGACGATGAAGACCTAGATAATGTCATGTTTATTGACTATAACAAGGCATATCTAGAGCTATTATTAGCTAGTATTGGGGAGTTCGGCTGCGGGGCCCTTGACAGTGTCAGGTTATATAAACTTGGTGCTAAGAGACTGGAGAGCTCGGAGGATGTAAGTAACACCGATGCCCTCCCAACTTTTGCTAACCGCACGGCGATATCTAATTAAATTTATTTTAGAGCCTGGAAAAATATCAGCACGAGATACAAGGAGCTATTCAGAATTTCAAAGACAAAAACAGCGTGCGCATTGCAAACTACTCCACTACGGTTGAACTCATCCTTGCAATTGTGATGAGTGGCGATGCACCAAGACCAGCATTTCTAAATATCCGTGATGCTATTACCGCTGTTCTCCCGGAGCACAGGGCCAAGATTCGAGACTCCGTTGATCCTTTATTTACTGAAGCGGTGGGAGCTGCGCACTGGGCAAAACTCCAGGCTCTCAAGCCCGAAATGCTGCAAGATTTTATTGCGGATAGCATTCTAGACCATGATGAGCTGTAATTTATTCAAAATAAACAAGAGGATATACAAACGAGTAATTCAGTCTCCATAACCGCCGAAAGTAGATGTTGGACAGGGCGTATAATAACATATATATGAAACGTCCTCGGACCAGGCACGCTATGACTACTGGGTATATTAATTAGAAGTTAAGAAAATAGCCCCCTTTTGTGGCGTAGATATCAAAGTTTGTCCTTGTAGTTTAAATTTAGCATGTGGGTCCAGCGGCAGGCGGGAGCTGACTAAGCCGACATGCGAGACGCCAAAATTATGCGTGTAGTCACCACACGACATGGATACATCAACTCACGATGCCGTTCCCTACTCGGTATCTATGCATGACAAACAGAATCATGCTAGGAGTTGACAAACGCCCTGCTCCAAGGCTCTGCTGTTTACCTTTAAGATTGACACATCTTTGGGCTACTGTCGGATACGACTTTTGTTGAAACCTCTCCTATTGTTGTTCACCCGGCTCGACGTCACTGCATTAATTTATCATGCACTCATTTGACTGGAACATAGAGCGGTGGGTGAAATACCCCAACCTTACAGTAGTATGCTATTGGCTGTTGATGGCCTAAACATAGCCGTGAACACCGCTGTGAGCTGCAAACAGAGAACCTGAGAGATGTTTACAGGATGGTGGAATTTCAGGCAGGGGTCTTACTACGCAGACTGCAGCACTGTACTATCCTCAGTGAGATTCCATGATGTTATGGGGGCCTAATCGAACATCATAATGATGGCCAGCGCCTCAAGCGCATATTATACCTGGTTATGCCTATCGATGTGGGGGAGATATCGGAGGCTAAGCCCCGCCATAGCATTGATAAACGCAGTTTCGCACATAATATTGGATGACTAGAGATTGGGGCGCATTACATCAACTTATTGCGGCCTGAATTACAATGTTATACGTTTCGGAAAGACGACTGCAGCGGCGCATATGCGGTTGCAGTGGGGTGTTTGAACTCGACTGCGTCTTGAAGATCAAGCCTGGCTTGAAAAGTATTTAAGTCAAGTCTGCGAATACCTCGCTATGCTTTTCTCCCCATTGACTAGATATTCCAGTTTCCTGCAGTCCCATAGCATGCCCCGCTAAGATGATTCTATCTCGGTTTTTAGTTTATACCTTCCTGTCTGCGCTTGCAGCTGCCACTCCGTTCACGAAAGAACCCCGATCTAGGGACATTCAGCCTATAAGGGAGGCATATCCTGGTATCTTTTGGGACGATGCTCTCCTTCAGTGCGGCGACGAGGGATTTGATATTCTTGTTGAGGCCACGAGAATGGCGTTGGAGGTAGTAACCTTTCGCATTGATGGGCCAATATGGGAATTACCAGCCTGGAATCGTTACTTTATTGGCCTTGGCGGAAAAGGCGGCTGGGAAGTGAGTTTATGCAATATTCCTTGGCTGCTGACCTTTCTAACTGACTATTTCTTCATAGTCTTCAGAATTGAAAGGGCGTACATTCGTCGACATTCGCCGTATTGTTTCTCAAATCCAAAAAAACTGCTAATTTGTTTACATTGGTAGCTGACCTCGGTATAGATAATATTAAACAGGTTGGCATGTTTCCCAGAAACGGCAAGCCGAGCAGGGGTGGTCCATTTAAACGCACAAAACAGGTAACTTACCGGTGCAAAGAGCCCGAGCTGACCAACCGGTGTGCTCAAGACCCATCTAGTGGTGGATATTGGAGAGGACCGTATGGATATCTACGTGTTGTTACTTTTTATAAAGGCTGAGACTTTTCTAGAACAGCTTATACTCAGAACCCATCACTCACTGGGGATGGTGCGTGGTATATTATCTCGTATAGCTTGGATGTTATACTGATAGCTATTCCAGGATGGGAAATCGTCTTTTGTCCGCGATTCTTCCGCGAAGATAGGATTCGATACATCAATAGGATCACCGATGGACCGAGGTTACCTCACACTGAGATCTCTAGGTTGATATCTTATGAATATGCCATCATTCATGAGTGGATGCACGTTGATATATTTGGCTACTTGTTTCACAGTATGTTGTTATGTATTATTTCATTTGCCGCGCTAATTCAAGTATAGTCGAGGACGTTGTTGCCGCCGTCCCCTTTCATGCAGCACAGGTCAGTGGACCCCTTTACTATGATAAGGAGGTTCTCTGACATTTCTTACCCTTTATACAGAGGATATACGGAGACAGTTTATGCCACAAATTTGCATGGATTAATCTTGATACGATAGGGGGACCAGATACGGGTGGAGTGAATTTTAAAACTGCAATGAACGGTATAGCTTCTCAGTGATGACTCCGGTTACTGTACCAACGCCTACTGACATGCCTATAGCTGACAACTACGCTTGGTTCTTCATCTACAATTGGTTCCACCACAAATGGAACTGGGATTCCAATGGCGCCTTTACACGCAGGAAGAGATTGGTAGAGCGGGACGAGGAACCTGAGCCCTATAATGACCTTTCTGACACAGTGATGGATACCGATATTGACATAAACAAGTTTATAATTCCAGTAAACTGCCATGTCTCGGGAAATGACTACAGGAACGCTCGCTGCGATTACGTCGCAGGGGACTACGATGACTTCGTCAAAGAGTTGCACGAGCCTTTCTATACACGAAAGGGTTGCGTGCTATCGTAAGAATACCTTTACCTACCTAGCGCCCTCATACGGTGTCGTGAAGGCTAACATTTAAATTATAGTGCGGAATGCCACCTTTCCTTTGGTAACTATGCAGTTGATCCGAAATGCACTTGCACCTGCGATGATGAAATAACGCCGCTCAGAGATCCGCGATGTGAGGGCTTCGCAGGGTCGCTTCCAACCCCACCACGTACGTGATATTATCAGGAGACATGGCTTCGTGTCTTGTGACTGTATTTTTGGGATACATAAACTATCTCAGAATTTCTGGTTTTGGTAGCCCTGGATTTCGCGAATACGTGCCGAAGAATGATAGTCTTCATAATCTTTGAGAAGCTTGTTGGAGTTATATTGGCTATGGGTCTCAGGTTTATATTTGTAATTTACATTTTTCATTTATTGCACTGGAAGTTGGCCTTTTCTATTCTTGGTGCAAGTGGGCGGTATCTATTCGACCTACCACGGTAAGTAAGTAAAGGAACCTTAGCGGCTGACAACCTTGCCATTTCAATATATATTTAAACATGGATCCAACTACAACGTCTTTTAAAATTTACTGCCCTGAAGGGAAGCCTAAGGGTGGGCCAGTAATCTCGGCCTATACCTGTACGGCATAATATACTAGAGGGTTCCTCTGTTTCAGTGGCAAGTTGCGTTCTTCCGCCCCCCATGATTATATATTAAACAAACATATCACATTCTGTGTTCATATCAAAACCACAGTATTAGCCTAATACCACTGTAAAATGTCCATTTTAAATCGTGATTATACATCATTGAACATTGCCACCTTTACTATGGTATCTCAAGTCTGGCGCCTTGGCTTCGAAGAGTGTTTCATCCGCGAGGGGGCTGTAGAACGGCGTAATGACGGGGGCTGAGAGAAGGCTATATCTAGCAGATATCGATGGCGGGACGCTTGAATGCCTTGGTTAATTCTGTTTTGTTCCTCGTGTTAGGACGAATACAAGCGTAGAGATGGTCATTAACAGTTCACGTACCACACCAGTTGTTTTTATTTTGTTTAAGAAAATCGCGGGAAGGCCGCAATGAAAATCATCCTATCAAGAAGGTTTTAGCCGCCCGAGGCCTATGGCTTTAGCTTTATATTTCCGCCACAGACATCAGATGCTGGCTCAAACCCCCTCTCAGCTTACTGCTGTTGTCCCAGCAGGAGGATTAGGGGGTACGGAAGAATTTTTCGGGTCCACTGTAGTTGTTTGGTGACCCTCATTAATTCCAGTCGAGGGACGCTCGCCTAGTCCCAGGACTCTCAGAGAGTCTCTAAAAGAGGTATCGGGGCCGAACAAAGATATTCAGCATCTTCATCTGGATTCGAATTTTGATTTCGTCAAAAATAACTGCACTTAAGTCACAAAACCCGTGACTTTGTGCGGCAAGTTGATGAAATGGCGAGGCTGGTAGCGAAATATCAAAAGACTAGTAATAACGCACTGCGGCTAGTCGCAAAAAATATCAAGCGGACAATAGAACAACGGTGCTGGTAATGGAATATCGAAACAGTCCGCGATATATCGAGAGTGGCGATGAAATGGCGATGCTGGTGAGCGGTGGAGAATCTCAGTCACGGCCGTTTTCGGGAGCTGTTGGCCGGGCGAGCGCTGTGCGGGCGTCGAACGGTTCCGAATAACATCGTGCATGCTGAGACTCGATAGCAGGAGGCGCCCGATCGCTCGCGGCGAAGGGTTTGGAGGAACATGCCCGACAAACCGAGGGCTCATGACCTTGAGCCCTGAGTTGATGCAAGCTCGACGTTGACAGCTGCAAGGGCGGAGGGGCAAGAAGGAGTGAGAGCCTGACTAAGCAGGCTAGGGCGTCTTCGTTGCCCTTGGAGACGCGCCGGTAAACAAGCACCGCTCTTCACGTTAACAAGAGTACAGAATACTGATTATCAGAGTGGCTGATTGATTGCAGAAGATATATCCACGCTGTGACGCTGTGCTGGCACGCAATTTCAAGGTTGGATGATAACTAAACCCGCCGATGCCAACCCAATAAGGAACTATAGAAACCTCCTGGTTCTACAGATATCAGATATAAACGCCATGGCCTACAAATTCCTCGATGCTACTCCCTGTCCGGTCACCTGGAGCCGGGATGATGGCAAAATTCCCATCTTCGAGGACATACTCGACTCCTACGACGACGATACGGCGGCTATCGATTTCACAAACGAGCTCGGCTCATTAAACTCGCTCGCAAGGGAGAAACCGCGTCGAGTGAAAAGAGCTGCCACGTTTAAGATACATGAAGATGCTGGGGGTCCTGGCAATGGGCTTGCCGGACGAAAACCACTATGCAAGGGATCCTCGATGTTCTCACAACCAGCACAGAGACTTCCACGGCCAGTTAGAGCGACATTCGGAGGGAACTTATCACCCAAATTGCCTGAGAAGAAGCAGACAAACCAAATTAAAGAGAAGAGGGTGCAGGCAAAGTCCGCTGAAAGGAAATCGCCGCCTATTGCGCAGAAACCTGCCGCAGAACAGAAGCCAGAGAAGGCAGATTCCCTGAAAAGGGACAAACGACGGAATACAATATATATTCCGCCAGACGATACCACAATGGCTACCGTTTTTATGGGTGCATTCAGCCCTCTAGATACTCAAGATTTAGCTTGTCAGGAAATCGGGTATATCGAAGCGCAGATTGCTAAGAAACGGAAACAACACAAGTCCCCGACTCCTCGACACAAGAGACAACCCTTAGAGAGCCCAAAGAGAGTTGTACAAGAGCTATCGACCAAGCTTGACGTGATGGGGAAGAGTACCGGAAAGGAAAACGTGCCTCCAGGCCAGCTGGTTAGAAGCAATGCTGGTGTTATGAAAAAGAAGGAAAGTGTCAAGATGGAAGCTTCTCCTCAGCCCATGAGAGCTCTATCTGTGAATAGCCCTCAATCCAGATATCCGTCGCCAAAGCAGAAAGCAGCCTGTTCACCGAAGCCATCAACACCGAGGCCCTCATATGCTAAGGGGTCTACCCTTGCAGACAAACCGAGACCTAGGCTTTCCCCTACAGCACAGCAGACCAAGTCTACTTGGTTTCAGCAAAATGGGCCGACAAAAGAGAAAGCTAAACCGCTCTCCCCGAGGCCAAATACATCACCGAAGCCGGGTTTGAAGACAAAACTGCCTTCGGAATTAATACTTTCTCGCCTGTCAAGTGCAAAAATAGACGAAAAGTACCCAGTCCTTACCGAGGATATCGCTGACCCTTCGATGTACGAGGAGAACTGGCTTTCCCACCAGGAAGTTGTCATTACACAGCTTGCCAACACCCTTTTTGCCGCGATCAATGAGCCATCAAATACACTGAACCAAGATCGCCTCAACAACCAACTGCTCGATGTATATCAAGACCCGTGCTTCTCGCTACTCCATAAACGTGTGCAGGTATCCCTTCTCCATGGAGAATTGCGGGTCACTAATGAGTCTAACGGTCGGGGCAGCCGGCTGAAGACTGACGTGGGCCTACGTCGTAAGTTCATGAAATTCTGGATGGATACATATGATATCTCTGCTCTTCAGGCAGCGGCAGAGACCGTTATCGGGAGACGGATAGGCCCTGATATTCACGAAGGGGATGGATCGCCGGCACGAAGATTGTCTGTTGGCTCGGCAGAAAAGGGGCGTAAGCGAGCTGTCGCGTCGTTCCTAGAGGCCATGTTGATTAGGAATGAGGATATGGACTCAGCTGTTTCCAGTAAGGCCGGTGAAGGTAGTGCGGCGAGCAAGGGGGACTGCAGAACCGCCCTTCGGAGTATAATGATGATTGTTCTTCTGGACAAGGCAAGGATGGCGCCCGAGACGGCACTACCGCGCCTTCTTTTCAAACCAGGTTCGGCCTACAAATCGTCAGCAGCAGTACTGCGGGCTCTGGGGCCGCTGCTCCATCACCCCCAGGGGGACTTTACTCGGCCCCTTACTCGTTTAGAATGCTTCGTGGAGTATCAGCAGCATCCGTTGGCGGAATATAACTACCAGATCGGCAACATTGCGGTGGATATTAGAGACGGCATTATTCTCGCACGGTTGACCGAGTTGCTCCTGCTCGAGCAATCCCCAGACAAGAATCAAGGTAGCGGAGAAGAAACACGTCCGCTATCACGACAGCTAAAGGTGCCATGTATAAGCCGGGCAACGAAGGTCCACAACGTGCAAGTCTCATTGACTGCACTGGCGAATGACATTCCTAGTATTGGTGCTATTATAAGTGGTATTAAGCCCGAGGATATCGTGGACGGGTATCGAGAGAAGACCATAGCCCTGCTTTGGGCGATTATTGGTAAATGGGGGTTATCAGCTCTGGTCGACTGGGATGATCTCAAAAAGGAGATTGTCCGGCTGGAGAAGCAGATTCCTAGACTCGACAAGAGGTTGAATGACTATCCTACCAGCCATGAGCAAAGGGACACGATAGGCATGACGGCATACTATTCATCTCTACTCCACCGTTGGGCATCATGCCTGGCAAGATTGAAAGGGTTGGAGGTTTCGAATCTGACCACAAGCCTTGCCGATGGACGGGTATTCGCAAGCATCATCGACGAGTATGAATACTTCATTCGCCTTGTCCGTGTCAAGGCTGATAGGACGACATCACCACCGTCTCCATCATCGATAACGACGACAACAGCAAGTGTGACTGGCGATAAATCAGCCTTGAATCAGCGTCTGCTCTCCCTCGGCTGCAGTAGTCAATTTGGTACGTTCCTGTCCCTTATTTTTCCTTTTTACCCCTTTTTTTTATATCCTCTACTCTATTTCGTTGGTGTATGGAGCGCTAACCATGTCGACGGGTAGTCTCCCTTCTTGCCCCGCGATCAACATCGCCATCGCCATCACCAGCACGGTCACTCACATCGCGCGCTCATATTCTCCATCAGGAGTCCAACATCGCAGCCCTCGCGTTTCTGAGTTCCCGACTCCTCTCGGCATCTAAATACGGTCGGGCAGCGGTGTTGATCCAACGCGCATGGCGTCATAAGCTTGCCACCAGCACCAGACCTGGCATGACAGGAGAGTGCTAGAGATCGCGGAACCTAGCATCCACCATCCGCTCCATTTAAAAAAAGAATCTAGCGTGGGATTGCGGGGAACTAGCGATGCTTGATCCAGAGGCGCTGGGTTCATATGATTGAACGGTTGTCTTGGGTGGTGTTAATCTATGGGCTTCTAGGTGTGGATATGGAGTATGGGAAGGTTTGGAGAATTTGTTTCGTTTTTGTTCATTAAGGTATGGGGGGGGGAGCGTAATTTATTAATTTCCACGAGTTGCGGGCATGGAGTATCCGGAGTATACTTCCTTTAACCTATGTATATATGTAGACACTGAAATGCGGTGTGGCATGGTTTAATCTTTATTACTTTGCATGTGTTTGGCTGTCAAACGGTAACCACTGCCGTGAGAAACGAACGTAGTCTCCTCTCTTTTGTTCTTTTTTCTGTTCCTTTTTGCTGTTCCTATTTTTGTTCTTTTGTTCTATTGTTCTTTTTCTTCGGGTGTGTGTCCGTCATTAAGGATTCGGCATTTGTTACATCGCATCCTGTCATCAATTGCCATCATACGCACTCCAAGTGAGTCAAGAGAGCAAAATGCTCAGCCAAGCGAAGCGCTAGAATGCATCACAGCCTTGGCCTTGATGTTGATCTGGAAATTGCTTCCTCTGCTGTGATCGATGCAGGGCAAGCTGAGACCTACACGTGACAGTCATGGCAGGATGCTGGCCCAGTAATATCGGCAGGAGAAAAATGAAACTGGCTGGCGTCGATCGGCAGAGTTGAGCTGCAGGAGACCATGCGCATTGACGTCGAGAAGATGCTCTTCGAGAGAGGGAGAGGACGATGGTTATATGATGGCGACGTTTGCTTGGTATTTTCCAGAAGTATACTCCATACTTACGACGCCATGGCAGGACGAGGCGGTAAGTGTACAAGCAGGACGAGCCGCGTTTCAAAAGCAACGCGACGGCTTCACCCTTTCTTATTCGCCTTCTTCTTCTTTCCTTTTCCCCCCTTTCCGTCGCGATGAGTTCGGATATAACTGCTGTACGGACACTAGCGTAGAGAGCATACCAGCTAATGGGCGTCGTCCGGTTTCTCAGTCTGTCTTCCGCCAGCTAGTGAGATGTAACACCCCGCACCATCGCATCGCATTCTTGCTCCATAGTTATAGCGCAGACATAGTAATCGCAGGCGTTCTCGTGGTTCCACATGGTAGCCAGACAAGCGTCAAACCGAAAAGACGGCCAAGCAGCACATCAAACTGACAAGACGGCCAAGAGCACATCAAACTGTAGACGACAGCCAAGCAGCCATCAAACAGAGAGGCCAAACAGAGAGGCCAAGCGTGATTCCTCAGCCAGATGTGCGAGTCGACCGCTGACCAGGGAGCAGAGATGCAGCAGGGCCCCTTGCCGACCGATGGAGCAGCGTAGGGATCAAGCTTCCCAACCGGAAGGGCTCACAGCAAGCCCCGGCAACCATGTCGACCATCTCCGCCGTCCAGAACGGCCATCTCATCGTCATCGTGCCGTCTCCAGTTTTCTAAGCGAACGAGAGAGCGACGGGGAATTGCTCGACTGCTGCGTGGTCGCCAGGACTGCACGGCCTGATCGTCTCGTATATCACTGTCATCTCATCTTCTCATTTCTCACTGTCATCTCATCATTTATCGTCATCACTGTCATCTATATCAGTCGTAGTATCGTCGTATATCATCGCGTAGATTGTAGTATCATCATCGTCGTCGTCGTCGTCGTAGTAGTATTGTAGTATTGTAGTAATATCGGTATCTAGAGAGATCGCCCAAAGAGGCAAGGCGCGCCGCTAACCTTCTCGGGATCTCTCGCTCCCTCCGCGACTTTTTTCTTTTTCTCGCACTCGAACATAACGACGGCCACCACCACCGACCTGCATCGCATCTCCATCTCCATCTCTCGACTGGCTCCCATCTCAACTCGAGCGTCGGCATCTCAGGAAGAAGACGTCGGCTTGCCGCCCTCCTTGCTTCTTCTGCTCGCCTCTACTTAAGCCGGCAGCTCACCCCGGCCTTCCTGAACCCTACATCGATACCAACATCGACACCAACATCGACATCGACACTCCCTGCCAACATCATACTCGACAGCCTCCCCTGTATCACCACCGACATAAACAGAGACCAGACAGCCAGGGAGCCTCGCATCGTCGGGCGTCAGCTTCACTTCTGCGTCAGCTCCAGCGGCAGTGCCCGCTTGGCGTGCAATCAACCATCAAAGTCCCTTCAGCATCATCCACTGTCCGGACACCTACACTTTCCATCATGGTGGTTATGTTATGACACTACGTTTGTCCTGATGGACATTTTGCGTCTCGCAGCCTTTGACTGATCGCCGCCGGTAAAGATAAAAAAAAAGATACTCCCAGATTTTCACTTACACCGACTTTCCACTACGATATCAACAACAAAATTTTTTTTTTGTCTACGTTGGCTTTTTGCTTTTGAATTCGTTCTCCCCAAATCATGCCTATCATCTCACAGACGCCGAACATGGCGCCCACGGACGAGGACGAGGCCGCCGCAGAGTGTGATGAGCCTCCTGGGTATCGGGCCAGAGGCACCGCAGTTCATCAACACCCACCAACCAGCAACAACAATGTCAACTCGAAACTCAAGCCCAATAAGGAATCTCTCCTTACCCGTGCTCTTCTGAGCAGCCCCGAGCTCTCTCCTACCGACCGTCCTGCTTCGTCTACCATCACCTGGAGAAGCGTCCCGGCTTTCTCTATTAATTCTAACCACAGTGGGCCGTCAACTGCAGAACTCACCAGCGACGGTGAATTGACCACTCCACCTCGATCGACCACGCCATCTCCTCCACCGCCAACACAGTTCACCCGTCCACCTTGGCTCGGCGCCGAACCTGCCTCCAAACCCGTCTCCCCCGTGGACGAGCACGAGCTGAAACTCGAAGCGAACTTGGGTCGGAAACGATGCATCACCTTCGCCTGTGCCAGCAAGGTCGATGCAATTGAACACACCCAGAGTGATCCCGTGGCCAGAGAGCCTCCTAAGCGCAAGTCGACCATCAAGTTTGCCTGTCCTGCCAGACCACGAGATATCGACGTTGATGTTAAGAACGATCGACATACACCGCGCAGGCCATCTGCTGGTATTCGAGGAAGCCGATCACCAGCCCCAAGGTGTCTGCAGTCCAGGCACCAGGCCCGATCGCTGCAACTATCGCAGACGCCAGTATCCACTCCTATCGGCCCCGCAGACGGGACGACTGGCTCGTTAAAGGTGACAGGTCTAGGCAAGTTCGAGTTGTCAGACGCCACGCGATTCCAGGAATTTGGTAGCTCGCTGGAAGATGAAGATTGGCTAAACGAGTCGTCGGACTACAAACAGAAGATGACCTTGGCTGACTGTATGCGAAAGGAGAACGTTATCCGCAAGCTGGGCGAGGAAGTTGAAGCGGAAGCCCAGGAGGAGGCAGAACAGGCAGCGAACGATGACGATGAGGATGACGATGAAGATGAAGATGAAAACAATGAGGATGACGATGATGACGAGGATGAGGATGACGACGACGACGACGACGATGATGAAACTCAGGACTTTTCGGATGACGGGAATGAATCTGATAACGAGGCTGGATTTGCTTCTTCCGATGACGATGGAGAGTCGGACTACGCGTTCTGGACTCCTATTACAACTGCAGCTACCTCACACTCCGACACCGCTATGCCACCGCCGATGAAATGGAGAGACTCCCACAACTCCATTGAATCCCTCACCAGTCCAGGACCATTTGAAGAAGTCACCCCAAAACCAAAGCGTGCCGTGACCAAGGAGAAGAAGCCAAAGTCCACCGCCCCTAGTCTCCCAGATAGCACCGACTTCGTCTGCGGAACCATAGACGAGGATCGCTCCATCGAAGTAGCCTACATTTCTCACATGGAAGAGCGCCGCAGACAGAAACACATCCCGATTCCCCAGGATATCGACCCCAGCTTCCCGACCTCCGACCCCGAAGACGAGGATGACGAAGATGCCGACGAGGACGACGTGTCCGCCAAGCCAACCGCTCCTCGCAAGCAACAAGCCAGCGATGTCGACGCCCACGTCGAGCCACCGCGCGGCCGACGCTCCAGTCGAACCAACATCGATAAGGCGCCAAATGCTGCACCACACTCCCCTCGCAGACTATTCGGGCACTCTCCACGTCGCCTCCGCTCACCACCGCCACCTGGCCGTCTTCGCTCCCCTCCTCCATCTCGCCGGACATCCCTCATCCACCCTCCCAACATGACAGGTGCCGGTCCCAGCGCAAAGATGATAACCATCGCCCTCGCTGAACGGCCAAACCGCACCCGCACTTCTTCCCTTCCACGAACCCCTAACCCCTTCTTCGCCCGCGCCTATACATCCCACAGCATCTACAAACGCACTTCCCGCTCCCCTTCCCCTTCCCCCTGTCCCAAATCATCCACAAAAAGCAAACCAAACCCAACACATACCCGCGGACCCATCGACATCGTCGCTGGCCTAGAAAAGAAACGACAAAAGCGTAAAGAGAAGTTCTGGCGTCAGCATTGTCGACGTGCCGCAAAAGAACAAAACCTTAATCGTGACAAGATAGTTCCTGGACGAGGCGCAGAGAGGATGAAAGAGCTTGGTCTCGAGGTTGCTGAGAGGTTCAGGGCGTACGGCGTCGGTATGGGCGTTGGTATGGGTGGAAACGGACCGAAGCTCGTCCTTTCTATTTGATCCTTTTGCAGGAGCATGGGATGGAATGTGACGGGACGACATGACCAACGAACCATGAACGACCAACTAAAAGCTGAGAATGTTTCCTTTCTTTCCCCCTCATTCGACGACAGATTTGACATTTTTACTTTGATATTTTCTCCCTTTTTCGAGCTGGATGCTTGATTATTTGCACAGATCGCAGTGACTTACAGCTTCATGATATCCTGACTGACTGCTCAGCTTGCATTGTTATTTTTATTTTTGTCTCCATTCTTTCTATTATTTTCCATGTCGATTTTTTATGTTTTTAATTCTAACTATTCCATTTATCTTCCTCTCTCTCCATCTCTCTATCTCTCTCTCTTACCTTCTGCTGTATATACATACGCATGTCCTTTAGCTGCCCCCTTTCACTCATTGTACGGAGAGCCTGGAGTCAGTCCTCCCAGCCGGTGTTGGCCCTCTGTTTAAATTGCATTTCACTAGACTGGGCGGAGGGTCGTTTTTCTACTACATCTATGCTATGATAATGACTGAATGAACAAAGTAAACCATCATCTTCTTCCATCTTCCATCCTTCATCCTTCGTCTGGTCCTTTTGTTGAGCGCGTAAAAGTGTCCTCACGTGACCGCCGGGAAGAACACATGGGCCGGAGCATCGAAACCTCCAACTTGCCTGCAGCTTTGCGCTTCTTCACTGGGCATCATCGCATATCATATCGCATCTAGCATACACATCACTCGACCTGACAGTTCACTGCTGTCTCGACCAGACTGTTGACTCAGCTGTTCCTACTCAGCTACGTCTCCCAGAGCTTCGTTTTTTTCCTTTGTTGCCTCTGCTCGCTCCCGGACGCACACAAAGACCATATATCATCATACCTCAACCTATTCTGAGAGAGCTCTCTATTGCCCGCCATGTGGATTATTAACTGGTGTATGTACCCTGTCTATCTCTTTGAGTATGGCCGTTGCTGTCCTGTGTTGTTTCCGGTCTCCGCCTGTTCCAGCGTGGTGGCCAGTGACAAAAAGCGCACGGCGAGATATCTATCAACTCCGAATAAGTAGACTGACGGGCCTTTTTTTTATTACTACTAGTTTATGATATCCTTGCCAACCTTGGCCTTCTTAACAAGCATGCCAAACTACTCTTCCTCGGTCTCGATAATGCCGGTAAAACTACACTCCTGCATATGTTGAAGGTAAGTCGTTTCGCAGGGACTTATACCCCTTTACGGACCGAGCGTTCCTAACGATGGATATAGAATGATCGAGTTGCTCTTATGCAACCTACCTCGCATCCAAGTACGTACCTCCAAGAGTTATATCTCCAAGTTCCCCGCCATCTAGTGGACCGCTAGGATAGACATCTACTACTGGAATACCACGGCTGACCCCACACTGCGAATAGCCTCCGAGGAACTAGCCATCGGTAACAACAGATTCACCACCTTCGACTTGGGTGGCCATTTGCAAGCCCGTCGTTTGTGGAGGGACTACTTCCCCGAAGTCAACGGTATCGTCTTCCTGATCGACTCGATGGACGTCGAACGCTTCCCCGAAGCCAAAGCCGAGCTTGACGCTCTTCTCAACATGGAAGATCTGGCTAAAGTTCCTTTCCTCGTCCTCGGTAACAAGATCGATCACCCTTCAGCCGTCTCTGAGGACCAGTTGAGATCTGCTTTGGGTCTTTACCAGACTACTGGTAAGGGCAAGGTGCCGTTGGAGGGAATTAGGCCCATCGAGCTGTTTATGTGCAGTGTTGTTATGAGACAGGGTGAGTGATGCCTGATTCACCGCAACTATTCCTGAAAGCCTACGGCGTGTTTCTTATACTGACCATCTCTACTCCGGCAGGTTACGGCGAGGGTATCCGATGGATGTCTCAATACGTCTAAACCAACCGTCCTTCCACTGTCTTATCTAAAATGGAAATGAAACGTCGATGCATGTACCTCTTCACATTCACGCCACGCCAATAACACGGGCATGATGAAGAATAGGCTGATAGAGCTATCTATCAACCCACCTCTCTCCCTCTGCCTTCCGCTCCCTTCCACCCCCTGTGTCTTTTAATTAATTTTCTTTATCATGAATACATCCAGCAAATCATAGCTTAGTTTGATGATCTTTCCTCTCTTCTTTCTTCTCTACTTCCAATTTTCTTCCGCTGTTTAAAGAAATAAGGTTGGCTCTCTTTTCTATACAGTATACACGGCCTGGGCAGTGACCCAAACGTTTCCTCTTGAAAGATGATTGCAATATGGACTATGTCAAGCAAGTCAATATGCTACTTATCAAAAATCAACAGAATACTAATTAGATATTCAACCTACTCCGGTCTAATCGCTAAGACAAGACGCATTGGTTGGCGAGTGAAATAGTTTGTTATTATTCAGTCAATCAACCAGTCGACGCATGTAAGATAGAGAAAAAAACTACAACACACACACACATAAACAGCATAAAATAAAATATAGAAAGACAAAGAGATACAAAAAAGGTGTAAACACCCGACTTTTCCTCCAATATGACAAAATGTAAAAAGAGGAAAAGGCGGGGGTAAATAAATACGTCGTTTAAAGAAGGAAAATGACAGACAAGGAAATAAAAGACCACAAAAGGGGGGGCAAAGGCGTGTGGAAAATAGCGGGCGGGAAACCAAAGGAGTTGGAAACGCAAGAAGCGGCAAGAAAGAAGTGAATTATCCACGCTACTAGCTACTAATTTACTGGGCCGGATGCTACCGCTCCTTGTGGTCTCGAGAACGAGATCTCGTTATTGTCACCGAGGAAACAGATGTAAGGAGAATTGGTAGCAGTCAGTTAAGTAGTTCGGTTCACTGCAGCGCTTCATACAATCGTACACGAAGATATATTGCAAAAAGCGGATCGGCTCTGGTGTGGTTTCGGCTGGTCTCGTTCTAGCGCGTTCGGAAGCGGGAGGGGGGTCGACGGCGTATATTTTGACAATCAATGGGATGCGAAATTAGGGTTGGATGCTCGCATGCGGGTTTGTTGACTGGGTGTACATATACGGATATGCATGGATTGTTTATTGAGAATGTAGTTGTAGTGGTGGTGGTAATGGTATGTGGTAGCGCGTATTATCTCCGCCCGAACCTGCTATATGAGGGAAAGCTCGTATGATTTCTTTTACTTTTTCTTCTGCTTCCTTGGAGGAGTGATGGGTCTGCCAGGCGCCATGCCTCCGTAGACGTACTTTTGTTTCTTTTCGGCTGGTTTCAGGATCTATCGATGCGACAAGGAGTTAGAGAAGCTGTATTTTTTGAGTGCATTAGGATAACGGGGGAAAACGTACCTGGAACGAACAGAGAAGGCTCTCGTCTACACTCATCATAGCTCCGGCGTTGTCAAATTCTCCGCAGTAGTTGGGTGCGCTGAAAAGCGTGACCAACTGCCGCTTTGAGAAAAATTCATAGCCATCCTCGACTACTTGATGTGCTCGACAGATCAGGTCCATGTCATGTTTCTGCAAGAACCGCGAGACCACGTCGGGGCCGAATGTAAAGGATACACCTCGATCGTTTTCGCTCCAGCCGGTGATGTCCTTGTCAGGATCAGACCAGAGGAGATCGCAGAGGAGACCGCAGTCGGGGATCTAGATAGATCAGCAGGGTCAATCGTCGACAGTTCATACTGACGCCACAAAATCTTTTGCACTTTTTATGATGAATAGTGGGGAGGGAACAAGACAGGGGATAAGAAGTAGGGGCCTTCGAGCGGCCAATGCAGATCAGCTCGTTCGCCACACAAAATAGGAAGCTGACTTACATCTGTAGGGCGCATGACACGGCGGATCTGTTCCATGGAGTTGAGATCGGGACTAAGACCACCGTGCATGGTGAAGATCTTCTCATCGATAATGGCGGCGATTGGGAGACAGTTGAAGCAATCGGTAAAGGTCTTCCACAGCTTGATGTTATATCTTCTCTTGCACTCGTCGTAGAAGCCGTAGATACGGTTGATGGAGGCGCACTCGTGGTTACCGCGGAGGACGAAGAAGTTCTCTGGGTACTTGATCTTGTATGCGAGGAGCAGGCAGATGGTCTCGAGAGACTGCTTTCCTCGGTCTACGTAGTCACCAAGGAAGAGATAGTTGGCTTCAGGTGGGAATCCGCCGTACTCGAACAGGCGCAAAAGATCGTAGTATTGCCCGTGGATATCACCGCATATCTATGTTGCGCCGATAATTAGTTGAGTATGGATGGGCGAGAGGAGTATCGTACCTTGATTGGGGCTTCCAGCTCCAAGAGTATGGGCTGCGAGATGAAGATCTCTCTGGCTTTGGTGCAAAGATGGCGAATCTCCGACTCAAGTAGTTGAACCTGCTTGCCGGGACGGCTACCCCTCACCTCCAGCAGTCTATCGATGATCGAATCCAAGTCGATCTCATTCTGGTCTGCCATGGTGTGTAGTGGCTACCAGAAGAAGGGGAGAAGGGAAGAAGGAGAAGAAAAAAAAGCGTTAGGACGAGACCTCCTAGGAGGGTAGAGAACGATAGATGGTCAGGTCGCGTCGTTAGGCGTAATCTATAGGGAGAGGATGGCGGGATGGGGCGCGTGGGTGGGGAGTATTATCGGCGTATCTGTTGCCTCTCTCCTCAAGTGCAATCCTAAGCCATGATTAATAATAATTAGCACATCCGGTCAGATCAAAACAAGACAGCCATCAGAATATCAGTTTACGCGATGGTGCATATCAAGGGTGGATGGTGCGATGACAGGACAACTTACAGGTCTTGAAACGTAAGGAGAACAACGAAAGAAGGCTGCCGCCAGTATAATGACGGAGATTAAAAGGGAAAAAAGGCCCTGATGGCCGAAGAAGCAGATTCTCTGAACCAGCAAAAAAAGAAGAAGCAGTCAAAACCAGTGTTTCCTGATCGTAGTTCACCGTTTGGCCCGTTTTCTAGTGACGGGGCAAGGGACTCGACACCGGCGCCTGACGAGTGAATTCTGCGGCACAGCACAAGAGTTAGAGCCCAGCTGCGAGCACCCGCTTGAGTCTGGATAGGGCGGAAGGAAAGAGTGTGGTGGTGAATAGAGCGTCCGGCACGAACCAGGGCAGTGTACGATGAGAGGTCAGCAAGTCTTTCCCGTCGCTATCGTGGTGTATCCAGGGCGTTGTTGTGGCTCCCCTGCAGTGTTGATGCGAGAGTGGAAAATTTTCGTTTCAGCAACGCGCAACGGACGAGTGGCGTGACGGAGAGGGTTTGATAAGCGGGCAGGAGATCTGGATGCAAGCGGGAGCGTAGTTCTCGGTGCAGACAGGCTGGTGATGCGAGCGCTGGGCTGGCGGGCGAGCTGGAGATGTCGATGTTGATGCTCGAGATGGAGGCGGAGGATGGAGGATGAGATGGAGGTGGTGGACAAGGCCGGTTTGGGGTTGGCGGCAAGCTAGGGCCATCTCGCTCAACCATAACCATAACATAACATCACGATACAATATACAATATACGATATTATCTACGATATCTACGACATTTTAGTCTTGCGATAGAGGATTACTTTAGTCATAGAGGGACGTGCTGATCAACGAACAGAACAATAAATTTTGGTGTACCTTAACCCATCCGGAAGCATAACCAGCCAAATCGAACTAACAAAAGCAAGCAGAAATAAGAAAAAAAACGCAAGAACCACGCTATGCAAACGCCAAACCAAAGGAGAAAAGATCAAAAAAAATCGAAAAAGATCGAAAAAGATCAAAAACATGCCACCCAATATAGTACAATCGGTCTAAGGTGGATATCTAGGGATATTCGGTATACCTCCTCCGACATACCCGACTGTAGGCAGCTCACAGCTTGTTCATTAGTGCAGAAGGGAAGCGCAAAAAACAAGGCAGCAGCAGCAGAGAGATGAGAGGTATTAGCGGAACGGCAGAAGGGGAGAGGGTGAGAAGATCAGGCAAAAAATAATATGTAAGAGAAATCAAGAACACGCAATCTCGGTCTCAGTCTTGGTGAAAGATATCCAGATAACTCCGTAAGAAAGAACCCATAAGCATGCATCCGAGAAAACGGGGAAAACGAAAAAGCACAAAGTGGTATAAGATATAAACAGGCAGAACGGGCAGCAAAACAATAACGCAATATGTAAACAAAGAACAGCAATAACGACAAACGACGCATCATTCAAATATTCCGTAACGAGAGGATAGATTAGGCCTTTGCCCATCTCGTCTCAGCTGAGACGACGCTCGACTGGCTTCGAGCGGAAAACACAAAACGTGCTTTTCCTCTTCATCGTTGTCTTCTTCGTCCCCTTTCCCTTTCAAGAAAAATAAAATATCCTTTTCTATATCCGAAAAGATAAACCGTACATAGATAGGTATGAAATGGTCGTCCCCTGGTTTCGTTTCACCTCCAAGAGGTGGCTTTCTGTCGAGAATATAAACGTGTATTGCCTCCCAATTTGATTAAGATTAATACAGTGAATGACCGGATTCGTAAATGATGAAGTATCTTTTTTTTATTTTGAGAATTTTTCGACCGGGAAGTATGAGGTATGTGAGAGTTGGATTAGCCAAGTGCGGGACCACCAGTGGCGATGATCTGGCTGCTTGTCCGGGCCATCGGGGGCGGAGGCCGGATAGGATTGGTGGTGGAATGGAAGTCGGTAGTTGGAGAGTGGAGGTTGATGTTCTTCGTGCTATTGGCCCAGTTATCATCACCCAGGACCGTTAACCAGTTTGTCCCGACCTCGTGTTTCAACGCCTCGAGCCGTTGGCGGTAAATGTCACCGCTGACGTCCCAGTCGATGCCGTCGATGGCAGGGAGTAGGGTTCGGTTCTTTGGCGGGTCGACGTCGGTGGTTGTTGTTGTGGTGGTGGTTGCGGTTGGTTTCAAAGGTTCAGTTGGTTTCAAGGGTTCAGGGGCAGGAGGTACCGCGGTTACTGTGGTCGGGGATACTGGTTCTGGCTCTTCGTACGCTGGCTGATGGTTGGCTTTGGGCTTCGGGTGATCAACAAACGGGTCAGACGCAGGGTGGCCTACCACGGCGTTGTCGGGCAGCTTGTTCTCTACCACCGAAGGGGTAGAGGCTTCGGCGTCGTTGGTGAGGTTGATAACTCGTTTTCTATGCGGTTTCTTGCGTCGAGGAGATGCCACGTCTGCTGGAGCACGAGGCTTTACAACATGGGTCTCTGGAGATAACAGCTGGACATCAACAGCGGTCGCGCTGGTATCTGCCTGTGTATCAGCAACATCCTGTTCAAACTTTCGAATGACGGGTGCTGCTTCGGGTTCTGCAGCTCGCTCCACAAGCTGCTTCCTCTCCGAGTACGAAGGTCCGGTATTATCGATGAAGATATCCTCTGGGTATCCGGGAGTCTGGCGGAACAAGTTAAAGATGGTGACCCGATGTCCAGCATGCGATTTGGTAAAGGGGTTTCCGGAGATCCAGATTTCGCGGATATACGGAATAGCAGTCAGACGGGCTATCTCAACCGGGTCTGTGATGGCATTGTCTCTCAGGTCGAGACGTTCCAGCGAAAGCAGGCGCTCAACACCGGCAATCGACCGGAGTCTGTTCCCTCGGAGGTTCAGAGACGTGATGGCAGGCAACGGGCTTCTTGACAGAGAGTGTAGGGAATCTATCATACAGTGGGATAGATTTAGTGACCTCAGGGCCACTAGAGAGGCAAGGCTGTCGGGAACTTCAGTAAAGAGATTCCACGATAGGTCTAGGGAGTGCAAGGTATTGGCTACTGGCGCGAGGCTAGCTACACTAACACTTGTTAAGGAGTTATCCGTCAGGTTGAGATGTCTAAGGAACCGCCATTTGAAGGGACTCAATGGGACGCTACCGCCAGCCATCATATTAGAGATGCCACGGTCACGATAAACGGTGGAAGACTCGCTAGAGTCAGAGCTACCAGAACCGGATCTCTTCATTTTCGAGGACGAGCCTCGAGGGTGTGGGTGATGGTGGTGATGGCGGTGGCTGGATCCTGGTTTGTTTGAGCTCGTGGGTCGGCTGGGGGAGATGCTTCCGGCACGGCCATGCTTCCTCCTTCCACCTTCCGAGGAGTCACCTCTGAGCATGGACGAGCTTCCCTTGGGACTGGCACTGGTTCCAAACACGGGTTCAGCAATGGGGGATCCTGGGGCCGAAATGAACTTCCCGAGCTCTGGGGTACCTGAGCTGCCGTTAGACGGCCATCCGAGGACGGGCGAGGGCTGAGACTTGGAGGACCTACGTCTGCGCTTATCAATGTCATCTAGTACGATGCCAGTGAGCAAGTCACCGATGTCCTCGAGCTGGGCACGCTTGAGAGTAAGGGATCTCAGCTGCTCGGCCAGACGGTCCCAGCCGAAGAAAGACCGGAAGTCTACATCGATGATCTCCAGGGCACTGAGGTTCTTAAAGGAGTGCAAGGGCACAGCGGTATCAAACGGGAACTCCTCGTAGCCACTGATCAACCTGGCTCTGTGGTCAGGCGCCAGTCTCAAACAAGGGATCTTGGTGAAGGCAGAATATAGGTATTTGAGGTCAGCTTCCAGGGCTGCCTTGGCCTTGTCTGACTTTGAAACGGAATCCCTGGATCCAAGGCCAAAGGAGGACCAAAATGAGCTCATGGTAGACATGACGCTGCGGACACTGGATACGGAGTGTATCGAGTCTCTGTCCCCTCCCGCGCCTCCGGCACCCCTCGGCCGTTGCGGTTTACTCAAAAACGACACATATGCCGAGGACGATTCGGTATTGATATTCTCCAGGCGGATGTTCAGCGGTCCAACGGGTACGGACAGGTCCTCGAAGCGGGAGAGGAGGTAGAAGAGGTGGTGGGGGGTCAGGGTAAGCCTGGCGGGCCGGACACTGTGTGATGTCAGGCTCAGCGATCCAAGGGAGAGGGCGGCAGCGAGCGTAGAGGCAGCAGAGGCGCGGCCGGAGGAGCCATGGGCGGCCGAGTTCGATTGCGAGGAGGTCAGGTCGACGCTTCTCGACTGTCTTCTCATCTGCATCGCGTTGGCGAGGGCTTTCTCGTGCGTGCGGACGAATCTAGCGAGACTCTGCTGACCGTTAGATAGTGAAAAAAACGTGTTTGTTTGCCAACGGGGAGGTTACCTTGATGAAGAGCTGGCCATCTTCAGTGTTTAGTTTCTCCATCTTATCGAATTAGACGCTGTCCTCGTAAGCCAGGTCAAGCAGTGGAAGGACTTCCAGTGGTTCACGTAGATATGAGAGGGTAGAGAGGCATATTTGCTTCACTCCCAGGGGCCTGTGTAGAGAAGCAGTGTCCAGCCAGGCACACGAGACACGGACAGGCAGAGATAAAATGAGAAGGGAGAAGAAGGGAGAAGCTGGAGCTGGAGAGTACAATATATGGTGGTTATGTTTACGAGGGTGTTGTGGCGAGGTGGTTCAGGGTGACCAGCTGGTGGTTTTCATGTGCAGGTTAAGGTCACCGGGACGAACCCAGGAGTGAAGGAACCACGCTTGCAGACCAGACGACGACAGGCAACACTGACACTGGATAGGCAACTGGACAGGCAATTAGCAGCACTGGAAATGAGCAGCACTGGCAATGAGCAGCAAAATGGCGATGAATAGCAAAAGGCAGAGAATCGCAAAATAAACACAACCAATTCTACCTGATCCGACGATGACGACGAGGAGGACGACGACCGATGACTGACAACCGACGAACCGATGACGAGAAGAGACAGACCAGACAGACCAGAGACCAAGATAGCAAGACAGCAAGACAGTCAGTCCTGAGAGACAGGAAGAGCAAAATGCATGTCGGCGAACGCGCGCAATATGAAGGGATCGTGGGACGGGCGTGGGCGCTGCAGCGGCGCTCTCATTGGGGGGAGCCAGGGGCAGCCCCTAGCGGACAGGCATGGGCCGCCCCAAGAGCGCGCTAGGCTTAGCTGAACTCTAGTTAAAGCCCTAGCTAAAGCCTAGTTAAAGCCTAGTTAAAGCCCCTAGCCAGTTGTAGGCTAGGGGCGCCCTCCCGATAAGCCCGTGGGGCGCCGGGCGAGCTAGGGGGGAGAGCGCAAGAGGCAGAAGGAAAAACACAGCTGAAGGGGGTCACCGTCTGCGTCCTGCCTGCATGCGCCTCGAAATTTACTGCCTACGGGCATGGGATGGAGAGGCGCTTGTCACGGTCGATACGACGCTGATTCGGCCTGCTTGCGATCTGGCTGGTATACATGGTATAGGGAGATCGGTTCATGATACGGATGGGTCGTCCTATACGTGCATTCAGACGTTGCTTTTTCCTCTCTCGACTCTCTCAACTTGCATGAATGCAACTACCAAGCTTGTCACAGTGGGCCGCCTGTCTACAGTCTACAGTGATAGCGGCTCTGTTCGATCCAGGAGACCGGAGATGGACGATTCAGCCAATTTCCTGGCGGATATCTGCGTCGACCAGTTGCCATCGCCATCGCGGTACAATAACGTAAACATGGGACGATTGCCTCCCCCTGATGACCACCCCGGTACATGGAAGATTTAAGCACATCCATGGTCACGACGGTTTCACTGCCGCCCACAACTGCAGCATCCAATGGCAGCTCGATCCGGCCACGCTTGCTGGCTCGTTGGCTTTTGAACCTCTCAGATAAGAGTCCACGGTCGGCCGCTGACTCGCTTATATAGCCTGCCCGCAGCAAACAGGGTGTTATGCATCCTTTATACATGCATACAATCCATTGTGCCGATGCGCCTTCAATACGCGCAACCGATAAGAGCCATTGTTATCTCGAGGCTTTTAAGTACAGGCTACCGTCTACTTCTATCCCCAGATCTCGTCCATGGTACCGAGTACAGAAAGTAGAGGACTATCGGGGGATACGATCCGGATTCGACAGAGATGACCGTCCTACCCATCGGCTACATCTCCACAAGCCTCGTGCAATCGTCTCCATCCTCATCAACTTGGTACATACGGCCCCTCTTCCATCTTGGTCGTCCGGTACTGGTACTGGGTGGTGTATCGAGGTTGGATATACGGATATTGTACCAACCAGTCGACAGGCAGACGGCGGACAATTGAATGCATGAAAAAGCACAACCATGCACTCGCACATCAGCTTCACCGCTTTCGTACCTCGTTCAGCACGCCACATGCATCCTGTCCGACTTGCTTTTTCCTCTTTCGCGTCTCTCTCTCTCTCTCTCTCTCCTGTGCTCGCTGCGATCCTGCTCTGGTTCCAGGCATCATGGCGCACCGATTTAAAAGATACGCGGTACTGCATGTGAAGGAGCAGTGATCATGAGAAAGGTGACGTTGGAGAACGGGTCCGGTATTCCTAGCGCATCCCTTCTAACATATCAAATTCTTTCGTTAACAAGGTAACTCCACCCATGGCTCCATCTTAGCACCCGCCATCCAGCTAGTTTTTTTTTTTTTTTTTTTCCTTTCACCTTGGTGCTGATTAAATATGATATCAACAAATGGGCCTGCAGTTTGAGGCCCTTTTGACTTTTTTTTCCGGCAACTTGCCCGAGCTCGGATTTCTATGCGCTTCTATCATAAAATGGTGAACTATAGGCAGGGGTCGTGCACTTTACTTTGCAGCGCCCTTCGATGCATCGGAGGTCGATCTTCTGCGAACGGATATACGGAGGACGTACGGGGTATATATTTACTTCTTCACGACTACTGAATGACCGTGAGATGGAGTGTGTGCGCCCATGGTCCTGATCTAGTGCTCAAAGCAGCACCTCGACCGACCCAAAGTGAAGATATCAGATTTGATGGCCGCGGGTATCTTCCGCGATGTCTGCTCCACCGGGGACGGAGCATTCTGCAATTACCATAATGTAATGCGATTTGAACACGAGATAAGTATCTATATTCCTCATCGCAACGGTGATCCCCTACAACATCCCACGCAGAGAAAAAGTCGCCATCACAACGCACCAACCACAAGCAGAACCAGTTCCAAATCGCTATTTCAGTCTCCAGGATCATCAACCTCTTACGTTGCGAGATGCCTATCAATGACCACAGCCAAGAACCGTTTCTTTTTTAACCTCTGCTCAGGTTGCTCGGCGCATCGAGGCGTCAGCCTATGAGAACAGCGGCCGCCACCGTCAAGCACGCCAGAATATAAACGGAACCACTTTGGCCAAAGGTTAGTTTTTATCTATCCGATCAGAGAATCAAATCACCAAGCAGTACCAGCAGCAGTACCAGCAGCAGTACCAGCAACAGCCACAGGGAAGGCTGAGAAGTACATGATGTAGGGCAGATGATTTCGATGTCTTAGAGTTTCTCTAACGTGATGTGATTTGTTTTATGATCACCAACCACTTCCAGATGGCGCGATCTGGCAACATACCTGAACGAGCTATCTTCCTTGACCTCTCGTTCAGAGCGTTTGGGTCTCCTGATCTCGTTACCGCCAGTTCCACTCACACCTCACATGGTAGGGCATGACGGCGGGTTGGCTAATTATATATATCGAGTGACGGCGGGCGGCCGATGATGTAACGACTCGTGGTAGATTCCAAGTCCTGCCCGTACTCAATCCCAACTCTCCATTGGCCTCAGGCTCTCCTGGTCTCCATTCAGCCTTATCTTCTTGTCCTCGGGGCCTCATTGCTTTTGCGTACTGCTACAGGATACTGACCTGACTGCCTTGTGAATATCGCCATGTGCTTGACTGCTCAATCATGCAGACGTCGACCCTTGGTTCAGCAATCCCAAGGAATAGTCCTGATCGTCGAAACATCCTTATCCCGGTTCAGCAATCAACACGGATATTTTGCACCAGAATTCGAAATGGGGGTCTCCTTTTGTTTCGCGTCTCTACCCCACCATGAAGCTTGAATAGGAGGTATATCTCATGTATACGGCGTACTCTCTCTACCCCGCGGAAACAGATGAAACGACGATGAAATTGATCAAGATCTCGACCTCTTATCACCATTCTCTAGCCTCCGTTCGACCATATTCTGGCTCTTCAATGGAGTACCCCTGAACCAAATCACTGGTATGTACTCCGTACCTCTACATCGAACTTTCGTCACAAGTTCACGTTCTTCGACGGCTCCTGGACATGCTCCGATCAAACAGCTTCACTATCCCGTCTTTGAGCACCTTCACGGATATTAGCCCAAGACACGGCAAGATAAAAGACGCCTCCCCCCCTCCTCTCCCCGCGTATCAATTTAACCCTTGTTACAGGACGAACGGGCTACGCTTGCGGCTATAGCGCTAGGGAAGCCATCGGTAACGCCCCCCAGCATACGGAGTAGAGATTGTCATACTGATTTTCACAACTATCGACCGTCAACCACACTTATCCATGACCTCCGTAGTTAAACATATCGCGCGAAAGAAGATATAATCCGCATTGATCGACCCTGTTAGCGACCAGGATGGCGAAACGTCATCGTCCGTCGTGAAAGGGAGGGGTGCAACCCCCCTAGTCATTCTTCGGATGGGGGGTGTCTCCACGGAAACGCTCTACCTTCAAGCCTCCCGGCGGAGCGGGCTCGCTTTTCTTCTAACAACTCTATGCATAAAACGGGGGCTATATCATGGTTGTTAAGACCTCCCACATCGCCGTTACCGACAGAGAGGGATCAACGGACGGACCCCCTCCCCCTTCGCCTCTTGGCCTTGAACAATTCTCTGGTATCTCTCCCGCTGTACGGACTACTCTTAGCTTAAGACGGGTCGATGATGAGATATTTACCCTCGATCTCCTTTTATATGCTCAACGGGAGGAGATAAAAGGTAAACAGCTGAAACAAAAGTAAAGAAAATCGTCGCACGGGCCGTCTGTTTCTTTTCATCTTGTCAGGGGGTTTGTCTGTGCCCTGTAAAGTACAGAGTAGCCTTCGAGGGTTAGCCTTGTAAGCTATAGCGTATAGAGGTTCCCGAGACGGTAAGCGGTCGGTGGTACGAGTTAGTTTTCTGCATACTCCGTACATATATATCTATATTGGAACTCCGTAGGATTCACCCTCATGCTTATAAACCTGCATATAACTTGCTCACTACTGCAGCATTCATGCAAGTGTTAAAATGGCTATATTGCCCTCGGCACACAATATGTGTGGAGGACCCCTGCTTGAAGCATGCTATGTATCTCGAAAAAAAGTCGGTTCGATCATCGTGTTGTTCACAGGGACTTGGATAGGTACGGAGTACGGAGTATATGCTGTGCTCTTCCCTCTAGAGGGGGTGGGGGTCAGTGAACGAAGTCCCGCGTGACAGTTCATGCTTTTCATACCATATTGCGTAGTCCCTATATATCCTTTCCGTGGAGGATGTGTAATGGGACGCGACATACGTGATACGTATGTCGCAAGATATATACATGACCTGCTGTGTACGCAGTACATACAAGGGCATTTTTCTCGGCTGCATCGGGGAAGCTAGGCTCATAGCCCGACGCCTTCGCCTTCATGCCAAGATGGATATAGAGTCGAAGCGTCTTATTCCGATCATGGTAACTATACTACCCCGCGGACGGACCTCCATACCAGAGGCTATCGCGGTTAATGGGTGCACTTGGACCTCGAAGCCATCAACCAAGGGTGACGCAGAGGGATGAACGTCGGCTGGAGGAACCATGGCGCAGGGCTGGTTCAAGATCACCTGCCGCGTGGTCACACAGGAACTTGGGTTCGATATGCGAAAAATGGCGGCCTTCATCCCACACACCATCGCGACGGAGGCTCATTTTTCAGCATGTTTAGCCTCTGGCTGATACGAGTTCGCTTAGAAAGGTGCAGCCTCAACTCTCACCTCCGCACTACCGCATCGACTGAAGCTGCGATATATACCGAGTACCGAGTAGCGTTATCGTGCATCAGTGACTTCTCACCGTTCTATTGTTATCTTATCGCTTCTGGGGCTGCCGTTGATTCGCTTGTTTTTTTGTCTTTGGGTTGGCGGCGGTGTTTAATGCGAGGGACGGTGGGAAAACTTTCATATATAAAAGTGGATGGAGCAAAGATAAAAAAAGAGGTCGATCAGATAAGCAACTGATGACATAAGCCGATGATGTAATATCTTACTCATCCATGACGTCTTGTATTCTGGCAACCTTAGACATCACATCACCGTCGCTTCTATCCAGCTTCTGCTAGATAGTTCTTTCATCAATCCATCTCTTAGCACAAGGAGCGGCTAATGATAATGGTTCTCTGCGCGCGGAGTAATTCCCGCCGTAGTGATTGGAGCCATGTCGCCATCCGCAAATCCACAGCCGAACGGACTCCCACGTCGGCTCGATGCCGATGACGAGGCATCAGCCGAACCGTATGGCCTTCCGGATTTCAGGAGAAAGTTCATCAGTTCTGAGCACCTGCAGCAATTTAAAAAGGCCCTCGATGCGCCCGAGGCGCTGTCCCTCACCGCCGTGAACGATTGGCGACCCATCAACCAACGAGTCCGAAGGCTTAACAATGGCCGTAAATCGAGACGTCGACGAAAAGACGAAACCCGAGAAGGATTCGTTTACGCATTGCTGAAATGGCCGTTCCTAATATCTGTTCTGACGTGGATAGCCGTGTTGAGCTTCTGTTATCTACTCACCCGTGTCTATATACTCATCTATGAGAACCTGTTTTCCTGGAAGGGAAAAAGACGCAGACTTCGAAAGGAACTTCGAGCTACAGAGGACTATGAAAGGTGGCGAGATGCTGCGAAGGAATTGGACAAGTACTTGGGAAATGATGCCTGGAAGGAAGACGACGAATACGCCTATTACAATCATGTAACAGTCAACGCCGTCGTTGCACAGTTGCAGGACTTGAGGATCAGGGTCCAGAATGCCACAAACGAAGGCCGCAGTCCGGATCGAGCTCATGCTATGGAAGAGCTTCGCGCTCTGCTGGAAGCATGCATTAAAAATAACTTCGCTGGCGTGGAGAACCCACGCCTATACAGTGAAACATACTACGGGACAAAGCACTTGGTTCAGCAATTTATCAACGAAGCAGAGGCATCCCTGAAGCTTCTGATTGAGAATGGTGGACTATCAAATCATGATAAAGCACTTTTTTTCAAACATCTGGACACAAATTTTGGTCGAACGGCGTTGTGTCTATCTGGGGGCGCCACATTTTCCTACTACCACTTCGGCGTAGTTAGAGCCCTTCTAGATAACGACGTGTTACCTGATGTCATATCTGGCACGTCTGGAGGCGCCTTAATTGCCGCTTTGGTTGCCACGAGAACAGATTCTGAGCTGAAGAAGTTACTCGTTCCAGCTCTGGCACACAAGATCAAAGCCTGTCGTGATGGGTTCTCCACCTGGGTAAGACGATGGTGGCTCACAGGGGCCAGGTTCGATACCATGGATTGGGCAGAACAGTGTAGTTGGTTTTGCCGGGGCTCGACCACATTTCAAGAAGCATATGAGAGAACAGGTCGGATTTTAAACGTGTCTTGCGTACCGTCGGATCCGCATTCCCCTACCATCCTAGCAAACTACTTGACCTCCCCCAATTGTGTAATCTGGAGTGCTGTTATTGCATCTGCAGCAGTTCCCGGAATTTTGAACCCGGTTGTTCTCATGATGAAAAAACCAGATGGCACTCTATCGCCGTACTCCTTTGGCCACAAATGGAAAGATGGCAGTCTTCGTACAGATGTACCCCTGAAAGCACTGGATATTCACTTCAATGCTACATTCCCCATAGTTTCTCAGGTAAGCAACATGTCTAACCGCCTTTTGTTATGGTTAATATTTTACTAATGAAATTATATAGGTTAATCCACATATCAGCCTCTTCTCATTCAGTACCCGTGGCAGTGTTGGCCGTCCGGTAACTCACCGAAAGGGTAGAGGTTGGCGTGGTGGCTTCCTTGGCTCTGCCATCGAACAGTTTATCAAGCTTGACCTTACGAAATGGCTAAAGGTTCTCAGGCGCCTTGAGCTGCTCCCTCGCCCTCTGGGTCAGGACTGGAGCGAGGTCTGGCTCCAGCGATTTGGCGGCACCATCACCATATGGCCAAAATCAGTATTATCTGATTTCTACTATATTCTATCAGACCCCACCCCTGAGCGTTTGGCTCATATGCTACACGAAGGCCAATCCAGTACCTTCCCAGCGCTTCAGTTCATCATGAATCGAATGAAGCTAGAGAAGGCTATACGCGAAGGCTTCTTAAAATATACATCCACTGACGGGAGCCCAGACCCGATAGACTCTGTCCGTCGCAGGCGAGTACTTACACGATCACAGTCAGAGCGAGCTATCGGAGCGGTGATTCATGGCGAACAGACCGTCGACTTACTAAGTGATCATAGTGGAAATGGGACTTATACATCTGACGAACAAGAAATAACGGACGATAATTACGACATGCGTCCAGAACCAATAGGCTCCCCATTAAATCGCCGCAATAGCGGTATTTTGGAAGAGCTAAGGCGGCAATCTGCTGTGTTCTTCGATGACGACGATGACGATGATACTGCAACTGTAAGCGAGTGATTGACCGCGAACATGCAACACGTTACACCAGGTCACCGGCTGCAATGATCGACCGGCCAGATTAAACCTTTTTCACTTATCACCAAACCTTGCTCTAGGTTGGTCGGTCTGTGTTTATGTTTAACTTTGCGTCGACACGTAGTAATTTCTTATTTCCTGGCTACTACATCCAGTAAAGTTTTGGATTGCATCTTTTTTTTCGGTTAGATGGCAAATGGGGCTGGAGCTCACTTGGTATTGCATCTCCTTATTAATTTGAGTAACACCATTGGTTTCTTTTTGGATAGAAGAAGCATTTATTGAGATAAATGGCAGGATTATCTAGGAAATAATCTAATTCCTAGGTGATCGGCAGATATTCATTAATTTGTGCATGATATTCATTTGTGTACATTTTTGCCCCTTGTAGTAGTACATATATAGAACAACATAGCATCCCAACACTTGCTTCATAGTGAAAGAATGCAATATGATATGCGTCTATGCCACCCAAAGAGGCGGCTCCCCCGGCACCTAAACACTATAATCAAATCACAAGGCATCGCTCCGTAACCCTTTTAGCCATTTCCTTTTCGCCTGACTGTAAATAAAGACATTGCAATGCGTATGCCGCTTGTCGAGAGAAATCTTCTAACCAGACCTCGCCCCGCTGGTTAGCTCCTGGTATGCCACCAACCTGACTGGGTTCCTGGACCTTTTGTCGCTCCAATTCAATCTCTTCCCCTAGTTCTAGGCATTTATGGTAGCCTTCAACAGCCAAGTGACTTATCCCTAGCAGCTGCCAAACTCGGGCAAAGTTGAATTCTACCTCTTGTTTTTCTTGTATTATCGAGCTTTGCGAACGAACGCGCCGATATTCCTGCATAAACGATAGCCCTTCCATGACAAGATAGTGCCTATTGTCTGACTGCCGCTTCAGAGAATGATGAATATAGCTAAGCCCAATGGATAGTAGAATAGCTGGATTCTCTGGGTCAAGTGCATATGCACGGAAGAAATAGTTTAGAGCGTTTGTGAAACTGTTTCCAGCATAAAGGATGTGCCCGTACAACACCAACAAGGCTACATCCATTTCCTCAGCAGGTACAAGTTCACCCTCAGCATCTTTTGTAGTGAGACTTGCACGTTCTTGGAATATAGACTCGCGGGGCCGTTTGAATGGAGATGTGGGATCCGGAGGAAGGGAATAGTCAATTGCTTTGACTTGTCGAAGCATAAACTTCATGCTAGGCGATGAATGGAATAATGACCTCTGAGGGTTACCGCAGACCCTGCTTAGGATCACGAAGAGCCGATACACGTCGGTGACGAACTGGTACTCTTTCATAAACCATCGTGCGATGTTAGATAGCCCTTCTTCGTCCTTAAGCCGGAGAGCACAAGCTATAATAGAGAAAAACAATTAGAGATGTGCACCCACCATAGTAAGAAATGGGTTTGCTACTCACCGAACCAGCAGACGTGGATTTGGCATGTACTCGGTTTAGAATGATACCATATACTTGCATCAGCTGCTGCGCCCAAGGCATCATATGCCTCACCGCCTTGGCCCTGACCAGATAGTACGAGGGCGAACTCAAGAAATATATCCAACCATGCATCGAAAGGTATGCCGTGATAGTCATTGGGAATAGAATTGATATCAACGTCAGGAGTTCCTGTATAGCTTGTTAGTGATCTATAACAAGCAATATGAGGAATTAGATGTTAAATAGATAATACATACCCATGTTAGCCTGGATGCGGTCAGAGATCTCCTGTAGCTCGTCCAGGAGCGTTGTTGACTTCAATCTCCCGGCCTTGCGCTGTGCTTCTCTAGAATATCCTAAAAACGTCATATTCTTTTGTAGTGGGAAAAACACTCGATTAGATCGAAAGTCCCATATTAAAGCGTAGGCAATGTCAAGCCAGTCTTCCGTAGCAGCTTTTTGTCCTTCCCGCATATATGGCTGCAATTCTAACAGCTTCGTGTATAGATACCGCGCATTTTCGCCGTCCGGTTGCAGCGAGGCTCTTTCAGCCCCTCTCCGCTCCCTTGGTAAGTTAGTGGCGGAGGACGCGATAAAGCCAATGGGGGCACCTGCTTCCGCGGAAGCATAGTTTTCAGTTATTGGAAACAGAGAGTTATCATGAGCAGATAGATTCCCTGTTCCATGAACCCCCTGCTCCGCGGTCCGAAAATAACTTGCTAGTTGCCCTATGTTTGGCCCAAATCTCGGCTTTCGGCGTGACATCGCTTCCTCTCGACCAATATCCGCCGCCTCCGTCACATACTTAAGAGCTTGTTCTGTCATGCCTATCTTCTCATAAAACCTAGCCAATTTAGTCCGTGCCTCTATATTCGTTTTGTCATATTCAGCCACTGTTAGATAGCATCTCTCAGCTTCTTCTTCATTTCCGCAGGCGTCATAGCACTCGGCCATGGCCAAGAAAAGGCTGGTATTCGCAAAGTGTTGGACATGTTGGAGGGGAATGTAAAATCGAAGGGCGTCCTCATACAGTTGGGCGTCCTTAATAGCATCAGCCGCTTCTCTGAAAAGGTCGCCATAATCGAACAGCTTTGCACCGAGTGAATTATCTTCTGGCTCTAGCCAATGGAAATGGAACTAGGGTCAATATTAGCTGCATGCTTGACACTTTAATTTAGAGAATATATATACCAGCGCTTCGTCCTTATACCCCATTTTCAGACGGTAAACCCCAAGCTTTATCCGTAGTTCAAGTGGCAGTCCGATTCCATACGATTCCACGGGGTATTGGCCTTGGACAAACCAGGGCGTTGTGGTCCGTCGTGGGTAGTCCTCTGCGTCCCACTCACGATCATCGTCAATCAAATCCCAGCCGGAATCTCCCTTACGCCCCAATAGCCACCTAGCTAACGCTTTTAGGGACGATATGCCCTGCTGATAGTCGTGGTCGTATGAGAACAGCTCGACATATATGTTCACATCCGACCAATTGAACTCTTCAACTTCGTCCAAGCTGAGATTCATGTAATGCGATATACACTTCTCATATTGAGATTTAGCTTTCCCTATGTCCCCTAGTTCTATGTAAAGCGCAGCAAGGGGTCGAAGTGCACTCGTGTTATGAGGTAGGGCTTCAAGAATTTTTTCATATTCTTGTGCAGCCTTGCCCTTATAGCCTAGTTCTTCATTTATTGCAGCTCGCTCAAAGCGCAGGTCATATCGCTTTTGATCGATATCAATCACGCGGCTGTAGCAATAAAGAACATCATCCAAAGCGGCGGCTCGGTCCTCGTCAGCTCTCTCTAAGATTAGGTTAGCAACCTCGAGCCAGACTTCTGGATTTCTTCGGGTATGAGCTCCTGTAAACAATGCAAATAATGCCTTCTTTTTTTGGCCCTGAGCTAGGAAAATCTCCGAAAGTAATACATGAGCTTGAAAAATCTCAGGGTTTAGACGAATAGCCTGTTTCACCAGCATAAGAGCACGGTCGTAATCTGCGTCAATGAAAGCAGAGGTAGCTTCGGACTGTAAATTTTTGAACTCCGGGCTCGGTTCCACTGGCTTTAGGGGCCCGCGCTTGGGACCTCTGTTTGCCACAGCATCATCATCATCGTATCTATGGGAAGAATAGCGTGATTTCTTCCCTTTGCGTGCAATCCTCGACATAAAAGCATCATCATCGTAGAATTGATTGTCGTCGTCATCAAGCATATGCTCTTCGCTGTATCGGCGGTTAGCATGGGGGTTATTGGTGAGCGTGCATAGTGTATGACTTACGGTGAGTCTTCTTCAGAAGATGGAGATGAAACAGCCGCCTCAGAGCCTAGGTAGGCCCGACTCGATTCTCCCGTCTGTTCAAGATGAGAGGATCCATCATCGTTTGTATCATTCTCTAATGATATATCATTCGACCACCCAGCTAATGCTGCGCCCCTCTCCATTAAAACCGGACGTTAGGATTTGGTATTTGTGTCAATAGCACAGGCGCTATTGAAAGCATATGCGGTACAGCGCCGAAAAGACGAAGCATCTATATCCCGTTGTGCAGGTCGAGAGTATGGAGTATGGAAAGGGCAATATCAAACAACGCACGGGCTTTAACGTTCGTTGCTTACGTCATATATATGCTTAGTCAGTAAATATAAGGTTCAATCTCAACCTCGGCAAAAAATGCGACTTCTTAGCAAAATGCGATCAACCTGCTTCGTTCTCCACGGCAGAGGCGACCTGTAGCAAGACTTTGTGCTTGCTGGGTCTGATCCCCATATATACGGAGTGTATATATAAGCTTACCTTTCCCCGGTCTTACTACTAAGCAGGTCTCTTTCCAGATTTTCTACCACTCTACGTTCGTTTCTTGAGACACAAGAATATCTCGCTCTTAAGATCACTCGTTGGCTGTTTCAATCGCCACCTTTACTGGAAGCAGGAATAATGCAAGATATCACCTTTAAAGGCTGGGTTAGCACGTCGGCGACCTCCTCTTTGACATATACTGCCTACGAGCCCAAGAGTTTTACTGGAACTGATGTTGATATTGCCATATCTCACTGTGGTATATGTGGCTCGGACATTCATACCTTACGCTCTGGATGGGGGCCAACGAATTATCCTTGTGTAGTTGGACACGAGATAATAGGGCATATTATCCGAATTGGCTCAGAAGTAGCTAAGCTCAATTCCCCTTCCAAAGAGTTAAAGGTCGGGGATCGAGTTGGTGTCGGTGCGCAGTCAGGGTCTTGCCTTCGCGTGGATTGCGAGGAGTGTTCGTCTGGCTTAGACAACTATTGCCAGCGTATGGTTGGGACATACAACGGTAAATACCCTGACGGAAGCAAATCATACGGTGGTTATGCCGATTACTGGAGAGGCCCTGCGTGGTTTGTCTTTAAAATCCCAGATGGCCTTCCCAGCGCGATTGCAGCGCCTTTGCTGTGTGGGGGTACAACTGTTTTCTCACCGTTGCGTCGGGGCGGCGCCGGGCCGGGGAAGTCTGTTGGTATCATTGGGATTGGAGGTTTAGGCCATATGGGGCTCCTTTTCGCCAAAGCTATGAAATGCGACAAAGTTGTTGCTATATCACGGACCAGCTCCAAAAAATCAGATGCATTGAATGGGTTGGGAGCGGATGTTTTTATTGCCACAGATGAAGAAAAGAACTGGGCAAAGGCACACTCACGGACTCTCGACTTGATTATCTGCACGGTTTCGTCCGGGAACATGCCCATTGAAAATTACCTCCGCCTGCTTAAACGTGGTGGTGAGTTTATTCAGGTCGGCGCGCCAGAGGATCCTTTCCCGGCATTTAGAGTCGGGGTAATGATGGGGAAAGGGCTGAAGGTTGGTGCGTCGGCTATTGGCTCCACGGAAGAGATCAGGGCTATGCTTGAGCTTGCAAACGAGCAAAGGGTGCTTCCTTGGGTACAAGAGCGGCCGATGGACAATGTGAATCAAGCATTGGTGGATATGCATGAGGGCAAGGCAAGATATCGATATGTTTTGGTTAACAAGGTTGAAGGTAACACAAAGCTTTAATCAATGGCTACTTCCACCCTGTGTTTATCCGCAGCTATCTAGGTATAGGATTTGAGATACATAGACCTTATATGGCGAGTAGATAATCAATTTCATGCACAAAAAATAACGCAAAAGACTGTTGGGCCTCAGAAACTCTTAACTTCAATTCCTTGTCAAATGGGAGAGGAAATAGACAGCCCTGTCTAAGAGAGAAGGGAAGAAGACAGGAAGGGAAATATATGTATATGATATTGTTTTGTGTTGATATGAACTTTCCCTGGGTTGGCTGCAGTACATGGAGTAGTAACGATCCAATACATTTTCTCTCCTATGCATTGGGGCAAGCCAAACTATTGTATGAACACCAAAGTTAAGCATTGAGAATGAATAACTTCCCACCGGAACCCCCTGAGGAAAAAAGGGTATATGCAGCAAAATTTTGCAAGGCTATCTAGCCTCCTCCACCGCCGCCGCCTCCTCCTCCTCGGGCATGCTTCCTGCGCTGTAGTCTTTCGAGTAAGGTCATACCAGTGAGCAGGAACATCAGATCAAATTCGGGGCCGTAGTTCTTGTTAAGCTGAAACTTCCCCTGTTTCTTGATGCTCTTTATGCCGTTGGTAGAATATATTCCCAGCAGCTCGCCAGTCTGTTCGTCGACTAGCTTGAAATTCGATTCGCTAAATTTGTTTGGAACAGAGCCTTCGACCCCGATGCTGCGTGTTCTCTTCCAGAGGAATCCTCTTCTCGCGTCGTCTACTGTGGTTTCGAATCGGTACTTAGAGTGGTCCTTGCTCTCCTTTTTCAAATCTTCCCACACCATTTTAAGCGGCTCTGCTGGATCTCCGAGACCGATTTTTGACTGCGAGGAAAACTTGAGGAAGTTTGCGATCCCTACGACGGGACCTCCCCTCTCGCCGACGTGGAATGTTATCTCTGGCTTCCCAGGAGTAAATGTGGATGCCCTGACATAATAGAGAGTGGCCTTGTCGTCGGACTGGGAAATCCTGTAATTTGTGAACGATGTAGTACTATATACGTTGAAGATGCGGTGGCCATCGTCTGGGCCTAAATCGCCGGGTGCTGAAAGCTGGGTATCAACAGAGGCTGCCTCCGATGCGTGATCGTGAGACTTGGATGACTCGGCGTTTGGTTGTTTGGCGGACGCCATCTTTGCTCAAACGGTAGGTTTTCACCCGATATCCACGCAACGAGGAAATGGCAAGCTGCTCAAGATCAATCAAAGGAAAGGCGGGCCATGGCCTTTTATATCTCAGCTGCTTGAAGATGGGGCTGAATGATTAGCATCTAGTCTGATGCTGGCCCCCCCACCGACTAGTTAGTTACTTTTGAACAGATAATATACGACAAGCACCCGTTGCGCAGCCAAGAGAGCACGAGTCCAATTATATGGTCGACTGGTAGAGCAAACCTGGTAAACCTGTCTCAAATGTCCCTTCTATTGGCTTTTATTCATGTGGTGATAGTTATCTGATCGCCATGCTGCTTCCTGTCACTTTGACAAATGTCGAATACTCGGATAGCAACTTGGTGATCAGCGGGCTCATAGCCACCTTGGCAGCTCGTAACTTAGGTAATTATATGGAGTATGTTCTTCCATTATTGAATTATACGCTGGTTCTGCTGTCAACTCTCGGCCAATTAAATCTATTCTTACCTTAATATGGTTGGTGGATTGTGTACGCATACTTGCTATACCTATCTCGAAGTATGCTCTAACGCCTTCTCTTAGGCTTACTCTAATATATTAGGCTTCAAAATTAAAGGTGATCTATGTCCTAAAGGCCCATTTGTTAGGTTTTGCTCCCGAAGCTGCTCCTTAAACTTTTGTACCTGCTCTGTACATTGAAGTGCCATCTTCTAAGTGTCCTCTATCAGCCTGGCCGTACAGCCAATACAATATAGGCTACTAGGATTATTACTATTTAATTGGGAAGCAGTACAAAACTTCCTGTAGAATTCAAATGATGGAGCGTATTCAGGTTAAGGACGCCAAGAGGCTATACGAGTATTTAGGCGCTTGTACAAAAGGGGTAATTTCCTCGTATACTCGATGACTAAGATAAACACGTGATATTTCGGATAAACATATTTCCGTCAAGTTCTTTGGGCCGAGTTAGGTAAACATCCTTTTTGAGGTAGGTAAACTTATCAAGTCTCAACTTCACCTGAGGGTCTACAGCAACAGCAGCTCCTTCAAGATGTCGTTTACTACTCCCTACAGCCCAGGCGCTTTATCAACGCCGGGCAAGTCTCGGAGTATCAGCTCGAACATGTCTACGACACCAGCTGGAGTTCCGCCTTCATCGGCGGCCTCATTTACGCCTGCAGGACCTCCGCCATCTTCTGTGTTTGGAAGCTCACAGCCAGGTACCCGGAGATCTTTGAACTTCTCTGACAGCCGGTTCGACCAGTCGACCAATTCCCAAGCAGACCGCGATCGAGAGCTTTTGTCCTTCTCTACTACCTCATCCAATTTCCCGATCGATTCTCCTTCCTCCAGCTATCTGTCGCAAAGACACGCCAAGTCACCCCTTCACAACGAATTTAGATCTATACTCAGCAAGGGCAAGGGAACGAGAGGACCATTCGATTCAAGCCGACACATACCAATGTCTCAAGACGACGAGCCTGGTGCCACAAATGGACGCGAGCCCGAAGTCAATGGGATTGGATGGTCACCAAGTAAGGATGGCGGTCCTTTCAGCAACTCACTTTTCCCGCCAGCCGCCAAAACTCAACATTCCCGCCTATTGCGAAAACCATTGATATACTCGAATCCAACTAGCGCAAAGCGCGCAAAACTCGATGAAAGCTGGATACAGTCAGCACCTCCAGGCGACGACCAACCTCCTAAGCAGAAGAAGGACTCCAACTTCCCGTCAATTATTAAGGACCTTGCTGCAAGAGCAAGCCTGGCCTCGGTAGACGAACCGAGTGAACTGTTGCTGGGTATGGAGGACGCCATATGCCGCATGTACGACCAAGTTCGTGATCGGAATTCGGATGATGACATTGTCGACTCAAGTCTTTCAGCTGTATCTGAAGAGCTTTCGTCCTTGTGGCAGAGGTACTCTCCAGGCGCAATGGAAGAAAAAGACGGCATTCCTCGAACTGGTGGAATTGGACCCGGCGAGTCATCACCAGCTATTATGAAGGCTGTATTCTTGAGTTCATTGCTACTACAGCTTCACCACCCTCCGTTGCTTGACTCAAAGCTCAAGGATTCCAAATCGACTCGTAGTGTGTTCCGCGATCTAGTGATGAGAGATGAGCCTCTACCAAAGCTACCCATACCTAAAGTGCTATTCAACTGGTTATGGCGGCACCACAGCTCGGAGACCGTCCGTTTGGAAATGCTACAGGACATTCAACCCAATCCCACCGCCTCTCCCATGTTCTGGAATTTTATCCTCAAAGCTGTAATGCACGCGAAGTTTCAAGATGCGATAACACTCTTAAGCGAGGCGGACTTCAACCATGCTAGGACCGCGATGGAGGATGGATATGAGCAGCCAGGATATCATGGGTCGCAACTACAAAATATCCAGCAGTGTGTGAATAAAGCGCTTCAACTCCTTAAAACGTGTCCGGCTGTCCAGCGCGAAGATTGGGATATCAAGGGGGTAGAATGGACCATGTTTAGGAAACAGCTAAACGCTGCAATTTTAGAGCTTGAAGACATGGCCGAGAGCGGTGGCCGTGCACAGTCTCCTGAGGACGATGATGACGGATCCTTCGTCGCCTCACACTTCGGCATTTCACGTCAACGTCCGGATTCTCTATCGTTTAGTCACAGTGCACGTATGGCAGAGAGCCGAATCCCTTGGTCAGTCTATCAAAATATCAAAGCCATGTACAATATCATGTCCGGTGATGTGGAGAACATATTGAATCGCTCCGAAGATTGGGTCGAAGCCACTATCTCCCTCACTGCATGGTGGGATGGTGATGATGATAGCGATGTTTCGATGGGTGGAAAAAGGAAAGCCTCGATAAAGCGCCGCTCTCAGGCACCGCGGGCTGTCGACTCCAACATTGAGGAGTCATATCTACGACGCCTCGACTATGCTTACAGCTCGGTCACCGATACACTGGGCTCTGACGGCTTCCAAATTAACTCGATGAACCCTTGTGAGGTTGGTCTGGCCGCTGTATGTGAAGGGAATGTCGAAAGCGTGCTTAGGCTTTTGCAGACTTGGTCTCTTGCTGTAAGTGCTGCGACAGCTGAAATCGCAAATTTCGGCGGCTGGCTTGCTGCGTCAGCAGGATCTGAACCAATGCGTGGATTCAATGAAAGCGACCTCATGGTTCTCAGCTATGGGCAACCTGAAAAACCACTTCAAAAGGATGATATTCTCATCAACTACGCGAATGGCGTATTTTTACGGGATCGTCTTGGAGGCCCAGGGGCTAGAGAAGGATGGGAACTCTCCTTGGAGATGCTGAGTCGCCTCGATGACCAGGAGGTAATGAGAACCAAGGTGAGAGAGTTGATGGACAAGGTATCTCTAGATACGGCCGATGAAATGGACAAGGCTGTGGTGCTATGCGCGGAGGTTGGTTTTAGTGAAGAAGGCCGACGTGTCTCAGAGGTATGTTTGGTCCCTGAAAATTTACATCCAATACTTTCCACCTCCGATTGGACATGGACTAAAACATTCATTATATAGCGATATGGTGATCAAGTGGCGGAATCATCTGAAAATTATGGAACTGCCCTTATTTGCTATGCCCGGGCTCATTGTTCCAGAAAGATTAAGAATGTGATCGACCTTCTCACATCCTTCTGTTTAATACAATCCAGGGCATATCCTGCCAAGGGTCAGCTGGATGATCAGCTCCGTTCACTTCTCTATGATCCCTCTACCGCATTGTCTGCCATTGCATCGGTGGACTCGGAAGGGGCCGCAATGCTCCAGTTTTACTTTAGCAGCTATGCCACGTTGCGATCTTATTACGAAATTCGGGACGAGGAGGCCAATCCTAGTTCAGGCCAGACGCCTAAACATCGTCCGCTAGCGCGGAAACGAGAAGCTGCTGGGGCCCTTGTGGCTGTTATCCGAAGTGCGGCTGATAGTATCTATGGCGGACTGTACGACCAGGACAGGCAGTCCGCAGCCCAGGTTGACGGGTTACTGGTCTTACTTGGCGAAGCGCTAGCGCTCCTCGATCGTATGTTTAATCTATGCTCACTTTTATGTTTTTGATTAGCGTGCTAACATTGGTAAAAAGCTGATCCAAATCACTTCCTGAACATCGATCAACAACTCACTATACTTGCCGCAATTGAGGACCTCCAGACCGTTACAAAACGGGTGTATGAGCAGTGTGAGGCATGCCTTCAGTCAGCTCTATACCACCATTTGCATTTCGACGAGAGCAACAAAACGGGCACCAGCAACTCATTCACTGATGTTGGGTCGTCGATGTCTGCATCGTTCTTCGCCATGTCGCCCCAAAAACTGCTAAAGAAATCCATCTCATCGACGACCTTGACGAGCGGGTTCTCCCTCATTGGCAGCGAGATGCTGGAAGGCTCGCAGACGATCGGCGGATCTAGGGAGATGGGTGATTCTGGCGTTCTTGTTCCTAAATCAGGAGCTCCCGGCAATAGAAACAAGGTCAAGGCCAAGGGCAAGCAAACCGAAAGCGAACAGATTCATCGCGGGTGGGACTGGAGAGAGAAGGCTCCCGACGGTGTCAAGGGGGAAGACATCTTAAGGAAGCTGAGACTATTGCTTGCTCACGGAATGGCCTTTGGTGCATTGGATGGGGTATGAATTTAGCAGGTTGGGAAAGATAATAAACAATTCAAAAGGAAGAAGTGCAGGCGCGGCGAAACAACGGGGGAGATGGATTACTACTCTGTACAATTATTGATCGTTTATTTTTGATGATATGTGTGCCCGCCTGAATGAAGCGAGCGGTCCGTGGCTGATTACATTATACTGCGGGAATTTCGTTCCCCTCTCCCCCCCAAAAAAATAGCGAACGTGGCCTGAGGTAGGTATGGAATAGCGAAGTGAAGCTATTGACTCGGTTGACTGATAATTTGCCACCATTGAGGCAGCGTCTGAGAGCGGAAGATGCATACCTCGAGCATCACAAGGCAGACTTGGGGAGGTTTCCCATACCAAGATATGCAGCCAGCCAGGCCAAACCTGGGCAGCTCCGTCTAAAGAGGATCCCAAACATGCACAACATCGGTTGAAAGTCAAACCAGCATGTTTCGTTCATTCTCCGTCTCTTTCCCCAACGCTGCGAACTAAGGACCGAAGTCGTTCGTTACGTGGCTGTGTCGCTAGTTTCATCGTGGCTGAGAATGCAAGGGATGGAGCCTCTACCGCCTAGTCGGGCTAAGTGAAGCGCAGGGAGGTCCCATAGGGCTGAACTGTATATATCCTCGTCCTCGTATCATCATCCCGCTATTCTCGCTCGTCGCCGAGATTCGTAATCGGCTTCCGTGATAGCTACGTCACTAGATTCCTTTCATCACCATCGAACCGGAATGCCAGCGCGCAGGTAGGACAGCGTAAAGAAATATCGGTGTAGAAAAATATCGGTACAGGACGCTCCAGGTAGCCAGCGTCTGTCTCACCAGCCGCAGGAGGGACAAAAGTCGGTTGCAGCCACAAGGGTAGAGCCTCGGTGATGCATGCCATGGATACGTATCTCGGCTGCAGGACTAGTTTGATGCTCGCACGAAAACCGAACAGGGCGACATCCGGCGATCATGAGAGCTGAAGAACCTGGCCTAACAGAAAGTCAATCACGGTGCTAAGTAATCAGCGAACATCACCGTCGCTCTGCCGAAAGTCGATGTTCGCTTGTATCGTGGAGTTGCGATGTCTCTCGCCAGCCTTGTTTTCGGGCGTTGTTCTTTTTTCCCCGTTTGGACGTGGCTGATCCCGTGACCAGCAACCTCATCCATCCTCGCATCCTCATCCTCAACATCAACATCCAGACATCAGAACATCCAGACATCCATCGACGTCGACATGATCCTCCCTCGTGGCCCCCATGTAGCACAACGGCTACTGCGCAAGACATCGCATCTGGACTCTGCCGGTTTCATCGTCCCCCGTCACTCCCGGACACTAAACCTGTGGCTCTGTTTAGCTTTGTAAAATGGATGGGCAAAAAAGCATAGCCAATCCTTCTCAACCTTGACTGGCTTTTTTCTTTCTTTTTTTCAAATCTCATCTTCCTAACGGCCTTTGGCTCCGGCCAGGAAGTCGAAAAATGACACAGCTCGCCGGATAACTCCGCAGACAGACCTCGATTCAACCTCACACTCCGCTATCATAGTCCAGTTGGATGCGGGGGGGCTTTCAAGCCAAAACCCCGTTGATGCACCTGGTGCATGATCCCCACTGCGCTTGAGTTGCAGACGATATCGCTAATCCCACCGTGCATCGGTCGAGTCACCTACTCCTTCACTTTCAAGCTGGACTCAGGCTGGAGCTGGGAACTGTTGAGTTCCATCGGTTGCTTCTGCTGCTCCCTTGTGGATCCAAACTCTCTCCTGCTCCCACGCAGTATTCGGTACCAGACCATGGGACGGGGCGTTCGCTTGTCAATAGGTCATGTTCTCGCGTCCTCAGGGCATGAATCACCACCTGAGCAGGCTTGCTGGCTTTGTTTCCTAGCTTGCAAAAATGCCTCTGGAATCGGAATCCTTCCCCCCATTATTTTTAGGGCTTAGGCTGCCATGCCATGGCCCGGCCGGCCCAACCCGTATTAATCTTCCTCCATATACTCGCTCACAAAAGCTAGCTCGGCGATGCCACTTGCTCATTGGGTCCTGACGTTATAGTAGTATACTTATCCCATCTACCGACCGTCCGGTATCAAGGATATTTATATATGGACGTGCGGGTTACGATCTTGCTGCCTTTCTTTTCTCATCCAGACATCTTCCGATCACTTGATTTTCTGCATCCAACTCTCTCGTTTCATCAGTGTGCTTTCGTTGTTCTTCGATTCTATTCTTTCTGCTTTTGACCAAAAAAATTACATTGCTTGCTCTCACCCTAATCTCATATCCTCCTGTTTGCTTGTGGACAACCGGTTTACCATAGAGCAAACGGATCTTCTTTCTTTATAACCACGAGACACCGCCACACGTTCTGCAGCGTATTAGTTATTGCATTATTTATTCCTATTTACTCTCCTCGCTCGCGGCAGATTGTTGCAGCACAGCAACTCTCAAGGCTACAACCACACGGCTCCTGCAAACCGAGACCTTTTTTGTTTGCTGCCTAAAATTGACCTACAAACTACCAACCTTATCCACGCCATACCTTCATACCGACTCCCATTCAACCACCTCTAAAAATGTGTTATCAACTGCTGGAACTTTTCTCCGTCTGCCGCTGCCTACATCATCGCCATTCAATCGATCCGTGTCAAGCATACGGTCAGCGAGGACACGTTGTGCAGGAGAAAGTAGTCCTGGTTGGATACACTTGCCCGAAGCATTCTGTACAGCAATGTGGCACAAGTGGAAATCCACGAAGCTCGAAACTCAGGCCCGACTCTGGGTATTCATCCAGCGGGAAGGGCCCTTATCGGTAGGGGATGCGATAATCCTTTTCTGATTTCTTCCTGTTATCTTCCGAAGGGATATCGAACAGAGGTATGATTTGTTTATATTTGGGTTTATATCAGTCTTGGGCGCAAGGATATGTACTGCTTTTCTTGTTCCTTTGTGGTCACTAACCTTGTTGACTCTCAATAGGTCTCGGATGGCTCTTTATTACGACTACCCCTTGCACAATAGCGCTGGAAGCTCTTGTGTATTTTGCTCTTGCCCTTATCACACCCTTCGCACCTGATATCAGGAGAGAAAACAGTGCTCACGACTTGTACGGATGACCAGGCCATGAAATACGATCAGATGAGCCAAACGAAGAAACAGAAAAAATAGAAACATTTATGCCTATCGCAGAGCGATGAAACGACAATAACTGAAGACGAAAATGATCGAAAAATATAATAATAACAGCAACGAGTTGGTGTTTTTGAAGGAGTCTTTTTCATGGTGTTTCAGCCCCGAATTATACCCCCGACCTCCTTGTCTGTTCAGTCTCCTTTTTTTTTTATCCTTTACTCATCTTTTGCTTTCCTATTTCCTGCCTTCCTATTTCTGCCTTTATTTGATTTGATGCAGTTATCATGTTTATCTCCCGTGTACAACTATTCCTGTTAACCTTTTCTAGGCCCTCCTTTGAGAGGACGATGCACTCTACACATCCTCCCGGAGGGGATGACATTTCATTTAGCGGCTTGTACGCATTTCATTAACTTCAATCTATGTTTTACATACTTGCCATTGCCGGCCCATGGTATGATACATTCTGAGGGATGCAGTCGCAATGATGACAGGAATATGGGAGTATTTTGGGGAATTTGTACCGGATATAGATCCTCTCGATACCTCTTATGTTACTTCGATTTGTCAGCTTTTATCCTTCAAATTTTTTTTTTTTACAATGTTATACTCTTTTGTTACGAAATAGCAGGTGATGGTAATGAATCCCATGCAGGGACGTGGGTAGGGAATACACTACATATCAATTATCTCTTTAATAGTAATCCTCAGATCGAGGTTATCAAGTCTAAGTAATCTTTCTATACAGAATACGGGGAAATATCATAATCAGCAAATGTTATTTTTCTCATTTTCATATTTACTTATTCCAATATCACGATTCTGACATGAAATGAATGACATGTAACCCCTTTCGTCTTCCGTTCATGCACCGACACAACATCATGATACTCATTCTTCATAATCAAATAAACATGAAACATAAAAACAAATGGCATGACTTCGTAATTAGTGCTAGGCCTCTTATCATACACAAATGGAGGTGCTGTTTCCCGGCATCCTTTAGTGCAAGACATGAGTAATATTGATAAAGAGAGGTGCACAAGTGTTGGCGAAAGTGGATTGGCGGTCCTTACAGGGTAAGGAGGAATCCCTTGTCAAGAGAGTGCGTCTCGTCCAGGGGGGAGAGGCGCGGGTAGTCCTGGGGACTGGGAGAAGGAGATGCTTTTTCACTGGCTCCTTCGTTCCCATGCAGTGTAATTTGGCCGATGGCTGCATGGGGAGAGGAAGTCTCCTTCGAGAATGCGGCGGTTTCACCCGTGGCTTTGGCTCTCGCGACGTGGGATTGATTTAGCATTTCGTCATGCGAGAAGAAAAGAGGGTGGTTGTCATCGATATCGTCCCGGATAAAATTGAGCGGCAAGGTCCCATGGGAAATTGCAACGGGCGGGACCAAGACGGTAAGACGACGTTAAAGAAATTGACACAAAAGCAAATTGCATTGAAGAAGGCATGAAATCGATAGAAACGGCTTCTCATCCATCGTTTCCTATCGCAGGTGTGAAGACCGTTGAAAGACACCTTATCCCCTTGAAGAAGCTGACTTGACTGTTTACCTGCGGACGGCGATGTGTTGGCGGCGAAGCTGGGTGCGGACGTTCTTGTACTCTTCATCAGAGCTGCAAGCCTCATCAGAGTCGTCAGAGGAGTCAGATGGGGAATTGTAGCCACATCGGCGTCCACCACAGTCGATCTTGACCTTCTCTCCGCTGCGGGTGATACCGAATCTCTGACAGCTGCATGCAGAGTCGAGGTCGCTGAAGGAAGAGACGGAAGATGGTGAGGTGTTGTTGGAGCGAGAGGAGAGGGAAGAGCCAGAGGACGATGGTGGGGAAGAGGAGATGTCGGAGTCGTCGTCTGAGAGATCAGCGTTTCTGAATCTCGCGGTCAGAGCATCTACGGTTGGCAAGTCTTGGTAGTTGGCTTCTCGGATTTGGCGCGAAGCGTATGGCTTGGATGGACGTGGGTGCATGATTCTGGATGGAGACAGGGCACGGCCGACTGGTACGTCAACGCTATCGCGGCGAGGCTTGGAGGCGGGAGCAGACTTGGTCGAGGACACGCGGGGAACATCGAGGATGTTCAACTTGCGACCGGTGGTTGGCTCGACGGTGAACTCGGCAGCGGGATCATGGGAGACGTGGTAACCATCCATGATATAGTAGTACCAGTAGCGAGAGCCGGGGTGAAGCATGGTAGTCTGGAAGCGGAAGGCTCCCTGCCACGAACCGGGCTTGGACTTGGAGGCCGAGGAAAGGGGGAGCTGGCCCGCATAGTTGTCCCAAGAGCCCAAAAGATGGACGGTCTTCACGTTGGAGGAAGTGCGAAGGGAGAAGTTAAGCTGGATAGCGGTGGAAGACATGTTGCTTTGTTGAAGTTTTTTTAAGTTCTTTTTTGTGTTTTCTTTGGGGATAGTCTTTTTATTCCGGATAAAAAGACGGTTGGTGGTGTATTAGGGGGATGGTCGTTCAAAAATTATTAAATATTATAGAATGAATGGTGAGGTGTAGACACGATCAGTTTGTTGAATGGACGAAGGTAGCTAACCGGAGCTTCCTTGAGGCGTCAAGTCAAAAAGGTTGAAACAAAAAGTGCGTTGAAGGAAGCGGGAGTAAAAGTTGTAAAGAAGTCACACGAGCTATTAACGAAATCGATTCGGATTGCCGGACCAGCGACAACGAGTAGATAACGGGAGGGGGGTTGTATATTAAGAGTGCAAAAATAAAGGGTGTAGAAGTATTATGCTGAGAAGAGACCGGCTCTGTAAAATTCTCTTAATATAGGAATAGCTCGAGGACGAAGGAAGAACAAAATTAGGGGACGAAGAGAGGAAGGGGAGGAAGAGAAGAGAGAATGGGCGCGGTGTTGGACGGTGTTTATATCTTGCATTGACGAGCGAGCGCCGGAAGCAGCGAAGGCCCGGGCGGTGGGCAGGAGGGTGGGGCCCAGGACAGGCGGGCGGGTAGAGACCACTGCTTATTGGCTGTAAGGTTGTGGGTACCCGGGCAGGGTGGAGCAAGGATCAGCCAACCAGAAGCCGCAGATGCGAGGGTCGTGCGCCAACGCCTATCCTGATCGGGGATATGTGGATCCCATCACACTGCATGTGGCCAATAATCGTGTTCGGACTTCCCTGCCGGTTGTATTTTTAGCAACAGCGAGGGGATGTACCTTGCCGCAGAGATCTGGTGGTGGGGTACTTGCCATGTCTATACTTATGTACTTCACCTCATTGTGCCGTCCCTGCCACGTCCCATCACACTTCCCTAGTGAATGCACCACCAACCTCGCCCGGCGCTCCCAACAGACCAAATCTTTAGCAGGCAGGCCTCCAATGACGCCGCAGGCTCGCAGTCGCCCCTCTGTCTTGCGACGAATAGCGAAACACCTGTATTGGGGTTGCCAGGGGCGGACGAGCTCTCAATAGAACTGCTCTGCATGCATAACTTCTTCTTCCTTTCGAAGTTTGTTCTAGTGGGCCGGTACCACCTTGCTCTATGGCCTGCCTATTGATCACCCGGATAAGACAAGGGTAGAGATACCGCTGTATCGTACTATCGTTGGAGGGCAAGAAAAATTAATATACCGCTGCGCTGCACTGCGGCTCCAAACACGGTATAGCTCGGGCAGCTTGTTGCATGAAATCCATCACGTTCAGGCCCGCCACCCTGGCAATTAAGGGTTGCTAGGGATACCTGGGATATATACTTGCGTGGGAACGATCAATATCGAGCCGCCTTCCCTGCAGAATCAGTTTTTATTCATAATGATATAAACACTTCTTCACGTGGAAGGTTCGCTAGAAAGGTTCTCCCGTCCGCTCAACCCATTCTAGGCTGGTGCAAGCACCTCTTTGCAAGGTATACATGTAGTTCTCCGGTCAATCCATGACTGCCTCATGCATATATAGCTCCAGATTGAGATAGCTGCCTGCCGCTGAGAACCATATCTGGCCTTCTAAGGAGCAAAGTCATTAGCAAACGTCTTCACTAAGAGAGTCAATCCACTCTGAAGGAATGTGGGAGTGCCAGATCGCAAGTTAACCTCCAAAGTTTATTGGTGAGTTGGTCATGAGTTCAGTATCGACTGCATAAGAAAGTCGAATATGTACCTAAAATTTAGCAAAGTGGCGGGAACCCGTATAGACGAAGCCCATAGTTATCTTCATGTGTGCCGATTTCGAAGGAAATGTGTATGTGTATGCCATTTCTCTTCTGCAAGCCGTTCATTTTGCTTTCGCCATGGAGGAGAGCCAATGGCAGATTTGGCCCCCAAACCGATTTAACCTGTCAAGTCAATCAACCCAGCACCCAGGCTCGGTAGCTCCACCTAGTTCATCGAGTAATTCGCTAAGGAGACTTCGCAATCCATGCACAGGCACCCTGTTTTCTGCCGTTTTCTCCAATCTTTTTCTCTAGGCGGATTATCTATCCGAGCCTTGTCAAGCGGTGTTGCCTCTGCTTCTGCTTCCTCACGCAGCCTGTGCCTCGCGGAAGTGTTTTCCTGCTTCATTGAATGCCTTGAGGCATCGCGGCCAGTATGTAGGCTGCTTTATCTTTGGGTATTTGTCGCCCCAGGCCGTGGAGCGGTTATCCTGATATTGATAAAGGGGCCAGCGCAACAACCAACACTCCTCTGGAGATCTTCAATCAGCTGTCCGGCGATCGCCTATCAGACGTTGTCGGTGTCGTAATCCTCGACTACGATCTCAGGTCAACCCGCGGAGTGATCTGGTGCGAGTTGTGCACTGCATCTGCACCCGCGCGATGGCCACGGGCGAGAATTTCAAGGTTTCCTCTCGCCCGTATCGGCCCATCGTTGTATCGCCGTCGTAGGGAATGTGAACAACACACCGGCATTCTTATCGCTACTTTGTAGCATACTGGCCGTGTTCGCTACATAGAGCATCTCGCAGAAACGGAAACCTCTACCGGAAAGGGACTGTGGGAAAACATGGCCAACGAAAGCATCCTAGATCGTCTCACCAATCATTAAGACACAATTAATACCCCTATTTAGTAATACAAGCCCTTACTGACGAATAGCTACGCCGCTAAATCACTATACCCTGGTAGTAGTACTCACCAATACCGATCAAGGAAGTCCGGGCTATTCAATATCGAGGGCAAACATCGGTGGCACCATGGACAGTTAATGATAAACTATCAACAAAGAGCAAACCGGAAATTAGGCATAACTATGTTAGGCGTACGTAACTGTATGAACCAAGAATGTTGGTAACTAAGTGAAATCAAGCTTCAGGCGATGGATATCGCGAAACCAGGTACCACCTTTGATGACATCTCTGATTTCCTCTAGATGAAGAGCTTACATGGCCATTTCATGGTGCCAAAATATTCCCAAAATATCTGTGGCATTGGACCCAGAGAATTTTATTGATGTTCTCCAAGAAGAATAGAGGACAAAGAATCTACCGCTTATCATGGATCCTGTTCACGAGGAGACATACTAATATCCCTAGTTTTATTTTGTTTTGTCTAAGTGAATCTAATAATGCTAGTTCCTTAGTGGCTATAGTAGAAGCCGTTAAAATATATAGGTTGCTTTATCAATCCTCACTGAAATCTGATTTGCTAGATATCGCAACAGACTAGGCCCTTTTTTTTTTAAGAAAAGTTTGCGCCTTTTTCTTTCCGTCCGGGTAGCAGAAATATTGTATGACAGATTAATAGAAACTCGCAAGGCCATGAGAAAGATATTGCTGAAAACACCGATTGTATAAGAGCAAAACTTGACAGTAGAAAGACGAAGGGAGAAGAATGCGGTTCGTTTAAGACAAGGAAGAGAAGAGAAGAGGGATTGTAGCGTAAAGTAGATTAGACCAGCCAGGGTGGCCGCAGTACTATTAGGAGGTCTTCAATAACTGATCGAAGGAGTTTTAAGTTCGTGGTAACTAGAGGAAGGAGACATGTGTTCGACAGTAGCCCAGTCCCTTATCGGATAGATACACCAGATCGTTTGGTGTACATGCGAGCTGCAATATTCATGGATGCTAACTCTTGGAATAAGAGCTTGGCAGCATACGGAATATGCACCTGCGAAATCTTATTCTTGTTTCTGCACGCTCGGCATTCGAAGTCGCCCTTCTTTACCTTGCTGTTCATTGACATTTACGTTAGCCAGTTATCCAATATGCTTATCACGACTGGTTTGTATGGTTAGGGAGGGAAGACTTACGCAATAGGTGTCATCAATCCACAAATGTCGCAGATATGTACCCGGAACGGATCAGACACATCAAACAATCGCTCCTTCAAAAACGAACTAGCTCCGTGGGCAATCATGCAATCGCGTTCCATCTCTCCGAATCGCAGACCACCATCTCGAGCACGACCCTCCACTGGCTGGCGAGTCAGGATCTGCGTAGGCCCACGGGCACGAGCGTGGATCTTGTCGTCCACCATATGTCGTAGTCGCTGATAGTAGGTAGGCCCCAGGAACACCTGGGCGACCAATTTCCTTCCTGTGTGTCCATTGTACATGACCTCGAATCCACGTGATTGATATCCATGCTCGCGAAGCAAGCTCGACACCGAGTCAACAGTGACGTCGGTGAAGGGCGTTGCATCACCTTCATATCCACGGAGGGAGGACACTTTACTCAACTGGCACTCAATCAAATGGGCAATTGTCATACGAGACGGGATAGCGTGGGGGTTGATAATCAAATCGGGCGTGACACCTTCTCTGGTAAACGGCATATCCTCATGTCGGTATGTAATACCAATAGTACCTTTTTGACCGTGTCGAGACGCAAACTTGTCACCAATCTGAGGAATCTTCGTGGTTCTCATCCGTACCTTCACAAACTTCAAGTCATCGTTACTCGTGGAAACAAGAACCTGGTCGACAATACCACTCTCAGTACTTCTCAGAGGAGTTGAGACATCCAGTTTAGTGTGCTGTTTCGTTCGCTGGCCAAGTTCTTCAGCCTCCGGCGCCAACGGCGAGGTTTTTCCAATGATGATATCCTCACCGGACACGCGAACTCCCGGTGACACGATGCCGTCGTCGTCGACCTTGTCGTAGGTCCCGTGTTTCATCCTGAGAGTGTCCGATCTCATCGGCTTCTCAAATCTCTCAACCACTGTCAAACCGATCATCTTCTCAGAGTCAGTATAAGTTCGGTAGAACAAGCTTCGGAACAAGCCACGATCGATACTGCTTTGGTTCATGATAACGGAATCTTCCTGGTTGTATCCGGAGTAACATGCAATAGCCACAATAGCATTTTGACCGGCAGGAAGTTCACGGAACTTAAGGAACTCCATGGATCTCGTGGTTGCAAGAGGTTTCTGCGGGTAATAGAGAATATTCGCCATTGTCTCCATGCGCTGTTCGAAATTTGTGAGGAAAACACCCATGGCTTGTTTACCCATAGCAGATTGGTATGTGTTACGGGGAGATTGGTTATGATCGGGGAACGGAATAATACTCGCACAAATGCCCAATATCATACTGGGATGAATCTCACAGTGCGTCCAGGTGTGAGCCTTTTGGCTTAGAGTTGATTTGACACGACGGTTGCGGTCTGTAGTATCCTCTTCGGGCATGCCATAACCAGCCTGGTATTGTTTTGATGCCTCCAGATCTTCGGGCGTCATGACAATCATGATAGTTTCTTCTTCTTCTGCATCCACATATTCAACCACTCCGGACTTAACGAGGCCATCCCAGCCAAAGTGTCTCTCCCTCCGTTCCTCTGGATCAAGATCTGGTGGAAGCTCCTTGTCTGCTTCAAGTTTGTGAATATGTTCCTTTACAAGAACAAGGGACCCGCTGTTTTCACTCTTTGGGTCATTGTCAACCACAAACAGAGGTCGACACACACGCCCGGCATCCGTAAAAATCTTGAACTCTCGGTCTCGAATATCCCAAACCAAACTGACCTCATGGGAAATCATGTTTCGTCGTCGCAAGGACTGGACGGTCCCAACAAGATGTGCCGGGTCCCTGTGTACACCTACCCATACACCGTTCACGAACACTTTTGTCGAATTAGGTGATACCTGAGGTTCAAATTCTTCCAGTACTTCCATATTGCGCTGAATCATGAAATCGATGATCGGCTCGCTCGGGGTACCAACGGTGATGTAGCACATGAGTGCTAAATTCTTGACCAGACCACAAGCTTGCCCTTCGGGCGTCTCAGCAGGGCAAACAAGACCCCAATGGGTGTTATGGAGCTGTCGAGGTTTGGCGATCTTGCCATCTCGACCGATAGGGGTATTTGTGCGCCGAAGATGGGAAAGTGTAGATGCATATGTATAACGGTTAAGCACCTGTGAGACACCTGCCTTCGAGCTAGCGGCTTTCTTCTGCTCACCCCAGTTCCCTGTAGCAAGTGCGTATTTGAGGCCACCTGTGAGGGTGCTGGCTTTGACACCGATGTTCAGGTACAACTGTCTGCCGGTCTCGACACACCTTTGGACATATTTATAAAGATCTTTGGTAAGTCTCATAAACAAAACTCGGAATAAGTTCGCCAGTAGAGGTCCCGCCAAGTCGAGGCGCTTCTTTCCAAAATGATCTCGATCATCCACATCACGACGTCCAAGGGCGCACTGGAGGAGACGGTGGACCATGTAACCCAAAAAGAAGGCCTTGCGAGTCTCACTGCCTTCGCTCTGCGATATATGAGGAAGGAATTCCTTTTGAATGATGTCCCTGGCATATCGTACTCGCTTCTCTTGGTTCATGCTCATAGGTGACGATCCTCTTTTGCTAATAAAGTCAAGTGCAACATCACGGTCTTGGATAACGAACCCTTCTTCAATACATGGCTTAAGCATTTCTAACATTGGCGTGTCGTTTCGGTCGTAGCAAATGTGGTTTAGAATATCTTCATCAGACACAACACCGAGAGCGCGAAATACGACGACAATGGGAATATCGGTTTTGATGTAGGGTAGGGTCGATCGAATTGTCGGGCCAAATCCGCCCTTAGCACTGTCGCCTTTGGAGAAGAGTTTGATGGAAAGCTGAGAGAGGATTCTGGAGCCCTTCTCTACAGCACTTCGAATTTCCGCAACGTAAGGGGTTGGACTTGGAGGGGCCTTCTTGAACACTTGCACAATATTTCCAGCACTTCGTTCTTGCGCAATCAAAACCTTTTCACTTCCGTTGATAACGAAATAACCACCTGAATCGTATGGGCACTCGTTCCAGTTGTAAAGGGCTTGCTCGCCGAGGTCCTTGAGGATGCAGTACTTTGACTTGAGCATAATAGGCATTTTTCCAATGAAAATGTTTTCCTCCTCTGCCTCGTCTTCAGAAGCTGGTTTCCGTTCCCAATGCAAATATGTTCCACGATTCCGCCTCTCTTCATCACCCTTCTCTTCGACCTCTTCCTCCTCGTCGTCCCTTTCTGATAATAGGCGCTCCCGGCCTTCCATAATCTTTTTCGAAATACCGAGGTAGAGCGGACTAGCATAGGTGAGATTTCGTAGACGGGCTTCCTGAGGCAACATAATGCTGGTTGCACCATCTCCTTCTGTCATGGACGGCCTAGCCAACATCACGGTACCAAATTTGAGCTCATAGCGGCGTAAGACGACGGGATCCTGCTCATCGTCACCCGGAGGAACTGTTTGATCGAGAGTAACCTGGCCCTGCTCCTCTACCAGCTCTTGCATCGTGGTGGAGATGAATTCATCGAAGGAGTCTAACTGCTGGGAGACCAGACCTTTGGACTCGAAAAATGCGGAAATCACCGTCCAGCAGTCTTCAGATGTGATCCCCTCCTCCGCCTCGTAGTAGACATCGTCTCCATACTCGTCTGCGTACTCCATGATGGATGTGTTGCTGGCCGGAAATTCGGTGCGCGCGCGCCTGGTTCACCGATCCCCAAAGGGATCTAGATTGAGCAGCCAGATATCGACGGGAAGCAAGGGATAGTCGGCATAAATATAATTCGTTCACGTCTGCATCAGCGGAAGCGAGGTTGCGTCGGCGGTGGTTTGGTTTGCGCAGGTGAAGCTCCGTCATGGAAGACCTCACTGAGCCGCCACTGAAATTCCCGTTTGGGCTTGCTTACCAAAACCGGCCAGAAAAACGCGCTACTGTCACGTGATATACAATCACGTGTAATACTCGAGCTGGCCGAACTTAAAATTGACTTGACAGAAAGCTTGAGATATAAAAAAAGACACTGGTAAGCACCACACTTTGCGGCGTCTGACGAGGTTTATCTGAGCACTCTTAGCTAGGCTTTATCTCTCAAGAAACTGAATGAAATAAAAGCTACAGCTAAGATGGCAGCTCACCTTGGGCTCGGGTTGAAGCCCAGTTTTATATTATATACCCGGATTTTGTTCCTAAGACTGATGGATCTACTTGGAATATCCGTCTACATCAATATTAGAATGGTGATACGGTCACACATTTCCGACTAGCTATCTAGAATAGATATATCTATAGGCCTTATTTTAAACCTACTATAGATAAGGAGAGGCTTCCGACCAGGCTAGAGGTCAACAACACACAATAGGGCCTAGTACACCTGAGCCATCAGCGGATCCGCAGAAGGTATGAGCTGTTTTCTCTTCCCCCGAAAAACTCTGTACGTGCTGTAGGGAGGTTGTGCATTGTAGAGTTGACCATCAAAGGAGTGACTGAAGAAATAGTAAACCAATTTGCAAGGGAAATCAGAATGCGAAGTAAAATTTTCTGCCTCCGAACAGCACAAATGCTGAAAATCCTCAAGTTCTGGGCCTGTGGGTATATCTGCTGAAAATACAACAGTCATTTCTTCCTTGGTGAAATAGCAAGTGATATTCGAAAATCGCACGTACCCAGTGGATCTTAATGAGACTGCTTTAATTGGCCTCTGCCGTTTGAATCCCTGGACAACTATCAGTGAAATGTACCCGCTAATAATAATAATATCTACATATAGGGCCGGCTTTAGGCAAATCATCGCCGCGTATTAGAAGAGCTCCGCCCCGCCAGCAAGAAGATATATATTCAACGCCCTTTACATTACACCTCACCACTCTTTTTTCCCTTTACCATCGTTCAGGCTCCCAAGGCAAGACAATGGCATCCTCACCTGTTGATAGCCTAGTTGCTCTTCCGCTGGAGATTTTCCAATATATTCTCTCCTACCTACCTAATCCTGATATCAAAAATCTACGCCTGACTAGCTCGTCGATAAGTGATAGGGCTCATCCGCGATTGGACCGAGCATTTCTATCCGCGAATCAGCGCAATATCGAAGTGTTCCGCTCGATAGCCAGCCATGAAGTGTTCCGCCGGAGGGTCGTCGAAATCATCTGGGACGACGCACGGCTACAGGAGGAACAACCACGGGAGCGATACGACTCGGACGATGTATACGCCCGCTCTGGGGACCTGTGCGATTGCAACAATGGCTGCGACTGCTGCTCGCCGGATAACGGCTGTCCAGTATGGTTCGCGCGCGTGTGTAAAGAAAATATCAAATACTTACTTCGTCGTAAGCACCGGGATGTAGACAGGCCAGACCATGTCGCGCGGGATAGGCAGGTCGCTGCAGAACTTCCTCTCCGGGAATCGTGGGAATATTATCAAGGCTTAGTGCGAGTACAGAAAGCAGTGCTCGCGTCTGGAGCAGATATTAGTGCTTTTAGATATGGGCTTGAGCAGTTCCCAGCACTAAAGAGAGTTACTCTTACCCCCGTTGCGCATGGCTGGCTATTCGCCCCGTTATATAAAACACCGATGATCCAGGACTTCCCATACGGCTTTAACTACCCAATCCCTCGCGGCTGGCCAATACTTTCCCGTGGAGAGAAGTCAATGGAAGCTTGTCCATGGGGCGTCAGCAGTGGCGAGACGCAAAAGAACCAGTGGCGTGGTTTCCGAGCCGTTACGCGCGCACTTGCGCAACAAGCACACCACCACCATGTCTTGGAGTTTAGTGTTGAAGTTAACCAGCTCTTCACTGGTGTAAACTGTCGCATCTTTGACCAGCCATGCCGCGAGTACAATGATTTGGTAATACTACTCCAGAAGCCTGGCTTCAGTCGCTTTGATATATCTCTCCTTGTTGGTGGAGTGGAACATGACGGTTGGCCATGCTTCCGTAGTGGCCTCCTCTACAGCGCCTTGGCTGGAGCACCGGACCTGCAGCATATCTCCCTGTGTACTGATGTCTACCCTGACCCTGATGGACAGGGAATAGAGAAATGGAGTGGTGGCTCGATCCAGCACTTTATCCCCCTCCAGACTATTTTCCCAGTCGAGAAGTGGCTGCGGCTGCGGCACTTCGGCCTCTCAGGTTTTCTAGTTATGCAGGACGACGTGTTGAATTTGCTAGCGGCATTACCGTCCACTATTCGATCAGTCGAGCTCAGCTTCCTACATTTTCTTGACCGTGGGGGTTCTTATATGGAACTACTAGAGCAGATGCGTAACACCCTTCGCTGGCGTGACAGGCCATTAGAAGAGAGGCCGCAGGTGCTAATTGCAACAGAATTGATCTCAGTACAGGATGGCCGAAGTGTTTGGGTGGACTGCGAGGTGACTGAGTTCCTATACAGTGATGGGATAAACCCCTTCTCGTGCGGGGATCCAAACCGTATCTTGAACAATAGTGGCATGGGTACTGTTAGAGATGCCTTTGAACCAGAGCATGAGAGGCCTCTGCTGAGCCCAAGCAAGCTAGCGAAGCTAGGGTGCCGGAAGTGGTCGCCTACTGGCACCATGTTGTCAAGGCCGCCCTACCAGGCAGTGGTTGATTAGTGAATGAGCTTGCTTTTAAGGGGATAGAATCACTACTATGTCAGGCCGAGTATGGAGGACGAGCCTTCCTATCATTCTTTGCCCTTTCTATACATTTTTGTGGCATATCCTTGTTTAACGTGCTATTACGTGCATTCTTTGACTATCAAATTCTAGAATATCCAGTGTCACGTTCTATAGTTTAAATGTTACTATAGACGAGGTGTGAGATGCATAGTACTTCCGCGCCGAAAGGTGGAGGTGTTGAAGATACGTTTGAATATCGATGGAGCAAGAGAGGCGACAGAGCCAGCCTTGAATAGGACTACCATGGAGTATATAGCCACCAAATAGTATTGTATAACGGGTTTCACAGACATACACACATATATATCTCAAGTCTATGAGAAGCCTGTGTGATACACTTGGCAGGAAGGTGTAATACGGCCAACTTGCGAGTTGACTAGATTTATGCACCCGTAGGGTCCATGTTGTTGCACGTTAGGGGCAGCCTAATCGTCTGTCGGTTTATGAGGCGATTGGTAACCCACTGGCCCGTATACGGGGCCCTGGGCAAGAGATTTAGAGGGCCGGAGCTTAAGATGGAATAATATTAGTAGTGATGCGCGAAATGGGGGCCGGGGGGTTAACAAAGAGAGCAGCGACACATACTGAGCGGTTAGATACATGTGGTCGAAGCTTTCCCGCGAGCGGCGGACGAAAGAGTCTAGTGCAGTGCGGATATAGACCTTCCATTCATTCTGTAGAGTTATGTGTCCGTGGTTTTAACGGTACCACGCATCGAAGCTGCCGAAAAGATCATAGAGAGCCTCATAGGTGGCACAGAACTTGTCCCATATTTCCTGGTGGTTTAGATATCCAAAAACCAGCCCTAATGCATACAGGGGTTAGAGATGCTAGGTTTGTAGAGATATTGGGGCCGCAAAAGAAAAAATGACCTTACCCATCTCTTTGACTGCCTGGAGCTGCTCATCGTCATCCATAGCTGCATAAGTCAGATGAGATGTCAGTTCGTTTCCGGTGAACATCTAAAATATCAAACATGTGAGTACGACAAAAGCAGGGATAAGCCACACAAAGCATGGTAGTAATAATAGTCGAGTAAACATAGACTCCCCTTCATCCGGTTCGGCCTTGCCAACAAAATAGCGAGACGATCCATATGATGTATGCTACCCAGCTCAGCGAGCAGGAGCTGCATGAAGGAGGCAGGCCTATTGTCGAGTTGCCACGGAAAGTTCACGCGGTCTATCGGCAGTATGAACTCCTCAATCCAGTCACAGTCGAGGAGTGACTGAGGGTTTGTTGGCACCGGCCTTTGGTTTCTGACTTGGCCCTTGGATAGCCACTCGAAAAAGTCACCGATAAGCTGTCCCTCGAAAACATGCTCAGCTACAAAAGAGTCAGCATAGGATCTTGAGTAACAGTTGAACCGAGATTATATCCATCTTACTCTGGTAATTTGCTCGAACCAAGAGGGCCCCCGTGCCACTCAAATCCCTATAATCATGATTCATCAAATTGGTGACGCCCCAGTTCTCGCAATCTGCCGTCGTGTTCCCCCAGTACCGCGAGATCGAGTCCCACATACCGAACTCAATGCCCTCCCACGGGTTGGAATGACTCCCAGAAAAGGCTGGGTATCGGTAATCACCCTTATCGTAGAAACGTTCCCCACACACGGACACCACTTTATACGATCTCGTGGCCGTCCCGGTTGCCCTCTCGCTTAGTCGGTGGAATTCATTCTCGCTGTCAGGCTCAGTGGTGGTGTTATTCCTCTTAGTAAGGGCAGTGCTGCTTCCGAACCCCCAAGGCCAGATGCCGTCTGGCTCATTGCAGCCATTACAGGCCTCAATAGAACTGAGGCCCCATTCAAGGTCCATGCAGACGCAGCCGCAGCAGTGCTTCTTCTTTTTTTCCTTTTCCTCGTAGTCAGGACCACCACACGCGAGGCAATCATCGCAGCTGAAAGCCTGTGCTCCCTTGTATATATCTGCCACAGGCTTAGGAAAGAATGTTGTCAAGCCCACGGGGTCCTTAGGCGATAACCCCCATCCAGGCAGCTCTATCACCCCTATCTCGCCCCGAGTGGCAAGTGCCGATACATTAACTTCGGGGGTAATGGATACGTTGGCAGTATTTGAGCTCCAGCTGGCCTGGCGAGAGTCTGGCTCAGCCACGAGGGCTGCTCGTGGGATACCCTTTATGTACTTGTTTGGGTAACACTTCGCGCTGCGTATTGTTTGCTGTGCCGGCTTGTTAGTATATCCACGGTTAAACAAAAGGAAGAGGGTTTATTTAGGGTTGTATTAAAACGATACCTCATCAGGTTCAGCGTTGGATAAAGTGACGTCCTCCCAGCCGATTTTTTCACTATAGGAATAATTAGTCCATCATCCCCTAACAATCTCATTCGTTTCGGGATTTTCCAGTTTGGGGCGAGCTTACGCGTTTTCAATCACTGGGAAGACGTTGGTTCTAATCGTTCGGTTAGCGACTTCGAAACATTGGGGTTCAAGGTGTTTCGCAACTCACCCTACTAAATAGTCCGCGCATACTTCTTCATAGTCCTCCAAGTCGTGGTTATATTCAAAGGGGTGATATCTAAATTCGGTCATGGTGTTAAAATATACTGCTAACTGTAAAGGATTGAGAATTAATATCAGCTTAGTATGGGAAAGCTGTGTTTAGCTTAACAGAAAACTTACATCCGTTATCTCTGACACCACCGGGAATGATTTTTCTATCTCCGGAGGGAACAAATAGTACGTAGCCCTTAGGCCAAAGGCAATGTAGGTTCCTATAGCAATTTTACCGCCGCCCTCCGGGGAGGAATATAGAACGTTGGTGTCCGGAATTGAGATCTCATTCTTCTTGCGCGACTTTCCCCACCCACCGTGCATATCTTCTGGGGGTGCTGGAAAGAACACAGTAAGGCCAAGGTCAGTAATGGTCCTGGTGGTAGCGCTACCGTCGAATGAAGCTATGCCGTCTTCCTTGTCACCTTTCTTAACTTCCTTGGAAGTGGCTATCTGGTAGGTGATTTCGTAGTAAGGGTCGAAAGAGACCCAACCATTCAGGTGAGCCCGGTCAGCTTCAACAGTGTGTCCCCCCAACTTAACACGTTGACCCTCGTTGAAGGCCGGGTTGCCCTTATTCGCACGGCTAATGTCAAAGGAACCGATACCGCCGACACCATAGGTCAAATCAGTCTGGCCAGTGACTTTGAGGAAACTTTTAGCTTGTTTAACTTGAAGGCTTTCATGAAGCGTTGCCTATATGATGCACCTCTCTGTTAAAACTAGTAATATACTCTCGAGAGTTATAGTATTTAGAAATGGAATACCAGCAGCGCTCTGGTAGGGTTTTAGGCGAGAATAAGATTACTCGGACATAGGCAACTCACTACCATAGAAAATCCTTAGTATAGCTTAGTATCTATACTACCTTGGACGTAGGCGCCGACACCCTCGGAGAAAGTTTCATTGAAAGCTGGACACGTTTCTTTGGAATGCCAGAACAGAGAGGCGCTTATATCTGCTTTGATTGTCTCCGCGTCCTTAGGGTTATACTTAAAATTGTTCGAGTTGGTGAGTAAGTTCTACCATACCGAAGTCGTCGGCGCGAAGAATCTCTTTTGTAAGTTGCTATATTGGATGCCAGGGGAATTGACGACTGTGTCCTAATAGCCTTTAATATTTAAGTAGTCAATCCGGATACTAGTGTTCTTCGTATCCCTTCGAACGAGCTTAAAATTAAAATCAAAGGAGAATTCAAAAACCTGCGATGTTGGTTTCCCCTTAGATAATATATCTTCTGGTATAGATTGGTCTGCTGTGATATTAGTGAGATGGTATCCACACTTAAAAGGCATTAGCCAACTAACCTTGAGAAACTTTGAGGGAGACAGCCCTGGCCACAGTGTTTGGAGCACACTAATGCCTCGAATATATCTTGTTAGAATGATACTTCGCTAGAGTAACGCAAAAGGCTCTGTTGAGATTACTAACATTATTTGGCATTTCCATAATAGTTCCCTCAACCCCTTTCTCCATAACACGGAAACATCCCTCGACGTCATCATGGAGACAAATAACTCTGGCGCTATAGAGTTTGTCGTCCGGCTGATTTATCACATTATCTGGACAGTCGAGGAAGATAAACGGTTTTGGTTTACCCTCACGTTTCCTCAGCTGGGTGATAGCATACGAGTCGCCACTGACAAGAAGGAAGCCAAATGATGTTTTGTCGGGTTCCGTTTCACCTGCATCTGCGAGGCTACTAAAGTTGATAATTCCGTAGCTGATCTTTGAATCCTTGGGTGGTAGATACTCCTTGGGGAATATGCGCTTAAGGTCAACGAGCGAGGAAGGCCGATCAATGGGTGGGAGACTTTTTGGGTCTACAATAGCCCTAAGTGCATCTAGCCCACTATTATCAAGGTCTATGGCCCATATCATCAGGTTTGATAGTTCCATACGATTTGCGTAGTCAATCTTAGACTGAAATGTGCTAGCGTCATCAAAGCTGCGATTCACCGAGTCAATTCCATACATAAAAACACTCCAATGGAAGTGGTACTTATGAGATCCAGCTATTGCCATTATATACCATATACTTGACGGCGGCGGCCTTATCCAAGTACGCTGTCGCGCCAGTATTCTGCAGAATATCGGTGACCTCTGTGGAGACAAGTTAAGTAAGAATCTTTCTTTCACTACTTGCTGTTCACCTCTTCCTCTCTAATACATACCACGATATGATAAAATGCCGGCGCTGTTGGTACATTTTCCTGTGGTTCCAGGGCCGCTGAAGCCGCATCCCGGCTTCCAGCATGACGGATTCTCTAGAGTAAAAGATCGACCATAGAAGGCTAGCCTAAGCACTATACTTGATGGCTCAACATTCCCACGCCAGAACTAGAATAAAAAAATTAGTCGGGAGCCTTCCAGGTTCGATTTACACCGACGAATAGCACTTACAAGGTCAAATGCGAGGTCAATCTCCGTCAAGTTTGTATGTGCAAGGACGTTATTTCCGATAGGATTTTGGCTATCCTAAACGCCGTGCAGGTCATATGACATCAAGTTGATCCAGTCGATATACGGCTCCATATCTTTGAGATAAAAGTGGTGAAGATACTAGAAGGATGTCGGGGTAGTAAAGGTAATAATATAGTTGTGGTCGCTGGCTTTGATGGTCGCACGTAGTTCGCGCCATCTGCAGCAGAGCCACCACGATCAGTGGCGCCAGGATACTCCCAGTCTGTGATGTTAGCTGATTGCAAGATAGTGATATATCCTGTTTGGGACGTCAGTCAGTTAAGATTCGGCTCACCAAAGTCTAAATATAGAAATCAAACTAATTAGCCGCTAATAAGCATATTATTGGAATAAATAGGCGCCCAGCCAAGCAATTAAAGCGAAGCTACGTAAGTATTTAAGCGATTTACCAACACCATCATAACCATATTCAGAAAAGCAACCAAGTAGATTTTTGATAAAGGCAACACGGTTTACTGCAGACAATACCATAGTCGGGAAGACACTCTGCCAGGGCCCAGGATCAGAGAAAGTCCAGCCCCCCAAGGCAATCACTATCTTAATACCTGGGTTGCGCTCCTTCACTTTTCCAATATTGCGGTACACATCTGGCGACACAGTGTCCATATTAGTAACCCGGAAGGCTCCATCATTACTTATGTAGCCAAATGCAATATTCAGATGGGTGAGCATGGTGACGGGAATTGATCCAATGCTCATGGTACCGTAGGGATGGTCCGTGTTCCAGGCCTCCCAGTACCCAATTACCCGCTTTTGGACGTTTGACACTGCCGCCAAGGGCTTCGGTTGCTCGCAGTTGGACTGGCAGCCTTTACCACAAAAGTCTGAGGTGGTGCCGCAGAAACCATACTCGGAGCAGCAGACATTAAGCGGGCAGGTTCGGTTAGACGCGACGGTTTTCTCGCCGCACTCTGCCTTAGCATCGCAGTTGGACTGGCAGCCGTCGCCGCAGGACTTGTCTCCATAGCCACACCAGCCACTGGGGCCACAGCAGGCCCTGTTCGAGCACGGTTGATCCGGGCCACAGGAGTAGTCACCCTGGCCTACCACGCTAGCCACCTTGGCCAGAGTGGTGGCCAGTATAGAGGATGAGTTATTTGGACTCGAACGAAATGCGGATGCACAGGCGAAAAGAGAGACAGACAGAAAAAACGACAAGAAAATAGCTTTAAGGAGTGACATGGGCCGCGGCCGCCTTAATGACGCCATGGCACAGAGAAGGAAAGTTGTATCAAGGATGGATCATCTAGAAGGGTGAGAAAGGAGAAAACACAAACAGAAAATATGTGAAAGGAGCGCGAGCGATGGATTAAGAAAAGTAAGATGTCCTATTAACCAATAGAGTAGTGTTTTAGCTAGCTAATTATATAATTTAGAGACTATCTATAAATATAGAATTCTAACCCTATCTAGAAAGTTTATTTTATACTAAATAGTCTTCGCTTCGCTCTGATATTAATCAAAATCTATAGAAGAAATTAGCAAATGGATATAACTTATGTTCTCTCTGTCTATTGTATATTAGGATATCGCTATTCAGTACATAAAGGAGCATTGACTGGCGCTGGACGTGTTTATAAAAAGCTCATCAGGGTGTTGAGCATGTCCTTGGTGTCCTGGTAGTCTGCCTCAGAGTCATCGAGTCCGTCCAGTTGTTCTGTTTCTCAATTAGCATTGAATTCCTGAGGTAGGTATAACATGTCACGCGAATCGTTACTGACCTTGGAGTGTGGCACGAATTCCGCTTAAATCTTCATCTTGGTCTGCCATCAAGGACTTTACCTTCGCTTTCGCACCGTCATCCTCGGCCACAAGCCAGGAAAGAATTATATCTATAGTCTAAAAGAGATAAGATAGGTCAGAAGGCGAAGCTGGTTATCAAATTTGGGTTAATACGTACTTGCAGCGAGAAGAGCCCAGCATCAAGCCGGCGGGATAGCCATTCTCCAGCCATAGCATCTTGATCATCTTGGCTCAACAGCTTGCGCTCTTGAGCGATACTCTGCTCCACCGTTGAGATCCTGGCTTTAAAGTCTCGTCGTAGCTTAATTAACCTTGTAACTTTCTCATAGTCCTTTTCCACAAATTTTGCCAAAGTTCGTATCCGTCCGGCGGTGTCACCAGGAAGTAACCTCAACAACGACGCAAATATTCCCAGGAGATGCTCCGTAATTGTGTTTTCTTGCTTCAAGATTTACCACTGTTAGTCTAAGTCCTTCGCCAAGGGGTAAGTTTTCTGGGATTGTACCTTTTTCATGAACATTCCGAAAACCGTTCTCAATAACCCAGTTTCGACAAACTGTTCACAAGCCCGAGCTCCCCCCTGTCCACCAAGGGCATGGTTCAGAACACGCAAAGCCCTGGGTTTACTCAGGGTGCCCTCTCGAAGCATAATTTGCGCAAGCTCAACCCCCTCTGCTTCGATAAATTTGTCCTTTCCTTCATTCTCGTCTACAACACAGGTTAAGCAGTCGAACAAATTCTCAAAATATTCTTCTTCATCAGAGTCCTTTTTAGGATCAAGCTTTCGATATACGCTGAGAAGCTGGAGAAGTGTGTCCACTCCATTTAGTCCAATAAACCGTAGTCTGTTCTTTGTCGAAGCCTGTAGTAATATGGCAAGCATTTCAGCTGAATACTGCTTATTTTGAGATACTCTGCTCTCTTTCTTCGTTATCCGCCCATGTAACCAAGGCATGATGTCTGATTCCTGACCAATTCGATCCGCGATTGATGGCCGCGAGGCCAGATTTTCCAGGACACCTAAGAAACTATGCGTTAGAGATATAGGCATTGTTTTAGGCACGAATACATGATCTTACCCAGGATGTGGTATACACCGGACCTGTCCGCCTCATTCTCTTCGTCTAATCTTGCGAGGTTTTGCGATAGAAGTTCGAGGATGTCTGACTCCAGCTTGAAGAACGATTAGTATATATTTTGAATTCGGCAAGAAAATATGTTTTACCATGGAGTTTGCCAGAGCATCCCACTGATCCTCCTCTGCTTCGACATCCTCATCAATCAACTCTCCAAGTATTTCTATCGCATCAATGGCAATATCGGTATTTTCATGGGTCAGGAGCGAAACCAATGAACCAACGCAACCAAGTTCTGCAAATTCCTTATACAAGCTCGGGTGTTCTGATAATATGGAGAGGGCTTTGATATCGACGTCTAAATCGGCTTCGGAGGCCATAAATCTGGTGAATTCGTTAGAGAGGGTTTAACAGAGGGCAGCGGATCAGAAAGTTCGAGTCAATACTTTTGCGGATCGTTTTCAAATTTAACCCGAAGTTCGGCATTCTTCGATATCTTTTTTTCGAAGTTCAGGGCTGTCCGCCGTAACCACGCTGAATCGATAACTTGAGACTAAATTCCGTGAGATTAGCAAGTCTGCTTTAAGCTAAGAACGGAATCTAGAAGGGTTAAGTTACCGCCGCCGCTTCATCTTCATGTCTATCGACAAAATCCAGAGCATTCGTTGTATCTTTCGTTACACCACCTCCAAAGAACCTACCCTCCTCGTCGTCTGGGATATCTTCTTCAAAGTCCGGGGGAAGTTCTGGGCCTGCGATATCGTCCTCGTCCTCGTCCTCAACAGTCGCTTCCTTCCTATTTTTTGCAGCTCCATTGGCGTCTAGCTTCGCGGCTTTATAGATTTCAGCTATTGAGCCATCCCGTTAGTGGCTGCCCGAATAGCTTTCGTAGATATTTCACAGAGCCAAGTTGGCTGTACGTACTTGGATCTCGCGTCGGTTCAAGCTTCCGCTTGCTGTTAGAAGGATGCGACGGTTTCTATACAAATGCTTTAGTTCATATTCGATATGTTAATGCGTGCACCATAGAAGCTAGCTCGCGAATACCTTGAAAATATCATCGATGCTCGTCATTTTTTCTTTCTCTAAAGGAAAAGAGCCGTCTGGACTTTAGTAATTGTCGCAGGGAAACTGTTTGACAACGTATACCAGCTCCAACCCCTACTCAAGGTGAAGAAATGCGTGGCCGAGCTGTGTTTGCGCCGAGTTGCGTTGCTAGAGCTTGTACGTGCACGCGCAAACGCCAAGAGCGCAACTTTATCCTCCAACTTTCGCCCCGAAATTTTTATATCCTGCCAGACAATTTGAATAACCTCCATCTCAACAACCGGCTTTCCGTCACTCGTAACAAACCAGCCCTCGATTTAACCTACCAACTTTGCAACATGGCTCCAAATCAACTTGCTATCTCCCGCTCCTCCCGCGGGGAGCCCCGAGGTGTTGTTTCGACAGTTTACTCCGAGTTGACTTCGTCAGAGAATGCTACCGTGGTGAGAAGCGTTATCATTTTCGGAGTAAGTTTCAATCAGCTGGCTATTCCTCCCCTATTCCTCTGGAATTTTAGAGGAATGCAATTGCTTGTAATCGCATGTTTGCTCGCTTTGACTAACTCGTTCTCTTCTCATGTCACAGGCCGCAGTCGCTTTCTTCCAAAGCCCATTCAGCGAATGGCTTCTCCCTGCGTAAGTGATCAGGTCTCTTCTTGTTCAATACATTTTTTTTGGAATTTCTGGAATTGCGAGATGTTTCATGGCCTTCTCTGCTCCTAGATCCTTCATCCTAGCCACAACTCCCCTGATACTTTTTTTTCTTAACTAACATCATCTTCTATATAGGCTTTAAATTACTACGGCACACCTTTCATATGATATCTCGGCGCGACCTTACCGGACCTTTTTTTCACTCTCAATACTTGTACGATAGATGGGACGTTACTTGATTTTGGCCGAAGCGGAGACGTGCGATTAAGTACTTTATGTACCCGGGGTGTATATTTTGTTGAATATGAGAAACAACTTGAGGGTGGAACCAGTCAATCAACGAGAGGTACACCTGAAAGACTTTTCTTAGTCTAGATAAAGGGTCTATAATCTTTTTTACGGTTTGCTTTATTGCAAATTTGATGGGCGTTTGTTTGGCCAAGGGTTTAGCATTAATTGTCAATGAACTCGATGTATTCATGGAACCAGTTTGAATTTCCGTGCGACTGTTGATGTGCTTGCTTAGTATTGACGTATGATAAAGACAGCAGCCGTTGGGTCCTGGCATAAAAATGCGAATGGGCACAGGCAAGCCTGGGATAGTACGGAGTATAGTCGTTGAATAAGAGCCAATGCTAGCCGATGTATTAATTTAACTGGCTGTATATGAGTTATTATATTTGCTTTAATATTCGGGATATCTTGTGTGCAAGCTAAATAAGAGAGTAAGAAACTCCTATGTTACAAAAGTGCAAAATTTATCAAGAGATGGGATATCACCGAGTAACTCCATGAACAAACATGCCGCTGCTAATCCAAAAGGGATATATAAGTACATCTAATTCCCGGCCCCCATGAATGTAAAAGAGCACAAAAATAGAAGTTAATGGTGTCGATGGATAAATCCAAGAGGTACAGTCGCCCTTGATGCTTCAGGGCGGCTGATAAGACGTGTAGCTTGGAGGTCAAGGAATACGGCATAAAGGTTGATGCTGGAAATGCTTGCCTCAACTAAATCGCCTGATCGGAACGCTTGGCAATTTTTGTCTGCCGTCACAACACAGCGGACGCGGAAAGGAAGTAGGTTGGCTGTGTATTGTACCTCGCCTAGCTCGGTGTCGAGAGATGAATTTTCCGCGAGCTGGTTGACAATAATGCATTGGAATGTCTCTGGTATATCAGTCTTACCGAAATAATGGGCCCGGAATAAGGCTTGAAGAATCCAAAATTCTCGTGAGAGTGTTTGAGCACGGTCTGCAACTTTGTTCTGCCAGTTTGAGCGCTTGATAATTGCCTTAACGGCCTTTCGTGAAAATGGAAGGACAGATTCATCTATATCAGAGAGACTTTCATTGTTTTTCTCTGTTTCATGTTGCCTAGCTTCATGACGTAGAGCTGCCTCGACTTGCCAATGGACAATCAAGTCAGAGTAACGCCTAAGAGGTGATGTGCATTTGCTATATTGATCCATGCCCAGAGTGGCATGAGGAGTTGGCTTTGAAGAGGCAAATGCCCTAGGGAGTTGACTGTAAGGTGATAACCCAGGCGCGGAATCATCCCGGTCAACAGTAACGAGGTTGTCCGGCCTGTGGGCTGCAGCGGAAAATATCACGGGAATATTACGCTCTTTGCACCACTGAGCGGCAATTTCCCCGCCTAGAAGCATAGCGTGTGAGACGAGATCAGTTTTCGTCGCTTCTAGTGATCCATCCGATTGCATAATCTGCCCACTAATTCCAATTCTGGGATCATCGTCGTAGTCATGGTATCCCAAAATATCCCCTACGTAGGAGCGAATACCCACTCCATCTCCAGAAACAAGTGGTGACGATGCGTGGTTCGAAAGAAACTCTATAGCACCCTTTTTCATACGCTGGTCCCGTCTACCAGCAAGCAATCTCTCCATGGTCTCAAGAATCACCCGGTGCTCCTCTGAGATGTGGTCCTGCAGCTCGGGACGTACCGGGCCTTTGGGGACACCACCAACTTCCAGGGAAATTGAAGGGTTATGGCTGTCATCGATACCAAAGAGTTTTCGTAGTCTGTTTGGTGTAATGTATATCACATTGTTAATGCGGCCATGGCTTATTTTGGTATCAAGTATCACTCCGCTCATGTTAATGACGGCGCTAAACGTTATCGTTGGTTTATTTGGTCCAAGACTAAACTTATCGTGAGTAAGGCTTGGTGGAAACATCGGGTACACTCGCTCTGGTGCGTAAAAAGAGCGCTTGAAATGGGCAGCCCCTTTCGCAAGTATGTGGTCATGAGGTATGAATGCAGATGGGTTAGCGACGTGAATGTGGATCCAATAGGTGTCCGATGAGCCTGGAATCGACTCAAGAGAGAAACCATCGTCGATTTCTGCAGCGGACGCGCTGTCGACACAAAATACTGGCATATCACCCCAGTCTTTTCGAAAATCCTTCATGGAATCAACTAGGGTGTCTGTGCTGCTAGCTGATTCACAGAAGCGATTGCACTCATCAACTATAGCATCAGAAATCGTGGAAACGCCATGTCCAGGCAAGGCAACCTGCTCATTGAGGACATGAATATTTTCCCAAGGAGTTAGGACACCAAGTTCCTGCAAAGCCAAGTATCCTGTCGCCTCGTTGAGGTTAAAATTTCCATACAGTCCAAGATGGAAAAGGATAAAGGACCCTGTGCTTCGAAGTGTGAAATCACGCCTGACTTGCGGCGGCAGAACCCAAAGCCTCAGAAATTCAATTATATCTCTATCTGTTTCTGAAAATGGCTCAGCGGAGGGCTTCGAGGGCTCTTTCTGTTGGTCCTCTTGATTTTCCGAATTGCAGGCCGCGTCTGATCTTGGGCTAAGGCTAAATGAATGCGTCGGCGTTCGAGACATACGGCTTCGTTGAATTCGCCGCCGAGAGTTTTTGATAAATAGGCCAATAGGGTTGCGGTTAGAGGTGTTGATTGCCTTTTGGTTCGCATCGGGATCCTTAGGGAACTGATAATCTCGCATCCATTTTATTACACGATTGATAAGATTTGCCTGCACCTTAGGACGGAAAGTATACGATTCGACAACAGATAGGCTCTGGTTCACAATTATAGAAACCGGATTTTGGTCAACCGCTAAATGTATTGCGTATCGCTCAGGTATTGTGAGAGTGTCTGGATCTCGTCCAAAGAGCTGGGTGGCAATTTGTTCAAGCGTCAACATAACAGGCTCTGTCTCCTTTGCAAGGCGCTCATGTACGGAATGTAGAATGCCGGAGTTTTCTGCATACATCGCGGAGACCGCCGTCTCGAATTCAAGGATTAGAGTGAGTAAAGCGGCCCCGATATGGCGTGGCACCCCTCCTTCCGTGGCTACTTGGGGCATAGCTCCTTTTGCAACGGCCGAAGTCGGTAGATATGGGAATATTGGTAGCAGTAGTTCCAAAGGAAAACGATGCTTCGTGATGAAAGTGACTTCCGAAGGCCGAGCAATCCGCCATTTCCCTCTAGTGGTGTAAAATTGCTGTTGCCCGTCCACGGTACGCAGATAAACGGCCAACTGACCGGGGTAAAAGCCGCCTTGACTATTATGCGTTAGTAAAGCTTAACAGTACCGGTTACCCAGTTACTGTCGTTCGTTACAGCTACTCACTGTTGTAATTGTACCAGATCGCCAGGACGTAGAAACGGAGAGGGGTCATTCTCTAAATCCGTAGATCTACCTATGTCCAACAATTCCGGGCGTTTATCTTGAAAGATCACCTCGTCTAAAAACATGCTACCGGGCAGCGGCGCCGATGAGTGTTTTACATCGCTGAAGTCCATGATAGGATCCATAGGTCTGGGTCGCTTCTCTATCCATTTTCGAAGGTAGGTCCGGATGTCATCCGTTCGTTTAAGGTCTTGTTCGATGAGCTGTCTCGTGTGATCATCTATGTGGGAGCTGTCGGGAGAAGAAGAGGCCTGCACGATTTCTAATAGTTAGTCGAGAGAGCCCTTCAATGTGGTAGGTATGGGGTTTGGCTTACCTTATCCGTCGAGTAGAACGATCGTCCAACACGGGAGCCCAAATACACATTGCGATTGAGTCTTGCAGAGTATGTGAAGCCTGGAGATGCATCGATAGGCCGGCTCAGACTGCGTCGTAGAACTGATGCGCATTGAGTGCAGATGAACTGGCGGCCAAGCTTCCCCGGTGCATCCAGAGTGCCTTTCATCCATCGGCGGGACGACATCCCGGGCCCAAAATCCCTCGACTAGCTGCGCGGTGGACTCGAGCAACCCTAAGTTATCTCCAACAGTCCCATCCTAGTATCCGTATATCTCTGTCAACCAACGAGCGCTCCCATCGCAGTTCAGATTAAATTTTATAGCTTTTGATATGCCAAGACATGAGGTCAGGAAGTTGAAGTTTTGACTTTGCGGCTGATTATGTCAGCTTTCATATTACTTAATACATGCCTTGAACTTGTGCCGATATATACTCCGTACATTCCATGCCATGGCACCATAATACACTGCTAATAAGGGTGGCTATAGTGAATGAGATCGAATATCTGAAATGAATAACTCACGGTTACACCAAGTGCTGGCTTCTGACACAGATATTGCTTACGTAAACTCAGCTCGAGCTCTAAGCGCCGGCTCCCCTGGGGCTAAGTCACGTGGCGTCTAGGCTCCGTGGCCCATTTTCAGCTCTGGCTTCATGCCATCTCGAAACACCACGACCAAAATAGATATGATGCAAGCTTCAAAAAGACGCCTGGTGAGATCAGATCGGGACACGAGCCGCCTTGCAGAAAGTTCCCGCCGCTGCTTCAGGCTTCGTCTGGCCTCTCGATCGTTTGGCTGACAGCTGTGGCCTGGCAAGCAGCCAAGTGAAAGAGCAAGCGCTGCAGTGGGCCTGGTGGCGTTCCCACCAAACAAGAGGAAAATAGCAACTGTTTTGCTGTCAGAGCTTCAAGCTTCAAGCTTCAGCCCTCCAGTGACGGCCCAGTCCATCCACTCCTGGAGGCACCGGTGGGCCGTTTCCAGAGCCCTGGAGTCCCAACATGGCCCTATAGGCTCGCTGAGCCGTGTCGGTTTCCACGGAGCCGAGTGTTCGCAATCCTATTGGAAACCCCAGCGCCAACTGAAGAGAATACTCAATCCTGTGCGCTTTTGAAACGCGCAAGTTCTGTCGGGAACTTGATGTTTTGTTTAAAAAAGATGGTCTAGACAGTTCTAGGAACGGGACGATCATATACCCAAAAATAAAAAACTTTTTCCGTCCTCAATGATCTATCTGGAAGGCGCCTAGAGATGTAGACCGGTGTCTAGATCCTGCTCAAATATCAGGATATAAAGTCGGGTGGTTTTGCTCTTTGGTTTCTGTTTTCCTCCCGTTCTCCAGCAATCACCCATCTCATAAGCCTCTGACTCTTTGATAGAGTACTATTTCTTTTGTGTTTTTCCTTTACTTCCCTTATTTCATACCATTGCATCCCTGGCTTGTTTTCCCTTTTCAATCTCTTTCATTCCAACAACAGCATTATATATATTTCTACCGCAGCCTCATTCCGCTAGGTTTGCGTATTCTTCCTCGCATATTTCAGCATATTTCATTCCATCTCCGGAGGCCCAGTCGACTCGTTCTTTCGAAAACACTCATTTCTAAGGCGCATTACCCGTACACCTTCTCTTCTTCACTCATCTGTCGGTCCTGAAATCATCATTCTCTTTTATTTTCTCTACATCGAATCAATTATCAATCATCACTATGGCTGGTCCACAGGGTGCTCTTGCCGCAACTTTTAAGGCTGTCCGAATTCTTCAGGCTATCAGCTTGATCTCTATCATCGGGATGACAGCCAACTTCATCGCGCAGATGGTGAACGCAAACGCCACCCCGCCAAACGTGCTTATCGGCACCCTCAGCGTGGTAAGTTTGAATAGCCAAACCTGGCTACAGCAAGGAAAGCTAACTTTTGCAATTACTAGACTGTTATTGCCGTCTTGTACTGTGCAATCACCTTCATCCTATTCATCGATGGTACTCTCCCATATTTGATCAACCTTGGTTTGGATGGCGCCCATTTAATTGCTGTTGTCGTCGTCGCCGTCACTGTCGGAAAACCATTGTCATACGTGAACTGCAATGTGATCGGTCAAGTTTCCGGCGGCTATTCATCGGCGTATGACTTTGCCAACGCTTTAGGCCAAAGCCTCGCCAAGGATGGCGGAAAGATCAGTTACACTCATTGGATTGGAGCATCGAAGCTCACCTGTTTCCAAATGAAATCAATCTGGGGTCTGAGCATTGCTTTGTGGTAAGTACTGTACCTGTTACCTGAAAGTTTGCAGGGAGAAGAGAGTTATAAGCGCAAGGGCTAACATGGACGTTAGCATTCTGTTTGCTTTCTCTGCGATATGCAGTGTTTGTCTCTGGCGCCAGAACAGAGTTGCATCCCCCAAGGATATCGAAAGTTAATGAGCAGAAACCGTGATCTTCCGACCGTCGGCCTTGGAGAGTCGCACACTTTGCGGCGTATTCGAAAAAGCCGTTTATATCTATCTTCTGCAACGAAAGGCGGCTTGGAATAAACGAAAAAAAAAAAAAAGATTGAGAGGGCCCTTACACACAACGACGAACAGTTCTTTTCCTTTTTTCTTTCTGATTTCTTTGTCTCTTTGTTCCTTTTTTTGGTGTACAACGCTGCCTCGGCACGAGAGTGTAGACTAATAGTAATAGCTTTCTTGCATGTCTAGATAAATAATAATGGCGTTAAGGTTGGGAACATTATCCGTCAACTTTTATCAACTTTCAAGCTTCATAACACTATTCCAAATAGGCAAAGAAGTAATCAATACTATAGAGTACAGGGTGATAAAGTGATTTATTTGGCTCGTGGCGTTCGTATATATAGAATCGAACGATTGAGTACTCACAAGAGGGACGACCCCTAGCAGCACTTGAAAGGCATGTAACCCCCCCAGATACGGCGTGGACCTAGCTGCGGGTATTATGAGTCCCAGAAGTTCCGGAGACACGAATATCCAAGTATTGAGCATGTGCCAGAGCATGGATAATATAACAGGTATGCTTCTCACTAGCGAAGCTGTTGCCTAACAGCCTGAGAGAAGGTTGACGCTCTGAATATCATCCACGGTATTATGTATTGTCAATGTCCATCCAGAGGAAAAACAAGATTCCGGCTGATTATATCCTCCATCCTTTACACCTTTCTAACACTTACATTCCTTTAGATCCTAGACGACTTCATTAACAAAGTGTATGAAGGAGTGTTCGGCCTAATTGATTATAACATCGGGGCAGCTCCGTGTATGTTCTAAACAACCGACCAAGGCTCAATTAGTCATGGCTCATGCAAGCCCATACCGGAATTTAAGCCCCCTTCCCTCCACTACGGAGAATATACAATCTGTGACTGGATGATAGTCAACCCCATGTTCCCTCCAAGCAAAATAGCGTTAAAAGGGGCCTAAAAGGTCAGAAAGCATATTTTCCACCACCAACTCATCACGATAACCTGGAAATACAGTGTCAACAACATCAACAAGCCAGTGTTTCAAGCCGCGGACTGTATAATGTGCCTTCGTATATTCCCAGTACTCTGGAAACCAACCCGCATTTTCCCAATCGACAATACCCGTTATTCTGCCATTTTCTGCAAGAATATTCCTTGGGTTGAGATCACCGTGAGTAAAAACAATATCGTGGTAAATGTCATGCGATTTGGCAGCTTTTATCCGAATTTCTTCCCAGAACGGATCTGTCAAATATTTGTTGAACTCAGCTTCGGACTTGAAGCGTAGCTCTTCACGCTGGCTATCGGGAATTCGCCAATCCAAGATACCCCCGCCTTGGGAATTGCAAATCTGGTATTCTGTTGGCTTTCGTGATATTTTTCGAAGTTCCGAAACATATTCCTTCAAGTCAACTACGGCTTGCTCTACTTCTCCATCAGTCATTGTACTAAATTGTGGGCCGATCGGGCGTCCAGGAACGCAAGTCATGAGCAGGTAAGAAAAACGAGGAGTTTCCACAACATCAATTGCCCTGGGAGCAGGAATCCGGGTCGATTGCTCTACCAATTTCAGGGTATGAGCTTCAACATGGTACTTTGGCGCTAGGAGTGGTGACCCCCTACGAAGATATAAACCGAACGGTAATTTGAATACGGTCATCGAAAGTGAAGGGCCGTACAAACGTAGACCAATCCGAGCTAAAATATCGTAGACGGATGTTCGGACGAAAGAGGGGAATAATGTCCAGAGCCGTCGAAAAATTGAGAAAAATGGCGATGCTGACGATGGAGTAGGTGGTTTTCCTCCTATTCACCATTAGGAATCGATCAATGATGAATGGGCTTTAGACTTACTACTAGTATCCTTGACCGACACGTCCATATACTTCGAAACCTCTATCCACGCTAAAGGGCTTGAGAAACCAGCGTGGATGGCAAGTAGTTCCTCATTGAGAATCGGGGTTGATTGAGGTGTTCTATTCTCGATGTGTATAGTCTCCGTCGGCATGGAAAGTCGAGGGCAATGTAGGGGCTTATATATGTTGGTTTTGGCGCTGTACTTTAGAGTCATTAAAGGGTCTCTTTAAATATTGCTAGATTTATAACCCATTACTTACAGTCTGCTTTCGACTAGTATCTGGTTGTTTTTTCCAAGTTTGGACGGTAAGGTACACCTCCCCTTCCTTGAAGGCATCAGAAGCCGGCGTAGATAGTAACCAGAGGTTGTCAAGCTTTACTGGCTGTTTAGGGTCCAGGTCCAACATAGACGAGCGAACGACATCCAATACCTTTCCAGATAGAAAGGCGTTTAGCATTTCAAATAAAGTTGTCTAACGTTCTAGTTAGCGACGGTCGGCACTAGATGGATACCACAGGATGTAATCAGACTCAGACAAGTCCGACCACGAAAGCCGATGCCATACCCCTTCTGATAGCTCTGGGTCTGCAAACACACCAGGCGTAATTATATGAACATACTCTAGCCCTTGATCGAAGTAAGACTTGAACGGAGCGCGCGTAAGGCAACATTGACCTCCATCTCGTTCATATATTAGCTTTTTCGTGTCGTTGGAGAGCGAAGTAGCTATCGTTGGCCGAACTACATCTCATGTTAGAAGATGTAACCGTTTGTCGGCGGCGACATCCGCCGCCGAGAATAGAATATCTACTCACACTTGTTGATAAGGGTTTTCCAGTCTGATAGAAACTGTAGCACTGCCTCCCTCGGCGGTGCTGTAGAGCTATCTTCTCTAGAGGTTATTTGAAGAAAGTATCGAGCTGCTTCCTCGGGATCGAATGCATCGTTGATAAAGGAACCTAGAATAGTTCGATCTGGATGAGGCACATGTGCAATAGCAAGAAAAGCTTTATACTCAGACGATTCTTTATCCAGTAGAAAGAGCTGAGAAGCGGAGTGGCTAATATTCCGCGGAACATCCATGACGGGAGAATATGATGGAACGGTTGCCAGAAGCGTATGCCTGGATGCTGAGTCTGCTTTAATCACACCAGGAGGTCGTCCTCCCTTTTTGAGTCAGCGGTTCCTTAAAACATATTGTTGAGACGTATACAAAACATTGAATTTTCTTAGACCTTTAGAGCGGCTGACTATTAATATAGGTATGTTTTGTTTGCCAAGATAGCTGGCCCCCCTTAAAATAAGCGCCGGCTAGATGTTGGTTAGGCGCTAGAGGGTAAAAGTACTAACGTTTTATTCCGTCGAATTGGTTGTTTGGAATATCCCAAATTTAACTGAAGGACAGTTATGGTGGAGGCTAGAAGGAAGAATCTATCTTACTCTGCTCTGGATCATTGCTTTACTAGAGCTACCGCTAGCCGAGGAGCTTGCCAAAATCTTTCAGAAGCTTGCTCATGACCCATTTGACATGCCTCTCTTCCTATCTGCAACTAACTAACCTTCCTTTGACGGCTTGATACGCTGCTATACGACGTTAGTCACCCGTGGCGCCAAATTACGGTTTTTTTGTTCACATAAAAGCAATATACAGCTCTCACAAGTAACTCAATAATGTTTCGCCTTTAGTGATCACATAAAGCTGTACTACACCACATCATATCCTTCAACCTAGAGTGTGGTCAGTCCCGGATACAGAATTATATAAGAGATACTCCGTACACCATGCATTATTATAACTCTAAGGCTGGGGTGAACATCTTCAATATCCCACACCCATGCGAAAACCGACCGTTAAACAGCCCCAAATCCGTGTCGCACCAGCCATGGGCCGCGAGAACAAAGAACTGCACCCATCCTCCGCGAACATAGCCACGGTCCGTCTTCCCGTGCATTGTACCCATATAACCCCGCCATGGGCCAGAGTATGTGCTGTGATCCGTGAACAAACACCAGGTCCGTGGTTGGTGTCTTCTCGTCCCTGGGACGCACAACTCGCGGCTTGCAGTAGCCAGAGCATGGCTGGGCCTTTGGAATCTCGCATTTGCCGACCTAACACCAGATTACGGACGGACAGTCTTGCATATATCCCCGGGAAGCCCACCACATTTAAGACTTCGTAGTCGCACCATTCTATTTCGATACTCTTCATTTCTTTGATCGTTCATCATCACTCCCTGTCGACCCAAACTCTCTTCCCAGCTCGCCACTTAGTTACATAAGTGACCCCAAGGTTCGAGAGGCCGAATTACCCCGATTTCCTCAAAGAACATACGAAGTACCTCATATAAATAGCGCTTTAGCTCTGACAGAGTTCGGGGCGAGGGAGAGCAAACTAGTGCGCATTCCGAGTACTCGCGGACTCTCGTCCTAATTCATCGTGGGTTGGCTGGCTGGTTGAAGCGAAATCGACTATCTGTTTACGCTTCTTCTAATGTCGATACCAAATAAAGATAAGACGCGCGCCCCTGCTCCTGGAGGACCGGTTATTGTAAGCAACGTGAAATATCTGCTGGAAACTTCTCCGTTTTAGAATGTACCGCCAGCTGACTCGTGTTCCCCAGGACCCTCCAGGAGCCTATGACTATGGTTTCTATTCCGATGAAGACGACGATGACCGTGCCTTTTATTCAGATGAAGACGACGAGGACGACTGCCATGCGTCGTATGTCAATTTATCCTTAAATCGCCCATTAATTCTAATATCAGGTCTCTAGGTCAAAAACACTTGGCTCCTCAACCCAAGCATATCGATATGAAAATGGCAGACGGTATCATGCATATAGTAAGTCATTATCCATTAATACCCCATGGTTGACCAAATATTGACTTGTTTATAGGAGATGGAGCTTACTGGGGTCCGAACGACGAAACAGACTCATACCATCAAGCATTAGTGTACGCAAATATCTAATGTGGACCTACTGTTTGGTTAGCAAAATAGGAGAACTCAGATATAGCGTTCTACGATAGTCACCACTTCCACTGTTTGCTTCTCAGGGACAGATTGTTTCTGGCACCGCTTGAGAATCCACGCAACATTCTTGATATTGGGACCGGCCGAGGGCTATGGGCAATGTATGACCCCGCCCCCACGCCTGTGAACAGGCCACAAGGCTAATTATTGAAATATCTAGGGATGTTTCTGACCAATATCCAGATTCAGAAGTCATCGGTATGAGTTTTTTTAAACAACACTGGTTTTAATATCATCTAACCCGGGGTGATATCGTATTAACATACCAAATAGGAACCGATTTATCTCCAGTATGGGATCCCCCAGTTCAGCCGAATCTCAGGTTTGAAGTTGACGACTGCTGCTCTGAATGGGCATACCCTCCCAACTTCCGGGAGAAATTAGATCTCATACATATCCGTGGTCTGTATGGAAGTGTACAAAATTGGAATAAGCTTTATCAGGAGTGTTTTGAGTGAGTACACTCCCCTTACCTGAACATCCTGATTTTAGTGTCGCATCTTTAACACCGTAGATGAAATCTAGCCATCTCACAGCGGGAGGATACATAGAACAAGCCGAACCAGACACCCAAGCATATAATGAGCATGGTCCACTACCTCCCGATTCACACTTGTCCAAATTAGCCGAACTTATCGAGACCTTTGCCAAAGCAATGAAAAGCGAGTAACGATAAGTAGGACCATGAAACAGGATATTATCAATGCCGGATTCGTGGATGTTGTTGAGAGAAAATTCAAGGTGCCCCTGGGAGCTTGGAGTTCTGATCCTCGACAACGGGATATTGGGCGAGTCTACCAGAAGTCCCGTGAGGTAGGGATGGAAGGGTGGTTTTTGGCGCCGGCTACTCGGTTGCTCGGGGTAAGTTGTTACATCTATCCCGCTATAATGATTATCTGTATAACCAACATACCATTCTTATCCAGTGGTCAGTCGAGGAGGCCAAAGCCTTTATCGAGAAGACATGTAAGATAACGAATGATGACAGTAACCGCGTATATTTCGAAACGTAAGCGATTCCATCCTACTTCTGTTTAACGTGGATCGGATCTACAGCTGTTTATCACTGGATAGGACTTACGTTTACGGCCGAAAACCGCGAGAAGACGAACCCACCACTTCTACACAATAGTAGAATGCGACCCCCTGAAAGGTCCCGCTGTGATTGTTATGTCCAGTTCTAGCAGCAGACTGCCGCCGGCAGTGGCGTTATCTATTTGGCCAAGGAGTACAAATGGTATACCATGTTTCCAAGCCTATGTTTCTAGGGTATTTACTAGCTAGGGCGGCCATTGGTGCATTTATATTTTTGAGATGATTTACGAATATTCACAGACCTGGGCGGAGCACCTTGTATGACCAATGTACATTATAAATTTCATCGAATTAATCAGTCTAGTTAAGAAGCCTTTGAGTTGCTCATGCGCATAAAAATATCAAAAGTAGAGGAATGTATGCCACCGAAAACCAGATAAAGGCGGGAGGCCATTCTAGCTATTACTTGAGAAGGCGTTTCCAGCTTTGATCAGAGTATATATGGGAAGTCCGATACCCCAGAACCAGACACCCGTCCGCACATAGCTCATGAACTCCGATCGAGCACCCATATACAACGCTGTGTATAGCACACGAGAACCAATATACTCCGCCGCGATCAAGTTAAGATCACTTGTCGGAAGCTTGGCTGCATTTCCGGCGAGCTGGTTTCATAGAGTTAGATAGGATGTTCTGATATAACTGTGTAGATCATATGTGACGTACCATAGCAGCGGCAAAGAGCGGGAATCCCTCAATGGCATTGATATGAGCGCTTCTGGCTCGGAAGAGTCTGCTCCATAGATCTGCAGGGATAACGCCACGGAGGGTCTGCTGGCTGTCTCTCGGCCTGTAACATGTTCGAAGTCATGGTTAGCCACTTTGCTTGTGGTATGTAAAACATTTTTGAAGGGTCATGCTTGACGGACATTTGATTGGAGTGTTTGCCTGTTTTCATGATGTTGACGAGGTAATAGGCGTGCGGTGCTAGGCCGAGCATGTAGGCGCCAGCAATGGAGTGGTAAGACCAGTTGTACGAGTCCATTTTTGTATGAAAGTGAAAGGCTGGGTTTATTAATGGTATATCGGAGTGATAGAAGGAGAAAATTGTTTGTTGATGTCAAGCTGTCTCGATGTTTGAAGCTGTGTTTGGTAGAGCAGGAAACGAAGAGAGCGAGCCATCATGAAGTATTAAATAGTTACTTCGATATAAGAGCATAACCATAACTCAAGACTAGAATGGCCAGTATTCCTCGACATACCGTCATCTTTAGAGCGAGTTATGGCAGAGAGTGGTATAGCCTTGAGCTGAACATAACGAACATGTCGTTATGCTGGTGGAGCCATAACTAACTAGCGAAAACGTAACATCGAAAAATGAGATACAACATGATGCCGAGGCCACTTATCGCACATACAGAGCCATCAAATGTTCTATGTTCTTTATACTCCGTATATTTGGTGTCTTTGGCGACTTGACATCAACATGGTTCTAGCCTGATGGAGTTCCTCTATCCCCGAGTTATACGCAGAGTTTCGGACAGTGGCCGCGGATTAGAGAACAAAATACTCCATCCTCTGATTACTTAGGATTCAAATTATTCCTAGAATCTACCATAGCAGGCTCAGGAAGGAAACATTCAATGGACTGGGAGAGCGAGCCGGGAAGAAACTCCTGAACGGAAGAAGCAAACCGCCGACAACTCGCAATCGAGTTATCAAAATGCGCCCTGGCTAGAAAATTCGAGAACGCGGATAGAGGAGGACGTTTGTGGAAGGTCTTGCGGATGCTCCTCTTCCCACTCATGCACTGTTCGCTAAGATCCTTGTAGAGGTGATGGCATGGCAAAGGCACATCCGGTGCCCGTTATTATCTCGTAAAAGGGCCCATATCAGCAAGGGGAAAAGTTTCCTATTCTTATCCCTCGCATTCTCATGCAGGATACCGGCCATCCAAGACCGACCTGCCCTTCTCGCGCTTTATCGACACGGTGACACCTGGCGGGAGTGCGCATACTCCATACTCCATACTTGAGAAGCGAATGACAATTGAGTTGACTCCCGCCCAATATTTCTCCACGGCATTGGCTAATTTACACAAGCCAAACATAATTCTGCGGGGAATATCTAGGATTTTGTTCTTCCGAGAGCTCCTGATCCCTGGGTTAATTATGTAACTAAATAACGAAATTGATACGAGGTCACCTGCAGCTTTAATTAATTTGCACCCCAGGATCGCGCCAGTAAAGTCAAAGAGCAGGCCCAAGGGAGCAGCAACATTCGAGATTGCCGTATCTCTGGCCCAAAGGAGACACCTCCGCCGCCACATCCAACCCAACTCCAATTCCAGTTCTACAGCTCATGTTGCTGAAGATGGAATCTCGACAGTAATGCCCTTGACCTCTGGCACGAAATGGCAGCATGGAGAGAGACGGACGTCCTGCACGCGAGAGAGATGCCTGCTGAAGCTTTCCGGTTCTAACCCAGCACGCAAGGGATCGGGTGGACTCTTGGGATGCGGTGATGTTACATCCTTGTGCTGGCTTCACCAGCCAAGACGACGGCCAAGGACAGCGAGATTGGGATGCAGATGGCAGGCCTGTACCACTTTCGCCATGCGGGTTAGCTCTGACAGGGAATGTGCTGGCGGAGTGCCTCGATTCCCCAGCGTGGGGAAAGCAGAGTGCGAGGGATAAAACCCCCAGCATCGCCGATCCATGATCCAATTCCTTCTTCTCGCGGTCAGAGGAACTTGCACACTCATTCTGGCACAGGAAGTAAGCTCCTGTCGCTCATTTCACTCGAGTAACATTGTGTGTTCCACTCGTTTTGGTTCGCATCTCACAGTATGAAGGTAGGTCCTTCGTCGTTTGAAATAATTTATAGTCATGCGTCGTTGGGGTTGTTCAATTGCTAACGGAGTGTTACCATTTTCAGTTTCTCTCGCTTCTTCTGCTGGCGGGCGTCGCCCAGGCAATTGTTCCTCCTCGTGAGCCTCGCCCACCAACTGGTGGTGGCAGGAAGCTGCTGAGCTACAAGGAGTGTGTTCCTAGAGCAACCATTGCCCCGAGGTCTACCTCTCTCGCGTGGATTAACAGCGATGAAGATGGTCAGTACATCTCACAGGGGGCGGATGGTGCCTTGATCCTTCAGAACGTTGTCACAAACACCAACCAGACCCTCGTTGCTGCCGATAAGGTCCCCAAGGATTACTATGACTACTGGATCAAGCCCGACCTCTCTGCTGTCTTGTGGGCGACCAACCACACCAAGCAGTACCGTCACTCTTACTTCTCCAACTACTTCATCCTTGATATCAAGGGAGGTTCTTTGACACCCTTGGCTGCAGACCAGGCCGGCGACATCCAATATGCGCAATGGAGCCCCGTCGATAATTCGATTGCTTATGTCCGTGGAAACGACCTGTATGTCTGGAGCGCTGGCAAAACCAAGCGCATTACTGAAAATGGCGGCCCAGACACCTTTAACGGTGTTCCGGACTGGGTGTACGAGGAAGAAATCTTCGGAGACCGATTTGCTCTCTGGTTCTCCCCAGATGGTGAATATCTTGCGTACCTCCGCTTTAACGAGACCGGTGTCCCAACCTACACTGTCCCATACTACAAGAACAAGCAAAAGATTGCTCCTCCTTACCCAAGAGAACTCGAAATCCGCTACCCCAAGGTCTCCGCAAAGAACCCTACCGTTCAGTTCCACCTTTTGAACATTGCTTCGTCAGAGGAAACATCTGTCCCAATTGACGCATTCCCTGAAGACGACCTTGTCATCGGCGAGGTTGCTTGGCTCAGCAGTGGTCACGATAATGTCGCCTTCCGCGCCTTCAACCGTGTCCAGGATCGAGAGAAGATCGTCAGCGTCAACGTTGGATCCAAGCAGTCCAAGGTCATCCGCGAGCGAGACGGCACCGATGGCTGGATTGATAACCTCCTGTCTATTTCATACATTGGAAAGATTGACGGAAAGGAATATTACGTTGATATCTCTGATGCGTCTGGCTGGGCTCATCTGTACCTTTACCCCGTCGACGGTGGCAAGGAGATTGCCCTGACCACCGGAGACTGGGAAGTCACCGCCATTCTCAAGGTTGATACCAAGAACAAGTTGATCTACTTCGCTTCCACCAAATTCCACAGCACCACCCGACATGTCTACTCGGTCTCGTATGACACCAAGGTAATGACTTCACTCGTCAACGACAAGGAAGCTGCCTATTACTCTGCCTCTTTCTCCGCCAAGGGGGGCTACTACATTCTCTCCTACCAGGGCCCCAACGTTCCCTACCAGGAGCTCTACTCCACCAAGGATAGCAAGAAGCCTCTCAAGACCATCACCAGTAATGATGCTCTGATCGAAAAGTTGAAGGAATACAAGCTCCCCAAGATCACTTACTTTGATATCAAGCTTCCATCCGGAGAAACCCTCAATGTTATGCAGCGTCTACCACCAAACTTCAACCAGTTCAAGAAGTACCCGGTCCTTTTCACTCCATATGGTGGCCCTGGCGCGCAGGAGGTCAGCCAGTCATGGAAGTCATTGGACTTCAAGGCCTACATTACCTCTGATCCAGAGCTGGAGTATGTTACCTGGACCGTTGATAACCGTGGAACCGGTTTCAAGGGCCGCAAATTCCGCAGCGCTGTAACGAAGCGTCTGGGTTTCCTCGAGGCCCAGGACCAAGTATTTGCCGCCAAGGAGATCCTGAAGAACCGCTGGGCCGACAGCGAGCACATCGGAATGTGGGGATGGAGTTACGGCGGTTTCTTAACTGCTAAGACCCTCGAGACCGACAGTGGGGTCTTCACCTTCGGCATGAGCACTGCTCCCGTTTCTGACTTCCGACTCTATGACAGCATGTACACCGAGCGATACATGAAGACAGTTGAGCTGAACGCAGACGGTTACAGCGAGACCGCCGTGCACAAGACAGATGGATTCAAGAAACTCAGGGGCTCTTACCTCATCCAGCACGGTACCGGTGACGACAATGTTCACTTCCAGAACTCTGCCGTTCTATCAAACACACTCATGAACGGAGGCGTGACCCCAGATAAGCTGATGACCCAGTGGTTCACCGACTCCGACCACGGCGTTAGATATGATAACGACTCTACCTTCCAGTTCAAGCAGCTTACCAAGATGGTCTATGATCAGAAGCAAAGGAGACCCGGCCGCCCAGTGGACCACCAGTGGAGCAAGAGGGCTTTGGCTGCTCTCTTCGGCGAGGAGGAAGAGGAATGAGCTCGTTAACACGTGTTCAATACCCTATTCGTTTCTGCCGATAACCTATTATTTATTTATTTTTCTTAATATGTATATATTTACCGGAAGACGTAGATTTTCCTCCCTTTGAAATTAATTTCATTGATCTAACTCATGACATCGCGCTTTAAAGGCTGTAGAGGAGCTGAGTCAGTATAAGGTACGGCAAGCACGGACCACATTCTATTAACTTTAAACCGTAAAACCGACCTCAAATTACTGGTGATGACAAGATAATTGCCGAAGACTGTTATTCAAGTAGCTCGAAAGACGGCATTGGATCGAGAGTGCATATGCAGAGAGGGCCTTATTCTGTGGTTGATACCACAGAACGGGTATCAGAGCCGAATTTAGATATCTGTCTTCTAGAGCATATTGCCTATAAACTGGATAATGGCTAAAGGATGCTGGAGATATGTTATAAAAACAACGCCCGAGTCCGAAATATAGCACTTAAATGCTGGGTTGTATGGGATTCTATGCTGGGGGCGCATGAGTATGCCTTTCCATATATAGATCTCTCGCTGATGACTAAGCAGAATGGCAATGCGACTGGATTACCTCGTTCGGACTTTCCATCAACTTCGCTGAGCATCTCTGCCCCGAGTTGCTTATATTAACCAACTTCGCAGGCGATGGTGGATCATGTCATAACAACTTCGTGAAGCCACTTTGTGGCTACTTGAATACTATACTCTCGTCCTTTATTCTTCTTTTTTTTTTTGGGTTACACGCGGAGCTTGAAGACATGGAGGGGCTATCGTGGAGCTGCCAGCTCGCTGTTACGCCGCCCAACAGGGCCCAGAAACTCGTTGGGGACAAGATAACCCTACCACAATCTGCGCTTGAGCAGATACTTGCTGCCGTTCGCAATATTCCGTCCTCTACACCCGAAAACCCGCTTTCTCCTGATGTTGATTCCGAGGCCAGTCCGCTCGGTCCCTCCAATAATAACGATTCCAGACAACGAGAGCTTCCGCACCCTCTTACATTCCGCCTGGTAAATCCTGGAAATGGACGTGCCATATATTCGGGAATTAGGGAGTTTTCTGCAAACGAGAATGAAATTTCCGTGAGCCCATTTCTGCTCCAAAGCCTCGGCATAGAAGAATCGGATTTCGACATCGAACCAGACTCTTCCTCGCAGGATAAGTTGCCCATAGTCACGGTTCATGTGGTTCAACTTCCTAAGGGATCTTATGTGCGGCTGAGGCCACTAGAGGCTGGATATGATGTGGAAGACTGGAAAGCTCTATTGGAGCGGCAACTGCGAGACAATTATACCACCCTCTCGGTTGGAGAGGTTGTCTCGGTCCTCGCTAGTCGAAATGAGGTCATGCAGTTCTTGGTTGACAAGGTGTTACCTAAGGGAAACGCAGTCTGTATTGTTGATACCGATCTGGCCGTGGACATTGAACCGTTAGACGAGGACCAAGCCCGAGAGAGCTTGAAAAGGCAACTGGCAAAGAATCGTCGGGCACCAGAGTATACTGGTCAAAGTTCAGCCGGTGGAACAATCGCTAACGGGCAGGAAGTGTGTGACCAGGTGTTACCAGGGGATTATGTGGATTACGAGCTTAAATCATGGGATCGCGGAAACCCCCTGGCACTAGAACTAAGTGCTGACGACGACAAGGAGATGGATGTTGATTTGTTTGCGAGCCCATTCTCAGCCAGGCAGAGAGCTCGACCTCGTGATGATCAGCATGTATGGGGTGAATTCTCGCACTACCTTCCAAAGATCATTGAGATTAACCCCACCAATGTGGAGATGCGCCATGCTGATTGCCTCTATATTTCGGTACATGCCCCTCCTTTGGGGTTGGCGGAGCTGAATAATGGCTCTATAGAAGCAAGCCATCCACAACCGATCCCGTTCAGACTTCGAGTAACTACATCCTTAAAGGCAACGGGGACAGCGGAAGAGGAGAACCTAGGTCAAGATGCGCATAGTAATGATGAAACACAATGCAAGAATTGTCAGCAATGGGTCCCCAAAGCAACCATGGTGTTGCATGAAAATTTTTGCCTTCGTAACAATATCCTCTGCCCTAAATGCCAAAAGGTCTTCCACAAACGATCTTCTGAGTGGGAAAATCACTGGCATTGCACCCAAGACGACGCATACGGAACTGGAGCATCTAGCAAAGCGAGGCACGATACCGTCTTCCATTCAACTCATACTTGCCGCGAATGCCAATATGTTTCCCGGAGCCTACCTGATCTAGCCCAACATCGGACTACTGTATGCCCTGAGAAGCTTATTCTCTGCAGTTTCTGTCATCTCGTTGTTCCTCAGAAGGGCGAGTCAGACCCCGAGGTCTTAGATCCTGAAGTGGTTCTGTCCAACCTTACACCGCACGAACTCGTAGATGGGGGAAGAACAACGGAGTGTCATCTATGTCACAAAATTGTCCGCCTTCGAGATATGAATACCCATCTACGTCACCATGAGCTCGATCGAGTTTCACGTCCTTCCCCTCAGATATGCCTAAATGCCAATTGCTGTCGGACAATAAATGGCCCTAACCTCAACCAACCACCCAGGAATCCGACCAACGACACGCTTGGGCTTTGCAAGGTTTGTTTTGGGCCTTTATACGTTGACGTCTACGACCCTGAAGGCAAGGCCCTCCGCCGCCGGATTGAGCGGAGATATCTATCTCAAATGCTCACGGGATGTGGCAATTCTTGGTGTCTCAATGAGTACTGCAAGTCAGGTCGCACAAATTTGAACATCAGTGGCGGAGCTACCTTGACCTCGAAAGACATATCTCCAATTATCAAACCACTTATTGAAGGGATCTCAATCGAGCCAACCATGGTTAACATCTCCCCCCTCTATTTTTGCACCGACCAGGTTATCCAGACAAGGAAGAAGTTGGCCGAAGCGCTTGCTTCCGAAAGTGCTGAGGATACAACATCATATAGTGAAATATACGAAGTCGAGTGGTGCATGGCGGCCATAGAAGCTGCCAGTGGGGACGTGATTAAAGCTAGGGAATGGCTTCACGATTGGGCACCAAAGAAAGGGGAGACCTTTGGAAGCTCCTCGTAAGGCCCGGTTCACACCTGGCACGAAGGCTATGCGAACATCTATTAATGACTCACGATTCTTTCACGACACACGAGATGCATACAGCTGAAAATGGTGATACGAAATACTCTTTCCATGCAGCCATTGAATCCTCTCCTCCCTTGATCTACGGAGTACTAGTCATCGTGGACGACCAAGAAATCTCGCCATTCGCCCAAGAGAACATTCGGAGAGAAAAAAACGTTTTATTAAAAGAAGGAGCGAACATAGCTAATAGGGGCTAAATGATGCCAGGCTATTAAATCCACCTCACACTCTGCCGAATTTAAAACCGAATAGCTGCTGGCCCTTGACGTTGCAGGATCACATTAATTAGGACGTGTGGGGGAGCAGAGAAGTAGAAAAGAAAAGGAAAGGAGTCAGAACCCCTTATACCAGCACCATGCACAAATGACCGCGGGGAAAAGACAACCTGACGATATAGCATCTGACGGGAAACCAGGGATGATACCGTTGGGGGGTTCTCAAAGGTGCTCGGGCATACTCAGATCTCTATTCACCACAATAAATCCATGCCTTGGGCTAGGACTCGACCATGGGCGGGACCATCTAGAAGATGCCGCCAAGTCCACCACCAAGACCCTTGCCGCCAAAGCCTCTGTTGCCAAAGCCTCTGCCGCCAAAGCCTCTGCCGCGACCTCTGCCGCCAAACTCTCTGCCGCCATCGTGGTCAAAGTCGTTGTCAAAATCGTTGTGGCCCTTGCCATAGTCGTCGTGGCCATAGTCCTTCTTGCCATAGTCGTCGTGGCCATAGTCCTTCTTCCCATAACCATAGTCCCTCTTGCCATAGTCGTCGTGGCCATAATCCTTCTTGTCATAATCGTCGTGGCCATAGTCCTTCTTCCCGTAACCATAGTCCTTCTTGCCATAACCATAGTCCTTCTTGCCATAGTCATCGTGGCCATAGTCCTTCTTGCCATAGTCTTTGTCCCCACGGCGGTCCTTGACATGGACCTTGTTGTGAGCAAACTTGTTGTGGTTGAACTTAGCATCAATGTCGACAAAGTTGATTGGTTGCTGGATGTGTGCGGAGCATGACTGAGAAGAGTGCTTCTAATATGACAGAAATATCCACTGTTAATTCAAGATTGGAGTCCGGAGGTGAGAGGATTACTAACGTCTCCGTTGCTGTTGCAGCATACAACAACGCTGTCACAGCTGACTTGGCTTCCGGTCAGCTTGGAGCAGGTGCTTCCCTTGTTCTTCTCGGGAGAGCAGCAGTATGGGGCGCCGGATGAACATTTGATCTGCAGGTACCAGTTGAGTTAATACCAAAACTACCCTACAGCCAAGGCCAAGAGCTGAAAGGGGCATGGGTGACATAGTTTCCTATGCCTTAGGGTCACATACGTCTTGGATCTCGAGTCTGGTGGGCGCATGTGGGCGGTGGGGTCGTTCACCAGCAGAGACGCCGGCTGCCAAAATGGCAATGGTGGCTAGGACTTGCGTGAGCTGCATCTTGACCCGAGTGGAGTGAAGTATTTGGGCTTTGCGTGCTGGGGAATGTTTGGATTTGATTGCTAGAGTGAAGATGTTGCGGATGATGATAGAAAAGAGGATTCTTCACCGGATGGCGAGCTGCCTTTTATATTGCTACTTGGGAGGGTCTCACTCGATCACATATCCCCTCTGCTGTGAGATTATGGATTTTTACTTTTCTGCTTAGAACAAGTATAGGCCCCAGAGTCTACCTCGTTACTTACCACCTTCCGGCTCGTCATCCAATCGCTATCACGATCCTAATCTTCGCGTCTACTTTCTCGAGATTCAGATCTAGACTCCGTGCTGAAGAGATGAGGACTACGGCGTCCCGGAAACAAGGATTGCGAGACATGGAATGATACTGATCATCATTCGACACCAATCCTCCGGTTTCTGGTAGGCGCCGTAGCGTCGGCATACAAATGAGTTGATTGACTAGTCTTCCAACAAATTAGGGTCGGACATAGGTTATACGAGGTTCAGACGTGTCTATTCGACAAATCCCGGGCCGTAGATACTCCTACGTGACACCAGCGTCCTACACAACAAAAGGAAATATCTGGTTACCATCGACTAGATGCATCTAACCCCTCAAACCAGGCGTCGGGCTCATCGTCCAGTTACGCTACCTCCGATACAGCTCGAGATATTCAATATCGGATTTTTTTAACCTCCGGGAACATGTGGGCCCCGATAGGGCTTGTGTAACCTGCGATTCGATAGATATACATCTAGAGCATAGAAAGCCATCTTCCCAGTCAGGACATGGAAGAATCCAAGGACATGACCGGGAGCTGGCTCAGAGCTGAACCAGGGGCAGAAAGAAGAACATTTTTAAGAAAGAGAGATAATCGGATCACTACATTATTTCTGTGTCGCTTCGGATTTCGCCTCCACAACCTGGCAAGCGGGGAAGTGATCAATTGTAACTTGGTTCCAGAGAGACACTGGACGTCTTGAGAATTACAGAACCAACAGAATATGACCACGACTACAAGATCCCACAGCTTCTTGTGAGCTTGAAGTCCTTCGTCTGCCTGTCCCACTATCATAGCCCCAGGCTTGCACAAATTATATAAAGCGGGGGATAGGAGGGGAAAATGGACTGGATCTATTTCGCAGGCTGCGCCAGCCCCTTGCTGATCCCTCTCGAGCAAGAGTATCATGTCTTTGTTTTTTGGCGTATAGATAAAAGGAGATCCTCCGCGCTCTGCTGAGGAAACAATAGGTTGTAAACCATTACCATTGCCATCATCGTTATCATTCCCTGTGCTCCGAGAAATATTCAGCTTTCTAGCCCAGCTGGCCACTTCACGACTAAACCAGTATCCACGGTTATTATATCAAGATGAAAATTTCCCAGGCTTCTTCTCTCATTTCCTTCTTTCTCCTTATCTCCGCGGCAGTTGCATCCCCGGCCGACGTTCGTTCTCAGGCCAAATCAGCTTCGCAAAATGCGGCTCGGGGAGAGCCACATCGAGAGGGCCGTAAAGGTGCCCCCCAGGGAAACGTATGCAAAACTGGCGAATCCTACTGCTGTAACGAAAAACAAGGAAGTATGTTGTCAACTCGCCTCCTTCCGACCATTTTGCGTGGCTTGCAAGAAACTAACACCACTCACTCAACTATAGAAAACACTTGCGTCAAGTCAGGGACGAGCTGTGACCAGAAGGTCATTTGCTGCAATAACGACAACGGGGTAAGTGATCAATACAAGTCCTTCCAGTCCCTGGCCATTATATGAGATATATAGGTGCTGACATGTGGCACCAAACGCAGTACCAATTCTGCGTGGGAGATATCAACTTCAATATGCCAATTACACTCGACATTGACATCAACATGGATTTCTAAATCCTCCTTGTACAAAGATACATCTAGATAGTCCGAAATTAGCTCGAGTTATTAATGAAATATATTTATGATATACCATACTAGGTACTCAATATTTAATACTACCATGAAACAAGCATCTTCCCTAGTATAAATATGTTTCTAGACGAAGAATCTAGGGCAATGCCATGGTAGACGATGACAATCTAGTTTCCTCACATATCTCGACGGACTACTTCTCCTTGCCCGTCACTTAGGTACATGGCGGTTAGTAGAAGCTGTTTACAACTTTGCGCTTAGCCTTGTAGATCTGTTGATATATTCGCCGAGCTAGTTAGAGCAGTGACATAGACTATTGCCGGGTCTCTCTCTAACGGAGCATGCAACCCAAACTGGCTAAATGATTATCATGGACTTCCACCACATGCAACTCCGGATGCTGTCAAGGCCTTCTTTCAATTCCACCTCAAGTTTATTCCATTATCGTAACGTAAACTTGAGGTATAATATCAAGAGAAGTACGAGTCACATTATCGTGCTCAATCGGTGTTTACGTATCAAGGCCTATGAACATAATCATTGATGAAAACTGTTGCCTTTGCTTTTAAGCCTGGGTTATTCCAGCTGGTACCCAGTTTACTTTTGTATATATTGATGTAAAATTTCAATATGCCCTTAAGCTGGGGGGCGGTAGGCTGATAGGTTAGAATACGGTAGGATGCGATTTAAATACCTGATTTCCTATCGCCCGGGAGAGTGAGGTATTACAGGATGGCCTCCCCACCTATTTTGCGCGTATGAGAAAGCCAGGGATGTGACCTAGTGAGCAATAATTACTCTGAATCGTTCTTTTGGAACGTTGATCTACGTATCGATATTAGCGGAGGCTCTGTATTCTTCTTGAGTCTTAGCATCTATATAGCCAAATAAGGGAGACAGAACAATTTTTTATTTATAAGCCCCTGTATATATCAAGTGCTAAGTACACCTGTTCCTGGTACACAGAACCAACCCCGTTCTCAGAAAAAAATATCACAGAGCCGTATAACTATATGCTAAAAGGTTCGAAGCTACCCCATCCTAGCAGCTGGGCAGTTGAGCAGCTGAATCGCCTGGGGAATATGGGTAATTAAAAGTCATATCATATCATATATCTTGTGGAACTTCTCTCTCGCTCTACATTCATCCACCAGTGGCCTTAGCGACCAACGTACCGCCACCCCTAGACGAAAAGATCCCCATTATCCCAAAGACAACATAAAATAGTGCTAGAGGGTATGCAACCAGGACCCTCATACCGCGCATTCGAGCCACGGCGCAAAACATGCCTGAGCTGCTATACGTGCACCACCCAACTGCGGCGGTCGTGAGCAAGTAGCCAAACACGGTATCCATGGGTATCAAGATTCCAATCAAGCTAGTTAGGACGAGGGGGAGGAAGCAGTATCCTAAGACGCTTGCGGAGCGAGGGAAGGTTAGGGTGGACGAGAAGTGCCCACCACCTCCGTCTGAAGGGTTCATGTTCATGTTCATGTTCATACCCGTGGGGTCGTGCGAGGCTCCGTTGGTCGATGGGTCGATGGTAGGTGACATTAGACTGAGGATGAGGTGGAGAATGACGGATCCAAAGACAGCAACTCCATAAATGTAGCCGTAAAACACTTTGCCTGATAATAAGAGGAACGTTCCGTACAATAAAATGTAGAGGAGGGCACCATATAAATCATTATCGTCCATCAGGTGTTGATCAATGCGTGCAAATGGATTTAGCACGGAAAGGGTCTATGCCACACGCAAGTCAGTAAAACACATACATAGGTAGACATAATTGAAACGGATGAAGTAAAAGTAAACCCACCTTTGTCCTTATGTGTTCAAAATTTACCCCTAGTTCCTCGAGCAATGGTGGCTCCCCATCATAGCCCTCCGTCCCGAACGCAGCTAACCAGCCCATCCGTAAGCCTCCTTGTTCTCCCATTCGACCGCTAACTGCATCTGCAGCACCGCCAAAACCAGATGGCCCGCCAAAGGATGCTCCTCCGCTGCCTAATGGGGGGTAGGCAGAGGATCCCGAGCTGCCTCCATAGCCACCGTACGAGACCTGGGCAGGTGTTGTATGTCCTGAAACTGAAGAGTATGACGATGGATAAAACTGGAGGTTTTGCGCCGACGATTGCTGTGGAGGGACGCCGTACGGTTGGTGTTGCTGCTGCTGGTAGAATTGGGCCATCGTGGCCCTGACTGCTAGGTTGCCACGAATCCAAGAAAGTAGACGACGTCAAGAGGTAGACGTGAAGGAGCCGGTTGTTCCTCGCGCGCAAGCGAGTAGGATTGAGGTCTGTATAGGGCAGTAGAACCGAGAGTTATATGTCGGCAATGCTGGGTAGTTGTTGTGAATGCCAGAATTTATCTCGGTGAGGATGGAAGTTGATGGTCCGCCCGCCAATGGTGGAGCGAGTCCGAACAACGATGTTTATTTACTCTTTTATCACAGCCACTAAACCGCCCAGTTTATACAAACAGCACCAAAGAAATCGAGAACAAGTCGAATCGAGACTAGGTTTCTATTGTTTTTTAAAACATGGGAAAATATATAATGTTAATACAAGTCATAGTCTACAAGAAGCTAATTCCAATTCCAAGTTGAAGGCCTTTCCTGCCCTCTTCTCCCTTTCTAACCACGAGCGGGAGAGAGAAGTTGAGCTCAAATCTAGCAGCAGGATGAGCGTATACAAGTCCTACCCCGGCGGCAACGCTTGGTAGACCGTTTTGAAGCTCGGCGATCGTGTGGCATACACTCTCCCGAACCTCAGCATTTGATGTCGGAGCCTGGCCGGTGGGTGTTCGCAGGGCAAGCAGGCGGCCTGCATTGATGAACGCCTGGAGTCTGAAGGGCTTATCAGCACCAACGCGGGGGAGAGGGAAGAAGATGTTGGCGCTTCCTGCAGCATAAAGGTCTCCGCCTAACGCATCTGGTCCTTCGCGAGGTCCCAGGCCAGACAGCCTGAAGCCACGAACGTCCGTTGGCCCCCCCAGTTGGAAACGATCGTTGATCTTTGAAAGCTGAGGTTTGGAGTCAGAGTCTAGGCCCAGGGGGTACAGAAGGCCAGCTCGGAAACTCGAAGTGAAGCTTATCCCACTATCTCCCTCGATGCCTGGAACAGGAACCGGGATCGCTGTCTGGGTCTCTACTTCCGACTTCCAAAACGCTACATCTCCTTTCAATGGACCACATCCGGCAAGTTCATTCAGAGTCCGTGTGTAGAATCCGCGTGTTGGAAGAATGGGGTTATCACGGCGATCGTTAACCCATATATGCGAGATGCTAGTTTTGACACTATCGCCAGCATCCTCGCGAACGGTTGTTGAGGCATTGGGTGCTAAGCCCGTAATCTGGCGCCACAGGCCATTAAGGGCTATTTCATGTCGATGGCCACGGCCGTTAAGCCAGCGGAATTTGGTCCAGGCGCCCTTCAGTACTTCCTCGTGGCTTGCCCAGGGTTTCTTTGTATCGCTCGCAACAGCCCCGGCCTCCCATCTAAAGTTCGGATCGCTAAGAATTGGGGTTTCGAAAACGGCCTGGTAAGATGATCTCGTGCGTGTGCCGAGAGAGGCGTTCAAGTTCAAGTTCTCTGCACCGCCGAAGATGTTCCGCCAGAGGAGATTTCCGTAGGCCGACCCTTCTGCGTTTCCGAGATCGGTTCCGGTCTTCAACAGCAGACGAGATTTCTCTTTGGTGGCAAGATAAACACTCAAATCGGTTGGAGTGGTGCTCGGGTCGGTTTGTGAGGGCTTATCAAAATAGACACCAATCGGTTGCTCGAATATGTCTGTTTCGAGGTAATAAGTACATGTTTTTCTAGACAATCTTCCGTCAACCTGTATAAACAGGCGGTGACCTCAATACTGAACGGGCTCAGAGGCTTACCGAATTGATTTAGCCTGTTCGTGCATTTCGCTACTTCTTCGAGGGTCTCCGATAGAGTAAGTGTGCGGCCTTTATTTTCGCTTAACAAGGGCTGGAGGGCCTTCTCAAGGAAGCCTCTCCTGGTATTCGGCGCATTGAGGACTTGGACAGAGGAAATAGTGCATGGTAACGTGGAATTTTGCTCGAGCTGTTGATTTGGGACCGGAGAGTTAGTGCACGCAAAGAAGGCAAGCCAATTAGCGGGAAAATCGAGTCAAGACCGACCAATTCTGCAAGGCGAGCCTGAGCCTTCTGGTAAATGCCACTTATTCGTTCATTGACTGCTTTCTTCCGCTCTTCTAGCACCTTCGGGTCAACTGCGTGTTTCTGAAGACGGTCGAAGATCTAGACGGGCAACCTGTCAGTAAACGCTCCAATTCGGGTTGCCAGGCGGGGTGCAGCGCGGCCGACAGGTAGATCGGGCATACCTCTTCTTCGCCGTGAAGTGAAGAAACCATCGCGGCTCCTACAACAGCTGTAACTGCGTTAGTTGAAGCCGTCCGTCCTTTTCGTTTCGTTCTATCGCCGAACATTCAAAGACCGCAGGAAACAAGAATAATATCACGTGAGTCATATGACGGAGTTATAGTCACGTGAGCGGCTTGCGTAGAAAGATCGATCTTCCATCATCGAAGCCGAAGATAAATACCATCATTGCACGCTTATTTCTCGTTTCTACGGTTATTGTACGGGTAACGGGTTGGAGTCTGCCGGTTCGTGTTATACTGCGCCTCGATATTGTTTTTTTTAAAAAGGAGAATCTGCACCATCTTCTCTTCCGTTCAACTCTCGCCTGAAAAGACCACGAGACCGCCAATCGCGCACCATGGCTACCAAAGCCGCCACCAAACGAGTAAGCATAACGGGAGAGATCATGACTGCTATCACAACTGTGCTGACCATATCCTACCTCAGCTCTCCCGCGAGTACCAAAATATCCAAAAGAATCCACCTCCGTACATCGTTGCACATCCGTCGGAGTCAAATATACTAGAGTACGCAATGATCTCCCTCCCACCTACCAATCGACCTCTGAATGCGCAGCCTTTTCTAACTAGATAACTTTAGATGGCATTACATACTCACAGGCGCCCCACAGACACCCTATGAGAATGGTCAATACTGGGGTACTTTAATATTCCCGCCAGAATATCCCTTCGCGCCTCCGGCAATAAGAATGCACACTCCCAGCGGACGCTTTATGCCATCGACCCGCCTCTGTCTCAGCATAAGTGACTTCCACCCCAAGTCCTTCAACCCGGCGTGGGAAGTCTCGACGATCCTGATCGGACTCTTGTCATTTATGAACAGCGAGGAGATGACGACAGGCAGCGTGAGTGCCTCCGAAGCCGAACGCAAGTTATTCGCAGCGAGGTCGAGATGGTGGAACTCTACTGGCGGCGGTTCTTATACAAAAGCCGTACCGGGTGTCACGTCAACGATCAAGGGGATTGCAAATATCAAAGCTGGAGATGGGGGCAAGAAGTTTCGCGCAGAGTGGCCTGAGTTAGACCAGGAGAATTGGAAATGGATCAAGGACAATCGCGTCGACCCAGCCACGGGACAGATATTGCCGGATCCTAACGAAGCATTGTTAGCCGAGAACAGCAGTACCTGCTCACCCGAGACCAATGCGCTGCGACGGCGGCCAGGTGGGAGCGCCACAGGGTTAGGGGTAGTTGTTGAAGGTGGCCAGCGGGCGAGGGATGTTGGGGAGAGCTGGTTTCGAAGAAATAAAGTATGGATATGCGTTGGCGTAGTGCTGGGGTATGCACTGTTGACACGATTATTTGACGACACCCGGACATGGTAGCAGATCTTGAGACGATATCCAACCCTGCCAATACGACTCCCTCGCTGGTCTCTGATGGAATACGCTTCAGCCACTTCCTTGCCCGTTGCTATTCATAGGGCTGGGGGCCACACGCTCATCGTCGGGCACACCCACATAGTAATACTTTGCGATGTGCATAATCTCCCACTCTTGGCGTTGTATAGCAAGATAGAATGTATTAACAAAGATTCTTGATAGACTCTATCACTTTCACGGCGAGTGGCTCAACCTTGCCGCCGGCCGTCGATGGGTTCTGCAGCCCGAGGCCGGGATCAACCCCAGGTTCGTCCGTATATGTATGCAGCCCGCTCTTCCGCGGAGTGTAGATATAGACCACTGGAGCCGCGCCCTAGACTGCTAGCTCGGCCTAGTTAGCTGATAACTTGTTCTTTGGCCACCTCCTCCATGAAACAAGATGCTGATTATTTAAACATCAGACGGTGGGTCTCACACCAACCAGACGGGCCGGTCGAAGGCTAAATAAAAGACGGCGGACGAGGAAAAACCGACATCATGTCTATTTAAATGTAGGGAATTGCCGTTATTCACACGTACGACAGGCAGCCCTGTGTGCTGCTCGAGCCTCACGCCGGAATATTTTAGCCCTTCTGGATCCTACTGCGCTGCATCCTGAATTTTTTATTTTTTTTGCTTCAGCCGCAAGTTGCAACCTCGCCGTTTGGCCCCCTTTTACTTAATTCTAATGAAACTCTGACGGAACCCCTCGACATATGATCTGAGGAACATCCCTCGACTCGCCACACAGTTACTCATACCATCTATAATCCATTGGCAAGCTCCAGGAAACTGATATCGGTCTTCTCTGAGCCACCAAAATGGCCCAGAAGAGCCCCATCATTGTGCCCAAGGGGTTTAATGCATCTCCGAGCTCATCCTCCTCTTCGCCCGATGCTACTTCTTCCGCGCCTCGCTCGGGGACTACTCCTGGTATGTTGACTCGGTCCTTCTTTTTCTTCTTCTATGTAATTTGTTTTATTTCTGCAGAAGCTGGGGACACCATGTTCCTGGTTTCTCGGCGATCCCGGCTCAATCGGTGAAGCTAGCTGTTCCTTCAAGAGGTTGTCAAAACCCACCGAAGCTCTAGCTATACCCTCAGATAGAGCAGAAGATACGAAGTGTGGCTGAGATGAGATCGTAAAAAAGAAAAACATTGCTAACATAGCGTCCAGAGAAATCTTTGCCCTATGAACGTCCATCGTTTACATTTATCGGGCAAGATGAAGAGTCGACTCTGAAGGGGAGGAAGGGTTCTGATACCCGGAAGATGATACGTTCTCATGTAATGCGAGACGTCCGCCGCAGGGAAAGGATTGCCGGTCTTAAACGAGTCTCTAAGAAGGCGTCTGCCAGGAAGAATGACTCCTCGTCTTCGAGCGATGGCTCATCAACGGCTGTCATCACGCATCGAGTAAACGATCGTGGAGTGCCTACAGCAGAGGCGTACTCTGGCCTAAAGGCACCGCCTTCGTGGGTCACGCTTAAAGGATCGAATATAAAGGGACAGCATATCTACATATTTCACAACCCTTTAGCACACCCCATTTATCCAACTATAGAACCGATGAGCACTCTAAAAGGTTGTGAAGGCTTGGGACATGTAGTCAGCAACTTACTGCATTATAGTAAGTCAATTTCCTTCTTCTTTTTGGTGTCAACCTTTACTATACCCAATTTCATATGAATACCCCGCTCTCAAAAGAACGAAAGCACCAAGGATAGGATGAACGACGCTATCTGATGAAGCTACTTACCACGAATTCTAACCGATAGTCTCCAAAACCCTCATACCCATGACTTTTCCAATTGAAGCGAGAAAAGATGCAGAAACCAGACGATTAGCCATAATGATGGTTGCTGCCGTGTCATCGTCCGCTTCATTCTTTTCCCAAATGACTCTTAGCGCGGCCCATAGAGCGATTTTCGAACAGAATCACTCGATAACACTTGCAGGTACTGATAAAGAAGAGTCTATACTACCGGACCCCACATTCTACGTCATGAAGGCCAAATGTATAGCGGAGATGAACCAGAAGCTACGGGACCCAGATCCGCAGCAAGCGGTAGATGATACTGCGATAGATATTGTGTGTGGGCTTATATCGGCAACGGTATGTCGCAATAATTATATCTTGCGCACACCCATGATAATTTGTTGCTTATTGATATTCTGACACAATCCGTTATGCAAAACAGTTGACATTAGCTCTATTTGAAGAAGCCAGGGTTCACTGGTTAGGCATGAAGAAAATAGTCGATTACCGTGGAGGGGTATTAAACATGGCAATGCAAGGCTCCCGGGGCATAGGCGCCGTTCTAACGTGAGTGCAGCCTGGGAACGTAACTCTTTTGATTTAGAGATATATAAGGCCAGCTACTAAACCAAGGAATTGTTAGATGCGACCTCAAATCAGCCTGTACGCTATTAAGCCGGCCTCTTTTCCCATTAGCCTGGGAGCCTCAACCGCTTCCGTCCGAAGTTAGAGACAAAATCACTCCTCCCCCAACATCACAACTAAGCAACCTCGCCAACACTTTGTGCGCAAATAAACATCTCAGTCCCATGCTCAATTCTATACTACAAGAAGTCCGAGATGTCTTCTTCTTTGAGGTTTTCCATCGCACCGACCCCTCAGGGCTCACCGCTGCGGAGCACGAAATGTTCCTCATGAAAGGCCACGAAATAGAACATGAACTTTTGGATTATCCTTATCGTTCACCGGAAGCCAAAGGCCTTTCTGACAAGGAGATTTTACATTTGAACCCAATAGAGACCGTCACCCGATTGACGACCTTATCCTACCTCAGCACTTGTTTTGTTGTCTCTCCACCTAAGTCCGGAACTGGTCGAGCAGTGACAAAAAATCTGAAGGACGCTCTCGCCAGATGTTTTTCTAAACCAATATCTGCCCTGCCGTCAGAAGATCTCTCACTCCTCGCCTGGGTGACATTTATCAGCATTGCCAGCGCCTACGACCCGCTCTTGAGGTCGTGGTTCGTGGAAATTCTACATGACATTTCCATAATAAAAAACTGGCAGACTTGGGAGCAAGTTGAATCAGTAATGCACGGATACCTCTACGCAGCTCCGCTACACGGACATATATGGAAGAAACTATGGTTCGAGGCCCAGTCATTCAACGTTATCAAGGAAATTTTATGAACAATGCTACACCCAGCAGCGATGGCTTTCAGGCCCTTCATGCTACGACCTTTGCCTGGAGTTTAAACATATATACCATCTAGAGTTTGTTTTATTTTCGGGCGGATCATTTACCGGTTCCCCCTTGGCGAATGTGTCTTGGGAAGAAAGGGGGAGTTTAGATCTTTTTTAGATACTACTTATACACCAATTTAACTACCGCGGATACATGCATGCACTCTGATTGGCTAAAATTTTAAAGATCGCAATACGTCACGTGAATAGAGTTTCATCAACTTTTTTTCCTTGCAATAGGAGAAAAGTGGAAGCCATAACACCCGAACACAACCAGACAGCTCTCTGTTTCGTCTTATTTATTTTCAGAGAATATCTAGGCAATAAACAATGGGATGGTTTTGGGCATCTCCAGCACCTGCTGTGAAGCAGCCTGAAATTCACACTACGTCACCTAACGATTCGGGCATTGTAAGCAGCATCGCATCTTAAAACTATCATCTATGAAGAGAAGTAACTAAAAAGTTGACACTATAGTCTCGGTGTCCAGTTCAGCATGGCCAGTCGCCAATTACCCAATCCACACCGGAGGGCTCATGTCCAGTTCGATCAAAAGATTCACCCTTCTTCGTCCCACCCTCGAACTCCGCGAAACCAAAAAATCCGTCTCCACCCACCGAACCTGAACAGAAATCTGTTCTATCAATGCTAAACCCGTTGAACTACATGTTTGCCGACATATCTCAGTCTCGAGCCCCGAATCAATCTGTCGACTTACCCGTGGATCGAGAACCCTCGTCCATCCCAAGAGGTGACAACTCCGGTGCGAAATGGGAATATCCTTCTCCGCAGCAGATGTATAACGCGATGCTTCGAAAGGGATACACAGATACACCACAAGACGCAGTTGAGTCGATGGTATCTGTACACAACTTCCTTAATGAAGGAGCATGGCAGGAGATTGTGGATTGGGAGCGCACCTTTTCCCAGGGACTAGGACGAGGCTGGGAAAGATGTAGGCGTGGATCGGAAAATCTTGCCATGGATCTGGAAAGAGAGAGGATGCGCTCTGGCGGGGAATCTTCGAGCGACGACGAGCCGCGTTTGGCCAGGTTTATGGGCAGGCCTCAGGAGTTGACCCCTAAAGCGCAGATACTCCAGATGTTGGGTTGGGTATATCCCTCGAAGTTCGGGTAAGTATCTATCATCCGCCCAGCATATTCTTTGCAATGACCTTTCGATTAACGCTCTACTTTTAGAACCGCTCCTCCTTTCGATAGACACGATTGGTATGTCTTGCGTAAGACTCCAAGCGGCGACAAGGAAATTCGATATGTAATCGATTATTATTCTGGACCTCCGGAGCCTACTGGCGAACCTGTGTTCTTCCTTGACATTCGCCCTGCAGTCGATACCCCTACAGCTGCTGCCGAGCGGCTCTTGAAATGGGGAGGAGATTTGTGGTGGCGAGCCAGTGGTGGAGCTGCCAGGGACAAATAAGCAGATGAGTATAAGGTATAATGCGAGCCCGGCTGGAGCCAAATGCTTCTTCTATTCCATGCCTGGATATGTATAAAAGGTTCTATTTTTGGCTGTTTAGATGTTTTGATATTAGCATGGAAAGGGGGTGTTTGGTTTGGGTGTTTCTAATGCATCTTATGGGATCTTACTTGTGGATATAATACGGTACCTTTTTACTTATCTCTACTCCCTGTCTTATATATGATCATGTATTACTATTATCTTCTGCCTTAACTATTTATTCTAATTAGAAATTACGTCCTTTAGAAACACACTAAGGGCAAATTGTATACGTTGACTACTCTCGATCTATTTCCGGTTTAGGTACGTGATATTGAGACAAAATTAAATGAGATAGATTTGCTAAAACGATAGGTATCCGGTGACTCCGGGTCAGAGGACAGAGGAGTAGGAATAGAAATAGAAATAGGGGGTTACTCTCTGCACATCCATTACACCACGTACATGAAAAGGACGACAATAAAACTATGGAGACTCCGAGGACTAATTGTCAACACTCAAGGAGAGTCTACGTCCTCACATTCCAATTAATCTTCTCCCCATAAGCATATCATTCACTCCGCGCTGAACAACCTCAAACCTCATGGCAGCGCAAGATTCGCTTTCCAAGTGGTTGAACAACGCAGCGAGCGTGACAAACTCCTTCAAACATCTGTTCAACCTGTTTGGGCAACGATAGACCTTCTGCTTATGCACGGGCGAGTTGAGATGGCTGTTGGGGCCATTGACGCTGTTAAAGGTAGATGAACAAAGATAGCACTGCCAGTACTGGCCGTTAAACGCGTGCTGAGTAGCAGAGTACTGGACGTTATCTTCGTCGCGCCACTCGATCTGTCTGTTGGTAATTCGGCCATTCGGGTCCAACTCGCGGACTTTGCGGAGGATGGTTTCTCGGTTCAGGCTGGGTGCGCGAGGGCAAGCACCTCTCTCAAGATGATGAACGAGGCCGCTTGCAGTGGTGAACCCGACTCCGCAGAAGGGACAGGCGATGCTACCACCAAGATGGGCCTTCGACCTCATGTGCTGCAGACACGAATAATTGGCACCAATCTTGGATAGCAAATGGAAGGAAAATGAACAAATCTCACCATGTTCAGGCTGTTCCGGTTCTGGAATGTCCTATCACAGGGTTTACAGTAGAACTTATAATGCCCATACTCTTTCATGTGTTGATTTGCGGCCTCCTGAGAAAGGTACCTGTTGTTACAGGTTTCACAATCGTACCTAGGTGCCCAGTGTCCAACGGCGCTCATATGCTGGTTCGCTGCATGCTCAGAACTGAACTCCTTGGTGCACACCTCGCAGTCATAGGTGGGAGCCCAGTGGTCTGTATCATTCATATGCTGCCTACAAGAAGGCCAGGTACGGAATCGGCGGGTGCACGTCTGGCATTCGTGGTCCTCATCGTCGCTTGAGTAGCCGGAGTAGAACATACTTGAGAAGGGGATCAAGAAACGACCAAAAGAAGCGAGAGACAATGCTTACTATCAGTAGGCAAATAGATACGGGGTAAACGAGCGGATATGATGGAGTGAAGTTCTTGCCTGGGGAGCATTGCAGATAGCTATGTGAGGGGTCTACGATGTAGGACTTAAGTGGCTGGGTTTGATTAACTAACTATTTTCTCCGTAGTTACTGGAGTACTCTGCACTCCTCGACCTCGCCAAACGCCTAAAGAGAAGGTTTGTATGGCAGGGCAAAAATATAACATTATACGGAGTAATACTAGCAGGATAATATAATTATAAGCCCGTCACTTCTTTTCTTTATTGGATTCCTCATCCAGAGCTAGCATCAGTTCTTTCTCGTAAAGAATGTCGTCCTCATTATCGTATGGAATTGATGGGCCTCTTGTATCTTATAAAATAGGTAAGTTAAACTATCTATAGAAAAAGAAGGTAAAAAAGTAGCCTACCCTTAAAGCTAGTCTCTTTATCAAGTGCATCGCGCTCCTCCTTACTCATATCTCTGAGATGAGCTTTTATGGCGAAATAATCGAGGTTTTCAAGAAACTTAAGGTCCCTCTTTAGAGGAGGTTTTGGGGATGAGTTAGAATCCTTAGATTTAGTTGGCTGGGAAGACATCATAATCTTAACGCTGTAGTAGACATCGTCTTGTTTGTAGTAGATTGGTTAGATATCTAGGTAGTTGGTTGAGAAGGAAAATGAATGACTTTAACCCGAATAAAAAAAAGGTCGATGGCCTCATTAGGAATATACTCGCTCCGTAGTTATCGCTGAATAACTTCTCCATACGGAACCATCCGTTTGCTTGCCAGACTGGAGAGCATCCTTATTGGCAGCCAACAGGGGTTCTCCCATGGTCGAGCTGTCAACTGCTAGCTGCTGGCTGCTGCCTTCAAAGCCTTGGATGTATCTTGCATATTTATGCATGGTGATATCACCCTTTTACCCCTTGTAGTTCTCAAGGAGCCGAGGCCCAAGCTCCCAGGGCCAGAAGAGAGTCACATGACACATATATCTTGGCGTGCATCTTGCATGAAGCCAAAAAGAAGCAAAAGTCAACAACAACGAAAGATGAAGACGACGACACAAAGAAGTCTGGCTGCGTACATGGCCGTGGCTGTGGTATCGGCCTTTCTTTTGCCATGGCGGATGTATGTGTGCCGAGTACATATGGTCGAGTGCTCTGTAGAAGACGAGGCCGTGCCGCACCCCGGACATGGCATGTCAGCTGAGCGGCAACGCCTCTCTGACCAGTTGCTACCCATGGTCATCGCGGAGAGATCATCACCCCTACTACTCACACGCGATCTCCAATAGCGGCTCTGTGGCAAGATTCAAATATGACAACTCCAACCAGCTTCACTCAGCTCGTTCCCAGTGCAATGAGCATTAACCGCTGTCTTTCGTGCTTTCCTTCATAGCAGGACTCAGCACTGCCTACTCTACCACGTCGAGCTTGGAAACAATATCTTCTCTCTCCCTCGACATCAACAAGAAACATTACATGACTTGCTTGTCCAACCCACTTTCGTTTACCAGATTGTATTTTTTCCATAGGCGTTTTCTTGTTTGATAACCACACTCGTTGAAACAAATCTATATTGCATCGCGGCAATATACATATTTTCTCACTTGTTTGGTTTAAACTAACAGCAGGGGCATTTTTATCATCCTTCGTTCTTTGTCTGGCCAGAATGCCGGATCAGACCTCGGAGCCGCTTCGGCAACCGGTCCGTGGCCCCGTTCGTTTAATCCCATCCCAGATTGACAAAGAATCAGTCACCAGCCAACCGAAGGCGCGAGATAGTCCGTTGAAACGAGCGGGGCGAGACCTGCGAACATGTTTTAAGCTGCTCCCGAAGCTTCCAAACATATTCAGGCCTCTTCGAGCTCCCCATCCGACTGATGAATTGTACCTTGGGCCACGGAGTATTCAAAATGTGGTGGGCCTCGTGTTGGCCTCTCTACTACAGACCGTTCTCCTATTTGGCTCATGTCTGTCCGTGCTGGTCTTACCTGGAGCCATTAGTTATTGGATATGCCTGTTAAATCTCCGAATCGTGGGTTGGTCTTGTGCCCCGTTCCACGGCCCGGCCGTATACCATGCAGGACTTGGTCCAGATAACGTTCGGGATATTATGAGAGAGGAGCGTTGGATATTTATTAACGGGGTCGTAGTAACGTAAGGCTCACTCTGCTCCACCTGTTGGTTGTCTGCGCCCCCACTTAATACCAAGTTTCAAATATATAGGTCTTATGGGTTGGAACAAAATTGCAAATTACTTGCCCAGATATTCCGCCGCCCTATCACAGGTATTCAGAACCGCACCTATGGCCTCATTGGGGACCTGCTTGAATGTATCATCCAACGCACATTCTCGTATAACACCTACGACGCCCGGGTCGCGTACGATCACCTCAAGGCGGTGCTTGTTGATCCAAGGATCCGGAAGGTGGTCCTAATTTGCCATTCCCAAGGAGCGATCGTCGCCTCGCTCGTGTTGGACATGCTGTTCGCAGATCTGGCAGCGAACCAGATGGCAAAGCTTGAAATCTACACCTTTGGATCTGCCGCAGAGCACATCAGCAACCCCTTGAGTAACAGTGGCCAGAGAGGCGTGATAAAGCATATCGAGCACTACGTTAACAAGGACGACCCTGTTCCTCAGTGGGGTTTTCTGCGTAACATCAACAACGCCGAGGACAAGTATGCCGGGCGGGTTTTCATCCGCGAGGATGGACGAGGGCACATGTTCAACCAGCACTATCTGTCTCAGATGTTCCCTCTCGAAGCGGAAACAACATCCAATAAGGCGAAATTCCTTGACCAGGTCGTCCAGGTTGATGGAGGAATAATGGAGGCTCGCCGCGTGCTTGTCCGTAGGAAGACTGGTCTACCTCCCGGCGACCCTTCGAGCCCAAGTGGAACCGCTGGCAGGGGAGCGATTGACTTTTTAACGGGGTTGCCAGTCAGGGAGGTAAGCAGGCTGTGCCATTATATGGCTGGCAGGGTCCCAGGGGCCGACGAAAACTAGACGAAAAACGGTAACAATAGCTGCTTTATAGGTTTAGTTTCAGGTGCCGGTGCCAGGAACCAGAGCCAGAGCCAGTGAGCCGGGTCCTAGGCGCGGGATGTAGTTGGATATCAACAAGGACGCTATAAGCAGCCGATCGTGTTTTCCTTAGTGTACGTACTTAGTCCTTCGGCCTGAATCCAGAATCCAAGTGCCACATGGTAATCCCCTTTTTGCAACCCCCTGGCCTGTAAAGAGTATATCATCAGCTATCATCGCAGGGCCGGCTAAGAGTCGACTTTGCCTGCCGTGGCTGGCGTGAAAATAAGAACCCGGACTATTTTACCTCCGTGGTTTATCCGAAGCTTTGGCCAATCAATCAGCTAATTCTCCGTAAGACCCACTTATTAGTCATCAAATAGTCAACCGCGATATACGAGTTTATACATCCCAGCAGCGAGATGAACAAGAAGGAGACGATGATGGTGAAGATGGTGATGAAGAGGGTGAAGAAGAAGATGGTGATGATGATGATGGAGAAGATGACACGGTGGAGATATGTAGGAGCCCGGACGAACGGTGGTGAGTGTTACCTGTCATATATTCACTGAAGCTGCCAATTACACAACAAACCTGGGATTGGTCGCTAATGCAGCCCACCCGTAATCGGTACCTTGTTCCGCGACCCCAGGACTGACTATTGGCCCGGCCGCAGCGGAAAACTGGGCCGCTATGCTAACGTGCACGACGGGAATTGAAATCCATCCATCGTTAACACCGCACACGACACTGGTGATCGAGACGGAGGGAGCAAAACCCGCAACCAGCTTGGCATTAAACTGGGAGGTAGAAGGTACTGGAAGACGTGGGAGAAGTGTGTGTGTCCGGTCCGTAAAGCATCCATCCCCTATCTTGCTTTTTTATCTTGCTTTTCTTGTTCCTGACGAGGGCAAGGATATGGGGTGATTGATTCATGGCTGCCCAAGCATGTGAGCTAGCATCTCGAGAGCTCTCTCCCCTTGAAAATGTCTAGCAGGGACCAAAGTAAAATCTTTTTAGGCGGCTCGTTCTCGTAAGGAACCATTGGTCTGGCCTCGAACTCCCATCCCTCCCCACGGCAGAGCTGCTGTGCCTGTGCATGGCTGCGTTCTCTAGTTAAGCTCGCTGAGCCCACCGTCTCCGAAGCCTTCCATCCCCCCATGCAATGCAATTGGTGACCGAGCCTTCAAAGCGTGGGAGCGGGATCGAGTATATTTAGGTCAACCGGTCCGCAACCTACACAGGCTTGGACTCCGTGCTGCTCTTTGCTCTTTTCCTCTGAATTCACCATGTAATCCCCAGGTCTTGCGGGATGCCACTGCACGCGCCCTCACCATAGACCGAACGCACGACACTCATTCTCATCATCTCTCTTTATCATCACTCTTTATCATCACTCTTTATCATCATTATTATCATCATTATTATCATAATTACATTCTTATGGCGCTTGACGCTGGAGCAAGTTGCCGTGTCCCGAAACCTGTCCGCCGTGCGCCGAGCGCAGACACACCACACTCGACCCCTTTCCGTGGCACTAGTGCAACGACGTCGCTGCTACATCACAAAGTCACGTCTGCACCACAAAAACGGCCTTTTCAACCGCTCGACGTCCACAGACCGTATCACCGCGGCAGGTTGAAGACGAGGCGCATACGTACATCCCTCTCGTCCCAGTCCTGACGCCAGAGTTCTCTGCGCAGCTCCAGCCTCTCCCAGCGCGACCTGAGCCGTCGTACCACCGCAGCCAGACCCGGTCGTCTTCGTCTCCTGTCTTTCACGGCCGCATCCACGCAAACCCCCAACGGCCTCACGAGCAGCAGCCGCCGTTGCTACCGCTGTTCAAATATACCAGGAAGTCTCCTTCCTCTACTCTCTGGAATCCTGTCAACTATCTCCCGCGCTCCAGCGCCCGCTCGCCTCCACCGCTCTCACCTCGCACAGTTCTGACCGGCGACTCCAAGCCGAAACGAGACTCGTACCCGCTGCTCACCCTGCCAGAGCGTCGACGGATTCGCTCGCAGGACTCCGGCGCGCTGAGCGTAGCTGTTAAACGAAGCATTGACGAACCTGAAGCCGTTGGCCGTACCAGTATTGGACTTCCTCGCAGACACAGACGGGGAGATACTTGGGGAAATATTGAAATGGTCGACCATTCAGATGGTGCTACGGGGCAGAGGAACGATCTTAGGGCGCCAGAACCTGCGTTTGCAATCAGAAATGGCAACCCTTTTTCCATGAACGGAAGTACAGCTGCTCAACAACACCCTGACGATCCTCCAGAAACCCCTCGACATGTCAACTCCCAACACTCCTTCAGACCGCAGACCTTTGTCTCCGTGCCGTCTATAAACCCCAACAACCCTTCTGCCAACCCCCAAATACCCGGTGGACCGCCAAACGGTGACGCTACAGAAGAACTCAGCTGGGGTCCCTCGCATCCATGCTTCCCACACATGAACACTCACGTGTCCCTAAACTCGGAAGAGTACGTTCACACACGAGTGATCCGAATACGACGAGACTGGATGGTCAAAGGCGATCTAGCACCCACCTTCTCTAACCTATACCCCGAAATTCTCGACCCTCTTCTTGGCGAACAGGAATTCCGCACCATCATCACCAAGGTAAACGACGAGCTTATCACTGCATTCGACCCGTATGGTGCACGCAACTGGTTTGATGGGGTGATCGGGTTTCTCACAGGCTGGCTCTGGGACGATCTAGGAGCTAGTCGGGTCAAGTCGCGAATCAAGGGACTCGAGGCCTGGATAGATAACTGGAATCATGAGGTCGGTGCTCTGGAGGGCGTCAAGATATGGGGGCCTCGACGAACAGGCTTTCTATCTCTCGATATACAGATTCCCGATCCGAAGATTGGCATTGTGGAGAGCGATGGCGCCTCTGATCTGGGGACGAGACCCAGTACGGCGAATACACGGCGACAGCAATAGATGCGGCCCTACCAACGCCGTCTATGCTGCCATCACCTCTCTTTCCTCTCTATTGTTTTAAATCGCTGTCCAACCAACTACTGTTTTGCTGTTCTGATGATATCACATCTTTCCTTTCTGTCAATAGAACTAACCCGCTTCCGCTCACCGTCTTTATTGTGTTCGATGCTTTTCTTTTCTTTACTTTCTATCCCATGCTGTCTGGGATTTTGGCCGCCACCGCCATCACCAAACATATCACGCCTCCATGAGGGGTTTAATCGTGACCTTCTCACCTCTTGTCATGTCTTGTTCTCTCAAATATACCCCCAGATCACCTATCATATATTGGGTTATCCAAATGCCTGCTGTATCACTTTCCCCTCTTGTATGTCGTACCGTTGCTTAGGATAATATGCCGTCATGGATCATGGCTAATTACTGCTATTCTTTCTGTTGCTCCCTTCCTACTATGCGTAATCTATATGCCATGTGTAATTTATATCGTACTATAATACCGCAAATACTATTATCCGATACACATCTCGTAATAGCTTCATGGCGAGAGCTCCAAGCAGCCCCCAATTGTAGCAACATCAGGACTTGAGACACACTCCTGAGGCTCCCATCTTCCCCTACGTCAGTTTATGACCTGTCACGACCTGTCACGATGCTATCTGGAATTCTTATTTTTAACCAAAAGGGCGAGAACTTGATATTTCGCTCTTTTCGCAACGACTGTCGACCTCGACTCGCAGACATCTTCCGCATCCAGGTCATATCAAATGCGCAGGTCCGGTCTCCCATATTGACGCTGGGCTCCACAACGTTTAGCCATGTCAAACATGAGAATATATATCTGGTGGCAGTTACGAAGAGCAATGCGAATGCCGCGCTGGTGTTTGAATTCTTATACAAGCTCGTCTTGCTAGGCAAGGGGTACTTCGGGAAGTTCGACGAGGAGGCAGTGAAGAATAATTTTGTATTGATTTATGAATTGCTGGATGGTGGGTGCACCCAGCTACTTGAACCCTGAGTGGCCGTCCGTCAATGCTAATTGAGATCCTGTGTTTCTCTAGAAATTCTTGACTTTGGATATCCCCAAAACACCGAGACGGATACGCTGAAGATGTATATAACTACCGAAGGAGTCAAGTCGTCAATTGTCAACTCGCCCACTGATTCGAGCCGCATCACCATGCAAGCAACCGGTGCGCTATCGTGGCGACGATCCGATATCAAGTACCGGAAAAACGAAGCTTTCGTCGACGTGATCGAGGACGTCAACCTCCTGATGTCCGCCACGGGCACAGTACTACGAGCAGACGTGAACGGACACATCGTCATGCGAACATATCTCACAGGAACGCCAGAATGCAAGTTCGGACTTAACGATAGACTATTATTGGATAACGACGATGCTGGAGGCATGCCTGGAAAACCAAAAACCACACGCGCAGCAGCAGGAAGCGTTACGCTTGAAGATTGCCAGTTCCATCAGTGCGTCAAGCTAGGGCAGTTTGACGCTGACCGAATCATCTCTTTCGTCCCTCCGGATGGAGAGTTTGAGTTAATGAGATATCGGGCCACGGAAAACGTGAATCTCCCCTTTAAAGTGCACCCTATCGTCCGCGAGATAGGAACCACGAAGGTTGAATATAGCATTGCTATAAAGGCCAACTACGGTCCCAAGTTGTTTGCTACGAATGTCATCGTCCGTATACCTACGCCGCTTAATACAGCGAAGATCACTGAGCGTACGACGCAAGGGCGGGCAAAGTATGAACCTGAGCAGAATAATATAGTTTGGAAAATTGCGAGGTTTTCCGGACAGAGCGAGTTTGTTCTTACAGCGGAGGCTACTTTGACGTCCATGACGCAGCAGAAGACCTGGAGCCGGCCACCTCTCAATCTAGCATTTAGCTTGCTTATGTTCACAAGTAGTGGACTGCTAGTGAGGTACTTGAAAGTTTTCGAGAAGGGCAATTACAGTAGTGTGAAGTGGGTTCGATATATGACCCGTGCCGGGAGCTATGAAATAAGGTAAGACCTCTTTATCCTATTTTAACGACGCGATTCAGGGGAAGATCCGAAGCCTCGTGCTAACGTCTCTTCTACTACAGATTTTAAATAAGCCAACTACTATTTCATCCCCTTTCCAATTCGCCTTCGACAGTCTAACTTTATTCATCTTTGCTCTTCTTCTTGGCTATGTTATCTTTTGTCGGCTGCGCATCTTTTTAACTGTACAAGCGGTTTATGCATTGGGGTATCGGCGTCTCGGCTTTTGCAGCTATCATTAGGAATTGATACGATGATCTGCGTTTCCATCACATTTTAAAGTTGCTCCTTCCTATCCCTTTTACGTAATAACATCAAGAACACGATTACGATGCTGCCCTTGCATTTATCCCTAACCTCGACGGAGGCCAAGGTACATCGTGGATGTAGTAGTAAGAGCTCCATTTCCTGGTCCTCAGATATGTCGCATATGATGCTGGATGTCTTGACCCAGACATCAACAAGGCGTTGTGGCAGAGTGGTCTAATGCGATTGACTAGAATTTCAAGATTCCATTCTGAAACAGATAATCAATTCCCTTCGGGGGCGACGGTTCGAATCCGTCCGACGTCGGCCTTTCTTTTTTGCTTTTCTTTTTGTTCTTCTTCCATCTTGCTTGACCTTATTTGTAGAGGCTATGAAGCTTCTTTTTTTTAGTGCTCGCTTCTATAAAAAGAGGGTGCTCAGCCCAAGGAAATGGTCCAATTGATCATCACCCACACCCCTATTAACAATATCGCCGAAAAAGATAAACGAAAGTAAATACTCCGTAGGCGAAACGTCATTCATTAGGTAGTCATTTCTATCTGTCCATAGCTTCGTTTGCCCTTTTTAGCAATTGTAATGAAATAGCAGGTGAGCCAAGCTGAACTCCAGTTCATCCACTGAAATATCCCTCTACTCTCTCAATCAGGTCTGCCTTCTTACCCGACGTTGAAAGGGAATGGGAACCCAAAAACTCTTTCAGGATGGCGACCGTAAGCTACGTAAGGTTTACAGTTAGATTCATATCATAGTTGCCATGAGGATAGATGTAATTGTGCTTACCTTGCTCAAAGTGCCCTTTTCATAATACACTCTGATATCCTCGGGCTCCTCGGTTCTAGCTCTCTTAGAAGCTGGCTCCTCCTTGATCCCTTTTGCGCTCGATGCAGGCCTCTTGACAAGCGTGGATGTAACGGGCTGGCTCTTTTCTAGAGTGCGGTATTGGGACTCGAGTTCTTCGCCCCATGCGATCACAAGGTCACCAGCGCGCTAGACGTGGTTAACTTGCATCTAATAATATGCATAAAGTAACATGCTCACATACCTTGTCAATTGATTTGTGTCTCGGTATGGTCTTATCCTCTGGCTGCTCTGGTACGTCCTCGTCGAGTGCTAGAGCTTGCAGAATCCGATAATGCCACTGGAGAGCTGATCGGCGTTGGAATTAGATATTGGGCTCTGGATACGCGGGATAGTCTCACTTACATGGGTTCGGGTACTTGTACGGGTCGAACTGCCCCTTGGGAAGCTGAAGTTGCTGAATTACAGTCCTCATCTGATCAACAAGTGGTTCTGGGGATATAATATGATTCGGCTCTGGGTTTTGCCTGATTTCGTCCGCAAATGGAAGCGGCAGAATCCACATCCCGGGTGGGATGATCTGTGTATCATTCTCATCAAGTTTCTCTTCCCCAGCAATCATAGCAGCCATCACGGGAGCTGCATTTCGTCGAGGAACGAACCATACCAACGCCATCTTCTTTTGCTTCAGCAGGGTTTGCTGTAGAGCTGAAAACGTACGCGTTGAGCCTACATACCCTTCCTCTGAAGGATAAATGAATGTAGGATGTTTCATCGATGCCCAGATAGGTAACGATGAAAGAGGCTTGAACCCAATGATCCGGATAATTGGCTCTCCGAAATTTCTAAGCTCAGCTTGCTCTTCTTGAGTAAATGATATCTGCTCGCCACCAAACTTGTACGCTTTACGGATCTCCCACTTCTCTACTTCTCGAGTACTGTCGTCGGCGAGCTGGGTGGTTATGCCTTTGGCGATCTGTGGCTGTTCGCCAGCCAGCCAGATATAGCAGCTTCGAGCGGGCTCTTGTCGCTTGAAGATTAGATACCCCGTAACAGAGATCTTTAAATCTGGTCCTATCTCTAGAGGAGCATTAGAAAACAGAGCTCTTCGAGGTACGGACTTGGAATTTATCGATGAGATAAGCGAGTTTAATAGCGTGATGCCATCCCCGCCTGATGTTGATGTTTTGGCTGCGGCTTGTGAAAATGCAGGGGCTTCTGGGTCAGTCGGGGAAGCCCTATATATAATGTCCTGAGGAGCGGGGGTTAGAGAATAATAGTCGAAATGTGTGCTAAATGAGACATACATCGTAGAATTTTGATCGATCAAAATCAGCGCCTGGTCTGGAAATTGGAAATAATTCGATAATGACTCCAAGATCGTACAAGTCCTTTGCTCGCACAGTAGCTGCTGACCTAAGGGCCTTGTCGTTTCCATGTGGGTTATCGTTATCCGTTACGATAAACAACCGCCTGGAAGAGAAGTTTGCGGCTTTGGAGGTAAATATCTGATTAGCGCAGAATAGCACGTTGGCCATTGTTACCTGGTCTTCTGAGGGAACCAGTATCTCCGAAGCATCATCCTCGTCGTTCGCCAAAGCCCTTAGATCCTTGACATCGGATGCAGCGGGGACATCTAGATCGGTGTATAGATAGCAATGCGGGTAAGGAAGCGTGCCTCGACCCTCTTCATCCTCGTCGTAGAACTTTGAGCTCTTCGTCCCATATAGCAAGACACCCATCATATCGTGGGGGCTGGATATAATCCTCTGTTGCATGAGATGGTAGGCACTCTTCAAGGCGGCTGTTATGGGAGCATCCTTATCTGCCTTTTTCGACTTTGATACAGGCGGAGGGGTCAGCATCGACTCGCTGACTTCAATTGCGAAGAGCACCGCATCTTTGCTGGATTTATAACCCTAGATATATAGTCAGCGAGCTAGATCATCTAGCTCCATCTCAGCGAGAGCATACAGTGTCGTCAATCTCATCCTCCTCCTCCTCGTTATCCTCGTCGCGAGTCCAGTTAGACGCCATCGCAGTACTGAAGACCAAAGATGCTGAATTGAAGAAACCACTGCCAGCTGCTGCCTTGTCTTCTTGGATATCGGTTGGTTAACGTTCAAGTTCGCTGTTTTGTAGATGTCCAAGTCACGGGACGCGTCTGCCTAATTTAGCCGACGAAACGCGCCAAAACGCCAAGTCACGTGAGTTAATGACTTAAACGCGCTCTCTGATTGGTCCGTGCGGGAGCCTCGGGAATTTTTTAGGGAAAGCTTGGCCCAAAGAGGAAGTCGTTGAGCATCTTCCAAGCTTCCAAGTTTATGGACGGACATCACCGCTCTCATTCAATCATCCAATAAATATGACAATGGCACTCCAAAGAACTGTGACGAGGATTCCCCGCGGCGGGCTAGGAAGTATCCCGTCATGTCTGCGAGTGACGACGCCAATCTACTCGTACAATGGGAGCTCACGCAGCATGGCCAGCGTGGTGCCGCCAGTTACCCAGAATGCGGCGGGATCCAAGGGACCTACTGCAATGGTTTTCCTGAACATGGGAGGTCCCTCCACTACAGATGAAGTTGGCGATTTCTTGAGCAGATTGTTTGTAAGTGAACCACCTGCCCACCTGACCACCAGAGCTTCAAGGTCAGCTAACATCATCTAGGCGGATGGCGATCTGATCCCTCTAGGACGACTACAGTCTTACCTTGGGCCTCTAATATCACGACGACGAACCCCAAAAATTCAAAAACAATATGCCGAAATAGGAGGAGGCTCTCCAATTCGCAAATGGTCAGAGTACCAGTGCTCGGAGATGTGCAAAATACTGGATAAGATATCGCCGGAGACCGCGCCACATAAACCCTATGTGGCATTTAGATACGCTGCCCCGTTGACAGAGGAGATGTATTCGCAGCTTCTGAAAGATGGGTTTGGAGGCGGCAAAGGCGGACGAGCGGTTGCGTTCACACAGTACCCCCAGTACTCCTGCTCGACGACGGGGAGCTCACTCAACGACCTATGGAGGTGGAAGAATAAACTAGAGGGACGACGCGGTGCTGAGGAAACAGGAGATACCAGTGGAAACATCCAGTGGAGCGTTATCGACAGGTGGCCAACTCATCCAGGGTTGATCGAGGCGTTTGCCCAAAATATCGAAGCCCAGCTAGCGACGTATCCTGAGGATAGACGTGACAATGTTGTGCTTCTCTTTTCAGCCCACAGTTTGCCAATGACTGTCGTCAATCGAGGCAAGTTTGCTTTTACAAACTGTTAATCTAACCTGACTAACCTATCTTCTCCAGGTGACCCATATCCTGCCGAAGTGGCCGCTACAGTACATGCAGTCATGCAACGATTAAAATTCTCCAACCCACATCGCCTCTGCTGGCAATCCCAAGTCGGTCCCCACGCCTGGCTGGGAGCTCAGACCAGCGATACAGTCCAGAACTATGTCAACCGCGGACAGACTGATCTTCTACTCATCCCCGTTGCATTCACAAGCGATCACATAGAGACCCTCTACGAACTAGACAAGGAGGTGATTCACGAAGCCAACAACCCGGGTGTCAGGCGAGTCGAAAGTCTCAATGGGAACCCCGTCTTCATTCAGGGCTTAGCGGACCTTGCGGCGGACCATCTTCGAAGCGGCGCGAAATGCTCGCACCAAATGACTCTCCGATGCCAAAACTGTACGAGCGAAAGGTGTTTAGAGCAGAAGAAGTTTTTTGCAGGTCCGGAGGCTAGCCATCTTGTCCGTTAATGACACCGCCCATGAGCGTCCCTTCTGTATATCATCTCCCGTCTAGATATTTATTCAAAACAAAAAGCAAACAAATACTCCTCAGGAATCTTCAGATCTTCTTGTATTTAAAAAACTGTATAAAGTCGCCGAAATTGACCTTGGCTAGAGTTCGGCCAGTTTGGTCCTGCAGTGCACCCGTGACACAAGACTCAGCTCCTCAGTTTTAATAACCCCGTCCACAGTCGGGTTATTCCTAACAGCGTCCACGTATATCATTCCAGCACCCGAAACAAGGCAAGCTTATGCCCAGTCAACTAGCAGCAGATTCGCCAGCACCGTGGCGGCATCGCCGGATAGATGACTAATCTCCCCGGACGTTTTTGGGGCGGAACCGGACGAAATGAATCTGGGAAAGTCTTCGTCATGGATGGAGGAACAGGCCGATAGCCCATGGATAGTTCCTAGATTCCAAGTCTAGCCAGAGAAGCCAGCAGCAATGCCAACGGTTTCTCAAAGCAGTCATATTTCTCCCAACTATCCATGGGTTAGAATCACCTATCGATAGTGTATCTCGACCATTTCAGGCTCCTCGGTGCTCTTTATGACCGGCATCTCGGCGTTGCCCTACTAAACCCATTCTCGGCTTCATGGCCATTGACAAACCAGTCACCTCCGGCAGCGAGGTTGGTCCTGAAGATATGACGGGAGATACGATGTCTACGGGAAGACGGACGCCCTTTGGCTTTAGCGACCTGTCAGAGCCACAGGTGGAGGTAGATGTCCTGGACGAGAGAGTTACGCTGCTCTCGCATGAGCCAGCTGGAGCTGATGGGACGGATTTCTCTTATTTACCATGGTGGAAACGACCTTCTGTGAGAGCTCCTGTGCAAAAATAGCTCGTATCGGGCGTGAGGCTACATCAAATTGCATTATATGCTAATATATGAACTCTCCAGGTCCTATGGCTATTACCGCCGCTACTTCCGTTTACCCTTGCCTTTGGGGGAGTCGCCGTTCCAAAAATCAACCTCATGCTCACGCTGATATGTCAGGAATATCTCTCTGATCGTGCAGCAAAGGACCCTACCTTTACCTATCTACCCGTGATATTTGGAGGGGAAAACCCGCAATGCCGAACCCCGGAGGTTCATGCTCTAGTCTCCAGGTTCCAACTCGTAATGAACCTCGTCGCCGGTGTCCTTTCGGCTGTGGTAAGCCCGAAGTTAGGACTTTTATCAGACGGGTACGGCAGGACGAGAATCATTGGATTGTGCACGCTAGGCACCCTTCTAGGGGAGGTGGTTACAGCCATCGTCGCAACATTCCCTAATTACTTCTCTGTGAATTTTCTCCTTTTGGGAGCGTTCTTCGACGGAATGTTCGGATCTGTTACAGCTGCTGTAGCGCTGACGCAGTCGTATGCCGCAGACTGCACGCCTGCTAGCAAACGAAATGTTTCCTTTGGATACTTCCATGGCGTCCTTTTTATTGGCATTGCGCTCGGCCCACTCGCAGCCGGCTACCTCATCAAAGCTACTGGGGATGTCCGACTCGTCTTCTACGCGGTTGTAGCTTGTCAGGTCATAATGCCGATATTCATCACCTTGATTACCCCAGAGTCGCTCACGAAGGAACGCCAAAAGCGTAACCGAGTGGAGAGGGATATAAAACCTCTGGATATGAATAAACTTCGCCTACAGGACTTCAACCCTCTCAATCTATTGAAGCCATTGTCGGTTCTTTTCCCTCTTACAGACAAGTCTATCACACAAGGCGCCTCCGGGAAATCACGCGTGAAATTGCTACAGCGAAACTTGATCATTTTGGCAGCGATTGACACAGCCTTATTTGGTGTTACGATGGGCACGATGGGGACCCTCATACTATATGTTGAGTATATGTTTGGTTGGGGTAATATCGAGTCAAGCTTGTATGTCTCGGTGTCAAGCACGGTCAGGGTTATCGTCCTACTTGCTATACTACCCCTACTCACTCACTGGCTCCGAAACCGACGCCGCAATACCGCCAGAGAAGGTCACAAGAACTCTGGCTCCGACATGCTTGATATCGGAATCATCAGAGGATCGATTCTCTTTGAGCTCCTTGGATATGTTGGATTTTGCCTTGTCAGGACAGGCCCGCTTATGATGCTCTGTGGGGTTATCATTGCTATGAGTGCCATGGCATCTCCAACGATCAACTCGACCTTAACGAAACACCTACCGCCAGACAGAACAGGTCAGCTGTTGGGTGCCATTGGTTTGCTCCATGCTCTAGCACGCGTCGTGGCACCAACCATACTCGGTTTTGTTTACAGCTGGACAGTTGGGACAATGCCACAGGCTGTCTGGATAGGCTTGGCGGGTTTGATATTCCTGTCCTTTATATCTTCTTGGTTTATTTTACCACATAGTAAGCAATTTCCTTCTATTTTACGTATGCTGTGATTCTTGCCGTTGCTAACTCTATTCCTCTTAGTATACCTACCTGAATCTATGATTGACAACTCCCCGGATTTGGGTAACACAGACTACGTCCGTTCGTCCGAATCCCAGGATTAAAGAATATAAATATACGTGGACGATCCTATATCTATATAATATCTACTTTTCTCCAAATGCGCTTCGCCCTGTGGGTTTGAACGCATGATCAAGGGTCAATATATGTCTTTTTTTTATTAGCTCTTACCGGGCTCAATGTATCTTTTCTTGTATGCATCTCTTATTTATTCTTATGATATCATGTTTTAACAGGGTGGTGAGCAGATTTAATAGGCGGGTTATATCTGAGTATATATAAAGTAGAAGCTATGATATAGATAATAGATCTAAGTACCAATTGGCAACAGGTAGGCTTGCTTGGTAACTTGTAGTTTCTATAGCCTTTTTATGACTACCCATTAACTATTTATATGAAGAACTGAAAAAAGCATCGAGATGCCGGCTTTAGGAAACCAAGTAACCATTATCACTGCCAACCTTACTATCCTCTTTTCGTAACAAGGGAGCAATGCTCACACAATTGCTTCTGGTATCCATGGACACGATCGGATGATGGATTATGTAATCACGTTGTAGAATTGGAAAAAGTGAACTCGCGGCGGAACATGGAACTTCCATCACCAACTCAACGACAGCTACTCTTCCAAACTCAACTCTCGTCCTCACGCATTACCGTTCTCATGGAAAGGAGACGTTTATAGATATTCCCGACCGAATTGGGCCCATTCTGGGTGGTTTCTTCCAGATCTAACCATCCATAGCGTGATCTTCAACAATGTATCGCCCTTCGACCCGAAATATTGTCCCCTCTCGATCGGCTTTACGGGTTTTACGACGATTGGCCTTAGCTGGCTCGACGGCTAGTGCTATTGGAAGCGTATGCACTGTTGCTACGATAACGTACGAAGTAAACCGGAGAGTCAATCTCGCGGAACACCTGGTCGAGCAAAAGCGAACACTCGAGTCGTCATGTCCGAACTACAGCACATCAGGACGAGGGCAAGCGGTGGAGAGGATGATGCAGGCCGCAGAAGCCGGAGAATTCTTAGGCCTTGACTCGATGAAAAAGAGACACTCTCTCGCAGATGACCAGAGTCGAAGCCGGAATGATACACGAGCAGAGATACCGTCGTACCGAAGTCGCAAAAGTGACATAACACCAGAATTCTCGCCAGATCAAGAAATGAGAGACTCTCCAATTCCCGTGGCACCGGGAAACCCTGCCTCGATAATAGATCACTTAAGCCCACCAAGTTCGAGTGTTAAGAATCTTTACCCGCAGGCCATGGCGAACTTGGGCGGCTCTTCCATTAGTGTGGAACAGTCCATTCAATACAAAAACTGGAAATCGAGGATAGAAAAACACTTGGAGCAGGACCAGCCGGTGGAGGCAACTCATCACTTTTTGCGGCCGCCGGGGGACTTTATCAAAGATAACATAGAGGAACTGAAGGAGCTATCTTCACGAATTTTCAAGCAAAACCTGAAAGCAGGCAATACATCTTTAGCAGGCGGCATTTTTAGATGGGATGAGAGGAATGCCGAAGTGTCCCCGAGTTCTTGGGAAGCATTGATGTCGGCTCATGCTTCAAAATGGAATGCTGATTCCCTCTCGGCGCTTTATCTACGTTACGCTGACCATTTTGAGGTATCATACCAACTCCGAGGACAAGTATTACGGTCACTAGTGGACTCGTATCGGCTTGGGGAAGCTAAGAAATTTGTTTTCAAGCACTTGGCAGACGACCAGTCATGCGGGCTGTGTGCAATTTACCTGGGTGGACTGTATGCGAAAAGCCGTAATATGGAACTGGTCGAGACCCAGGCTGGAAAGCTCGCGGGCTCTCTTCTGGGGCTCGGAATACCACCGACGGAGAAGTTATTCAACCCCCTCCTAAAAGCCTACATTGAGTCTGGTTACGACGAGAAAGCCCAGATTCTAGTTGATGAAATGGAATCCATCTATGGCATTGATATCGGCGTCAGGCCGTTGGGATTACTCGCGTATGGAAAAGCATTAAAGAGTGACTGGCAAGGTGTCGAAGAGTACCTTCAGCGAATAAACAACCTAGGGTTGGATAAAATCGGCCGCAAGCATTTCACAAAAATTTTCGACCGCATATTCCTTGAGTATTTCCTTGGGAACTCCGGCGAAAGCATCCAAAACTTTGTATTCGAGGCGATTGAAAAGTACGATATAGAAATGGACGATGTCCTTTTCGAGCATATCATGAATGCTTTCATCCAAAAGGGAACCATGAATATGGTCGACGATTTACTAGCAGTTGCGAAAGCCGAGTCCTGGAAAGTCAATTCAGATAAGGAACATTTCTTACACCTGTTGAGGGACCATAGAATGTCTTGCGAAAAGAGTACTGTAGGTCTATGGCGGATGTTCCGATCATCCCAGCAGAAGCATGGCCGCGCTGGGGCTTCTCAGAGATTACTCGGCTTTGACAAGGATTCATTCCCACTCGAAGAGGCTTACAAACTTCCATGGACGGGGGAACGCACGGCTTGGTCGGAAAAAGTCGAGTCTGTACCGACGGCTGGGAGAGAGGTGGATAAGTTCGTGGCTCTCCGCAAAAGAATGATTCACTGCCTCAACGCTGGTCGGGTGGACGAGGCGTTTGAACTGTTCATCGCGGCTAAGGCGTCAGGGAAAGTCATGAAACAAATTCACATCGAACTGGCTGTTGTTGCCAGCATTATGCGAGGGGGTTGTGCAAGCGATGCTCAGAAAATCCTGGAAGAAGCAGAAACAACATTCCCGGAATTTGACAAGTCGAAACTAGGGTATTCCTACAAGCAAATATTTGAGATCAGGTCCAAGGAGAAAGCACTGAAAATGGCAATCTTCAACTTTTACAGGGTTCTCGAGGCCAACATGATCCCGATAAAACATAACATCGTCGTTAGTGCCAGTGCGTTGCTGATCAAAACGGCCAAACCTGGGGCGGCTCTTCGACTATTCCGCGCAGTCAACAAGGGCAAATACGGAGCCACGGTACCATTCGACGCTGTTGCTGTGAAGATGATTGCCAGGGCGGCAGCGGCTGTGGGGTCCCGGCGGGGTGTCCGATGGGCTATTCTAACGGCAATGAGTCGAAGCTCTGCACTACACAGAGATCTGGTAGCGGAATTATATCGAATAGTTGAGCAGCTCAAGTACAGGGCTACGCTGAAATCCGATGACAGTCCGGATGCGGCCGAGGAGACGCGCTACTACGAGCTAGAATACCTTGAATACCTGGTGAAACTGCTTGACCGGAAAGAAGCCATGCAGAGCGGCCGCAAGGATGATATTGCTATGGCGCCACTCAAGGGAATGGCAGGGAAGACCCAGGACATCGCTTATGCTACGCCAAACGCAAATTGTAACCTCCAAGATCCAACTCTACAAGCCAGCGGTCTAGCCAACACGCTTGCAAACTGGTGCGAGAGGTCCGAGTTTGAAATCGCATCCGGAAAGGAAAGAAAGGGGCCCATTGAACTCGATGGATATATCTGTTCTAAAGAGGGCAGTAAGATATTAGAACCGGAGCTGCAGCTTGGACATGGTTGATTTTCTTTTGTCTTTTGTACATTAATTATATTGATATCTTCGCCCTCGTAGACCGTTGAGCGCCTCGACTACCTAATTTTTTTATCTGTCTGCCTAGAATGGCGCTGCGTATACTTGCACAATACAAGCTATCCTTCTGCTGCATCCGTATTCCTCGCCAGGGCCCTGATCCTACATGTTTAGCCCCTTTAATATCAGGCCATCAGCCAACGTCTCGATACACCTTCACATGTTTTTTGCTTTGGTGGCGTGAGGTACCTTTTCCATGCCAAGCCCAGGTCTTTGGAGTGACCCCTGGGCGAGAATAAATAAATTATACAGACAACGTCAGCTTTAAGCAGATAACACGGTGACGACGATAGTGACAGTGACAGTGCTACAGGTCTCCAGTCCTTGTCCTCCTTCGTTTAACCACCGCGATGATTGCGGAATTCCCTCCAAGCTACCAGAACGGCTCTGCCAATGGGCCAGCGAAGCCACAGAAATATCGCAACGAAGCCGAACAACGACGACGTGAACACCACGAAGCCGATGTCGTGATAATTGGTGCTGGAATAGCTGGGTGTACTCTTGCGGTTGCATTGGGCAACCAGGGACGCAGCGTCATTTTGCTTGAGAGGTCATTGAAGGAGCCAGACAGGATAGTAGGAGAGCTGCTTCAGCCCGGCGGTGTCAGAGCTCTCGAAGAGCTTGGTTTAAGGGACTGTCTGGAAGGGATAGACGCTATCAGGACATACGGCTATGATGTTATATATTTTGGCACTGGGGTGAAGATTCCCTTCCCGAGTGATGCCAACCAAAAGACGCTCGAAGGCAGATGCTTCCACCACGGCCGTCTCATTGTGCGCCTTCGGGAAGCTGCTGCTGCGAACCCAAATGTCACCGTTATTGAGTCAAAGGCCGTTTCAACGATAAAGTCGACGCATACGGGGGACATTCTCGGAGTTCAGTGCGTCACTGACGGCAAACAGGACTTCTATTTTGCGCCCCTGACCGTTGTTGCAGACGGATACGCCTCGACCTTTAGGAAAGAATTTCTCCCTATCACGCCAGTCGCCAAATCCAAATTCTGGGGTCTAGAGCTCATTGACGCAAAACTACCGATGCCAGGATTCGGTCATGTCGTCCTGGGCGATTTCCCGCCTATTTTGATATACCAAATAGGGGAGCACGAGACTCGGATCCTAATTGACATACCAGACAACCTACCCTCCGCATCTGTTGCTAATGGTGGTGTGAAGGGGCACATGCGGAATGTTGTACTCCCTTCCTTGCCTGAGAGTATACGGCCCTCGTTTGAAGCTGCGCTGGAGAAAGGTGGATTCCGGTCCATGCCAAATTCGTTCCTCAGGCCCGTCACGAATAGGATTCCCGGCTTGATGTTCCTGGGTGATTCTCTGAACATGCGTCACCCTTTGACAGGGGGTGGTATGACCGTAGCGTTCAATGATGTCGTTCTCCTCCAAGATCTACTCAGCCCAGAAGCTGTTCCGGACTTCGGCAACACTCAGCTTGTTTTACAACAGCTATCCAAGTTCCACTGGCAAAGAAAGTCGTTAACTTCAGTCATCAATATCCTTGCTCAAGCTTTATACTCCATATTCGCTGCAGGCGGTTAGTACATTCCCATCTACCCCCCTATTCTATTCCTATATACTGACCTCTTCATTCGTAGACCCAAACTTGAAAGTCCTACAACGTGGTTGTTTCCGGTACTTTCAACTTGGCCTTATCGATGGACCAGTCGGACTACTCTCCGGTATAACTCGGTCGCCAATGGTTTTATTTCGACATTTTTACTCTGTTGCCTTCCTCGCTATATGGCTTCACCTAGCCAGCAAGCCTATCTACCTTCTCCCACTGACCCTCATCCAGTGCCTCGTGGTATTCTGGACTGCGTGCAAGGTTATAGTTCCATTCATGTTTTCTGAACTTCTAAGCTAGGTTAGAAAAGAAACTCTCGACGCATCTAAAATGTTTTAATGATTCTACGTGGACTGCCTACCTGCCTGCCTTCTGCATTATATATTTGCATGGTTTTGCGTTTGAAATGCTGAATAACACCCCCCTTCGCCTGTATATACTATCTTCTTTTTCTTTTCCTTGGCCTTTATTAGAAACACTTATTACTTTAATTAATGAAACATTATGGGCACAGAAGAGGAGCCTGCTGATCAGCAATATAATCTGTATGTCAACGCTTCTCTCTAGCCCTACAGAGGTCCCTACCAAAAGCCCTCAATGACCCCTTTCTTTATGGCTAGGTTTATCCTTAAACCTAAGAGTAGGCAAAAGATAATCTTAAAATCTGTGGAATGTGGTTAATTAAGGCCACCCCTAGGCCTGCCCGCTAGGCTTACCTTTTAGGCTTACCTGTTATACCTACACTCAGATATGTTCAAGGGAAAGCTCGACTAAAATATTCTCTTAGGGGTACCTTAGTTAATAAAGGGGTAGTTATGTAGTTAATTGCTAATACAATATCTAGACACAAGAAAGTTCCACCTACAGGAGCCAGAGTCCCATTCCTCCTCTATATTCTTAATAACATTATGCAAAACCCTAGGATCCTTTAATTCCTCCCAGTTACTGCGGAAGTTTTTGGAAGCCCAGGCAAAAGCGTTTAGCTCTTGCGGGTAGAAGTGCTGGTATACTGCCCCGTCTAGCACGCGAAAAGGTACCCTGGGGAGGATATCCTACAATGTCGGAAGGAGGGTAAGGTAGATCCTTCAGAGAGTAGCCTAGCTATCCGGATATGTAAGCGTGAAAAAAGATATAGACTCCATGGATTCACTGCGTCTGGAAGATATCCCATCTAGATCCTAACGTCGCGGCAGCCTGTAACCTTTTTGATATCCTCGAACAAGTTGGGCGCCTCGGTGACTAGACCAGCGTTTCTTTCCCGGTCTCCACCAAAATAGAGGCCAACGAACCTTCCTTGCCCGTCCATAACAAAACTCCCTGAGTCTCCGGGATCACCGAACGTCTCACAGGCGTGAGGTAGTATAAGCAGTGCGGTTCCTCGGACACATTCCTTCTGTCCCTGGCTGTTTGTTACCCAGCCTTGTAAATCGCAAAGCTTGATCCCGTTCACAATGCCTGCGGTGAAGCCAGTTCTCCTACCAATCTTAAAAACATGATTACCCTCAGCTACTGAGGTCGTACCGCTCATAATTGGCTGTGGTGGGCAATATGTAGTGAAAAAATCGGGGCTAACCCCTCCGTCAGGTGGAATCTAGGAATAAGTGTTAGTGATAAATTTTGGGAATCTTTATTCGTTGGGGGTTGGGGGTCATACCTCGTTACTTGTGATACGAGAGTCTTCGACGTCGATTAAGGCCCAGTCTAGAATATTTTTCTGAGGACTGGTTTTAAATCCCGAAGCAGCAAATACTGAACCAAGATGTCGTTTCTGTTGGCCGAAGGAGGTAGCTGCCCATATGGTATCCTCAATTTCATTTATAGCAGCCTGTTGGCGCTCATACAAAATTTTATCTCCTTTTGAAACCGACGGGTCATCGGCAAGAATACGCTGTCGCAAGTTGGAGATACTATGCCGCTTATCGTCGAGACCTTTTTGGTAGCCGGCAATTGCGGACTCGTGGTCTAGTAGGGCTGGATGGTCAAGCCGTATATTATTGGTAGTATCTCCAGGTTGTATTCCATCTTTCACCCACTGGTTATAAGAAGGTGGGGACTCTGATCCCGCAACCACAGAGTGAAAATTCGTTATGCCGAACTTCTTCCATTGCCCCGACGTACTGTTCTGGAGTTCAACAAACCCTCCAAAAGTTGAGGCAGAGTCTGCAGACCCTCGAAGGCCTAAGCTCCCTCCAAGCTTTGCTCTCACGTCCCAATCGCGGTGACCCAAGACCTGGTCGTCGAAGGACGAGCCGTGCCATACGTTAGCGCGGCATATTGCGATGGCCACATCGTGGTGGCCACGGCTATCTAGCAGCCGCACGATTTCGTCTCTGATTGCTGACCATTCTTTGGTGGACTCTTCCGTGACCGTTATAGCAATAGTGATTGGGCCTTCGTGATGGTTTTTACTTCTTCGACGGACGACATAGAGTAGAGTCCAGTCGTTCTCCCCGAGGATCTCGAGGATGGTAGGCCGTAAAATAGTCCAGGATTCAACGAAGGGGTCGGTCAGCGACGCGGGGTAGGTGGTAAGCGTCGGGTTAGCGCGGTCATCAATGATCTCTACATTGAGTTTCATAAACCCCTTAGAACGAAAGAGCTGCAGTATTTCTTTGCAAGCTCTGAACCAGACATCACTCGTCAAGCTATGCTTTTGAGCAATGATAAGCGCTGTGTCGTATTTCTCTCTTTTGCCGGTAGAAGATCGACGGAGTGGCCCCACTGCAATACCCCCGGTAAGGTCAATACGGTAGCAATTGAGGATTTCACGGACTGGTCCTTCAAGATGCTCATCCCAAGCTACATTTAGAGGGTCATTCGGGGTGAGATGATCGTTAAACGCAGGCAGCCTCACTAAATGAGGACCACCGCAGCGGAAATCTTCGTTGTGCACCTCAGCATCGCCTATGGTATAAGCAGCCTCGCTTTCTGAACAACCCTCTACTCTTCTCACTCGTTTTGGGTAAGGGTTAGATGTTCCTGATGAAGTAGAAGCAGAAGGCGGTGGCGTCGGAAGAGGACCAGCGTACGCAACCTCTGAGTTAACGCGTCGTTGGATAGAACTGAACACGCAGTTAACAACGTGAGACATGATGGACAGGAAAGAAACAGAGAAGGTTGTGAACTTTGCGTTTTGTAAGCGTGAAATGACTTTCTGACGAGATAATGGTGGATGGTGGCTCGAGGTAGTAGACGATCTTGACGTGGAAGTATAGGATACTCAGGCAGTAGCCGATCTTGACGTGAAGTAAAAGGAGAAGAAGAGAAGCTGAGCTGGCTGAGGAGCTGCTTAAATACTTCTTGAATCAGAGCTAAACACCGGTCAAGCCTGGAAGCGAATGACAAGAAGTAATAATGGAAGTGAATAACACCATGACTCGACCTGATGTCATGGTGATGGGATATCAAAGTGAGGTAAGCGATGTCATGGTGAATCCGTGGTAAGCGCGATGCTATACCATGGATTCAAAACGGTTATAGAAGGCAGGCTAGCGGGGAGTAACTGTAGACATATACAGCTTCATAATAACGAGGAAGAGAGATACTGTATAAACGGTTACTGAAAGGCAGTACTTGACGTCTGGATGATTTTTGATAGCGGATGGAAGTTGTTTTCTCATATCGGACCTGAGGTGAGGTCATATAGATGAGCACGTGACCATGTCACTCCATGCTACATCCTCGAAGGTTGAAAGGTTGGCAAGAAAACATATGAAGAGATCAGGTTGTTTAATATATAGATTTTTTTTCATTTTTTTACTACTTCTATCTCCACATTCCTAACCCCATAGACGGACCAAAAATTATAGAAATAAAACAGCAGAAATCTTACAGACCCATTCCAATGATCCAAACATTAAAAGAAGAAGAAAAACAAGCTGGATAATGATGACAAAAAACACAAAGGCAAAGGCAAAGGCATGTGCAGGACCATCTGCATCTATAAGGGTGGTGAGAACAGGGAACAAAATAAAAGAACAGAACGGGCTAATATGAGTCTGGAAAAAAGCGGAACAGAAATATTGCTGGGGGTATTAAATGAACACATGAAGAACAAGGAATCCATCCAATTTGAGACAGAAGGTGGAAGGAAAACGAAAACAGGGCAGTATACTATCAACCAGACAGGGCGTTGAGGAACAGCATGCAACGCCATACACACATAGAAAGAAAAAAAAAAGGCAAGGGAAAATTTGCAACCACAATTCATCACTGACATGCTGATTTCTTTTTTATTCCCACTTAGTAAAAGAAAAAAAAGTTTTTGTTCGTTCTTATAGAAAAGGGACCACCAACAAAGGGGAAATGATGCACCTCCATGGCATACACATACATGCTGCTAACCAAAACAATCACACTGGTTGAGTGGGAATGAGGTCCTTGGGGTAACAGCCGATCATTCGAATGCTCGATCTCGTGAAATATGTACTTTTTTTCGATGGTATGATATCGGTTGATAGGCAGCGAGGAAAGCAACCGAGACCCCTTGTCGTGGTTGAGGTTTATATATTAACCCATGTAATCATCGTAGTCGTATGGACTCGTTGCACCGGATCTGACCGTCCAAGGTCCCCGACCAACATCATACCTATATCCCAAGTGAACTCAAATACCCGAAATATAAGACTTTTTTTTACTGCAAACTCCGTCCGCACTGTATCTTCATCCTCCTTTCCTCAGCGACTCGTCTGCAGGAAGCGGCTCCGCGCCAGTCACGGATTTATTTGCTCCTTTCTTGTTCTTCTTTTTCACCGTCGTTGTCTGCCAGCCACCGCCGGTATTAGTCGTGTTCTCGTGGCTATGCCCGTGTCCACCCCCGATACCGTTGGAGATTGGCTTCGTGGTAGCATGCACGCCATTTGGCTTCTGGGCGTCTCTGCCTTCAGCAATATTTGGCACAGATGTCGAATGTATACTGCTGACGGAATGCCATTTCGGCCTTTGTTTCTGTGACACGCCGTTCACATGGTGCTCAGAGTCAGTACCATTCCCACGGCGTTTTATCGTTGGAGATGTGATGCGGGGCTCCTTTGCTGGCATGCCTTTTGAAGATACGGTGGTAGTTGGGTGCGGTTGTGCTGGAGCGTGGTGCGTTGCGTTTCCGTTTCCATTTCCATTCCCATTGACAAGGTGGTGATCATGGCTGTTAATGCCATTCTCATTGATGAGAAGGGACGGGTCGACGTTCGGCGGGTACACTGGCTCAGAGAGCTGAAAACGCTGCAGCTGTTCAGAGAGCGTTTCTAATCTACCTATATGTCCGTTGATGGCCGGCTTATTGCTTGTTCGAATATTTTGGGCCCACCCGTTGATCTGCGGATGATGTTGTTGAACTTCCTGGTGTGGTGTGTTGAAAACGGATTCAGCCTCTTCATAGACCAATTGGTCGGACGGCGATGGTTCGTTGGATCCATTATTCGGCGTATCTTGTCGAGAAGTCCGTTGGCTATGGGTGGAAGAATGCTGCGGGGTGAAAAACTGGTCGCTGTGGTCGTCCTGCGCGGATTGTCGGCGGTAGTCGTTCGCAGGGAGCGAGCCATCAATGATCAGTGGCCCATGATCAGATAGCGTTTTCGGTCGTGTGGGCTGCTGTTGCTGCTGCTGTGGTGGTTGGTAGTATCGACCATTTGTATTCATGTTTTCTTCTTGCTCCAGGGGTATGTCTGATTGCTCTAGGGTTGGCATTGGACAAGGTCGGAACTCGGGCGAGGTATAAAATATGTTACATAGTCCGCTGCTGCGAATTGCAAGTCCGGAATGGCCTGGGTATGATGATGCCATAGAACGACGACCATATATACCCTGGGCCTGGGGCGAATCCCCGACATAATAGCTGATATAGTCTGGCGAGACACCGGTTTCTTCAACCTGACCTGTTTTCAAGTAAAATGATCCCGTACCTGGGAAGCCATAATCCTTTTCTGTCGGGGTCCGCTGAGGCGAGTCAGGTGGCTGGCGTACATTTTGAACATACGGTGACTCAGGTTGGCCCATGGCTGTCGCATAAAAGGTGCTAAAGTTGTTCGGCACACAGGACGATATTGGCCGGGCAGGCTGGGACTGGGCCCGTAGACTGCTTCGTGGAGAGCTATTGGCGACAGATGAGCGGCGGTGATTTCGACGATGATCTGGCGTAGCGTTGGGTAACGACGGGGATGGAGGGTTTGTGGTATTCGATGGAGGTTGCGGCGGAGGGACATTTACAGGAGCAACAAAGGAAGGGTTAAAGAATACGTTTTGCCGAACAGGAGCTGTGAGCGGGCCTTGGTTGTGCATGTTTGCCCGACTTTGAGAATTTTCGTCCGGCGAACCGTTTTCTTGTTGTGGGGGGATGGGAATTTGGATGTACTGTTGGCGCATCATTGACGAGTTACCGCGACTACTTATTATCGCCTGTTTCATGCGTAGCTCTTGTTCCTGGGCCTGGAGAATCTGTATTTGCTGATAGAGATGGTCGTGCAGTAGATACTGAGCATGTTGTGCGTGTTGGGCCTGCAAAGCAATTTCTGCAGCAAAGGCTGCGTTTGGCTGTCTGGGCATATTCGACCGGTTTGCAGCACTGGACGCACGTCGTCCCCCGTTTGATCCACGGTTATAGTGATTCTGATTCCTCCCCCCTCTTCCTCCACCTCTACCTCCGCGCGAATGGATCGGTGGCATAGGCGTGAGAACCGGTCGCGGCTGTGGCGCTGGGCGCTCCCAGACTCGTTCTTCCTCAGGTGGATATTCATACTGTTCGCAACATTCATCCAATTTTCCTTCAGCAATGGCCTTAAACGCTCTTCTCAGCTCCTGGTGGAGGCCACGGAACGACGTGTCATCTGCGGTATTGCCCAAATTTCTCGACGTATTGAACGGTTCTTCCACGCACAGGCGATTATTTTGTAGCAGGTGCCAACCTTTCTCTTCCTTGGATATTAATTTCGCGTGGCGGACCGACATGACACTTTTCTCATAGTCCACCTCGTACGCATAATACCGGAAGAACTGAAATAGTAGCTCGCCTAATGTTGATTTGTTTTCGTCACCAAAACTGCTGAACTTTTCAACGTCATCATCGAACGAAGTATATGAGGTGGAGGAGGTTGTGGAGGTGATGGAAGCGCCATCTGTCGACCCTTCAGATGTAGCAACTCGCTTCTGAAGGCTCGGGACAATGGGTGGCGTTCTTGTTTGTAAGAAGTTGATAATAAGGCAAATCCAGGTATACGAGCTCAGTGTACCTCCAAGTGCTAATGAAATTAAAATTAGTCTCTATATGTAGGGTTATAAATGCACCGCGAGAAAAAACATACCGGCATCATTCAAGATGCGCCGTTTGGTCCAATGCTTTACTAGCATGGCCAACGGCCGGATTCGGTCATCTAGCTCAACATAAGTCTTGATCATTCGCGTATTTTCGAGTGCCAGCGTATTGTTGACATTCATATCACACGCTACCTGCAGCTCCGGATCCCATATTTTGACAATCGGGACCTTTGCGTGCGATACACAGACCACCCGTTCCATCCCACCTACAGTAGGTCAGCAAAGGTTGAGCGAAAAGAGCACGTAGGCGGGGCGGCTTACTCTTGGCCAGAAAGTCGGCTAATACACACACTGGCTCGAAGCATTTGGAGGGTGTCGTTATGCAGATATCGACTATATCATGACAATCAGCTGGTTAATCCCAACCGGGCGTCTACTGGAAGACCTGACATACCATCTGATGCGCTCGTGCAGAGTTTATTCCCCGAAGACCCAAAAACCTTAACTTTGATCTCGTTGCCCGGCCATCGTGTATCCAGCAGCTTCTCTAGTTTCTGTACAAACTGAGCTCTCCTCTGTTCGCTCTCCGTAGAAGGTAATAGCTTCTCATATAGCTTCTTGATGTCCTCACTCAGCCTCACTTCCTTTTCAGGCTCTAGACTCTCCTTTAGCGGGCCAGACTCATCTGGCAGCATATCACTGCCGAGCGAGTACGGCATCCTTCTTCGAAAATGGGCCATGCCCGTCTCATATTTGCAGCCCCCGCCATATTCTTTCCGGACGGCGGGCAGGGTATGATTGAACTCCGAATGCGCGGACCGCGGAGATATACTGCCACGGTGAGGAGAGGGTGATCTCGATCGAAAGGGCAGGTCACGAGGTAGCTGGTAGGGTGTGGATGGCAGGGAGCTCGACTGCTGGGTGGAGAGGGTTGGTCGGAAGGGGAGGTGGTAAGGGATCTCGGTTGGTACGGCCCAGGCCATGGTGGGAGATCTATCTGACGCTATCGGGGAGACGTCACCCTTGCTGTGTGAAGATGCGACATTCCCATTGACGCCTGCTCCCATGAAGCAGCCGGAAGCCGTTGTTCCTCCTCAGTAAAGGTGCCTCTTCGAGATATACCGAACGAACAGGGATAAATTTATATATAATAAGTTTTTTTTTCTTTCCCCGGGGGAACAGAAAGCGGGCAGAGTATGGGTGAGAGAGTCGTCCGTATAGCCCGAGACAAAGGTAGGACCTCCTTATCGGTGAGAGCAGCTTGTATACAGAGATAGATGGAGGTAAACGCGGAATAGGAGTTGAGGGATATATCGAGGCAGGAGAGAGCCAGACGATGACTCGATGGTGCCAGGAACAGCCTCCCAATCGCAGCAAGACGGTACCGGGAGTCTCAGGAAGTCTATTGCTGGCAGACTGAGGCTATACGGGTTGGTTGCGTGCAGAGGAAGGGTGAGGTTGGCTGCCAACAGAACGAGAGACACCACGGATGCCACAGCGGCTACCAGGCGAACGGTCCAGCGGTCGACAGTCGAGCAGGGGGGGAAGCAAGCCACAGGCCGTTGAGCAGGCAAGCAAGCAGACGACGTGATGCTGTCAATGATGCAGTCAATGATGCTGCAATGATGCTATCCTGTATCGTTGAAGTGTGAAGAGTATGTAGGAAGAAAGTGAGTGAGAGGGGGCCCGGAAGTCCGCTTCGGGGTTGGTCGGCCTGCGCGCCCGTAGTACCTGGCCCACGGCTGCGAAACAAACAGGAAAAAGAGACAAGACGAGCGACGCTGGATACTTAGCCGGACGCTCTTATGGCATGGATCTCTCTGGTCTGGCGATCTCGAGGGAGAGACGTTCTAGGTTCTGTCTCTGTCCCCTTTGACCTGCAAACGTTTTTATCTACGTTTTGACTTCCTCTGCTCGCCCGTTCCTACGCAGTGAGCATGGCCCGTTTACTAGCTAATCTGCATACAGAGGGCATCAAGACAGGACCAAGACAACGGAGAAGCATGCGGGCGGTTCACTAGTACGAGGGCCCGATCGTGTGATGGCCTTATTCAGTCGCATGCCCATACTACATGTTACGCTCCCATCCCTATGGCCGAAGAGAGGACAGCACGAAATAGGGAAGCAGGAGAATACACACACACACCCACATCCCCAGAGCTAGTGGGAAAAAGAAACGAGCCGAAGTTTGCTCCTGTACTATGTACGCCTCTGCTCGATGGTATCTTCAAAAGGGCTTCGCTCCAGGTGCTTCAGGTCGGACAGACGGACGCTCGATGGGCTCTATATCTACGCCGTCCTTCCCCCTTGTTTTCGTCCCCCCCTTTCCCCTAGACAGGATCGCTCGACAGAACGAATATCAACCGGCTTTCTAGTCTTCCTAGTTAAACCTCCCCTACCCCGGACTTTTTCTTCGAGAATTGTTCCTTTTTTTTTTATTTTCTCCATTTCACCAGGGCCCTTACCCAGGTCTCTCGCCTCCTGCAAGGCCCTGTACAGCGCGCATCGTGCGCCTAGTGCTTGATTCTCATCCAGGATAGGACACCGGCTCCCGTCGTTGGCCTTACCGGCCTCTCCCAATATATGATGTACACCTATCAAACGCATCTATCCGGCCAGAGAGAGAGGATAACCTTATTTCTTTGGGATTCCATTCTCCAAATTACCCGGTCGACCATACGGAACAAAGAAGGTATCTTTGGCTTTTGGCTCTGGGTTTGGATCTGGGTTGCCATACGTTGACCCGTGGGCACATGGAGAGAGGGACAATACCATATCTGCACCCGGCTGCGGCTTGACATACCCTCTTGCCCAATAGACAATGGACGACCCCTCATAAAGTATCGTATACTCTGCATATGTACGTGTGGATGTGTATCCTCGAGCTGTGTATGGCTCTCCAGCCGGCTCTTCTCATTCACCAATTCAGCAGCCCGTATATAGTACATATCATGCACGCTACAGCAGGAATTATATTAACTATCTTCACCCCGCGCCACGAGGTAATATCCGAAGACAATCCCAGCACCCCAAAATAGCAATGTCCCATTGTCTACTAGCCACTCCGAAGTATATAACTTTTTTTAGGTTCTTTCGCCCCTTTAGAAAACAAAAGCCGCTGTGATGAAACAAAGGGTGGATATATAATAGTCCCCTTGGCTAGCGAGCTTTGGCCGAAAACAATTTAATGATGGATCTCCAGAAGGAGCTTCTCTCCATATATGATTATCGGGTCTGGATACATGATGTCTTACTGCTTCGTGTGATTCGGCGTCGGCGGACTTACTTACGTGGTTTGGTGGAGAGTGTGTATGAGATGTCTCTTCCTTGCCGGGGTTCAAGGACAAACCATGACCAGGGAAAGGGGGTCAAAACGTGGTGATTGTCTTCTTCACGAATCCCAAGTAATGCGAAAGGGGAAGCTTGTTCTCTACGTAACTCACATGGTCGAAGGGGGCTGGAGACGTGTACCATCTGGACGTCGGTGGTAGCGAGCCCATCCATGGCCTATATCATGCATAGTAAGGGTAGAACTTATGATGGCCGTCTCTGCAGATGACATCTTAGCACTCCTTATGCTTCTCGCATGTGTAGTCATGCCATGGCCACGGCCACCTCGTCTCGTATTAGCCTAACGTGCCAGTGCATATTGCGTGATGCACATCATTTTCGCGGTCGATCAGCCGCTGCTGGCTGATGACTTCCCTATCTCGACATCCATATAACACACAAAGCCTGGCGGGAGTGGGTAGGATATGCCTCGGAGAACACCTTGGTGAGGTACCACCTTGAAAGCACTAAATAGCTATATAAAATAGCCAGACGGCGAGCGGCAGAGATGGCTATAATCTTCCTTCTCTGTCCCCTGCATGAACTCACCTCCAAGGTCGAGGCTATCTCCGGCACGCTCTGTCTGTCTGTGGGCCTCTCCAAGGCGCTATTCATGTATAGATTGTACGGAGTTCATGGTAGGCTTCTGGAAAGGCGCTGGAATGGACAGCCTGCAACAGCCATAGAGCAAGGTCCCTCCTTGCAGCCGGCTAGAGCAGGAGTCTTGACGATTCCAAGAGACGGACAAGCGAGAGAGAACTGGGGAGAGCATGTCGTGAGTTCGTTCCATGAGAATATCTCCGGTGAGATCGATGCATTTCCTCGATGGTTCCTCGCTACATCCCTGACTCGGATGACATGACCAAGATGTAACCAGACACGATATCTGATGCCTCAGATCGGCCCAGCTAGGAATAAGGCTGGAGTCGAGCGTGTGCTGACAGCCGCTGGTGGTAGGTGGTGTATTTGCTTTTGATTTCTCTCCCTCTCTCTCTTTCTGTCTCTCTATTCCATCACTCTGTTTCCTCCTGGATTTACTCCGTACTGTCCATGCTGTGCTCCTGTACTCGCTGCTGTAGCTGTGCCTGTGCGACTGCTGGCCGTAGAATCGCGACCACGTCTTCCTCGACACCGTATACCCCTAGCCATGTCCTCCGTACCCTTTATATCCCCGTATTTCGACTGCAAGAATCGAGTCAATGTCTGTCGATGGGCGTCCGAAACTGTCGCGATGTTTCCTGGAGCGTCCTGATACCGTCTCGTATGGTAAGCGTACTGTAGATTTGCGGGGTCGTGTCCCTGTTCCTGCAGTGTAAGGTCCGTAAATACAATACGTCGGTCGCTCCTCCGACCACCTGCGCCCATTTGCCGCATTTTCTAGTCGTATTTCTCCTCATCTAATTTTTTTTCCCTTCTCTCTCCCTCGAATCTCTTGTTTCCGTCCCCCTTGCACGCCGACTCAAGCCCGTTCATCGTCGTCTTTCTCTTCCGCATCCTCGCCTTCTTCGCCGTCTCACGCTGCTCGTCCTAGTTGGCTTCTCTCGCCGTCGAACCGCGGACTGCTCGCTCGCTCTCTCGCTCCTCTCTGGCGATAGGCTGAGGGACGTCGCAGACTCGCAGCTGGATCCCATGGGTTGCTAGGACCGACGCTACAGGTACTTTCTTGGAAAACGGCCGTTATCGTGGTGAGTGCTCTCTCTCATTCTCTCTTCCTCTCCTGACGGGACAATTGAATCTGCATCCTCGCTTTCTCCCCGTTGACGGAGCTGTGGGAGTGAAGTTAAAGGCCTTGGTTATACGTTGTCCTCGGTCTCGTCGTTTACTTCACACGATTGATATGGATTGATATACTGACTCAACCACTGCAGTTTGCGTTCTAGCTCTTCGTCGGTGTCATTCTTTACGCATCGTCCCTTTTTTTCCCTGAATCCGGAATTTATAAGCAAAAAGACATTGAACCTCGACCCCTTGTCGCCCTAACCACCACCACATCTGCAATAATGGCATACTACGAACCACAGGGCTGGCAGGCTCCGATGCGCCAGGCCTCCTGGGAAGCTTCCGCGCCTCCCTCGCGATCAGGTATACTTATATTGCAACACACATGAGCTTTTTGATGGCAGAGGTTGATTGATTTGGTGGGGGGGCAACAGGTACTAGCTCGACCGTGCAGCGAGAACCCGAGTCCAACGCCTTCGCTTCTCAATTCGATGGTATGCTCTACAAACACACAGTTCTGGTGCAAAAAAGGGGTGGCTGTGCTAACCGTGTATGAAATAATAAAAAGAGGTGGAACGGGCCCTTGACAATCTGTCGAAGAGCGGGAAGACCTTTGGTGGCCTTCCACGTCGAGACTCTATGCCGATGATGATGGGCCGACCATACGAATATAGCGGTATGTCTATGGACACGACGTCCCCGGTTGGGATGCCAGCTACTGATACTCGAATAGATCCCCGTTCGATGGGAGCCATGGCATCCCCCCGTCACCATTCGATCAGCGACTACGACAACGTCCGTCCGCATTCGGCATCGAACCTGCAGGGCTTCTATGCCGCACAGCGCTTCCAGGGCCGTCCCAACGAGAGCGAACAGATGATACAGGCGAAGCGTCGACTGGCTGCCCAGCGAGAGAGAGAGCTTCGCAATTACCACCAAGAACAGCAATACAATCGAAGTACGTGATATGTTATCATACCTTCATTTATATTCAGCCGCGAAGCTTTCCACCTACCCGCATATACACCCACATCTACCACGCTCCTACCTTATTATTTACACCCTGGATATTCCCATCTATCTCTCTCTTTATTCCTGTTTTGTACATGTTTTTTTTTCTTCCACTATACTTTGTATTTGTACTTATATCTTAACCTTGGCATGTTTTGGTTGGAAAAAGGCCTTCTTGCCGATATCTCAGGAGATAAATCCGACCGATCCATGAGCCCTGCGGCCATGAACGAAGAAAGCCGCCGCGACCTGATCGCCCGCCAGCACCGCGCTCTCTACGGCAATGACTCCGCTGTTCAGACCCCTACCGCCGGCCAAGGTGATGAATCTCACACGCAGCAATCCGGTACTCCCACCGCCGGCATCACCAGCGGCCGTGGTGCATCCCCTCGAGGCGTCGACCCATTCCTGGGCCAGTCTCACGTCGACAACCAGAACCAATCCTCCTCTAGCGCTACCGGCCCATCGTCCGCCGCCGCCCGCACTCGATCCCCAACAACTACGGCCTCTCCGCCCTCTAACAACAACCAAGGCGCGACCTACGGCGTCTTTGAGTCGAGCCAGCAGCAACAGGCACATTCCACTACTTCTCCCGCCGGTAAGGGAGCCACTGACTCATCCCCTTCCCGCGTAGGCCCTATCGGCTCTCGCCCTTCTCAGCAACATCAGCCAACACGTCAGCAGCAGAAGCAGCAGCAATCCACATCTAACCAGAGCCCTAACCCGTCTCTATCCTTACGTTCGACCACCCCTCTCCCTTCCCCGCTTGGGTACCACTTCTCGCCCAATGAAGCCAACCAGTCCTCTACCGACAACGGGAACGGGAACGGGACGGGCCCCGGCAACGGAAACGGAAACGGAAACGGTACTCAATCCAACTCCTCGGCTGCAACTAACAGGTCTGCGTCGGGAACTAGTGCCGGCCAATCCATCAAAGAGTCCTCTCCTACCAGCGGACTCTGGGGAAGCCGCGGAGTAGGAGACCGCAATGTCCAATGGGGCACGAAGAACCCGCTTGGCGTACAGGCCTCCGTCTGGGGCTAATCGATCGCCTAACATGCAAACCAATCCCCAATCAATCATCTTGGAGGGTATTCATTTTTATCAAAAAAAAAGCTATTATTAATAGCAATATTTCCTGTCGCGTTTGTCGTCTATTTTTGCTTGACTCTATCTAGGCTGGCGGGTTTTGGCTGATGGTTGTTGGTTACCTGACTGGTTGCTGGTTTCTTTTTCATTTTCATTTTTTTTTTTCGGTTCTGGGCGATGCAAATGTTGTCTACTCTTCTTTCTTTTCTATCTTCTGCCCTTTGGTTATATCCTGTCGTTCAAGGGATGGAAACGGAGTCCACAACTCTTTAATCACCTATCTGCTTGCCTTGTATTGGGGTTTATATTTATTGTCGTCATCGGAAGGAGGGTGAAGGGACTTGAACTGGACCGGAAATGTTTCTGCTGTTTCTCTCGTTTTACTTGCCTTTTACCTGGGTGTTGTTTAATCGCTTTTTATGTTTGTGTTTACCTGGGTGTGGTGTGGTGTGGAGTGGCCATAGATAAAGACAGGCGCAACTTCGACTGTCTAAACTGGCTGTATTGGAAGCCTTGGGAATTGGACTTTTTTTTATCTCCCTACTATTTCCCCTGTCGTTTTATCGTTTTACCATTCCGGAGTTTTAATTGCATCTTCCTAGGCTGTTTCTCTTTCTACTCTCTCCTTGCGTTCGCTCGCTCGCTCTGCTTGCTATCTAAAATGTTGTAATCTTCACTCTTCCTATACCTGCCACCTCGCTTGCAAGTGGTTGCTTTTTCTCTAGGGCTGGAATGGACTGACGGAATGGACGGAGGCATGGATGGGATATTAGCACTCGTGACAAGAGGATTTCAATTGACTATATTACTTGGCTGCTACTTGCTTCTTCCTTGCTCGTGTTAAGTCTGCCTTGTCCAGACGTCTGGATACGAAGCAGCTGGTTTCATGTATGAGATGACTTTTTATTTCTTATTAATTATGTATTGAGAAGTAATGTAAATTAACCAACGTATCCGTACTCCGTTTAGTTTTGATGTAGACGTATAACATGTGCCAAAGAATAGCTAGACGTTGTTGCTAGCAGGCTCTTCGGTGCCGTCTTCTCTTCTTCTAGCAGTGCCGATACCAACGACTCCACGCTCCTGGTCCTGACCCAGCCAGGGCTTCATAGCTTCACCCAATACCTGCCGGCCGAGATAGTACACGAACTGGCCGATGATGATAAGCACAAAGGCGATTGGGTACAGGAAGTGGATGCGCAGTCCAAAGACCTTGATACCAATCACCACTCCCCAGAAGTTACTCGTGAGGAGCGAGATGTTGAAGAAGGCCGCGCTCGCGAGACGGAAGAGTAGAGGTGCCAGACTGTAGAACAGGAACAAGCACAGCGTGTATCCGACGAGGTAGCCAGCCACTGCACCGTTCCAAACCGCACTCTGGAACGAGGCTCGGTCGAAGATTGCCGCCTGCACACCCATGATGACCGTTGCGTATAGGCCCAGTTGACCCAGCACTTCGTACATCGGCCGTTTGCTAACAAGGTATTCCTCTGCCACGTTCGTGAGGCCGTAGAAGGTCGCACCCAGCAGGGCAAAGAGGTCACCCTTGATCAGATCCGAGCGAGATTTTGAGGGCCCACCGCTGTTAACGCCCGTGATATGGTCCGAGCCAAAGAGCACGCCCATCCCGCCAATACAGATGAGAATACCAGCATACTGGGCCCAATGGTATCTAACACGCAGCAAGGTGAAGGAGATGAGCACGACAATAATAATGGCCCAGAAGTTGATGAGCTGGGCGCTGAGAATGGTGGTGTAGCGGTATGCGAGGACAATGAAGTAGTTGCCCTGCACGTCACAGAAGGCGAATATGAGGTACTTCCACCCTTCGCGGTAGACGGTTTCGGTCCATCGTTTGAGGCCGTAGCGGTATAGGGTGAAAGACGTGTATACAATCGCGAGCAGGATGTAATTGAACAAGGTCTGGAAGGACGGAATGGAGGTTCCTGCGGCGGAGAGGAGGCCGGAGAAGGTGTTTGTGGCCGTGATGCAGAGTGCGAGTATTTGCCTATCCCCGTCAGTTATACTCTATCTTTTTATACAGCTGGTACACACACCCTAGGAACAAGACGATGTAGAACTGCTTGGTGCGGAAGTAGGCAAAGTAGCTCTGCTTCGGCGTGGCGTCGTCCACTTCCACAGCCTCCCGCGCATCTCCGTTCGGACTCTTCATCAGCGGTCGAGCAGCGGAGGTGCCCTCTGAGGGAGTCGACCTGGCCGACTGCACGGTTTCATCCGGTTTGTCCATGGCGCAAAATACGCTGGAGCAGTATCTCGAGTGGTATCTGGAGTAGCTCTGGTGGGGTTGACCGGGAAGATGAAGCTATGGAGGAGACAAGGGGGGAGCTTTATAGGAGGAAGCAGACGCAAAACTCCTGAAGTCGTCTGCTGATCGATCGATGCCGTCGAGACGGGCGGGGGATTAATACGAGCTGCTGTTCGATGCGATGCGATGTGAATGGAAGACGAGAAGCGATGCAAGATGCGAGATGGAAGAAAAGAAAAAAAAAGCGCTAGAAAAAGTAAAGTTTGCGCTTGGTTCCATGGCGAGGCAGAGGAAGTAGACTCGGACACGAGAGATAGGCCAGGAGAGAGATATCTGCAAAGAAAAGGTCAATAGCGAAGCGAGAGCGAGTTGTATAGAAGTTGTATAGAGCTGAAGTTGAAGTTGAAGTCGAAGTTGTAGTCGAGCCGTTGGCCGTTGAACGCATAACAGTAGTATTAGATAACTAAGTATTAATATAAGGCAGTGATATCAGTGGTCTACGTCAATAATAGCAGGATAGTAGCAGTAATAACAGGTGATAATAGTGATAATAGTGATAATAGTAATGATAGTGAATACAGAATAGATATCGGGCGGCAGAGATAGACGCAGTAAGCGAGGTACTTATAGGTACATTTACTTACTTATAAAGCTGGTGTTGGCAGAAGTACTGCTAAGTACCATCAGGCGATCATCAGCGTCTTCACCTTCGCCCTGTCCAGCATCAACTTCGACTTCGACACCAACTTCGACATCGACATCGACGACGCCCTCGACCGACATCGACATCGGTATTCACGTCCTGCTGCCACGCTGGTGCTCTTCTGCTCGCCTTCCTCTTCTTCTCCCTCTGCTTGGTCGGCCTGGCGGTCCTGCAGCTCGCCGTCGCGTGGCCGTCCCCTGCTGGCTGGCGCCCATCTCTTCCACCCTGGCCCATCCACACCCGCCCTACGTATATACCGACCTACATGCACTCGCGCCCGTCCGTCTCGCCGTCGTCAGCACACTCGTTCTAGGAGAGTCGCCCTACGTCCGTCCGCCCTTCGACGGGCTCCCTCTCGATCGCCGCAGACCACCGCGCTGCGCAGCCGAGGCAGAGTTTGCGCGTCATCAAAACCACCACACACGACAAGAGATAGAGTCATACACCACACTGTACATACGGATAGGAGGGCAGTGCCTCTCTCTCTTCCGCGGCCATGGCCATGTCCTTCCCTGTGCCGCCGCTGAACGACCGGAAGAGAGTCAAGGTCTACGAGCTGCGGAACAACGACTGGTTTGACCGGGGGACCGGTTTCTGTACGGGCCAGATAACAGATGTATGCTTGCAACCATCATTACCACCTTGATGTGACGTGATGAGGTCGGAGCGATATGCTGACGGAACAGGACGAACCTAAAATACTGGTCGAGTCCGAAGACCAGCCAGATCGCATGCTGCTAGAGACACGCATATCAAAGGAGGACGGATACCAGAAACAGCAAGGCAGGTCTTTACAGGTCTACGTCTATCAGCTATATAAGGCTAATAACTGGTTGTAGAAACGCTGATAGTATGGACGGAGCAGAACGGCACGGATATGGCGCTGAGTTTTCAGGAAGCAGAGGGATGCGGAGTGATATGGTATACATCCTGTCCAGCAGAGGCAAAAAGACACGCGACAGTTAACACTCGATAGGGACTTTGTGCGCCATGTTCAGCAGCATCTGGCTCCCCTGGGCCCAGGTAGGCCGTTACCAGCTATAAAGTCGCATTGTTATGTGTTTTTTCTTGCTGACCGGTGGAATAGATGACGCGCTGTCGGACGATGCGCTCGACGGCCTCCCCAGCGCAATCATGCTCCCTTCGCCAGACCTCACCAACCTCGCAGAGATAGAACACCTCATAGTTGGCGCCAGTGCCACCCAGCCCGGCCGTGACGCCATTGCCCGCTTCGTAATTCAAGAACACTACATCATGAAACTCCTCCCTCTAGTCTCCGTCGCCGAAGATCTCGAGGGCCTTCCCGACCTCCACCGCCTCTGCAACATTATGAAAGCTCTCATCCTGCTTAATGACAACACGATTATCGAACAGGTAGTCTCCGATCCCGTCATCAGCGCTGTGGTCGGTGCGCTGGAATACGATCCCGACTTCCCCACACACAAGGCAAATCACCGCCAATATCTTAACGACCGCTCCCGCTACAAGGAAGTTGTCCCCATCAAGGATCCCATCATTCTACGCAAGATACGACACACATGGCGTCTGCAGTATCTCAAGGACGTCGTCCTGGCGCGCATCCTCGACGATCCAACCTTCTCCGTCCTCAACTCCCTCATCTTTTTCAACCAAGTCGACATCGTCCAGCACCTGCAGACCAACGGTGCCTTTCTCTGTGAGCTCTTTTCCCTCTTTGCGCCAGAATCAGCTGCGTCAGATGCCTCCAGGCGCGAAGATGCAGTTCAATTCCTCCACCAATGCATGGGCATTGCCAAAAACCTGCAGGCCCAATCCCGCGGGAACCTATTCGCAAATCTCATTAATCACGGCCTCTTTTCCGTCATCGCATTCGCCGTCAAGCACCCGACTCCTGCAATACGAACAACGGGTATCGATATCCTTGTAGTCCTACTAGATCATGACCCTATCACGATGCGCGGGTACATGCTTAAGGCGTTCACAGATAAGAAATTGCCGCTCACAGATACCTTGATTGACCTGCTACATACGGAGACGGATCTAGGCGTCAAGAATCAGCTGGCTGATGCATTGAAGGTGTTGCTTGATCCGCAACCACAGATGCAGGAGATGAGATCGGGAGAGGTAGTTAAGATGCGTCAGGGCCAGCAGCAAGGCCAGGGACAGGGCCAGGGACAGATTCAAGCCCATCCAATTGCTGATGCATTTATGCAGAACCATTTCGACAGCTCGGCGCAGAGACTCTTTACGCCATTGACCCAGCTGGCGGGGAAGTCTGATCGTATGTAAATTCCGATCTTTCTTTGTTCTTGAAATGAGTACTAACGAGCTGTATAGTATCCAACCTGACATTCCAAGAAGTCTCTCTATTTGCACACCTTGTCGAAATACTTACCTTCTTCGTCCGCCAACACCCAATCCGCAGTCGTTCCTTTATCCGAGAAGAAGCTCTCATCCCGCGCGTTGCGCAACTCTTCACCGTCCCCCAGAAACACCTCAAACTAAGTCCGTACCGACGCATAAGCTAGATATCCCCAGACATTAACTCCCTGGCTAACATGTTTATTTGTTTGATAGTGGCCCTTAAATTCTTCCGCACCCTCGTCAGTCTACACGACACCTTCTACCACGCCCAACTAACACACAACAATACATTCGACCTTATACTCAACGTCGTCTACGAAACCATGCCCCGCGACAACTTGCTCAATTCCGCCTGCCTTGAACTCTTTGAATTTATCAAGCGTGAAAACATAAAACCCATTATAGCACATGTCGTTGAACGATATCGTGAAAAGATACAGCATGTCACGTACGTTGATACCTTCCAGAACCTGATACTACGATACGACCAGATGCAGGGATACGGTACGAACGCAAACGCTGGTACGGAAGGTAGCGAAGCAGGAAGTGCGATGTTCAGCCAGGACGAGGCCACGCCGACGCCAACGAGGATGATTATAAGCGGCGGCCAGCGGTGGGGAGCAATGGGAGTGCGCGAGATGGATGCTGCGGAGGAAGAGTACTTTGATACCTCAGATGACGAGGATGATGAGGTAGGATTCTTCTCGTGGGATGATGACACCGCTGCTACTGCTAGCAGTGGTGAGGGTGGAGGGTCTGGACAGAGAACTGTGCAGCTCATGCCCAAGGTCTTATTACAGGTTAAACGGTCCGAGAACGCTGCTCTGTCGGCGGCCGCAAACGGCGCAGCTACCAAACCACTCGTCGACTACCCCGATGACGACGATGACGAAGCAATGCTGAACGAACAGCCTCAACCTGATGAGCAAGCTGCGGCCACTCCATCGACATCAACACCTCTTTCGACATCTACCTCCCAGCCACAGCCACAACAACAACAACAACAAAAGCAATTAGAACGTTTCTCCTTTTCCGAAAAACGACGACGCCAGGACGACGATGATGATGATGAGCTTATCAAGCTTTCCTCAGGCCCCAAGCGGCGGAACTCAGTCACTGGCTCTAACTCTGTTTCTCCCCTGTTTCGTGGTAATGGTAGCGGTAGAGGGAAGAAGGGACTCAGCTTGAGTCAGCGTTCTGCGAACGCCAACAATGGACAGGATAAAGAAAAAGAAAAAGAGAGAGGGAAAGATGGGTCGAAAGACGGCGCTGCTACCCCTGGAAAGAAAATAGCCATTAACTTGAACGTTTCACCGTCGACTCGCATTGCGCTGAAGAGCCAGGATCCGAATGGCTCTGCGCCAGTCTCTGCAACAACGACGGCGTTAAAAAAGAAAGACGAGCCTGTGTCTCCTCTCCCTGCCACTGCTACCGCAGTGGCTAGTATAGGCGACAGCGATAGTGACAGCGGTGGTGGAGACGATGGCGGCGGCGGTGGTTCTGATAGTAGCAACGGTGACGCTACACCGTCGACCACGCCCACACCTGCAGCGACGGCGACAGCAACGGCAAGTTAAAACAAAAGTCCATCTATTAGAGAGATAAACACCACTCTACGCTACGTTACGAATGTTATGCGACTTGACTTGCATTTGCATTTGCGAAGCTTCTACGCATGCCTTTTATTCGAACCATGCCTGATCTTGTACTTGACCGACCAGCCCTACCCTACTCCGCTCCGCTTTATTTTACTCAGGGTATTTCCCCTGTTCTTCTTTTCATGTGATATCCTTATACAGTATACTCCTTTTATTCTGCATGCCTTAAGTTAGATATACCAGATACCAGATACCAAAGCAAGACCGAGGAACGATTGATTGGGTGTTTCAGGTCCAGCTCGGCTTTGCGATATTACCCCCTTGGCCATATTGTTGACTATCACCCCTGAGTTCCCATCTACTCCCTCTTTGCCCTTCCGCCGCTTTGCTTTCTTCACCCTTTTTCCCCTTGCATGCATTCTCTAGTGGTCGCCAGGGTCGGGGTCAGGTCCAAGTTCAAGTTCAGGTTCGGCAGGGAGGAGCAAGATCAGGTTTTCTTTTCCATCTGTTCTTGTACTTGATAAACTAAACTCGGGCTCTGCCTTAGAGTTGCTTATTGTTGCTATTGTTGCTGCGCTTCTTTGAGATAGTAATGGAACGGAAACGGGAACGGAATGGAAGCTGCTCTGAGGTCAACTAAACTGTGGAAAAAGCAGTAACTATTTAATAAAACTTATTTCATGTTGTAATCGTTGATTTGTAGTAATCTTCCTGTCTTCGTAGGCCGCATTTAATGTGTGCGGGTATAGCTACAGGTGATGGGCGTGATATCTGATGTCATTCCTCGCTCCACTGGTTAAATATGAGGTGAGCCCCAGCAGTTGGCAGCTTCTTTCATCCCATCCCGATGAACCCATTGACAAACCGTCTATTCCATAGAACATCCCATTTTCGTTTTAAATCGGCCATCATGTCATCTCGTTTCTCTAGTTTAAAACCGCACATCACTCCCAACTCATTCCTGACATATGCCGCCGCCGGTGCTGGTAATGGGCAAGGGAACATCGCTAGCAACCCAGGGACCTCAACCATTGTCTACTTCATATCGGGAAACCCAGGATTGATATCCTACTATCATCTTTTCTTCTCTTTGCTTTCTTTGGAGTTGTCTTCGCACAATGGGTTGTCTACACAAGAAAACTCATCCTCATACATCATCCGGGGTAGAAGTCTAGGTGGCTTTGAAGTCCCCGATCATCGCTCGGAAGTGCGCCAGCAAGAGCAGGACGATGGGAAGGATAAATCTGCCCGTCTTTACGGCCTCAAGGATGAAATTGCATTCATGGAACGGGATTTGGAAGAGTTTGTCCGCACATGGCAGGATTCTATTCAAACTGAGCACGGGTTGGAAGAAAAACCAAGGGCAAACGTCATTATCATGGGCCATTCAGTCGGCGCCTACATAGCTATGGAAATCATGAGACGGAGAAGAGAGAAATTGGGATTGCAGGCGAAGATGGGTAACAGGACAGCAACCCAAACTACATCTCACCAACATGAAGATGGGCTTCGACTCGATATCATCGGTGGTATCATGTTATTTCCTACTGTCGTGGATATTGCAAAGTCCCCTAATGGGAGGATATTAACGGTATATCTCTCCCAAGTCGGGGTAAATCAACCTATAAATCTGGTATGGCTGACAATTGTCCTAGAAATTGCTCTATATCCCATACCTACCTCTCCTGGTTAGCGTGCTTGCGAGGTTCCTCGTCTATATACTACCTGAACTGGTATTATATCGCATTGTTAGCCTTGTTATGAAGCACCCTCGGAAAGAAGCAGTGGAAACCACAGTGTCGATGTTAAGGAATGCTTCTATCGTCAGACAAGCCTTGTAAGTCGCCTCGTGCTACGGAATATGTGTACAGGGTCCATTGCATTTTCCCAACAGCTAACTCCATCATTCGTCTTACAGGCACATGGCAGCGGATGAAATGTGTGAAATATCTGTTGATAAATGGAGTGATGAGCTATGGGGATTTAGTAGCCCACTCGACGCGCCAAAAGATAAGCTTACGAAGATGGTCTTTTATTTTGGCCGGAACGACCACTGGGTTGCCGAAACGACAAGAGAGGAGATAATCCAGTCCAAGTCAAATGCCACACAAGGCGCCCCAGGTCCGGTGTTGACAGTATGTGAGGATGGGGTTGTTCATGGGTTTTGTATTGGTGAGTACTCCAATTGGCCTCTTGATAAGTTCCTCCAGTCACTAACCTTTACGATCCAGGGCACAATGAGATAATGGCGAAGAAAGTTGGCCAGTTCATCCGGGGTATTGTTAAGGAGTCCAAAGATATTGATAGATAGAGTGTCATTCACGCGTAAGAAAACTGTAATTCTATAGACCGACCCCCCAACGCCATTTAGCGATAAACGGATAGAAAAACGCCGAGCAATGATCAATGGGTATCAAATTTCGCATGAAGCAGCTTTTTTATAAGACTAGAAATCTTGTTACTGTCTTTGATAGCCTATACTCGCGCTGCGAAATAACTCTCCCAACACATTATTTCCACCTGATGGGTAAGGTAGTGTTTGTCCCCAGTTCCCCTGTTGATGGGAACGCGCTGGCTGATGTGAAGGTGGAGGGAACGGCATGACGGGCGGCCCTTCATTCCCGTGCACCGGACTATGCACCTTGACACTCCACTCGTCATCCTGCGCCCTCTGCTGTCCAAATAGTTCCTTTAGCGAAATCTGTCGACCCATAGGCACACCGCCCTGTGAGGGTTCCTCATGGCCTGCACCATCATAAGTGTGCTGCTGCGCAGCATTCCGACTTCGTTCAGCAGCTAGTCGGTCCTCGGCAAACTTCCTGCTTTCTCCCGCATGCACCGCGCATTCCTTGATGACTTGCGCATTTATCGACCTCGCCTCCGCTGTTGAGCTTGGAGGGGGTTCTGAAAAGATCCATATTCCATATATCATCGCTTTTCGGCCTGGGGAAGTTGTTATTGCACCTTTGCCGTGGCTTTCCTGGCCGTGGTCGGGCTCGTCAACCTTCAATATCACGTATTCATCTGTAATCTCAATATCGTCTCCGGTCGACAGCTTGACGTCAAAATTGTCCATTCCTCGCCGGTTAAGTAGGAACACGCTGTATCTCTCCTCCCCTATCTCGCCTTGTGTAAGCTGGCAGACGAACAATGTCCCTTCGACCCCGATCTTCTCCCATAGCTGTGTGGTTGCGTTGAAGAGGTAGACGACTGCGTACTGCGCGAGGGAGAGGATCGAGGATATGGATGGGTCATGGCGCCGGAGGACGGCGAGGTTTAGCTCTTCGTTGGTCTTCGTCGGGGCTGGTACAGGAGCTGTCTCTGGGTATGTTGTAGAGCTGTCTGCTCCGGTATATGGTAACATCTTTCACTCTCGGTTTATCGGCTGCTGTTCGCGTAGCCAGAAGTGTTAGACGTAAATAAATCGTTTCCGTGTTCCTCTCAAGATTGCACAAGGTTGTTTGGAGTCAAGCTGCTTTGCCTAACTGTCGATATGCTTGTACGGAGTAGCTGTGGTGTTTCTGGTGATAAAGTACCATCTTAGTCATCCCCCGCGAAGCCGGGATATCTCCAACCACTTCTGCTACCATCTACACGATATCTTGTATATTTATAGATATTAATTAGGAATAAACCACAATCATAGACAGTATATTCCAAGTGTACTCCGTGTATATGCCCTGTTGGCAAGTTCTATTTTGTAGTGTATAAATATCCGGATGTTGACGCACTATACCTAAGTAATGTTAATAACATCACATCTCAAATCTCCTAACTAAGCACCATCCTCCCATAACTCCTTGGTAGAGAAGATGGCTTAATTACGAGCTTCTGACGAATTCCAACCCATCACACGGCCGGATATTCCATAAAATCTTCGCCTCGGGTCGTATCCAGCTGCGCCAGGCCCCCAGTGCTCCACCAATTCTTAGCTATTTAGAACCCGGCTCATCCCAACGCGCGCAGGTGACCACATTCTCAACCGTCTACGATATCTGATCACAAGCGCTATCAATAGCTTCAGGTGGATATACATAAATATATATATATAATGGCATATGTCTCGCAATGAAGTGGGAGCTACCAGATCTCTCAGCATTTTGTTCCCCCAGATGTGCGGGGCTTATTTAATGAGTTCTCAAGATGGCGGTTTTCGAAGAAGCCCAGACGGCACCCAGCACCACCACCACTGCGCATGTTGAAGACACGGTTGGTGCGTTTCCGGAGTCTCTTCCAGAGGAGCCCGTTGTGGTATCGTTGAACGACCTGTCCTTATCCGCCGGTATACGAGCTAGAAAGGCGGAATATATTCGCCAGAGGAAGATCAGAGTACGGGTTGGGTCGTGGAACGTTGCAGCTCTGCCCGGGCCGGAGGAAGATATTAAGAGGTGGCTTATACAAGAGCTAGGTGATAAAGGGAAAGATTCTGCTAGTGACCGCGCTGCAGAGAAGGGGAATGATGGCGTTGAATGCGCTGGCGAGGGGGGCAGTACCAGGAATGAGCCAGGGGATTCAAATGTCCAGTCACCTAGTAGTGGCTCGTTTGAAGCCTACAACGACGGCCCTGATCTCTATATACTAGGACTACAAGAGATAGTAGACGTGTCGTCTGCAACGGAGGCTCTGAGGCCATACGTTGATCCCGCCCCCTCTGCGAGATGGAACAATGCGCTTAGAGATGCTCTGCCCTCTGGATATACCTGCGTCTCTTCTCGGCAACTCGTGGGTATGCTTCTACTCTTTTACGCTGCTCCGTCGTTGGGCCCTCATATATCGTCAGTAAGTTCTACGAGTATAGGGACGGGGTTTATGGGTTATACGGGTAATAAAGGAGCAGTCGCAACACGTATCGTCATTGGAGAGACGACCCGTCTGGTTTTCATCAACTCTCATTTGGCTGCGGGGGCTGAAAAGGCAAACTTGGAACGAAGAAATTGGGATGCAGCTCAGATAATCTCGCGCGCAACGTTCAGTCTCATCGACGAGCAAGATCTTGTCTCTGGCGAGTTGAACCAGCAATTTGGAACAGAGGAATTTAGTTTTTGGTTTGGCGATCTGAATTACCGGTTGGATGATATCCCTGGAGATGACGTCCGACGTCTTCTCCATTTACATGTCCAGGACGAATTTCGCCCTGCAAAGCAGAAGCCTGTTGCAGAAGGTGATGAAAATGACGAGTCAGTCGTGGAAGGGGTTCGGAAATCTTTTGAGAGTGGTACCTCCCTGGCGTCGGACGACGGGATTCGATTGGAGGATAATGATATCGAGCCATCGGAAGACCCGGCGTCTCTTCTGAATACACTCGCATCACTTCTGCCTCATGATCAGCTTCAAGCCCAACAGAAGAGCGGGAAATCGTTTCACCAGGGCTGGCATGAAGGGCCCATAACATTCCTACCGACTTATAAGTATGACGTTGGGCGAATAGGGGTATTCGATTCGAGCGAGAAACAGCGCAGCCCAAGTTGGTGTGATCGAATACTATTCCGGACCCAGTCTGATTATTTAAAATATGAAAAGAGAGCCAAAGAGGCGGAAGAATCGAGAAAGAGAGACGAAGAGATGAAAAATCTGGGTCTAGATAAAGCTGCTGAGGACGATGATGTGCTTTTTGACTACGATCCGGACCAGGATGCAGACTATGACCCACAAGCAGATGGCACGGCGGACAACGCTACAAGAAACGATGCACAGAGCGAGGATTCTATCGCTCTCTTGGAGTATACATCACATCAGAATATCGTCTCTTCAGATCATAAGCCAATCCATGCCGATTTTGAAATTACGCTTGATGTCGTGATTCCGTCGTTGAAAGCAAAGATTCATCAAGAAGTTGCTCGAGAACTGGACAAGGCCGAAAATGAAGCCCGCCCCGATATAACTATCGTGGTAGATCAGCATTCGGAAGCCCGTCGGGGTAGCTCCGACTCTAGCGATGCTACCTCGCAACCAGATACTGTCAACTTTGGTAAAGTGAGGTACGATGTTCCTACGTCACGGAGTTTGACCCTAGCGAACACGGGTGGTGTACCTGCAACGTTTGGATTCCATTATAATCCATCCATCTACGCATCAGGCTCTTATTCTTCGCCGCCATGGTTACAGCTGCGCGTGGACTGGCCCGTTGATAATGCTAGCGTGGACGATAAATTACCAAAAGAATACACACTCCAGCCAGGTGACTCTGCCAATGTTCGTTTGACAATGTGTATTTCCGACATTAAATTTGTGCGGGACCTCAACGAGGGCAAGGCCATAATTGACGACATCCTTGTGCTGCGCGTGACCGATGGGCGAGATCATTTCCTGTCTGTTCGTGGTCACTGGTTACCATCATCATTTGGCTTCTCCCTTGAAGAACTTACTCACATACCCGAACAAGGTGTCCGCGCCTTTAACGAAGCACGAGGTTTTTTAGGAGAGAATAAATCTAATGCTAGGTCCTCTGGTCCCCGTGAGCTATTCAAGTTAACAGAGGCGATAGCGGAGCACACCGAGCGGTCTATTGCTGAGTGGGGGATGGTTTCTAGCGATGCTAGCCCCAATGATTCTGGTGCTCCATGGGAAGCTAGCAAGAAGTACGGCTGGCCGTTCAATCCGCAAACTTGGTCATTAGACAATGTCAGTGAAAGACAAAAATTGCTGGTAGGCGTGAGAGAGGCCATTGATACGAACTCCCCTTTCTCTGAACACTTCCCAGCGAATCTTCCATATAAACATCGTACAGAGCTACTTGCTGAGACTCTCGTTACTTTCCTCCGGTGTTTGCGTGATGGTATCATCACAGAGCGACTCTGGGCCGAACTGGACGGGCAGCAAAAGCTTCTGCGGGATAAGACGAGGCAACAGGAGCCGCTATCTACTGAACAGATACAGTCGTTCATATTAGAAACACTCTCGTCGTCTCCCTCCCACAGCGTGTCTTTCACGTTTTTCACATTCATGCTGAATCGCATTGCCAACGAAATCGCCCCAATTACACCTATGCCCATACCTACTTCTACTACAGCTCCTGAGAAAACGCCGACAGTACCACCAATTCCTAGCTCAGGAGGGTCATCGGCACCCGCCCCTTCATCCCAGTCCTCACTTCCTACTAGACAACCATCTCTTTCATTCCCATTCCGACTGCGTGGCCGCAATGGTACATTGCCTGGCAAGAATGATGCGGGTAGTTCAACCTCTACCGCCCAGATAAACCCGTCAGTCACGAGAAGGGAAGCACTTAACGACTCGTATGCTTCCATATTTGCTACCGCGATGTTTTCATCCTCCATTCCAACTCCAGATAAGGAGAAAGACCGGAGATCATGGGAGGAACGGAAGAAGGGGATTATAGAACCCTTCTTGTATGTTGATACTAGCTAATCTCCTAGGCGCTGGAGCCTATGTTTTATGTATAATGTTTTGATGGTATTTTGAGGTTTGACGATTATCCAGGGACATTTACTTCCTCCGTGATATCAAGCTAAGGCTCACGCTTGGGTATATAGTTCGCATTGTATACATACTCTAATGGCTGTTTGGTTAAATGGACATATTAAGCTAATCGGTTCCAATCGACTCATTTCCCCATAAAAGACATAAAACATTCACAAATACAAGGGGTATCCGGATTACTGGGATGGCAGGAAGAAACTGATGCATAACTTGGATCGGATACGAAGTGCCCAAAAGGGGGGGAAAAAAAGAACAAAAACGAAGAAGACTCTAGAGGCTAGGTCAGTCAAGAGAATTCTAGCTTATCTCCCTACGAGGCAGCCTCGTAGTGCGTAACTTTCTGGCCGTGTGCTGATTTTCCCGCGACCGAAGCAACTGCATAGTCAAGTAATATGCCCATGAAAGTGGGTATGTAGGTAGCATGGCGATCGACCAGGCAATCCGTAGAGGAGGAACAATGATAGCCATAACGGCGGCTATGACCCCCTTGAGTAGAGGATCGTACTTGAATCTGTATCTGGGTCTGGAACCATTTAACCTCTCTTGTTTCCCTGCAGCAATTAGTGGATCGAGCCCTGCCATGTAACTGTCCACGGTGCGTAGCCGTGCTTCGAGCTTTACAGAGGCAACGTTGCAGCGTTTCTCTTGCCGGCGGACAACCCGGTTGAGGGTATCGATGTCTTCCTGTATAGATTTCCGTACCTCCGCGACAATGATATCCCTATTAGACTCTATAGATGCGCTTTTGTCTTCTTCGGCGATGGTGAAGTGCGAGTTTTCTGGATGAAGACGAGATTCGATTTCCTCAAGTCGCCTCGAGAGCTCAAGAATTGCGCCGGACTCGGGGATCTTTTCACTATCAGTCCTCGGTTTGTTCCATTCCACCACACGCTGTAGGTGTAGAGTCCTTGCTTGTACCATCCTAAGTAAGTGTGAAATAGGGCGAATTTCCGCCGCAAGTAGAAATAGGGTGAGGTTGTAGTTTGAGATCAGCCCTTCAGATGGCCGTGACAGCTGGTACCTGATAGTGTGTAGGAGATACGTTGCTAAAACTGGAAATAAAAAGCATGATGCGAGCGCCGCAAGCTCGTGGGTTTGTAGTTCACGCCTCGCAGCTTTGTATGCTGTTGACGTTTGCTGCTTTCGACGTGATGTAACGCGGGGTTCATTATCGTTATCTTGCATTTCCTGAGAAGGAACCCCCTTTGCGATTTCTGAAGATTTCTCAGCTCCGTCATCACGCTCCTTTAAATCCAGATCATCGGTATCAAATGCTGCCGACTCCAGTTGGACTCGCTCCTGGGCAGCAAAGTACCAATCCCTATTTCCGCGTTAATTGGCAAATTCTATATGCTCGGAAATGACCATTGTATCGGGGGTAGGTATCTCACCATGGCAGCCGAACAGACCAGTTGAGGAACACTGCTGCAAGGGCCAACAAGGCAATATCCGTGAACACCGCAGTTCCATTCTGGAAGAGAAGCCCGCCCAGCGCTGGTAGGAGGGCTAATGCGAGAGGACTCGAATGCCAGGGGGAGTCTGTATTATGGGAGTAGCTATCTTCCATGCTTCCGTTGGCGCGGGGAAAGAACAAATCATCTGTTGACGATTGTATAGATCGGCGAGTCTCCGAAACGGCATCTGAGAAGGTCGAGCTGCGTCGCAGTCTCTCAGGGGTGAAAGGCGAAGCCGCGCCGCCATTCAGATTTGAGCCAAGCTGAGAATTTTGTCTGTGTCGGAGCTGGGCCGGCGAAGGCGACTTCACACGCGAGGTCGCGTGGGCGGCTGACCCCTGATGACGCTGATATTGATCTTGTTCCATGGATGCCGTACCCATGGTTCATGGTCGGCGTGAGTTAGATATCTGCTTGTAAAGCCTTTGCAAATCAACAGACAACTATCCCTGGATAAATATGAGTCGCCTCCTCGCATTCTCGCCTCACATTCTCCGCGCTTGAAGGTGAAGCCCTATAATCCTGTTTTGCGCAGTGTTCTTGTACTCCGTCAAGATTGCCGAAATAGGCATAGAAGGCGTCGTGGCTTGGCAAAGTCTTGGCACATATTCTCCACATATTCCAGCTTATGTAATATACTCTAATGCGCATTGACCATTTGTTCCATTACGTCATCTTCAGATGAGTCAGCATGACTTCTTGAGGTCGTTGGAAAGTTCACATTTTAGGACGACGACGACGACGAGGGCTGATACTGTATCAGCTTCAAGACAGAGATGCGCCGTGGGACTCGGGGTCCAAGGGATTATTTTTGTTTGCTATACCTTGCCTCTCGTGTTGATCTTCCGTTGTAAAGATAATAATGATAGGCTTTCTCTCCTAGCTGCTCCTCCTCGCTTGAGCCCGTGATGCCCTCAATATGCCAGTCTATGCCCAGGAGATGCTTTTTTTTCTATATATACTTCGGCCCATGGCATTAGGACCGTCTTTCAAACGGAACTGACCCGGGTAGAGACCAACACAAATAAAATTAGCTTTCGTTATTGATGCAAGGTTGAACGGGAAACAACCCCGGTTAAGCCAGCCATCTTCACGGCCCCCGATCACACTACAAAGAACAAACGGTGGAACACTCTGCAGGGCCATTGATGTACCAGGAGAATCATCCCTAGGATCCGCGCTACTCGTCACTTCCCGGGTTGCTTCTACATATCTGCGTCCTCGCTCAACGCCATGTACCAGTTATGGGCCTCTTTGATAATGGCTGTCCATTGAAATAATCAGCCTCTTCTCTTTCCGCGGTGTGACCTTAAGAAAGACGATGATCTGATGTTCTCTTGATCTTCTTCTTGAGGCGTCTGGGCCCTCTGAACACGCCCCAAGGCTGAGTTGGTTGCTGATACACCTGGACCATGACAGCGGGCATGTTGCAAACACCCGTCGATGGAACCTTACGCTTACCTGATTCACCTCTGAGCTGAGGGTCTGATTGATGTCTTCAGCAAATGAATCCATCCCCGGGGCGAGTTGTCTGGCCTTCCGTGAAACCCTCCCCACGCGCAGGGCTCTCCAGGAACCAACCCTCTGCACAGCCAACAGCTGTAAACGCCGTATTGCAGCAGTCCGGTTTACAAAGAGCGTGCAAACGGAATAACAGTTTGCTCAGCATCTGTGCAGATCTAATTGCTCGACAGGACAAGATGAAGCGATTTTATTGAAGGAGGAGGTCTTATTGATACCCCGATGCGGTTAGCGCCATGACTTCCGCCCGCAAGTTCCACATCTAATCTTCAGCGCTTTCTTATTAATTTTTGCTTTTCTTTTGCTTCTTCTTATGGGGACATGCAAGAGCGAGACCGAGGATGCATTCACGCTGCATCAAGCCTGTTCAACAACGACAGCGTTATTGACACCCGCGCGAACATGATTGACTGATTGACTCTATTCGGGACGTTGGTTCAGCGGCACTGCAGGAGGATTTCCGAGTGCCCCGTGCAGCATGTCCTCCCTCCTTTCTTTTCCTCTCCAGTATCTGGAGTCTCTAAAGAGATATAAGTTCTTATATCTCCCAGTTCTTTGACGGTTTCTGATATTCTGTCTCTCTCATTTGATACGCAAGGACACCCTGCATTTACCTGTTTCATATCTGGCCCTTGGAACGCAAGCATACGGCCTGCCTTGGGAACTTCGACGCCGCAATAAATTTATCTTGCTGGTATGATGACCCTTTCAATACCCTTCCTCTATATCTTCAGATGTATCAAGACAGAGGCCGAGGGAAAGATAGCTGACGAGCCTCTATGGCCTCCCTAGGACCGCAGGTTCTTCCAGGCCTCAAATCATCATGGAGAATAGTGATTTACCCCTGGTGTATGAGATGTCAACACAAGCAGTCGTACTCTGTACTCTGTCCCTCATGTCCCTTCTCGTGTGTATTCCACCATTGATCTGGCACTGTCGGAACGGCAACTTTCCAGCTTCTTGCTTGATTATGTGGATTCTCTCCCAGAACCTCTTTAATTTCATCAATCCGTTAATCTGGCCCGACGATGATGTCAGTTCTTGGTGGATGGGATACGGCTACTGCGATATCCAATCTAAACTTATTACTGGTGCTGGCGTCGGAATCGCTGGCCCTCTAGTCTGCATATTCCGCAGTCTCGCCAAAGTCTTGGATACGGAGCGAACAACCCTCATACCAAGCAAAGGAGATCGAAGATGGAACATGGCCTTCGAAGTCATATACTGCATTGTTATTCCAGTCGTTATCATGGTATTGCACTTTATTATCCAGGAGAACAGATTCTACATTTACAGCATCGTTGGTTGCATGCCATCTTACCATTCGAGCTGGGTCAGTTTCGTCGTGGGTTACATCTGGCCTCCAATCATCTTGATCGTTGCCTGCTTCTACTGTGGTACTGTCCCCGACTCCAATGTTCCACTTATTGCTTGCTAACTATAAACTAGCCCTCGTGCTCTATCGCTTGTTCAAGTACAAGCGTGAATTTTCTCAGCTCATATCTTCCGACAGTACCACCAGCAAATCTAAATTCATCCGCCTGCTGACTATATCGCTTGTTCTCCTCCTTGGAAGCTTACCCGCTCAGTTCTACGTCTTCTACGCCAACATCACATCATATAAACCTTGGGCCCCATATTCATGGGATGAGGTGCATGGCCCACACTGGAGTGAAATTGCCAAGTTCCCAATGCACGGCCAAGTGTATTACGACCGTTGGATACAAGCTGCTGCGGGCTTCCTCCTATTCCTCTTTTTCGGCATTGGTCACGATGCGACAATGATGTACCGATCCATTCTTTTGAGACTCGGTTTTGGAGAATGTTTCCCTGCCCTTGAGCATCCGCACCTTATGGTCAACCAGAGACAAGGCTCATCTTCCACACGTTTCGGCTCCTTTAGCAGCACTGTCAAATCAGCCTTTGGTCGAAAGCTATTCACATCTTCAGTGGACTCCGACACCACACTCAAGTAAGTTATTGGTCTCATTACCTTCATCACGCATGTCTATAATATAGCTAATAGCTAACAATTTGGTTATTCTAGTGAAAAATCACGCGGCATGTCGATGGACGGCCACTTATTCAGCGACCTCGACCCGAACAACTCTTTTGACCACCGCCCTAGTCTTCAGAAGACGTACCAGCCACCCACGGTTCCAGCACCAGTGAATTGCTCTGGCAAGTTCGGTAATTCTAAAAAGTCACGCCGACAGTCGGGAGGCTCCATTTTCCTCGAGTTTCTGACCGAGACCCCTTCTAGCTCTAGTGAGATGAAGGGGGCGAAGGGGCGACAGAACGGGCCTGATATGGTTTAGCGACCGCTTTCCTATTCTCTTGCACTGTTTTCAATATACCCATAGTTAGTTCTTTTCTAGCTAGAGCCGCTAGTATTTTAATATTTGTCTATACCATTCCATTTTCCCAACCTGAACGATGTATAAGCCTACTCTCTACTTCTATTCATTGACTAGCAATAGAATCAATTCCCTCCTCTGTTCCTGGCATGAGACATGAGTATTGACCAAACACCTCATTCTCCTATCGATATAGTGGTAAAAAGAACAATGATAAAATTTATAAATATTCCAAGGTCCCTGCTACGCCGTTTGCCAGTGACAGCCCTATACAGTTAAGAAATTATGTACACTATTTCACATGCAGTTTGTACTAGGAAGGAATAAGATGAAGGAGTAAGTAGGCAAAAAAGTATTAATACATGGGCAAAAGGTAAGGAAGCCAATCCAGAACCTAACATCTACTTGCCTCGCAAGTTGGCTAACATGGATTTAGGTATACATCATTGAGGAACCGTGACATAGAGCAGATAATTGCTCGCAGAGTGCCGCATACACGGATGATGAATAGCATCCATCCTAGATTCCACTACTACGATTCTTGCTGGTTGTTTTCTTGCTGGTTGTTTTGGTTGTAAGGTCTGCTGAGGACTTCGTATGTGCCTAGCTCAGATAGTTATGTTAGGACACGAAGGGTAGATATAGCGCAACAGATACAGCAAAATAGGAGGTAGACTCACGTTGGACAACGTTTAGGACGCTGGATTTCTTTCCCTCTCCCTCCTCGACAACGCGAAGGCTGGCATCTCCTTCAACGAGCATTAAAGTTCTACGAATTGTGAGGTCAATATTAACTTCTCTGCTCTGGCTTCAAGTACATATAAATTGGAAACGTACCCTTTTGGAAGACTAAGCAAGTTGTCCCTGGCGGGCCCGTCAACGAAGCTCATGATGCGGAACCAGCTGGTCTGTTTGTTATCTCGGGGGCCATAGGAGGTAGCAATGTGATATCTAATATATTCGCGTCCATTCACGGAAGTTGTAACCTCTGGCTCCATGCCTAGACGGCCGACGAGAGTGAGTCTGGCGAAATCTCGTCGCGCGGTGCTGCTGAAGGCACGGGATACGTTGCTGGTAGCTAGCCCAGCGGCATTGCCGAGGGCTCGGAAAGTGGATTGACGGAACATCGTGACGAATTCGACTGGATATCGTTCGTTTTAGTGGCTTTTAATACTAGGCGGGAGTCGTAATTGTATTCGTAGATATATGTAGTTGGCACAGTTGAAGTTTTAAGCTGCAAAAATGCATGGAGTACGGAGAAGCTATTTGCGCGTTTGTCACGTGATATAGTTTCGTGCCCCTGGTGTTTACTTCTAGATGATGCATAAGTTCATAGGAAACTCAGTAAGTAAGTATATATTGATATACTGGACATGTATGAACACGCTAGGTTCCATAGGATCAATTATACATATTGGTCGACCCAGCTACGGCTTTACCTAACTTCACAATATAAAACTCCTCCATTATATAATGGGGATGGTCTGTGATTCTTCCGGTGGTTTTAATACTTCTATCAGAAGAAGGCTTCATTGACTCCCTTTCACAGCCACGAGTTCCTCTACCCTGATGGTCTTCATATGCGCTCCTGTTGAAGTTGGACTTGAAGTTGATAAAGGGCATTGATGAGTAAGCAGCGCATAAAAGAACATATCACGTGACCAAAACTGCCGCCCATTGACGATATCTCGATCTTTAAATTCGAAGCAAGATAGGAATTTGCTAGACCTTCAATACCGGGAGTTGCAGCGACCGGAAACTCCAATTGGCATATGCGGACCTGTTCTGCCATTGGATAAATGAGTGCGCTGCCTTTCGCGCAGAATCAAATGCCATACTTAGGTATTTTTGTCCCCTACGATAGCCGCTCTTCAAGCTAACATGGAAGCTCTTTCTAGCTGTCTAGATGTTTATTCAAGCGTCCTCCGTACCGGGTATTCCGTTCCGGCTGGCTCTCAGAAACGCCCGTCAGACACGGAGACTGCCCAATTCGCCATGCGAACACCCAGTGAGGACGGTTTATGGATTGGGACAATTGAACGGGGACATTACTAGCTGGAGCCTTAGGATACCGCACGAGCGTCCTTTCTCGTCGTGCGCCGTACGAAGATATGTGACGGGCAGAGGTTCATCCAGCAATTTATATGGCAAAAAAATAAAACACCAGGGCCAGGAGAGATTTGTCTCGACCCAAGCGGTCGATCATCAACCCCACGCAAGCAATGCCTTTGTCAGATGCTCGCCTACTGCATCTTCATCCATGGAGAGGTACCCGGAGCCGTATTCCAAATTGACTGAAGCCTACGCACGGCAGAATGCTCCTCTTCCGCTCCAAGATGACCATCCAGACCTGCCAACCCTTCTTTCGAACCCATATTCTTCATTTTACACTTTATGGCGGAAGAATATAATCGAGCTTGAGACAGAGATAGCCAGTATCAACCCTTTTCGGGCTGTCATATGTAAATTGGTTTGTCGCATAACGCCTGTTACTGGTATGGCGGCAGGAGAACCAGTCGAAGTTGCAGGAATAGGGCACAACTCGGTAATATCTCTCTCCTATATCCTATTTCCACCACAGGTTTTGTGCAAATAGTTTTAAGCTCATTAAGTTGTTTTGCTTACGAAAATTTTCATAGCATGCCGCGCAAAACGCCGCACACGTCTTCCTATTATCCGCGCTTCACACTAGGGGGCTAATGGACAACCTCGTGGAATCGCTTAAGCATCTTCGGGATACGCGAGTTCATCAATTTGATCTCTCGGAAATCTACCACTATTCCTCACGATTTGCTGCTTTGCCACAGATACATCACCAAGCCAACCCAGACCCGGAATTTACATCGCAGAGTCTGCACGAATTTAGAATTGAACTACCAGACCAGGGTATACGGGCTGCTGCTGCTGCGCCCCTTCTTTCGGAAGCAATCACGGAAGCTGCCAACTCCTTTATTGCTCAGACACAGAATCGCTGCACAGCTACAAGCTTCGAGTCTGCGATTGATGATGCTGTGCCACTAACTGTTAAGAATGCATCAACCTTTTTGCGTTTCTACTTATCGAAACATGGTAAATCCAGTGAGATTGATGCTCGTTGTACCCAGAAGAGATTTAACTCTACAAATGTCCACTATGGCACACTTTATATTGACGGTCAACCTGTGACTGATCCGATAATGGCCGACTCTGATAAGGTAGCTTGGACCCTTGCGAGACTCGCAGGAGCCGTTCATCTTATCAGTAAGGAGCCATCTCTCTGGACCGAATTCGTACAAGAAACAACTGGAGGAGAGACGCATCTCGCGAACTCCGTGTCCACAACGATGACTCCCGAGGCTCTTGCAGCCATCCAGACCTGCCTCGAACACCTTCAAAAGACCTGCTCTGTGGATAAATCTGCGATTAAAGAACAACCTTCAAAAGCTATTGAATCGCTTTCCCCAGGGGCCCTGACCACCTGGAAGCATACAGCCAACCCCATCGACCCAGGCCTCCTTCTTGTCAATCACCATACTCCAGAAGAGGCACGTAACTTAAGAAATGCCTTACCAGCGAGGCGGCATGCTAAGCAAATCCTTGACTCGATTAAAGAAAATGCCGTTAGCGTCATAATTGGATCTACGGGAAGCGGAAAATCTTCTCAAATCCCTCAGATGGTATTGGAGGACGACCCTAATGCTAATATAATGATTACTCTACCCCGAAAACTTACTGCTACAGCCATAGCACGACGTGTTGCTTATGAACGGGGAGAGGAAATGGGGCAGTCCATTGGGTACAGACTCCGATGGAAGGCTATGAATCGTTCGTCAAGATGCGGCATCACCTATAGCACAACAGGGATTCTGGTTGAGGATTTGTTGCGGGCTGAGGATAGTGTCCTAGACACCTTGTCTCATATATTCGTGGATGAAACCCATGAACGAGATATTCCCATCGATTTCCTTCTGGCTCTATTAAAAAGGGCGGTGAAACGGCGAGCCAACTCATCCAAGCCCTTCCCCAAGATAATAATCATGAGCGCAGACGCGGAATCCCGCCTTGTCGAAAAGTACATGGGAGCTGTTTCCGAGAATGGAGAGTCTATTCCTGTACCTCGCATTGTGATACCTGATTCTGCCCAGTCAGCACACCGTTACTTCCTTGAGGATGTATTACTCACTCTATTCTCAGCCCATCCCGCAGAAGACATGGTTCCGTTAATTTCAGACTTGTCGACAGCTCAGCATATCTCAGCGGAGAAAGATTTGATCGCGCTAAATTTTCCAGAGGGTAACGACGATACCAAATCAGTCATTTCCGATACCTTATTGGAACCAATTGCTAGGGAACCACCACTTTTAGAAAAGGACCATTTCGTTCCTCTAGGGTTGATCGCTGCCACAGTTGCTCATATCGCTAAGAATGAGGGCGATGGCGTGATCCTAGTTCTATTGCCAGGGCTCGACGTTATGAAGCGACTAGAACAGATGCTGTACGATCGGCCTCTGGGGGTTGATTTCACAGATGAAGATAAATTCGAACTTTTCAGATTGCATTCGGGACTCGGCGAGGTGAATTCTGAGACACTCCGCAAAGCCAAGGAGGGACGTCGAAAGATCATTCTATCGACGAACATTGCTGAAAACGGTGTAAATATACCAGAAGTCCGATACGTGGTCGATAGTGGGAAAAAGCATGACACAGCCTACGACCCTACGACCAGTCTGCGGGATATAACTAGTGGCTGGATTGATAAGTCAGATTTATACCAACGGCAGGGCTGTGCAGGTCAGACTGGAGACGGATTTTACTACGCGATGTTTACAAAAGCAAGATGTGACACCCTTGAAAGCGCAGTACCCGGAGTTACTCTGGCCCGTTTCGAAACCGAGTGTCTTCAACTGGCGGCCACCATCCCCGAGCTACCTGTGCAAAATTTTCTGCGTGAGCTACCCGAGCCGCCATCTCAAGACCGCATCGATGGTACTATTTCGAATCTTAAGTCACTTGGGGCATTCGATGATAGCGGCAACATCACAGCCCTAGGCCGTATTCTTTCGGTATTGCCCATTTCTCCAATGGCTGGCAAAATAGTCATACTTGGTATCTTATTAAGATGCCTTGAGCCTGCGCTAATCCTCGGTGCCGCCATTGATTCACGGCCTCTTTTTATCCCATCCCGATCAGAGAGAGCATGTAATTCGCCTCGCCGAAACTTTGCCGGCAAGAGTAACAGCGACTACATAGCTACAATGAGGGCATATCAGGATATCCGTATAATTTCCAGCAAGGATGGGCAAGATGCTGCTCAGGAGTTTTGTTTGAACAACGCAATGAGTTACCCAACATACTTAGGTTTGGAAGAATGTGTTGAAAGCATGGTATCTACCTTACGCCACTTCAACCTCATCTCAGAAAGTCAGGCCGACGGGCCACTCAATGGTGGACCCCTTAACGAGAACTCTGGCAATTTATCTCTCCTTAGGGCGCTTATTTCGGGAGCTGTAGCCCCGAATCTTGCTGGCAAACCTAGTGATGGAGGAAAGGGATGGCAAACTAGTCGCATTCCAAAGGCTGTCTTGAGTAATAAGAGCACAAATTCACTTCTCAAAAGTTGGGCTGGTCGAATGGTGGCATATGGCGAGGCAGTACGCTTTCATGTCGATGCGGATGTGATTCTAATGGACACTACATCGTTGCATCCGCTGACGGCGTGTCTATTCGGGGAGGAACTGGCTCGCGAAGATAACACGCTGCTCGTTAATTCTTTTTTCCCAATCAAGGTCAAATCACCAATTGGCTTGTTTGAAAGCGATGCTAAGGCTGCAGGTACGGTCGTTGAAACGAAGAGGCTCTTGGATAAGGTATGTTCTTTCTACAATTTTACTCCCCGGGCTCTCATGCTACCGGTTATTCTAACCCGTTCACCTCTAGGCGTTTACGGCTTTCTACGAAAAGCGTGCCAACAACAGCATGAGCGAAGCCGATGAATTAGAGTATCAAAGCCTCGCGGCTCAGATCGCAAATATGACGACTACTTTCTCCGATGGACGCCGGCCTTCACGTCCGCTTATACGACGTATCCGCTAGTAGCAGACTGCTTTCCTAATACCACGGCTGGCATGTACACTTCTCCTTTTTGGGACCTTTCTTTTCGCCATATACTGTATAATTATTTGAAGAAGGACGGGAGTTTCAATGGGTTTTTGCCATTTAAGATTTCACATATAGATGGCTGGCTTAAAACAGGTGTATTTATATATTTTAAGCGCACTGTACCATAGAAATAGAATCGTGGGTTTAACGTCCTTTATATTGAATATAGATATGTGCATGTTTGCTCTCAGCATGCTTTAAGTCTAGGCGCGCCAGGATTGCATGTGTAATGACGTTTTGGCCGAGATCTTGGTTTCCCTACGCAAAGTACCTTGAAGCAGAAACCCTAGCAAAGGAAAAAACCACTCGCCCTTATTCAGATAATCAGCATATACCATGATACGATTAGATGTTGGGTCTAAATAGCTCGAGTTAATGATTCCTGGCCCCAACACTCGAGTTCCTGCGCCGTGACGACCATGAAGCCGGCCCTTCCAAGCGGCCGCTTCTGGTCCAACTTCATCCCACGGCAGCAAGTTTCGCGAACCCCATTTGCTCTCAATACACGGCACCTATCATCCTCCTCGCCGATATTCGCGCCGCGATTGCCATCGTCGTTGTCGCCGCCACCCCGTTTCAGTCGCCAGCTACCGCAATGGATCACTAGAGGCGCATGGAGAGGGAGCCAGCGGAGAGCTTACGGATATAGCCAGAGGGGGGAAAGCTCACACCATGGGTCATACCGAGAGCGCAGTCGATATGCCGGGAGAGGCACCGTTCTCCTTGCTTCTGCCATCGGTGCTGCAACGCTGACTCCGGCGGCGCTTCTTCAGCTGGCAGAGAAAAATAAACAGGGCGACGGAATGAGTACTCGTGAGCTTGAAATGCTCCACGCTTCACGGGCTGAGGCCCAAAACATAAGGCGTACTGGACGAGGGATAGTGGACGAGAATGGTGATACCAATCCCGAAAGACGAAACCCTAAGAACCTCTTATGGCGCGTATACGGCCTACTGGACGAGTATGTGTTCGAAGTGATTGCTACGGGGTTCCGGTTCGTACACCTGGTGGTTCTCTTTATCCCAGTTATAGTGAGCGTGCCTATGATTTTCTTCGGGCAGAGAGTGAAGGATCGGGATAATCATCGGAGAGGCACTCTACTGTGGTATGCATTTGTGGTATATACCATGGAACGTGCTGGATCTGCGTTTATTAAGGTAGGGACCTCCTTTGCGGTACTAGAGCTGTTGCTCCGGGCAGGCGAGCGGAGGATACCTCGTTTTGATCGCTGGCTAATTGCAATATTATGATTCTTGCTTGATGTGCAGCTTGGACAATGGGCTGCTTCGAGATCTGATATATTCCCCCCAGAGCTATGCGCTTTAATGTCATCGCTTCACTCGCACGCGCCTGCACACCCGCTACATGTTACAAAGCGCACTATCAGTAGAGCGTTCAATGGCCTGCCATTTGATGAAATCTTTGAGGAATTCGACGAAAAGCCCCTAGGAGTCGGTGCTATCGCTCAGGTTTACAAGGCAAAGCTACGCCCAAGTTTGGCCGGCTCGTTGGACCTTGCATCCAAACCCGCAAATCTTCGCGAGAAGGTGAGAAAAAACGTCAACGTTCTAGTTAAGAGTACCCCGGAGAGCGTACCATCGTCGTACATTGCGATCAAGGTCCTTCATCCAAAAGTCGATAGGATCGTACGGCGAGATTTGCGCATTATGGGATTCTTCGCTACACTTATACACTGGATTCCTACCATGGAATGGCTATCGTTACCGGATGAAGTCGAGAAGTTTGGCGAGATGATGAAACTTCAGTTAGACTTGCGAATTGAGGCTGCGAATCTCGCATTCTTCCGAGAGAACTTCAAGTCGCGGACTACGGCCAGATTCCCATACCCGTACACTGAGTATACAACGCGCGAGGTGCTGGTTGAGGAATTTGCCCAAGGAATCCCCCTCGCTACCTTCCTAGAGAATGGCGGCGGCGTGTTCCAGCATGATATTGCTCATGAGGGGTTAGATGCCTTCCTTCACATGTTGCTCATCGATAACTTTGTACATTCGGACCTCCACCCGGGAAATATAATGGTGCGTTTTTATAAACCAAGTCAGCTAGACCTCTCCTTGAGCGTACAGCATCCGCAGGGAGCATTGGTATCAGACAACGGAAATAGTGCAACGGAGTCGGTACTGGCACGACTAAGGGAACATCGAAAAGACCCAGCCGCTTGGAATGCCGCGTTAAAGCAGATTGATGACGAAGGCTACCGGCCTCAGTTGATCTTTATTGATACCGGGCTCGTCACTGAACTCAATGCCGTTAACCGACGTGATTTTCTTGACCTATTCCGAGCTATTGCTGAGTTTGATGGATACAAGGCAGGATATCTCATGGTCGAACGATCCCGCCAACCCGACTCGGTGATTGACGCAGAAATATTTGCACTTAGGATGCAACATCTAGTTCTCAGTATTAAAGGGAGAACTTTTGCGTTAGGAAATGTCAAGCTAGGAGACATATTAAGTGACGTACTATACATGGTACGGAATCACCATGTGAGACTTGAAGGCGACTTCATCAACGTTGTCATTTCTGCTCTACTCTTAGAGGGCATTGGAAGAAGGTTGGATCCTGATCTTGATATATTCAAAAAGTTCGTATTTCCCTTTATTCTATTGGTATATTTCTTCAAATTCGAGTCACTAACTGGGCCTCAAATAGTGCACTGCCAATCCTCCGCCAACTTGGGTCTAAATCCACGCTGCTCAAATCCGTTCGCGAGGGAGATACATCCATGCTCCGCGTATGGGTTGGGCTGGAGGCACGAAACTTCCTGAAAGCCAGCATTTCGAGTGTCGAGAAGTGCGTGAAATACGATCTGTTGTCCCCGAATATTTAACCCACGTAAAGGCACTCCTCTTTTCATTCTTCTCATACAATCCATGCATTGTCAAGGTATATCTCTAGCTCAGAAGGGCGATATCTGTACATAAACCTGACTATATTTCTTTGTCGCATCTGGTGGAATATTCGTTCTCCGTACTCGCATATAGACTCTCGGAGGCTCTGGTTAAATATCTCTACTTAATATTCATCCATTCCAATTACTCCTTACCAAGTATCGGATAAAAGTACTCGACTCTCCTTTCTAGCTGTTCTTCTATCCCCAGATCGCTCGGCACAGTCGTTGCCGAGAAAACGCCTTCTTCTCCACCACAAACCTCTTGACTCCGTAGATCCTAACACACTCCTTGACATGTTTCGCAGAAGCAAGCTATTGGGCTCTCACCTCCATCCCCGTCTCTGCCGCAGGAATATAACAGTATCGACGGATACCGTGACCAAGAGGAACCGCGATGCCATCCTCCAGCCCTTCTTCGTACGTGGATTATGGCGAATATTCCGAGATACCTCCGTCGACCTGGAGATGAAGGATATAGGACTCCTACTATAGAAGACACCGAGAAAAACGCCTCTACCAGCGTACTACCGTTCATATTTCCTTCTCAGCCACCAACTCCTCGCTGTCCTACGCCGCCGATCCTCTCGCATTTTCGACAACGGCCTCCGCTCACGCATAATCTGCCTAGAATAAACGGGGACGGCAATGGGAATGGAACAATTACGCCAGTGCATATTCCAGAGGGCCAGGTTGCGCCGCTTACCTGGAAAGAACGCATACGACATTTGACATGGTCATTTTTCACGCTTACCATGGCCACGGGCGGGCTGGCGAATGTCGTATATACGATCCCTATTCAGGCTGGATGGCTGGAAATAATTGGTCTGGTTATCTTCTTGATAAACCTGGCATTCTTCGTGGTTATCGGCGTATTGATGTGTCTACGGTTCTATCTATATCCGTATACCTTCAAGGCGTCGTTTCTGCACCCGACGGAATCACTATTTGCACCGGCTGTGATTGTTTCGTTCGGTACTATCCTCATCAATGTTGCCCAGTATGGGCCCAGCCATGCTGGGGAATGGCTTGCACATGCAACCGTGGTCCTGTTCTGGTTTGATGCGGCGCTGGCCGTCACCCTATCCGCGGGTATCTACCTTATCCTGTAAGCTCAGAGCTCAGTTTCACCTTTTTTAAAAAATCTCGTTATGAGTAGGTAGATGGCTGATATTAGTTGATACAGCTGGTCGACGCAGACGTTTACCATTGCTAAAATGACGCCGATATGGATATTCCCCGCGTACCCGATGCTGATCATCGGCCCTCACGCAGGAATTCTGAGTGCCAGCGTGCCTCAGAGCCATGCTCTTCGTATCATCATCGGCGGCTGGACTATACAGGGCGTCGGATTTCTAGTCTCACTGATGGTCTACTCTGCATTCATATACCGCCTGATGACGCAGAAGCTGCCAAACGAATCCCTACGGCCTGGAATGTTTGTCTCTGTTGGGCCAAGCGCGTTTACCGTTGCTGGGATTCTGAGCATGGCCGAAAACGCTGCTAGGTCCTTACCTGCTGATTTTATGGGCGATGGAAAGCTGACGGCGAAGATTCTGTTTGTGGTTTCGAACTTTGCCGCTCTGTGGCTGTGGGGGTGAGTCTGCTGTCGTACAACAACAAAAAAGACATGCATTTGCTAACAGTTTATTTCAAGCCTGGCGATATTCTTCTTCTTCATTGCCGTTTTCGCCCACTGGACGCCCGCTCGTCGTGGCCGGATGGCATTCTCGATGACCTGGTTCTCCTTTGTGTTTCCGAACACCGCACTAACGACAGCCACTTTTGCCGTCGGGAGGGCCTTTGGAAGCAAAGGCATCCAGATCACGGGCTATGTCTTTACCGTCCTGCTCTTTATCACGTACTTCTTCGTATTTTTCATGATGGTGCGAGCGATCCGATCACGGCAGATCCTGTGGCCGCAGAAGGGAGAGGACAAGGACGAGGGCGGGTTCAAGATCAAGGAGCACAAGCCGGATGATTCAGTCATACTACCAGTACGTATATAGACATCCTCGGATCATATAGTAAAGAACGGCCCCTTATGGCGGTCTAATGCTGTGTGTCGGGCAAGGGTATGGGGCCATCATGCAGTAGTAGGCTCCCACTCTCTATCCAAACGGCAAGGTGGCCGAGCGGTCTAAGGCGTTCGACTCAAGTATCTAACTTAGTTTGTGTCTAACACGAGCTTGTATTCGAATGTGAGTTTCACGCGTGGGTTCGAATCCCACCCTTGTCAATTCTTTTTCTTTTTGCCCTTACTTTGTACTCTTTCTTTACTCTATGTATGTACTCTTTACCTTATCTTTTATTTTACTTTACTAGATCTATCAAGAGTAAGAATTACATGTCGAGTACAACTCGTCTTGGGCAGTTTGACATCAATAAAAGATAATAGCAGCCAGATACCACCTTTGACGTGGTTCTGGGCTATACTAACTAACTAAAAGAAAGATAAATATACCCGAAAGCTTTACAGGCTGAATATGTGATATACTCTCAATATTTTTCGCCGGCTTGGCTCGCGGTGTTCATGGTATGGTATATCGCCACTGTCGTATGCTCCATTATGAGCACACACTCCTCGGGATACAACTTATTCGTCTCAATAAGCTCCTGAAGGTATTTCTGAGCCATCCCGACAAGCACCTCTACTGTCTTGTTGTGCTGATTAAGGGGCCCTAGACGCCATTGACTCATATTCTCACAGTAGCTGGCAATCTGGTCTTACCATTTTTTGCTACATACTCGTCATATTGCTTTGTTGCAGCATATGTTGTTGCGGCGCCTATCGACACAATGTCGAGTTCAGAGAGATCACGGCTCTTGGCGATATCTTCATAGAACTGGGCCGCATCGCTGCCAACGTCTACTACCGTCAGACTCAGTGCATAAGATTATGGGGGAACAGTGTATCATACGCTCGTGAAGACCCATGGTTTTAGTTTGCTGGTGTGGATATTTAGGGAGATTTAGTTAGATATTGGGTGATTCAAACAACAGCACGACGATGGCACGACGATGGCACGATGGAGGGGCGAGGAGTGGTTTATATATCAGGAGCAGCAACTACCATGTCCATTTATCTAGTCTGGTGAGGGGTATATTCTCGCAATTTGGCCTGCATATGGTAAGTTGGGCATACAACACGAGGCCCTCACGCATAACATCTACATGTACGGAGTACATATTGGGTTATCGCCAAAAGAAGCAACTTCACCCACGCCGGAGGGAACAAATATATAGAAGGGAGAATGATTGGTGTGGCTGAATGTATAAGGGATGCCTCGACGTAAGGCTGAGCGTCACACTCCGTACAACTAAGGGGCTGTAGATTGCTCAGCTCTCTATATTGACGGTACTTACTGTATTTAGAGGGCATCGGCGAACTACCGATCATATGTATGATGTATAGATGGTAGAAATCGATGTGGTAGGCCATTAGAGACGATTGACGTTGATATAGATATAGTTTTAGTGATAAATCTTAACTATCAAGTTAGTATCGAATGTCAGCTATACCAGCAAGGCGCTACTATGTAAAAGAAGCTCACGGGGGACCTCCATCAATTTTCATCATCATCGCAATCACCATCGTTGCTTGTTCTTACCGTTTACCATATCAACTTTAACGCCAGCTCGGTGGCGGTGGCTTCGTCACCAACTGACTCACGGAGGCAGCACTCAACCTTGATATCCAGCTGGAAAAGCTCGAGGCCCACCAGGGAGTATCAAGAGTCGAGCTTCTGCCCTGTTCGGACTCTCGATTTAGACCCGGAGAGGATATTAGCTCGGCGCTACTCGCGGACGGAGTCATCAGAAAAGTTAGGGGACGCGTATGAAGGATGCACCAAACTCGATTGGACAAAGATGGGAGAGTCGCACTCAGCCGCATTCGATGAAAATGGGTGACCAAGATAACATATAAAATGCAGCTTCATCGTCCACCGACTGTGGTTTTTTTGTCTCTTCTCCCCAGCAGGCAGCATTCATAGGGTACCTCACCTTATCAGTGTTGCTTCTCATAATTCCTCATAATTCCCCCTCCAGTTTCGCTCGTTAGTTAGGCACAATGGCTGCAGTTGAAGGGAATCTTGGGTCAGCGTTCGTCACCAGAGACACGCTGGCCGCAGAAGGTGTCTATGAGATGTTCATTCCTGGATTCGGTGTTCTGTCCCGTATCATTTCTACACTCTTTCACATTGATATATCGCAATATCTCCCCTTTCTGTTCATCGCGGCCCTGACAATCGCCGCGTCTCGGTACTTTTTTGATGGCGTCTCCGACTTCGTGCACAACCATTTCATGTCCTCGGTGCAGGTCCAGGTCGATGATGAAATATACAACTACCTGATGTATTGGGTGTCGAAGCAGCAGTTCGTCAGCCGGTCGACAGATATCTTCGCTTCCAGCTCAATGGAGAGCGAGTATGTGTCGAGGTACAACGGTGATGATGATGATGAAGATGATGAGGGAGAGAGGGACGATGATGACGACGGAAGTAATATGATTGGGGACGAGGAAGAGTTCGAAGAATACTGGGAACGAACGAACAGATGGGACAAGATCAAGCCCATCCATTTCACGCCTGCTCTTGGGACGCACTACTTCTGGTACAAGGGACGTTTCCTCACGATCGACCGAGCCAGGGAGAAAATGCAGATGTGGACCGAGACACTCCGAATCTCTTGTCTGGGCCGGAACACGGAGTTTCTACGAGAGTTGATACGTGAAGCCCAGCTGAGCTATCTGAAACGGGACGTGGATAAGACGATTATCTATCGGTGGACGAAGGCAGACCCCTCATCATCGCCAAGCTGGACGAGATGTATGGCACGACATCCGAGACCGCTATCCAGTGTCGTTTTGGACCAGGAGCAGAAAGATGCCTTCCTGAACGACGTCAAGGACTATCTCCATCCCTTCACCAAGCGGTGGTATTCTAACCGTGGCATTCCGTATCGTCGAGGATATCTCTTCTACGGACCACCGGGATGCGGAAAGACAAGTCTCTGCTTTGCTGTGGCTGGGTTGCTTGGACTGAAGATCTATGTCGCCAACCTTAGCTCTCCGGGCCTGACTGAAGAAGGGTTGGCGTCGCTTTTCGCTACCCTCCCTCGCCGGTGTATCGTCCTTCTAGAAGACATCGATACGGCGGGAATAACCAAAAGTCGTCTGCAGGCCCCCGCTTCGACTTCCATTTCACCTTCTTCGCATTCTTCCACCCCACAATCTGCCTCCATACAGGGTCACGCCAGGTCCGAGAACGACGAGGATGATGATGACGGAGATGGTGCAGGCGGAAGCGGCGGACACGACTCCGCAGTGCAGCTACAGGGCATCTCGCTTTCCGCACTTCTCAACACCATCGACGGTGTAGCGTCTAGCGAAGGTCGCATTCTGGTCATGACCACAAATCACGCCGAGAATCTCGACCCTGCACTGCTCCGGCCTGGGCGCGTTGATCTGATGGTCGAGTTCCGCAATGCAGGCTCAGATGCTATTATCTCTCTGTTCCGAGCCATCTACTCCGAAATCGAGGGAGATTGGGGTGACCACTCTTCCTCCAGTAAGAAGAGCGAGGGTATGAGAAATGGAGAAGAGATCGCCACCAAGACCAAGTCAAACGGAGCCAAGCCAGTCGCTTCGAAGACTGACACAACTCCAAAGGTAGCCGATCGACACTCTGTGGGGAAGACATCAGCTACAACAACTACCCCAAGTGCTACCGCTCGGCGACGGACAGGTCATGGCCTCTCCGCCGATCAGATACATGAGCTCGCCAAGGAGTTTGCGAGACAGATACCGAACGAGCAGTTCTCTCCCGCCCATATACAAGGATTCATGTTGTCGCATAAGGCGTCTCCGCGAGCGGCGGTCGAGCATGTAGGGGAGTGGGTGGCCAAGCACAGCAAGACCAACAACAATCAAGGAGCCGATGCGGTGAAAGTTGATTAATCACGAAGAGGGGAGGTGTCAGTCAGTTGCCAGTGAACAGCATCATCTGAATAGAATAGATCTGCACGCCACTATATACATTAAAGATAGATATCCAACATATATATATATAAAATAAATAGATAATGAAGTGAATGATAGCGAATTACCTTTGCCACATGCCTTGATCTAAATACGGGTATGCTCTTGTTCTGTCTACAAAGGATTATAACTGGAGGGGGCCTGAGCAGCTCCCCACACCGGAAGATAGGCGGAAGATAAGTAAGAAGAGGATAAAATGCCCGTCATTGCTAGAAGCCGTGGAGCCGCCAAGGCACGGTCATCCTGCGATCTTCACACAAGCCTTGCCGTGGCGCCCATTTCAGCCTGTCATCCATCTTCCCAGAGCTCCATCCGTGGTAAGACCCATGATCCTGGGCCTGCCCGCTCCCTGCTTGTCCCCTGACCTCGTATATAGTTCTACATAGAAGGCGGAAGGGCATCATGTGTATATTATGTCATCATGCATACCACGTGATGTGGCCGCCGGAACAACGTTAACCCTATAAGAAACAGACTGCTTAGCTAATAACCTTACTTGGACGCCCCTTGGTGGTTGGTCCCTTTGGATCTTTTTCGCCTGCCCAAACATCCACTCGCCCTTGAGACGCCAGCTTGACACGGCCTCAGACGCAGGTTCACGTCAGCCAAGCCAGCCAGGCAGCACGGCGGTCGGTCCCTTGTCCTCTCCCCAGGAAATTAATATGAGGGCTGAAGTCGCCGGTGCATGAGACTCTGGGCTGGCGTGCATGAAGGACAGGGAATAACCAACACCAAAAACCCTTGCAAGGCGCGACGACGACATCATCTCAGGAATCAAGGCTCAATGCCCAAGGCTCGTCTGTGTTACGAGAATCTGAATCTGTTTCGACACGAGGGACTCCGAAAAGAAGACCCTTTAACAGACCAGGCCCAGGGTTTCAACCTGCTCGTGGCGGAATAAACATTCCTTAACGGTGTTAGGGGTTCGCCAGGTGGTAGCCCGGCCGTGCAGTGGATCCTTTGAGTTTTCTACCAGTCTTGACGGCCTGTCCGATGCATGATGTACGACAGCCACTGTTATCCCGCGTGCCTATTCTAAGGCCTAGTCGCGAAAATGGATTGGATATAGATGACGCGGAGGCCTGGGACGGCTATTTGGGCGCGTGCCGCAGCCAAGAAGGGTACTTGGTCGAATTTGGTCGAATAGCTATATCTTCCGAAAATGCCAATAATTTCACAAGAGACTAATTAGACGACCACACCCTTACCCCTTATCAGCCATATACAAGGGTTGCAGCGCGAGGCTGTTAGCCCTTTCTGAAGCAAGGTTCGGTCTCCGAAGCTTTTTTGGTGATGTATCATGGCGCCATCGACTCCGTATTAACGCAGGTGCTATGATGCGGTTTGCCGCCGTGCAGCGAACAGTGTTCAGTCATCTTTTGGTTTATTCTTGTCATTAGCTTTCCCTCTCGCCAGCGTCTCATGGCGAATCATCGCATAAAAATAGAGATCGTCGGAAGCTATGGTGTATACTGCGGAAGATCGACATGCCGCAATGATATCTCACTGGCCTCACACCTGAGGGCAGTATCTGCCTATCAAATGTCTATTCTTGCTCATTCGGGTTGAACACGCCATGAATGCCGAGGCTGGTTGGGTGGTGAGACGTTTAGGTTCGTGCCCCTGGATAGGCTTCAAGGGCGGTACTCCGTATGCTTGTATTTGCCTTTTTCGCGGGGTTTCATGCTAGGTCTGGGATTCTGCAGTGAAAATCTCCGCACGACCCTTGCCTTCCAATTATACTTGCATACTTCTGATATATACTCACATACTACCATGGTTTCTCTCCGCCGGCGGTCACTCCTAGTCTATCCTAGGGCTGTGCCCATAACTTATCATGGAATGCGGGGACCAATCCACACCAACCGTTCGTCCTGTGAAGAAATGGATCTGCGTTTTCGGCCTCCCAAGGATAGAACAGAGCCAACTCTGTTCGTGTCCGCGTCTCACTCTTCCCCTTTACGGATGTCCTCCGGCTCTTCGACATGACTTATCTCTAGACCCACCCCGTACCTCACAGCAGTGAGAGCCCGAAACCAGCCGGATCCCCCTTCCATTTTACTGATCTCCAAAGTAGCCGAGAGGAAGGTTACATTCCAGTTTGATATCAAGTTACCAGGTGACTTACCTTGGGGTGCACGCTATGCCATCTCCTAACCATACCGACGCTGATCCGGAGTTAAATTTGACCAGCCAGGTCCGGCTACCACCATCGTGCCTTTCGAGAAGAGTCTTGGCTGAGTGAATCCGAAGCTAGAGATACCGAAGGGCCGTGGCTCATTGGTACCCAATTTTACCGTGGATAGGAAATGACAGGATGAGCCAAGGAGGTTCCGCCGAAAATGGGGCAGATAGCAATGAACATGAAATTATATCTCGCGATGTATATGTATACAAACCTTTTTTTATTCATGCTCCAAAACTATATGAAGGCCTTCCTCCCCCGCCGAAGCTCTGGTTCTTCTCTTCTCTTCTCCAAGCAATCAACTGCCTTCACTCTTTCTTCTTCTTTACCAGTCAAAAAGACCAGCTTACATCTTCAAGATGGGTTTCATTACCAAGGCCCTCCCCCTCGCCCTGGCGGCGATGTCTGTCGTCAACGGCGCTGAGATCTTGGAGACTCGCGCTGGTGTCCAGACCCTCGCTGACAAGTACATCGTTGTCATGAACGATGGTGTTACCGAGAAGGCCTTCGACTCTCACCGCTCATGGGTCAACAGCACTCACCGCCGCCGCCTGATCCGCCGTGGTGCCAAAGCCATGGGTGGCATGAAGCACACCTACAAATTCCCCACTGGCATGAAGGGATACTCTGGTCACTTCGACGAGGACATGATCAAGCAGATTGCCAACCATGCTGATGTAAGAAATAGCTATTTTTCTTCTCCCTACTTGGATCATTGACTAACGATACTTCAAGGTCAAATATGTCGAGCGTGATGCCCGCGTCCAGACTATGGCGATCACTGAGCAGCAGAACGTCCCATCTTGGGGTCTTGCCCGCGTTGGTTCCCAACAGGCTGGTGGTAACACCTACTACTACGACGACTCCGCTGGTGAGGGCTCTACCGCCTACATCATCGACACCGGCACCGATATCCAGCACGAGGAATTTGAGGGCCGTGCCAAATGGGGAAATAACTTCGTTGACGACATGGACATGGACTGCAACGGCCACGGAACTCACGTTTCCGGAACCGTTGGAGGCGCCACCTTCGGTGTCGCAAAGAAGGCCAAGATCGTCGCTGTCAAGGTCCTTGACTGCAATGGCTCCGGCTCCAACTCTGGTGTTATCATGGGTATGGAGTGGGCTACCCAGCAGGCTATGAGCGGTGGTGCCGACAAGGCTGTCGTGAACATGTCTCTTGGTGGTGCTTTCTCCCAGGCCTCCAACGATGCCGCAGCCGCCATCGCCAAGGGTGGTGTTTTCTTGGCTGTCGCTGCCGGTAACGACAACGTAAGTTCCTCTACAGCCCCAGTCATCTACTAAAGTTGTGGATGTATCCCACTAACCCAACATGTCTTCTATAGGTTGATGCCGCTGAATCTTCCCCTGCCTCTGAGCCATCTATCTGTACCGTCGCTGCCTCCACTGAGCAAGACGGTAAGGCTTCCTTCTCTAACTACGGCCAAGTTGGTATGTAGCATCCCTCCCCCTTTCCTCAATACTATAAGATTATAAGGCTAACATCTGCTCCAGTCGATGTCTACGCTCCTGGTGACTCTATCACCTCTGCCAAGCCAGGTGGTGGCTCTCAAGTCCTCTCCGGTACCTCCATGGCCTCTCCACACGTTGCTGGTCTCGGTGCCTACTTCATCGGACTCGGCATGGCTGGTGGCCCCGGTCTCTGCGACACCATCAAGCAGAAGGCCATCGACGCCATCGCCAGCCCTGGCGCAGGCACCACCGGCAAGCTCATCAACAACGGCTCTGGCATGTAAATTGCTGGTCTCTCTTGAAAATCTGCTTTTGACTGGTCCCTTGTGGCAGGTTCGAAAGTAAACTACTTTACCCAAAAAGTGGTTTTCAGTTTTGTTTCACTGAACATATTTGAAGAAGAAGAAGAAGTGTCGAGAAGTTGTCGACTTTGTAAATAGCTCCCCCCTTTGTTTTGATGGCTTAGCTGTGCCTCCCCTTCTCTCATTGAATGGATGTCTGCATCCATATTTTACGTACATATTAATGGATTTATTTGAAAATCCCATACCTTGGTTTTTCTAACCGTATTCATCCTCTTCTCGTGTTTCCCTTGACTCGCCATCCTTGCAGTTGACTTGAGGTTCGCCATCGTCGCTTAGCTTGGGATTGGCATCCTGACCGAGTGGAGGCCTGATATGCAAGCCCGCTTCGACTACGGAAATGGCGCTTGATGGGCTGAAGCTTAACTGCACCTCACGATAGTTTAAAGCGGCGGGCAGGTACACCCTCAGTAGCGCCAAGACTGTAAAAGCGGCCAGAAAAACACCCGAGTTGGAAACCGCTTTCGTATCTGTAAATGTTCTATCTTCGATGCTATACTCCGTACACATAAGTTTAACATGGTAACAGTCAAATTGCTTGACAGATGCTCGTAGTAGCGGGCAACGTGTTACTGGCCGTCTTTTAAACCTGGCGATCAATAAGTTCCCCAGTACAAGCAAACTAACCCAAAATGTACTCCGAGCCTCGCATCTACGCTCAAGTGGCTCCCATTCAACTACACGAATACGGGAAATACCTAATTAGGGACTCCGGAGGTTAGAGAGACGCAGCAAAGACGATAGTAGTTCTGCCTATTCTATTCGCGACTTCACGGCGGACAAAATTACTATAAATACCACCCAAGATACCCCGCAAAACGATCTATACACATCTTCTTTTATTCCATTGACAGCTTCAGTGTCATAATCCCATCTACCATGGACCCTGCTCAAATTATCGAGAGGATTTGCTCCGCCAATGGCTCCAAGTTCCATGCTGCGGCCTTCAAGGTCTCTGATCACGAAGGTAAACGACAAGAGACCGCTTTCGGTGTATAGAAACGACCACTAAGGCACTGCTCATATCCGTTTTAGGGAAATTATTACATTCCACAACTCATGGGACTCTGAAGGTTGACGGGTCCGGAGCCCCTGTGACGGAGGACTCGATGTTTTGGATTGCTTCCATGGCCAAATTAGTCACGGCCGTAGCTGTCATGGTGGCAGTCGAGAAAGGGCTTGTTGGTTTAGACGATGATGCCGGGGCTATTTTACCAGAGCTTGCGGAGCCTGACATCATTGTTGGGTTTGACGAAGAAGACAACGGTATGATCTCCTTATACGCCTGGTGGGTAGATATCTCAAACTAATCGAGACACAGGAAAGCCGATTCTCCGTAAGGCAAAACAAAAAATTACCTTACGACGGCTGTTAACTCACTCTAGCGGGTTTGTGTATCTTGCCGTCAATGCATCGGTTAGGAGATGGGCTGAGTATCACAACCATACTGCCACGACAGATGTAACGTCTAGGGTAAGTCTACCACCAGGCATCGTCCACCGGCTACAGAGCAAGTGCCGTATAATTATCCGTAGACCGAAACAGACATCTCACATTGCTTGCAGGACACATATCGCTTGCCCTTGGCCTTCGAGCCAGGCGAATCCTGGGGCTACGGTCCCGGAATCGATTGGGCCGGTTTCATCGTCGAAAAGGTTTCAAATCAGAAACTTGAAGAATTCATGCAGGAGAATATCTTCCGAAAACTTGGCTTGACCGCAACCACGTTCCATCCTGAAAGTCACCCCGAATTTGAGACAAGGCGCGTCGAACTTTCTCAACGGGCGCCGGATGGAACTCTATCTTCGATCCCGATCCCATACACGATCCCGGCTAAGGATGATATGGGCGGTATCGGGCTGTACTCGACGCCTAAGGAATATACCCGTCTGCTGCAGATGATACTCTGAGGAGGAGAAAATGTCCTGCGGCGCGAGAGTGTTGATGCAATTCTCTCTCCCCAGCTAGAGAGCAATGAAGAGCTGAACGCAATTCGCAATCGGGGTCCAGAGCAAATGAGTCGCATGATCAATCCAGGGAAGGTCATTGATATGGGCCTATCAACATGCATTAACCTAGATCAAGTCCCCAATGCCCGGTCTCCAGGATCTGTGTCTTGGGCTGGAGCTGCAAACGCTTTCTGGGTATGTCCTCTAACCCCAGCTATTAACATCACCAGCTTGGCGTAGCTATTGCTAACTGCTTCTCATTTAGTGGCTGGATATGAAGGCTGGTATATGCGGTACCCTCTTTTTGCACTCATTTCCTCCCTTTGACTCTTCTGCGCTGGACATGTTGGATGAGCTCGAAGCTGCTGTGTATAAGCAGTGTGGTGTTGATAAATAGTTAGACCTCGGTATTGACCTCTGTAGCTAGTTATTTAGCTCTTCGACACGAGCTACCGCCACCAATCAACCGCACGCTCGTGTGGCTGCCAACTTCCATAGACAAGACGAATATATAAATATTTATACCACATATATTTTCCAATACTATACGTATGATCAGAATCAATAGCCATGTCCTCTCCCGATAATCGCAAATCCGTCCTCATAACTGGGTGAGCTCCTCTGTCCCAAGACCGGGCAACGACGACGACGAATGCAGAGCTAACGCGTCGTACATAGCTGTTCGCCAGGTGGAATTGGCCATTCCCTGGCTCTTGAGTTTCAGCGCAATGGCCTACGCGTTTTTGCAACTGCAAGAAGTAAAGATACACTGGCAGACCTCGAAGAGAAGGGGATTGAGACCATGAGTCTTGTGGTGGACGAGGAGAAGAGCGTCTTAGCGTGTTTGGATGAGTTGAAGTCCATACTGGGCGAAGGGAAGGGATTGGATGTCCTAGTCAATAATGCGTAAGTACTTTTATACGTCCTACCAACTTGGATATGTTGACTTTTGATATTCGGCCATTTGCTAACTCCTCATACCTATTCTAGCGGACGAAGTATGATCATTTCTCACCGCTGGTAACTAATCATCTGCAGAGAGAGTGGCTGATATTTAGGATCGAACAGATTACACCGTCCCAGCTCTCGATGTAGACATGGACGAGGTGCGTCGGACATTCGAGACTAATATCATAGGGGTGATACATATGTGCAAGGTGTTCACACCACTCATCATCGAGGCCAAAGGCACAATTGTGCAAATAGGATCTGTCGCAGGAGTAAGTCCTTTAATCCATCAATTATTTACTAGTATCACATTAGTGCTGGCCTAACGAATGAATAGATAATACCTTAGTTTTTGGATCTGTATACAATGCTACCAAAGGTGCACTGCATTCATACAGTGATACGCTCAGAGTGGAATTAGAGCCCTTCGGGTATTTATGCATTCCCTACAACTAATTATCAAGCAAAACCAATACTAACAATCCGGTCTAGAGTCAATGTCGTCACCATTATAACTGGCGGCGTTGAATCACGGATTGCTCGCACACCGCGCACACTAGCACCTGATTCTATATACCAGCCAATACGGTCTGAATATAACCGTCGTGTCCAGCACAGTCAGGACAAAGCCACACCAAACGAAGTGTACGCTCGACAGGTGGTCACACAGGTTCTGTACGGCCCAGCTCCATGGCGCTGGATATGGCCGTGGAGACTGAGTCCGAGGAAATGGGTATGGGCTGGGAGTAAAATCGCATCGATTTATCTGCTTAGTGGTGCCTGGCTTTGGGTCGCGGTGTTCAACTTTGCCTTGGGTCGTATGTTTAACCTGGGGAAGTTGAGAAATGCAAAGGGAAACAGCACTATCAACACTGTTGGCCTAAGACGCTAGAACATACACCTACATACATAGTGAGGACCACGATGAAGACAAAATCTTAGGTATCAACCTTCGATGTAATACATATGCGAGAGCACACAGCTATTCAGCCCCACATCTGTATTTCAGGTTTCAGCCATCCACTGAATATTTTCCCCTTACATATCCTTATACACAGCTAGTTACAGGTTCCAAAAGAAAAAAGAGTCCTTCTATAGATTAACATGTGGCGTATAGACTGAACCCACATTTACGTGCTAAATAAAAATAATGACACAAGATGGAAAGGAAAGAAAAAGATATATGGATCAATAACTTGAAACAGGGGTCGTGGCTTCACCTAGTGCACTTTTTCTGCAACAGCAGGAGTAAAAACGGTTAGTACAACATGTCAGTGATCTGAGAAAAAGAGCATACGCCTGTATCGTCCAGTTGGGTCTTCCACTCACTCCTGAAGGAGGGAGGGTTGAACATGCAAAGAGACAGGGTAAAGATGCAGAAAAGTCGAATGGTGGCCCGAGTTTTAAATACCAAGCGTGAATTCAACACCGACATCAATATCTCTGGCCATCTTGACGACCTTGGAGAATTGGACGGACTTCTCGGCGGCGACCTGGAGGTCCTCGATGGAGAAGATCTTGAGGCCAGACTCGCTGATCTAGAAGTAGGATGTCAGTTAGAGGGGAACCTAATCATTTCATGCCTCAATCTTGTGATAAACTTACCAAAGCGTGGGCCTTCTCCATGTTGGTACCTTGCAATCTGGCGACGATTGGAGTACGGAGGTTCATCTCTTGGACGACATTGATCAAACCTTGAGCAATGGCATCACATCTCACGATACCTCCGAAAATGTTAACGAAGATAGCAGTGACCTTGGGGTCGCTGGTGATGAGCTCGAAAGCAGAGCGGATAGCGGCAGGAGTGGCACCACCGCCAACGTCAAGGAAGTTAGCGGGGCTTCCACCGTTGAGCTTGATGATGTCCATAGTGGCCATGGCGAGACCAGCACCGTTGACTTCATAACCGAATAGTTAGTAAAAAAAAGGATAACATGAGATTCAAAATAAGGCGTGCTTACCCAAGCATCCAATATCTCCATCCAACTTGATGAAGTTGAGGCCAGATCTAAGGCATTGGTTAGAATTGCAAATATACTCTTCATGGTTGTTATGGGACCGCTTACTCGGCAGCCTTGACTTCATCAGCATCTTCTTGGGTGGTGTCTCTCCAAGAGAAGACCTCCTTTTGTCTGAACTCGGCATTGTCATCGAAACCAAGCTTGGCGTCCATGGCAAGGACCTGGTGGTCGGAGGTTTCAGACAGAGGGTTGATTTCAATCTGAGTGGCATCCTTCTCCATGAAGACCTTGTAGAGCTTCTTGATGGTTTCCATAGCCTCTGGGACACATTGTTCGGAGAATCCGAGACCGGTAGCGATGTTTCGGGCAATATCATCAGTAACACCGGTGTGGATGTCAATTGGGGTAGTGGTGATGGCCTCGGGGGTATCCTTAGCGACAGCCTCGATATCCATACCACCCTGCGAGGAGGAGACGATGACTGGGGCCTGGGTCTGACGGTCCATCAGGATGGCGAGGTAGAACTCTCGGCGGGCGAACTTGCGTTCACAGATGTACACGGCATTGCAGAGACGACCTTGGGCACCGGTTTGCTTGGTCACAAGCTTGTGGCCGATCATCTGGTCGGCGAACATGCGTGCCTCAGTTGGACTGGCAGGGGGGGGGAAGATGTCAGTCTGGCATCAACAACAAAGAGCAGCGGTACAATAAGAGTAGAACACATACGAGTAGATCACTCTCACACCTCCCTTCAAGCCATTGTCGAAGGTACCCTTTCCACGGCCACCGGCCAAGACCTGGGCCTTGATGACCATGTCCTCACCACCTATCATCATTCCTCTCTCAGCCTTTTCGTTCTTCAGTCAATTGAGGGTGAAGTGGAAGTAAATATACCGATTTTCTTCGCAATGGCCTCAGCCTCAGCACCAGTGCGTGCAACTTCACCCTGTGGGACACCGACGCCATACTGTATTGCACCAATGCCGCGTTAGAAAGCTGCACTGCACGTCGTAGAGATAAACAGTCAATACTAACAGTTTTGAGGAGGTTGGCAGAGAGATATTCGTGTATCGAGAGGTTCCTTCGCTGCGATTGAGCGAATCTAGTGCGGAGAGGCGACTCCTACAAGCAACACAGGTTCGCGTATTAGCATTCCACGCCATCCGGAAGCCGAGAGACCAAACAATTGAGGTACGGGATAGAGGTTAGGTTGCGGAACTCACGACGGCGGATCTGAAAGCCGCAGCAATTGGCTTGCCACGAGCGAGCTTGAACATCTTGAAAATCAGCTCCGACGGAACCCAAGAAGAAAGTATTATACAAAAGGGCGAGCGGGAGTAGAGGATGGCGTCTTTTGGAGATGAAGAGATGGAAGAAACGCAAGCAAAAATCGGAAACGTGGTGATGCTTTGCCTTGCGCATCCATGGAGGTTCAGAGATTGATTGGCGGAGCGAGCCGGGTGGGTAACGTGAACGGGTAATACGCATACAAATACGGCCCGATCTGCTCCGGACACCGCAGAAATAGCAGTGGGCGGTACTGAAAGATCAATACGACAGTACGGCTAACGAAGGCTTGATTATTTCCTTACATTTATATCAAACATCTAACATCTTCAAGGACGAGAGAAAAAAAGAGAGAGAAAGAGAGATAAGATGGCGTCAGAGGCAGATGTGATATTTAACAGGGCGAACGTCGCTCTAGCACGAAGCCAGAGGCTGATTGCGTCCTGGCTGCCTCCCAAAACTGCCGAAGAAAGTGCCAATACAAAGTCGGAGGAGGAGCTCCAGCGAGAGGAAGACGAGATATTCACAGCAGTCCCGGAGAAGTAGGTGTCTCTTTTCAGTTTTACTTGATAAGTTTCTTAACTAACATGGTCTTCGTGTCTTGTAGACTGGGCCTTGGAGCGCCTATACCCCAGAAAGAGGCAGATGGAAGCATAAAACGAACAGAACTCAGCTCCAATGACAAGCTAAGGAAGCAGCTTTTGGGCAAGAATTTCCGAAAGACCGAAGCACCGGGGCCAAAAAATGCTGGCTCCCGGATAAAACAGACCGGCTCTACTCCAAACCAAGCGAATGAGGTGGCTGAGGACAGTGACGAGGAGGACGGGAGGTCGTCATTGGGTAAAAGCAAACGAAAAGGAAACTCAGAGGATCAATCGTCGGCCGTGAAGACGGGTTCCGGCGTGAAGAAGAGAACCGGAAGTTATCTTGATGAGGTTCTCTCGCAGAGAAAACCGAAGAAAGGGAGGAGATGAGCCGTCTGGGGATTATTATTATGGAGGTGCACTCCCCCGTGGCCGGGCAGACTGGAAACTCTTCAGCAAATCCTCATACGCATTGTGTTGTGACTTGTTCGCGGAGCCCCTTTGGGCCGAGTTTGTAACGCTTGGTGTTAGGCTAGACTCAGGTCTTCTCTCCGCTCTTGTCCGCCAGGTTGCCTGTGGCTGTGGCTGTGACTGTGACTGCGACTGTGGTTCGGGCTGTTGCTGCGACTGTCTTGCAATAACCTGTTTGGCAGGCTGAGTTGCAGGGCTATTTTGAGAGGCAGAGGCAGAGACGTTGCTGGGAGCACTTGTCTTTTCAACGCCGGACGTGGTCCCTGTTTGTTTGAAAGTTTCAAGCAGATACTCTATATCCGGTTGGTGTTTTCGTATTATAAACCGTTGTGTCCAGCTCAGATCCTGCAGGAACTCGACGTTGACGCTCTGCCTGTCCGCTTCCCCAAGCACGTTAAACATGACCCATAGACGCCTCATTTGCGAGGCCTCGGGGAACTTCTCATAGACGACGGATGTCACTTCCATGGGAATTCGTCGCTGCGTGCGATCGAATAGCTCGATCATCTCCTTTACAACAAGGCCCATCCAATTCTCTCCTCCGCCCATTTTCTCGCCGACACAGTATAAATCTATCAGGTTACTGTATTTTATTTTTGTGTCCACGACTTCTTCCGACCTCATGTGAGCGCCATACAGCCATTCCACAAATGCTGTGAACGTCTTAGAGTCAAGATCTGGAAGCCGAACTGGCTCCGTAGAATCCCCTATGGGAAATAGACCAGACAACCCAATGCTCTGAAGTAGAAAAAGGGTGTACCTGAAATTCTTCATTATCTGGGCCAACGATAAACTTGATCGTAGTTTTGAAAGGGTTGCTACTATCGTACCAGTCAGTCGTGTTTACTACCCCTTTCTCGTCCTTCTTCTTAAGATAGAACAAAGGCCAGGCTGAGAAGCCGGGTAAAACAGGAAAATACGAACATGGACTTCATTGTTAGCGTGTCGGCTTCTTCCTCTTGTTTGATCTTTTGTTTCTTTTCTTGCCTCTGCCCAAGAGACGTGGATCGGGCTCTCTTCGATGTACTTCGAGGCGCGTTTCTTCGCGATCTTGTCTGGCGTTGCCGTCTTGACAAAATTGGCGCGTCACTATCGGACGAGTCAAAATCACAGTCTGAAATCGAACTCAAACTCGACTCGGAATAAGTATCATCTGGCTCGGCTGATCTGTATGGGATATCTGCTATCTTCGCTGGACTGCTGGGTGGTGAAGGTGATGGTGGAGGAGGGAACGCCATCTTCTATGCCTGGAAGCAGGGCAATAATGCCAAGAGATATATGCGAGTCTCTTTAGAAGTAGAAGTCGAAGCTTAGGGGATGAAAGTAGTGATATGAGTATAAGATGCAGTCTTAGTGGTGATACAACCTGGTTAGCTGTCTGCTTCTCGAGCAACATGATGTAGATATCTGCTTTGCATCTTATAGATATACTCGGTATTCACTAGGTAGTTCCCAGTGAATGTCCCGCATCTTATCTGATGTCCTATAGTAAGTGTTCCTAGAAGGTTAGACATGAACTAGATACATACTAGACTGCACATAATGTCCTAGCTGTAGGATGGTAATTAACATCTAATAAAGATACACTATGATGTATGGTAGAATTCAAGATACACAGAAGGACAGGATAAACTGGGACTGCTTTCAATAGCCAATATAGAAGCTCACATTTACACATTGAAGAAATATTGCTAACAACTACCTCCCCATGCCATGGTATATACCTCTGCACAATGCTGTGTCCATCCAAAACACCTCCCCTAAACACACCCAAAAGCCTGGACCTGGGAGCTGAAATCCCATTGCCAACAGCTTTACTATACAGCCAAGCCAAACAATCAACCAATCCAACCCAAATAAACAAGAAAACTCGAAGCTAAAAGGAGACAAAAAGTGACTAAACCGACTTCATTGCCATGCCGGCAACTCATAAAATTTGCGCGCCGGGGAAGAAGAGAAAAAGACAAGAAAAAATAGCCGTACGGAGAGATATAAAGAATGGAGAGGGTGAGTATGAGATTGAAATTAAAATTGAAAAAAAAAAGAAATGGCATGTTGGTAAACAAAGGATTTGGATCAAGAGATGATGGGATGTGGTGGTATATAAGTATGGTCTTTATAACGATAAATGCCTCCGCCAATGCATTCCGACCCATGATGAAGATGTTGCAGATATACAGGAGACATAGATGGGTCTGAAGAGAGCCGTAAAGCAAATGGGGTATTTTTTTGACTTTTGGAAATTGTTAGACATGCAAGCTAAATCCTTGAGATGGTTGATATAAAGGAAAGTGAAATAAACCAAGGGATAGAGAACGAGGTACGGCATACGACGCTGGTGGTGTATAGCCAAGTCGGTAGATGGGTAGATAGGTAACGGTAATTAATCATTGAAGCCTTTTACGTTTCCGGTCTTCTCCCAGAGGCCCATCGTTCTCCTCGATTCGTTCGGCGGCAGATGATGGGTTCAGCAGTGAGTGTACGTTACTCGCCATACTAGATCGGCGTGTTGCTGGCAGTGACTCTACTGGGCGGGGAAACTTGGGTCCTCCTATCGACCAGCCATTGTCTGGCTGGGATGGGTCTAGGAGTAGTGGTGGCGTAGCGTGTCGAGGCGGTTCTTGCTGTCGTCGTGGTCCACCGAGCTCGTATCGTGCTAGGGCATCGCGGACGTGCTGGTCAGAGGAATTGGGGTTGCGACTTGGTGAGGAGGGCCATTGGATGGAGGTGGTGGGCCCATATTGGGAGTTGGGCGAAGGTCCGGCTGATGGGGGCCAACCGTGCTGTCTGATGTCGGCTGAGGTGTGGCGGCGAGCTAGATTGAGGCCAGGAGGAGAAGAGACTGATGTTAGAGGATGGAGGCTTGATTGCTGTGGGATCTGGGGTTTGTTGTATACTGGTGCCGGATTTGTACCGCCGATAGAGCCATGGCGATGAGGTGAGATGGTGATATGAGGTGGTAAGGGATGGCGTATTCCGGAGGGACGTCTGCCGTCATCCTGGCATACCTGGCGAGGGGAGAGTGGAGGAGGACCGGGGTCGAGTGACATGTTGGAGAAGTATGTTTGCCTTCCTGACACCATGGCATCCTGAGGGTTTTCTAGGGTACGGATGTAGTCTAGTTGTCGAGTGATTTCGCGCTGCATGTTGGCGGCTGATATCCACGTTAGCAACTGCTATATGTTGTCATGTCAACGTAACCACTTACCATCTCTATGAATACTGTTTTCGGTATCAGGAACCAACGAGACGATAAATGACGACATCGAACTTGTCCACTGCGGAGTAGCAGAGGTGTTAGTGGAAGACTAGACAAGAACATTCGGCAACACCACTTACCTGATGGCACCTGGCCAGGCCCTCGGTAAGTACATGGCAGTGCGAGCTTAGAAGCGCGTTCTGATCCTCCATACGCGATAGCCGGTTATGCATGTCATACAAGGATTGTTCCAAAGTGGCCATTCTTGGATCCTGACCGTCCACGGTGGGCTCTGCGGGCGTTCCTGGCTGTGACGGGTTCGGCTTATGGGCCGAAAATGAGTCTCGGTGGATTAGAGCGTGTCTGGAAGCTCTCCGCTTGATATCTCGCAGTCCAGCAACGTCTCCCTTTCGGAAGCTGCCGTTTCCGTGCCTGAATTCCCACATCGGCGAGTCGGGAGATCCCGTGTGGAAGACGTCGCTCACTTTGTGGAAGCCGTACATGTTTAATTGCCGAACAAAGGAGGAAATGTTGGTATGCTTGAAATATTGCCTATAAATGAGATTTATTAGAACAGCTCGCATACGCGGAATAAGAGCACATACGATAGAACTTTTGAGAAGTCTGACGAAGGAGACATGACGAAGCTCTCATTCGAGCTTGACCAAGATATTAAATGCTGGATGCTGGGATCCTGAAGCATACTGTGAAAAGCTGTCAGCGGATGCGCCTTTCCAAAACCTCAATGCAGGGAGAAGATCAGTCCAACCTGTATAGCTTGTGAATGAAGGCCGTCTGAACAACCTTGGGCTGCTGTCCAGCTGCTGCCGCGCCAATTGGGTGGTTCGCGTTCGAGCTTTGCGACTGCATCGACTCCATGGCCGTGCCGTTCGTGTGGTTCGCATTGGAATTGACGCTGTCTACCTCCGGGCCGTTCTGCAGCGGCGGAGCCATTGAGGTCGACGTCGACGGGCTCATATCCATTGGGTCACCCGGGCTGATAGACTCGTTCGCCGGAGCGGTGGAGGAGATGAGCGGTATGGTCCTCGATTTCGCGGAGAGGTCGCCAACGGACGGCCCATGAAACGGATTTCGCAAGGGAGGATCAAGCATCCGGTTCATGATCGAGGTAGACGTAGAGAGAGCCAGAGTGAGAGCGAGATCGGAGATAGTGGGTTAGGATCTAAATCGCCGTCTAGAGTTGTCTCGAGTCTCCCAGATATCTCGCGAGGTCACGGCCAAGGGTGAAGAAAAAAATATCGAGACGGTTATACGTCCACCAACCGGTGAAGCAAGGAAGCGCAGGACGACCGCGGCAAAGATGCAACGCTGGCAGCTTGCGCAGACGGTGTCAGAGAGTATTTAACTCGAGTACGACGCAGCCCGGCCGAGTCAGAGGGCAGGGTTTCGTGGTTTGCGCAAGCCGTCAAGTGGGGGACGATGGCACACTAGAGGTGGAGCCGTAGAGGGGAAGAAGTCAACAAGATCGCATCTAGAGATGAAGCCTGTACCATCGCATTCAGCCTGGCTGGAGGTGTATCTGCTGTATCTGGGGGTGCGCGAGCTGGTCGACGGGAGGTGTCGAGACGAGGCGATCGAGCGCCGACGCGGAACCGACGGAGGCTTGTAGGAATCGCTCGAAGATGGACGATGCTAATACTAATGCTGGCGATGGTAACGCTGATGATGCTGACGCTGGCGATGCTGACGCTGGACGACGCTGATGCTGGACGAAGCAGAGATGCTGTTCGTGGTGGTTGTGTAGATATGGTTCTCGACGCTGTTCCAACGACAGAAAGGGGTGACAACGAGACGAGACGAGGAGAACAACTCTCGAGGATCAGCTCCGGGAACAGAGAAGAGACTTAGAGAGAGTCTTAGAGAATCTTGAAGCGAGGATGGGGCGGAAGCGTTCAGGGTCCAAAGATGGCTGTGGATGTGCTGTGGGCTTGGGGCGAGCGAAGCTACTCCGTCCTCCTGCTGCTGCTACAGGCAAACTAGTTACTTTTCCTACTTGCACTGATGGAACGACGCTGCTGCTGATATGCTGCTGCTGATGCTCGGGCTGCGACCCCGACTTCTCGTCAAGCGGACAGGGACTGGGGTCAAGGATCAAGGGCGTCTGTGAGTACCGGAGTATACAACAATCTATATTTATAAAAACAACTTCTTCACTGTACTCTGTACGGAGTAACTGTTAAAGAGTAGAGACGAGATGAGCTCTCAGCCTCAAGCAGGATCTTCCGTCCTTATCGTCCTCCTAGTGCCTGCTACTATTCTTTCTTTGGCGCTGTCTCCCTGCCTGCCTAGGGCGTGCATCCTTCTATTCTTTCAACCGCCCGCCCCCGGCCTCTGCCCAGCCATCCGATGGGGGACGAAGCAACCCCTAGAAGCTCCATCGACCATGTAGCGAAGTATGTCTATTTTTCATCTGGGGCGGCCGTGTGCTCGCCTGTTCCTGCAGCCAACTCCTCAGGAGCCCACCTGCAGAATTCCTTTTTCCTTCCTTCGTCGCCTCCTGGGACGGTATTGCTCTCCAACCGTCGAACAGGCTGCCAGTCGAGAGTACTCTGCCTCTTCTTTTTTTCAACCCCTATTTCCTACCCGTCATTCTTTCGTCTTTTGCCCCGGCCAACTATTGAATGGCTGAGGGGGCCGTATGGTTGTTCAACGTGCATGAAATCGGTGGGTTCCGCAGAACTTCTCGAACTGGAAGTAAATTTGGAAGTTTCGAAAAACCTACCTGACAGACGTGATCTTGTCAGACCCTCCTACCATGGATAGAAACGAATTAGAACAACAGCAGCCGATCGTGGGGATGCTTTTCCGACGCCGTGGGTACGATCCGGTGGGAATTCTTCTTTCCGGGCGGGTGAGCTGTCACCATCGCATATGGGATAGGTCATTTTTCCCTCCATCAACAGCCAGGAGGCTTGCGATAGGCGGCACCATCTTTTTATTTTTCCCTTTTCTCCTCCTTGGGGAGCTTGAGGGTTGCACGATCGCAGCCAACGGCCAGTAGGAACCCTTCCCATCCGAGTGAGATTCTGGTTTCTTGGTGCTGCTACCGTGCGATGGAAAAGAATAATTAATCAGCACGACTTTGCTCTCTCTCTCGCTCGCTCTCTTCCGTTCGAACTGACAAAATTCCAGGACCCGCGACCCTGGGACGTGGGCAGGTCGTACGTGCAGTGTACTATGTATATGCATCATGCTAATCCACAGCAGAGATGGCCATAATAGTCCGAAATAGTGCGAGATGGCGCAGGAGATCGCATCCCTGTCCTTGAACGAGACCTGGCAGGGCCTCGAAGATCAGCTGCTTACAACCGTTGTCCTTGCCAGAGCTCAAAGCGCGCGCTGTCGATTTCACATGGATCATTCGATCTTGACACATCTTGGCCGCAGTTCGTCCGCTCATTAGTTCCTTTGGCTTGTGCTTGCGCCCCCGGAACTGCAGAGAACATGCTGGTTAGCGCAAGGCGACTTTTCTGCTCTGTTCTCTTCTGTTTCTCTTCATCATGTTTCTGTTTCCACTGTTAATCCTGGTCTCTTGGTCATGTGGATGCATGGGGTGGTTATACGCAAACTTGTCCACCGTATCATCACGCAGCTCGAGGGATACTTCAACCTTACTCCGTACGAGAGGAGTACGAGAGGAGCAACGACGGGCGATGCGGTGTAAGCTGAGACAGCTGCCCTCGGTTATATATCTAGAAACTCCTAGCTTTTCCCCCACGGCACCGGCGCCTGTTCTACAAAACGGCTCATACTCCAAGCCACTCCTTGCATAATATTGATCCTGAGCGTCGCACGTATAACAAAAAGAATAAAAAATAAAAATAAAAGAGAGAGTACGAAGCGTGTCGTACAGGCCCATCCCAAAGATAGTGGCGGTGGCACCCTCGTCCGTAAGCGTTGCCTTATTTCGACCCGAAACACCAGTCTCCCCCCGACGTTATACCGGGTACTCGTATGCTGCGAAGCCCTTCATTTTATGTCGAAGGCAACGGACCGCCAGCGTAGGTTCGTCTCAAGCTGGGCTAGCGCATCTCCTCCAAGCCCGATCGCTTAGATGGACATCGTATCCCCCCACGGCCTATCCTCAAATCCTCTTCCCAAAGCCATCCCGCGCCGACACGATTGGCCCGTTGAATGCTGATATGGGCTGGGAACACGCCATAAGAGTCTGCCACAAAGCACTGACCACTACTTATATGTATCGTCGTGGCGTCGGCGATCCTGCAGGCTGGACGCTGGCGCATCTCGAGACCGAACGCCATGTAGTCTCGTCCGTTGCCCCGAGTTGGCTGGCGGCTGCGTGGGACGGACGAACCGCTCGCTTGTTCCCTTGTCCTTCGTCTTGAATACCGCAGCAGCTCTGGAATGCAGCTCTTGACAGCAGCTCTTGAACGGAGCTCTCGAAAGCCGGCGTTGTGTATGTAAGATGTAGGATGCTTAGCCCGAAAGGAGATGCCGAGCTTCTTAGGGCATGGGCCCTTATCAATCAGCAAAAGTTGGAGCTGGGAGGGACCAGCGGCGGGCTCCGGCTTCACTGTCGCATGTCGGGAGAAAAGATTTTAAACAGACATTTTGCGGCCTTTCTTTGCCTCTGCACAGGACGAGATCTGTTTCCTAGAGCTGCGGAGTGTATAAAGCCAGGTACGTGAACAGTCGACGCGATCACCGCATACCTGTCGCTGAGCTGCTGCCCCTCGGAGAGAACTTGCTGCCTATTTACGGAGTACTGCTTTTTTAACTAATACGCTGGACTTTGGATAGAAAACTAGCCATAACAAGGACCAGATTTGTTCAAGGGTCAGGGATTAGGTCGTCAAGATGGTCGAGAAGGTCTACGTCACATACAACCAGGTACGGGACAACAGCTCCTTTGTTCCCGTTGTATAGACGGAACATCTCCCCCGCCGTTTATAACCACGCAAGAGCCAATAATCGGAGGTATGGGTGTCTGACTGGTACTGCGGTTGTTGTCTATATAGGTACATAAGCTGTGCCAGGCCTCCGCCGGCCGCATCCTCGATGAATTTCGTCCAAACCTCATGATCGCTATTGGCGGTGGAGGATACGTTCCAGCGCGGATGCTAAGGTATGAAGCTCTATCTATCCGACGTCGAGCTGGGACTAAAGGTACCCTGCCATCAACAGATCTTTCCTCAAGCAAAAGGATTCTCCAAACATCCCTATCCAGGCCATCGGCCTCTCGCTCTACGAAGATCTAGGCAGAGGTGACCCCGAGGAGGTCCCGGGCACCAAAGTAACACGCACACAATGGCTCGACTTGAGCTCGTTGGAGATGGCAAACTTGATTGGAAAGAATGTTCTCATCGTTGACGAGGTTGACGACACCCGCACGACTTTGGAATATGCTGTTCGCGAACTAGAGAAGGACGTAGAGCTTGCGCAGAAACAACTTGGCCGACAGGGGGAGAAGACCACCTTCTCGATCTTTGTCCTACACGTAAGCTTTCAATTTTGCCTCATTTTACTTCGAGTATAGAGAAGCTAATATGCCGGGGACGGAATATAGAACAAAAACAAGCCAAAGAAGGGCCAACTCCCAGCGGACATGCTAGAAGAAGGCCGATACCTTGCCGCCGTCACGAGTGAAGATGTTTGGATCTGTTACCCCTGGGAAGCCACGTCAGTCCATCCACCTTTTAATCTCTTTAACTACGCAATCGCCATACTGACTTCATTTCCAGAGATATCGACGAGCACGACCGATTGGCTAAAGAAAACCCTCTAGAATCTTCATAAAATGACCAAACCTACTCGTTAGATTTTACCCTCTCACGTTGAATATGATAGTTACTTTCATTAGCCCGTCTGGTTCCAGCTACCTTACGAAAACGAATATATTTCCCATCTATGGAGGTCTAGGTGCAGACTTAAGGTGTTACTATTACAAGATGTGGCCGCTGGCCTGTTACCATGCCTTCTATACCCACGCTGAGGAGAGACAAGGTGGGATAGCCTTCATTATCATGAATGCCCAAGAGCGGATGTTAGTGAGTTGCCGGACTTCTAACCTGGCCGTGTCTCAAACATATCAGCCCATCCGCTCTGGAGGAACAACTCAGATTAAGAGAACATCGACTGTGCAGATAGTCCTTTGAATCAGCCATAAAAAATCATTTAAATTATAATTCTATCTATATCATTCCTCCCAGCGCCTCCGGTTAATAGGTTGCAAGAAAGGTAGTCCCCCACTTATACGATCGCATATTCTGCAAAAAAAGAGAGAAGCAATTCATCAAGACCAGAATAAAATGCGTAGAAAACGCAGATGGTCCTATTGCATTCCCCCTTTTATGTCGTCTGTGTATTCTCCCACATCATACTGCGGCGTCCATTGTAGCTTGTTCAGTCGACATCAACCTTCATTGATCTCAGTTCAGCTGTTGCTGTACTTATTTCGGCCTGTAAAGATTTATATGCCTCCGGTACGTCGTTGAATGTGAAAACTCCCCAGCCTAGTCGGAAGAGCAGGTATGAACCCAGTACCATCAGGAAGTATGTAGGAAGCTATAAAAACGCAATTAGAACAGGAGTCAGTTTATATCTTCCTGTGCGATTCAACGAGGAGAGGCAGAGTGCAAGGGCGCATAATCATTTTATCCCGCGGGACTATTTGCGAAACGTACATGTGGGATGATTTCCTCCTGTACGGTTTGGTTAAGTGGTAGAAGTCCCAGATACAGAGCCAAGTAGAGCTGCGAGAAAGATCACGGTTAGCGTATATCCCTCAGACATGACCAAATGTCTCCAATTGAGTCAGAACAACGATGTGGCGTCCAACGTACCGAAGTAACTAGCAATGCAATGGAAAGGGTCTGTTGCGCGCGTGTCATGGCTGCTATTGAAAAATGACGACTGGGAGCTTAGCGAGAGGCGGCGATGGATTCAGACCAAGGCTTTGACAACGAGATAATCGACTGGTCTTCGTTTCTATATAATATCAGGAGATGCGGCAGGTAATTCCTCTCCTTGAAGCTCTTTCTGATGCCAGCAAGGGGTTCGCGCTGTATAATCACGTGATATATACGCACACGTCACATGTTTCCAGCGTTCTTCATACTGCGACTGGATGTTGATATGAAGGCTAGTTGAGATACAGCTGTGAAGTGGTCTATGACTTCTGTGAGGGTAGAGGGGATCTTATTCTCGAAGATGATCTGGTTTGGACGAACTGGCGTTGTGGCTCTACCTCCATCCACTACCAAGCATACCCGCCCGTTATGGCAATATGTATATATCTTACTCTAGTAGAACTCCTATCATATATAGGGCTATAATTAGGTTAAAAATAGGACTACAGCACCAGTTCCCCTGTGCCTCATGTGGTGCCGTACGGAGTACTCAATACTCTCCAGCTTCAGATCCCTGAGTCCCTCCGTATAGATCGGCTTTATACCCTGCTATTCGCAATTTCAACTGAAGCCTCACCCACGGAGCAGTTCAGACGCACAGTCGACAGGCATCCTGTCAAGCAGACATAAGAGCCTAAGATGAAAATATGGCCCCCTGTTGATGACCTGTATGTGTGCGCCCCACACTGCGTATAGCAAAATAGCCACAACAAAGTCTTCTCTCATGCTTCAAAGCCAGGCCAATCGTAGCGCCTTCGTGGTGTAGTGGTTATCACGCCAGTCTCATAGTAAAATATGACTCGGGAGCATAACTCCGGGATATCTGGAAATGCCAGTTCGATTCTGGCCGAGGGCAGTAATGAGTCTGGCGTCAACTGTCAACTTTCATTTTTGTCATTTTTGTCATTTATGCTCTTTTTGCCAACTGTCTCATTTTGTCTTTTGTCCTTTTTGTTCATCCATATCGTATTGCGCCGTCTTTCTCTTGACTGTTGACAGTGGTGGACGTTGGATGTCGTTGCAGGCAGCAGCAAGCCCTAACTGCGAGGTGGCCCAAAGCGGCCTAGCCCCGCGACATGCCCTACTTCTTGGAACTCGCGATATCTCGCATCTCCGCCAGGCATCAACAGCTAAACAGTTACCGGCGCTTAGGGAGTTGGATCCTTTTTGGTCACCTGTCCGCTATTGCCTGATACCTGCGCCTTTGTCTAATGTCACCCTGGACGCTGCTCGCCAATAGCCATACTCGGTATATAGGACCTCATATAGAACCCCACTGGATGGCACTGTTCCAATAGTGCCTATATTTAGCGACTTCAGTCCTGGTTTAATTAGCTATCTATCATTAACCGCCAGCGAGGATTCCCATATCCACATGACTGAGAAGGTGTCCTCCTTAGAGCGTTGAAGCCTGGTGCCATCCTTGGGGGCATCTAGAGGCCCTTGCCACTTCCCGGACATTCTTGGTTGCGGATTGGACCTTTGGTCAAGCGGCCCATCCTCCAGAGTGTCATCGATATAGGCATCCACGCCAGGAAGCTGTACCCTCATGGATCAATCCATGGAGATTCCCGTTGAACCGCCGGCCAATCCGGCCAGGGACGCAGGGCCAGAATTAAATAAATACCCTCCGGACACTTCGCACAATATGGATGATCAAACTCTTAAATCACCCCTTCCCGCACCTGAAAAGGATCTATCTAAACTCTCGCAAGAAGAAGAAGAAACTATGATCCGCTCTCTACGCACAAAATTCAAGGGTGCGGAGGATAAGAATCAGAATGAAGAACTACACACCCTCTTGAATTCTTTGGAGCTAGCAGACAAGGGGCTTAAGAGTGGCACTCCAAGCATGGAAGGGCTGAAGGCAGTCTTATCCCAAGTCGATATGCTATGGAGGAGCAACTCGAGCTACATGGCCGAAGTGACAGAGATGTTAGCAGATGCAAGTCGTGATGGTAAGTTTTGCCTCTTTTTCTTCATCCTTCAAGCTGGGTAGAAGTTGTGACAAGTATCAACGATATTTAGCAAAATGGAGACCTTACTTTGGTCAATGTGGAATATTGGACTATTTCCTTCGCATTATATCCACAGATGAGGTTGAAGAACACACCTTATTGCATGCTTTAAGATTTATTGGCAATTCGTGTGCCGACACTGGTGAGTCTATAATCTATTCCCCTTACTTTCTGACATATGGATAGCTAACATGACTAACTATAGATGAAAATAGAGAAAGAGTGCTTGAGAGGAATTATACCTTGCCAATAATACAATGGATCAGTCACCTGAGACTAGTTCATGTCGCTATACCAGTTATTTATAATATATGTGTTGACTTTGGTAGGTTGACCTCCTTCCTTATTTTTAGTATTAGCTAACCGGCTTTCCAGTCCCTGCACAGACTCAAGTTGCTCAAAATGGTATTTCTATGGTGCTTCTAAAGCTATTAGCAAGCGAGAAGCTTAAAGGCAGTGCCTTGTTGGGAGTCACCTATGAGTTGTTGGAAATGGCAAGTGAGCAAAGTATGACCCTCCTTGATCCCTATACGTCTACATCATAGCTGACCAGAATAGGTCAAGCAATTGACATTGCATCCGATGACTCGTTACCCCTTTTAATACATGCGACATCTCGCTCAGAGTCCCATGGAGAAGGATTCGCTTGTTTAGTGAATAGTTTAAATGCCTATCTCCAAAAAGACAAGTTCCAACAACTGAGCATTATAAACGAACATGTCGAAGAGCTCCTGTCGATTTATGCGGATTCTTTCAAAGGAGATGACTCCATTATGTCGCCCCTACGGCTTAAGCTCAACCACTCGCTTGCAGATATATCGGCCCTCCCCGCATTCCCCAAATACTACCCTTTGCGTTGCCCGGTAACCGAGACACTGATTTCATGGCTCAGCAGCGACAAGGACGATCTCAAGATATGTGCATGTGTTATACTCGGCAACGTTGCTCGGGATGACGAAGTCTGCAAATCGATGTTGCATGACTTCAAGATTCACCTACCACTAATATCCATGCTGAAGCGTGATGACGCGAAGGCAACGGTCCTACATTGCTCCCTTGGCTTCTTGAAAAACCTAGCAATAGCCGGAGATAATCGTGAATATCTAGGTGAAGCAGACGTTATCAAAGCCGTTTCTCGGCTATGGGCCCTTGAAACTCTCCCCCATGCGCAGCTTATGGCGGTAAGCCTAACAAGGCAAACGATTTTAACCTCAGTCTCAAATATTGGCCGTCTATTGGAACCAATCTCTTCCGATGCAGATTCCCCCGCCAGTCGTCGCACTTATCTCTCCCTACTTCTCGTTTTGTTCGGCAAGACAGACTCTTCTCCTATCAAAACCGAGATTGGGCGAACAGTCGCGGCTGTATGTCGCACGCTAATGCGACTGAAGGGAAATTCTGAATTGCCCTCTGACACACAGGAGTTAGTCGATAGGTTGTTCACCCTGCATAAGGACGTTGCGCGCCCAATAGGAATAATGATTACCCAAACCGAGTGGCCCATTGTTCAGAGTGAAGGCTGGTTTGCCCTTGCGCTAGTGGCATCTCATCCAGCTGGGTCTCAGGCAGTTGTTGACTGTTTGGAGAGCATGTGTGTTATCCAAAGCCTATGTGACACCGTCCGTTCGACTATCTCCCCACCAGAGCCAGGAGAATCGGCCAAGGATAAAACCGACCGTTTGAAGAAGACGAAAGATAGGGATAATGCTCTTTTCTTACTTCATGGTCTAATGAGGAATAATGTAAGCTTGTCTCGACCCTCTCTCACCACTGCTAGCAAAACTAACATACCTTGTCAGCCATCGGCATCTGAACTCCCAGAATCTCTTCGCGATATGTTTGAGGGCCTGTTGCGGGAGGCTGGCCATGAACCTCCTCAGTAACACAAGAATATTATTTATGATTTTGGAAAGTTCTCTGGTTTGATACAATGTTGTGATGTGATGTTAACTAATGATCTCCCGCTCGCCATATCCACCGACAATATTAGAATGTTAATGTCGTCTCATGTCTTGAATAGATAAATTTACTCCTTCATGAATAGACTCATAATGACCAATTATATAGCCTGCTTTATAGACTCATCTATTTGAATTCATAAATGCTGGTATATATTTTAAATCATTTAGGCAGGATAAAACTATGGTAAGGAAATAATTGTCCAATTCTCGAGCCGAATTCGATATATCAAGAATAAATAAGATGGTCTATCTGCTCAAGCTAAATAACCTCTCGTTCGTCTGCTTGCTGGTTGTTGGGGGTATCACTAGTTAATCGCTACTCAGACGCCAGATTTTGGGTGAAATAGTTAAGTCTACTTCATCTCTCGCCGATCGTTTCCACTTCAGTCCTCGGCATGTTAATCGAAGCTGAGGTAACCCCCATTAGTCATTTCCTTGACATGATCTTGGATGAGACTAAAGGGTGTCATGAACCCGGAATCAAACCCCGCCACGTTTTTTTCCACGGCAAAAAGTAAGCCAACAAGTTCTCCGTCCACGTTTACGACGAAGGCTCCTGAGTCACCATCAGCCGCAAAGTCAGCGGTGCTCGATATGACCTCGGTTTCTTCGGAAGGATTTCCAGAGTTATCCCAGTGTACGATTGCCGACATTCTGTTGATTATTCCCGACGTGGTTGTTGTTCGGCCTTCCTTAGCAACCCAATTATTCGGCACCGGATAACCAAAGGATCTAATATTTGCATCTGGATGCGGGTTGTACCGAAGGCCATTTCCTGGTAGCATAAATCCAGGGGAGTTCCGAAGAGGGGAGCGAGGAGGTTTATTAAGGGAGAAAGTGCTTGGACTCTCGATCAATGCCCAATCTAAACACTGGTTATCTTTCCTATGGTATCCCGACGCAAGTAGCACTTTGCCTATACCAGGCCCTGAGATAAGTCGTGGTAGCATGCAATGCTGTTGCTTCAATTCCTGATCATGAGGTTCATTTTTGCATAATTCTTCCAAGTGAGCCATAGCCTCCTTTGAGTCAAGAGCTGCTGGGTATTCAATATCTAAATGACCGCGTTGATCATTCCAATGTACCCCATGCTTGTCTGTATGTGCTGAAACACTAGCATCGCCACTTCTAATGGCGTGGTAACAGGTAAGAGCGCATTTAACCTTCCGATTTTCTCGCGGAAGACTGAGTATCAACCAACCGCCTAAAGTCCCTGCTTCCGCGTCTCTTCCGCGGATACCGATGGAGCTTCCATTGACCGGGTTTTGAGGTAGACTTTCCGCAGCTGTTGCCATAGGAAGTGTCATGGGAAGTTCTGAAGGCGCAAGAACGACCCTTCCTGGGAGAAACTCTAGGTGTACCTGCATCTCCAACTCAATTAGAATTTGAGATAGTCGAGCCTCGGCAGATGCAAAGTCGTAAGTTGACTTGGGGCGGCAAAAGACGATGACCGTAGGTTTTTGTCGTTCGTTGGTATGGCGGCAACTTCGCATATGGAATGCGATGGATGTCCAGACGTTCTGCATAGAAGCAGACACTTCGTTAACAATTCGACCTTTAACCTGGGTCAGAGATTCAATAAGAGTCGGATCATCAGGAATAGCATATGAAACATCGTCGTACATCATGTGGGCGTTTGATATCTCCACTTGAAGAGATGCTAGGGTATGGCTCAGGGCTCTTTGCTTGACATAATTATGCACATAATTAGCGGCAGTTCTCCACGCCGCTGGATTGGTGTTAGATGTCAGGATCCTTAAAACATCCCTAGCCTCGTATGTTTCATCTAGTGGCTCGAGGCGGTAGAGTCCATATGTGCGAAAGGTGATTCCATGTGTGGCTAGGATATTTGGTATCTCATGGGCAATAGAAGTCTCGTAAACCTCGCGTAACTCGTCATTAACTTGGCCAACTCTTGACTTCTTAGGTATCGGAAGGCCACTGGAGGCAACACGGAACTTGTCCTTGCTGGCTACCCAGTGCTCGATTGTTGTAAAACCATTAGTCGCTGACTCTATATACATGTTAGTTAGGGGATAGATGTTTCGGCCTCTGTCCACTTACGGCTTCCATAGCCAGAGTCCTCTGATCCCTCGGCTCTTCTAGTAATACAAACCATGTTTGATGATAATATCGGAGCAGCAGGAGTAATAGATAAGATGTTAGAACTTCAAAAGAAGCAGTGCTAGAAGTCAGTCAGGACATCTCGAGGTAGGAAGAAGAAGGCGGAGAAGAGAAGATAAGCTAGCTCGAGACCTAGAAAAAATCCAGTGAAGGGGAAAACATCGTCAGTGACTCAAAGATGACCACACTGGTGTTAAGTAGGAAGACGGTAGCATTCTGCTGGTAGTGATGACATAGCGGTACACTAGTTCTCCCAACCTTAAATTGTCCTACCAAGTGCGTTTCCATCATGAACTTATTCTACTGCCAGTACCATGAAGTCGACCAAGTCTATAAAGACCAGAAAAGTGACGTTGAGCTCAACCGCGGCTCGCGCTTATTTAAGTTTACCAGCGAAAAGGAGCTTACTAATCAATCGATCTACCATTTGGGCCGATATAGAAAGGACGACAAGTTCTAGAATAACGACTATGTTGTCAAGGATTTGGCGAGCGATGATAGATTCTAGTTATTGAGCTTGCGAATCTTAACATTCTGCTGGCAAATATATGTCCGTTACCTCACTGCCGTGAATCGACAGGATACCATGACCCATCACCCTATTATAACGAAAACTTCGATCTATTCCATAATTTCATCGGCATATACGGTAACATAGTGCCTCATCTCCTGTAGTCCTCTTCGCTTATGATTGAGCAGGGAGCCCTTTCGCAAAGCTGGACCAAGATTTCTAAAAAAGAAAGTGAACAATGGCCAGCCATCTGTATCTAACAACGGAAGGGAGTCCCATTCTCAAAATCATGGCAACGATGGCATGTCACACATAATATACATATATATAGTACCCGGTACCAAGTTGAACGCTCTATGATCTATCCTCGACTCTTTTGCGCTTCTCTTTTAATCTCTTCTCTGTCTTCATGAACTCCCTGATCCCAACTGGGATATCAGCAAACAGTGCATCGGCCGAAGTATCAGTATTCCAGCTGGCCTGGCTCCCGCCACCGTCATCGTCCATACTTGCGCTCGCACTGTCCACTTCTTTTCTTGGGGCTTGCCTCATATCATGTAGCGGGCCTGCCGCTTTCTTCTTCTTTGCTCCTCTCCGGGGAGGATCTCGCTTCTTGGCTTCGTTTATTCTCTGAGCCCATGCTTCAACATCATCCCGATAATCGTCCCAAACGCAATGCACACATCCACTCATGCAGCAGTTATCAGGCTCTTCTGGTCGTGGTGGTATGGGTACGCCATTGATTGTATGCCAGGTCGACTTGGGTGGTGTTGTGGCGGGGTTGTAGCGGGTAGAGGAGTAGCCCGGCCCAGCAAGCCGGGTTCCAAAGACTATGCCAAACTTTTCCTGTGGTAATTTCTCCGTGCTGGGCTCTGTTTGCGCCGTCCCGGAAGCTGTTGTGGATGATGGTTCGGTGGTTTGGGGTTGCGGACGACGGCTGGGATTGTATGGTTGCGATGGCGCAGTAAGGATATCGGAATAGTATCCCTTCAATGGATATATTTGCTTCACCGTACCTCCGCCTGACTCGTTCTTCTTATCCACCTGTGTGTGTTGATATCGCGGAGATGCTACCTGCTTCAGCCGAGGACTCCTCCAAGGCGATATTATCTGTGATTTCGGCGCTCCGGTAGACAGTATACGGAAACAACTTGAACATAGCGTGGAGCTCAAGGGATTCTCCCCCATGACGGAGAAGAACAGTGACCCCATTTGTGCCTGACACGACGGCGTTATGCTGTAGACCTCCAGGTTGTCCCTCCCATTGTCGGCAACCAAAAAGCCAGTGGGATATTGATGCAAACAGTGCAAACACCGCCCATCGCGTTCTTTTGTTTATGCCGAGGAAGCTGGGGAGTTCAAGGAAGAGCTTCGAAGCAGACGAACGGTCGATACGATATTAACCCGTACCTTTTTACTTATTATTCCAGTCTAGCATATACAGCTTGAAGCTTTAGTTACATATGTTCACGCCCATTCCTCCCCGTTAAATGTGAACGCGCTGTCCGAATGATACCCTCCTCGCCCTCCAAACGGCGCAAGTCCAATTCGTCTATTCCAATACCTATAGGCGCGTCAACCACCACGAGAAGAGATGGCCGTGGACGTACTAGCCCGTCGCGATCACCGAGCCGCCCGTCATTCCACGCGCCGACACGATCGAGCCTTGCGCGACACCATCCAGACGTTTTATCGAAGGTCCTAGAGCGGTCAGCATCCGAGAAAGCGCGACGGCCATCGGGCCAGGATTTCAGCTCCTTTGGCGAGCTCGGAGACAGTTCACCTCGGATATCTGGCAGTATACCCTTACGGCCGTCGTTGGCTAAAGCTCAGCCGGAGACAGAGGCAGAGGATGGATTACCACAGCTCAACAATACTGTTTCCAGGCCGAGTTCTAGACGGCGATCATTTGCAGAACAACCCTTTTCTGGCGAGATATCCATGGTGAATGAGCCTGTCATACAGCCGGAGCGAACAGAGTCAGTGTCGGATTCACCTACAGGCGGCCATGAAGGACCGGGACTGTCTCCTTCTCCAAAACCAAGGCCACAAAAGACTATGGTGCAGACCATTGCACAATTCAATGGTAGCCCGAGTCATCATTTAGACATGAAAAAGAAACAACAATTAAAGAAGGCAGGGTTTTATCCTATATTTAAGACCAAGAACCCGAAGACTCTCGCGGGAAAGGAGGAGCGTGGTGCTGCTGAATTGCCAACGGATGCTGAGGTCGAACCTGGAGAAGCGTCACCAAAAGAATTAAAGCAGAAAAAAGAATTACGAGATTCACTCGAGGCTCAGCTAGAGAGGCTAAAGGGAGAAGTTGCTCTCCTAGAAAGGGAGGCTGGCCGGCTGGAGGCTACAGAAAACGAACCCCCTGATGAGGTCTCCCTTAGACGATTGATGTATGTCCCAAGTCTACTACATATTTTGCTATATTATCTTGTTTATTATACTAATATTTCCAATCCAGTGGGCTTCTCCTGTCTAAAAACCCGTCTTGTGCTCCTCCACCCCCTAAACCACTTACGCCACCACCCTTGTCTTCTATGATTTCGTACCTGCTCCCATTCACGGCTCGACGGCGTATCCCACCGCTGGAACCAGACATCCCTTCATCACCACCTCCCCAGAACCCATACGCCTTGAAACCACCGGATAATCCAATGCCATACCTTACCATCTTTGCTCCTCTTACGCTCAGCACTGAGACTATAACGTCTACTATACGAAACCCATCCCGAGCCCTAGGGACTCCTTCAGATATAGTTCAGACATATCGCTTTGTTCTCCAACCCCCCGCCAATTTTCCAACTACACTTTACCGGATTCCTCTAACCCTTACCACGGATCCAGAAAAACAATCCGTGATATCTATATCCGTCCCAACCGCTGCTGCCGATAGAGAATTAGAGTCATGGAATGTTCCTGACCCACTACAAAGTTGGATCACCTCCCGACTGTCCAACCCCCTATTAGAGCATGATATATCTGGCCTGTGTTGGGGCATATGTCAATACTGGGAGGCTGCGATATCGCGCTCAAGGTTCTGGATACAGTTGCACAAATTATCCGAGAAGCTAGAGGAAAACCCGCGATATCTTGACCAGGCAAGGAAGCGTCACAGAAAACAAGCCGAAACCGATATGTCTAGGAGTGCCACGCCGCTATCATCTATCGCAGACGAGCCACATTACAATACCAGAGATCTTGTCCGGCACTTTGGACAAACGACTCATCAGTTCTCTACTACAACCGGGTCCAATAGCCTCGAATTGCTCGTATCTTGTCACTTATCAATTGATCTCTGGACTAGTGAGCCGCAATTAGAACCTGATATTTGCATCTCTAGCTCCTCACTAAAGAGTGCTGCAGCTAGCAAGATAGAGAAGGAGGCCAAGCGTGCGTTTCGAGGCATGCTTAAGCGTGGGAAGAACGGCGATATCGACGCTGACATTGGGTCGTTGGTTAAGGCTGTGGAAGCTGTAATCGTTATTCTATTCGGGCTTGTCTGAGGATATTTATGTTTAGCATTGGGTATAATATCATGGGCTGGAGTAAGGGAAAGGTTTAACGATGAAACGATATAATAGTGTACTATAGTATACAATTGCTAGCAGCGCCTTGAATACCATATTGTTTTACTTCATACGTATGTTCGCAGGGCATCTACATGGAACAGAGCAAAATGTGAGATTTTGTATGAGGGTTTCCATTTCTACATCATGATAAACTCATGCAACCATATAAAACAAGTCCGTCCAGCCAAATCAGTACCGGCACGACTTCGTTATGGCTGCTCACTTTCCCCACTTTTATACCTCCCATCGAGGGGAAGGACGGTCCAGCAGTGCATGGATTACCTCTGGATGGGTAAGGAATTGGACCCCGGGTAATTTGGTCATATGATATCGTATTATTCATGACACGAGAGGGTGAGTTGTTTTGGGAGTGAAATAGGGTAAAAAAAAGGAGAGCACAGAAACTAGAAACATAATAAAGGGTAACACCATAGAACTTCCATTTATTTATGTTTTTATTTTATTTCTTCGCAGCAGCGGCCTCATCAGCCTTGGCCTTGACGCGCTTCGCTCTAACACCGACGAGTCTAGCATCGCTTCGGGCGAGTCTCATTCTGCGGTATGCGTTCTCTTCTCCCTTTGGTAGATCGGACTTCTTGATCTCGGACACGGCGTTCTCGCGGGCAGGGTTGGTGACGGGGAAGACGGAGTCGACGGACTTGGCCAATCCCTCCTTGGCAGCCTTGATCTCTTCAGCAGAGGAGTCGAGCTTCTTGAACTGGCCGCTCTTGCGGGGGAAGAGGATCAAGCGGGCCTTGTAAGCCTTTAGGCGGGCGACGTTGACGGAGAGGGATTCGGCGGAGACATTGCCACGGCGGTGGTCAACGGTGATACCAATGGTGGGAGCGAGTTTGCGTGGGATACCAGCTTCCTGCAAATACGAAACAAAGCGAACTGGTTAGCTATGCTGTGCTTTGATCTCTGTACGGCGAGCAAGCTAGGGCGTCGGGCGTTTATATACCTTCAGCTCTTGTAGAGAGAAACCACGTCCGGCCTTGACACGGCTGTTGTACTTAAGGGTGGGACATCGGACAACTGGGCGGAGTTTGTCGACTGGGCGAGGGGCAACGGCGGCAGCCTTCGCAAGACGAGCTTCACGACGTCTGTGTTTTCGGCCGGGCTGAATAGAGATTCGTTAGCTTAACCAGATCCTGCAACATCGGTGGTAAAAATCGGGATCAATTCATCTCGTACCTGGTCGAAATGTACTCTAACACGTCGGTCCCAGTCCTTGTGGAAGTCTGTTCAAGAGATCATGGATTAGAGAGAAGTTCGATCATCCGTCTGCCTTCAATCTTTCACTTCAAGATCGAATCACGAAATTCCACCTCTTCCTCGTGCTCTCCCACTCCGTGACGCGCATATTCGATCCTCTCTTCCTCGCAGCTCGCACTCAGCAGGATGGTAACTCACGGTTCTTCGGGATGGTCTGGTTGTGCTTGATCGCCTATACATCGGAAGGGAAAAAAATCCAGTTAGTCCTGATGGTCTCATTTTGCGATGTGATGGTTCCCACAATGTCCCTTGTCGCACTTGCGCGCAACGAGGGGCCAGGCGATAGCAACGATGAAAGCAAGGGCGAGAGAAGCATACCATTGTGACGGCCGGTGATCAAGTTGTCGAGAGCCCGGGTTGTTGAATTGTCGATGGTCGTGTCTCGACTTTGATGTCGAAGGTTGGCGATGTTATTTGGGTGGGAACTTTTTCGGTGTGGTCGTGCTTATGTCATCACTACTCGCTTAGGCTGAGTCAGCAGTTTAGCCCTAGCTTGCCTAATCGGGCCATGTCTACTTCCGATGTATAAAAAGATGAAGAAACTTGGGAGTAAACAGAGGGAGTTACGAGTATAAAGTCGACTGTTTCTTGATAGATGCTGTTATGTTACATTGTTTTGATAATCAACGCCCAGGGGCCCGATACAGGAAAAGCAACGCATGTTACATGGTGTCAGATGGGAGCAGAGGAGTCGCTCTAGAGGGCTATTAGAAGAAGATGGAAGAAATTGTAGGCAAGGTGAACAGTAGTTAATTGAAAGCAAGACCAACCGCCAGGGGCATCCCATCCCAGACATAACAAAAAGCCATTTGATCAAAGAAAAGGAAATCGAAAATTACCAGTCATCTGGAAGGGGTCATAGGGGTCGTCATTGGGTCGGTCATAGCGATAAGCTGATATCGTCAAGAGGCTGCAGGCATCGGGAAAAACAAAACAAAACCAAAAACGGCCAGGACGGAGATAGAGGCTTAGTAATAAGGAAAGAAAGAGAGAGAGCGAGAAAAATTTTAGCCCATGGGGCGGTTTAGACGGCCACATCTTGGTGAAGGGGATTTGGACCCCTCGCCTTTTTGGGGGACAGAGCCTTGTTGTCTGAGCTGCTACTCTTGCGCTTCATATGGTCAGTCGGACGCTCGAGACCAGCCTTCTTGACGTGGCCAAACAGTTTGCTCTGGAGCATTGCACTGGATTTGCCAATGTTGGTAGGAATCGAAGGCTCTTCCTGGCTTGGCCCTGGATAGCGACGAAGCATGCTCGTAGCTAGAGAGCTCGCCTGTGACGCCGGTACGTCTTCGTCCGTGACTGCTTCAACATCGGAAGCGGACAGGGTGCTATCACGGTCATGGCGGTCCTCGTCTTCCTCATCCAGACGCCTTGATGCAGGGGATGGGGAGACACGAGACTCTCGCGGCCGTTTGTTTACAGGGGTGAAGAAACGGGGCTGAGAGGGCTCGGACATTCTAGACTGGGAGATTGGAGCCAGCGAGGACAAGGAGTGGGCGCCTCGAGTGTGGCCATGATAGTTTCTGTGTCCTCGAGGTTTGGACTGAGAGGGTTGAGCGCGAGTACTGTCGCCGTGGAGGACCTGATCGGCGGCCAGGAGGGTAGCCAGGAGGTCACGGCTTCCGAGTTTACCATCGTAGGAGCGAGCACTCTCGGGAGCATGTCGTTGCGCGGCGGCAGCCTTGCGCTGTGGTGTGTGAAACTCTGCACGGGGGCTGGATGGAAGGGATCCGTTGTCCATCATCATGGTGAAGTGTTCACGATTGTCTCGAATCCGCTTCTTCAGCCGTCCGTTCTCCTCCAACAACAGCTCGTACTGGTCTGATTTCTCCTCGATGATCTGTTTCGCTCGATGGAGCCTGCGATCCAGCGTAGCATTCATCTGTTCCAGGTCCCGTATCCGTACTCTGGCGCCCGAAAGCTCGTGGTTCTGAAAGTTCCTCGCCAACTCTTCCTGCGCAATGCCTCGACGGGTGCGGTACTCGTCGCTCTGTAGGATCTCAACCTCCCGTTTGGCCAGCTGCTGCTCTACCTCTGCACGCTTGACTGCCTCGTTGCTGGTGAGTGATAGGAGACTGTTCTGAAGCTTGAAGTGTGCGGCTGACATGCGAAAGTCCTGAGCAACGACGAGCAGCTCGTTGGCAATCTTTCGAAGCGCAGGCTCGTCAGCACCATCAATCTCGCTCACGGTAGGCAGACGCTCCGATATGCCGTATGCATCATACAGCGACTGGTTTACCGTGGACGGCGGCGAGGCGAGAAAGGGATGCGACTGGGAACGAGACCGCTGCGCTGGAGTGGACAGGTTTGCGGGGACCTGGACGGATGGAGGAGGCGTCATGTCTGAAGACGACTGTCTCGGTGTGGGTGAAGCTATCGTTGGCTTCTCGGAGCCGATGCGTTCGCTTTGCGACTGAGGCAGCGGCTGTGAGTTTGGCGCAGTGCTCAGCTCTGGAGTCGGGGTGCTGGGGACTGCGATTTCGACGGGCGGGGAGAGCGCTGGTCTGGTCTGACCGTCTGCAGGAGCTGTATCACGTTGCGCGTCCATGATCTGTCAGAGACGGAGATGATGGGTTGTGTAGACCTGTCTCACGGCGGGCGCGACGGCAGACGAGGGATCGCGCGGGGAGGGCCGAGGCGGCGTCTGGAGCGAGAAGCTGGCTCAGCGGACGGTATGTCGAGTCTCCCGTACACGCGTTGTCGGTGGTATCAGCTTGTTCGTCTCTTCAGGGGTGAGATGCGAGATGCGGATGCGAGATGCGAGCGTGAAGTCGTTCTTCGTTGTGTTGACAGCGGAGGCTGGGGCAACGGGCACGTGATCTCTGCACTTTACTCTCTCTCTACCTACTCTACTCTACTCTACTCTCTAGCTACATTATAATTAAAGAGTTAGTTAAAAAGTATAGTTAAAGAGTATAGTTAAAGAGTATAGTTAAAGAGTATAGTTAAAGAGATAGGATAGCATTGGCAGAGAGGCACGAGTCAGTCCACGGGAACGTCGCTCTGGCCAATATATGCTACTCCGTATTATGCATAGACATCGCGTTCGAACTATAGCCCTCGGTCCTGATCTGCCCCTCAGACGGCCGATCGAGCGCTGTCCGGAGTAGCTTGGCCGTGTGTATTCTGAGGCCTGAGGCCAACTCCTTGGTAACAAGCCTGGATAGCGTTGGCAGTCAGTGAGGCAAAGTCGCCGACTTCGTGGTGGTCTTACGGCTTCTACGAGTAGTGTACCTTCTTGCAGGCTGGAAGAGAGATATCCTATACACGAACTTCGGTCACAAGTCTCGTTCGACACTGAAGTAAATCTATATATATAAGCGGCCCGAGATAGGTGGGTCTCGGATTCACCACGCACCTCTATCAGCGAGCGTAAGAGATTGGTTGACGATCAAGAGTCGGCTCGTATATACGGCCCATAAGATAAAGGCGATGCGATCCCTGCTGCAAGGCGCATTTCGGCAAGGGAGATGTTTGGTCGAGTATAAAAGAGACGTGACCGCAGATATGTATGAAAAGTAGACAGTTCGAGGCCGATATTGATATTTTTCTTCTCGACAATTACTTTGCCTAACATCAAGATGAAGAGATTGTCTCTCCTCCTATACCTGGCATGTGCCATTCCTGCATCCTTCGCCCAAGGCGATTACACCTGCGTGGGAAGAGACTCACCCGAGCTACCCAAGTCCGCATATAGACTTAAGGAAAGCATTGACTGGAATCTCTCCTCCCTGCGCCAGCACTTTAGCGACAAGGGCAAGCTAGCCACCGTATCTGACGCCCTCAACTCTGCCAATCACCAGCTCATCGAGCTTGATGCGAAAGGGTGGTCTACTGCCACCGGAGTGTCTGCAGTTCCGCAGAGCGTGTACCGATGGGAGGGCACTGCTGAGAACTTCGACGACTTTGGTACGACGAAATGGTACCCTCAGGGCGTCACCAGCTCTTCCGATGCCCTTCAGGTAGGAACATGGGAAAGCAAGAATGTTTGGCTCATGTCATGGTACGACGACACGGCCGGCGTAGAGAGTGTGCGGATAACTTTCGTCGACAAGACAACGCACAAGTACCGCCATGCCTTGCTGGTGGTTCCAAATGGCCCTGAACTGTATACCGGCTCTGCATCTCCTGCAACCAACTTTGGACGTCTTGGAGTCCATGCTGGCGGAATAATGTGGTATGGAAGCACATTGTGGGTTGTGGACACTTACAAGGGCATCCGGGTGTTTGATCTCAACAACATCTGGCAGGTTGAAGCCGGCGATGGAGTGGGCAAGATGAGCAATGGCGAGTTTTCTGCTCAGGGGTATCGATACGTTATCCCCCAGATAAGGTACGTGTCTTTCTATCTCGGGGGAGATTTCCTATACTAACCATCCCCCTTTGCATCTGGCAGGACATACACCTGGACGCCAACGACCGCAGATGCAAAGTTCCGGTTCTCATGGATCTCACTTGACCGTGAAGGCACTGATAAGATCCTGGTTGGCGAGTATGGCAACAGCACCACGCCAGACAGCGTTCCCATCCGCATGGCTCAGTACGAGCTCGACTACACCACGAGAAAGCTGCACACAAGCTCACAGATAGCAACCTCCAGCTGGGCGTCCTGTGTCAACATCCTGGAGATGCAAGGTGCCATCTCTCACGGCAACGACTTTTATATCAGCACAAGCAACAAAGCCCGTGGACTCGGCGACCTGTGGACCTGGCGACCAGGCAATCTGGCGAGAGAGAACCTCCGATTCCTGCCTCCCGGTCCGGAGGATATGACTTGGGATAACACTACGCAGACCTTCACGACCATCTCCGAGTTTCCCGAGCAGAGGTATATCGTGACGTATAAGGGAGCGCAGGCGCCTTTTTAGCTTGTGTAGACGGTCCTGAGGGTATAAGCATTGATGTATCTAGATACTTGACTAAGGTCATAACAGAACTTGATATGTTCAGAACAAGCCATGGATGTAGACACAACTAAGATAATCTATCAGAGTACTACCTAGAGGTACTAGGTACCTCTAGGTAGGTAGTCTTGCCTTCGTACAGATAGATCGTTTGTGTGATGTCAATCTGATAACGGCAGCTTGGCGCGGATAAGAAAAGGGGGCAAGTCAACGCCCTTTTGCCTGCATATAATTTTCACCCCTGGAGCTCCGGAGCCCATCCTCATACCGAGCGTTCCATGCCTATCGCAGACGGAGAAGACGAAGCCCAGCGTTTCAGATACTCCAGATAACTCGAGATAACTCACAATTGCGGTAGCTTCGACTCGGATGGTCCAACCTTAACTCTAAGCTATGGATAATACACCCGCACGCAGCCTGCCGCGACTGTCACGGCTCCCTCTGCCCACGGCGGCATCGACAGCGTCCAGGTCGCTGCGGCCGTCGCCGTCCAGGGACAGGCTGCAGGCAGACGCGGGACTGAAGATATCGAGGCTGCGTCGGCCGTCAGAGGATATCTTCAACCGTCCCTATTCCCCGGCCTGCTCCAGCGAGTCTGATCCCTTGGACGGACACCCCGAGTCTTCGACCTCTACCACCCCCCAGCGTCTACAGTCCTTCAGCAGAGCGTCCCATCTGAATGAATCCCTTCTCCTGGACCCGTCGGACAGGCAGGGCCGAAGTGGCCGCCCTGGAAGCCCGTCACGCAAGGCCTCGAGGCCCTCGCTATCCGACCGGACGATCGAGACGCTGGCTCAGATACCAGGTTCACCATCACCCGGCCGAAGGAAGTCTGGGTTCTTTGTCGAGTCGAGGAGATCCCCTTCGCGGCAGTCTATGAATGGAGCTCCTCCTTTATCTCCAGCTCCAACAAATCGGAGCCTTAGGCTGTCCCGGTCTCCCTCCGGCGCCGCACCGCCAGAGCGACCCGTGGGCCAGAGATCGGTCAGCATGTACATCAAGTCGCCTGCCGCATCTGTCAGGAATGGCATGCTGGAGACACGCGAAGAAGAGGACGCCGGCGAGGATGCTGGTGGAAATCCTCTACCGCAGAAATCGACGGCCACCGCTTCCCGACGACCGCCAATGGCTAGCAAGAGCAAGAGTATGATAACACGAAAGGCAAAACAGAGACCGTCTCTAAGTCAGGTTTTCCGGGAAACATCTGATTCAGAACCCAATGGCACGATCGAACCTCTTTCAATACCCAAGACCAGGAAACCACCTTCTACAATATCCTCCAATTTCACCTCGCCAACATCTACAACATCGAAAAGGTCACCACGAACTTCCATCACCTCCGATGGATGCACTGCCAATGATACACCGCCGAAGGAAGCCGAGCCAAAGAAAGCAGTCAAGTCGTCCAGTGCCCTGAGAGAGAGCATCGCGAAGGCGAAAGCTGCTCGCAAGGCAGCACAGCTGCAACAGCAACAGCAACGCGAGTCCTCCAACAAATCTCCGGAGGCGGCCGAAGATGCCACCATGAAAGATCCGTTTAATCAATTACCCGAGATGGAGCCAACTGGTGCCGCCCTGCAGAGTAGGACTGCGGCTGCAAGGAAATCCGGGCATCTGAATATATCGGCAATGGGCCTGACTGCCATTCCTGACGAGGTCATGACCATGTATACCTTTGATCCGAACAGTAATGATGTTTGGTACGAAAACGTTGATCTGGTAAAGTTCATGGCGGCCGATAACGAGTTGACCTCCTTACCGGACGAGGTATTCCCTGACATTGATGTCACGGAGGTAATCTCAGACGGACCTGCCCCGAACACTCAATTTGGTGGCTTGGAGCATATTGATCTGCATGGGAATAAGCTGGCCTGTCTTCCCCCCGGGCTGAGGAGGTTACAACGACTTCGCATTCTAAATCTATCAAAGAACAAGCTGGATAGTATGGAAACTCTCGAAGTAATTTTTGGCATGGAAGCTCTCACAGAACTAAAGCTTGCTGAGAACGACTTGTCAGGTATGCTGACCGCGGATATCGGGCGTCTCACCAAACTTGAAGTTTTGGATCTTCATGGGAACAATCTCACGGGGCTGCCGGACTCGATAGCTGATCTAACTTGTCTACGGATTCTGAACGTTGCTGAGAACAAACTCCCTTCCCTCCCGTTACTGGCCATGAACAATCTCCCCCTCACCGAGCTTAATGTTTGGAAGAACAAATTAGATGGCCACTTCTTCCCCAAATCATTCAAGCGACACGATACCTTGCAGATACTGAATGTTGCCACGAATAATCTGGAAGAACTCTGTGTAGAGGATACTGTCGAGCTTCCGAATTTACAGCAACTGTTCGTAGAGCAGAATTGTCTCAAGTCACTTCCAAACATATCGACCTGGAAGTCGCTCTTGAGTATAATAGCGACTGAGAACAGTATATCTGCCTTTCCTGAAGGCCTATCTGATCTCGTGAATATAAAACACCTCGATTTCACGGGGAATGATATCAGGCTGATCGACGATAGTATTGGCTCAATGGAGAGTCTCGTTACCCTCAGAGTTTCCAACAACCCTCTCCGGGAGCGGAAGCTTCTAGCAATGGATACCGATGAACTGAAACGAGAACTTATCAGCCGGCGTGAAGTTAAAGAACCATCGCAAGATGAGGAAGAGGGCTCGGTGCAGACGGAATTCACCCTGGCGCCAGAAAGTCCCACGGCAACCATCACCCACTCATGGCGAGTTAAGCAGCGCGGCGTTCTTGATCGCTCTTCCACCAGCCTCTCAGACCTAGAGCCCTCAGACATAGAACCATTGATCGCCAAGGCTGATATTCGATGCCTCTACGTCCAGCGTAACCGGCTGGAAAAGTTCCCCGTGCCAGCCCTCTCACTCATCGCCCATTCTCTAATCGATCTCGACCTATCGCATAATCCAGTCGGCCGTACCGAACTTACGACACCGCTATCACTTCCAAGCCTCCAGAACTTGACTCTATCATCCACGACCCTGACCTCCCTAGAACCACTCCTAACCTATCTCTCAGCGCCTTCGCTTTCTTTCCTAGACATCTCAATAAACCGACTCAAGGGACCGCTGCCCATAATGCGCGCCACCTACCCGAACCTAGTCACATTCCTCGCTTCTGAAAATGCCTTTGACAGCCTCTCGTATGAAGCTGTTGAAGGCCTCCAGGTTCTTGACGTGGCGAATAATGATATTGACGCTTTACCTCCGAGAGTCGGCCTTTTGGGAGTTGATGATGTTGCTCCTGGGAAAAATGCGCTGCGAAGGTTTGAAGTTGCTGGGAATCGTTTCAGGGTTCCTAGATGGCAGATTGTGTCAAAGGGTACGGAAGCAGTTCTGGATCATTTAAAGAATAGGATTAGTGAAGCTGAGATGAAGGAATGGAGACCTGAGGAGTGATCAGGTTCAGTGCCTTGGTTTAGGCCTCCTTGTTTTACTATTCATTCACCAGATATTATAATTATAATGTACATATAATCTTTACTATTCGGGGAGGTAGACTTCTAAGTCTGATGGGGTTAATTCATGTACGTTAGGTTGGGTATATGAAGTATCACCCAAAGCCCTGATCGTCCAAAACCTATAGCTTTAAAATCATTCGGTTCTATAAGTATCTAACTCTAGGCCTTTGACGAGCTAGGTTTCCCCAACTCACCAAGTACCTTCAACCAAACTGTTGCCCATTTTGAAAATTTATCCTCTGGCTCAGCTTGTCCTTCAGTTTTAGGGCCCGCTCCATCGTCACATTTCCATGGTTTTCTAACAATCTCAACGGTGGCAATGGCACAATCCTTTAATTTTCGGGTATATGAAGCAACAGCATCAATGTCGTGTTCATAGAGCGAGCCTGCAGCCTCATCGACAAGGTCCGGGATTTGTTTAAGATGGTCAACAAGGTCATCAAGGCTGGAAGCATATTTCGGAAGAATAGAATCTTGCTTTAGGGGTTTTAACCTCTGGGTTGCCATAGCTGTAAAAAGCTTAGAAATCGGTGTAAGCAGGCGGATGAGCTCTTTCTTCTCTTCGAAAAGCGTAGCAATTAACTCATCACGGTTCTCGCCGTCTTCTCCATCTCCTCCCTCCTTATCTTCAGCTTCATCGGCGAAATCGTCTCCCATACCCCAACCATCATCCTCAGACTCTTCAGGGTCCCACTCTTCCAATTCCTTGATCCCATCACGGACAAGTTCTAAGAAGTTATTCGCCTTTTGAATGATCATCCCAACTACCCCATCCGTAGAAGTGGCCACAAGCTGGTCACATACTTTCCAAACTCGGCCCGTGGCGGTTGTAATCGCTACTTTATCCGCTTCCGTCAATTCCTTCCCATCACCCAATGCAATTTTCTTGATCTCGCTAATTAACGTCACGAATTCTCGCAGTGCTGATTTAACTAACGAGTTAACCTCAGAGTGGAATATTGTGGTATAATGGCCTGGGTGAAGGAGGAAAGCGGCGGTGACGAGAGAGGGGAGAACGGAGTCATTGATTTGCGAAAGTACGGATTTAATTGCGGATGGCGTAAAGGGGGTATTAATCGCAAAGAGAGAAATCTTCCCCGTATGCGACTTGAGAGTTTGAGCAGCCGCAGAGAGTAAAGGGAGTGGGGAGTTATTTTTGTTGCTGCTGTCTTCTGAATTGCGGGGTGTTGCGCTGGCGGTCGCGGCGGAGGATAGTGTGAGAGACGATATAAACTGCGCCGATAGTCCGAGTGTAGTGTCAAGAAGCACTATGAGTCTCCTGTCACCAGCCATGCTTGCTATCCTCCTATCCTTAACAACTCGTCAGTACCAAGCTTATAACTGTTGACTACTTGAACGAGTTTATCAAATTTTTTTGATAGTTTGGTTCGCGATAAGCGATAAGATGCGGGAAAACGTTGATCCGATGGTTTCTATTAAACCGCGAAATTCAAGCAACTACGTGAACAAAATAATATCTCCAACGACTGCAAGCCTGCATACACGAGAACTATGGTCTGATTCTTTGATTCCAAAGGCAACAATGGGGCCAACCAAAGCTTCTCGAGCAGCCAAAGCCGCCCCGCCTGCTACCGAACCGCTTCCCCAAAAGACATTCATCATCGACAATGGGGGGTATACTATGAAGGCAGGGTACAGCTCGGCCTCCAGCTCCGATCCCCTCGCATCATGTTTGACGATTCCAAACGCGCTTGCGAAGACACGAGATAATCATATGTACACCGGGCTACAACTGGATACGCATATCTCCGACTGGAACGAGGTGAGCTTTCGTCGCCCGGTCGAGAAGGGCTACATCGTCAATTGGGAAGCGCAGCGAGAGATATGGGAGCATACATTTTTTGACGAGAAGACGGCTCGCAGACCAGAGGTCCAGTGCTCAGACTTTCTTGGGACAACCTTGGTTTTAACTGAGGCCCCGAACGCGTTAAGTGGCTTGCAAAAGAATATGGATGAGATGGTTATGGAGGAATGGGGCTTCGGCGGATATGTACGATATCTTGGTATGTATTAGCTATCCAACCAAAGTTAAGTTTTAATACTGATAACGCTGAATATGTAGCTCCATGTCTCAATGCGTGGAACGAGGTGCGTTCCCTCTTCGGTGACCCCACTCCCCAAGATACGAATGCCCCTGCTCTCCCAGCTGAGTGTATGCTTGTCGTTGATTCGGGCTATTCGCATACAACGGTGACTCCGGTATACCATGGGCGCCCATTGCAACGAGCGATACGAAGACTTGACATTGGCGGGAAACATCTCACGAACTACCTGAAGGAGCTCGTTTCAATCCGACAGTATAATATGTTAGACGAAACGCATATCGTCAACAGTGTTAAGGAGACTGTTTGCTACGTCAGCCAGGATTTTGACGGTGATATGGATAAAACGTGGAAAGGCCATGAAAAGAGTGGTGCCGACGAAATAGTGGTCGACTACGTACTACCTGACCCGAATGCACACAAAAAGGGTTTCATGAGACCTCACGATAGCCAGTTGGCTGCAGAGAAAAGGAAGGGACTCATTACTGGGATTAACCCCTCTGCAGCGGAAGACGTCCTTGTTTTGGGGAGTGAGCGCTTTACCGTGCCAGAGATTATATTTAACCCCCAGGATATTGGGCTACAGCAACCGGGGATAGCAGAAATCATAATGCAATGCCTGTCCGTTATTCCAACAGGCCTCCACCCTTCGTTTCTCGCGAACATTTTTGTTGTCGGTGGCAATTCTTTGATACAGGGGTTTATAGAAAGACTGTATGTACCATCATGCCTGCCCATGCATTTGCCTTTTCTTAGGAAAAGGGGAACCCCCATGGACGGACTAGGTTACTGACCTATTAATCACAGGGAATCCGGAGTCCGAAGTCTAGCGCCGACTGAGTGTGTTGTCCGCGTAAAGGCTGGCCCAGAGTAAGCTCTTCCCCTCCCCCACCGTTGTACTTCGTAGGTTTATTTTAGAGAGTCCTGAACTATATAGCTGATATTGAGCAGTCCCATTCGCTCGACATGGTTAGGGGCTTCTAGGATGGCGACCAACCAGGAGACCATGAAAGAGGTTGCGATTACTCGGCAACAGTACCAGGAATATGGTTCAGCCTGGGCCTGGAGAAAGTTTTCTGGTTGAATTCTGGCCCGGTGGCATACATAGTAGAGTATAACCATTGTCCACCCCTATCCTTTTTCGATTAACTACTCTGCGCCTCGTAGGGGCCACAATGAATTGATTCGCGCCACAACAATTCACTGCGGCAACCGCGATCCGGAACATTTAGGGTCGCCTGAACGCAGTTTAAGCCTCCATAGGCAGGGTTGGCCGGAGCAGCAACCCGATTCCATGTCCCCTGTCATGTCACAACCTGGTAGATAACAGATTTCGTGCGCCGGGACGGGCGTGGATGGTGATAAGGGGCTAAGCTACTTCTCTCGGCGACCATAGCTCCATGTAGCAGCTGCACGCCCTCGACTCGCGCTATAGAAGAGGCGAATTCGATTTCGCCAGTTAGCACCGTTTCAGCTAGTTGGTTGGCTGGTGGATGAACTTTACGCACTGTTATTGAAGCGAAAAGTTGCCCTGAAAAATATTCCGACCAAACCTTTTAGCTCCCCAGACCCCAGTCTAGCTGACTAGCCCGGATATCCACCTCCACGTTTATAGAAGGGCACCTCTAGCTCAATATGACCTGTGACCCTGGCGGTTCCTGGATGCGAAGATCGGCAAACATACGGCTTACATCTACATCAAAGCTCATTGACCATGGCTCGTTACCACAGTTCGAGCAAGGGAATGTGATAGGTGTTCCTGGCAAGCGTCTCGGCCCTTACTGGCCATGCCTGTAATTCCAACGCAACGGCGCAGAGCATGCAACCCAGAGTACATAATTAGTTTCAACATACAACATCTTACATAAAATAAGTTTGGTTCTATGTACGACTAGGGTTGCAGCGAACCTGTTAAGGGGTTTAGTCAAAAAGAAATATCGTCAGCGCAGCATACGAAATACATCTTACCGGCCTTCCTGACTCGAGGGGAAGGAAAAAACGGGCGTTCAGCACACCAGTTGGTTCATTCGCGAATCAATCGTGGGTGCGTGACGTACGGCATGGCGTGCATGAATGATCTACCCGGCACCTTTCATCAGAGTTACGCCGTATATCTCTCACAAAGGGGAACAAGGACGGGCCTAACAAAGGTACCCTCGACCTCCGGCTGTTCTCCATAGTTGATGGCCATGGATCGATGGGCAACGGCCCCGGTACCTACTAGGGTGGACTGGCTCCACCATACAGATATAAGGCTTCGCTCAGGGAGACGACGCCCAGCCAACCATCACGCCGCGCCATATGATGCCATAAATAAACGAGCGATGCGGTCGAAACAGTTGAAGCCTAGCGTTGGCATCCTAGCGAGCCTCACTACTGGCCCCTCATATCGCTCGTTTGTCAGCCTAACTATGGCCGTCAGTGGGCGCTCCATCCTTCGTCCTGTCCATCGTCTCCGCTCTCCCCCAGACTATACGACTACGCATGCGCCCCAGGGATTTCTCTCTATATTTTTTTACGTTTTTTACATGTGCATGAGACCTGTATCCCGATTCAATACCTCTCCTCACAAGACTGACTACCTATATTGTTGCAAGGCAGCTGTTTTTTCTTGATGCCAGTAGTGACAACCTTTGTTTTGATAGAATGCTACTGTTGCTGAACATTGAAACGCCGAAAACGACATTTGGTTGTTCAGCGATTCTCCCATGTCGGTCCCTCAACTAACCCGCGACCTCGAGGCCCCTCTGCAAGTCCCCGTAGACGATGCTGACAGACTTGCAGAGTGGCCAGAGCTGGTTGGTTTGGAGGATTTACTACTAGACAACGGCCAGCTACCATCGCACCTTGCTGATCGCCCATACCCGCAAGAGCTCCACGTATTCCCCGACGATGTCTCTGCGGAGCTACTACATATCATCAACCAGCCCTTGGAGGCGGATCAGCCTACGAAACCTCCGGTTCTATCTGAGGGGAACGGGGACAGGCAGTCACAGCTGTCCTCGCATTCCCTGAGTGCACCCGCAGCAGACGGCCGTTCTTCGACGCCAGTGCGGCCACACACTGCTGTGGCAAAGGATCCTCCGCGGGATATCCTCTCTGAACGTTGTCTATCGCCTGAATCTGCCTCCTCGAAGTCCGCGTTTGGTCGTACGGCTGCTAAACCCTCGAAGGAGCCAAAGAACCTCAAGTCTCGACTATTGGAGCGCAATAGCTTCCGGTCAGTACACTTTCTAATTCTACGTCCCCATAAACGGCCAGTTTGTATACATGGCAGTAGCTAACACATGTATTTGACGTATTAGTGAGTGCGCAAGCTGCTTTGTTGAACTACTGGACAAGAACCTAGTCCCGCTAGGGTGCATGCACAAATACTGCCTAGGATGTTTCTCCGACATGATAGTAACGGCCATGAAGAATGAGAGCAAATTCCCTCCCAAATGCTGCCTCGAAGATATCCCGACGAAATTGATCCTGCACAACGTTGACTCTATACTTCGAGAGGAATACAAATGGAAGATACAAGAGTACTCCATACCGCGAGCAAGCCGGTGGTACTGCCCTTCGCCGAATTGCGGGAAATGGATACCGCTGAAGAAGATAAAGCTAGGTGCTCCAACTCAAAAATGCCCGATATGCAAACATTCGATCTGTACATCCTGTCAAGGAACAGCACATCAGGGTCATGAGCATTGCCCACAGGCTCCTTACCCAGAAAGAATAGATAGTGTTGCATCGAATGGTTGGAGGCGCTGCTATAAATGCCAGGCAATGGTGGATTTGACAGCTGACGCTGGAGTTGTGGTTTGCCACTGTGGTGCGGAGTTTTGGTACGAATATACCCTTTGGAATTCCTTATTGTGCCTGACTAACTGTGTATAGCTGCTTCTGTGGTGCTAGAGGTGGAACATGTGGCTGCGCACACTCTAATCAACAGGGAACACAGCGCAAAGCGGATGCTGAGATAATAAGCCGGGATAGGGCCCAGCTTGCTGCTATAATTGCAGAGGACGAGCGTACCGAACGGCGAGAAGTTGAAGAACGATTACGAAAGGAAGACATCCAGAAACTTCAGGAAGAGGAAGGACAAAGACGACAAGATGAAGGGCGGCGCCGAGTGCAGCACGACAAAGAAATAAAGCGCCTTATATCTATATCCCACCAAATTCAGAGATTACAAGGAGAGCTGGCTAAGATCAACAAGATCCAGCAGTCCATGATAATCACCAGACACCAGAATAGCGCGGAGCGGATTCAAGTTACCGCTGTGTCGAAACAGGTAGACTTTGACCAAATGCGAATAAAACTTGAAAAGGCCTATGAATCGAACTTCAAGCTTCGCAAAGGCGCTTTGGAGGTTGCACAATCAACCAAAACACTTGAGCTCCTCACCCGCCAGGAAGAGGACGAAGATGATAACTTCGTCCAAATGCAACGACATTTGAAGGGCAAACCAAACAGGGAAGAACGCGAACGGGCGATTCTCGATAGACTAAATGCTTCACACAAGAAGGAGCAAGAAGCGTTAGAAAAAGCCCACAAAGACCAGTTGAGTGAACTGGAGTACCACGGCAGCTTGGAATGTTCCGCCCTTCAAAGCGGCATCATGAAGAAATTAGGGGACCTTCAGCGAGAAACAAATTATACTCTTTACGAACTGAGTTCTACTGTCATTTCGGACCGCCGCTGGTTCAAAATCGCGATAGAGAAACGATACGGTCTTCTCGAAGAGCATAGGATGTTTCTGATTAATGGCCCTGACGCCGTCAAAGGTACAGTAGCCTCCAGCAGCAGATATTCTTCTGCAAATAACTCCAACTTTTCGGGCACTACCCAGTCAGTTACGAGTGGTAGAGAAACACCGCAGTCACCTCTATCACCTCCCCCTGCTCTAACTGAGTTTGCGTATAAACGCCGAGGCTCTGACTCGCTCAAGACTGGTAGTGGTGTGATTCAAAGAAGCCGATCGAGAAGCATATCAAAGAATGGACTGAGACATGTGTCAAGCCAATCGCAATTCGTGTATCGAGGTTGATGGAACTGGATCTATGTCTGCTGTCTTATCTTATGGCGACGAGGCCAGGTAAATGAAATTTTTTATGTATATATACTCTTCTGTCATACCCCACCCTAATTCCTATACTCCCCATTTACACATACATTGACCCCTTCTTTATGGAGAGATGTTTTATACCATGCACAATTTTTTTTCCCTAGGCAGTTGGCAGGCGCAGAATCTAACCGAAATTTCACTTTTCAATTGAAATATCATATTGTGACATGTAAACGTAGAACTTTGCATGGCTCTACTTTTTCATACTCTAAACTCTGATGACGGTCTATATACTTCGAACATTGATATAGCTATATATATCTTGTCTGCTCCACTTTTTATCGTATAGAACATAAATTACAAACTCCAATTTGGTTTATCAACTCTCACTTAACCTAAAGTAAGTGTCCAGTTTCTCAGGTCACAATCAGTAGTCATAAAAGCCTTTTCCGGCTTTCTTACCCACCCAGCCGGCATCAACCATTCGCTTCAACAAGCCAGCAGGTCGATACTTGCTGTCTCCAGTCTCCTGGTGCAAGACATTCATAATCGCCAAGCAGGTATCGATACCAATGAAATCAGCTAGCGTCAAGGGGCCCATGGGAACGTTAGTTCCATACTTCATGATACTGTCGATATCCTCCTTGGTGCCAATCCCATTCTCCAGACAAGAGATTGCCTCGTTGATATATGGCATAAGGATCCTGTTTGCCAAGAAACCAGGCGAATCTGTAGATCGAGCAGCGATCTTACCCATCCTCTTCATCAATTCGAGCGAAGTGTCGATGGTATCTTGAGACGTTTGAAGGCCAGTGATAATTTCTACACCCTTCTGGACGGGGACAGGGTTCATGAAATGAGTAGAAATAACACGGGATGGACCAGAAAGGTCTTTAGGATCGTTGGTAGTTGCTGCAGCAATGCGAGTAATTGAGATAGAGGAGGTGTTTGTGGCGAGAATGGCGTGAGCGGGGGCAATCTGGGCTAGCTTGGAGAAGATCGAGGTCTTGAGGTCTGGGATCTCTGGGACAGCCTCGATAATGAAATCGGTGCTTGAGAGGTCCTCGAGTTTTGTGGTTGGAGTTAGCATCGAGCGGACCTTATCGGCAGTCTCCTGTGTAATGCGCTCTTTTGCGACATCCTTGGCAAGGAGTTTCTCTAAATATCCATCAGCATCAAGCCATAAACCATATGACCAATGTCTTATTCTCAGGTAGTGCTTACCGGCGAATTTAAGTCCCTTGTCTAGAGATGCTTGAGAGTTGTCGACCAAGGTTACGGGGATGTTTGCCTTTTGCGCCGCAACCAACGCAATTCCCAGTCCCTGTGAGAAGCAAGTATAATCAGTAACAGGGCCTCCGGACATAGATATGGACCAAATCTAGATCAATTGTGCATACCATCTGTCCGGCGCCAATCACTCCGAGGCTCTTGACTTCAGCGGCCACTTGTGCCGCCGGGGTTGAACTAAACGCGCGAACCCCGCCAATTGAGGGCGTGGCCGCCAACAGACGTCCTGTAACTGCGCTTCGGAACATGATGCGCTATGTAGTGAGTGTAATAAAAGTAGGAGACGGCGACGTAGACAGCAATGGCAGAGCGTTGTGTGTTTTCTCTCGAGTTGTTGAACTTCAAGCTTCACGTGGAGTTGAGCCTCGGCGACGTCACTTCCCGGGATGCGGCTATATTCGGAATAGACGGATCATCGTTCTGCCGCTCCGAGGCGCGTCCCACGTCGCGTTTGGCGTTTAATTGATATAAACTGCGTACAAAGGATGCAGACAGCACCCTCCCACGACAGGCTATATCTCGAGGATGATACATTGATGATTACGGAGAACGGGAGTTGAGGCGTTAGATATTACGACTTTAATTTTTTTTTAAATAATGGACACCGGAGCGACGATAACGCAGGCGGCTGACCAGGTGGTTGATCCAGAAGTGCGCGCATTCATCTACAGCCTTGTCACTGCGGTACGTATCCCATTTTCACATATAAATTGTTATAGTGCGTAATGGGGCTGACGGATATGTGTGATAGCTTGGTGGATCCGCAAACGACGAAGCTGGACGTTATATACTTGGAGACGATGCCTTAGGTTGTCTGCGCGATCTTAAGAAATGGCTACGGTTTTACGACGAGAAATTAAATCGCCTGGACGTTGCGAGGTGTTTGGCTGAGAGTAACCTTGTCAATGGCGACTTGATGCCAATTCTGACCCTGTGGGATGATATTAAACCAAATGACAAGTATAAATCAAGGATAACTTTAGCATGCTGTGAGGCGGCACCCCTCGTTTTAACAAATCATTTAGGCCATGGCTAATATTTCCTTAGTAGAGTTACTCGTTCCGTTGACATGGCCGGTTGAAATTCATAGCCAAATGACCGTCAATCACCACAGACACACACCATACCTCCAGCGCGCTCAAATATCCTATAAACGAGGGATACTCGGACACCCCTCTAACTCAATTCTCCGGTCAATTATCCGCATCGGTCTCTCAAGCATAACTACACCTCGGTCAGAACGGTCGTCGCGAGATGAAGGAATCATAAAACTGGTTTTATATCTATTCCGGAATGTCACAATAATCAACGCTACCCCGAATCTTGCCGTGGAAGGTGACGAGGATGAGACCTCGAGATCGGTGACGATCAATGCGTTTCATAATCAAGACGTGTTCGCCCTTCTACTCACCCTATGTTCGAATATTGGAGAGGAGTTTGCCTTTCAGGATGTTGTTCTCCTTGAAATTTTGTTCCATCTCGTCAAGGGTGTGGACGTGAAACAGCTATTTATGGATGAGAGCCAGCGTAGTGCAACCCGCACAGATGAGCTGAAAGGGCTAATAGATGCAGAGAGCTCTTTAAACCGCAATCGTTCAAAGAACGCGCCAACTCGCCACGGTCGATTTGGAACCATGATCTGGGTTAAACGAGAGGACGAGAAAATGTCCGCTGTATCAGGCCAAGATGTGCTACGTGATGATCAATCAACCTTTGCAAAAATGGATAAAACCAAGAGATGGAACAAACCGAGAGGGAGACGAGGAGAAATTGACGAAACTTCGAATAATTTTAACATGCGGATTCAGCTAACCTCCACTGCGCTACACAACCTTCGAGTTTTTGTCGAAGAGTTTTTAGATTCAGGGTTCAATCCCCTAATGACAAGTATACGACAAGCTATGGAGCGTGAATCCGACCGCCTGACCGAATCCACATCCCGTCACTTTTTCTTCGTCGGTTCTTGGTTTTTAGAAGCCGAACGTGCAAGGCGTTTGCAACAGGAGGAGGCTCGTCGAAAGGCGGCTGGTGCTGCGAAAGAGATTGAGCCTGATAGTTTTGCCCTTGTGGCCAGCGTTCTAAACCAGGAAACCTTCATTGCCCTTAATCGATTTATGCAAACTAGCCTTGACAACAAAGAGTGGCAAGATCTCAACGCGGGAATGCGCTCTTTTACCCAGACCTTGCTCACAGTCCATGAAATGACAAAATCACCGCTAGAGGAGGATCAGGAGATTGCTGAGAATATCCAAAGTCGCATTTTCTACGAGGAATCAACTCATGACAGGGTTTTGTCCACCCTTCGAGGTTATAAAGACCAAGGATTTTGGTATCTTGATGCCTGCACAGAGCTCGCCCATGTGTTTCTCCGGATGTTGGAACAATATTCGAAACAAAATGTGGATATGCAAGTTCGATCTAAGCGGATCTCAAGGCGAAAGAAGAAGGCACAAAATCAACAAAACCAGGATAATCCGGCAGAGGGAGAAGATGGGTTTGATAATTCTGAAGACGAGGAAGCAGCAGATAGAGCAGAAGCTGTCCGAAGCGTCGCGGAGAGATCGTTTGATCTTAAACGATTCTCTGCTAAATTCTGTACACAAAATTCTGTCAACACGTTCGTTGCCTTAACCTCGTATTATCGAGATTTGGATTCTGAGCAGCTGAAACGTGCCCATCGATATTTCTATAGAGTTGCCTTCAAACAAGAAATGAGTGTGCTCTTGTTCAGACTGGATATAATATCACTCTTCACGCGAATGATAAAGGGGCCGGAGCCTCTTCTTTCATCAAGCCCTGCGTTTGGGGAATGGGAAGAACTCATCCGTCAGATCCTGAAGAAGCTGGTTCGAAAGATTGATCAACGGCCGGAGTTGATTACAGAACTCCTGTTTAGCAAAATACCTGCTACTATGCACTACCTGGAATACGGGTACGAAAAACAGACACTGACGGTTGAATCTCGGCCTGCTGCAGAGCTGGAAGTAAAACCCAATGCTGCTAGAACACCCGACGAAGACATACGAATCGTTGTATCAGCATTGGTAGCAGATGGTAGTGAGGAATTAGTGCGGTGGCTATGTGAAGTCTTTGATAACGCACTCAAAGATAGGAAGAGCTGGGAGCTTGCGGACCTGGCACTTGGAGTTCAAGATGCTGCAGAAAATGCCGACATGGCACCAAGCACCCCTGCAATAGGTATGTTTAAGGAATAATCGAGACATTGTTGACCCCTTATCTAACAACCTTCTAGAAGTCTCTGCACCAGATGAAAAACGTCGAACGGCAATGTTTAGAAATGGCCGCTTGCGCCTCCTCTTCACAATTGCTGGCCTGGAGTTAGCTGGCGAAGATGTTCCTGGAACGCCATGGACTATCCCTGGGTCCCTTTCTTCCAAAGACCTTGAAGAGACACGCAACTCAATACTGAAACACTGCGATGACCCTGCCGCTGAGATCGACGGTGTTGACCCTCACAAACTTATACGTCGAAAGCGCATAGCTGGCGCAACCGTCACCAGCGACGACCCTACGGCCCAAGTTAACTTTGGCAGTGATTCCGAGGGAGAAGATGCTGCCCTTGACGAGATGCTATTCCCTCCAAACCCCCGTTCAAAATCAAACGCGCTTAAGGCGTTGAAACAAAAGAGACGTAAAACTAAGAAAGGCGATGACGAAGAAGACAACCATCTTGACGAGGAAGCCCTGGACGCTCGACGCCTCGCTCGTGAGCAGAATGCACTTGCTCGACAGAAGAAGATCAAGAGTAGCCTCTTCGTCAATGCCAGTGATGATGAGACTGACGAAGAAGCTGATCAAGAATTCTTTGCCAGAGAGGCGGAAAGAAGGAAAACACAAGCCCAGCGCACTGAAGAGGCTATGGATATAGATGCACTAGCCATTAGCGGGCAAAAAGAAGGAGGCAAGAAGCCAAGGAGAAAACGGAAACTGGCGATCTCAAGTGACGACGATGACGAAGAAGATAGTAGCGGGCATAGAAAGCGTGCGAGAAGTGAGAATCCAGCGTCCGGGAGTGATGATGATACGAATAGTCTTGAAGATAGAGGCTCTACGCGGAGACGGAAAGCGCAAACTCCGCCCACGTCTACAGAGGACGACCTCATATTTGACATCAGGGAGAAATCACCAGCGCCAGTGTTCCAATGGACACCCACTGCGGATGACGGGCCTGGGAAATCTACGGAGGAACATAACGGTGATAGGAATGATGTTGCATCTGACGACGATGAACCCGTCACTGCGGTACGATCACGACGACCGAAGGTGATGGCAGGATTTGTGATTGACAGTGATTCAGAGTGAACGGCTGGGCTACTATTGATTTTATATATAATTTTTTTTATGATACGAGAGCAGAGCATTTACCCGGCGTTGGCTAAGAGCAGCTGTGTGTCCTTTAAATGTTACGGAGTTTCGGGAATTTTTTTGGGGTCAGCGAGTTTAGGTTTCGGCCTCCCCTCTTCCACACCCTCCCGATACGAACGATATAAATCTATCTCCATGCTCTTATATCTTCAACTATTAATCACAAGGTGTTGAACTAGTCTACTCTCTTCAATATTGATATCTTTCTACAACGACAAAATGGCTTCCCTCCAGTACGTGACGCTGGATGTGTTCACTACCAAACGCTTCAAGGGGAACTCGCTGGCTGTTATCTTTCTCTCGGAGTCCAACCCGATCACTCAGGAACAGAAACAACTTCTTGCAACCGAGTTCAACTATTCGGAAACCATATTCTTCCATCCTGTGGGCTCTGATCCTAGCCAGCCTAGAAAAATAGACATCTTTACAACGGAGCAGGAGCTTCCATTCGCTGGCCATCCGACCATCGGTGCTGCATCCTGGCTACTCGTCTGCTCAAAGGATAAGAGCCCAGCCAAGGAAGCTGAGCAAGCACTTGCACTCACCACGAAGGCCGGGAATATACCAATTTCACTCTCGCCTGAAGATCCGAACAAAGTGTCCGCCTCAATCCCACATAATGTGCATATCCATTCTACTCGGATGTCACTGTCTGAGGTTCTACGGCTCCATCCGACTCTGACCCAGTCACTGGATGCTCAATCATACCAGAATGGATTTCCCGTTGTGTCCGTCGTCAAGGGAATGACAGCAGTGCATATTTGCCTCCCCAGCCTCGAAGCCTTGGCCCAGGCAACTACTACTGCTGAATCTATTCCCTCCACGGGAGTGTCTGCCGGCGGTTACCTGGACGATGGCTGGGATGTTGAGGGCCACGTCTCGATCTATTTCTATGTACGAGATGTATGGGATGACGAACTCCAGAAGAACGTCATCCGATCTCGAATGATGGCCGGGAGCCTGGAGGACGCAGCTACTGGTAGTGCTGCGAGTGGACTTGCATCCTATCTCACGCTGACAGACCCAGAGATAAATGCAAAGGGCATGGAGACGTGTACTATTGTTCAGGGGGTTGAGATGGGGAAGAGAAGTGAGATTGGGATCCAGGTTATACTGAAGGATAATAAGAAGGAGATTGAGACTGTTCATCTTCAGGGAAGCGCAGTGAAGGTGGCTGAAGGGGTGATAATGACTGGCTGTGAATAGATAGGGGTGATATCGCAGTTCTAAGTGCCCAGCAGCCTCAGACAATTATCCCAGTGACAATGGCTGCTATATTCTGCACCTTCTCTCTTCCCCTAGCCCTAGATTATATGCCCTATCGTTACGCGTGCTTATGTCGTCCATGGCGTGCCACAATACATGTCCTCCTACTATTTTTTTTTGTCATAACAGCGAGCTGATATAAAATCTCAAAACAAACTTCTCTTCACTGATAACAACCTCTCTGCTCAAGCAGTTCCTTTGTGCAGTATTGCTGGTTTTACCCAGCTGATGGTATAAAGGCGAAAGGGGGTGTATCCTGTGAGACAAAGCAAGAAGGCAGGAAGATGCTTCGCTCCAACTATCAGCGGGAGACTCCATCTCCTTCCTCTCATCCGTTGCTCCAGGGGCTCAAGTCTACTGCAAAGTCAGGCAGGAAATCGTCTTTGACGACCTCCTTTCACAATTTTGCAAGAAACGCGTTGCAGCCCCTGAAAACTCGACCAGCGGACGAAGGAGCCAGCTACGGGAAAAGTGCAACTCGAAGCAGCTCACTGCCAGTCAGGGCCAGGGGTATCTCTTCGCCAAAACATGTATTCGGCTCAGGACCGTCCGGAGTGAAGTCCCCAACACCTGCTTTGCCTCCTTTACCAGCCTTCTTATCTCGTGGGGCGGACTCCAACATTCCAAAGCCAGCTCAGCCTGCTACTAAGACGTATCCACGTTTACCGGCACAAAAGGAAAACCTGATCCCAATTCAGCCAGAAAAGAAGCCATTCATCGGGTATCAGGATTTGAAAACCTTGCATGGAGTCAAGGGCCAGGCTGGTGAGCTCAAACTGAAGGGAGGAACGACAAACGAAGCACCTTCAAACCCATCGCCAGATTCGACTTCCGATGCCTCATCTCAGGATACTATCAGACCCACGTACAGGACCAACATCCCTATCCCAAAGTCTGCTTCTCACTACTTGCCAGCTTCTTTCCAGCATGGAGCTCCTCTGACTCCACTCGAGGTCTGCAAGCCAATTTATGCATTCAATGATTCAACCGACTTCCTCAATGAAAAAGAAGGGCTTGGCTTCGAGGGGCTCAAAGATGGTATTATTGCGGTTCCAAAGGGAATGCAGGGAGCAATTGATCAGTTCGAAGGAGGGTCAGTCGAAGCGTTTAGGGCTCCAAAGCCAAGGCCTAATCTGATTCCTCGTCAACTACCAAAGAGCAAGACTCTAGGATTCTTTTACTCAAAGCCGAAACTTCCACCAGCAGACCCATGCTATCCAAAACTTGATGCACCTCGTTGCTACTGCGAGGACCATGATGATGTCGAAGTGACCGTTGAAAAGTATGGGCTCGTTTCAGGAGGAAGCTTCTCTGTGGAAGCTCCATCCACTCGTGACTCCGGCGATGTCAAAGCAGTAAGTAAACCCTCCTGGGTATCAACTAGCATCCTTTCTAGCCATGAGGTTCAAGTTTGTTATGTGTTAAGAGGTTGACGAAATCTCGTAAAGGTCAAAACCGCAAAACCTCAACAGTACTGGCTTGGACGACTCGTCACATTGATGAACAGCTTTCACCACGAAGCCGCCTTCAACGAACCCGATCCTGTCACTGGATATGGGGTTGCTGGTAATACACTCGAAGGGAAGGCTCCATTGTCTGTCAACTTGGACGATTACTACACCAAACGCGCTTTTATGGTCTTGGAGCGAGCATGTCTCACCTCAGAAGCCGCTGCAAGCTTGACGGAATTCAAGGATGCGTACTCCAGACGTTTCGGCCGCAAATTCTCCCAGCGCTATACCGGTGAAATTGACAAGGGAAGTCCCAAGTCTGAGAAGAGCACTGGGAAGGGCGAAGCCGGCATGATGAACATTCTCCGCTCAGTTAGGAAGAGCTTCGGCTAAGAGGGTATCAATAGACAACACACAATACAGCTATCGTGTACGAACGGAGCGGCGCGTGCTATGCTGATAATCGAGGTGCCCGGTGGATATTTGCATGGGGTTCAAGGCGATATTGATGGTTCTCAACAATGATGATTTCACGGAAAACACAAAAATCCAGAAAAAAAATCCAGAAAAAAAAAGGAAGAATTGCAAAAAAAAGGGGTGTATCTTAGTTAGCCTTGCTCCAGATAGTTAATTGAATTAAAATACTCCGTACATCGTGTCCACCTAAATCATGCGCCGCCGTAATCAGGGATCCCCCGAGGTATACCAGTGAATGCTTACCCAAACTTTTGCGTTAATAAAGATAGAATGTGGACATTACAAGCTGCATATAGGACTTCCCATTGTCCTATACACTTGTGTCTTAACCTCTAGAGGCTGCTCTACTTCGTAAAAATGCAGCCACTTGTTCGTGCCTAGTAACGAAAAACATCCTCTTAGAATCAGATCTCCACACCAGTACACCAATTTCCTCGGCATATTTGCATAAAGCTTTGAATTCCTCGGGGTTGGCAAACTCTTTGAAAAGAAAGCCGGATGTAGCTTTTATTCGATCTCGTTCCAGTTGCCAAAGCCGTATTTGATCGACGACAGTAGGTGGCAAGACTGAAGCTGAAACGTTTGAGGTGGATTTTTTTGTTTTACGCATTTGGGGGTGAGCATGCGTAGTGAGGTATGACACGATTTGGTCGGCCGTAATGCCCATTTCGATAGCTCGACGAACGGACTGACGGGTTATTTTGCCCGTGATGAGATTTGGAAATCGGAACTTTAGTGTTGTGAAGAGAGAGATGAGTGATATTTGTAGAGGTGAGGAAGTGTATGCGTACAGGCGGTAATTTGTTTCAATGATTATGAACCCGGTACCTGCGTCAGTGGCTGTTGTGGGGCCTGCGCTGGGTGCCGGGGCGGTGGCTTCTCCTGATATTGGGCCTGACATGGCCAGAGAGTCGGATGTGAGTGTGGTAGCTAGCCGGGTTGGGTAAAATCGAGTTGATCCCGATGTAGGTGTATGCTGGTAAACGATACCAAAGTCGGTGAGGTCAGCAAGTGTCCGAAGCTGGGTTGGTGTGAGGTCTTTCTTCTCATAAGACCGGCCCAGCTCAAGACTACTAAGCAAGAAAATGAATGATAGGACCTCGACGCTCTCCATGTGGATTGCCTCTGCGTTCTCAACATATAATATGAGTATATGCCAGACCTGGGTATTGACATCCTGCAGGACGAACGCGAAACCCTCTTTCGTGATTTCAACCCTTCGATCTCGTATTTCAACAAGGTGGCAGGCTTGAAGTAGTTGTTTAACCCCTTTACTTAGAGTGATGGCTTCTCGTCCCCCACTTAACGAGCTCATCCCGACCATGTATCCAAGCACACCTTCCCATTGTTGTCTTGCGTACTCGTCCAAATCCGCAACCGAGACGGGGTGCCGGTCTGGAGTCACACAAATAACTCCAAATGAACGACGTTGGTCTTCTCCGGTGAGGGCTTGCCGGAGAGAGGTAGCAAATGGCTCGGTAACCATGTAGCCGCGAACGTGATTAGAAGTAGTTGTGCTTGAAAAAATATGTAGACGACCGAGGATTGACAGTGAGTTGTCCCTTTCGCTTTATTGAATCCCTAGTTAGCAGATAATCCCACTATATTCCTATGGTAGACAATTATGGTACCGTCTGCTATCCGATCTAACCCATAACTCTAGCTCGGATGCGGGAATAGGGTCTTTAAGATAAAGAAGTGCCATGACAAAACATTTTGCTGCCAAAGCTATTAGCAACTTCCTTTATGACCTGGGTAACTGAATCATACCTAGATGTGGTAGCATCCTTCGAAATATTGCTAGAGCTGTTGACGGTTGCTGGTACAGCTTGAGGAATGTGGTCCCCGGACGGCCCTCCAGGTATTCCAGCGGGCGGAATGGTGCGGCCGCCATGGTGTAGGGCTAAATAGATGAGAACTCTGCCACGCAGCAGGCTTTATCTATCTATCATGGCGAGTTTCATTCTATCTCAAGAGAATTAATTGTTGCCTTGAGAGGAAGAAAGCATGATGGAATGAGCTTTAAGATGAGGTAAGCATGGAATACTTGGATTACGTAATATAATACATCTCAGAGGGCGCCAATATCAACCGATAGAGTGGTGTCTCTACGGAATATACCTTTGCAGAAGTCATCAGCAACCTCTTCGAGCCTTGCTAAGGCAAAACTAATCCTTGAGAAGCAAGGGTTCTGACACTCTTATCTTTGATGGATAGTTGGAAGACCGTCTCTAAATATTCAAATTCAGCCAAGGAAGGCTAATAAGATGTACTTAAAGTATTCCGTATTGAACTCCTCATAATCCTTGACTGCATAGGAGTATAATGAATAATAATAATAATAATCACTGGGTGGTGGATTACGTTACCCATGTCAATGCCAACATGTCAAGTCTACCTATTAAAGCTGGTCCTCTCCCCATCGCCTTTCGCCTTTTACCTTATCTCGAATAACAACAGCGAAGTTCAAGATGATTATCTCGCCGTTTGTCTATCTCACTACCATACTCTTAACTCTGATTGACCCGTCGCATATCCTTACTATGAAATGATCAAATACGACTTCGCAGTCGTCCTTTACTCTACCAGGTCCAAACGGGCAGCCAGCCGCTATCTTCGATTTTGCCAACCACAGAGACTCAATTCGCGTCACAGTTCCCATAAACAGTGCTTGGAAGTATTGGGAGCATTGGCTAAACCCACATTCCTCCATCTGCGACGAGGTTACGTGCTTAGCTGGCCTCGCTTTCGTCGAGGTCTACTATCATGATACCACTTCTTCTCCAAATGAGGGTGGAAGGTGGCTCAAAAGCGGGGAGAGTAGATCATTTAGTCCAGGGGCTTCTTCTACTTGGTCCAGTGTCAGCTATACTCGCAATCAAGAGGAGCTTATAGTCAGCTTAAAGGGAGACGAATCCTTCCATAGAAATGTTTGCAGCGCCATCATCGACCGAGACCGCATGGCTTTTCTTTCCTCGACGCCGTTTTTGCTACGCCGCTTGTTAGCTCTCCTAGGACTATTTCAATTTTCCCGTCCAGCCCGTGAATGGATCCTTGATCTAATGCTCGCTATTCAGTTGAGGGCAATTTTCTATTCTAACGGCTTTTGGATACATCATCCGACTATTCCGTTTTTTTGGTGGTGGGAATGGCGACAAATATGGGGAGAACCCCGTGTACCACACTGGGCATATAGGCTTAGATGGCGGATGCGGGAGGGAACCGCGTATACCGTCCAGGGAATATGTTACTGGGTTGGGAGGCTATTCCTTGGAATGAAGGGCAGCTACCTGGAGTATACCCCCCAACCGAGGACGGAGGTGGATATGTTGTCAAAGGAGAGTGACCAGGGAACAATGTAATATAACATGGAATAGCCATCGGAACCCCGAATTTTTATAGTTATATTCTGTAATTTCAAGAAGCCGTTTCGGCCAAGGCACGCTGAGAACATTAGTTATAATATACGACGAAACCTTACTTATCTAATGTATCAAAGCGGATAAAATAGTTATCCATCGAGTGTGTAATTAGTCCACAACCGAGTTTTCCGCGGACACCATAGCGGCAGTGCATGTGTGTGATGATATACTTATCATGCATTGTGCTTGCATCGACTTGGCCTGGGTATGCTCGGTATCGGTGAACACCTATAAAGAGGAAACTAATTATTACGTCAATAAACGGGGTATGTGCTTTAAATGTTGGATCTAGACATGGTGCGCATCAAAGATCACGCGCAGGTGGTAGATATGTTGGATTTACGTATGGTGTAGCTAGGCGTGGCAAGGCTATGCGCCCCTCCGACGCTAATATAGGGCAGGGTATCTTTATATATATACTACATTTTCCATGCTATTAGAGCATATCATCCCTTGTGGGTTGATCTAGGGCTCATCACCTAGTATCCAACGAAAAGCAGGAGGTTGAAAGTTGTTGTTCCTTTTAACTCATGGCTGGAAGTTAATTGGTTGGAGGCTCCGCGCCTTAGCGCCGGAGAGTTATCGGAACAAATAATGTTCCGTTGTTATCATATAATGATCCGTTGCTCCAACCAACATGTTATCGTCTGGCCATACCTAGGTAGTTACCTGTGGGCTACCAACGCGTGGTGCTTGGACTGCATCATGTCCGATATCTATATGCTCCAACTTGATCCTACACCCCACGGGTGTACCTGATCAGCTCCCTATGGCCAAGGGTGATTCGGAGAATTCAGGATACTTACAGTACCCTAGGAACCTTACTCTTATTACCATTTTTGACTCGCGTTGTCGACCTTTCCCCCCTTTCTCGCGGCCTCCTACAAGGGGAGTGCAGTAGAATGACGCTATGTGGGCTGAATTATGATACCCTCTCCAATTCCCTCCTCTCGCTACGTTAGCGTAATGGGCGAGAATGGAAAATCCATAATATGTCCACTATGTTGACATCAACTCCGAGATGTGTCAAGGGGTGATACACCCGCTGAAAAAACAACCTTTTCCTCTGATCTAGCGGTCGTCCCATGGCTCAGCGAGCTTTGGCCGAAAACAATCTAATATGAAGTGTTCTCCAGAAGGAGCAGCTTCTCTCCATATATGACTATCGTCGTCTGGAAACATGATGTCTTACCGAGTTCATGATTTGACGAGGGATAACTAACGCGGTGGAGACGTTCTCTTAACTAGGGGGCCCGTATCAATGGATTCTTCCAACATTATTCCCTCCTGTGATGCAGGTATAATGGGTCGGCAGGGAAGCATCCAGGGCTCTTCGCTGTTAATAATGCCCGGAAGGTGTGCCGCAGGGAGGGAGTAGGCTGACGTCCCATCACCGAAATACCAACGCATCATGCGGTACTTCTAAAGGTAGAATACAGGGGTTCTATGAGTAGGGAGCAAGAGCAGGAGACAACAGTCCAACCCCCCGCTTTTTGAGAATGTTAAATAGCCTGAAAGCTGGAATAATATTCAATCTTCCAGTCTCTTTTTTCCATTAGAGAAACAAGAACGAAGCTGCGTTATATTTCATTCATCTTCGCACAATGTTTATATCCCAAATTTTTTGGATATGGCATACTTTATGCTGCCACTCTGGCGGCTTCCTGGCCAGCGGGGGGCAATAGTATGTCTCGATCAAAATAATCCCTTTCAATATTTATACTGTACCACCGCTAATTGCTGCCAATCTCTTACCAAAGCCAACTCTTCTAGCATCAGCCTTGCATCTCGAAATCCGCAGGCTCTCGAGTCCTGGGTTGCGCTCGGTGATTCTTTTGCAGCGGGACCCGGCGCGGGGGACAAATACCCATATCATGGAGATAAAAGACGACCTTGCTACGCTACTACGGGGTCATATCCTGCTCAGATGGCAAATGAGCCCTTTCCTGGCAAGCGCCTGCAATTTCTAGCCTGCACAGGTGACGTCACACAAGACGTTATTGACCAACAGCTACCTGAATGGCAGAGGCCACAACAACTCGTCACTTTATCAATCGGCGGCAATGATGCCTTTTTTGCGAGAATTCTCAAAGCGTGTCTTTTTAGAATTCTTCCTCTTGGCGAAAGCTGCGATACAGCATTGAAAGCGTCCGAGAAGATCATTGATACCGAATTAACCAGCAGAATCTTCAAGGTCTACGAAAAAATTCACGAGAAATCTTCCCCCTTTGACGTATATCAAGAGAGTCCGCCGATAATCATGCACACTCTGTATGATAATTTCTTCAACGCCGATACAGACTGGTGCGATAGCCAAACGATGGGCGTCCACCTTGATAGGCCAAAGTTAACGAAGGAATTACGGGCCAAACTGAATGCCTTAACGGAGCGTGTGAACACACAAATCGACCATGCTCTTACTCAATGGAACTGGCGTGCGACCGAGTATTTTAGAAAAGACATGCAACAGCCTTCATTTCCGTCTCGCCCAGGGTTAAATTCTCTTGTTCTTATTGAGCCAAACGACCGTTTTGATGGTCATCGATTCTGCGAAGAAGGGGTCGAAACCTTCGATGACCCAAGCATATGGTTTTTTAAACTATTTGGCAATGACGTCCCAGCGGAAAATACCCTCACAGAGATTAGCACTGAAAATTTTGATGATAAGGTCGTTAACGCGACCTCTGTGGCCGATTATTTCGGACATGTCGATACAAAAACGTGTGGTGAAGATCCGAGCGTGCAGAACAATATTGGTCTGTCAATTGAATGTGATTTCGCCATATATTATGAATAAGCTTTCGATGAGGAAAAGAGAAACCTTATTAAACGCGCAGAATCGAACGAAATTTCAATACGAGGGGTTGGGGCTTTAAAGGTTTTTCATCCTAAGACCGCCGGCTTCGCAGCAATTAAGGACGAGAATATTGAATGGCTTTTGCATGGAAAACGACCTTTCCGTTTCGATTTTGCAGTTCTCCCACTAGGAGATTCGATTACCTGGGGATACGGAAGTACCGACGGAAATGGATATCGAGGTCACTTAAAAAAGTTTCTCAAGGAGTATAACGGCGAGTCGGATTTTCTTGGATCCCAGAGATCAGGAAACATGGAGGATAATGATAACGAGGGTCATCCCGGTTTCACAATTTCGCAAATCGCTGAGGCAGCCCGGAAAAATCATCTACAAAAACGAGCCAACGGCGGGAAAGTCCCCAACGTTATCCTACTGCACGCTGGTACTAACGATATGAATAAGGGTCTTGATGTAGATACAGCCCATCTAAGGCTTGGTGCTCTTATTGACCAGCTTTTTGGGGACTACCCTCGTGCTGTTATAATTGTCGCCGCGATTATCCCCTCTAAGGACCCTGCTAATATGGCACGAATTCTAGAGTTCAACATCCGCGTTGCTCAGGAAGTTCAGTCTAGGCGCGATGATGGCAAGAAGATATGGTTCGCTCGATTGGGGGTCATGGAAAAAGGGCTGGCCGATAGCCTTCACCCGGATGATTATGGTTACAAAGCCATGGCATACGGTTGGTTAAAAGCAATCCGGCAGGTCGACAATAATAATTGGATTGAGAAGCCTACAGGTGGAAGTGGTGGAGGTGGCGGAGGTGGTAATTCTGAGTGCGATAAGCTTCCTATATGGGTAGAGCGAGGTGAGGTTGCTAACGGGGCTGGGTTTGGACAAAGCTATGGTGAAGGCCCTATTTGCAGAGATGAGTAAGTCACTTATTTTCTTATCGCTTCTCTAATACCCTACTTATGAAGCCTTTGGATTGTCCCTACGAAGTCAGTGTCTAATCATAAATCTATTGTCTCTTAGTCCATATGAGGATGGACTGTGTGAATGCACATTCAAAGATACGGAGACCCGGATTAAACTAGGGGAAAATGATTACTGCTCCGATTATAGCACCTTAACCGTCAATGCGGTCCAGTTCGCAGATCTCAATGGCGACGGGCGGGACGAATACCTCTGGGTCCACGAAGATGGATCTGTCACTGCTTTCCAGAACCTTGGTTACAAGGATGGCGCAGTGAATTGGTGGCCACGAGGAAAGATCGCATCTGGCGTTGGGGGAGCTCGTCATGAAGTTCGGTTCGCTGATCTTAACGGCGATGGTCGAGCAGAGTATATTCAAGTTCATCTTGATGGCTCTGTTAGTGCCTGGCTTAACGGCCTTGATGGGACAGATGATATCCAGAAGATCACTTGGATTGAGCAGGGTAAGATCGCCGGAGGGATTGGACGTACCGGAGCCGGAGTCCGCTTTGCAGACTTGAATGGCGATGGCCGGGCGGAGTACATTTACCTCAACGCCTTTGGTGCAGCACGCTGCTACTTGAACGGGGGGCATAAGTATATCGATTCCACCCATGGAGAGGTTGGGTGGATTGACCAAGGAGAAATTGCTACCGGCGTCTCAGGAGGGTCCGATAGAGCTATCCGGCTGGCAGATATAAATGGAGATGGGAAGGCAGACTACATCCAGGTTGACCACCTTGCCAGCGGAGCAGCGCTACTCTGGCAAAACCTCGGTGGACCGTGAGTATCCCCTACAAAAGCAAGCGAAGGAGATAAAAACAGCTAATCAATGGCATCACAGGGACAATGGGCCGAACGCTGCTAAAGTCAAGTGGTGGGAGCGTGGGCAGATTGCTTCAGGGCCGGGACCACAATACGATGTTAGAGGTGGTGAGAACGTAGTGTTTGCTGACCTAAATGGAGATGGGCGGAGTGAATATGTTCTGATCAACTCTAAGACATCGGCCATAACAGTGTGGGAAAACGGCTGTTTTTAAGCCAGGGCTGCTTCTATATACATAGAATCTTATATATATATACCACGCTGAGTGTAGCTAAACATCTATCAATATATTCTCCTTGGTATCACCCCTTCACAGTTGGAGAAGGAGAAGAAGAAGAAGAAGAAGACGACGACGACTAGACTTGTAGCAAACAGACTCCATCACCTAACGAGAAGGGAGAAGATGTGCCGCTTCATGAAGTGGTAGACGGGCTAATTCCATAATCGCTAGTACGCTCCTACGCTGAGAATATTCCACTATTTATGATAAAACTCCCTGTCCCTAAATCACATTATCTCAGAGGTGGCCAATCAACCATTATCCGACAATACAGCTCTGAGCCTCAAGTTCGCAAATTATTCTTTGGAGGTGGAATCGTTTGATTTCAAGGGGATCAATATTAAATTAAGGATAAAGTAACACAAAGTGTAGGGGTGTATTCGCTCAATCGCTCATAACAGCTAATTTCAGCAAATACGAGGTATATTAAAGACAGGCGCTAAAAACGAAAATATATGCACGGAGTAATATCTGCTTGTGTGAAATGGTCAAGAGATATTCAGTTGAGATCCTTCGAATGTATGTCTGGAACCTTATCTTCAACACTATTTTCTCCATGTGTACCTTCAGCCGATTTGTCGCCTGCCTCGGCCATCTCATGGGCCATATCTTGAGCGTCCTGTAGAGTCACCGACTGGATGAAGTCTTTCTGAGCCTTAACAGGCGCAAGGTAATCAAGCAGTATCGTAAGGGCAAAAGCTGGAAGAAGCAAGTTAGTAAATGAAATCGCTGTCACTGCTTGGCGAGAATTGGGATAACTTACGGATAACGAAACCGGTTATCGAAGCGATGTAGTATAGATGAGATGCGCCTGCGGAAACACTGATGGTTGGGTTTACAGCATGTATCAACCCAGGCATATGAGGAGCAACTCCGACAGCCCACTAATAACAAGTATACAAGTTAGCATCAAATAGAAAAGAAATGGTATGAAAAGAAAATGGGGCAGGTGAAAAAAGAAGGGCGCCATACCGAAAGCACGGTTCTCCAGTTTACGCCAAAGTTATACCAATATATTGACCTGTTTCCAGTGATATAAAGGTCTGAAACCTTGATGCGTCGTTTTTGCACGATGAAGTAGTGGGCAGCGGCGATACCGATGAAAGGTTGTAAAAAGACGACATAGGACGACAACACAGAGATGAAGACAAGGGCTCCGCTCAAGAGGTACCACGGATTTATCACCGTACCCAGGATAGCCGTTAGGAACTGTCCACGGCGAATGTTTATGTACTTGGGAAGCAAGGCCGACATATCAGTACCTCCGCAGAAGGAATTTCCGGAGATGTTGAGTACGAGCTGCGTGATTCCAAAGACGAAAGCGCAAAAGAAGATGCCAACGCGGGTCTTAGAGCTGGGATCGTCATCTTGCATGGCCATTAAAAGACTGGCAACACTCCATAGCGGGGAGCCGTATCGCTTCTGGGTGGCTGCGATGGTCAGCATTCCGAACACGTTTGCTATCCAAGCTGGGAATGCTCCCATGCCCTGAGACCAAATGCCCGATGACTGTCGTCGCGCGAATCGAGCATAATCACCGATGCTCAAGGTTCCAGCGGTGATACTTGACATTGTCGACCCTACACCAAGAAGGAATATCCAACCGGCGTTGCTGCCTGAGAGTTTGTTCGTGCTATCCAGGACCTCACCGAAGCCCTGCGAGCCCTTGGTGGCGCCAGCCCATGAGACGAGCACAAGCTGGCAGATGAAGCCACCGATCGCACCGACATGTAGCATGTACCTTAGCCGACCAGGGCCAATGATCAGGAATGGAACCTGTATGACGGAGAAGATGATAAAGCCGACGAAGGCGGGTAGCGTCATGCCCGTACTAGCAGGAATGGTGTTGGGTATTTTGTCGATGCTGGGCCAGATGGCGCGTATACAGACATATGTCATCTGTCCACCCTGCCATGACTGCACGCCAAACCAGACAATTGAGAGCAAAATACGATTTAGGACGACAAAGGCGGAACCATAGAAGCCTGGCGAAGAGAAGCAGAGAAAGTCAGCAGGGACCGGCCACAGATGAATCTCTGGGAATCAATATCCAGAGAAGTAGGTAAATTACTTACCCCAGCTAATGCGCATAGCCACCGGGAACGAAATCTGATATTCCAGCCCCGGGAAGCTGGTGACTACGATGAGGAGAGCTGCAAGAACATGGCCAATCAGACTTGCGAGGGTCGTTTGCCACCAGTTCAGGCCTATGGCCAGAAGAGCAGACCCCTATGAAGACGAACAGACAGACGTTAGCCTAAGCTGATCTTCGAGAACGTCGATCGAGTAAATTATGGAGTCGTTGGTGGTTCCCTACCAATTGGAAATTCGTGATGTTGAATGCGCCAACGCACCAGAACGAGAAGTACTCATGCCATCCTAAAGCGAAGGATCAGTAAATCGCAGGGCCTTTGCCACCGGGGGTGAAGGAGGAGGAGGGAGTGATTTCTCCACATACTCCAGGTACGCCGGGCTTTCTCGATGGGCTTGATGTCATTGTTCAGCAGCCATGTTGGACGAGGTTGGCCGGGAGGATGGGGCACCTCCAGTCGCTGGAGAAGAGCCGCGAAGGAAGACATCGTGAAGGGCACGCCTCAGAGAGTCGAGAGGAGCCGCCTGTGAAAAAATGCGAAACCATCCGGGCTGACGGGAGAGACCGAGTCGATAGGGACATATATATATATGCCCCGGCACTCCGTCCGTCGTACCGCGATTGATTACGGCATGGCCTGCCCATGCAGCAGCGCAACAAAGAGGTGATGGTGTCCTGCAGAAACTTCGGGCGTGCTCCATATATTTAGTTTACGGTTCCGGCGGCGGAAGCCACGGACACGGGGCTGGAAGCTGTTCTTCGGCTGTAATTGCAAGTAAAGGCCAATCGCGGGCTGGCAGACACAATCTCAGGGCGCAAGTTATACGATCCCCTAGGCGCTTGGCTGAGTCTTGCGACAGGCTGGTCTGGTGGTTGGATGTGGGCGGTTGACTGTTTGCTGCTTGGTTTCATCCACAAACTCGTCCGTATAAAAGTACCCTATATCACGGCCGATATAGATGGAGAAATGGCGTGTTGAAACCCCCAGCCGACTGCAACTAAGACCCGAGGTTCTGAGCAGAAGCAACATGCTCCCAGTGGCTCGAAAACCGCAGACGCTACTGCGAACGAGATACCGAATAGGGCGTTAGACCGTCCGCACCAACAGGGATTTAAAAAAAAAGAGCACTCCCTGCTGCTGTCGCAAGGGATGGCTGGATCGACAATGATGTGTGTTTCCAGTATATCGTCGCCATGCTGTGCCTTGTTTCGACTGGCAAGTCTGCGATGTGGGAGAGTGCGATCTCCGTTCAGCGACGTTGAGACTATCTCTGTAGTTAGACCGGGCGAATATACAACGGCGCATCGAATATATGATAGCGCCAGCGATGGAAGACGGGGTGCATGCACGTACTCATGTATGCTGTATGCCTCCGGGGACGGAGTATGCGTATAAGTACGACGCGGGCAGATTTCAAATGCGACTGATGCTGGCTGGCCCTTGATGTCCGAATGCATTGAAATTGGACTCGCTGGGATATTAGTCATCTGTATAGACGTCCGGATGCAAGTTCTGGGATGTTTACCTGCATCAACGTAAGACAACAACGGACGACACGATGGCCACGCTGAAGTTTGTCAACTCGGTATGTTTGTGATGAGGGCTGTCTGTCTTCTCTCGTTTGACACCAGGCTGACCGGCTGGTCTGCAGGTATGGGCGAATTTTCGGGCGATATCAGGCTTGGAACCAAGGTACGCAACCCCCTACTTAGCCGACATAGATCTATAGCTAACTTGTGCATTAGACTGCTGGATAATGTACGCTGGCCTCACTCTTTGCTACGAGCTACACCGTGCGACCTCAGCTTTGTGTCCCGTCGGATGCTCGTTGGCAGCGGGTTTATCTCTCGGGACCCAGAGTCCACCGACCCCATCTTCGACGGTTGGGACGCTCTGAGGCCAGAAGAGCTACAAGGGGCATCTTACTGATTCAATCCGTTGATCTTAGCTCCGTATCACTGCTGCTCATCCAGGCACTGTCAAATTTGAGCTGGATGTGCAAAAGGAACACACAGTAGGCTTATCAAGACGAGCTGGATTTTCTTTGAACTACTGCCTAATATTTTGCTTTGTATACAGAACCGATTGGGCATTCTTCATGGCGGCACAATTGCTAGCATGGGTACGTATAACATGGTCTACTCTTCTAATTGCTGATTTTGGCTAACAAGTCCTTCTTTTAGTGGACATTGGAGGCTCGCTTGCCGTTGCCTCCCACGGTCTTTTTGCGACAGGTGTATCGACCGACTTGAATGGTATGTGATATGTATCTCAGTTCAACCCGGTGATATGGTCTGCTTTGACGAGACCTAACTCAGTCTACGGAGTACCAGTGACCTATCTGGGCTCAGGAGGCAAGGTTGGTGATAGGATACTTGCAGTAAGTGACCTCTCTGCCTAAAACGTCCGACGAACCCACGCCTTTGGAACTACACAATTTAACTAAACCACACTAGGAGGTAACATGCGATAAGTGTAAGTTCGCCTATGCTGCTTAAACATTGGTTAAAGTTTAGCGAACTTGAAGCGCGCTCTCTGGAGATTCTACTGAACGGATGCGACCTTTTTTCTTTTTTAGTTGGAAACAAGTTAGCCTACACAACTATCAAATTTACCAATCAGGCGGATGAGATAGTGGCAAGGGGAAGCCATACAAAGTAAGCTTGCGAACCTTCTTGGGATCGAGCAATTATATGGCTGGGAATGACTTCTGCTCACACGTTGTGGTTTTAGGTATATCGCTCAAGCCTTCCGGGACCCCAGAAACATTATCGAACAAAAGAAGCCGTGATCTCAGCCATCCGCTCATAAAATGGAAGCTTATAGTGAGTCTTCGCTAGCTCCTTGCCCCTTTATCCATGACTCCAAAGGCTAACCAACGGCGAGAGTTCGTATGGCAAAAAAAAGTAATTTATAGAATAGGTTAAGCCTCTTTAGGTTCCAGGAGGCGGTTATATAGACATTGAATGCGTCTAGCCCGTTCTTAGGTTCATCAAACCGTTTTCTTTTATGGGAGCAAAGCTGGCACGGCCAATTAATCCACTCTGTAATCTACTCCATACATCAATTGAACACAATCCAGGATAGAAGGAACTAAGATAGAAAACCGTGTCCCATGATGCGCTTGATGCGCTTGATGCTTTCACTCAAAATGTGTATACTCGCAAAGGAAATTCTGTTCATACAATAGATCAGAGGCCACTAATTAAACACTAAAAGATGTCACACTACTCGATTGCACCTTCACGTGCTGTATCGTCTTCATCATCGGACTCTCGGATCGTACCCAGATTTTCATCGGCAGCCTCAGTAATGGCCGTGTCTGCCCCAAGTGCCTTGAGTTTCGCCTGAGTCATCTCATACACATACTGGCCAAGATGTTCTAGGTTTTCCATGGGCGTGCCTTCGCTGTCTGAAGAATCAACCGCTCTCTTCGTCGGGAACATCTCGTTAGGCATAAGCATGAGCTTATCTGGCCGTTGAGCGAGTATATCAAAGGCAGGCTTGAGCTCGAAACATGACTCGAAAACCTCCCGGCGGCCGAGAATGTAGAGTCCAAGTCGTGCCCGCGATAGTGCTACGGTTAATCGACGAACGTCTCGGAGATAGCCCACGGATTTAGTACGCGTAAGAGAGAGAATGATATCTAATGGCAGGCCTGCATTAGTCGATGCTATCATAAGATAAGAGAAATGTTTGTCACTTACAGTCATTCTGTTCACCCTGATACTTGTCCACCGTTGTGACAATCTTGGGCAACCCGAAAAGTACATTTTTGGCACATCTGTGAGCTAGAACATCCTTAATCAACGCCTTTTGTCCGGCGTATGTGGCGAGAATTGAGATCTTAGAGGCTGGATACCCCAATAGTCGCATGTATTGATAAATTCCAACTGCATACTCGGCTTCACCAAGATTCTGAATGAAGTGGGGAGTAGGTTCTCTTTCACCTTGACCCTGATAATCCGGCACGTCGATAAGCTGGTAGTCATAGCGGAAACCAGCATTGGCAACTTTGAACTCCTCTTGGTTTTCCACAGCGGGGAGATTCCCCAGTTTCTCGTATCGCCACTTAAACAGCTCTGCGATAGATGCACGGGCACGGCCTTGTTGGTCAAGGTTAATGGTAGGAACACCCAATCTCACTAACCGTAGGAAAAGGGTTTGTTCAAAGTTGGCGTACTGGCGGAACGCGATGTTTTGAATGATTGGGGAGTTTTGCAAATGATCACCACATAAGACGACGCGTTTAAGGGGGAATTCTCCATTTTTGGTCTTCTGCATCATACACGGAATCACACTTTCGATTTCTGTGATCTGTGCTGCTTCTTCCATAACTACATTATCGTAGTGGAAACCAAGGTCTGCAATTTCTTGCCGTCTCATAGCAGCATGCGTCGATGTCATCGCAATAATCCTCGCTTCTTTGACCAGGAGGTAGTTGGCCTTGTCTCGTTGCTGCCGTAGAATTTCGAAGGGCCGAATATCTTCTAGCTCCGAAAAGACTTTCCCTATATGTCGCTCACAACCTTCGGCAATATCTATGAGTTTTTCTTTCGGGGCATCCGCAGGGAAGAGAGGTTGAGGGGCATCGGAGAAAAAGCTGTGGAAGGGGAAGCACTGAACGATTTCGTCGTTTGTGAGGTTCTCAGAGCGTGCTTTGTCCCAGAATTTGATCCATGCTGGTTTTATATAGACCGTATAAAAGTATCCGGCTGTTTCGCAAGTACTTCCATGGGCTCCTTCTGCCCCAATGGAAGCTGCAAGGCGATCAACCTCCGCAAGGAACCTCACCCGGTTCTCAAGGAACGATTCGACCCTGCCAAATTTTCCAAAATTGGATTCTGTCTCTAGCTCCTCCTCACCGTGACCAAGTCGAAGTAAATGGCGCTCGTCTATGTCTAAAGCAACGATTTTTTGAAACAATTGGTTGAGTGCTTGATTGCTGTGGGCGATAAGTAATGTCCGCTCCTGGGAGAAGTTATGATAGATATTGTTAATTATCTGCGTAATAACGTCCGTCTTGCCCGTTCCTGGAGGACCGACAATCACCGTCAGCCCTGGCTGCGTTCCAGAGGTTATGGCTTCAACCTGAACAGGCGTAAACCGGACTTTGTTGAGTTTCGGGGCATCAATGGGATAAGGGCCAGGATTGGCAGGCTTATATGTAGTCACCCGTACTGAATTGGGATTCGACTGTACAGACTCTGCCTGGTCCCTTCTCCGTTTCTTCGATGGGTTCAAGGTCTCGGCCTTTGAGGATTCATCAATCATCTCTAGAACATAAGGAGGGCCAAATATGGATGTGGAGTCCTCTGTCGGCTCGATTTTCTGGCCCGGGAAGCTCTCCACAAGGTGATGCCAATCTAAGAAGGTATCCCTGTAGTCGATGGACTTTACACGGTTTCCTAGCTCCGTGTATCTCGCTCCGGCTGGATCGCCATACCCCAGGAAGACCTCTTGTAGCCACGAAGGAAGTTCGGCGTCGGTGATAGTTAAAGACCGCATCGTTTCCAATATGGGCCGGAAATTGTTCTCGCGAGCCCTTCGGCGCACAAGAACATTGATGGAGTTGTAGATATCTGGCTTGCCTTTCTGCATCCTATCTACATCAGCCTTATAGGATGCAGCATCCAAATTGACAAGAAGCCTTCTGAGGCGGGGCCTTTGAGGGTATCCATTGCTTCTGTCCTGTTGCGTATCTCGTTGGGGGCGCCCGTTCTCGTCTAGCATTTGTACAACCGCGCCTGTTCGAACATGTAATATGCCTATGCTCTCCTTTGCGTCGGCTTTTTGGTTGTTCACGAGATCCAATTTTGCTGTCTTGTTGGGACCCACTGCAAGCAAAAATACCACGTCGTCCGGCCGAAGTGATTCCCATTCCCTCCTAATATTGTCACCAAGTCTTCCAACCTCTAGAGTGATTTCCGATCGGACAAAGGCTGGTTGGAGAGAGCCGACTCGTGCCTGAGCAACATCAATGATGGCGGGCTTTGAGACGGGTAGGGCCATCTTCGAGAAGCCATCAAAGGATACCTTGCCATCTGGGCCAGCTTTAGGTTGCATTCGTTTGGTAATGGATTCTAGATCACTTTTAATCTCATAGAAAGACTCAGACCGGTAAAGTAGAAAGGACCTCCACAAAAAGTCACCAAGACTTAGATATTGAAGGTTTAGCTTTGGGATAGCTAACGGCCTGGAGCCATCGTATGTTTCGTTTCGGACAAGTGCTGGGTCATACAACGAATCTTCAGTAGGTAGAACGCTGACTTCGGATGTGGCTTCTTGAAAAGTTGGTCGCCGCTCGAAATGTAGAAGGAGAATCTCTAGGAGTAGTTCACGGTCGGGTGTAATATTGGTGTGTTCTGGATAAGTGGTCCTAAAGCCTAGCAAATGGCATAGCTGCTTCAACTGCGAGTCGTCAATAGCGCGAAGATGTTCCACAAGCTCAGACCGTTGCTCGAGGGACCCATAATTGGCTAATGCAAGCAGTGTCAACTCGTCCTTGAAGTGCTTAATAGCTGTTCTTTGAAGTCGTGCCAGCTCCTGGCAGTGAGACTCATAGACATCTTGCGCTGATTGATGTTGGCCGGATTGATCGTCAATTGAGAAATTGATGAACCGTCGTAGTAGTACATAGAAATCTCGGAAGAGGGTGTTTTTCTCATCATTGTAGAGTTTGCTTTTGCGAAGAACAGGCAGGATGTTAAGGTCCTTTAGCAGTGCATTCACGTATCGCCGTGTGGGGAGCTGACTCTCAAGATCCACCAAGAGTTCGAGAAAGCGTTCGCAAAATCTAGTGTTATCTTCATTGTTGCGGTCTCCCGGAGATGGATTTATACGGCGCAGGAAGTCCAGAAGCATCGAATACAGCCAGGACCTTTCGAATCGTATTCTCGATTTCCCTTGTTCATCCGCCGAGTCGTATCGTTTGGTAGCCAGCCGCCATGCCTTTTTCAAAGCCCCCGACTGCTGAAGCAAACTATCTCTGGCATCCTTACTAAAAAGATTGTTCCAGGTCGATATCGAGACGAGAGGAGCGCACTCCTTGCGGATTTGGCTGCACTCAAGTGACTGGAATGCACTGATGACGAAGGAAAGAAGGTATATTTTAGATGTCAAAGGTAGCGCAGCGTCAAGATTCATGGAGAGTATACGTCGGAAGAGGGTTGAAAAGTCCGCTGGTCGGTCCAAGAAATGGGCTAAATAGATGTTAGATATTTGGGCCAAAAATTAACAGCTTCCAACGGGCAAACGCGTGATGCTTACTCCAGATGGGCAAATGTTCCCTCCGTTTTATTCCTGCAATGACCGCAATCAACATGATATGGTAATTCGACGCATCTTCCGAGTACGTTGGCCAGAGGAACCTTTTGCGAAAACATGTCAGCCAGTGAAATCCGAAAAACCAAGGGAGTCAATGGGAGGGCTAGAGTGCGTATTTACTTCTCGAGTATATGGAGATTTTCCAGGATAAGTAGCGAACGGAGAGGGAAGCCTTCGCTCTGTAAAGGATCCCAGATCTCGTTCTTGATCACCTCCGGCCTCGCCCTGCGTACCTTGCTAGGCTTCAGCCAGTGAGCTTTAGCCAGAGACACCCACGGATTCTCGTCCTGGAAGTCGTTGACCGTTGGACGGACATCGAGACTACGCGCCATTGCCGGGCGCATCTGTAATTCAGTCATTGGAGCCAGCGGGGTTGCGCCTTGTTCTCGCGCGGGCAACTCCTAGAAACGAGAGTCCATCCTGTTGCTCGTGGTGCTCGTGGTGCTCGTGGAATTGATACCAGAACGAGTCGAAATGTTTAAAAGTTGGCGTTGGTGCACGGATCATGTGCGGCGAGCTCTAGAAAAAGCTCAAAGGAAGAGGAACACAACCACGCCGACAACTACGACGACTTGCGCCTCCTTGCTCAGATCAACAGTACGCCTCTCAGTCGGCGGATCAGAAGGAACAGAGGCTCTAGGATGGTTGGACAGGACGTTCGAGCCGTGAAGGTGTACAGAAATGTCATCCACAGCTTGCTGGAGAGAGCTGGCCAGGTCAAGCAGACGCCATCGATCGAGCCACCGGTCACAGAAGCCAGCCTGGGAGACGTTATCAAACATGTCCTAGCTGGAGATGGTGGCGCGATTAGAGAGAATAGCCAGCAGACTCAGTACGCAGCCGTTGAGACGGCGTTTCGTGAGATATTCTACGATCTACTTGTACGTTGCCCCCCCTGTCCTTGGTTTGCGGAGTACCTTTCTAACAGCTTTACAACCAGGCCACAGCCTCCATTGGTGAACCGTCGTTTATGCAGATATGGAATCTTTTAGATATTGTCTCAATCTTCTCGGATAATGGTATGGCTTGCAGTCGGCGGGAGGGGAAGCATTGGACATTGAGCAAGCGGCATGCTGACTGTCTTTACTATAGAAAAGTGCGAACCGGGCCTTATATTCTGGCTCATCGAAGAGCTCTTGGATAGCCAAACCATAGACGGATGTAGAAAGGTTTTCGACTATCTAGAATCCAGACGGGAACGCAATACAGCCGTGAGTCCCTCCATATACTAACCACCTGTGGCTGACGCTTAAATGGCTAATGGACAACTTGACCTAGAAACACTTCAAACAAAAAAGTCTGATTATTCTCCGTTCATGCAATGAATTACTGAGGAGGCTTTCTCGTGCCGAGGATACAGTGTTCTGTGGACGGGTCTTCATCTTCCTATTCCAATCTTTCCCCCTAGGGGACAAGAGCTCTGTGAATCTCAGGGGGGAGTACCATACGGAAAATGTCACAACCTTTGATATTCAGCCTAAGTCATCGACCGAAAGCGGCGATGCGATGGACGTGGACACACAGGAGGATACAACTCCAATACCAAAGACCGAGGGCGATCAGTCGGAGTCAAGGAAGACTCCCGTGCCTCGGGAATCGGCCACTGACGCCCCATCGCAGCGTGCAAAGGAAGCAAGTGACAAACCAGATCTCGACTTCGACTCTCTTTATTCGGCCTTTTGGAGTCTCCAAGAAAACTTCTCTAAGCCCATCAAACTGTTTGATCCTGTACATTTTGCGTCATTAAAGTCTGGCCTCGAAGCAACGCTTTCTAGCTTCCGAAAGGTTAGCTCAAAACTGGAGGTACGCGGCACAACAAAAGGTTCAGATGAATCACGGCGAGGAGCCAAACGCAAACGAGGTGAAGGAGCCTCCGAGTTGACGAATAGCTTCAACCCCAAATACCTAACTAGTCGAGATTTGTTTGAGCTTGAGGTATAGTGATTCACGGGTCCCTAGGTCATGTTTCTATTGCTGACAGTGGTGTAGATCAACGATGTGTCCTTCCGGAGACACATTCTTGTCCAAGCTTTGATTCTCCTCGATTTCCTGCTTTCGCTAACGCCAAAGTCCAAGGCCAAACTGTCGGACTCCACAAACAAATCAGTGCTATACGGATATGTGTTGAGTGACGAAGACGTGAGTGTTTACCTTCCTCTGCATCCTGGACGAACATTCGTAATAATGAACCGTGCTCTGTAGGCTAAATGGGCAACGCAAATGAAATCATCCATCGCCAGCTATTTGCAAAAAGGCATGGACGGGAAATTCTATTTTCGAATGGTCGACACTGTGCTCACAAGGGACAAGAACTGGGTTCGATGGAAAGCCGAAGGGTGTCCTCCGATAGAGCGGCCGCCTGTTCCAGTCCAGAACCACTTGGACACTCAGTCCAGTGCCGCCAAAATAACAGCCAATAGGCGGCTTCGCGCAACGCCTATGGGCTCTTTGGATCTTGGATTCTTATCCGCTGAAACAAATCTAGGAGACCTCAACCGCCTAAAAGAACCGGAAAGGTATGGTAGTTCTGATATAATGTGGTGCTGTGATCCGGCTGACTTTTAGTGGTAGATTTGCAATACCCAGCGTCGACTTTTACATGAGTGGTATTACTGATGATGATTTCAATATTGATATGGCCAAAGATGAGGAAGACAAGGAGCAGTCTGTCAAAGCCAAGGCTAGCAAAACATGGAGGACTTTACGGATTGCCTCCAGGAGTAAGCTGAATCAACTGGATAAGATAGAGGACGGGAAAAACTTGAAAGTGCTTTTCGAAACACCTCCAGCACCGGCCACCAGCTCTACAAAATCCCAACAGGAAGCCGAGAATAGTGCCGATGGCTCCAAGGAAGAATCAACAAGGGAGAACACCCTCGAAGCTGCCTCAGAGCAACCGCAGCCTGCTCAGACTTGACCTTGCATCTTTCAAGGGGCTTCGCACCTGCAGATCATTCGACAAGATCCTGGGCGGCTTCAATCCGATTTTGAAGGCGTTCGAACCATTGGGGCAAGGCTGGTTCATTGCCTTCCACGTGGTTGTAGGGCAGATCTAATAACAGTGCAGGAACGATGGGACAGGTCCCAAATTCAGTCCTCGGCGTCTTGGAGGAAGAAGCTATATTGGTTTTGTCTATAGTGATGGGCAGTGCTGCCATGCAGTGGCGTACTTGCAGGGAGATGATGCCAGCTGTATTGACAGCGGATTTGATAACTGGTACAGCTAACGCGGGCTCTGCGGCAACTGGTAGGACTGAACCCCCGGCTTCTGGCCCCCCCGGACCGACAGCTACAGTACATAGTTTCAGCAATGCCCAGCCTTCCCCCATTCCCGATGGATTTGAAGATATTTATACTTGCTATGTACGGCAGCATGCGAGGAAACATAAGGCTCTGGTCAGTACGAGCTTACTCAGGGAAATGATGCGAGGGTCGACGGAAGCTTTCACTGCGTCAGGGCCGAAACCGACACTAGAATGATTGAATAGCCTAAGGGGGAAAGGGGGAGGGAGATATTCTCTATTTTTCTTCAAAAAAATGCAATCAGCAACTGGAGCCTGTCCCCCCCGGCGGAGTTCACCCTCAATTGTGTACTGTATATTAGCGTGAGACAACTTTATGGATTCCCGAACAAGAGAGCAACCGGCTATTTACAAAGACCCTGCAGAAACAGGTTGGTTTCAAGCAAGCACCAGCAAACAGCACACCTACTTAACAGAGCAAGCGAGCATGCATGCACGCCTGCATCCATGGCCAGCAGATCAGCGCGGATGGCTGATCAGGGAGAAGGTCAAGCGCGCAAGGGAGTAGGCAGTTGTAGCTCCGGATCCTGGACCTGTGTTGGCCTGCTCTCTCTGCAGGTACGAACAATCCTGCTCTCTGATCTTCGACGGAGAAATGGTGAAGCTCATGGATGGCGCCGTCTTCCGTCCAATCTATCTCCCGTAAGCTATGCCTAGCTACGCCTAGCTAACACTAGCTACTAGCTACTACACTTGGCTTAGGGCTGCCTACCACGACAAACCATGACAACCACGGCTACCATGGCTATCCCGGCTACATGCATGTAACTGTCTCAACGGTTTCGTGACGTAGTTCCCACATCAGAGCCTCCAATATTAAAATCGCTGATTGATAGTGGAGCTCCGAATCGTGTGGTCAACAGAGTTTGATGGGCGAAATCTGCGGGCACTAGAAGAAAGTTGTTCCTCAGCGATGGACTGGAAGCATCAGAGAAGGCCCCCGATCTGCAACAACCTTATAATCAACTTTGCTCGACTAGCTTCTGCCCCCGATCGCCCGCTGACGTCGGCGGGTGGGCTATAATTATCCATCCAGCCCACCCGGCCTCCAGCTCCATGTCCAATCTGCCATCTCCGACAAGATTCGGCGGGATATCTGGCTTCTGGGGCCGAAAGATGAGAGACGAGGTCACGTGGGTGGTTTCAATATCCCTGAGCCCCCGGCCCTTAACAGCTTGCAACCTGCACATTTCGCTTCGATGCAAGGGTTGATATGGCCAGCGATGGCGTCGCGGTTGGCGGAAACGAGAGCTGCACCTCCTCTCTCCTTCGTCCTTCCCGCGTCTCCGGATCCCTTGGGCCTGGAAACGGCTGAGAGCTGTGGACACGCGAAGTCACACCTGCTCCGGGCCGGGGTTATCTCGCCCATCCCTGTCCTCCCATCCTCCAACTGCTAGGCTGGCCTCCCAACGTGAGAGTCACCCTTCGCTTTGGCTCAGCCAATTGGTATGCCGGCTGTGCCCTTGGCTGGGCTTCGTTTCCCTGTCAATTTCCAAGGGTGTACACCAACTTACATATCTTTACATACATGAGATACGGTAAAATGGGTGACCCACCGCACACCACACCACGACACCATGGGCATGCCTTGCCTGCTGCATCTGCGGATCATCTGGCCTGCCTTGGGTCGGTGGATGGCGGGAGAGGACTCGATGAAAAGCTTGAGGTGGGTGATGCTGGATGTTGGGTGCCGGGTGAGGCAACCCATGACAACTATCCGTCCTCTCTTCCCGTCTCTGGTCTCTTCCGCCCAGAACGGCAGACCTGGACGGAGTACAGAGTAGAGATTCTCGAGGACGGCCAGCTGCCTGTTCACGCGCGCCTCAACCGCAACAATCCCACGCTTTTATGAGTTGTATGAATGGGCTTTCTGCACTTGGAAGCCTAACCCAGCCTCGGGGCCCGGTCCGATCTTACCGTCCCATTCTGCGCGTCTTCCGATTCGTGACCAGTCGGGTTTGCAATTCTAGCGGGCACATCCTTTCTTCCTTTTCCAGAAGTCCAAGGGATGGGAAATCTTGGTTCGTGGTAGCCTTACTTGATCTCCAAATAGCGGTTCCGTCTAAGCCTTGGGCTCTGTGCCTCCTGCGTATCGGCGTTCTCGTGCTGCTCTCTGTGACCAATCTCCCTCCACAGACATTTTTGTTCAACAACCACCTGCCCATGATGCTACCCTCCAGTCCTGCATGCCCCGCATTGGTTCCAGCTACTCTCGCTCCCCTGTCTTCCCCCATAAGCCACGCCCGGATAAACCTGGGAAAGTGGGAAAGCATGACTCTGGATGCTCTATCATCGCCGTTTTCTCGACCTTCATGCTGTTTTCAGCCGGTATTGGCCCACAGGAGAGGCTTATAAGATTTGCAGGGTCTCTCGAGCAGTCTTACCCCGGCCTCCCAAGGATCCCAAGGCTTAAGACCCAAGAGCCAGAAAGCTGCATTCGTCCCTTTTCTTTTTGGAGCTTTTGACCTTCGTCTATTTTCCGGAAAGACGAGGTTGGCACATACAGCCTGTCCCCCTTGCTTACTGTAAAGCATAATGCTTTTCCATTGCTGTGTTACAACCAATGTGATAAGGACCCCTCCCCCTCGTCTCCGGCTTTTTAAAATCTGATATTATCTTTCAAAAAAGATAAAACAGACTAGTATACGTTGGGAAACGAGCTTATATGGTCGGTGCACCCGGCGCCCCCCAGCAACCACGTACCTGCGATAAGGAGTTAGGCCTGATTAGTGTGCCTCTTCCTCTTAGAAAATTTAAGAGTGTTGTGATCTTCGCATCAACGTGAGACTTTGGCAGCGCCATCCCTGAATGACCCACAACCCATGCATCGCATACTTCCCCCATGTGCTAAGCTAAGCTAGGCACTACTCCGAGATGCTGGTCTGAGCATGACAGGGTGGCTGTCTATGCTTATCCTGGCCCCCTCCTCCATCATTCAGTCCAAAACTCCTAGAGAGGACTGCTGCACCCTGGCCCGTTTGTATGCTATTAATGTATTCGGATATCCCGTATTTTTTTCGAATCGTTTTTCCGTGGCCACGCCTACTCTACTAGCGCCCATACTTTTCGTTTGTGCTCCTCACGGCGGATTTACTACCCTTGGCCTTGTTCTATATGGCTGTGTATCAGCCAATTATCCGCCGCCACTGTGATAAATACGGCAACATTCTAACTTTCCCACCGGCGTGCCTTCGACTACCCTGTAACCCAACTACCTCCCTCTTTCGTCTTATGCCAGTCGAACTCTATTCCAGTCGTCTTCGATCCCAGAGAACCGGGTGCCTTTTGAGCCTTGAGTCTTCCCTGTTGATCGTCTCAGCTTCTCACAACCACTCGCATCATCAATTTTATTACTGACAACGCTCACCATCTCCTACCACTTTGAAGTTACGGGGACTCAGTATTCATCTCATTGTTTTGAACCCGCAGTGATTCAGGTGGATCAAACCCACGAGAGGGCTAAGCGTACAAGCACTCGGTCTATCTATGGCTAAAACATAGCGGCCCTCCGGCGACATCGGGTTACTTAGTCGTTGCTACCACGCGTTGACGATATATATCTGCTACTATAAACTACTTCACGTTGAACACTTCCCCCCTCCCCCCCTCCTCTCGCCCCTTTCCCTGTTTGACATTTTGTTTTGTTTTGTTTTTTCCCTTTCTTTGACTACTTCATAATGTCGACACATGAAGTCTACGCAGACGTTCCTGGCTGGACCAACACACGGATAGGAGATCAGTCGCCCTCGTCACAATTACACAATTACCATTCTTCTGCCATGATGATGCAGTTCTGTGGTTCCCCAATATCCGAGACGATAAAGCCAGAACCGCTCATCTCAGAAAAGGGAGTGCATGAGACCATGGGCCAGTGTGATATTCGAGGTTTGGCCTATTTGAAGGCAGCTGAAGCAGGACACAGCTCACGGAATCCTAGTGATAGTTGCTACATGGGCTCCCACAAGGGCAGCCAGGGGGACCTCTCCTGCAGTGACCTGACAGATGCTGTACAATCAAGCTCAGCAAGTTCTTGCCCAGGAAGCCCTCAAACTCCCGTTGACGGAGAGCAACATAGCGATAGCGGGCATATCGATAGCAAGCAGGACATGTACAGCCCTGCTATCGCGGATGAGATTCATGACGTGGACGACGATACCAAAATGGCTGGTGAAGAGAAGATAGACAGGAAGAAGATGAAGCGATTTAGGTATTACAGTCCCTTACCCTCTGTCATGATGGCGGTCGAATTTACTAACCCAACTTTACAGGCTTACTCATAACCAGACGCGGTATCTTATGAGTGAATTTACCCGTCAAGCTCATCCGGATGCTGCCCATCGAGAGAGACTTTCCAGGGAAATTCCTGGATTAAGTCCTCGACAAGTGCAAGTATGGTTTCAAAACAGGTATGTTGCCCATATAGCAGCCCCCATTCGTGCACAACTTGATGCGCTAACATTATGTTTATCTTCAAAGGAGGGCAAAGCTCAAGAGATTGTCTCTTGATGATAGGGAGAGGGTATTGAAGTCTCGCGCACTGCCAGATGATTTTGACATGGCACAGTCGCTACAGCCATCTTATGCAGCTGAGCACCATGGCTATACAACGCCGTTAGTTTCCCCCGGGACTTTCTTCCCCCCAGAAGAGAATGACCCATATAGCACAGCACGTGTGGGCACGCCATCGGGAGATGACTACTCAACATCCCCCTTGAGCACTGCTTCTGTTTACGGCAGCTATTTTGGTCGGGGTAACTCTACATTTGGACATGGACGTGGCCCTGACTCGATATCCAGTATGTCTACCTCTAGCGACAGTCTCGGTAGCTTTGCCCATATGCCTTCTGCAAATGCATCCGTTCACAGGCAGTCGAACTTCATGCCTGGCAGCTTCAGCGAGCATGGAAGCATGCGCCCATCTATTTCCCAGCTTCACCTATACAATGCTTCAGTCAGAGCCAGGGCAGGGTCACTGAACTTACCACTCCGCGGCACAATGCCCTGCCCAACGCCACCGCTAGAGTTTACGGACGCAGACTCCTCCGTCGACCTTAACAGTACATACGGTGGCCGATCCCTGGACGCATCGATGCCGAATGACGCCGTCGCAAGAGCCAGGAGGGATCCCTATGGTTTGGGTAAGCAGCTGCCAGACTCTCCCATCCCCCCTCCCTACGCTCGCTGACTGACCAATAGATTCTGCAACAGAGCAGTTTAAGCAGAAGACTGTAGGACAGCCTGTGACCACCGGGCCAAGGCTATCTGAAGGATCGCCGCCGAAAACAGGCCACAGTCGTACAGCCGCAGCAGCCTTGCAATCCGCGCCCCTTCAGTCCACACAGGAAGAGGATCAGCTTTCGGGGCTCGGTCCGCAGTTCAACCTAAGCTCATTCGGAATTACCTATCCCCGACAATCCCCATCGTCAAACACGAGCGATCCTACATCCCACCCGGGATCGTTGGCAGCAACCAAGCGATCTGACATGCAGGGCGCCTATAATCATCATGGCACCGCCTGGCTGCATCAGACCATCCAACAGAAGCTGAGCTGTTACCCAACGCCGGAATACTCGGCCCCGAGACAGCGAGCCTTCTTCTATCAATCCAACACAGAGACGATATGACGACTTGCCAACTTACATATTGACGTGCATATGGTTTCACAAAGACAGCGCCCACGTCCATATTTTACACTTCGCTTTTCCTGTGGAAAAATATATTACCTTCCCGTTCTTGTTTATTATTTTATACGCCGTTCTTCCTTTTGCGCGGCCTTGCGTCCCTTAATTCTTCAAGCACATACTTTAAGGATGTCTCTTATCTGTCTGAGACAATCTACCTACTTCTTTGGGCTATACGGCGTCTTGCTTGAAGTCATAGTTACGGATTTACTATGCATGAGCACTTGAGAATATTCCTGGCTTCTCCCACCCTCCCTTTTTTCTTTTCTATACCTCTCCCTTCCCAATCCCCCCTTTTAGTTAGCGGTTGATCTCCGATGACTTTACGGCGTTATTCGCGCCTCGCGTTTATCTCCTCTCCCCGATATCTCAGGCCCGAGACGACGTTCATTCCGGTTTGGACTGTAACGGTGTCCAACAACCTGACTCTTACCTCCTTCATGACTTCCACATCGCACTCTGGCTCCTATATTTTCCCCACCACACCGGGCACTAGGCTCGCTATCCAACGTCAGCGCCCTAAGCCTGGCTTGAATGTTATTGATGTAATGTTTTTCCTCGCTTCTTCCAACTATATAATGGCATCTATGACGAAAACGACGGAAGGAATCACCTGATTATTCGCTTATATAAGCGATCGCTCCTCCAATCGCAGTCGAGATGTTGGTAATTGTCTGTAGGAGAAGAGGCCTCGAGGACAGGAAGATGGAAGGCAGAAGGCGCTGTGTAGGCCTGTACCATAATAATATAAAAAGGACACCCTCGAGGGCCACAAGAGGTGCCCATTCTTCCGTTATTCATTCTCACGATCGCTGGCTGACCCCCTGAAAAAGCGTCTCTCCCATCAATATCAACAACCAAGACTTGCCGTTTTACCCTCCAGAGTAGAGAAGGAGAAAATACCCGGCTTTAGCTCGAGCGTCGTGCAAGTTTAGAATCAGAAATACGCGAAGATGGCTGCTCCACCAGCGTCCTGCTGCCACACGTCCAAGGAGGGCTGCGTTTGTGCCGCTCAATCAAAATGTTCCTGTGGCAAGGAACAGGCTCTTCACTGCAGCTGCGACAAGGCAAAAACCGAAAACGACACATCTGGGCCACGCTGTTCCTGCAGTACGTTAACGTTCTGGCCTCTTCTCTCCCTTCGTTTCCTGCCTTCATATCTCTCGTCCCCTTGCCCCTGTTCCTCCGTGCCGCGGCTGCGTGTCGAGGGTGCGATCTCGCTAGACGGAAGAGTATAATCTAACATGGGCATCGTGGACGACTAATAGGAAGCCGTCCGGCTGGCCAATGTACGTGTGAGAGGGCCATGTCCGAAAACCATCCTGTTTCCGGTGATGCATGCCCTTGTGGGAAGAGGGGGGCCGGTACGTTTCATCATCTTCTTCAACCTGGCCTGGCTCGATTCCCCCCCACTGCGCGCGCGTCCTGGCATGGCGGACTAATCTTGAGATTCCGTAGATTCATGTACGTGCGAGAAGGCTGTTGACTCGGGAAACTTTCCTGGAGAGATCGATTTCACCACCAAGACAAAGGCGTAGGAAGGTTAGATGCGGTGTTTCCAGGGCTTGTTCTTGATGCTGGTTCGTTTTCTCTGTTTGGTGGAGATGGGCGTTTCTGTGTTTTTTTTTTTTTTGCTGGAGTCGGCTCTTGAGCAGTTCCATAGGCGGTGCAGTGAGTCCATGTCTGTATCTTAGTCGCTTCATAGAAGCAAAATGGAGCGCAGCCCTCAGGTTGTTTAGTTTATGTGCCAAATCTCGTCTTTCCCTCGTATCTCAAGCTGGCCGCGGTGTAATGTTTTTCCGGGTGCATCTTCAAGGGGATGTGGAAGCTCGCTCTCCAAGGGCAGAGGGCCCAAGTGAAGGGAAAGACAGCGAGAACATACGCCGACATATACGCTGCAGGCTGCTGGAGCTCGCGAACCGGGCTACTAGACTTGTTGCCGTGAATATCGAGGAAACCGGCTGGTCCTCGTCTGCTCCGTCTATCCAAATCGCTGTACCTCCGTCAGCCCGATAAGAAACGACGTCCGCGATCTATACATCACCCGCTGCGCCATACTCCCGATACGTTACTCGATCGCTACAGCTAAGAAAATGGTGGCATCGCACGCCCGGCAATGATTAGGAAGAAAAATATGTGCACATGGAATGCGTGTGAAGCGTAACTAGACATAAAAGCGTCCGGACAGGCAACTGAAGGTTGAGAGATAGGAAAGGGGTACAGGAACACAGAGAATATCCGGATTTCGCACCGAAGTGACTCGCCATGTCTTCCATGCGCGGGTTGGTCCAGTTCATAGCTGATCTACGGAATGCCCGGGCTAGAGAACTGGAGGAAAAGCGCATCAACAAGGAATTGGCCAACATTCGGCAGAAGTTCAAAGATGGAAGTTTGAACGGCTATCAGAAGAAGAAATACGTCTGCAAACTTCTATACGTCTACATACAGGGCTACGATGTTGATTTTGGACATTTGGAGGCCGTCAATTTGATATCTGCGACGAAATACTCGGAAAAGCAGATAGGGTATTTGGCTGTTACCCTTTTCCTTCACGAGCAGCATGAATTGCTCCATTTGGTGGTGAACAGTATCCGGAAAGATTTGCTGGACCACCATGAGTTGAACAATTGCCTAGCGTTGCACGCGGTTGCGAATGTTGGTGGCAGGGAGATGGGCGAAGCCTTGAGCGGTGATGTGCATCGTTTGTTGATTTCTCCGTAAGATATATTTTTTTGGCTATGTTCTACTCTGGCTCAGTTCACGCTAACAATGACATCAATTTAGTACTTCAAAGGCATTCGTCAAGAAGAAAGCGGCTCTAACGCTTCTCCGGTTATATCGTAAATACCCTGGGATTGTACAGCAGGAATGGGCTGAGCGCATCGTATCATTGATGGACGATCCAGACATGGGAGTGGCTCTCTCTGTCACCTCTCTAATTATGGCTCTTGTACAGGATAATCCCGATCAGTACAAGGCAAGTTATGTCAAGGCAGCTCAAAGACTGAAGAGGATCATCATCGATCATGATGTTTCCCAGGACTATATTTATTACAACGTGGGGTGCCCTTGGATGCAGGTGAAATTATTGCGACTGTTGCAGTATTACCCTCCCTCTGGTAAGTTAAATTTCAATTCGAGTGCGAAAGACGCTGAACATTGCTGACTGGTTGTTGCTACAATAGAGGATGTCCATGTGAGAGATCTCATAAGACAAAGCATTGAACAAATCATGAACTCGGCCATGGACATGCCCAAAAATGTGCAACAAAATAACGCCCAAAACGCTGTGCTATTTGAGGCCATAAACCTGCTAATCCACCTCGATACTGAACACGCACTAATGATGCAAATTTCCTCCCGGCTGGGGAAATTTATCCAATCCCGGGAGACAAACGTACGGTACCTTGGATTGGACGCAATGACACATTTTGCCGCGAGAGCAGAGACCCTGGATCCCATACAGAAGCATCAGAGTATAATACTTGGATCGTTGCGGGATCGAGATATCAGTGTCCGGCGAAAAGGACTGGACCTTCTGTACAGCATGTGTGATACCACAAATGCGCGGCCAATTGTCAATGAGCTCCTCAAGCATCTTCAGAGTGCCGATTTTGCCATTCGTGAGGAGATGGTCCTTAAAATTGCCATTTTGACAGAAAAGTATGCCACGGACGCACAGTGGTATATCGACATCTCGCTCAAATTGTTATCCGTGGCTGGTGACCATGTCAGCGACGAAGTCTGGCAGCGGGTTGTTCAAGTAGTTACAAACAACGAAGAGCTTCAGGCTTATGCCGCGCAGCATATATTAGGCTATATCAAAGGCGAGTGCCATGATAGTTTGGTGAAAATTGGAGGCTATATCTTGGGAGAGTTTGGCCATCTGATCGCGGACAACAAGGGCTGCTCACCCATCGAACAGTTTCTGGCACTGTATTCAAAGATGGCATTTTGCTCCGATAACACTCGCGCCTTACTCCTCTCCTCCTTTGTCAAGTTTGTAAATCTCTTCCCTGAGATCAAACCGCAAATTCTCCGGGTGTTCCAAGTATACAGCCACTCCCCTGATTCAGAGATGCAACAGCGATCTTACGAATACCTTATGCTTGCTACGCTTCCCACCGACGATCTTCTTCGTACCGTTTGCGATGAGATGCCACCATTCTCGGAAAGAATATCCGTGTTATTATCCCGACTCCATCAGAAGAGCTCTGGAACGAGTGACAAGCGAACTTGGGTGGTAGGGGGCAAAGATGCCAACGCAGACGATAAGGAGTTTTTGTTAACACAAAATACCGGGTTAAAACGCACTTTCACATCTATTGCAAATGGGTCAGTTAGTGCTCAGCAGACAGGGGCAAAGGGCACAACTTCGAATGACCTCGAAGGTTTGGATTTCGCTTCACCCAGTGAACCGTTGCCTAACCTGGCCAGTGCAGCCCATCTATCTCCAGATTGGGAACCTGGATTTAACAGGCTCTTCTTCGCCACTGAGGGAGTGCTATTTGAAGATGCTCAGATTCAAATTGGACTCCGTTCCGAATACCGAGCTCATCTTGGTGTCTGCAAGCTCTATTTTGCCAATAAATCGGCTTATTCTATCGGATCTTTCACGATAACGCTTGATAACCCTTCGCCTGAAAATCTGAAGATCGATACCAAGGACATACCTGATCCGGATGTTGCCGCGTCGGGCCAAACCCACCAGACCGTCTGTTTCGAGTGCCTGGGTCCGTTTACCAAGGCGCCGACGATCCGAATCTCATATCTCGCAGGTGCACTGCAGGCGTATACCCTGCAACTGCCTATACTAATGCATAGATACATTGAAGCCTCGTCCCTAACATCAGATGATTTCTTTAAGCGTTGGCGACAAATTGGCGGAGACCCCTTGGAAAGTCAATCAACATTTGGACTCACGAAAAAGGGTCGTCCACTGAGCGAAAGAGACCTCCAATCGATTGTCGAGAGTTTCAAATGGAAGATACTCACGAATGTTGACCCAAATCAAAAGAATCTTGTTGGATGTGCGGTTTACCAGACTCAAAGTTCAAAGACAGGATGTCTGTTGAGGCTCGAGCCTAACTACGAGAAACAGGTACGTTCTTCCTTTTGTTGCTTCTTTGTTGTTAAAGTGAAATGTTTTAATTAATGCATGTACAGATGTACCGTATCACCATTCGGGCGACCCAAGAGGATGTTCCGCGGGCGTTGGTCAAGTTAATGGAAGACAGAATCTCCCGAGGCGCTGTTGGTGACATCTTCAGCGACTGAGGGCCTCAGATATCAAAGTAGGGACCATGGTCGATGGTTAATATGTGGTCATTCCACTCTTCCCACCTAATACTAGGAGCTTTGCTATGAGATATACATATAATTCTTCTTCTTCAAAATCTTGATGATGGCTTGACTAGCCCGCCCTTCTACTTCATGTTCATGATATAATTACAGCTCTAGCCCATGCTATACTCTATGGTGCAGTCACTTTGCCTCCCCCTTTGGTGGCCGAGCGCCAAATATAGTGCTTCCGACTCTGACCTGGTTGCTGCCCATTGCAATCGCACCTTCAAAATCGTTACTCATGCCCATGCTTAATTCTAACGTATCATCGCCTTCCAACGATAGCTTCTCCATGACCAGATCCCTCGTATCTCGTAGACAGGCAAAGTCTTCATTCTCATTCTCCGGCGTGGTCGCTTTAGAGCGTGCAATGGCTCCAATAGTCATTAAACCCTGGAGCTTCAGCCGAGGACATTTCTCTCTGATAAAACGACAGAGTTCCACTGTAGGCTCGCCGGGCTCTACGCCTGATTTACTCTCCTCCCCAGATGTATTAACCTGTACAAATACTCGTAGCTTCCTGGCTCTGGACTCACTGACACCATCGTCGCCACCGGTGCCTTTATCCTTGAATTCTGGCCTCTCGCCCCAGCCCTTATCCAGCAACGAAGCCTTTTTCTCTGTATCCACGCTCTCAACCGCCCATAGACCCCGTACCTCCCTCGCAAGGGTGACACATTTATTTGACTGCAGTCCGCCGATAAAATGCCACCTAATCTCGGGCGTGAGGGCTTTGGATTTCTCGAGCAGCTCCTGCATATAATTTTCTCCGAAGTGAACGTGGGATGTGGGCGGGTTGTGGAGGGCGAGGATATCAGACGCCGGTTTCAGTTTGGACACCGCGACAAGGCGGACGGGGACGGTAGGGCCGTTACTATCACTGCTGGCAGCGGCGGTCTTGGAGCCAGAACTGGTCTCATCATGGCTACATCTTGCAGATGCTGAAGCGATCCGTTTGTAGACCGAGGATAGATTTGCGATAAGGACGGAGGCACGGGTCGGGGTAGCCATGTCTTCTTCGGCCGCAAGTACGCTCATTCTTGGGTTCTCCAATAGCTATATTGGGCGGTACAGATTGGCATGGGCGTTTGGGAGACACTGGTCGTCAATAACTACTGTTTGGGTTGTTATTTTATGGTGGTGACGCACCGAAATATATTCATGGACTGGCGGCCGAGATGCCAAGATGGCACATTATTTATGTACAGACTACAGAGTACACCAGCCCTGGGATAATATCATGAACTGTTAACGCTAATATATATAATAGAATGAACTGTTTAATGGTCAATTGATATTTTCCGTTAATTGACAAGAGTATCTAACAGATAATTGAGCTCCCATAAGCAACTGCCGCATACCGAAAGGGTATCCCTTGGGCACTCGAGGGCCCTTACCGTCCAACGCCGTCAGGGTTATGGTGGCGAAAGGTCCCAGGGTGCCGCGTCAAACATCTTTTCGCTCACTCCAGTGCCCCAGTGGTTGAGTGAGAGGAACATTGCTATAGCCAGGACAGTCAGCGCAAATCTCTACACACCGCAAAGTATGGTACGGGCCGGCGTAGATAGAGGGCATTACCAAGAACGAAAAGTGCAAAATTGTCTACTCAAGAGGGTTAGTAAGCTCCGTTTGCTTGAGGTTTCAAAGGTGTAGACCTACCTGCATTTTCCAGGGCGTCATTTTCACTCACGCGAGCAATATAAACAGCCTCAGCCCAGCCATATGCTGATTCCATACCCTCAATATCTTCTGTTTCGATGTCAACAACAAGACAAGTGCAGAAGGCTCCAACAGCTGGGCGATGAGTGCCAGGAAGGGATGTAAAGACGACGGTACTTACCTGTCACATCATCACCAAGGAGAAAATCTGAATGGGTTAGTTCATGGATCAAAGTGGTAGTCAGACTGCCGTCACGAACAGAATCTAGGGAAATGCCGTCAATGTGCAGTCTGGGTCGGTGCCTCATATCCGTCTGTATCGAAGTACGGACCATCTCAGCCAGGGTGTCAGGACATATTTTCATCAATAACGGAATTCTAGAGGTCGGATTTGAATATGTCACCGCTACGACCGGGTTAACAGCATGGGTATTGGGGTTAATACAGAACACGTCATCGGCTATTTTCATCCATTTTTGGCCGTCATCAGCCAGCGGCCGGCTATCCCACCAGACCGCGGAACCTGGCGTCGCTGAGTAGAATGTATATCTTAGTTTTCAAAACGCGCTCTGCTGGGAAAGGTATGTGGACTTACGAGGCGAATCGTGTGGTGGCGTACCGGGCGGCGCATCGGGAGACAAAAACGCATCGTTGCACCACATATCAATCCTAAGGTTCTCGAGGCCTGCTATCAAGACGTTCAACCTATCTAACGCAAGTTTTAGCAAAGGGGAGCAATTCCTCTCCCAGTGATTTAGGGGTCGTGTTGCCTTACTCAAGATACGCTCTACCTTCCACCTCCCTGGATAGCCGTCCTTGCCCCTTGATACAAATCCGAAAAGACTCTCAAACGTATATAGGGTTGACCGTTCAATCCCCGGCACAACCAAACGGCCGTATATCCCTGCCATTAAATGAGTATGCAAATCCGTCAAGCGAACACGCGCGACCGCAAGCTGGTTTTATGTATTAGCCGTGGCGATTCTAACAAGACCAATAGTTATGTCGAGTAGGAGCGCTTATAGATTACCCCAAATTTAAGACCACCGAGGGCTTCCCCGATTAAAGTCTCGTATCCGTCACAGTGGTGATAATTAGCGCTGACTCTGATCTTCGGACGAAACGGGCGTGGAAGGCCAGAGCCAGGAAATGATGCATTATTGAAGGACTCGGCATAACTCAGGGGTATATACAGCCACAAAAGGACCACCAGAAGCTGCGTCAGAGCACTGTAACGTATCGAGCTTGACCTTGTCATCCTTAGTGATGCAGTCTGGAATCTCCGATGAGCGGTATCTTAAGGCGGAGAAATCTGGGAAGTGACAGGCACTCTATTTATTAACACAGTACACGGAGCAAGAAGATGAGAGGCAGCCTCCAGCCAGCTTCTCGTCAAGCCATGCTGCGCTGCTTGCGCATTGTGACCATGTATCAACGCCATGATCATCTTGCGGGGCATGTCTTGCGCGCTATACTGCGCGAAGGAGGCAATGGAAATGGTGACAATGGCCCAAGGGGGGGGATCGAGCGACTGGGTAATCCTATCTTGCTGCGACAAACGGCCCCCTTTGTGTTGGGTTTAGGATGACATAGAGCTAATTTGTATTGGAAACGCTCTGCTGCTCGCGACTCGCGACTGGCAACAACACCAACGCAATGGAAGCACCCAAGCAGCCGTCTGAGTGACCTGTTACTCAGGGGCCGACTCGAGATGGTTGGTATCAACCTGGAGTTTGAAGCGAGGTCGCCAGCTTTTATATCCAGGTGGAGAAACCATTATTCCGATAACTAGTTAAGTTACTACAACTTGTATCTTGGATCAAATACTCCATGAACATACAAGAAATTGATAGGACGGCACGTACATCTACACTGTCTTGGGGCATTCTTGAACTGTTTAATGGGGAATTGGATTTTTTTCAAATAAACTGATAAGAAGAAATGCACACTCATAAGCAAGCGCCACACACTGAGGCAATGATGTTAAGTCCGCCCTACCCCTTAATACTGTCAGGGAGGGCTGTCCCTGGCAGGTCCGTCGTTGAACGTGGGTTCGCTAAGCCCGGTAGCCCAGTGATTCTTATGGAGGTACATTGCTTTTTCATGGAAGAGTCAGCTCAGAGTCTTAAAGCTAAGCAGAGGTAAGACGGTAAGAAAAGAATATCTTACCAAGCACAAAATATGCAAAGTTGTCTAGGTGAGGCTTGTCAGCATGGCACATTCGCTTGGGCTCAAATAATAGACTTACCGGCATTCTTTAGAGCATTATAAGCATTGTTTGTTGCATGGTATATAACCTCTCGCCAGTAATACCCTTTATCTTGCCCCTTTAGATCAACTATCATGGCTGTCAACATTGAGTAGCGACGAAACGCACATATTGAGGGGGTATGGGTGTCGAGAGGTACGCAAAATAAGCCAGGTACTTACATGTACGGTGGTCCACCTCAAGAAGGATTATCGAATGAGATAGCTCATGAAGGAGAACGACGGGCGTGCTGGCGTCACGGATCTGGTCCAGGTGTACTCCATTATCATACCGCCTTACTGGAGCCAGTAGATCAAAAGCTAGATTACTACCAGCGATGAAGCGGTCTAGGTGTCCAGGACACATTTTTATAAAGTCCGTAGACCCGGTAGGTTGAGCACGTATCGACGCAATGAGAATTTCGTTTTTGCAAAATGCCAGCTCATGCATTCGTAGCCATTGCTGGCCACCATCTTCTGCCGGCCGAACGTCCCACCAGTCAGACAGATGCTCGGGGGCTGAGTAGAATATATCTTAGTTTTCAAGAACAGTGGAACTCCCGCTGACATGGACTTGCTGAACTTACTCGGTGTATCGGGTGGCGGCGTACCGGGCGGTGCAGTCGGACTCATATAATCCTCACTGCACCATACATCAACCTTATGGCTGGGGATGCGACTTAGAAGTTTATCTAGCATTTCTGTGGCGGGTTTTTAGTAAGGGATGTTTCTCCGGTGGTAGTAGTTTTATGGCCTAACCCATGACATAATCCACTCGGCGGAACCCTAGATATCCGTCTTCAAATAGGATCTGTCCATAAATAGTCTCAAAGGTGTATAGAGTTGAGCGATCAATCCCGGTCATCCTGGTGCCGCCGTTTGGGTGTTTTTCCAAAAATGTCTTTAGGGTCCTCAATCGAAGGCGCGCCATCGTATACTATGCAATATATATTAGCCTGGTAATACCGCTAAGATCGATACTGGATGGGAGGAATTCTTTTTTTCTTCTTCTTTTTTTTTTGATAGATTACCATGCGTATTAGTCCCCCAAAGTTCCTCAGGATGAAGGCTTCCTGTTGCTGATTGCAGGTGAAGAGCCTGGTTTGAAATCTCATCTTTGGACGAATCTGATGCGGTAAGCCCAAGCCAGGAAAGGATACATCGTTGACGGACTCAGCATAAGTTAGGGATATATGTAGCCACATGAGGGAAGCCAGAAGCATCCTCGAAAAGCTGCGAGCTACTGGAGTGAGCCTTGCCATCCTGCATCAGATGGTGATTCTGTGGAATTCTGATACGTGATCTATGAGCTGAAGGATGTATGGGGGAGGTGATGAGTAGGCAACGTTTTCATTAAACATAATATACAGAAGACGAAGCTCGGTGGGAGCCCTTGGGCTGCTCTCTATCCAGGCAAGCTGTGCTGCGCTCTGCACTGGGCTAGAAGACCCTCGGCTGGGTATATCTGTATATCTGTATATTTGTATATCCGTATATCTTGTGGCACATGTTTGGCTGATGCGCGAAGGGTGTACATAGGTAGTGAACATATTGGCAATGACTGTAGTCTTGTAAAGATATTTTTGGATACTGGGTGACTGGGGCTATAACAAACGCGCTGTGTATCATGGACATATGGCCAACTAGGTACTCCGTAACTAGTTAACTGCTAGACAGCCATTTCAGAGCAGACTCCAAGAGATATCGCCTTCCAGTTATTATAACTAGTCAGTCGGTCAGGTAACTAGATGGAGAAACTGTTGTTCCGATAACTAGTTATGAAGCTAAGTTCCAACTACGCTCCTCGATGAATACTCAACCTTTCACCTCTGGCTATACAAGATATTGATATAAGACGCCACGCCTGGTATCTTGTTCCCCGAGCTACCGTCGCCAGAGATATGCAGTATGGGTAACTGTCGAAGCAGGTGTTCGATTTCCAAACGTGAGGTTACGCAGGTTTCGGCCATGCATACAGGACGACATACGCTGCCAGTCGCTCCTTCGCTCAGCAAGTGCTAATTTCACGTTTGCTACTTGCGTGACCAAACGCCTACATGTCCTGAATATAGACTGGAGCTTGCTGCGTGCTCCATGTGGGACATTTTGGCTGGGCATGTCGGGCTATCGCTCCAACATGCACCCCCAATCTCACTACATGTCCGATTCTTTCTCTCCTCCTCCCCCTCCCTACGGTCCCGTCTTACTGCAACCAACTTGAAATTCCGGTTGGAGATATTCCCAGCCGCAAGCTATGAATCATGCCCAGCTGCCTGGAGGACATACTCATAAAATGTGCATGGTTGTTGGTGCGATTTAGTTTGCGGCAAACGGCATAGATGTATCCCTCGGATACACAACTATATTAACCCTCCCTCCGCCTGTTGAGTGTGCTACTCAGTTATGTTGAATGATTTCTCTGCAATGAGCCCTGTTACATTACCCTAGAGCTTCAACTCGGAAGGCTCAATATTTCCCTGGGGGGTACCAACCTACTACCGGACTAGAGGAATCATGAACGTGTTATTTCTTATTAGCTTCCTCTACCTCACTAACTTGACTACTTTACTCGCATTCCCTACGTCTGATAGCACCTGTTCAGCCTCGAAGAAATGCAAGGTCGGTTGCTGTAGCAAATTTGGCAGCTGTGGCTTTGGACCAGAGTTTTGCGGGCCCAAGACCTGCCAGTCAGGTTGCGACTCAAAGGCAGAATGTGGAAGTAAGTAATTCGGAAGGGCGGATGTCAAAATTTGAACTCGTGTCCTTTTTCTTCCTCCGTGCTTTGGCAGGATATAGGGATGGGTAGGCTGTATCTCAATGTTTCAGAGGCTAACTATCCGTAGAATATGCACCAAAGGGACAAGAAAAGTGTCCGTTGAATGTATGCTGTTCCAAGTGGGGGTATGTCTTTACTACAACCCATTACCGTGCATTTTCCCTGCCTCAAAGGAGACTAACATGGCCTCTGAAGTTTCTGCGGCACCTCCGAAGAATTTTGCGGCAAAGGGTGTACTAGTGGGTGTGATAAAATCAACAGGCCGTAAGTGTAGTATGATGTGAAGTCCAACGACGTGCCTTTCTTTTTTACTGATATTCGTACCAGGTCGTGTTCCGGTGATTCTGCAACAAAGCGCTATGTGGGATACTTCGAAGGCTGGAATTACGAACATCCATGCGATACTATTCATCCGTCAAAAATTAACTATAAACCCTGGACGGTAAGGACTGTTCCTCTTTTTGACTATCTTTATAAATATAGGGCTAATATCTGTCCAAACAGCATCTTAATTACGCCTTCGCTAGTATCAACTCAGATCATACCCTTGGTACTATGGGCTATTATTCTCACGAATTTTACCGTGCCTTTACGGGTTTGAAGGCTAAAAAACCATCTTTGAAATGTTTCTTGTCTGTTGGAGGATGGGATGCGGGAGGCAGAGTGTTCTCCAATATGGCTAGCTCTGCCGGTTCCAGGAAAGTCTTCATTGAATCTGTTATTAAGACACTGGCGGAATTCGGATTTGACGGTCTCGATATCGACTGGGAGTATCCTGTTGCGGACGATCGCGGTATGGCTCCTCTATCAATATTGGTTCTCTTGTCGTCCCATTACTGATGATGACTTATTATTTTGTATAGGCGGCTCTAAATCGGACTACAACAACTACGTTCTTCTCCTTCGTGAGCTCAAAGATGCTTTTGGAACGAAGTATGGCCTCACCATGGCAATTCCAGCCTCCTACTGTTAGTATACTTCTTTTGTATGATTGGTGAACGAGTTGTGCTATCTAGTTCATCAACTAACCGTTATTTGCCAGGGTATCTCAGGGGATTTGATCTCAAAAACATGGTCAAGTACGTCGACTGGTTTAATGTTATGAGCTACGACATCCATGGTACTTGGGATGGTCATAGTGCTTGGACGAAAGAAGTTATTAATCCACACACAAACTTGACCGGTAAGCGTTATATAAAGAAGAATTACCATAGGTTTCGAAAGTATGAGCTAACACTTTGGTATTAGAGATATCCATGGGCTTGGATCTTCTGTGGCGTAACTCCGTTCCTGCAGAGAAGGTTTTACTAGGGCTCGGCTTCTACGGACGATCTTTTACTCTCGGTGACCCAAGGTGTAATACCCCAGGCTGTTCCTTCAAAAGAACCGGAGATGAAAATTCCGGTGGAGCTCTCCCTGGCCGTTGTACGTTGAACAGTGGAACATTGTCCGATTACGAAATTAACAGGGTTCTTAAATCGAAATCCCCGGAACTAGTCTACAATGAGGAGGCGGGCGTCAATTGGATTACATGGGATAAAGATCAATGGTATACCTTGTTTCTTTATTTTCATTTTTTACTTGATTTTTAAGCTGATCTTGAACATTGCTGATACAAATTCCAATTAGGGTCTCATTCGACGATGCGAGAACATTAAAACAAAAAGCATCCTTTGCAAATAATTTATGCTTAGGAGGGACTTTTGCCTGGGCGCTTGATCTTGGAGGCCCTGGTACCATGGGTCGGCCTGACGAGCTCAACGGCAACACATTGAGTCTTGACGGGGCGGACCCAGAAGGTTCGGATAGTGGTTCCGGTGATGTTTATCTCTCCCCTGAGATATACAAAATTCAAAATCCCGGAAACGCTTGTATACCTCCTTGCACCTTTATTATGCCTCGACTCACGCTCGACAAAGTCACTACGATCACTTTCCCCCCTTATGTAACCTCCTTGGAGGTCGCGTGGTGGACAGCATCCGCAATCACCCTTCCTGGCGGTGCAATATCGAGTTCGATTTGGCAGGTTAAGACCATTCAAACCACAACGCTTACTATCCCGCCGCTTACAACCTCTGTACTTGACATGTGGAACTGGCCAGTAACCAAATCCGGCCTCTCCTCGACGACCTACGTGGTAGTAAGCAGTATTCTACCACCACCGTTTGTGATTACTAACAGCCTGCCACACAATACCGTGGCCCCGCCGCAGATTACAGGTGGCGGTAACCAAGGAGGCCAGCCTAACCCTTCTAATCCCACTGGTGGCAGTGGCTCCGGTAATGGATCTGGAAACGGCGGCTCGAACAACGGCGGCTCGAACAACGGCGGCTCTAACAACGGTGGCTCTAGCAACGGTGGCTCTAACAACGGTGGCTCTAACAACGGTGGCTCTAACAACGGTGGCTCTAGCAACGGCAGTTCTAACAACGGTGGCTCTAGAAATGAATCTGGCAATGGCGGCTCTAGGAATAATGGAGCTGGAAACAATAGCAACGGTGGCTCAGGAGATAGCAATGGCGGCTCTAGCAACGGCCAGCCCCTCCCAGGTGGTTCTCAATTGACGCCGGGTCGTGCCCCTGATGCAACAACCACCGGAGCTTTCCCTCCCCCAGGATCTGGCGCGAGCAGCCAAAATCCGACTAGCGGACAAGATACTGAAGCAGGTATTCGACCTGCTTCTGATAGATCGACCACTGGGGTATTTCCCCCCCCAACGGCTGGAAAGACCACTACCGACCAAACTAAAAGTCAGCATAGCCCGCCAGCCACTGGTGGTTCGCTCGATGGAATAACCACACTATCTTACCGCCCACCGACTACCCGTAAATCTGGTAACAATCCGACCGACAAACATGATAGCCAGCCAACTTCCAACAGTGGACCGGAGTCAAGTACGGACGGTATTATTCTCCCCCCGGGTAGCCACATCCGCCCTACAGAAAGCAGAGGCTCTGGCTCTCAAGAGAGCGGCACCTCCTCCAGTTTCCCTCCCGGAACTCGAACAATCACGCCACGACCACATCCGCTCACTTCGGAGACCGATAATAGCAAACTGCCAACTGTCTCGTGGACCGAGGGGCCCCCTAGCCCTACCTGTACAAAAGACTGTGGAACGAAATGCGAAGGGCCTTTCTGTGATTGCAAAGGCGATGATTGTGGCAACCATAACAAAGATTTTATTGACCCGAACGACACACACCCGCCCAAAGATACTGACCGCCGAAAATGCTTTGGTCCAGGTTGTGACAAGGGGAATTGCCCTATTGGGCTCAATATCCTTTGTACCAGTTTTAACTGCATTGGTGTAGATTGCAGGCCTGGAGGCATCTGTATCGGCCCTGCCTGTGCCAGGATTCCTTGCGTGGGTATAGACTGCCTGCCGGGATGCAAGGGGCCGAAATGCACGATTCCAACCTGCATTGGCGAGTGTGGTACTCAGGGTCAATGCATTACTTCCGGGTGTCTAAGCTTTGGCTGTACTGGTCCTGACTGTGTGAGGACATGTCCAACCTGTCCACCACAGTGCAATGGACCTAATTGCAAGATCTACCAATGCCAAGGGACGGGGTGTAAAGATGGATTCTGCGAGGGGTCCGACTGCAAACAAGACACTGGAGAATGCGAGAAGCCAGAGACAGCGCCTAGGTGCACAGAGGTCGTTTCTAAATACAAACGATCCCAATCAGTATACTCCAGCACCACCACAACTCGATGCAAAACCGTGACGGCGTGTTCGGCGACAGAGACAACCGTCACGTCCACAACCACGGTTGATGCGGGCAAGATAATCACCATTACAGAGCATTACCCGGTCCATTCGTTGCTCTCCAACGAAGAGTATTCGTCCATTGCAAGGAGGCTTCGTGAAGAGCGAATCTCGCGGGATAAGTCTCGCTTTCACAGGCCAAAAACAACGGTTACGATTCTGGACCCGGGAACGAGGACTATACATTCTCCCCCAGAGTACACGACAGCCCACATACATGATAAGGGTAGGCCTAAGTGTATGAATGATGGGGACGGCTCTGCTTATCGCAGAGAGATCATCCTAGCCGTTAGCGCTTTTTGTCGTAGCAACGACGAGCAGACCATGAAACGAGGCGACGACGCCCGGATGATGACCACTCGTGCGGATTGCAAAGATGGAAAAGACTGTGGAGCGTTCATGACAGTAGGGTTAAAGCTCTCTGATGCAAAGGGATGTGAATCGTTTCTCTTTAACGGACGCGGAGACCGTGATGATCAATGCGGCCAGAATTTCCGAAAGATCACTGACGAGTGTGATACAAGAGGAGAGAACAACAAGAAGGGCGGTTCGTTTTCCTCCGGGTGTGCCATGTGGTTTATCGATATTGAATCGACCAAGTCCTTTATGGCCAGATGGAATGAAGAGCTAGAGCGCCAGAAGAAAAACCACGAGCCCTACCATGTTCCTGCGAGATATAATGTGCATTATGGGGTTGTTGGGGATGCTATCGTAAAACCCAAGCCTGCCCACCCAGTGGACCAGGATGGTGTACTTCACTGTGGACGGAGTCAGCTTTCAGTCTCCCGAGCCGACTTGATTACGGCCATTGGAAAATACTGCCGCGAGATGAATGGCCAATATGTTAAATATCAAGGCCCAATCTTGAAGGTAGGGTACTACGGCGTGAACTGTTCGGGCGCCTCGTGCAAGGGGTATATAGCCTTGCAGGTGGCAAATTCTGAGTATGAGCCGTCTGGCTGCCCCGACTACAAGATAGATGGCGAGGGAACGACCGAGGATCAATGTGGCCAGAATTTCCGACTGGCCGTTGATGGGTGCGGCAAAGACAAGGAGAATGAAAAGGAGAGGAGTGAACTCCAATTCAACTGTATACATTGGAAAATTTTTCTCCTCACTCCGTACGACTATGCTAGGTCTTCTTCTGAGACCGTGATTGTTTAAGACGATCACACTTATGCAAGACTGCATATCAACGATCATGCTATGCCACAGAACCCACGGACACCGGAGACCCGCCAGACTTTGATATTAATGGGATTTGCCAGGAGAATCGACAAATATCCAGAGGAACAGTTCGGCGGGTAAGACCTTACAGTGTCATCAGAGGTTCCAGCCTCGACTGTGTTAGATAGACAAATCCTAGCAGCAATACATCGTTCTCTGGCTCTTAAGACTTTATACTCAGCGTGTGGATAGATATAGAACTAGTCCTGGTATTGGAGAAACCTACCAAAGATGAGAGTGCCTGGATATCAAATATACTATGGCATAAACAAGCCTACTACGAAGACATAGCTATATCAACACGTGACGCAGAGCTATTACACCTGACCAGGGGCTAAACATCGTCCAGTTTGAAACATCTCGCCTTCTCCAGGACATCAACAAACCCAAGATCTATACACATCCAACCCGGTCACTCGCTTTGTATTTATATATCTCCTCGCTCTAATACAGCAGACATGGTATCGGCCACCACCTCCGCCGCGATGCCCTCCGGCAGCTCCCTGTGCGGCACTCCGACGCAGTACGACATCCCCAACGGCGACGCTGCATGCGGTGTCCCGAAAAAGGGCGATCACGTCGACCTCATGAAGACGTGCTGCAATGGCGCTCCCGTCGTGGCATACGATAACGATTGCGCCGTCTACTGCCTGGCCTACAAGCAGAGCGTTGAGGACCTCACAAACTGCCTTTATGCCGGCAAGATCCCGTACCAGGACGCCTGGTGCAACAAGCCCAAGAATGCCACGGCCACCCAGACAAACCTCCCCAGCCAGACCTCCTCCGCCGGCCACAGCTCGTCCTCGTCCCCATCCAAGACCAGTTCTGGCTCGAGTCCAAGCCAGACCAACGCAGCACCTCCGGCGGAGCAGAAGTCCAAGGCCAACATGGCCGTTTCCATCATCATCACTATCGGTATCATTGCCGGCGTCTTTATGTAGACGCCTCCCGCAGTCATGCCAAATTCGATGCCAGTACATTAATCGGGGAAGGGGAGATCTTGTCAATAATTCGGGTCTACGGCGTGTAGTTGTTGGGGGAGGGGGGACACTTTACATACTACCATCTTTCTATTTTCGATTGGGGCTTTGCTGTGATTATAGATCACAGTGCATTCCCAGAATATTATTATACAGTTTTTCTTCTCCGTCAGGCCAAACGACCTTCTTCCAGCCGGTTTCTCAGTATCTATGCTAAAGTAGAGTGATCAATCTGCAGGGCGGGACTGACATCTTCCCAAGCTTTACCGTCGACCTCCCAACACACGTAAAGAGATCTGCTGCTTCCAACGCAAGTTTTCGAACTTCTACAAGGTGGCATATACGATGGCCTCTCAACCAGAAAGCCATGCTTGCGTACCTCAGCTCTCGATGCCGCGCGGCTTCTCCCAGGTCGAGGTTAGCAACTCTCCTCACAAGCCCATTGAATCGAGTGGCCCGACAAACGTGGGAGACGCGACGCTGTGGCGCCCTTATCCGACTCTATAGCCCGTGGGTTTAACGCCGTTCAAAAAAAAATATAGCTAGAGAAATGCACAACAGGCCATTGGACATCTCATCGTCAGCTTCAGCAAGGCCGTCAACAAGGCCGTCAACAAGGCCGCGTTCTCCGTGGAGAGGCCTATCCAGACGACGCAACGAGGTATAGAAGAAGCATACAGCTCCGTGTCCAGGGACGGGCATGGACTCGAACGCCATCATCGTCAGGCCAGGCCGAGTTTCTTCGCGGCTAACAGACCGTTCGGTCGATGAGCGCTGTTTTGCCGTGATGAGCAACGGTAGATATGAAGCCACGGCTGGATATTATACTGCCCGATGGTGCAGATAGTACATGGCGCATGCTGCAGACACATAGGTCGTACCTGGCAGCATCCGCCGCTGCCAGCCAAGTCGATATCAATCCTGTACGCCGTAGCTGCACAAGAAAAAGGGGCCATCCATGTCACTCCTCGCCCCAGGTCATGTGATAGCCCGTATATTAAAATAACCGCCAGGCCCAACGACGTCGAAAGGCTTCGAGTTCATCTGCAGCATCCTTGCGGGCTGATATTAACAGTCTCGCTCGATATTAACTGAGACCTGGCATGGGCATTCTATTCGATACTGGCATGTCTGTATAGCCACCTCTGTATTATCGCCGCGTGCTTCACCGGCTGAGCCTACTTAAGCCTGTGCCCGCCATCCAAGTTGCCCTCTATCACTCTCTCAAACATATCACTCTACCCCCGTCGCCTCTTCACTAAGTGCATGGCCGCAGAGACTGCTACCCTTGTGTTAGCTCTTATATTTTGACGTTTCCCTCCCCAAAAACACCAAAACACCAAGTATTGTCCCTATTAGCTATTTACTTGATATATTTACCTCATTTTTCAGCCTTGGTCTTCCACAGCCATAACATCTCATTCCCCCATTATCGTTGTCTATACGAGGCTTCTTTCGAACCAAACCGTTTAGCATGCAGCTTTCGAGGTGAACTGGCTACAGGCGTTGCATCCACCTGGTTCAATCGTTTTCCTTCTTCTCTCTGTATATTAGCCATGGCACAGGGCTGCAGCAAAGCAGTGCAAACTCCCAGCGCTGACTCTCCAGATAACTCTACCAGCGCAGAGTCGGTTCACACCTATGTCTCGAGCGATGCCTCCGTGCAGGAAAAGACACTTGCAGAACCTCGAGTCGAAGTCGTCGAGGAGAGATACGAGGTGCTCCCTTCAAATGCGGTGCCTTCCACCCCTCCGAGCTTCGGGAACCTGTTCCCTTCCTCCAGAAGACTCATGATCAAACATGACGATACCACGCTTGATGGAAATATGAACCTCCGGGTCACCACGCTTGCGGCGGAGGCTCCAGGGCGTCAGGACGAAACAATATTGTTCCATCTACGCATGTACGATCTTCACGATAAGAAGTTCTCGCTTCGTCGATACTGTCGAGATTCGAGGAGGGAGGTCTGCCATTCCTTGAGAAAGCCTCGGATGCCCAAGTCGAGACCGGGGTCTTCCGGTCATAAACACCTGGGCAATCCCATTTCGGGGTTTCTATCTCATGCAGGTGCCGGCACGAGACCGTCAAAGGGCTCGAGGAGGCCAGATTCAGGATATAAATCGGGAATGGATGAGGATGAGCCCGATGGCGGTCGAAAATCTGCGGGATCAGCGTATTCCTCGAGCAAGCCTCCGTCCGCCAATATCATCCAGTTGGAATTTTCCAACTATGCACATGTAGAGCTCAGGAGGCGGGGTTCGACTGGTTCGAGAAGGTATGAGTTCGAGTACTGGGGTGCAAAATATCAATGGAGAAAGATGACCCGCAATGATGGTGCATCCAAGGAGATCTCATACCACCTTTACCATCCAGCGACGTCAAACCCTGTCGCACATATCATCCCCGAACCCATGACACCCAGAGAGCTTTTGGTAGAGGCACGGAAGGGGGCATGGGTCCCGTCGTCGTCGATGTGGATTAACGACCCGACCCTATACGAGACGATGAAAGATGTTGCTGAGTGAGCGTCCAGAGTCTGAATCCCTTACTACGTACGGCCCAGAGTGTCGTGGCTAACAATGTCAATCGGCATTTTTTTCTCTCATCTAGTGTAATCGTTGCGACTGGCCTCGTGGCGCTTGTAGACGACTGCATCGAGCGAAGATGGCACTCTAGGAGAACCTCCCACCACGCTTCCCCCATGGCTTCTTCGTTCATGAGGAGCGTGGAGTCTGTCACGTCAACAAAGCTCATCGACAAGGTTTTCCATCGACGGAGTTCGACCGGATCGAACAATGCTGGCTCCTTTAGAGAAATGCTAAAGTCGATCAGTCAAGGGACAGCATATTGACAATATTCACTCAAGACATTAGCATAATTGATGTGTCACGACCTTGTTGTCCCTTCGTCTTCGCCTTCGCTTCCGCCTTGCTGTATATTTCCCCAAAATTGTCTTATTATTCAGGAACCTTGGTACTCCTCGCGTTGGGTTGGATCAGAATATCGAAATCCGTGCTCCCCTACTCGCTTCCATCTTTTTCTTGATATATTTTCTTTTCGATGATATTTTTTTTTTTTTTCGATTTTTGGAATGCGTTTTCTGTCCCTTTACGAACGACTGCACGACTGCTGCCAGGGATCTTGCCTAGAATATTTAAAATGTTTGGATGTCAATTGGGTAAAAACGATCACTCATCCATGCAAGTGTTGTATTATTTATATTATTCAATGCAGTTCGCGAAGCGTCCGCTCCTCGCATTTACATTGGTGCTTTTGGTGTCCAATCCATCGGGGAATTTCTTGATCCGCCCTGTAACGAACTAACGAAAAAAAAAAAAAATCAAAATCAAAACCTCTTGGAGGCCCAAAAGGCTAAGACGCAAGAACGGCCGGGCGGCCGGGTAACTAATTCCTACCCAACCAGTCGAAGCAACCCGTTGCCCCAAAACAAACAATTATGAGAGATTGAGTTCTCATCTGGAAGGGAAAAGGAATCAGGAATGACTCAAAGAAGCAGCCAGATCCCGTCAATTGCTGCATTCCCGCCGCAGCTGGCTCAACGCGCGCTGTCAGATGGTGGAATCAGAGCTGTCGTGCTGAGGCTGCAGGCATGAATGCCCAACCGAGACGAAGTGAAAAGAAAAGAGAACGCAGCGAATCAGCACATCCAAGAGGGTTCAAGCCTTCCCTGGCCGCGGGCTTCTGTCTTCAAGGGCTCCATCGCTCTATTTCCCCCCGTTGGTGCCGCGTCTCGCTGCAAGTCGGCCTGGCTGGAACTGCAGCAGGCAAGCGACTTGCTTCATCCTACTCGATGGGCGTTGGCTTGACGTGCTGTGCGTGCATCTTTCACCTTTCTTTCTTTTTTTCTTTTCTTTTCTTTGCATGGAGCAGATATGTGTGAACCTCCATCCATCTTCCCTGCGGTTTCTCTGCATGCTTCTTGCTCCACCCTCCCATGGGAGTCCAATCCGGACGTGGATTTCGCCTTTAGTCAGTCTTTCAATTGACGGACCAGCCACATCTCACGCCTCACGATTTGGCTCCCTGCGATTGCTGGGGGTCCACTCTTCGATGCTGGGTGCTCACGCAGGGCGAGCTACAGTACGGCCTGACTGGACGCAGCGCCGAGATTAAATCTCAACAGCGGTGTTTTTTTTTTTTGGTGCTTTACGGAGTACATGATGCTTGATACTGATTCGGGGTCCTTTTGCCTCCTCTCCAGCGTACCCAACCGGCCGCCTCGTTTGACCTTCCATACATATTATAGTCCACACTCCAATTTTTAAGTTGGTATTGGGATGGATGGGCTTCGATGCCTCACCTTTTTTTTTCGCTGTTCGGCTCGGCTCTCTCCTTTTGGGTCTTTTTCCCTTATTCGCTTGCCCGCTGATGAGTTGGCAGCTACATGCTGGGTCCTCTGTGGGTGATCTACGCTGCCCAACTAACTCAGCCGTTCCCTTAGTGATCTAGGTATTGAGGAGTCATGTCATCATGGCTCACGGTTTCGATGCTGCTGTGTGCGTGTGTCCGTGTGTGCGTGTGTGCGAGACAGTGAGAGGGCACGAATACCTAAGGCGTGGACGGCTAATAACGACCACCCTCGAGACCTCTACCCTGTTGCGGGCTAATCCATGGTGATGTTGCTCACGATGAGTTTCAAGTTACCTATCAGTATCTACTCTGCCCCTCCACTTTCAACATTCCCTTGCGTATTCCCTCCTTTAGGGGCCGCTGGTGGGGCCACCCGGTTGCCCACCATTCTCTTCGAGTCTGTTCTTTTTCTGTCATCTACTCTTGCTTTCCTGCCTTCCCGGCCCTGCCACAGGGTCTGGCTGCAATGCCGGCCGCTGTTCCATGCCGTCTATGCCTTTCCCCAGACATTCTCCCTAGCTAATAATGGAAGCTGGCGTGCCTTCTGGTGATTTCGTGGACGACCAGCTGCAGCGGGCCGGCCCATCTCCCCGTGTTCATCTCAACTCCCAATGGGTACCGTTGTTAATTTATACCTCCCGTTTTTGACTTTGCTATTTGTCTTGCTGCATCCATACGACTGTCCTAAAATCGAATATGGTGAGCTAGCCAGCAGAATTTTCAAAACCTGTGGACCATCGCCTAGCTACTAACTTGTTGACACAATCTCAGATTGCACCCATGCATATGCCAACTCCATTCAAACGGCTTTGAAGGCGAACTGCCCCTCCCCCGGCCCCGGGCTTGCAGGAACGTCGTGATCCTCGACATCCTTGATTGTTCCTTGCCCCCCTTTTGTCGTTGGCACTTTTTTTCCTGTGACTTCGTTGTCCTGTGTTACTTTATAACGAGCTCCGTTTCCATGATATGACATTATATTCATCCATCTGGAATTGGAAAACCTACAGACAGATAAATCTTTTTTTGACAGAAAAAAAAAACATTTCGTCTTGCATCTTGTTCAATATACATTTTATTGCCATTGTCACTTTTAGATTTGATTTTATAGCGTTCATCACAGTGGGTTATCACATTCTATCAACGGATATTGTGGGGTTTAGCATATATGCCAGGCGAGGCCACTGCTAACACGAACTTTCTCCCTCTCAGCCATGGCCGCCAACTGTGCCACCACCCGTGTCTCATGGCAGGAGAAACTCAATGGTATGTCAATTCTAGCCGTATCTCGTGGATCGTGTTGTCCTTTATACTGACCTGGACATACGACCGCAGAGCATTGCAGGCTATCTAAACTCCAAGCTCCCGTCTTCAATCTTGTCTCGGACCGCCGAGGTAGCTATTTTACCGTTTATCCTCTCATCTAGCCTCGACGCCTTCTCCTGATCACATTTCTATATCTCCTTTACCGTCTCATACTTCTTACGGAGCCATCCGACTGTTCCTCCAGCAGGAGTTCGAGTTCTATATAGATGATAGGGAGAACGGCCTGTGTTGACTCTCCATTCTTACAGGTGGCCGCACGGCGTGGTCGAGCAGCGTGAGCATCCAAGGGTCCAGCTTTTCTGCTCGCTATTTCTATGCCGGAGAATTTATCAACAACGCCAAAGAGGACGCAGCTGAGGTGGCCTTCACGCAACTGAACTCGCAGCCGCGGCTGTCTACCGTTCTCCCGGGACAACTCTATGCGCAGCAAAAGTAGCCGCTGGCTCCGGCCTATACTCGGCCCAATTGGCCACCCTGAGACGCCCTCTGCGCTAACGGACTCTCACGAAGCGGCTCAGCCCAGCCGGCGGTGTTGATCTCACGGCATCATCTCCTCCGCGCATCTACTACGCACCTACACATCTATCTCCTTTATATTTCACCCTGATCACGAGGATGCTGTCCTCAGTGTACGTTTTCAGAGATGTTAATTGACGTTATTGGTATTGGATACATAGCCTAGCCTTGGACAGGAGGCATATCAAACAATTCGGGATCTTTCTTTCTAACCTTTTTTCTTATCTTATTTTTATTTTGTTTATTTTTTTGGGAGGAAATTGGCGGCTATTTCATTTTACTTCCTTTCTACGCTGAAAACTTGCTTTTTCCTTATCACTTTATTATATTCGGCTTACCCTGTTCTCTTCGTTTTCGTTACTTCTACCGGTGGACATCAATATGAAGAACGCATTCACCCTTGCCAGCTCCAATGATAAGACGGCTGTTTGTCCGATATAAGCCAGATAAACAATAAGACTCTCCCCACAAGTTCACGGAGGCACACGATGCAGGGTCTACACCCTTGGACCGGATAGTACGACTTCCCGGCCGGAAGTCTCCCGCTTAACGGTCTCTGTATAGATGCCAGCGCTGCATGACCCCTGGAGATATTACGTACTGCAGATGGACGTAGGCTCGTTATCTATATACGTAGTTATACTACGTATATACTTAGTCTGATATGGTTCGGGGCGCAGTATTATGTCGCCGGCGCTCCACCGCGGGCGCTGGTTTCAGTCGTTGCATCTCATCCCTGGAGTTTCGGGATGCGGATTTTCATGCCTCGGCCATGGCGACCGAACCCTTGCATCACCGCACCAGCGACCTCAGCATCGTCGCCGCAAGCCCTCATCCGCCCTCCCACGCCCCGAACGAGCCCTGGCCTAGCATGCAGGCGTGCGATCGCTGCCATCGCCGCAAATCGCGATGTGACAAACAGGTGCCCGTCTGCGGGCCGTGTCTGAAGGCGAGCGTCGCCTGCGTCTACACCGACCGGTCCAAAGAGCCTACGTACCGCAAAGAAGTCGTGGAACGCCTGGAGCGGCGCCTTCGACAGTGTGAAGCCACCAATCGTGCGCTGGCGGCGAGACTGGCGGCCGTCTCACAGCGTAATAACAGCGGCAGCGGCAACGGCAACGGCTCTGAAGTCTCGGTATCAGGGCAGAGTCCGTCGTCGAATCTCGATACCAGCCCGGATCAGGGACGGCAGCAGCAACAACAGCAGCAGCCGAAGCAGGAGGGTGGTGATAACAACGAGGTGACGGACGAGGTCTCGTTTCTCTCTCTGACGGCGGGCGGTGATCGCCAGTTTCTCGGATCTGGCAGCGGAGTGCTGTTCGCCAACCTCGTCCGGGCCACCGTCGACGCAGCTCCGGTGCCCATCTCTACGCCGGCCAGGGCATCGTTCACGCCGCGGACATCGCATCCAGAGACTCCGGTCCATGGCGGGAGCGCCAGTGCCTTCTCGCTGGGCTCTCCGCCTCCCAGGTCAGAGGGATATCAGATCCCGCCGGAGCCGTTCGCGCGAGACCTGCACCACGCATACTTCGAACACGACTATCTCTGCTATCCGTTTCTGCACCGGCCAACCGTCCTGGCGGCGTTCGAGCAGATATACAGCGATTCTTCCGTGCTGGACCGGGATGTCTTCTCCTGCTTCATCTTCTACATGATCCTGGCCATCTCGTCTGTCGACTACCACAAGTTCGACTGGCAGACAAGGCCCGATGCAGAAAACTTCCATGTCGTTGCTCTATCAAAGCTTACGGAGGTGCTACAGCTGGGAGGTATCAAGCCTCTGCAGGCCATCCTGCTGCTTTGCCAGTACCGGATGAGGAGTCCTATCCAGGATACATCAGCCAGTATGTTGAATATCATTTTGTCTATTTTCTTTCAGTTATGATACGGCGGCTAATATAACTAGGTATGTGGCATCTGGTTGGTGTTGCTTGTCGTATATGCATCGAGCAAGGTCTACATCGAGAATCGACTTACCCGGCAAGGCAGTCGCCTGACCAAATGGATCTCGATGCATCAAGTAATACAGTTCGCGCAGAGGTTGGCAGACGGAGTTTCTTCTGTGTCATTGCCATGGATCGGTACGTTTAACTCTTCATGAAGTTGCAAGTTCGAAATGCTCATGCATATCCCATGTTCAGCGTCGTTAGCAATACCCTTGGTAGGCCTGTTGGGATACGGCTATCAGACACGGACACGGCATTGCCCGATCCCAAATATGACCTCGAAGTAAACCCGCCAGAAAGTAGCTTCCACCCTACCACAGACTCCTTCTCTCGCACAGCATTGTTCGTACACATAGTTCGGTACCGTATCATCTGTGGCAAGATCCTCTTCTCCATGGATAACAGCCAGATGACGCAGCTGGATTCCCACGAAGCATCTGCGTTGTCAAAGCGGGACAGCTTAGCTGCAGAACTCGAGCAATGGCGTCACGACACGGCCTCTCTTAACCTGCCTGCCGTGGACTTATCAAGTACAATACCTGGCGACAGGTCAAGTTTCCGTGCCCATGAGTGGTATGAACTACTGTATTACAATGCACTGCTGATGCTGTACCGCCCTTCTCCGGCGCTGCCGGCTGTTTCGTCAACTGTTCCAACAGCAATTCAGACCATATTTACTGCGGCCAAGCAATCCATCACCCTCTACGCACATCTACATCGTTCGAGGCGGATAAATTACACTTGGATCACGCTTCATGCCGTGTTCATGGCAGGCCTCTCGTACATCTACGCAGTTGGCCGACATTTCCGCGCAAAACGCCGACTAGCCATGGGTGGACACGCCGGTACAATGCTCGACGAAGATCCGTCGATAATAGAGATTGTCAACGAGACTCGAGCCTGTTCAACCGTCCTTGTGGCGGTTTCTGAACGATGGAGCGCTATTCGCCACTCACACGAAGTCTTTCACCGTCTCAGTGATGCTGTGCTCTCTGACGCCATCGAGCTATTAAACAACCCTTCCTCGGCGGCCACAGCTTCGGGGCCCCAGCCTCTCCTCTCACCTATGAAGATGGGACAGATGGCGTCTCCCACAAGCCTGCCCACGTCTCATCTTTCACCCATGGGCGGCTCCGGTTTGGACCAATGGCCTCTTCCGGATGCCAGTATGAGTCCCCAACTAGCCGTTGACTCCGTGCTGCGTGACTGCTTTAGAGATCTCCAGCACATGAATGAATATAGCTATGGCGATGACCCGATATGCCGTCTATCACAAGATTGGCTTGGAGAGATTGGTGGAATGGCTTTGGACGCCGTTCACGTCTGGGGAGAATGAGCTTCTGCGACCACGATTTTCTATAACTTTAAAGACACGGGATTCTGGCACCTGCTAAGTCCTCATATTGGTTGCCGATGGGTGAAGAGCGGGCGTTATGCATTTACTACCGGCCTATTCTTGATTTTATAACCATCTACGCCAGGTATTCGCTCGATTGCAATGTACAGCCAACGAACTACACATGCATACCCATTAAATGCATGCGTATCACGGCCCGAAGATATTACGGTACAAACTACGATATTACGAATATATTCATCTAGACTTGGGGCCTTGGATATCATTATTGTGGCAGGCTGGAGTTGGTCCTTGGCCGTACAACTACTCTACATAGTTAGATACACAGTCAACGGACGGATTTGGTTTCTTGAGCTCCAGGATGCATTGGTATATCGACCTGTTTTCGTAGCATTCCTCCTGCCACAATTAAGTAACGAGGTCTAGCATCGTGTCTCAGGAAATTCCAAGTCCGATCGGATATCTAGAAGTTAGTAACAATACATTGCGTTTAACATTACATTTAACGAGTCTATATTGCATTTAACAAGTCTATATATTGCTTTAACAGAGTATCCCTGGTTATGAAGTGTAGGTTGAATACTCTGACGTTCGTTATGCGAGCTTATCGCAAAGTATAAATGTTTTTAAGCTTCAACCACCAAGTTGGGGTCGATTTCGCCTCGAAGACTCACTCGCTTCCATGACACGTTAACCAGCCCAGCTCAATGAGATATCTACGGCGCATACAGCCTCTTTCAAGATTCGGAATACGGTCACCTACATCCAGCTTATCCGTCCTCGTTAAGCCGTATAGTCAAAACGTCATGGCCTCGACGGCCACCGCGGCTGATGGGCAAGGCAGGAGATCGATGCCTTCAGCGTTAACATTCGACCTCGAAGCAAAATGCTCGGTAAATATATGCATTTGCTTTCCTTCTAGCTCCTCCTAGCTTGACTTCTTCAGTTCCACATGCTAATACCCAACCCCGCAGACTACGAAAGCCCGCGCGAGCACCCTTCATCTCCCCCACGGATCTGTCAAACTCCCGATCTTTATGCCGGTTGCCACACAAGCTTCGTTAAAGGGACTGACGCCCGACCAACTTGTAGAGACGGGATGCAATCTCTGCCTGAATAACACATATCATTTAGGGTTGAAACCAGGGCAAGCTGTGCTAGACGAGGTTGGCGGAGCGCATAAATTTCAAGCATGGAATGGCAATATTTTGACCGATAGTGGCGGGTAAGTTTACATCTGGGGCGCTGTATACCGCGCGATGACAGTCAAAGAAGCTATGTGAAGGGTATGTACGTTAAGGTCGGGTGGATTAATGTGTTTATATCATAGGTTCCAGATGGTTTCACTATTGAAGCTTGCGCAAGTGACGGAAGAAGGAGTGCGATTCCTAAGTCCACACGACGGGTCGCCAATGTATGCCTGTTGACGCCATCAGTTGAGCTTTAGCTCCAATCCGGTTGTTGTGCTGTTTGGCTGCTAACTAGCGGACCAGGTTACTTACTCCCGAACATTCAATATCTCTACAAAACTCCATTGGCTCTGATATAATTATGCAATTGGATGATGTCATTGCTACAACGTCCCCCGATCACGCAAGGATGCAAGAAGCTATGGAAAGATCAGTCCGTTGGTTAGATCGATGCATCGACGCACATAAATACCCAGAAAAGCAAAACCTTTTCTGTATCATCCAGGGTGGTCTTGACTTGGAAATGCGCCGACAATGCTGCGAGGAGATGGTAGCAAGGAATACACCAGGAATCGCTATTGGTGGGCTATCTGGAGGAGAGGCAAAGGATGAATTTTGTAAAGTGTCAGATTCCCCCATTATCAGACTCACCCCAATTTTGGATGGCAGCCTGACAGGGACATAACAGTGTCAACGCTTGCACGGATATGCTACCGACAAATAAACCTCGATACGTCATGGGAGTGGTAAGTTAGCCCGTTACCTGTACTACTTCAATTACATTCCCGTCTAACATTGCCTAGGGATATCAAGAAGATCTTATGGTAGCAGTTGCTTTAGGCGCTGACATGTTTGACTGCGTTTTCCCGACTCGAACGGCTGTAAGCCCACAAACCTTCCCCTGCTACCTTCCCCTGCAAAAATATTAACTTAGCCCGCAGCGTTTCGGAAATGCTTTGACGCCGTACGGCACGTTAAGCCTTCGTCGTGCCTCGTTTTCCCGCGACTTTAGACCAATAGATGAAAACTGCAAATGCAAAACCTGCCGACCCAAAGAACAGGGTGGACTTGGAATCACTCGCGCATATCTACATCATCTAGCTGCGAAGGAGACAGTCGGAGCACACCTGTATGCATATAACCCGTCCCCACCCCCCTTAGTTTTCCGTCTTTATAAATATTAAAAATACTAACTGCATGAATAGTATAACGATCCATAATGTACACTATCTTCTTGCAATGATGGATTCAGCTAGACAGGCGATTCTAGAAGACAGATATCCCTTATTTTTAAAGCAGTTCTTTGAGAACTTATACGGTGAGAAATCGAAAATACCCCAGTGGGCTGTCACAGCGCTTCGTGGGGTCGGTATAGATTTATTGGAATAGGAAGAGGTTCGTATATAGGATTTCCTTTTTAGATATGCACTATTGGCGTTTTGGTTACATGCAAGGTGCTTTGTTTGGTTAGGCCCTTCACTCTCTTCATCCGTTGCATACAAATTATTTGGTACAGAAAAACATACGGCAGTAAAGCTATCAATGATAGATTCCCACGACTGCTGATCACCCAAGTCCAGTTCGAGCATTGGAGCGTGGTTCACACTAATTCTGTAATACCGAGTCATGTTAGTGTTACTATCAACGAAGTTTCATGCTTCCTTGGAGATATTTGACCGCCTACTTCTCTCACACATCGAACCTATAATTAGTTAGCTATATGTCGCAGCGATGTTCGAGCCAGGGGTTATATACAGTGCAAAACCCTATACTCTCTGCGCTAGCTCCAACACAGTGGTCTATAACACACTTCCGGAACTACAGCACCCCGTATTAGCATTCCAACAGCATACACAGCTTTCGATTAAATATCACGATCAATTTACTGCATTGTAATCCTAAAGCCATTATTATTAATATCGTCAGCGATGAGATTCTTTAAACAGTTCTATCAATCGTTCGAACTCCAGGGGGGTACACGACTACTTACAGCCATTGCAATCCCGGAGAAAGCGGTGACGGCAGCAAGGAAAAGAGCGGTGAGTTTCATATTTATGATTTGGTTTTGGACTTGAAGTACGGAGTATTCGAAGTTGAGTAACAATATATGGCTTGGTTTGAGAATACAACGGCTCTTGCAGACGGGCGTGGAAACGCCAATACCTTTATATCTCTATTGAGGGGCATGTGGCTAGATCGTTCCCTGGAGACTTAATCTTGTCGCCACAATCTACACCGACCAGTTTCCAGGTGCACATACGTAACCAGTTCATGCCTAGATTGGCCTATGATTATATACTGTCCTACATGAACATGGCGCGAAACAAGAACAAGCACTTCGGCAATTGCCATCTGTGAGACTGTTGTTATCCAAGGCTTCTCACCGCCAAAATCAAGTATAAACCATATAACTGGAGATTTTGGATGAAAGATGCTCCCATGTTGGACCTTGGATCTGATCTTTTAAGTCATTAAATTAGAATTCTAAGATCAGATAAAACTTCCGGGGTTCGGGGCTTTAATCTAATCTAATCAGATAAGATAAGATAAGATCAAAATGAGTCAGCAAAAGAGCCAAACCTTATCACGCGTCACGTTTTTTGCTTTCGACGCGACGAAAAAAAAAGCCATTAAAGCGTCAAAACAATCCTCAACATCCGCCACATATATAGACATAAAGCCGTCACAGACAGCATCGAGCATCAATATGGAAACTCAGGCAGATATCAGCATGGCTACGACTTCATCAAACGGGGGATCAGACTCCAACCTCGTTCTCAACCCACCATCGCAGTCAAGCGGCTCCTCTCCTTCACCTGCCCCGCCTCACGACCCTTCCCATGAAGAACACCAGTATCTCAATCTAATCCGCACCATCATAAACACAGGCGAACATCGCCCTGATCGCACCGGGACCGGCACTCGCTCCATTTTCGCGCCGCCACAGCTTCGCTTCTCTCTCTCCAAACCATCCTCTGACCCGTCCAACCCAGACCCCATCCCTATTTTACCCCTCCTAACCACCAAACGCGTCTTTCTACGGGCCGTGATTGCTGAACTCCTCTGGTTCGTGTCTGGCTGCACATCCTCCCTTCCACTTAGTGAGGCTGGTATAAAAATATGGGATGGAAACGGGAGTCGTGAATTCCTGGACGGTGCTGGCTTGTCGCACCGCGAGGTTGGCGATTTAGGACCTGTATATGGCTTTCAGTGGCGCCATTTCGGTGCCGAGTACATCGATGCAAAGACGGACTATACTGGAAAGGGTGTTGATCAGGTCGTCGAAGTAGTGAGGAAGTTGAAGGAGTCGCCGTACGATAGGCGTATCATCCTGAGTGCCTGGAATCCAGCCGACCTTAAGAAGATGGCACTTCCACCATGCCATATGTTTGCCCAGTTTTATGTGTCATTCCCGCCTCAGAAGGAAGGGGATGAGGGTAAAAGGGGAAAAGGCACATTGTCTTGCGTACTCTATCAGAGATCGTGTGATATGGGGTTGGGTGTGCCCTTCAATATCGCGTCGTATGCGCTGTTGACGCATATGTTCGCCCACGCAGCAGATTTGCATCCCGGCACCCTGATACATACCATGGGCGATGCACATGTCTATCTTGACCACATTGAAGCACTACAGGAGCAGCTCACGAGGGAGCCTACCGAGATCCCCGAGTTGAAGATCCACCGCACCGATCGCGGATCTGGTCAGATGGACGGGTGGAAAGATTCCGATTTCGAAGTGTTGGGATATAAACCGCATAAGCTGATTAAGATGAAGATGAGCGTTTAAACTGACTAGATAATGGGAATATATATAATGGGTGTTGATATATGGATAAAGAGTTAAATTGATTAATCATATATGTCTTAGAAATATTACTTCACATAAATTCGTTAGTATCCAACACCAGCCTAAACATCAACACATGTGTAGAATGTGATAAGCAAACTCCCTCACACGCTCTAAATCGCTGCACAGAAACCATAGTCCTACATCTCAATCAGATCAGGCACTGGTGGCCCAACCCCCCTGAGCAATACAATAGTATCTCCCTGGGCCACAGAGCAGCTCCCAATCTTATTGGAGAAATCTAAAAGTTTGCCTCCCTCGACGTGGAAGATCCTCAGTCGATCCTCTTCCCCAGCAGTCCGGTTATTGACATTCTGCACCTGCAACTTCCGCGCCGCATCATCTAGGATCTTGCCCACACTCCACCCCTTGTCATAGTAGAAATCTCCAGTGGGGTATTTGGCAGTAGTCGTATCTGCCGAGGCTTCAACATGGAGATAGAAGCGCTTGGAAACGTCAAGGTTGGAATCCCCCTTGGCGTTCTTCTTCAGTGTGTTTAAATGCGCCATCCGCGATGCGGCTGAGTTAGGTTTTGGTTTTGATTTCGGAACTATTGAAGTTGTAGCGGCGGACGATTTGGTCTTCCCCCAGCTCCGTAGACGTGAAAATGCCTGTCGTGCCTTGTCGGCTGAGGATGTGAAAGCTACCGACGCCGGGCTGGCGCCTAGGGGTGTTAGGTTGCTACAGTCGTGGTCCTCCCGCATCCGATGGGAGAGACAGTATTCCCTGTGGCAGTTCTGGCAGTGGACGCCTGCATTCGCCATGGTGTGGATTAGGGTCTTGCATGATGGGTGAGAGCACTGTGCGGAGTTGTAAACCGTAGGTTTCGGCGAGAGCCGCGAGGGTACGGTGGAAGCGGTGCCGTTAAGCCCGCCACGTCGACGAGCCCATTCTCCGGCCTTGGGACATTTATGGGTTGTTTCTGTTCGGTGATCAAGGCAGAATGTACCCTGGCATGATTCGCATCGAAACGGAAGAAAGTCAAGCTGACGACAGAACTCAAATTCGCAGTGTTTGCCGATGTCTTCGAGGTCGTGGTCGGCCATCTGGGTATAGGAGGAGGGTTGATCTGGAGACGAGGACGACATGATAACGGTAGATGGTAGGTAAGGTGATAGATGAGACGGTAGATGTAGCAGATGTTGTAGATGTGGTAGAGGCTGGTGACAACCACGGACGTCACGGTTTTGTCATCTTCGGTCATCCGCGATAAGAAGCTTCCAGCTGAGCCTTATCGCTTCCTCGGGACCATCGATACTCCGAGCGCCGACTTAGTCATCAGGTACACCTTTTCACGTGACACACCTTCATTTGACCTCTTCCTTCTTCTTTTCGTCGCGATGTTTACTCCCTATATCAGATGTAACCATCTTGCTCTTCTACTGTGTGTCTTTGCGTTGAGCATTGTGTCATTTCTATAATTAATATATAAATGCTGCAAACTGTGTCACTGCTTTATTATTGGCACAATTCTTTGACTACCAATAAACTATGGCTTGCTATACCATGAGCCTTCTGGATTTCAGATAGCTGTAGTCCGGCATTGCAGATCGCACATGCTTTTCTACCATCCAGCCAATCTCCTCTCCAAACTCTTGTTTCCATTTCTCTGCTTCATCGTCCAGATTGATATTTCCAGCTACCTTTGTGGTGTCAATTGACGTCGAGTTATCGATTGTTGATCGAAATGCCATGATTCCAGGCCGCCGGGGCTGAACGTCCTTTTCCCAGCTATACCTCAGCTTGCTACTATCCAGCCCAATAATCTGGCATAGCTTAACAAGCACTGCAGGCTGGGTTATAAAATCGTCGGCGTCGAGGACCAAGGGCCAGGTAACATGGTTGACTTTCGTCTCGGGCTGGGCGTCGGATTTACTGAAATGCTCGGAGTAGAAGTCATACAGTTTGCGAGTCCATCGCAGAGTCATGACCGCCCTGCAAATTCGTCTCCCGCGGGCCGACTTGGCAAATTCCTTGCCATCGGCTCGCACGGAGGCGCGATACCACGAGGGGAAAGACAGTGCTGGATGTCTGATCACAAAGATAGGTTGCCACATCTTTAAGAACTTGTCCGAGAGTATGGTTTCGTTTTCCGTTGAGCGACCCTCCATCGTCTGTACCAAGTCTTCTCGACCACGCAGCATCCAAGGCAGCTCTTTGGCAATGCTTTCCTGGCCATAGAGGAGCCTTGTTTCCGCGACCGGGTCTGCCAGAAATTGGGTATGCTCCTTTACAACAACGAGCTTCCCTTCCGACTCAGCATGGTGAAGGTGCTGAAGTAGCTCATTGAAACATTTCTTCATACATTTTTTTTGCTTCTCCTTCTGGTCGGGTGTCAATTCTTCAACATGCGTGTCGACGCAGCCGAGATCGTATTTCAGCAAATGCAGCGGCGAGAAGAAATAACCTCCATCCTTGCGGAGTGCAACTCTGGGCTGCTCCTCAAGTGCGAGGATCTTCACGAGGAGGTTCGATGCCGTTCGAGGGCATGTGAGTAGGTAAAAGCGATGAGGGGATTGATCGGCCTTCATAGCTGTGCTTCTGTTGAATAAGCTGGCTGTCTGAAATGGTTGAAGATATGTGTTGAATGATTGAGATGGTATACTAAGTATTCGGTCATGGAGTATATAAGGGATCAATTAGGGAGTGCAGAGCCAATCTCTGAGCCATAATTAGAGAGCAAGTTCGAGACCTGCTCTCGTGTAATCCTTTGACAAAGATAGCTAGTTCTACCAAGAAACAAGGCTAGTGGCTTGCTGAATGAGTTGTTATTTCAGCCACTGTGGGACGAATCGGCCTCATTTAAGGACCTCTGGTGAAAACCCATGAATTGGTATTCTCAACTAGACCGGTCAAAAAATTTGGTCGGTTGTCATGAGAATATTGTCCTGATATTTTGGCCATTGTTCAGTGGCTGCATCGTATGGGTGACAGGCACGGGTTGTACTAATTGGGTGGTAACGCATTGCTTAATATTCTGAACTGACCGGCTGAAAAAAACTTGATCGGTTGTACTCTGTGCTCCGTGACGAGAATTATTTTCCTCTTGCTACTTTAATGATCGCTTATAGCGGTTGATCTAAGGTACAAAATATAGACGCGGGAGGCTATACTCTGTCGTTCATTTCTACCCTTACCAAGCATTCAAGTTGATAAAGTACGATTTGACGAGACAATGACTGTCCCTTCAGCGACCGATAGAGCCAAATTCGAAACTACGAAGCGTCTTCTTGCTCAGATCATCAACGAAGGCCTTGCGAGCGCCACCGTGGAAGAGAGCGTCGTTGAGCCCACGCAGCAACGGCAACGGCAATTGTGTATTCAAAACAGCAGTAACAATGCCGACTCTGAATGGGTGAAAGTGAATTTGAAACTAAATGCGTTTGTTGACGTGGATCATGATGGCAAAGTCAGGTCCCTTGTGTTGCCTGAGAGCTTAGAACCACCGGTGATAACAAAGAGGCTGAAGCAAGGAGGCGTGAAAGAGGTGTTGAGTCCTGACGAGATATTTCGGTTTGTGATCCCCTGGTTCGTCGGCGCCGTTGGAGATACGGTGTCTATAGATCAGATTGCATCGCAATTCAGGAATTCCGCCGAGCATCAAGGTGAGTACTGCATGCACATATATATACTCTCCTATGAAAGGAAAAAAGCTGAGTGGTTGAAATAGAGGCATGGTTGGATCTCAACAGCCCCCCCAGGTTGCTGGATTTTGATTCTCCGTCAATAAGCTGGGAACAGACTCTGGTATACGGACATCCAACTCATCCAGTATGTGACGGCAGTCGAGCCTTTGCGCCGGTTCATTGGCACTATCTTGTACTTCGGCTTGCTGACATGCCCTCTTATAGTTTCATAGACAATGCTATGCAGAGGCACCACTGAAGCCAATAAATGGCGTTGATCTGCCTAGCATGTTAATGCCTGATCTCGCATTTGTTTCAGTCCCACGAGCTGACATGCAGGTGGTTGGTCCCTTTGAACAAACCATTGAGCCATTGCTTAAGACGCTCGAGGTCGTCGACGAGACAATATCGACAGCAGCAGCCGCTGATAATGAGAGAATCATTGTCCCCTGTTTTGCCCGGCAACTACCAGCTATCTTTCTTCATTTTCCCAATGCAGTTTTCACCAAGTCTGTCGAGAAGTGCGCAGATGCCCAGGCTTCAATGCGAACAGTCACGGTCCATCCCGACCTGAAATTTGACTACCATCTTAAGCTCTCTCTTGGATGTCAGCTCACCTCTGGCCTCAGGCTCATCGGGCCCTGGGTGGCCAGCGCTGGCCCGATATTCTCGGAATTGCTTGACAAGCTACTCCCTCCAGATCTCTGGCTCTATAAGGAAATTGCATCCGCCACAGGTGCCCAGGCCGAATATATAAAAGGGGGCCAGCTATCTTGCATCCTCAGAGAAGACCTGGAACCACGAGCGAGGTCAAACAACCAGGCTCTGATCATGTCAGGAGCGCTGGCTCAGCGGCCCCTGTACCGTGATAACCGCTCATACGCCGAGATATTGTTTGCTCTTGAGACAGAAGAGGAGAAAAAGTCCTGGTTTGCGCGGTTTGTCCTTCCCATATGCATTTTCCTTTCATATATTTGCATTTCATATATTTGCATTTCAAGATGAAAAATTTCTCACTATAATGTTGTTTGGAAATATAGGTATCTTGCCTGTGCATTCAAGATTATACTCACTCCGCTAGTTCGTCATGGGATTGGGATGGAAGCCCATAGCCAGAACCTGGTGGCTCGCGTATGTCTTCGAACCAAGCAAGTTATAGGATTTGCGATCCGTGATTTTGGAGGAGTCAAACTGCATATGCCAACTCTGGAGAGTCAAGGGTTTGGAATCGACCCATCACGGCTGGCTAGGGATGGCACGGCAATGACGGATAAACTAGAAGATGTTTGGAGTAAAGTGCACCATGCTCTTCTTCAAAACCATATCGGAAATCTAATTAGTGCAATGGGCTTGGATACGAACGGTGTGGGATGGGAGATTGTTCGAGAGGAATTGGCAACATCTTTACTCAACGACGAACACTCTGGCACCGCCGGGAGGGAAATATACGAATATTTCATGAGGGAAACAATGCCATTCAAATGCTTCCTAAAAATGAAGATGGAAGGGAAGTATCGCGATGTAAGTCGTTCCCTTGTGTCGCCAGATTATGTTAGGAGAACCATAACTGATTCAAGCCCTTGATGATTATAGTGTATCGACAGGGACCTCCCTAATGTTGTGCTGTCTAAATAGGCCTTGACCGCTGATGGATTGGCGATACAAACCTCATCTAATGGACAATGCTTCATTCCAATGTTTCGGTCCAGTATTCTGTTCTAGTGTTTGTTCCATGCCAATGATTTCGAGGAGTTATGTAACGATAACAGTCAAACCTAGTAAAGCAACTAAGTGGTGTCGCTTGAAGGATGGGAAGAAAGGGGCGAAGGCGATAAATCCCACTGTGTAGTCATACGATAGTACCGAAGGATATACAGTAAGCCGTGGGTTAGCTGAAGATTTATGATATTGAATATCTATACTGGATATAACGAGGTTGCTTGAGCGGTTTCTCTTGTTCAAGATCTGGGATCACATAGTGCATCTCCTAGTAAGCCGTGGAAGCTCGCGATGAATAACAGGGAGAGGCAGCTTTTTGAAATTTTACTGTACCTACTACCGCGACATGGGGTATAATGGACAACTCGTCCTAAAAGAGGCTAAAAACAAAGACAAAGTACAAGTGGAAAAAAAATCAAGGTACAGGTGGGAATAGACCAACAGGAGCCAAGGCCACGAGTAGGACATGGGGTATTATGTTCTGACAGTAAATCACAGAATACGCGAGGGTGTAGAATACATTGTACATTGAAGGGTGGAAAAAAAAGGGAAGTGATAGCAGAGGCAAGAATTTGGTAGTAGGTGAGGAAATTAGGCACAAGATAAAAAAAAAAAGGGGTAAAATACAGAGAATAAAGACTGAAAATGTCAAGTGACTTAGGAGTCGGATGGGTGGTTCTGAGGCGCAAAAGGAATGACGGAGGTAGGCGTGAAGACGGGGAGTTGCTGTGATGCCGTGGCTGGTGGAGATCGTACTGTGATTCTGGGATTCATGGCTCCACGGGGTGTGTTTGGAGTAAGGGGCGGAGAGGGCATGGTGCCATTGTTGCCTGTCTGCTCTATAGGAGGTGTAGACGCAACGTTCTCGCAGCTCTCGGTAGGGTATTGGATGTAGCTTGCGTCGTGGGGTAGGCCAGCGTCTGCTTCTCCAGGCGGAGGCATGTTGTTGTATTGTTTCGGAGAGATGTTAGCCGGTGGGCTGAATTGTTCGTTCTTAATCGTGATTGGAGAACCCATAGTAGTCTCGGTGGTAGGAGTCGCGGTAGTCGAACGGGACTTTGAGCGTGATTGCCGTCCATTGACCTCCTTAGCTGCGCGAGGAACCTTTCCTCCAGAGACAGTCTTGGCTGTCGGTTTCCTCTTGGAAGACTGTGACGTCGCTTTCGCGTCCTTTTTACCCTCCTGGGCCAATTTCGCTTCTCGAATCGTGTTTTCTTCTGGACTGGGGACATTCAATTTTATGCTCAGTTTCTTCACGCTGGCCGCTAAACCATTGATGCCGGCATCCTCGTCCTGGGTTTTCCTAGGACTATTTCTAGCTGAAGAAGTCGGGGCTCGACTGCTGCTTGCAGCTCTGGCCTTGTTTGTATTGCCCCGTGGCGAATTGGTAGGGGTTGCGCGGGATGGTGTTGGTCGCATAGAAGCTGCACGTACTTTCCGTTGATCAACTTTGGTAGCGGGAGAAGCAGGAGCTGTGCCTGGGGCCGCGGTTGAAGCGATGCTGATTCTCCGTGAGGCGCGGTAGCCGGTGGGAGCTCTGGCTGCTTCACTGTTCTCTAGCATGCTTGGGTCAGGTAGGTCGTTGACGGAGGCGATTGTTGTCCGACGCGTGCTGACGGATGAAGAGCGAGAACTGGAACTCTTGAGTCTCTCGGTTGGCAAGCCGGTGTTCTTCTGCTTCCGCTCCCTGAGCTGCATATGGTTGGCGTTCCTATCGCTGGCGCGTGGTTGGGTAGTCGCTGTGCGAACATCACGTCGAGGCTGGCTGGCGGTGACCTTCAAGTCTGCATGCTGGCAGCTCATGGTCTGACGATCAGTAGGGATAAGAGCCTTGGACAGCTCGAATGCGGCTGTTGCCCAGTCTACCTGCGGGAGAGGCGGGAGGGAGGAATCTCCGTAGTTATTTGGGCTATAGGATGAAGACCTATGATCCCGGGTTGGAGTGATCACCTTTGCAGAGGATGCCTGCGTGGGAGCAGAGAAAGTAGGGGGCCCTCTCTCGCGAGGCTTTCGGGGCATAGGAGGCGGAGGTCTGACCAGGTCTTCTAGCTCTTCAAGTAAAGCCGGTGCCCACCATATGGTATCATATGTGGTCGTAGGCCCTCCTCCATTTGGACCTGGACCATGCATCGAGTTCTGTTTGTTGTCGTCTGACAGGCCGAGCCGGTTGAACATCTCGGCTGCAAGACGGCTGCCCTGGTGGTCGTCGACGGTGCCGATGTTTTGAGAGTCTGAGAGGCCAGAGAGATGGCTGAGCACACCACTGGTCAGGGCTCTATCGCTGTATCCTCCTTCCAAGACCGAGACCACGCGACCGTCAACGGCGAGATCTTCCTCCTGTGACATTCTGACAACATCGGCAGTGAATCTGGCGTAGAAGTCTGTGGGGACGTTGACTTTGTGTCGTTGCATGCCGGCTCCTTCCCACTCACTCGCGTCGAACCCGGCGGACAGGAAGATGGCAGCTTTGGGCTGGGGAGCGTTGGGTGCCGCGTTGGCTCGTAGTTGTAGTGAATGTGCCCGTAAGAAGGCGCGGGCCTTTTCGATGAGGACCGAATATTTCGTCTCATAGAGCGTCCAGAATTCCTGCGGCGACTTCCACGACTCAAGATGGACGTTCCAGATACTCTGGCCATGGGCATTGTCAAGACAGACACTGGCGTTTCGAACCTTGGTCTCGTCTCCTTCCTCACAAGGGTATGAGTTGATATCATGTAAACTGAAATATCCGATGGCCGTCTTCTTATGCCATGCCGCATTCTTTGCAGCGTTTGCAGCTCGCTGGTTCTGCTCCCAGGCAATGGCCTGTGATCCGTCGCCGTGATGGAGGTCGAAATCAAGAATTGCAGCGTGTGTCAGTCCGTGTGTCATGGCAGCATAGGAAATGCCGACATGGACATTGTTCAGCCAGCAGAACCCAGACGGGTAGCTGCTCGAGCAGTGGTGTCCCGGTGGCCGGATGCAGACAAACGCCCGTCTCGTGGACGGAGAGGTAAAGACGGAGTCAACTGCATCACAGACTCCTCCCAGCGCTCCTTCAAACGCGTTCAACGACTCCGGACACAGATATAGATCCCCCTCGTGTAGCTTCGGGACAGCATTGGCTCCGGTCTCTTTGCCCGAGCTGCTGGGCCGGACGAGCTCCTTGCCGTTCAACGCCAGCCTCCCCTCCGCGGCATCACACATCAGCCGCAGCTCGTCCATCCATTTCGTGCCGTGGACGTGGGTGACCGCGTGCGAGTTCAGGGGCATCGTCCGCATCGTCTTGCGTATCTGAAACGGCGGCGGCGGCAGCAGTCGTAGATCTAGATCCGGATGTGGCGCACAGTCGTTGGAGCCGTAACGGCGGCCCATACGGGTATACGCAGCTGCCAGGCCCAGGACACTAGCATGCATGCGCTCCGGACGCTCGACGATGAGTTCCAGCCCCGCCTTGGAGGTGCGCGGGCGCGAGTATCGGTGGCCATAGCAGGCGTCCTGGATGATGACGACGGTGCGGGAGTGCAGCTCGGCGGTCTGGTGCAGCGCCAGCTCTCGAGCAAAGTGCTGTGCCGCGATGTCTGAGGGCGTAGGGAGCGCGGTCGAGGGTCCCATCTCCGCGAGGGGCGAGATAGGCCGTACGGACGCGCCGGAGGACGATCCCAGGTGCTGCGCGGAGGATCGTCTCGACAGGCTCTGGCGCGGCGAGCTCGACGAGGTGAGGTTCTGCACTGATCGGAGCGAGCTTGCTGATGCGCGTTTCTGCAGCGAGGGAAGAGAGCCGCGTCTCTCGTCGCGGAGGGAGGTGGTGCTGGTCGTTCTCCTGGGGCCGCGTTGGTGTTGATGGAGCTGCTGCTGGTGGGAGGGCGGGCTGGCGTAGGGATCGTTTCTCAGGAAGCTGTGGCTTGTCTCTGGCCGTCGATAGGGAGACTGTAGAGGCGAGAGAGAGGGTGAAGATGTGTTTGTGGTGATGTTGAGCTGGTTGAAGCCGTTGAGCAGTTCATCCTGCACGCTGTTGCGATGCTGCTTATAACGGTGCTGCGATGCCATGATGGCGGCAGATGGCAGACACTGCACTTCCTGTATTCTCCTTCACAGACTGGCTCTGCTGGTGCAGTCTGCCTGCTGGTTGGCTGTATACAGGTTGTTGTTTGTTGTATGAAAGTGCAGGCATAAATAGTATTCTTCGCGCTAGTCCAGGGAACTAAATATGCGGCCGTTTACCCCTGAGCAGCAACACATCATATCACAGCCAGCAGCCGTTGCACTGCAGGGTTGACAGGTCTAATCTAGGTCTATTGTACAGTCAGGAAGATATTGTACAGTCAGGAAGGCTGTTTGCTTCAAGCTTCTATGCTATCATCTAAGCTAGCTGATACAGATCAGGGAGAAAAGGAGGGAATAGCCGTCTACATCGACACCCAGAGAGGACGAGGGAGGACTCCGGGCTTGTCTGTAGGCCGGCCAGCGGCTATCGTATGCTGCGAGTCGTCGATGCCCACGTACGCTTCACGGCGAGGCGGGTTGCCCACCGTCACAGACCAGGTGCGTAGGCCGTAGTAGGATGCCAGAGAGTGGACGAGCCATCGTCTACAGCGGTCAGTACTAGAAGATAAAAAGGATAAAAAGGATAAAGAGAGAGAGAGAGAGAGAGAGAAAGAGATGCTCACCCGAAACCGGCGGCTCGATCCTCTGCAGGACTCTCAAAGACCATCTTCTCACCGGACGAAGGAAGAGGCTGTCCCCTAGACTGCTGCTTGCGGCCAGTGAAGACGACTTCGTCTTCGTCCTCATCACTATCGATGCTCTCTCCACGAGCCTGATGCCAGGTCTGCGTCTCAATCCACTGCTGGACGAACAGCCGGATCTCCTCTTCCAACTCCTGCACCAGACCTCGCGCCGCCCGAGCATGCTTCAGCTTCGCCCGTAGCTCCTTGGATATCTTGTCCAGCTCCGCGTTCGCATGTCCATTCTCAGCACCTTCGTCGGCCGTCTTACCGGATGTTCCTTGCTTCCGCTTCGACCTGCGCCGGGCCTGTTCCTTCGCGGCCTGGTGCGAGTCCCAGAGCGAGGCAAGGTAGTAGGGAACTGGATTATGGCGAGGATGCGTAGGTTGGACCTGCCAGTCGTTCGCAGATGGAGGTTGGGCCCAGGGGTTGCTCAGCAGTCGATCTATACAGAGAAGCGTCAGGTCGAGTTCATGTAGCTTATGTCGACCATACGTACCGTTCTCCCAGCGCTGTCTGCGACGGCTGCCTTCCTTGCCCTTGAGCAGCGACTCGCGACGCTTCAGACTGTCTCGACGCAGCGGTTCTCTGCGTCTGTACGTCGACGACGGCTCGACAGCAGCATCGTCGACTCGGACACTGCGTCTCAGGCGCACCGGCGTAGGCGAGATAGGCTGCGTATCGTGGTCGTCTAGCGGGATGGTTAAGGGCGCTGAATTGCGGTATGGAATCGGCGAGGACTCGAGGGACAGGCTCTCGATGGCCTGTTCAGACCAGGACGAGATCGCAAGAACCTGCTGGGGCGTGAGAGCTTGTGCTGCTGTTGTTGCTGATGCTGTTGCTGCTGGTCCAGCTGCTCCAGCTGGTGCCGGGCTGTTCAGCGTCGGATGGACAGCCATTGCTGCGGTTGTCTGTCTGTCTGTCTGTATATGTGGAGGCGGGGAGACGGGGAGACGAGGAGCCTGGCGGTATTAGTATCCCTCCCTCATCGATCGCACGCCGCGTCCGCCCGTATCATGACTCTACGGCGTTGGAAGTACGAAGCTCTGAATCATAAAGGCTGATGCCGAGATCGCGGCCAATGGTCGGGCGTGGCGAAGGCATGCCGTGCATAGCGCGCTGGGATCAGACAGCCAACTTTGTATGCGATATCCCAGCCAGCGATGCACATACATAATACTTACATATATAGATGATACAGATGTAGATAACAAGATATAGAGTAGATAATAAGATGTAGATAACAAGGTATAGAGTAGATAATAAGATATAGGTAGTAAGATATAGATGATAGAAGTATGTACTATGGTATGGAGTATGAGTATGTACTATGGTAGGGCTATTTACAGACTGGATAGTCAATTACATGGACAACTCGGTGACGAAGCCGACGACGAGCTTGGCGTGCTGGATCATATGGTCGAAGCTGAGGTAGCTGATGTTGTCGGAGTCGGTGTGGAGGTGAGGGTCGAGGAGGTCGATGGGAGACTCAGCGACCATGGCGGATGGGTAGCCGTTGCGGTTGGCAGAGGCGTGGTCAGAGCAGGCATAGCCGCATCGGGAGTCGATGGTTGGGATTTGGCAGTACTAGAACAGAGCAGTTAGCAGGTGGTGAGGTGGTGAGGTGGTGAGGTGGTGAGGTGGTGATGTGATAACAATGCAGACGTACCTTCTTGATGACCATGCGGACGAACGTGGTCAGGCTAGCGTTGACGTTGTCGGTGATGATGCCAAAGGACTCCTTGAGGCCCTTGTCGAGCATGCCCTTGATGTAGCCGGTCATGTCCTGGTTGAGCATGGCCTTGACCTTCTTGCCGGTCTGCTTGTACTTGGCGAAGATGGCCTGGGAGCCGAGGAGACCAGCTTCCTCACCGGCGTACCAGTGGAACTCGATGGTGTTGGCGGCCTTGCCCTGGACGACGTTGGGGTCCTGGAGAAGACCACGCATGGCCTCGAGGATGGTGACGGAGCCGCTTCCGTTGTCGTCGGCTCCTGGAGCACGGCCGGTCATGGGGCTGCGGCCGTTGATGCTGTCCTGGTGGGCACCGACGATGACGAGCTCGGCGGAGCGGCCGGGGATGGTCGCGATGATGCTGTGCTGCAAGAAGTTGTTCTGGAAGCTGGCGACCTTGGCGCCGTACTTGTCTGCACCGGAGGCAGTGATGGCGGCCTGGACCTGCTGCTGGAGCCAGGTGGCAGATTGCTTGCCATAGTCAGACTTGTAGTAGCGGTTGTGGAACGAGCTGAGCTTCGTCAGGTCGCGCATCATGTTCTCCTTGGACAAGGTGGCGATCATCGCATTGACAGCCTTGGAGTGGCGGATGGTGGTTGGGTAAGCAACGGGCGCCTGCACGGTGGAAGCAGTGAATCCAGGGGCCTCATCGGTGATGTCGAAGAAGTCTTGGCCATTCTGGACAAAAAGTCAGCATGGAAGAAGCGTTGAAAAGGATAGGGAGTATGCATACGCGCTTGAGCTCCCATTTCTCGTCTTCGGTGACCCAGCGAGTCTCGCCAGGAGCAAGTTCAACCAGGAACTTCTCAACACTGGTGTCCACCGGGAGGCTAGCTCCGAGAACGGTGGAAGCGGTAGCGCCCAGCGCAAGGACGGACAGGAACTTCATGGCTAGCATTGACAGTCAGTATGTCGTCGATCAAACAAAATCCGCAACAGGTAAAAGGTATCATGGCTAACCGGCAAGTAGATCGTCGGGAGATAGTCGGTCTTATCAGGGATCACTACGGGAGGGAGGGAAGAGGATGTTTCTTGAAGATCAGCTATGAAGATCAGTTCGATCCGTGCGAGGAATATCACAGCAGATCAGCGGCGCCTCGATGATATTTATATTCCTCCCCATCCCACGCACTAATCATCCCATCTAACAAGTGACAGCGGTGACAGCGGTGACAGCGGCGACAGCGGCGAAGGGCAGCGGCATCATCACGGCTATGTGACGGATTACAGCGGCCAAACGCGACAGTTCTTCTGCACCCTCCCTTATCCCCCCAGACCCGCATCACACCTGAAGTCTTGGGGAAGCGGTTCGGAATCCTACCTGAAGAATCCCCCCCATGTGCAACAATCAGGGCTCCCCGGGATACCCATGATAGCCTCGTGAGTTTAATTACCTATCCGGATATGGGCATATGAAGATAGCCTGCCCTAGGGTTCGACGGCGACGGCGGTGAGAGCAGGTGCTGTCAACAGCCCAGCGCCCGGCTAGTTCATCTCTGCTGTGATACCACCTCTAGCCACGCGACCCCAGAGGCACGTCTTGAATTGACGTCGAGCAGTGGATACGCCAAGTAGCAAGCTGATGAAGGCAAGAAATGCCAGGTAACCTTCTTGCAGCGCGGGGAAGAGTTCGCAGCGGTTCATCGATCGTACATAGTACGGGGTAACTGATGCAGCCTCCTGCTCAATATTCTATTTCATCGTCTCAGGCTCAGCCGGAGAGAGTCAGGTGTGATCAGACTCGGGAGGGAGAAACTGGACTCGAACTTCTCGGCTTCCCGGTGACGGCGAACCTGATCGACCCGCGCTCCTGATCAGACCCTATCCTTATTCTCGAACCAGTGGGATCGTCGAAGGGCGGTGGAACCATGCCCTCCTTCGAGAAACATCTTCTTTTCCCTGGTTTTGAGTTGGTCAGGCTCATCTGCGCTTGTCCCGTGCCGCGGCCAATAGGCGATGCAGACAGGCGAAAGAAGGTATTCCTCTTATTAATACCAAGAGAACCATCTGGGGTCGTTCTGTCTTGGCTGTTTCGTGTAAAATATATATGTTTATATATAGTGATGGGCTGACGAGAGTGCCGGGGTGGTCGATATCAATACGTAGCCTTTTATCTCCCGTCTCCAGGCTCCGTGTTGCCGTGCAGGCCAGCTCAAGGCTCCCATGGCCGGCTAGTAGACGTATTCGGATAGTGGCCGCCAACCGCGGCAGTCACCATATCCTCGGCCTTTATTATCACGAAGGCTTGTTTTGTAGAAGTATAGAAGTGTATCCGTAGATGTTGATGTTGATGTTAAAGAAGAAGTTGAGATAGAGTAGATGACTAAGTAATGACTAAAACATGACTAATGTCTGACTAAGAAAGATGAGTAAGCTGACTAAGGCCGTCCCTAAGCGGAACACCATGTGACGACCCCGCAGATCAGCATAGCAAGAGGTACCTTCTACCTAAAAGTACTTTGTCTCTGCTGTCTCAACCACGTAAACATAAGTAGTTTTAAGTAAGAGTACCCACTGTTGATGGTGCACAAACCGTCAGCTGCCCTTCCTTGCTTCTTCTCCTCCTCCTCCAGCTTCCTCCATCCATCTCAGCATGCGCCGTGTGTGGTGGAAGGACTCAAGCTTCGTCTCTTCGCATCCCAACTAGCTCTGCATAGCATAGTCGAGTTCACTAGTAGGATAGGTTAGTACTAGCTTACGGCCTCTTGTCTGCGGGGAGGGGAAACAACGTCAGGTCTTCATCTCGCCAACATCCCCAGCAATAGAGCAGCAGAGGATACTCCGTACACCAGCGAAACAGCATAGATATCAGAACAGTTTCTGAATCCGCAGCTATGGCAGACTCAACAGTCCACACTTGTGAGTTTGAGATCACCTACCGGCATCGTCGTCTGACCAGTCGGTCCTTGTGAGCTGGCATGGCATGGTTCTAACTCGTCTCAACCCCAGACAACCCGTTCGTCAAGCGCTCGTCTTACCAGCGTAGCTCCATCTGGACCTACCAGGCTGCCAGCGCCGTGTCCTGGCTGCTCGTCGTTGGCTTCGGCGTCTACAGCTGCACCCATCGTGGTGGCCACAAGAGCGCGCCAGAGCACGACCACGTCCTCGCACACGATGACCACCTCAACGCCTTCTCCCAGACCAAGGTAGTCACCGGTATCTACTGGTGAGACAATACCCAGAATCAGGAGGGAAAGCTGTATGTATACTTACCTTGAACAGGATTATTCTTCTTGTCTCCCAGCTCGGCTACATCAGCCAGCTCTGGAGCTCGGATGAACAGCATGTCACCACGGCCGCCAACGTCGCCCCTTACTTTGTCCTCAACAACCTCTTCGTCTTGGCCTTCACCTTGCTCTTCGTCCACGCCAAGTTCTGGTGGGCAGAGGTCTTTGACATCCTCAGCTTGATCAACCAGGCCACCGTCTACTGGAGCTTCTCGGACCTGCACCCGTTCATCCACTTCCCCGTCGTGGCCGGTCCCTATGCCTGGTCCCTGCTTACCTTCTTCTGGAACGGTGCCGTGGCCGTGGGCAGCAACAGCACGCCCATGAGACTCGTAGCCAACATCTTCATCTGGGTCTACTTCGTCTACGGACAGGCTCACATCGTCATCCGCAACGACCACTACTTCGGATACGCTCTCAGCTTGTTGACCTTCTGTAAGTTTCAATCGTGGAAGGGGAAGTGAACGTACAATAGCTAACTTAGACAGCCCTCTCCCTCAAACAATTGGCCATCAAGATCATCTCCCTCCAGTGGATCTTTGCCTTCACCATCTTCGGTGTCTTCATGGTCTCTTCCCTCTACAGCACCACCACCAACTTCCTCGGCCTCAACTTCTTCCTCGTGCCCCGCGAGGAGCCAGAGCAGGCTGACCGCGAACGCGAGCCTCTTCTCGCCAACGAGTAGACTGACCACAGCACTAACGTCTACCCAGTACCGTAAATCTAGCTCAACTCGACATCCTGGGTACACCATGGTTAACCCGACATCTCCACCCTGTCACTGTTATCTCTTATATTAATATTTCCTTCCTCACGGAACATCAGCCAACCATCACTGCTCCGTCAGAACACAAATACGAAACAAGAAAGAGTGCGATTCGCATCATATACTCCCTTGTCTCATCTCTCATTTCTCTTATCTCATCATCTCCTCTATCCTTGTCAAATTCGGATCATGATCTATGCGTTTTCGAGTGTTTATATGTCTTCGAGTGGCTTTCGGAGCAGCGTCGTTCAGTGATAGCGTTCTTTCAGTTGGTGTGGCCTAGCTATCCTTCTACCCTAATAATGATTATCCGGCTCTCCTTTCGTCTTGTCTTCCTGTAGTCAACCTTTCCTTGTTCCCACCTTAGTTATATATCTATATCTAAATTGCTATAGTGAATACATCTCTTCCCAGACACGATATATGGTAAACACGAGATTCTGGTTCCTGGATACGGGCCGTGAGCTTCCACTCTTGCATCGGAGTCCCGTCTGGGTTTCGCCTGCCAAGGGTCGTCCATCTTATATCGGCCTCCGCTCCAGTTCAGGATATATAAACTGACGAAGGCGCATCACACTCTCTACATATATCAAAGTATACATCTGAAGGTATAAGGTCCAAAAAAACATACACTTAAGGTAGGCAAGCCGTAGATATATAGGTATACACGCTAACAGTTACAGATGTCTACCCTCTCCGACGCAGAACAGAACCTCATCGAAGTCGCGACCAGCGCCATCGAGGCCATCCCGCTGTCTGAAGACTACAGCGTCGCCAGCGCCGCGCTCGCAGAAGACGGCCGTATCTTCACGGGCATCAACGTCTACCACTTCACCGGCGGACCGTGTGCTGAGCTCGTCGTCCTGGGCGTCGCGGCCGTAGCTGGACCTCCGAAACTCACCCATATCGTGGCCGTCGGGAACCAGGGGAGGATGGTGCTCAGTCCGTGTGGTCGCTGCAGACAAGTGCTGTGCGATTTGCATCCGGACATCAAGGCGATCGTGAGAGACAGCGACGGGACAGTGAGGGTCGAGAGGGTGCAGGATCTCTTGCCAGCCAGATACAAGCCTGACAGCACTGTCGAGAGCATGTAGTATCATTTATCTATCTCTATATCTACTCCGTATATCTATCTATATCGTCTGTTATGTCCATGGTGTAGATATATGCTTACTCATGGTTGCCATGACAACGCGTATCAACAGAGCGAGCGCTTCTTCTATAACTCCAGATCGCATCCCGGCGCTTCATATCTTACATCCTGTGCTAAGTCTGCTCTACTACTCGCATTACTAGTTACAAGTCTTCTGCTGCTGGCCTGACGTCCTCTGCAATCGCCCTCTACCCTAACATGCCAGCTATACACTCGATATAGATCCGCGAAGCCGTCCTTATACTTGAACCGTTATCTCAACCGTCGCCAGCTCGACAACAGCTCAATGGACCGTCCAGGGACGCCTGCCAGCTCGGCTCCTCCGGGCTACAGCGAAGAACCGCCGTCTTACATGACGCCGAACGACTACGACGATAACGATGACATGAGATCTTCCATGTCCGCCGCCGGAGCGAACGCCTCTGCGACGATGCGACTGCTCCCGTCCGGCACTGGCAGCAGCATAAACGAAAGCTACGATAACTACGACACCTATTCTCTTGCCAGTGACCTTGGGAGCGCGCAGTTTGGGATGCGTCGGCCGTCGATAATTCAGCGTCAACAGTATGTAACATCTCACCAGGATGGCAGCACAAGCACAGTGATGGAAGCTCCAGGACCGCTGGACTCGGCTTCAGGCAATATCTCAGCGGAATCACATTCTGCCCATGCCCAAGTCACTATCCCTTGCCCTTCTTCCCCTGACAACACTCGTCTCCTTGCCCTGCCTCAAGATATCCCTCTAGATGTCCTCCCCAAGAAAGATGGCCCTATCAAACATGGCGCAAGGGGGAAGACGGCCTCTCTGCGGATGTATCATCCTGCTCTCCCTGCCCCTTTGCGTCTGGCTACTCCCAAACCACCGATTCTTCCAAGAGCCAGCCGCCAGAATGACAACATTGCCCTAGACGGCTTCTTTCTTGCCCCAACTCATACCGACTTTGGGGGTTCGCTACCCGCCATTCAGGAAGCAATCGATGAACTTGAAGCTGACCAGAGATTAACTAGATCCCCGGTATCTACCTCAAGGCCCTCCCCCCAGCGATATCATCCCCCCCACCATCAGAATTCCACAATCACCAATCCCCTTTCACGGCCTGCCTCGAGTATAGGCCAGGCACCAGTCATCCCCCCTCCTTCAGCTCCCAGCGTAGACGGATCTCAATATTCAATACGGGCCCCTTCGCCAACGAGGCCGTGGACCCCGTCTCGTGCCACAGACTGGCAACGACGCCCGTCATCCGTCTCGAGCATCAATTACGAGCCACCAGACCTCAATGGAAGTCCCCGGCCAGGAACTCCTAGCTCAAGGTATGGAGGTAGCCCACGGCGTCCACTTCCTCCCGCACCTTTGTTCTCAGTTCCAGCACCAGTATCATATTCCGGCGAGACCGCCATCGATATAGGAGACGTTGACCCGAGTGACGAAATGGATGATGTTTTTGGAGGCAATGGCAGGACCATAGATCCCAAACGTGCGTCACATGGCAGTTTGAGGTCTTATCAATCCTACATGAGCGAGTCAACCATGGTGACCGATGAGAAGGAACAGATGAAAAAGGTCGATCTCGAAAACGATGACGACGACGAAAGCGAAAGCGAAGTCTATGCCGCAGCACCCACCGGCCGTCAGGATAGGAGAGGCGTGAGGCAGGCGTTGATGGCAAAGAAAGAGGTCAAGCTTGTCAACGGAGAGCTTATCCTGGAATGTAAAATTCCTACCATCTTACACAGCTTTTTGCCTAGGAGAGATGATCGAGAGTTCACCCACATGAGATACACGGCCGTGACTTGCGATCCAGATGACTTTGTAACAAAGGGGTACAAACTTCGTCAAAACATCGGCAGTACCATGCGCGAAACCGAACTGTTTATCTGCGTTACGATGTATAACGAAAATGAAATCGACTTTACCCGTTCGATGCATGGAATCATGAGAAACATATCTCATTTCTGTTCCAGGACCAAATCGCGAACATGGGGGAAGGACGGGTGGAAGAAAATCGTTGTCTGCATCATTGCTGATGGAAGACACAAGGTCCACCCACGCACTCTGAATGCACTCGGAGCCATCGGCGTGTACCAAGATGGTATTGCAAAGAACATAGTTAACCAGAAGGAGGTCACAGCCCATGTGTACGAATACACGACACAAGTCTCCCTGGATCCGGACTTGAAGTTCAAGGGTGCCGAGAAAGGTATCGTGCCTTGCCAGATGATATTCTGTCTCAAAGAACGAAACCAGAAGAAGCTCAACTCTCATCGATGGTTTTTCAACGGCTTCGGTCGCGCATTAAACCCCAATGTTTGCATCTTGCTTGATGTTGGAACGAAACCGGAATCAACTGCCTTGTACCATCTCTGGAAAGCATTTGATCAGGACTCCAATGTAGCCGGCGCTGCCGGTGAAATCAAAGCCGGTAAAGGAAAGGGATGGGTGGGCCTACTCAACCCCTTGGTTGCGTCTCAGAACTTTGAATATAAAATGTCCAATATTTTGGATAAACCGCTCGAATCTCTGTTTGGGTATATCACTGTCTTGCCTGGTGCGCTGAGTGCGTACAGGTACCATGCTCTGCAAAACGACTCTACCGGCCATGGGCCCCTCAGCCAATATTTCAAGGGTGAGATGTTGCACGGGAAAAATGCCGATGTTTTCACGGCAAATATGTATCTTGCTGAAGATCGTATTCTATGCTGGGAGCTCGTTGCTAAAAGGGAGGAGCAATGGTTGTTGAAATTTGTCAAGAGTGCTGTCGGTGAAACCGATGTTCCAGGTAAGTTGATCTGTCAATTTCTTATTTCTTTAGTGATGGAACTCTCCCTGCTAACAACTAGAACTAGATACCGTGCCGGAATTCATCTCTCAACGTCGAAGATGGCTCAACGGAGCGTTCTTTGCAGCCGTCTACTCTCTAATTCATTTCCGACAGGTTTGGAAAACTGACCACACTCTCGCTCGCAAGATTTTGCTGCATATTGAATTCGTATATCAATTCGTTAGCTTGGTTTTCACCTTCTTCTCTCTGGTATGGACCGTCTATTTTGAAATCTATATAGTTAAGCAAAAACTGACGATTGCATCTTAGGCCAATTTTTACATCACATTCTACTTCGTCGCTTTAGCGGTGGCGGATCCGAAAGTAGATCCGTTTGGTCACGGAATAGCGAACGTCATATTCATTATTCTGAGATATGCCTGTGTTCTACTTATCTGCTTGCAATTTATCCTGTCCATGGGAAATCGGCCTCAGGGGTAAGTTTTGATTCATCCTCCCGCTTTATCTGAATACGTGCTTACTTTGATTAGTGCGAGGAAAATGTTCCTTAGTGGAATGATTGTATACAGTATCATCATGGTATATACGACGTTTGCCGGATTATATGTCGTCGTCAGCCAATTTACGTCTAAGTCGAATAAAGATAAGCTGGTTCTAGGTCAAAACGTGTTTACAAACGTGATCGTCTCGACTCTATCAACCGTTGGTCTTTATTTCATCATGTCGTTCATATACCTTGACCCCTGGCACATGTTTACCTCGTCCGCTCAATATTTTGCCCTGTTACCAAGTTACATCTGTACGCTACAAGTCTACGCCTTCTGCAACACCCATGATGTCACTTGGGGTACAAAGGGAGACAATGTCCAGCACACCGATCTCGGTGCGGCACGTACCACAGGCTCGTCAACGGTCGAGCTCGAAATGCCTTCTGAACAGCTTGATATTGATAGCGGATATGATGAGGCGCTTCGCAATCTTCGCGATAGACTCGAGGTGGAACAGCCACCAATACCCGAATCACAGATGCAAGAAGACTACTACCGCGCTGTCCGAACATACATGGTGTCTGTATGGCTGATTGCCAACGCCATCCTAGGCATGGCTGTGACAGAGTCATACAGCAACAAGCACATTGGAACCAATGGCTACTTGGCATTCGTGCTATGGAGTGTCGCTGGCCTTGCTGTATTCCGTGGCATAGGTTCTACTGCCTTTGCAATACTCAACGTCGTTCAGAAGGTTGCTGAGGGTAGGATGAAGTTTGTCGCTGGCAAATGTTCAAACGGTAGCAGTGCAGGCAGCTCTGGTGCTCCAAGTTCTGTTGGAAGACTTCCTAATAGAAACATAAAGGAGAAGGTCACCGACTGGTTTAGTGAAACTGGATGGACTGTGAAACGGCAGTTTGGAAAAGTGGCCTTTTGGAGGAAATGATGATTTCATTTGTTTTTTTTTGTCCCTTTTGTCAAAGATGTACACGAGGAGTTCTTGTTTAAAATTTCTGTGTGCATGTCGGGGATATGTACGCGCTACATGATCGCGGTCCCGGAGTTATTGGATTTGTTATGAGTATAGTTCATGTGTTTTTATGATGGTTGGGATTTATAAATTAATGATGTTCCATGTACGTACGGAGTAGTCAAACGAGATTCCCTCTAAAGACAAGAATCTATGATCTATCCATTGTATATACAAGTAAACCAACGCCCATCTATGAGCGTATCTATAAACAACGGGGTGCAGACCCCCAACGAAGAAAGTAGGAAAATTTACATGCTATCCTCTCTCCACTTACTTCTAGTCTTGTTCCAGGCTTCTTTATCCTCTCGGCCATGCGATTCATCCATACCCACTCCCAATCCCTTTTCAACCCACTGCTTACTCTCCATCTCAGCAAGACGGGATAGTGCTCTGGCAAATGCAAACCTCTCTTCGTCTCCGCTAAAGATTGAACTGGATTTAAGTTGGTCCATGGATAAGCCGAGGTCGTCCATGAGATTGCGCATATCGTCTTGTAGCTCGGAGTTGGTCGAGGATGCATCACCCTTTGAACTGGCTTCTTTTATATCGTCCTCTGATAGGAAAAGGTTACGTAGTGGGACAGCACTGGTGAGTACGAGCTTTGCCTGCTTTCCGCGTTAGATAAAGGAGCCTTATAAAGAATAATGATGTAGACACTTACCCTACTCTCGTACACTGCGTCAATGAAGGTAATGAACCTTCTGGCTAGATCTCGTTCGTGAAGGCCCATTGCCGGGACATCAGTGATGATGAACGAGTTATAATGGTTCATGAGTTCTATGTAGTCTGCCGCTCCCGTTGCTCGACCAATTATTTCATCGAATGCAAACCTCGCAGCTCTCCCTGAAGCCTGTGGTACAGGTACATCACGACCCCATACCTGATGGACAGCAGGGTGCGGAGGATCATCCTCGAAGTCACCGAGATATTTGAACCATTTCTCTGCATGGTGATCTGCCGCCACGCCTAGCGGGTAGTGATAGACGCCAGACGGCGGTCGAGGAATCTTGCGGTAATCCGTGGAAGAGTTGAGGTTTATAACAGTTAGTGCGGTCTTGAGCAGGTGGATACAGGGAAGAAACGACTGGCGCTGTATTCCGTTTTTATACAAATCGTCTGGATGGCGGTTGGATGTAGTTACGAGGACAACCCCGTGAGACATGAGACATTCTAGCAAGCGGCGTAGAATCATCGCATCAGCCACGTCGGTACATTGGAACTCGTCGAAGCAAAGAACGCTTGATTTCTCAGCGATATCTGCGGCGACGAAGGGGACTCCGTCAACGTCAGCGCCTTGCGTTGCTTTCACTGCGAATAACCGCTTATGAACATCTTGCATGAAGTTATGGAAATGTATCCTGGTCTTCGAGGTGATGTTTGGAGGAAGCGTATCATAGAAAAGGTCCATTAACATGGTCTTGCCGCATCCGACATCGCCATGCATATATAGTCCCTTGGGGAGGTTGGAAGGTATCTGCGTCGCCTCGGCTGGCTTGGGGGTATTATTGAAGAGTAAGCCGAAGAAGGAGGATTTGGGTGGTCCGGCATTTAGCGATTCAAGAGATGGATGAACTACGGCGGGCGCCTTATAGTCCAGCAGCATATCATGAAGGTCTTGGAGATGCTGGATGATTGCTGGTACAAAGTTAGTATATGTTCATACGTAGGTATATAACCAAGAATAGAATACATACCCCTCTGATGGTCGTCGTCCCTCAAATGGCCTGCCTCTACCCGGCTTTCGTACTCCTGCAGCGGCCCGTACGTCGCATCTGCTACTTTCCCTTTCCCATTCACGGCCGTCGCCATCGTCCTCGTCGACACACCATCCCTTCTCCTTGCCTTTATAGGTTGAATCGCATTCCGCGCGCTCGCACGAAGCAAAGACGAGCCTCCATAGCTTCTTATCTGTCTGCCAGCGGCAGCTCGACCTAAACACGATGCGCACACTGTGTTCGTCCTGGTCGATGTGGTCGCTGACGAGGCGTGAAGAGACGGCCGGAGCGCATGAAACGAGCGTATGGCAGGCCTCATCCTTTTCTTATATCCCCTCCTCCTCTCTATTTGCGAAACCGGCTGTTTATATCCACCTTCCAAGCCATGCAGTTATATCTATATCGGTTCGAATTGGACCGGCGGTCCCCAAGCATGGAATATAGGCGTCAACGAGGGAAGCGGTGCGTTTATTCAAGCCGTAGCATGCGACGTATAGCCTTTTAACGAAGGAGAGTCTGGATCTATATGTAGAGAGAGAAGAGCGAGAGATGCGACGTGTGTCTGTATATAATCGTATGGTTTAAATGTTGAATCTTCGAACTTCAAATGAAAACGCCACACTTTCCTGTTTGGGACTAGCGCTCCCGTGCTCTTGCCGAGGCTAAATATATAAAAGTAGAAGATATAAAGATGTAAAAGGAAGAAGTTATAGATTATAGAGTAAATAGTAAATAATAGATAGTTATTAGGGTAGAAGATACACATGCAATTCATCGCTGTCAGTATGAAACTTTTCCCCCGCTCCATTCCACAATAATACTTCAGAATACAAGAGGATGGTTCGTTAGATCGCCAGATAATGATAAAGGAGAAAACATGGAGAAACAAAATAGAATAGATTGAAATGACCATTAAGAAAAGAACAAGACCCTAGCAGCCATGACAGAAAGACATAGGAAATACAAAAGCGAAAGAGAACGTAAGACATTGGGATTCTAAAAACGTTGCATAAGCCATAGGAAAATTCACGCGTCAGTAAAAGGGGAAATGGAAAGGAAAGGAAAGGGGGAGCAGGTTAAATGACAGGTATATGCTGACAGAAAGGGTGTATCGGTAGATTTGAAAATATAGAACAGAGAGATGAAATGATAACAATAGAGAGAGAGATCCGAAGAAACGCCTCAGAGAGGAAAAGCAAAGAGGTATAAGAGGGAAACCCAGAGGATAAATGCAAGCAACATAGGGAAGCGGAAGCAGGAAGAAACGGGTGATAGGCGTAGCAGGTAATATGGTAATAGTAGCTCTAGACGAGAGATTATGCAATACTGACGTAGAGCATCAGCTTGGCGTTTCGGCGAATTGCAGTTTCCAAATCGATATCGTTTAGCAGTTCGACGAACGAGTTGGACGGTTCATCCTTGTATCGTACTACCATTCCTTCGTCGACCTTGAGACGATCTCTCAGTTTATCGACCAGTTGTCGCAGGCCGATGTCGTCCGGAACACGGATAACGATGATATCGTCCTGGAAGAAGACCTTGATCTTTATTGCGCCTGCGCTTTGGGAAGAGGGCATCTGGTTATTGAATGAGCTTCCCTGGCGGGACATCGATGGGGCCTGATTTTGCTGCTGCTGGCCAGGATAGCCTGGTGTTTGAGATACTGAGCCCTGGCTTCGTTGGTGGGTTGGTCGTTGGGACTGATGGTGGCCGGCTGGGTTGGCGCCGTTCATCTGCCCCTGGGAGGACTGTCGAGATGCGGTTCGCGATGGGTTGTGGCCTGAAGACTGCTGGGAGCCGCTGGAGAGTCGGTAATCGTCCGACATGACGGCGGGATCGATTTCGAAATCACCTGGTCGTGGTGCGAAGAGCTGGCGAACGAGCTGGCAGCGCGAGATGTGCGGTGGCATGGCGAGCAGTTGCTTTACGTATTCGTCTAGGCTCTGTCGTCGGCCGTTGGATATGGCGTTTGTGACCTGGGTTACGGGACCGGGCATGAATGGGAGAGTGCGTTGGCCGCCCCTGTTGCCAGCTTCGTCTTCAAACTTGGAGAGCAAGGCGATCTGGAAGTCGTAGAAGTCGTGGTAGTATCGAGCCAGCTCCCACCACCTACCGTCTTCCATCTGCACTTCGACGACATACCAGTATTTGTCGTTATCAAAACAGTACCGTGGGATCGATGCGTGGATCGGAATAGGGACTTGGTAGTGGCCTTGCTGCTGGTAGGCTTGTGGTTGCTGCTGCTGCTGTTGCTGCTGCTGCTGTGGATAAGCCTGCTGCGTCTTGCTCGGGTTTCGTTGATGATTCTAAGTCGGTCAGCGGTGTGATATGGCATGATCCAAGGTCTACTTACATAGTCGTTCCCGCTGGGACGTGAATTGTTAAGACTCATCCTCTCGAGATCCGCGGCCGCCTGCTGAGCTCCGTTCTCGAACTTGCCCAACGAAATCGAGCTATTCTTATATTCGGCCGTCATCTTCTTCCACTCCTCCACCCGGGGTACGCCAGCGCGCCTGACGGCCTCGAGTGGGTCGGCAGCAGACTTCCCCGTGGACATGTCTCTGATCTCGATAAAGGAAACCGGTATCAGGCCCGGCCCTCCCAATCGACCGATGGGCTTTGCGACAAACCATTCGGGGTTCGACTGCGCGATGACAATGATGGCCTCGCCGGCTTTGGCCTCGAGCTCGTCCGGGCGTTCGGCGTTGAAGTCGTACATGACGATGCCGTAGACCATGGCCCCCGAGCCCTTCCCTAAGGCCGACATGCGGAACTGGGCTGCCTGTTTGGTGGTGTTTGTTGCTTCTGGCGTGGCCTGGCTGCTGTCCGCGAAGCCCGAGTCGTGCGCTGCCTGTCTGGACTGCTCTGGCGGCGCATGCAGGGAGTCGCCGCTGTCTCGCTGGTTCTTGCCGATGACTTCGAAGAATGCTACGGGCACGAGTCCGCGGGCGTTGGGGAAGAGCGGGTTGCAGGCCTCGTACCAGTTCAGGTCGTCTTCCCTGCTTATGACGTGGAAGAAGTCTCCCTTGCTGAAGGCTAGTTCCTCTCGCTTATCGGAAGCCGGGCGGTAGTCGTAGAGCGCTTTTATAACCTGTTCAAGGTATGGAAGTAAGCAGAAGAAAGAGAGAGTTAGGAGAGATGGAGCGGGCCTCTGCAAGGAATCCACCGCCCGCCGCCGCCGCCCACCGGTCAGGGGTAGGGCGAGGGGGTTGAGCGCGAGCAGCAAGAAGCGAGACGGCCAGACGGCCGGACGAGACAACGAAGAGGGCGAACCTACCTTCTTGGGGGGCAGGATAGCAAGCGCCGACTTGGGCGTGATCGAGACATGCGACTTGTGGTCTTTCTCGCCCTTGAACGAGCGTCTGATGGCCTGTCGGGATTTGAAACCATGGGGGCGCTGGTTAGCCGCAAGCAAACGCATGGTCAGGCCAAGATGCAGGGCCACTCACCTTCATCGTGTCGGTCAGCGCGGCGTCGCGGTCGTAGCAGTCGCCGTGTGTTCAGAGCAGTGTTCGTTCGTTGCAGTGCAGAGGATGGTGGCAAGGCCTCGAGATGTTCCAGCTAAGCCCAAAGGTCGGAAAAAAGACTTAGTGGGAACAGAATGCTCCGTACGCTGGTCAAACAGCCGCCTGTCGTATTGCTGTAACCCTCAGTGTTTCGTCGACCTGATCTGCTCAACTGAGATGCTGTAGAGGATAGATGCTGTGCTGAAGACAGAAACTAGAGGATAGAGGATATGATGCTGGTATACTGAAGAGGACGATGCCGATATTAAGGTAGAGGTGAGGCGCAGGCCGTCAGTCGATCGCGGGGTGTTTGGCGTGCGATCTCTATCCTCGTCTAGACAGGGTTCCGCGATCGCGCTAGGCCGGCCGTATGGATACTCAGACTATGTAGTAGTTGTGATGTTTTGTAGTTGTAGTTGAGATGTAGTTGTAGTTGTGATGAGATGTAGTTGTGATGTAGTTGAAGTTGAAGTTGAGGTGTAGAGATGTAGTTGTTGAGGAGTCGCGATTTGGTGCAACTGCAAGTCGTGCCTGAGGCTGACAGCCCTGGACAAGAACAAGCTGGTCTACGTGCTACGAGGTGCCAGAATAAGATGATATGATGAGCTCCATTTCTATTCGTATAAACAGCAAGCCACCAGCAATATCGACCGGGAACACCCTGTCTCCTCCGCCTATCATCATATCCGCCATCACCAGCGTGATAGCCAGCTACCCCTGAGGAAGGCTGATTCGAGGGAAAAAAGAAAAAGAAAAGCCCACTCCGTGACTCGCATCGCGTGAGCCGAAGGAAGAGTTTTGCTTCCCGACTTGGCTTCCGTTTCATATCTCGGATCCGCCGCCCATACCATATATACCAAAAGGGACTCCAGACTCCGATGTGCAGTCGCAAGTCCATAGCCGTAACTCCGTCAGTCGCATGAAACAAGATGCTGGATATAAGTGAAGTGAATAGTGAAGGAGTAAAGTAAAAAGTAGATAAAAGAGATCGATCGGATGGAGTTATATCTGGCCCTTGATGTCAATGACTCTGTGGGCATCGTTCTTGGCCTGCTCGAAAGCGAGACCGCATTTTCCGGTGAGAAGCTTGACGCCGTCGGCCCTCTCTTGCAGCAGGTGCTCTGCAACATGGTCCAGGACGAACCGCGCGCTCTGCTCGTCAGACTCGAAGCCCAGTTCCTCCGTAATAAATCTTATATTCACCTCAGGTTTATACCTACGCTGGTCAGCCATATCATATGCAAGTAGAAAGGGAGACTCACGCTTTACAGATGCAGGCAAGGGCGGAGAGACGCTCGCGCTCGACGAACATATCCATAAGATACGCTCCCATGTTCGGGGTGTCGAGGTAGAGCTGGAAGAAACGGTGGTAGTTGCCGAGGGCCAGGGCAGAGCGGACCTCGAGGGCATGGCTGACGGCCGGATCAGCTTTCTCTGCGGGGGTTAGATCTGACAGGGCGCTATTGATCGCTGTCCGATTGCGGGTGTAGATGAAATAAAGAATACGATACGCTTTAAACTCCATGGGATGTCCGCCTAGTTTCATCGGGTATAACCCTTGAAGCTGCGTCTGGCACTGGTTATACTCACCGAGGTCGCCCTTCTCGAGCGCGATGCGGGCGTGGATCTCATACACGAGCACGGTGAACTCGTTCTTGATGTGCTGCACCGTCAGATCCTGTCTGAGCGACTTGAACTGGTCGCAGATGTAGCCGTAGTTGTTCTCTTGCTTCCACTTCTTCTTCAGCATGTCGAGGGTCTTCCTCAGCACTGGCAGCGGACGCACATTGTCCGGGTTAGGAGCGGCTGTCAGGCGGAGATATCGCTTCTCCAGCGCCTGGCTGCGCCCGATGACCGGTCCCTCAGGCGTCTGAGAGCCGTCGTCGTGCGGGGAGTAGGTTGAGGGGGACTTGAACTTGGTAGGGGAAGAGGAAGTTTCAAACCGTCGTTTCCTGCTCTCTAGATTATTGTTAAACTTACTGCTTGATGCCATCTTGCCGTCGCTCTCCAGTCGTCTGCGCTTGTCCGACTCGCTGTCGTGGAATTTACCAGTTCTCCACGGCGGCGGCTCGTTCGTTGCTGCTGAGACAGAAAACTGACACCTGGTGTCGAGTTCCGTGCTGATATCAGCGGACTTTCTCTTGGGCGAGGGCTTGTCGTTTCCGCCTGGTCCGATAGACAGCATGTCCGTCACCGAGGCGAGGGCGGCGTTCCTTTCGTCCTGGATGATTTGCTGGGGCAAGGGGAGGGTCTTCCAGTCGATGGCTCCCAGGTGGTTAGTCTCCGCGGCTCCGGTGATGATCTGCTTCAGTTTCTCTTCCATGTCGGCGCGGGTTATCCCTGGGATCTGGCGTTCGGGGACGAAGCTGCGCTGCACGTAGTCCCGGACCGTGGCCGGCCACTCGACCCGTTTACGCATCTCGGTGGCTGTTGTCGAAGCTGCTTGTGAGGATGAGTTGCGGGTCAGAGTACGACGCGCCTGGACTGGAGTATAAGCGGTGGCTATGAATGTTAGCAGGATGAATGAATTATCGAGGAGTAGACATACCAGTAGAAGCGGAACGCCACGGAGGAGTTGCTGTGTTCATGACGTATAGCTACGAACGCATCAAATGATAAGGAGGTGATGAAGTTATGGTGATGAAGGTGAGATGATGAAGTGTTGAAGTGAAGATGTTGAAGTGAAGATGTTGAAGTGAAGATGTTGAAGTGAAGTGAAGAAGTTGAAGTTGGATGAAGTGTGTTTCGCTTCACTTTGGCTTAGCGCCACCCATACAACATATACAACATAGACACATAACAGCATAACTGATAAATATAACGAGGATAGAGGATAGAGGATAGAGAATAGAGTACAGGAAAGAAGATGAGTGCTAGATGTTCTTCCAACGTGTCGACCTCACCACCGCCCTCCGCCCGTCTCTGCTACCAGATGAAAGCCTGCTCTTCGTCCAGGACGCCGTCGGGCTGTATGAAGGGTGAGCATCCAACTCCAGCAAGAAGAAACACTCTAACAGGCATAGGAAATACAAAATACCCAACTACCAGTGTGGCCATGCCTACCTGACCTCTCATCGGATATGCTATGTCGACGTCGAGGACCGCCAGTGTTCCGTCGCCATCGACCTGAAAGATGTAGACCGCATCGAGTTTCAGGTATCTCTCTATCTATATTTATATCTATATTGACTATGTGCACTGTATATTAACTACGTGTAGGCGAGGTTTTTGAGGTCTTCGCCCAAGATCAGTGTGCTGCCGAAGAAACGGCGTGCTCGACAGGGCATCTCGTCTGCACCGCACTCGTCGCCTCTGAGGGTGTCTTCGCCGGCAAGGACAGGCAGCATCGGTGGCATCGGCAGCATCACCAGCGATGGCAGGACGGCGACGTGGGTGTGTCCGATATGCTCGTTCTCCAACCCGGTGCCGTCCAACTTTGACCCGTCTGCGACTGCGACGGCCATCCCGCCGTGTCTGGCGTGTGGCATCAAGCCGCCTCTCACCACCGTCTTGAAAGCCGCCATCGCATCCGCAAGGCCTCCTCCGACACCTGTATCTACATCTACACCTATATCTGCATCTACACCTACGACGTCTACGACGTCTACGGGGGAGGCCTGCCCGAGATGCACGTTTGTTAACCACCCGTCCCTCCAGGAATGCGAGATATGCGGTGCAGGACTGCAAGCGTCGAGCCGCGGCAGAAGCCTCTCGCCAGGCCGGGCAGGCTCTCCGGCACCCTTCCTCACCTCGTCGAGACAGCTGGAGAACACCGAGATAGTCGAGTGCATCAAGCTCTCGTTCCGAGCAGGCGGGGAGCGAGCGTTCCACGAGCGACTGAAGGGGGCACTCATCCAGCGCAAGTGGATTCTGCAGGACGCTCCCCCCATCCCCAAGTCGTTCAAGCCGTCGGCCGGAGACAGGCTGGAGGGCGGCGGCGGTGACACGACACTATCCACGGCACGATCCACGGCCGTTGGGATTGCCGGTCTGGAGCGACGAGGGCTGGAGACGAGAAAGAACAATGAGGCGGTGATAGGCGGCGCCTTTGAGGACCTGGAAGCGCTGATGGCCTCCGCCAAAGAAGTAGTCGCCCTGGCTGAATCCTTCTCGCGCGCCGAGGAACAGGACGAGTCGCAGTCACAGTCTGCCGTCCAGTCCGCCGCGGCGCTGGGCATGGTCACGACCAAGGACATGCTCGGCTCAACCTCGAGCCTGTACATCTCCGAGCTCTCGCGCAACCTGGCCGAGTACCTCACCGACGAGCGGCAGGCCATCCTGCCCCAAGCCGGCGGCATCATGAGCCTCATCGACCTGTGGGCGGTCTTCAACCGTGCCCGCAACGGGGTCGAGCTGGTCAGTCCCACGGACTTCTTCGCCGCGGCCGAGCAGTGGGAGAAGCTGAGGCTGCCGGTCCGTCTGCGCCGGTTCAAGAGCGGCCTGCTGGTGGTGCAGCGGCACGACTGGACGGACGAGCAGACGCTCCGCCAGCTAGAGGCCTGGTTCGAGGAGCTACGGCGCGTCGCACCCGAGAGCGAGGTGGCCTGGGACTGGCGAGCGTACGGACGGGGGGTGACTGCGTACGAGGCCGGGCAGCGCTTTGGCTGGAGCGTCGGCGTCGCGAGCGAGGAGCTGGAGATGGCGGAGGACCGGGGCTTGCTCTGTCGCGAGCAGGGCATCGAGGGCCTCCGCTTCTGGTATAACCATCTCCATCCATAACTATAACATGGACTATCAGGCTAGAGGCTGTTAAATTGCGGCGGCCCGAAGTAATCTATCCCTGCATTAACACGAGGATCGACGCTCTTTTCTTTCTTTTTCTTTCTTTTTCTTTTATTTTTTCTTTCTTCTTTCGTCTTTCTTTCTTTTTCCTGCCGTGTGCATGCCCATAGCCAACATCCAACGGTGACAGGCAGGAGACAGGCAGGCAGGACAGGGAGACTGACAGGATAGATGGACAAGTATGCGGATATAGACAGGGACCGTATATCTCTCCTATTCTCCTATAGCCTTGACCATGACCACGACGTATCTTCTCCCTATACATCTCCCTTCTCTTCTCTTCTCCTCTCTGTATCTCTGTATATCCTTCTTCTCCTCTCTGTGTCTGTCTGTATCTCTGTCTGTATCTCTGTCATCCTCTTCTCCGTGTATGTATATCCGTACTCCGTATAGTCTGCACTAGACCAGGGGCCGTCAGGGGTCGTGGATGTTACATCGCTGCGTTGGCTTCCTCCTCCTCTTAGCGAGGCCCTAGTGGTTATAGCCTTCTTCTTCCTTTCACCTTGACTCTATCCTCTCTTCTTTACCTTGACCTTCTCTCTTCATCCTCTCCTCCTCTCCCCTCGACTCTCCTTTCGTCTCTCGTTTGTCCCTCGTTCGCCTCTGGCACCACGCTCTTTCTGTAAGCGCCCATCACCCCATACGCATCATCACCATACGCATCCCATCGCACCACCACATCAAAGCACCACATCAAAGCACCATACGCATCACATCAAAGCCGTGAATAGTCGCTGATAGTCTCGTGTCTCAGTTCCCGGTCATAATAATAGAACGCTGCGGTTGATGTACGGCCCCAACTCCACCCTAGCCTCCTTTCTTTCATCCTCTTCTCTTCATCCTCTCGACTTCCCATCTGACCATCGCAGGGTATGATCGTAGGCGCCGTCGAGGCATCAGTCGCTCTTTAGGACCAGTTCCATCACGCTCTTTACCTTATCCCATACCATAATTAATACCATGCGCCCGTCTACCCTCCTCGCGGCCCTGCTCGCCGTCGTCGCCGTCGATGCGGTCGACCCAGCCGCCAACAGACCACAGTACTACTTCCCTCGCCTCGTCAAGCGCGAACTCGACCGCACGCCATGGAACAAGCCCAAGAGAGAGGTCGTCGTCGTGCCCGTCACCGTCCAGGTCAGGCCAGACGGCAGCATGGTCACCCTCAGCGACAGGCCTAACGTCTATAACGCCGCCATGCAGCCTACGGGCGCGTCCCCGAAGGATACCACCGTCTCGACCACCACGACTTCTGCGGCCACTTCTGCGACGTCCAGCTCAGGCGACACGCCGGCGACCAGCTCGCCCAGCCAGCCTAGTCCGGGTGGCAGCAGCAAGATGAAGGGTCCGGGGAACACTCCAACTGCCACTCCAACGGGTACGGACACGACTCCAACGGGTACGGACACGACTCCAACGGGTACTCCAACTGCTACTGAGACGCCTGTCTACACTCCGCCGACTGAGTCTAGCTCCAGCTCCAGCGTACTCATACCGCTCCCCCCGATTCTGACCCAGACGGACTCGGAGACCTCGCACACCATGCCCACGGAGGCTACTCATGCTACAGATGCTACTTATACCACGCCAGAGGCATCTCATACCACGCCAGAGCCAACGAGACCAACTGGACCAAATGAGCCGAAGATGCCTACCATGTCTCCCTCTGAAGGTATCAGCCATACCGGACCTGCGACTGGCCCCAGCAGCGGCATCGAACTGCCTACTCTCCTGCCTACTCTGGTTCCTACGTCGGCCACAGAGTCTCCAGTGCCAAACACCACCAACACGATGACTGGACCTGCTACTACTGCCATTCCTACCACCACCGGCGGCTCTGAAGGCATCACCTACACCGGTGGTGGTACGGGAACTTCTGCTCCAGCCTCCACCGGTATCCTGCCTACCCTGCTCCCCATTCCGTCAAGCTCTGGCACTGAAACGGGTACTAACACTGCTACCGGCACTGCTACTGCAACGGGTACTGCTACCGGCACTGAAACTGGAACTGGTACTACTGCAACTGGAACGGCCAGCACTTCAGGCCAAATCTCCATCTCTATTCCAATTTCCATCTCTGTCACTGCGTCTGCCACCAACACCGGCAACAGCACCGGCACTGACTTCCCTACCTACACGCCAACTGGAAATCCTGCCACCATCACCGGCTCTGGCACCGGCACTGCTACAGGTACTGCTACTGGCACCGGAACTATGACTGGCACTGGCACTATGTCTGGATCATCGAGTCAGCCTACAGAGACGTCTGTGACTTTCCCCTCGCTCTCTATTCCCTCAGGAACAGAGACTACGGCCACCGGCACCGCTCCCTCGTCCAGCAAGTCGGGTGTCTTCCCCCCTTCCACCATGATGAGCGGAACAGGAGTCACTCCCACGCCCACCGGAAGCTCGTCGACCAGCGCATACTCCTCCACTCACTCTGGCTCCGGGTCTACGTCAGACACTGCCTCGGAAACCACCATCGTCAGGCCCTCCACGATGCAGACGGTCACCACCACCCGCCCTACCTCCTCGCCCTCGCCCACCACCACCGCGCCCATCTCGACAAACACCGAAACCACCCTCTCCGTACCAACCTCGATTCTCATCCAGACCTCCACCGTCACCACCTCGACCGTAGCAACCCAGTCGCCCAAGCCGCTCCCACACATGATCTCTCCGCCAAACGCCCAGCCACCACCTCCAAACTCCCTCCTCATCCAGCTCGGTTTCAACGCCTCCCTCTCCTACGAATTCATCTCTGGAAACACCGACGCCGTTGCGCAGGTCATCAAGTACGTTCCCATTGGCGTTTCCTACGGCCTCGACGTGGACACCCCGTCCACCCCCATCGCCGGCATCAAGCCCTACGACCTCGGCACCAAGAAGGGATACACCACCGCTACCGTGCTCGTCTACATTCCCAAGGATCTGTACAAGCTGCTCGCCTCCAGCCTGATCACCGCCACGTCCAAACTGTACTCTAACCCAGACACCTCCGTCCGCACCATCATGAGCATGATCGATCCCACCATCCCCCTCCTCCCCGGCGGCGCGTCCGGCCCTGGAGGCAGCGGTCCAGGCTACCCTTCCACCGCTCCCGGCTCAGGCGGTAGCGGCAACGGCTCTGGATCCGACGGTGAAGACAAGGGCGCCGGTCCAGGAGGCTCCGGCGGCTCTTCAGGCATCAGACCCAGCTCTGTCGGTATCGGCCTCGGTGTCGTCGGCGGTGCAGCCCTGTATGGAGCAGCCATGTTCTTCGTCGCACGCAGATACAGGAAGAAGCGCAACCTCCACCGCCGATCGGACTCCCTGACCAGCGGCATGGGAACTCCATCACCATACCACGACGACCGCGCCGGCAGCCCGGTAGGCAACGCAAGTGTAGACGATAGGTATTCGAGAGCTGGTAGCGGCCGCACGGCCCAGATCAGTGCCCCCGTCATGGCAGAGAACTCGCTAGGCTGGAATTAAATCCGTCTTCCCTTTTTCTCAAGGCCATCTATAGGAGCCATCTATGCATGGGAATCCTCTAATCTTATCCTCAACTCTCTACATCTCGATCCACCTTAACCTTCTGTACTTGCTTTACGTGTCGACGTTTTTTCTTTCTCTTCATAGATAGCCGGATTTGGCGGCAGCTACCTACCCTCCGTACTCTGGTCAGCTATCAAATTTTTGTACCATCAACGCTCCCTGACAAAAAACCATCACCACCACGGATCTACAGTTAACCCCCTAGTTTGCATTGCATTCCAGTTCCCTAACTTCTACCCTCTACCTTACCTTTATCCCGTTTCGTATGTTTCCCTCGATCTGCCGTTACTTACTTCTATTCTCCCCCTTTACCTCCTTATTACAATATAACTTTAGCCACTTTACTTTACTTCTTCTGGCTACATGGTACCTTACTTGGCACTCCTAGATGCTTTTTTCTTTTTATCTTATGGCTGTATGTAGCACACATGCATTGTTCTTATGTCTTATCGTAGCCTCTACCTAAACATATACGTAGTCATGAAATCAAAGTGGACGGCGGAGAGCCTTCTCTCCCATCTCTCCTACGGATACTATACCCAAGACCAAGAAACGGTCGCCGTCTCGATACGCAACTCGGTCGAGCAGCCATCGCTTCTCCCCCGCGAGCAGGACAGCGAGTACGATACCTCGACCTCCTCGCTCGGCTCGCTGGACCATCTATCCCTCGAACTCCTACATCTCATCTGCGAGAAACTAGACGTCCAGTCTCTCGTCCGCCTATCGCAGACCTCTCTCCGCGCCAGAGCCGTCGTAGGCTCGTTCCCAGTCTACCAAGTGCTTCTCAAACATGCCAGAGCAGCCCTGACCAACCTGGCCGATACAAGACTGCTCTCCTTCCACCCAGCTACAACAATCTACTCCGCCCTCGTCTCCTCAGAGTGCATCTCATGCAAGAAATCAGGCGCTTTCTTCTTCCTCCTTACCTGTCGCCGGGTCTGTTTTCAGTGTCTACGCATCAACCCCGCGCTGTGGGTGATACCGGTCAAATTCGCCAGAAAGTGCTTCAAGCTGGATGATTCCCTCACCTTTCCTCCACCGGGTATGCCGGTCATGTATATCGGATCCAGACAGAGGCCCGTAGGCTTCGTCAGCGCGAAATGCGCACGACAGTTCTCCCTCTCCGTCCACGGGTCGATGGAGGAAGTTCATCGTCTCCAGGCCGCGGACGGTATGCATGCCTCTACGCTGATGGAAGGGTACTTTATGCAGTTTCTACGAGACGCGCCCCTTCAACCATTTACGCCAGTGATGTTATCGTCTACAGGCTGGTGGGAAGAGATATCTGAGTTCTACGTCGTGCTGGCGCAGGATCTGCCTGCTAATCGGGGCTGTTTGGTATTTCCGCCTTGGTCCGTTGCCGATGGGACGGTTGCGGATGGTCTTTGGTGTCGTGGCTGCTCTCGTATGGTGCCATTGTATAGACATGGTAAGCTTAGCTATGCGGTGCTGTCGAACATCATGCCTGATCTGCCGCCGGATGGCATCGAGACTGTCGAGGCGCTGTACGAGCGGGCGTCCTGTGCGAGATCGAAGGAGCAGTTTTGGAAGCATGTTGCTACTTGCTGGGGGACGAGGGAGGATATGCCTGATATCGAGCAGGTTATGAGACAGCTACACCTCTACGAATAACCACGATGCTCAGATGTAGTCAACAGGGCTCCTGTCGTTGTATATTCATTACTCGTATATTAAGAACAGATAATAAGAAAGCGCTTTTTGTTCTGCGAGAACGCAAAAGGCGACCAAGGAGAATCGAAGCAGAAAGGATCAAACATGCAGTCATCGCTGAAGGAAAAAGGGAAAGAGAAAAGAAATAGTCATGGCAGCATGAAAACGAGAAAACTAAGCCATAAAAGATAGACGAAAACAACCCATGCCGGCCAAGAAGAGCAGACCAGGGCCGCGAGAAGAATGGCAGGCGTATACGACGAGACAAAGCAAAGCGACGGCGAGCATGGTCTGGCCGACAACGACCTTGCGACGGACGCAGCGCTGCCTTTCCGAGATCCTCCCTCTGCTCGCCAACTGGCTCAGCTCCGTCTGCTGATGCCTTTAAGTTCGACCTCGCTGTAACCATCGTAAGCAGCGGCCAGATTAACCATGCGCTCAGGGAGAACGGAAAGCGGAAAACGGAGCAGAGGGCGGGCGCGTATTTCGTACATGCAAGGGAGACGGGACGAAACGAATGACAGAGGGAGAAGGATGGGAAAAGGGGGCAGGGTGGGGGTTCAGTTCGGGGAGATCATCGATTATTCTCCGTCGAATGAGAGATGTATGTAGCAGAGAAGAGAGGCGGGGAGAACTGAAAAATGGACGGGCAAGGATATCCAAGGGCGTCCTGCATAGCCGTCCTCGTCCAATGCGAGACACCCTGGCAGGTCACCAGGTGATGAAGATATAGAGACGAAATTGAGAGAGGATGAAGATGAAATTGAGAGAGTGAAAGAGAGAGACTTACAAGACGAGTGTAGAGTTCGGTGGTATTAGTCCGGGGAAGCCACTACGCCAGTTAGCAGTTAGCAATTAGCAGTCAACGCCACGCAGCCTGATGCTGTTGGGCATGCAGTTATTCACGGAGCCATACCGGTCGCCATATGCATAATCCCTAATCCAGTCAGCCTGATACGTGGACCGCTATACAGATATACAGATATACAGATATACATACCCGCTGATGGTCAGTATGCACTTCTCGCCAACTGTCATGTTCATCACGCCCTCGTCCCAGCCTAGGAGATGTTAGACCGTGTCTCTCGTTGATAGTGGACAATTCATACCTCGAATGACCTTGCCGATGCCAATTGGAGTCTTGAACTCTCCTCGGTCCTGTGACGAGTCGAACCTGGAGCGAGTGCGCATGAGCAGCAGTTCTACAAGAGAGAGGACAAGAGGCCGACATACTGTTTCCCCATGTTGTGGTATGTGGCTCTGCTGGGGTCGTAGAGACAGCCGCGATAGTCGATGACAACCTCGTCCCCCTTGATGGGCCGGTCGACGCCGTTGCCGTTCCTGAGGACTGTCTTGGTGACGCCCATCTCTGTCGCTGCCGTCGTGGGTATTATTGTAGTCGACGTATTAATATTATGTATAGGTATAGACTGTATGCGTCAATTATCGCTATAACGATGCAACGAGGGTGATTATGACGATGACAAGACGACGACTGAATATTGAGATGACAATATTGAAGATTGAGATTGAAGATATGACGGAGCAGAGGTCCAGGCGACACACTACTCTATATATCTGCTGCTCGCGCCTGGCTCGGTCTTTTTCTTTTTCCTTTTCCTCTCTCTTCCTTTTCTTTTTCCTTCTGCTTTTTTGTATTTTGTATCTTTTTTGCAGCGTAGACGTGACTAGCGAGTGACAGGGAACAGCCCACGGCGGGTGGGAGGGCCCAGCGAAAGCCAAAAGTCTGGGGCAGAGAACAGCCGCAGGGTTTCTTCGTTGCAGGTGGCTGCGCTGGTCACTGCTAGTTGGTGTTGATAGAGTCCGGGGACGCTCGCTCAGACCACGGATAGACGTAGACAGATGTAGACATCACCAGCTCTGGCAGACTGAGTATCGTATGTAGCCATCAGACTGTAAACCTGCCATCGACATCGTCATCGCCGTCATATGTTATATCGTATATCGTCAGTCTCCTGTCTATCTCCTATCTCTGAGCCGCGAAGCTTGCCCCCATCCTGTTCCCTGCTGGACGTTCTAGATCGATATCCACCTGGTGTTTTTAGTTTCTCCTGTCGCAGGGGCCGCGAAGTCACAAGCCCGTCCTATAGAACGATGGATGCACCGTGTACATGGCCCTTGGCGAGTATCCCGGCTACGCGAGGACTGCTTCCTGTCGCGTGTGGCGTGAAGCCCCAGATCGACCACGGAGAAGGTGAAGTTGCCATATGCAATGGCATCGACATACTCCGTACATCAAGTGGCATCCTTCTCTGGTAACCAGTCAGCATCGTTTCGTGTAGTCTCTTCGTCGTTGTCGATAGACTTGTATGAACATAGCTCGGAGTTCCCTTTGTCCGACTCCAGTGTATATACGAGCGCCTATATCCCAATGTACATGCAGGTATAGCCTTGGTCGGTCCCAGAATATGTCATCGTAGGCCAATCTTCAACCGTCCCATGGGATGCACTGGCCTCGAACTCTCCTCTCACGCTGCAGACAGACATCCGTACAGTCGACGGACGATGGACGATGGACGCTGGGCCCGGGATCGATGCAAGCCACCTCAGCAAGACAGGCATAAGGGCCGGACGACGTGTTTATGCCTGTCGCTATCGTCTAAAAGGAGTAAACGACCACCTTCGATCGGGGTTATCACATTTATCCTGTCTTCATGGTCTGGCCTCCTGCACTCACCCTCGCATCCTGTACATCGCAAGCCTGAGCACTCTGGCGCGTAGGTATCAGCGCCGGATCATGTCCCGTCCTCCTGTAGCTTTGGACATGCACGTAATGACGCTCAGGCACTGCTCTCAGCGTTGATCTGTATATCCCCAGTATACGGAGAAACCCGTCTCTTGATATCCCTGCCTTTTCGCCTTCGACCTCCACGCAACTCGGCCCGCATGTATAAATAGCGGAAGACGGGTGGCAGCTGGCTGAAACTAAAATCGAAAGCGGCAGTCCATCACGCTGTCTATACATGCAGTATATCCTTCGAATCCATCTGGCCGGAGACGAGGGAGCGGTTCCAACTCGGTGCTGTCGGTGGCCTCCCTGCATCCGTAACGTTGCCGTCGACGATACCAGATATCCCGGTTGGCAGCTGAGGGTGTACGCCGGTGTCTAAGAGATCTAGAATTAGTTCTGGGCCCAGATCGGAAGCGAGGAGGTGATACCGCATGCTGGTGAGGCTGCCTATCGCTGCAAACGTAGAAGTCTGTCGCCAGTTTATAGATGCTGTCTGTCGTCGGAAGCTTGCGAAGACGATCGGCGTCTCTCAGGGTTGTTTCCTTGATCCTAACGATACTCTAACTGAGCCGCTGTCTATCAGTGCATTGATATTAACGGTGATAGTCCTTCTGATATAGTCCACTTAGCTACCCTTTGATCGCCAGTCTGGACGGACTACGTTACTATGGCCGGGTATTGCTTATAGCGTGTGGAGTCTGCATGGATGCAAGTCATCTATGCACAGTCCGTGGATGCAAGGAACTAGCTAAAGCACGGTCAATAGATGCGCCACCTCGCATGTGTAGGATTATGCTGTTAGGTTATGTGTTAGGGGTTATCTTGTTAGGATTATGCTGTTAGGGGTTATCTTGTTAGGGTTATGTGAGGTATGAGGAGACAGAATATATACGATATCTAATATTAAAGTCCATTGGATATATAAACAATAAAGTGCAAGTGCAAGCAAATATCAACACATGAAGAACCAATACAGTATACTCTTAACAGAACATCCGTGAAAGTCGGTGTTTAAGCGCTGGAAGGAAGCCCTGGGGACGAGGATACTCGGTGTCGTCCCACTGCTCGGCGTCGCATTCAAGACGGCCAGAGTCCAAATCAACTTCGTACAGGTTGATGACCTTAGTTTTAAACCAGAGCTTGTGGCCGACGAACAGGACAACGAAGAGGATCAAGCTGACGTATGCGATGAAGAAATTGGAGGTGTTCCATGGAATGAAGGCGGTGAAGCCCTGGGTGAAGATGATGAGGATGTTAAAGAAAAGGCCGTAGTAAGCTAGGAAGGGCTGGAGGGGGGCCTGGTAAGGTAGGCTTGTTCTGTTGATGTTGCGAGCAGCAAGGGCTTGCATGAAGCGAATGTGGCAGCCGTTGATGCAGGACCAGGAGATGAAGCCGGCGATACTGCTGATGTTCAAGAACCAGCCGAAGACGGTGCCGCCGTTGTTGGAGAGGTTGAGGAAACCGAGGAAGCCCATGGCGGAGGTGACCATGACGGCCATGATGGGGACACCGCCCCTGGTGGTCTTCATGAAGAATTGGGGTGCGCAGCGCTCGCTGGCGAGACCGACGAGGATACGACTGCCGCAGTAGACGTTCGAGTTGGCGGCGGAGAGGACGACTGTGAGGAGGACGGCGTTGATGATTCCGGGGAGGGTCTTGACGCCCGCGAGCTTAGCGGCGATGACGAAGGGAGAGGCAGAGGCATCGGTGTTGCTGGAGAGGAGGTTCTCGTTGGTGTGTGGGATGACGATGCCGATGAAGAAGACGGTCAGGACGAAGAGGAAGAGGATTCGGTAGAAGGTCTTCTTGATGGCGGAGGGGACGGCCTTGCGAGGGTTCTGCGTCTCTCCGGCCGCGATACCGACCAGCTCGGTGCCCTGGTACGAGAATCCGGCTTGGACGAGGACAGACCAGAACCCAAGGAACTTGCCGAGCGAGATTCTATCCTTGCCGATGACATTTAGCAGATACGGGGCAAACGCGCCTGGATCCTGCCAATACTTGAAGCCGATGTAGCCCTGGTCACCGACGCCGGCGTTCATGCAGATGGCGAAGAGCATGAAGCCGATGACGGTAATCACCTTGATGGAGGAGAACCAGAACTCGACCTCACCGTAGAAGTTGACGGGCAGGAGATTGAGCGCGGTGATGAAGGCCCAGAAGACGCCGATGAAGATGGCGACGGAGAGGTTCGGGTTCCAGAACTGGATGATCAGACCGGTGGCCGTGAGCTCGAGGGCGAAGGTGATGGCCCAGGAGAACCAGTATATCCAACCCATGGCGAAACCGAGACTGGGGTCGACGAAGCGGGTTGCGTACGAGGTGAAGGCTCCGGGGATGGGAATGTACGTCGCCATCTCTCCCAGCGACGCGATGACCGAGAAGACGATCGATCCGACGAAGGCATATGCTATCAGCGCGCCCGCAGGCCCGGATTTCGCCAGAGCAGAGCCACTACCAATAAACAGTCCAGTTCCAATCGTTCCACCTGTCGTCGTTAGCAAATAGCCAAAGAAGTAGTTATTCAGGAAGACCTACCGATGGCAATCATCTGCAGATGCCTGCTCTTGAGTCGCCTCTTGAGCTCGACCGCATTGCTGACGGCATGGTGCTTCTCGAGGTCGACGACGCCGGCCTCCTTGTTGTAGGCATCGTCCTGCGTGATATCGTCTACTTTGCCCATCCTGACTCGCTTGTAACAACCAACGTCAACGGCAGCGTGAGAAGAGTCGCAGACGAGATCAGGGCGGGGGACGATTCTTATGGTGAAGAGAAAATCCCCACTGGGGAGAAGCGCCGGGTATGGGTATGGGTATGGGTTCAAACAGACGGCGAACAAGCGGCCGAAGAGTTTTCCAGCAAGATATCAGACGGGACACCCCAGTTGCCAGGCTTCAGGCTGTAGGCTCACTCGGTTCAAACTTATTCTTGTGGCGAACCTGATATACCTAGGCCAACATACAACATGGACTAACATGCCATCGACGTCGCAGTCGCATCGAGCATCAGATTGGTTCTTCCATCTCAACGGAGAACCCCCTATCCCGTCGTGACTTGGTCGTCCTCGTATCCCCGGCCTGATCCCCCACATACGCTGGCTTCGCTAATTCATTCCCCGTTTCACCTGGGATCCTTGCTTCCCGTCCATCGGGCGTGACCACTTACGCCCTTTGGTGCCGTGAGGTGCGCCAGGCCGGTGGTGGGAATGCGGAGAGCCGGCGTGATAGGCGGGCTAAATATGGCGGACAATAGCGTGTTTCCCTGTCAGTAGTGGACGCCGCTGGAGGGTTGGTAGAGTCAGGGATGGACCATCTATGGGGAGGGGCTCGTTCGTACATTTAATTGAGGCAGGATATCTACATGGATGGCTACATGGCTGTTACTCCGTACATGCATGGCCTTGGTGATGCGACCTGCGACTGCGCCTGTTATCATCTGCTCTCCGTGTACGGAGTATATGCAGGGGACGGGACAAACCTCCCGGCGAAAGACCAAAAGAAGGCATAACCGTTACCTAATAGAGGCCGTTGGCCAATTGTCGAGGGCCAGAGACTATGTACAAACGACAACCATGTGCTTATCACCGAGATGGACCAATCCTCCGTTCACCCTTGCTGGTTCCAGAAATTCTCTCGCTTAAGGTCCTCCACGCTCAGGCTGCCTAGCTTAGTATGGGGAAATCGAGTATCGAGGACCGCGGCGGACGAATCATCGGGGCTGTAGGAGAGATAGTGCATCGTCGAGATGCCAGTAGCGTCCAGGAAGTCGAGGACGCGGTGGTAGTTCAGTCCGACCTGGGCCACGCCATGACTGTCGTCCGAGAGGCAAAAACGGCCCCCGCGAGCAAGGAATTCCTATTAATATCAGCCAGTACTCGATATATAAAGAATATACCCCGTAGATAGTGTTTACCTTGCATATCTCAGCTTTGGGGTAGGGCTCGCTCATGCCCTTGCGGAGACTGGCAGAGTTGAGCTCGATGAGGCCGCCATACTCGGCGATGAAGTCGAGGTTGCGCAGGATCTTCTGCCAGATCACCGGCCACTGCGTGAAGCTGCCGTCTGGGTCGTCGCTCTTCAGCCGTATCAGGTCCAGGTGGCCGACGACGGGCGGCCGGAGCTCCTGGAGCATCGCGAGCTGGTCGTCAAAGTACGTTTCAAACAGCTTCTCGTCTGTTCCGCCGGACTTCTCCCGCGCCTCCTGGTAAAGTGGGATGTCGTAGTCGATCGGGATCGTGTGTACATGATGGACAGACCCGACGAAGAAGTCGAACGAGTAGCTCTCTAGCGATCGCTTGATCAAACCGAGCGACGATGGCCTGATCCAGTCGATCTCGAATCCGATCGGAATATTCACCTGTAGCTTGTACTTCTCCCGTAACCTTAGCGCTTCCTTGAAGTAAGCCGCTTCATTCTGAAACCCTTCTTCTTCCGTAAAGGTCTGTGAAGTTCGTGTTAATATCGTGGCTCTTTTCAACCGTCGTGGCTGTGGCCCTCTCACCTCTTCCGGGTAGAAATCTATCTTCTCCCGAGGCATATGTTCGGACAGGCAGAACACGCGCATCCCTTGCTTGATTGCCGTCTGGATGACTTCTTCCAGCTCATCTTTGGCGTGGCCAGGGCAGAACTGGCCCGAATGGCTGTGGTGAGAGAACGGCATCTCGTCTTCTCTTCTTCTCTTTACTGCTTTAGAGTGGTGTTCACTCGAAACAACGAACTCTGCTACGTCGAGACATAAATAGGACTAGCCAGGATGAGAAACCGTCGTAAGCGAGCAGTTCCATGTGAACATTGCCCTCGACTCGATATCGGCGTCGTATAATGGCCAGGAACGTCCTCTTTGCTCGGTCTCTGGAGTCGCTATATTTCGGCCGTCCAGAATAAACAAACTGCTGCTTGTGATTTCCAATGAGACAGAGATAGTTTCAGCACGTGTGGGCCTGCATGGAAGAGCCTTTTTTATCATCCTTTTTTCTCGGCCAAGAAGTGACCCTGGTTTGGTTGTTTTGTGCAGGCATAGGAAGCTGTATCTTATAGCGTCTTATCACCGCCTTCCATGCAGCATTCTGGATATGCTTGGCTACGGACAAGTTCCATACTCCAGGCTACTTGCATCACTGTAATGTTATGTCAAGATGGGACCTGTTCTTGGCTGCTATCCAGCTTGAGTCGATCAGTATTGGCAGCATATGGATCAGTATTGGCAGATATGGATCAGTATTGGCAGCATATGCCACGATGCACCATCCTGGGACAATGGCATTCTTGGCTGGTTAAGAGCATCGGAAGACGGCATCCCATAGCATTTTAATGCATACTTATTGCGTGAACCCTGTATATCAGCGGTAGAAAATAGTCCGGAAATCCTAGAATTAAGTCGGCCAACATACCCGCTTAAAGGTCTGAAGTTGGGATAGTAAATTGAACTAATATAGGTTTCCTTCTAGATTAAGGGAGATGCACCTTGATTTTAGACTTTGCATAGCCTATTAAGAATAGAAGTCCCTGGACTGGTTTGCTTCGAGAAAGGGGCTGTCGTTGTCGGGGAACTCCCCTTAGTAGACTAAGGATTTTGCCGTCACTATATAGAACTTGCCATGTGTTTGATTCGAGACAGGCTAGACTAGCAGCATCTGCTAATGCGTGCATTGTAGCCATAAATAGGCTGCCAATACGCGCCTAATTTGAGTGGCGGTAGATCTTAACAGAGGATGAAACAGACCAACGCTACCACTCGTTCACTCTCTAGCTCTAGAGCGAGCCAAATTAGCGCCGTGTCGTAATATGCATTATTGATATCTGATAAGGCCGTGATGTATGTGATGCGGAGGTGCTATCCAGGGGTCATATGCAACTTGTTGGCACGTATGTGATAGTGGCGTAGTGAATCGGTAATGATGGCTTGGTATCCAGCCGATGTGTATAGGAGAAAGAACCTTGGATGAAATGGTAAGCCCTCGTGAGATCCAATGCGCGTTAACGAAATATATGTCTAGACGTCTTCATGGTCATCGAAAGGGAAATGGTTCCGCACTGCTTCCCGCTCCATCTCGGTAGTAGAGTGCTCTAAGAGTCCCGACTTGATAACCTGGGCAATCTCCCTCGACCTTTCAAAATGTTCATCATCTGGAAACCAGCCAACTGAATCAACATTCGCGAAGGCCCTCATCTCAGCAAACTCCTGAAGCTTCTCCCGCTCCTGGCTGAAATCGGTCATGCACTGGATAATCTCGTCCCCGGGGAACTGCACCGGACAGTCACCAGGCTTTGTGGACGACACATCATCAAGTTTCATGGGCCACTTTTGACAGGCCTCGATCATAGCATGCTTGAGCGATAGAGTGTCCCTTTCCCAGAGCGCCCCAGCTAGAGTGAAGAGCTTTGCTCGAAGCATAGCGTTGGAATTTCGTATAGCATCGAAATGGTCTGGTAATTGCTTCATCGTCAAGGCAGCGTAATGAAAATGAGCAATCTGTTTCCGCATTATTTCTTTGATAGATTCTTGTTCGGCTTCGCTCAACGTATCAAAATTGTCAGGGCGCTTGACCATCGGTTTTGCCAACGCTTCTGATGTCCAGATATGGTGCTAGTTGCGGGTATTTCGGCAAGATCTGGACATGAGGGGTCAGGGATATCTTTTCTAATTTGTGCAGTTCACGCAGGTAGCGTTCAACATGGAAACGGGGTTTGCCGAATTGTTCGCAAAATTTGGCCTCACGCTTTGCAGGAGCTTCGAGGAATTCCAAAAATGTATTCCCTGGTCATACAGTTAGCGACATTGCAAGACAATGGCTTAAAAGACAGAGCAAAGGTCAACATCTCGTGATGCTCGTTCCTGGTACCACCATTCATACTGTGCTATAAGACCAACAACAATCTCATCAGAGGTAGTTTATTCGGATAACGGAATGTTGGATTCTGACGCTCCCAGATCCTTTTTGTAATACAAGCTGCCACTTGCGGGAAGTGAAATGCTCATAAATCGTGCCTCTGCTTGCACGATATGTTTCATAATTTTGGCACGGGTCTTGTTGCCGATGGTGAACCACCGGTCCCCAAGCGGTTGGCCGTCCATCTCCTCCATAAGAAGATATTCAACGCCAATATCATTTGTACGGTCTGGAGAGTATCCAAGGACCTTTGGGACAGGCAAACCATGTGAGTGTAGTAAGGGTGGCGGCTTCACTGCAACAGCATAATGTTTTGGGGCCATCGAGTGGTAGGGAATCCTAGCAAGTACTGCATAGCCATCATTAACCGTGGCTTGAAGAACTCGATTAAAACCTCCTTCTGCGAGCTTTGTAATTGATGTGAGATCAGACACTAGCCGGCTGACGGTACGACAAATGGCCGCAGCGAGAGCATCAGGGTTGAACTGTACCCTGAGTTCTGCAAGGCGACGCTCCTCGTTGAAACTAAAAATTAGCCGATGGTCAAATGGTGTTTTAATCACTTAGCAATGGTGTATTTACAGGAATCGACCAGAAGTATACTCAAATAACTCGCGGTTTGTGTTCTGCGTACTCATGCTCCTCGCGCCCAGTTTGCGTACTGAGGTCGACAAGCGCGACAGAAACCGCATATTCTTAACTGGGAGGTAGAAAGGGCAGAGGAACCGTTTCCTAGTAAACGACGAGCACTATGTGCTCAAATTAAGCAAACAAAGAAGGCGTCTTAGTAGAGTTGGAGTAAGGAAAGTATATGGTCGTAAACAATCATTTGAGACTTCATCCCCAATTTAATACCCAGCTAACTAGTAGGCCGGAGAATTTCGGCGGGACCCGCATACGTAGAAGAATACTGTCACGATGCGCAGATGCTACGACATCAGTAACTTCCCATATGCCGGTATGTATATGTGGAGGAGCTCCGTAGTTTATTTGTTCTGGCCAAGTGTCTGGCAGACAACTAACTGCTAATGGTCTGTTCATGGGCACGTTGAGCTCCATTAATGGACCATTTATCCCAATTGTCCCAAAGGTACGCCTAGGAACGAGCAAAGGTCCATATCGCCTCTACTTCCGGGATTTATATACAATTCACCGCTCTGGAGTGGCCGCGATGACTGTAGCGACAACATATTCTCCGTCATGGGAGATTGATAGTTTCCCAATTTGACCTATGGAGTCGCCCTCGGGCAGATAAACCACTTCTGGCCGCCCGTCTCCATCGACCTCTGCGCGAACCATCACTTCTTTCCAGCTTATACTCGATGCACCGCCCGGAGCGGCCTTCCGCGCAGCTTCTTTAGCAGCAAACCGTCCAGCAAGCCATCTCGCGATCTCGGTAGACGTTTGAGCCGTCAGAGGCTTCGAAGTCACTGCGCCATCGGATATAGAGGAGGGTAGCTGGAACTTGGATTTGAAATAAGCTTGTTCTTGTTCACATAGTATGCGGTTGACAAATCTGGAGAGATAGGTCCGCTGGCTGGTGTTGGGGTTGGGGCCGGCGGTCACGGAGCGGGCCACCAGTCTCTGGATACGCGGGATATGGACGATATCAGTGCCAATGTTCAGCAGAAACGGAAAAGGCGTTGGTTTCATTGGTGATTGTAGTCGTAAACTTGTGGTGTATGTTTTGACTTGCCTTGTTGATGCTCTTTGAAGCTTGTTCTGGCAGTAGCGTTTGTTATGTAAGCGTCAAAGGAATATCAAAATTCCGATACCGAGATGCTTACTAATATACGTCCTTCTCTTCCACCTGGGAGAAACCATTTGATATCAAGAACGACGAACAAAGAGTGAAGTATTACTGCTTCGGCTGGCTGCTGTCCTCTTCTGCCGGTTTCCAAGCGACTATCGGTTCGGGGCTATGGTGAGCCGGGTCGGACTTGCTCAGAGGTTCCGTTTCAGATGCTGCAGTATCTGTATGCGCCATTCCTTCGCGAGGATGTACGACGTCCAACTCCCTGCATGCACCTGTACCACCTTGCTCGCAGAGTGCCTCCAAGCGACGGCAAAAGGCTTAGACGGCTCCCTCCGTTGACCAGGGTTAGCTACGTGGTTGGAGTTAGAGAAGAGCTCTCAGCGTGGGATATCGACCTTCAACCGGATCGTAGTGCCTTGATGGGCTGCCGCAACTCGTGTGACGTCCTTCTGTAAAGGGGGTACACTAAGGGGCCGTCAGGATATGCGTACACCAGCCTTGTAAACGTCTTAATGGCCCAGTTACAGAGACTGTGAGCCCATAGAGATGCAGATATCGTGATGGGTAACTTTAGCCCCGACATAGCTGATTGGCCCAGGAGCTCCCCCGCAGCCCTTGGCTGGGGAGGGGGAGTTTGTCGATGAATGTGCATCTTTGGGCTTGACTTCGAGAGATACAGGCCTCTTCGCTGCCTTATCTTCTGCTCTGAAAAAAATTTAGGCACGACAAGCCTGCTAGGCTGACTGTTATACTTCTCCCAGAATATCCATCTTTTTGCGGGGTACAATGCGCGCAGTCGTCTGTCAGGGAAGCCCATACGATGTAAGGGAAGAAGATATCACCAAAAACCTCTGCCAGCCCTCTGTGACTAAACTTTCTTTGCTTCGTTTCATCTAGATAGGGCGACAACATGGCGAGCAGGCTTCTCAGGAAGTGCATGGAAGTTTAGACTTCTACAAGCAGATGTTCAAGCAGTCGTCTTCCATGGAATGGGCCGAAGTATGTCGAACTGCGCTTAAGTTTCTACCGTTGCTAGAGACTTCGTTTCCAAACTATATGCAAGAGATACGAGGTTAGTTATCTTTATACAAACATCGAATGCCACATCTGTTACACCGTTCCCCTCCAGTATACTTTTGTCTAGTTCTAAGGACCTGTTGACACCTCCACAGGAATCGCACAAGGAGCCGGGGTTGATGTGAAATCCATCCTCGCATTGAATGTGCGTACCGAGATTGCGTATGGCCTGTTTGACGACGGATGTACGTCCCTTGCGTGGAAGTCTGGGGGCGAGAGCTTTCTAGCCCAGAATTGGGATGTAAGTTGAAGCCAACTACAGGACTCAAAAGAAGAGAGATCATGACTCCGGTTTCTGACATATATCCATGGTCACCTCAGTGGGACGAAGAGCAAGCGCCAAATCTCATCTCGTTGCACATCACATCAACGATTTCATCCAAGCCATCTATTCATATGATCACTGAAGCCGGAATAATAGGCAAAATTGGTCTTAACTCGAGAGGGGTAGGAGTCACCCTCAACGCCATCAAGGCAAAAGGCGTAGACTTTAACAGATTGCCCTGTCACCTTGCCCTTCGAATTGCGTTGGAGAGCGTCTCGCGCGTCGAGGCCATCGGTAAACTTTGGAAAGTAAAGGTTGCTTCAGCATGCCATATCACCGTCGCTGATCGTACGGGCGGTACCGGCGTCGAGTGCTCCGCTGTTGATATCGCATGGCTTAACATGGGCGATTCCGTGGAGAGCAGGGGGGATGTCGTCACCCATACGAACCACTTCGTGCATAAGCATAAAGATGGCTTGCGGTCAGTGCTTTTTATGCCCGATAGCCCGGCGCGATTAGATAGGGTTCGAGAACTGCTGGCACAAAGCGGTCCTACTCCTGAGGCGGATAGAATAGAGGAAATCCTCAAGGACGAGCAGGGGTACCCGGCTTCGATATGCCGGAAGGCAGAGGGAGAGACCTCCACAACGTCGCTATTCAGTATTGTTATGAATCTGACGCAGATAGGGGCAACGGTGAAGGTTGGACGACCGGTCGATCCCCAGGGTATAATTGAGTTAAAACCCTGAAACAGGCTGTATGGTTGCCTCATTTATTCTCTAATGTGTGTGTTTTTTTTTCATGTATGATTTCATTTGGATTTATCTACTTGCGTTAGTTAGTATATAATACCGGAATACTACTATGCAAGCTAAGAGGGCAACTGCTTTATGACTCGTACCAGTTAACACTGTTTCATAGCAAATAAGTATCCAAACACAGAGATAACTCGTAAATAGTTCAATGTCAGCGTAGTATCTACAAGAACGGATTAGCTAGTATGGATAGGAAATAGGGACAAGCATTTAGTCGCTACTGGCCAAACGTTAGATTAGCATAAAATGTAAACATGTCAAAAAAAGTCTATTCATGCCGACACGATATCTATCATTCTCAGCGGGTAACCTAGTACACAGACACGCATGCACGCACAAAAATAGGGACCTCTTTCTCGCGCGCATCGTCACTTTATAAACACACCAATGGAAAAAGGAAAACCCGCCGCTGTACATATATTTTACATATATCGATGCTTTCACTCACACCGACAAACAGAGGTCAGGATTTGTCGAGGAGCATGGCACGAAAAAGATAGTCGACAGAGTCCGGAGGGAGCGGCAGGTGTAAGTCGGAGGAGGTAGGCGATTTAGTGCTTGGCTTTGGCCTTGGAGTCTTCGGCTTCCACGCTCTTGAGGAAGTCCCTATATAAGAAAATAATAGGTTAATTCATATAGTTCGGCGGCACACAGAGGTAGAAGTTGAATGTATTGACGTACTGGATGAAGGTCTCTTCTTCCTTGCTGCTGGCCTTGATTGGTGGGGCCTGGGCCTTGTTCTGCTTTCCTGGGAGGGCAAAGTAGACTCCGGCGGCGGTGCCACCGAGGACGGTCATGGCAAGCTAATTGAGAGAGAAGCGCATCAGCAATGATATTCACGACATGAACCAACGCCAAATATGAAAACAGCAATCCGGGTACTGTGATCCTCCCGATCCGATAGACCATGGAGAAGAGTGCGAACGTACGACGTGAGAGCCGACCTTGCGGCCGAGGATAGTGTAAGTGGCAACCATTGTGAGAGCTGGACGGGGTGGCAGAGGTGTATAGACCCTGGAATTCGACGCAAGAGTAACGGGAGAGATCTCAATGCTTGTGCTGGCGAGCTGGACTGGACGGGAGCAACGCTTCTCGTCTTGCTGTTTTCGAGGTTGGAGGTTGAATCGGCAAACTCTTCCACGTGATCTGCTGACTTATCCTGCTGATATAAGCTCTGACTAAGATGGCCGGCGGATGACGTAATGAGATCCCCGAGCCATGCCGCAGTTTAAACTCGCCGAGAGAGTGCGGCCTTGTATAGAACCTCGAGAGCTCCCCCGTTGTTTACCTCTGCGCCGACAGACTCAGTTTATGCATACCTGACACACTGACACACCCGTAAATCGTGGAGCACAGCTACTGACCTTTAGTGATAGAGCAGACCTTGCTTGCAGGCTGCACCGGTTCAATCATGGCCAAGGACGAGCAAGCGGCCGCGAAGTCAACGGTGGTGCCTCCGACCCACAAGCTGACCCCGGAGCTACAGAAACTGGTTGACCGGGAGGAAGAGTTGCTGGATCAGCTCTATGAGGGCAAGTAAGGCTCTCCGGTCCCTTGATTTGCTTTCTGTTTTCACCTACACCGTCGTGGGGGAGGCGGGGATTGAACCCCTCGGCTCGCCTGACAATTGAGACGCCACAGTACTCACATATACATCTGTTTTCTTTCCTACTATTTAGTTCAGTCGATACTGTCGATACTAGCTATCGATACTCTGCCTATGCGGCTCGGGTTCGCACTCTGCTTCTCTCCGCACACCGTTACGTCGCATACACGTCGGACATTGGAGAGTCGTTCCGGCCGGTAGCTCACCCGTGGCTGGTCAAAGGCGCATACGGTGTCTCGTGGGCTTATATCTTCGGCGACGTCGCCAATGAAGGGTACAAGGCGTATCTACGGAATCAGCGGATACTGGCTCCAAAGAGTGATGCGTTTCGAAAGGCGACTGAGGTGATTGAGGCTGGGGATGTTAACCTGAAGAGTAGTGCTGACAGGGAGGCGTTGGAAGAGCATTTTGTGAACAAGACTGCTCTTAAGGATATTGAGGAGAGGACGTTGACCTCGACGGCGTCTAGAAAGCATCCTATGCCATGGAAGGACCCGGAGGCAGATACCATGTCACCATGGCCGACTGTGAAGATTCCCCTGAGCGAAGATTACCGCTCCGTCATGGCCGAGAGAGCTGTGTTCCAATCAATTGCCAGTATGGGATTGCCCGCATTCACAATCCACTCCGTCGTCCGGTATTCTGGACGGGCAATGAAGAATATGAAGAGTGTGTTCCTTAGAACCTGGGCGCCTATCGGTGTATGTCTCCACCACGCTCCCACTTCTGCTTGATACTAACGCCTGCTTTCTGGCATAGCTCGGACTTGCCGTTGTTCCAGCCCTCCCTTACCTTTTCGATAAACCAGTTGAACATGCGGTTCAGTGGGCATTCCACAACGGTTTCCTCTTCCTTGGTGGGCCCGATGCAGTCCTTCACCACCCTCCAACCCAAGAAGCGCTCGCGGAGGCCTTCCATGCCGCCCAGGAGGTAAGGCAACAGCGAAAGGCGGAGCGTGAGCGCCGAAGGGAAGAACGACGCCTCAGGCGCGAGAAGACGGAATAAGAATGCATCACTTAGTTTATGCATGCATGATCAAGCAGTCCCTTCTACTTGACCATGCTTGACCATTCCTCATGGCCTACACCCACCCGTTTCTTATATAAGCGGCCCATATCTTGCATATATTTCGGCCTTTTAATACCTCCTCTCTCTCTCTCCTTTCTCTTCCGAAATGTTCACCACGTATATGGATTGCCCGATCTCCACCCATGTTCTCCTCCGATGTATATCAAAAGCGCAAAACATGTGATGTAACCTAGCCAACTCATTTTTTTACTATGTTCTATCTGCACTCGTGGGACTACTTGCTTATGAAGCTGTTTTCAAGCATACTGAAGCAAGTTGAGAAAGTACGAGTTTCATTTGTAGCTGTATAAACCTGTCTAAAGCTTTTCTGCCACATGCGTAGACAAAAACACAAAACACAAAACATAAAACAACTAACAATATACCCAGTTTCCCTCGCAGATAACGCCATAGAAGCATTCATTCGCTCATCAACAGTTTCCATAAAAAGCCCGGTCTATCAATTAAGCATGGCCAAACAATGTGAAAATCAAAAGCAGAACGGGCAACTGGGTATAACTCTGAAGAGCACACGAATGGTAAAGAAAATAGGAAAAGCCTTCACTAAGAATTGAACTTGGAAGGCCCGATAAAAGAGACATTTCTATATCGGAGGCGGCGCTGGGGTGTATATCTATTGGTATAAATCTGCTTAAACGGAAAGCAAATGGATCGAAGTCTATCGATGTTGTTGGGCCGATATAAAAGCGGCTTGAGCGGAACGTAACGCGAGTACTGATCTAGGATTCCACTCGCGTAGTGCGTTTGAGCGTCTTACCCCTGGGACACTCCGTTAATTATAGCGCTGGAGAGCAGCGGAATATCAACCGCCATGTGTGATGTGTGTTTTATGACCTCTTCGCTTCAAGGGCGGTCATGAACCTTTCTCTCATCCTTGTGTTCAGGACACCACCGACTCCGTAAGCTGGCAAGATTCGTCCAATTCTGGCCAGACAGCTTGGAGCCCAGTCTCTCTTCACACGTACCCATCTCTCGACCGCTGGGAGTCCGCCGACAGGCTGGCGGTTATAGAGGTCTAGTCCCAACAGATGGAAAGGAGTGCTGACTAGCTGGACAGTAGCTGGAATGGCGAATTGGGCAATTGCGTATTTAGATTTGGGATTCGATGCAATCACGTCTGGTACGTAACCGGCTACCAACGGCGGGAGGTTGAAGGAGGCGAATATAGTGATGCTGTCTCGGAAGCAGAAGAGGGAGTATGAGGTTATGGGTATCCTTGGAGTAGGTGGCAGGCAAGCAGCCGTTCCCTTTATCTGCGGAGCCACGGCCGGTGCCTTTGCCGGTGCTGACTGGCCGGCGTTTCCTTGCGACTGGGTTCCGAATATTTTGACGAATCTGGAGTCCTTGTAGACGCAGATTGACATGTTTACCAGTGCGGTGGCTGCGAATTTCACGATCCCCGTCGACACGCTGTTGTATGCCTTGTCTTCCATGGTTGACACCGCCGTATCGATCAGGTTGGCAGTGAGATAGGTGGACGAGTAGAGAGTGTAGATGAGGAGGAATGGCGTCGAGGTGAGGAATCGGTGGGGTCTAGTTATCATGCTCTTCAAGGACGAGGCAAGGCTTGTCTGAATTGGCAGTCCCTTGGCTGCTTTTTCGATGATCGATCTAGAAGTTGGGGAGGGGAGGGTCAGTGACATGTTACTATCAAGGGTGTATGGGCGACCTACTTGTCGATAATGGTGATCATCGGACATATGAGGATACCAGCAGTGGCAGCACTGGCAGCATCAACCGCCAGTCTCGATCCCAGGCTCCCTGTATTCCATCCGCGAGTCCCGCCTCCGAGAACAGATTCGGGGACGTGGAGCGGCTTCGGGCGAACATGAGGTTCGAGGAAGCTCTGGCGGCCCTCTGCGGGAGTTGCTGTGTTCCCCTTGGACCCGTCTCCGGCGACAATCCCTTCACGAGACATTCCCAAATCACAGCTGTTGCTGCTATCGACAGGCGGAGAAGTAGAGCTGCAGACTTAAAGTTGCATGAGATGTCTAGGTATGTAATATCTAGCAACACCACAGACTCTTCCAGGTATGAACGAGCAGAACGAAACAGAACAAGCAAAATAACTGAACAAACGAAGAACGAACGCTGCAGAAGTAAAAAGACGACGAGATATGCCCCGGATTGCTCTTGAAATCTGCAAACTCCGAAGTTTCGCCGGGCCGGGTCAGCTTCGTCCCTGGCTGCTGGAAAAAGACTAAAAAAGCGCCCAACGCCCTTGCAAGCTCCAGCACATACACGTGACCTTGACGGCTTCCAGGCTGCGCAGAGATTGGCTGGAAGGGAGAAGAAGGACGAAAGACGGGCGACTTCGGGAGGATGAGACTGGAGACTATATGGAGTCTGAGATGGAGATGGGATAGAGGGTGTGGCGGTTAGCGGAACTGGGACCGAAAGCTACTTAGTAGCAGTTAGCCTTGGCCGTAGCCCTGATATCCCACGATAACCTGGTTGTTATGGTTGTTGCTTGCTGCTGGTTGATGCTGGTGGTGATGGTTGGCCATGAATTTGGTCTGGAAAAAGAAACATCTTCACCGTCACCAATAAGCGGCCGTCAACGCCGTGATATCGTCGGATAGGGTAGCTTCCTTGACGAACAGTTCATAGCCTGCAGTGGGATAGTCTCGCGTCGCGGCGGTTAGTGGAAGAAGCAATATGGACTTGCAAGACGACCGGATAGAGACATGATAGAATATAGAATATAGGTACGAGAAGCTGTACCGTCGAGGCATGTTGTTCATGACGAGCTGGGATCATGATCTAGACTGGAGGTCGCATCCAGGGATCGTAGAGTAGATGAGATATTGAACGGTCAACGGGCTCGAGCAATGAAGATAGGCCACGAATCGAAGCCGGAAGCAGTGTGACGGTCTCTTCCCGGAGCTACTCATGCTGTTCTTCATTGGTAGCATCCTGTTAAGAAACGTTAGTTAGTGTTTTGCTAAGGATCAATGGAAGCTTGGTAGTAGCAATGTTCAACCTGAGGCCTCATCCATAATGCTAACCATGATATAGAGACCGTGAGAGTCGCAGTAAAGATGCTCGAGATGGCCATCTTATACCTATTCCGTCCATGTAAAGTCCACAATAGCAGCCAGGAAGGGCCTATTGGACGCAAGCCACAGTTCCCCATGCTAAACCTAGGATGTGTTACCCCAGACAATACGATGCGATGAGATGTTCAAGAGAAAACACATCCTCTGCTAGCATCCGGTCTTCGTTGCACCGTCTCATAGCGTACTCGTTGCTGTCGGCCCTCGATGAATTCCAACACGTCTCCGCCGGAGCTCAAGGTGGTTGAGAAGCGGGAGTCGGCAGTGGTCAACGAGAGAGCGCCAGCCTCTGATGACGCCGAGGTTGAGGTTGACGGTATCGACGAGATCCGTAGGTCCGTCGAGTCCTACTCTGCGGAGGAGACCAAGAGGATACTAAGAAAGGTCGACTATCGACTTATCCCGCTGCTCACTCTGCTCTACCTGCTGGCTTTTATCGACAGAGGGAACAGTACGTTCTTCAACTCGGACATACCTCCGGCTTGAACTTATACGTTGATAAGGTGTGATGTGAGGCTAATAACTTATAGTTGCGAATGCCAAAATTGCTGGCCTGGAGAGAGATTTGCGCCTGCACGGGTCCCAGTACAATATAGCATTGACTCTCTTCTTCGTTCCCTACGGCTTGTTTGAGGTGCCTAGCAATGTTGTGCTCAAGATCCTGCGGCCGTCAGTATGGATTGCCATCATGATGTTGGCCTGGGGGACTGTCACCACGTATGTCTACTTCGCTCTCTTTAACTGGCTTTTGTTAACCTGATTTCGACGCAGGTTGATGGGACTGGTTCAGAGCTACGAGGGCCTCCTTGCAGCGAGATTCTTCCTGGGCGTAGCAGAGGTATGGAAGTTATGATCTTATTCTGTAGCCGGAATGATAGTTGACATGGGAATATACAGTCTGGTTTCTTCCCAGCCGCTACCTACCTGTTAACCATCTGGTACAAGCGGTATGAGGTTCAGCAGCGGATGGCAATCTTCTATGGCTCTGCTTCTCTGTCTGGAGCATTCTCAGGCCTCCTTGCATTTGCAATTCAAAAGATGCATGGTGTTGCAAACCTCGCAGGATGGCGTTGGTAAGAGACATCAACCCAGATCACCATAAAGAGTCAAACTAATGAGAATAGGATCTTCATACTTGAAGGCCTTTTGCCTGTTCTCCTCTCCCTGGCAATATGGTTTGTTCTCCCAGATAGTCCCGAGCGGGCCAAGTTCTTGACCAAGACAGAGAGGGAGTTCCTTGCAAACAGACTGTCCATTGAGACTGGCTCTGGCCATGGCCGAGTTACCAATAATGACAAGATCACACTCGGCCATGTTATAGCTGCCTTTAAAGAGTGGAAGATTTACTGCGCCATATTAATGTTTTGGGCAAACACCATTGGCGTCTATGGGTATGTCTTTATATCTAAGGGCACAGCTGATATAGCTAACAGCTGATGCTAGGTTCACTGCAACCGTTCCCACCGTCATCAACGACCTTGGATATACGGCAGCACAAGCTCAGCTGCTGACTATACCAATCTACGTCGTGGCCACGATGGGTATTCTCACATTTGCTTACCTTTCCGACCGTTATCAGCAGCGAACACCCTTTATCATTGCCGGAAACACCATTGCCCTTCTAGGATTCGCTGCCCAGCTAGCCATCCCACACCCAAGATACCCGGGCTTGACATACGCAATGCTGTTCCTTGTGGCCGCGGGACTCTATTCTGCATTTACACCGGTTCTATGTCTAATCGGTAAGTTTGTCGATATGGATACATTCTTGAGCTTAACTAATATGTGTAAACTGTCACAGCTAATAATCTTGCACCTTCCTCCAAACGAGCAGTGGGCATGGCTATTTTAATCTCAATTGGGAACTGGGGCGGGATAGCTGGATCTAATATCTACCGCGCCGCGGAAAAGCCAAGGTATCCCACTGGCTTCGGCGTATCGCTTGCTATTTGTGGAATCGCAATTATAACTGCATTCTTCCTGCGGTTTGCGTTTAAGCGGGTAAACGACCAGCGAGATAGACTGATTGCTGAACAAGGCGAGGAAACGATTAGAGCGAGGTATACAGCGAAGGAGTTGTTAGACATGGGTGATCTGAGTCCGTTTTTTAGATATACCCTATAATCTGGGTGACGGAAATGGAAGACGCCGAAAATATAGTTCCCTGCTACACGAAAAAGTCAATTGAGCTGCAAATCTACCAACCATTTATTTATTCGTAAGTGGATGTAAAGATTTTAGGGATTTTTAAAAATACATGAGACATTAACATTCCTCCGTTGGAAGGCGGTTGGACGCCATTCCATAGTAATATAATCGTGATATGTTTTATAACACATTTTTTACCAGAAACGCCTGCAGATGGGAGTCAAAAAGATGACAAAACTATATCAAGAACCAAAAGGGAAAGCATGAAACATCAGGTCGCTGAGCTTGCCGCTGGTGGTGGAACGCTATCAGATGAGCTGCTGGGGCTCTGGTTGATGTTTTGGAAACCTTGCAATGTAACGTCCACGGCGCCAGCTTGAACAAGCTATACAAAGGAGAAAGTTAGCATGGGGATGTAATATATAAAAAAGAAGGCTTGAAATGCTACTTACCGCTCTTCTTAGATCGTCAATCAGGTCATCTGGATCCTCGATACCCACGCATAGTCGGATAAGGTCCTCGGGCATGGCCCTCTCCTTGCGAGTCTTTGCATCAATGCTCGCATGGCTCATACGGCACGGCATACTGATTAAACTGTTCACACATCCAAAACTGACACTGATGGCCCACAGCTTGGCACTTTCGACGATACGTTCGCTTATCAGGGCGTCTCCGGTTTCAAACGAGAGAACAGCCCCGGCGCCTCGAGCCATTGTCCAGTGCAGGTCATATTGCGGGTGGGATTTCAGGCCAGGGTATCGAACGCGGAAGCCGTGTGACTCTAGGAATTCTGCAATTCGCTGTGCGTTATTCTGTTGCTGTTCCATGCGTACTTTGAGTGTTTTGACGCCGCGTAGGAGGAGCCAGGAGTCGAAGGGGGATAGCCCGCAGCCAGAGGCATTGATGGGGAAATATAGCTTGTCTCCAAGCGCTAGGTCATTGACCGCAATGACACCTGCCATCAGGTCGTGGTGACCAGAGAGATACTTGGTTCCGCTCTCATATACGATATCGGCTCCGAGATCCAGCGGGTTAAGCAGCAAGGGAGAAAGCATGGTATTGTCCACCGCAACCAGCGCACCGGGATTTTTGGCATGGGTTACTGTGGAGATCCGGCGTATATCGACTATCTTAATCAGAGGGTTCGTCGGTGTCTCCAGCAGCACCATTGCTGTCTTGGAGCTTAGTACCTGTTCCACATTCTCAGGGTTGGTTGTATCGACGTGATGCACGATGATTCCTCCGTGGGTAGACAAGTATTTGAGAAGTCGATTGGTCCCGCCATACAGATCGTCTCCAGTCACCACTTCATCGCCTGGCTTGAGCAGTCGCGTGATCACATCCAACGCTGCCATACCGGACGATACGACGAGGGCTCGCTGTGCGGACATGATCTTAGCCAAGTGACGCTCAAGGTGAGTCCTCGTAGGGTTTCCCGATCGTGTATAGTCATATTCACCGCCGCCCCCGCCAGAGGTCTGCTTGAACGTAGCACTCTAGTTGGAAGTATAGTTAGCAGGTAGGTCAACCGAGCATATAACAAGGTATAGCAGTGTAAAGTAATGACCAGCACCAGGGGGATGACAGGGAGATGTAAGATGTATATTTACCTGGTATATTGGCACACTGCTGGCGTTGAACTGGTCATTGCTCTCGGTATACACCAATTCCGTTGCAAGAGCATATCTCCGACCTGTCCTCGGGCTCGACGGAGCAGGAGACGGAGGGAGATTATGGCCGGCTAGGTCGACATGAGGAAACGCCTTTCGCACAGCGCTATCCTTCCCCGTCGCTGAGGCATCGCCTCGCGGGGGACCAGATTCAGACATGGTCGGTCCAACACAGTGCCAATTGGACACAAGACGAGCGGGCGGGCAGGATAGGCCGAAGGAAGTGCTCTAGCAGGAGTGAATGTCTATACCAAGGCTATATCGAGGGGAGATATTGATATTTCTACCGGACGGAAAAGTCGCGGCGAAGAGAGCGAACTCCAGGCTCCATTTATCCGGGGTGAAGAAAATCGCGTCATCACTGGACGGGTAACTATTATGTAATCTCGGCGAGGTGGAAGAACAGATGTTCATGAAGAGGATTAATAGTAGAAGTAGATGTGAAGAGGATTAAGAGTAAGATAGATGTGAAGAGGATTAAGAGTAAGATAGATGTGAAGAGGATTAAGAGTAAGATAGATGTGAAGATAGTATTATAAGTAGTAGATCGTGCCAGAAAAGGAGAAGAAAGTCACCCGATCTACGGTTAAACGCCTATATATCCATTTAACGAACATGTTACATATCCCATCTTCTCCCGTGTGCCCATATAGTACTGAAGGTGGTTATACAGAAACCTCCCTCCCAGTCGTGATGTGAGAATCAGTCCAGTCCTTCAGCGAGGGGAACGATGGGAGCTTTCTCGTTAACATCGTCCTGCTCCGACTCAGTGCTCCAGTCTTTCTCGGAGAGAGATTTTATGACGGCAGACGAGCTCGTATTCGTCGATGACTTGACTGCACCAGCCCTCTTAAAGAAGTCGGTCGTCCTGAGTCCCCGGACCTCCTGGGGGTCGACGGAATGTATCATGGCGCCCGAGTCTCGCTTGTGCCGGATCAGCTCCCGTACAGGAACCATGGCAGCGTCTCGGCAGGCTTCCTTTATATCGCTGCCCGACATCCCCTCCATTATCTTGACGAGGTAGGGTATGTCAAACTCGTCCCGATCTATTTTCGTATCCTTCAGGACAAGGCTTAGAATTCGTCGTCTCTGCGGTGCGAGGGGTAGAGTGACTGGGAATTTCTTCGGCATTCGCCTCAATATAGCCTCGTCGATATCTTGAATGCGGTTGGTAGCGCCCAAGAGGAGCACTCTCTGTGGCTGGCCCATGGCATTGGCAGACGTTAGGCCATCCCAGTGGGTCATGAACTCAGCCTTTACCATCCCGCTGGCTTCGTGCTCGCCGCTGCGGCGTGTCCCCAGGACAGCATCGATCTCGTCGATGAAGACGATACTGGGCTCTAGCTTCCGAGCGAGTGAGAACACGGCGTTGACCAGCTTGTTCGAGTCTCCGTACCATTTCTCCGTCAAGGTCGAGATGTGCAGGTTTATAAAACAGGCGCCGCTCTCATGGGCAAGAGCCTTTGCCAACATCGTCTTTCCGCATCCCGGAGGTCCGTAGAGCAGGACTCCGGAGGGCGCGCTGAGCAAGGACGACGAGGTTCGATATAGTTGAGGCATGGTCAGCGGGTATATAACGGACTCCTTTAACTCCTCGATGATGTCTTCTAGGCCGCCAATGTCGTTGAACGAGACGGGGATATCCTCTGGCGCAACAACGTCCATGGCGATAGCCTGTTCATACTGGGACAAGACGAGCTTCTCCTTTCGCGGTCGTCGTTGGCCGTTCTTCTTCCCACTTCCCGCAGATTCATCATCTGAGTCTTCCTCCCGGTCCAGCCGTCTTAATACAGCTGCGGATTTCCGTTTTGCTTCATCACGCTTCTGGCTGTCTGGGTCGAGTTCGAGCTTGGAGAGTAGAAAGCGGACGACGAAATATGTTGATAGAGACTGGTAGATGTAGATGTCAGCCGAGAGCACTTGTTAATACAGTTAAATGGGAATGTTGCGTACTGTTCCAGCGATCAGGATCAGCTCCTGGACGAGCTGCTGCCAGCGTCGGGCACCGCTCGAAGCCATGGCCGGAGATGTGTCAAGACTAGATAGATCAGGGTCGACTCGCAGGTTAGACCGTCGACAGTGGAACAAGACACCCTTATCGCCAGCTCGACCTGAAATAGCTCCTCGACATTAGTTTCTATCCTGTGGCTAAAACGCTTTCTTTTTTTTTTTGGTCCGAGGTGTGGCTGAACGGCGCGGTCACATGGTTAGCCAAAACATCAACAGAGAAACACGAGAGCTATAGACGGGGAGATACAACGGGAGATACAGCGGGAGATACAAAGAGAATAAGATAGATATCGATACCAATGGCAAAGCGCAAGGCCGAGTCGAAGCTCTCGTCCCTGGTGAACGACATAGATGACGATGACGCTCTCGGTCGCGTCAACGAGCCGGACGACGCAAGTATAGAGCCTCCGCCAGCCAAACGACAGAAAGGCCGGCCAAAGGCCGCGGCGACCAAGGCTGCGGCAGAGAAACCGGCAAGGAAGACGCGCTCGAAGGTAGTGGTAGGCCCAAAGAAGCGCGCGCCGGCGACTGGGCGAGGGAAGGCGGCAAAGGTGGTTGAGGAGGAACCTAGGAAGGATGCGGATGATATGGAAGAAGAACAAGAGAGGATGTCGGAAGATGAGCTTGACTCGCCGGAGATCGTTCAACGTCAAGAGACTCGAGGAGGGGCTAAGTCTCGAGGAGGAACAAAGGCAGCGGAGACCGTGAAGGATGGCGAGTTCGAGTATACGCCCACAAACGCCAAAACGAGGACTACACGAACGCGGACGCAGACGGGAAAGCAGACGGCAAAGCCGGCAGCGAAGGAACCCTCACCACCGATAGAGAAGACGCCGGAAGTTGTGAAGAGTGCAATCAGAGGCAGCACTTCCATCACCCAGGTAGACACACGATTCACGCCGTTGACAGTACGATGGGCGTCACCTTCAAAGAGCTCCATGTCACAGCAGCGGACGCCTCGAGCCTCTGGGATAAAACCATGGGGCAGTCCTACGAAAGCTCACGAGACGGGGGATGGTGAAGTTGCCCTCCGGTTGAAGCTGGGCGACATGACGAAGAAGTACGAGAATATGGAAGGGAAATACCGTGCATTGAGAGAGATTGGGATAGTCGAGGCCAATTCCAGTTTAGAGAAGATACGGAAGCAGCACGAGGAGACAACAGCTGGTAGGTCGTCTACCTTTACATGGTGCTAGAGATATACTGACAGCTGTCTATTGTAGCGTCCAAACAACTGATCGCATCCCTCAAGAGCGAACTCTCGAAACAATCAAATGTGTCCAAACAGACCCGAGATCTTCAGAAGCAGGTCGAGTCGCGAAACGAGGAAGTCTTGCAGCTTCGACAGCAGCTTGAAGAGATGAAGTCCGGCCTCAACAAGGCTCAAACGGAAGCCAAGTCGCTACAGACCAAATTGACAGCTGCTAGAAATGCCACTGCTACTGCCGAGAAGGCTGCGGCGGCGGCAACGGCAGCGGCAGCAGCAAGAGGTCCAGTCGTTAGACCAGGAGCTGCATCGAGAGACGCGGTCAACGGAGCCATGGAGTCAGCACAGCTAGCTCAGCTCAAGGAAGACCTCTACAGCGACCTCACTGGCCTGATCATCCGAGACGTGAAGAAGCGAGAGTCAGATCATCTGTATGACTGCATACAGACAGGTCTCAATGGAAGTATGTTGATACCTATCCCTTACGCTGTCTCTACCCAAGGCTAACTCGATCAGTAGCCCTCCATTTCAAGCTCGGTGTCAACCACAACATGGATAACAGGTCAACTGCCAGCCTGGAAGCGGCGGAGTTTCACTACATCCCCTTGCTGGACGAGAACAGGGACCGCGAGCTGCTGGAGATTCTGCCCGACTATCTGTGTGTGGACATCACCTTCTCGCGACAGCATGCGGCGGTCTTCTATAGCCGCGTTGTAGATAGGCTAACGAAGAAACAAGCGGACCAGTCATAGTATACAGTATCCATATATCTACCTATACAGATCTACTTGTATATCATCTACTTGTATATCTATACAGACCTACTTGTATATCATCTACTTGTATATCTACTTGTTGTATCTACCTGTATATTATGTCTACCTTGTTAGTATAACCTTGTGAGCTCCAAGGTGCGCCAATGAGAAAACGTAAATCGAACATTTTTTGAGAATCAGCATCTTCGCTGCTCAAACCCCTAGCTCGCCCTCCCGCCCTCTTGCGCCCTTCTCTAAACCTCCTCCAACTTTCCCTGAACGCGCAGACGATGGACTCGAGCCTCCGTCCGTCTTCATAGCCTGCTCGACCAGGCCTCACACTTCGCTGCGATCTCCATCTGCACATCCTCGCTGCCTATCTCACGCCGCCAACATGTCTCGCACAGGGTTGTTCCTGGCCCTGGCGGTGCTCTTCCACCTCATATACACCTACTCGATCTTCGACATCTACTTTGTCAGCCCAATTGTCAGTGGCATGCGAGAGTATGGCGTCGAACGCGCACCCGGAACCAAGGCACCAGCCAAACGACTCGTCCTGTTCGTCGGCGACGGCCTGCGTGCGGACAAGGCATTCCAGTACTTCCCTGACCCCTCGCCGCCAAAGACGGACTGTTCAGGGGAAGGGAAAGGTAGTGCAGCTTGTCCAGAGCCAGATATGACGCCCAAACCACTTGCGCCGTTCCTCCGTTCACGCGTGCTGGAACACGGTACCTTTGGAGTATCGCATACTAGAGTGCCGACGGAGTCAAGACCAGGCCATGTTGCGTTGATTGCAGGCTTATATGAGGACGTCTCGGCCGTGACGACAGGATGGAAGCTGAATCCAGTCAATTTCGACAGCGTGTTCAATCGAAGCAGACATACTTGGAGCTGGGGAAGTCCGGACATCCTGCCCATGTTCAAAGAAGGCGCGGTTCCAGGACGGATATCCGTTGACATGTACAGCGAGGAAGCAGAGGACTTTACTCAGGATGCTACATTCCTGGACGTATGGGTTTTTGACCGTGTCAAGGAGCTGTTTGCCGCTGCGAGGGAGGACAAGGTACTAGACGCGCAGCTGAGAGACGACAAGGTCGTGTTCTTCTTACATTTGCTTGGTCTGGACACGACCGGCCATTCTTACCGGCCTTATTCGAAAGAATACTTGCATAACATCAAGATCGTCGATGAAGGCGTACGTGAGACTACGGAGCTGGTAGAGGACTTCTACGGTGACCAGGAAACGGCCTTTGTCTTTACCGCAGACCACGGTATGAGCGACTGGGGCAGCCATGGAGATGGTCATCCAGATAACACACGCACTCCTCTCATTGCCTGGGGCTCCGGCGTGGCCGAACCGGTGAAGACCCAGGGGGGCATTGCGCCTGGACACGAGGATGGCTTCTCCCTAGACTGGCATCTGGATAATATTAAGAGACACGACGTTGCTCAGGCCGACGTGGCCGCCCTCATGGCATATCTTGTTGGCCTGGACTTCCCCGTTAACTCTGTCGGTGAACTCCCTCTCTCCTACCTGGACGCAACTCCACAGGAAAAGGCAAAGGCTGCATTGGCCAATACCCTGGGTGTGCTGGAAATGTTCCGTGTTAAAGAAGAGCAGAAGAGGGCAACTACTCTTCGATTCCAGGGATACGCCCCCTTTACGCAACCCCAGCGCTCACCGGAGGCTCAATTGGCCGCCATCCGCAAGCTGATTTCCACTGGCAAATATGAGCAGTCCATCCTCCAATCGAGGAGTCTCTTCCAGGATGCGCTAGAAGGTCTACGTTACTTGCAGACATACGACTGGCTCTTCCTTCGTGCCATTGTCACGGCGGGATACTTGGGTTGGATCGCATATGCCCTGGTCACAGCCATAGATCTGCATGTCTTGCCGGTGTCCACGGAACCAGATCGGTCGATCCCCAGCTTCACCTTCTTTTCATCGGTGCTTATGGTGCTTTATTCCGTTCTATGGGTTCAGCAGTCGACATGGCGGTACTATGCCTATGCTATCTTTCCAGTTCTGTTCTGGGAAGAGGTCTTCGCTCGACGGGCCGCCCTCGGTGCTGGGCGAAAGATACTCCTAGGCCATATTAAATCATTCACAGGCTATGCTGCACTTTTATTGCAATCTCTAGTCTATATCGGAGTGTTACAAGGACTCGTGAGTTTCTCTTCCCAAGTTGACATTGACCTTTACTTGCTAACAATGGAAATCCAGGTTCAATCGTATTTCCACCGAGAAATATACACTGGCTGCTACCTACTAGCTGCACTATGGCCGGCCCTGTATGGGCTTGACTTCATCAGCAAGCATAAATTTCTTTCAACATCGTGGGCTATCGGCTGTGTTTTGATGAGCACATTTACTCTCCTGCCCGTAGGAAAGGAGGATAGCGCAGATACTGTGTAAGTGATGTCCAGCCTTGCAGACTCAACCTTGTTACTTACCCCTTTAATTAGTACCTACGGTGGCATCCTTATGTTTATGACCGGCATGCTCTACTTGATATTCGAAGAGTCTATCTTGTCTATCTCAAAGGTGAAAACTTCAACCGGAAGCACCTTCAACATCGGGTCCAGGATTATCATGGGAGCTCAGGTTCGACTTTCGATATCTACAATATCTTCTAGGCGCGCATACTAACTAGCTTGTAGATTGGGATCATTCTCCTGTCCATCATCGTCACTCGTTCCAGCATTGCATCGCTGCAAGCAAGGGCAGGGCTGCCTCTTGGTAACCAAGTCACCGGCTGGATCGTGATGGGTAAGCTTCGTCCCTTTTCTAGCTGCATTATATACAGTCTAACACCCCATAGTATCATCATTCGCATTGCCAGTGCTACATAGGTTCTTCCCAACGGGACACTACCTCCATCGCCTGATCATCATCTTCCTCACCTTTGCACCAACCTTCATCATCCTCACCATCTCCTACGAAGGCCTTTTCTACGTCGTATACTTCGCCACTCTCGTCAACTGGGTAAGACTCGAGCATAGCATCTACAAATACACCTCACCACCAAAATCCAAACCCACAATCTCTCGAGAGGACACTCCTCGAGCCATACCCAGAACCCCCGTGACATCTCGCACTACCTACCGCGCTCTAAACCTCTCCGACGCACGCATTGCCCTCTTCTTCATCTTCCTCCTTCAATCCGGCTTCTTTAGCACCGGTAACATCGCCAGCGTCTCCTCCTTCTCCCTCGACAGCGTCTACCGCCTTATCCCCGTCTTCAACCCCTTCGCACAGGCTTCTCTATTGATTCTCAAAATCCTCGTCCCCTTCGCCCTACTTAGTGCGACGTTCGGTATTCTTAACCGCAGACTGAGAGTGGCTCCCTCTGCGATATTCATGATCGTCATGTGCATCAGTGACGTGATGACGTTGAACTTCTTCTACATGGTTCGCGACGAAGGGAGCTGGCTTGACATCGGCACCACGATCAGCCACTTCTGCATTTCCAGCGGGCTGTGCGTGTTTGTGGCTATCATCGAGTTCTTGAGCGATGCATTTATTTCTGGTGTCGACTTTGGTGATTCCAGCGTCCAGGAGGGACATCCTGGTTTTGAAGAGGAAAAGCGCGCTGTCTCTGACTAGACGAATCACTTGGCTTCTACATTGGACTGGACTTTTTTCTTTCTTCATTCTCTAACTTTAGAGCCCTTTTGCAGCCTTTTGCACTTGATGTTCCGCTATATCTTATATCACTCTACTGTGCATAGACCCTTCACTATACCTTTGTTTAGAACTAGACCGAGTTCTACATTACTAATATCATGTTTATTATGTCGTTACCCAGAATCTATACTCGTATGTTTCGACTAGACGCTTGAACCCCTTAGTCCTCGTGGCCGGAGCTTAGACTAGTAGAGTGGACGAGTGCTATGACAGTGATAGCCGCAACTACTGAATGGGCTAGGCAAGCAGATACCTATTAGCGCATTACCCGACCGCGATCGAGACGGTGATCGGGCGAGACGTGCTCCGTATAAGGCTGAGCCGTATAGATGTACCGATGTACACGTGTGTGACTTCCTGAACGTGATGGCGCATCCCTGGCAAGGAGGAGTATATGATATGTGGCTATCCGCATATTAGGCCGGGATACAGTCTGTGCCAGAGGTATACGCCGCAACGGGGAGCGGGAGGAATTCGCCTCCTCGTGTCTCGGTCTGGTCTGGAGTCTGGGGAACGATGAACTATAGCGTCCTTGTTGTCGTCTATCTGCTGTCGTCTAACATAATTTTCACAATCACCTAATTATCTGTTGTCTGTCTTCTGTCGTATATCCATCTGTCGTCCGTCTCTGTCTCTGTCTGCTGCCTGATAGTGCATGGGTCATGTCAAGGCGCCTCCCTGGTCGTCTGGTGCTACCAAAGCGCCTTCATGTGTGCGTCGTATAGATGAAGCCGCGAGATGGACGTTCTCCGTCCAAGCTAACACATAGAAGCAAGCTAACACATATAACTATACAAAGCAAAGAGAGAAGAGTTACCGAGGATGAGCCGGAAGTCAGGTGAGGTGGTTATACTCATGCTGACTAAGGCCACTTCTCCCCTGTTAATCCTTCAGTCTAGACAAGCTGACCAACCAGGGCGCATATATATGACTTTACATAAGCATATATCAGCAGTATAACGGGGTCTGCTTACCTAACTCCATGTGATGCTTCCTCGCCCCCTAAACCGCCCTTTTGCTCGCGAAGAAGAACAAGAGACAAGACGCAGGAAGGACGAAAAGCCATCGGGACGAGACGAACGTCTGGGGTAGACAAGGAAGAGCTGCAGGGTATATAATCTCCAGTCGACCGGCCGCTGGAACCGCACATCTATAGAGTAGACCGTAGTCAGCGCTGGTCGCCACGAAACCCGCCAGCCGCATCGCCGCCATCTCCATCCAGTTCTCCAGTCCTCTCCATACCCTATAACTATTCACTAACACAGACTCGCCCGTCGTCCCCGTCACCTCGCTTCCCCTGATGGCCTAGCAGCCTCGTAATCGCAGAGTCCCGGCCGACTGATCGCTCCAGACGCTTTCCGATACCGCCCACCCAGGCCATCCCGGCGCGAGATCTACTAGGTCGCCATCTCCAGAACATCGAGTCCTCTCAGACACGACCGGACGAGCGCGAGACCCGAAACCGCAAAGGCCGTACGGTCCCTTAACGCCCGTCAATTATCACCTATCCTTAGTCCAGCGTCCTATACTCCTCCTTAGCCTGCCGCATCCTTGCGGGTTTCTGCCTCGTCGTTTTTCAAGGCCTGTCCCACCGTCCGGCTTTGCACTCCTCTTCCACCTCCGCCTGTCCATGGAACGTTCGCCCGACCCTTCGAATTGCCCTTGTCCACGATGAGCAGCGCAACCCCAGATCCAGAGACGAGCAAGATAATGGCCGACATGGACGAGCAGCAGCAGCAGCAGCAGCAGCAGCATCTCCCCGAAGCCACGCCCTCGCTCGCGGGTAATGCGAGGAGCGTCACTTCGGGCACCAGTCCTCGAGGAGACGCCGGTGACGACAGTGGTTCCGTTGGAGGCAAGCAGACGGCCCAGTCCATGAATTCCGCCAGCCAGATAAGTTTCAGAAGGTGTGTAGAAGTATCCTGTCAAGCCCTTGTGTGAACGGTGACGGCGGTGGCGCTGGAAGAAGATATCTGGAGAGTGCAAGCAGGAAATTCAGACCCCGGGGGAAACCTGCCAGCTTGCATTGACGCAGGTCGCTATTTAAGCTCTACGGATCTTTCTTTGCTAACAGCTTCGGTATTCTAGACAACGCGCATCGCGAGCTTGTGAGGTATGTCGCTCTTCAGTTTGTTTGGTCGATAGCTCGCGTTCCCCTGAGCCGAGGCATCGGCATCTTCAGCCTCGCTATCTTATCACCGTTTCATCTATGCACCATCTGGACGTGGACTTTGGCTAACAAGGAGTTCGTAAACAGACCTGTCATGCCAGGAAGGTTAGTTTATTGTTGTCGTCGCCACCGTTGGTAGTGATATGCTGACTTGTATAGGTACGTTGCGATGCAGCTAGCCTCGGCGTGCCGTGCACCAACTGCGTGGCCTTCTCCATCGAATGCAAGATTCCATCTCCAAGGCGGAAGAAGAACCAGTCCAAGTCCAAGGATGGAAGCGAGTACGTAGCCGTCACTCACCTCGGCTTCTCCTCATACTGACAGTAACCGTAGGGAAGGACGTGACGCCCAAGGCAACGAGGACGACTCTCGAGATGAGAAGAGCGATGCCAAATCGAAACCCACCGACGGGATGCCCGCTACCTCTCTAACGGAAGCCCAGCAGGCCCAGCAAGCATCGCAGAATACCTCCTACGCCCAATTCATGAAACCAAAGTTCGCCCGCGCCCCCATCACAGAAGCTGGCCGCGTTGCATACCTAGGCGAATCATCAAACCTCACCCTCCTCGTCCAAGACCGTCACGGCACCACAGATGTCGTCCACTATCCGCTCCCGGACGGCATTCGTGGCTCACGCGCCCGCCTCACAGAACTAGATAACCTGGAGATCGACATCCTCAACCAGCGAGGCGCCTTCTTACTCCCTCCCCGCGCCCTTTGCGACGAGCTGGTGGACGCATACTTCAAATGGGTTGCCCCCGTCGTGCCGCTTATCAACAGAAGCCGCTTCATGCGACAGTACCGGGATCCCAAAAACCCGCCGTCTCTCCTTTTACTGCAGGCTATCCTGCTGGCGGGGTCGAGGGTATGCACGAATCCACAGCTTATGGATGCAAATGGATCGACGACGCCGGCGGCCATGACGTTTTATAAGCGTGCAAAGGCCTTGTATGATGCTAATTATGAGGATGACCGAGTTACCATCGTCCAGGCGTTGTTGCTGATGGGGTGGTACTGGGAGGGACCAGAGGGTATGTCCAGTTTAATCTCCCGAGTCATGTTATATCCTTTACCGGTAGAATGCTAACTGGTAATAGATGTTACGAAAAACGTCTTCTTCTGGACCAGGGTTGCGATCATTATTGCCCAGGGATCGGGGATGCATCGAAGGTACGTCGATACCTCCTTTTATGGAAGATCATGGAACTAACATTGCATAGTGTGGAAACGTCCCAGCTGAGTCGACCAGACAAACGACTGTGGAAGCGTGTATGGTGGACACTATTCACTCGCGATCGATCCGTTGCCGTCGCCCTGGGTCGTCCCGTAAACATCAACACAGATGACTCGGATGTTGAAATGCTTACGGAGGACGACTTCATCGAAGACGATGCAGACGGGCCAGCAGACTACCCGCCCGACCCGATCCATGTCCAGTTCTTCCTCCAATACGTCAAGCTATGCGAAATCATGGGCTTGGTCCTTTCACAGCAATATTCAGTTGCCTCCAAGTCACGTCGTACTAATGCCATTGACCTAACCCATAGCGACATGGCGTTGGCGGATTGGCTGCAGAACTGTCCCAAGGAAGTGTATTGGGAACGATCACGGCATCACTTTTGGTCCGCTTTGCTGCATTCAAACTACTAGTAAGTTCTTGCCAATCATGGCTGGAGAAGAGGAGAGTTACTGATACTTTTACTGTCTAGCACTACTCTATGTTTACTTCATCGAGCCCATATGCCTCCTGCAACTGCTGGTCAGCATGCGGGGAGTGATGGAATATCGTATCCTTCCCGTACAATCGCCTTCCAAGCTGCAGCTATGATCACATCGATCACTGAAAGTCTACAGAAACACCAACAGATTCGATTTGCCCCTGCTTTTATGTTAGTATAACCTGCCCTGCTTGCTAAACAACTTAACTAACAGCCTCGTCCCTTATAGTGTTTATAGTTTGTTCTCTGCACTAATCATGCACGTATATCAAATGAGATCCTCTGTTCCAAGTATAGTCGCGACCAGCCAGGAACGAATCAATATATGCATGTTGGCGTTGAAGGATGTATCGAAAGTATGGCTCGTCGCTAGGATGGTGCATACCCTATTCGAATCGATCCTGGGCAACAAGGCTCTTGAAGAGCGTCTCCAGAAAGCGGCTGGAAAACGTCACCAGAAATCCAAACGACAGCAGCAACAGCAACAGCAACAACAGCCTGAAGCGCATAAACGACATGAGCCACCCAAGAGGAAGTACGATGATATGGAAATTAGCATGCCTAACGGCCCCCCTGCAGCTCAGGTGTCGTACGAGCGTTCCAGGCCACAGACTCCAGCTGCAACGCCCTCCTTGACGCCGAGCCAACTGCCTGCCAGTCTTGGGGGGCCGCCAGTCGCAAATCCACAACAGCAACAACAGCAACACCACCAACGCATGCCAACAGACACATTCCTAGGTACTGGTGCCGGCAACGGCGCCGGTGCAGGGACGGGCAACACCCGCCCTACATCCCCATTCAACCCAGCCTTCTCCATCCCACAATCCCCTCCCGATCTCTTCCTCGTCACTCGCAACTCCCCCAGCATCTCACAATCACTCTGGGAAAACTTCCAACCCGACCAACTCTTCCCAGACGGCACCAACATGTCGTTCTCAGGCTTCTCGCCATCCTCTACAAACGTCGACCCGCAACTGCAAATGCCTAGCCTTAACAATACAGGAATGCCAATGGGTATGCCTGGCCAGGCGCATCCACAGCAACACCTATCTCCACGAACAGCACGCGGACCTCATGATAGTCCCACACTGATGGCGGGATTGGGACGTATGTCGCCGCAGCACCAGATGGGTCAGGGAGTGCCTATGCAAGGACAATGGCCTATGCAGACGTTCGATCCTAATGTGCCGATGGATGCGTCGAGTCAGGACGATAACTGGAGTAACAGTTCCCGCCAGGGCCCGATTCCGCCTACCTTGAACGTGGAAGATTGGTACGTTCGCACTCACGCTACCTCTTGTCTATTCCTCTTGCTAACATTTCTTTCTAGGTTCCAATTCTTCGGCATCAACGGGTTACCCGACATGTCTGTTGAGAATATGTAGAGACCAGGACCGGCCGTACGTTTTCACTCGGGTACAAAAGATGTAAGGCAAAAAAAGCACGGGAAAAGAAAGGAAAAGAAGAAAAACACACTCTCCTGGTGGATATTTGTCTTGATTCATTCTGTCTTTGGCTTGTTTTTATACCGTGGGTTTTCTTTTCCTCTCTGGAGCATGTTAAAGGGGGAAAGGGGGCGATATCTGGTGGGTTTCAGCCTGTCGTCTTATCTTTTAGTTCTCTCCTTAGGCGCTTGACTTTGGACGGTAGAGTTAAACTCTGTGGCCTCGTTTGTGTTGTTGTTTTGATAGCAGTCCACTTCCTGTACCCAGTTCTTGAAGAATACCATCTACCATCCACCGTTGATGTCTCCTGCATCGCCCGTTTATATGTTTATATATCGCCAGCGTTGTTGCGTCACGGCATAAACACAGGGTCATGTGACGGCCAGCAACGCCGAGCGTGGCCAATACAACAAGCGGCTTTGAATAGATGAGATGAGAAGAAGCAACCGAGGAGCAGCATCACATCTCCAGCGGACGTTTGGCCTGTGAAGACAGAGACTCCCGGCTTCTATCCCCTGTCTACTTCAATCATTGTTCTTGTTAGCTGCTGGAGCGTCTATCTGGCGACATTCAATCTGGGTGCCATAGGTGTCCCCAAACGACCTGCCGAACAATGAGCAGCCTCCCACCGTCAACCAACTAAATGACGAACTCGGCGTTAGGAACGAAACTATATCACGCTTTGTACGGTGCGAGAGGGTCGTAGATCGCGATTTACACTTGTCGAATTCAAGGAAATCAACCGCTACACTCGCCACGAAGAACGAAGACGATTGCATACCATCCGAGACACAACGGCTTCATGCCACATCCTCCAGCCGCAAGCCTTACCATACCCTCATATACCTCAAGGGACAACAATTCCGCATATTAGCTGGCCTGTCTGCCTTCCCTACATGACCATCCTATAATATCTGCGGGATTACGAGAAAACAGGAATGAGCAACGACGCCAGCTTCAATGCATCTAACTCCTGGACCTCGTTTTCGGCGCATGGAACTAGTTCCAACTCTGCCACTTCGACAGTCCGCTCTCGCAATAGGCGATTGATTCAATCTCATGATGATAGTGACGATGATGGGCTGGGAGCCGGTTACGCAGGTGTGGGATCACAGCGGTCGCAGCGTTCGGTACGACCCTCACTTTCGAATGGCGGAGTGTCCTCTTCTGGAACAGCGTCTCCGATTCCGAGTAAACGACTTCCACGCATGGCGGGCGGACAGATGAATCAGGAAAGGGAAAGTCCGTTGAGAGGATCGGGTTTTGGAGGTATGCGGGAGGACACGAGTGGTGGCAAGGCAGCAGGATTCGCGACGGACTTTCTAGAGTCTCCTTGGTCGTCGTTGCAAGGGTTTGCGTCGAACGTTATTGGAACTGGAAGTGCATTGATCAGTGGAGGAGTTTCATCGAACGGACAAGGACGGGGCAAGCTGTCTGGCGCAAAGTCGCCTGGAAGAGTCGTGGGCGGCGGTGCACCGAAGGGTCGGCCACAGATTCCTACCTCATGGGGCCCGACGGGTTCGATAATCGGCGACCCTAACCCGGATGCACAGAAGGAGAGGCAGGCATTGGTCCAGGCTAAGAAACGGGAGGCCCTATTGCAGGCCAATGGGGATAATTTTCCAGATATCTGGGGTAATTACAAACGCAGAGATTCAGGAGATGGGTTTGAAAGGTCGACGCCAACTTCAACCCCAGGAAAAGAGGATGGAGATGCCTTGGTATACATACATATCGTTCAGTCAAATGACACCCTCACTGGAGTTTCGATCCGCTATGGTTGCCAGCTGGCGGTGTTGCGGAAGTCGAATGGCTTCTGGCCTAGTGATAGTATACAGTCCAGGAAGACTATTGTATTACCGGTCGAGTCATGCACGCTGAAGGGCCTCCCAGTACCCAGCGACGAGGCACGAAAACACACTGATGATGCGAGTGGAGATAGCCTGGACCATGGTACTAGCTCTCTCGTACCCGACTCAGATATTACGGGTACATGCGATTTTGGGAACGGAGTCAACACCTCGCGTCCAGACGGGGACTACTTCAATTCGCCGAGAACTGAAAACGAAACGGGCAGTGACCCTCCCTGGAAACACCATAGCTGGGTGAAACTTGATGGGTTCCCGTCACCTGTCGAGATCGGTAGACTCCCAAGAAAGTCTTTAGGATTCTTCCCACGAGCCCGCCGAAAATCTCAGCTACGTTTAACCCCGTATAGCGATAACCCTGGATCTCTCTCTTCTTCTATGCAAGATTCCTTTGTGTCCGAGGTACATTCCACTCCGCCTCGCGGGCCGCGGGATTCCACCTCAGCACCAAGGAGTAGTCGTGACGGTTCAACATCCGGTACTGGATCTCCGCGTTATTCAGCTTCTCGCCCCAGAAGGCGACGCAGCATTGCCTTATCCGGGCCAGGCGGCGTAGGAACCCTTGAGAACGCTATATATCCCGGTCCACCCATAGACAAATTTACCACTTTTGTCAATTCCCACCTACCGACATTGACCGTCAAACCTGCAACAACTTATACAACACCAACCTTAGCATCCCTACATAACCAGGAGCGGACTTCATTCGACTCAGCCGACTCCGCAGTATTCTCATCATCCTCAGCTGCGGGCCTAGAAAACGTCGGCGGGGCAATTGAAGGTTGGTTTCGAAAGGTTGCGACTCGCGCGAAGGCAGGAATCAATGAAATCCAACAGCAACAGCCCCTTAACCAACAGTTTGCGAATCTCGGCCTCGCAGGCGCCTCCGGTGACCTTATTGAGCTGAACGACGCCCCTGAAATCACAAGGACTCAGCATTCCCCTACAATCGTCTTAGATGGAGCGAGTAGCACACAGGCGACTTCGAGCTCGTTTGCTGATCCTGCCGTAATGCGCAGAAGCGCATATAATAACTCATCATCCCCCGCGGCTAGTAATAAGAACAGTCTTCGTGGGAGCCTCCCATTCGCTGATGGGGCTGATAGATTTAAAGGGGATTGATCCCGATAATCTGATTGACCTGAGTCCTAAGCACACTTTCCAGTATCTGCATTTCCTTTGTAAGGCGCTTCGAAAGATTTTTTTCTTTTTTGATATCCCATCACGCACTGGGCATAGCCAGCCGAGTAATAAGTTTCTTTCAGTCTTGTTTGGCGTTCTTCAGCATCACTTCTTCTGGCCCTCTGGTAGTTTAACCTAAGGCCAGCATAGGTGGCTCAAGCAATTGGAGGTTCACTCAATTTTTTTCCATTTGTTCTACTAAATTAAATAAAGTGCCTATACGGTTTCTGGGGGGTACATATTCTATATAGGTACCATTAGATGGCGATTACCTCTTTAACCCTCCTTTGCGTATTGACGACGAGTCTAAGCTGCCTCCCTTTCCATGCTCTCTCATCATCGCTAGAAGATGCCTCCATGGGTTTGAATACACCGTATCTAAGCTGGTTTGTGTATAGTTCGTACGACGGGTAGTCTATCAACCACAGGAAATGGGCTTGTTAGTTATCATGTATCGTATTTGTGATAGCTTGGAATGGGCCTTACAGCCATTGACGAATTCTTTGACTTGATATGGAGTCATGCCTTTCCCTTTCGTCGCCAGAAGGGTTTGCTCTTGCTGCTGCCTCCAATAGTATACATCATGTGTATTTTCAGCGTCACTAATATTGTTAGAGAGCTGCGAAGGGTAAAATGCATAGCTTGTTAATTGGATGTCTGGGAGCTCACATGTGTATAAAGGCATCGAGTTGACTATGGCCGTCCCATTAGTCTTATATCATCCTACAAACACGTCAAGGTCAGGACTCACTTGGTGAAAGCATCATACTTGCTCAATGCATTATTAATAGCCATGATATCTTCCAATTTGACATGACCAAGCTGTCCGTCATAGTCACCATCACTCTCCCTTCTCACAGCGTCTTCCCAGTCTGCTCGAATCTCTGCATCGGGCCTTGCGCGGAACCCAACACACCAACCTTCGAATATAACGACTTTAACCAGAGACTGTCCATTATGCGTATCGTTTGCAACCTCCCACATATCCTCTGGTGCACGGTCGCCTTGGCCACTGAAGGCAGACTTATCATAGGAAGGGATTTTGACTGGTTGATTTCGGCGAAGGGAGTCAAAAATTCTGCTCCCCAGCGCTATGTCGTGAGTGGATGGCTGACCACGATGCTGGAGAAGGGGGTTAGATGGATGGGAGGCTGCAAGTTGCTGTTGATCAGCGTGCGTTAGGTATATGTCATCGAGCGAGAAGGCTATGGTGGGCAGGTTGTACGGTGCAGCCGAGAGAGTAGACTGGAGAGTTGAAACCTGAAAATTGGATATTAGAAAAGGAAAACGTTCAATTTGAATATATACAGCTACAATAGATATATACACTATGTGTTATATACTGCTGGAGCTGGGGAGGGAGCTCACCAGAACCGTCTTCCCCGCGCCCTGGATGCCGTTCAACCCCACGAAGAACGGCGGTGCATTGTGGCCGTCTCCATGTTTTAATCTGTGGCCTTCCAGCAGCCCAAGAAGAAAAGGGATGCAGTGCTCCGACTTGTCGTCGAATATAGCTGTATTCATGCTCTCAGGGTCACTCTTCGCCCTCTGTCCATCTGATAAACAGAAGTAAACAGATGGAGATAACGGATAAGAGCCGCAGGTTCAGCCGTGCCGAGGCATAGAGTCACGTGATATACCGAGCTCTTCCCCATAGAACGTGGACAAACATCCACACTTCGGCCTGGAGAAAGGGAGAAAGGGAAGAGAGGTCATGGATTATGCGATCGATATAGTTATGCAGCACGGAACCGCCGAGGGCACCGTAAAGACGCCGTGGGCACTGTGAGATGTACTCCGTAGATGAAGGGATGCATCTTGTCACGAGTCACTCTTGTATACTCCGTACATATCACATATAAGGACACTAATAACCCAAAGGAAGAACATATCCCTATTATACCTATATCTGCCTGTATCTCATCAACATCCTCGTCGTCGCTCGTTTTATATGCTGCGATTTCACATGCAAAGACAGCATCAGGTGACCTTCAAAGCTGAGTCAGCAAGAATGGCAGCTCATGATTGGCTGGACAAGCAGCGATGATGCACAAGCCGTAGTACCTGAAAGATACTTCCAGTTACTTGTATCAGCAGCCTAAAAGTAGGTATCTTTAAGTACCACTGCTGCCGAGGTCCAGCTCGTCTCGTGCGGCCGTCCTGCCATCGCCGGCAACAACGCTTCCCTTTTATTCACGTCTCACCCGACCTCTCTGTCTTCTCTGTCTTCTTCCTCTGCTTGTCTCCAGGCACCTCTTCTCCTGTATATTATCACCGTTGAGATCTGGCCTGATACATCCATCCCCACGCTATACTCCGCCCTCATCGCCCATCATCACATCATGTCTCAACTTCGCTTCGATAACCAGGTCGTCGTCGTCACTGGCGCCGGCGGTGGTCTGGGGAGAGCATATGCCTTGTACTTTGCTTCCAAGGGTGCTGGCGTCGTCGTCAATGATCTAGGCGCCTCACATTCTGGAGAAGGCCAGTCGTCAAAGGTGAGGTCGACATTCTGATCTTCCAATGTTTATCGAGGGGAAAGCTCTAGTTCTAACCCTGCCTCGACTTATTTTATAGGCTGCGGATGTCGTTGTCGATGAAATCAAAGCTGCTGGCGGAAAGGCCGTTGCCAACTACGACAGTGTCGAGTTTGGTGACAAGATCATAGACACCGCTATTAAGGCGTTCGGTCGTGTCGATATCCTGATCAACAATGCTGGAATCCTCAGAGATGTCAGCTTTAAGAACATGAAAGATCAGGACTGGGATATAATCGACAAGGTCCACCTTTACGGAGCATACAAGGTGCGATTTAGCAGTTCCTAAACAGCAGATAGAAGTCCTAACTGACAGCTATACGGATATAGTGTACCAAAGCTGCTTGGGCCCATTTCAGAAAACAAAAGTTCGGCCGAGTGATTAACACCACCTCTGCCGCTGGTTTGTTCGGTAGCTTTGGCCAGACCAACTATTCCGGTATGCGCTTGACACTAAACTGATTGCTGTGAATCAATACTAACTGGATGTTAGCTGCCAAACTTGCGCTGGTCGGACTCACCGAGACTCTTGCAAAGGAGGGTCTCAAATATAACATCCACTCCAATGCCATTGCACCAATTGGTAAGCTAAAAAAAAAGGGCCTACCCCGGAATAATATGGACATTACTGATAGCTTAATAGCTGCTAGCCGCATGACGGAGACTGTTATGCCCCCGGAGCTCCTGGCCAACCTAAAACCTGAATTCGTTGTTCCTATTGTTGCCTATCTCGTTCACTCCTCCACCACCGAGACCGGTAGCATATTCGAGGCCGGAGCTGGCCATGTTGCTAAGATCCGCTGGGAGCGATCCAAGGGTGCCTTGATGAAGGCTGATGACACTTTCACCCCTGGTTCTCTCTTGAAGAGATGGGAGGATGTCAACGACTTCTCCAAGCCTACATACCCCACCGGCCCTGCCGATTATGTGGAATTGATCCAAGAGTCGATGAAGCTGCCAGCGAACCCCAAAGCTGAGGAGCCAGACTTCACCGGAAAGGTTGCTTTGATTACTGGTGCTGGAGCAGGGTAAGTGTTAACTACATTGGTATACATGGGAAAATCTCAATTCTAACGGATATAATAGACTTGGCCGATCTTACGCCCTCATGTTCGCCAAACTTGGTGCATCTGTCGTCGTCAACGACCTTATGAACCCAGAGCCAGTTGTCCAGGAGATTATCAAGGCCGGTGGAAAGGCCGTCGGCTCCAAGGCTTCTTGTGAGGACGGACCAGCCATTGTTAAGACTGCCATTGACAACTTTGGCCGCATTGACATCGTTGTCAACAATGCCGGCAACCTTCGTGACAAGGCTTTCACCAACATGGATGACAATCTCTGGACCTCCGTTGTGAATGTTCACCTTAGAGGTACCTACAGTGTGACCAAGGCTGCATGGCCATACTTCTTGAAGCAGAAGTTTGGACGTGTTGTCAACACCACCTCCACCAGCGGTATCTACGGTAACTTCGGCCAGGCCAACTACGCATCTGCTGTAAGTCTCATCTGCCTTCTGTGTGAGTACAATATAGGAGAAGTATGCTGATGATAAAATAGAAACTCGGTATCCTTGGTTTCTCCCGTACCCTTGCTCTTGAGGGTGCCAAGTACAATATCCGCGTCAACACCATTGCTCCTAACGCAGGTACTGACATGACCAGAACCATCATGCCAGAGGAGCTTGTTCAGGCCTTGAGCCCTAACCAAGTCGCTCCGCTTGTCGTACTTCTCTGCTCTGAGATGCTCCCAGAACCTGCTACCAAGGGTCTCTACGAGTGTGGCAGTGGATGGACCGGTAAGACCAGATGGCAACGATCTGGCGGCCACGGTTTCCCGGTTGATGCTGACCTTACCGTCGAGGAGGTTGCCAAGGTCTGGCCCAAGATCATCGACTTCGACGACGGTCGTGCCGACCACCCAGACGACACTCTTGCTGGTACTGAGAGTATCATGGCCAACATCAACAACAAGGTTGGAGGAGCCAAGAAGGAAGAGGCACCCAAGGGTGGTGACCAGAGTGTCCTGGACAACATTTCTAAGGCCAAGGCCATGAAGGCTGAAGGCACCACATTCGACTATGTTGATAAGGATGTCATCCTCTACAGTCTCAGTCTGGGAGCTAAGAGGACTCAGCTACCACTTGTGTACGAGAACCACGAGGATTTCCAGGCCCTGCCTACCTACGGTGTCATTCCATGGTTCAACACCGCCCACCCCTGGAACCTGAACGACCTTGTCGCCAACTTCTCGCCCATGATGCTTCTGCACGGCGAGCAATACCTCGAGATCAGGAAATACCCAATTCCAACCGAGGCCAAGACCATCTCCTACCCCAAGCTCATCGATGTTATCGACAAGGGTAACGCTGCCATCGTCGTCGTAGGATATACCACCAAGAACGCAAAGACCGGCGAAGACCTCTTCTACAACGAGTCTACCATGTTCATCCGTGGCAGCGGTGGATTCGGCGGCTCAAGCAAGCCTACCGCATCCCGCCCAGCTGCTGCAACTGCCTCTTACAAGCCCCCACAGCGCAAGGCCGACGTCGTCGTCGAGGAGAAGACTGGTGAAGACCAAGCTGCTCTCTACCGCCTCAACGGTGACCGCAACCCTCTCCACCTCGATCCCGACTTCAGCAAGATGGGTGGCTTCAAGACTCCTATCCTGCACGGCCTCTGCTCTCTCGGCATCTCCGGTAAGCACATCTACGAGAAGTTCGGCGCCTTCAAGAACCTGAAGGTGCGCTTCGCTGGTGTCGTGCTGCCAGGCCAGACTCTCAGGACTGAGATGTGGAAGGAAGGAAACGTCGTGGTCTTCCAGACCACCGTTGTCGAGACTGGCAAGCCTGCTATCGCCGGAGCTGGTGTCGAGCTGGTCTCTACCGGAAAGGGTAAATTGTAAATGCATCTGCTTCCTCAGGTGAAAAAGCATGCCATGCCATCCAGTCTAGATGACCGTTATTTTCTTTTTCTTTTCTTTTTGGTAAAAGGTCATTTTGTCATTTTATGATTTCTTTTGTCTCACGAAGCTCCCTTTGTTATATTTATTTTATCCATCGAACGACGAGCTGGCCGCGGGTCTATAAGAACCCATGACTAGGTGTATTTTATATGTGGCCATGTCTTGAAATCTAAGAAATATATTCAGATTACTTATTCTATAGTCACTCTACTTCGGCTGCATCGTCATAGCAAAATATAGATCCGTGATTGAAGCCCTTTTAAGGGGCCAATACGCTCCACCGTACGACCAAGGCAAGAGAGAGCCAGGCTCCATCAGGCCGGGATCCAGGGTTAATTCTAGTGCTTAAGACCACATGGAACATTCCCTGAGAACCACCTCGCAGCCGTTTATTTATACATGTTCGATCGGTCCTGGCTTCATGTAACCACCATCTCATCGGCTTCACGCTCATATCTCGATGCTATATCCCGATCATGAGGCAGCAGATCGCCTATCATGGTCCTCTCCCTACTAAGCAATAAGCCATCTCGCAACAGTAAACGAGCACCGTTATCCCCTTCAGCCTCCCCCTCGACGACGACATCATCCTCTAAATCACAAAAGACTACCGGATCTTCCACGTCTGTCCAGCTATCCTCCTCCGCTTCCACGCCGGCTGCCTCATCCACCCTCACAGAAGCCCTGCGCGGTAATCCATTTGGCGCAGGCTCACGCCCTACCCTTACCACCGCCTCGATAACGGATATACCTGCTACGAATGATACGGAAGACGAGAAACAGCGCGATCTACGAGAACTTAACCATGCGTTGAACGTGTTGGCGGGGTTATTTCCTGATGTCCACGCGGAGGTTTTTAGAGAGCTGCTCACCCGGTTTGATGGGAAGAGTAGACTAGAAGTCAGCGTCGAGCAGCTGCTGAGATATCAATCAGAATGGGTCAAGGGACGGTGGAACGTTGCCGCTACATCTGAGGAGACTGGTGCTCCTGCAACGACCGAGGATGGGCACACGATGGAGGATAGGCTGGTGCCTAGGGAGGAACTCTTTCGGAGTGATGAATACAAAGATGCCGTCAGGTCTGCGCTGACCGCGGAGTTCCGGTCTTTGAGTAAGAGCACGATCAACGCTGTTCTCGCAGAGGGGAATTTCTCCTACACTCGCGCCCGGCCTACGTTGATCGATTTATCCCAGAAAACATGGCGTGTCACTTTGGGGAACATGTTTTCATTCAAGAAGAAGAAAGCACCTCATAAAGACGATCCCCCTCCATATCTTGTTTGGCAGAGGCGTTCAGTCGACGAGCTCGAACCTGTTTTGAAAGGGACAGGCTGCGCAGAGTTGGACGAGGAGATTTGTTCTACGTTTTTACTTCCGCTGTTAAATCGGAGACGAGAGACACAGATGGAAGAAGATCTGAAAAAAGCGGAAGAGTTGAATGAAGCGGAAGCAAAATCCGTGGACGCTTTATATGAATGTGACTGCTGCCTCGCAGACGTTACCTTTGAACAGATCTCAACCTGCTCCGAGGCAGGCCATATCATCTGCTTCAACTGCATCCAACGTACTCTTCAGGAGGCGCTCTTTGGCCAAGGATGGGATAAATCTATCAATCTTGACAGGTCGACTCTGTGGTGCATAGCCCCGTTGGCGGACGGGACGTGTCAGGGGAAATTAGACGCCGCCCTCGTCAAGAGGGCGATCCTGAAGCAGAAATCAGGAGCAGAGACGTATCGAAAATTTGAGAACCGACTTGCTTCTGAGTCACTCGTTAAATCAAATTTGAAGTTGATATACTGTCCTTTCTGCTCATATGCCGAGGTAGATCCCGTTTTCCATCCGTCGGTAAAGGGAATTACCTGGCGGTTTCGCAAAGCAAGCCTTATCACAAGTATAGTAGTGGTCACGGCACTCCTCGACATCATTCCACTTCTTATAATTCCCTTGATCATCCTCCTCTGCATTTCCCCTTCCGCGCTGGGAGCTACGTTTCGCAGGTCGTTACAGAATGTTTGCCTTAGGACGCGAACACAACGCTTCAAGTGTGGGAACCCGTCATGTTGTCGTGCGAGCTGTATCCGATGCCATAAGCCATGGAACGATCCGCATACGTGTCATGAACCATTGCTCCAATCTTTGAGAACTACCGTGGAGGCAGCCCGCACGGCAGCTATCAAACGTACCTGTCCATGCTGTGGGCTCTCATTCGTCAAGTCCTCCGGGTGCAACAAGCTGACATGCGTGTGCGGATATTCCATGTGCTATATTTGCCGCAAGGCACTGGGACCAAAGGGCCGACGACGACTAAATGGCAACAACAACAATGGTGTTCAGCTCATGGATGGCGCAGCAGATGCAGAGTCAGATAACGAGGATGCCGGAGAGGAGGCGGAAGGATACAAACATTTTTGTGAACATTTCCGAATAAACCCGGGTTCCTCTTGTACGGAATGCAATAAATGCGACCTCTACCAAACGGAGGATGAGGAAGCAGTGGCCCAACGCGCAGGAGAAAAGGCCCAGCGGGAATGGCGAATTCGTCAAGGAATGGAAGACAGTATCGAAGATTTACCTACATCCGAAATTGAGGGCGCCAATTTAACGTGTAAGCCGGCAGGACTTTCACCTGGTGCAATGGCAGCGCGCAGATACGATTGGGATTTACAATTTGACGTGACCAGCGGATTTTGGAGATGTGGTTGGAAGTTTTGGACTAGGGATCTCTGGCAGGGCCAACGGTGGAAGATGGAAGCTCAACTTCTAGTCGATAATGTCGTCGACCGCCTAATTGTTGTCGACGCCAACTGACGGCTCCTGCAACCCTATCACGAGGCATGACTTTCTCTGGTTTGCTCTCTTGTTCGACTACGAATTTCCTTTTCTTTTTAATACACGCGTGGGCATTACGGGATATATTTGGAATTTGGAGCTATAGCGGCACTTGCATTTGATACTTGACCGGGTTTTCATGGGTAATAATAGGTTAAAGGTGCTAATCGAGATGATGGACGGAAGCGATGGGATAGGATATGGAGATTGGAATGGTGTTTCTTTTATTTCTTTACTTCTTTACCTTTTCTCTTTGCTCTTTTTAAAACTCCCTGCTTCTGGCTTCCCTTGCTTGATAGGTGTCTCGCATGCTGCCGCTGCTACCAACTGAAGACTGGAGAGGAATAATTGGATATCAAACCTCCCATCTAAGGGCCTTACTCGTGGACCTTGACTTTTCATACTTTCCTTCATCATCTGTGGATTATTATATTATTTTCAGTGAGACAGTGACTTCAACTGTCCCAACTCTCTAACGAATTCCTATTGTTATCGTGCACCGTCGTAACATTACTCCTCGTGTCTTATATCTTCTTCCATCTGGTTGAATATGAAGAGCCAAGTCGAAGATGAGTGTAATCACGTGACTATTGATATCGCCAGGAACAGGTCGCATAGAAAGGAAGCCTAGTTGCAGCTGTTCAAGGCAACATCGATTGTGAATTCTACGTTTGTTGACAAGTTTATTGGCCTCGGTGCTATATTTTAAAGGCCGCCGATTCCTACGGCTTCTGGGTGGAGGACGCTGAGAAAGCGATCGCAAAACGAAGCTGCCTAAGAGCCACGTCAACAGCTCGCCGTCCGCCGCGCCGAATCACTAAGCATACTACAAAGCCCATCGGTGCAATATATGATTGTCGTCTGATTAATTCGGGACCGACTTTAATTTCCTTTCAATACCAAAGATGGCCAGTGGCAGTGGAGGACATAGGACGGACAGTCCGTTCATCATAGACCATGATGAGGATTCGGTCTTGGATCATGAGCTGGTCGATGATGGTATGGCCCCTAATTAACACCCTTGATACAATGATATATCGTATCTAATAACTGTTCTTACTACCTGATAGCTATCGAAGCTGATGACCCGCTTGGTTCGACAACCGACCGTACACCATTAACCGGAAACATTGCATCCTCCTCAGCACCCGGAGGAGCTTCAAGAGCCCCCGTGTCAAGTTCATACCTCACCTCTTCCATACCGGGAGAAGACCGCCGTGCGCCCCAAAATACAATCGACGAGTCTGTTTGGGATACCCTCTCCCGGGACCTTTTGGCAGTATGGGAGAAGATGAGACAGGTGCTTTGGCCGCAATATCTGCTAGGCGGCATGATGATGCGTGGAGGGGGCGGCAGCGGAGGCTCTGCAGAACGGGGTGAGGCAACCGGGTTTGGTAGTGAGAGCCTTGGTGCCCTACGCGGGCTCGTAGGGAGATTGCCCGACGCAGATGCCGTCTTGCAAGGTGGGATGAGCGAAGGTCTTAGAAATTGGGATTTATGGTACGTACTGGAACCCATAACGTTTTCTCCCTCTCCGATTAACGTTTACTTCTAGGGGCCCGTTGATATTCTGTCTCCTGTTGAGTATGTTCCTTGCAATGGGCAAGGGTGACCAGTCTAGCCTAGTGTTCTCGGGCGTATTCTGCATTGTGTGGATCGGTGAAGCCGTTGTCACTCTACAAATTAAGCTGCTCGGCGGTAACATGTAAGTTTTTCCATATTTGCATATACTTTGCTCTGGCGAGATTGGCTATACCCGAGCAAAGTTGTGTGTTACCGCTTCTAACATCAGAGTATAGCTCGTTTTTCCAATCGGTTTGTCTCATCGGTTATACGCTCTTTCCGCTGGTGATTGCCGCACTACTCAGCGCCCTAAACATTCCAACCATTGCTCGTATCCCTGTATACCTCGTACTAGTAGCATGGTCCCTGGCGGCAGGAGTGAGCATTTTGGGCGGTTCGAGAGTGGTCAAAAACCGGGTAGTCCTCGCTGTCTATCCGCTATTTGTGTTTTATATGGGAATCGGGTGCTTGTGCTTTATTAGTTAAGGGTGGTCGAAGAAGGTATGTTTTCATATATCAGTGACGTTTTAGAAATTTTGCTGACAAGCATTCTCCTAGCAGTACGATATAAAGAGATCTGGATCTCGCCTGCATCGCAACTACAGATAAATAGCAGGGGTTCCTCTACCTCCGTTCTAATATCATTCCTGTCTCGTTCCCAGCTTTTCATTTGCTAGCTGTACTATACGTTACATACTTTGGCCTTTAATGAATTATAACTATCCATTAACTATTTATGGATCTTACGAAAGGACTAACTAAGCTTTCTGTATCCCCACGATCTCCAAGCTATCTTGTTCTTTCCGATTGGGCGAGAGCTTTGTCAAACAATGAACTTGCTTTTACCCATACATCGAACAGGTTCACATTTGAGAGACCAAATCCATATACATAACAGGGCAGCAGGCCAATGTCTTTATCCGTTTTCTTTCAGCTGTCCTTGCGTAATCATAATGAGGATGAAGTGTCACAGCAAACTTGCGGTGCCACCTGATATATTTTTAGTGGTAGAATGAAGCCAATACGCTTACCCGCCACCCCCATCTTCGTGCGGGTATGGAGCAGCATTTATCGATTTATGAGAAGCTAGAGAGCCAGTTAAATACGCCATTGAATTATTTAACTAGTATTATGTAGCTTAGAAAGCCTCTTCTTTGAAGTATCATTTGCGTATAGCTGCGTTGGGTACCCATCCTTATGCTAATCGGCAGACAGCTTTTTATGTCATGTCAAAGAGGAAATTATGCGTGCTTCTCCTTGGTGGGTGGCTGCGCTCACCGAAATCAGCAAGGCAACCACATCATCTCGATTGGCCTGATATTGGCCTGTGGCGGATGATCAGCGGTTCCATTTGTAACGAACCAGCGGCATGACGATGATGATTCGCAACAGGAACACAATCTAAACTTCCGTGGATCTCGAGATCGAGACACAGCACTTTCTTTCGATGCAAGTTCGAGCGCTGTGACATGCTTTAATTCATGATATCAGTCGGCTTTTGCGGTTCGAAAGGCTGTTTCACTCAGCTCATATCCTCGAGGACGTAAGAGGTGCAACGCCAGAACCCAATGGGTTGTTTGAGGCGACAAGTTTGATGATAGACACTGCTTCACCGGCTTTTTATAGACTGATCTACGGAGTACCCTATACTCCGTATAGAATCCGGAAAATATGTTGGCGCCGCCGTCATGATGTGGCTACTGGCTCTTGTGCAAGGCCATGACAGCTGTACTCAAGTACTCCGTAGATCCTCCACTGGACACTCCGGGGGCCCGCGGGTCAGGTTGATCTGAGACACAGATGCAAGCCAGCGCCCGACGATAGGTTCCGCGGCATTTGGGCGCTGACAGCTTCACCTGAGAGAAAGACCTTGAAAGTCGTCCGTCGTGTACTCCGTAAACATGCTTCTACTTGCTGGCGTAAGCTGAGACTTTTGCGATGTCGTTGCTTTTGCAGGGGGTTACATAAGCGCCATCTATCCTCGCTCTGCTTGACCTCAGTTGTTTCACTCATCCGCTGCAGAAACCAGGACCAAGCCGGACAGTTATGAGAGCCAAGGGGAAACATCCCTTGCAGCGGGATACGGACATGATGTACGAGGTACCAAGCCCTAGGAGAAACAGAGAAGAGCTGGGCAGAGAGGAAAACACCCATACGCACCCGGCGCTTTTAGCCTCCGCCACAAGTCCATATTCACATCATTGGCTGATATAGAGGATACCGAGCTTCTGTTTATTGGCACAAACCTCATTCCAGCCTTTTAATCTGCAGGAAGTGGTCCTCCGTGCTCGATAGAGCAGTCGAGGCGGAAATGGTGAGTGTGCTCCGTATGGTGTAGGCAAAGGCTGTGATCTTTCTGTCCGCTCGTATTTCACATTGTCTGACCTGTCTTGTCAAGATAATGGCCAGTGTCGGATTGCCGCCGACCATTACGTGAAAACGGAGATCAATTTGCGGATGCTACTGTTGTAGATACCAATGTTGTACGCAGGGCTGGCTGTCAGGACGACACCTTTACCCATACCCAAGCGGGTCTACGCCATGCAACCTGCATTCTGTGGCTACACGCTTGTTTTTCTTCATTTTGAGATATGGGTCTTCCAGCAACGTTTTGTTGGGATTCCCTAACTTTGGCATCTATGAGAGCCGAACTGGTGCCTTTGTTTGGATCTGTACTCCGTACTATGTATAGAACCCAGCCGTTATACCCGGATCTCTTTCGGTCCAATATACTCCTTGTTCCCAGACCCTGCAAGGTCACCCTTCCATTCCACCCCAGATCAATGTTTAAGTTGGTGTGGAACGAAAAAACGTGGCCAGTGCCAGGGATCTTCACGGCTCCGCGGACGCCCATTAGCCTCAAGATTTCTTGACGTTTTACCTGGGCGCTTGGTGCATGGTCCTGTCTCCTACGATAGGATCCGCACTATTGTGGAAGATTTTTGAGATAAATCCCACACCGCAAACCTCAACCCGGAAAGTTGATAAATAATGGATGCCTCCCAGTTCCATCTTCCAAGTAGTGCGCTCGGTAGTGGAGAAGCGTATAGAGATCTCCCTCCCTCTTCCATTTTTCCTTGTGTACGGCATGATGCCGTCACTCAGTTCGTCGTCGTTATTCTCTCTCGGATATTGTGTTTTGCTTTCTCTTTGTGTTGGTAGTGCAACTGCATGGAGTCAACCTCATGGAGCCCCTTCTAGAAATGTCCCGAGGGGCGATTATCCAATTTTCGACCCCCCTCCAAGTACCGATTTCAATACCCGTCTCATACGGTGCGAATACCCATCAATGAAAGGCTGGGTTTATTCCCACAAGAAGAATGGCGATTGGTTGAAGTATATTGGCTCAAACCCAGGAGACATCACGGAGTATAACATTGAAACCGATAACGATAAATATATTCCACAGGGAATAACACGAAAGGTTAGTGGAAACATTTTTCGTTTTGATGAATGGTCAGAGAACTAAAAAGCAGTGAACTAGTACCATCTGGAAATCTCGGATGAGTCTGCGAATATGGACGGAACAGTCTTTGACAAAGCAAAGCTCTTTAATAAGCAATACCCTGGACCTTGGATCCGTGAGTTGCCCAATAACTGATGGAGATATATTGGTACGGATCATGCTAATACCCGGTTTAGAGGCATGTTGGGGAGATAATCTCGGTGAGCATGCCCCGATGTTGAAAATATCCTGCAAGTAAAAAGCAAGGAGCTAACGACGAATATTAGAAATCACCGTCACCAACAAGCTGAAGCATAATGGAACTGCTGTTCACTGGCATGGGATCCGGATGATGGAAAATATGTTCAATGACGGTGTTCCAGGCATTACGCAATGCCCTATTCCCCCTGGTTCATCAATGACATATAGATTCAGGGCCAGTCAATACGGATCCAGCTGGTATCATAGTCATTATTCTCTGCAGTATGCAGATGGACTCTTCGGCCCAATGACGATTCACGGGCCATCCTCGGCAGATTACGATAAGGCCGTTGACCCGCTGCTGATGACAGACCACCTACACAATAGTGCATTCGAGGAGTTTCATAATGAGTTGGGGGGCCATCCTCCAAAGATGGACAGCATTATCCTAAACGGAAAAGGTACAGTTAACCGTCGACGCGGACACAAATATGCAACTTACCCAGTGTTAACACCCAAGTAGGAGATTTCGACCAAACTGGCGACGTGAAAAAGAAGTATCGTACTGTTCTTAAACCTGTTCGTTTTACCCTCCTAAACCACTCCACACTTGACTGGGCTAAGTTTTGGGATAGGGCAAAAGATATCTTCTTAGGTTGATAAACACCTCAATTGCAACAACATTTGTTTTTTCGGTTGATGGCCACAAGTTCCACGTTGTCGGGTCAGATTTTGTTCCGATAGAACCCTATGAAACCGACCATATTGCCGTTGGGATTGGTGAGTGATGCTAGACTTTTCCCAACTTTAAAAAGATGCTAATTGATCTGATTTAGGCCAACGCTACCATATTATTCTCGAAGGGCTATCTAAAGAAGAAGCCAAGAAGAACAGCCGTTATTGGATTAGGACGACGCCTGCCAAGGGCTGCGCAACATTTCGCGAAGGGAGAGGCACTGATGATCGGACCGGAGTATTCTACTACGATCGAGACGACGGTATGGCTCCTACCACTGATGGGGGAGCCTTCGATGTAGCCTGCCGAGATGAGCCTCTAGATAAGTTGAAGCCAATAGTCAAATGGACTGTGCCTGACCCAGGACTCAGTTCTCCTGGCGAGTTTGAGAAATCGGTAGACGTGCAGCTTGGCCAGTGGAGGCGGCCAGGATATGCGAATACAGAAAGCCTTGTTTCTAACTGGGAATTTGGGCCGTCTCCTATGTGGATTAACTACTCTGAGCCGATCATAAAAAATCTTGACAAGAAGGACTTCCCCGCGACGTGGGTTGTATACCCAGCAGACGACCATCTTAACGATAAATGGGTGTACCTTGTCATCACAGGGAAGAAGCTAAAAGTACTTGAAACTCAAGTTGCTGTTGCACATCCGGTGAGATACCACTTCTGTTGCATCCCTTTATCTGCCTTGATTACATACAACTGACGCAGTACATATAGATCCATTTGCACGGCCACGATTTCGTCTTGCTTCAACAGTCAATGGAGCCTTGGGACTCTTCCAATGTCAACCTTAAGCTTGATAACCCTCCACGACGAGACGTTGTTCTGCTACCGGCTGGCGGATTTATCGTGATTGCCTTTAAGCCAGATAATCCAGGTTCATGGCTGCTGCATTGCCACATCGCCTGGCATGTATCAGCCGGGCTGGCCTTACAGGTACTCGAGCGCAAGGAGGACCTGAAGGCTTTGACCCTGAACAACCCCGACTATGACTTTATGCAGGAGAACTGCCGAAGGTGGGATGCATGGCACTCAGATAAAAGCAACTTTTGGGATCCAAAGGGTTATTTCCAAGACGACTCTGGGGTTTAATGAGCTAGCTATCGCATGGCTGATACCCTTCGTGGATATTCTAACTCAGGCTGGGCCTATGGGTTTTCTTTTTCCTTTATTTTCTCCTCGTTTATAGACATTTCGTTGAGCATATACTTCCCTCACTCCGCCTCTGATCTACACCCTTATTACCCTTAATATCAACCCCCTACGAATCTCCACTGCAAAAGACACTCATCTGATGTATATATGATGATGCCATAATTGGATATCGGCCAGAACACAAAACCTGCCATCTTATCAAATAATACTGAACTCACTGCGCCATGATGCCGTCTTTTTAGCTCGACCCAGCTGGCACAGACGGCGAACTTAGCCTCACGCCATGGTATCTTTAAGCATCCGCTAAAAACAGCATTTTCTGCCTCCCGTGTTAGCTAGCAGCTAGCTGGGTTCTGTTCTCTCTTCTCTCGCTCAACTGACTACTCCGTACCATCTGCACATCACAGCCTCGTCTCGCAACTAGGGCGAATAAGAGGCCAGACAGATAAGAACGATGGGAAACATCTTGATCATGTGGGTAAGGGGGGCAGGACAATTGTGATCAGACGAAACCAGCCCGGCCCTCGCTTGAACTCGCTTCCATTTTACCGAATTAGCATCGTCCTGATAGTTATCGCTTGTTCGATGCTAAAAACGAATAATTCTTGATGCCCACAGCCTTGTGAGGAGAGAAACTCCCCAATGTTAGCCTTGCTGCAGCCGAGGCGGATAGCTGCCCTGTTCGCATGGGCAGGGGGCATAGCAGTGCAAACAATGCCTTATAGTAGCCCGAGAATAAAGGTACCATTTCTCGCAACAGGGGCTTGATTTGAGGATTTTTGAGTAATACTGCTCCTTAACTGGAACTTCGCCATCACCTACTCGAATTGTTGTCCAGATGCCCATACCGCCAGCCATGAAGCAACGACAGAAGGTGTATATCGCAGTGATGGGGGTGACTGGGTCGGGGAAGAGCACCTTTATCCAGGTTGCAACTGAGTCCTCGGATGTTCATATTGGACATTCGTTCAAATCTTGTAAGTCGTTCTTCGTATTACTTCCACCCCAAAGTTGCATACAATATCAATTGCTAATACCATTGATATTTAGGCACTGCAGCTGTTTCGGCTCATACATTTTCCATTGATGAATACGATATCACCTTGATCGACACGCCTGGATTCAATGATACATTTCGCAGCGAGACGGAGGTTCTAAAGGAGATTGCCAACTGGCTCGATTACACCTACCGAAACCCTCCTCATGTTATGCTCACGGGCATCATTTACATGCAATCGATCACCGATCGTCGGATGTATGGCTCTACCCTTCGAAATTTAAAGATGTTTCGACAACTCTGTGGCGAAAGCCCCCTACGCAATGTAGTATTCACAACCACCGGCTGGGGTACAGCTGAAAAGGCCGGAGACCTCGCCAAAGCACTTGAAAATCAGGAATCGCTTCGTAGCGACCCTGACTTCTGGGAGCCTATGATCAGAAGAGGGTCAATTATGGCTAAATTCGAGGATACTCGTTCTTCTGCCTTGGCTATCATTATGAGTATTGTTGAGCGAAACCCCATCCTCCTCAAAATCCAGGAGGAATTGGTTGACGAAAACAAGAACCTCATCGACACTGCGGCTGGCCATACTGTCAACGAAGAAATGAAGAGACTTGAAGAAAAATACACCCAGGACATCGCCAAGGTCCAGAAAGACATGGAGGAAGCACTCGCTGCTCGCGACACCGAATACCACGCAGCTCTACAGGAGGCCAAGGAGAATTACGAGCGACTCCGTGATGAAGCCCAACGAGCTCGAGACTCTCTACAGTATGAGCGCCGGAATGAGAAGAGGCGTCTTACTAATGAGATCGAGGGTATGAAGCGACAGCTTGAGCGAGACAAGAAGAAACACGAGGAGTACCTGGAGCTTAAATTCAAGGCCCAGCAGATTGATGATGATATGAAATATGAAGAAATTGTGAGAAAGCTCCGCATGAACGGTCACCTTCTGCGTGACGAGGAACGACAGCTCTTAGAAATTAAAATCCAAGAGCTGGAAGCTGCATCGGCAGGTCCTGGAAATAGCAACAGTGGTAAAAAGAAGAAAGGTAGGGGAACAAAGCTCCTGGTTGGATTAGCACAAGTCTTGGGAAGTGTGACGATGGGTTTACTCGGATTCCCTATGCTATTTGGAGATCCCATAGGGACTATTGCCTCCATTTTTTAAACGACTGCTGTTATATCTCTCCTTTTCTCTTCATTGATACAATATAACATTCTGACTTGTACAAAGTATTTTGCTAGGAACAGAAATAATTGAAGAAACAACGCACTCACTTTATGAAAGGAAGAGTAGGCCAGATTGAGAAGAACGAGAGACTGGTGTGTCAAGAAGCCCTAGTATGAACCAATATGTATCGAGATAAATGTACTACCCTGTACCACGCCCCTTTTATGCCGAGTGGTATAGTCGTTTGTTCAATATGTGCATACCCGCTACTAGATGCTACCTTTATTCGATGGATAAGAAACCGCTCAAAGTTAAGACTCATATTACACGAATACATGGATAACTATCTTGTCGTCCTCAACAAAACCACAGCTTTCGCCCAAACGCGAGGGATATGATAGTTTTCACAGTCATCATTCCCAAAAGCCAGAATAGCAGGGTGCACGACTACCTCCACCCGTGAGCCATCCAGCTTGCTATCCTCGTCGTCATCCAATCCCTGTGAGGGATGAGCCTCCATAGACGGAGAGGAGACCTGAAACGGTTCTAACTTCAAGGATGGAAGATTCTGGCTCTTCATGTATGTCCGTTGCGTCCAAAGTCTAGTGGACAATTCGCTAGCATCCAAGAAGATGTCTCGTAGCTTATCGAGGCGAACTGTTTCCTGGTCGCTAGGGATTTTGCGAAAGAGGTATCTTGCTGGCCCAGTATGGAAGATGGTTGCAAGGAAGTCACTACAGCGTTCGACTCGGGAATGCATCTTCTTGACAGCCAGCTTTTCTTTCTCGCTGAGAGTTCCCCCTTCTGGGGGATTGTATATCCGAACCAGCTGTGAACGCCAAATATGAGCTTCTCGCTCGTCAACTAACATGCAATGTTAGTAGGTGCGTTATAGTTTGTAATATTTGTGGCAAAGGGATTCGTACGATTCTTGAGTTCTGTGTATATCTTGTTTAGGGTCTCGTTGACAAGCGGTGTACCATCGACCGAAAGGCATTCCTGGTCATCTGCTCCATCGTTCTGACCAAGGAAATAGAACGGGTCATCGAAGACTTGAGTGTAAACGTCATGGGCGACCAAAGCGTTCAAAAGGATCGATGGGAGTTTGCGTTCCATTTTCCCTGAGGCAAGGGACCCAGGGATGCTTCCGTTATCACTCAGAGTTAACACTTTGCCTAAGTTGTTGAGGAACTCTCCCTTATCTTCCTCGCTCATTTTTGACGACTGCAGTGCGGCTATGGAATCCACGGCATATTCTTTACTCCAATCTCTTATTCCACGTTGAAACAAAGACAAATCGTCCCGAACATCTCGGTCAGGCTGGGATGACCATTTGCCCTGGCCGATTTCCCCGAATGCTCTCTCCTGCGTTCGACGGATCAAGCCATTGATCTCCCGTAGCTTCCCACGAAGCTGGAAATTTTCGTTCTTGGTAAACGCGTTTCCCTCTTGCAGTTCGGTGATGACTTGTCGTTGGCGCCCGACTTCTGATCGCAGATGGTGAATTTCCTGCTCCAGGGCCTGTTCACGAGACTTATTGGAACGTCGGGACGAAAACCAGGCACTGCTCGATGTCGGAGGATCTGTTTCGTTGCAAATATGAGTTACTCTTATTCCCCTATCATAATGATGCATCTCCCCCATTCCGCGAGGTAGCGTTCTTTCTATAGTAACGCTTCCGCGCCTGTCTGAATCCGAAGGCTCGCTAATCTGCTGATGATCATCAACCTTTGGAGGTGGTTTTGGAGAGCTTTCAGGCTCAGGCTGAATTTTGTTATTATCATGTTGTCGTGGCTTTATTTCGACTACTGTCGGGTCGTTCAGCCTGCCGGAAGAGTCAGGCCGGCCTGACTGGCCTGGCTGGCCTGGCTGGCCTGTTTGTGTCTCGCTCATGGTTGCCCCGTTCGATAATTTTGCAGCCATTCTCTATGAACATGATTAGCACTAGAAATATCAAGAGGGAAATAATTCTGGGCGAGACAATCTCATAGCGGGCGGGTATGAGCAAAAAAAGGGCAAAATGAACCTCTGAATTGTCTGGAGCGTCTCCGCGCCTTAATTCAAACTTATAAGTAGTTGTACTTCGAGATTTCGAAGACTTGGAGTGTCGACGTGAAGACTTACCCATCACCGTACCAATAAAACATTGAAGGAGGAATGAAGTTTTGCAGTAAGGCCACGGAATGAGAGATAAAAACCCCCCCAACTGATATTAATAGTTCGTTAACTTTCCCTCCGCCGCAGCCATTCGACTAACCGGGGGCTTAGGGACGGTAATTCTATCATCATGCAGAGACGGCATGCCTAAGGCGCAATGTACCAAATGCCATGCGCAAGGCTGGCTAGTAGAACTCGTCTCGTTTTCTCCCCCACGACTCGGCTGCGCAAAGCTAGGGAACCGGGGAGGGGGGCAAGAATGTCGAGGTAATTATTTTTATCAGGATCCGGGCATTGCTAGTCGATGCCTTGCATGGTTTCTTTTGTGATGGGCGGTGGTTGCGCATGGCTTCGCTTTGGTGGTGGTTGTGATTGGCAGAAGCTTAACGAACTCGGCTGTCGAGGTGCAGCAACGATTATGCAGGACGCCTCAGCCCGTTCGCGCAGTTCTGTCAAGAGTGCTTGTCCTCGCGGGGCTCAACGGGGAATAGACTGGTCCCGGATACCCCTCGAGGGTTGTCTTTAAGAGTCGAGGCTTAATGGTCGGCCAGAGTTTTAAAACCCCTTGTTTTCCTGAGGTGTTAGGTAAAATACTCCGTACACCAGATCAAGCCTCACCCAGCAACAGGAGCATACCCATACCGATAACAGGTGCAATATCTGACGGTCTCGCCTTGCACTTCCCTAGTGCACCTGTTCACATCGGTAGCTTAGGGATAAAAAGTATCTAGGCTCAATGAAAGAAAACAATCCCATAGACCTAGGGTCCCGTCATAAGATCATTGTGGGAGTGGACTATGGAACCACATTCTCAGGTACAGAAAATCCCCTCGAAGGAGCCTGTCATGGCCCGGAACCTAACATTTGCATATAGGTGTGAGTTGGGCAGAGTCCACCAAGACGAGGTTGGAAGATATCAACGTCATCAACACCTGGCCTGGACATCGAGATTCGACATGGAAGGTTCCGTCGAGGATAGCATACGCATCTGAGAATAAAAACAAGATCCCTACAGACCAATGGGGATTCCAAGTCTCGCCAAACCTGATGTGCTACTCCTGGACCAAGCTGCTGCTGGACAAGAGCGCACAGCTTACAGGGTACGATGATCCATCGCTAAAAGACTTGTTTGGGTCTGGCCTGATGAGTCTGCCCAAAGGGAAAACCGCACAGTCTGTGATCGAAGATTATTTTCGAGAGCTGTATATGTATCTTACTCACCAGCTTGAGAAGAAGATGGGCCCGGGCGTTTTCAATGTCACTCCAATGGAGATTTACCTGACCATGCCGGCTATCTGGTCTGACCAAGCACAGCTGGCGACTCAGAAAGCTGCAGAAGCTGCCGGGTTTGGGTCAAGGCCGTATGACTCCATCTATATGATCAAGGAGCCTGAGGCTGCTGCATTGTCCGCCATCAAGCCGCATTTGGGCCCAAATGCCATTGACCCTGTTCAGGTAAGTCTGCGCTCCATATATCGGAGGTTAACACTTGGAAGTCAGCTAGCTAACGGCCGTCCGTAGCCGGGAGAGGGTATCCTGATATGTGACTGCGGAGGCGGTACAGTTGATATCACAACTTACATCGTTCTAAAGTCTGAGCCCAAGCTAGAATTTGAAGAGCTCTGTGTGGGTATAGGTATGTCTTCCCTCGTTCTTTTTGTCAGCTCCCGAAGCCCATGAGTGCTAATGCAGCCATGTTTCTTCACTGTAGGAGGAAAATGTGGATCGACTTACATCGATCGTAACTTCAACCAGTGGATGCAAGACACCTTTGGAGAGGAGTACACATCTGTACCAATGAGGTTACGTGGGCCAGGAAGCAGATTTATGAATTCATTTGAGAGTGCAAAGCGGAACTTTGGAGGCCCAAATGATGACCGAGGAGTAGAAGTTGGTCCTATTCGAATGGATATTGGGCCCAGCGTTCATTACGACGATGATGAACTTGTGGTGAAGCTTTCCAAGTACGACATGCAGCGACTGTTTGACCCAGTGGTGAAGGAAGTTATTTCCCTGGTCAAGTCACAGGTCAAGGCGGCTGAAAAGAAGAAGAAAAGGATTGATGTAAGCACCAAGCCTCAAGTACCCCTTGAATAAGATGATGGCTAATACTGTATAGCGACTCATACTTGTTGGAGGATTCGGCGACTCAGATTACCTGAACACCAAGCTAGGTGACTGGTGTAAGGGGAAAAACATCGGCTCCGTTACCTGTCCACCCGACTGGTGAGTCTCGATTTCCTGGGTGAACTCCTGATGATATGTAGCAATTTGCTAATAATCAACAGTCAAGCCGCCATCGTCAAAGGCGCGTGTCTGCGTGGTTTAGAGGGCCTGAAGCCCATCATCACCCACAACCGAGCGCATTATGGCTGGTCTTGGGGGAAGCGGTTCAGAAAAGGAATCGACCCCGAAGCAAATGCGTACACAGATCCGCTCACCGGCGAGAAAATGTGCAGCGGAAGAATGGAATGGGTTATCCCCAAGGTAAGCAGGATATCCTCCCTCCCAAGACGATTTATTCAACTCTTAGCTGATCGTCAACAGGGTAAGCGGTTGGACGAAAACTTCAAGATGAAAGCCGATATCCAGAGCACCTTCAAGCTCGGCCAGCCACTGAACGAGAACATCACCATGTTCTCCTGCACGATGGACGATCCGCCAGAGCGAGAAGACCACCACCGGGTCGTCAAAGTAGGAGAGATATCGCCAGCCTTTTCCACATCCACGTTCAACGACTTCCAGACGCGGAAAAGCACTGCAGACGGACTGACGTATCACCGCTTCAACTACACGATAGAGGTGAATTTCCGGTCCAAGGGGGGTATCCTGAGTTTTGCAGCGACTTCAGAGGGACGAGTGATTGCCGATGCAGCCCTGGGACTTTTGGAGGATTAATAGCGTATTCGAGTAGATATTAATGTATTTCATCTGTACAATCCTCCATTATAGCATGTCTCCTGCTATCTCGTCGTCTATCCTGTAGTCTTGTCATCTGTCCTATCTTGTCGTCTGTCGTCGTCGCCGTGTCTGCCTTGGGCACTAAAACGTCTGCGAGTCTCCGTCAACCAGAGCTCAGGGTCAACACTCCGTAGAGCCGCGTTTGCCGACTGTTTCTCTGTGTTCATCGTGTACCTGTTCAGTTCATCGTGTCGTGTATCTGTTCATCGTGTTCTGTTCTGTTCTGTTCAGGAGGCGTTGAGTTGATGCGCTGTCTCCACTAGCCAGCGGGAAAGGGAGATCCCAATCATAAAATAAACATCGCAGTTAATAACAACCTCGCCCTTTGCAACTCCATCGCACGCCAGGCCCCTTTAACGCTGGGAGGCCTGCACTTCTGCTCCAGAGATATCTGCTGCCTCTCTCTCGTCCTGCTCGCTGCGGGAACTCGCCTGGCCAGATCTGCTGTCTGGATCTATCTCCCTTGCCGTCACTCTTCCTGGCCACCCCCCGCCGCTAAGTACGAGTTTACCGAGCCCAGCAACACACATCGACGCCGACGGAACAGCTACAGGGAGGCATTCAGTGCTGGGGACAAGGCCGGAGCGGTCGCTATGGCATCGTCTGGCAGCCTGCGACAGGAGAATGGTGTCCTGAACGGTCTGCATGCCCGCCTTTCGCCCCGTCATCCCACTACTGGAAGAGCGAGCTTGCGCTTCAGGCGATGGACCGAAGACTGTAATGGCAGCTAGAGTCCATTGCACGATATAAAGGGATACATCACAGTGCAATTACCAGTTAATTGTCGTTGTTCATTATATGGTGAAAGGGATGCTGACGGCTGTGATTCTCAACAGATAATACCTCAGAACAAGCGGCGCAGCCTCACTCGAAGCAAGACGCCGACCCTGATATGGGTGATTACTCAGAAGGTACGAAGAGTTCTATTGTGCCTAGTGGTCTCCCCGAACGATCTACGGAGTTGCCGGGCGATAAAGTGTATTCTGACACCGATAAAGACGGCGCCGGTGAACGACCTGTCCGCCAGAAGCTAAAGGAGACTTCCATTGCGGGCACAGGCGCTACACGGCAAGATCAGGGATCTGAAGATTGTCAGATGGCTCCTGAGAACGGTGAATCGCAAGACAGGCGCGAGAACGACGTGGACACGGCCGAGCGCGGACGGCTGAAGAAGAAACGATCTCTCGACGACCTGATGAACGAAGACGGACAGGCCGATCACTACGAAGAAAGTGGACATAGAAGAAAACGATCTAGGGACTCCAAGACCGAAGGCACCCCCGAAGTAGACGCGGAGCCACGGCCGCCCGCGAGCGATTTGGAGAAGATGAAGAGTCCGAAGAAAAAGCGTAGCAGGGACCAATTCGACAAGGACTTGCATCCAAAGTTGGACGAGGAGGGTGTTAAAGACAAGGACGAATCTACGGATGAACCACCAAAAGGTAATGCCGATTCAGAAAGCTTAGGAGCCTCGACGTCGCCAAATAGTCGTGCAGTCAAGGGCGAACCGGAGAAGAAACGTCACCGTGACAACTCACAGGACAGACACACTGAGGAGTCACAGAACATCACTGCTGCGTCCAAGGTACGCTCTATATCAAGCCACTGACCTAAGGTGAAATGAAACACACTCATATCTGAATATCTATAGACTGCAACCCCAAACCCATTTTCCAACACATCCACCACCTCGCCGTTCGCCTCCTTGGATAAGTCAAAAGCAAGCCCTCCAAAGACAAAAGATCAGCCATCCAAGGCACAACAGACCACGAATCCTTCCGCATTTGCAGCCTCCAGCTTAGCCGCCTTTGCCGGGTCAGACAAGTCTCCGTTTGGCGCAATCGGCGGCGGCACCTCTGTTTTCAAAGCCAAACCCACCCCCGAAGGAGATGGTGAAAGTAAACCAAGCTCAATCGGATCTGGGGCGTCTCCATTTGCTGCTGCCTCTGGGGCTTCACCATTTGGCTCTTCGTTCGACGGAAGCGCATTTGGAAAGAGCGCATTTGCCAGTGGCTTTGCCGCCGCGGCCCCTAAGCCTGGGGAAAGGTTGACTAGCTTTGCATCTCCGAAACCAACAGCGTTTGGCTCCGCCGTATCTAAACCCAAGGTCTTCGGTGCGAAAGCCGATGATGAAGACGAGGACGATGAGGAAGAGGAAGAGAAAGGAGAAACGTTCCAGGGCCTCGAGGAAGAGAAAGAGGACACACGTTTCTTTAAACAAGAGAGTGAGCACATTTTCATCCCATCCACATCAGTTTTTTTGGTTACTATATCACTAACCCTACACCCCCAACCAACAGCTGAGACCGGAGAAGAAGGCGAAGAGACACACTTTACCGGCCGAGGCAAGCTATTCCATTTTACTGGAAGCGAATGGAAAGAACGCGGCGTGGGCACATTCAAGCTTAACGCAAAGAAGCCTTCTGAAGTAGAAGGTGACGAAGAAGAAGGTGGCAGCGCCGCTACCAAGTCTACAAAGAGGTCTGCCCGTTTCATCATGCGTACCGACGGTGTGTACCGAGTCATATTGAACATCCCTCTGTATAAAGGAATGAAAGTGGGAGACCCAGAAGGCAACGAACCGACGGGGAAACATGTGCAGATTTCCGGAATCGAAGACGGACGAACAGTTCCCCTTTTACTCAGGGTATGTGGAATAGCCCCTATCTTCCCAACACCCACTTTCTCAAACCAGCAACTAACAACCTTCTTTTCCTCTAGACATCAAATGCCGATGCTGCCAGAGACCTTCATGCAGCTGCTCAGGAGTTCCTGGCTCAACTGTAGCTAGAGCGAAAAAAGAAGAAAGAAAAAAAGAACAGGATATAAAGTGCATGATTGGCTCTATATTCTGTCATTTCCTTGTCTCTATCATGTAGCGAAAAGACCCAACCTAAATGCAAGTACGCCGATAAAAACTATTACAATAATGATCAAATATAATCTGCAGTGCCTGTCCTTTTTTCCAGTCCTATATCTTGTATCTAGGTTACTTCGATCTCTACATATGCCTCGGCATTCATACTCCAGACGGGCGTTTCATTGAGGTTTAGGGGTTAGGGAAATAAGAGACGGACCTGCTAAAAGAAATCTAAAAACAGAATCATGGTCTTTACCATGATTTAAGGGCTATATCTTTTTATTTTTAAGTTCATAAGCCATCCAGACGGTTGCAAAGCCACCATGCGAGCTTATGGTCTATCCGGTGGTTTGGTTGATTATCTCGCCGATGCGGATGGAACTTGTACTGACACTGGGACTCGGTGTATTCTAGCACATAATGCTCGTCATCTTCGTCCACTATATCCCCATAATCAGCAGAGCTGCTGTTCGCCGGGTATTGAGGTACTGTTGCAGTTATTGTCATGTTGATGTGACCCTCGCAGACATTGAGGGGGTAGAATGCTAGGCCTAAGAGGATTCTTTAGTTAAAGACACTACCCCCTAGGCTATCCCTAAGCTGCCTCTTAAGCCTTTCTTTAGGCCTCCCCTTACCTCTTAGTCTTTTACTTAGGCCTACGCTTAGGTATACCTTTAAGCCTACCCCTTAAACATTGAGGCTCACTTTTTACGCTTACTCTCTAGGCTTACTTTACAGGCTTGCGCTCAAGGCTTACTTTTACACTTACTAAGTATTTACTTAAGGGGTTACCTTTAACTATAGTTTTCTATAACGCTTAAGTAAAATTCTTCAGGGTAAAGGTTGAGAGGTATCCAGACATAGTGGGATTAGTAGTTGGCTATTTGTAGAAGGGTATGGATAGTTATATACTTCTAATGAAATCATGGCTGCAGCTCCTCCACGTTTCCCGTGTCGTTAATAATCTATGCATTATATAAAGGCAGGCGGCTTAATTTGGAAAGATTTCCTGCTGGTGCTATTGACTTGATTCGGTTCTGGCTCATTTGGTTGAAACTGGAGGAGCTTCGTCGCTGTTATCTGTCTGTGCAAAGCTCCACTGGGCCGCATCTTGGAGCTCAGTTCCATCAGAAGTGGCTAATGTATCAGAGTCCCCCGGAACGGCAGTGGCCTCAGACGTCGCCTCATGTTCAGATGAGGGGGCATCAGATTGGGGCTCAGGGCGCCTCTCGTTTGCAGCCTTTATAAAGTTATCCCGTTGCTCTTTCGCCCAATCTCTCGCATTTCGATATGCAGACGCCCCCTTCCGAAATGTTTCAGGATCACTAGTCATAGACCAGCCTTTGAGTTGGGTCATAATATATTCAGGCCGGCCGTTGCTTTCCTGAGGCGGGGTGAGATGAGTCGTGTAGAGCTTTAGTGTGCCGGCAAGATAAGTCGAGGTTATTGTATAAGCATTATTATCATATACAGGCTCATCCTGGTTATAGGACTGGAGTTTTTGTATTCCTCGAGCCCCTAATGCACCGTCATAGCAAGCTTGTCTTGTAGCTACAGCAGGTGATCCATCTGGGCCCTTAGCCTCAAGGAAGAAGTTCGGAGCCATAGGAAGGGAATCCTGCGTTGAGGGAATGATAAACTTGTTAAGCTCATCGCGAATTTTAGGATTGAGCTGCTCAGGACGAGCTCCAAAGAAATGATCTGGTTTTGCACTTGCCAGTGTACCGTCTGTTAAATGGGCGAGGTTGCCAAAGGGATAGTCCCCCCCAACGCATTTGGGGTCACCAATATCGCCATCAATCGCTGGCAAGACAGCGCGGGTTATAGGCTTCTCCTTAGATGCAGTGGTATCTGCTCGTTTAAAGGATCGAAATTCGCTCTCAGGAAACCTTGAAGGGGAAAGAGAAGATCGTGACTGAGCAAGTCTTTCATTTATCTCATCCCAGTTGCTTGGCATTGCTGGTAACTGGCCATCTGGATACTCATATCCATCAGGATAAACACCATAGTCAATCAACTTTTGCTCAAAATTCCGGTTGTAGGCCGTAGTGCTTGTAGTCTTTGTGGTCTTCGTATTCTCGCTATCTTCTGGGGGAGTTCCCGCACGACGCTTCCGGCGGCCTGAACTAGTGGTACTCATTGATTGATAATAAGGAATATGCGGATCTGGGAACTGCTCATGCGGTTAGTATGAGTACCAGCAGGCCGCGAGAATTGCATATACATACATTCCTAATATCAGACAGGTCAGGCCCACCCAGTCTGGAAAATCTCCTAATCTCACTCTGGGTTTCGGGTTTACAATCGATCAGGGGATCAGGGACAAGCGTCTGGTAACGATGCTTAAGTCTCGTCTGTAGCCGTCGAGTGAGCCGCCGGGGATGGAAGCACAGCGGCTCTGGTACGCTGTTGGAAGCACCGTTTCGTCGATCGAGCTCTTGGAGCGCGTCTCTGGTCAACCAGATCTTCGATAAATTATCCCAATATGCTGAACTGGGGTGGCCAGGCTTCCTCTGTCTTTTCGAGAGAGGTTGATCAAGATGTTCCTCGTGCTCCTGTCGTTTACGAGATGGTTCCGGGGCAACTGAGCAAGGCATATCGTCTCAGTTCTGAAAAGCGTGGTGGGTGAATGGCCGTTCATATATCTAGATGAGTGGGCGCGTCGCTTCTACCCTGCATCATGGATGTTTCATTGGGCTTCATTCCCTCGGACTAAGCAAAATCCCCATTGGTTACGAATGTGGCCCCCGCATGAAATGAGTCAGACGGGCGTACATACCCATGCAGCCATCGTACAGCAGCTTTTACTCCGTGGAGTGACCAAAGCCTCTTCGCAGGAAACGCGATTTCTGGTTGCAGGGACGGAGTATTGGGGGTTATTTTAGAGAAAGATGTTTTCAATGAGAGTTCCGTGTGGCAGACGCTGCTCTCCGGTGAAGGGGTTAGATATGGCGAGCAAGGTGGACGTAAAATATCTGCCATTTCTTTAGCTATGCGATGATTTGAAGTTCAATGTAGTCCAACTTATATCATGCATCATAGCCGTCGTGATTTGTCACGTGACGTGTACATCCTCCCGACGCGATTTACTTTGATACGCCCAACGAAAGCAACTATATAGAGGTTATAGTATAGATGGAGAAAGAATACAAAAGAGCTGGTACGCGTCGTTGAATAATATATCCTTGATTGGATGTCTTTACGGCCGTTCGACTGCTGGGAGCAACGCAGCCATATTCCTATAATAAGCCCCGGACAGGTCGTCTAAGGGGGCAATTAGTTTAGTGGTATAACGTCCGTTTTGCATAGTTGCAATGCAGGTTTACGGAAGGTCGTGATTTCGATTATCACATTGTCCATTCCTTTTTTCTCTTTTTTTTTCTCTCTTTTACTCCTCAGGGCGTCTGTCAAGTCTACGAGGTGAGACGGTCTACTTTATTCCGTTTAAAGGCTTATGTTTCAAGATGTTTTGCCTCTATCCATGGATGGCCTGATTCCATTTAAATCACATGATCACGCGTACTTATCGCGATTTAAACGTCAAAAGGACGAGAAATCAAGCTGACACCATGGGAGAACAATGTGAGGCCATAGGAAACGGTGCTACCCTGAGCACATGAGTTGGTAAAAGCTATATTCTCCCTTCTATCGGACAGCTATGGAAAATGAGAGGAAGAGGAAGCGAGATGACGCCGGGGACTCTCCTCAAACGGCCGCCACAATTCCCACCAAAAACCATGACGGCCCTGCCAGAGGTGTTACCGCGAAGAAGGATCGGTCGGCTTCTTCTTCACGGTCCAGCAGCGCATCTCGCTCGAAGAAACCCTCTGCACCCGCGATTCCGTGGCCCGAGGAACTCAAGGCACTGGCTCGGGTCCATCGGGCCCTAAACTTGGTGTATACATTCTGCTGCACTCGCCAAAATTACACAGTGACATTTGAGAAGATCAAAGGCTCTGTTGAATCACAAAATGGTGGCCGAACATTGACTGTTGAAGATGTTGCCAAAGTGAAGTTCCTCATCCCACAATCTGTAAGATTTGAACATGCAGATACTGGCGTGGTCGATGTCATGGGAGTGCAAGAGACGAGGAAAAAGAGTGTATCACAGATATGGGGTGGCTGGGAGGCAGAAGGGATGGGTGCGGAAGCTGCTTATGAAGGGAATAGGTCTTCTGATACCGAGCTGATATTCGAGTTTGTGGATGGAGACCTTAAACCGGAGAGACAGCCCGGCCTAGGTCCAGGGGGTTACGAAGACATTCAGACGCCAGTATATAGCCAGAAGCATATGCTGGCGCTGATTAAAAAGAGAAATAAGAAGTTTTCTAAAGCCGTGGACGGTTTTCTCGCATCCTGTCGGGATACCGGTGTTGACCCGGCCCAACGCCTAGAGGCCGGGAAGGATGCCTACATGCCATCAACTCCTGACAGTGGGTGCAACACGCCTTCTGCAGCGAAGCTTCCGGCTCAAATACCCAAAGAAAGACAAACTATATCGGAAATTATTTCAGAAATCAGGGAGCAGAGCTGGTATAGCGGCCAAATATCACCAGGCGGATACCGCACCTTTGACGCACAGCAACCAGTTTATGGGGATTTGAATTTTGTGCTCTCGCAAAATTTGGTCAACGCACTTTATAATACCCGAGAGATTACTCAATTTTACTCTCATCAAGCCAAGGCCATCAATGACCTCCATGACGGCCATAACGTCATTGTCTCTACGTCCACTAGCTCGGGGAAGTCACTCATCTATCAGGTACCCATGCTTCATGAGCTAGAGAATAACCCCCATAGTAGAGGGCTGTATATTTTCCCGACGAAAGCACTAGCGCAAGACCAACGGCGAAGTATGATTGACATGTTGCAGTGTATGGAAGGTCTGGAACATATTATGGTGGAAACATTTGACGGTGACACACCCATGGCAAGCCGAAATGCAATACGGGATGAAGCAAGAATTATCTTTACAAACCCGGACATACTGCACGTCACAGTCCTACCTCAGGAATCCTCATGGAGAACATTTTTAAAGAACTTGAAGTACGTTGTTGTTGATGAACTTCACGTTTATAATGGGTTGTTTGGGTCCCATGTTGGCCTCGTCATGCGCCGCCTGAGAAGGATATGTGCTTCGATAGGGAATTCAAATGTTAAATTCATATCATGCTCTGCAACTGTGGCGAATCCAGAACAGCATATGAAAGCAATATTTGGGGTGGATGACGTGAAGCTAACAGATATTGATGGATCCCCTTCGGGGCGGAAAGAATTTATCTGCTGGAACACACCTTTTAAGGACCCTAGCGATCCCACGTCCGGGCGCTCAAATAGCATAGCGGAGTCAGCAAAGCTCTTCTGTCAGCTTATCCTCCGAGGTGTGCGAGTCATTGCATTTTGTCGTATCCGCAAACAATGCGAATTCCTCTTAAATGCAGTCAAAGACGAATTTCGCGCCCTCGACAGGTCAAATGTCGCCCGTTTTGTGATGGGATATCGGGGGGGTTATAGCCCACAAGACAGGCGAAAGATTGAGCGCGAAATGTTTGAGGGCAAGCTCCTTGGAATCGTGGCCACGAACGCACTAGAACTTGGTGTCGACATTGGTTCCTTGGACGCTGTGATTACACACGAATTCCCGCACTCAATATCCAACTTAAGACAGCAAAGTGGGCGTGCAGGAAGACGGAATAAAGACTCGCTGTCCATATTGGTTGGTGGCCGAAGTGCAACTGATCAGTATTACATGCAGAATCCAGATGAACTCTTCACAAAGCCCAACTGCGAATTGCACATTGACCTAGAAAACGAATTAGTACTTGAAGGGCATGTTCAATGTGCCGCTTTTGAGATGCCCATTCGCCCAGAAGAGGACTCTAAGTATTTTGGGCCACAGCTAGCAGGACTCGCCGCCACTCGGCTAGTTAAAGACGACATGGGTTTTTATCACTGCCACGAAAGATTTAGGCCCAATCCATCCAAGCACGTTTCTATTCGTAGTATCGAAGACGGTAACTATGCTGTCATAGATACCACGAATAATCGTAACGTTGTCATTGAAGAAATTGAAGACGGCCGTGTCTTCTTCACTGTGTACGAAGGCGCCATATACTTCCACCAGGGAAATACCTATCTCGTCAAGGAGCTTAATGCAAGCAAACGATATGCTCGAGTGGTTCGCGTACACGTTGATTGGATCACGGAACAACGAGATATTACAGACATCGACGCTATTGAAACCGAAGCTATCAGGCGAATCAGCCGCGTATCCAACTGCAGAGCGTTCTTTGGAAAAATTGCTATCCACACAGTCGTGTTTGGCTACTTCAAAAAGGACAAGAAAGGACGAATACTCGATGCAGTTGCACTTGATAACCCGCCAATTGACAAGCTGAGCAAAGGGATGTGGCTCGACGTACCAAGGAAAGCACTGGATATCCTTTCATCCCATAATTTAAATGCCGCAGCCGCTATCCATGCAGCAGAGCATGCAATTATGTCTCTCCTTCCAACCTTTTTGATATCCTCGCCAGGGGATATTCGAACCGAATGCAAAGTTGCGAAGAAAGAATTAGGCCCCAAACACCAGCAGGCCACAGACGCGTCCAATAGAGACCGAGATCCGAGAAATCGCAATCATTTCTTCCAGCCACTTGCACCTCCCCCTCCGCCTCGCCGCCAGCGACAAGCTCGTCTCGTTTTCTATGATACAAAAGGGGGATCCTCTGGTTCTGGAATCACCTCTAAGGCCTTTGAGTTTGTTGACAGCCTTCTTCGTCGTGCCAACTCACGTATTGATGCATGTAAGTGTGCCACGCCGCAAGGTTGTGTGGAGTGTGTTTGCAACGAACATTGTCCGGAAATGAACGTCGTTATAAGCAAGGCTGGGGCCTCCGTGATATTGAAATGCCTTCTTGGCTTAGAGGTGGATGTTGACTCTTTGCCCTGGGGCGTAGAGCTAGATCGAGGGTATGAACCTGGGCCTGGAAGTGAGTTAGCTAAGGGCCTGGAGACTGTTATAGAAGCCGTCGAAGTCACTGGCGGAGTTGGGAAGGAGGTTAGGGTCTATGAGTTGGATGAATCACAGTGATATGTGTATGCACCTGGTAGGATTTTGATTTTTGAAATACAACAATACTTGGGCAGTGCTAGTAGAGACAGCTATTCACTTACCACATTCTCATAAGTGAGTAAGTAATAGTTTGGCTAATAGTGAAGATGCTACAAATGATGCAGAATAAATTTCGCTAGAGTTCAATGATATAACTATATCTGGAAAGACTAAGCTGAGTATCACATCAATCCCAATCATCCATACTAATGTAGGTCCTAATTTACCCAAACCTATCAAGGAGGTAAACAAATATAGATAGATAACCTTTTTAGTTCGCCCTTATATCTACCCTAAATTCTCAAATTATATTACAGAAGTTGTGTGCAAGGACAAATGGCCAAGAAGACGGCACCTGTGCCTATGCCAATGCCTATGCTCTTAAATACAGGCGGATACTAAGATACTAGCGCCGTATCAATCCTCTAATTGGACGGATCTTCCAATTAGGGCCAATATACCCACCATCTTCGAACTCGCCGAGGATATGATGCTTAATCCATCAAAGCTCTCGTAGCTATGAAGTTATCCGCAATAATTGTGTGAGTGGCCTGTGTTGGCTGCTGTAGCGCGGAGGGCGTTGCATGGACTAAACCAAACGGCGTCCCGTCTCGGCTTTGCTGATGCAAGGTGGAATGCTATTGAGATAGCTATTCGTGTGGGGTGGGCATATATCGAGCGGCCGTCGAAGGCAAATGTCGTAAATTGCCATTCTCTCCATGGCAATATATTCGTGTCATCGACTAGTGGCGCCCTTTGATATGGAAATCCCCTGTAACCCAATTGGTGATGAAATGTAACCCATACTCTGCAAGTATACTCCTCAAGGCGACTGATGCTCAGGCGATAACCCCTGTTGCGCTGCGCTATTTGCGCTGGGTGAACTCGCTTGGCTACTGTCATCCGAGCAATTCATTCTACCAAAAATAGACCGAATATCCCTCACTGCCTCTCTGAAGTTATCTCTAGGGTTTGTGGTGCGTTCCGCCGTCCATTCTCGGATTTCTCGGACTAGTTTTGGATATCCTTCACCATTTGGCAGCCACCAGTCAGCAACTTCAGGTTGCTTCCAAATATCTGCCACCTTGTTACGGAATGCGGGAGGATATATATATCTGTTTTGAAAAAAGAGTAAGCAGATGTCGAACAAGTTTGGGAAAGTACACAACTCACCCGTGCTGCTCTATCTCGGCGAGTATCCTTCGGCACCACATTCTATGGCGATCGTCGCGGGGTATATATAAACAGATCAATCCCACGACATTGTGAAACATAAGTGGGAACATCGGAGATTTGTCCCGTAGCCGGTTTATCGTTTCAACGAGCTGGCACTGCTCCAATGCAAATTTCGACAACTCCGATACTTCTAGAGTCTGCGTGATCAAATCAATTTGGCACTTGAACATGAAGAGACTGCTTCGGAGTTCCAGTTTTACCAAATCGACTTCCCACAGCGGGCTAGTGTGAACCAATCCTGGGACATATGGGTCGACAATATCATTGATACCAAGAGCCACCCTATCCGGGTAGTCCATAACCAAGTATTGGGGATCATTCTCTAAACTTAGCTGGTGAATCATATCGCCCATAGTTTTCCTGATTATTTGTCCTTCAGCAAGGAATTCCTCCGGGGAAATAAGATTTTGAGACACTTTGGCAAGAAGCGAGGCAAAATCCATGGCGCATCGCTTGTTACGAGCACATAGGGCAAAGAGCTTTTTGCTCAAAGAGGTGCTATCTTCCGCTGAAGACTGATATGCAAGCTTTTCCGCTCCGAGATACCATTCTCTGTCTAATATTGCAGCGTTTCCGGCCATTAAACCCGCCATGACATCGTATCGCATGTGCCAATGTAGAATGTGCATATGGAAGTCGTCCTCAAGAATTTTATCGGGCGAATATAGTTCAAGAATCATGCGGTGAGCAGCTTGGTGGTGATCTATCAGGTTAACCCAGTCACCAACATACTCCTAGGTAAAATAATTAGTAAAATGTGGTCTAATCCAGTCGTTATGCGGCACTGAAGGGCATACCTCAAACGTCGTTAGTTGAAGTATCGTCAAAATGGTCGCATCTTTATGCGGTTGTCTGCTTTTTAACGAATGAAGCAGTGATGAAACAGACTTGTTATAGTATTGAAGGAACGTATAAAGCCTTCCGTTTGGGTGTCGAATGGAATAATGATATGCGGAAAAGGCAACCACTGCATAGAGAAGAGGCTCGTACTCCAACGCATATCTCATCATATCTTCACTGATGAATTTCGCAGCTATAGATTTCATCATATAGTGTGAGTGGGTAATGTGTTGTGTATGGTATCCAAGGAAAAATCGCACTTCATCGCTGCAGTTGGAGGTATCTGCGACACTGGATGCGGAATCTGGGGTACCAACGGATGGATCCACGCTGGCATCGGCATTGGCCATAGGGCTATGGGACCCCGTAGAATGTGCTGTCATATCGCTCGCAGGGGACGCACTTGTGTCTTGACCGGTGGTTATCTTGGCCTCCGAATTCAGGGCGTTATGTTTACGAGCAATCTGCTGAGATCGGCGACTTGCAGTATTCCTTCTTGTGCCGTGGCCTGGATATCGCGCTGTCTTTTGCTCAGGAGATTTTCCGCTCTGAGAGTGGTCGCTTGATGGTATTCGTGCAGTATCTTGATGTTTCTCGTCACCTTCGGATTCGCTCTCAGCAATCGCTGGGCATGTCTCTTCAGCCTTCAAACTAGGCCTGCTTCCTGACCTCGCTGCAGGTGGAGGAGGATAAAGACAGTCCCGTTTGCCTTTGCTGCAACCTAAAGAGAAATGGTTAATAAATTCGATAAAATATACTATCTCCCCGCGGATCAAAAGCAAGGATAAGATTGAACGAAGGAGGAAAGGAATATTGATGGGACTGGATGACAGAAATTGGAAGAGGAAGAATATCCGGGCTGTTAAACGTACGGTCACAGGTCGGGCGTTTTTCATCACACTTTACAATATACCAGTTAGCAGGTTGGCAATAGGGAATACAAGTGAGTTATTTGGAGTTACCTTAACTCGTCGAGCACGACAGGTAAAGCATCCACTCCTTGTCCGCTTGTGCTTCTTCTGTTCTGGGATTGCCGGAGAAGTAGGCATAGCCTGTCCGTGGAATGGCTCTTGGTTAGGAATCGATTGGTTTGGCAGGGAATGAGGGTTGTGCCAGTAAGCCATCGGGTGCGAGTATGACTGCTGGTGGGTTTGCATGCCTGGCGGCTTAAACCAAAAGTTCGGTGTGAGCCTCATATTCCATAGACCCGCGGACTGCATGGAATGAGGGGCGGAATTTGGGTTGGCCATATTGTCATCCATCGGTTTGAGGTCCATTCTGGTACTATGACTGTTCAAAATAAAGTTGTATAGGCATCAAGAACAGACGTCAGGCTTATAGATGGTAGCATGCCACTTGAAGTCGATTTATGCGTCAGTATAGCGCACAGTTCTCCGTTTGGAAATACGGAGTGCTCCACTGCTGTTTGGACCTGAGAAACCGAGTATAAGGGTTAATATTAGGTAGAAAGAGTATTATTGAGACAAAATCGGAGAACTGAAGTCGGTGATTTTAAAAGAGATATAAAGGGTTGGGGAGAGTGGCAGTTGATAAGAAGCGTAAAACCACAACCCAATCATGCGGTTGACTCTTCTTCACGGTCGTTGATATAATGAAAAAAAGTAAATAAACCCTTGCCCAAGCGTGAGAAGAGACGGGAGGATCAACATATAAAGTGGTAATTGCGAGTACTTGCCCGAACCCCACACAGATCATCCAAGGATCACTGAGTATTAAGGTCAAGGGAAGGAAAAGTCGTTATAAATAAAAAAAAAAAAAAAAAGTAGGCTGAGAAAGTAACTTCCGCCTGGCGTAATTCTGAGACAGGATGCTAATCATGTATGCAAAAGTGCTGGTAATCTTCCTTGTACACCACGAGGGAAAGGGGAATATGTGCTTCGTACGGTTAGTGATGCAGGAAGCACATGGCGTCCCTTCGGCCGGGGTACAAGCATGGGAAGTTGGGGGGGAAAGGAGATAGGGATGGAAAAGCAAGCGGAAGGAGAATTAAGGGAACGCGGAAGCCGGTTCTTTGCTATCTCCGGTAGCCTGACGAAGATTTGGGAAAAGAAATAACGAAAAAGAAACCAGAAGTGGTATGAATGGGGGAGGGGCAAAGAAAAAGCAAAACGCCCAAGGGTACGGATTATACGAAACTAGTCAAGCTTGCAACGGGCGTTTAAATGCATATGTATGACGACGGCGAAAGGAATCGTAAAGACGAACTTACCACTTCGTGTGAAAAAGAATATGGGTAGCCACAAGGGGCAGTCGGAATGCTGGTGGCACGACGTGTTATGGGGGCGGAGTATCAAAGGGAGAGATAAAGAGTGGATGACAGGTAGGAGAGAGAATGACAGCGATATTGGTAGAGCAGAATGGGATTCTGATACCTAGGTTCATGCCTGAAGGCACAAACACAGATCAGGTCAAGGAGTAATACGGAATACAAAAGGAACGCCGTCCGCCGCCCGCCGCCCTGAGGCGAGAAGCTGAGAGGTATAAGGCGCCAATCAACGAACCGGGAAAATGAAGCAAGACGAGCCGCGATCTACTCTTGTTCCTTGCCCGGTATACGCCGTCAAGAGAGAAAAGTTTCAGCAGCTATGGCGGATGACATGTCGTGGCCGGGAGGTCGTGACTTTGCTGCTAAGGAGAAGAAAGCAGGCCCTTGGAGGAAAGCAGATCAGTGGGCAGCAACGAGCTCACCATGAGGCAAGACTGGAAAGGAAAAAGTATGGAGTATGGCCAAAAAGAAAAGAGGAAGAAAAAGAAAGCATTCTTCTCCGTAACAACGAAAAAGCCAGGTCGTTCCACACGGTGGGGGAAGAAGGGGGCAGGCCACATATAGGCCAGGAATATTATATTAATAATAACAAATCAAAAATCCCTGCTGCAGCTTCTCGATGGTGGAGATCATCGCCACGGGCGAGAGAGACCGAGTATTTCTTTTTCTTCTTTTCTCGATCTTCGGGCTTCTTAGCCCCGCGGCCAACGGTAATGCCGACAGGATGTCAAGACTAGAGAGCACTGAAGCCCACTTTGCACCATGTGGGAAATAGGGCGTAAGCTGACGAGCTATGTCATGGCTGGATTATTTCTCTGGGACCTCTGGTGAACGGACTGTACCGGAGCTGTACCCGTCCAGCATAATGTATAGCGTTTTTATGCTCCGGTGCATGATTCTCGATCAGAGCTCCCCACAACCGTTCGGCATGACCCTGAGAGCTACCCAGCTATGGAGTGCCCTGTATGCTATACTTTCTCATATCCATGGAAAATCATTTCGGCATCTTGAGCCAGGATCATGAGATTAACATCTATCGGTCGAGGGCTCCCATCGTCAACCCTGTTCCACAACACAACCGTCATATTATGCGCGCGAGCCGAAGATCGGGGCGGGAGTCAAGAGTTCCACGATGCCTTTCGAGTCTCGATTGTTGGCCGACGAGCTCATTTCAACCGTCTAGGAATAAACGAAATAGATGTCGCAGGTTCGCGCCTGTACGGAGTATGAGTGAGTGAGACTATGGCTGCCACTCGTATTTCCGGTCTTTCACCATCCTTCGCACACTAGCTTGTTTCTTCTCATGCGCCCTCGCCGTTGCGCGGTGTTAGTCCGTAGCTAGGTCCTGGTTAGTCCCTGGTTAGCTGGTGGTTAGTTTGCTGTCTAGTTTCTCCGTCGTCGTCGTTGGTTGGAGCTCTTTGTACGCCCAAAGGGGAACCGGAGTTTCTTCCCCAGACCGGAAGCTCCAGCCACCACTTCATCCTCCTTCATCCTCACTTACATCCTCCTTCATCTGCTTTGTCTGCTTCATCTGCCTCGTCTGCTCCATCCTCAACGCCATCCACCGTTGTTCCACCTCGTCCTCCTGGGTGATGCTCACACGCGCCCGATTTGCCAGAAACGGTAGCGTCTCCGGGTTGGCGCAGATCTCGACAGGTTTCATCGCGCAAGATCTCGTATCTCGGGGCCTGGCGTAGATCCAGAGCTTCGTTGACGAATACCGATACTACGCTCAAGAAGCAACGGCCCGCGCCCTGGAGACCTCTTGGTTTGCCGGCGCCAGGAATTGCTGGTTGGTGAAGCCACCAGTAATAGTATCAAGGGACAGGAGTACCCGCTGTAGAGCACGGAGCTGATACCGATACCGCATACGCAAACGGGCTCGATGCCTCTTGTATCATCCTCCAGGCCCGTCACATCCCTCGGAATACGGCCTCGGCGTGCTAGTGGACTGTGTACCTGCAATTCGGCCTCTCTTCGAAAACAAAACATCGAAAAAGCTGCGATTAGGCGTGCTTGCCGATACCGTGGCGCCTACCAATGACCTCTCTCGGATCTAGGCCATGTACCATGTATCAAATCGTCATAACACCTATATGATATATCCCATCCAGGTTTCCTATCGGGTCTCAACCGAAAGCTTGTGATCGATATAGCAAGTCCCCGGGGATGGCTAGCGGCCGGCCCAGCTACATGCCTACATATCTTGGAACGTCACCTAAAACTCTATGTATGGCCCCCCCTGGGTCTGCCGTGCGTACGAGTATGATGTCGATGCAGGCTATCGTTGTCTCTCGTTCGTTTTTACTGCTTATGATCCGACCACTTCGTCGTGAGACTATCAACGTACACTAGCTGATCATCTACCCGCCCTTTATCCCATATCTCGTATGCACTCACTACTTTGGGCATGCGTGGTCGTTCCACGATGCAGGAGGTGATTTTTATTCAAGTGATATAAATAGGATACGGCGCAAAAGAAAGCAGACGATAACTTCCAGCATCGGCGAATGATTGATCTAATTAGTGTCGATGTCCGCGACTCAGCTCTTGAAAAGGGCAGAGAGAACCAGTTTCAGCATTCTCCTGAATAAGGAAGTGGATATTTATTATGCATACGAAAGAAGGGGAAAGGGCGGGAACCACTTATAGAATTTCATATTTATGCAGTCACCAAGTGCATTCCCGCTCCTTTGGTTGCTGGGATAAAGCTTCCATGGCATCCCGGGCCTCGTTACTCCGTACACCTACAGAGTTGCCTGCTGGTAGACCAAGGAGTGTGAGTCGCTAGGCCACAGCGCGCTCCCGTCCTTGCAAGGGGCCTAGCCTAGACAATGGACTTACGGAGTGCTTGCGCAGCATCAGCCGTATACTTATCGTACGGGACAAAAATTTCTTTGTCCCCTTGGCCGAAAGAAAAAGAAAGATGGTAATTGTATGCAGTGTAACGCAGGCCAGTTTGATGCCCGCACCCCGTACTCCGTACACTCCGTGTCTCCATGCGCTACGGATCACGGAGGAATAACCCTCCATGTGCGGAATTGCGATTTACGCGGATATACAGAAGCTTCATAGGCAAGTCTCTCTATTATATCTATCTGGCTTGTAGCTAACATATACCCCGACAGGTATCAAATATGGAAAGGGGTAACCAAATCTAACTTGACTTGCCGCCTCTCCCAAGACGCATCATGCACGGAGTATACGGGGTAAAGTCCGTATATTCCCCGAGCCTATACTACATAAACTCTTCGAGTAGCTAATATTATCTTCCGCGCACATGGACAAAACATGTTTTCCATGTGCCTCGACCTCACAGCCTACCTAGCACATACTACTCCGTTCATAGGGGGGACAGAAGAAAAAGAAACGAAAAGTAAAAGAAGGAAAACAACGTGGCCCGCACAACCCCATCCCGAATGCAAACTGCGGATTGGAGGGTTTGAGCGGACGATAACTATGTTACTACGAACTAGCCCATGTCATCCGCATGCGTATGTATGTGTGCACATGTAAGGGCTCCAGGGTTCTTGTTGGGCGTACTGTACAAAAGAAAACAACAGCATTTTAGATTGCTTGCCCTGTGAGAGTCGCAGATTCAGTCTCACGACCTCGACCACGAGAGCCATACGGAGTTCGCGCAGATACCGGATTTCGTAACCTGATGTCAGGGTCAGGAGGCTATCCATACGGAGCAGATAGCGGAAAGTTTGCCTGCAGTGTTTTCTCTCCTAAAACTTCTGAATTGAGGCCTTGCTCAACATTTATGGCTTTGAGGGCATCATCCGCTCCACCATCCCACGGTGCAGCAGTTAGCGCTCGCTGGCTCGTATCTTTTCTTTTTCTCCATAAATGCTTGGGGACTTGATCGTCCTTGCTGACGGCACGAAGGAATCTAGCCGTCGTTATCACTCGCCGGACTCGTCGACATGGCGTAGAGGATGAGAATTCCTTTTGATAGAGCGACACTCACGCAGAAAGTGTAAGAGCTTCGGCGTTTCTAAGATTAGACTGCTGCTAACTATACCCCATATACTAGCTGGGCGGGATCAGCGATAACCAGAGAGCGATACGTCCGTAGGAGGAGAGAGGCAGCTGCTGTGGCTTGCATTAGGCTCTGGAGTTCCATAGTCAACCACGCTGCCCAATGCAAATGTCATCGTATCCAACTGCAAGATTCTGGTAAAACCTTGTCAACGACCGTAATTGCACTATTTTCACCTGCAGCTGGAGCTTTGTCCCTGTCAATCCATCGTTTCATCCGTGAATTGTGGTGGGAGGTGTATCTAGATTTGTGCGGAATCCTGGGCCTGAACCAAGAATATACAGTTGAGGCGGACGATACTGGCTTGACTTGGTAATGTGGATATAGACATCGCCGAAGAGATCAGATCCCTTCGTAATTTGGCAATCTAGAGCCCGGAGCGTGGAGATTTCTCGGGACGGAGTAACTATACGTATATATATAAAATATAGGCTGAACTCTCATACAATAGGGGCACCTAGTGGTGCTGTTAAGGGGTCAAAATCATCGTCGCAGTAGTGCAAATATAACATGGGAGTATTCGCTTGATTTCTACATATCATTATTGTAGATAATGGGCCATATGGTCAAATGTTCCGAGCGTATGCCTTTAGCATCAGCTTTGCTCTAAGTATAGATCATTGCCCACAAACAGTGCTAGAAAGTCCCGGAGACTTTTACCATGTTTTCCTAGAACCATACCACACTGGCTCTGTAACCAACAAGTAACCCCCCCTGGTATATATCCCGCTGGCTGGTCACTGGTGATCATCTCTGGTGCTCTCCCTTGACGCGCTAATCACCGTGCCCGAAAAGCGCCACACCAGCCGAAAAAGAAAGCCAACGGCTGCTAACAAGGCTCGGAGCCCGGAGCCTGGCCTCTATTTTGCCCTCGTGGAGGAGTAATGAAAGACCAAACCACTTTCGTTAAGTCTTTGTACCACGTAGATGGAATAAAATACCAGAAATGCTGGCGCGGACGGCAGCGGGAAGGATGAATCTAAATCGCACAAAAATAGCATAAAAGAAACCAAATTCCGCTGCTTGTCATAAAAAATTAGGTAATATGTGGTCGCGGCAGGAACGGAATGTCAAGATGGAGGAATAGGAGTCTCCGCGTTCCTATGTCCAAGGGTATTGGTGTAGTGGAGGGTGAGAATGAACCGGTGGCTGAAGTTCCCTAGAGAATACTCCGTAACTATCGGTTCGTGGCCGGAACAATCTAGAAGGCTTGGTCCGTTCCTTTCGATCTAAGCCTGGGCATTATTTTGTAAAATCTCCGAGCGTACTCGTCACATGGCCGTTCGACCCAGTGCAGGCGTAGGTATACAATTCACAATTTCAAAATATGAGGCCTTTGCGATTCGGGTGTTGGTAAATATTCTATGTAATGGGAAATAGCCACTCCGTAAACCATAACTTCCTCAGGTCAAGTGTGAGAAGGGAAATGACGGCGGACCCAGGTAGCCATATGTAGACTTTTACCCTTTCTCGCGTAGAGGGATAAAAATTGGTGACGGAGTATCGATATTCGTTGAAATGGCAAGGTATGAGGCGTATAATGCTAGAATGTATTCTGCCCACGAGGATACATCACCACTGGTCTCGGCCCGGATGAACAGCATTGTATAAAAGAGCATACTTCGCTATGCTTGACATTTCCCAGCTTCGGTAATGAGGTGTCCGATAAAGTATTCACGTCCTTCATTGTAAAAGCCGGCTGAATATGGATCCAAGTATCGGCTTCAAGTGGTATACCGGACTGCAGACCAAATTTAGATAGAGCTGTACTTCTTCGTAGTACTCAGTTAGGGCTTAGGAGGCAGCTGCAATTTCCTTCTTGTCGAATATATGTTGCAAATATAGCAATGATTCATTTAGCGAACGAGTCCTTTCCAACATTGATCTTGATTATTTCGCCGCTATAGCTCCAGGGCTATCAACTATCGATTGGCAATACAGATAACTCAGCATCGATAGGTGCCTGCTTCTTAATTCCCGTCTTCGTTTCAGTATGTTCCGTGTTGAGCACCTGTGTTGAAACGAAAAAACTCGCCGTAGCGCCGCAAACAGCCAGGCATGCCGCTAATATCCAGATATATCTTAGACTATATGCAAACGCCCGTTTAACAGCCATTTTCTGAACCTGATCCGATATCGTTTTGATAACGTTCACATTCGCAGCAGCGGCATCCCCGGAAAGTTGTTCGACGAGGGATTCTGACAAGCCAGCGTCTCTCAATGTCGGCACCTTCATTCTCATCCCATTCTGGAAGAGGACACCCCCGAGCACGGTGGCCATGAACGAGCCAATATTTTGATGGAGATTGAAGGTTGCAGTTGCGGTTGCAGTGTCATCCTGGGATACAAGTGCCTGCAAGGCGAGAAATGAGGGATCAAAGAGCATCCCGGCGCCTATCCCAGCAACGACCTCTATTCCAGCTATTTCAGCAAGAGATGACCTTTCGCTGAAATGGATATGGAGTCCGACACCAAGCGCGAATAAAATAGTTCCAACTCGGATAATCTCTATATATCGGCCTGTACGGTGAATGACCAGACCAGAAATGATCCCAACTATACTTTCAGTGACAGTCATAGGAAGTATGAGGACACCAGAGCGAGTTGGAGAAGCTTCCATTATAGACTGGAAGAATAGTGGAAGATAAAACTCAGCCGCTTGAACTCCCTATATACGTAAGCAGTTAGCCTTTGTTTAATGCAGATTTTAGTACCCCGAGTTTGCCTTACAAATAGTTGCGTGAACCCAATGACCACACAAGCTACATTGGACTTTCGACGAAATAACTTTAGTGGCATAAGGGGATACCGTGAGAGCCGTGCCTGACTAAAGATAAAGATCCCAAGCATGACGCATCCGGAGACAATCAAGCAGACAACTCTAGGAGAGCTCCAGGGGAACAGCTCACCCCCAAAGTTCAGCCCTAGTAGTGGCATTGATAGAGCTCCTATAATTGCAATGCTCCCAAACCAGTCGACCGCCTTGATGCCCTCCATGAACGGAGTCCGAGGGTTGTGGACGTCTAAGAATAGAAGTAGTAATATAAATGATGTTCCAGCAACTGGAAGATTGATCCAGAAGATCCATCTCCACGAAACATACTGTGTCAGTGCACCTCCTAGAACAGGGCCAACGCCTCCAGCGACAGCCCAGATGGCCTGGAGGAATCCAAGATACAAGGCTCGTTGTCTATTACATATTTTAGTCCATAAGAAATCAATATCTGGATGATCTATTGCGTAGTAGGGGCTACTCACCTCATACTGAATATATCTGAAATAGTAATCATAACGAGGGGTGTGATACCACCGCAAGTCATACCCTGCAACGCTCGGCCGGCTATTAACATACCTATAGTTGTCGAGGTTGCACAAATGATAGAACTGCAAAAGTATAAAATGACAAGCGTAAGAAGTATCGGTTTCCGCCCCCAGATATCAGACAGTTTGGCCCAGACAGCCAAAAAGGCCGTGTTCCCTAAAGTGAATGCACCACCGATCCAAGAATACCCGGCAGCAGACTGGAGATCGGCTGTGATCGTTGGTATGGTAGTTGCAACTATAGTAACATTCAGGGCCGAGATAAAGAGTGTTGACTGGACGTTCGACATTCAACGTTCCGTGTCAGTGATAGTCATCTCTCACGCTGTGTCGGGAAGAATAATACTGACGAAGAGAGCAGCAAGAACCGCCACCACTCTTAGCTGCCTACGATTCCTCACAGGCTCCTGCAATGCCATATCATTGAGCGTACCTGGCTCTCTCTCTGCCTTGACCGGTCCATGGCTTGCATCTCCAGCCAACCCACGCCTGTGATCGGCTGCGTGGACAGATTCCATAGATTATTGGCCCTATAGCTGACACTCCTCACATAGATATACGACCCGGTCAAACAAGACTCTTGCTCCGCATAAACCCCGTCTCTGGGCATAGCTTGTCGTGTCTTGTCTTGTCTTGTCTCTGTCGGCGTTTCAACCGCCGGGCCGAAAGGAGCAACAAGCTTATATAAGCCTTACCTAGCTTGTCGCGTCTAAAAAAGGGAACAACTCCTGAGTTTCAACATCTCAGCCCAGTTCAAGGGGGGAACAGGTGTTCTAGAAGACGGCGAACCCGGAGTCGAGTCGTTCTGACGGCGTCGAAACCGAGAGAACCCACTGCGAACTACTCCTAGTCCACATAGCTACAACAAGAAACACTCGAGCCGGGCGCAGTCGCAGTTCTGATTCCTCACGGCAGCCCAAGTCGCCCCCTCTAGGCTGGATATGAAGATAGGGGATACGCTACGGGCTCCCCCCGAGGAATGTCTCTCCCTATAGGAACTGCATCCGCCAGCGGGGCCGCATAAGGCAAGATATATCGACCGCTTGCCCTGGCATTTTGGCTCGATCTGCGACAAGTAGCTTAGCATTCTCGAGATGCCAGCCGCGAATTTTATACCCTGCATTCCTGCTCACCAGGACTTACTCCGCCCCCAGTACAACGCCTTGGGTTCTATCAAAGCCTTGAAAGTGCCGGACGCATCAAGTTCCTAGGTTTCACGTTCACCCTAAGTCGACCAGGACTACCGGCCCTGAAAGCTCGGTATGGGAAATATACGCGAATTTGCTTGGCCTTTTATGTTTTATGGTAGCACCAGCACCACCACCGCTGCCGCTACTCGACTCTGATGGAGTGCTTCAACCATTCTTTCTTGTTTCCCCTTGCAGATCGCATAATAAATTTGTATCAGCGGAATCCGCATCGTCTGCGCTTATACGGAGTTGGCAGAGACGGGCTGTCGCAGCTAGGAGAGCGCATAGACGGAGCCTGTCCCACGGATATTGCTGGCTTGCTTTCGGTAAATGCCCAAATCTGGGCTTATTACCATGTTAAACCTTTGAATATATTAACACTCTAACAAATTGCCGACGAACTCTTTACTGCTACTACCTGCCCAACTGCGGACGGGAAATAAGCGATAGCTGGCCGTTTGTGGAGATTTCAGCTGTTTGTTCAATATCTCAAAGCTCACACAGACACAACAACATTTATACCCCTTGATAAAACCGGTGGCGTGCCGTTCAAGGATAGTGGCTGTAACCCCAAGACGCACGGCTTGGAGGCATTATATTTCTAACTCGCCATTTATTTTTTTTTGGCCCACCCTTCGTGAAAATCTAAACAGACCAACTCTTAGTTGAAATCTGTCGATCTTCCCGTACTCGCGATTCCATACAGGCTCTCCATACGGAGTTCATGGCCTATCTATACAGGCCTGCTTGATAAGGCAGAAACACTCTGAATAGATGGATCTTAAGCAGGAGAGATGCAATCGAAATCTAACTCCACTGGCTAGCCGAAGCTATGCCCCACCGATCTCTGCCGGGATAATAAATCTTATTTTGGACCCTGAGGGAATGGACTCGAGGGGGACGGGGTTGCACCCCTAGTGTGTTGTGAACGGTAGGTGCCGTAGTTGACCCCATGGTATCACTCAGATAGAAAACTAGAGGCTAGCAGCGCAATATATTAAGTAACAACCCCTTCGAAATGCATCTGTCTTTTTTTCTCAATTTTGGTAGCGAACGATAACCTCTCAGTCTCAAGTTTTGAAGATGGACAATCAGTATGTTATGATGCCGTTTTGGGGGCTCGAAGTTAAGCTAACACCCTTTTACAGATTAACATTACAAGATCAGCTGCGAGGTCTTCGTACGCGGCCACCGGAGCATGCCTTTGATCAGCTTAAGGATCTACTGGACCAGGAGAGGGGGCCCTGGCCCTTCCATGACCTCATTCGCTGTTATCAGGACCTCTGGAAGGGCCTGCCAGAGACGGCCCGCGACGGAAGTGACCCAACCTGGAGAACGACGATCGACCAAGTACAACACCGAATGAGGCATTTCACACCACCTATATCAGACTTTTTACACCATGGCCTCTCACCAGCACTAATTGACACCGAATTTAATAATGAGATATCCCACGCGCGGTTACGGGAGTTCGTGGAAGCATTTGACTTGGGACTGAAGTGTTCAGCCGGTAGAAAACCGCGAGTGATGGTGGTTTTGCCCAATGGACCATCCTTGGCTCTCGCTACTCTGGCAGTAGCAAACCGCTATACTTTGGTGCCAATGGCAAAGGCTGTGACACCTGAACAGCTAAAAATGGATATTAAAGCTGTAGACGCAGACGCTATCCTGATGCTCGAGGATGACGTTCAGAGATTCCAGCTTGGTTCGATTGCCGTCTTCACAGTTCACCCTCAAGATGACTTGACCTTCAAAACATCATGTGTGAACCATTCAAACCAGTCATCCACTCATGCCCAGCCAAGCCCCAACGGCCCAGATGACCTAGCAATCATTCTGTTTACCAGCGGAACAAGCGGCACCAAGAAAATGGTTCCGATAACCACACTGAACCTACTTGCCAGTGTAATATTCACAGCGGATAGTCTAGGGCTGGACCCTGCATCCCGCTGCCTGAACATGATGCCTCTCCACCACATGTGAGTTCGTTTGTTCTGGGGGAAAACTGTCCATAAGAGTTACAAGCTAACATTGACTAGCGGGGGAATGGTACGCAGTTTATGGGCTCCTATATTTTCCAAAGGGAGCACTATATGCTGTCCTGTGTTCGATCCAAGTTTTTTTTGGGACGCTGTAGACCAGTGGCACCCAACTTGGTATTATGCAACGCCGACTATGCATCATATGATTTTAGTGGAAGCAGAGAATTGCAAGGATGTTGTCAATAAAAGCTCCATCAAATTCATCTGTAACGCAGGGGGTGGTTTGCCCCCAACACTCGCAACTCAGCTGCACAACACCTTCGGATGCGTTGTTTTGCCCAGTTATGGGATGACAGAATGCGCACCCATCACAGCGCCGCCACTAGACCACAGCCTCAAACGAGTTGGGACATCTGGTCTCCCAGCTGGCCCTGATCTTGCCATTCTGGATATTGAACAGCCGATGCAACGTGCTCCTACTGGTGCGACTGGAAGGATATGTGTGAGAGGATTCCCGGTTTTCACCGGATATATGACCCCCCAAGGCATTGATAAGTCCGCCTTCGACGCAGCAGGCTGGTTTGACACAGGTGACCTCGGATACATGGATGAAGAAGGATACCTCTATATTACTGGGCGGAGTAAAGAGGTTATTAATCGTGGAGGAGAGATAATTTCTCCCCTGGAGGTGGAAGACGCTATCATTTCAGCAGCGCAGGATCCTTCCTCCATCCTTTTTGGCCGCGTTACAGAGGCTCTAGCCTTTTCCACACCTCACGACGTGCTGCAGGAAGCTGTGGGTGCAGTCATTGTTACACCCGCAGGATGCAAGAGGCCCGATCTTCGACAGATTCATGAAGCTTTGAAGGACCGACTCGACCAGCCTAAATGGCCGGTCGTCCTGGTCTACATGGATGGTGTTCCGAAATCTCATAATAAGCTGCGTCGTATCCAGTTAAGCCGCCGGTTAGGCCTGGAAACACTCACAGACAAGACTCTAACGTCTGAATGCCACTATGAGGCGGAATGTCCGCCGCCGGACACACCGCTGAGTGTCTTGATTGACCAAAAGAAGTGTGTGATAGATTCCCAACTTGTGCATTCTAACATCGCAATGGTTTCTGGGATATCGGATATTCTCTTACGGGCCAACCCGAACGATGGCTTCCTTCAGGCAATTCTTTTCGAGACCTCATCGAATGAAACCTCTATTGATGATATCCTCTCTCGCCTCCGCGCCAGCATGGATGGATACCTTATCCCAAGCAGTATCAAGTCCATTGATGGGCCTCCCCCAGTCAATTCTCAGGGGCTCATTGACGAAGCTGCCGTGGATGCTGCGATCCACGCCCGTAACCAGTCCGGCATCTCGCCTACTGAACGGCGTATCTGTGGTCTCTTTGCTGACGCTCTCAGAATGACACAAGAAGACGTGTCACCAACCACGGACTTCTTTTCATCTGGTGGAGATAGTTTGAGCGCTGGACGTCTCGTTTCCCGTCTCCGCCAGGAATTTAATATCAGGCTCGCAGGAGACGTGCTCTTCCGAAACAGCACCGTTGCAGAGATCGGGGCAATCGTCGAAGCGGCTGCAGCCCAGCCAAAAACAGAAAATACTAAACCGGAGGATCTCCCAGGCTGTACTAAAACTTACAGCTCTACAAACCTGGTTGTGCTCATCCTGAATCTGTTCCCTCTAGCTGTTTTTTACCCACTCTTCCTGACATTGCGTTGGTTCCTATTCGTGTACCTTCTGTCCCGAACATTCAGCTGGCAAGTCCGCGACTCCGTCTGCGGACGGCTTGTCATTCTCCTTTTGACAGGGCTAGTAGCTCAGCAAGCAATGGCGGTCTTCTCTCCCCTCGCGGGAATCGTGTTCAAGTGGCTCGTCATCGGCCGGTATCGTGCTGGAATGTATCCCATGTGGGGTCCATATCATATGCGATGGTGGCTGACCCAGAAAGCCCTGCAAGTGTGCGGAAAGGTATTTCAGCCCTTAACCATATCCAAACGTTTTTGAGCATTTATTAACTAGTAATAGGGTGTCTTCAACTACAGCGACTGGTCCAGAATTTTATACTATCGAGCCCTTGGTGCACGCATTGGCCGCAATGTCCAAATCCATGAATTCGCTTCCTTGGGCGAGTATGACCTGATCGACCTTGGCGATAATGCCGTCCTAGATCACTGCATTTGTCGCCCCTTTTCCGCAGAACGGAATACCTCTATGCTCCTGCGACCAATTCGTATTGGGGAGGACTGCACTGTTGGCCTCAAAACAGTTATCGCATCAGGGACTTATCTTCCCCCAGGGACATGTTTAGGACCAAACTCTTCCAGCTGGGAAACAGAGGATGCAAGAGAGGCGTACCGTGACCTGGCTTCTGCGCGGATCCCAAGACCATCCTGGATCTGGTATGTGTTGGTTGTCGGGCCCCTACGGTTGCTAGTAGGAATTTTCTCGCGATTGCCATCGATAATCGGCTTCCTTCCCATCATTATCCAATACCGGGCCGTCGGAAAGGATATGTTCCGAAGCCAGATACTCTGGTTTGTGACCCCCGCGAGGATTGGTTATATCTTTTTGGCCATAATCTACGGGGCTGTTGCTGGCCCCTTTGCCTGGTTTCTCGCTGTGTATCTCGTCAAGCGTGGGTTGGATGTGTGCTGCGGACGGCCGCAACCGGGCCCACACAGCAAGCTTACAGAAAGGCAGAAGATTCGAAGCGCCGTCCTGGACATTATTCTCCCGCATGGAGACATCTCACGACTGACGCACATCATAGGAACACACTATGAGCTTGTTTCAGTCGCAATGAGGATGCTCGGTGCGCGTGTAGGTAAACGAATTTACTGGCCAATTTCTGGACTCATGATGGTTGAAGATTATGATCTTCTAGAGGTCGGCAACGATGTCGTATTTGGATCGCGATCTTCTCTAGTGACATCTGACGGGACCGGAAGGGGGGCCATCACCATCGGCGACGGATCATTCGTGGGTGACCGCGTGGTGGCCCTTCCTGGTGCTACGATTGGGAGACGCACGACAATTGGATCCGGGGCACTACTACGTCGAAACGGTTTTTATCCAGACAACACAACATGGGCCGGAAGTAAGAACGGCGACGCGATACAATTTCCCCAGCTCAAGTCAAATCGAAGCTGCACCAAGGTTACTTCTGAGAAATCTGATGAGAATGATGACGATACTATATCACCATTCGGACGAGCTTTCTATGAAGGTCAAGCAGACTACCATGTCCTAGGAATTGGGTCTATTGTGGTGTATTCGGCCCTAGCCACTGCAATCGGGGCGATATACCCGGTAGTGAGTATCCTGACGGGACTGTTAGTTATCGGTCGATTACTACAGACGGATCTGGCAGTGTTCGCAGTGTCATGGTGGCGCCCATTTCTGTTATACGGGATTCTGACCGCAGTGGTATCGTTGATGGTTCTCATGCTGTCGGCCACAAGCTTGGGAATTAAGATAGCTTCCAAGTGGATACTTTTGGGACGACGTACGGAAGGCAGTTTTCACTGGGACCGGAGCAGCTTCTGCCAACGCTGGCAAATCTTCCTAACCATTGAGAGAATGTTCTCTGGATACCCCGGGGATGTTGGTGCCCTAAAATTACTGACTGGAACGGCATATCTGTCGCAGTACTACCGGGCAATGGGGGCGACTGTTGGTGCAAATTGTGCCTTGTCGGTCAGTGGAGATCCAGACATTTCGTGGACAGAGCCGGATCTGGTGAAACTGGGGAACCGAGTGACCATTGATGATGCCAGTTTAGTCTGCCATCTTAATACCCGTGGAGAATTCGAGATGCATCCACTGCAGGTCGGCCATCGCAGCGTCCTCAGGTCTGGCTCGAGAATGTTGTCTGGGTCGTCAATAGGAGATGATGCATGTCTGCTTGAGCATACGTTGGCTCTGTCTGGAGATCATGTGGATGATCGATGTACAGTCCAGGGCTGGCCAGCTGAACCATTTACGGGGTCAAGGATTGGCCATTTTTCGCATAGTTGATAGGAGACTTGTTACTTAATAACTTAATATATAATAGCAGCTGAAAATAAAATTTTATAGACAAAGGGTATCGAGCACTGCAAAACCCCGATAGAATAGGCGGCTGTGAATAATATACAATATGGTTTCTATGCAATATACTACAGTAGGCTAACTATACTCCAGCAGGTCTCCGTCAGGATAAGCGCGATCCTTCGTTTCTTTTAAAATAAGACAACCTAAATACTATTCTTAGAAGTTAGATATAAGACAATTAAAGAGCAATAACTTACAGTCCCCGTTTGCTTGATCTACCTTTTGGCAACCTGCACACTTTTTCTAGTTATGTTGCTTATAACCAGAACAATCAGGACACATCTATAAATTTCACTATTTGATTAGAAGACCAAAGCGTAGTGTAAATAGCAGAGAACGAGTATAATCAAGAGAATACTCCTATCACTTCCGATATTGACACCAGGAGGCAACTGTGTTTAAACCAGTTTTATGTGCAACCTGGCCACAACTGGTATGATGACATTTTTGCACCGTGTCAAATAATCGACCTTATACAAGTTTTTCAATCAGGATTGGAGTAATCATCCAGCAACAAAGTACTGTGCCAGAGGTTGTATGAAACCATCAGCGTTGAGGGGGGTAGGATGCTCGTACTTATACTTGAACTTAGCCATTATCCTAATAGTAGAACGTAGGTATACAACAAGACTGTAGAGCAAGGCTGTGGAGTGAGGCTCTCCCCTCACCTGGCAACATGGGCCCCTGGTTTATCCATCATTGGGATCATATGTCATGCTGACTACTGGCCCAAAAGAAATACCAAATATGAGACTGGTCGGAAGAACAAACGGCTATGTCGGGCTTTCGGGAATTGCAAATGGATGCACGTCGGCGAGGGTCTCTGTCTTTGCTATTCTCTAGCCCTCTGGCTAGAATAGAGTATAATATATAATGAACTCTGATGGTGGATAAGACAAGACGTATGTCTAGTTGTAGGTCTCCCTAGATATATTGCACCATCTGGCCAGTATTTATATAGAACTCTTGCAAAGACGAGTATAATCATTGTCCCCTACCATATTCTTTAGCCATAAACATAGCTCCATTAGGTTAGGGTTAATGCTTCGTGCTCATATTTAGCAACAGGCTCCTTGCTAGATTAGCATCGCTTAAATAACTTGAGAACCTACTTGCGATAAGTTAACATTGACGATGTTATACATGAATGTCCATATAATGAGAACGTACTCCGTATCTAAGTTTGACCTTGAGCACGCGCGCTAGCAGACCTTGTGCTATATAGTTACGGAGTAAGTCCAGGGCGATGGAGATCCCCCTTGAAACAAGTTTTGGTAGCCGCCTGGCTACCTTCAGGCGGCGCAGTTTCAGGGCCAATCAAAATTAGCTCCCCTGTGCAGGATGATTCAATTATCGAGATCTTCGGCTGCTTTCCGCTCGAAAGCATGTGTTCTGGCCTTGGTGCCAGGAGCAGTGCCAGGCGTGTCAAGTGTCAAGTGTCAGACATGTCAACAGTGTCAACTAGAATCATGTCAACCAGTGTCCCAGTGTCCCAGTGTCCCAGTGTCCCAGTGTCCCAGTGTCCCAGTGCGTGCAGCTAAGGTAAAGGCAACCTCGACTTTGGTATCCCATCCTGATAATAGACCCCCATCCGTAGACTTCAGTATTCCAGCCCTCGAGATGCAATGAAGAGTGTAGTGTCCAGTGTAGTGTCCAGTGTAGTGTCGAGTGTAGTGTCGAGTATCGAGCTGGCCAAGTTCTTCAGCCGTGAACCCTTATAGACCTGGTTAGGCCTGAAACCTGTGCTCCGCAGGGAAACCGACTGGGCAGAGCGGTAGGCGGGCCTCCGGGGTGGTAGATATAACGTGTCCGCATCCTTAGCCAGGCCGTGATGCCCGAATAGCTGCTGTGTCGCGAGGCAGCAGTTGTGTGTCCTGTCGAGGGCGCGAGAGTTCGAGGTGACAGAAGCTGCACGAGTGGTCGCTCTGGTCCGGACCAGAATGTTATGACGAGCCTCCGCGAGCTTTTGCTTCTTCCTTTCTACAAAACCCATCTTCAGCTCGCTCCCACCCACCGCGCCGACCTCCCTGCTGGCACTACGGCCTGCATGCCCTCGGATACCGCTCGGAAACCTGCCTGGAGACGATCCTGGGACGACTGGCTCGGAATATAGGAGGATAGCGCCCTGACTGTTTCGTTCTCCGCGTTGTTTCAAGTAAGTTGAACTCCGCGTCAGGTTTTCGATATCCTGCCCCCTGCCGCCTCTATATCGATCTCAGCAGCCGTCCAGACCCTGATACCGACGTATCTGGGCTCCCGAAGATATACCCGACAGCTGTCACTTTGTTGTGGCTGCCTACCTTGCATTACGGTGTGCGGTTCGGGAGTGCCGCCAGATGCGGCTTATGTGAAGCGCAAGGCTAATAGATACCATCTTTTGATTATTATTTTTTTCCTAGACATGGTGCCCTGACCTACAATCCATTTTAATACGTCAACATCGCTTCAGTCGATATGGGGCAGGCTGGTTCTTCCCAGAGAACACGGCCAGAATCAACGGGCAGCGGTGGATTGGGCCGGCCGCGATACGAACGAAATCCAAATGGCTTTCCTGCCCCGCCGACTTCTTCTACCCAAAGGATGAGAGGCAGCAGGTATAGTTCACCCAGAGTACCTCCAACCGAGGATGATCGAGATGAGATGCGGAGCCGGTCACCGTCATGGACTGAGAGGGGCGACCTCCAGGACTTTGCCGGCCAGAGCGGATCCGTCACTCGGAGCAGCAGTACCTCAGGCATCAGTAGGCAGTCGAGGATGTCTCGTCTTGGAACGAGGATACTACCAAATTCCGTCTTGAGAAACCTGCTCAATAGTGGGGAGGAGACGCCGGCGGAAGGGAGAGCCCATCGAGACGGACTACTATCGAGGAGCTCACCACGATCTGACTCACCGCAGCCATCGCCATATTTCCCGTCGTTTAGGAGTCTTAGTACCAGGGGTATAACACGGAGGAGATCGATTCGCGGACCCTATCCCCTCCCGAGAGGAGAGTCCGCTCTGTTACCAGACTCTCCACCGAATCCGACTTTCTTAGAGAACCCTTCGAATACCCGAAATACGGATCCTTCACGCCTCTCCTGGCGATATCGTGCAAGACTGAGCAATGTCCGCCACTCGATATCCTCACCAATATCACACATCTTCAACCAGCATTCTCCATCCTCTCAGTCAACTCAGACTACCACACCACCTCCGCCAAGGCGACCCTCGCGTGCTGGGCTTTCAGACGATTCCGATCACCTTCTCCATCCTCACGGCAGTATTGATCCTGGTATGGATATCGACGAGCCTCACGAACCGGATGGCATCGATCCCACCTCTAGACCTAGATCTCACCCGATTCCAGTGCCTAACCGTCAAAATAATTCTACGTCTGCTAGCCGTGGGCATTCTTCAACTATCCGCTCCCGCGCAACAAGGTTATTAAGACGTGAGGAACAGACACCACTGTCTCGTGTGCTACAGCTCGCTGCAACTGCCATCGCTGCACAACTTTCTGGGAATACAAGCCCAGCTGTACCGAGCATCCAGTCCGTTGGCGCAGACGGTCTAGATGGACCCCTAGAGTCATTAATGAACGGCTTACAGCAAGTTTCAACAAACCAGGAGGCTATAGATAACGGTGACGCTTCTCGAGAAGACCCTAATGTCCCCCATGTGAACTTTTTAAGAGTCTTCCGGTTTGTGAACCAGGACGGCCCTCCGACACAGACGCCGTCGGGTGAGGAAGGTGAGAACGGCGGCGATCAAATGGATATCGATGGACAAGGCTCAACCGATGGTCGTCAAGAACGACGTCTGCTTACTCTGGTTGTTGTCGGTGTAAGAGCCATCCCACCGAACAACGGAGCAGGCGGTGATGCCACCGCCAACAATCGACTTAACGTTGAGTCCCTTCTTCGACTGCCACTTCTAGCCCCAGGAAATTTTCTTCGTAATGACCGGGGAAGCGGTAATTTCCTCCGTCGCTCAGATGGCCGTTCGAGATTCTCTCCACGACGATATTCAGTTGGAGGAAGCACCTTCCCAGCAAACTACGACAGCCAGCGTCATGTCAGGTCCCAAACTTCTTCACGCCGACAATCTGATGTCGGATCTTCTGGTGATTTGGCTAGCTCACTCCCTACCATTATCTCTGATAGCCCTCAGGGTCCAAACCCGCCTCCATCGACACCCGCAGAGGCAGGCCTATCAAGGGTATCCTCTGCAGTAAATACCCCAAGCAGGCGGCCCTCATCCGCGTCGGCCATCCTCCCCCAGCTCGATGAGGATGCCACTGGAGAGCCAGGAGATGTGTTATCAGAGCATCCTATGGGCTTCAACCCCGCAAGACAGCGCCGTAGGAGCGATTCGGAAGCTGCTCGTCACCGTGGCCTCGGCTCTGGCGCCGCACGACGCAATGGAGTAGTAGAGCCAGATGACCCATCTCCATCCGGAGGGCGCAGCTGGCTCATCTACGTTGTTGGAACCAACTTAGCCGAGAATCACCCAGCATTCGCAGCACCCAGTCTATTTACAGATGTATGTTTCCTTCTATCAATATATATTTCGGATAAACATTCAGACAGGTACTAACTATTGCTCTAGAACCCGACCTATGAAGACATGGTGCTACTCTCATCGTTACTAGGCCCAGCAAAACCTCCCGTTGCAACACAAGATGACATTTCTTCCGCGGGCGGCCTATATCGTCTTGTCGAATACTCCGGAGCTCTGGTTGCAGAAAGCCTGGAAGGCGGAGACCATGATAATGTTCCCATCGCAGAAAGTGAACGATGTCTCATCTGTCTGTGCGACTATGAAGCAGCAGATGAAGTCAGGATCTTGAATAAATGCAAACATGTCTATCATCGGGAATGTATTGATGAGGTACGTCGCTAACTCTTAATATTATTTTTTGGACACGAGCTAACTCAACGAACCCTTTAGTGGCTAACAACTGGACGCAACTCCTGTCCTTTGTGTAGAGGCGAGGGTGTCTCCAACTCCGATAATGTTGCAAGTAGCGAAGCAATCGCTCCTTAATCGTGGCATCGCTATCATGTCAATTGCTGGTACCTACAGCTTTACTAACTTCACGTTCATGGCCACATTTTTTTTTTTCAAGCCTCCTCTCCGTTTCCTGGCCTGCGGTCACGATGACGGTATCTTCCATTCCTACCTGTATTCATTCGACTTTTTATCACAGAAGATAGTTTTTTCAAACCTTGCCCCCTTCTCGAGGCTGGTCTGTGTTTACCCTATCACTAGGCTTCTTCTTGCATATCCCTTTACGGTGTTTTCGCCCCAACCATTCCCAACCCCTTTGTTTTTTTGTTTTCTTTGATATTTGAGTGACATACTTTTTCAGCCTTGAAGCCTGTTATGCCCTTCTCGTGTTATCTTCTTCTCGCTTTTCTTGTTGCATACTTCCGAAATTGCATTTCTTTTTTCCACTTTTGCCTCTTTTCGTTTTACAGCAAAGCTTCGTCTGGCGTTTATTGACAGGAATCATCATACGGCTGGGATATCGTGGGGATTTGGGACCGGGCTCACATTAATAAATCGGAACATGGTTGGGACGGAATGGACGGGTTGGTGGGCTTGTTTTCTTTTCATCCCTTTCCTTCCCTTTCCTTCCCTTTCCCTACTCTCTATCTTCTATAAACACCCTTCATACATACGTATTATATCACATTAGTTGCGAAATCAAACTCCATCTTAAGGGAATTGTAAATTGTAATACATGCTCCAGATGTCGTCAGCAAGGTGATATGAGATCATAACCGCCAGGCGAGTTAAAACACAACATCTTCCTCTGGCTTACTTTTAGGGCATAGGAACCAAGATTTTTATAGCCGCTGCAATTATAGCTTTTGTAGTGTTGTCATTTTGTTTCTTTTCCAAGTGCGTCCACAAAAATCTAACTTCTTATATACTAACTAGTAGATATCCTGGGCTGAGATAGAGTAATATTTGTATAATTAATTTCATAATAACTATTAATTAAATACAACTCGATGAACGGCATCCTTTTGGGGAGAAGTTAAAGAGCAAAAATAGCAAGTAACTACGCCTATCTTAGTAAAATATGCCGTAAAAAAACACTCCCGTAAGCTCATAAATATAGAATGGGTATATGTATATTAAAGGGATGAAATAAACTCCTGCATTTTCATTGCTAATAGAAGATGGTTATGGATAAATGGCAGAATAATCGGGCACACACGTAGATTCTCAGTGCCATTTCTGGTGCCTGATGGTGAAGGACGCATGGTGCAGATAGTTCGGCACAATAGGTAGCATAACTGGCCATTAGTGTCGCCTTTTAAATGGAAGTGGTGATAGGATGGATATCACGGCGTTTGGCCTTTAAGGACGCCCATCCCTCCAGCTCTCATATCTTCTAGGCGATTCTTGATGGAGCTCCCTTCACATTCAACGGAGTCATGACGTCGCTTGACCTCCGCTTCAAAAATCGCTGCCACTTCTCGTCGAACCCGTCGCGCTTCCTTTGATTTTCGGAGCATAATACAGAATTGCTCAATCAGCCAGTCCCCGCACTCTTCCCACTCTGAGAGGGTAACAGATGAAAAGAATACACGGCGTTGATCTTCTGTCAGGTTTTTGACACGGGAGAGTTTATCCTCTAAAGCCAGGGGTGCGTCGTGTGGGAATATCGGTTGCATAGGAGTTGGGTTGTAGTCGAATGATTCCGCCTGGAGATCGGAAAATGACTTGCTTTCAAGAATGTTAGGGGGATAATCGGATATAAAATTAGAGAGTGGGCGTTTAGACGAAGCAGCAGAGACTGTTGATAGATGGGGCGATTGAAAGGTGCCAGCTTCTTCTAAGCCAGCCACTTCTTCAAAGCCATCATCATCAGAGCAGTCCAGGGTGCTCAGGTCGGTTGCTGCGTCAAAGGCTGCACGGTTATAAGCTGGGTACTGATCCTCCTTGGGAAGTTGCAATTGCTGTTGTCCAGCATCAGACCCGTCCTCAAGGTTCTCCCTATGTTGTTTCACGTTAGATATGAGGATATTACAGTATAGGGGAAATTAGACACTATTATACTGACACCGTATTGTTTGCCCCCACGGCATGGCTAGAATAGGGGTCTGGGGCAGCAAAATGGGGCCTTGCAGCAAACCTATTCCTGGTTGATAGCCTTTGGGCGATTGGCCGTGGGGCGAGTTTGGGAGCTTCCAGGTAAGATTTTTGCTCCCCAAGGCCTGCTGCAGCCGCTCGTTTTGGATAGGTTTCTGGCGATATATACGGATTCTGATCCTGATTTTGGGGGTAATGGATAATTTCGCCGCCCGTCCCATTGGTTGGTCGAGAATCATCCTCTCGTAGAATGGCTTCAATCTTTTGCCAGCTTAATATTTCCCGTGTAGGAGGCTCGTTAGCCACCTGACGATTGGAATTCTGTTCTTCATCCTGGATATGGTTCATATTGTCCTCTATTCGTTCCGCGACATCAGTTGGCCGCGCCGGCCCTTCACGATATTCAGTGTCTATATCCCCATCCTCTTCATCACCAGAGTCGAGCTCCTTGATCCTATCAGCTATAGATTTATAGCCCCCATCTTTTTGAGTAAGATCTGCATCGGGGTGGTTGGTATCTTCACGCGTAGGGAATGGCTTCCCTGTAACAGATCCCACTTCGGTCTCTCTCAAGACGCTGATAGTGATAGTAGAATCATCAACACCTTCAAGGTCGGTGTCAAACAAATCCCCTAGCCCTTCGCGTTCATTGGCTTCATTCTGTGGCTCCTCTAATAATCGGGGAGACTCCGTATTTTGCTGTTGTGAATCCCCATATTCTCTGCTAGGAGAAGCGCGGCCAAACCCAGACAACCGTGTAGGGTGAAGTCTTATTGTAGCCAGTTCGGCCTGTCGCTCTCTGGCCGCCCTGGCTCGTTTGGGTGATAGCATCTGTGACCCAGGGAATCCATTTGGAGCTCTGCTTGCTTGGACAAAATCACCAACCCTCATCCTGGTGGACTTTTCTAACCTTGGTTTCAATTTAATATAAAGATACAGCCGCAATTTAACAAGGGTGCCGTAATTTAAGACGTGATAATAGCTTTTGCCTGCAAATGTCTAATGAAGTTGGAAGTTAAGACAAAGTGCCGTGGTCACATGACACTATCAACGCCCGGACTATCAAAGGAAGATGATATAAGTGTTGATGGGAGACGGAGAGAGGGATTTGCATTCAGATAATGTTACCATTCGATACCCTAGCGGATGGGAATAAGAATAAGCCTACAGGCTTTGACAACTAAGGACTGCAGTAAATATTTAGGACCAACGAACGCATCGTTTTCCGGGTTGCCCCTTTATGGCTAATGGGTTTACTTGCGACGGATTGCATGGGCCGTTTCGTATATATGGATACCGCTATATAGGCTTTGGTCAACCGCCAGTACTCCGAGTCCGATCCTGCCTGGCCCTCGCCTTTGCAAAAAATGACTTTGCTTTCTCAATTTCAGTAGCCCTTTTCTCCCTGGCAGAGCTGATTTCCATCCTTAGTATAGTAGCTTCAAGGCGAGCGGTGCCATCGTCATTTCCATAGCTATCATCGGTGAGTTCATCCACATCATTACCAGATAAAACCGAGGACAGGTAGAGATCCCCTATCCATAAGGACACCATCCCCCGCAACCTCAGTAATTCATGGCTATCCGAAAACGGTGGTGAGACTAGTAATTCATCCATTTGTGTTGCAATCTGCCGGGCTTCTTCAAGCTCTTTCATCCGAGCAGCAGTATGAATTTTCGTTCTCTGATCTAGAGTTAGCTTCCGCTCCCCTATATCACCGCTCGTGACAGACATGCGATCATAATAATCATCTTCACCAGCGTCAAATCCATCAGAGCTACCGGCCAGCTCTGTTTTTCCTCTTGCATGCTGGCTCTCTTCCTGGGAAACAGAAATCCACAATCCAAACATGGCCGGATAGAAATGAAGTGGACCTAGTGCATCCGGCGCCACTTTCCGATATTGATACTGGATAATCATTCTTTCATAGTACTCTTTGGCTCGCTCGAAGCCAGTTCTAGTGAACCACTTCCTGCTCCCACCTACCTTCCCGCTCTGATCGACTGCGTCTTCTGACTCGCCCTGGCTCCGGTCTTTCCATAGTAATATCTCTGCGCCAACAGCCCATCTCCCAGCGCTTCGTACATCAGCTGGGTGTCCGCCAAAGTTATCTCGCAATATTAAACCCCAGGCTCTACCTGCGCGAATATAGTCCCCTTCCATCAGGCACCGGTGTAAGATCGCTGTGAGCACGTTTAAATGATGAAGACGCAGGGTATTTTTCTTCGTAGGATTACCGCCGGCTAGATAAAGCGGGGGATTTAACTGAGATAAATCCTTCTCTATTCGCTGTCTGTTGTTTATGATTTTGCCCTTCTTTTTTCGAGGTTTGTTTGCCGTGCCCGTAGTGGTACTGTTGTTTTCATCACCATCGGACTCATCATCACTATCGAAGAAAGCAGCTTCTCCTTCAAAGGGAGCCTTATGTGGGAATCCTCTACCAGGCAGTTCACAATAATTGGGTAGCCCAGCGATTCTATACTGGTGTGCTTCGGCGGGTGAAAAGATCAACGGAGATCGAGGTCTTGAGTTGCGAGTTCCCTCTCCTGTACTATTCTGCACCTCTTCGCCCGTTATGGCATCTTCACTTTCGTGTCCGCTATCGTGCTCCTTGCCAGTTTCGCCATCGTGTATCCCCCGATACCTCCCTCGTTGTTTTAGTCGCTCGTATTTGGCGGTTCGATAGCTCACGGGCTGTTGCCACAAGGGCAATGGAAGGGCAAAGTATGATGTACTCTGGCTAGGGTATGGTTTTTCAGGCATGAGGAAGAACTTTTGAGTGTCAATTGTATCAAGCCTGCCGCACTTGTTGTAGCTCTGATAATATTCTCATCCCTCTCGATGGTCACACATCCCCGCAGCTCAGAAAAGCACAAGATTCTAACCCCACTGTCGACTGCATTAACTTGTGAAGGGCTCCTTCTCAGCAAGAGTACACCATGGTAGCTTATCACCGTGGAACTCCTTCGTGATACCACTTGAGGACAACAAATTTATGAAAATAATATGAACCACGTGACTGAAGTTTACTGCCGCGGTAAACATTTATTCCTGGTCTAGCGCGCGCTTAATCAACATCCATGTATACTACTTCTAACTGGCTACTGTCTACTATAGCTTGGATGCTGAATTTCGATTGCCATTCAGCTTGGTTACATTTATCCCTAATGCCCTAGGCGATGTAGACCAAGAACGGTTTGAAAGTTGAATGGTAGATAGGTGTTATTGCCGAATTATCATAGAATTCCAACTATATATTATAATAAAGAATAAATCCCATGCATCATTGCTCCCCTTCACAAATGGTATGAAAAAAAAACAAACATAGAGGACTTTTTAAATAGAAAGGAGAGACTTGATGAGAGGTAAGAAAATCAAAGCAAAAATCCGCTGGCGCTAGGAAGAGAGAATGAAAATTAAACCGAGTAGATGAATAAAATAAGAAAATGCCTGGTTTCCGATTTCCTAGTTTCTCCATTGCTGGTTATCTCATATTCATAATAATCGTTCTTCTCTTTCATATATCATGTCGTTAAGGTCGTATCAGGTCATGTCATAGGTAGGTTCATACATGGAAAACAGAGTAGAGGGAAAAAAAAGAAAAGGAAAAAACAAAACGACATAAAACAAAATATTTTCAACACTCCCAAGAAAAAAAATGAAAAGATAAAAAAATAAAGGGCCAGAACAATTAAACATGTTCGGATAGGCAAGATCCAAGAAGTGCGAGGAGAAGTCGGCTGCCAAAATAGAGTGTAGAGGGTTAATTGCGTGAGACAAGGACAGAGAAGTGAGTAAACGGAGCAAGAAGCAAGACGAAGAATAAGAGGTGAAGTAAAGGGTGAGGAGTGGAGTTGGTAAGTTCATACACCGAAATGGACGAAGGCATAACTGGGAAAAGGCGGGTTTCGAACAAATGAAAGATCGGTGCTGTCGAAGCTGTGGTTGCGGTGACAAAGGGAAGCAGACATCGTTGCAGCCTGGTCGCGTATATAGTTGGAATATCTCCCTTGGGGGGGTCCACCTGGGTGAACGGACAGGAATATAAAATGGACCAAGCAAACAAAACAACCACGAATGAAAAGGCTATCAAAGAACACGAACAAAAACCCATAAGAAACCCCTTCCCTCCAAATGCGGAAAATGTAGTCGAAACAATTAACTAGCATAGCTATGTGTGCATGCGGGGTATGGAATGGTAAATGCCTCGCGGCTGGTCTCTGGAGGAAGAGACTCCAGTCTCCCTCTACAAGGTAGTGGTAGTAATATTTTCCTTCTGCCATCCGTCCGGTCCACGGACGGCCCATGAGAAAGAAGAAAGATGCATAACCCGTGAGAACGAAAAAAAAAGACGTATAAAACCTTCGTCCAAAAATGCAAAAGACAGGATGCGCAAGGAGAGAACAAACGAGATAGTAATGGGTAAAACCATCCTGGGCCGCGTAGAGCGATAGGGTCAACAGCGTAGAACAGACGCATGTAGCTGAAAGGTTATTATAGATGATGAAGTCGATGTTCTTCGTCGCATTGTTCATTCTTGCTCATGTCTCGTCCATTGAAGGTGGGTGAAGATAAATTAAGAGATGCGAACTTCTCTGCCAGGCTCCTCAGCTTTGACAGGCTTTCCGCCACATTCCCTAACCATGTTGTTGAAATCTTGTAGTACTTTCTGTGGAACACGATCCCACATCAAGGACCTCGAGTAGATGTCTGGATTTCCGTTTCCCTTGAAGGCAGCGCGGTTCTGTAGTCCACTATTACGCATCGCTGCGTAGGCTTGTTGCAGGTTCGATGGAGGGGCAACATGGTCATCACCCATCTCGTCGTCGCCGAGAGTGGTGAGGGATTGGTACTGTTTGGCAGTCATGGCAAAGACCTGGGCATCTTCCTGGTCCTTGGTGGGCGCAACAAGGTTATGGTGCAGAGCGTCAAGGTTGGTGCCAGAGTTACCTGCCGGGCCAGATGTGATTTGGGCCATTTCACTGCTGCTGATGGTAGTGGGGAGTAGAGCACCGGGGCCGGAAGAGGGGCCAATGATGCTGGCGGAGTTTCCCTCAGGGGAGGCAGAGGCCAAAACTGCGCGTAGGACATTTGCAGACTCGGCACGGTATTCTTCGGACAAGGCGGGAATGGCAGGCTGTGACGTGGAGGTGCTGTTTGATGCAATGAAGGCGCCGAATAGGAGACACATATAGAAGGCGTTCCAGCTGAAGGCAGAGTCGGACTGGGTCGACGGTTTCTCTGCCTGTTTCTCTGGCTTCTTAGTGTTGAAGTCAAGGTTGAATGGATGATGAGCGGGCGTAGGAGTAGGGCTGCGTGGGAGTGCGCGGTGCTCAGGGTCGAGGCTGAATTCATCAGCGAGGGAGAACGAGTCCCATGAAGGGTTGTCAACGTTAAGGCTGCCGTAGTCAGAGAAGTCGTTACGCATCGCGGAACCAGGCGTAGACAAATGGGCGGCGTTCATTTCCATGCGCTCGAGATGCTCTCGGAGAATTGTATTCTTCTTGCGAAGTTCGCCAGTCTCGAGGGTGTGGGTGCGCACCAACTCCTCTTTTTCCATGTGTACCTGTTCAACGAACTGATGCAACTGTTGCTGACTTTTAAGCAACTCGTTCTTCTCTCTGACCAGTTCCGCCTCTCGGAGTTTCATCTCCTGAAGGGCTTCTTGGAGCTCGTTGATGTGAGTAGAAGATCTTCTCTTGTCCTCTTCTAGCTGCTCGGTGTGCACCTTCTTTCGCTGCCGCGAATCAAGCCTATGAGAGGGTGTTAGTAAAAGGTGAAACGGTTCCATCCTGTATCTTATGCATGTGAAAAGGACAAATACTTACGCCGCCTGTCGATTTCTCAATAGTCGTTTCTGTTGCTTGAGTTCCTTGATCTCATCTTCGTCGTTGGATTGGCTGATTAGGAGGTCGATATTGCTCAACGTGCGTTCGGCAGGGATATCAAAACGAGCGTTCTTCTTGCGAATGCCGTCCCGTCGGATGGTGAGGCTGGCTCCGCTGTTTCGATATCCAGCCGAGGTCCTGACCGGCCTTGACTGGGTTTCCGGTACTTCTGATGATCCCGACACCCAACCTTGGCTCGACTGCGGAGACATGGGGATAGAATTGGGGGCAGCGAAGGGTGGAGAGGCTCTGAATTGCATCTGTTGGTAGGACATCGGCTGCACCTGGCCAACAGCGCCGCCGGTAAATGGGTTGGCGACCGCACCATCGAACTCTTGGGGGAAATGATCGTAGATGGGCGTGGGAGTACATGAGCCGGAGTCAGTAGAAATGGGCCAAGTCTGTTGCTGGTGCTGTTGCTGCTGGTGCTGTTGCTGATGATGCTGGTGCTGATGTTGCTGTTGCTGTTGGTGCTGATGTTGTTGCTGTTGCTGTTGCTGCTGTGAGAAGGCTCCTGAGTGATTATCGAGCCGTACGAAGGGGTTGCTGATGGGCTCGAAGAGCGGCGTTGATAGTTGCGATGGATGCCGTGACTGTGCATCGGTCTGGTGTTGAGCCATATCCGACCACACAGACTCTCGCCGCGAGAACTCGTCTGTGGTCTGGTCAAAGGACGGCCGCCGTGAGCTGTCCATGGACATGTCTTGGGCGCCGGCGTCGAGGATCTTGTCGTCTAGCACGCTCATCTCCTCGTCTCTAGAGAAGATGGGCTTTGAGTCGAGTGTGGGAGGGGGCTGGAAGAAGTCAAAGGCCGGCGATGGGAGGGAAAATCTCGCCATGTCGGAGGGTGAATTCGTGGTGATGCAGAGACGAACTTAAAAGACGCACACGAGCGGGAATTAAAGCAGTTGGGCCCGCGGGAAATAGTAACAGAAGAACAATAAAGATGATGCAAAAAGGTCGTAGTCGTAAAATCGTGTCGTCGTAGAGATGGGCGTTGATGTTCGGGGAGTTGTCGTTAATGTGTGTGAGTGTGTGTTCGAAGAAGAGGGAGGGAATAGAGGATGCGAAGAGGCGGTGTGGTTGGTTCCCTCTTTGCGGATGGGAAAAAAAAGATGGCGGCGCGAGAGTGGGAAAAATAAAAAAAAAGCAGAGCGATGATGCGCTGTGCGACGTGCTTGGAGGGGGAAAGACGACGATGCGGGGGGTTGGACGGGGATCTTGTGCTTCTGCTGCTGTTCTCTTGCTCGTGTTGAGGTCAAGAGACTGTTGATGCGGTGGGTAGTGTGCCTTTAGTATGGTGCTATATAGCGATCATCTGTTCAGGGCGGCGGGAGGAGCTAGTATCATATATATCTTTGATCCGACTCTATCGGTATCTTGTGAGAGTCAGGGTCAGACGAAAGCGGTTGCTCTTTAATATACGGCCGTCTGGGTCACTCGTGGTGCTGCGCTGACCGTCTCTCCTGCCCTATCACCTATCAACTCCCTGGCTATGGGGATGCGATCGAGGCGTTCGAGCAATGATAATGCGACTCTTAAGATGCTGAGGTAAGGCCGCCGGTGGTGAACGGGGGGAAAAGGTTTCATGGAAGAGCCACTTTCGTACCCGTCAACAGTAGATCGAAAAAAAAGTGTTGCCCAGCGGGTGGTAGATGGTAATAGGCTGTGGGATGGAGGGTGATCCAGTCGCTGCACTGCTCCCCCATGTCCCTTGCGGTGCCTGGGAGGTCGAGATACGGTTCCCCGTCCACTGGGCGGGTGTATATCGCCAAAAGCCAGAATCAGGCCTGCAAAAAGAAGAGTGACCTCGATCTCAACTATCGTCATCCTCTGGCGGCGACGGGCACGCTTGGGGATTGTCGACTGACGCCTAAACTTACGGGGATGCACCCTCACCGGCAGTCCGTTGCGAATCCATCCTGGTTCCAGATCGACCAGCCATCGTTCCTCGCCGGAAGTCAAAAAAGTAAGGCGACGAAACAGCCATCAGCGTTGAGCTCTCAGCGCGCCTACGATTGGATGCCTCTTATTGGGGTTGTGTTTTGGGGTTTTGGGCACACTTGCAGCGCGCTAGCCTCTGCCCTTTTTTTTGTATATATTTCGTTTTGATTTTATTTTTATTTTTAGTCTTCGCCTGCTTCTCGTTCGTGTGTATGGAGGGAAGAAAGTCGAGCCAAACAGATGGAATTCCGAGATTATCGCCGGGTTGTGCTGTTGTTGTTGAAATGATGATATACCGTCATATCTGGCGATACCAGCAGATACTCTGTAGAATTTAGTAATAGGGGGACCCTTGGTATCGCCCGATATCGCGTGGCTTGAGTGGTCGTTGCATCCGTCTCTCGTCGAGAAGCTGGCAGAGCAAGCTCCGTCTGATACACTGCTGGTCTCAGGAGGCAACCTGGGGCGGGTAGGCAGCAGACATTCTCAGCCAAACAACCGCAGTGCTCACTAGCTAACCCTTTCATACACCTCAAGCTGCTCCTCTAAAGCCAAAGGTAAAATAGTAAATCGACTGGCTGTGAACCTCTGCTTTTCGGTTCACCTTGAGCTGCCGTTCCTGGCAGATGATGGGATGCGATGCTCTCTCGATGGGCGTCAGGTATCAAGCTAGAGCTACGCTACTACACTTCTACCATGGATCGGGAGCCGGGGAAAAGGTGGGAACAGAACCTTCTGCACCTCGTTAGTCGACCTAGATTTTCTTCTTCGATGCTCGTCCTTCTCCCGCTCTCACCTCACGGCCGTGTTCAGGTTCAGGTTCATGCTCAAGCTTATGTTAATCATGTCGAAAGTGGCGTTTTGCTTGTCGCTACCCCAAGTATCTCTCTATCTACCGTTGTGCGATACCTCGCCGTAGGAACCTTCACTGGCATTGATCCGAGCCTGCTACGCCGCATATACCTAGGGTAACAGTCAGTCTTGTATCTCGCTTCAAGTACACACGCGGGGTCTTTCCACATGCTGCGAAGCTTTGCGTTTACAATGCGACGGCCTTCCGCCCTTCCCGCGCACATACATACACACAGACAGATGGATAGACAGTCACTGCTTGCGTGCATCGAAGATCTGTGCTCCACATACATACTGCACGTTAGGAGTCCGGCATCTGGATATGGTCACTGCGTTGCGTCTTGCACTCTATTTAGGAGCACACAAAACAGGAGCTCCTCCCAGGGGCGAAGGTGAAGGCAAAACCAAGTCAAGATTCGACTAGACGGGAAAAGGAAGACGGCTGGAAATGAAAAGAGAGGGGGCCAGAGATCGATCGGTACCCACATGCGCATCTTCATCACTGTGCGATTGTCCCAATCCAGATCTGCAAGGACGCGCGCGGCGTGCCAAAAGCCATGTTAATACCAACCTTGTACCCCCTCTCCGTCGCCTCTCCCTCAAGACGCCCGCAATGGCGGATCCGAACGGGGTAAGATGTAAAACCCGCTTTCACCTCGATGTTCTCTTTGGCCAATAGCATCCGTCGCTCTCACCGCCTAAACGGGCAACGGGTGAAAAGCAAGTATTTTTCTCCGTCTATCCAGTACCATGAGGATGGATATCCCCTTACCTCTGCAGCTAGACACCCGTTCCCTCTACCAAACAAAATCTCTTGCGGGCCGGAGCCTGAACGCCTCACATTCCGGACAATACTGGGCTCAGGCACCCAGCTGAAAGCCATTATTTGCGACATCTGAGTGCTTACTGGTGCTGGCGGTTCGCGTGCTTCAGATATATATACACACATGACCTCCCAGTTCACTTTTAGCCTGGTGTGGCCCGGCCTAGCCTTGGGAAGGCACACTGTGACTTGATCGATGGTTAAAACAGGTACATAAATCGTCCGTTCCTCGAGTGCTTCGAGTAAGTACATATCAGGGCGAGATATGGCGTTCAAATCGGATGCTATCGCTGCTCCCCACCCTCCGCCTGTATCTGGGATAGGGTCGGGTCCTGCAGGGGTGCCAATAGAGTACACCTAGACTCTCAAGGGAGAGAGTTCTTGTTTTCCCCCCTTTGGCCGAGTTTGCCCCATATCGAGAGGGAAGAAACAGCTACTATTCCGTCACTGTCGAAATTCGACGGCCGCACAGGGTGACTCACATTAAACATGCGGTGTATTCCAGGCAAATTATAGTCGATGCATGCTAGTGGACCCTGGCGAATATATAATAGGTAGAACCGGTTTCACGCAAACAGAAGCTGGCAACTGTGCGTGGGCATTGTCTGAGAGTTGCCCGCATGATGCCTGGGCAGTGCGGGACGAACCTACTTGTGCAGTGATTGTGTTCAAACTGGCGACTGCATAAAAAAGGATAAAAAGAAACAGGGCAAAAACCATGATCTCAAGCAAATGGCATGGCTGGAAAAGAGATGACATCTCCGGGTATATTATGTTGCCTGATTGTAGGTGGGCTGATGCTATGGAGGATCCTCCTCGTCGTATTCAGGTCCCTCACCTCCAATCTCACGATCAGTGCGGTTCTCGTGGGAAATCCTCGATTTTGTCTCGGATCAACACGTTTGTGGCTGAAGTTTATCTCCATGAAAATATTTTTCTGATACTTTCATGGGTAAACAGACGGCTATCCTGGAGTAGCGGTGGTGGAAGGGCAAGGGTGTACGGAAGTAGACAGGTGGCTCGTCTCGCGTCCGCGCCACGCTCTACAGAGCACCAGGTACGTAACCGAATCCTTTCTCTTGCGGGAGTGTTTTGGTGGCGACTTCTTGGCCTGTTTATGCGAGCATGATGGAATAGGACCTCTAAAACAAAGCCCACCGGGAGACGGCAGAGCGCCGGTATCAGGGCGGTTCGAGGGATGTGAAACCGATATAGCCTGTAGGAACAGTTTCTCGCCCCGAAGAAGTCGCGGGTGGTCAAAATAACGTAGATCTTACATAATATATTATATAAGCCAATGACATAATCACCTGGTATTCCTAAAATAGCCATATGCTTATATAATAAAAAGGAGTTTAAATTGACCAACGAAAACACGCAAAAAGCAACAACTGAAGAGAAAGGCGTTGTCTACCTAACCGCCGTCCACGCTGCATCTTCCTGCATCACATTTCAGGCACAAAAGCAGCTGGCAAATGAGAGCCCTGAACTGGATCTCAGACCACTGTAACCCAAACTGAAGTCTACCTGTGCTCGTATCGAGTAGCATCTCCTTTTGCCCGCCTGATCGAAACCGTCGTCTCCCCTCCATCTCCTTCAGCTCGCCCAATGAAAGGCCTGATACCGTCCATCAGCATTGGAATCCGCGAGCCCTGACTGGAGTAGCTCGATAATTCGAGTCCAGGGGATGATGAGCCTTCGAGCTACTCGTGGAGCTGGTTGACCGATGACCTACCCCCCCTCCGTTCGAGATACCCTCGGCCTCTAGCAAGCTATATATGCATCTGATTGGCTCAGGCAACGTTATTGCCTATTCTAATTCCATAGCGGCATTGCTACGGGGACTCCGGACAGACCAATTCGGCCGTCAAGATGATGTCAGCTACTGAAGGATCACCCTGAGACATAGCCCATCTTGGACTCTAGGGGATTAAATGACATCCTGTCAAGCTGACAATCGCCTACCCGTTCTCTCGGTAAACAGCTATTTCCGTCTCAACGCAAGGCGTGGACAATGTCATGCCGCATATCTCGGTGATATCCACTTCTCCCCTTCCGCAGGCCTCCCAGCTACCATCACTGACGCAGCTCATTTCTTCTATCGGCATCCAAATCTTGCAGAGCGATGCGCCTCCTTTTGCCTAACTGCGGCCTTGAACCTTTACTCAGTTCCGGGCGAGAGAGGCGGGGGATGACTCATTGAGATCAGCCAGTAGAATAGAGGGGTTGGATGGACGGCCCCATCTGTGCTCGTTATTATATAGCCTCCATCCCTGTCATATACCTGTCTCCCGTTATATACTACCATCCCAATGGGCCCAGTACCGGCATCAGAGGACTGTTGAAGATTCTTCTCTTGACTGCATACCTCGTTGTCGTTTAGTTATGATTGCAAATTGATAATATATGGGGCAATTGAAATTGTCATGTCCTTGCGCCCGAGCTACCACGGACCCTTCCCCTTTTGCAGAAAGATTGCCCGTCGAGATGTTGAATATCCAAAATTAAATAAAAAAGGTTTGTCAACGGCTACGTGTACCCCTGTGGGACATTTGTTCTCATCTACGAACCGGACATGGGCGCTCTTACACCGAATTGCGCCCGACATTGGTAGTAGTGGTCTGCACCGTCCTCAACGCGCAAAGCGGAAGACTTCTCCTTACGTTCTAGCTAGTATGGAATATGGATGCTATTGAGCAATGGGAAGAGGGCTAGAGAACGTCATGGTGCGTTTTAGAATTGCCTCTCTACTCATCAGCACATCCTGCAATGCTGAACAGTTGCCTCATGCATGGCAGCCCTGATGGTAGCGAGACAGGCCATGTGAAATCTAGATAATGAATCCAATCAACCCCTTTCATGTACGACTAATGCTCCTTCAGATATCTACAGCAACAGCATACCGCGAAACGAATCAATAAGAATCTTCAAACCTGCGTATAATTAGCTCCTTTTTAATAAGCTTGGGTACCCGACGTACGCACGGGGATATGTATATGCTTCAATTTGGTATTCCTCAACAATATAGCCATGCATTAGTTTTACTTAGGCGGGGAATATGCGATGAACTAGTTAATCCAACTCACCCCAACGTATGGCCCTTAACCTGAAACATATGCTTAATGAGTTGTCTGTCTGGTATATTTTCTAGAAGTACCTCTGTAACCCCGCCAGCTCACAGGGGGGGAACGGGCTGTCCCGCATTGCATGTAAAAATATAGACGTGGATGCTAAGGAGCAATAATTGATGGTTAACTTCCTATTAAGGGTGTAAGATCGATAACTAAAAAGTAACTGTTGACGCCCAAACGCCCAAGAACAGGCTGTCCACCCAATGTGAGCTGTACAGAAAAGTAACAATACAAAGAGGTATCATGGGGATTATCCCGAATCACGGCCGCGGAGGCCACAAGCAAGAGTAAGATATACGTCCATCCAAGGATGGTGTAACTTGGCAAGTACTGGGGGGAAGTTTCAAAAGCAGGGAGGTATAGATGGCTGTGCAGCGAGATCAAGTAACCCCTTTTTGAAACAAGTTGAAGCGGCTGTCAATTACTGGTCGGTGGTACGATTGTGAGGGTAAAATCACTCTTAACCGAACTATGAGAACCCAATAAAGTCTAGCTGCTGGGAAGCATCCCCGCCATCAACGCCTTGGGTGATTTCTTCTGTCCCTTCCAGGTCGTCAGAATCGACATCATCGGTGTCGATCTCGTCATACACTTCTTCATCGCTAGAGACATCCTCGTCTGACTCTCCTTCAGCGAGATTGTCTACCTTGTTAGTATTAAACTTGCGAATTTGGCCGGCTCTGTCAACATGAGGAAGTGGACATTTTTTATTGCCACAGTTCCCAGTGTTAGCATAGTCAGGACATTCATGGACATGTCGCTCTTCGCATGTAGCTCCTTTACTGCAGTACCCTAGGATAGCAAAATCTCGGCAAACCAGGGCACCCGGTGTTACACGAACATGGGTATATCGGCAAGAAGGGTTTGTACATCGGCCGCGAAGGAAATGAAGACAAGCGGGGGATCTTTCAGGAGATGGGTCATGCGAAAGATCACAGGCCAAACCTGCATCACATTTACCTGTCTGGAGGAATTCCTTGCAGATGGCGACTTTATTTGGATCGTGGATATACGGGCAGGTTGGGCCCTTAAAGCAAGTACCTATAGATTAGAGAAATAGATGTCAGTACCCGAGCAATATACGCTTATCTACCCAACAAACGCCGCGTTCACATCCAATCGATTTCGATGCGGCAGATGTGATAGAGTCTGCGGAAGGAGAGACCGGTACCCGTCGATGTAAATCTCTTGCATAGCTCATTTCTCTTCTTCACTGCTCCCATTTTTCTTCAAGGTCGTGAGTCAGTTGGTCAAATAGAAAACCTGTCAAGTCTCTATTACAGTCGGGTAATGCGTACTTTTTTGAAGCTACCGCTCCTAAACGGTGAAGGTTACCCCGTTTGCTTCTTACAAACATCACACCCCCAACTTTCACTTTTTTAGGTGTAGCGTTTGCTTTCGAAGGGTCATCTATAAAACGGTAAGCTGGCTCTCGAACTCTTAAAAAAATCATCCAAAATGCATCCTCACTGGAAAGAGAAACCAATTTGCTTCCACCCTGAGCAACCTGAAATGGTGTATCTCCGACAAGGATGGTATATGTCCTTCTATCAGATTGCTGTGCAATCTTGCTAGATTCAGGGAAATGTGTGGCGGATTGGGCATGCCGCAAGACCATCGATTCCTCTCGCTCCGCTTTCTTCTGTTCTTTCAACCTCCGAGTTTCTGCAATAGCTTTGTTCCTAGCCTGTGTTTCCTGGTTAAATATTGACGAGTTGATTAGCTGCATGTGGCGATCTCTCTTCGCTACCCATGCATTATTCGTGCCCTGCTTTGCGTCGCTGGTTTCATCGGTAGATGCATATGGTGAAGCAACGGAGCTTGCTGGGTCCGATGGCGTGCTTTGGCTATTAAGCACAAGTGTTCGGTTTCTATGCGGTCCCGCGAGAGCCCTGGAGGCTCCCCTTGCTCGTCCACGATAAGGCCTCCAGCCGCCTCGCGCATGTCGAGCATAAGGAGCGCCGGAATGCCCACCGCGCGTAGCAGGATTAGACTGATTTTTGTGCTGGTTGATTTGGCCTAGACGACTTCGTTAAGTAATGGCCGGCACTCGCGATCTGGGTCATTCGTGCCAAAGAAGCTTACCGGCAAGCTGGCCGATCTTGGCCAAGAGCTCCTCTTCTTCTGTCATGGAAATATTACCAAGCGAGACGAGACGATAAGATCAATAGTGAGCCCGCAGGTGTACGGGAAAGAATGTTATAAGTCTGGTATGAGCATGGCATAGATAGCTGTACAAAAGCAACTGCGTCCACGTCGGGATCACGAAGTCGGTTTTTAGTTAATCCGGCTCCGATGTCCTATAGTGAGACGGATGTACGACTCGATGTTGGCTACTATCATATGGAGTATATCCTGTGATCTTAAAAGTGAGTTCTGCGTTATATTGTATGATACAAAATTCCAGCTAGTTACGCTGAATGGGCCGATAACTCCTTTTTAGCCAGAGGAGCTATTGGATAGACAAGAAAATATCAAATGAAACTCCCGTAACCAACGCCATCCCTGGCCTTTTATCCCACATTCTCAAATTTAACATTATCGTCATCATCGGCATCGGTGCCCATACCCGAAGCAGTGGGTTCTCCTTCGGACCCCTCGTCAAAATTGTAGCCGGCCGTGGGAGGGAGCTCTTCCTTTGCGTCCTTGTATGCTAGCGCATCTGCGTAGTTACTCTCCCTTGCCTCAGGTTTGAGTTCCCAGGTCATGGCGAAGTCTCCGGATTTGACAAGATGCGCCACAATCTCCAGTGTTTGCTTAAGATACACTTCAGGTTGCCTTAGTTCAGCCTTGAGTGTCTTGAATGGCCAATATTTGTGTCTTCTGAAGCAAGAATAAATAAGATCCAAAAGCTCGTTCTGGGGCATACGAGCTGTTTTGTTTTCCTGCGCGCGTACTTTGGCAGGCTTTGTGACTTGCTGCTTGAAGTTAGCGCTGTGCTATATAATGAAGAAATCGAAAGGAGGAGGGAAGTTGAACTTACAATAAAATTGGACTTGTCTGCTGCAGCCACTGTTTTCGGCTGGAGCATCTTCCCGGGTACTTTTTCGATAAACTTGGTTTCTCGTTTTGGTTTGAGAGACTCTAGTGCTCGCTCCTCTGCCACTCGCTGATATTCTTCATTTTCCACGGGAAAACAGTTGAACTCGTCATGGACCCGTGCAGTAATAGCTGTCTGTCCTGATAAAACCGTAAGCCTTATTCCCCACCTAGTCGGCAATTGCCAGATCAACGAGAGACATACTTGGTATAGTCTTCTTCACGTAGGGCTCCCACTTCTTTCTCCTCTCTTTCTTCTTCGCGTCACGTTTCGTTTGCTCATAAAGATATGATCGACCGTAAGGCTGATTCTCGTTGTAAAACTGATTGGACCTGTCTTTATATCCTGGAAGATCTTTTTCCGTAAAGACGTAAGTATTCTGAACTGCGTATGCTGACCGATCGGCGTGTACGTTCTGTCGTCTCAGACTATAGTCTTTCGGTATACCTTTATTCTGAGGTATGTCGAGTAATCGCAAGCTTATCTAAACCAACATGTCAGAACCATTGCATCCTCAAGCCCAGCCTGTGAGAGAACGATAAGTACCCGTTTGATGTCTGTCGGGTCACCCTCTACCCTAACAGTCCCGATTTGAATCTCCTCATCATCGTCAAGTTTTGACCATCGCTCCCACAACGTTCGAGGAATCCGCGTTAGCCAGACGTTTTGGGCGGAGTTTGTGAAATCCAAGTCTCCAGTATCTTCATATATATCGTCGTCCGACATGATGGTGTCCTTGGTGTCAGGCTCATCCTTGATTGTCGGATTGGCAGTGGGCTCTGCCTTGATTTGGCCCGCATTCAAGCCCGCCATAGCTGCAATAGTGAATTTTATCTGCTCTGCGTAGAGCCAGCGAAGTGATCAGAGCGTAAAAGAGGGTGCTGCTGAAGCTTCATCGGCTTTCGCGCCTTTGACTGTTATGAGGTCAGAGCCCCATGCATAGTGAGCTGACTAAGCAACACAGTTACCTCATCTTTATCTAGAGCTTACATCTTCCAAGTGTTTACAACAAGAGCATTCCTCAGCAAATCCTCCCCATCGCGATGAGATATTGATTTCAGTTTATTTTCGCTCCAATCGTCATAGAAATCTACAAAGATGGATTCTTCCAGTTCTGCTCCTGAAGCTGACTCTGAATTTGCCGCTGAATTTGCCGAGATCGAAGCAGCGAAAGACCAGCGAACGAAGGCACAGCTTTACAGCGATTTACTCTCGAAAATAGTCAACAAGTCATCATCTTCCCTTGCTCAAAATCTTATTATATTTCTAGGGTCCCTCCTCAGCGGTAATATTAGCATCATTGCATCCCGGCCTCTTCTCGATAGCTTCATCACCTCCCTCAAACCCCTCCCCGCAAGCACCAGAATAGAAGTTGGCCTGCCTGCCATAATAGCCCTTCAGTCACGCTCAACTTCGGTAGAAGAGCAAGATGCCCATTTACGTGAGACGCTTGCCGATGCCTATGAAGAAGTTGAAGAATATTCCCAGGCTGCTAGGGTGCTGCAGGCCATTCACCTTGACAGTTCACAGCGCCATATATCCGACGAGGAGAAAATTCGCATGTGGATTCGGATAATACGTCTATACTTGGAGGATGATGACGCGGGTGGTGCAGAAATGTTTCTAAACAAAATTAAAAACTTGCCCACCAAGACCGAAGACCCTGTGTTGCGCCTACATTTCCAATTGTCCCAGGCTAGAATCCTCGATGCACGACGACGATTCCTTGAGGCTAGCCAAGAATACCTGGCTGTCAGCTTGGCCAGCGGTGTTGATGAGGAAGATCGGCTACAAGCTCTTTCGGCAGCAATAAGATGTGTGGTCTTAGCACCTGCTGGGCCCCAGAGATCACGGGCATTGTCTAGGCTATACAAGGATGACAGGTCATCTTCCCTTGAAGAGTATAGTATTTTAGAGAAGATATTTCGCGACCAGCTCCTCACAGAAGATGAGGTCACTACGTTCGCTGCGGGGTTAGTCCCACATCAGCTCGCCCAGACTGCCGACGGGCTTACCGTGCTAGATAAGGCAGTTATTGAGCATAATCTGCTGGCAGCTTCTAGGCTGTACGAAAACATTCGGGTAGAGGATCTAGGTCTGGTTCTGGGTCTCAAAGCAACGGACGATGTAACTGCAGGTGAAAAGGCGGAGGCCTATGCAGCTCGAATGTTAGAACAAGGAAGGCTGAAAGGAACTATTGACCAGATCGATGGTGTGATTAGTTTTGACTCGGAGGCCGATGGGGATGGGCGAACCGGGCGTAATCTTCGACACTGGGATGCAGGAGTGCAGACTCTCGCTGAAGACGTGGAAAATGTAGCCGCAGCTATTATGGATGAATTTCCCGTAAGTTTCTTCCATTATATATCCCCTGTCCCTTATTTACCCACGCTTCTAGCAACTATCAAAAGTATTCAATGCTAATATGAAGATTTTTAGGAATTTTCTGCTGCCCAGTTGGTTCACTAGCCCACTATGTTTATATTTTTTATAAGCTGTGGACCTTGAAGACTGATCATATCTCAGCTCCAGCTACCTAATTCCCCACTTATGGTAGACAGCTATGACTAGACGAGAAACTGAAATGAATACAAAGGATAACATGACAAAATACTATGTCGTAGTTTAGTCTCATCTTCATTCTTTTTCGCTCTTGGTATTCAATTGACTAACTAGCTAGCATCTTAACCTTCCTTGGGCATTTCTCTTTCTTTATTCTTGTCAACCGGCATAACCGCTAGCCATTGTCCAGCCTACTGACTTGCTTCACCTATCATTTCAGCGACTATATCGAGTGCCGGCCCTGTTTACATATATCTTGATTATCATTAAGACCATGAAGTACTCCGTAAACCATCTAGTCCTATCTATTTATATTTTGTCGGCCTGCACTCAGGGGGGAAACAAGTCCCGGTATTATAGTAACTGTTCTTTTGCTTTCCAATTCTAGAACTGCCATTGTCTTAGCCAATTTGCCATCAAGTCTGCTGAAATTGGCCCCATTGATCGCATCGTCTGGCTCGCTTCTATAGTCTTCTCGACGCTAATTGGCACCGAAAGAGCCCCTTCTCCTTCTACTAAACTCCTATAGAAAGGAAGTAGCTTTAACGCAGGTTTTGTGGAAATATCCCGAGCAGATGGCTTCTCAACACGCTCCAACTCTTCTACCCAGTCTTTCATGGAAACTCGTTGGGCAGCGTATCTATCGTGAATTGAGGGCAGGAGACACTCCCATGAGGTGGTCGATGGGTTGACTAAGTGGAAAACTGAACAGCGCGATTCCACTTGCGTTGTCTGGCGTGAGTGTATGATTTCCAGAATGATAGTGGCAAGTGTATCCTATTTATAAATGCGTAGTCAGTCTCACTTGCGCCAATTTTTTACTACATATCAAATGTAGGTGACAACTTACAACTGGAACCCAGTCTATCGGCATTGATCCCAATGTACGGGGAATTTTGCCAATAGCTTTCGACGTTGCAACAATGGCAGGTAGCCACTCTGATGGACTCCATATACCAGCCTCAGTGGTCGGGCCAGCAATTTGCCCCAGCCGGAGAATGGTTGTTGGTACTCCAGCTCGAGAGGCAGCCTGGCAGATGCGCTCACAAATATGTTTTGCCTCTCCGTATCCCTGCCGCAGCGCTACATCACAGATTTCCAAGGGGATCTCAGGTATCATAGGCCCATGTGCAAGCTTCCATTCGCCAATTGCCCCAATAGAGGAATTGAAATAAAAGTGAGCACGGTGCACACTCCGTAAACTAAAATCGACCAGCCGGCGAACACTCTGAATTTGGTCCTCAAATGAATTAACGGAGATGTTAAAATCCATTCTCCAGGAATTGTGGATGACTGTATCTACAGTGCGGATAAGCTCGTCATATGTATCCTCGGCGAGCCCAAACCGCTCCTTATTGAGTGAAGCAGTGAGGAATTCAACCTTGTCCAGAGCATCAGGTTGCAACCCCCTTTGTTCGAAGTTTTTGGCCTGTCTCTCCTTGGCATCTGACCGGTTTAGACAGTACACCTTGGAGACAGTATCGTCGGCCAAAAGACAATTGAGGAGATAGGTACCTAGAGAACCAGTGGATCCTGTGAGGATGACGGAATGCTTATTTGTGCTTTCTATGTTAGGGAGGTCGTCTGTATATTTCTTGACGAGTGCATCAATATTCTCGGACCTTGAAATCGAATTCCTTTCGGTACCGCTCACGAGTGAATAGAGAAAATTCGACAGCTTTTCAACAGTGGGATGAGAATAAACCATTTGGGGTGTTAAGGAAGTAAAACCGGACCTTTGAAGAATCATACTTAACAGCAGCGTTTGTAGGGAGTCGAGCCCTATGCTATAGAGATCTGTCTTGTCTGTGAATTCAGACAGTCCCAGAGCATCAGAAACAATATCCCGGACTGATCCAGTTATACCAGCTAGATCCATAGTCTCAGGGATCGCATAAACTAATACCTCACTGGCTGGATTCGTGTAAATATGCTCAATTTCATCCTTATAGCCGTCGGCTACCAGTCGTCTTTGTGTGCTTCCCTTTGGCGTGGTGCTAAATGGTTTGCTGCGAGATGCTACCCCGATTCTATTTTTCATGACCCGCCCATGTGTTGGACCTATCCTGTTTGCCTCTCGTACCGTGGGCCAAATTTGCTCAATAAACGTATCCTCCGAGCTATCTTCAGCCCACTGGCTCCAGTTAGGTTCCACGAGGAGGGCGGTTTGAAACCTGCCTAGGCCAACAATAACTGCTCGGGAGACCAAGGGATGCCCTTCAATGATCTTCTCCATAGTAACCGGGTTACACTTTAATCCATTGCTGAGTATAATCACATCATCGAGCCGACCGTGAAACTTCCATAGGTCAGGTTTTGTGGGATGGGGTGAGTAGAGGTCTTTGGTATGATATCTCTCGAGTTCAGGGAAGGTGTGGAAGATGGGCTGGAGATCTGGCCTCTCACGTCTGTGTAGAACCATTTCAAATAGGCCATCAGCCACTGCCTCCATCTTAATCCCAAAAGATGTACCCCATTCAAAATAAGACCAATCCTCCTCGTCTTGTGGAACCATTGACAGAACAAACCCCCCTTCTGTCATCCCAAGGAAGCTAACGAGCTTAGTGCGCTCGCTGATTTTGTGGCCAATTTCGGTGGCAAGGGGCCCACCACCAAAATATACATACTTCAAATCCGAGAGTGCATCCATAGCTTCTGGGGAGGTCGACATGTCTTCTAGAATACATGGAGGGAACAGCGCGGCTGTTGGCTTGGTAAAATTGAGTACAGAGGTCAAAAGATCTGTTGAAAGTGGTTTGTCTGGTAGTATAACACACGGAATCCCATGGAAGACGGCCATTATAAGCAAGGAAAACCCCATCAGATGGAAGAATGGAGTCGTAGCCATCATGAGATCATCAGAGGTAAGCCTATCTGGAACACCTGCGGTTCTTCCTGGGGGTATTTCGGCATGTGCACCTTGATCTAGAGCACCAAAGTAGCCATAAGTGAGGCGTATAGGTTTCGGGAATCCTGGTTGGGTGTTAGTCAACCGGATATATGACGATAATATCATAGATATGTTCAAAATTACTCGCCTGTTGTCCCTGAGCTGTGCGCAATGAAAGCTACTTCATTTTTGACTTCGTCAAATTTTTTGATGAATGGATAGACACTAGCGTTGCTCTCAAGCATATCGTCTAATGACGGAACTTGTACAATTTGCAGATTTGAACAGAACTCTCGTAATTCGTCCGCTTTCTGTTTTCGCTCGACACTGTACGCAACTTTTGAGCAGCCCGTCATTTCAAGCAGTCGGCCTTGGGCTGCTTGTGAGTTGCGAGTAGAAGAAAGCAATGGCTAGGATTGTGTTAGCTCATTAATATAGTGATTATTATTTTGGAAGAGTTCTGGAATCTAGCTTACTTGATAGCCGGTCTTGTTACAGGCCATGACAATCACCAGGTAGCGGATGTCGTTTGCTCCAAGATAGGTCAATGTCTCAGCTGGAGAGGTACTGCGTCCAAATGATTCCTCTATCCACCAGGACATGTAGTTCACCGTGTGAGCAAGCTGCTTGAATGTCAAGTCAAAGAACCCGTCCGAGCAGTCAGGGCCCTTTGGCATGGTGCAGACTTTCCTGTTAGGGTCCGTCTCTGACAAGCCATCAATGACCTGGGCCATAAGCCTCTTGCCAATATTATCAGTACTGCTGACCGCCATGGTGAATGATTGACTGTCGCAGCGAGCAAAAGGAAATCGGAGGCCACGGCACTATCACCGTGTTGTAATGTAGGCGAGAGGATAGCTCCTCCTATCCCTATGAACAAGGGCGATATTAAAGCCGAGTACCACCTCTTAAGACGGTAAGGTAGAGCCCTACAAAAATCAGTATAAGGATATACGTTTCAACTTAGGTACCAGTATATATTCAATTCTTCCACTCCCCAGCCGCCCTGGGCTCTATCAACGTGATAGGAGCCTATTGTGCGAGAGAAATCTTGCCGGTCTACCTCGGGTAGGCTTCCCAGATCTACCTCAAAAAAGGGTAGTCCTGCATTATTGGGCTGACGATGCTCGTACTTCATTCTCCGTGTCCATGGATCGATGAGTGGCTCAACCCGCGTTGATGCATGCCACTCCCACCCGAATGACTCTGTACTGCTCATGCCACTTTCTCCCGATTGGTTCTGCAATTCGTACCGCCATTGTAAACACCTCCACTAGGTTGCCAGCCTTCTCTGTACTTCTGTCCACTCCGTACAGGATAAGCAATATTGAACCCTCCACCAGTTCAACATGATCATGCATGTATGTAATTTTGTGGGTAAGCCTGCTGTGGATACATATGATCACCCTGCATTATGCATTGCATTACAGAGTATAATCTCCAATGCAGAGCTAGTATCGTTAGCAAGAAGCAGAGGAAAGCCGTTGGGCGTCGATACGTCGTCAAAGTAGTCCCAGCCACTGCCTATCACGTGATACGCCATCTACTTGGACATCGAGAGAACAAACATAAAAGTGTCAAAAATTTGAGATGCCAACGCATGGCCGATCTTGCAATTTTCTTTTTCCTCCTTGGCTTTTTTATTTTATTTTTTAACGGAGTACTCCATATCTTTTTATTTTCGAATTCCTCTCTTATTCCCCTCCAGGTTATGAACATTAGCTAGTTAAACCCTAGATAACGAGCCATAGAACTATCCACAAGCCAAGGCATATATATATTTGTTCATACTATAGAGAGAGCAACACTCCCCTTAAATAACTACACGTCATATCTACTAAATACTTTCTCTGCCTGCGCAAACTCTGCGTTAATCGTCTCCCAACGACGCTCGGAGCGAATGCTGATCTGCACAGGAAATGGCTTTGCACAGCGTAAGAAACCGTCTGTATAGCCAGTGGCTGGATCTGCGTTGATAGGAATTGGATGACCGTGGGCGTCGTGCTTGGGCGTGATATCAAAGGCCCATAGAATCTTCGCCACAGCCAAAAATAATCCCCGTTCCGCTAGGTGAATTCCAGGGCAGATGCGTCGGCCGGATCCATACCCATAGTGATCACGGTTCTCATAGTCGGGCGAGGAGGCGTATGTGGGGGCAAGATCGGTGCGACATTGGTATCGTAGGGGATTAAACTGATCCGGATCGACATGTTTAACGCCGTCATGATGCAATCCCCACACATTGAGGATAACGGTCGAGCCCGCGGGAACGGCCATTCCGTCGATCGTGCTCTCTATTAGGAAGCAGGTACTAGTTAGCGCGGTTTGAGGTATGATGGGAGATTCAACCAAATTGATTGACTATACATACCTTTGCTCGTGGCGTGTGGAAAAGCCGTTGGTAGAACTGGTCGCCATCGCATAGTTTCCTTGATCACCATGGCTACATACGGTAGGCTGGCGTAGTCACCCCAATCTGGGGATCTGCCCTCGCCGACAATGACATCAATCTCCCTTTGCGCCTCATGCTGCGCAGCAGGATATAGTGCCATCGCCTGGATAAAGGCAATCGTCATGGTGGACGTAGTATCGGATCCACCTTCAAGGAGGTTCCCAACCATTATATCAATTTCATGCCTGGTGAACTGAAGTTTTGCCTGCTGGTCCAGTATCATGTCCAGATAACTGTCGTGTCGTCCTGATTCGAATTTTTCGCGTCGTCGTATGACACGGTCGACCAGTGGGCCATAAACTAGATCCATGGTTTGGGCGACACCCCGAGCACGCGATTTCCAGTTGCTGAATAGCGACTCAGGAAGCCATGCTAGGAATGGGAAAATATCAATTGGCGGAGAGGCACCTGGCTCGAAAATCTCGGAGAGACCGTCCAACACAGTGTACAGATGGCGCATATGTGGAGCAGAAGCGGTCGGCGTTCGGATACCGGTTACTGGGGATATTGTTAGCCTATGACGCCTCTGGCAACACATTCATTGGCAGTGCCATTGACAAGTTCTTACCCAGGCTCATAATGGTACTATTTGTGAAACGCTTGCAGTGACCCATAAAGTCATCAGGTTGGATATAGAGATCTCGGAGAAGTTGGACAGCCTCTGCGTTTTGTACACAGACATGCTTCTTCTCACACATTGACTCATTGAAATACTGATGGTACAGTTTTCGGCCCCGTCGCCATCGAGGATCAGGGCTCATGAACATGAGGTGATCTCCTTGCATAACCAGGTGGTCGGCGATGTAAAACTTGGGTCTGTCACTATACGTGGCTGACTGCTTATCCACTAGCTGTTTGATCATGTAGGGGGAACTGAGGACGACAACGGTGCTTGGCCCAACTTTGAGGGAGAATATTGGTCCATATTCTGCAGCCCATTCCGTGAATCTATAGGGGATATTGTCAGATCAGTTAAGAGAAATTAGGGAGCCTTCAGTATACACGTACTTCAAGTGCGCCCCGGTTTTGGGGACTTGATGGAGGTTGCCGATTATTGGGAGACATGGAGGCCCTGGTAGCTTAGAATGATTAGCATAGATTCAGTGAGATTTGGTGTTCATACGGACCAGGGGGCAATCTGGGGTTTCTCAATCCGGGGAAGTGGCCGCGAAAAAGGGCCCAAAGGGTCAACAAGATAAGGACAAACCCGCAGATCCAGAAACTGTTCATGGTTGGCGTTAGGTAAACTGGGAGCTGGAATTGTTCTTAGCTTCAATATCTTCTTCGTCCACATTGACCGCTTATCAGCATTTCAACTAAAGAAAAATTAGACCACCTACTTCTGTCGATCATTTATCCCACCTACATATCCCACCCGGCTCGGATGGCTAAAGCCTAATAGATGTATATGGGGTACATATCACGTATCAATCCCTTTAAGAAAAGAGGTGGGTTTTTCTACTACCTTTAGAAGGCCTTTTGCGATCCAGTTTCTTCCCTTTGTTTAGAAATTCTCCATTGCAATCATGTCTGCGTTATCTTTCCTCTACTCGCAGTTGTTCGTTCGCCTTCCAGTGCCGAAGCATGACTTCACCGGCCAGACCATCGTCATCACTGGCGGTAATGCAGGACTAGGGCTGGAAGCCGCACGATATTTCCTAAAGTTGAACGCGTCGGAAGTCGTTCTGGGGGTGCGGACTCTGTCAAAAGGTGAAAAGGCAGTACAGAACTTGGAAAAGTCCACTGGCCGAGCAGGTCTAATCCGAGTGTTCCAAATTGATATGGAAAATTCAGTGTCGGTTCGGGAATTTGCTGCGGCTGTTTCCAAGCTGCCTCGGGTAGACGTCTTGCTGCTCAATGCTGGCAAGATGGAGCAGAAGTTTTACATTGCGGAAGAGGATGAGAGCACCATAACCGTCAACGTCGTCAACACAATGTTGCTAGCCCTGCTGCTGCTCCCAAAGTTACGCAGCTCGGCAGTCGACAGCGGGTCAATTCCCCGGCTCTGTATTGTGGCATCTGACCGACATGTCATGACGAATCTTCCCCAGTGGAAAACACCAAATACATTCGCAACGTTGCGAAAGGAGACTCGGTCAGGGCCTGACGACAGGTACTGTTCTAGAAATTCCTTATGATTGTGTCAATTTGGATTCAAACTAACAGACATGGTAGATACTACGTATCCAAGCTGCTCCAAGTACTGTGTATGCGGGCTTTGGCTGCGGATACTGCCGCGAAAAGTCCTCGTGTTGTTGTTAATGCCTTCACCCCGGGATATTGCCTTACCGGGCTAGTCAACAAAATGACGGGCCTCTGGGGTTTGCAGTTGCAGATAATGAAGATTCTGGCTCGGACTGCGGAGGAAGGGTCTCGCACCTTGATCCATGCAGCGAGTCTTGGGTGGGAGGGGCATGGACAGTATCTTAATGATTGCAAGATTGACGAGTATGTTTTCCCTCGGGCGCCTCATCCTGGCCTAATCCACGCTAACATATCAGGCGTGCATTATCGAAGTTCGTCAAGAGTGTCGAGGGTGCACAGGCACAGAAAAAGGTTTGGGGGGAATTGTTGGATAAATTAGAAAGGGTTGTACCAGGAATATCAGGCAATATCCAATAGCCTTTTTAATGTAGGAGAAAAGCAAATCGAGGGTATTGGAAAATGATTGAGATTGATTGCACTGAGTAGCGTATCGATACTTATGGGGCTTATTTTCCCTGAATCAAAATACGACGCTCCATGCATCCGATGGGATAAAATGTTGTGGGGCAAGATGGTACTGTATCTAGTTACCGCGAGGGAATAATGGGGGGACCTTGAGGACTTACTGTAGAGGTCTCTGTATAAATACATCGATATACTCCCTGAGGAACTGAGAGTTCGCACTGATCACTTTAGAGGGACTCATATCAAACGGCAAGATGCTCCATCTTATGGGAATTGCGGTCATCACAGGCGCAGGTAAGAATATCCTAAGCTAGTAGTCCCTGCTTGAGCTGCGTTTAAACCCAGGTAGCTAGTGGAATTGGCTACGAGTGCGCACTATCCTTTGCCGCCGCAGGTGCCGCTGGCGTAGTGTTCGGCGACTTGGAACTATCCGCCGTCCAGGAAAAAGCCGAGAGGAGCAAGGGCCTGGCAACGCATCCTTCCTACCAGACTCTCCCAATCGCCGTCAATGTGGCAGATCCAAAACAGGTCGAGGAGATGGTATCCCAGACGCTCGCCGTCTTTGGCAGAATTGACTATAATGTGAACTGTGCTGGGGTATGGGTATCTTTCTGAATAGGTTATTTTTATAATGTTGAGTTGACTGACGAGGCATAGGTGGCTATGCGTATACCAACACATTTCATGAATTTGACTGTTGATGAGTGGGAAAGAGTCAACCAGATAAATGTACATGGTGTCCTCTATTGCATGCAAGCGATAGGGAAGGTAATGCAGAGTCAGGAGCCAGTCCCGTTTCCCGGCCTACATGGAGTGCGGACCGGACAGCGAGGCTCCATCGTCAACTTGGGATCCATTCATTCGTTTCTGTCAGCCCCCGGGACTGCTCAGTATACAGCTTCGAAGCATGCAGTGTTAGGCCTGAGTCGGACGTGTGGTAGGTACCCTCCCGAGTTCATTTGACCTCTCCGATCAGCGTGTCTCAAGAGATCACTCTAACACAACTGTGATTGCAGCCCTAGACTTCGCCAGCGACGGGATTCGCGTCAATGCCGTATGTCCCTCATGGGTCAATACACCGATGATCAATAGCAACAAAGTGCTCGCTGAGGTCCACCAGGTCCTCGGGAATGTCGTTCCTTTAGGGCGTATTGCAGAGCCAGAGGAGATTGCCGACGTCATATTGTTTCTCTGTAGCCCCAGGGCCAGCTATGTTACAGGCAGTGCTTGGATGGTGGATGGGGGATTCTCATGCTCCACGAAGCTGTAGTCGAGCTTGTAATTTGTTTGAAGTTGTTTTTTGTTGACCCTTTTTTTCAATTGATTATGTAACCAAGTTCTCCTGCAGGCTAAAAGGATCCCTGTCTAACCATATCTCGACGTTGCCTTTTCAACCTCACCACTAGAACAACCACAACATATACTCCGTACAGAATAGCCCTGTTTCCAAGAATATAACTTACAAACTTAGGCTAGGGAATTTGAATTGATAAGGCTGGCTCTATCATCTAGCCGGCAGAATCTAAACTATCTACCATACGCTAATAATCACCAACCCTGGACAAAAACCTCTCGAACCGCCGAGAGCTGGCGTTAAAAGGCACCAATCGTTCACGAGACCATGACACAAGGTGAAGAACAGCAGATCTTCCCAATGAGACCCCTCGTATAGACGCACAGCCGCCTTCCTGGATCCAATGCTGAAGGGGTTCTGCGCCCATACCATCCTCAGAGGACAGCTCCACCGCCGAGATGTTATTCTCTGACGGAGTCGCTTCGAATTCAGCATTATAGGCGCACAATACAACACAACTATATAGCAGAGCTGTCGGCCGCAACGGGTTCCAATCATTGTAATACTCAGGCCATGCGGCACACATCTCACATTCGTATTTTCGTTGCAATTGGGCAGCATGATATACTGCCTTGCGGCCATCTATGGAATTTATCCATGCTCGAATAACCCTCCGATTCTCTGCTTCCTGTCGAGGGTCATAGCAATCCCGCTGTTCAAGGAGAGAAATGTCGGCGTGGAGATTGAGGAAAGTTAAGTGGTATAGGCTTTGGTTCAGAGCACGCCAAAAATGCTGTGACTCCGGGGGTTCCGCAAAACAGATTTGCCCACGCCGATAGGCGTACTCGAGATGAGCTTGATAGTGGAGTAAATGACCTCGTCGAAGGCTCAGGCTCTCTGCCGACCGCGTCGATACCAAGAACTCTATATTACCATCTCTATCCCCTCGTACCGTCTGCGCCATGGACCATAACTCGGACTGAATTGCACAAAGAGCCAAGTGGCTATCGGACCCACCAAATGGTCGCATCTGGTCATCCACTGCCGTACAGCTATTAGGCTGCAAAAATTCTTGGACAGCAGACCCGAACAGGCATCTATCCCGTCCTGCTGGCTCGAACCACTGTAGGCGATGCCTATCCACCATTTTGGATGCCTTCCACAGTGTTTCTGTGACGGGAAGGGCAAGGTGGAGCTCGTGGGAGCGGAGAGATGGAGGACGATGCGTGATGACACTGAAATAGACGTCAAGTCGAAGGACAGCATAAGCCATTCTGTATTCGTTAGTGGAACTGAATTTCCGCGGTAACGGCATATCAGTAATACGCACCTCTTGATTTCTTCCTCGCAAATCCATCTATGTTCCCGTACAGCGTCCGGTGTTATCCATCGCCCAGAGAACGTGCCCATACGTCTCATTGCAGAAATAGCTATATCCGTACCCTGTGCAGCCCAATGTGCAGTTTCAGGCGGCATCTAACGTTGTCAGTTCATCTTTTTTTCATTCATTTTCCTCTAAACAAAACTTTGTTGAAGGCGGTCATACATCTTCAAGAAAAAATGATACCAAAACCATGATAAGAGCTTGAGTAGCTCGGAGCGTCTCCACCAGCCTGGAATTGAGGTCTTCCTATAATATGCAGGTCCTTGTTAACCTTCAGCGACCTGTCAGCATGGGTGGGATAACATACAGGAGCAGCAACCAAGTGCGCCATCAACTCCTTCATTAGCTTATTTCGTTCGTTATTGCACGGTGGCGGCCGCTCAACCAACTTTATTGCCCGCGACAACAGTGGGCATTGATCCTCTCGTTCTAGAGTAGAATGATGAAGAATGGCCCATGCTTCGTGGAACATCGAATCGGGTAGGTATGAACGCCCCATATTTGTCATGGAGTCAGGGGTAGTTGGGAATGTTGTCACGCGCTGATTATCCTCCTGGTCGCTTGAGGGTAGTGCTAATAAATCCTCAACCAAATCACCTTCAAAGGGGGGTATTCGTATTTCAGACATCCAGTCATCAATAGATGCCCAGTTCAGCATATCGCCGTCCGGGTCCCCGGTATCACCTAGGAGAACATGTTTTTGCCCACTTTTCTGCGTCGATTCTGAGGTATTATGGGAGACTTCACTACATACTGGAGGGTCATCATCTCTCGCCCTATCATCGCGCCAGCCTACCTGCGCCAGATTCTTGTTCCCTGATTCTTGATTCACGGTGTGCAGCAGTGGAAATTTGGTGGAAGACGCCTGCACGCTCGATGGGAGTCGAATGCAGGGCACCCCCAAGTGCGAGCACATCAAGCAGGGGTCCCGGGAGTCACACTTGGACTTCCGATGCCGACACGTCTGGCATGCAACCAGAGTGCGTTGAAAGCCCTTAGACATTGCATGGTGGACCGGCAGATGCCGATCCAAGATATCTCTGCATTCATCGGTTCAGCCATCTTCCCTTATTTTCTTGAGTGCAAGGGCCAATATTTACCTCCGTGCAAACCTACGATAACATATGTAACACTGATGTGCCCGGACAGGGTCGTGGTTTCGCTGATGACGGTTGAGGTGTTCTTTGCGCTGAAAGGATCGGCTGCAATTTGGTACTGGGCAGTGAAAAGGCATTTTCCCAGTTTCGGAAGATACTGGCCCTACTCGGGATGGTAAAGGGGAAGAATCGATATTGGTATAGGGATGGCTCTCAGACCATGGACGCTTGCAAAATGCGTAGGTACAAGAAGTATGCCCGAATGTGTAAATGTATCAGAACGTTTTCCCGTAATTATTAACCTTGTTCTACATAGATCTCCCAAGTTTGAGATGAACGCCCGAACTTTTTTATTTTTAGCGTTATGCACTTGGTGTCGATCAGCACAAGTCCATCATTACGGTATGGAGCATGATAGGAACACCTCAAATGAAGCGTTACTATACTGCGGAGGCAAAATCTTGTCTTCCCACTCTAAAACTGGGTGGTCGAGTAGACACCCGGAAGACAATTGCTGGCTGAACGCGCGTGTGTGTGACTGCTAGTGTTATCTCGATCCCTTCGTGCATTTTTCCACCAAATGCCGTTGAGAGGCCTCGCAACAGCCGTGGCTGCATTTACCTAGGTGAGTTAGTTACCTAACCATATCATGTGACCTCCATTCTTGGGCTCCCAAACTTTGCTGCAAGCCCAAATATCTAGAAACTTGACTGTCCTATTTCGATGTTGTATTTGTGCTGATAACTACTTTCCTTCTCGCCAGGTCTCTACTCGTCAATCTATACCACAAAATACCCGCATCTTTCTCTGCTCTCGGGATATTTCCTAGGCAACAATTGAGTTGAGCTACACAACGCAGACCTTCAATACACACCGTTTCACCGCTAGCCACATACATGGAATTCATCAGCAACAGGTACCTCAGGGTCCACCCGCCAAGGATGGATGCAACCACTTGAATGTCTAAAGAAGAACGAACCACACTAGTGGTATAATCGCGCTCATCGACTTCCTATGGGCCTCTGCAAGCTTGGCGATATGCCTTACCGATCTCTACATCATTAATCATTACGGTCTAATCGGTACGCTTAAATTCAAACCACAAATCTTAAACCACATATCAGAAATTAAGCCACAAGTCATCATCATCCCTATGGGGCGGTGAGGTTATACAAGGGCATAACACAAATGCTCAAATTCCCGATGGGCTTAGTAGAGCTGCCGATGGGAGTGGTGGATATGATCTACAAAACACATGTCCATCGATGTGAGATAAATGTATATCGCACGGCTGTGGTTGCAATCGCTATCAAGATAACTTATACAGTTAAATGCTCCCTTTTAGGCGAGTATCCTAGAACTCGTTTCATAGCGTGAAATGATTCCCTGGCATATACTCCGCTTGAATTTCCTCTATGTCTTTTATTACTACCACACCGTGCTCGAGTTCGGATGCCGACCCAAGTTCTCCGGCTACTGAATATAGTACCCCTGTAGGTGAACCAGCGGACGACAATTCAGATCACGAATACTAACTAATGGTTTAGGATCGATTACAAGATGTAGCCGTCGTTGGAATGGCCTGCCGCGTTCCCGGCGGTATACAGAATCCAGAACAGCTATGGCAGGCACTGTTAGACCAGGTGGTTGCCAGCGGGGAGATCCCTGCCTCACGTTGGGCACCATATCATAAAAGAGACACTCGCAACCCGAAGGTGCTAAGTCAAACGACAAGCTGCGGGTACTTTGTTGAAAATATAGAGGACTTTGATTATCAATTCTTCGGGGTCTCACCTAAGGAAGCTGAGCAGATGGATCCGCAGCAGCGAATCTCTCTCGAGGTTGCCTGGGAAGCGTTAGAAGATGCTGGTATCCCGACAAAGTCTCTCAGTGGTAGTGACACGGCTGTTTTCTGGGGCGTGAACTCGAATGATTATTCAAGGGTGGTTCTAGAGGATCTGCCCAATATTGATGCCTGGATGGGGATTGGGACAGCATACTGTGGAGTCCCAAACCGCATCTCTTACCATCTAAATTTGATGGGACCCAGTGTAGCCGTTGATGCGGCATGTGCCTCTTCTCTCGTCGCCGTACACCATGGAGTAAAGGCCATTGCTGGGGGAGAATCAAAAGTCGCAATTGTTGGTGGTGTTAATGCGCTCTGTGGTCCCGGACTTACCATAGTCCTAGACAAGGCTGGGGCCATTTCTTCCGACGGCCAGTGTCGTTCTTTCGATGAAAACGCCAATGGGTATGGCCGCGCAGAAGGGGCAGGCGCCGTCATTCTCAAAAACCTCTCTCAGGCGCTCTGCGAGGGAGACCACATCCTCGCGGTCATCAAGGGTACCGCGGTGGGCCACAACGGTAAAACAAACGGGATCATGGCTCCAGATTCTGAAGCGCAACAGCTCACAGCAAGGGACGCATTGAAGGTGGCTGAAGTTAATCCGCATACAGTTCGTTATGTAGAAGCTCACGCTACATCTACGGCGTTGGGAGACCCAACAGAGATTTCCGCTCTTGCAAAAGTCTATGGGAACGGGAGGCCAATCGACGACCCATGTTATATCGGCTCAATAAAACCAAATATTGGGCACCTGGAGGCCGGTGCTGGGGTCATGGGCCTCATTAAGACAATCTTGATGATTCAAAAGGGTGTCTTGGCCCCTCAAGCCAATCTGCAAAAGCTCAATACCAAGATAAAGTGGGATGAATCTGGCCTTAGAGTTGTTCAGGAGCCAATAAATTGGCCTAATGCCGAGGGACCTCGTCGTGCAGCCGTGTGCTCCTACGGTTACGGCGGGACTGTATCTCATGCTATCGTTGAAGAGCCTCCACAGCTACCATTAGTTTTCCCTGAAGAGATTACCGGCAAGAGCGTAACTGGAGATCAGATCTTGCTACTTTCTGCCCCTCAGGAGCAGCGCTTGGCAATTCTGGCAGCATCATTGAAGACTTGGGTCGGCGAACGGAATATGTCTCAGCTTGATTTAGCCATGCTATGCAGGACCATGGCGGTACGACGTAGCCATCACGAATTCCGAACTTCAGCGATTATTGAAAATCTTGAGGGAGCCATAAATGCCCTAGATTGCCTATCCAAGCAGTCGAAGGATCCCTGGATTGTCCATGGCCGTGTTCTTCCCTTTGATCTAAGGAAAGACGTAGTCTGGGTGTTCTCCGGTCACGGAGCGCAATGGACAAACATGGGGAAAGAATTGATAAACAACAGTGTTTTCTACGATACAATTCAGCCTCTCGACAGTATCGTCCGTAAAGAGACCGGCTTATCGCCCATCGAATGGCTCCAAAAGGGTGACTTCAATTCTTCAGATCGCGTCCAGATATTGACGTACATTGTGCAAATCGGAATTAGCGCTTTCTTTAAAAGACGTGGACTTCACCCCCAGGCAGTCATTGGCCATTCGGTAGGAGAGATTGCTGCTTCCGTTGTAGCTGGCGCTCTCTCGGCGGAAGAGGGCACGTTAATTGTGACCCGCCGAGCAACTTTGTACACGGAAGTTATGGGTCAAGGAGCGATGGCCTTGATCAGTCGAGCCTACGAGGAGGTTCGTCAAGACCTCAAAGCAAATGATAATGTGGTAGCAGCTATCGACTCGTCCCCATCCTCCTGCGTCATTGCAGGGACGAAGGAGGCTGTCGCCATCGTTGTTCAGGGGTATCAGGAACGAGGAATTAAAACATACGTTGTGAAGACAGACATTGCATTTCACAGCCCCATGTTGGATCGATTGAGAGAGCCTCTCTTGGCTGCACTTCAGGGCGCATTACACCCAGTGCACCCACAAGTCAAACTGTACTCAACCTCGCTATTGAACCCACGCGGCAGGGCGCTTCGAGATTCCAATTACTGGATCAACAACATGACCAGTCCAGTGAGACTTACCTCTGCAGTTCATGCTGCCATCGACGATGGCTACAGGAGATTCTTGGAAATATCGACTCATCCCCTAGTCTCCCATTCGATTAACGAGACTCTGATGGACGCTGGCATTGACGATTATGCGATTATTCACTCTCTTAGGCGGGATGAGCCTGGCGAAAAGAACCTTCTTCGCGCCATTGGCCAACTTCACTGTAGTGGAGTAGATATCAACTGGCAGGCTCAAATGTCTGGTGCCTGGATGCAAGGGGTACCTCTAAATCCGTGGGTTCATCGTCCTATCTCGCAAAACCCTAAAACCACAACTACCATAACCAGCCTACATGATATTGAGACACATACGCTCTTGGGCCGTCGCACCGCCATAGCTGGTACCGACATGGTGGTGTACTCAACTACTTTGGACAACGACACTAAGCCATTTCCTGGGAGCCATCCAGTTTTTGGGACGGAAATCGTTCCTGCTGCATGTTTGATCAATACCTTTCTAAAAGCCACTGGTACCTGCACGCTTCAGAACACTATCCTGCGAGTCCCTGTAGCAACCAGTGGCCCAAGAATGGTCCAGGTGGTAGTGCATAGCGGCCAGGTGAAGCTCATGTCTCGACTAATACAGAGCGAGCAAGTAGACGAGAGCTCTTGGGTCACCCACACTGAAGCATATTTGGTCCCCCAGTCAGGAACCATCGAGGAGAGGATCGATGTACCCGTCGTGAAGGATCGTATAGTGACCCGATTGCAAGATAATTTCACTATTGATTACCTGGCTAAGGTCGGCGTTGCGGCCATGGGATTCCCCTGGACGGTAACTGAGCATTATGGGAACACTAGCGAAATGCTAGCACGAGTCGACATCTCCCCTAGCTCCAAGAACCTTGACTGGAACCAGTCTTCGTGGGCACCTTTCTTAGACGCGGCTACTTCGATTGGATCTACTCTCTTTTTCTCCGAACCTCGACTGCGCATGCCAGCACAGATTAACCAGGTAGATATCTTTACTACTAAGGATCCACCTAAGGTGGGATGGGTCTATGTCCAGAGGGACCCCGGTGCAGACTACTCCTGCCATGTCCATATATTGAGCGATACTGCTCAACCGATGGCCAAATTTACCTCTATGCGTTTCTCGGAGATTGAGGGTACACCTGGTGCAAGTGGAAGCATGTCGAGCTTGGTACATAGAGTCGCCTGGCCGCCAGCTATCCACGCTGAAGAACCCATTTTCATTGAAAAAGTCATTTTAATTGCGCACAACATTGCCCTTGGGGATCTGTACGCAAAGTCCCTACCCGCTAGTATCAAGTCAGAACAATATACCACACTAGAAAACCTAACCGACCAGTTTTCTTACCCTCAGTGTCACGAAAAGACGGTGATAGTCTACATTCCTGATGAGGTGCAGTCGCTAGAGGAGGTACCTGCGGCTGCCGAGAATTTTACGTGGCAGCTCCTTGAGATTACTAAATATGTCGTTGAGAACTCTTTACCAACCAAAATATTTATCCTCACCACCAATGTTATGCAGGGCGAAACACCGTCCGCACTCGCCCACTCAGCCCTGCTGGGACTCAGCAGGGTCATTGCTAGTGAGCATCCGGACAAATTTGGAGGCCTAATTGACGGCGAGCAACACGTTGTACCTCTAACGGTAATGAAGTACGTACAAGAGGCTGATGTCATTCGCATCTATGATGGAGTACCCCGAACGGCGAGGCTCCGTGCTATTCCTCAAAACTGCCGAGCTTCACAGCCATCTAAATCCCTTCCGCGCCCCGAGGGCACATACCTGGTTGCTGGAGGTCTCGGTGTGTTAGGACTTGCTGTTGCTGAATTCCTAGTCAGCCAAGGCGCTCGACGATTGGTGCTTATTTCTCGACGGGGCCTCCCGCCGCGCAGGGCCTGGGGCATGGTCTGCAAGGAGCTGCAGCCAGCAGTAGCAACTATACAGGAACTTGAGCGACGAGGCGTTTCTGTCCATGTGCTAGCTTTAGATATCTCTGCTGCCAGTGCAACACACCGTTTACTAGAGGAATTGGACCGATTAAGTCTTCCTCCGGTTTTGGGTGTTGTCCACGCAGCGGGCGTGCTAGAGAACCAGCTAATCCAAGAAACGACACGAGATGCCTTCGCCCGCGTTCTTTCACCTAAGATTGCCGGGTCATTGACTCTTCACGAGGCTTTCCCGCCTAATACACTGGACTTCTTTGTCTTTTTTTCCTCGTGCGGTCAGTTGTTCGGATTCCCTGGTCAAGGCGCATATGGCAGTGCCAATACCTTCCTCGACACGCTGGCGACCCATCGCCGTAATCTAGGTGAAAACGCGGTTGCGTTTCAGTGGACTGCATGGCGGGGCATGGGCATGGGCAGTGATAGTGATTTTGTTGCCGCTGAACTGGAGAGTAAGGGCATCACTGATGTCACTCGTCATGACGCCTTCCAAGCCTGGTTGTATTTGGCACAGTACAACATTGATCACGGCGTGGTGTTGCGTAGCCGCACCTTTGATGAAGGAGAGCCACTTCCCACCCCCATTTTGAACGACATCGCCATTCGTCGTGCCCGAGGACATGCTAGCCCGCATAACAGCACAGAGAGTGACTCTCCTGCTCCAGGTTCTGGCCGCAACGGGGTTCCGTCCTCGGGGCCAGAGCTAAAAATGTACCTCGACGAGCAGATCCGAGGATGTGTTTCCGATGTCCTCCATCTCCCCGCTGCGGATGTGGATTCCAAGGTAGCATTGTCGGATCTCGGGTTAGATTCAGTAATGAATACTGCCTTGCGCCGACAGCTCCAGCGCACGCTTAAGGTAAATGTTCCGCCCACCTTGGTCTGGAGCTATCCAACAGTCAAACACCTGGTTGGATGGTTTTCAGAGAAGTTATCCCGGTAGGAGTGCAACGGTTGGATTTAATATGTTACGTTGTACTCTGTACTTTCGCTTAATTTCCTTAAGATTTCTTTTAATCGTAAGTCCTAGATAAAGGTAGAGTCGCGAAAATATAGAAATAACATATATAATCGGCTCTCCGTAGATCAGTCCGGAGTTTTATTTTGTATATACAGAGTACACATTGATATTCGTACTCTACACGTCGTACTTTGCCTTTAAGATCTCTTAGTATGCGGCGGGTAGTTATGCAGATCTCCGCCCGGGAACTCGTTACCAGCTTGGCATTTCACCGCTCTATCTCAACCTCCTCCGCTCTTCTCACCACTAGTTCCCAGCCACCAAATACAGGCTCAACCTGTACCAACTATTATCGTAGATGTGGTTTATAATACCAGCCAAGCAGCAACGATGGTGGCCGATGAAAGGGTACAATGAGAGGCAGGGACAACTATGATGCAAAACAAACACGGTGGCTCAAGTTTGGCGTAACCATATTCCCAGAGCCCTCCCAGCTAAGTACCTGCTAATATCAATAGTACCACGTACTCACACTTTCTCGCAGGAACCTTAACGCCAAAGAAACGGCCATTAAAGCCTTCAAGTTGAAGCAAAATGGGGTATATCTGCACTCTGTATATCATTACTGTCTACAGCTTTATCCCAAAATTGAGTTGAGCTGGACCCAACGGTTCTCTACCGATGGCAATCCCACAAAATGCCGACGCCGGGCCGCCAATGTCCCGCCGTCATTCACTATCCAGCGGAAGGATATATGTGCTGCTAGGCCACTCATCCAGCTTTACGATCAAAGATATCCATGAGCAAACTCCTCCATGGCCTCGTTCCTACCCAGTACACCGTTTGGTAGCACCATTCGCTGGCTGAGCAATGGCCGACTCTTCCAGTTCCCAGAAGAGAAACCCGGGTTCCGTTTACCACCGAAATACTTAACAGCAGCAGAACGATCGACCCAGCAGTCAACGTCCCATCCGGCCGCGCACAATGCTCACGAAAGTAATGAACGACCACCGTCGCCAGAGCCATCATCACCAGGTGGTGAAAGCGTGGATCAACCCCTAGAAGATATAGAGAAAAGTGAACACCTCGCTGTACATCAATGCCTCAGTCCGGAGGTCACCCCGGACGGAACAATACTCGTGGGCTGGTATTCTGATAACGACCCCGGAAATCCTCACAACTGGTCATCTTGGATGAAATTTCTGGTATACGTTCAGATAAATTTCTACACGTTTGTGATCTATATGTCGTCTTCCATTTTCTCCATCGTTCAGGGAGAGTTCATGGATATCTACGGTGTCCCTCAATCAGTGGGCTCTCTGGGTCTTGCGCTGGTACTTCTAGGCTATGGAATCGGACCGATGCTCTTCAGTCCCTTGTCAGAAATTGCGGCACTGGGCCGCAATCCTCCGTATCTAGTCACACTGGTAATCTTCATGATAATAACCGTGTTGACGGCGGTAGTGGACAACGCACCCGGTTTCCTGGTTTTACGCTTCCTCCAGGGGTTCTTTGGGTCACCATGTCTAGCCACCGGAGCAGCATCGCTGGCAGATGTAACTAGCCTCGTGAATCTACCTTACGGGCTTTGGATCTGGGGCACCTTTGCCACATCCGCGCCAGCAGTCGCCCCGACCATTGCTGGATTCAGCTCTGTGGTTAAGGGATGGCAGTGGTCCATGTGGGAAGTCCTATGGGGTACCGTGCCGTGTTTGATACTACTGGTTCGTCCCACTCCTCACTATTGCAGGGCTCCAATACTAATATTGTACTCTAGTTGTTTCTCCCGGAAACCTCCATTTCTACAATACTACATTATCGCGCAAAACGCCTCCGAACCGTTACCGGCAACCAAGCCTTTAAAGCTCCTTCCGACGTTGACGCATCCAGGTCAACCGTTGCAGCAATCGTGAACAACGCGCTAATTATCCCCTGGAAGATCAATGCCTTGGATCCGGCCATTCTCTTTACTACAGTCTACACTGCACTGGTATATGCCATCTTCTACTCTTTCTTTGAGGTATTCCCTCTCGTCTACCTAGAGATATACCACCTGAGTCTACCGCATATGGGTCTGGTGTTCCTTACTGCTATCATTGCTGTCTTGATCATCATGCCATTTTACTTCCTCGTGGTCCATTTTACAATCAGTCGGCCCATGCTTAGCGGCTCGTTCCCTCCACCGGAACGCCGACTTATACCAGCCCTGTTGGGTTCCTTGCTCGTTCCTACGGGGATGTTTATATTTGCCTGGACTTCAAGGAAAGATATTCATTGGGTTGTACCCACAATGGGATTCTTGCTCATAATGGCCGGAGTGGTTACCCTTCTACAATGTATGTTTGGGTACATGGCCGTCGCGTATCCGAAGTATGGTGCAAGCTTGTTTGCCATGAACGATTTTGCTCGTTCGTCTCTAGCCTTTGCGTCGATTTTGTGGTCCGGTCCACTATATCGAAATCTTGGGATTGCCAAAGGCACAAGCTTGATTGGGGCATTAACAGCAGCTTGTGTCCTTGGAATCTTTACTCTCTATTGGTTTGGACCCGTGCTACGAAAAAGAAGCCGCTTTGCTGGGTAGACTAACTCCTGAAGTCCAGAGTTTACAATATTTAAAACATTTGCTCGTGGAAGTTCTCTCGGCGTCGGGAAGAAATGACGAATGAAGTCACGATGTCAGTGTAATCAAGCCTTGCGGCTACTCCTGCCCTGTGTATCTATAAAAATATAATTACCTTCCCTCCATGTTCTTCTTTATTAGTTGGTAGTACTATCCTGTCAGACGTCCAAACAAGGTGGTAGGGAGCAAATCTGCAGACGGGACAGCCCGCAACCTTAACCTCTCGCCTAGGTTTGGAGCAAGGATGAAATTGTTCTTCTCGTTTTGTTGAGACATGGTACTTGGTTTAGTTTCTATCTCCGTATGAGTCGTCGTAGTGAAAGGCACCTCCAAAGATATTTGTATTAAATTATTCATTAATTAGTTATTTAGGCTGATAATCATAAACCTACGTAGCTATTATCTACATATCCCTGGTAACATAGCCGGCGATGAAGCTATAACCCTAGTATGGCTCTTCTTAGTAGAACTGGAGATATATATTACTGTCAACCGGGTTCAGGGATGGAAAGAAGAAGAATACCTACATTTATCCCAGCAGTTCTTTATCTCCGAACCTCTTACGGTACGTTCATATTTATCTCAACTTCTCCTATCTTCCCCTCCAGCTGCCCCATAAATAACAAGAACATATTTTTTTTAGTTTGATAACATCCTAATTCTAGACTAGAGAGTTCTTTCTAGCTTTCTTTTTTGGTTTCTTTGCGCCCAGGTCCAGGTCCAGGCCCAGATCCAGGTTTCCCTGGCATGCACATCCACATCCACATCCAAGGCCACTGTCCTTTTTTTTCATTTCATTTCCATCACACGTAACAGAATAAATGTGTAAGTTTGGTTTTCTGTTCTTGTCTTTGTTTTGGATTTCACTTCTAAAGCGAGAGGAGAGAGAGAGGGTAGGGAAGGAAGATAGGGTGAGGATCGGTAGTAATGTTCAGAGTTTAGAATTTAATGGTACTTTCCCTCTAGCATAGAGGGAGTCGCTATTGCTTCACCATTTATGGCAAGTTTATATGTTTGAGGGGCATGTTGCATATTACCTGTCGCCAGGAGCCACGAAACGGGGGTGAAGATAGAGACAAAGACATAAAGACAATAGGGGTTTGGTAGACAGTAGACAGGAATAAAAGGGTGTGACTTGGTAAGGGTGGGGGGGAACGAAGGGTAGGCATGTAGGGTAAGTGGGCTGTGCCATTTGGTGGTAGAGTAGATAGATTGATAGAAGGTAGGAGATATCAATGGCGATATCATGCTCATCCTCACAATGCAGAGAACACAAAGAGCTATATAAATTGTCAGCGAGGGATTCGGGAGGTTTAATAAGGAGAGGGAAAGCAACTTACGTTATTTGTAGCTGCGATGGCGATACTGTCTTCGAACGGATGCCAACTCATATGTAAGATTTTCTTGTTGAAATCAATCTGATCTGCGTCCGTTTCCTTCCTCATCCTCCCTCCGGCGCCCGAGGGGCTACCAGACCTTGATCCGCTCTTCTTTCCAGCGTTTGTGGATGCCGCAGAGTTGATTGGCGTGGGTACACCAACCTTCTTGGCCTTGAACGCCGTTTTATCCGCCTGTAGCACGACCTCGGTTTCCTTGGTAGGATCAGACGGGTAGATCATGAAGTTATTATTATAGCTTCCCGTCATCACGTTCTGGGCATCACCAGAGAAGACAACCTCGAACTTGTCGAAGATGCTGTCGTTTTCGTAGGTGTCGCAGAGGCGCGGGCGGAGGTGTTCGTGGATCGGGATTGTTTTTACGGGCTGGCGCTCCATGTTGACATCCCAGATCTTGACGGTAAGGTAGTCACGGGAGAGGATGTAGCGGCCATCATGGGAGAAGCGAACGTCGGAGATGGAGGAAATGATTTCGGAGAAGAACGAGCGCGAGGTGACGTCTTCTTCCTGTTCGAACTCTGCACAAATACGTAAGCTAATATATCCTGAATCTCTAGATTGGTAAGAAGAAACATACGTTTATGATGCTCATCGCACAGAGCCCGCTGTCGCATATCTGCAAGCTTGATGGTACCCTTTGAGCTTGCGTACATGAACCAGTTACAGCTGGTGGGGTGGAATTCGGCCGCGGTGATAACTTCAGTCAATTCCTCCATGTTCGCAGGCTTGATGTCGACAATGTTGAAGCTCTGGTCCTGGATGTTCAAGTTCCACAGATTGATCCGGAGATCGTCACTGCTGATAAAGGTCTCCCCATCACTGTTGACGGATATGCTGTTAATATGATAAGCGTGAGCGTTGGCGTATATCCGCCTGGGTACGGCGGCGACGACAGTCTCGTGGTGTGTCATGCGAGGGAGCTTGAGGGAGGTGGAGTCCTTGAACGAGACGCGGGAAGGGCGCGAGATGCCACCACCGCTTACGGCACCGGCCGGGGTGAGATCGCGGGAGAGGTTGTTCTCGGCCACGACCTTGAGCGACTTGTCGAAGACCTTCCATAGTTTTATAGTCTTGTCGTTTGTCGATAGGAGATAATGCGATGCGTTCTGCCGTCTACACCATTTTATCTTGTTGATCTTTTCCTCGATCTCTAATGATTTTAGATAGTCGAACTCGGGCTCGTGGGATTGAAACTCTGTATGGAACTTGTATTCGCATGTTTTTTTCTAGTATCTATCAGCTGAATGTGTGCATGAGTGCGTGGGGGGTATCTCACCGTCTCATTCCTTTCGAACAGGACGACTCGGCCGCCCTTGTCACCTGTGGCGAGGTAGTTACCGGTGTGGTCGAACTCGACGGTAGAGATAATATCAGCTGGACGAGAGGTGAGTATACGATCGCATAGTCGAAAGCCAAGAACAAGTATATACCTTCTGTTATATCTTCTACATCGCCTTTATCACCGAAGCATCTACACTCGGTCAGTACAGGGATAGTGGTGGTGGTGGTGGTGTAGGAGGAGAGGAGGGACGGACTGTGTGAACTTCCAGGTGGGTGAACCTGGATCGCCGTCTACCATTGTTCAGCGGTTTGCCAGACTGTCCCGTAGGCAAAGACTGGAGATGTAGATAGCGAGACTCGTAGGTGTCTGGACGGTGTTTTGTCGATGTCGAGGTCGCCGTCGAAGTCGAAGTCGAAGTTGATGGCGATGGTCAGAGAGGGCGAGGGCGATAAGGAAAACGCAGATAGAAGGCCAGACAGACGTCGCTTAGTGCGTGACTTTTAAGCTGCAGAGAAACAACAACGCCGTTAGCAAGGTGTCAGGTCATCATCTGGCAGTGAGAGCGGTGTTTGTTTTCTTTTCTTTTTCCTGTCTTCTTTTTCAGGCCAGGCCAGGGTGTGTGGTGGTGGTGATGTTTGGGGCGGGCAGACGGAGGAAGAAGAGGAAGATGGCGGGCAGCAACTCAGACAGAGCTTGACACAGCAGACAAAGATGAAGATGAAGCTGCTGTCTCTGAGAGACTGGATATACAGACCAGAGCAAAGGGCGAGGCAGACGTCTCTACGATGACGCAGAAGAAAGGTGTAGAGCGGGGGAGAAGGACAGGGTGTAGATAAGTATAGAGCGAGCAGGGAGTGAGCAGTGAATCAGGCTGAGATACTGGCAATTGATAGAGGAAACAACAGGCAAACAACAGGCGCCTTGAAGGTGGAAGAAGAGAGTAGACAAGGCGGAACAGACGGGGGATGCTGGATGAAGCCGGAGCGAGCAAGCAGAGTTGATGATGATGCTGGGAACAAGCCACCGGGCGCTAGAGAACATGGATGCGCCTTACCTGTACTTGATCAGCCTGATACTGCTTACCGTGCAGTGTAGATGTGGGCTGGAGACAATATAAGAGAGAGATGAAGGAGAAGAAGGAGAAAAGGAAGAAGAAGATGATGATGATATGATGATGTGAACTCCGTCACTTGTTCATCTTCACCTGCGCCACCAGCAAAACTCTACAAACCTCTACAAACCTCACGCGGGCAGACAGCAGACAGCAGATGTCTATACAGACTGGCAGTAAAGGCTGAGATGACTAGATATAGCTGGATGTTGATACAGTTGGATACAGGATAGCAGGTCGATACACGGATAGCAGTAAGATGTCTTCACATGCAAACAGACGCTTCCTAGGCAGGATATAGATACTTACTCTCTAGACTTGACCAGATACAAGACAGACAGACAGACAGAGACAGAGACAGACAGAAGACACAGACAGGAGATATGGACAAAGACCAGCCAAAACCGCCGGGGAAGCCAAAGAGTAGAGAAGAGGCCTCTACATCTACATCCATGGCCGGTAGAATCCAGTCGTCTGCCGCCGGCCTGCTGAGAACCACCATATCGCCCTCCTCGCCCTCGCCCTCGAACTCGTACGCCTTTGCAAACGGCATCTCCTCGTCCCTGGCGAGCGTCTCGAGCTCCGAGAAGGCTGCTCCCGCCTCTGGATCATCTTCAGCATCGCATGGGCCAGGAGTAGAGAGCGGCTTTCACCACGGATTACCCTCTGAGTCGGGCTTTCGATCTCAGCAGCCACAGGCGCAGATACACTCTCACTCGGAACAGGAGTTTCATCAAGGAGGTGGGCTGCCGCTTGATGATGTCGGTGTCTACGACCTGTCTGATTCCAAGGGCAAGGGCAAGGGCAAAGGGAAGGGTAAAGTGGAGGAAGAGAGATTTGATTCTGCTTGGATGGCTGCTACTACCGCGTCGAATACTAGGCCGTCGATATCACGTTCTGAACAAGAACAGAGAGACGGTGAAGCTGTCTCTGCTCTGCTGTCGTCTTCATCATTTGATCCCCTATCTCTTCCCGAGGACGAACTCGATATAGAACCAGAACCGGACATGGACTTCCTTATACCCGGCTCAGACCAGACACAGCGACCACTACAACCATCCATATCGTCAACCTCTCTAATACCGGACATCGACTTCGTGCTTACCTCCTTGAGAAACGCCCCGGCGCAGTCTCAGACTGAACACCTGAGAGATTTACCCGGTGTAGCAGAGTGGTTGGATCTGGATGCCGAGTACCAGGATGTGGTGTGGGGGTATTTGAAGCCGCGGGTCGAAGAGGCGAGGCAGGAAGTGCAGGAGAGGTCAGAGAGGGGGGAGCAGGGAGTAGGTGATGGGCCTGCCGTGATGAGGTTGAGGATGGTGTTGGCGCACTTGAAGGAAGGGAAGGGCATGATATAGGTTATTACGATGGTGGACGAGTAACTTGTACAATATTGGAATATATCAATTCATGTAGATGGTAAAATATGAACTTAGATCGTAAAAGTACATCCATCCTTGACATGTGGACGCGAAATACAGCATAAAGGAATACGGGAGGCATATATACATAGTTCGAACTAATACTCCAGGCTAGGCGTCTGGCCCTTCACGCGTCCAATGACGACCTGGGCAGCGTACTTTGGAATAACCTCGTCGTCGTGCAACATCTCGAATTCTAGGCGGTCAATTAGCATCATTAATGTAGGTACTTTAGGGGATAAATGCATGACTTACCTTCGGTGGCATCTCGTCCCATATGGCTGAACAACGCCTGCGCTCCACCGGGATGCTCATCCAACCAGTTCGTCACATCCATCACTACGCCCTTGACAACGATCCAGAGGTCGTCCTTCTTATTGTGTTTCGCTACCTCTTCCATCGTGAACTCCTTCTCGGGCACCTTGAAGTTTGCTATATCAGCGGCGGCTGGGTCGGAGGCGGCGGCGCCAGCGCCAGCGCCAGTGGGAGCAGATGATGCAGATGATGCAGATGATGAAGATGGTGCAGGTGCTGTGCTTGGGGTGGCGGATTGGGTGGTGCTAGGCTTACCTGACGGGGCACTCCATTCGACAGATACCTTGCCTGGCTGGTTGGGGTCAATGTGCAGGGATATCTGGTTCAGACGCTGTTGTGCACCGCCGCTAGCAGAGGCAGGATCGTTGAGAAGTTTTTGGAAGAGGAATTGACTGGCAGAGTCACCGGCGACACGGCCGTAGACGACGCAGCCGAGCAGCGAGGAGCCACCAAGTCGGTTGGCGCCGTGGACACCACCGGCAAGCTCACCACAGGCGAAGAGACCATCGAATGGCTTCTTCTCGCTGTTCAAGACCTGGGCTTTGTCGTTGATCTCGATACCACCCATGGTGAAATGAAGGACGGGTTCCATCAAGGCGACGTAGAAGGTGTCATCCGTCCTCATGGGGAGGTTGTGGAAGAACTTCTTGCCCCATGGATCAGTCTTCTTGCCGTCTCCGATGGCATTGTAGTCATCGAATGTCTTGCGGAGGGCAGCTTCGCCACAACCGATCTCCTTAGCGAGTTCGGCTCCGGTCATCTTCTTCATGAGACCACGGCCGGAGTAGTGGCGGGTGTGGAAATCAAGGATATTGGAGGCCTTGCTGTTGAGGACAAGGCGGATGGGCCATTTGCCCTTTTCTTTTTCCTTCCACATCTGGCCAGACACGTAGTCACGGTGGCCGAGCTCGTCGGCAAAACGTTGGCCGTCGGAGTTCAGCAGGAGACCACCTTCACCGCGGAGAGCTGCAAGACGTTAGCAGGTATCACAATCGGTAATTAGATAAAAAAGCGTACCCTCAGCGGCAAGGAACTTCCACTTGGAACCGGGGTCCTTGGGGTCGATGAGACCGGTGGGATGGACCTGGACCTTGTCCATGTCGATACCGTTGGCGCCAATGGCCATGAGCATCTTCTGGCCGTCACCGGTAGCGTGGACACCGTTGGTACTGGACAGTCCGAGGGTGTCTGGACGCCATTTCTTCAAGAGGGAAGTCTCGGTGAAATCGGCGGCGTAACCACCGGTAGCGAGCACGACGACACCGTTTTCGGTGTGGGTTTCACCATTGTACTCGTATGTGACACCGGTGACCTGGTTACCTTCCTTATTGACGGCAATAACTCTGGCCTTCTTAAGCACCTTCATGCGCTCTGGCTCCTTCTCGGTCAGCTCCTCAAGTCGCTGCATGAGGGCGTATGTAATGGCCATGCCGGGGAATTTGGCATCGTGGCCACGGTGTGTGCGGGGGAACGAGTGTCCACTACTTTCATTAGCACCGTACTGTATACGTCTTATGGAGGGTCGACATACCCAAGTCGAGACACGAGGGTCAGGTCGAGGTTGAAGACATCCTGCAGCCACTCGACGGCGGAGGCAGACTTGTATGTGAGCACCTTGATCAGGTCTGGGCGGGCCTTGTCTCTGGCGGACTTGAGGGTGTCCTCGTAGAACTGCTTGACGCTGTCCTGGATGCCGAGATCGACCTGGGTGCGTGTGAGGGCTCCGTTGATGCCGGAGGTGGCCTTGGTCGAGTTTCCGCCGAAGAAGCCTATCCGCGTCAATCACCAGGTCCAGGTAGACTTGTAGACGGGGAAACTCACTCTGTTTGTCCAAAAGCAGCACGTTACCACCGTTCAGGTAGACGGTGTGAGCAGCACTCAGGCCGGACACTGTAAACAACCGGTGAGCATTGAGCTTGCTATCTGCATGAGGGGAAGCACGTACATCCACCGCCAACGACGATAACCCTTGGAGCCATGGTGTGTGATAACGCTGTACGACGGAGAGAGGTAGGTCAAGTGGTGTGTATAGATGATGGAGAGGAGAGAAGAAGAGGAGGAGGAGGAGGAAAGTTGGAAGAAGAAGCGGATGAAGCAGAAGAAGAAGCAGGCGGAGGGTTGATATCAGGTGCTTTGGGGATGGCCGACTTAAAGCCGAGGTCTAGCTTCGGCGGGTCCCGCTGGCCAATCAGAGGGCTGCACATGTAAGCAAGATGCCGGAACAACGACGGGCCGCCCTCTTCCCCAGACAAGCTTGGCGTTTCTTGGCACTTTTCCCCCTGGGCCGATGGACCTTCCCCGTAATTACACTTCACACACAAAAACACACCTTACTACCTGGTGGATGGACAGATGGTAGTTGCGCGGGCGGGTGGATAGCTGTGGTCTTTCTCCAGTCAGTATAGGCTGCTACGCTCTCGATCCCTGCGGTGTGTACTTACATGTGATGCTGTCCGGGGGAGCTCCCGGTGCATGTGAATATTATAGATCACGTGGAGAACAGGAACATCAACAAGAGTGATGCTGAGATAATGAGAGCGGTAATGGGGAGATGATGCTGAGATGATGAGAGTAATGATGGGGATAAGATGATGAAGATATGGAGACAAGAATTGACTTGCGACTGGGCCGAGTTGAGGTCATGCTGCTGGCAAGCTGGCCGTGTACGATAAGGCGTGTAACTCACGATACTCTTACTCTTACTTGTACTCTACTTAACTCTCTTATGCCTCTGCCATACCATCCATATATATGCTCTCCTTCTGTTGTTACTGTTCTCCTTCTGTTACTTCTCTACTCCGTACTGCTCTACTGTTACTATCTTGTTGCTGCTGCTGCTTCTGCTTACTCATATCTTACTAAGATCACGGGGTATGACGTGGGGAGACGTCACGTGCATATCCCTTACGCTAAGCCTAACTCGGCCAAGTTCGTCTGGCAGAAAAAAGCGCCGCGCTCTCACCGCCTCCACGCATCGTCCCAGCTTTTGAGTTTTCCGCCGTGGCCCATCTCGATCTCCAGCTTCAAAGTTGCCAGCACCGCGAAGCCGCAAGACCGCACCCCTTTACCACTCTATACTGCTCTTTACCGGCACTCGAGTCTGGCGCCCTTGTCCTCGTCCCATGTGCAGCACCGCGCCTCGCCCCTGAAAGCGTTTCCTTCGCCCGTTTTCCTCGTTGAGCTGGCACTGTCCTTCCCGCTCCCGGGCTGCTGCTGGTCGAGCTGCCCCCGTCGACCCTTTCTATCTTTGCTCTAGTATACGCTGCCAGGCTTGCGGACGATGAATCCGTCAGGTAAGGATGCGTGGCACCCGGCTGCTGGGCCCCAGTCTCATCACGCCGTCGACCAGATGGGCCAGCAGTCGGCGCGACCTGTAGGCGCTTTTGGGTATGTGGAGGGTTTTTTTTTTATCTTTTAAACCACCCCCCTTTCTCCTTGCTCTGTCCAATTTCTAGGGCAATCAGTCGAGGACCATTGAGCTGACGGGATGCCGTGCGAAAAAGGCAAAATACTCCGCTGGACGACCCGGCCTCGAAACAGCCGTCGCGTACCCTTCCTCCGCCGCAAGGTACGACCCCCTCCTGCCCGTAACAATCACCAATCGTCACTAATACCGAATAGGGCCATATCATTCCGTCAGTCAGCCGTCAAGTCACTCGTTGCCTACTCTTGCAGACCTCACTCAGGGTGCGGCGGTTGCTCCTCCTGCTCCTTCACACCAGCAGCAACAGCAGCAGCAGCAGCAGCAACAGCCTCCGCGCTATGGTCAGCACCAGCAACAACCTCTAGGACGAGGCCACGCACTTCCGGGTATCGGCCAGACGATCCAGCATGCATCTCCTCCTTCGTCTCTGGGCCATGATCGTGAGCGTGAACGCGAACGTGACCGCAGGCCCCGTCAGAGGGAAATGGACATGCTTGAGCTCGAGCGGGAGATGGAGCGTGAAACCGAGATGCGTGAACGAGAGCGTGAAATGGCTGATAGGTACCATCGTGAACAGCAGCAGCAACAGCAGCAGCAGCATCCGGTTCAAAGCCATACGGGCTCCATCCCGATTCACCAGCCAGTCGCGTCAAAGGTACCCAGCTCCATCCACGGGCCCAACGGGTTGCTATCGAATCTGGGTGCAAACGTAGCGACCAACGCACCACAGCCGTCCATGCAGGCTTCAAACCCGCCTGCCAGCCTGTTTGGAAGCTCGATGCAGCACAGCGATGGGCCACCCCGCCAGTTCCTCCAGCCCTCGCAGCCCGTTCTCGCTTTTAACTCTGGGCCCTCGCAGGTTCCAGGGAGTGTTGCGGCTTTGGCACAGGGTCAGCAGCCGATATTAAATGTGAGTTGAGTTGTTTGAAATCTTCCCTCTTCTGTTTCTCTCCTGCAACAAAGATGGTGATGGTGAATGAATATTGGGGCCATACATACAATGAGAGTAAAGCTGGCTTGTGAAGATCACTCGCAATAGCCGGGCTGCTCATGGGAATAATTAGGGAATGGAACTTGCCGTGAACTTTCATTCACCAGGGCTAGGTCTCCAGTTGGACTAATTTCACTTTGCTTAACCTCATATATCATTTGCACTTTAGCACCTGTGTTATGCCTCCCCTCTCGATTGCTTTCATTCCCCATTTTGCTTGTCATTTTCAATTTTCCCTCAAACCTATGAACATCGGCCTGCTATATCAGCGAAATTCGTACTAATGGGTCCCAATAAACAGGATGCGCTCAGCTACCTGGACCAAGTCAAGGTCCGTTTCGTTGAGCAGCCAGAAGTATACAACAGATTCCTCGATATCATGAAAGACTTTAAAAGTCAAGCGTACGTCCCTTTTGGACTGGAATGCGGCACACAAGGCGTAAGGAAGACTAACCATCTCTCTAGAATTGATACTCCTGGTGTCATTCAACGGGTTTCGACCCTGTTCAATGGCCATCCTGCTCTGATTCAGGGATTCAACACCTTCCTACCACCTGGCTATCGCATCGAATGCGGAACGGACGACAACCCAGACGCCATTCGCGTCACCACCCCGTCGGGGACAAATACTATCTCCATGCAAGCTGGCCCTCGACCGGCATTAGGCGCGCCTGAAGGCGCTGGCCCTACAGCTGCCTCTATTCCAGCTTCGCGCCCAGAGTATTACGACCAGCCTCGTACCGCATGGCAGCATGGTCACGTCCAACAACAGCAGCAGCAACAACAACAACAGCAACAGCAGCAACAGCAACAGCAAGGTCCCCCACCAGGTGCAGCGGGCTCGTACTCTCCCAAGTCACAGCATATGTCGGCGGGAATGTACGGTCAGCAACCGCAGTCCAGACACAATCCATCACAGGACACACAGTATGACTACCAGGGCCAACATGATCAGCAAACCTCCAACGATGCGGCGGCAATGGTTCACCAGCAGGAACAGAGAGGTGTCTCACAATTGCAAAATGCTGTTTCTGTTGCCACTGCCGCCGGTCGACAGGCAATGATGCAGCTTCCACAGAGCACCCATACACCTGGTCCGTCACAGCCTATGAACTCTCTTGCCGGTGGTATTGGATCTTCGGGCGTGATGCCAGGTCAAGTCGATGCCACCAAACGTGGACCCGTCGAATTCAACCATGCCATCAGCTATGTTAATAAAATTAAGGTAACATCCCCACGTTAAAAGCTTCCCCTCGCCGGCATATCCCGCTAACCTTGATCTCGTTAGAACCGCTTCTCCGATTCACCCGAGATATACAAACAATTCCTTGAAATACTACAGACATACCAGCGCGAATCTAAGCCCATCCAAGACGTCTATACTCAGGTCACCCACCTCTTTGGGGCCGCGCCTGATCTTCTTGAAGACTTCAAACAATTCCTACCAGAATCCGCAGCCCAGGCAAAGGCTCAAGCTGCCACTTCTAACCGTCAGTCGCAGGACGAGGTTCCTATACTCAGTAATGTACGCGGAGAACCAGGGTATGGCACTTCAGCACTCCCACAGCCTCAAATGTCGAGGGGCGATGTCAAGATGCCGCCGCTAGGGCAGTTTAATGTGAAGGATTCAACCAAGGAGAACAAGAAACGCCGTGGTGGGCCGAGTGCCGGCGTCGTTGGGGCCGGAATGCCCGGCATGCAACCTGCAATTGGTGATATGAACGGCAACCAGATGAATAAGAATGCCGCCCAGCAGATGGGCATGAATAAGAGAACAAAGTTCAGCCACAAGCCCTCTGCAGCGGATTCGCAGCCTGCAATATCACCAACTCTCGTCCCAGCATTGCCTGAACCCATCCCTCCAAGTTTCTCTCTCACGCCTTCGCACGAGGAATATGCGTTCTTCGACCGCGTCAAGAAGTTCATCGGCAACAAGCAAACGTTTGGCGAATTCCTCAAGCTTTGCAACCTTTATTCCGCAGACCTTATCGACCGCAATGTTCTTGTTAACCGTGCTGCTGGCTTCATTGGCGCCAATCAAGAGATCATGTCCTGGTTCAAGCGCTTCATGCACATCGAGCCCAAGGACGAGCTCATCGAACCCAAAGCCAAGCCCGATTCGGGCTCCGTCAACCTCTCCCACTGCCGCGCCTTGGGACCTAGCTATCGTCTACTACCTAAGCGTGAGCGTCAAAAGGCCTGCAGCGGTCGCGACGAGCTGTGCAAGAGTGTGTTGAATGACGACTGGGCATCCCATCCGACATGGGCTTCGGAAGATTCTGGCTTCGTCGCGCATCGCAAGAACCAGTATGAAGATGCACTCCACCGCATTGAAGAAGACCGCCATGACTACGATCACCATATCGAAGCTTGCATTCGTACCATCCAGCTTCTGGAGCCATTGGTGCAACAGATCTCGCTTATGAGTGACAGTGACCGGGCGTCGTTTAAGTTACCGCCTGGTCTTGGTGGGCAGAGTGAAACCATCTACAGACGAGTTATTAAGAAGATATATGATCGCGAACCTGGCCAGAGGGTGATTGAGGAGATGTTTGCTCGGCCGTGTATCGTGCTTCCCATTATACTAGCGAGGTTGAAGCAGAAGTGTGAAGAGTGGAAAGCTACACAGGTATGTTTAACCCCTTTCCGCGGCTTTTACCGGTATGTATTTTTGCTAACCCGACATAGCGCGAGTGGGACAAGGTATGGCGTGAGCAGATGCAAAAGGGCTTCTGGAGAAGTTTGGATCACCAGGCCATCATCATGAAGGGCAATGACAAGAAATTGTTCTTGACCAAACATATACACCATGAAATCCAGACCAAGTTCGAAGAAGGCAGGAATCATCGCAGAAGCGGAATGCAGGTTTCCAACTATCAACTTGACTTTGCCTTTGAGGACTCCGAAGTTATTCTCGATGCCACCCATCTCTTGCTCTGCTATCTCGATCACAGCTCAGCTGGTTTTGGCGCCGATCCACAGCGTGTCATGGCCTTCATCAAAGATTTCATTCCCGTTTTCTTCGGCATAGACCGTGAAGCGTTTAAGAATTATTTGTCTGAAGTATACGATAGCACATCCGCAAGCGAGGATGCTGACGACGATAGCTCACCAGACGAAGCACCTATCAGGCCAAAACGCATCACAAGCGGAAAGAAATTTGAACTTCTTCGCGAAGTTCTTGATCGACGTCCCGATAGATCTAATAGGCCCGAACTAGATCTCAGAGCCGGATCGGCGGCAGCTAGTCGAGCCACAACACCCATGTCTATGAACGGATCAACACCCGCCCCTCGCTCAGGAGACAGCTTCGATATCGCCGAGCTTCGATGGATGGACCATCCTACCCGCGGCAACTTCCATCAACAACGCGAATATCCACTCAACGAGCCGTACAAGAAGAAAGTCCACCATTTCTACTGCAACCTGACCATTTACTGCTTCCTGTATACCTTTGAGATTCTCTACCGCCGTTTGCTACATGTGAAACAATATGAGAAAGAAGCTCACGAAGCTGTGCGCCGAGCCATGGCACCCAAGGCTGCTCTCGAGCTGGGCATGATTGATAAATCGCCTTCAGACCTCCTTTACGACACTGACCCGAAGGCCAATCTGTACCACCAGATCGTCCGCATGTGCGAGGAGGCCATCACGGGCCAGTTGGAGCTGACACATCTAGAGGAGACGCTCCGTCGCTTCTATATGAAAACTGGATGGCAACTTTACCAGCTCGATAGAATATTGGGCGGTATCGCGAAATATGCTGGCGGCGTGTTCAACAGTGACGTCAAGGATAGGACCTCCGATGTCGTCAACCTGTTTTACAAGGAGAGAGACAAGGAGGAGACAACGCATAACCAGGAGATCCAGTACCGCAAACAGGTCGAGCGGTTGATCAAGGAGGGGGATATCTACCGCGTTACCTACGTAAGTGCCTGAAAACTTTCTCTACGCGGCCCAACTGATGCTAACAAATCTACTTCAGGTACCCGCCGCAAAGCATGTTCTTATCCAGCTCTTGACACCAGACCAAGGCACCCTGGAAAGCGATGGCCTCGGCCACGAAGCCCGGTGGTCCTACTACGTCTCAGCCTATACGATGCGAGACCCCACCGAAGGAGTCGTCTTCTCAGACATGCGCATGCCATTCCTAAAACGCAACCTACCTTCCAAAATGGACTCTGACGACGAATACAATAACTTCTATAAACCACTTGTCCACCATGACGGCCTTGTCATCCGCATCTGTGCTAACAGTTACAACATCCTGTACGAGCCTGGCACCGAGGACTGGTGGTACCGCCGCGAGGCCGTCAAGGAGTCCCAAGCTGCCGAGACTGCGAGGGAGTTTGCCAGTTTGAAGGAGAAACGCAAGGATCGATTTAGAGGGAAATTTGTGAATAATCCGACATGGGCACGTGGACTGAGTAAAGATGAGGTCGACAGATCAAACCAGCAATTCCGAACCTGGGTTGGAGCCGCAACGGAGGACAATGCCCCTATTGCTTCCGCTTCTGACGCCGCCGCAGCAGAGTCTAAGCCTGATGATAGCGCCAACGCAGCCGACCGCGCTGAAACCGCACCAGCTGATGAGGTGAAGGGCGAAGCACCGGCGGACGAGGACCAGGAGATGGGCGGCGTCTCTACTGACCCTGTCGCCGTGGCATAGGAGGATCATCCTCCTCCGTTTCCGTTCCATGTTCCCTCATTTCTTAAATATCTATCTCTATTGTATGCATATCTGGGGGAGTTGCAGTTCATCAAGGCACCCGGCGCCGGCGCCCTTTTTGATTGAGACGAGGCCAAAGTCCGACATCTCATATCTCAGACGTACATTTATCGGGTTGGTAGGGAGGATACTATATCTGGCGTGGCACCGTCGTCCTTTTTACCTCACTCAGTTCCGCTTTAATGTCTTATTCATCCATGTTTTTTATTTATCTCTGACCAGACCTGTGACTTATGGCCGTGTACTATTTCTACGCTTTGTAATTGATATATTCCTATTTGTAATTGATATATTCCTATTGATCAGTTCCACTCTATTTCGCTATAATCTCCGTGCATATGTGCGTATGTGGTTGACGCGGGCGTTGGACGTTGGAAACTTACCTGCTGACTTGTAGTTTAATCCCACGACGTTCGGCAACCACAACCGTTCAATGGACAACTGATCTCACCTTTGCTACTGCTTCAATTCTCTTACTCCCGATGTATATATATGACCTTTAATAGTCTGCAATCAGTGAGAGATACGTGGCTAACACCAGAGCAAGCGTATCCATCACTGCGAGCGCCCTACGCTGAAGGGTACTCCTATAGACGAATGTTGCAGTGAGAGTCTAGGTAAGTATGACCACCGTACTTGGTACAGAGTAGAAGCTGACAGCTCAGCATGCCTACAGATAAGTGCCAGCTGTTATATACTCCGACTCGTTAATCTCCGGCGTCCAGCGAAGAGCCTCGTCCGCAGGGCGCTTACAGTAGGAAATCTCCTACGCTCTCTCAGGAGCAGCCGGAGATTCCCAGGACCGTACACATTCGTCTGACCTGCTCGTACATCTAACACATTCTATTCGGCGGAGTTTTCGGCACTCCTGTCCAGATCTACCCAGAGCCGGACGTGATTGGACATCTACGCACACGCCAGCACAACCTGTGTGATGGGATCTCGCATATTTACTGGGCTCGGTGGGGTCATCGGATTTCTGCGCAAAATACATGCAAGGGGGTCACCACGGCCGGATGCCCAACAAAGAATATGATCTGCGGGGTACGCCCACGCTGGCCAGACAGCGCACGACTTGGGCCGTTCAAGGGGGAGGCTCGAGGGAAGGCCCGAGGGGATACGTCGCGAGGTGTGCGCGCCCAGAGAACGAGGATTTGCCAGCGAGGGGCAGAATTGATAGCGCAGAGACTACGGAGTACGGGGTAGAGACTATGGGAAACCGTTTTTCCTTTTTGAGATACATCGCAATACCGACGAAAGGGGCGCAAGACGGGGGATGAGTGACAGCTGCGAGTGTGACAGCGCCACGTCAAGGTGAAATACGGCTAGACAGACGGCGAGCGGCACAGGGAGAGCATTTTGCGAGCGCCACGGGCGAGAGGCAGGGCAGGCAGGGGAGGCATCTCCGTGGTGTTCGGGTAAAAATAGCGCTCACACGAGGCGGAGACAGGGAAGAGGCAGGTCGAGCGAGCGAGCAGAGCCCTACAGCTGGCAGGGTCAGGGGCCGTCTTCTAGGTGAAACGCAGGAACAGGCACGGAGAATATGGCCCAAGACATTACCGCTGGCAGCTATAGACTATTGAGAGACACTGCCAGACCTGCCAGAGACCTAACGTATGTTCTTCCCTTTTCTCCCTTTTCTTCTACTTTTTACTCCCTTTCCTCCTTTTAGTCCCTCTTTCCTTCCCGCTGTCTATATCCAAGGCGTATTTATGGTATCGCCGTTACAGATATACTGGTTCTGCCCCTGCCGAGCCCGCTCCAGCCAATCACAGCAGCGAGGGACCTGGCTCACCGCCACCCAGGGCGATCCATAATACATACCATACCATCAATACGTCAACAACATAACAGTAACAATATCAATATCATCAACATCAACATCATCAACATCGTCACATCATAAACAAAGTACTAGAAGATCAGAGAAAGAAAGAGGAAGAGAAAGGAGAAAGGAGAAAGAAAGAGAAGAGAAGAAAGGGAGAGGACTAGTTTAGCGCTGCGCCAAGGGGAACGCTCATTTCCTCGCACTAAGAGGACGCCCCTTTAACGGGCCCTGGTCCAGTACTTAGGCCGCTCGCCGTCCGCCTGGTCCTTTCATTTCCCCTTCGACTCTTCATATCGTCCTCCGGTTCCCTACCACCGCTTCACTCTTTCAGCGGGCACTCTTTACGACTTCACGCGCCTCTCCTTCTCTTCTATCCCACCAGCACACGCTCCATCGCGCAGAGAGAGAGACATGAAGGCTTCCTTGTTCGTCGCGGCCGCCGGCCTGCTGGGCTCTGCCCTCGCCAACGGGCAGCACGCCCACGCCCACGGCAAGTTCCATCGCCGTGGAACTGCGCCAGCTCCTCAGGAGACCTGCGGATGCACCACCAGGGTCGTCACCTACTACGCTGAGCCAACTCGTACGTATATCAATCGAATGTGGATGGTTTGGATATCGATGCTAACGAGACAGTGGTGTCTGAGCCCGAGAAGCACTCGACGACGACCGTCAAGTCGACCAGCTACACCACCCTGACCGTCGACGTGACGGCCTCGCCCTCCGAGGCGCCGCTGCCGACCAACATCGTCACCGTCTACCCAACTCCAGGCACCTACACCATCCCCGCGACCACCATCATCGTCTCCAAGACGACCACCGTGTGCGATGCCACCTCCACCCCCGTTGCCCCTGGAACGCACACCTTCGGAGGTGTCACCACCTCGGTGACTACCGCCACCACCATCACCTGCCCCTATGCCACCGTTGAGCCCACCGGCAGCACCTTCACCAGCATCATCAAGATGACCACCTTCACTTGCCCCAGCGCCGGAACCTACACCATTGCTCCCTCCACCACCGCCGTCGAGAGCAGCACCGTGATCGTGTACCCAACCCCAGCCACCTTCACCCCAGGAACCTACACCCAGCCCGGCAAGACCTTGACCGTCACCAAGACCAATGAGGTCGTCTTCTGCCCCAAGCCAACCAACGCCATCCCAGCACCACCAGTCAAGCTCCCCGTCTCCGTTCCCGCAGTCCCATCCGTGTCCGTCCCAGTTCCCGCCGTGCCAACCAAGATCCCAACTCCAAAAGTCCCAACCCCCAAGGTGCCAGAGGCCCCAACCAAGCCTTCAGGCGGCGGTCTCGGTGGTGGTGAGAAATGGGGTATGACCTACTCTCCATACACCAACGACGGCCAGTGCAAGGATGCCGCTGCTGTCCTTGTCGACATCGGTGTCATCAAGGGCTCCGGCTTCAACACTGTCCGTATCTACTCTTCCGACTGTGACGGTCTCAAGCACGTCGGTGACGCCTGCAAGTCTCACGGCCTCAAGATGATCCTCGGTGTCTTCATCTCCGAGACCGGTATCGAGGGTGCCAAGAAGCAGGTCACCGACATCACCAGCTGGGGCAGCTGGGAGCTCGTCGAGCTCATCGTCGTCGGTAACGAGGCCATCCACTCCGGCCACGCTGACGCCGGTTCTCTCGCTGGCTTCATCAGCTCCGCCAAGGGCTCCTTCAAGGGTGCCGGCTACAACGGTCCAGTCACCACCACCGAGCCCACCAACGTCTGGCAGGCCAACGGCCCCGCTCTCTGCGGTGCCATTGATGTCCTCGGTGCCAACATCCACTGCTTCTTCAACCCAGACGTTACCGCCCCAGACTGCGGTAAGTTCGTCGCCGGCCAGATCGAGCTTCTCGGCAAGATCTGCCCAGGCAAGGAAGTTGTCAACCTCGAGACCGGCTGGCCCAACAAGGGTTCCCCCAACAGCCTCGCCATCCCCGGCTTGAGCCAGCAGAAGCAGGCCATCGACTCCCTCATCACCTCCGTCGGATCCAAGTCCGTCTTCTTCTCCTTCGGTGATGACGCCTGGAAGGCCCCTGGCCCATTCGGCATCGAGCAACATTGGGGATGCATCAATCTCTTCCAGTAAATGTAAAGTTAGCATCATAGCTAGGTCTATTATTCACTCACCTTTCTAACTTTTACATTTCACCGCCCTGCCTTCATTCCTCCTCCCCCTTTCGCCCGTGTTCGTGACATGACTTTTTTCTTTGGTGTCTCTTTTTTTTCCTCTTTTTTCCCAGCCTTGGTTGTAGGCCCGTTTTACGTTTGGAGTGAGTTGGATCGGAGGAGTTGTATTGTACGTACGCATCAACCGTATTCATATTTAATCCATGTCAAGATTTCTTAAGCAAGAATAAGGTCAACCTTCCAAGTTTCGTAGTCGCCACTCTCATCATAGGGTCATGTGATATTGCACTCTACTTGCCTATCACTATGATGAAAACACATATTTACTTGTGACGACGTTTAGTTATGGTGTTGGTACAAGTAGTGGTAAAGCTTCATCTCTAGTAAGTCAATCTTTACTTATCATCCTCGAACTCTCAACGAATATACCAATATCCAGGGCCACTGTTCAGTGTATAGGCCCGCACGACGACCAGGACCATATTCCTCCATGTTCCCATGGACTATCTATCTCAGTTGGCAGGATTGGATCTTAGGGTGCAATGTATATTTCATGCGTTAAGTTCAGCTGTATGCAGTATCTGGTCCGCGGCTGAGGGCAGAAGGGAGTGGCTCGGCGGGCCGTTCCGCGCAACTTTAACCCGACATGGCCGATTCCTGTTACCTTTGTTGCATTCTCAATGATAGTATGGCCTTTTTAAGACGATACAGCTTATATCATGTCTTAATCGATATTACTATCCCAAGGTACGACAAAATTATATCTGAGCTTGTCCATAGCGGTCGGACCTGGATTGTGATATGAACCAAGGATGCATCTCCTGCATTAGACCAAGATGTCATTTGGCCAACTGCTCTGGCCGAGCTATGATAGTGACCAGTCTAGAACTGAGGCAGCATTGTCCAAAAATGATTTCTCGTCTTGTACGCGATGATCTGACGTCTACATGGGGATCAGGGATATGGAGCGGCCTCTCAAACTGGCAGACTTAACCCAGAGCTAGTCGGTAGGAGGGGACTCAAGGAAAGCTTAGAGATGGGGTTTAACCCATGGTCTAATATTGTTATTGATGATCCATTCGCGGAGATTGCTGCATGAATGAATCGACCAAGGCGCAAAATTAGACCGCTCCAGTCGACGACGCCGTATGATCGTTGGCTTGAACAGTCCTGAGATCATGGGTCCGTTGATAAGTGAATGGTAAGTTTTTGTCAAATACTGTTTGATAATCTTTTCCAAATATTGACATAAAAACTATGCGAGTGTTTAATTTGCCTTGCCTCTTCGCTGACAACTTAACTCACTTGGGACTTATTTGCATTTTTCCGTTTGTTAATGTTTGTCAATACTTCGAAAGCCTAACCTACTAATCTTAGACCTGCATCAACACATAATCTTTCTAGATATAACAGTAGATGGTGTCTGCTACAATTGATCTTCTCTTGTGTTGACTTAGTGACACTGGTGAGCAGAGAAATCTTCGGTGGCGCCTGTTTAGTCTACTATCTGAAGACTAGGTAATGATTGATGTCTTATTCCATCTAGTTATATTGATAGGGGATAGCTCTAAGCTGCCTGCATTATCTATAGGAACTGGCCATTTTCTTCGTAGTTGATAAGCTAAAATATCATAACTTTCATAACTTGTAGTAGATGGGAGCTGATAAGTTAAATACTAGTACCCGTACCCCAGTGCCGCCATACTGTGGCCGTCTTTAAACCCTGGTTAGTACTCCGTGGTGTGGTCTCCTATTTTCCTCACCAATTTGCCTCACTCTAGAAGAGCTAGACATCCCACGATATAAAGAATGGCTATGCAAACTTACTAACCGACAAGGCCACAGCTAGGTCTTGACTCTACGTGGCTATAATTCACTGCTAGATCTGGTTCTACGGCCGTACGCCCAAGCGGTTCTACTTTTTGGAGAACTTAAATATAGCTTTTCGCGGCTATAGGGGAGTCTACCCTGATAGCTTTCTCCCATCCCATGGTGCGTTGCCGACTTCTATCTCGGTGACAGCCCTTTTGCGATCTGGACCATGTGAAGAAGTGGCTGTATATCTCGACATTTCCATGGTGATGAACTCCTGTATCATCTAGACTCCACCACGCCATGACACGAAGTGGAACTTATTATGCTCTGACGCTCTCGTTCTACCGACGGCGTAACTTGTGCCCGTCGGATTCTCTAGGTTAGAAAGTTCTTCCGTATCGCACCGTTAACGTTTTAGCTTCCCAAGAGCTCGCAAGTTTCGCCCAATAACCAACAGCGTACGGAGCACTGACCAGCAGGGAACAAGCACCCGAGAATTAAGACGGTGGACAACACGAAGATGTGATATCACGGCGCAGAGAGAAATGCAGCTGCCTGGGCTCTATCGCTGAAGTCGTTGGCATTTGCCCGATTTGGCCATCTCTGCGATGCTCTTTGACCATCCGCGCCTCGGTTTTATCGTCATGGCATATGCATAACGTTAAGGCAATGCTTAACGTTATACAGCTAGGGCTGATATCTGATGGATCCTCTTCCCTGTGGGCTGCCACGGTGAAGATTTTGTCTGGCTCAACGTCCTTATCGCACCATGACGCGCAGCCAGGAAGCCAGCCGGGATGGAGCAATGCAACTCTCCCGTCCATCAAGATGGCTCTATATCCGTTCGCTTTATCTCGTTTTCAGCGGGGCGGTGTTTCTTAACCGGGTGATCTATATCTGTCCACAGTATGAGCTTGGAGCTCCCGAGATGGAATATATATATGGCTGGCCCTTGGTGTTGCCAGAATATCAGAAAAGGCCATACCTCTCGGATATACCCTTATTGATTACTCTAGGGAAGAGCTAGACTACTTGAAGGCTCAAACATTGTTACCTCTCCTGATCTCTTGCAGACGCTAGCATGAGTCTGACCGTCGAAGGCGAGGACCGCAATGGTCCATCTCCATCAGATAATTCCTCTACCAGCAGTGCACACAATGAGATAGGCGAATTTCGTCCCTCGAAACGGACCTGGTTGATCTTCCTAACGCTATCAGTACTGACACTCATGGTGGCGCTGGATGGGACGTCCATATCCGTTGCCCTGCCTGTATGTGACTCTATATCGACGATGTCATCTAGATAGCTAACAAGCCTTTAGATCATCGCAACCAAGTTGAATGGCTCTGCAATCGAAGCTTTTTGGAGTGGAACATCGTTTCTCTTATGTTCGACAGGTACGCATCTCTCGCCCTTCTAACTATATTCTCCTCCCAGAGCTAACATGGCGTAGTCTTCCAACCAAGTTTCGCCTCATTCTCAAACATATTTGGTCGCAAACCTATTATCCTCATTGCATTGGCTTTCTTCTTCGTTGGCACGCTTGTCTCCGGCCTCTCCAAAGGGTTCACGCAGATGCTGATCGGCCGCTCCATCCAAGGTGTCGGTGGAGGCGGCTTGATCGCCTTGACTGAAATCGTCATCACCGATCTTGTTCCAATGCGTGAACGAGGAAAATATTTCGGTATCCTGAGTTCGATGTGGAGTCTCGGATCAGTCCTTGGACCCGTCTTGGGCGGTGGTTTCTCTCAGAATGTTTCTTGGAGATGGATCTTCTATATCAACTTCCCTTTCATTGGCATTGGCGCTGTCTTTATCGTGCTATTCTTCAAGCTCACTAGAATTCCGGACTCTCTAGCTGCCAAGTTACGCAAGATCGACTACATCGGCGCTGCATTATTTGTTGCATCTGCCGTCTCCTTCCTCATCCCCGTCACCTGGGGAGGAGTCATGTACGATTGGAGCTCATGGAGGACTCTGGTGCCCTTGATCCTCGGTATCGTCGGGTTGATATGCTTCATGCTTTATGAGACATACGTTGCAGCTGACCCTATGGTCCCCGTCACTGTCTTTGCCACCCGCACCGCCATCGTCACATACATCGAGACAGTACTACACGGCCTTGTCCTCTGGTGCGGCCTCTACTACATGCCACTCTACTTTGAGACGGTCAAGGAATACTCGCCCATCCTATCCGGTGTAGCGCTCTTCCCACTCAGTTTCACAGTGGCTCCCAGCGCCGTTGTAGTCGGCATCATCACCACTTTAACCGGCAAATACCGCTGGTCCATCTGGGTTGGCTTCCTCCTCAGCACCGTCGGCATGGGCCTCTTTGCAATTCTCAAGGTGACCACCAATGTTGTAGGTTGGATATTCCTGATGCTCCCCGCCGGTGTGGGACTGGGTATGCTCTTCCCTGGCCTGGGTTTCGCCGTCCAAGCATCGGCCTTAAAGGGTCATATGTCCATGGCCGTGGCGCTGTTTAGCTTTTTCCGTGCCTTTGGACAGGCCATCGGTGTGGCTATTGGAGGTGTGATTTTCCAAAATCGCATGGTGAGCAAGTTACAGAAATATCCCGAGTTTTCTGCGCCTGGAATTGCAGAGGCCCTGAGTAAGGACGCCGCAAAGCTGGTGCAGCTTGTTCGTGCTATGCCAGATGGTGCTGAGAAGATGCATCTCAAGGAGGCGTTCACGGGCAGCTTGAGGTTTGTCTGGATTGTCTGCTGCGTGTTGATGGCTGTTGGTGGGTTGTTGAGTCTATTAACAGCATCATATGACTTGAATCAGGGAATTGATTCTGATCAGACTCTGATGGAGAAGAAAGATCGGGATTCGGCTGTAGAAACGGCTGTCACTTCACAGGCATCTCTTGGCTCCGCAGAGAAGCCTTAAATGTTCCATTTGACGTGTGACATGTATTGGGTGGCTACTTCTTTTCTTTTTATTTCTGTTTCTATTTTGAGCTAGAGGCGCGAATGGAGTTGGGGTGGTGTATAATGTAATGTAATGCAATCTTATATCATTCTCAGTTTCAAGTATATTTCATATCCAACGCGGAAGAGTAATTCGTTAATAAAACATAGGACATTATTTCATTCTGTTTAAGTCATGCAATGGATGGCTCAAGCAAGATCCAAGGTAGGACGAGATATGTGCAATTTGCATGAAACACTAGAAACAGGAATAATGCGAACCCTAAGCCAATGCATCCGGTTATCCAACCTGGTAGGCGGGTTATATCGAGGATAGACCGCCAAACAAACGCATGTATATGTATGTATGTATGTTGTATATGTGGTATTAATTATTACGCAAAATCTCTCGTTATCTCAATGCCATGAAACCAATTGAGTAGAGGATAGGGCAGAAAAGGGGACCAAAATGAAGTATAGATGTAAGAGGTAGATGCAAGAATGTAAATGGGTCAAAAAATGAAGAAACAAATATGCGCTCAAATTCTAAAGGAGTGTGAATTAAAAGAGACCGAATCGTTTTCCTTTTTGTTTTTCTCCTGCGGTATCGTTAGTATCTATATTGTTTATGATAGATAAGGGAGAAGAATAGGTACCATTTTTTTTTAGACGACGGGAAGCGGCAGAGGCAGGATCGGCTCCGGAGGCAGCGGCTCTGATGGCAGCAATACGATGTTTTGCTCTCTCATCGCCATGGTCTGCGGCGCGGACGTACCATACGTTCGCCTCGAGGGGGTCACGACGACATCCTATGCCCATCTCAGTGAAGTAGCCGACTGCGTATTCTGCTTTTGCCAGGCCTGTACAAGATAGTTAGTATATATTCGAGCCGATATAAGTGATAGAAAATAGAGAAGCTCACCACACTCCGCTGCCCGTCTAGCCCATTCATAAGACTCATTTTCATCCTTCTCTAGAATCGGCTCTGCCCCGACCATAAACCACGCACACAATGCCATCATGGCCATCGGATGACCGAGCTGAGCGGCTCCTGTATAGAAATGCACACTCAGAGCTGGGTCGCGAGGACAGTTCAGCTTCCCATGTTCATAGGCATCGCCCATACGGTAATTGGCCTCTGCATGACCCAACTCCGCACTCTTCGTGAACAGCTGTGCAGCGTAAGATTCGTCCTGGAACACATCGTCTCCATATCCTGCTTCGTGCAGCAATCCCAATTCAAACGGCGCAGCGTTATACTGAACATCAGCAGATTCAGCAGCACGTTTGAGCCAGGTGAGGCCCTCGCGGTATCGCTTTGTGAGACCCATATCGCCTGCCAGACATGCACGACCAAGCCGGGCCATGGCTCCCGGGTGGTTTTTAGAAGCAGCCTGACGGTAGAACTGGACGGCCTTGGCGCCATCCTGTTTACTTCCCCAGCCAAACTCATAGCAGAGGGCGGCGCGGTAGCCGGCCTCCGCGTGGCCATGTTTGCTGGCGGCAATGAAGAGTTGGAAAGCTTTGTCGTGGTCTGGTTTCCCCTTGTTGAAGAGACCGGAAGCTAGGCCGTCGGCAAGGTAGTATTGGGCGTAAGGGTAGCTCCGGTCTGAGAGGCGTTGTAGGATACCTTTGGCTTCGCGGAGTAGTTCGGCGCGAGATGTGCCTTCGTTGCCTGTGCCTGCTGGACCCCCCCCTTGATTCGACTCCGTCTCATCTACCTCCTGAGCAGCGTGTATCATAAAGACGGCAAACTCATACTGCGCGCCTGGGTCGTTGGTCTTCTTCACGTTGGCCAGATACATGTCAAACGTCTGTTTCTGGCTGAGCAGGGAGGCATTGTTGCCCACGGCTGAACGCAACTGCGCATTGCTGAGGGCGCCGGCTGCAGGAGGCGGTTGCGGATACGGTACGTTCAGCAGGTCAACAAAGGAGAGGGGACGGGTATCTGTGTGGGAGTGGGAGCTGACTGCGCGGGCGTGAGGAGAGTGTCTTCGAGGGTGAGGGGAGAGGTCTGAGTAGCCTGAGTGAGGGACGCCCAAGTGGTCGCCATTGGTGTTTCGATTGCTGGAGGAACGGGAGGAGACGCTGGCGCTCGCACTGGCGCTGCGGAGGTGTCCGTGGAAGGGCTGGTGGTGGTACTGGAGCGGCTGGTAGGGCTCTTCAATGCTATCATCACTCGTCCGTCCATCCTGCCCGTCAGCCTGCCCATCTGGTCCATCCATCCGACGTCCATCAATGGGACCACTTGTCCGCCTGCTGCTGTCCAGCGTATTATGTATCTGGCCGTCCATCATGTGTCCCATCTCCGCGCTGGAAGGCTGTGGCTGCGGTATGGCCGCATCTATCCTGACCGGCGAGACAGGCCCTCCGTGCATGACAGCATTCTCCTGGCCATCCGGGGGCAGTATGGGAAGTGGTTTTCTCGAGGGCGTGGAACGTAGATAGACGGGCAAAGGAGGTGAGAGGGGCGGCTGGCTGCCCATGTCGTCTGTTGATTTCAATAACAACAGCGGGATAAAAATCAAGGAACCAAAAAAAAAAAGACGTTGGTATGTAGACTGATAAATTCACCACCGACCAGTCAGGCTAATGAGAGGCAGCTTGTCATGGACTGGCTGTCTGCAGTGTGACCGCGGTGTGATACGGCTTCGGTCGTCGTCAGTCGTCAGTCGCCGGTCGTCCAGGTTTCCTGTCCGTCGGTCAGTATGCCAGCCAGCAAGGAGGAGGGACAGGGTACGAGCTTATGAACACTTTTTAATGCAAGCGGAAGAACATAATGGCGGATGAGGAGAGGATCTGGTGGAGCTGAGCGAAGATCTGAGCCACGGCGATGGAGGATGCGGCTACGAATAGACGAATAGCGAGACGAATAGCGAGAGTAGACGAGCGAACGAGAGAACAAGTAACGAGAGAAGCAAGGAGAAGCAATGAGAGAATGAACGAGAGAAGAAGAGAAGAGGAAGACGGGGTGTTCGTGGTGGCTGAGATGAGGCTCTGGAGGTTGTCTTTGATATACGAGGATGCGCCCAAAGGGACCGCAAAGTCGATGGTCTGGAGATGTCGCAGCATTGGACCGTCCAGCAGCACTTTTAGGCCGCACTACGGAGACGACAGGGGGCTACATGCATAAACTACGTACTAACTGTGCCTTTGCCGTCCTAAAATAGACCGTTTGTATAGTTATTCGTCGAGGCGGAGACCGCTCGCTTAGCAAGGCGAAGACAAAGCGAAGAGAAAAGAAAAGTGACTCCACGGAGAATAGGAGAATAGGAGGATGTTACAGATATGATAAGAAGGATATGACAATAAGAATATGATGATAGAGACTAGAATAGAGAAGAGAAGAAGAGAAGAAGGATGTGAGCTGTTCATCTTGTCTGCTGTCTTATAGATCTGAGACACCAAATAGCCGGCCCCTTTTCTCTAGCATACCTGTCAGTATCTATCTCTACGGAGTATCTCTTCTCCATCTCTTCTACGGAGTATCTATATCTATCTCTCTATCTCTATCACTTCTATCTATATATCTCTATCTTTATCTCTATCTATATCTCTTCCATCTTCTATGTTATATCTATATATATCTATATATGTATGTATGTAGGTGTATGTATTCGTATGTATGGAAGTGTATGTATGTAAGTAATGTAAATACCGCCACCTGCAAAAAGGTTCCTGGCCCGCCCGTCTCCAGCGTAACTGCCGTACCGGTAAAGTTACTCGTTGCCCGCGAAACGAAAACTGGAAAAAGGGCGAGAGAAAGCGACGAGAAAGCGAGACATCTTCTTCCCTGTCTCTCTACACAAACACAACAGCACCTCACACATCATCTCACGGCGATAGTCTTGACTATAGCAGTGCTTACTCCGTATGCCGGCCTGAGGTGTCGCTCGTTATCACCGTCGCTCGTTATCTTGATGTTGTGACCCCTATCACCGCCTCGACGTCAACATAAACATCAACATCAACATCGACGTCAACATCAGACAGACAGACACCGACACAGAGAATCCATATGCTATAGCAGTTGACCGTGTTCTAGGATGTCCCTCCCCCAGCGGCCAGGGCCGTCGTCGCCCTCGCCTCGTCAACCGTCGTTTCGCGACTCCTACCAGCGTCGACGGCCAGACATCGAGTCCGCCTCCCCGTCGCCCTCGCCCTCGCCCGCCGCTGAGCTCAGTCGCAAACGCAGCCTGGTGCGCCCTGAACGCCATAGGATCAGTCGCGACCATCCAAACTACCACTACAGGCAGCATGCCCAAAACATGGCCGTCTACCCTTCTACCACGGGCAACGACCCCGTCTACGAGGAAGCCGAGATCCCAGAGATGGCAGACACCACGGAGACCGTCAGCTCGGGGAGCACCGGTCTCAAGAGCCTGAGCAAGCCCGAACGGAACACTACCAGTCTGGAGAGGAACCCCAGCATAGACGTCAACTCGGTGCCGTCGACCACGGGACCCTCGACGCGACCCGTCAGGCATGCCGACCCTGAACGCCGGATGCAGAGAAAGCTCTCCCGCAAAGCCTCCAAGTCGACCAAGGAGGAGCGGCGTCTGGAGGAGAAGAGACGGCAGGAGATGGAGAACATCAAGCCGCCCAGCCTGTGGAACGTCTATTGTGGTATGGTCACCTTCTGGGCACCGGACTTTTTGATAAAGTGCTTTGGGATGCCTGCCAAAGCTCAGCGGAGAGCGTGGCGTGAGAAGATGGGTCTCATCAGTCTCATCTTGCTCATCTGTGGTTTCGTGGGGTTCTTGACCTTTGGCTTCACTCAGGTCGTCTGCAGTGCGCCGCCCTTGCGTCTCAAGATCAACGAGGTGGAAGCCGGGTACATGATCTTCCACGGAAAGGCCGTCAACCTGGCCAGCTCTCAGCATCCTGCTGTGCTCGGTCTCCCAGATGGTGCCAACGTTGTTTTCTCTGGTGATGGATACGGTGGACAGGATGGCAGCTTTCTCTTCCAGAACGTCAATGGCGCGTGCAAGGGGATGATCACTCCCACGCCAAACTCGGACATCCCTCACAACAGTGATGGTGAACTGGGTTGGTACTTCCCATGCGTCACCTTCAATCAGGATGGCTCGACAAAACCAAATTTCACTACTCCGGAATATCTGGGTTACAAGTGCCATACCTCCGGAGCCGCTCGAAGCGCCTTTTACAGTCTAGACACCACCGGAGAGGTGTACTTTTCCTGGAACGACCTGAGGAACAAGAGCAGAAACCTGCTCGTCTACTCTGGAAACGTGCTCGACCTCGACCTGCTGAAGTGGTTCAACACCAGCCAGGTCTCGTACCCGTCCCGCTTCGACCAGCTGAGGGAGAGCTCAGAATTGCGCGGCATCGATGTCACCCACCGCTTCCAGACCGGACCCGAGAAGGCCATGTTCAAATGTCTTACCCAGATCATAAAGGTCGGATCCATCGATACCGAGACTGTCGGCTGCATTGCTTCCAAGGTCGTCCTGTACATCTCGCTAGTCTTCATTCTGGCGGTCGTCATTGTCAAGTTTCTCCTCGCCCTGGCCTTCCAATGGTTCCTTGCCCGCAGGTTTGCCGCGCCCAAGACCGCCATGGACCCTAGCTCGAAGGAGCGGAAGCGCCAGATCGAAGACTGGAGTAATGACATATACCGCCCTGGACCTCGCCTGGCAGACCCTGCCTTACCGGACCGTTCCAGCAAGCGCGCGTCTACCTTGTTCCCAACCACTTCGCGATTCTCTAGTCCTTATATGGTCGGGACGACGAAACAGAGGAATACCATTACCACCATGTCCAGCCAGAATAATACCAACCGTCTGAGTGCTGCTCCCATGTATAAACTTGGCGGCAACGTGAGCCAGGGAACTCTCAGCGCAGATCCACGACAGAGTCTTGTCGGTAGCCGGACCAGTCTGATGGTTCCCGGACATGACCCTCGCCAGTCCACTATCAGTGACATTGAAGGTCAGGGCCCAGCCGAACTCGTCCATGAAGCCGTCGTGCCACAACCTCCAGCAGAATGGCAGCCGTTTGGCTACCCGCTAGCCCATACCCTGTGTCTAGTTACTGCTTACTCTGAAGGTGAGGAAGGTATCCGCACCACCCTGGACTCCATTGCCATGACGGACTATCCCAACAGCCACAAAACCATTCTTGTCATCTGTGACGGTATAATCAAGGGTAAAGGCGAGTCTATATCGACCCCTGACGCTGTCCTTAGCATGATGGGTGACCACGCCGTGCACCCAGACGATGTCCAGCCCTTCTCCTATGTTGCCGTAGCCTCCGGTTCGAAACGCCACAACATGGCCAAGATCTACGCGGGCTTCTACGGCTATGGACAGAACTCCGTGGTCCCGCCAGAGAAACAACAGCGCGTGCCGATGATGGTAGTCGTCAAGTGCGGAACTCCCGAAGAAGCCACGAAGAGCAAGCCTGGAAACAGAGGTAAACGAGACAGTCAGATTATCCTCATGTCCTTCCTACAGAAAGTCATGTTCGACGAACGCATGACGGAACTCGAGTTTGAGATGTTCAACGGTCTATGGAAAATCACTGGCATCTCTCCAGACTTTTACGAAGTAGTCCTCATGGTAGACGCAGACACCAAGGTCTTCCCCGACAGTCTGACGCACATGCTCTCAGCCATGGTCCGCGACCCTGATATCATGGGTCTTTGCGGCGAGACCAAGATCGCCAACAAGTCCGATAGCTGGGTAACCATGATCCAGGTATTCGAATACTTCATCTCTCACCACTTGTCCAAGTCGTTCGAATCTGTCTTTGGAGGCGTCACCTGTCTACCAGGCTGTTTCTGCATGTATCGTATCAAGGCACCCAAGGGCGGACAGAACTACTGGGTCCCCATCCTCGCCAACCCAGACGTGGTAGAACACTACTCTGAAAACGTGGTGGACACCTTGCACAAGAAGAATCTCCTGTTGCTGGGTGAAGATCGATATCTGTCAACGCTCATGCTCAGGACTTTCCCCAAGCGTAAACAAGTCTTCGTCCCACAGGCGGTATGCAAGACAACTGTGCCCGACAAATTCTCCGTCCTGCTCTCCCAGCGTCGTCGATGGATCAACTCCACCGTCCATAACCTCATGGAACTCGTGCTCGTCCGTGACCTCTGCGGTACATTCTGCTTCAGCATGCAGTTTGTCGTCTTCATGGAACTGATCGGAACTCTCGTCCTCCCAGCCGCCATCGCATTCACCTTCTACGTCATCATCATATCCATCATCCACAGCCCGGTACAGGTGATCCCACTTGTCCTACTGGCGCTTATCCTGGGTCTACCCGCCGTTTTGATCGTAGTCACTGCCCACCGTCTCTCATATGTGCTGTGGATGTTCATCTACCTCCTCTCTCTGCCCATCTGGAATTTCGTGCTACCTACATATGCGTACTGGAAGTTTGACGACTTCAGCTGGGGAGATACGCGTAAAACGGCCGGGGAAAAGACGAAGACTGCCGGAATCGAGTACGAGGGAGAGTTTGACAGTAGTAAGATTACTATGAAGAGGTGGAGAGATTTCGAGAAAGGTATGTCCTTTTTGAACTGTCTGATTTGTCGATGATAATAGGTGTCTAACATATATGTTTTAGAACGCCGAATCCGAAATGCGAATGCAGCCAGTCACCATCACACGAATTCTTCCTTCTCGAACTATGCGGCGCATAATTCTGTGTATGGTGGGTACTCCGACTACCAATGAATGCTCCGAATCCAGCATGTGTATTCTTTTTTTTACCCCCGTTCGGCCTTTTAAAATATCCAATCTGCCACCAAATTTTTTATATATCACTTCTTGCCTTATTACTTTTTCTACTGCCCTTCTATTGCAACGAGCCATGAAAGCTTCATATAGTTACATCTATGTTCAGTGACTGTTTAACCCTGATATACCAACCCCTGCTGTACTAACTAGTAATATTTCCTAATATTATTCCCTCCCTGTCCTCTCTTGGCTCGTGCTTCTGTATCGTGTTTTTACCTTGTTATAGTATTTTCTTCTATCGATGGGCCCTGTTTTGCTTCCATCCGGAGTCAGCGTGCACACCTGCTATTCTCTTTATCCTGTCTGTAGGTACATATATACACTTATATACAAGAAATGTCCTCTTTTATCCTCGTCCTCCCCTCCAACAGGTGAACTGCTGTAAGGTACGTATGCCAACCCCCACGCCCACCACCCTTCGCACCACCACCTATCCATGCCAGCAGCTTAGTAAACCGTAGCCAGCGCGGGGATATAAAACCCATCTGTGCTACTCCAAGAACAGCATTTGCATGGGTTTGCATGGGGCCCTTGAGTGGCCTACTATATAATTCCTTCTTATCCCTTAAAAGGGCTATATGATCCTAACCTGCAGATACCGTGTTTGGCATATCACGCATGAGCCCACATCCCTGTCTCGCATGATATACTACGCTGATAGAAGGCCTGGGATGTTAGGCTGCTCTCTTGGGCACCAGCAGCAGTGCGATCGATGCGGTGCGATGCCTGCAGGGGCCAGAGAGGGCTGCCGCGTCAACTGCAACGGTAGCTGTAGCCGTAACCAGAATATGTATACCATGGCGTATACGGAGTAAGCCACGTACATATGCAGGGGACAGAAAGAAGCCATCGCTGCGTCTGTTATCGTCCTATATCCCGTAAGTAAGTAAGTAAGTCAAGTATATCAACCTACTTACATATGGAAGATGTTTGCTGGCGATTCGCTGCTCTCCCGCTCCCGTGCCGCGATAACTGCATACGGACAGGCATGCGGTAGCGATGTGTCACCGTCTCCCCATCATGCGCCCATCCACCCACCATGCATCCGTCATGCATCCCGGCGTGGCCCATCAAGCCGTCAAGCTCCATCTCTTGAATGTCCGTCCAGTCCATCCCTGGCGTCTTCGGTCCCGGTCCCTGGAAGGCTGCGGCGATGCCCAAAAGTGGTTAGACCTGTCCGGGTGCTCCCTCCTGTCACATGACCCCGGAGCTCGGCGTTTCTTTCCCTGTGCGGGGGTTCGAGGGCCGCTGGGAACCAACCTTCGACCTCGACTTCAACTTCACGACAACCTCGACTTCCCTCTACTTGCACAGCTCTCTGACATATCTCTCGGACGCCAGCTTGAGAGATAGAGATAGTCAGAATAGGCGGGACAGGCAGCTTGCGCCCTGCTCATCCGGTCACATCTTCCCTCTACTACGACTACGACTACGACTACTCGACTCGACTACTCTCCGACTCCAGACTCCAGACTCCAGACTCCCGACTCTTGGGTCTGCTTGGCTGCTCTGACAAGGACCGGCCAATTGGAACTCCATTAGTGCGCTGCTGCAGCGTCGGATCCTGCATAAGATCCTGCACTCTTCCTCAGCAAAGGGAAGCCATCGTTGGACTGTCTCTATACAGACAGACAGACGTCGTCACTGTTTTGAAGCCGCTCTTGATACTAAAATTGGTTGCTTCTTTGCATATTCTCTCTGGCCTGGACCTGTGACTGTGACTCTTCGCTTGTGCTGTCATTCACACTTAAAAGCTGCGTAGTAGTGCCGGCGCCTATCTCTCATCTCCCCTCACTTCACCTCACTTCACTTCTCTCACCTCACTTGGTCCTCTCTACCAACTTAGAGCAACACTTAACTTGCTTTCTTGGCTCCTCGCGTCCTTCTTGCTTATCTTCTGTGTAACAACACGTCTTTTTTTCTCCCTTCCTCTCTACTTCTCTTTTTCTTCCTTTTTCTTTTTTTTTGTTGTGTTGTTGTGATCAGCATATTCCTTTTTCCAGCTATACTTGTGGTGGCCAAATCTTCTCTAGATCTCCATCTTAAAAAGCTACAACTTTCAGCTTGCTCTAATCATCCAAGGTATGTGGCTGGTTCTGTCTGACTGTCGCTTGATTTCTAACAGCAGCTTGTCTTTCTAGCACTTGATCTTGCCGAGATCTTTAAATCATTAACCAATCAGGCACTGGCTTCACGATATCGTTAGCACTACACTGGTACTGTCGACAAGATACCAGAGCCTAGGTCTTTGCTTCTTGCCAGGTCCGGACTCAAGTTAGTGATTGAATAAAGAGATGCTCTCCTGCCAGTGAATATCTGAATATTGAAGATATGGTTGACCAGAGCGAGACTGGAGCCGGGCAGTCCTCATCTCAAAGTGCTACTCATCCACCCGCTACTACTCATTCAGCGGATGACTTAACCAAGCAAGAAGACTTAGCCATGAACGAGGAACTTACACATGCGGATGAAGCACCTAATGCTCCTCTGCATACAGGCGAAGGTGATTATCTATCTACTACCCTTGACTTGGTGTATGCTTCATCTAACACCATCTTAGAATCTACTGGTTCAGCTGCTGGGTTTTTATCGTCTCCTGTTCTATTAACATATGCTGAAGGCCCGCCTCCACTTGATCCTCTCTTGGACGCGCCTTTGTTTCAAGACTCCTTTCTATCTGACTTATCCCATGTGAGCGCTGCCCTGTCAGTATCTGATTTTGGTGCTGTCCCGTCTATCTTTGGCTCAATATTGCCACCCGCACCCTCAACAAACAACACTGCCCAGGAGCCTGATGCGACTGGCTATGAGAACTATAGCGATCGCGACTCAGATGTACCTGCTCCCCCTAATGATAGCTCATATGATATCCCAGCCACCTTCATGCAGGATACAAGCAATGATACTGATGATGGGTGGAATGGTGGACAGTGGAATGAAGGCCAGGAAGGTGGCAGCTTGATCGAAGACTCTGAGCTGTCTGGATTCGAATTTGACAAGCTTCCTCAAAACAGAGTAGGCATGGGCTTTGGCTCTGACTCTACAAGCTCTGACAACGATGCAGACGTGGCCGAGCAGTTCTACCCTTCTGATGACGAGGATGAAGATGATGAGCCGTACCGTCGCTCAGGGACATTCTATGGCAACCTAGATGCCATGTTCACCTATGGACAAACAAATGCTGGGAATAACGCTGACGGACCTATCACCCCACCAACTGAACAACCATCACCTTTGCCTGCACTAGACTTGGAAAATAACGAACTTACTGACTACTATTTTGATGGGGTTGGTAATGATACTGATAATGCAGACCTTTCAATGCATACAGAGAGTATGGATAACCATTTCCTATCCCCCTTCTATTTGAATTCCTCCCTTACACCATCTTCTATCTCTATGCCCCTTACTCAAGCTATGAATTCTCTCACTATTGGCGGCGGCACTAGTGTCAGTGACAGTAAGGGTATTGACCTCATTAACTCACTTCATTGGGCATTTGTGCGCTTACTTGAACTAGTCACTAGTTCAGTTGGTATCCTGCCTCTTCCTCCTCCCCTCCTTTCAAGAATCTGTCACGTTCTTGGAAAATTTTCCTCCTTACACCAAAGGGTCATGGCTGGACTGTTGGAACACGGCATTCAGTTTGGCCGGCATACGATGTCTATCTCGACTCCAGTTGCCGCGCCTGGTATTCCTTTTGGAGAAGACGAGGATTCCGATCCCTTTATCCCACCTTTGCCAAACGAATACTCCGAAGAGTCGCTTTCAACAAACGCGTCGTCTTCAGAGGAAACCGTTATACCACGATCTGAACCCGAGCCACGCCCCCCACCACTGTTGACACGAGAGGAATACGAAGACCTCCATGAACCATCTGAGCTTTCCCCTTACTACATACCTCCAGCCATCATTCTCCAGTCTTTCAATGCTCCCACTGCAAGCACTTTGCTAGCTGCCTTACTTGCTCCGGCCGATGATGCTAACCAAAATCCCTTACCAGCTTTCGAACGCAACTTGACCGTCGAACAGTTCATTCGCCAATGGTATATTCGCGGTCGCCTCAACAACGTGCGTATCAGCGGTAATGAGCCATACCATCCAGTTTCTTCGGAGGCTATCCATGTGTTGCAGTGGGCGAGGCCAACAAAGATATCGCGTCCGGAAAACCATCAATCACGCACGTTTGATATTCAGAACATTCCGTGGCAGCAGAAGTTAAACGTGGATAGAGCTGCTGCGCGTTCTGTACGGGACAGATGGTATACATCTTATCATAACTTGCGTTTCCAGCCTCATGGCGTAAGTTTCTTCCTCACCTGTCCGACTCGTCTACGTGCATAGGTCTAATTGATATACCCTACTAGTACGCTGTAACCTTGCGAGACAGCGAACGTTACTTTAAAGCAAAAACCATGTACACCAAGTTCAAGGCTTCAATGGCGCACTTCCAACTTAGAAACCTCATGTCCGTGACTGCATCCAATACTGTGCAGTACGTCCATCGATCCAAGGTCTATTCTGTCACGCCTTTTTACGACCTCAACAAATGTCTCATTGACCTATCCGATTCGAGCTCTGCTACGACTTTCTTTGAGCCCGTGAAGATCTCCACCATGAAAGCTAAACACGGTGTCACCATTGCCGGAGGATTCTGTGGCGAATATGCATATAGAGCTGAGGTGAACGACTATAAGAAAATCGAAGGTCGCGTCACTAAACACCCTAACGGAATCACGAACCATATCGACATTGTTAAGCATCGAACCAGTCGTAACCCACAGGCTGTTATTGCTTCAAACGACGAATCCATCCGTATCCTCGACTGTGAGACGAACAAGTTTGTTGCGTCCCACCGATTTGCTCGAGCTATTAACTGCACCGATACTTCTCCTGATGGGCGCCTTCGTGTTATCGTTGGTGACTCTGCCGACGCCTGGGTCGTTGATAGTGACACTGGAAAACCCGTTCAGGCTCTCACCGGACATCGTGACTATGGATTTGCATGCGCCTGGTCCCCAGATATGCTGCACATAGCCACCAGCAACCAAGACAAGACCGTCAACATCTGGGACGCGCGTATGTGGAGGATCCTCCAAACCATGGACTCGGACGTTGCTGGCTACCGCTCTCTCCGCTTTTCTCCTGTCGGCGGCGGCCCACGTACCCTCCTTATGTGCGAGCCAGCAGATCGCATCGCCATTGTCAATGCCCAAACTTACGAGACCCGTCAGGTTCACGATTTCTTCGGAGAGATCGGTGGCGCCGACTTCACTCCTGACGGCGGCAGAATCTGGGTTGCCAACATGGATTCCCGTTTCGGAGGGCTCATGGAATACGACCGCGTTCAATGGGGCCAGGAGTTTGGCATCAGCCACACTCGACGTTCAAAGATTGAAAGCCGTGGCGACGTTTATCATCCAGATCTACCTAACGAATGGCTTCCCGAAGCTGAGCTGGACGACGACCCACGCTGCGTTTTGGGTCCCGGCGAACGAAGATTGCGATTCGAGAGGCTCATGAGTGATACAGAGTTTGCAAACCTCAACCGGTTCTTGGGATAACCTTGGACAAACTTCCTTGGTCTGGCTTCTTTGGCTTATGCCCTTTGGCTTCTTGCCTTTTTGCATGAAATTAAAAAGATCCTATGATCAACGATACCAACAACCTCACCTTTTTTTTCCCTATGGGTTTTTCATTCACCTTACACTACCCCTGCATTCCAAGTTGGTGTTATTTGGAGTTAGGTTACCCTACGACACGGAGTTTTTTTCTGCACGGCGTTCCTTTTTCTACGGGCGATACGATATGACGCTTTAACGCACCGCAACGACTCACGCAACGACTCACCACTACCACCTTGCATTGTGTTTCCTCAGCATCACTTTTCTTGCACTAATAACCTGGACTTTTCTTTTCTTCCCCCCTTGCAACTTTCCCTTTGCACGCTGCTTTAAAAAGAGAAAACGACAAAAAAACTGTTCCCAACACACTCCCCTGTACTTGTGCTTTTAGTTTCTTTTCTTTTTCCTACGGCGGCTCGCGCTCCTGACACCACTACTTTTTTTCGATTTGACTCGACTCGATCGTGCCAAAAGATTCAAATGTACTAAGAACCGGACAAGGGACGCATTTCAACGAGGGGCGCATTCAGCATGGTTTCTCAACACGGCAGGACAATCTCATGTTTTTCTCATCCCCCTTTCTTTCTTCTATCTGGCGAGGCGAAGGACACGGCCGACGTCTTTTTCTTTCCTCCCCCCTTTCTCTTTTTAATGGTTTTGTTTTTGCTTGCGTTCACATCGGAAATGGTAATGGAAACGGACATGGAAACGGACACGGATTTGTATTCTGGGCATAGCGGACTGGGAGGAGCACGGAATAAACAAGGCAAAGATAAACAAACGATATGGAGAATAATCAGGGACCACCTTCATAGCTAGCTTAGGTACCTAATAAAATCTACGTGTACACCAGACTTCGTTTCTTTTTCAGGATGCGATCGATCAGATTTTCGATTCGACCGGCGTGATCGTGAATTGCGCATTGGTCGAAGCCCCTCACTTTGCTTCACGCATGCCATGCCTTTTCCCATGCCCTCTGCCATGCCTCGAGTGGCCGCGGTGGTGGGGGGCGGGCTTAGCAGGCTTGTAGACATGACGAACGTTTGTTTGTTGCCCCTCCAGCAACTCGCCACCTGCAGAAGCAAAGTATAAGAATCGCCCTGAGCTGCTTCCTGCTTCATTCCCCGATCTCTTCAATCTCTTCAACTCGTTAATTCTTTGTGTTTGTCTACGGCACATCTACAGCACATCTACAGCACATCTACCCCACAATGTCATTCAACGACACCCAGCAGCGGGGTGAGTCCGCCGGCTACTACAACCCAGGCGACCTCAGTCTCGACCAGGACCAAGCCATCAAACAAGCCCGCCGCCACGGAAACGGCCGTGAGGACGACGATAATGACATCTCCATCTTTAGCCAGGCCATGAGCTTCCTAGGTGACCACAAGGAGAAGCTCGGCCGCGAGGACATCGACGAGGAGAAGGTCGTCAACAATCACCAGAAGCTCTACGGAGACGCTGACGATAGGGGGCAGAAGCACGGTGCCGAGTCTCTGGGCTCAGGAGCTGCGATGCAGGCTCTTAAGATGTTCATGGATGACAGCGGGAAGCAGGACCATAACCAGAACCAGAACCAGAACCAGGGTCAACAGAGCCAGGGTGGTGGTGACCAGAACAAGCTCATTGGTATTGCAATGGCCCAGGCTGGGAAGCTATGGGAGCAGAAGAACCAGGAGGGTCGTGTGGTGAGTTCCTTATCTACCTGACTGTCTAGATATATCCAATTGGGGTTGATGGGCATCAATTAACGGTATCAAAAAGGACACCGATAAGCAAACTGCCGTCAACATGGCTGCTCAGTATGCCCTGAAAATGTACTTGAAGGGCCAGATGGGTGGTGGTGGCGGTGGACTCGGCGGACTCGGTGGCCTTGCTCTTATTTCTGGAGCTCTTGGAGGTGGTGGTGGTGGCAACCAGCAGCAGAGCGGACTGGCTGCCATTGCCGGTGCATTGGGAGGAAGCGGAGGCCAGCAGCAGCAGCAACAGCAGCAAGGCGGAGCTGCCAACCTCTTGGGCATGGCTTCCAAGTTCCTTTAAAGGATAGAATTGCTAGATAAATCCTAGCCCCCTGTCTAGTTGATATGGCCAATTTCGGGACGCCTAATTAGTGTTATATCAATGTCAGCTCATGAATCATGAATCATGATATCTAGTGACTATCTGTTTGTCCAAGATCGCCAAGTGAGGTTGAAGAGCTACAACCAACTGTTAATATACGTAGCTATGTAGGTGTTGGTAACTCTGCTAGAACCATGGTAACAAACTAGATTTCAGCCACCCGCGGGCGGTAAAAGGAGTATACCCGAGTTCATTGTATAAAGCATGAATATCATACGAGGCTCCATGTTCAACTATTTACTGTTCCTCCAGCTCCTTGCTGATGTCGAAGATGAGGTTCACTCGTCGATGCTACGCTGTAACCCACTTAATCGTAGCACTAACAAGGAACGACCCTGTAGTTAACTATGGAGTGGCTGATGAGTGTACGATCAAGCTTTTCATCTCCAGACCCGACTATATAAAGGGCAGCATATATACCCATGCTCCTTGACGCCCTCTGTCGATTCATATCTATGCATCCAGGCCTTCTTTTGGAATCGTATACAGGATGTCTGTTGAGCGCGCCGAGCTGAGTCTGCCGGTTGACGATGGCGTATCCAAGTCCAGCGCAGACAACGAGTCTCCAGATAGGACTCCCGCGGCAGATGTGCTGGATGAGAAATACCAAGTCGCCAAATGGGAGATATGGGCATATTATGCTTGTGTTGCCTCTCCACGATGAACTCATGATCCTTTGGCTGAGGCTCCAAGCACTATTCAGACCAACGCTGACCACATTTCCTACAGTTACTACGTGGGAAATAATGGGCTGACGCTATTCAGTGGGTTCCTACAATCATAAATTACTGAATAAAAGACACTTATCAGTGAAATATTCATCTTCAACCTCTAGACTTTGCTCCAACCGCATTCCAGAACTTGCTCTCCCAGGCTGCAGGGCCCGGGGGAACGTTGGTATTTGCTGGCTCTAGACGCACGATCAACAGTATCGTGCTGCTGAGCAATGGCATATCGTTTGCTATTCAGATATTTGTATTCCTGTGCATCGGTAGTTTTGCCGATTTCGGAACTTGGAGACCGAATATTCTCATCGTCCTGTCCATCATCGCCTATGCAATTGGATTTGCATGGATTGATGTCCACACACCCGAGAAATGGCACGTCGCAGCAGGCCTCTACATCGTGGGCCTCATCGCCTACCAGGCTTGCCTGACCTTCTGGACGGCGGCTTTCCCTGGTCTAGCGAGAAATACGCAGGAACTTCGACAGAAGGCTGAAGAGTATCGGGCTGGCCTTATCACTAGGGATGAGTATGACGCTGCTGACTCGATGAAGCGAAGCCAGCTGTCAAACATAGCGTTTTATATTCAGTCCGTGGGCGAGGTGTTCATACTGGCAATAATTGTAGGCATCATGTTTGCCCTGGACGTTAATGCGAGCGAAGCCAAAAATAACAAGGGGCTGAGTGTTCTCATAGCATTCGCGACAGGCGTATGGCTGCTCCTATCGATTCCATGGTTCGTCCTGGAAAAGCGACGGCCAGGACAGGACTTGGGGAAGAAGAACATTGTTATGGCTGGGTTGAGCCAGTTATACCGTGCAGCAACGGAAATTTGGACCCTGAAGCAGAGCTTATTCTACCTTATCGGTAGGTATTTCTTTTAACATGGCTTTAAACTATCATTGTTGGCTACGATGGAGTGCTAACATTATACAAGGGTACTTTTTGCTTGGGGATTCTTTAAATACCACAGTGACAGTGATTGCAACGCTCCAGAATAGCATCGTTGCGTACAACACGCTTCAACTGACGTACCTTCTCATCGTTGGAATCTTTGCCCAGGTCAGTAACTGGCGGTGTCTGGCATTGATATTCAGCTAACGACCTTACTATAGGCCGTCGGAATCTATGCATTCTGGGATATACAGAAGCGCTTCAACCTGCAGCCCAAGACGATGTTCAATGCAATCGCCATTGCCATCATCCTGCTTGACGGCTGGGGAATGATAGGTATCTGGACCTCTCGGTTTGGATTCCACAATAGCTGGGAAGTCTGGGCCTACCAGGCGTTTTATGGCCTATTCGTCTGTCCATGGTACAGCTATAGCCAGATCATGATATCCGAGGTGACCCCCCGTGGCAAGGAGTTCCTGTTCTTCAGCCTCTTCAGCATCATTGGCAAGACGTCTTCTTTCATTGGACCCTTGGTTTCCAGTGCCATCATCGACGCATCGCCGTCGGGCAACAACTCGACGCCCTTTTATTTCTTGTTTGCACTCAGTTTGGCGAGCTTTGTCTTCCTTTGGCTTTTCGTCGATGTCCCGACGAGCCGCAGAGAACAGGAGATATTCTTGGCCAAGGAAAAGGCCGAGCTTGCCGGCAGAGAGGAGCCTTTGACCAGTACTCCGTAGTTAATACAGTAGAATGTCATTTTCATGTTCTTCTATATGGTCATCTATATGGTCATCTATATGTTTGTTCTGTAAGGCGGAGTGAGGCTGCGTCACACGTGACCAGAAGAATGACATAAGCAGTGGCCTTTTCGTCATCTGACGGAATCACCAACAAGCAAAGAAAGCAACAAGCATCATCATCGTCGACCGAGCAAGCAAGCCACTCTGCATCGAGCCCCGAACAGCTTCACCGCACCCGTTGCTCGCTCTCCCTCCCGCTGCCGCATACCGGCCCTGCGACTCGTCGTTGGACTGCACATCCGCCCGCTTCCCCCAGAATTCAGCTCTTAGAAGGACCATGGCTGCAAGAGCGCCAGGAGGTCGGGCCAGTGCTAGGTTCGCCCAGTTTAAGCTTGTACTTCTCGGTTCGTCCCCCCTTAACTACGAGGACATGCCCCCTGAAGCTGTATACTGATAAGTGCTGTGTATAGGAGAGTCTGCCGTTGGAAAGGTGATATCCCGTCCTCCGATCTGTGGTGATTCGGCTTTCGTGGGGAGATTACTGACAGCTGCCTAACATAGAGCTCCCTCGTTTTGCGATTCGTAAAAGTGGGTAGAACCTCCCCTATAATCGGTGCTCACCATGATGCTGGCAGTGGATTAACGCTGGACACTCTTGTTTTAGGACCAATTTGATGACTATCGGGAGTCTACCATCGGCGCCGCATTTCTTACACAAACCATATCGCTCGATGAGACGACCACAGTGAAGTTTGAGATATGGGATACTGCCGGCCAGGAAAGATATAAGTCGCTCGCGCCCATGTATTACCGAAATGCCAACTGTGCTGTCGTTGTTTATGATATAACTCAGGCTGTAAGCAATTCTTGTTCCTCCCCCCCCTTGTGCCTTGTGCTATCCAGAGCTGATGAACCCCTTTATACAGTCATCGCTCGACAAGGCGAAATCATGGGTAAAGGAACTCCAAAGACAGGCGAACGAGAATATTATCATTGCGCTTGCCGGAAACAAACTTGATCTGGTCACCGAAAGCCCAGACAAGCGCGCCATCGAAACGGCTGATGCAGCTGCTTATGCCAAAGAGGCCGGGCTCCTTTTCTTTGAAACCTCTGCGAAGACATCAACGAATGTACGAGAACTATTTACGGCAATTGCAAAGAAACTACCCCTGGACCAGGCCGGTCCACGGAACCTGCGAGCAAACCCAAGGCCGGGCGTCGACCTCCGACCGGAGACCTCGAATACACAAGGAGGAGCCTGCAGCTGCTGAGTGCATTTGGGAGATATCTGCGTTTAGTCCTTACAGGCACCGTATTCATCATAGCTGACTGTTTTGGAATGCGAGGGGAAACGAATGGCAAGGGAAACCTAACATGACTTCAAGGTACAACAAGAGTACCATCCTTAATATGATTTTACAGGCGCCCTTATCCTTTCATATCGTGTCATACCTTCTGGCCCTGAGACAACCCGGCATATGTTGGAACGACTCCCCCCGTGCGGTGACTTCCTACCCTATACATAGCTCTTGATGGGTTTTCCTTTTTTATATTTATTAGATATTGATTTGCGGCGCGTGCTCCCTCTCGCTATCTACGATTTAATCATCTGTTTCCTTTTCCCTTGTTCCGCCCTGGTGTTAATATTGGCTCCTGCTATTCCCTGTAATTTGTTACCCCTTCCTGTTATTATTACTCCCTTTTTTATTACTCTGGCTTTCATTCTGTCTCTATACCGAGCAAGCATAATGAAATAGTCCGATACCAGTAATCCGAGGTCTTCACAGTCGTATAGCCAGGTCTACACTCCCACCGTACTGAAAGCACTGCTTAAGTCCTAGCGGATCCATCGGCTTTAAAGCCCCCAAAGACATAATAGCCATGCATCAATAACGATACAAATGAAAGAACTGAGCAGCTATATATCTTCGTATCTTCTCCGTGTATCCAACTCTGCCTTGCCGCGGTTAAAATGGCGATGCAACATCTTTAAAGCGGCGCTGAAAACTCTCCCAGATAACCACTTTTGTGCCAAAACAAATCGACGTCGCTCTCTCCCAGTACTCATCCCATGAGCCGACGACCATTCAGCTCCTGTCGACTATCCAGCGGCATATAACGCCCAGCATGCTGCGCAATTCAATTGCGCCGTCCCGAGGGCTGGGTTCATTGACCCGGCAGAAGGCCGCCAGCCAATGGCTAAATACATCCCGACGAAGCCTCATAGGCAAGGTGAGCAGAGAATCTATTCCGGCGGCCGTCCCTTGATAGCCTGTTGCTAAACGGATCTTCTTTCACCGTATAGAGGAGCTACAGTAAAGTGAGAAGCGCCGGCTGGCCGTACGAGAGCTCAATTCGGCTCGAGGCAGGTTCTTTGCCAACGAGGCAAATCTGCAATGCCACATTTACAACCGGCGCAACGCTGCGTGTGAACGATCCCAACGTCCGATCACCACCTTCTCCATCTTCCGCTTCAGCTATAACGCCGGAGGGTGTTTCGAAACCACCACCACCATCGCCTGCGGCCCAGGGTTTGACATCGCCTGGCTCGTCGGTAAACCCACCTGAACCTCCAAAGGCCAAAACCGGCGCTCCTCCTCCTCCCCCTCCACCACCGCCGCCTGCTCCTGTTACCAAAGCCAAGGGGAGATTCAGCAGATTCCTGTTGTATCTCGTCCTTTCCACTGGAGTTGCTTATGCCGGAGGTGTGTGGTTTTCTCTGAAGTCGGATAACTTCCATGACTTCTTCACGGAATATGTTCCATACGGCGAGGAGGCAGTATTGTACCTTGAGGAGCTTGATTTCCGCCGCCGCTTCCCCAATGCCACCCGACACATCAATACTCGGCCTTCCACACCCCGTGAAGAGGGAGAGAAAGTGACGATACCGAGCAAGAGCGGCGTTTCTTGGAAGGTGGCCGAAAATGAAGGTGGGAGCGATGTATCTCACAAGGGAAGGCATATGAGTGCTGTGGACGCCGAAGTGCCTCGCGCTGCCGAGAAATCGAAACCAGCACCAAAACAGCCAGCTGCCGAAGACAAGAAGGTCACCGAGACTACTGCTAGCAAGAAAGATGAACCGAAGGAGAGAGTCCCAGTTACTGATACTCAAAAGCCAGCTGTCTCTCTTGATGAGCCAAGAAAGCCAGCTGCTCCTACTGTTGCAAGCATTGAGCCATTGGCAGCCCTACAGGATGATCCAACTATCCAGGAACTAACAAAGATCGTCAACGGGCTTATCGCTGTTATAAATGCGGATGAATCGGTTTCTCGATTCGCTGCTCCGATCGCCAAAGCCAAAGAGGACTTCATGAAGCTTGGAGAGAAGATTTCTAGCATTAAAGAAGAAGCTCTTTCCGCGGCCAAGGAAGAAATCAAGAATGCACACTTGGAGTTTGATCGATCCGCTACTGAGCTTGTCCGACGAATCGATGAGGTCCGTGCCGAAGAGGCCGCCCAGTACCGCGAGGAATATGAGACTGAGCGTGAGAAGCTTGCAAGTTCCTACCAAGAAAAGATCAAGACGGAGGTTGAGAGGGCTAATGCGGTTGCTGAGCAACGGCTTCGAAATGAGCTGGTTGAACAAGCTATCGAATTGAACCGCAAGTTCCTTAACGATGTCGAAACTCTTGTCGAAAAGGAAAGAGAAGGCCGCTTTAGCAAACTGTCTGAGCTGACTGCTCAAGTGGCCGAGCTTGAGAAGCTGACTGCAGGCTGGAACGACGTGATCAGCGCCAACCTGACGACCCAGCAGCTCCAAGTCGCCGTTGATGCGATCCACTCTGCCCTCGAGAGCGATAGCATGCCAAGGCCATTCATCAACGAACTACTGGCTGTCAAGGGGCTCGCAGGCCAGGACCCAATTATCAATGCCGCCATTTCATCGATAAACCCTACCGCATACCAACGTGGGATCCCCTCATCTGCCCAAATCATCGACCGCTTTAGACGTGTTGCCAACGAAGTCCGCAAAGCAAGTCTGCTCCCTGAAGATGCCGGCGTCGCCAGCCATGCGACAAGCTATCTCATGAGCAAGGTCATGTTCAAGAAAGAAGCCTCCTCTAGCGGAGACGACGTCGAGAGCATCCTCACCCGTACAGAGAAGTTACTCGAGCAAGGCAACCTTGATGATGCCGCGCGTGAAATGAACACACTCCGCGGATGGTCGAGGCTACTAAGTAAGGACTGGCTGGCTGATGTGAGAAGGGTTTTGGAAGTTAAACAAGCCATGGAGGTAAGTCTATCCAGCTTTATCTCTACCTTTTCCCCTTTTCTGCGGATGCTAACTTATTTCTTTGTAGGTTATTGAAACGGAAGCCCGTTTGAAATGCCTCCAGCTGGAAACCTTGGGACAGTAGCTCCCTACCATTTCCTTGACTGTTTTGCATTTAAAAGCACCCTCCCTCATTTTAGACCTATAGTTCCTGCTGTAAAACAGATTTCCAATGTACTTACTAGAATTGCAACCTGTACGGAGTAATTGCTGGGCCATCAGTACTATATCTTCTTTCTTGCCTGTATATCGTGCTCGTGGTCTGCCCTTTTTATATGTTTTTATATCAGAAGCAGCCACCTTGTGGCGCAGTAGACACGTGACTTGTTTGCCTTGTTTGGCTCTCAAGCTTAAAAAAGGAGCAACTGCGGACCTCAAAAAGATGGACAGCTCGAACGTTTGTTTGTTCGACGGAGACGGCCATGTTTATCGACCTTTCAACCGGGCTGGCTTCATTGTGAGCCGGCCACCTTTTGTGCGTTCTGGGTGTTGTCCTTCTTTATTGCATGACCGAGGAGAACCTGTTCCATGTTTTGGATGGAGCTTATCACATGCATACGCGTTTGTTTTGACAGTATTTGACCAGCTTCTTGAGCTATAATCAACCCATAACTATGATGTCTTCCCCTTCTTATGAGTCGGATCAGGCCCAGAACGAGAGTTCTGGCGGGTATATATCTATGGAAGATGCGCCGGCAGGCCCCAGCTCTGCCAGGGATGGCGTCTCGGATGGAACTCCGTCACCAGGGACAGATCACCGCTTTCAAAGGAGGCACAGGAAGCAGGCAGCCAGTACATTTCGACTAGAGTCTCCGATAGGGCTATCGAATGAGAGATCTGATAGCCGGTCTAATCTACCTCGGCAAAGTTCTCCCTGGAGAAGCGTCAGTCGTCGAGGCAAAGAACCAGTTCGGCATCAGAGTGATGAGAGCCAGCTGGTTATCCCCAAACGGAACTCTCAGCAGCGCCGTCAGCTTCATGCATCAAAACCATCTATTGGAAGCTCTCCACTCTCAAATGTCGTCTCGCATGAAGAGACTGACCCGAATGATACGCCTTATACCCAGGGAAGCTCTACACACGCGCACCCTCGTACTACATCGTCAGTAGGGCTAGATACGGATTCTGCGCAGATAGTAAACCTTGCGCTGAGCTTGAGCGACTCGCGGAGGCGGAGTTCCTTGGTCCGTACTACTTCTGGTGGAGTTCAACGCCCGAGGCTATCATCTTCGGTAGTCCTTTCACGGCCCCAGGGCTTACCTTCGCCGAAACAACTTGAGATCGAGACTCCCTCGCGTGGGCCGCCAACGCCTCAGGAGACTGTTAACCTAAGATATGGCGCCACACACTATGGGGAAGTACAATTCTCTGAAGCCACCCTTGCAAGAGCTGAGAAGGCCAAACAACACTTTGAGCTATTTGAGAACTATTTGCGTCTCCTCCCTTATCTACCACCACTTCCAGTTCGTGAAGAAACTGCAACAAGGCTTCATGATACCCGTGATAGCCAAAATGATGCATCAGGTGGCCGGAAATATAATCCTTTGCAGTATCTGCGCAACAGGAAAGTTAGATACAGAGAAAGGCAGGCAATCGATTCAGAAGCGGCAGGGTGGGGAGATGTTGAAAAGGTCGCAGCATGGGTCGATACTGTTGCTGAATCTCCAAACTTACACCAACGCAAGCCGGACGAACATATTAATCTACCGCCTTTTAACCTTACTGCTGCCCAGGCCAATACAGAAGACAAACCTGACCAGCATTTATTGCCTACCAAAACCAAATCCGGGGACGTTGTCAGACGCCGCCCACGCATGGATTGGATAACAACACCTCTAGACCTCCTAGCAGATGCGGTGTGGTATGAGCAGGATGAGAATAAAGCCAAGGCTGAAGATCGTAATGGAAACAAGCTGTTCCCAGGTGGAATTAAAGCCGCACCAAAGCCTGAGTCGTCCCCAAGTGATCTTGGCCTCCCTGGAACCCACGAGGAGCAACGTCAAGATGCGCGTTCTGAGCCTGAAGTAGAGCAAATGGAACGCCTGCCTACTTTTACACCGCTTGGACACGGAAGCCAGCAAAGCTCTGAAAGGGGGCGTCTACGGCACCGATTAGCCCAGTCAATTAATTTTACGCCCAACCATAGCAGTTCAAGAAACCAAAGCAAATCTCCTGTTAAAAAACGGCATAGGAGGTCTTCCTGGTCTTCAGACCGTTCTCATGACAGTAACAAGGATGGAAGCTGGGGGAAACGCCTTTCTGTATTGGACGGGAGGAATGGAATATCTAACGATAAGTCGAGACCTAAACAGAGCATTCCCCAAAAGGGTAAAAGGCCGGTCACCCCAAATAGGGCGGCCTCGGACTCTGAAAATACACCCGGGCATGACTCGACACAACCAAATACCCCGAACTCCACACTTCTACCGCCCTTAAACATAGATTTGAGTCCGCATGCGTCGCCACGCCTAAGTTATGCTGCCTCTAATTCGTCTTTGGTCAGTGATGGGGGCATAGCCGGATCCAAGGGAACCCCAACCCATGATGACAACAATCCTTTTAGTACGCCTGCACAGAAAGGGCTTTTCCCGAGCATGGCCATAAACCTCTCTCCGCTGCGCGGCCGATCTACGTCTCCAGGCCGCCGGCATCCATTCTACCTAGGCCACTCAAGGAAATCTAGTAGGCAAAAACAGGGGCCATCTCCAGACACCCCAGAATCTGCTGCTGAGCCAAGCAGCTCGCTGTCTCATCGCTATACACACACCAGCTTCTCTCCCCCGACTTCACCTTTCACTCCTGAAGACCAGAAGCATCCAGGCATCCGAAGATCAGACAGCTCGCCTGCGAAATATTCTCGGAATGCTAACCAACAGGAATGGAAGAGGATTCTCAAGGGAGGGCGGATTGCTGAACTTGTTGGGAACGAAGTATCGAGGGTGGGAGATCTAATACGGAAGAGAGAACATCTCGGCCATTCAAGACAGTCGTCCGCGTCTAGCTTATCTGAATACATCGACGCAGAGGTGGTGCCAAGTGATACAAAGTTGACTACAGGAGGCGATCTCTTCCGTGACGCAAGCCAAAGGGTGGACTCCGACGACTATGCATCACAGCGAACGCGTCTCCCAGTTTTCACCTCCATCTCACAGAGTGACGCCGGTGACCCCATAGACCTATACAGAGGGGCCTCGAATAAGGAAAATCTTCCCGTTGGTGATGAGCTTTTCACAGACGTCAGTAGCTCTGATGTCACTAAGGAGGAACCTCATCATAGTCGCTCGACAGCCTGGGATTCATCCACGCAGACGAGGCTTGGCAATATAACGCGTAATTGGAGTATTTCCACTCGACATATTCCTCACTCCGGTCGTATCGGCAAACGAGATATTTCCCGCGTTCGTACTCACCTTTTGTCATCAGGCATTAAAGCTGTCGAAATCTGCCGTTATGCCGAGAGATCTCCGACATCCTGTGTTGATTCTTGGTTGAAGGCACCGATTAATTATAATAGCATCGCACCGTATATAGCAAGCTCGGAGGCATCCGCACTCGCTACCAGGAAATCTATCATGGCGTTCCATGAGCGCACATCTGCCTACAACCTTTTAATCAGAGACTTTGTGGACTTGAAAGCTCCGCCAATGAAAGCTGAAATCCGACGCCTTGAGAACCTGGTTTCCTCTACGCTTACTCCGCGCATTCGAGAACTGGCAACCCAAGCTGAGAGCCTAACAAGTGATTTGGGAACAGCAAGCACCCTGCCTGTTAAGCAACTTGAAAACATATTAAATAAAGGCTTAAGAAAACGCAGTCGACGAATCCGCTCCATCGTGAAGTTGTTGTCTGCAGTTTTTGAATGGCTACTCATGGGCCTTTTCTGGATTGTGTGGATAAGTGTCATGCTCTGGAAAATTATTCGATTCATTGGGCTTGGTGCATTCAAAGGAATCCGCTGGGTTCTCTGGCTTTAATTCCCCCAAGTTCGGCTCTTCCAATGACGGTTTACTCCATGCCTTTCATGCGTGACTTTCCCCATGCATTATATACCTACTCCCTTGACTTAATACTTATCTATTTGGTTTAGCTTAACGTTCCATACTGGCTTTTGATCATGATACCCTCTTCCTCATGCGCTGTCTATGCTTCCCCTTGATTCACGGCTCTCTTACATATAATTGTCTTTCGGAATGTACTTTTGTGCCTTGGCGTACTGTATTCCTGTTATCACTACTGGATAACTTTGATTTGGGTTATTACCCTCTTTTTCCCCTTCTCTCTGTTTATATACCCCTTTTAATTGTATTTCTATATAATCTACTTCACCCAGCAGAGCGGATAGACCTTATACCCTGTGAATTTCCAGCATTAGTGACAGACAGGCACAGATAATATATTATCTTCCACCTTTTAAAACACAGTCTCACTCTTTTATTCACACAAGCAATCTTGCATGCATTCTCCAGCCTGGCTTTTGATGGAAACATCCTGCTCAGCAGCATCACGTGGGCAATGGCTGTTTCCCAGCAACCTTCGACAGTGATGTTTTTGATATATTCTGCAGTGCTCTGTAGATTTCACTGCACAAACCATCTCGGATCACTCAGACTACTTTCCAACTTATTCCTTTCTTTATTAAGTCTGCTCCTATTTACTTGTACCTTTAACATTTACTTCTCCACGCCATTTACTACAACCCCTTTAACTTATAGATCAGAAATCCTTTCTACAAACCAAAAAACCCCTTTATTTTTCTATAAAGCGTCCCGCATATCCAAGTTGACACGCACAACAGAGCATGACTGGCCAAGCACCAAATGGAACTGAAAACAAACCCCCAGGCATCAAGTCGGCAATCCAGAAGTCAATATCCTGGTTGAAACCAAAGAAAGGAACTTCGACGGGCAGTACGGAGAAGGCCACAACGAATAATCAATCCTCGAAAGCAAACCAGCCTCGAGCCCCTATCCTGCCAGCACCACGATCTCGGACATATCCGCCTCCTCTCAGGACAATACCAATGCGTGGGATAAGCCCGCTCAGATCTCCCCGTGGCGACGGGAATGCTACACCATATACGGTCAGCCCTGTCAGCTCGGTACGTCCCAGAAATGTTCTCGATGTAGGGCAAGCATATGATTTCCAAAATGCAATGAGCGGCTCTATGGTCCAATATGGAACCCAAACACGGGAATCAGGCGTCGTCAAAGTTGATAATGTCTCTTATCAATATAACATGGACTCACGAGAGAGACTTAAGTTGCGAAGAATGCTCGAAAAGAAGAAGGCTTCTGGAAAAACTGGCGTTGAGATTGGGAAGTTCCTTGTCGAAACATACTATAATAGGGACAAAGGGCTAGGGGCGCTTGTGACTAACTTGGTGTTAAATCAACGCCCATATGCCATTATAGCTCTCGTTGTTATGGAATCCGTCGGCCTGCACGTCACAAGCGAAGAAGCGTATCCGATCAACCAGAGAAGTACTGGGGGCGCCAGGCACTATGGTCGTCCTACTCCGCAAGCTGGCCATCCGCCTATGCCACCACCACATAGACATCTACCGCAGAGAGCTAGCACAGGAGCAGATTACGCTTCGCCACGACCAAATCCTCTCCCGCCTCTAAAAAATGGCGAAAGAGGAGGCCATATCCTTTCGAGATATGAAACTAGCGACCAACTCGATGTACTGACGAGGAGTACGGCAAACCAGAAATATATCTTTGAAGATGATGACGATCCGCCTCTTCTACGCCCAACCACCCTCAACCGTATTCATCGGGGGTATTTCGATCCTAGTATTGACTATGGGAAGCGTAATTGACTTGGAATATATGGACGGCAATGGCACGCTGATCGCAAGGTAGCAAATGAAAATTCGTGTGTATTCTTGGTCCATTTATATTGAGGAGACTTGATATGATGTCAGCTTTATAACTCCCAATTTATCTAATCCGTGATTTGATCCTTTATATGAAGATGTCCGTAACGATAGGAATCCTCCTTGTCATAAATGAATGCAGCCGCCATATGCTGTGTCCACCATTTTACCTTCATATCATAACTTAAACATTGTGTCTGAGAATGCTGCAGTAGTTACTCTGCTAAATGAGATTAACTCTGACACTGACTCAATATTATTACAAGATGTTGTATAATACTGGTTTAATAGAACAATAAAACATGAGGTAATAGCAAAATAAAGAGCAGAGAGTAACCAAACAGGGCATTGTGGCTTAAATAAAAGGTACGCTACATTGGCTAGGAGTTAGATGAACCCTTGCCTATAGCTCCATATGGAGACCTTCTTGTAGTATTTCTTCTTCGTACGGACCGCTTTAATCGGCCAGGCAGTTTGGTAACAAAGCCGGCCAATTTAGACCAAGATGTTTTGAGTGTAGGAGAGCTATCGCCACTATCTGTGGCTATTATACTGCCTTCGACAAAAGCATCAGCGTTTGTATTGCGAGCTCCGAGGCTAGGAAAGCTGATGGCATGGTTTGTTATCAAGTCAGCATTAAAGGGCTCAAGCAATGGAATGGTGGGCGCCCTGGGTCGATTCCTCAGAGAAGAGAGTGTCTTTCGCAAAGTAGCACCCTTGGGAGTAGATTTAGTGACCAACGGCGGAGTCTTGAATTGAGTCTGAACGGTAGAAGACAGGATCGGGTCTGGCAGTCTCTGAAGGCAAAACTGGCATGTGTCTTCAGGTCCTGTATTTTTGCCATTTTGAGGGTTTCCAAGTCCAGACTTAGAATCCAGTGGACTATTTTCGATGGGCCGAATATTCCAAACGGGAGGTCGATAGAGATATTCCCCCTGGCGTCTTCGTTTGGTGACCGATTCATTGAGCGCGTCGATTACTGGAGTTCCGCCCTCGGGGTCTAGGAACGTTCTTGGGCTACTCTGTTCTGGATCTGAGCTATCGGACATGGCTGTTCCGTCTTGGTTCACTATGATATTATTGCTGTTCATGGACGGTCCGTCACCTTTGCGCCTCTTTCTGGGAGTCGTCGGTAGCCGTCGAGTGCGCCTGGTTCAAGTCAGCCTTTAACTATCATACAAGATGATACCCAGACTCATAGTCTATTACTTTTGTGGTGTTAATCGTTGTGATGTCTCACAATCGGCTGGAATATCAGAGTCAAGAAGCGAATTTAACAAGGCCCTGCTTTTGGGGGTTGGAGTATCATCCATCGGCCTGGTCAACGTTAACTGGGAGAGGGTGAGGGATGATATTAAATTTAGAATGTAATATGCTTGATTCTGATGCAGGCTTAATATTGATTGGAGAAACCAATAAATAATACCATGTATGGTTGATATCGAAGTAGGAGAAATATCCTTTGCTTGCTCGGTCGAAGCAGCGGGTATAAATAAACACGACCTGAGAGGAAGAAGCCGCAAAGGAGTATTATTGTCCAACATCAAAGGAAGGGATCGGTGGCCGCATCATGAGAGAAGCTACTATCGAATAGTATGTCTGGTTGATGTCTCTGGTTGGTACGTCAGAGAAGATATCATTTGATCACTCCGGTATATCGTCCGCTCATATGGTTCTGTACGATCTCGCTGCATAAACCGGTTCGCTGCCCGATGCAGAAACATAAACTCATCACGCTCAGGTTGATAAACACGCTGATGATGGAATGATGAAATGATATTCATAATCCCTGCGATCAGGCCGTTGCTAAGCATTCTCGATGGCTGACACGATCGCAAGCATGCAGACGTCCACAACGACCGGTCAACGGCCTCGCTGCCCATCTCCTACAACTCTCATCTGTCCAGCTCGATGATCAAACAGCCAGTCTCGATGTCTCTGAAGCGTCTACTGAGGCCTCGCGCCGTGCTGGCGATACCTCGGCCTCCAGGATCTCAGTGGGTCAGCCTCAGCATCTGATCAGTTAAAAATACGGGATGGAAGCATCATGAACGATCCTAACGACCATAAGACAAACCTGCAGGAGACGGCATATATCCCTTTCATCGTCAGCTTATCCTTCGACCGTCAAGCCATCGTTGAACAAGAGATTTTACTCTCCGGCGCCCTCAGCCCCAGATCTCCCCGCAAGCATCAAGATGGCTGCTCCCAAGATCACTCTCTACGTCGACATTCTCAGCCCGTTCGCCTATATTGCATACTACGTGCTCAGAGTATGTATGATAACGGGAACAAAGGCCCTGGTTTACATGCTAATCTATGCAACAGCACTCCCCTGTCTTTGAGAAATGCACCAAGGTCTACGTCCCTGTCTTCCTGGGGGGGATCATCCAGGCAACAGGAAATATCCCTCCAATCCGTGTTAAGAGTTAGTTGTTGACCGTCTCGTTCAATTTGCTTTCGCTTCTCAACGCGCGGACTCGTCTAATTTTATATAAATCCCGCAGACAAGGATAAATGGATCAACGTGGAGCGCATGCGCTGGTCAAAGCTACTCAATGTCCCAATTACAGAGACGACGCCGGAGGGATTCCCGGTCAATACTCTAGCTGTAAGTTAATCTCTAGCGGTGAATTGTCAAGTTGATTGGTGTCTGTACTGATAGACATGCAGGTTCAACGGGCTCTCTGCGTCATTGCAGAGGATCACCTTGAGAAGTTGGTCGGCTGTATCGATGCGTTCTACCACGCGCTGTGGGTGAAGTCGGACTCTACTGTTGGCATGCCCGAAGGCTATGTGCCGGTCCTGGAGCGTGTAATCGGGAAGGACGCCGCGATCAAAGTGGCTGAGAAGGTAAGGGACATGCATCTTGAGATGTCAAGTAATTTAACCGTTATGGTATACATGTATAGCTGACACCGAGGAAAACAGGCTTCCACCGCCGAGATTAAGAAAAAGCTCGTGTCAAATACAGACCAGTCCTTGGAGTCCGGTGCTTTCGGCCTGCCATGGATCGAATGCACGAACGCACAGGGTAAGACGGAGTCCTTCTGGGGAGTCGACCATCTTGGACAGGTCGCTGCCTTCCTGGACCTGAATGTTACTCAAGACAAGGGCTTTAAAGCTTTGCTATAGATCACTTTAAATGTTCTAGAAATTTATATATCCTGACCAGTTAAATCATATGATCTTGTCCATATAGACGACGTCTTCAATCCGAGATTTAGGCTACGCCCCCTAGAAGATTCCTGGTGCTCTATACACTCAACAGCAAACTTACCTAGCCATGGACGTAATGTATGCTGTGGCGGCTTAGGTATCACATCAGGGATAGGAGAATATGCCAAGAGCAGATGTTTGCTTGAGCCATGAGAACCAATAGTGGAATCTATATGCTGTTGAAGCTATAACATGTATGTCTCCTCATGTAATACCTAATGAGGAGAACAGCCCGTATAGAGCGCGTCTTATGATTACCTGTCTAGCTGAATATTCTTTCAGCTTTCCAAGGATATCCTCGCCAGCTGCATGTATGCCAAATCGTATTTTTCATGCGCCACAATTTCTCCCGATCCCACATTAGGAAAGTAAGTAAAGATGCCCCAGTTAACTGCATTTGAGATGGACCAGGGCGTTGGATTGGACAGCCTGGTACTTGTGCTTGTCGACATTATTTCTTCGTAAAAAATGGTTCCATATGGAGTAAATTGGACAAGGCAATGGGCCTTGTGATATATATGACAGTATATGGCACTATGTACATACATATATATGCGCTGGCCAATGCCAGTTATTGGTTGGTGAATAACAATCCAACCTCAACTTATATGGCGTGGAAACTGCTGGTCTCCTAACCGCTGAAGAGGCCACCAGGGCAGGAATCAAAAATAGTCTACAGGATGAAGGTAAAAGGCATGTGGTGAAGGCAAGGCTGGGATCATGGTCATAACTCGTTGTTAGTGGGGGTGGCATTAGGATGTTTTGAGGGGTCATCGGGCCCCGAGTCGTTCGGATTAATATTATCCGTATTATCTTGTTGAGAGATACCGGTTTGTGATATGGTGGTACGTGTATGTGGTTCGGGGCTGTTGAGTTGAGATGTAGGAGGCCCACGACCGTCTTCGGGGCTCGGTGAATTAGTAGTTAGGTTAGTGGATGCTTCGTGATCGGATCGCGACGGGGGAATGTGTGTTTCGGTGAAAGGTTGGTCAGAGGAGTTATTATTTTCGTCATGGGCGTCGTCCAGAGGGCCCGGGGAGGGCTGCACATTGTTAGCAACCTGCTTCACCATCCATACAATAGTGTACCCACCTCATTATCACCATCAGCCAGACTCAGCCCCTTCTGCTTGGCCAGGTCTTGCGCAGCCAGACGTCTCCTCTCTATTGCTGCCTCCTCTTCTAGTCGAACTTCCTCCTCCTCCCTCCTCAAATCCGCCAATGAAGCAACGTCTGTAGCCGGTTCAATCATAATGCTGGTATCTAACTCAGACGTCGAATGCGATGACTTGGACATGGTACGACGCCGTTTCAAGCCTCTATCTCGCTTCCTCCGCTTACCCTTCCCTTTACTCGTATTCGAGGTCCGAGAGGAGGTGGTTCCTTTCGTCGAGCCAGAGACTGATCGTGGAGCGGAGAAGGTAAAGTCATCGCCGCCCAAGCTGCCTCCTCGGCGGCCTAGGGTCATTATATTAAATTCGTCATCGAGCGGTACGGCGTCTTCCTCTTCGTCGCTGGGTATTAGGTCACCGCGCGAACTGAGGGAGTTGCTAGTTGCATGGGATGATTGCGTGCCGCGTCGCTTTCTTGAATGTAGTTCCGGCTTATAATTGTTACCGTGGCCGTTGGTATCGCCTCTGGCATGATCGCTTTCATCGCTTGCTTCGAGTAACGGTGCCTGTTCTGGGGCGTCCCGCTTCAGCCCACCCGGATTCTCTTGCAGGTTAGCAGCAGATGGACGATAGCGAATGCCTCTTGCTCCTATCCTCCATGGAAACCGCTCTAGAAAGCCAAGTATGGACGAACTAGGGATGACAGTCGGGTCTTGCCGTTCGTCACTGGGCAGGATCGAACTCCGCCGCCGGGCACCGTAGCTCATTCGTCTATTCGTGCGCGGCTGGTCATTCGACGCACGCGCAGAGCTATTCCCGGCCAGCAGCCTGTCGAGCTCATCATTCCGCCAGCCTAACAGCCCTTCTTCGCGCGCATCCTCGTCGTAGTCCCAGTCATCGTAGAATCCAAAAGTAAACTCGGCACGGGCACTAGACCGCTCCCGTCGTCGCCGACGAAGCTGGTCGTCTCGGCTGGGGAAACAGGGGGCCGTAAAGGAGGTAAAGCACTCCTGTACCCCCAGGAAGCACGGCTCGATGTAGTTATGGGCGAAGGCGTATATACCCTCCTGGGCGGACTCGTTGGCGGACTCGAGGTTCTGGGAGATCTGATTGAGGGTCTGGCGGATACGAGGGTCTCCTGGGCGCATGATAGACGGAGAGAGATAGTATAAGAGCGGACGAGCTCTCAGAGGCGCATTAACCCAGTACTCCGTGGTCTGGTATGTTGATGGTAGATGTGTGCAAGCGGGCGGAGTTAAGGTCGTCTATGCTGCGGGCATGTCAGGCGTCGTCGTCCTATCCCTTCGAAGCGCCCGTATCGAACATTCTGCGTGCGGGCCAGAGGGTATCAGCATCGACTGTCTCTTCAGCGAGATGCGCATCGCAGGTCGTCGCATTGTGAAGTTCGCAGAGTTGGACCCTTTGGATTTCCTGTTGGGGACAGCCTCGATTACGTCAGCGCGACGTTGCTTTTCTTTCTCTCTGGAACGAAAAAGACGGCGTTTACCATGGTTGCGATCTCAACAAGATATCAGGATGCCGCATTACGTGCGGTTCCTGAAGCCGCCGACGATAGAGAAGGCCGGCGCTGGGTCCCGCATCAAGACGCTTGTCACTGTTACAACCGATCTTGGAGACTCGTTTCTCGCCGAGCAGGTACAGCTTACGGCGTCGGTGCTGGTCAACAGCTACAACGACAGCGATGTCCAGTGCATCCAGCAGAAGAGCTTCTGCTGGCCGGCTGGAGCTCGCGAGGTGACCGTAACCATCGACGGCATCAGACTAAACCTGCGGCAACACGCTGTCCAGTTACGCGTTGGGCCAGCAGCAGTCCACCTTAGACCGGATAATGACTTTGCTACGACGTCTAATATCCCAGCGGTGATATCAGCATGGAGTCCGCCATTCGGTGGCTCAGGGCCTCCACAGGCTGAGAAGCTGGTTCTCAGACGGCTGGAGACTCGCTGCCCAACCGAGGTGCGAATCTGGGAAGAGACGGGCAACAATCTGGCGAGACATATCTGGTACGTAGGGGATGATGGGTAGGATATGGATTCTAGCTACCAGTAGGATGTCTAATATCCCATAATAACAGCCAATCCTCCCTGTTGTATTCCGTATTTTCCCTTTTGTATGTGACGTTTTGTCTAACTTGTACAGGGACGCCTCACTTGCATGGTTAATGCTCTTCCAGGAGACACTAACTCCGGTTGATGAGCCAGCTACCTCTTCGTTTCTCACGTTCAGGGACCTGTTGGTACAGAAGAACGGCGAGTCACGCTTCAATGTAATTGAACTGGGAGCGGGATGCGGTATCGTCGGAATCGCACTCGCCCAGTTCATGACGGACTGCTCGGTCCTTCTGACGGACCTGGAAGAGGTACGCGACATCGTTAACCGGAACATCGGCGTGTCCAAGCCCGCAGCAGGCTCTGTGGTCGAGTTCCAAGTGCTCGACTGGGACGGTGCCGTCCCTAGGCAGATCTCAGAGCAGCAGCACGACCTTGTCGTTGTATCTGACTGTACGTACAATTCAGACAGCCTGCCTGCACTAGTTGGCACGATGGCTGCGCTGGTGGACCGGTCACCGCAGGCTGCCATCATCGTAGCGCTCAAAAGGCGACATGAGAGCGAATCCGTGTTTTTTGAGCTCATGCAGAGTGCCAGACTAGAAGTGCACGACAAGACTCGCATCCAACTACCTAGTGTCTGCTCGGAAGATGATGTCGAATCGGTAGATATCGAGGTATACTATTTTCGCCTGTTGCCGTCCGTCCATGATGATATGCCCATCCCACTACTTCGCCCACGTCAAGCAGCCTAGAAGATCAAGTCAAAAGATTAGACACTCCCATAGGAACGCCAGACGGCCTGCAAGAAAATCAATCGTCGACCCATTCATGTTTATCTGCCGATCTCGCCGTCCTCAGCTCGTAGCCACCTTCTCGGAGGCGCTGATATCTAGAGCACATCCAGTAATTGATGGACATTACACCGCCAGCCAGCCACATCATGGACACCTCTTTACCTCAGTACCTCTTCGTGCTCTCTCCAACGCTCTACTTCTACCAGATTGAACATTTGTTCTGTCTTCAACTGGATTCCACATCAGGGGTTACCAACTTCTCTGGGAACAGGTTCTACGAACATCGACTGTCTCGACGATGGAGCCGGAACCACAAGGATATCACCCGCGGCGGCTTCTGGCATCGGCTCCCTCCTGCTCACCGTCTCGGCCAACATATGCCTCATACATCTCGTCGTAGCCGGCATCGATTCTCACCCGGATGGATCGCTCACAGCCACATCCGCTGCAGCTAACCCGAGATAACGAGACAGCAAGACGAGACGAGACGACGAGACAGAGAAAAAGCAACGAGCTTGTGTCGATGCATGCATGGGCGAGGATGTTCCCCTGGCCTTTCTCCTCCTCCTGCTGCTCTCTCCCTTTCTCCCCCTTCTGACGTGGTTGCGCAACCCGGCCGAGCTGCAGGATGACTAACCCACACACTTCCACCAAAACCGCCCAATTTTTTCGCCCTCCGCTAGCTCGCTTCCTCTTTTTCCTCCTCTTCCTCCTCCTCCCCCTGCTATAAATTGCACCCTCGCGCCTCTGGATAGTGGCCATAGTGTTCACTCTAGCTCTCACGCTCTGCTATTGCTCTGCTCTCTTCTGTTCGTCTCGGACAGCCTGTTATCGGCCTTTGCCTGAGAGGTGAGCTCTTCACTGCTGCTCCGTCACCATGACACTCCATCGTCCACTTCACCTCGACCGAGTCCTGCCATCATCGTCACCATTACCGCCACCCTTGCAGTCACTCGGATGCGTTAGCTAACTCCTGGCAGGATTCGTATTCCTCTCTGTTTATCTTTAAACCGCCTTTGGGGACTCTCCAAAGGCACATTGCTCTACGGTGTCCGCGCCACTTCGATCCCATACGTTGTTACCCCTAGCCCTCTTCTCCGGACTCCTTGGATCCCTCCACCTCCTGAAGCACGCCCTCGTCAACTCTCCGCCGTTGCTTTTGGTAGACTCACTCTACACCCCCTCCAATTCCGAAACCCTTGAGCTGCCGCATAGGACTTCTCAACGGGTTCTTCCTCTTCCAGAGGAAGAGTCGAGGAGGCTAGGTCCAGTGAGCGAAGGCTGCGATACATTCCGACCTCCCTAACACGAGCTACTCCCACACAACTTGATATTACCAGAATAAAATCAGACCGCATAACGCATTGATGGTTATGGCACCTGCAGCTAGCGACCACCCAAGACTATATTTGAATGATAATTTTCATGAGAAATATAAACATGTCGACAATTCGGACGATGAACATAGCGGGAAATCCCATTTGATCGAGGCCAGAGCCGCCTCCAGGCAGCTTGTCTTTGACATCTTGAAGCAACGGGCCGCTACGGTCGATGTCCAGACTTGCTATCCGGGGGACGAAGACCCGTTCTACGTTGCTGATCTGGGAGAGATCTATCGCCAGCATGTTCGCTGGAAGACGAACCTTCCCCGCGTGAAGCCCTTCTATGGTACGTCAATCTTATTTCCCTTTTCTTTTTCTTATCTTTTCTTTTCTTTTTGTTTTATTTTCTTTTTTTACCATGTGGTGCTGACCCATCCTAGCTGTCAAATGCAACCCGAACCCTCAGGTCCTCCGTCTCATGGCCGTCCTCGGCAATGGCTTCGACTGTGCATCCAAAGCCGAAATCGACCTCGCTCTCGACGCCGGTGTTGACCCAACTCGCATCATCTATGCTCACCCGTGCAAGACCAAGTCCTACCTTCGCTATGCCTCCCAGGTTGGCGTCAAGCAGATGACCTTCGACAACACCGACGAGCTCTACAAGATCAAAGCAATGTGCCCTGATGCCGAGCTATACCTGCGTATCTTGACCGACGACTCCGCCAGCCTGTGCCGCCTGAGCATGAAATTCGGTGCCTCGCTCTCGTCTGCCCGCCCACTCCTCGAACTCGCGCACGAACTAGGTCTCAATGTCGTCGGTGTCAGCTTCCACGTTGGTTCCGGAGCCGAGGACCCTAAATCATTCATCAAAGCCGTCCAGGACGCTCGCTTCGTTTTCGACCGAGCAGCTGAAATCGGATTTGACCTGAAAGTCCTCGATGTCGGCGGCGGGTTTTCGGACGATACTTTTGAGCCTTTCGCCTCTGCCCTTAGCGATGCACTGGATACCTACTTCCCGCCCCATATTCGTGTCATCGCCGAGCCAGGACGATACTACGTCGCAACAGCATTCACGCTGGCAGCCAACGTCATCGCACGTCGCGACGTCGGAGCCGAGGAACACCTCTCCGACTCTGATTCGGACTCCACGAGCTCAACCCGTGCCACTACCCCGACATCCAGCGGGATGTACATGATCTATCTTAATGATGGCGTATACGGGAACTTCTCCAACATCGTCTTCGACCACCAGCACCCCGTCGCACAGATTCTGACCAAGGACGATCAGGACACCTGCTCTGCTCCGATCCAGTATTCCATCTGGGGCCCGACTTGTGATGGCATTGACGTCATCAGCCAGAGCGTCACTTTGAACGGCTTGCTGGGTGTGGGTAACTGGCTCTATTTTGAAAACATGGGCGCCTATACGCAGTGTAGTGCCACTCGCTTCAATGGATTCACCGACAAACATGAGGTGATCTATATTGTCACTGAACCCGGTGCGGCAGCCCTTTTGGGCTATTGACAACAAGGCCACCAGTGAGGTACTTAGGTGATGACGACAGTGACAATCTAAAAAGGGGAGAAGTGTTCTATGATTTCGGTTTCTTCATTTCGGTATCTTTATTTACTGTCACTACAGGATATCAGAGGCATCTAGATGCATAAGGAATAAGTTTTAGAAAAGAGAAAAAAGAGCGAGAAGGCGTGGATAAAAAGTTATTGCTAGTTATGATTCTTTAAAATAATAATGGAGAAAAAATTTCCTTGGGGGCATATAAACTCCCAATCTCCACGTTATATCAAGTGTCTATCTATCAGGTTGGTTCTTCTATCTCGAGACTCCTTGTATCTACTCTAGTATATTGATCTACGAGCTCTAACCTTCCAATGTCGTCATATCTCGTTGCATCATGCAGGTCAGACATCGGTGTATATTACACCGACATATAGTCGTACCTGTTCATGTCCGTCTCCGTCCATTTAGCCAATTATATCAACCTGCAGGAAACTCGTGGCAGCAGCGGCATCCATCGTCTTCACCAATTGCCCGCCTTCGAGCTTCTTCTTCCACTTGGCGGATTCATATCGTGCAAGGATCAGGGTAAGCCGCGCGATGCTTATTTTTGAGGAAGACGATGGACTTGTGGCTGCTTTTGTGACTGTGGCTTGAGATGGGGATGGAGTGAGCGTCCACCGTCCAAATGCCCAGTTGAGGATGCATGTTTGCACGGCCGATTCGGATTTGGGAGGAGACGTGTCGCCCGACGAATCGCTGGGTGTATTCTGGGAAGAGAATCGTATGATGCCCTTTATTCGATAGATTTCGTCCTTTGGTGCAGATTCTAGAAAGGCTTTGAAAGCTGCAGTGTCAACGACGAGTTCGTCAGACGATGCCGATGGCTGTGAGTCCGCCGTGAGCGAGATGGATAGAACCTCGACCTCAGACTGGTGATCGTGACTGTGTTTATGGACGTCCTTCCCTTCCACCTTGTTCACCAGCAGCATATCCAGCGATGAGTTCTGCTCCGGCCCAGCTCCAGCATCAGTATCGCTCATCTCCTTCGCCAGTAATGCCCCGTCAATCCCCAACAGGACATCTTTGTCCACTTTGCCCTTCTCAGACTTAACCCAGGCGGTCTGCACATCCAAATCGCCCACTCGGTCGAGGCAGATATCAAACCGCCGCTCCGACACCAGCTCCCATTTATTGAACACGATTAGATCTGTATATTTCGCCTGCAGCTTCGCCGTGTAGGATGTATCGTCGTATCCCTCCCAGTTCTCCACGTCGATCACAGCAACCACGCCGTCGAGCATGAACTCGCCTTTCCGCTCGCGCGAGACACGATTCACTTCCATCGCCAGAGTAGCCGGGAATGCACTTCCACTGGTCTCGATCACGATACGGTCAGGCTTCACCTCTTCCCGTAGCTGGATGAGCGCATCGCCCAGCTGGCCGACGAGGTTGCAGCATATGCATCCGTTGAGGAGTTCGCGTACTCCGGAGATGGAGTTTGCAGCCGCCAATTGTGAGTCGACTGCAACGTCGCCGAACTCATTCTTTAGCAGGGCAAGACGATAGGTCGGAGGGAGCTGCGGGATCAGATTGAGCAGGATTGTCGTCTTCCCTGAGCCTAGGAAGCCGGTGATGATCGTGATGGGGATGGGAGCCATGGTGGGGGAGGGGAAGAGGAGAAACAAGTTGATTCTCTATCGACGGAGAAACGCAATATCTGAGCGAGATATATCGCCACCTTCTGCCACAGTATAGGATATAAGGTATGATCTCTTTTTCTTATATATAAAACAGAAGCAATGCCCGTTGGCAGATTGGATGAAAAATGTTGATGTTCTTTAAGCAGAGAAAGAATTACGAAATGATGTCATCTCCACGAAATTTCGACGGATTCCATACAAATGATATTGCTATCATCTCTGTCTATAATAACATTTTCTTCGCATTTCAAGTATAATTCCAACGCCGTCTCCCTCGATAAGCCCGTTTAAATAGGTCTAATCGGCTCTCTCTTCGAGGAGCGCTCTAATGTGGTCGCTCAGCCAGTACTTCCTCAGCACAGCCGTGGACATGTTCTTTGCGCCGTCAACCCATTCCAAACACTGCTTCGCACCACACGAACATCGGAATGGCTGTGACATCTCCCATTCAGTGCTGGGGTAAAAGAACCGCAACTCTTCTCCGGCAGGAATATCCCTTACACTCCATACCTCTAGCGCTCCAGAGACCGGCGCATCAGGTTGGCCGTTGTGCGAGTCCATGGCGAGTGTCGATGTAACAAATCGCACGTTCGGGTCGCACGAGTGGTTGCAGTATAACAGGTCTGAGTTCAGCTCGATGTGCTGGTTTTTTGATACCTGGACGGTTGAATAGGCCTTGATAGCTGCCAGGGTGGTCGACGTGTTCTTGACAATCAGCGTGTTCGCAGGGATATCACGGTCTGCGACGGCCGTGAGACAAAAGGAGGCGGCTTTTTCGTCTGTACCGGAAGTGAGCAGCCCCGATGAGACTACTCGAATTGCTGACGGGTGCGATGGCTGAGCCCACTGTTTTTTCACGGGGGTCTGCATCGTCCCTGGCCCTTGCTGGGTGAGCGGTGACGCTGCTACTGTCATGATGGTCGAAAGTTCGGTGAAAGAGCCAGGGGCGTCAAATTCTTAAGAGGAGAGGAATTGCAATTTGGTTCTTGATGCAATTGCTTGTTGATATCTGGGATATTGCTCAGTATATTTATTCTGTGGGGATGTGTGCATGGCAAGATATCCGAGTAACGAGGTCCGACTTTGGCCTCTTTGGTTTCAACTATTAAATATACGCGCCATTAGACTTTCACGAAAATCGCCATTACCACAGTATTTATCTCTTATGAAATGGGTTCATGTAGCTCTAGATATCCGGACTGTCCCGGACTGGCAGCATTCGACTGCTAGCCGACTCAATACTGCCTTTGAATGCAGGCGAAAGCATTGTAAATATCCTGAAGAAATTCATTTGGTAAACAAGCGGGACATGTCGGGTGATTCGCATCGGAAATTTGATGGCTGTTCCACACATGGGGAGGATTCTTCCCGCAAATGTCGTATTCGGGCTGGCGACATGGGGCTTGTTGATGGCGAGGTGGGGATGAATATGAACATGAGTTTGAGGCGGTAACGAATGTCCAGTATGAGTGATTTTTGGATATCCCGTAGCATTGCTTTTACCCTTGGTTGGACTGTCAGGGGCCAAAGAATGCAATCTCCTGGGAGGCCGGACCGGATCAACAGAGGCGGTGGGCGTGAAAAGAAATTTTATACACGACGGCCCTCGACCTGGCAAACACCGATTAGCTTTTTGTTTTGTAGAGAACAGATTTGTTTTCCAGTGTATTATACCTTGTCAATCTATCTATTAATTGAAAATAACCATGTTCGTCACATGCGAGCGAGGCTTCGATAAACATGATGTATTTCCTTCACGATGTTGGATTAATTATGTATGAAAAAAATGTATCGAGTAAGTGTGATAAACGAGCATGTGAAATCACCACATTTTTTTGAAAATTAGAGCTTGGACATGATGGGGGCAACTCTATCTTCGCCCGTTAACTTTGCAGTATGCAAATACATCACCCCTGACTCTGCCACAAATTTACTCTGAGAGCATGTGGGAGATCAAAGGAGAACGTCGAATCCCCGCCATCAAACCAATGCCGCAATGAAGGTTGTTTCATCAGGGAGTTAAGCCTGCCAGCCCAGTAGTTGGCGATCTCGCTCTTCGAACTGGTCTGGGAAAATGCTGCCTCAATGGTCCCTGACTTCATGTAATTGTCTATCTTGACCAGTTGCTTAACCGAATTTGAGAAGTCTTGGATGCCATGACTACATGGAATTGTAGTTTCCCACCCACACTCCGTCGGAAAGTCATTTGTTTGGGTACGACTAATACTTATGCAATTGTCGCTACTCCTGTGGTCCAATTTAGTTTGTCGATGATCAATATTGTTTGTTGTGGACTCGTGATTATGTCGTGCCAACCCAATGTCAGATGAATGAACTTTCAAGCATGGATCAGCGGGGGCGAGTATGGTGTGGATAGGAAGCACTTGATCACAAGCTGGTTTTGAATTATTATTATTTTTTATTTGTGGTGATTGTTTGAGCGTTGGAATTGCGCTTGAGTTCACAGTATTTTTGCAGCGGCCAAAATCCGTGACTTTTGAAATTTGGGGCCGGCCCGCCGCAGAATGAGAATTTGCTGGGGGAACCGGCTGAGGTCCTTCGGGGTTCCCTGGTATGTTTCTCTTGGGAGTGTGTAGGGGTGAGTTAACAATGCGGGGAAAATGGACACTGGACCTTCGCGTTGGGGTTGCTGCCGTTCCGCCAAAACGCTCATGCATTGCGAGCATAAAGTCATTTTCCACGACGGATTCGTTTACCTCACCCTCCTCCGCTTCAAGGCCATATCTTAGTTGGGCATATCCCCTGTCAATGTGATCACCTGAAGCTCTTGGAGATTGACGATTCACAAAATGAAGCGTGGTTTGGCGTGAGTTAATATCGCGCTTGCTCTTAGCCAGCACCGGCGACTGTTCACAAGCATCTATATTAGAAGTTGTTTGCCTCATTTGGACCTTATTTTGCCTGCTTCTGTAGCTAGGACTACCTGTCGCAAAAGGTTTGGTTGGCGATCTGGTGTCACGGCCCGGGGTTAGAAGCTGAGAGTCAGGATCGCGAAGCTGAACATCAGGAGGAAGTGATAGCGCCCAAGGGCTTGATATAGAGGCATCGGCTGCAGCAGCAGGCAAATCCTTACCCGCCTGGATACACTCTATGCTATTTATGTTAGTACTCAGGCTATTTCGTTCAGTGTTTGTAGTATGTAGTATTTGGCCATCTGTGGCGGGAACGGGAGTATTGGAAACTCCTGGGTGGTAAATCTCCTTGAAGAAATCCTCAATTGTTAAGAGGACTGCCTGCGGATTTTCAAATAGGACGTCATCTTTGGATGGCTCGATATTGATGTCATAAATACCAGAAGGACATTCTAAAGATAAAAACATGAAAGGATCGGCAATAGCTGTACCTCCGTCTATTGCTTGTTGTAGAGATGACTTAAAACGTTTTAAGGCCTCCTTTCCGAAGCCCCTAGATGTCGTCATTGGCCGACCATCAATAACTAAATATTGCCCCTTGCGATTGACTTTGGATAAATCTTCCAGAGTTGTTAGTTTAGATATATAGGGAGCTTGAGTTTAAGCCTACCTCCGCACGGGTTTGGTATCATGGCTGAGATATGGATACCGGATGCATCGTGGCTGCCTGCTACAGTATCCGAACTGCCTAGTTCTTTAAGCGGCGAAGATGAAGAACTTTTGAGCATACAGTTGGCAACTAGCACAGGACTGATAACCTTAGAGATCACATCTGAGGCGGATGGTTCCGCATTTGGGGCATAGACCCAATCATCATCCTTGGATTTCAGGAGCCTCAAAGAGAACCGTGCGTTTGGCCGAGCTATCGCATAACTCTTTAATAGATTTTTTATGTCAAGGGTGCACTTGGTTACGTTCTTCTCCGCAGTTTGCCGTCTGACTGGTATAGGTTTTAAGAAACCGCAAATGCGCACCGTTGTTCCAACAGGATGTGATACTCGAATATCACTAATATTAAAGGAACATGTGTAAGAATGGGGTATAAATTAGCGTTTGATGGACTTGCCTTGGGGGTTCACCGTCACGCCCAAACTTTGTTGTACTCGCAACAAGCTCCCCCTGGACACGAGTAGTGATATGCAAAGCATCACTCATTTCAGCAATGCTGGCGAGCGCATGTCCACGGAACCCTAATGATTTTCCACCAATATTGTCTAGATCCTCCTTAGTCCGAATCTTGCTGGTACAGTCTCGCTTACAAGCGAGTGAACGATCAGCTGGCAATATCCCTGATCCATTGTCTTTGACCTGAATAATGTCGAGGGTATTAGGAGAGATCTCAACGAGAACAGATGTTGCTCCGGCATCTAGTGCGTTCTCTATAAGTTCTTTGACCACGAACGAAGGGTCAGGCAGTGCTGACGTAGAACCGATGGCTTTGATGGCCGATTGCCCTAGGGCAACAATTGCCATCCTCAATTAAATGCTACCTTTCAAACAGAAGCTCTAGTTAGTCGTGCTATAGTCGATATCAAGCATCGAAAGCAGGTATGTGATTGCTTCCACGTTGTAGAACCGATGTCCAAAGTTACTGGTTTGGGCTACCCCCGTGACCTCACTGGAATAACCATGGCTTACGTAACCACATTCGTTCTTCATGGCTTTTCACAGCTACCCCTGAATAATCTCACCGGTTACGCCCTCTTTGCTCAATTAATTGGTTTCTCCAGTCCTTGCCTTCAGCACTTTCCCAAACTTTCGCAATATCCTCTGCAACTTCATCGCTAACATCTTTCCAAGGGCCACCGCTGTCTAGGTAGGTAGAGGGGACAATATCTAGAGCATGCCCAGCCCATGCTCCTTGATGGTTCCCCTCTACAGCGGTCGAGGAGCAATAGGTCCTCCAAAGAATGACTTCGCCATAGCCTAGTACGCGAATAAATGGGCCGTCGATGTAGCTGTTGTCCAATGCAATAGCCGTAGGGCGAACAAATTCTTGGGTTGTCAAATTTCTGAGAATCCATTCCTGATCGGTGGGCTAGAAACTAGAAGGTTCCGGATGGGCTACTTGGAGTAAGTCTGCTGGGCGGGGATATTTGTGAGTATATTCAAGAGCGACTTTGAGCAAATGGCCGGGAAAATAAACATCATGCTCCTTGATGGCGTCGTACCGAATATCGGCTAAATGGAACAGGTTGACAGGCTGCCCGGCATATTCATCTGGTGCATCCCCCTCTAATTCGTCCACGTCGAACCCTTCCTGGAGCTCATCAACGTCCTCCGGGAGCAGTAATCCTTGAGGATATGTAAAACTCTTCCCAGGTGCAATTTCGTTACCAACACAAACGACGGGTGTCCCGGCCCAATCGCCCAAGTACGCAGCAAAGTGCCGTTCAATAACCGTTTTCGCTATTGCCCAGAGCCTCTGGCAGGTAAGGCCTAGGAGAAAGACGCTTGTGATGTCTAAAGAGTCGAAAATCATATAGCCTACCTCAGCTGGCAGCTCAAGAAGTCGAGACCGAGCAACTTCGCGTCGTAGAGGTTCGTGAGGACGAGATGATTTGCAGAAACTCTCTGACTGCCTTCGTCTTTTTTGCGGGGTGACGGCTCCCTGAATAGCGACGGGTATATTTTTAGGCTTGTCGCTCGTGTTCTTCAAAGGTAGAGTCGGCCTGGCAAAGAGAGAAACGAGTCCAGACGCGGATCCATCGAAGAGGATTTCACCAAGCTTGCCATACCAGCCAAGTCGCTCGCGATGGTGAGGCGCTATAAGGCAAAAGTATTGGCCCATTGTGTAATAATACTGTAGTTTCGCCGGATGCTGGCTGAATTTCGAGGAAGGTGGGTGCAGTTATCGCAATCCGGTAACGGTGGCTTTGGGGGAATAAATGGTGATATGGAGATGGAGAAAGTGAGGATGATGTTTGCCTAAAATGTATTTTTATAACCATACGCCACGCTTATGTCGCAAAAGCGTGGTCATAAGTAGCTATATATTGGACAGCCATCTGTAGAGACGTGTGTTCTTTCAATTCACCTATACAGACACATAAGAAGGCGATATGAAAGACAGCAAGGCTGTATCGATGTCTCTGGATGCTAATTCTCGGTTTGGCTCGATATTTATTACATAATCACCATTTACTTCGAGCCCCTGGACTTGACTGGGAACTCGCAACACTCCGTGAATGTATCTTGGATATAGGAGATGATGGCGGATTTTCGGATATCCCAGCTTGCAGTACCGTTTGTTATACTGTTGATATCCTTCCTTTCCTATAGTTCGCAGTATTTATTCCTCTATCTTGATCCCGCGCCTCTCAACACTTCCCAGCTCGTAAAATTCAACCTGCTATTAGCATGCATCTGGATATGCTATGCTCGAGCTTGTCTCACGGACCCGGGGAGGATCCCAAAGGACTGGCAGCCGCCTACAGCCCCAGGTGGGCTAGCGAAGAAACCCCTCAACGACGAAGAGCCTGGTGAGGCCCGTAGTCGGCAGCGGTGGTGTCGAAAATGCGAGGCGCTGAAGCCTCCAAGATCTCACCATTGTAAAACTTGTCAACGGTAAGAATAGACCTCGAGAGAGCAAATACAGCAGATTATATACTGATTTTCATTCAAAGATGTATTCCTAAAATGGATCACCATTGTCCATGGACAAACAACTGTGTTTCACATTTCACATTCCCACATTTCATACGTTTTCTATTTTATGCTGTCACTTCGATGGTGTATCTTGAATCCTTTCTATACACACGCTTGGCTGTAATCTGGAATAATCGAAGTCTGCCGAGTGTAGGTTCCAGTTTTATTTCCTTCACAATTTCCCGGCAGTGACTTTATATTAACAACTTGATGGTAGTATTATGGCCCATCCCTAACCCAGCTAGGGCATCTTTTCGTGCTCGCTATTGTCAATTCTGTAGTCCTACTCGCCTTGTTGATTCTATTTATTAGAAGCCTGTGGATGCTGGGCGCGAATGAAACTACCATTGAAGGATGGGAGATTGAAAGACACAAGACGCTCCGTCGACGAGCGCGGGCCCTAGGTGGCTATCTTGATGGGCCAGATGGTGTTAAAATTCGGATTGAAAGACAGGAATTTCCATACGACATCGGCATCTGGAAAAATATTAGGGATGGTATGGGTGGAAGCAATAACGTTCGAGACCCCATTACCCCTTATAAAAATTCCACCGAACCCATTTCCTAACAAATGATGTGATAGATCCTTGGCTGGTTATGGCCTTTTTCTCGAACTCCTAAGCGAAGTACAGGATTGGAGTTTGAAGTCAACGGTTTCGAAGGTATGTAGTGCCATGCTCTACTTGCGTCAGTTATAGCATCCTTATTGACATCCAAAGATAAATCTGTTACCTGGCCTCCGCCAGACCCTGATAGGATGCACCGCTATCTGCGCCAATCCCAACAAGACAATACCACACTCTTTAGTAAGGGACAAAATTTTAGCACCGACGAAGTCGCAGCGTTCCGCCAACGACAGGAAGCGGACTATTTGAGCCGCCAGGTTGATTCAGGCGTACACCGCCGAAAGGCCTTTCATAAAAGATATACCCGAAACGGAGATGATGCACAGTTAACCATTGTCTCTGATTCAGAAGACGAGGCTTTATCTAATAGTGGAGAAGAAGGCTGGAGAAATTCAGAGGGTGAACGGCTGGGGGATTTTGGGGTTGACGAAGAGGTAGAATTTTATGATGAGGACGATGTGCCACTCGCAACGTTGATTCAGCGAAGGAGAGACTACTCGAAATAATATCACCATCATTTTACTCGCCTTTTTACGGAGTACCAAATGCTACCGTGCCCATGCCCGACTGCTAGCCAGAATGACCCTAACGCTTGAGAAGAGTACGAATTCTTCACTGGCAACCTTCCATATGGCAAAACCATCAACGTTCCTGAATACTGGGCTGCTCACCTAGTGACGTAGATGAGTGTGCCGCACACCTCTGCCTCATTAAGGGGTACATTTATGCATACCAAAAGCTCAAGAAAAAGAATGAGATACTATCCTTATCCTCATTATACCTTATATCACCAGTGCTTTGGTATATTATACTATTACTGCCTTTTCTGAACTGTTGCAGTAGTAGTAATTTTATAAACCTGCACAACCAACTACCATGGCGTAACCCCTGGGCTTTATTCCATTATGTGAAACGACGCATTTGCTCAGGCTTCTGGTCTAAAAGACACGTTTCCATGATAAGGAAAATCTCTTTGCTGTCTTTTCAGCTTACGTTTAGGAGGGAAATACGCCTCGAAGCAGCCTGGGACCATACCCCTATTTTGCAGTATGAATTCATGCAGACCTCGACGTGCAGAGAGTACTTGCAGATATGCACGTTTTTTATGCGATAGACGGTTGCGGATACGCCAGCTTCTGTAATAGTAACCAATGGCCGTTTGCTTTCTGCGACAGCGACGGGAGTTGCCGCGAATTTACATTCTTTGTCTGCTCCAGATTGGTAGGGAGGTATGTTTACTCATCAACTCGCTGGTAGAGGAGTATTAAAACCCTCATGTCTAAACACATCAACAAATGTCATGAATGTGATACTGTGTTGTTGGCTCACGCATTCTCTATATTTGACAAAGAAGAATGGGGAAGTCCATGAGAGAAGTTACAGGTGGAGAGTCTAGTAAAGCAGCTTCATCTCAGGAAGTTCTGCTGATGGTTCTTCCATTTCCTGAGCCCAAAGATCTACTCAATGAGTTCCGCCAAAAGCTCGCTTGTTGTAGCAGGCTTGAATACTTCCAGATAGTGCAGAACAACGACAACGTTTGCAAAACTGACAAAATCCCAAAAGGTATTCATATCTTTAGCATTTCAAATAGCAAATGGCGACACTTTTACAAATCATGGCTAACTAATATCTCATCATTTAATAGATATATTAGATGTCACGACAGTACTGTGCACCTTGCAATACTTTCCAGATATCCGCGAAGTACCCAAGTATGAAACCAAACCTTCAATCTCTTCGAGTATCTGGGGTTTTATATACCCTTCAGCATAAATGTGGACTACTAACTGTGCATCGACAGGCTGAAATTCGTTCACTTAGTGACTGCAGGCGTTGATCACATCAAGGATGACCCAATCATCTCGGGCGGTCAGTTCCCAATTACTACTGTCTCCGGTATCCATGGACCGCCCATCGCTGAATGGGTCTTAATGAATTGGCTGGTATCCTCCCGGATGTACGATAGGACGGCTAAGTGGCAGAGGGAGCACATTTGGCAGAACCATATGGCTTTTATGAACTTAGCACAAGACCACGTTGGTATGAGAGTGGGGATATTGGGATATGGAAGTATTGGACGGCAAGGTAAGAGATACTGCCTTTGCCATTATATTGGGATGGGAAGCTCAACGTTGACCACTATAGTTGCTCGAGTTTGTACGGCCATGGGGATGCAAGTACTTGCGTACACGTCTTCACCACGCTTAACCCCAGAATCCAGACGAGACGATGGCTTTGTTGTTCCGGGAACAGGAGATCCAGAGGGCATATTTCCTATATCATGGCACAGTGGAAAAGATAAAAGATCTCTCCATAACTTTTTATCGCAGAATCTGGATTATCTATTGATCTCGATTCCGCTCACACCGTGGACCTATTCGCTGATAGGGGCCAAGGAGCTGTCCATCCTCTCGACTTGCTGTCAACAAAAACGCCGTCCTGTCTTGACAAACATTTCCCGAGGGAAGATAATCGATCAAGATGCACTGCTGGCTAGTCTTAACTCTGGCGAGCTCAGTGGTGCGGCTCTTGACGTTACAGACCCAGAACCGCTACCGGCTAATCACCCTCTTTGGGATGCCCCAAACGTCCGCATTTCTCCTCACATCAGCAATTCGAGCTCTGAATACTTTAAGCGCGCCCTTGATGTGCTGGAAACAAACATGTTGCGAGTGCAGGGCGGAGAGCGATTACTTAACGTGTACGATAGAGAAAGGGGTTGTTGAATGGACAAAGTCCTTTGGTATACCGCCCTTGCCTGTTGATGTCTTTGAATTGAGGCGTTGCGGATGGACATGGTAACCACTTGGCTTTTAAATGAGTCATGATAGTTAAGAGGAAAATTATACGAGGGAATCAGAGGCTCTTGCGCATCTATCTCCTATAAACAATCGCAGTTTATTTTTGAATTCCAAACTCCACATGCTTCAAAGAGATATCCCCAGTAATTCTTAAGATGAGCAAAGACGCCCCAGCAATCCTGTTAACTTCTCGCATTCGCCTTCGCCGGTTCGAACCAGACGACGCCAACTTGCTCTGTACACTCAACGGCGATGAAGGAGTAATGAAATATATTGATCATAGCCCGCCGTCTCGGGAGAAAGTGGAAACAGAGGTGCAACGAATCATCCAAGGCTATAATACCAGTACCAGATTTGGCAGATGGATAGCTGAAACTACTACCATGAATGGGATGGAATTCATTGGCTGGTTTGGCCTTGATATGCAGAAACGGGCCACACATTCTAGTGATGAGAATGGCGTGGCTGAGAGCTCTGGGGATAGAACCGTGGAAGAGATGCCGTTACACCAAGAGGACGTACGGCTAATGGTCGGATATAGGCTACGTCGCAGGTTCTGGGGCCAGGGGTTAGCAACTGAAGGGACTCGGGCACTTATAAACTATGCCTTTGGGTCGCCAGATGTAACGCTGATAGAGGCTGAGACCATGTTTGTCAACCTTGGATCCCGCCGTGTTATGGAGAAATGTGGCATGAAATACGTGAAAACATTTCATGTGCATTTTGACGATCCTCTTCCTGGAACCGAGCTCGGTGAGGTTTTGTATGCTATTAGTAGAAAGAAATGGTTGGGTCTTTATAGTGGTGAGAAGTCGATTCCACCTGGCGGACAGGCTGAAAAGTTCAGAGAGCCTTGATTTGAGCTAAGCGTGATACTTTATAAGGATTATACAGCCAATAAATAAATAAATGTAAATAAATTATGCTCAAGAAAGAGAGCGACTAAATTCACATGCAACGCATCGTAGGGTATTTTGCTCCAGGAAGACCAAAAGAGTGACAGGCAGGAGTCGTAAATTCGTTAAATGAAACAAATGGAGAATGAATAAGCAGTAAACAAACAATGACCGGTTTAGCACCCATTAAAGCTGTGCAAAGCCAGGCCTTGGATAGAAGAAGAATCGATGTTGCGATGGTGTTACGCCAACCTTAGGAGCTGGTCACCAAGTTGAGGATTCCCTTCCATGCTAATACACTCAACTACCCCAGCTTTGTTTGCCTGGAGCTTGACAGACATGTAGTCACCATCTCCGCCTTGTGCTCCAACTGAAACCCAAACAAACTTGCTTCCGGAAGCGCTAGCCCATGATTTCTCTTGAGCTCCATCCCAGAAAAGATCAGCTGATGTGCATTTTATGGGATCATTGACATCTGATGCTGATGATATGGAACCCAGATGTGCTGATTTGGATAGAGTAGATCCGTTTGCTGAGGGTGCTGATACGGAAACCTTTCCTCCTAGCCTTCCATTTTTGGCCCAGCACTCGATAACAGTCGCGATAAATTCAAGCTTTTTAGGGAAAGAGTTCGCTTCTAGAATGTCTCTGAATCGTTCGGAGCTGATACCAGGGACCCTGGTGGGGAGACCAGATATAGAAGACAAGTAGGCAGAGGCAGGCTCCGATATAACCGTCCTGGTGTCAAAACCACTTGGGTGCATTTTCCCCTTTGCACTAAGATATCTAGCTGCTGATGGCGATAGGTGATAGAAGTCCATTCGACATGAATTGGCCAGATCGGATGTGCTACTTGGCCGCTGCTCGGGTAGATACAAGACAAGCTTTGTGTGGTCAGGGAAGTTGAACTACAAAATATACACTGTTAGCGAATTGACCACGGTATCTCAAACCCGTTAAAATATATTTCTTACCTGAAATGCACCATCTCCAAAGCCCCAAACACCAACGTTCCCAAGACGTTGGTAGAATTTGATATATTGGCTACTGCTTTTTGATTTTGTTGGCTCGATGGGCCCCCTTCCTAGGGATCCAACCATGTATTTGCCGAATTGATCAACTAGTCTGACACGATTCGCTTTTTCAGCGCTTCGTATGGTACAAAGGACGTTTGCCGGCTTATCAGGACTCGACCGTCTGGTCTCGAATGTTTGTGCAGGAAGGAGTGCTCTCCTGACGGTTCCAGCAGCATAGCCGCCTGTATTGATATCTTCATTCTCGTAGAATTCAACCGGTTGACCATCTCTTGGAACTAGCTGATCAACCTCTGAATATGGCGTGGCACTCTCTGGGTCTCCTTTGGCGCGTGCTTTTTGTCGAAGATGGCTTTCGCCATCCCTAACTACTACTCCAGACGCGGGATAGCCATTCTCACCCCGGAAAACACAACCAACACTTCCTTCATCAAGAACATAGGCGATTCCATATCGGTTTGTGTAGTCAACCCATTTTACAACGTACGGGTGCGCACCACTTCTAGAAGAGGTATGAGGCTGAGCGTCCCGTTGCCTTGAGCCTCTGAGTGAACCTTGAGGAGGGCGCTGGCGGAGGACAGACTGATATATTTGCAAATCCGCCATAACTTCTTGGACGCTTGACCCAGGCATGGTATCAGACTGATCTTCGGGTAGAATAAGTGCACCTGAGCCCAGTGCAGAGCGAGATTTGCTGCTAGTGCCAGATGTAGTAGATGACGAAGTTGCAGATCTACTGATGCTACCGTTTGGCTTGTGTGAGCGAGGGCGAGACACGGTGTCTCTTGCTGTAGTTGATGCTTGACTTTGTTGAGGCCGCGAAGTCGCGTGTTGTTCCGCTTGTGAAGTTGCCATACGGCCGGATTCAACGTCTCTGTGAGGTTCCATTTCTCTTGATTTGACTGGTTCTCCAACCACATACTCCTGCACCATATCTCGAAGAGCCAGAGTGGGTACGGGTGCCGGATTAGGAGCATTCCTTATTGAACCAATACCTAGGACAGCTGGGGTGGAGTTTGATTTTGGTATGGAAGCAATAGGTGGGCGCTTCTTCTCACGCAGCGACTCATGATAAGCCTGGGCGGTTTGTGATCTGGTGCGGATGGGACGTTCGCTGAGAAGATTCCGAGTGCTCTTGATAGCTGGATTCTTGTCCTTAGCGGAATTATTAACAGCCTGAGGAGCTGCCTGTGGTGGATTGCCTGAAGATGTGTCCTTTGCCGCTTGTCGGGGGGCGATTGCCTGTTGACGGAGCATTGCAGCATGGTTCTTTGGCGCTGACTCTCGCCGATTAAGCTGGGCGGCCAGTGCAATTTCTGTCCTAGCTATCATTGCGGCTTTAGATTTCGTCAAATTTCCTTGTCGATCACGAACAGTGCCGTTACCATCCTCATCGTCCTCATATGATTCATTTTCCAGTCCTGTTTCTTCAACACTCCAGTCCTTCCCGTTATCGATGTAATAGCTGTAGACCCTGTCTGTCGGGAGTGGCATAACAGGCTGAAGACCACGCTCTTCCTCCGTAAGGCACTCTGCAAAAGCAGACTTCCCACAGCGTTTTCCGGCCGATTTTCGTATTTCACCTGAGCTTCTCTTTCCAACACCGCATTCTGCATAAAATATATTCTTACATATGGCGTATCTTTGGTTGGAATTTGTGACGTGGGATACCAACTTTCTGTAAGTTGGATCATACTCCAAGCTGTACCCTGGGGCGGTTTTGTCTCCTCGGGGGTCCTCCTGTTTTATCCAATGTGGAATCGATGTGCGAGATTCGGAGTCGAGTTCGCGAGGAATACATCCGGGATACATGTTGAAGAATGCATGGTCCACTATCTGATCTGGATCTGGTCGCCTCTCCTCTGCTAGGTTAAGACACGCAGTGACAAGGTCTTTCGCCTCGTCAGGGATATAGTTCGCACTCTCAGTGTCAACAGGCCAGTCATAACTAAGTGACTTCACCTTCTTATAAATCTCCTCTTGTGTTTTCGACTGGAATGGTGGGAAGCCTGTGAGCATAGCAAAACTAGATGCATGTGACGGTTTGGTTAGCACTCGACTCCAAGGTAAATGCATGCTGGAATATCTCACAATATGACACCTAGGGACCATATATCCACTTTCTGGTTATGACCTCCCTTGCTTTTGTCCAAAACCTCCGGCGCAATGTAGTTGGGTGTCCCACAAAGCGTCTTCCTCCTCTTTTCATCCTTTTCACTTAGCATCAACGCCGCCAGTCCAAAGTCTCCAACCTTGATATTCATGCCTTGGTCAAGGAAAAGATTCCCCATCTTCAAATCCCGATGGGCAACGTGTCGCTTGTGAAGATACTTGACAGCGCCGCAAAGCTGTATCATAAATCTTCGTACCTCTGGAAGACTCAGGAACTTCCTCTTTTTGACCATGTCCATTACCGATCCGTTGGGACACAGCTCGAGTACGACATATATGTTCTTCTGGAAAGCGAATGCACGATGGAAGGTAACAATATTCGGGTGCTTCATCTTTGAGTGAATTTGAAGCTCAGTCCGAAACTAATAACATGAAATTGGTTAGAACCCTTCCCTTGCCAATCATTGGAATCGGAGCGCATACCTTTTCCTCCATCTTCTTCTGCTGCATCTCAGACTTCACCACTTTCATCGCAAACACCCGACCATTCCTTGCGAGTTTTCCTTCATAGCAGACGGCGAACCCACCTTTGCCCAGGAAGCCACCAGTCTGATATTCTTCTCCATAGGCGCCAGGCTCCTTAACCTGGGGAGGAGGCGGTGTTGCATGGTGTCTATGCGATGCCGGTTTCTGTGCTGGATTATTCTTAAAGGACAGCTTTTTTGTCAGTTCGACTTTTGGCTTTGGTGGAATATTGGTTGACCTTGGAGAGAGTGGCTCCATTGCTAGTATCAATTGCGAGTTTGCATAGGGATAACAGCCAGATCGTGGGGCGAGGCGATGTCCAATTTGACTATAGAGGGAGGTCTCTTATAGAGAATATAGGGATGGGTAGAGATTAGTGGTATGTATCCTGGGGAGGTAGTATGCTTCGAATTGCGCCGAGGGAGAATAACTCCAATGGTAAAAGACGAGACGACAAAAGACAGGCAACCGCTGGAACAAACAGATACAGCAATAAAGGACGTAAACTGCTAACAAAATACTGCAAGCAAATCGCAAGTCGCAAGGTCGCAAAGGAATGTACAGTAGAATAGTTGTGTTCCCCCGGTTGTTTACTCCGCCGGACCTTCGTGATGCACCTTTTTGGCCGGGCAACGGCATGTCCCGAATAGGAAATTTGTCAACACCAAATTGGACTCGGAAAAACACATCGGCATTAGTGATGATTATGTAATATAACCTTCCATTTCTTGGCGTTTTCTTCTTACTTCGCGACTTTAAGTATCAACTTGGTAATATCAACAGGCATTTAGACCGGCTGTATAGCTGAATATCAACCTTTTTTACTACTCTGGTTATAGCCGGCAGCATGCAGTAACTATGTCACTCATTGGTTGAAACTATCTGTCTCTTAAAGAACCCCGCATTCTAGAGAATGACAGCTACAAAATGTCTAGCATCACGCTCAAGCTCTCGTCGCTCGTCATCCGGACCCTCTCGAAACCCATAGCAGTAAGCATGGCAGATGCCGGGACTCGATCTGGGTGAACTAGACTAACACTCTGTTCCGTCGCCCAGAACCAAATCAAAGCACAGGCCCGCGAACATGAACGGTTTCGTCGGATATGCGTGTCCTTCGCCCAGGCAGTACACCGCATTGATATGAAGCTAAGGCTTGGCCTGCTTCAGAACACTGCTGCTCTTGAGAAGCAAGCTGCCCGTGAGGCCGCGGAAGCGCAAGCTAAGAAGATAAAGCTCCAAACACCCACTGTCAAGACAGAAGCACAGACGAAGGCCGATGAACTCCTCAAGGCAAAAGAAAAGGCCAGTGGTATTACAAAGACGCCTCCCATCCCACGGATCCGACCGCTGTCTGAAGGGAAAGCGATCGATATGGGTGCAAACTTCATCAGTGAAACCTTCCTTTTCCTTGTTGGAGGAGGCCTGATTATATTCGAGTCGTTTCGAGCCCGAAGGAAGGAGACATCTAGGCGAGAGGACGTCGCCGAACGGCTGGTCGAGCTTGAAGAATCAGAAAATGCTGCCCGCGCCGGTCTGATTCTCCTAGAGAAGGAGGTGCTTCGGCTTCAAGCCCAGCTCGAGAAGCGGCCAGTGAAGGAGCTGAAGCGAGTCCTCCCAAAAGAGATTTGGAATACTGAGGAGGAGCCGGAGCCGCCAGCCGAGACTCCAACGCTTCTAACGACGCTCTCTTCGTACCTCCAGTGGCCAGGAACAAAGAGTAATTCTACCAATACAGAACTACACACCCCGCCACAGGCTCCAGAGCAGACTCCTCAACCAAACCCAGCCTCACAATCCAAGGCTCCAGTTCCTCAACAAACCAGGTAACCTTTCATGTCTATGCGAGAAGAAAGACGGCATGCACACATATATTTCATACCTCAAGATACCCTCTCCTCAATCGTTGGAAGCACACACCGTGATCTTTTAGACTAATATTCTGATACAAATTTATTCCACTCTTGCCTGGCGCCACCACTGCACATTTATACCCCTATGTTGTATATTAGAATACCTGAGTTTTGTTGAATAGAAGTGTCCCAGTGTCGCTGTAGACGGTAATCCTCTATTTCGCCTCCATAGGATCTATCCTTCCGTATCAACCAGTGCTATTCTCCGTAGAAATAATATCTGTGGCGCAGCGATGTAAGAAGCCGCGTGGTAACTTCATCATCCCCGATTATGTAATCGATGACATTTAATTAGTTGAATGTTGCGGACCTGTCGATTAGGCAAACGATGAGGCCTGGTGTTTGAGCTTTTGATACCCAAGGCAGTCCTCGCTGCAATTTTCCTTCGTCGTCCATAATCGAGATACAGACCTCGAGCGCTGCCTGTCTTCCGCTGCCTGGAACCGTCGAGGAAGTACACCCGCGCGCTCAGCACCACAACCCCACAGGCTCCCTGTTGGCCGTCCAGCCCCTGTGAGCGACTCTCGGAACGATGGTGAGTCTCGACCCAAGGACGCATAGATTCAATTTAGAGGTGCTAGACTTGTTTTCTGACTACGAGCTGCCAGGGCTACTCTAAACGTCCCAGAGATGATAAGAAGAGCAAAGGGGGCCGGTCGAAACATGCGGGGGATAAGGGCTCCGGCCAGCCGCGAGTAAAGAAAGCTGCGTTCGAGAGCACCAAGAAGAAGGAAGTCGGTGTATCAGACCTTACGCTACTCAGCAAAGTGTCCAACGAGGCTATCAATGAGAACCTGAAGAAACGCTTCGAGCATGGAGAGATTTACGTGGGTTTATACACTGTGTTTCGCGCGTTGCGGGTTGCCGGCTAACCTTGGATCGCAGACCTATATCGGCCATGTGCTTGTATCGGTCAACCCATTTCGAGATTGTAAGACCCTGCCAGTCACCTTCCGTATACCGATTCTAACTTGTCTACCTCAGTGGGAATATATACCGACGAAGTCCTCGATTCGTACCGTGGGAAGAACCGACTCGAAGTTAAGCCCCATGTTTTCGCAGTCGCCGAATCGTCATACTATAACATGAAGGCATACAAGGAAAACCAATGTGTTATTATATCGGGAGAGTCTGGTGCGGGAAAAACAGAAGCTGCGAGACGATTGATGCAGTACATCGCAAACGTATCAGGGGGCACCGATTCCTCCATTCAAGAAACAAAGGATATGGTCCTGGCTACGAACCCGCTCCTAGAATCTTTCGGAAACGCGAAAACATTGCGCAATAACAACTCCTCACGATTTGGAAAATATTTGGAACTTCAGTTCAACTCAGTTGGTGAGCCCGTGGGAGCTGTTATCACGAACTATTTATTGGAGAAATCTAGAGTTGTCGGTCAAATCACCAACGAGCGCAATTTCCATATATTCTATCAATTTACTAAAGCTGCTCCCCAGTCCTATAGAGGTATATGAAACCATGCCTGCATTTCCATCTGTCTCAGCTACTAATATACTTAACAGATACATTTGGAATTCAGAAACCCGACGCCTATCTCTACACAAGCCGCTCGAAGTGCTTCGATGTACCCAATATTGATGATGCCTCGGATTTCAGAGAAACAATTGAAGCCATGAAGATAATTGGCTTAGCTCAAGCCGAGCAAGATAATATATTCCGTGTATTATCTGCCATTCTCTGGCTAGGGAATATGCAGTTTGTCGAGGACGATCAAAGCAACGCCACGATCACGGATCGATCGGTTATCGACTTTGTTGCATATTTGATGGAAGTTGATGCAGACCAGGTGCAAAAGGCGCTCACGCACAGAATTGTTGAGACAGCAAGAGGAGGCCGGAGAGGTTCTATCTATGAAGTTCCATTAAATACAGTGCAAGCTCTAGCTGTCCGCGATGCGCTAGCCAAAGCGCTTTACTTCAACCTCTTCGACTGGATTGTGCAGCGAGTCAACGCCTCCCTGGTCGCAAAAGGAGCCGTCACAAACTCCATCGGTATCCTCGACATTTATGGATTCGAGATTTTCGAAAAGAATTCATTCGAGCAGCTGTGTATTAACTATGTTAATGAAAAACTTCAGCAGATTTTCATTCAACTGACGTTAAAGACTGAACAGGAAGAATATGCCCGAGAACAGATCCAGTGGACACCCATCAAATATTTCGATAACAAGGTTGTCTGCTCCCTGATCGAAGATAAAAGACCACCAGGAATTTTTGCTGCCCTGAATGATGCTTGTGCCACTGCACACGCGGACTCTGGTGCAGCCGACCAAACCTTTGTGGGACGACTAAACTTCCTCGGCCAGAATCCAAACTTCGAATCCCGCCAGGGACAGTTCATCGTTAAGCATTACGCTGGTGATGTCTCCTATGCTATCGAAGGGATGACCGATAAGAACAAGGATCAGCTTCTTAAGGATATATTAAACCTTGTTAACTCAAGTAGCAATAGTTTCCTGCACGCCTTATTCCCAAATCAAGTGAACCAGGACGACAAACGCCGCCCTCCGACCGCTGGTGACAAAATAAAAGCATCTGCGAATGACCTCGTTACGACTCTAGCTAAAGCTCAGCCGTCGTATATTCGAACTATTAAGCCGAATGACAACAAATCGCCCTCGGAATACAATGTCGGCAACGTCATGCATCAGATCAAATATCTAGGTTTGCAAGAAAACGTTCGAATTAGGAGAGCTGGATTCGCCTATCGGCAGACGTTTGACAAGTTCGTCGAGCGCTTCTATCTTCTGTCTCCCAAAACCTCTTATGCCGGTGATTATACCTGGACTGGCGACGCAGAATCTGGATGTCGACAGATCCTGAAGGACACTAGTATTCCTGCCGAAGAATACCAAATGGGTGTTACTAAGGCTTTCATAAAGACCCCGGAGACCCTTTTTGCACTGGAACACATGCGAGACCGATACTGGCATAATATGGCCATCAGGATTCAACGAGCGTGGCGCAATTATCTCAGATATCGAATTGAGTGTGCCATCCGAATCCAGCGGTTCTGGAGGCGTGTCACAGGTGGTTTGGAGTATATCAAACTGCGAGACCAAGGTCACAAAGTCCTGGGCGGAAGGAAGGAGCGTCGGCGGTTCAGTCTTCTCGGCTCGAGGAGATTTCTCGGTGATTATCTTGGTGTTGGGAACAGCGGTGGCTTTGGAGAGATCGTTAAGGATTCTATCCGCCTTTCGGGTAAGCATCACGGCATACGATACTATATTAACCGTTGCACAAATTTAACATGTATCGCTTCTCTAGATTCCGAAACCGTACTTTTCTCTAGCCGCTGTGAGCTTCTAGTTACAAAATTCGGTCGATCGAGTAAACCTGCACCACGACTCTTGATCTTGGTATGATATGTCCTCTTCATCCAGTGCTTTGTACATGCTGATATGAGTTATTGTTAGACGGCCCGAAATGTTTATATAATCGTTCAATCCGTTGTGAACAACCAACTGAACATCTCTGCTGAGCGCACTATCTCACTTGGTGCTATCAAGTCTGTTGGAACATCCAATCTCAAGGATGATTGGTTTTCATTAGTCGTCGGTGCAGCACAGGAACCAGATCCTCTATTATCCTGTGTATTCAAAACTGAATTCTTCACACATCTCACAAATGCCCTACGCGGCCAGATGAACTTGAAAATAGCTGACGCGTAAGTCTATCAAGCGCCTCTCAAGGGAATAGTTGTACTAATTGACCGCTTTAGGATTGACTTCAATAAGAAGCCCGGAAAACTAGCCCAAGTGAAAGTTGTCAAAGATGCAGCAGTACCCCGGGATGACGTGTATAAGAGCGGAACCATCCGCACTGGGCCTGGAGAACCTGCAAACTCGACCTCAAAGCCGACGCCGCGACCCAAACAGGTTGCTGGGAAACCGATTACAAAAGGCAAACTACTACGACCTGGTGGCCCCGGAGGTGGTCCATCCAAACTCTCTCAGGCTGCAGCCAAACCAAAACCTCGACCAGCTGCACAGCAACTTCCAGCAAGTGGGCAGCAGTCCACTCTTGAATCACGGCCCGTTCCCCAGCCCGTTGCGGCTGTCGCAGCCTCCCATAACCGCGCTGGCTCTGCTGCTTCACAAACCCAGTCACGACCGCCGCCTCCGCCTCCTCCTCCGCAGGCAGCTCCACCACCCAAAAAGCCCATGGCCAAGGTTTTGTATGACTTCAACAGCGGGAATACGAATGAGCTGGCAATTCGCCAAGGAGAAATGATACAGATTATCTCACGTGAAACAAATGGTATATGATATTTCCCTTTCTGCGTCACGTTGATGCCGTCGTTTTAAAATGTCATCCGAGAATACTAACGCCTACTACTTTTAGGATGGTGGTTATGCATGAATCCAAGCACAGGCACCCATGGATGGACGCCAGAAGCATACGTTGAAGAAGTGAAAGAAGTTGCGGCTCCTCCACCTCCTCCTCCGCCTCCAGTAACTCCAAAGGCTACAACACCCCTACCTACGTCCAACGGCGCCGCTCGTGCCAGTGGCTCTGCCGTGGCAAAGGCAAAACCGGCTCCTCCTGCACCACCAGCGAAGCGCCCCATCAATGTCCGCAAACAAATTCCCGTAGCTCCGCGAGACAGCGCAGTTAGCATGAATTCACAAGACTCATCTGGTGCAAGCGGCCGGGCCACGCCCAATAGTATGAGCAATGCAAGCTTAGCCGGCGGTCTCGCAGAGGCATTACGGCAACGTCAGAGTGCAATGCAAGGGAAGCATAATGACGATGACGACTGGTGAAGTTGAAGCTGCTGGATGATTGCCCTTAGTATTCCTTTCTGTTTATATTAATGAGATGTTTCATTTTCCTACAAGACCTGTCTAGGTTGACATTTACTACTAAATCTTAGATGGTTGATCTTAGTTATGGGGTAATTTTCTTGCCATCTACTTAGAAGCCTCCTGGGTCAAAATATCCAATATCCCTTCCCGTCCTTCTCTAGTGATCTCAAAGTCCTCTTCATCCACCGGTTTCATAATCTACTATCTTTTACTTTCAATATGCAGGAGGATAGATAATGCGGTCTACTACACGTATAAAAATGTCTTATTAATAGCATCTATACACCACATCGCTTGCGTCACAGAAGTTCATCTCGTTCGTAAAGAAGTATGCTTGAGAAACGCCAAAAGATCACCACAGAAAGAAAACCAGAGGAAATAACAGGCATCAGCCTGGAATATAAGCTATACATGGCGAAGGTAGATAGTAAGGAGAAAGCTGGGAAGGACAGGGTAGAAAGTCTCTAGATAGTAGTTGGAGAATGAGGGATACGATAGGTAAGATGGAAGGTCTCATCTCGGTGCTGAAGTCGCAGAATGGACCGGCGAGGGTGTCTGGAGCCGCGATATGGGCGTCGGCGGCGCGCTGCTGGTAGGAGTTGCGACTTCTATCGCGATACTGGGCAGCGTCGAGAGCGGCGGGAGTCGCGGTGCATGGTCGACATGCTCAACCACCACGAAAACCTCACTTGCAACCTCGTTTGGCGGCGTTGGCTGGTACGGAGGAGCATCGCCCCAGCCCACGGCGTCATATGGCGGCGGAATCGATCGCATGCCCAGGTCAGCTTCACCGGCGAGAGCTGTAGGCCCCGTCGCCGTCCCAAACGACTCTGCGTCCGAGTTGTTGGTGGTGTTGGAGAGCAGAGACGAAGCCGACGTCGTTCGCTGGTGTATATGCGCCCCCAGCGGACTCGATCCCATGCCAGCAGCAGATTCTAGCAGACCTCGCGAGTCTGAGTCTGGTGAGCTGGAGAATAAACGCGTTCCGTCATGTCTGACATGGCCGATATCAGCATAGGAGACGCTGGATACTCGCCTCTCCCGGCCTCGAGATTGATGCTCGGCAAGCAACGTCGCCGCAGATACGTTGACAGAGCTTCCATTGGGGGATTCAGACTGAGATTGCAGCCTGTTAGCCTCTGCTCGAGCTCGACTCTCTCGTCGAAGTTCCTCTACCCGGGCCCAGTCTCCTCTCTCGCGGGCTTCTCTGCGCTGCTGGCGAGCCTCTTCACGCTCGGCTATCTCTCGTCTTCGCGCAAGCCGGATCTGATAGAGAGACTCCATCTGCTCCTCTCTGTCCTGCTCTTCTTCCTCGGCCGTCTCGGGGAACTCGACCACGACATCCATCCCGTCTCTCTCGCCTTCCCGGGCAATGACGCGCTCGCTCGCTTTGGGCGTTATCGTATAGGAAGGGAGAGTCATCACCGATCGAATGGATGTGTTACGGTCGAGTGCGGCCTCCCGGGGGCTTTGTCTGGCTTCATCTCGACCATTGGCCTCTGCCAGCTGTGCTGTTCCGTTCGGTACGGCGTTATATGATGTCGAACCGGGAGTCCATCGCCGCCATACGCCCTTCAAGTATTTCCCTGGGATTAATTTTGGCTGGTAGTTCCATATTCGGAGATGTCGTAACACGAAGAATGTTATGATGATGGCAACGACGAGTGCGAGTACAATAATGGCAATCTGCGAGAGAAAGGAAGAATACAGTCTGTCAGCTCCGTCATACAGGCTAGTGTCTCGCTCGGAAATAGTATCTACTCACAAAGTATAGATTGGAGCCGTCGGGAGTGTCTTCGTTCGCTCGCGGGAGAATATACATGTTGAACGACGTTGCTGCCTCCAATGTGGCTGGCCACCACCGACCTGACAGAAGGAAACAAACCGCTTAATCACCCGCCTTTTTCTTGTCGACTGAGGTTGAGGAACTGTTTGTTTAGGCTAATAACATGATAGCGTTAGGGGAAGGTCATGGAGTATGTCCCAGAGAAACGGCCGTGAATCAAGCACTGAATCATCAAACGGCTTGACGGTTGTTGATTTTTCTAGGCTGAGGTGATCGATGCTGCGCCCTCTGCCAGCTGCGTGCCAATCAACAACGACGATATTTTCATTAATACAAGGGGCAGACTGTGCTCCACCAGTTACGTGTTGGGTTGGCCTAGACGGCGCTTTTTCGATATCTTCAACGGCTTGAGCGTACCAAAAAGATTTCACCAGTCCAAGGGATTCTCTTTTGTTCATAAATCGTCCGGGAAATGGCGGATCACGATCCTTTTGACAGCTGGGTGGTGGAGCTGAGCCGCAGCAATAGAGTTCGCAACCACTGGTTCAAAGATCGCCCGCCAGGAAGCCATCTCGTCAGCCAGATGCATCGGAGTCGCTACTCCATACGGAGAATACTGACGCTGGGAGATGGACAGAGAAAGGGTTGAAGAGCTGTCAGTCCGAACCAGCAGAAGACCAAGCCATAAAACCAAGCTCTGTTATCCTTACGTCGAGTAATTAATCACAGGTTTCTTGCAGCGAGCTATCCAAACGAGGAATGACGTGGCGGAGCGGGCGGCTCTGTTAGCATTCAAGATCTATAAGGCTAGGGTTTCAACGCCATGATCACTCGCAGCTCCTTCAGACGGAGAATGGGGAACTTGGTACGGGATTGGCCAAGTCCCGTCCCTATATCATAACTATTGCTCCGTATGGAGTATATCGACTGAGACAAGACCTGGAACACACAAGATTACATTACAATCTTCCATCCTGAGTTATTCAGGTCTGGTTGATTGCTGATATTTCCGGTCTTTCGTCATGCAACGCTCCAACCTGTCCTCAGAAACTGATTAAAGAAACGGAGGCTCGCTTTCTGCATGCCAACCGCTAGGGAGCAGAGTAAGGTATGCACTAGGCGGTAATAAGGTGAAGGTATCTTGACAGCCTTGACCTTCTATGCCAGGCAGAACATTTCGACTCGCATCAAAATGCTGTTCTACACATCTGTCCTACCAGCTCTCGATCCGCCGATGCGCGAATGGGCCCATTATTGACAAATAACGAAATCCAGCTCACCGCTCCGCAGTCTATTGGGGGTCAAGAAAAGCCTGAGGACGAATTACGAACGAAGCCAACCAAGGCCCCCAACAACGCATCCGTCAAACAGACAGATGATCTCACCCAGTTGTTGCAAGATAACATAATCTTCCACCTATCCAAGGAGAGTCGAGGATTAGGGTAGAACAGACATTGTAAGCAGCACGCACGCAACGATCGAGGCAAACGGAAGGCTACACAACCTTAAGCAAGACATCATAACTTGCAGAATATGGAGCGACATGGCAATATTATGTCGTACTTCCATCATTTATGTATGTGCGTATATGGGTTACGTTGGAGTTGTCGCTGGGTCTGTGAGACTTGGCGTGGACAATCCAGGCGGCATCGAAAGCGATATTAAAATATTCCACGTTACTGGTTACCGTGGGATATAGCCTGGGGTAGAGTGCCTGGCCGCCTGCAGATGCCAATTCTCTCGATATTAATAATATATGAAAACATATGATACAGAAAGCCGACCAACAGATATGGCCTGAGAAGACATGGACCAGCAACCCCAGATGACAGACAAAGCAAGGTTTCCTCTGGTTTAACATCGTTAAACCTTGAAGAGTTATGGAACTATGGGGAGCGGAAAGCCACTGAGCCGATCCGTCGATCAAGGGTTACCGAGTGGCCCGGCGTCGCCAGAAACCCTTTTCGCACGCCGAAATCGCCGAGGACGACAATTTCGATATCTAGTTGCAGGCTAGAACTCGGCATCCCTTTTGCAGAGGATTGAACAGGGCGATATGTTGTGCGTGACGCCGTATCTGACTCGTATACGGTTGCATCCTAGGCCCTGAACGAGAAAACTAGAGAGTTAAAGAGAGAGCATACTCGTATGCGTCCCTTGGACGTTCTAGTGAATAACGTTTATCTAACTTCGAAGCGGACAAATTAAACGGCCTCTGGCCCAAATACTACTCAAGACGGGGGACCAGGGAACCCCTGGAACATATCCCGACCAGCGCTGTCCATCATGCAATCACGGCTTCTCTAACAAAATAGACTGCCTGCTACCGAAATCACGCCAGAATATATGCAGCTATATTCCGTACTTTCGTACAGAGCTGCATGCATATCCCTGCGGTATATCAGATATATCGGCTACGTACTATAATGAGAACTCGGGATTCAGGGCGGAATCAAATGCAGACCTGCAGTTAGTTCAAGCGGGCTGATCACACAATAAATGCGGAGTGAGTGTGCTTTAAACCAGCCAACCAGCAGACGAAACTCTACATACCTTGCACCTGGCTAGATGGGATATATATTTTGGATTTACCTGTATCCTTTTCTGAAAACCTTATGCAGGAAAGAAAGGGAAACCCAAAAAAGCGATCTTTTCGCCTAATCATTTCTCATGATGCAACGCCGTGTAGTGCGTCCACCCCAGAGCCCGGCATGTTGGATCCTCATGGGCTGGTAGCAAATCACACACTCTCGCAGGGAAGTAATGGATGGACCGAATGCCGGGTCCCGTCAGGTTGGTTCGGGGGTGGACGTTTCCCATTCAGCGGGTCGGAGTTGGTACGACGTTTCAAGACTCCCAACATATAATTTATACGTTTTATCGTTAATGGCTATGGATTTGCAAAACCGATTCTCGTGCGCCCTTCATGCTGGGTATATCGGGTGGACCGCTATGCGCGCGCAACCGGAACATGCGTTCAGACAGAGACAAGTGTTTTTTTTCTATCTTCCTGTCCAGCGCGACTTCGCCTGAAATTGAATCTGGTGTTTGTCCAACATTAATGTCTGGCCCGTTTTCTTTTCTTTCTTTGTGTTGGTGACAATGAGGAAAAAGAAAAGGTCCAGCTCAACGAGATTCTGTGCTGCCGTCCGCATTCATCTTGATTATTTCTCAGTTCGCATCTGAATTCATAGAGGGTAATAAAGGAGGTACAGAAAGGAAACTCGTCAGTTATGACATGAGAAAGAAAGAGAAAAAAGGAAAGAAAAAAAACAAGGAGAAAAAGAAAAGAGCCTCATGTCTCGTTCATCATTTCGGCTTTAAACTCGTTATGAATATACACCCGAAACGGGGATAGAAAGAAAAGTGCCCGGCCGCCCGCTTAGAAGAGGAGAGAGGAAAAAGGAAGAACGAAGCGAGATATTAGAAGGATAAAAGGGTAAAAGGATCAGTGTGAGGTAGGGAGGGTAAGAGGAGAGAACAAACCGCTCAAGCTCTATTGGCTCGATCAAGACCATTGGCTCGGTCAAAGCCATTCGCTCTGTCAAGGCCGTTGGCTCTATCAAGGGAACGCTTGGTGAAAACCAGGGGAACGGTTGGTGCGTCTGCCGTAAAGTAGTCTCTGAACCCGCCCTTGCCGTCGTAGAGCTTGTCAGCGCCCACGCGACTCTCCTTTGGGAAGTTGAAGTCAAACAGCCTGACGACCATGGCCAGGAGCATGCGCATCTCCATCATTGCCAGCGGACGTCCGGCGCAGGAATATTTGCCTGCCAGAAAGGGATTGAATGCATCCTTCCGGATGATCAGGTCAGGCTTGGAAGACCAGCGTTCGGGGATGAAATTAGCGGGCTGGACGAAGTATCTGCTATCTAGATCGGGTAATTTATACCATGTCAGTGCTAGTAATTAGGAATACGAAAAGGAAAAAAAAGGGAAAAAAGTTAGACAGGGATGATTGTGATACGTACCGCGATGGAGGGAGTAGGTGGGAGTCGAGACGATCGTGTCTCCAGGAATCCATCTATCTGCAATCATGGCGCCCTGGGGTGGGGTAAGACGTTGCACGCCGCTGGGCACAGGAGGGTATAGGCGCAGTGCTTCGTTGATGCAGCCTTCGAGGACGGGGCTGCCGGCCAATTTTTGGTGCGAGAGCTGGTCGATGGTCGGTACCAGCTGGTCGATCTCTGCCTGCAGAGCCTTCTTCTGGTGCGGGTGCAGGGCGAGCAGGTAGAGCACTGTAGTGAGGTTGAGTGCGGTCGTCTCGCTGCCAGCTACGATGGCCAGTTCGGCATCGTAAGTCAGATCGCCGTCGTTGACCTGTTCATTAAGATCGTTGCCCAGGATGTAGGAGAACAAGTCCAGCCGCGTCGTGCCCAGCTATCAATATTCAACATTAGTCTGTAATCCGTAGACATAGATCAATCCATAGTATAGAAGGGAGGACATGCCTTTTTCCGCTCCTGCACCTGCTTGCCGCACCAGGAGATCCAGTTCGCGCGAACACGACTGATGCCGGGCAACTTTTGAAAGAGGATGAAGAGCCAGGGGACACCGATGAGGGTGCCGACGACTGGCTTGCCGGCTTCCATCATGCCAAAGAGAAAGTGAGGGCTGCCGGACCTGAGCATGTCGAACGAGCGTCCGAAGCTGAGATCGCCCATGACATCAAAACCAAAGTACTTGAACCACTTGCCAATGTCGACTGGCGTTCCCTCCAGGCTAGAGAGCTGCTTGACCAAGTCTGAGCAGTGCTGGAACACGCGAGGTTCATACTCGCTCAGTGCTATAAGGAAACAAGTTAGCAAGTAGACCGTTCAGGGCGAGGAGAGTCCGGGCGAGCAGGCACCTTTTGGACTGAACCCGCGGTCCCAGGTGCGCCGTCTCTTCGTATGAAAGGCCTTGTCTCGCGTCATCTGCAGAGACCTGGACGGATAGTTGAGATCGTAGAAGGGTCCCTTGAGACACACTGAGCCGAAGCCATGGATATCACGCACGGCAGCGACATTGTTGACCGAGATCTCACGCGGTCCTATGCTCAAACAGTCAGCCAGTGCCATAATCAACAAGAGAAGAGCGTCAACCCACTGATACGGACAAAGTCGCCGTGTTCTCGGTGAAGGCCCTGGACGGCTTCGTGGAACTTGAACTGTGGCAGCGCGCATCCAACAGACCAAAAGCCCGACAGTTTGGCAACGACGGGCCCTGGAAACTGCTTCAGCGCATGGAAACAGAGCCGGTAGAGGCAGATGCTGGCGAACAGGGCCGCGAGATGCGAAGACGAGAGCGCTGCCAGCGTCGCGAGCGAGTCGTAGAGAGACAGCCGCAGAAGTAGACCGGCGAGCAAGCCCACGGCCGCGATGAAGTAGACAGCAGCGACGGCGGGCGTATGTTTCTCCCACTCGCCGCGACTGAAGAGCTGCCAGTGACAGAGCAGGCCGACAGCAGCGGCGACAGCCAGCGCCGTCATCGTCGCCATTCTTTCTGTCCTTTCTATGATATCTGGTCGAGGTGTTGGTGAGAGGAGGCCGGGATGAGAGTCAGGGTAAGAGAACACAGGGGATACCATGTCTATACTTATACTTCTATACTCTCTCTCTGTCCCTTATTCACTCTGTCTTTCACTCTTCTGTATTCCTGTCTGTATTCTGTCTGTCTACCTGTATTCCTGTCTGTCTGTATTCCTGTCTATCTGTATTCACTGTCGTAACAAAGAGCGATGTCTGCCATCCGGGCCGACAACTTATATACGCCGTGGCTGGAGTCGTTTTCCTTCTCCTTCGCACCTCCAGCCATGGCCGCTACATCTCCTGCTGCTACAGAGGCCGAGGAGAGCGATGGTCCCAGGCCGGCGAAGCTGCCAAAGACATCGCCAGACGAGAGCGTCGCCGTCGCCGTCGCCGCTGAGCCTGAGGATGTGCCCCAGATCGCACCGGACGAAGACGACGACGACGACAGCGATTCCGCCGTCGGCAGCGATAGGTAAGTCTCTTCTCTCTTCTTAATGTCTTCTTCGTAATGTCTTCTTAATGTCTTCTAACCTGTGTAGCGATGAGAACTCGCTGCAGTCTCTGACCTCCAGCATCACCAGCTACGTCTACAGGAACGGACGCCGCTATGCGTCCTTCAGAGAAGGGCGATACTGTCTGCCCAACGACGAGGTCTGCCTCTTCATCTTAGCATCTATAATATCGCTGTTTCTAACTGTGACAGGCCGAGTCCGATCGCCATGACTTTCTCCAGCACATATACGGCATGCTCTTTGGCGGGCGGCTCGTCTTCGCGCCCATCTCAGACAGCCCGGAGAGAATCCTCGACGTCGGCACCGGCACAGGTACGTCTCCCTCTCTCTCTCTTTTTATCTCTTGTATACTGACTGGACAGGCATCTGGGCTTTGGATGTTGCAGAGTGAGTTCGTTCTTCCTGCTGTCGTTTCGTTCTAACCGCCCGACAGCGCGTTCCCGGCCACACACGTTATAGGAACAGACATCTCGCCCATCCAGCCTACCTGGTCAGTACATCATCACCCTTCTCGCAGCCTATTCTCTCAGCACATTCTCACCTTCGCAGGGTCTCTCCCAACATCTCCTTCGAGATCGACGACGCCGAAAGCGAATGGACCTTCAGGCAGAGGTTCGACCTCATCCATTTCCAGAACCTCAATGGCGCAATTCGCGACTGGCAGCGTCTGCTATCTCAGATATACGAGTATGTCCGCTAACTTCACGAACCTAAACCTCTCACCTTTTACTTTTATTTTTTTTTCTCGTCCCGCTCCCGTTCCCGCTCCCGTGAGGTTCCAGTGTTTAGTTTGGTAGCTGACAGTGATAGCAACTTGATGCCCGGCGGCTACATCGAAGCCAAGGAAACCGACGTATATGCAACCTGCGACGACGATTCGATCCCCGAGGACTGCTACCTGCGTCAGTGGGAGTCAAACTGTATCAAAGCATGCAGCCTGATCGGACAGACCCTCACGGCGCCTGAAAACATCAAGAAGTGGATCCAGGACGCTGGGTTCGTCGACGTAAAGGAGCAGCAGTTCAAGCTGCCGATAAATACCTGGCCCAAGGACCCAGAGCTGAAACTCGCCGGCCGCTATCAGAATGTTCAGTATTCGGATGCCATCCAGCCGTATGCGCTCGGCTTGCTCGTCGAAGTCCTCGGCTGGTCCAGAGAGGAGATGGAGGTCTTCCTCGTCGGCCTCAGGAAGGACCTCTCCAACCGCTCATATCATGGGTATAATATCGTGTACGTACTTCTCCTTCAGGGATCGAGATCCATCACTAACCTGTCCAGACGTGTTATAACAGCTAGAAAGCCAGGTATGGGGAAGCGAAAGTTCTCCGAAGACGACTAACCTTGGCCTTTCCTCTTTTTTCTTTCCCTTATCATATTTTGCAGCCATCTCATCGTCTCGGGATGTTATACCCATTTCTGGAATTATGGCCTTATACCACATTTCGCGTCTCGTTTGCATTCCGTCTCCTGCCCTCGGCGTTCGATCGAACTGCCCCAGGTTTTGCGTCATGCGATCTGTCTCTTTGTTTTTTTTTTTAATATTCATTCATCCATCCTCTTACATTCAACCCGGGCCATAGACTTGTTTGAGCACGCTGGATCTGATCTGGTCTTTTGGGAACGTCTTTTTTTCTTTGGTGTTATTTCAGCGGCGGCATTGTAGGGTAGGAAAACGGCCAGTCTGGGGAGAAGAGGGAAGGGGAAGGGAAGAGACTCTGTTAAGGGTCAACAGTAACAGCATCTATGATTATGATCGTGATGACAGCGGAAGACAGATGGTATTATGTATCATGAAGAATTCTCTCTTTTTTATACTAGAAAAATCGAAAAACTAGCCCAGCCTATGCACCTGTAAAGTCCATACCATGGCCAAATAGATAAAAACACCAGCAGAGAAGACTCGAGAAGAGAGAGAGAGAGAGAGAGAGGAAAGGAGGCCGGCTCGAACTCTTTATACGCCGTGGCGTGTCCTCCAGGGCCTCAAACCCCACGATTCAGATACATCGCATCCTAATATCAGACGCTAATCTACGCCTCAATGCTTAAGCCTGGCCTCGACGGCCTATTAGCGGTCTCAGATCCCTTAAGACGGGGGCGACTCCATGAATCTTGAATCTTGGTTAAAAGACGAACGCTGGCGATCGGCTCGCCTAAGGTTCGCTTCACCTTTCTTTTTCCTGCCTCCCGCTCGATATTCACGAGTCGATTCCACGAGTCGATTCCACGAGTAGGTGGAGGGTGGGATTATTGGTGCCATGTCTGCTTGCTCGGCTGTACGGAGTACGGAAGATTAAACGGTGGGGTTATACTATACTAGATGTGAAGTGTGAAGCGGCTATACACAAATAACAGTACTCCATAGAACAATATTAGATATAATTACAGCTGCATCCTCAAGAGCCGTCTCAACCTCCCGCCACTTCGACTGCTCAGGTCTGCGAATGGTCCTTCTTCAACCACTGTGCCCCCGTCCACGACCACCACGTTATCCGCCAGCTCCATCATCTCCCTTGCATGTGTGATTATAATCACCGTCAACCTCCGTCCAGATGCCATCAGCTTTGCCACCGTCTGTCTAATCACAGTGGCGCTCTCGACGTCAAGGCTAGATGTTGCCTCGTCTAATATGAGCACTCGCGGACGACGAACAAGTGCCCGGGCAATCACAATTCTTTGGGCCTGGCCGCCAGAAACACCTATTCCGCCATCTCCAACGAGCGTGCCATAGCCAGATGGTAGCGAAGAGATAAAGTCGTGAATTCCTGCTGCCGTGGCTGCTGCTTGGATATTCTCCATCGTGTTGAGTGGGGAGCTTTCGGCAAGGCCGTAGGTGATGTTATCCTTGATCGAGGCAGGGAAGAGTGTAGGGTCCTGTGGGACGATACAGATCAATGAACGCAGAGTAGGGACATGGATGTTGCGGATGTTTACGCCACCCAGCGTGACGGTGCCCTTGTTACTTTGGGACGGCGGAGATGGATAGAGCGCAAGCAGCAGCGAGGATACGGTCGACTTCCCCGAACCCGAGGGCCCAACGATCGCAGTGCAGGAACCCGAGGGGATCGTCAGGTTGAAGTTCTTCAGGATTCTCTTTTCTGGCCGATTCGGGTAACTGAAATCCACGCCGCTGAAATTTAGAGGAGCCGGGTCTGGGATGCGCAGACTACCCTGGTGTTCATGCGACTGATCGTCCTGCATGTTGACTAGCTGCAGAACCCTAGTTGCAGAGTCTTTGGAAGAGCTGATCTGTGGAACTGAAAGCCACTACATGTGAGTACGAAGGCAGATGATAGGAATGATAGTGAACTCACCCAGTGCGAGCACTCCTTTCACATTCGCCATGCTAAAGAGCAACATTGAGAACACCATTAGGATATCCTTGGCTGAATACTGAGAGCTCGAAACAAGAACTGCCCCGTAGTAGAAGACGAGAGCTAGGATTACGTTAGACGAGTATCAAAAGCAAAGAATCCAGCGAGCTCCTTACCGTAGACGAAAAGAATTGAACATTCTGAAAACCCAAAGAACAGGCCAGAATAGCAACCTCTCTTGATCCCAATTGTCAGAGTCTTGTAATTAGCCCTATCGTGCTTGGTATGGAAGTATGATTCCAAGGTCAACGATCGAACCGTTCGAATATCAAGAAACGTTTCAGTAAACAATCCCGCCATCGTCTCGCTAGCTTGATTCGACCTGTTCTCCCAAAATCCACTGATCTTCTCATAGAGCCTCGTCAGGCCGTACAGAGGAGGCGCAGTGGCAGCTCCAACTAGAGCCAGCTTCCAGCACACTGCCACTCCCCAGATAAACCCGATCAGAGTCATGACGGCTGCAACAAACATGAAACATGCAAATCGTCCAAGTAAATTTCTCATTTCCTCAGGGTTCCGATCCAAACAGTGTGTCAAATTTGAAAGGCTGTTCTCGTCTTTTTCAAACCAGGATTTACACTGTTGTAGGACCCTCCGAATGGCTTTGTAACGAAATTGATCTATCCAGGCTTGCCCACATCGTTCAAGGAGATAGTGCATAAAGAATGATGCTACTCCGTTAACAAACGATATGCCCAAGACTGCAAGAGCCCATTGTTTCGCTCGTTGAGGCCTATTTTCAACTATGAAGAAAGTGCTTAATAACTGTGCGAACAGGTAGGAGAAACATGGCGTTGCAGCGGCATGGAAAAATGCAGCTATGAATCCGAGAAGTAGCGATATCCTGTCCGAAAACGATAAAGATGGTACCACTGTCGAAAGTATTTGTAATATAGTATAAATTTTTGGCTGAGCTTGTTTATCTGGTTGTGAAGATGAGGGTGGTTGGTGGCTTGGGGACGAAACTGGTACATGCTCTAATTGTTGCTCGATCCTTTTATCGTTCCACGCATTCAAGCCCAAGGCCCTTTCATCACTAAATGGATCTTTGAACTTGGGGCTCATGGGCTCGAAAGGGCTTCCAGATATACTGGTTGGCCGCAGCCGTCCGGTTTGGTCTGCCTCTGCATAGGCTCGCTCAACGGAAATGCTGCGGTGAAAGAATGGAGAAAGGGGTGTTGGTAATGAGCGCCGCTCGGCCACCCGGTTTTCCACGCTGCTAAAGCCTGACCCCCTCCTTCGTTCTAGCGGAGGGGAAGTGGCTTTCGGAGTCCAGATCGGAGGTGATGTGGACGTTGGTGGTAAAGTTACAAGATGGCTAAGGTCAAAGATGCCGGCTGCTTGTTTCTCTAGGACATGCTTATAGCCCTGCTGTGCAATTCTCCCTTGGTCGACAACATACACAAAATCTTGCGATCGAATCTGAGACAGGTCGTGGGTGATAATGATGGTGGTCTTCCCCTGTCGCCAGGCACGAATGGAATTCATCAAGTGAATTCTCCCAGAGTAGTCTATTGCGCTGGTGGACTCGTCGAGTATCAAGATTGGAGTATCCCTCAATCTTGCTCTTGCCAATGCTACCCTTTGGCGCTGGCCTCCACTCAATGAACTGCCACCGGTGCCAACAATCGTGTCAAGCCCCAAGGGGAAGCTAAGGATGGTATCTTGAAGACCAGCGAGTTTCGTGGCCGCGGATATATCTCGGGCTGTGATATTCTCGGCATCCTGGGAGCCGAAGGTGATATTCTTTAATATTGATTCATTGAAAAGGATGCTCTCTTGCTGAACCAGGGTAATATTGTTACGGATCCAATTCACGTCCAAAGTTTGAATCAATCTGTCGTCGATATATACCTCCCCAAAGGTTGGTGCATAGAAGCCCATGAGTAAATTCCCGATTGTGCTTTTTCCGGAGCCACTTTTGCCAGCAACGAAAGTTGTATCACCGGCTGGGAAGAAGAAAGAGCAATTATCCAATACTCTTCTATCTGGTTGCGAGGGATAGGCGAATGTAACCTAACAATAGTGAGCATATAAGAACCTAGTTATTTTAAGTAAAGACATAATTACCTCTGAAAATCTAATATCACCTTCGCAAAACATGGGCGAGAGGCTCTTGCCCCTCAAGTTTCGAGAAGTGCAAGCATGGCACGAGTCTTTGAATATATGTGTCAGAGCCGCTGCAGCGGTACGTCCCTTTTCAAGAACGATCAAGCGAGGTATAATTTCTTCTATGGACTGTGTCGCCTGCAGACACGCCCAAAACGTCGTCAATACTTCACCTGCACTTAACGCACCCTTACCCACAAGGTAGCTGCCGTACCAAAAGCCCTGTACAAACATGCCAAAGGTTAAAAGGGAGATAAGGCCAATCTGCGAGGCACTGTAGAGGGCTTCCTTATAGTACCAACCAGCAGCTACCCCAATTGCTGCTTTATACTTCTCGGCTTCCGTTTCTAGTCCGTTGAAATGTTTCACCACATCGATGGAGGAGATGGCCGTGGTCACAATTTTTGACGCCCTTGTGAGTTCTGCCTGCTGAGACGTGATCTTTGGTTGGATCTTTGACGAGAAGACCGCAATTATAATCGCGCATATGGGCACGCTCGCAAGGCATACGAGCGTTAAGCTCCAAGATATGTACATAGCCAACACCAGGGCTACTATTGAGGCAGTAAGATTGTAAACTGTAGCTCCCAGCGGCTGAGACGTTGCGAGTTGAAGGTCACGAATATATCTAGATAGAAAGCCGTCAGCAGTGTACCATGATAGAATCAGTGTAACTCAAAGCTTTTCGGCGTACGCTTGGATTCGAGGCAAGACGGCAGGGAGGCCATCAGGTACTCCGTCAAACCACTGCATATCCTTGTGCAGCAGCTCTTCAAATGCCCATTTCCTCGCATTCTTAGCCTGTAGCTCTCCGAAAATAACCCATAGTGAAAAGTATACACAGTCCAAAAACCAAATGCCGGAACCGATGGCTAAAAAGTATGTGCACTCGAGAGAAGTATCCGACAGCAGCTGGCCAGCAGAGATCGAATGAGAAGCAAAATTAGAAAACGCGTTAAATAGCCTGCCGAGTATCCAGGCAAGTAAGGGAACAGTAAGACCACAGGCAACGCTGAAGGCGAGTGCTAAGATCAAGGGGGCAATATGCCTCCTGGAGGTGAAGTAGAAGAGTGACGCCCATTTTGCCCGCAGCCGCTGCTCATCGGCAGACCTTGAATCTGTCGATAGCTTGCTAGATGCCGAGCTATGAGACATCGAAGCAAGTCAGTGACGCCGTTAGTGGTGGTTGGAGGTCGGTTTGCAGTCCGCGGGCTCTCATCGAAGCTGCTGGCTGCAAACTTCAGGCAGGAGATCCATGGTCCACGGGGATGAGAGAAAAATATAGAAGAGAAGCCATGGCGAGCCACTCGGACGCCAGCAGGAAAAGATAGTCACGGACTCTCTGTGGTCTAGACATTGCTGGTATCATTCAATGTGATTACTTTGGTCTGAGAGGGTGAATGAGCCTCGCTTTCTTTGTGCTATCTGCTAGTCGAGGCTTGCTTGCTATTGTTCCTGTGGAGTTGCCAGCGCTATTTATCCCAGATGAATAGAGACGAGGCGTGTCTAAGTACAAAGATCATGGAGTTTGCATGAACGTCCTGGCTGGGCCTGAAACAGGGTGCGGTGGCTGATGTTTTGAGATGGTCGAGGTTGAGGTTGGAAGTTCGACTTGCTGACTTCTCTCAACCACTCAGACGAACGACGACGCTCACCAACCACGTTAACGGTTCAACAAAGAACTACATTAAGCCGTCATTGGCTATAATATCACTGCCTTGCCTCGCCTCGCTTTGAGAACGAGAGAAAAATTACGAGTGGCAATCTGGTTATTGGACGACAGGCTGAGCGACACTACTACAGATGCAGACATGGACCATGGAAGACTAGGGCAACAAACGAGAGAATCGCCGGGGACAGTCCAAGAGATAGACTGGACGCAAGTCTAAAGGATAGACAGAGGAAATAAGAGACATAGACTTATATATCAGATCAGGCTAAGACAAGCTTTTTTTTCTTGGGGATTATTGCATCCGGAATAACTATGATTCTCACTGTGTCCACAATGGAGGAAGGTGAACAAAAACTAGCTATATAAAACCTAGGGAGGTCCCTCAAGTATATAACAATTGACTATAGTTCGATCATACGCTTGTTCCCTTCCAAAAAGGGGTACCATCTATATTTACCATTCTAAATTTTCTATCTTTCCATACGCAAAGAAGCGTTACTCTATCATTGCCTCCTCCTACATAAAACTTCTGATTTTGGATCAATCAGAAGGGCCGAGATAAGTGTAATATTTTCCGGTCGACCTTGCCCGTCAGGAAATGCCCAATCATAGTTGAGAATTAAATGAGCAAGGAGGATTTTTATTTCATTGATTGCGAAAAATCTACCCGGGCAAGCATGAGTACCCAGGCCAAAGGACAGGCTCTCAAGACCAATTGATGTAGCCTACGAATTAAGTTAGAAATATACACTTTAGGTGTAATTGGATACCAGCCTATGAATGCATACCTGGAATTTATGCTCGTTCCCCTGAGCAGCACGTAGCCTTTCAAATCTGCAAGTAGACAACAATAAGTATGAATGAGAAAGAGAATGGGTAATTATCAGCCCGCTTACCTGAATCCATCAAACTTTTCTGCATTTTCCCACAATAGCGGATCATAGTTGATTTCAAGGGAGTTGAATCCAAGTATAGATCCAGCCGGGAGGATTGTACCGTCAGAAAGCTCTGTAGTAGCCAACACCTTGCGCTCCATACCAACTATGCAATAAATTTCGTTAATTTTCAAGCACTATAACGGGTATCGAGAAAGAGTGCAATACCAAAAGAAGACGGATTTAAGCGCTGGGTCTCTCTTAGGAACGAATCCAACTTTCGGAGTTTCATCATCGCAGACTTTGATGTGATACCCCCTTCCTCAGCTATAACTGTTTCAAGCTCCTTTCTTAAAGGGCCATTGTACTCTGGTGCCGCAGCCAGGTGGAACAAGGCATGACATGCATTCATTGAGGTTGTATGCATTGCGGTAAAAGCGGCCATGAGCTGATTTGTGGCTTGAAAATCTAAAGACTTTCCTTTCACTTCGTTGATATCTATGAAAGATTGGATGATATCGCGTGGTGGCTGGAATCCAGGATTACTCAGTCTCTCAATGCGCTCCTGAAGTACTGGTGCAAGTAATCTGCCTCATCATATTCTGTTATAAATGCATCCTTGCCATATAGAGGTATATGCTGCTGCTAACCTTTTGACCGTGGAATAGTGCCGCCGGACAGCCCGTAGCTCGGGGAGGAACCAGTTCAAAAGGGGATGCACTATGCGCGGTGTCATGTGCAGAATCATCCCGGCCTTGAAAGCGTCTTCCGTGTATTTCATCATGCATTTCAACTATATGACTATTGTTAATAGATGTCAATTGTAGCAATGTTACTTTTCAGGCCTTACACACCCATTCTTTATTGTGACAAAGCGGCGAGCCAACAAGGACAGAGCTTGTCATCGAGGTAACCATCTCAAGAAGTTTAGGCAAAAGTTGCACCGGTACGTAATCTTATCAATGTTACCAAAAGAAAAGGATCACCTACAGGCTACCCGCATAGATGACTTACCATTTCCACAGAACCCTAGATGCTCCTCAACTACAGAAACCACTTCATCTTGTAGGAGTTCGTGAGCATGGACTATGTTTTGGGTCAGATCACGTCTGAGGGCAGTAGCGAGGCTCTGATCGTGGGTTGCAATCATCGTATACTCCCCAGCCATCGCATCCTTGACCAAAGCCTTGAAGCTCATCTGACTATCAGGAAAGTTCTTCACCTCATCCAGATGTTGCCGTGGGAGAATTATCATGCGCTGTGCAGGGACCTGGATCTCATAGGGCTGACCCGGATACTGAATCCATTATGTCAGTCTATTATAGACTGGGTAGGACAGGGGATAGATAGATACCAATTTTGACCCTTGAATAAGACCAGGCTTCATATCATTTGATTGTAGCCGGATGACTGGGAAACGAGTAAGAGGCCTCTTTCTGGTCCAGGGAGCAATCTTTAGACATATAAAGACTGCCCCAAAAAGGAACAAGACCACTAGCCCGAGGTGAGCAGTAGGATTTCCTTCTAACAGGTTGGCCATATTGGCAAGTCACTCTAGTTACAGTTAGATTCGGTGTTGGCCTTTGTGACGTTCATGCTTCTGATGAAATCGTAGGTAGGGCCGCTCTGTTATATATAGCAAAAGCCAGCGGAGGGGGTGTTGCGTGCGTACTAATCGGGGATCTTCATTCCAATGCCACAAGCACCAGGATGCATGTGCGACTTTGTTAGACACTTTGCAGGGTTGACCTACATTTAGGCCTTTGCATTGGACCAAGAGCCTTTTGGATGTTCCACCAAGAGTTATTCCTTCCCCGAGGCGCTCGTATTCCCAGGGGATCCTTTGAACAAGCCGAGGGCATAGCCGGCGCCTAAGTATTGTACCTGTTGTTTATATCAAAAGATCTTGGCAGTTCCGTCCGTGTCTTTGGTTTGCAGCCATATACTCGTTTCCAGCGTTTCAATTTGATAAAATAAAGGGTGTTGGTACAGTCGCGCCTTTCCGGCTATCCACACACGCTTTTATTACCCATTAAGGTATAGTGTCGTGGAAAACTATTCAGTTAAAAGTGGCCCCTAAGAGAAGACCTTTTAGTCAAGCTAGCCCTTAAAGATACCTAAGGGTAGGCCTGGGGAGCGGCCTAAGGGGCAGATCTAGGAGGCCTAAAGAAAGCCTGAAGAGAGACCTAGAGAGTAAAAGTAGATCTAACGAGGTAGCTTAGGGGGCAAGGCTCGTACTCTTAACTAAAAGGTATTCTCTTCGGAGCGACTGTTATCACAAGTTCACAACCCTAAAAATAAGACTCCGGAACCCTAAAACCTAAATTTCTTATTTTTAACTCTTATTATATAATCAAATAATACACGTGATCATCTTGGTTATAATCACGTGACTGTTATTGACCAAAAGGGTAAGTCGACACTTCTTCGCTGACATTCTTGTATTTTTCAAGCTCTTCATCATATTAATAACAAACAATGAAATACTCAACACCAATCTCCTAAACCTCCATTCATTCTCTAACGTCAGGAGTCGATACTACGATGACCGACTAGTTGGATGCTGCATTATGTACAGCTCCATTGGAGTCTCGCCAACCGGTAAGATTCTGTTGCATCTCAACAGTCTTGAGACCATATTGTGTTTTCCTGGAAAGGGTGCGAAATCGAATGTATAAGCTTACCATTTCCAAGACTGAAGCATTCTGACATGACAAGAAAGGGGAAACAAAGAAGGATAGACATACTTTCTTTGGCATAGAACAGAGGCGGATACCCATCATCGTTGGCCACATTCGGGTCAACAAGAGGACTATCCAGTAAAACATCTACCACCTCCCCTTGGCCATTGAGAACTGCTTGATGTAGCGGAGTATCTCCATTAATACTTGGGGTATTGGGCTGGATATCTGGTCGGCTGAGGAGGTACTCTACTATATCTATCCTACCGTGGATGGCGGCATAGTGAAGTGACGTGAGCCCAGTATCATTTTTTGAATTTGGATCGCAACCTCTGAGAATCAATGCTTGAAACATATCCAATTGGCCATGTACCACAGAGCACATCAAGGCCGTCCTGCCACCACCAATGTTTATGTCTGGTATGACCCTTTTATCCTCCAGGAGAAGACGGAAAATCTCAATATTTTTGTGTCTCGTTGCAGCCACGAGAGGAATACTTCGTCTCCACCCAACATCACCGTTCAACTCAATCCCGTCTGTCGCCAGTAGAATCCTAACAACATCAATGTGGCCAGAAGCGATTGCACAGCAAATGGCGCTCCAACCATCGCGGTCACAGCCATTTGGATTGGTATTATGGAGCTGTAGTAACGATTTGACTATCCTGAGTCGTCCAATGCTAGCAGCCCAGCTCAGTAGCCTCCCTTTTGCAATGTCAAATTTAGGAGAGTCAAAACGTAGTTCCTCACATTCAAATAACGATTCCACCACATCCATGTATTGATAAAAGATCCTCTTCGGGATATGATTTAGAGCGCAATCCCAATCTGGGCAAACGTCTTCACGACTCAAGAACAGTCGTATAACTTCTACGTGTCCAAGGCCCGTAATCGTCCGTAGCAGGAGTTGAGCGCCATCAGGCCCCGGAGGATATTGCCGCAGGATAAAATTAAATAGGTACTGGCAGCTTTTATCCACTGCGTATGCAAAAGGTGTACGCATCCGAGTGTCCTTGATTATAAGGGAAATGGACGGCAGGCCCAGCATATATTTGACAACATTTGCTCGACCGTACTCAGCAGCACGGAATAAAGGAGTTCTGGATTGCCAGTCTCCACTATTCAATTCGATGTTCCCTCGTTGAAGGAGGCTGTGAACAATGTCTACATGCCCAGCGGCTGCAGCAGCTCCAAGAGGGTTTCCAAAAGGACCGTGTCCAATCTGCATGCAGGTCCAGTCTCTCACGTCTGCATCCGTAGTCAAAAGTAGCCGCACCACTCGCCGAGAGCCTCTATACGCGGCAAGCTGTAGTGCATCAGCGTTGGGCCTGCACATCCTCTGGACGTGAGCGCCTTTATTGATCAGAAGTCGTGCAATATTTTCATGATCGTTGAATGCCGCAGCGTACAGCGCATTCCCAAGGAGCTCATGGCTCAGGTCAGCCGAGACCCCATTTTCCAAACAAGCCCCTACAACATCGTCTAGTCCTAGCCATGCAGCCAATATGAGATTAAACTGGTCATCCCAGTCTTTGATACAGCGGATGGTATCATTGGCATAAGTGGGGAAATACTCTATCCACCCCTTGGGTTGGGAGGCAATCACTGCATCACAAATCCGCTTCCAAGCACGCTGGGTGAGTGCCTCTGTGTTCTTGCCTGCGCCTGTCGATGTGATCAACCGGCTTGCCTCTTTGAAGATCCCGACCTCGTTCAAGCCGCTGGATATGATCCTCTCGTAAAGAAGCCGAGAGAAAAATAAATCACTCGTAAATTTCTGGATCATTGTGATGTGGAAGAAATTATGTAGAATAGTAGCATCAAAATATCCTAAGGCATTTCATCAGTCCAGTCTTAGGACAGACACAGGTGTGCAAGTAACTAACCGCAGACCAGTCTCATTCGCATCACTACCGCTGGCTGCAAGTAGCTGAATATCTGTATGATGATCTCAACACTTAGCCCCTGGAAGCCCATCTTGGGAAAAATTGGTGATATTGGTTTATTTTGCTATAGCAGTCCGCATGAAAAGTGCAGGACAAGTAGGAAAAGGGCGTAAGGCGACCTCACGCTATTATTAAGAGTTATTCTACACCTGATGCATGTATTATTAGCCAATAGATATAAATAGTTTCCGTGTCCAATAAGTATTGCCTACCAAAGAAAATCCTACCTTAGCGTAAATAAAAAATAAGGCTTTTCGAGTCAGGAGGAGGGTTGATTGCTGTAAATCCAAGGAGCTCCAAATTATCGTCCAGTCAGCCATATAAATCCAGTGAAGGGGATATTAGAGATATCTTTCCTCAAGACAGAGCTGATTCTATAGAAGGGACCGTTAGTTTATGAGTGATCTAAGAATGGTTCACTAGAGAGGCAACACTCGCCAGGTGCATCATTAATCAGTTAGTTAATCAAGTAGCGATGTAGATAGGCAAAACATCACCTAGCAAGGTATCCGGGCACACATATATAATACATGCCTCTCCTATTCTGCTCCCCTTCCTTTTCCATATCGGAAGTACAGGTCTATATCCTTCGTTGTGTGATATCTCCGATAGAATATTATTTCCTTACACGTTTGTACACTTATTCTTCCGGTATCAACAAGATGCCGGTCGTCGAACAGATCGTCCCCCAGAGGAGTAAAAAGTACTGGAGCTCGCTGGACCACCACAATGAAGATGCCACGTTGGAAGCAGTTATGCAAGAGGTATCGTGACATTCTCCCAATATGCGTATCGTGCAAATATCTAACCCGTATTTTAAACAGTTTAACAAGTATGACGAAGAGGCGTTTCACTACTATAATCGTGACCCCAATCCCGGCCATCCGCCATCGGTATACTGGATCGTCAAGCCATATTTCCTAGACTGCCAGGTATTTCTACTCCATGGCTCGTTTCGCCTCCTTGGAGAAGACAAGCCGGTGACGGAGGCGGGCCGCTCGTACCTTTTGAAGGACGAAGAACGTATCGGGCTATGTGGAAGCACAACCGTGGTGGTGATAGAGGAAGGAGAGCCTGGAGAAGCTCTTCTTCCCAGCATGGTGGAAGGGGGTCGCTTTGATGATGAGAAGAACATGAAGATGCCCCAGTGCCTTGTTTCATAATCCAACTTTGTGCAAGTTAGAATATGCGTTTGGTGTTATAGTTGAATGTATCTCAGTATCTTCAACCGCACGGAGATCTCTACCAAAAACCCCCTAAGGATCCCGATGTTTTGAACCTATCGAACAAAGTCCCCGTCCTTCTTATACGAGCAAGCAAGGACGAGCTGAAGGACGATCTTGGTTGATTAGGCGCCATTATCGATATTCGGTAGAGACCTCCGTATCTTTAACCAGCTCCCCTCCTCGCGTATTCACAGACAAAGGACCTCTCCCAGGCCAAGGATGATGTGGGACTCCGCCATGAAGGTATCAAAGGGCTGGCCAGACCATACGCAGTCGGTACGGTTAAGCACAATGAAATCGGTTGAAAGAGCTCTTTGAGATGCCTCAGGGCCGGGAGTTTGCTGGACAATAGTTTTATGCACGATGATGCAATGCAGAAACGCAGATACACGCCCTCAGAACGGTCATATTATTTGCCAATCTACCTCGCAGAGACTTCTTCCACAGGGCGTTATCGTATGCAGGAAAGAGAAATCTAAAATCCGATTAGCAGGAGAATCGACAAATAAGGGGCAGAAGGGAGGCTTCAGGCTTGAGTGCGCCACCCTGGGCTGTCTGTCACTAACAACCTTGGCTTCGGCCCCTAAAACCACCATCCTTTGATCGCTCAGCCAGGAATTAAATAAGAGATATTGACTTTCGGTGAAGAAGTCGAGGTCTTGAAATCAGTCAAGTTCAACGGTAGCTAAAGGTATTGCCTTCTTACTCCTCGAACTATTTCTTTCTCAAAGACTTCCGACATCGCGGTGCAGGAGTTCGCAGACCCCGCCTCCGTCCTTGAAACTGTAGTTATTTAAACAGTATTGGACGACCATCTAGCGCCGTATCTGTTGCTAGACGAGCAAACGAGGAACGCGACTCTGGTATATCGACATACCCGCTCATGAGGCCATCGCCGCCATCATGGATACCCTAGAACTGCAAGGCGAAGGTACGGCGACAGCTTCATCCGGCGCTGCGCAACCCGCTAACCCTCGCAATCTAGAGAAATTAATCGAAGTGAACCATCTGCTCAGCACCTTACGGGCAGACCTGGAGCAGAAGAGCCTTCAAACTTCCCGTATGTGTCACCGCCGCTACAGACTGCCTCCTGTTCTTTTCTTGCCGTTGCATATTAACCGAGCCTGCTGCTTTCTATAGAACGGATCGAGACCCTGCAAAAGCTGCGCGTGCATGGCCGGAAACCAGAAAATGCGGAGCCCATATATGAAAAAGAGGTACGGAGACAGGCGGTTCTGAGAGGGGATGACGACGTTGACACCCATCTCTAGGGTATAGCAACGCTCTCGGCCTACGGATTCGACGAGCCAGAGGCGATTATATACCGAGAAGCGCTACGATGTCTGGCGAATGCTCTACTGCTGGAGAAGGCCACGCGCCAAAGGTTCGTTGACCTTGGGAATGGGAGAAAGGCCGCAGAGAAACTGAAAGCGAGTGATCCCCGTCTGCGTACGAGCGAGAGAGTACAACACTGACCGGTCGATATGTAGGAGGATAACTCTGAAGACGAATTTCTATGTTCACGGCTTCTATTCTTAACGACTTACGACTCAGATTTGGACTTTGATAAGCTGTTTAGTGAATGCTCCTTGGGGGAGAGCATCAATAACGTATGCACCCGTGATGCAGACATCAGGCAAGGCTCTTTGCATCGATAACTGACTTCAGTGCAGCACATACATCGCCATTCCAAACAATTCTCAAAGGGCAAAAAGAAAAAGCTTACCCCCATCGACGAGCTTGCGCTCTCAGAAACACTCAAGTTGATGTTTAATATCACCAACTACTACCCTCACCACACCACGACATTCTCGCCAGCAATTCCACACATACTAAAGATCTTAAGCCTCATCGAGATCCCAACCCCGCCGCTTCAAGCTCCTGTCAACTATCTCATCAACTCATTGCTGAATCTCGACCTTGAGGCGGAGAAGAGCAAAGCTTTCAGCACCAATCCTTTGTTCCCAAAGTTCGACCAGAACTGCAATGTGGATAAACTAATCAACATCCTTGATCAGGCCGTTGCGATGCATAAACCATCACATCTAGAGACCCTCGTCGTTCCACTGCTTACTCTCCTTAGAAAGATATATTCTTTTGCCCCAGAAGGACCCAGGAAATACATGGAGTGGCTGCTTCTTCCCGAGGACAACGATCATGATCTACCCATCGGCCAGTCAAATACTTTGTCATCCCGGCTGCTACGGCTATCGACGTCTCCGGTGGCGCCCAGCTTACGAGACGGCATTTCGGCACTCATGTTTGAATTATCAGGAAGTAACGCTAGCGACTTTGTGAGGAACGTCGGATATGGTTTTGCGGCAGGATTCCTCATGTCGCATGATATGGCAATCCCTGAAAGTGCAAAAGAGGCATACAGCTCCAAGGCCGGCAAAGAGTTCAGTTCAGCTATTAATCCGGTCACCGGTCAGAGGTTTGATGCCGAGCCCGTGGATACTGGCCCAGAGATGACTGAGGAAGAGAAAGAACGAGAGGCAGAGAGACTATTCGTGCTCTTTGAAAGGTACGCCACCATCATTCTCTTCGTGTGTTTAAGCGGAGAAGTAGCTAACTGCTTCCCCTTCTGCAGACTCCGTGCTACAGGCGTTGTTAATGTCGAAAACCCCGTCCGGACGGCTGTGGAACAAGGCCGTATTGAGGAGCTTGACTAGCCCTTGTCCTCCCATTGTCTCACTTCTTTATCCGTTGCACATAGAGTTCACCCCGTACATTTATCATGTCTTGACTACCCCATCACTTACAGCCGATATATCCCAATTTTGAACGGGCACAGATTGTCTCTGAGTCTGCCCACTGCGCTACACTTTACCACTTACATGTTACATATGTATGAATCATGAAACATAAAATGACACGCTGCGAGTAGCGGATTTGAACAGGAAACATCAGGAAAAGTCCATCGTCGTTCTATCTCTCCCTTAAAGATAAAATGCGGGTTCCAGTGTGTACAGGCGCCGCCCCGCAGTTCTTCCTACCCAACACTTACTAATGCCCGATTCTAGGCCTGCGTAGATAGTAGCCAACCTATCCGCCATCCCTCGCATCCCCTGTTTCTCCTACTTCTCTCGTTTTCCCCTTTGTCTTCTTAACAAAGGAAGCTCGACCGATAGTAGTATGACGTAATGCTGCATTAGCTAATACGGGCTTGGCAATGCTTATATAACAGACTTATCGGTCTTCGGGGATATAATAGTCCGGTTATATCAAATTATTCATCCAAGTGCGAAATGGAGAGAGAGCGAGAGGCTTCGACACACTTCGAGATTGAACGAACTGTTCTCGCGCACATACCTGGAGGCTTGATATAACAACATCTACACGCTCCTACTCGGCCAGTCCAACTTTGAAGAAAAGATACTCGATCTCAACTCAACTCAGTCTTACATCGGACTCACTTGCAACTTTTTGACCCCTCCTTCACCCCACCTCCAGGCGCAGCATTCGATTCAAGCCCTCACTCAGAGACAATCACTGAACAAGATGGCGCCATCAACTTTACCACCGTTTGACCCGGAGACGGCTCAGAATTTGGAAGATGTATGCGCTTTATATCCTTCTCTGTGTTGCAGCATTCCCTGCTCTTGATGCGCCCAGACTGTCTCGATAAACTAACAATAAACCGCCGTTAGATGGAAAAACAATTTGCGGTTAAAGGTTAGCCTTATACATTTGCTACATTCCAACACATTCTATGGAGGGATTCATTCTCTACCACGAAACAAAAAAAGTTCCCCAACCTTTCAATATACCAAAATTCTGACTCTCCGGATTACAGCTGTCCAACAAATGTCAACATATTGGGCAATCCTCGAACGCGCACCTGGATCAAAGCTACGCCTCACAAAATTGGATGATGAGATATACGAGAGCTTCAGAACTGAATTCCCTGGCTTCGACCCCGCTGAGACGATCAACGAGGATGAAATGAAGAGCAAAGCGGGCAAAGAAAAATGGCGAAACTGGATGAAACAATATGAGGAGAAAGTTACCGATTTCAACTTCGGCACCATACTGAGAGCAAACCCGAAATTCGAATATGGAGAAAAGGAAACAATTTTTGGTTAGTGATCCTCATGGTCTGGGAATGCGGAACATCCATCCGTTAAACCAGGCCTATTTGACAAGATGCACTGCTAACACATTTACTGGGTTGTTACAGCGGTTCGAATGCAGTTCTATGCGATTGAAATTGCAAGGTTTGTCCCACCCGTTCTTTTACCTAGTATACCCACTCTAACTCATCTGCAAACAGGAATCGTGCTGGATTGAATGACTGGGTATATGAACAGGCACAGAAAGAAAAGGGCCTCAGTTCATAATACAGGCCTACCACCTGATCACATCACACCCACCCCTAGGAACTATACCGGCTAGAAGTCACTGCATCGGTTCCCTTACAGCTGGCTATCAATGGGCAATCTACCCCTCCAACGCCTCCCCGCTGGCTGTTGAGCAAGCGACTTCGAGGCCGTTAGATACCTCTACCTCCAACGAGGCTCGCTTTGCTCAAAGGAGCATGTATCAACTTCCACACCTCAATGTATATAACACCATACAAGCGTGTATACCTTCAATACATAACAGGCTGAAGGTGAGCTTTATTGAAGAGTTATTTTCATAAATTGCTATTTTTCAAGGAGTATAAAACATATATGGAGTAATAGAGAATTCATGTATTCATGCATTCATCGAGGGTATTAAAAACTTAAATACACTACAGCCCATGCAAACATAGGCCAAAATATAAAATGCCAATCGCAAATCCCTCCGCGCTACGAAGAAAACTCAAGAGGCGAGTAAGGGCTGGTATGCAATCTCGCCGTCAAATCAGGACGAGAAGAAATAACGGCATTGCCGCTGCTTCTGAACGAAGAATGACAGAGCATTTTGGCTCTTCAGGTAGCTGCCTGCATATTTGGTGCGGCCTGTCCCTGAGAATTTGGAACAGTAGCCGGTACCTCATTTTCGTGATTCGAGTCTGAAGGTGTATCCCTTTGTAAAGAAGGAGGGATCACGAATTTCGAACTCTTCCACGGCTTAACGTGCAAGTGATACATCATGTCAATCTCCTCAAGGGTACGTCCGGAGCCCTCTATAACACCAAAATAAACGATGGCGGCAGCCACGAGAAGGCAACCAGCGAACACATATCCGTACAAAAAATCGATATCTCCGACGATAAAGGGGGTGAAGAAGGCAAGTAGGAAGTTCCACAGCCAATTTGATGCAGTGGCCATTGCCATGGCGGTAGCACGATATCGGGATGGGTATAACTCGGCGATGATAGCCCAAACCATGGGCCCCCAAGTACATGCAAAGCCTACAATAAATAGGCAGGAGAAAGCAACCATCACCTTGCCAGCAGCCGGGGTTAAGGATGGGTCCTCACGATCGAGTACGAAATGGCCGACAGATGCGAAGATGAGGAAACATACAAACATCCAGAGAGCTCCTGCGATCAAGGATTTGCGTCTCCCGAAATGTTCGATGTTGTAAAGTCCAATGAATGTTGCGAGGAAGTTAACCGCACCGAGGATCATCTGGGTGATAAAACTATTACTCAAACCAGCACCCCTGAACACAAAAGTGCCGTAGTAGAAGAAGTAATTCGCGCCAGTGAGTTGCTGAAATGCCTGTAGTGTTATTCCCAGGAGCAATCTGTACCGCATGGTAGGCGCGGAGAAAATCGCATACCAAGGTTGGTCTTTCGTGAGCTGGTCTTCCTCATGTTGGCGCTTGATCTCGTTGAACTCTTCATGCAGCTTTTCATGGTTTTCAGGAACTCCGTTAAGCCTCATCATTGTCCGCTTAGCCTTGTCTATCCGGTTATGTCGGTAATCATATCGTGGGGTGTCAGGGAAGAAGACTATTCCAAAGCCCAGTATGGCGGCCCAGATGAAGGTGATTCCCATAGGGATTCTCCAGGAGCTGGGGTCTCGGCGGGCTTCCGTTCCATAATTGATGCAATTGGCGATGAAAATACCAAGCGTGATGAACAGTTGATAGGTGCTAAAAGGTAATAATCCACGTTAGCTCTCTGTATATGAATGAACGCTCTTGTGGCCGTGCTGCGTGTCAGTGTAGGAAGTAAAAACATACCTAACCAGCGCACCACGTATATGCCTTGGTGCACTCTCTCCCTGGTACAATGGAACCAGCAGTGACAGGGAGCCGACTCCCAGACCGGTAACCCATCTCCCAATCGCCACTTGGTACCATTTTGGATATGGTGAAGTAATCTGCACAATTATTCCAGCCGAAAGAATCCCACACCAAATACATATAGACCATTTTCGTCCAATTCTATCAGCCAGGGGACCAGCTATAAGTGCGCCTATCAACGTTCCAACGGAGAGCTATCAAAGAACCAGTTAGACTTGATTTTGACCTTTGATCCAACCTGGCGTAGCTAGAAGTAACAACGCATCGATATATTCCTTACCAGAGCCACAATTAGTCCTGCGCGGACATTGGAAAAACTGTACCCCTTGGGACCTTGTTCACCAAACCGCTCTTTGAAATTTTCCATTTCCAGTATCCCCGATATTTGACCGGTATCGTAGCCAAAGAGAAACCCTCCCATTGACACGAAGATCCCCATCACCAGAGTTCGCCATGTTAGCCTGGGGATAGGCGTGTTGACCATTCCAGCAGCATGGCTTTCTCTGTCCGAACCACTCGCCTCTTTGGAAGCGTGAGGCCGGCTCTTATGCGAAGCCCGAATCCTATTCATATTCGGTTATATTCAGGTATATTGAATAAGGAACGACAAGAAAAAAAGTCGAGGGCGAGGGAGGACTCCAGTCGTAGTTATAAGCTTCGAATCAATTTTATTCCGGAGCTCGAAGCCCATCTGTAACCATGGTTTGGCAACAAAACCATCAGGGTGCAACCCAATAGGCGTACGGGTTCCATCCCTCGCCCTTGTACTCCGTAGGAGACGGCAGAGAGCGCTCATCAATGTCCTTATTCATCCCGGTAGCTAGGATTATCGGTGCAGCCATAGCTCCACAAGCTACCAAAACATTGGATAGACACCTGATTCACATGATGTATACCACCAGCATTATTCCAGATTTCATGACATGAAATGGCAGGTGGTGGCGTGTCATTTGGGATTCCATAGAGAGAGCAGCGAAGTCAATCCTCCAGGATCGCGCAGTGTGATTTGACAAGTCAATCCTGCAGTCTCCAACTTTACTGGGGACTTTTCGCCTCTGGGATGTTCGAACGGTGGAGAAAGCTGTTTTGCTCCTTTGATCAACTCGAAGCGCATGACGTCATATGTTTATAGCTGTATATATGCCGGCAGTGATTCTCTCGACAAGGATTCGCGTATTAAACATGATTTCAAGGCAGTATACCCCTTGCAGCCTGCGACGGACCTTTCGATGACGTTGGAGGGACCTATTGCAGTGTTAGCTATATTTACTTGGAGAGCAAACGGCAGCACAAAAAGTGACCACATACCGAACACTCACCATAGACTCCAGTTGGCATAATAATGCAGCATTGGAGAGAGATGTGTGTCTGCCGGGCCATCATGTTGAGAAACCTATATCCTCTGGAGCTATAACTCCAATCCAACTCGAAGAACCTGATCTCGCGTTCTCCCGTTAGGGTGAATCCACGCAGGCTGCAAGGCAAGGAATTCCTCTGCGGAGCCTACAGCTATTTACAATAGCCTTGATACTGCTACTTATCGCCCCTGAAGGTGTCCACGGCCTCCGGGTATGCCTCGCGAACGTTTTGCTGCCGACGAGTTCAGACCCCCAGGCGGCTCTTCAGCCATCCGAAAGACCGAGGAGAAGATGCAGTTTTTCCTCCTTCAATTCTCCTATTCATGGACACAAGAACTCCGGTGGGGTCAGGGGACAGCTAGTCAGCCAGCTATCCAATTCTAGTTTCACCTTGCGGGTGGGCGGAGCCGTGATGGGCTCCTGGCAGCTCTGATCGTTGAGGCTGATTTGCTCGGTTTCCTCGTTTTTGAGGCTGATATAGGCCGCTATCCCCGGGGCCCATGCGATCGACTGCCCAAATTAGCCAAATATAGTTATCGGTGCTTCTGATCTCGAGTCTTTCTGCATCGTATTCAGAAATTACTCGTATTCTTCGCGGAAATGGAGCGCTGCTCTCCTTTTCACCAGCGATCAACAAAATGCATATAAAGAAGAATAGAACGCAGCCTCTTGTTCTTTTTTTCAAGATCAAACCAACGAACAAATAAACAAAAGGTAGGGATTGAATTCAACCTTGAAGAAGCGAAGCGCTAATTGTACCGCAGGCAAATCCACCGCATCACAAGTCCAGCGTTTTCTTGCATTCCGAGTCGTGAAGGTAACGATACCCGACGAGCCAACCTATCGCCTTTTATTTCTAACAGTCCTTCCAAAGTAAAGATCCTATCAAAATGAAGCTGTCCGCCGTCATCATCCTCGCCCTCCCACTCCAAGCCCTAGCATCGACTTGCTACTTCTGCGAGAACACTCCTCACGTAGGAGCAGTGAAGCCAACCTACGACTGCGGAAGGAAATGTCACAAGAAGAACTACAACACCCATCTTTCCACGTACCACTGCTGGATGGATGGCAGGAACCCTACCTGTTTTAAGAACTGCTGCAAAAGGGGTGGAAAGCAGGTTGGAACTCTTACCGGCTTGTAGATATCAGTGTACTTAATTGAGGTCAATAAAAGTCTTTCACACTTGCGGAAATAGTTGGACAAGCCAAGGAGTAACCGTTTCAGTTGCCTGATTCAAGAGAGCGGCGATCTTATAATAATAAAGATGACATCGATCAATATGTCCCTTGGGTAGCCTCGGTTTGCATGTGGTGGTTTCGTGATTGATTGAAGGCCAGAGATGCATCTTCGACAGACTATAGGCAGACAAACAAGATGAACTTCGCTCGCAGATACGACATGTACCGGGTATAGGCCATAGCAGCAGTAAGCAGGCACTCAAGGCGACCTTCAGGCGCACTTTGAAGAGCGACAACCTGCAAGCGAGAAGGGAAGGTTGCTTTCTCTCTTTCTCGTCTGGCGAGTCAGTACCTCAGGGCCAAGGAGGTCAACACGATGTCAACAATCTTTACCCCATACAACCCTGCTGCTCGCCGTGGCGCATGCTATATCCATTATACATAACTTGCACTGGATGCTGGCATATCGGGCGAGACTCGGGGGCATCTCCTTGCACGCCTGTGGGGTTGTGGCTTTCGATGCTTCAACATCGTGTCTGTTCCTCAGTTATGACAGGGAGATGGATCCCGAGATGCAGCAGTTAGCAGTACTACGGTGGTAGCTCTATGCGTCTGCCCTAGCTCATTGATGTCACTCCAGGTTCTTTAGCCTTCGCGGGGGCGATCGAGTGTTGAGGAACTTGATACACGCTACTCCGTACTGAGGACAAAGATGCCGTTTGCAAGGTCATCTTCGTAGGTGACAGAGTAAGCACCCGATCTCTGGTCTGCCATCCAACTAACAAGGTTGTGCTATATAGAGATACGAGCCTGAAGTGAGCATCGGAGGTATCATAGATTGCCAACCACCAGCGTTTCGAAGGCAGAAATGTCAGGAGTCCAAGGAACCAAAAGTCCATCCACACTAGCAGGGTTCAGCCGTCCTGTTATTCTCGAGACTGCTAAAGTTAGAAACATGTACAATTGGGCGATGGAGCCAGTGGCCCCTGATCACCACCACGGCCAGGGCACCAAGCTTCCAGCGTCCAGGCTCGTCGAGGAGCTTGTTCTCGCTGAGAGATCATACCTCACGGCACTGGGAGGTTAATCATCAGGCTTCAGCCTACAGGCCGGAGCCTGCCGTCTGAGGGTTTGATAAGGGGAATTACGAGGCCCGAAGCTTGATGCAAGGCTTGACCAGGGCAAGGAGACAAGAATAGCCCACTTCCACGGCAAGGCAGTGTATACACTCGATGGTGAGGCCGACTACTACGCTGGCCATACACAAGGAAGTGAGGAATGACGCCGAAGAATCATATCGCCAAAACCATCCGAATATCAAGGATCCCGACTGTCTACTCTGGTCTGGTCCTGTTTGCGGTTACGGTCCAAATGCTCCATACTCCGTATATACTCCATATACTCCATATACCTCAACCCACTGTGTTTGGGACTCTATTGCACGTGCAGTGATATTGCTTTTCAGGCTGCCTCAAATTTCTGCACTGCAACACGACGATCATCTCGGATTAACGATGGTTTTGCGGGGTTTCATGGAATATTATCCATGTATATTTTTAGATTTCTGGCGTTAGTTTACCGACGGGTGGTTGTGCAACACCTTCCCTGGACAAAGCTTTCGGACCTTGGGGCTAAGTTGTACGCGATGGCTCCACTGGATGCTCTATACGGGGGGCATCAGAAGGTTCCATCAAACTGACATCGGCATTGGATGGGAGCATTCAACGTGGGTGGCGGCATGGGAGAGGGACGAGCAGTTATTCGTACCGAGCAGATAAAGGAGGTATATATAGTTGATGGTCTGCCTGCTATCTTTTCCGACCAGGCCAACAAACAATCATCCACACAAGAATCCAAGCTCCTGAACATCCATCACAATGAAGTTCTCCCTCCTCACCATCGCCGCTGCTGCCGGCGCCCTCGCTGCCCCAGCCGAGATTGATGCTCGTGCTGGAGGTGTCCAGGGTTTTGACATCTCCTCCTACCAGCCAAGCGTCAACTTCGCTGCTGCTTACTCTGGCGGTGCCCGATTCGTCATGATCAAGGTCAGTGATACTCCCTAATTGACCGTATCCTTTCTCCAGACAAACTAAAACTAACCGCGCAATTGATCAGGCCACCGAGGGCACCACCTACAAGTCCTCCACCTTCAACTCTCAATACACCGGTGCTACCAACAACAAGTTCATCCGTGGTGGTTACCACTTTGCCCACCCAGATGGCTCTGCCTCTGCCCAGTGTGACTACTTCCTCGCCAACGGTGGTGGCTGGACCAGCGACGGAATCACTCTCCCTGGTATGATTGACTTGGAGGGAACCTCTGGCAAACCCAAGTGCTATGGTCTCAGCGCCAGCGCCATGATTGCCTGGATCAAGGCCTTCTCCGACCGCTACAACGCCAAAACCGGCCGTTACCCCATGATTTACACCTCTCCCGACTGGTGGATTACCTGCACTGGCAACACCAAGACCTTCGGCACCACCATCCCTCTCGTCCTTGCCCGCTGGGGTTCCAGCCCTGGAACCGCTCCAGGTGGCTGGCCATACCAGACTTTCTGGCAAAACGCCGACACCTACAAGTATGGCGGTGACTCTGAGATCTTCAACGGCGGCATGGACCAGCTCCAGCGTTTCGCCAAGGGAGGTTAAGCGCCCTGTAGCCATTGTACATAGGAAGTGCTCTTTGGAATGACGAGATGAGCGGGGACCGTATATATACGATCTTTTGTATATATGATATTAGCTATGCAGAATAGAGACAATTACCTTAGAAGATGCCCTTAAACCTGTATTTCTGCTGCTCCTTTATCGAATATCTCTGCTTCCAATATCCATAGATTGACGAGATGAAGTGAATAAAGCCGAGAAGAAGCCGAAAGTACCGAGTATCACGTGTAGACCTTACTACGCATCGGATAAATTATGATCCATTAATGCGTTTAAGTGGTCACGTGATATCCAGCCACCGCGAAATTCGCGACTTTTTGGCGCGTCTCGAAAGTTAAAACTCGCGGCTGGTTTTTGCCAGGAAAGTCGAAACGGGGAAGAGAGAGAGAGAGAGAGAGTTGACCTCATCCCATCTCGCTCCCTCTCCCCGGCGACCAAACCACGCCCCAATCGACGCTCTTTTCCCTTGTTCTCGTTCTTGTTCTTGCGTGGTTTCTTTTAGCATTCAATATACCTTTCTTTTTAGTATGTTTTATTGAGTTTGAACTTCTCTTGCTTCAACCCTGGATCGGTTGATCCACGCTTTCAAATCAGACCCAGACGACGAAGATGGTCGACAACCAGCGTCTGTCCGAGCCTCGCCCTCCAACTCCTCCACGGTCATCTTCCTTGCTGGGCGGAGATGTGTGCCAGTCCGCAGACGACTCAATTGCGCTTGCAGCTCCCACGACTCTGCCGTCGTCCTCAGATGCCACTCCACAGCCGCTCTCCGACTCGCGGTCAAAACGAGTCAACTTCTCCCCCATGGCGAGCTACATCAGGCCCCCCGAATTCACAGACCAAAGCACAAAGTCACGAACACGGCTAAGATCCCTCCCGCCTTCCTCCAACCAAGGCGTGCCAGCCAAGTCGATCCTCAAATCCAGGGCGTTTGCATCCGACAATATACAATCAGATGAGCTCCGATCTAGCCCTCCCGCCGACCTGTCGGGATTGCTTAGCTCCGTCATTGAACAGCTTTCGGGAAGCTCCCACCTCCTACGACGAGATGCTTATACGCAGCTAGTGGGCAGTCTTTCTGCGTACTGTGACCAGCCTGATGCAAACTCCATAATCGAAAACATTGATCTCTTCGTCAGCTGGATAAAACGGGATATCAATGCTGCTCCTTCCTCTCACAACGAGTCAGACTTCTCGCTGGCACACCAAGCTCTAAACCTGCTGAATATGCTCGTATTTAAGCCCGAAACTTCACCTCGCATACCGGATGAGTTCAAGACCTACATCCTCGACCGTGCCATTTCATCAATCCAGGACAACTCGACCCCCAAAACTATCGTTATCGACTACATGAGGCTTCTTAGCGTGCAGAATTTCTCCCCCAGGATTCTTACCAGTGCCAGGGTAGCCCGGCTTTTGGATACCGTCAGGGGCGGGCCGGATCGAGTAGGAGGGAAGGCAGTGACAGCTCTACGACTGAATATATACGATCGATTGTTTTCTCAGGCGCGTTCCGTGTTTACCTCACATGCCAGTTTTTGGATGGATAACCTCATTGCTGGTCTACTACACAAGGTCAAGGATGTCAGAGCAAAGGCCATCCAGTTAGGTTTTAGAATAACGGACTCCCTGGGGCCCAGTACACCTGTCTTCAAAGCAATCGAGGACGTTCTCAGCCTTCCTATGGACAACGATGCCAAATTCGTGAACGACCTCTGTGATCGGTTAATGACCATGATTGCAAGCAGGGAAACAAGCCCACACGTGCCTCAGATTTGGAGTGTTGTTACCCTCCTTCTAAGGAGCCCACGGTGGCTGATAGAGAAGTGGGACCACTTCAAGTCTTGGATGTTGATTATTCAAAAGTGTTTCAACTGCAGTGACTTTGCCACCAATTCACAGGCTCTCCTCGCCTGGAATCGTCTAGTATATGTGGCGCAATCTCCTGACGGCAGCCGAAGTCAAATGGCCAAATTTCTACTCAGGCCAATTGACTCACAGTTGGAAAGGAAGAAAGTCTCAAAGCGAGGTGCACATACTGACCAGGCATTTTCGAGCTACTGCAACCTCCTCTACTATTCATTCAGACCCGGAACATCCTTTGAGCGCCTGGATTCATACTGGGCAGAATATATCACATCCCCAAGCTTGAGAGTGTTAAAATGGAGCTCAGGAAATGCCCTAGGTCTTTGTCGAATAGTAGCCATGTTACTATGGAACTCCCACCCTAAAGTCTGGGATGAGAAAAAGGCTATCGAGACCACCAAGGTCGAACCAGAGGATCTCCCCCGACTTGATTGCAGGTGGGTTCGGTCTAGAATTTCAAAAGTCTTACCGGTATTCGAAAAATCATTCGATCTCTTCATTGAGCACGATTACCCTATAGAAGAGTCCCCGATCGGACTAGCCTGGATTCATTTATCCCGAAGCCTTGCCGATGCATCAAATAAGGAAATTCAGCCTTCTACGGAGACAATGGAAGCTGTCGGTTCCATACTTGAAAGCTTGCAGCGAATCTGGAAGAGCACTGGACAAAGATCAGTGGCTGGGGCCAAGAATGGGGACAGCATTTTCTTTGCACAATTTCTCTTCCTTGTCAAAACCATCATACCTACTATGGGATCTGTCGCCTTTACTGAAAAGGTGCTGCTGAAGACCTCCCTCGAAACCTTTAGCATAGCCCAAACTCCTACACACCGTCGCCCACACCCCAATGGTGTTATCAGATCTCCGATTCTACATCTTCTTCAATACATATGCCGCTCCTCCTACTCAACATCCATCCCTCGCTACAAGGCCCTGCTCCACGGCATAATAGAAACCGGTCTGCTTGGCCGAGCATCCAGAGGTTCACGCTTAGATCTACTACGTCAGTTCGCCGAATCAGTGCTTGGACCCACCGACGAAACGCTTGAGCTAAACCCTGACTCCGTCGAAGGAGTCTGGAAGAGTATTTCGACTTTCACCCAAGAAGCACTAACGATTTCCAACAACGACAACAACGCTCCGGGAAAAGATGACTCTTCATTCCGTGACTACGATAGGGTTATGAGCATACTTGAATATGCCACAAAATATGGCATCAACAGCTCTGAGTGGTCCTCGCTGTTTCAGACATTGGGAGCAGTGGTTCGCAATGAAAAGGGCGATATTAATACTTCGTTGCTCGTTGAGTCATTCGTTAACTCGTTGCTTCGCAAAGGCCGACCCATGAGTATTGGCGAAATGCCATTATTTATGCACCAAATCTCCTTCCCACGAGAGCCAGCTATGGAAGGACAATCAGCCAATTCGCCAACTGCCGCTAAGAGCCGTCACAATAACCAACGATTTTGCGACAAGGTCGTTACTCTGGCAAACGAAAAGCTTTTAGATCTATACCACTCGCAGCCCGAGACAAGCACTACAGATGCGCTTGGCTTCCTTGACGAAACCTCGCAATGGCTCGAGCGATGTCCCGTGAATTACCGGATTGTTCTACTAGAGCGACTACAGACCGGAATTGCTCCGTGGTTAGCTGATACAAGTCGAAAGCTGACCCTAGACGCAGGCATTGACAACAGCATATTAACTTCTGTAAGATATTCTCTCCCTTATCATAATTCCAACCGGTTCTAACCAGGATTAGGCCCGAGCTTTGATCGCTATGACTATCTGCAATTTAACATCTCTTCGCGACACCAACACCGACCTCCTTAACAGACTAGGGCCTTTGATGACCGCTGGGTTTGAATCGCATCACAAGTCAACCGTTAATAAGTTCATCTCAATGTGGAATACATCCTTTGGCTTAGAGGAGAGCTTGGTATATCCCGTATCACTGGAAGCAATTCTGCGAAAACTCAGCGCTTACGTGGAGCTTCAGCTCCCTAGCTTCCCCCAGCGGTCAGAGTTGAAGGTAAGCAGAGAAACGGAATGCACTCCATTCATTTTAAGGCTCAAACTAATCTGTGGACGTAGGCTATGTCTCCACCACCAGAATATCTAAGTTCACAAGAGGGCATAGATACTCGTACGCCGACCCAAAAATTCAAGCCAGGGAGCAGGAACCATACTCCTCAATCTGTTCCAGTCAGTCATAGGAGCAGCCGCAAGAGAAGGATGACGCAGAGGAACAGTACAACAACACCTAAGCGACTCCGTCATGACGATTCGCAAGTTCAATTCATTACCGTTGAGCCATCACCTACCTCCACCGGAGCGTTAGAATCACAATTTATGACGGAGAACCAAAAATCTGTCCGGGAACGGCAGCAGAAGGACGCTGCAATCATGTTCCCAGACATCCACGCTTCAAAGCCAGCATCAAGGCGAAAAACCTTTGATGCGCCTGGCAGCGATGCAGCAACTCCAACTATCCCACCGGAAGTGGCAAACATTGAGGATGTTCAATCTTCGCCTACGCCCGCTAGTAGAAGCCCTCGCGCGCCATTCACGGACGTGGATTTGACATCTTTCCCCTCGACTGTCGAATGGAGCTTTTCTACAAACGGGGACCCTCCTTCCTCGCCTCCACAGACCGTACCCTCGTCACAAGCGATAGAACTGACGCCCTCCATTCTCGGTCGTACAAAACTCAAGGGTGCTCAGAAAGCCATTTCTGAGGAGTCCCCTAGCGGTAAAGATAGCGAGGATGCACGTCCTACGCCCAGGCGGAACACAAGAGCTTCGCAGAAGACTAAGTCTGCCAAGGGAGGTGACAGAGGCGGTGATGGCGAAAATGCTGATGTCGTCCCTGATTCATTCAGTGACCCCCTCGAACAGCAGATTGCTTCCCAGCTAGAGCAAGACCTTGAACTTTCGATGGATCTGAATGTGTTGGAGGACAAGCCATCAAAGACAAAAAATAAGCTAGGTCGGAACCGAAAGCGAAAGAGAAACTGTGATACCTCATCCGCCAGTAAGCAGCGGCCACAGACGCCAATCGTTGAGATAACGATCGAGTCACATGTACCCCAGTTACCTCAAGCTGCGGTTAGTGCTGAGCTTGACGCCACGTCAATCGCAGACAATTCGTCCACGAGCCAGAGGCGCTCTGTCGGCGGTAGAAAGAGATCCAGCCCTTCTCAAGTAGAAGCGAGCGGCCAAGACGCCCACGACGAAGCCCTACCGGCACCGAAGAAGCGGAGATCCCCTCGGCTTCGTGGGCAAGCGGTTGATGAAGAGGCCAGTGCTGATGTCATAGAGCCCAAGCAGGAGACACCAAAGGTGCCAACCCCAGAGGAACACGCGATTGATGCTGCTCCAGGAGAAGAGACTCAAATTGAAGCTGAACCTGAACCTGAACGACCACAAACACCGTCACGGACTCCTCCACAACCAAGAGAGCAGGCATCTCCGGGGTCGTCCATCCTCCAGTCGCTTAAAGCCATCCTCGGTTCGATTAGGAACGTCTCGTTTGGACGGTCCACTCTTCGCGAGCTGGATGATGTGATGTTTGACATTAAAATGGAGGCGCACAATGCGTGTAAGCGGGACGAGTGAATTTCCTTTTCATTGTCTGTTTGTCTCCATTCTACATAGCGTGTTTTTAGAGACCGCCACCAGGCCACTTTAATGTTCGTACTTGTGCTTATGTTTAGGATGATAATCGTATACCCACAAGAGTAACATGTATATCTTACCAATTGACCAATCGCCATCATCCTCCCCTCCCGTCTCTCGTTTGCTCTATGTTTAGCCGTGTATGCGCCTTGTCTATGGAGCCAGATCATCGGCCAAGTACGAGAAAGCCTCCACGCTAAAATTAGTCTAAAGTAGAATGAGGCTCTGAAATCTCCATCGTGCCCGCGGGTCAGTCGCACCGATTTGCCAGGATGAGCGAGGGCGTGCAGCAGTTAAGCACGAAGGGGTGCAGCTGAGTGGGCTGAGCGGCATGAACAGGCTGGGCGGAGTCCCCTGTGCCTGCTATACGAGCCGAAAAAGGGGCTCGATCAACCGGCCCAAAACCCAGAGAAATATCCTCTTTGGGCGAAAATGAAGCCAACCCCGGTGATCACGATGGGCAAAGCGGCTGATAGCGCGATGACTGACGTGTGAGCCTTTTCACCGACAGGGTGACCGGGCCTGTTCAGTCTATGTATATATATCTGCCCTGGAGCCGCGCAGTTATTAGCGATTTTTCTTTTCACCTCCCATCCAGCTTATACATACCAAAATCAGCCTACTTCCCAAAGACTACCACATCAGGCCCCCCTTCCACCGCCAATATGAAGTTCACTGCCGTCACTGGAGTCCTCCTCCTCCTCTCCTCCGTGGCCGTTGCCTCTCCCACTGAGCCTGATACCAGCGTGCAAGACGCCGCATTCAAGGTCGCCGAGCCAGTCAAGCACTTGGCCGAGCGATACCCAGTCCTCGAGAAGCGCAAGAAGGGCTCCAGCAAAGGTGGTAGCAGCAAGGGCGGCAACCACACCGAGTAAGTCTTTTGACCAGTATCCCGTATGACTTGGAGATCCAGCCATCTAATCGTAGGAATAGAAACGCTGCCGCCTCCATCGTCGTCAGCAACGCCGCTATTGTTGCTGCCCTCGGTGCCGCCATCTTCGTCTAGACGACATCTTCATCATGCCTTTGATGACTTGGATATGCCGTCACAGGCAACCAGCAACCGCATCGTCTACACGACCAGACGTTCATGATGGGCCCGTCCCCAAAAACGCATTTAATTCATAATATATTTCATAATATATCCTGTTTCGTTCCAGCTTTGTCTCTGTCTTGTATCGGGGGGGTCTTGTCGTTGAGCATGTCCCTTTGACCTGACTTATTGCGTATACCCTATTGGTGCTCCGGGCGTGTCTCGAGTGAAACTGATAAAGAGTTAGTTAATAGTAATATCAAAGCAATATGTGCGATACCTATACCTCGTACCTGTTCATTAAACGATCATCCATAATCCTTGGTATAAATGTATAAAGTATGCGGTTTGTTTATTTAGCCGCTGGCGATGAAGTCATGGCGGTTGTCCTGCTTCTACCCCACCAACAACATCGCATCCCGCCAGATGAAACACCGTCCAGGCATATAAATCGATACGCTCGTTCGATTCATCCAGCATACACACGACACTGAGCAGCACGCCATGGACCGCCCGAAGAAGCCCACCGCCATCCCCGTATCCTCCTCCGTCCCCGGGCCCAGCGTGTCCGTCCTCGAGAACCGCGTTGAAGCATCGCTTGCATCGGGGGAATCAGCTACCGTCAACCTCTTCGGGGCTACAGTGACATCGTGGAAGCTAGCAGATGGCGCAGAGCAGCTATTCCTTAGTGAGAACGCTCATCTAGACGGCTCCAAGCCGATTCGTGGTGGCATCCCGCTTGTCTTCCCCGTATGCAATCACCGTCCTCATCTACGGCCATTCTTCTATAGCTGACCACTCGAACCAGGTGTTTGGCCCGCCCCCCAAGGAGCATGCAACTTCCGCCTTGCCCCAGCATGGATTCGCCAGGAATGCCTACTGGGAGTTCCTGGGCAAGTCTACCTCCGAGTCCGAGGGAGATGCCAGCGTCAAGCTCGATTTTGGCCTGTCAAAGGGCATGCTGAGCGATAAGTTCCAGAAGGACTGGCCGTTCGACTTTGGACTGGTGTATAGCGTCACCCTGAGCCCCCGAAGCCTGATCACTTCGCTGCAGGTTCAGAATAAGGGAACCGCCCCATTCGAGTTCCAGTCTCTCCTACATACGTATTTCAGAGTAGAGGTATGTCGAAATCCTTTTCTCTCTGGCTTTTCTATTAACACGTATGTCTGACCGCTTACCTTTCTTCTACCAGGACATATCGAAAATCCGTATTGGGGGCCTTCAGTCGAAAACATACGTCGATAAAGTCCGTGACGCATCTACATTTACAGAGGAATCTGCCGCCATCGGGATTTCGTCAGAGGTAGATCGTGTCTACCAGTCCCTTGACCCAAAGACGCCGGTGACCGTGACGTCGGAAGATAACAAGCCCGTCTTCTCGATCACCCGGGAATCGTTGAACGACATGGTTGTCTGGAACCCGTGGGTCGAGAAGGCGAAGGGGATGGCAGACTTCACCCCAGACGAGGCATACAAGAACATGGTATGCGTCGAAGCCGGGTCTGTGTCTGGCTGGCAGATACTGGAACCCGGTGATATGTGGGAGGGAGGCCAGACCATCCGATGCCGACTCTGAACGGGTGATGTCGATGTAGTGGCCGGACATTAGCATGACGGAATAATGATTATGACATAGCTTTGATGAAAAGAGGTTGGAATATACTAAGAATATACATACTACCTGTCTCTTTACTCCTCTATCAATAAACAGTTCTCGTATACTCCATACTCTAGAGAGCCGTCCATAGAACTGCAGATACCGTCATCGACTTCTCGTTTCTTCGTAATCGTGGAGACCGGCTAAACTGCCGACCAGAAAGATCCCCATGTCAAGACACTCTCGACTTTCCTCTCCCTCGCTCTCGATAGTACGGATAGTATGGGATCTATAAACACGCTGACCGGTTCTCATGCTATATACTCGCCGTCCCTGCGCAGAAGAAGAAAAGAAAGCCCAAGACGCCACGGATGGACCGGCTTGGCCGTAACTCGCCCAAGCCAGCTGCGCGACATGGCCTAGACGATATAGGTCGGAGCAGTGTCTCGTCTCTGAGATATGAAGTCGAACATGGCCGTGATGAAGACGAACAGGGTCGAGAAGAAGCAGACAGGCCGGTGACATGGAGCTCGCTGCCGAAGAGGAACCAGCTCATCATCCTCACGGTGGCCAGGTTATCAGAACCGCTTGCACAAACCTCGCTACAGGCCTACATGTTCTACCAGCTCAAGTCCTTTGATCCATCGCTGCCAGACTCTACCATCTCGTCGCAGACCGGAATCCTGCAGGGCGCGTTCACAGGTGCTCAGTTCCTCACGGCCGTCTTCTGGGGCCGGCTTGCTGATACGGAGCTGCTCGGAAGAAAGACAGTACTGCTCATAGGCCTCTTTGGAGCATGTATCTCTACTCTCGGCTTTGGTTTCTCCAAGTCCTTTGCGGCTGCAGCGTTTTTCAGGACGCTGGGAGGCGCCTTGAACAGCAACGCCGGCGTGATGAGGACGATGCTGTCTGAGATTGTCGTGGAGAAGAAGTACGTTGATCACTCTGACAGACTCTCTATATATGGACGAAAGCTGATGAATACAGATACCAGTCGCGGGCCTTTTTGCTGCTGCCGATGTGTTTCAATGTCGGTGTCATCATCGGCCCTATCATGGGAGGACTGCTGGCTGATCCCATCAGCAACTATCCATCCGTCTTTGGACCTGGATCCTGGTTGGGAGGAGAGAAAGGAGTATCGTGGATGGTAAAATGGCCGTTTGCGCTGCCAAACCTGGCTACAGCAGTGTTCATACTCTGTTCCACACTCGCGATATTCCTCGGCCTTGAAGAGGTAGAGTTGCTCCTTTTCCTCCCTTGATACAAGCAGATACTAATCGTATTCAGACACACGAAGTAACCCGGTCGCGGAGAGACTTGGGCATACGTATTGGCAAGTCCATATCGAGGTATCTGGGCTTCTCGCGGCACAGCGACTACCAGGCCCTAGATGGACTTGCGGACCCTGATATGCCAGATTCGTTCGATATGGGATCAACCGGATATTCCGTATCGACTGAAAACTGCAGGAAAAGCGCTCCCCAACGGCGTAAACGCCTACCGTTTCGCCAGATATGGACTCGCAACGTTCTTCTCACCCTCGTTGCCCATACCTTTCTCAACTTCCACACCAGTGCCTTTACCGCATTGTGTTTCGTCTTCCTGCCCACGCCTCGCGCTCCAGGAAGCTATAACGGGCTCTTTCATTTTGGAGGCGGCCTTGGAATGTCTAGCTCTAAGGTCGGCGTGGCCACCGCTATAATCGGCCTGGTCGGCCTACCGATACAGATATTCATATACCCGCGCGTCCAGTGGCGTCTTGGGACATTGAGATCGTTTCGAATCTTCCTCCCCTTTTCCCCCGTGGCTTATATCCTCGCCCCGTTCCTCGTGCTGATTCCTAATCACCCTTATCTAGTGTGGCCTGCTCTATCAGCCGTCATATTTTTACAGGTTGTATCCAGGACCTTCTCTCTGCCTGCAACGGTAATTCTTGTAAACAATTCCGTGCCAGACCGGAGCGTGCTGGGTACTTTGCATGGCGTTGCGCAGAGTGCGTCCAGCGCTTCGAGAACACTAGGCCCACTGATCGCAGGCTGGGGCCTGGGACTGGGACTGAAACATAACATTGTCGGTGCCATCTGGTGGTCTCTTGCTATTGAAGCATTCCTGGGATGGCTTCTCACCTGGACTATTGTTGAGGGAACCGGACTTGAGAAGTCCGATGATTGATGGCATTTAGAACCATGCATATAATGAAGAACTAGACTTTTTATATTCAGTATCCATTTAGCTACGCCTAGGATATATGCTCCGTTTATCATCAGTTGTCATTTAGCTGTCCGTTAACGGCACTTCACGCTAGTCGTCGTGATTCATCGAAGATCGTATATGGCTTCTCCGGTTGAAATCCCATTATCCCATATCGACATGGTAGTCGTCTATTTTCTCTTAGCGCCCACCGAGTATTTGACCGAGTTATGTGAAATCGGGACTCGATATCAAGTTCAGGCCGCAGAGATAGCAGGGGAGATAAAGGCACGAATGGCCTTGATAGCATTTCCTTCATGGTCTCTCAGCAACTCGGTCGCTTTTATCTTCGTAAGGTCCAATTGATCAACCTGTAAACGTAAACCCGTCACGGGCAAGAATGTCAGCAACCCAAAATCCCATCCAGCTCCCGTAGATGTTCACCGTGGCTTACCAGAAAGTTCACATCCTCTGCTGCTACCTTGACCGGCTTCTTCTTGACCACTTCACCACTGGCACCGGCGGCCGCAGCTATCTCTCCCGCAGCAGCAGCAGTCGTGGTCGTCTTGGACTTCTTATCACCGCCAGCAGCAGCTTTCTTCGCAGAGCCACCAGCTATCATCTCCAGCCTGCTCATGGCCTTCCCCAGCGCCTCCTGGTCTGCGCTAGACGGCTTCTTAGCTCCATCCTCCTCCGCGTCCTCTCCAGCATCGGCTGCAGTCGTCGGCGCATTCAACGACGAGAGCGCAGCGGCGGCAGCGCGGTCTTCGGCATTGGTAGGCAGGGTTTCAGATGCGCCAGCCTCAGCAGACAGGCCATTGTCGTCCTGGGGAGAGTCGGTGCCCTGTTTTGATTTCAGCTCTGACATTGTAGTGGTGCGGCGATATTAAATATAGCCGAGTCGAGATAATTCAATCGGTAGACGAAGAAGAAAGAAACCTAGTCTGGAGCTGGCTTAGGAACGGGCCTGACTTCGTACTCTGCTGCGTATTACTCCCTGTAGTCGTTAATTATTCCTGTGTCCATATACAAAGCTAAGACGTCTCTCTTAATAAGCGTAAGATAAGACTTTTCTCTACTCGCACTAGAATGGCTATTTATAACAAAGAACGGCAAGCTCGAGTATTTTATATATATATATGTGAGGGACCAGACATATAGCTGACCTTCTGTCCCGCATCGGTTGAAGCTGAAATCGCAAAACTTCGTCTGGCCATCCTGCATCCAATCAGCCTCGCATGCATGCAGCCTCTGGGGGATAACTTTTGAGTCACCCAGCTTGAGGAAAGATATACGAGGTTTCTCTTAAATACCTGCCAGGGTCGCCTATATTCGCTGGGGGAGTTCTTTGTTCGACTGTTCTGCTCAATTCACCCTTACCTATCATCTATACCAAGATGGCCGACTGGACACCAGCCTGTGAGTTCTTATCATGCAGCAGTTGATGGGTTGATGCTGACGGATACTCTAGCCTGGAGGTCGAAGCCACTCAAGCAGGAGGTTTTATATGAAGACCAGGATGGCCTTCAGAATGCGATTCAGAGGCTACGGAAGCTCCCGCCACTTGTGACTCCCCATGAGGTATGCGAGGCCCTGTAGGACGTTATGTCTGCATGTTTGCTAATCGGCAGATAGATCGCGAACCTGAAGCAATGTCTGAAGAGGGTTGCTGCGGGCGAGGCATTCGTCCTCCAGGGGGGTAAGTGTTGCAATATGCCTGTACTGTTCAAGTCACTAATACAAGATAGGTGACTGCGCTGAGCTTTTCGACTACTGCAATCAAGACATGATCGAGGCAAAGATCAAGCTGATGCTGCAAATGAGTTTGATTTTGATCTGGGGTGAGTCGTCCATGCGATTGTCGGTCATGGACAGTCACTAACCCGTTGACAGGCGCCAACAAGCCAGTTATTCGAGTTGCTCGTATTGCTGGTCAATTTGCAAAGTATGCATAGACTCTATAGTTTGAGAAATGGCTATGTGCAGAATGCTGACGTCTTCCTAGGCCCCGTTCAAGCGCGGTTGAGACCGTGAACGGCGTTACCATGCCATCCTTCAGGGGCGACAACGTCAATGGATTCGAGGCAACTCCAGGATCCAGGAAGCCTGATCCTTCCCGCCTCGTGGATGCGTATTTCCACTCTGCAGCAACTCTCAATTACATCCGTGCAGCTCTGTCTTCAGGGATTGCCGATCTGCACTCACCCCTTGACTGGGGCCTGGGTCACGTCAAGACTCCTGCAATCAAGGAGAAGTACGAAAAGATCACTTCCAGTGTCACTGATTCTCTTCGCTTCATGAGGACTGCTGGCCTAGATACTGCTCGCGGTATAGAGACTGCTGATATCTACACCAGTCATGAGGGCTTGATCCTGGAATATGAGGAGACCCTCACTCGGCCTTCAAAGGGCCATGTGGGATCGGCCGCCGCCACTCAACCAGCCGCACAGAAGGACAAGGAATTCTACTACGATCTATCGGGCCATTTCCTCTGGATTGGTGACCGTACCCGCCAGCTCGATGGTGGCCATGTCGAATTCTTCCGTGGAATATCCAACCCCATCGGTATCAAGGTCGGCCCTACAATGCAGCCCGACGAGCTTGTGGCTCTCCTTGACGTCGTGAACCCTGACAAAGAGCTCGGAAAAGTCACTTTAATCTCTCGATACGGCGGTAGTAAGATCGCCGACCACTTGCCTGCTCATATCAAGGCTGTGCAAGCTTCAGGCCATACTCCTATCTGGCAATGCGACCCCATGCACGGGAACACTCGATCTACCCCATCCGGTATCAAGACGAGAAATTTCACTGATATCTTGTCCGAGTTGCGCCAGGCCCTGGAGATACACCGCGCTCACGACTCGTACTTGGGTGGCATGCATTTAGAGTTGACCGGTGAAGCCGTCACTGAGTGTGTTGGTGGTGCTGGTGGTTTGACCGAGGATGGCTTGAGTGAACGGTACACGACCTTCTGCGACCCCAGACTAAATGAGAAGCAGGCTCTCGAGCTTGCCTTCTTAGTTGCAGGCTTCTATCGTGATCATGCCACTCAGGCCAAGGTGGATGATACCGCTGTTTGATCGCTTCTTTATTTTCTTTGGGCAATCTTTGATGTGAACGGGGGGGGGTTAGATACGTTTTAAAAAGTCACGCATGATTGAATCCTTTTAGGACTTAAAAACGGTTGAAATGAAAAAAAAAAAAATTATATGTCATTCCCATACTCCGAAAACCAAGCCGTGTCCGTTACATATTTGTACACACATGATTAGTATGGGTATGAGCCAAATCCCGGGAACATGCGCCATTCAAGAAAGTAGCATTACATTAATCGCGAACAAGAGTCGCCGCTAGAAATATCCTTTTCCAAGGGGACTTCCAACTCGTGGCTTCCAGACTAGACTCTTCCGTCTAGCTGCCTCAAGTCTTATCCTTAGCTTCTCGTCTTTTTGTTCATCTATATTTCCGCTGACGGGGAAAAGGCCCTGTCTCGACTGTTTTGGCGGACAGGTTTGTTGAATCAGTTTTGCGCCCTCTGATAAGTAGTATGGAGTAGTTGGTGATGGCGGAACTGTCCCATCGAAGTCAAACGAATAGCCATAATCCCCACTGGGGGTCTGGGGTTCTTCGGGCTCAAACAAAGCAGGCCGCGATTGGGATCGTCTTGAGGTTTCCTCGGTGGGCTCAGACTCATAGTGGTCGAAGGCAGATCGGTTAATGGAGTCACGTCGAGATGGTTGTAGGTGAGGTATAGGTGATAAACGCCTGAGCTCCTGTAGTGTTTCTACATCGGCACCCGAGCGTCGACTGCTGGTGGAGGAAGTGGAGGAATCAAGCGTAGCCAGCGTTCCGTTCTGGTTGCTTAATGCTCTGGGTTCCATGCTTTTTCTCCTCTTGTTACCGCCGCGTGGAATCATGCCAATGTCAACAGCATAGTTTGCCTCATCTACCCACCGATTTTCTCTTTCACAGCTAAACGAAATCGAATTAGCAGGGTCACCCAAGGGACGGGTAAACGTCAGAATAACTTACTCAAGTACCCAGCCAACACCAACACACTTCACAACGCCATTTGCTTCCCTCACCTTTTGTAACGTTCGCACACCACCGTCCTTATGAACAACATGGGTAATGCCGACTTTTGGGGCATCCCGTGGCTCAGCTCCGTCAATGGGTGATAAACTCGTCCTTGGGTTCCATTTCCATGACTTAACACACCTCGCACCCATTTGTGATAGCAATTCAATAAAAATGCCACTAGCATCAGCACCTTCAGCTGTGTGGACGTCAACAAAGACAACTGCCCCTTGCAAGACACCGCTGTCACTGCATGGTCCCTTCGTAGGACTTCGGGATTTGACAGGACTAATACGCCCAGACCATGTTCCTGACTTTGGTCGTTCTGGGAGCATAAAGTCACTTGATTGTGTATCTTCTTCAGGTGAAGTGGGCGCGAATGTCTTGAGTGGTGTTCGGTTTTTGCGGGGAGAGGGTAATGTTCGACTCCTAGTCAACGTTGAAGTTGGGCTCGTTGGATTCGAGGAGAGAGATCGTGTCCTTTTTCGCGGAATCTTGAGAGACCCATCGCTCTCACCCTTTAATGGGACCTTGGACACGGTGTGAATGGTTCTCGGGTAGTTAGGATTCCGGCGAACAGGAGTGACAGACATAGGAAGGCACACTGGTTCGGGTGTTACAGTTGAAGTCAACTCAACACCATCACGGTAGCGCTCCTCAAAAAGTGCTGGGTTAATTGTGACCGTAGATTCTCGAGGTGGCGCATTTTCGTCACCATAGATTTCAGAGGAATCAGAAATCTGGTCGCCAAAACCTGTGTTGGAGCTATGGGATCTCAGTGGAGAGTCAACAATGCTTTCGTCGTATGCGCTAGAATTGGCAATGGATTCGTCTACCAGCGAAGTCGAGGGGTCGGTATGGATGCTGAGATCCTCTATTGCTGGGACTTCGTCTTCGAAGATGGGGTTTATAGACTCTCTTGGAACTTGGGATCCACGGTTTCTTAGCGAACGTCTCGGCTCCAATGAAACTCGAGATGACACCCTCCTCGATCGATCCTGTACATCTGGAGAGAATATCCCTCGTCGCTGATATTTGTTGGATTCTTCTTTTTTAGGGCTACTTGCTACCCATTGACTCAATCTATCAGCCAGTGGAGTAAATCCGACTTCAGTGTCAAGTCTCTCTGGCCGCTTATATTTCAACTTAGGGCTCTCAGCGTCGCCCGCTCCACGCCACCCCTGTTGTTTGGTTGGGCTACTTTCGAATTCAACGTCCGAATCTTCGTAAATCATCTCATCCCGATAAACGAACTCTTGTTGAGAGGCTGTCTCAAAGACAGGCGGTGATGGAGCAGCAGGAGGGATGCCCCTAAAACTTCGTAGTGAGCCAACGCTAGAGTCGGCGTCCATGTTATCGTATCTCAGTACGGTTTCACGTCGACTGGGAGTCGTAACTTCTTCCAGGAAAGGATCATCCATTGAGGATTCGTGCTTTGAAAGGTCTGCTATCAATTCCATAGTATCCTTATTTTCGTGTAGCTCATCCTGTTCCGCATCCTGTATATCCGATATGTCAAGAATATCCATTTCCTCGGCTTCCCCTTGCTCAACATCATTCCCTAGCATTGCCGGGCTATATAACATTATCTCCGGAGAGTCCTCGTAGCTAGGCTGAAGATCGATATCCTCGTAGACCTGCGGATCACTGACGGGAGTCGGGCTTTTTTCCAATACAGGAAGCGGTGGGGGCATCTTCATAGGAGAAGGCGGACGGCGTGCAGGAGTCTTTAGTGGAGAAGTTCTCGTCTTCGTTGGCGAGAGCGGTGCATCAAGTGACGGTTGCATAAAAGACATGCCCACTCCCTTCTTTGGCGACGCCTTTAGTGGAGAAACCTTTGGTTGTCCCATTACGTCGGGTCCAGGCCGGAGCTCATTAGAGAAGAGAGGGGCTTTCCGGGGGGACTCTTTAATGATATGTTGGAAAGGGGATGGTGGAGGCCGTTTTGCTGGGCTTGATCCGAGTTCCGTGTTTGTAAACAGAGTTTGTACTGTCCCGTTGTGTGCTGTGGCCTCTTTCTCGGGAGCTGCTGAGCCTTGCGAAACTGGCCTGGCCATCTGTGTAAAATCAATTCTTTTGGCAGGGGAAGCAAATGATGGAGGAACAGAAGAAGCCTTGACTGGAGACCGCTGTGGAGACTTTGAAGGTAGTTTTGTACTAAAAACATCATCCTCATCGTCATCTGAACTACCAGAGGATCCGGATTTGGCGACTTGGGTGGCTTTCTTTGGAGACAACGGGTCCTTTTTCCGTTCTGGCTTAGCCTCACTCTCTTCTGGCTGTTTATTCTTTGTAGAAGCGGCAGCTCCTCTTCGGACAGGTTTAGCAGTTAACCCCGTCTCGGGTTTGCTTTTGCCCTTAGAGGCTGCCAGTAATGGCTGGTTTTCCTTGTCAGAATCTTCTGTGATATCTAAGAATGTGACTTTCTTCTTGAGAGCACCAGTCTTTGCTTTTCCAAGCAGTATAGAGGATCCCGGTGTAGCGGAAGATAGCGCAGATGGCCTAGTACCGGTGGGAGCCCCCACTCGCGTAGCAGCTTTCGCTGTCCTCGATACAGCTGGCGCCTTTGCCTTTCGTGCGGCAGTAGTAGTTATTTTAACCGTCTTTTGCTTCACGGGCTGTAGCTCTGCCAGCTCGTCTTCATCGTCGTCAACAACCTCGTTTTGTTCAGGAATTCCTGCCGCAACAGGCTCCGACTTCTTTCTCGTTATTCGTGGAGCACGCTTCTTCGGTTCTCCAGCCGCCGATGACGTAGAAGACGATGGGGTCGCCATTCGCCTGGTTGATGACCTTGTAGCAGCCGTTGCTCTAACTGGTACAATATTCATCTCGTCATCGCTCGAGTTGTCGCCATCGTCAAGGTCACCGACTGTCGTCTTAGTCTTTGCTGGCTTTTGATTCCTTTTCTTTGGTGCATCCGAGGAAACGGCCGACTTGGCCTTTGATGCTATCGTACTCGTCGTATCTGGCTTCGTTCGAGGTCGTCCCCTCTTGGCTGTGGTGGTCGTAGTAGTGGTCGTAGTTGTTGTCACTTTGGGTTCTTCCTTCACCATTGTGCTTGTATTTCGGGTTCGTGCCCGAGTCACCCGTTTCGGAGGAGATTGTGGTGCTGCCACCTCTGCTTCAGCCGCTCGTCGTGCCATACTGAGTCTCTATGCACGCCCAACTGCAGGCGTAGGATATATCAAATCGGCTGGGCGTAATTCGCGTAGGTAGGCTGGACGTATATTAATCAGTTTAGGATCGGTACCCAATCCCGCCCGTATATCACAATCATCAGCGTCTTCGAAACTTTGTAAGATCAAGAGTGCGACTTATGCGGCCAGCTGTGACCTTGCATCATGGTCGCGGCGTGAATGGGAGCTTGTCAGGGTTTGTTATGGGGCTCGATCTTTGTTGCCATGGAAACATGCGAACTATCAAAGATGAACTCTAGGGCGGTGATCACGTGATATCACCAACTCGCAACCTTGGAATGGATATAACAGACGATAAGTCCAATAAGAAGATACTTGTCGAGGGTATAAGAAAGAGTGATGTTGATGGAATCGAGTAGATATCATCTCAGCAGAAGTGTTTATTGTTGCCCAAAAGATATCCAAATAGATCATGCAATTCGTTAAACTAGATAGAACAGAGAATACAAGGTACGAGGGTTGAAGGACAGCATCCACCCATAAAGAAGTCTAAGATATGCTAAATATTCAAAAAATAGGAACGGCAAACCAGTTTACCAAAGAGTGATGGCAAATAAGGTGGCAATGGCCGCTACCACAACGCTCAGCTTACCCGAAGCCTGCAGACCAGAAGCAGCAGACTTCAAGTTTATCGCTGTCAAGAACAGCTTCGGCTCATAGCTGTTTGGTTTCGTGCTGTTCAAGCGGCCGTCCCAGCAATAGGCCTGGAAGCACTTCTTACATGCCTCAGGAACAGCAGTTTTGGTACGCTCAAATGATCTACTTAGCATTGCACAGCCGACACAGGTTGGCCAGTTGGCGTCGCGAGTGGCGTTGGCCATGGTAGCAACATTGTAGCCATTGAGAATGATGGCATCGCGCTGGGTGTTGTTGTATTTTAGATCAAAGGTAGAGACGTTCGAGTAGGTGACGTACGGGCTGTTGGGGATATAGACAATCAGGGGAGTCGGGCTGGTGGTGTTCGAGCTGTTGCAGCCAAAGAATGTAGGCCTGTTGTTTAGACCCAGGTTGACGAAGGTGTTGTTGTCCGGTACGGCAGGGAAGGAAGTTCCGTTGGCTATTCCAGATGTGTTCAAGCTACGCTGGTATGTAGCTACCATGGTGTTACCATTAGGCCACCTGAACTCGGTGTCGGCAGAAGAGTCAACTGCGAAGATGACGTCTACGTGTCGCGTCGGCTGGATCAGTGGATGAAGAGGGATGTTCTGGCTATCCTCGCCGCCGTCGACGAGGGGTAGAGATTCCACCTTGGCAAAGGGGGAGGTCTGATTGGCATATTGGTAGAATGGGTTAGGTTCGTATTCTGCAATGTCATTATTGGCTTCGTCTAGAGAACTGAGGAAATCGCGGAGACTGTCCTTGACGAATTTTGGTATGTCCACACTATCGAGGTGCAGGGCGAACTGGTTGAATAGCGACGAAGACGTGCCCATGATGAAACCAGCATTGTCCAGGCCGCGAACGCACTTTTCGTTATTTGGGAGTGATCCAGCATGGAGTTTCGAGCCAATGTACGCTGTTGGAACAAAGCCGAAGATTGTCGGATCCCAAGTACCGAATTCATATGGGTTGAACTCGAAAATAGTAGCGTTTCCACCAATAAGTTTCTCGCCTGGATTCCTACCATCGGCGACGAGGATTGGGAACGGCACATCAGCGTTTTGGAACATCTGGTTGTTTGAGATGGAAGACCATGTATAGTTTGGCCCGCCCTGTGGCGCGTTGATGAGCTGGTATGATAATGCTCGACCCCTAAACTTATGTTAGTGGAATCGCCATCACCAACGAAGACGAAGAAGAAGCCTACCAGAGATCAGTGAGTGAAGTTGCAAATCCGGCTTCTTTCTTGCGAGTAATCTCCTTGATCATCTCCTTATAGTACTGCACAGTGTCAACAATCTTAACGCCACCATCGGTAGGCCCTTGCAAGATCGACCGGCTAAACTGCCACAGCGAACTATCACCTCCTTTCTGCAGCTCGGCAATGGTAGAGTCGTTGTTGATATACATGGATCCCACGAGCCAGGCGCCACCGCTAAGGCCAGACAGATAAGTAGCTGACTGCAGCAAGCCGCCCAACTGCCCGGAAGCAGTGGAATTGTCCGTCCTGATGTCAAACGCCTTCAATGCGCCCGCACCATTCATCAAAGCACGGTAACCGCCTCCCGAGACCGCTATAGCGACGTTTGGCAGCAAAGTGGTGTTGTCGGCGTGGGTCTTCAGGTATGATACGGCGTCGAAGTTATCGATCTTCACGCGGCCAAAGAAGTCGCGCATGGCAGCAGTGGTCTTCTTCCTCCGGTTCTGCAGCCAGTCCTCCTCCAGCGACGATAGCTTCGCCGCCGATCGAACGGCAGGCCGGTTGGTAGGGCAGTCGACATTGGCCGGCGCATAGCCATCAGGGGCATCCGGCGCCGCTCTGATCGCGACATCCGAGGTTATGCCTGGGATACCTGCCGCAGACGCTGCTGTAAATGCTTTATTAGAAGCTGACCGTAAATCCAAGGGCTGCTCTCAACTCACCAGGAACCAGACATGCCAGAGCGCATATTCCAGCTGTTGCCGGGGTAAACTTCATCGTTGCAGGGTCAGGCCTGTGTGGTTAACGGCCGCCAAGCACTGTGCCTGATGAATCAAATTATCAAGAGTATCCAGGCTGTAAAAAGCAGTAGCAAGAATAGATATAGAAATAGAACAAAGAGGAATAGTGAATTGATGGATGGCGAGGGAGGTTTTTATTAAAGTCCCGGGTTCCGGACAATGCCAGCTGAGAAAGCCCGTATGCTTGGGTCTGGTTCACAGCTAAGCTAAATCATCGACCTGCTGCATAATTAATGGCTGTACTGCATGTACATGCCTGTACAATGCCTGCAGCCAGCGCTAAAATTAGCTGGCATTTCAGCTCCGGCTGTCAAACTCCACCAGCTCTACGTATAGACAAAGAGGCAGCAAACCGGCATGCCTGGTAGATGCTTAATCGCATTAAGATGGTTGACTAGTTACGTGCTGTTTCGCAGATCTCCCGAGCCTCGATATCATGGCCCCGTCTGTATCTATATCTGCATACTTGTAGTAAGCTAGAAACGACGACGCATGCAAGCATACTGCCTGACGCAACTCATGATCCTCCCAGACGCTGATACGAAGCCTATATGGATCCCCCTGTCCGACAAGGCGCGTCCTCCATCCGGACCATCCCTCGAAAGTTGGATCTCCTGCAGTGGCTGAGCGAGCGACCAACCTAGCCTGTGCACAGCGCTAGAAAAAGCCCCAAGCGTTCAGCCCTGTGTGACATCTCGAGTGCTTGCCGGAAGATGGCAGGTCGGTGATTCGTCTGCTCGTTGGACGGCGCAGAATCCTGCCCTTCTCGGCCTCTCTTACGTGCTCGGCCAACGTATATGCTTGCACTCAAATTCGAAGGATGACGCGGAGGAAATCTAGCCATCTGTGGCCATGACCGGTACGTGGCACCTCTCAGCTTGCACAATGTATCTTCTTCTCTCCTCTCGTCTCTCGTCTTTCGTCTCTTCTCTTCTTGTTTGTCTTCGTTCTGTTCTTCTCGTCGATGTTAAAAGATAAAAAGTGCCAAGGATATATCACGTGTATGCTTAATCATAACTTAGTCAACATATCACTGCGCGGAGAAAAGACACGAAGAAAGACATGAAAAGACACGAAGAAAGACATGAAAAGACACGAAGAAAGGAGTACGAAGAACAAGTGATGGGATCTCAGAGCCTGGCTCTGGGGCATATAGTTACGCACCCGTGGTGGGTTGGTTGAAGAAAGAACGAAATCATGGGATAGGTTGAATTATCCTATATATATCTGGCTAAGGTACATGCCAAATTACTACAGAAAACACCAATCAACTGCCCTTCGTCTCAATACATCAAGTCGCTTCAAGTTATATCCAGTTATATCCATATAGTTGAGTGCCCCTGACCACCTCAATAACTAAATATTGAAGAAATGCCTAAAGCTAATGATCAGTATATCAAACCAGTTGAAAGATGGTATAGTGCAGTACTGACCACAAGCTAGACTCGGTAGCGAGTCACTTCTTTACTTTCGGAGCACACCGGCTGCAGTACATTTTCGAGTTCCCGCCGGCAGAGCATTCCCTCTTCTTGCCGCACCCGTTGCATGCCACAAGTGCCATTTTGTTCTGGATTCTGGAGAGCATGCATTCAATATCTAATGCATGACAAAGTCTATGGTGAAGAGTTATCTTACCTTGACGGACAGGGATGAAAGAAGACTTGTTATAGGAAAGGTTGTAAGTTATTTTATGAGATGCTTAAGGGAAAGAAAAACTGGCACGGTAGGAATTGATGGTGGCCTTATTATACCTCTACCCTTTGGAGCCTCAACATTGCATCTATACGCGAAAGCGGGGTAATATGGTCTATCTATTGTGTTTGGATGGCTCGCAGAGGCTTTCCATATACTGCAATCACGAGGCTATCGGCATAGCACTGGGAGAGGCCTGTTCACCTCTATCACGCAGTAAGGCGACGCTATCGAAGGTACTGTGAGAAAATCCGGTTGGTGGGATACGTATATGGTGTCATTTGTGAATGCAGCCCAGGCGAGGATGATGCTTCAGTACCAGGATTGCGATGGTTAGGCCCTGTGATTATGCTGGCCTTGCGAGGCTGACCTGTAACAGCTGGCCATGTGTAGAGAAAAGAGAAAAGTAGAGGGACTGTACAGAGAAAAGAGAAAGTAAAGTCACTGTTCAGAGAAAAGAGAAAAGTAAAGTGACTGATCTATCCAACCGTTCCCACAGAGACATCTGCATGGCTGAAGAACTCGGCTAACGTCCTTCCTGCGAATCTGTTCATCGAAAGCATGGCCATATACTGGACGTCTTTGATGCAGGACGCTTTTATATCCAGGCTTAGTCATCATGTTTACTGACGCGCGTGCACGGGCCGCACTCCTTCCCGCTGTAAAAGAAAAGAAAATAAAAAGAAAATAAAAAGGAAAAAATAGAGAGAAACGCGTGTTTCTCCACCAGGGCGCGTGTAACAGCGAGTTATGCAACAAACCCTGGTCTCTTATTTGCCAGGGCCGTTTATACGAGTTTATGCACGATGCATGCAGACAGGTATGGTCCTCGAGTCAGATCTATGGAGTATGAGCCGCATGTCCTAATGCTGGTTTTGTTGTTATAGCACTTCGAAGCGCCGCAGTGTTAACGACAGCGACAGCAGCGAGGAGATCATTTCGACCCGGGATCGCAAGAGGCTGAGGAGAAGCATCGCGTCTGGGGACAGTGACGCCCTGCCTAAAGATGCCATGTCTGACGATGATGCTAGGCCTAGAGATGCCATGTCTGAAGATGGTGTCCCTAACGATGTCATGTCTGAAGATAGTGTCCCTAACGATGATGCCCCTAAAGACGGTATCCCTAGAGATGATACCTCCAAAGATGCCATGTCTGAAGATGATGCCGGGCCGAAAGGCGATGTTCCTAAAGAAAATGTCCCTAAAGACGATATGGTGTCTGAAAACTGTGGTTTTGTGTCTTATGGCGGTGATATTGACTCTGGTTTTGGAGTCTATGCCACACCGGCTTGGAGTCGGCCTACGAGCCACGACAAGGGGCACTACCACCAGAGGGAAGACGCTGATGGCAGTTCTGAATACTCTACTTCACGTCTAGAACCAGAAACTAATCATAGTCATAGCAAGGAAGTGAGCGAGGCCCACCTGCCGGAATCCGCCGAAGAAGAAGACGAGAAGCTGAGAACTGACCCAGAAGATGTCATGTCGGTCTTCATGGAAGATGAAGAATACGTCGAGAACCTACCGAGCGAACCTGAGTTCGCCAGCGAGGCCAACTTCAGGCCCGAATCAGGCACTTCCGATACATCCTCCTCACCGCCGACGAGACGAAAGAGGAGAGATTCAAGGCCGAGAAATCGCCCTCGGGCTAGGTACGATAGTGGTGATGTGACTGGGCTGTATCACGAACGCTGGCTCTCCGGCAAACCGTCGAAGGTAGGTGAATTCCAAACGTGGCCTCACCCGTTGGGGTTGGGATCTGGCTGACCAGACGTAGGAGGAGCAGCAGAATATCGTGGAGAAGCTACGGTATGTTGGGCCCTTTATTGTCGATATGACAGTGCTGATCCCTTCAAGGTCGTTTTTCTGGGCGAGTGGCAGCGGTGATGGGTTGCCGAGATGTCACTCGTGCCGCGTATTCGGTGCTGTATGCTACTTCCGCGCATCTGAGAGGCCGTCCGTACTCAACTGACTGCCGTGTTTAGACTCTACCAACCGACGATGATGCCCCTACCGGTATGGAACTGGAGGAGTGTCTCCCTTGTGGCTGCTCCTATAATGTAAGTGTGCCGGGTATTCCCCCTTTGACCCAAGGCCTGCTTGGCTGACTGACTGATCTTCCAGGAGGCGATGTTGGAGATGTATATGGTGAAAAGGGGGATGCTCGCTGTAGGCCGCCCTGCGCTAATTGGCATTTGACCCGTCCAGGTGACCGACTGACTCTGACGTGTGTGTTAGATATCCAAATCCGAAGACGAGCCAGAGACGCTTGGCCGACACCGGCACGATCTCATAAGCATGTTCGAGCTGTTCTTTGGTCCATTCACTGTGGAGAAGGCACGTACTCCGTAATCTATCTCTTGCTCCATACCCCGAAGTACTCGCTACTAACGACATATACCTCGTGTAGATGCTAAACATTGGAGGTGCCCGGACCAAAGCCGCAGAAGAAGCAGCGCGGCAAGACGACATGCTGTTCAACCGCCTGGCCCCAAACTGACCGTCTCCTGGCACCCGAGATCCGTCCTCCCGCCGAGATAGTCCTGTACCTGACGCGCTACTGTATATGATTAAGATCAGGCCCAGGCTAGTATCAATGTTTATATTAATAGCACCAGCGATCGCTGCTGTAGCATGTACCATCATTAATAATTCTCCTGTCCAGATGCCAGTGGAGCCGCAGACTCTGTCGGGTCGTCTGATGCTCTACACATCTCGTCTTCCTCTCTCCCTTCTTCCTCCCCTTTTGCCTCCCGCGATCCAGCCCGTCGGGGCCAAGTTCCCAAACGCCCACAAACCGGCACCCCGGATTGCCCCTTTCGGCCATCCGCCTGAAGCTCTCCGCGGCTCCACCGACCTTAAATCCGAGCTTAAAAAAAGAACATGCTTAGGCAGCTTTGGACATGCATCTTTGCACACGACGCTGGCTTCTAGCCTCCAGCCCTCCAGCCTGTCACCCGACTTGCTCCCTGTTTTGAACGCCGTCGACGAGTCTGGCTCGATGCTTAGAGAGAGGCGTTGGGACCTGGCCCCTTTCTCCCCTGATTCGGCCGGCAGCTGTGTTGGGACAACACGATACCGCTCTTGGGATGCCGGCGCTCGCAGAGGTCAGTCACAGGTAGCTGGTACAACATGAAGCTACACAGCTTGTGCGATGGCGACGGCGACGGCGACGGCGAAGGCTTGGGCCAAACCCCGCTCGCTCGCCGTCGACAGCGCCCGGCTTTGCTCTCCTCTCGTTACACCTCTTTGGAGGAGCATAAATAGGTCACACGGGTCCCCTCTTTCGGAGTGAGACGTAAGACAAGAGTGTTCATTCGTTCCTCGTTGCCGTCCGGATATATTCTCGTGCTTCTCCGTTCTTCGTGCTGTTTGATTCTTGTTACAAACTGCCATGCAACTCACCATGTCTGAATCAAAAGATATCCTTGCGGCGTCTGGACCAGCTGCAAAGCCGCCTGTGCTCCTAGGAACCAAGCAGCGATTGCCGGAATTTCAGCTCGCCGACAAAGTTGTTCTCGTCTCCGGGGCCGCGAGGGGGCTAGGGCTGACCCAGGCGGAGGCTTTATTGGAAGCTGGAGCTATAGGTATACACTACAACCTCTATTTACCTTTTTGATACCAATCTAACATTGGGCCCCTGGAACACAGTATATGCACTCGACCGTCTCGAGGAGCCGGTAAGCCTAGACTGTTATCTTCATCACGACCTAGCTGACCGTATCTAGTCTGAGGACTTCCACCGTGTCCAAAAACGTGCTACTGGCGAGCTCAACACCGAGTTCCACTACCGCCGCATCGATGTCCGCGACACTGAAGACCTGGACAAGATCGTGCGGGAGATAGCAGACAAACACGGCCGCATCGACGGCCTGGTTGCTGCTGCTGGCATCCAGCAGGAAACCCCTGCTCTCGAATACACAGCCAAGGATGCAAACACCATGTTCGAAGTCAACATTACTGGTGTCTTCATGACTGCACAGGCGGTTGCAAAGCAGATGATTCGCTTCGGAACTCGCGGAAGTATTGTCATGATTGCCAGCATGAGCGGGACAATCGCCAATAGAGTACGCTTGCCCCCACCCTTCACTCTCATCGTGCATGCATACTAACCATCTACTACCGCAGGGCTTGATATGTCCAGCTTACAATGCTAGCAAGGCCGGCGTCATCCAACTCGCTCGCAACCTCGCTGCAGAATGGGGCCCGCATGGCATCCGTGTCAACACCATCTCGCCAGGCTACATCGTCACCGCCATGGTTGAGCAGCTGTTCGTGCAGTACCCAGAACGCAAGACCCAGTGGCCAACAGAGAACATGCTGGGCCGTCTCAGCGAACCGTCCGAGTACAGGGGTGCAGCCGTCTTCTTGATCAGTGACGCCAGCAGTTTCATGACGGGCAGTGATTTGAGGATCGATGGCGGGCATGCGGCGTGGTAGTGTCGTCATTTTCTTCTCTTTTCTCGTTGGATTTCCCCGTTTTAGCGCTGCGATGATTCCTGGTTTTCTTCTTTGTTGCTCGTATAGCATGTTTGACAGGGTTCCGGCATTTCCTTTATTACCAAACTAATATATAATTGGCTCTTGGATGAGTGGGCATGGCTGACTTCCACGTTTTGTGCATGGTCATACTGATGCCCTGATCCGGCTGTTGGAATCTCAGCCCGTTACCTGGATGCTTCCTCTATCGTTACATGACACTGTCTCTGCCTAGTATTGTGAATTGCTGATAATACATGAAATATTTAATAACGCCTTTTACACGAGGCTGTACCACAACATAAGTATAGGTATATTTGAATGGTTAAACCTCTTGTATGTGATTGTAGCTGCAGGAATGCGTGGCTGTCGCTAGTAACTTTGCATAAACCCAGCATGTACCCTATACCTGGTGTATACTTGTCGACTTCTCATATAATATCTTCTCAATGACTTGGACACCTATAGTCGGGCTACCTATAACCGAGCTGCTAGCTTAACTAACTGCTTAAGTAACGGTGTCTTCCTCCCAGTCATTTTGACTTGGCCTCACAGCTACACACGTACAACCTCGGAACGCTGGTTGATGCAGTGAGGCTCTCCTTCAAGGTTTCTTCGTTGGACAGGTTTAACAATGGCAGAACAGGTACGGAGTAACGAGTCGCACCAGTTCTGGTTCTAGTTCTAGTTCTAATCCATCCCAGTCTTCAACTCGCAACAATGACCCTCCTACGGGCCTGTACTTCTTCTACGGAACCCTGATGGATCCAACTCTGCTGGTCGAGTTGCTCGGCCTAGACAAGAAGCCAGATCTGCGTCCTGCTTATATAAAGGGCTACAAGTTCAAGCTCTGGGGGCCCTACCCGGCTCTCCTGGATGACAAGCATGACGACTCGGCCATCATTGAAGGCGCGGCGTTTAATGTCGCGACTGTCCAGCATGCGCGCCTACTGGCTGAATATGAGACGGACAACTATACCACTGGAACCACTACGGTGTATTATACCGATGGACAGCAGCCGGCCACTGATCAGGGCAACATCTATGTGTTTTCGGGCGACAGGACGATCCTGAGAGAGGGCGAGTTCAACCTCGAGAAGTGGATGAGGTCCAAGGGTAGGGGGGACGTGCTGGATGAGCTGAATGCGAAGAAGGTTGACGCTTGATTTGTGGACGTCATGTTTGCTGTATAGACTTTGGCTTCAAGGAGGTTAGGGGGGGAGGCTGCATTATAGAGGTCAGAAGGTTCATTATAGATGGGTTATATTTCTGATCTATGTATAGAAGTTGCTCCAGCTGAGATGTCGGCTAAATAGAACGATGTTTATCTTTTAAAATCTAATATACAGAGTCTATCCGTGTAAGTAGATATTATGTGAGCTCTACTGCTCTACCTGGGTATTGTCAAGCCAATCGTCCACGTCTCTGAGCCGCGCTTCGTCTAATAATCTCCAGATTCTTCTCCTATTCCGCAGCCGTAGAGGTGCCTTACTCATATCATTGCCGGGCTCAAATATCTCTGTCTGTGCAAGCATCCGGACGAGCTGTTCCCAGTTCCAGTAGTTCTCCGCGTCGTACAAGGGCTGACTTCCATCGTCGGGCTGCAACGATCGGTCTCTGAGAACAGCTACATCTAGATCCCAGAGCCATGGGAGGAGCTGTCGATAGAATAGAAAGTCTCTCCAGGTGTCTGATGGCAGGTAGTAGGTACACGCCCGCCCAGGATCGACAAATGGATGGAGATGGAGGTATATTTCCTCTACTATCTCTACCGGCAGTTTCAAGAGCTGTGTAGATGGTTCATCACAGCCGCGCCGATGCTCCGGAAGAGGCTCAAGGTAAGCTAGGATTTGATCAGTGAGTCCCGGTATAGGGAACGGGTCAACTTCATATTCCTAACGGCCAACAATAAGCATAACAGCCTCCATGAGATATAACGAGTAGGGCATCGTACAAAGACATCTGGGCGACCAATAGGCCATTGGACGTTACCGGGAACATCCATCACTCGAAAGTAGTAGTCATGCGGTTCGATTACCTGGCGGGTGGTGATAGAGCTAAGGCTGGATTCGACTCCCTGGGCCCGTTGTATGCCAGGCCTGGTTATTCGGTATTCCAAAACTTCATAAATCTGGCTAAGACTTCTAGGGTCGGTCACTGCTACTCCCTGGCTAGCGAGAGCTTTCCGGTAGCTAACTAGCCGTTGCATCATATCCAGACATTTCCGATGTAGTCCAATATAGGGGTATTCCTCTAGGCCAACATTCAGCAGCCTCTTTTGAGAATTCCGGCCGCGATGGACATATTCGATTTCGATATCTAGGCAAAGTTAGATATCAATGTTATAGTAGTACGAAACAGGCAACCAACCATCAAAGCCATATATTTCTACTGGCAGGTCATGAGCTTCTAAACTACTATAACGTTCTGGTGCCTCATAATGGTATCCCTCAGCATGAATTGCACATGGATCCCACCATTCATATCTTTTGTACTTCTTAGTGCGCAGCTGGCCTGGGGTCTATATTGTTAAATAGGGGATAATATGTGTCTCTAGGATAAGCCTACTCACTATAATTATCGGAACACCACAGACAGCACAGGATGTGTCTTCAGCTTCGCTACCATTGCATCTGCTGTAGACAACATCAGTTTCTCCATCGGGTGGACGGTCACTTGGATGTAGTTCCATCATTGTGTCTTTATCGACTTTAGACACCAACTAGCGACAAACGGCAGGGAATGTCTACTGATGCTGTGCCTCCAAATTCATCCCATCTCAGCCTCGCCATAGCCAGCTCAGCGTCAGCCAGGGGGGGACTGTATGCAATGCCAGGTGGCTCCCTGCTATAAGTGGATGTATAGGATGTACGGTCATGTATTGAGCCCTCTCACGGCGCAGCCTGGTGATGATGTCACTCCCGGGGTCTGGAGATGCAGCCGGGGTTCTTTGTGCCTCTACTTCTGCTTCACTTTCTGCTTCCGTCCTGCTTCCGTGGCACAGCTGGAGGGTGACAGCCGATGCAGCCTATCAATGATGGATTCTCTTTCAAGGTTCGACATTTCCATGGATAGCTGCACCGTGAACCAGATCACTCGACCTAACAACGGGACTTCGTAGTGACGGCAGTACGAAGTAGACAGCAGTAGACAGTAGTAGAATATAGAAACTTGAGTCGATGGAGATAATGATAGAGCAGGAGAAGTAGAGAGTCCTCGCTATGCTTACTAAGACTTTCCCACTTCAAGCAACTTCATCTTCTTCCTTTTTCTTTTTTGCCCTCTCTTATTTTCTTCTGCTCCAAGGCTTTGTTGCTGCCTAGGCCAGGTATCTGAGCAGGTTGAATCCGTTCTCTGCCATTGAGCTCCCTTGTTCTAGCTAGGAATTGCCCTTCGACACGCAGAGTGCCTAAAGGCCGAAGCTGCCAGGCGCAAACAGTAGCAGCAGGGCGATTCTCACCGTTTTTGTCCCCTAAGACAACTTTTGCATATAAAAAGAATACGATTTCCGCTTTATATCCAGCCCGTCCATTCTCTTCTTACTCTCTGCTTCTCTATCTCTGCATCTTTTATTTTTTTTTTGCATCACACTTGCCCTAGGGTGTATGTGTGATTGTTGACCGCCTAATACCGAACGTGTAGAGGGCTGATAGTTAACATCTAGCTGACCCCGGTTGGCTGTCCTTGGGCTTTCTAGTCCGCATTTAACTTGGTCTTTCTTTGAGCCAGGCATCTGATATATCACCATGGCTGATCGTGGTTACCGTGGCCGTGGCCGTGGTGGCAGTGATCGTGGTGATCGTGGAGGTGGAAGAGGTCGCGGTGGTGGTGCAGGGCGCGGCGGAGGAGGCCATTTCGATGGCGGCGGTGGTCGTGGCCGTGGATATGGAGGAGATCGCGGGCATGGAGGAGACCGTGGATATGGGGGAGACCGTGGCGGTAGAGGACGTGGAGGAGGCCGTGGTCGTGGAGGTCCGCCATCGATCTATGGGTAATTCGTTCTTTTTTGGCTACCTACTTTCCTCCCTCCTTATATCCTGTTTGGCAGGTCTCTATCTTCTTTTTGGAACTAATGTGTCTGGTATATAGCGAAGGCCACCCGATCCCCCCGCCGGATGCTACTGTCCAGAAGATCGAGGACGCCTACATCAAACAACGCAAAGGCCTAAGCCTTGACAGTCTCAAGATCTCCCAGGCATTCCCGCTGAGACCATCCTATGGAACTCGTGGTACCCCTGTGGTGCTGTGGGCTAACTACTTCCCGCTCGTGCCTAAAGGCGACATCACTTTGTTTCGTTACAAAGTTGAGGTCGGCGTGGAAGGGAAAGCTACACCAAGCTACCGGAAACTCAAGCGTATCTTTGAATTGCTTCTGGAAGATCACTTCCTCAACTTCAAAGGCCGTATTGCTACGGATTTCAAAGCCACGCTAGTATCTACCGTGTCTTTGGATCTTGCTTCCGAGTCGCTCGAGGTGACATACCGGGACGAATTGGACGAGGTTGCCCTGCCCAACGCAATCACGTACAGACTTCGCGTGATCGAGATTCCGCCTTTGAGTCTGGATCAGCTAACATCCTACCTTGCATCACCCTCAGGCGATGGACTTGGTCAGAGCAAGGAAGAATACCTTCAGGCTCTGAACATCATCATGGGCCACTTTCCAAAGGCGGCTGGCGACACCTTCAATGTTGGCATCAATAAGCACTTCAAGACCGACACCAAGGAACGATTTGATCTCCAAGGAGGACTTATGGCCTTGAGGGGATTCTTCGTCAGCGTGCGATCCGCAACGTCTCGTCTCCTTGTCAACGTTCAGGTCAAGCATACCACATGCTTCTACGATGGTCCATTATTCCAACTAATGCAGGCCACAAACAATCTGTTTGGGCTGAGACAAATGAGCTCCTTGCTGAAAGGTGTGAGAATCAAAGTTACGCATCTTCCGACGAAGACGAAGGATGGTGTGCAACATTACCGTACAAAATCTATCCTTGGGCTTGCCACCCCGAAAGATGGAAGAGATTTAGAGCACCCTCCCAAGGTTGAAGGCGCAGGGGCAGGACCTGCGGATGTACAGTTCTACATTGACGATACCCCTCAAGAGGGCGCGGAGGCGGCGAAGGTCAAGGGTAAGGCCAAGGGGAAGGGGAAGGGGAAGGCATCCCAGCCTATGGTGGGTTATATCAGTGTCTTCGATTACTTCAAACAGCGTACGTATCCCTTCCTCGTTCCTTGGTACATCTATCTAACTACTTGTACAAGGCTATGGCATCAGCATGGATAAACGCACTCCCGTCGTAAATGTCGGTACATCGGTCAACCCAAGCTATCTGCCTGCCGAAGTCTGCATCGTCGAACCTGGTCAAGCGATTAAGTCCAAACTCAGTCCCGCTCAGACACAGAGGATGATCTCGTTTGCTGTTAGACGACCCAAAGAAAATGCGCAGTCCATTGTGGAAAGTGGAGCTGAGATTATTGGCGCCCTCTCTCAGCCCCAAGCCATGGTGAGTTTATGTTCACCTTAGGCGTGAGGTCTACTGCACTATAACTAATACGCATTATAGGCCCAAATGCAGCTTTCGGTTATCCCCAAGCTGATTACCGTTCCCGGGCGTGTTTTGGCTAACCCGTCTGTTCGCTACAAGGGCCAGGGTGTGGCTTCAATCCGCTCTGGTAGCTGGAACCTGAACAACCTCACTTTTAGGACTCCGGGGGCTCCTTTGAACAATTGGGCGTACGTGGTAGTTCGAGACCGCCCTAATGTCCCCGACGTGTGGCCTGTTGTTCAAGAGTTCATGACTATCGCGAAAGCACAGGGGTTAACGGTGGCACCCCCTGTGTCGGTTTTGGAGACCATGAAATGTGTTCCATTCGACCTCAATTATCATGGTGCAGATTCCCTTGAAATTCAAGTCGATGAACTTTTCAAGAGGATCTCCAAAAATGACAAACTCAGACAAGTCAAATTCTTGCTGATTGTTTTGCCAAATGACAACCCAACCGTTTACAAACGGATTAAGCTCAACGGCGAGGTCACATACGGTATCCAAACTGTGTGCGTTGTCAGATCGAAGTTCGATAAGCCTCATAACGTTCAATACCATGCCAATGTTGCCATGAAGTTCAATTTGAAACTCGGAGGTATTAACCATGTCCTGGATGATGCAAAACTAGGAATTATTGCTGCTGGGAAAACTATGGTTGTCGGCATTGATGTCACTCACCCAGCTCCAGGATCCTCCGAGGTTGCCCCTAGTGTGGCAGGCATGGTTGCCAGCGTTGATAAACAGCTTGGTCAATGGCCGGCAATTCTGCGGCTGCAGCATGAGGCTAAGCAGGAGATGGTCGATGATCTCACTGAGATGCTTAAGTCTCGACTTCGCCTCTGGCATTCCAAAAACAAGGCATACCCGGAGAACATCATTGTCTACCGTGACGGCGTGTCAGAGGGACAGTACAGCAAAGTCCTTGATGAAGAGTATCCTCGCCTTCTTCAGGCCTGCAAGGAGCTGTACTCCGGCTCACCAGTACCAAAACTTCCGAGGATGACAATCATCGTCGTAGGAAAACGGCACAACACTCGCTTCTATCCCACGAAGGCTGAGGATTCCGAGAAGGACAATGCACGTTGCGGCACTGTGGTTGACCGCGGAGTTACTGAGACCCGTAACTGGGACTTCTTCCTGCAAGCCCACACTGCGCTTCAAGGAACTGCTCGCCCAGCCCATTATTACATCGTTGTAGATGAGATTTTCTGTCGCCGCCAGAATCCCGCGTACCCTACTGTTGCCGACGAGCTGGAAGACCTGACGCATAACATGTGCTATCTCTTTGGTCGTGCCACCAAGGCCGTCAGCATCTGCCCGCCAGCATACTATGCTGATCTTGTGTGCGAGAGAGCAAGAGCGTACCTTAACAAGCTCTATGATGACACTTCTAGCTTGGTTTCTGGTACTTCAGGGCTTTCGGCTTCTAACGCTCAGTTACTCCAAGTGCATTCTAAACTTGCTGATACCATGTTTTATATGTAACATGGCGGCCTTGAAGATGTGATATGGATCCATGGCCGGGGAATCCTGGCGGACTACCGTCCGACTCCCTGTCTTTCTGTCTCTTCCTTTCTCTCTCCTATCTTATTCGGATCATGTTTGCTCACCGTCTCGATTACAAACACTCCTTCACTCCTTCTATCACTCAGCCTAACCCATTTATGTTTCTTTCAACTTGATGACCCTGCCCGACTATTGATACCGTTCCTAGCTGCTGGAGAACGAAAAGAATGAGAACGTCATTGGCGGAATTGGGCACATCAATTGGATACGACCTTATGAACTGAATTTAACAGCCGATGAATCACCCACTTGGAAATTTGGATTGTTATCAGCTAGTACTGCTCGTTTATTTTCTGCTTTGACATATTGATAACCAACTAAGACCCCATTATCTATGGTACATACATGTGTTTCTCGTAAAATTATATCGTACAATGCCCACCATCTAAGTTAAGCATATTTTCTGAAATAGAGATGTCATCGAACACCAGCGACGACCCCCTTAGGACCTAACGTTGCGAGAACTCCCTTCCGTAACCCAAACTGCTTCTCAATAACGTCCTCGCTAACACCCTGCTCATCTCTCATGGAAAGAATCTGCTTCAGGCTAACGACATCAACGAACCGACGCCCCATATGGTCTCGTCTACCCAACGACTCAAAATCCGCCTCTGCCTCAGCGGATATCCGTGTTCGTGACGACAATGTTAACAGCGACGGGTTTGCTGTATCCGCTCGATTCGGCCCGGAAGGTGACGACGCACCCTGTTGCCGCCCCTGATTGAATATACTGGTCCGTGAGAGCGTGGGAGTAGGAGTTACTGGCCCTATGGAGCGTAGAGAGGCATCAAAGTCTGGATCGCGCGCGTCAAGGTCGATTGCTTTATAACATGGCAGTTAGCAGGGAATATTCTCTGTTGTAGCATATCCGCTCTCTTGGGTAATACCTTCGGACCGTGTAGCGCTCGCTTTCTCTTGTGAATGGTAGACAGGACCTTGCTTTTGTGTATCTTTCTCTGCTGCTGCTGCGGGCTGTGGTCGTGCGGGCGTGGATGTGGTCGACGGCGAGGGTCGGAGAGGGTATTGACGACGGGACGCTGCTGTGGCGGCTGCGCGCGCTGGTTTTGATGCTGATGTGCCCATTGGGGTATATCTGAGTGTGTAAGTGCTGGTGTTCTGTTTATCCTTATAGTTGTAACTTGTAGTGCAGTCAAGGCGAGCGTGAGATTTGAAGATGTATGGAGCCGCGGTGGGAGAATTTGTTGATGTCACCGATAACGTTTATTTACTATGGCCTCACAATCTCGACATTGAGACTCCACAAGAACGTTTACTAAAGAAGTCCAGTTTTTTACTGCTTCCTATTCTATTGGCATCTTCGGATTGGAATTAATACAAAGTGTACAGTGTCAGCATGAAAGTCATAGCCTCCCGGACCAGGGGATAACCAATATATATTCCCTTAAAAATAGCACTTCTCTTCTATCGGTGGCCGGCAAGTCGTCGTTCTTGTACCTCTCCTAGTGCACGGCTTCCACTCAGCACAGCTACGACACCAATTGCTGCTGCAACCGGAAGAGTTTGGAACAGATTCCAGCTGGTATAGTACATGAAGAATGTTAACTCGAGGCCGATGATTGACCCAACAAACACCACATGTGGAAGTGGGGAGGATTTTAGAGCCACGGAGAGATGGTTGGCGTTGGCGCCTAGATAGAACCACTGTATTTTCGATCGTCACTTGTTAGTATCTTAAGATAGTAATTCCATCGTCGGCGTCTTAAACTTACGGAAATTGCTAGGAGCGGTAATGTAGCTAGCACAGCAAGTGTAAAGATCAAGGAGATGATCACAGGTGGGCTGCGGGGGTCGGATTTAAATATGTGGTGAATTTCCTCCAATTTACCATATCGGAGAGCATGGGAGGATGGCAGAGGGTCGTCTGGGTTGCGGTCAATGGCTAGTTTGAAGATGGGCTTATTATAACCGTTCGAGGCCCCGAAGGAGGCAATCAATAGAGAAGCTTCGATTGGGGTTTTAGCCGCAAGCAATTGTACTGGGAGGTCCTTGTGGTTCTATAGTCGTCGAGCAGACACTCGTTAGCCATCTTCCAAGCCCGGTTATGGATATGCATATTCAGCGTACCAACTCGACAAGGGCCTTTCCATTTCCCTTGACACTAAGTGGATATGAGATGTCGAGGCCTGTTTCACTCTCCTTGAGCATCAAGAAAGCTTGGTGAGGCTTCATCGCAGCTCGATCGTCTTGTATCGTTAAGAGAAGTTTTAATGTGCCCGCATCATTCAGTGTTACGGGTTTTGCCAGCGGCTTGTTTTCTGATAACCTGAGCAAATAGCGGGTTAGCCAGGATGCCACTTATCCAACACGACCTGAGTGATAGAAATTCCAATGGCCCGGGGTCACCTACTTCTGTTTCTGGCCACCGCCTATCCCAGCGCCTTTTTGTTGAATAGATAGCGTGCCATCAGCAAACCCCCATCCGGACGAAGCACATAGTCCTGGCGTTGCTAGAGCTAGGAGCCCAAGCTGGAGAGCCGCAAGAAGTTGCATAATTGCGGGCTGTACGCGGACACCAGGCTGCTCTTCGTTGATTATTTATCAAAGCCAACTGTTCCAGCGGAGTTTCCAGCGTTATTCGTAACTTCGCAACTTCGCAAGGTGTCAGATATGGTATCACGTGACCCTTCGGACTTGTACACATGTGGCCTGTATATCATCATCATTCATCTTTTTTACGCCTATTATGCGACTTTGCCTGTAGTATTTCAAGTTCTATAATACCTTATTACTACTCTACTACATTTTATAGACACTTCTCCAGCTAAGCTCGATATCAGCCATTAGATGCCAGATACCGGTTTATTCAATATTCTGTCCAATCAAACTGCAGGGAAACTCCCAGCCAATCAGGTAATTTAGATAAGATGTACTGAATTATCACTGGGAACATGCATCTATCGCCTCAGATATAGCGGATTCTCTATTAACGTTATAGCATTAAAAGAATAGACTAATTATCTTGTGTAACGATATTCAATCAATCTCATTTCTCGTTATACAGCACTTCGTTGCTATTCTACTATGCTTTGTAGACATTCCATTGGTTGATTGGCCATTTCTAGACCTCCCGATGTATTATTCTTAGTCAGCTCTTACTTCCAGGACGCTCTTGCAACATCAGCGTGTTTTCTGTTCGTTCTTCTCTTCTTCTTGATGCTCTTGTCTCCTCCGCAAGAGTGTCAGGTTGCTCCTTTGAAGATTCAGGACACCTGCGTCCATCGTATTATATGGCGGCATCTCCAGAGCTCTGGCAGCGTTCAAGAACCATCAATATCAACGACCACTCTTGCACGGTCTATCTGTCATGACTTGTTCCTATCATCAAGAATTCATTTAGAACTGTGCTAGAGCAGTAGTCCCCCCTTCGGACACTATAGATTATTGGATATCACGCTTAGCTTCAACAGCTATGGCCAGGTTTCAATTGGTTCCTTGAGTCATCGGAATTTATCATTTCCCTACACTTAGTCAAGGAACGATAACCCCGAAGAGCAAAGCTTCTCAACGTCCTTGGAACCTATATAGTCAAACAGTGTCAACTCCCAGGGATATGACAAATATGGAGTCTCTTCGTGCCATTGCTCCTTGGAACGTTAGTCCTTTAGCCATGGCTCTTTGGATTGCAGAACAGATTGTGAGCGTAAGGCAGAGTCAACTAGGAAATCTCCCAGGATCCATTGGAATAGATACCATATCTGAGGAATTGGAACTGAGACGCCCAATTGGCCTTCCCAGAAATGCTACTAGGGCCATGCGTAAGAAGCCATGGATGGCGCAGGAGGCTATAGACAAGATGAGAGCATTTCTAGGTTAGCCGTACTTGCAATCTCTGCCTTTTTTTCAACAAGAGCGCAAGGAGCTAACCAAATAGTTAGACCAAACCTCTCATCCTGGCACGTATCAGCGTATGGGAGGAGATGTTATATTGTTAGGTCAGCCTCTACTGCTAGAATTAGCGAGACTCAGACAAAGGTTGACCGGAATCTGGCCCCGAGATGCCTGGGATGGAGAAGATTACTTTCAGATAAAACAACAACACTTCCCTGACGAACAAGTCAGAAACGAAGGGAATCTTCTCCTAAACATGCTTACTCCTCTCATCAAGCCGAGCTTAGTCCCGAGGTGGGGAGAAAGCACGAGTTCATTGATAAAGGTTCTAGTTGAGGAAAACTCCGAACTTTCCTTATTCACAATGGCATTCACAATTCTTGCAGGTGACAAAGGGATCTTGAGTGTTGCGGAACATATTGTTTCCCACCTGACTTCGAGTGCAATATCATTCAATCCAGCATGTTCCACTTGCAATAACACCAAAGACTCTCAATCAACGCAACACATCCACATTGTTCATTCAGCTCAGTATTCTGCTGGACACCACCTAATTAAGCCACCCAGATATAAATATCTTCCCATACTCCATCATGCTCGGGATTCTTCCTCTCAGCAACCTCATCTTCGCCATCTACTCCCTATACCACCTTTTAAACCTACATCATTCTCTTCTTTTCCCTGCAATCACCTACCTGAGAGAGAGTATTCCTCTTCTAACTCGTCCTCAAGTTCGGATCATACTACTCATCTCGTTTTCAATTCACGAATCGCTCGAAACAATTTCCTGAAAAACATGGAACCTGACAAGAAACCCGCTGGCCGCACATCTGGCCGCACATCTGGCCGCGTAAGGAAACCAACTCTGAGGGCCCAGGAGGCTGAACTCAGCAAAGTCACAAAACCTAAGGCAAAGCCCAAACCCAGGAAGAAGGCCGTCAAAAAGGAGGCCCCAGCACCGAAGGCCCCAAAACCAAAGGGCCCAAAGCCAAAAGAACCAAAGCTGGAAACCTCGAAGCTGGAAGACCCAAAGCTAGAGAGCCCAGAGCCGGTCAACCCCAGAAAGAGGAAGAAAGCTGGTGAGTTAGCTGTCTGGAATATAGTTATCAATGTTCCCCAGATCTAATGGTTTCCACAGGTACGCCAGCTGTACCGCTTGCAGTACCAACAATCCCGGAGATTGTTGTTACCGACGAGACTGGACGAGTTGTTGCGTTGCCCGCAACACCAGTTCGCCTGAGCGAAGAGGACGAATTCGCAGTAACCGTGCTTTTAGGGCTGGCGTCGGCAGCATTGGCACCAGACTTCAAGCCGGAAGTCGAGGTTGATTTGGGGGACCTCAGTCACCAGTTTTACAGCCAATTCCCAACCGCAGAGGAAGTAGAGACGATGGGTCGGCTGGCCGACCTGTCTGAGCTCAGCCATCCAGATCTTCCTCGCCCGTACACTGATAAGGATGGATGGGTGCATACGGGCCGTGTTAATGAGCACGGAGAGGAGTATATCACCATCCCACCGTCCTTCACCCGGTGGACACCCGCGCCAGCTACTGAGCCCTCACCGACCACCGAGGCCCAAGTCATGTACCTCAGCCCAGCATGATGAGATGCCCAATGCCCATCGTCCTCCTCTTTAAGTTCTCCGTTGGCGCCTTGTTGCTGGCAACAGGCGCAATATTCGATTGTACTTGACAAAACGAGAATAGTTTCAGTCAACCGTCACATCTGTTGCTCAAGAATGCTAGCAAATGCATAGACCAGCCATCGACAGGACAAATGTTCGCTCTGAGCGGGCTCTAGTGAACTCTACCATTTCCAATGCATTGCCTTACGTCTACCCTGTTTATTACTGATCCAGTTGGAACATCCAATACTTAAATCTGGACAATGCGCTAGCTGCCTCTTGAGGTACTCTAGATGTTTAAGATACCTAGTTTCCGTGTTTCTGAAGTTGTGTTGAGCGTAAATGCCGTGTTATTGTTATCACTTGTTGTTTTTGTCTATTAACACGATGATTGAGCTATGCAGGTGATGACTCTTCCTAATTACTCTCGCCACACCTCATGAATAATAGACCCAGTGAGATAATCAACTCAACACGAATACAGGTTGAATAATTAGCTGCATCCTCTTTTTTATTGTTGGTAAATGTAGAGCAGGAGTATAGATCCCAAGTACGGCAGGTATAGCCGAGGCATGGCCCGACTAACTCCGTTATCAAGTTCAAACATTTCGCTATCTTAAAAGCTCCTCGCGACAGCCAATTGCCCAAGAAACTGCGAATGACGTCTATTATAATATACTCTTTCACCGACCAAGCTAATAGGCACCCGCAGACATAGCAAACGGAACGGGACTCCGTCGACAACCACCGCCGGAACTCACTGCGGCGTTACTCGCGGATTGTGAGCCCAACGAGAATCCAGCTAGAACCATCTGCTACGACGAATCTCCCTCCAGGTTGGACTACCGAACCCAATAATATCAGAAAATATAAGGCACTACAAAGAGAATTGGCTTGTATATCAATCATTATACGGTGCAAAATCAGCTGGGGTTGGAACGGCAGTGGACGCCAGTCGCAAAGCTTTTATCTGCGCAAAAGACGACAACTCTGATATCTAAGTAAGATAAGAGCGAAAGCCCTTCTTATCTAACTATGTCGTCAGGCAAGAAGAGAACGCCAGCGTCTGAGCTGGCAAAGGCTATAAACCAGTCAAGACAGAGCCCGAATGTCAACCTCCCCCCAGCAAAGCCGTCGCATATTGTCCGGACTCAGGAAGAAATAAGACGGATGGGATCGAATGGAGGTTCAAGACAACCAGATATAAAGAAAACAACGCAGTACAAGTCTGCTGCTCGGAGGTAGGGTTGCGTTCCTGTGATATCGGTCGCATTTCCGTACCATCAGAGTTCTAGCTAACCGGGGAATTTACTGGTTTAATTAGATGGAGCGCAACAATGATTGCGTTGCCTATTCTACTATACACCAGTTATGCTCTATATCAACGAGGTAAGAACCCTTTCAAGGCTACTTCAGTAGTTTCAGTTCATCCTCATGGAATGTTATACTCTACAGATTGACGTTTGAAATATGTTCAACTAACAGAAATCGCTTTATAGTATTTAATGGCAAATCGCCCCGAGGCCTACCTGGAGCAAACCATTTTAGCCCAGAAGAAGTCAGCTGCTCAACAATACAGAACCCTAAAAAATCCAACGACTGAATAGACCCTTCTCTGACTTGGCTGGTACCATTCATACGACTTGTACAATACACGACTAACAACCTCTCGACTCAATCTCCAACTTATCTTGAGCCCCTAGCCATATTAATCACCATAAGGTGTCATGGCCCTCGTTTTTAGCGGTGACTAAACACTTTCCATCTCCATTTCCATCTTCATTTCCACCCAATGGATGAAGGTATGCCCTACCTGGACAGATCTGTCAGCTTTTCTCCGTGGAATATAGAAATGACACCTGAGTGCAGCACCTTCGACTTGAAGTCTAACCAGGTATCTAACAGTTTGGTTAGCGCAAGAACGTATTTTGTTTTATAGGATTATCCTCTAGATACCATATCTCCTTATTCTCAAGACAATGTTTTGAATAGAATTTAATGCAGCATACGGCTCGGCCGTATATATCATGTTTTATCATCCATATTTGCAGCTCCTACGGTATCTCTCTCCTTAACGAGCTCCTGGCCGTACCTAAACTGTAGATCGATACCACGTGACTAATATATATCAACGACCTTCAACTACATTCAGGAGACACCTCGAGTCTTTACATCCCCCAAAATCACGCAGTCTCTTACTTGTTTGTATTATCTCAGAGATTGTTTTGTATTTTGTTCATTTCCTGGTGCTTCGCCCTCTTTTCTGATCCCCTGGACTTAACAATGGCTGGTTCTATGGAGGAGAAAGATCAGAACCTCGCTGAATCTGAGAATCCCAGAAAGCGCCGTGGTAGCACCCTGAGAGCCGTCAAAGAGACGGCTGCTTCATCCCGCCCAAAGCGTGTTGCAACATCTTTAAAGGCAGTCATTGCAAATGATGTTGTAGCTGAGGCTAAGAGGCGCCCAAAGAGCGCAAAAGTCGAATCCGATTCACTAAAAGCGCGTCAAGGTTCGTCTGATATTATCAATCAATCCTTTCAACATGTTATTTTGCGTATTCTCTATGTACTTCGTTCCGGTCTACGTTTTTCGAGACAAGATATCCCGTTCCGTATAAGCAACGTGTAGCCAGCATACGGAACATTCTACGGGGCTCACATATCAGTGGAATACAATATACTAACGATGTCGCATTATAGCCGAAAAAGCCTCTGCTAAAGATACGGCTAAGGCGGCCGCTGAGCCTGTTCCTGTTAAGAAAGGTAGACCTGGCAAAAAGCCAAATGCTGCAGCTACCGTGGATGGCACAGCGGCTGTGGACGGAGCTACCAAGGATGCAAGGTCCAAAGATGCAAGCGGTGCCAGTGAAACCAAAAATGGCAGATCATACTGGCTTATGAAAGCAGAACCAGAGACAAGACTCGAAAAAGGTGTAGATGTCCGATTTTCGATTGATGATTTGCGTGCAGCCACCGAGCCGGAAGGATGGGATGGTAAGCAGACATCCCTTCATTATAGTTAACCTTGGACATAGACTAATACAAATTCCAGGTGTCCGTAATGCAGCCGGTAAGCAAGACGACAGCTTTAGAGGCTTGGTTATTGTGTAAAAAAAAACTTTCATTTGCTAACTGTTAGTTCCAGCGAGAAACCATATGCGTGCAATGAAGAAAGGAGACATTGCTTTCTTCTATCACTCTAACTGCAAAGTTCCAGGCATAGCCGGCACGATGCAAATCGTTCGAGAAAGCTCTGTAGATGGTATTCTCACCGGCCTCTAGATCCCAGTGTGGTGCTAACATGGAGAATTATAGAATCCGCCTTTGACCCCGCCCACCCATACTATGACCCAAAATCAAATCGCGATAGCCCCAAGTGGGACTGGGTCCATGTTCAATTTCGAAGCAAGTTCAAAAATTTGGTTACACTTGCGGATATCAAATCTCACGCGAAGCCAGGCGGTGCGCTAGAAAATCTCCAAATGGTTAAGCAATCCCGTCTGAGCGTTTCGCCTGTCACGGAAGAGCAGTGGAAGTTTCTGATGAGCCTGGCGGAGGAAGAAGAACCTGTGAAAGAATAGATAACCCCAGTCCCCTGGATTCCCCTTCAGTTTCCATCATCTTAGACAGTAGGGCTGGCCGTGTATTTGTTTGATATAGTATTCATGTGGGCGTTCGGGAGAATTGTAATCAAAATATGTACATCAAGCCACGGTCTGGCTTAGCTTTCCTCTTTTACTCAAAACAAGCGAATCTGTCTATGTTTAGGCAGCGGCTGTCTTGGCTGGCGTCTAATTCGGTCGTAGAGCAAACAGCTTAACAGGGAATAGGTGAAGATGTTTAGGATACCCCAACTGCTCCTCTGATCTTAGAATGGTATATCCTGCCATCTCGAACAAGTCTTGGTACTTTTGTTCTGTTCTGGTGACGCTTTTATCCTGCGGGTCGAAACTGTCGTGCGGTAGTGTATTGATATTCTCCTTGATGATGACTATCCCGGACTCTGACAGCGCATCTTTGCATCGAGTCAGGAAATGCACGACCTGGTCATCCGTGAGATAGAGCAAACACCACTGGATCCAGAACAAGCCGTATCTTTTGGCGGGTATCCAGTTCTCCAGTCCCGTCACGTAGATGTCGCCGACTTTCCCCTCTGCCTTGAGTTTTCCTTCTCTCAGCACCCTGGCAAAGGCCTCCACCGGCTCCACGATGTCCACGACCTCGCAGACCTTGCTCAAGAGCCCTTCCGTGACTCTGCCGATGCCAGCTCCGCAGTCAACGCCCAGGGACAGCAGAGGAAGCTGGACTGAGGCGGCGACGGCAATGCCTCCGACGGACGGGAACAGACGGCGCACTTTGGCCAGAAAGGACTGAGACGAGAGCAGGTCTACCCTGGATATCTCTGGATAGCCACCAAGCATGCCGCTGATATTTGGCCTGACGGTGTTCCAGTACTCCACGGCGCCGGCATTGTCAACGCGAGTGTTTGGCGGGCAGCCGTCGCCGTCGTCGTCTGCCGTCAGCCTATGGTTCATGATGTGACTTGGATTAGGGATGTAACCAGTTCGGAGACGCCTTTCATTCGATTATCCTGCAGCTTTTCCATGCAAGAAAAACAAGGTCGATGGTGGCCACCAACCGGGGCCTCGGCTGCGACATCCGACCAACCTCCAAAGCCTGTTATAGCGAGGGGCGGAAGAACAGAACAACAACAACATCAACAACATCACCGTCTTCCTCCCCCGAAGCAAGCAGCCAGCGTACTCGATATAGTCATATTTGTATATATATGTTGGGCTTCTGCTCTCGTCTGCCTTATATCAGACCCGGCTCATCTCGACTGCTACAACAACAGCTTCTATACCCCGCCGTCCCCCGTTCGAGCTCAAGGCTCTTCTCCAGCTCAGTACTATACAGAATGTCTGGCCTATCTGTAGAACTCACGGCGCCTAATGGCCGGAAATACAGTCAGCCTCTAGGCTTGTTCATCAACAACGAGTTTGTCGCCGCAAAATCCGGTCAGACGATCGTATCTATCAACCCGACGTATGTCAGGCTTTGCCCCCCTCAGTTCAACCTCTAATTTCACGAAAAAAACAGTGTATACAGAGCTAATGGCGAATGATAGAGATGAGACGGACATTGCCACTGTGCATGCTGCCGGCGCCGAGGATGTAGATATCGCCGTCAAGGCAGCTCGCACAGCATTCAAGGACCCCTCATGGAAGGATTTGTCCGGCTCCGACAGAGGACGGATGATGGTCAAGCTGTCAGAGCTCGTCGAGCAACATGCCGAAACTTTGGCCACCATTGAAACATGGGATAACGGTTTGTCTATCCATTTTTTCCCCTAGTTTGTTGCTTGCCAGAGCCTTGTCCCACCCCTTATCCGGACATATGTCCTTTAACGTGAAATTGACTTGGATATCTCCGTCCCGTGTTTCCAGGAAAGCCATATTCTATCTCCCTGGGCGATGATGTCTCGGAGGTTGTCTCGGTCTTGAGATACTATGGCGGGTTTGCAGACAAGATAGAAGGCAGGACAATTAGTACAACTGCCAACAAGTTCGCCTACACGTTACGCCAACCCATTGGCGTTGTAGGTCAGATCATTCCGTGGAACTTCCCGCTCGCAATGGCTGCCTGGAAGTTGGGACCAGCCTTGGCCTGTGGAAACACGGTCATCCTCAAGGCGGCAGAGCAAACCCCTCTAAGCATATTATATCTTGCAGGGTTGGTGAAGGAAGCAGGATTCCCTCCTGGCGTCGTCAACATCTTGAACGGATACGGTAAAGAAGCCGGAGCTGCCATTGCATCCCACACCGACATCGACAAGGTCGCCTTCACCGGGTCTACGAACACAGGCCGTGAAATCATGAAGATGGCCGCGGTTAATTTGAAGAATATCACCCTCGAGACTGGTGGCAAGTCGCCACTGCTTGTCTTTGACGATGCGGATATTGACCAGGCTGCAAAATGGGCTCACACTGGTATCATGTATAACATGGGTCAAGTCTGCACAGCCACCTCTCGTCTGCTGGTCCAAGAGGGAGTTTATGACCAATTCGTAACAAAATTCAAGGAGGCCATTGCTACGACGAGCAAGATTGGTGATCCATTTGCAGAGGACACTTTCCAGGGCCCCCAGGTGACCAAGGCCCAGTACGACCGTGTGCTTTCATATGTCAAGACCGGCAAATCCGAAGGTGCAACACTTTGTACCGGAGGTGTACCACATAAGAACGTTGGTAACGGCAAGGGTTACTTCATCGAACCAACGGTCTTCACCAATGTCACGGACAACATGAAAATCTACCGTGAGGAAGTGTTTGGTCCCTTCGCCGTGGTCACCAGCTTCAAGACGGAGGAGGAAGCGCTCACCAAGGCAAACGATACCACCTACGGCCTGGGTGCGGCGGTATTTACCCAGAACATCGAGCGTGGTCACCGTGTAGCCAGCGGCATCGAAGCTGGCATGGTCTGGATTAACAGCAGCAACGACAGCGATTTCCGCGTTCCATTCGGTGGCGTCAAGCAGTCCGGCGTAGGCAGGGAACTCGGCGAAGCAGGCCTTGAGGCTTACTCTCAAGTCAAGGCTGTCCATCTCAACATGGGGACCAGGCTGTAAGCACAATTATGGAGAGCAAAAGATCGGTGAAAGGAAGATGGACGGAGTTCTTATTTTTCAATTGACGTAAAGACCAATCGGCCTTCTCTTGGCCCCAATTCCTCCTTCTCCGCATCATCCTACCTGCTGCCCAGGTTGCCGTTCACGTTCCGAGGCTGTTGGGCTTAAATTCAACGATTTGAAATTGAGATCGGAGCTTCTTTTAAATAGCTCTAGTGCTGTGCAACAGATGAAATTGTCAATACATGAAGATTAAAATAAATTCATCGTATCCCTAATCCTTATGCATTGCCTTATTGCAGTTAGCAGGGTCGAATGCAATGCAAAAAAGCAACAAGGACCGATTTCGCATGCATGTTTAAAGACAGCTTTCAAAGCGTGCTAAATGAGCGCAACCAAAAGATTCCATGCAGCTCCTCCGCCATGCCCGCTCCGGTGGCTAAAAATTGATGGTGTTCGGCCGTCAATCTTTTCTATGGAGAGAGTATCGAAAAACAAAGTATAAATCAACTATGATGCAAATCCGCTAACTGGCTATCTTTAGGAAACAGACAACCATTGGAAGCGCTGCGAGGGGGAAGACAAACCCACCTGTTCCACGGTTTTCTAAGCATCCTTTCAGGGGTATGATATACATGTCCATGGGAAAATTAGATCTAGGTTGATTCTGTGTATCGCGGCTTCTATATACTACTATTGCAGCTGATCATCCAGATGTATGAGGCGACCCCCCAGATTCAACCCTTTCCAGAAGCCTGCTGGAATAACTATAAGTCGGCCTGGGAGTGCTGCTAATGACGAGGCCAGGACAGCCACACGATAATGAAATTGGGGGATCATCAGACATATCAAACGCCGATTCCTTTGAGTAGGAGAGTTTCTAGGAAGCATCGTACCCGGATCTCGGCTGTCGTTATTCTTCCTTTGCCTCGCTCCGTCGTCGCCGAGGATAGTTTTTCTATATTTCGAGTGTTTGTGGCGCGGGACGGGAACAGCCAACCAACGGACTGCCCAAGAACAGGAGACTTATGCACATCCTCCTTGAATGCGTGGGGTGGACGAGAGCTCTCCTCTTTTACGTGATGGATCGAGAGCCGATATAACTCATAGCCGAGAAGAGGCTTGCCTGTCACCCATCACCCGACTAAAAAAGTGAGTAAATATAGAAATATGCAGCTCTCCTGAGGCGGTGACAGCAAGTGCCACTGGGCAAGAGACACGGTGTAACGGTTCCATTGCTTGTCCGTCGTTTCTTACGTACGTACAGGCACTGCAGTGATAGACGCCAAATGGTCAACGGCTGGTCGGTTAGCGGACAAAAAAAAAAAAAAAAAAAAAAAGGGATGCAGGAAGCAAGGGACTAGGGAAAGAAACCTATTCGTGATGGACAGATATCGCCACCACTATACGGATACTCTGTCCCCCGTTGCACAGCGGTTGATCGTTGGTTTGTTGGGCCTTCAGGCTCGAAGACGCACGGCGTTCCCTGTAGCTGCCGAAGAGTTGCATGAGAGGGCATACTCCGTACATCTACATGCAACACGTGTGGGATGCAAAAAATGTATCCGTAATGGTAAAATAATAAATACATTATCGTTCCTCTGTGTTTCGAGGGAGGAATTCACTAGCTGCAAGGATCAGCCCGCTAAATGCAACTAATGCATCTCTTCCCTGGAGCTGCACGGCATCTCATGCATACATTGACGGTTATCACTCACTCTTTGCAGCCAGAACACTCTTTAAATGGTTGGATTGCATCGCGAGCCGTTCAAGCTGCATCGACAGGCCGTCCAATTGGCTCGAGTCATTGTTCGTTGAGCCTAGCACAGAATGCTCCAAGGTGTTCACGGAAGAAGTTATAGAAGTGCACTATCTTCTTTAGGCGACCACTTCCAGCCGCTTCCCCAATTAATGCCAACATGAACAATGAACTCCCGCCCCCAAGTGGCTTGATACGCCATGCCTTATCCGCGTGGCATCAACAAGGGATATCCTGGATTTGTCCACGAGAACTAGCATTATGTGCCTTATTATAGACGGGGAAGACCGAGTCACAACAGCTCGGCTGGGCAAAAAAGAAAGAAAGAAGAAAGCAAGAGAGGCGGATGACAGATACACGCATACGATGTATGTAGCACACCTTCAGGCATAGACCTTGCTCGTGAGCCGGAAAATAAGAGGGAAGGCGACGATATCAGGTGGCGTAACAGTTGATTCGCTTAACTGTTACACTGACCCGGGGAGAGATGGGTTGCCGCAAGGAGGGATAAGGCATGACGGCGGCCAGCGAGTGTATCCCGTTCATGGATGACCAGGCTGACATTCCCATCTTATCCGCTGCGTTGCTGGTAACACCTATAGGTAAAGTTCCAGCAACCAACCAGTTACCAAACCGTGAGATGCGTGCCAACAGCGAAAGCAGGTATATATCGGCACAAGATGATGAGGGGTTCGAAAGGGGCCTGGGAAACGAAAGGGGCGATATTCCACAGTCAACGACCACGGACATCTGACGGGCCCCTCCTGGGGAAAGTTGGTAATGTCTCATCGCCTTGCTCGCTCGGATATGCCTGCGATGGTATGGAGTAGGATAAAGGAGTGCTGGCAGGGAAGGGCAAGGGGCAAGACCGGCCAGGGATGTTTACCCAAAATGGATTAAGTTACCGCGTACTGGGGTTGAGGTGGTGAGCTGAAGGAGTATCCGTAATCGTCCTGATGCTCCCTACAAGGCGAACAAGCAAACAAATCTAACCAATGCCTTTGGCTCTGAATGGAGGTTGGAAACGCGAGGAGATGGCGTATAGGGGCTTGTGGGCGGGAGAGACCTTCAGAACTAGGGACTGGAACCCAGAGATCGACTAAATTAAGGTGCTCCAGCGCCAGGGACCAGGGAACGAAACAACGTTTCTTCCCGTCTCCCAAGCTTCGACTGTGCGGCGTGGAGACAGCGGCTGTGAATATATAAAAGTCGCATGACCTGGCTGTGATCTTCCTCGTATATACTCCGTACAAGCGTCGATAAACGAGGCTGGCAATTTCGGGATTTCATATAAGAGCTGTCAATTTTCCACGTCTTCCAATCATTGCTGCAATCCAACGTTCCTCAGTGTGCGAATCTATAACTTTGTTTTCATGTGCGAACTGGCACAGTTTAATGGGTAGTGATTGACGGGCGGGCGGGCACTAGGGGACCCGAGGATGACTCTCCTTAAGATGTTCAGACATATACTAGACCACGCCTGGGGGGGAAGGGGCTTGGAACTCTTCAGCGGAAGAAAAGAAAACATGGGAGGCAAGGGAGAACGGGTTAACGGTACATATCAATAGCGGCATCACAAGTCACTATGTCAATGCTAGCACGGAAACGGGCCGTTATGTTCGGCGCAACCGCCTTACTTTGGGGCGTGAATCCCGCTTGCATTGAATGTTAGCAGCTCGTCTCACTGCAGGATGCACACTGAGAAGCCTAAGACCGTTGATAGATGTTGACGATACGAAGTACATGAAGGTACGGATTCACGCGGGGGACGGAGCCCTCCGTACCCTATAGTGTCAGGAGTATAGGTAGTAACCTCAACTTTGATAGGCCAGTATGTTAGGTAGATAATGGTCTATTTCCCACCTACTCTCCTTCAGATGAACTCACAAGTGTACCCCGTACATGTTCCGCGGAAGTACTTCGTCTGAGGCGTCCGAGAGGATGGAAGGGCTGTCAGCTCCAGATGGTGGACTGGAGGTGTGATTGACAAGGGTTGCTGCATGGGAAGCGTAAACAAGCAAACTGGCAGCTTTTCTTTTGACGAGACCGCTCCTCGGCAAGCTAGACAGTAAGTAACTTGAGCTTAACAAGCTACCCAATTTTACGCGAGGATGAGTCCGAATTCAACAACTCCGAATTGGCCCAATTTAGCCGAACGCCCTTCCCCCATTATCACGTGTACTCTGACGGCGAGGGAGGGAGCGCCAGGTTCAAATTGTTGCATGAACCTCGAGAGGGACGATCGGTCCCATTGGACTCCGAGATGAAGGATCGCTTTTGAGTGCAGAAGAATGTGTAAATAGCGTTCGCTGGGGGGGTTGGACACGCAGCGTCACCATGAGAGTCGCAGTGCATCATGCTCCTTTCTTCTTCGCTGTGGTATGAGGCGGCGCCCTGTAGATCTTGACCAGGTGACGATGATTGATTGTCCGTTCTAGCCATGTTATGGACCCTCATCGACACCGATAATATTGCTCGGGGGCTAACCTTTACGTTCCTGAAGCCCGTGTAATTTATCCTGTATTATTTGGAGCCATCTCTCGGCTCTGTGTCATGGGTCGGGGTTTAAGAAAAAGAAAGGAAGAAAGTTTGTGGAACTGAGTGTGAGGAAGCTCCCTTGGAGGACGAAGTATATCCATCTACTTATGCAGTTAGTATAAGCCGGAGGGTCTGGATAGAATTGTACTGCCCTCAGTCGCTATGCATGTACGGAGTCCTCCGTATGTATATTATGTATGAACTCCGTGCTTGTGCTGAGATCCTCCATCTTTAAATACCCTGTATGTAGTATAAGTGGCATCGTGCATATGCATATGTATGTATTGCATCATGTATGTACGTACGTGACCATCCATATCCCTCCCTACCATGCCAACCACGGAACGTGGAAGAGATTGTACTACGACCACAAGGCAGGATCATGTTCAAGGATAGTCTGAAACTGGCATATTCCCTGTATCAGTTCGATCGAGGCATTTGCCGATACTCTACCCCTATAAGGGGTAGGCCGGAGATTTTCCTTGCTGCTGGAGTGTATGCATGGGAAGCTTATGTGTATTCCATGTCCATGTTTCCTGTACTTCTGATGAAGTCTATCTGAGTGGGCGTCATCCCCTTGTCGGCGGTGAGGTTAGGATATAGATTCCTGAAACGGGTTGGTCGACTCGTATCGCATTGATCAACCGCTGGTCAGTTTTGACGGGGATACGCGATGCTGCTAGTTTCCCATGACAGACTTGTC